CGGCGCTCGGACGTGGTAACGGAAAGTAGGCTCGAGAGAAAGTGAGCAACACTGGATAATGTAACGGAACGTTAATCTCAGCGTGTTGGTAAAAGCTTGTATATTATATACCTGGATAATGTAACGGAACGTTACTGCAAGATGGTAAGTAAACTAATAGTATGGATATACGTAGAGGTACTCACATCTCAGCGTGTTGGTAAAAGCTGAGATGTGAGGCTGTGCATCGCAAAACGAAAAAGGCAAGAAATATCAAATACGTGTCCGTGTGCGTCTTGTACTACTACTACTATGTCTAACATGATGTATGTCCCTGACGCTGGTAACTGCGATATCCAGACATCGATCTCGTCTCGGAGCATTGAAGTCAGGGCCGGTGATGCCGATGGAACTGTATTTGATGAATATGCTGAAGAGTTTGCGAAGTTCAAGGCCGAGGTGGAGAGCAGCAGTGCAAATTATACCTTTTAGTTTCTCTGGTTATCTTCGAAGGCATCGGACGAGTAAAATTATTTATTGCAGTGTTTTCATTTATCCTATCAATGAATGCATATCGTCCAAGGATCTTACCCAGAATTTGTGTGGCTTTACGAGTCTGAGTATAAAACAAATTTAAGCACCTTAGCGATTCTTACTGCCATCGTTACCAGGTATGCAGCACGACAAGAAAACTTTCAAAATGCTGTATTGTGATGGGATGATGAACAAATGAAAAATAATACGTTCTATGCGACAAAACCGTGCTGCTCACTACATCAAACACCCGCTGAATAGTTCCTGCACGGATGCTGCCAACTGACTGTGGTCCAGGTCACCCTCACCGGAATCTAACCAATTAAAATCAAAGCTCCCCTGCCCATTCGGGCTAATATCTAGCTGGTTCTGGATCAGAGGCTTCATAGATTCCATGAACTCTGTTAGATCGAGTCCCTCCGGAGCGAAAGTGGTACTATTTCCATAGTCCACGTTAGTGAACATATCGAACATGTCCATATCTTCGCTGGGTTGCTGATCCTGCCAGGGAGGAACAGCGGTGCTATTTTCACCTGATGCTGGTAGATCCGTAGGTAAAGGAATTACTTCTTTGGGTGTAGAAGAGAGTGGCTGGCTCTCCATGTCTATATCCGTATCTTCCTCGTCCCCGTCCCCGTCTTCAGCGTCTGAAGTGGCGATAGGGATTTCACGATCGCTGTCGTCATCGACATCCTCGAGAGGACTACTAGGCTGTAGGGGCGAAGAGGGTGGAAGGCCTTGCCAAAACTGCTTCGTATCGCTAGGAATAGGCTGGTGTTCTGTATCGGGTGAAGATTCACTATGTTCATCCGGCACAGAGCTAGGCGGGAGAGAGTTAAGCTCTTCGAACGCGCTTTCAAGCTCTTCGCTCAGGTCCTTTTCTTGCGAAGAGAGCTTGCCTTTCGCACCATATGACGGTGACGTAGAGGGGCTCACAAGAGGACTCTTCCAAGAATCGGCAAGAGGAGTAAAGAGAGATGAACTGAAAGGCGTCGATGGGGTGTCGAGAGACTTTCTCCTGGGAGGCGTGCACGGAGGCGCCATGTCCTGGCTGGGGGGAGGTGTCTGTGACCTTGACTTTGTTAGAAGACTAGACACAGAATGATTCTCGCAGGCCGTCGACACCATAGCAAAATTGGTGCTGACAGCGGCGACAGGCCGAGGGGGAGACGATGACTTTACATTAGTAGCAGAGGTTGGCGCGTCGTTCTCTGCATTTTCACGAGGCTGTCGACCTTGTGCTCTACCAGTTCTCCGTCGTTCTCGTTCCAGTCGCCTCTTCTCTTCACGCTCTGCCTGTTTCTTGTCCTCCGCTTCCTTCAACACACGCCGGGCATCTTCAGAAAGCCTCGGTTGCATGGCAGTGTCTGTACGCGCCCAATCTGGGACTACGTACTTTCGACGTGCAGTTGATTGTGTACCATCTCTGACCGGAGAGGACGCAGCAATCTTTGGAGCCTGAGGCGAATCGGGAATGAAAATAGGGCGCCCTCTTGAGCCGCCAGGTTCCGTCTGAGAAAGTCGCGGTCGCGGAGGGGACGAAAATGGAACCACGTTATGTGATGTGGGTCGTCGATGTCTCTCAGAATGAGACTCGCGATCCTCCATGAATTCATCCAGCGTACGTTTCCTCGAAATGGAACCGCCATTACTTTCGGTCGCCCTTTGTGTAGGTCGTGAATTCTCGTCTGTATGTAGATACCCGCCAAGACTTGTCCGTTGCGGGACCGCTGAGGTCTGTGACGGTTTGGAGTCTTTTACGTCTTGACCAACGCGCCTTCTGAAGGGAGACGGATTGACGTTTTCTTTGTCAATAACGACAGCGTCATCATCAGAAGGAATTCGGTGATTAGAAGGTTGCAACGGGGCCATTCTGCCAGGCTCAGGTGGAGGTGCCACTTGCCACGCTGTAACAAGGTCTTGTAAGGCCTGAACTAATGCAGGGTTATCATCAATGCCTTTTCCCGAGTCAATAGCGTTTATGGTAGCGAGCAGGGCAGCATTCTGAGTGCTATTCGCGGGAGTGGATGCTAGTTGGGAGAAAATATCCGTGAGAGAAGGTGTCGGCGGCGCCGGCATTGCACTGGGGCCGGGAAGTGGTTCAGAAACTGTGCGCTTGAAAAGGGTGGTACGAGTATATAGCGGTCCATCTGGTGATTGATTCCGTCTTTTCGTCTTTTTCTTCTTGGTAATAGACGAAGAAGAGATTGTCGAAGGACCAGGCGTCGGTGCTGTAGACGTAGGAATCGCAGGTGGTGTAGGAGCAACGATAGGTGTGGCAGTACTACTTAATACTGTAGTATCTGTATGGGTGGCAGCCAGAGTAAGGGAAGCGGTGGGGGCAGGTGCCGGGGTCGAAAATGCCCTGGCGAACGTAGTAGAATTTGGAGGCTTTTTTTTCGGTGGTCCGATATATACTGAAGAAGACCTATAGATCCTCTCTGATTCAGGTAACGATTGCAATGTATCGACGTTCTTCGTCGTTCTAGGTTTCTTGGGTCGGTTCAAAATAGCGGCAATGGTGGCTGCGGTGTCGACCTCAGGCTGCTTACCTGTCGCGACTTGGTTTCATAGAACGGAGTGTGAAGATTGAAGGAACGTACCCTGTGCTTTAACGCTCTTCTTATTCCAAGATTGTATGGCAGCAGGAAAGGATGCCTTCTCTATGCGAGCCGTCTGACTAAGATTCAATAGAATGAAGAATCTCGCAAGGTAGTGCGACTCACTTCACGAAGAGCAAACACGACCTCAAGTGCCTCTTGCCCAGATCCGGTTCGAGTCAACGTGCCATTGACGAGTGCTTCCTCACCCTCTGCTGCAAGGGCCCATGACATCAAACCTAGACCTACGGCGACACCTCGAACCTGCCCTTCATTCATTTTGGACCCCTCAGCCTCGTTGGGAATATTGACTAGCCCGGGAGCGCTTTCCGACTCGAGAGGGTCGAGAACATATACCGAGAAGTCGCGGTTATCACTCTGTAAGAGTTCCGGACTGGTGGTGCAGATGGTTTCGATACAGGCCTTGAGGGACACGCTCGCATATCCGATGCCACCCGAGTGCTGTCCATTGGTTGGCTGTAGAAGAGAAACAGTAACGGGGCGGGGCGAGCGTGCAAGGATATATTGAGGAGAATTGTTCACAGTGTATAGGACCCGCAGGACGCGTTTCTCCATGAGTTTCGACACCGAAGTGAAAGTGTGAAGGTAGGCAACAGCGACAGTCGCTGCTGGAAGATGACGGAAGCAGATGTCTTCGACGACGGGGCGACGACGTCCTCAACAGTCACTCCTTGTGACATTAGTGACATTCTCACCATTGTAATCACGTGGTCGTTCCGCGTGTCGCGTCGCGTCTTTCAGCTTATAACATCTAATTCAAACCGTCCTCATCACTAGTAGAAGATTATTGATATCGGAAAGCATATTATACTGATCCAGGAGCTACACTTCAAAAGAAATCGCTATTGAAGTCCTCCTTTCCACTTCATCCGGGAGTCTAACGAGAGACCTCGACAAGGACATCGAAGATTTGCCTGAATTCTGATCCTGGCTGGAAGATACGGTGTTTTCAGAATGCTCGATCTCATTGGAAGTTATCTGCGTCATCGATGGTTTCGATCCACAGTCACATCCAGGCAGACATAATTCGGGTGAGTGATCTGAGCCGGATTCAGGAGTAGACTGTGTAATGCCTTCACCAGAAGAGAGACAAGGGAAGAGGAATAGAAACAGTCGACAGAAGACGTAACGTATAGGAAACGGAGAAGGTGTTGAATCAATGTCCCGTTGCCAGACACCAGGATCGAAAAAGCAAGCTGTTATCAATGCAATGAAACCAAGAGAAAGCGCATATCCAGCAACTGCGAGTGTGATATGAGAAGGCATAATATAACGTTGAGAAATATATTCACGTACTCATGGAAGTGTTGGCAATTACCAGGATTTGAAGGGCAAGAAGGGCGTTGAGAAGGGCGTCGTTTTTAGTATCCAACTCAACGTCTAAGATGAAGAGGAATAAGACTAGAGTTCGAGCATGAGCATAAGCATAAACAACTTTGATGTTACGACGTACTGGCAGAGAACGGAAGTAATAATACTGCTGCAGCGAAGTCTAGGGCAACTGCTTGGGACTTTCCGAACAAGAATTTGTGGTTTGCCCTATGCAGGGTTGAGTTTGTGCTGTTGTTAGTTCTGTGGGCAAACACTCACGAAGCAAAGGTTTGTAGCAAAGTGATAGCTTCTACAGACACCATCAGGATAACGCCGCTTCTATGATCAAAGGCGGTTTGAACGAAAACAGAAAGACCGATGCAGGCGCCAGCAATAAGAGACATGATAACTGTTGGTTACGTTGAGTCAACGAATCATCGAGTCGAGCGTTTACGTGCCAAGAAGAAGATGCCGGAATATTGAAAAGCGCATGGTATGTCTGAGTCGAGAGGAACGTATAGTAGTGTACGTATAGCGTGTGTGAAGGAAGAAGCAACGGTAGTGGTGGATGAAACATCCAACAGCGGCAAATGCCGCCTTCGGCCCGTCGAGAAACCGCGGCAAACTGCGTCGCACTGATCACCACTAAAACAAATGGAGTCGATGCTTGTACCATTCCACTTCATCAACAGCTACTCAAAACATCGACAAGGATGCCTAGACCAAGCATGACCATAACTCATTTTTGTTTGTTAAATCATCAGCCTAGATCTATTGATATTATCAAGGGCTGAAACGTTGATCCCACGGAACATCCTCTAATTCCTTGTGCTACATACTGCACAGCACCCTTACATTCATAGGCTCGAGCCCCAATAATACCACCGAGAAAAGTTTCCGACTTTGGATCAGGATCACGAATCATCCCGCTAATACAATGTACTGCCTTCAAATCATCGCGGTGATGATATATCGGCCGTCCGACAGCCTTTCTCCAACTTCATCATGTTGCGATGCTGATTTCACTGTATGTATCATCAGTTCCTCCTGTCTGTGCTTTACCGGAGCATGCTTTCCAAGCGAAATTGGCTGTGTATGAGCGCATGCCTCGTCAGTAATCTACTCACTGATGCCTATAAATGAACAAGTTGTTTAACGCTCCCTCCCTCACTGATTTCCGCTTCCTCTGTCCTTTCTACTCAGAATGGCTCTTCTACTGTAAGTCCAACGACATCCTTCTATGACTTGCCAAGGCGCTAATTGCTGTGGCTCTTGTAGTTGTATTCAACTTTTGCCTCTCGTCTTACAATGCTCAGCTGAAGGCACTGGGGTAGAGACTACGTGAGTGCTTATTTTATCTAATTTACCGCCCTTCTTACATGACTTAGCTCCTCTGCTGCCATCTCCAGTCCCACTGTATCTTCATCTCCAGACTCAGACTCCCGGCACCTAAAATTTATCATCATCGGTCTGCTCTGTGGTGCCGCCGTGCTCTGTGATCGTTTCTGTTCTTCTCTCAATATATTGTCGAGAACGCAAACGCAGTATATCTGATGGAGAGGATATCGTGATTGCGAATAAGATCTTGGACAAATGGGAAGGAGTGCACCCAGTTTCGAATGGCCCTGGGAAAGATGTCCTGGACTACGACATCTTCGTCTCTTGACGCTTCTATGTAGTTCTATATGCACGAGGCGCCTGGTCCCCGATATTGAGGATCTCCACTCCAGCTTCCTTCGAGATCCGATCCCGTTCCGTCTTCATCGTGCTTACATACTCGCTATATATGTATACCTGCCCGACGCACTTCCCAGCTGCTGTTCCCTCGTTCTGGATACTGAAGAGGTCAGTTTCTTTTTTTCATGCGCGTTTCCTGCCTGATTCATGTACCCTGTAGTTCCTACTCGCGTACATTCTTTATCTTGGGTCTTAGCAAGATGTTACTTCTGTTGTGGGTTATTAAACGCTATTCTTTTGCCTCTGTTCAGAATGCTAACCTCTACGCTGGTAGTTTCTTTCAACTTGTGTTTCTCTTTTCTCAATGCTCGGCCGAAGGCATTGAGGTATTTGGCACTATCACTAGGTGGGCGCTCAAGTTTTTCTTTTCTTCTGCAAACGTTCCTCAATTACCCCGACCCAGTTTATCGACAGCAACTGCCACTTCCGCAACATCTTTATCTCCAAGTTACCGACGTCGCAGGTTTCTCATTATTGGCCTGTTCTGTGTCGCCGCGGTACTCTCCCAAGTTACTGCCATTGCCCTCCATCTGTTCTTCCGAGCACGCAAACTCGACATAGAGGACGCTCCCATCAAAACTGGCAAGAATCTGGATGAAAGGGAGTGTGCCAAGGATTAAATCAGTTTGGGATGGCGTACACAGTGTCTCTCTGGGTAGTCTTCGGAGCCTCGTTCACTGTGACCTCTATGGAGGCAACTTCCAGTATCTTTACCGCGAGACCGCGAGATAGTACGAAGATGTATAGTGCACAGTTTGAGAATATTATCTTTTATTTACCATACGAGCTTCAATGTTGCTTCCACTAAGATCTATAATCGCACAGATTCGGTACTAAGAAAGGCTTGAATCTTCGACCGTTAAGATTCTATGGACTTCACCAAGGAATACCACCTATCCACCGTTCACACCCATGTATCATTTTGATACACATACCCTCCACCTGGCAACGCAAGAAGCCGGTTGGATCCGCCCTCCCATAGCGGCGGGGCCGCCCCCCCCCCACTTGGTGAAGTACTTGTATTCCAGTGTTTCGTTTGCTTTGAGCTGCAAAGTTACTATGGAAGCACAGTGAGCATGCGTAACCCATTAAAAAAGCCACCCGCACCGCTCCAAATCGGACTGTTGAATGGCGACATTGGAATAGCATTGTCTGTTGACCAGCTTCCTAGGGCTTCGTTCGACCCGGACAGGTATACCATCACTAACATGAGTTCAATATTCGCACTATATATCGCAACGAAAACAACATGCCTCCCCAGTATGCATCAAGATGCAGGTAAAAGTCAACTGTGACTAGTCCAGCATCCGAATTCCAGCTACCGGTCTGTCCCGAACACGAGAGTGATACTTCGTGAGCACCCCAAGGGTCAGCAACGCTTCCGCTGCGCGCGCTAAAAGCAGTCAACGCAGCGACGTCGCTCCACGAATACGGGTTCTGACCGAAACCACCGCTGTAGCCTGACAGTCTGCTGTACTCCTCCGTAAGTACACCATCGGAAGTCGTAGCTTTGGCGGCAACAGAGATAAAGCCTTCGGCGTAGTTGCGAATGTAATCGGTCATGGATATATAGAAGGGGCTAGAGGCGAGATAGGTTCCTACTTCCGCGCTATCTGTAAAACGTCTGAAGAAAGGAAGAGACAAAGGTGTAATTGTCAACGAAGACTGCTGCTGCCAGACATTGAGAGCGTCGTATAGCTGCTCAGCAACAGCAAATGTGGTAAGATACCAAGGCTACAAAAGCATAAGCGGGAAGTCCAAGAACAGAAATATAACCAACTGTACGTTACCACCCATGTACCTGTCTTCAGGATATCGACCAATGGCTGTTGCATTGTTTTGAGGAACACCATAGTTAGTCTGGAATACACCGAAGGAATCTATGTAGGCGAGAAGGTTTGCGAGGGCTCGGTCAGGAACATGGTTGGAATGTTATTGAGTCGCATCCAGCTGAAGGATCAAAGGTATATGAATGCTTGCTAAAACTGTGCTTCCAGTCGAGACCTGTCCGGCCACTCCCAGTGTTCGCAGTCATATATTCATTGGTGTTCCAGTAGGACTGCCAATAGAAGATAAGCCACTTGACTGATAAACATAGTTTGATCACTGACCTGCATGAAACACAGCAGACTTTCTGCCTGGTTCATGTATAATTCAGCGGACTGACGTATCCCCGATGGTGACACCCAATACGACTCCTTGGCGCAAAGCTTCGGTGCTGAAGCTACCGAAGGTCCAATACGACGACGACAGCACCTTCTCCCCAGATGTGATACTGTCGTTTTGTTCCAATTAGACGAGACATAGTCCAGATCAAGCTTAATGCTGGGCCAGAAGAACATTTTCCACGTACGAGATGTTCTTCTGGGATAGATGATAATTAGCCCAAGCGATCATAGATATTGCGCGGATAGCAGGTCCATCTTGCCGTTGAGAATCAGATACATTTTTATCAAGGAACAAGGGAGAAAATACTGACCACGTTGTGGACGTCCTATTTCACCGACAAAAGCATGTCTCATTTACATAGAATTTTGGTTCTCCAAGTCCACCTGATGTTAGAGTTGCCTGAAGGATTAGGAACTTGCTGAATCTCTATTTGGGCCTCGACAATGTCTTCAATGGAGGACTGCAACGATGCGTCGCCTTCCAGATACGAACCTATATGCAAGTTAGCCTCGCTGGATCACTGGAGGATTCTTAATAGGTTTACTCATCAATCAGGTATTTCATGACTAGCGATGAATCCCGAGTCCAGGTGTAAAAGAGATTAGGATCAGCCGACGCAATTACAACGCCAGGCCCTGCATCCTGAGCATTTGCGCCAGAAGACCCGATGTTTGATAAGAGATGCGACTTAGCGATTGGTTTCTCGAACGCGACGTAGGCATCGGGGTCTAAAGGAGCTTGGGCGAAGCTAACAGTGACTAGAACGCCTGCCACAAGGAAGCCAAGGAGCGTCATATCGAGTTTTACTGGAGCAAGACGAGGGAATGGCAGCTTTTGTACGAAGGAAGCACACAACACTATTTGACGTACACTTGCGAGGTCTTCGGGCTGAAGGGGTTCCACTTCCACTCTACGGGCACGAACACTTGATGCTATAGACCACGTCTTGACGTAGTGCCACGTCGAGGACTGCCTTACTAGATCACCGATGTCTATTGACTCAAGCTGCGATGATAGAAGGATAAGAGACGATGCAAGCAGAATAATCAGTGCAATACAGTAGTGTTACTACATACACACCTTTCATTTGAGTGATTTTGGTGTTCTATGGCCAGTCATAAGCTCCGTGAATATCTCCCCAAAGTCACCTTCGAAGCTTAAATTTTGAGTAATTAAGCACAACTGCTTGAATTCTGAATCGCAGCATTTTGACTCCTCAAGAATGTCTGCATGGTCGAATACCTAAAACTGAGTAGCCTTGTATGTTGATTCAGACTCAAGCTTAAATCTGGGAGACATCCGATTTCAGCACAGTGAGCGGCAGTCGTATTTGCAGGAAGCCGAATGGACATCAAATTTTTGTCAGTCTCAAAGCATTGAGCAAGTATAGCAGAAACGAGTGAATACAGCTGATAAACAACAGTCGTTCAAGTACCTAGTCGCAATTCACAGATGATATCGATCCTTGATGAGGTCCTGCTGCTCTCGGCAATCATATACACAGGTGCCTTGAATGTGACATTCAGGAATACTCGGCTGGAAGAATATCATTAGCTCTAGAACCATGAGTATAGCAAGTAGTTGTACGTACGAAAACGGACGCGTCAACGATTCTAATACCTTCAGCTCCCTTCAGCAGCAGCTCTTGGTCAACGACTCCCCATTTCGCTTTTCTCGGCGACATTCGCGCCGTTCCAATAGGATGGTTGATGTTTGACCCATAGGCCCTCACGTACTCCAATTTGGCATCATCGGTAGTGGCGTTACGTAGATCGCCGTAAGCATCCAACACGAACCCATTCCATGGAGACAAAGCTAAAAACTCTTGAGCATCTTTGATGACTTGTACTATCGCGTAGTGGTCAAATGGGCTCGTCATAAAGGCCGGGTCGATAAGTAGGTCATCAAAAGGGTTGGTAGAGTTGATAGTCACATATCCTCCTGAAAAGATTACCTAAGAAAGAATAACGAACGTGGGTATCGGGGAAGGCTCACCAGAGAGCGGCGTAACAACGCCAGCCAGAACGGTAAGAAAGTTTCCGGTTTCGGGCTGAGGCAAAGGTCCGAATTGAGCAAACCCGTTCTAGGCGGAAATGAATGTGCATGAATGAATGACTTGGTATAAAACTTACGATAAAAATCATTTCTAAATGCCCCGCATCTGGACCTGAAGATGGGTCATCAAAGGATTCATAGATCGAAGCATTCTCGGGTAGCCGAATAAAAGCCTGCGTATTGCCCGGTGAATCAACAAAGTCCTTGACGCGTTTGCTCCCAATGTCTTAATTCCTCCGCAAACAGGGTGTTGTTTCGCAGATACCTGTCGAAAGTGCTGTTCGAGTTGACAGCGTAATAAATGGAGACAGCAGGGTGATCTACGAGATGCTGTCCGACATCTGACAGTTCAAGGACGGGAGGAATGCCAAGAGACTTCAAATCCCTCCTTGGACCGATTCCAGAGAGTAAGAGAAGTTGAGGTGTACCGAAGACACCGGCACAAAGCAATATCTCTTTCCGGGCAGTGATCTGGACGGGTGTATCTGCAAGCATCAATTACTGGAAGTAGGAAACCCCCTGTTATTTTTCCTACCTTCACTGTTCTGTGCCACTTGTATTGCTCGAAATTCTGGCTTTCTCCAACCTCGGCCGCCTGTCTGGATTAATTTTGTGATGTGGGTGTTTATGAGGATATCTAGGTTATCTCTTTCTTGGCTTGGATTCATGCTACTTCCCCCCAACACTGCTACGCTGGCCGCCACCAACAGAAGATTGCATGTAGCCTGGAAATCACCAGTAAGCAATACGTACAAGGCGGAACTAGGAATTCCTGACTCACTGACTCCCATGAATTGACCAGCATTTAGGTCCACGGTATATGGGAACCGACCGCCAAGCTTCTTGCTTGCATCAACGACACGTCCATCAAGCTCTGTTGGGAAACCTCCCACGCTGACTTGAACGGGGCCATTCCCATGGATAGAAGGATCTTCCTGGTCCGTAGTATCGTGTCCGCCGGCCGGGCTCACGAGACGCGACGACTGTAAAATGGAAAAAAAAATTATCTTATATGTGTTATGCGTGAAGGAAACCTACCTTGAGCCAATACTTTTCCATAGCCTCCCTGGACCAGCCATGATCATCTGTGATCCGTGCCCAGCTGTCCCACAGATCATCCGCTCCTCGGTTCCAAGTTAAAAGATCTTAAAACAGCTAATGTCGACGAGCTGATCAGAAGCGCGAGGAGGAACAAGTTTCTAGCATGTGAAGACATCGTGGCTCCCGAGAGAAAGAGACGCGATCTGCCAGGCCCCTGGAGATTTGAGTTTTAAACGCGTTCAGATTCGTTTGGGATGACGACGAGGGCCACATCAGGAATCAGGGTCAGCGACAACTTTCAGCAGATTATGGCAAGACCGTGGACGTTCGATCTACCACATTGTAGGAAGTTCTGCCAAGTCTGTGATAATCCATGCGTTTCCGAAGAACCATACGCCTGAAATGTTAGCTTAGGCTGATTCTCTTTGATCACTCAGGGCATCCTCGAGGCAACGTCAAATGTCAAGCCTCTTAAGATGGAATTGAGGCCGAAATTTCGGATTAGTCAAATGATTAATCCCCGACCACTCCCCGACAAATAGCTGTGACAGAATGAGCGCGTCTATAGCGTAGTGACTGCTGTAAGTACTTGCCGTGCGTTGGTGGTTTGTAAATGACTTCTTCCGGCAAAGGCCAACCATCGTAGGAGCCAACCTGGGTTCGCGTGTAATGCACCACTAAAACGCGTCAATCCGTTTCTGATTCAAGAGACAATGATCAGGTGTGCTCTGCATCTTTCTGTTTCTTCATTCTGATATACCTTGTGGTTACAGGAAACCCAAGGCCGTTCATATTGCCCTTCTATTACTCACCCTATTATCCTGCTTGGTTTACTTCCAACGAACAAGCAGGTTCTTTTCGAGCCAGTCCACCACCGTCAATTCATCATTCCTGGCCATCGAAAATGCTCTTTCCAGTGCGATTCCTGATTATCTACCCTCACCAACTAGCAAGAAAGACCACTTGATTCACGAGATGCAACAGTCTCTCCTTTGTGGACTTGAAACTAGAGAGCCAATGAGAGGCAAAACAGCCGAAAACGTACGCCAGTTCAGAGGTTCCGTGTCTTCGTCGCCGTTGAACGCCTGTGACTTCACTTCGCTTACTATTGAAGATCTCTGCAAACTGCATAGCGCCAAAGAAATCACCTTCGTCGGTCCAGAACTCACGTACCATCTCCATCTCTTGTGGCTTCACGCTTTGTCGTCTCACGAACACAGACCTCATCCTTGCAGAGGCCAAGAATTCTGTACTTTTCATCAGATATGCCAGGCGCCCTTCAACGAAACCAGCGGAATCGAGGAAGCCATCGACAGTCGGAACCAGCGCTTCCAGAAGGCACCCAGTAGCCGCGAGTTGTTTGAGTCGGGCTCCTCAGTTGTGCGATATATCATGTCGACCTCGCTCTATCTCTCTGAGAACAAAAACGACCCGCGATACACGCTACCCTACGTCAATCCTCTTACTGGAGTTCGAGTCCGCGACACGTTCTGGTTCTATCAGGCTCGGAAAGCTGATGTTATCCTGATGAACCGCGGACCTAGCCCTGCACCTGCTTGGACATACGATGGAACTCATCACGGCAACTGGACATTCATCGATTGTCTTCATTTGAATGGATCTGCTGCTGTCAACTTCACACCTCGTCTAGACGTCCGTATTCGAATTCTGAATGCCGCTCTCCATGTCACCCTCACCCAATTTCTACCGGAACTGCATCGTACGCTCAAGACTATTCGCGCCAACCATGAGATCCAGCAAAGGCGTAATCTCTGGATTTGGCATGGGAGCGTGCAGTGCAATAGCGACATTTCGACAAGCGATCCTTGGTCTTTATACTATGAGGCTCAAGGTCAGCGCATCCCTTATTTAATGTATACATTTATTCACAACGCACACAGTATATATGCACAATTACATTCTCCCCAAGATCCTTCCTCACTACGGTATCCTGTTCCTCCCTTTGCCGAGCGTGGACTCTGTGGAATGTTGGAGGCTCAGTCCAGATACACCTCTGGGAGACTCTGTTGAGCGTGACTTTTTCAGCCGTTTGGGCCACATTTTTCGTATGAGATGACGCGAAGCGACGAATCTTCCATCGGGTATGGTCACTTCTTTTTCTTTTGTTTCTTCCTCTTCTTCGTAGTAGATGGCTTTATCGTGTTTTCTTCCCGTTTCCTCATGAATCCACCTTTATTCAATGCATCCTTCGCAACCTCTGATATCCTCCGCCACCGTTCTGATCCCAACTGTACTCCGCCATACCATCTTGAGACCACAACGACAACATTTTCACACCGTGACAGCTCCAGCAGGCGTGCCAGATGGTCCCCAGCGCCGCTCTCGCCGCCATCTTGTTGTCCAAGCGAGAGCTTCGTGGATTCAGATGGAGAAGATGACACGCGGTAAGCGTACATGCAATGGGTCGCCCGTTTCAATTGAGGTAGACTCGTGAGATGGTCTATAAATACAGGCAACATTTCTGCATCTCGAATCTCGGTAGCATGTGCAAGGAAGGTGGACTTGTGGATGGTGATTCTCTCCGACGCGTAAATAGGGCAAGGCCATCTTGACGTGTCTGGTCAGCTGCCGGGTTAATCTTCGTTGTTACGTTGATGTTGGTATTTTTGCTCACCTCCATTATCTCCACTGGAAAATCGCACTTGATTTGGGAGCATCTTTGGCCGGATAGGGCGTATGGACGCGATAAGGCGTTTTATCATCAAATGGAGTCGTGATGGAAGACGATTGAGAGTCGCGGCCACGCGCGGACCGGAAGATCCGGCGAAATTTACTCTGCGCTACCTCTGCATTCTCAGACACGTTGCATTGGACCAATTGTGATCCGGGAAAATCACAAGTTTCTGGGTTGCCTTTATACAGGTTGTACCAGGCTAGAAGCATGTAGGTTCACGAGGTCCAGTTCGGCTGTCTTGGAAATGCCGACTCGAGACAGTATATAATACCATAAATACCCGCCATCTAGGCTTTCATCTCACTCACCACCACATCACCACCACCACCACCTCACCATCATGCGTCTGTTCATTTACATCTCTACCCTTGCCTTTGATTAACTTTGTAGTGCAGGTCTGATCGTTCGTGAAGATCCGTCTGCCGTTGGCGACTACATTGCCAATTACATCTGCAAACGGTACGCCAACAATTGTCGGCTAGGAGGAGAACTATTCCTTACAAATATTTCCAGTATCAACGATTTTGCGCCGACGCCTGGAAAGCCCTTCGTCCTTGGGTTACCCACCGGATCTTCCCCAATCCCCACCTACAAAACACTTATCCAACTCGTCAAAGACGGAAAACTATCGTTCGTCATGTTTTATACGTCCCTTCCTGTACAGTAACTCATCAACTTCATAGCCTCAAAAATGTCGTAACCTTCAATATGGACGAATACGTCGGGATCCCGCGCGATCACTCCGAGTCTTACCACACATTCATGTTCCGAGAGTTCTTTTCACATGGTGTGCCGGTTCAAATGCTGATGGTAAAGTGCTAATTCCGTCGTTGATAGTGGATATTCTCCCGGAGAATGTGCATATCCTGAACGGTAACGCCATTGACCTTATCGCCGAATGCAAAGCGTACGAGGAGAAAATCAAATCATTCGGAGGGATAGAACTCTTCCTGGGAGGTATCGGAGAGGACGGGCACATAGCTTTCAATGCAAGTGAAATCTAGAACCTTCGCGGCATTGTCTTACTTCTTGTATGCAGGAGCCTGGGTCTTCTCTTGCTTCGAGGACTCGTATCAAGACTCTCGCATATGACACCATTCTTGCGAATGCACGTTTCTTCAACAATGATATCGACTCTGTTCCTCGTATGGCATTGACCGTCGGTGTAGCGACCGTTCTGGACGCTAGAGAAATTGTGGTCGTCGTTACAGGGCAAAGGAAGGCTCTGGCGTTGAGCAAAGCGATCGGTGAGTCCCATTATATATGTGGTTGTACTGCCTGGGACTGATTTCGTGCGCTAGAGGAGGGCGTTAACCATCTGTGGACTCTCTCTGCTCTTCAGCTCCACCCTTGGGCACTTATTGTTGTCGATGAGGATGCCACAGCCGGTCAGTCTCCCCTACCGTTCGAGAGAAAATGGCGTCTTGACCACTTTCAAACAGAGTTGCATGTCAAAACCGTCAAGTATTTCAAGTCTATCGAACGCGTACAAGACGAAGTCGAGGAGCATCAAGCCAAGCTGAAGGCGAAGGGTATCGTCGAGCAGGTCGGAAGCATGGATTAGATCATTGTATACGAATTCAATATGCATGAGTTGTTTACGCACGTTAAGCCAGTAAGACTTTACGGAGAATGTATCACATAGATAGATCTATCAAATATGTATTTAATAGATGAATAAACTGGTTTTCGTTGTGTATATCTTCGTTTAAGGGCCTCCTAACTGAACACTCCACGCGCTTCTTGATGCGAACCCACGATTAACAATGGCATTCCTTCTCTGATGAATAACGGCGAATAAATATAACTAGAATGTACAATGGTAAGAGTCAACCGAAAGAAGGCATTCTGAACCCGAAAGAAAACGTAAATGAAATCCCTCGATAACTGAAACGGTTCAACGAGATATTACCAGAACCTATCTGGTATATGGAGGCGGCTGCGGCTCTGCCGAGGGGCCAGCGGATTCAGACAGCTGATTAGTGTCAGAGGTACGAGAGTATTTAGCTAGCATCGCAGCCTGCTGGCGACGGGCTACAGTACGGGAATCATAAGGATCATCTATCTGGGAATTGGATGTCCTGCGCTGTACTTCTGCAGACGCAGGAGGCACTTCTGGAGACATTGGAGGGGATGCAGTTTCAGTGACTAGAGGTCTGCGGAATGGATTATTTGACCGAACAGGTGACGGTGTGGGAAAAACATTGTCAGGTTGGACCGGCGGCGGCTGATGGGGGCGTTGGGTGGCAGCGTGGGGGACATAAGGGTCATCTGCTAGTGCCTGAGAGGACGCACGTTGTGCTTCTGGAGCCGCAGGAGGGGATACGTTCGCAGTGGATGAATATCTGTGGGATAGATTATTTGATTGGACGGGTGCTGCGGAAAAGGCATTGTCTGATTGGGCTGTTGACCGCCGATGAGAGCGATGGGATCCATCAGGGGAATCATAAGGATTGTCGGCCAGTACCTGAGAAGTCCTACGCTGCGCTTCTGGAGGAGTAGGAGGAAGTACAACATGGAATAGATTAGCTGATTGAACGGGTGCTGGCGAGGGAAAGGCATTTCCAGGTTGGACTACCGGCTGCTGATAGGATGGCATCGGAGCGTAAGCTGGAGGGGGAGGGGGAGGAGCAGGAGCAGGAGCAGGACTGTACTGTGTCGATGGCCAAGGGACTGGCGCTGGCAATTGGGCAAGCTGATACTTGACCATGGCGGCTCTTGCTCGTCGTCTCCGCATAAACGTCACAATGCCAGAGATGAGGGCAAGTCCCACAACTGAAGAGAATTGTAAGGAGGGCATCCTTCAGTGATGTGACGAGTTTGTACGCACCTCCTATAATCACACCGATGACTCTGCCAAAGTTTGTTACACACTGTTCACCGGCACTGTTGGTAGATGTCAAACTCGAACTAGATCTACGTTCAAATTGAATTTTTGAGACTGCTTTTCAGGGAGTATGGTACTCACCCAGAGCCGCAGTCCTGAAAAACTTTAAGACTTCAAGTTAGCCTCAGACAGTTGATACTGGGGAAAATACGCACAAGAACTCATTCTTTTACTTCATCAGCGTTCTGGGAAAGGTGGGGTTGTTCCACGTGCGGGTCTACATGTTAATGATAAGGATCTGCATCAAGTTATTTTATTTCACGCTACTCTAATGGTAGGTCCCACCCATTTCCGATATCTCGTGCGTTCGGAGAGATCGGTCCGACACGGAAAGGAAATGTTAACGTCAGTTTACTTGTCGACAGCTCCCACGTCAAACAAGGCGAAAAAAAATCGGAGTTCGCGCCGTATTCAAACGCGACAATGACGAAAGTCGCGTCTCGTCGGGCAACAGATTTTCTTCATCTTGCTCCCAGCCCCGAGTCCGGTTATACATACCAGAGAGGGCCCACAAATTGACGCTTGTCTACTGCGGAAAATCAGAACTAGGCTAGAACAGCTAAGTAGATGTAGTGAAACGGCCCCTCAACAATGCTTTGCTCGATGTTAGAGCCTTCCCTTGTCCTGTAACTACGATCACAATCTCCCTCGAGTTCAGAGCGGTCGCTACACCGATGGGCAATGCCGTACGAGGAACAGAGTCGATGTCGTTGTTGAAGAAATGCGCGTTAGCGAGAATGGTATCGTACGCGAGTTTTCATAGGAGTTCTCCGTGCAAGAGAAGAGCCAGGTTCCTGCATAAAAGAAGTGAGACGATATTATGAATTATATCACTGTCAGACTTGCATTGAAAGCTATGTGCCCGTCCTCTCCGATACCTCCTAAGGAGGTTCTATCCCTCCGAATGATTCGATCTTCTGCTCATACACTTTGTGTTCGGCTATAAGGTCGATAGTGTCACCGTTTGAGATGTGCACATTCTCTGAGAGGGTATCCACTACCAATGACATCGTTAGCACTGAATCATTAGCGTTTGGATTGACACACCGTGCTTTCAAATCTATTGAGCGCATACAGGATGGAGTCGAGATTAAGCAAAAGGTATCGTCAAGCAGATTGGAAGAACGGACCAGATCTTGAATGAATTAGCGTGCAAGTTGTTTATGCGCGTTAAACGCTTATTTAGACCAGTAATAATCTAGCTTTTGTTATGTGTGCCTTTGTGTGATGCTGGTGTAAGGGCCTCTTGACTGCGCGGCGCGCGCTGCGTATCAGCCGAAAATACTTTTTGATGCGAATCCAGTGTCATCCCTTTTCTGGTGGATAGCGGCAGAATAGAATAGGACTAGAAATGTACAAGGTATGAAGAGTCAATGGGGGTAGATATTCTGAACCTGATAGCAATATAACTATCCGAGCATCGGATAAAGGGACATAGCAAAAGCGTAGATGAAGTGTTTGATACCGCTTAAACTGGTATAAACGATAACGCCTCCGATAAACAGTGGATGAACAAAAACGGTTCAGCGAGTCTGTTCGGTATATGGAGGCGGTTGTGGCTCGGTCGAGGGACCAGCGGATTCAGACAGCTGATTGCTGTTAGAGGTACGAGAGTATTTGGCCAGCACCGTAGCCTGTTGTCGATGGGCTGTAGCATGAGTATCATAAGGATCGTCTGTCTGAGAGGTGGCACCCTGTGTTCCTGAAGATGCAGGAGCAGGAGGCACTTCTGGGAATGCAGGAGGGGAGGCAGTCTCGGTGTATGGATATCTACGGAATGGATTGTTTGATTGAACAGGCGCTGGTGAGGACGCGGCATTATTATCCGGTTCGACTACTGGCTGCTGATAGGACGGCGGTGGAGCGTAAACCGGAGGGGGAGGAGCGAGAGTAGAGGCGAGCTGCGTCGGCGGCCAAGCAACCGGTGCCGATAATTGGGCAAGGCTATGCTTTGCCACGGAATTTCTCAAGCGTCGTCTCCGAAGACACGTCAACATCGCCGAGATAAGTACAAGTCCCACAACTGAAGAAAATGGTAAGGATCTGGGATATCTTTCAGTGTCGAATATGTACGCACATACACCCATAATTACACCAACGATTTTGGCAAAGTTGGTCACACACTGTTCGCCATAGCCTGTAGATGTGGGACTCGAACTGAATGTATGTATAAATTGAAGTTTCGAGTTTACTTTTTCGGAGATACTCACCTATAGGTTGATCCGCAATCCTGAAAAACTTCGACCTGGAATTAAGCTCAGAGAGCTAAAAATGAGGGAAATACACACAAGATCCCATTCTTTCACTTCATGAGCGTTCTGAGTAAGGAGATACATGTGCGGGTATTGGTAACCGCATCTTAACGCCACCGGCTTACTGCGGAAGTGTCAACAGCAAGGATGACGTTTGTTTGTCGGCAACTTCCTCTAAAAAAGCTTTAGTCGCGTCCTACATACTTGACGGCGACGATGACAAAGACGCTTGTCCAATCCACTGTTCTCGGGAAGCGGAAGTCCTGTCCAACAACAGATCTTGTTCTTCGTCTTGCTTCCAGTCCAGAACCAAGCCCTACAGACTTGGAATATGAGCCGCCGTCGACGAACAAATCCGACATTATTTCCAAGCCTATTCTTGTCAATGGAGAACTAGTCAGCTACACGAAGAAAAGATATAGATGCACCTTTGCGGGCTGCGACAAGGGATATACGAAACCCTCGCGTCTAGAGGAACACGAACGCTCGCATACAGGCCAGGTTCGTCAATCAGTTCTGAGCGCGTCATCCATGTACTGAAATTAGGATTTAGCGCCCGTTCGTCTGCGATACGTGCAGCAAGTCGTATCTTAGAGAGACACATCTACAGGCTCATGCCCGGAGCCACCTACCTGAATCTTCAAGACCCTTGGTATGCGAACGGCCAAATTGCGGGAAGCGGTTTTGGACTAGTCAGCATCTCCGTGCCCATACAACCTGGCACAATGGTGCGAAGAAGTTTACTGTGAGTCTCCTCCGCATCTTATTGAGCAATTTTGACAGCTGTTGTCAGTGTTCTGAACCGGGCTGTGGTGAAGCTTTTCTGAAGCACCATCATTTGCGGACGCATATCTGTACTATGCATGCACCTCCAGGAACGAAACCCTTTCAATGCTCCTACCAAGGCTGTACGAAGTCTTTTGATACCAAGCAACATTTACATACCCACACCAAGGTTCATGATGGTGAGTTTCTTATGGAGTTTGGAATGCTTCCCACATGAACCGCCCCCCATAGACAAACGGTACACATGTGTACATCAGAACTGCCTGGCTTCTTCAAGCCAGTCACTTACATATTATCCCACATGGTCTTCTCTGCAACACCATTTCCGCACTGCTCATCCTCCAACCTGTACACATCCCTCCTGCAACGGTAAAACATTTTCTACTCAGAAGGGCTTGAGGGCACACGAGAAGCTCCACTTGGAGTGGGATGCCGAAGCTCAACTAGAAGCAAACGAACCTCCTCGCAAGAAGCGACGCGGTGGAGAGCTTGGCCGGGACTGGAAGTGTGATGTCGAGCATTGCGGAAAAGACTTTAAATCTGTATGTATTTTTCGTATTCACAAGCCCGTAACTAACTCCTTCTCTCAGAAAAAGGCTCTGACGACGCATCACAACGTCGCTCACCTTTGTAGAAGAGACCACGTCTGTCCTCATGACGATTGCAAGCGTGCATTTGGATATAAGCACCTCCTCCAGCGTCACTTGGCAAAAGTGCATGCCTCTTCTGACGAGGAGTCTCTCTCGGAACGCGAAGAGTCGTCTTCGCCTTCGGATGAAGAGACGACCGAATTCGATATCGACTTCCTTACAGGCAATTCTTACAAGCAGCAGGCGAAGAAAAAATTGGAAACGTCCCCAAATACCCTTCAATGTCCGTATCCTCGGATGCAGGAGAATGGTTTACCGTGTAACGGCACTCTGAGCGCAAGAGACTGCGATTATGTATTCAGCCGAGCGTATGACCTCCGGAGGCATCTCGCGTCGGCGCATGAGATTTCTATTGAGAAAGAGGAGGTTGACGCTTGGGTGAAGAAGACTAAGAGGGCCAAGTTGGGTATCTAGTAGAGTTAATAGAATATACGTGTTGGATACACTCATTACTTTACGTTGCACTGTATGATATGGTTCAACTCTAATCAACACGGGTGCTATCACCTCCACGTGTACACGAGAGGATATCTATGTACAAAAGTAAGTTTGTGTGATGTGTTACTGTAGCATCCCGACTGAGTGGCCGGTTTCGGTCCGACTATCCGAACCCTTTTCATGTGATAACTGAGTGGTCTCATTCTCTTCCCCTCTTACCATATTGTAGGTCGACTTGGGTATGGTTCGCGTTCCGTTCATCAGCCGCCTATCTCTTCTGGAGTATTCCGCCCTTGTTCTCGGTTTTCTATTCCTTACTCTCGAAAATCTCCTTCGTCTGGTCATCCTCTTCCTTCCAAAACCTGTCATCAATTGGTTCTACCGACGTTCTCGAGCTCTTTTCAAGTACACAGTTGGGCCGCCCAAAGGCAAGACTCCAGAAAAGAAGGCTTCAGATCGCGTTTTGCACGCCAGAGATTTCTGGGAGCTCTGCGATATATACGGATATACACCGGAGGAACATGTCGTGTTGACAAAGGACGGATACCTACTCGGACTCCACCGTCTGCCTTCGAAAGCGGGAGAGCAAAATACGAGACCAGGAACGAGCACAGGAAAGCCGGTTGTGTATCTTCATCACGGTCTCTTGATGAACAGCGAGATCTGGGTTTGTCTCACTGACGCCGAACGCTGTCTTCCATTCACTCTCGTCGAGAATGGTTATGACGTTTGGCTGGGAAACAATCGGTGAGTATCTCTGTCGCCATACTAGGTCTGTTTCTCATTCAGGTTTAGAGGCAACAAGTACTCCAAGAAATCAATACACCATAATCCGAACTCGACAAAGTTTTGGGACTTCAGGTATGCATCTTATTCTCATACCACTAATCGTGCTTATCGGCTCGCAGTATCGACGACTTCGCTTGGCACGACATTCCTGATTCCATACATTATATTCTGGATATCACCAAGTCCTCAAAGCTTAGTTACATCGGTTTCAGTCAGGGTACCGCACAGGCATTTGCTGCGCTCAGTATACACCCCCAGCTGAACGAAAAAGTCAACGTCTTCATCGCTCTTGCACCTGCTGTCAGTCCCGCTGGCCTTGCACAACCTATCGTTGACGGTCTCATGAAAGCTTCGTATGTCAGAATTCACGCACGACATCTTATCTTGTTAACGTTTATGCAGGCCAACCCTCGTCTATCTCTTCTTCGGCCGTAAATCTATTCTCTCTTCGGCAACGATGTGGCAAGCTATCCTTTACCCTCCGTTGTTTGCTTCCGTGATCGACACTTCGCTCGTCGTCTTATTCAACTGGCGTAGTCGCAACATTTCGCAGTATCAGAAGATATGCGCTTACGCACATTTGTACTCTTTCGCCTCTGTCAAGGCTGTCGTGCATTGGTTCCAGATTATGCGGACAGGTGCATTCCTGATGTACGATGATGATTTGTCAAGTATGTCTCCGGTGGTGAGGACAACAATGCGCACGTACAGGCCCGCAAGGTTTCCCACGAAGAACATTGTGACTCCCATTGTGCTGTTGTATGGAGACCAGGACAGTTTGGTTGATATTGAAGTCATGGTGGAACAGCTACCGAAGCATGTCGTTGTTAAGAAGTTGGAAGGATATGAACACTTGGACATCTTATGGGGAAAGAATGTACATAAAGACGTGATTCCCCAGGTGCTGGAGACATTGGAAGCCTACCGGGTTCCGCAGAAGATGGATAGAAACGGGCTTAACGGCGCTTCATACGAATAGATGTATTTTATCAGTTTTCTTTTAGTATCCTTATTCGTGTGCACTGTAATGCCCAACTATTAACGACGTATCATATTTACACAATGCAAGAATCTCAATTTTTACGTGAGTTGGGTGCTGATGAATATTATTGCAAATAAATATATTATCTACTGGCAATGCGCAATAGTCCGAGTCCGGCAACATTGAGCTAAAAGGATTGCAAGAAAATCTAGATGGTATAGAGGTTTCATGCCTGAGGGCTTTTAATCACATTCCAAAGAACTTTGAGGACGAGGCCGAGTTGGAACATATCAGTCGAAGGGGCAAGAAGTACTCTGGAATGCCAAAGAGCTGATCCGGCTTGGGCATCCTATTGTTTTCATCAAACAGCTGCATAAACCAAATACATTGAACTTACATTGAAAGCTACGGCATAGAGCTTCCTCGTATACCAACGCAGCCAGGAGCCTTTGGCTAATGTCTCCCCGGAGACAGGAATCGTCGTTGGGTATGCGTAGTCTAAGAAAATAAGCCAATCATAGGCGGTAATTGATAATGCATGCTTACCACCCGTCTTCGTCGCGTGCCTAATGGCCGGCACATTCAAATTCAATCCGTCAAGAATACAAAGACAGGAACTCACCAAAGGGGTGCGACCTTGGCCGTGTGCATGTCAAAGTACTTCTTAGAGAACCCCTTGGGAATCGCGGTCAGGTTCTGGAGTAAGGTGTTCAGACAAAGGGCACCGAAGAAAGCTTTCGTGCAGCCCTGTCTATTGTGACATTGTCACATTCCGAGTACGAAATTCCGAAGTGAATTGATAGACATACCCATGGATGGGATTAACTCTCATAACGCTATCACCAAGAGCCACCCAATTAGAAGGCAAATTCACCGCCCTCTCGTATCTGATGTAACTTGACCTAGCTGTTATATATGTAGGTACCAAGTTTCTGCTGGAATCGATAGAAAACTTACGAAAACCGAGTCGACTGCATGTCATAGTATCCTCCACTTCCTTCAATGCGTCCAACATATCAAAGAACGTCTGGGGAATCGGCTCTTGGGTGACCAGACTGCGAGCGCAAGCCTTGACCTCCTCGAGGGTTGTCGGAAGCTCGCACTCTCCCCAGGCCAGGAAGGCGACTTGAACTGGACAGTGTCCGTTTGAATGGATCCTGCGTGAGTATCGCATACTTACGGATGTCTCCATCCACGCGCTGAGAATACATGATGCGATGATCCTTGGCAGGGTCTGTGAAGAGGCAGTAAATCACTCCGCATTCATCGTATGGAACCGGAAGCCCTGGTAGTCTCCTCCCAAGTTCAGGAGGGACGCGGAATTGGAGTGTCGAGTAATGTAGTTTTTGATCGTAAGTGATTTTCAGTTTGTCGAGGGGAAGCTGGTTCTTGGAGTATTTGTCAGCAAAACCGTATCCTTCTCGTCCCAGCCATTTGATGCCTGCCATTGCTGGGCCCGTACAATCTGGATAGGTTAACTTTTTTGGATTGTTGTGGTATTGGTCTCACCGACGACGAGCGTGGCGGGTATGTTCATGGTGCCTTCGGGTGTTCGTACTGTTACTGATTCGAGGAATTGAGGGTCTACTCCATCTCGAGAGGTGCCGGTGACCGTGCCCTTGATCTGACGAATGTTCTTGTAGTTGCCGCCGAGAACAAGACGCCGTATGAGTGTTTCGAGTCCAGGACGTCCGGCGTATGTGGTCTTGGGAAGTGAACCGCCATACTCTGCTTTCGGGGACTGGATACGTTTACCGGACACGAAAGTGTGAGCTTCATTGGGGCCAATCCTGGATGTAAAATAGTCAACCATGTAGATGCGGGCAGACTGAAGGACATTCTTGCCTTATCCCGCAAGCTTTACATTCTTCATCAAGGTTGGGGAATAGTTTGGATAGGACAACGAATCCCATCGCCAGCAGGACTACAGGATAAATGTTACTCTTGAGATGAGAGAGCACAAGGCGATCTGATCCTACTGTGCAAAGAATTGTACTGCATGATTCGAGAACGTTTGTCTTCTTTCCTTGGATCAGCGTGCTGAGGATGGGATCGTTCAACCATGCCTCTGGCTCGACAATAACGACTTGTTCAAAGTGGTCGTGGCATACGCGCGCCGTAATAAGACCCCTGACACTGAAAAAAAACCAAATGTCAACTTCGCAGAGGCATTTCGAGTCGTTGTGTACCTTCCACCACAGATAACAGCGGTGTCCTTGATTTTTCCTCCTGCGTGTCTGACGCCCAAGTTATCGGCATCCAAAAGGCATGTTTGCTCTCGAAGCACTTTGCGTCGAAAGGCGCGCCCGATAGACAGAGCAACAAAGTATACACCAAACGCAATTACGGGAAACCAGAGGAATTCCATAAGCAGAACAAGGATGCATTCTAAGGTAAGAAGCAGGCTAATTTATACATTTGATGCTCGTCGCCACCTCGGCGAAGAGAAAGTCGGCAGAATACTTTCCGGCAACCGGTGATGTGAAGGCCACCCTGAGGTCGAGTTTACAACCAAAGTTGGCGATACGATATCCGGGCAACCGTACTAACGCTAAGTCAGTAGTAATCACAGCTAGCGTGAAGTAGTCCGTGGGCTGATTGAAGAAGGTTCTAGAGCTGCTACGGAGGCTGCCAAGTCACAGTTCAGGGTGAACCAGGGCGAAAAGAGAAACGCAAATCGTCAGCCAGACACAGAGCCCCCATAGTAGTATCTTTGATCAGTTTGTAGTACTTGTTGGTCCAAGGAGGTTGCAGCGTTCGAATGTGCAAGAATCGCGAGTGACCATATTCGGCGCGACCCGGCCCGGTAGCCGTGTTCTCTTTCTGCACCATCATGGCCCTCAGCCTGAGCAGAGCTTGCTTCCGAACCCGCCTCCACCGCGCCTTTGCCACAAACTTCCCACGGCCACCGCCGCCACCCACAGAACCTCCCCATGTCGAAATGTTCTCCGACACCTCCCGCCCGCGTCCTTTCCGCGAACTTCCGCGCATAAAGGTATGCAAAATCAATCATCCTACGATACCTCTCTTGATGATCTATGCAGAGACGCTGGCCTGCTATTCTGGCACTAAGCGTGGTCGGTGTCGCGGCATGGGGCGTCTTTTATAGTTACGCGACGAACCAGCAAAAGATCTCGAGCTCGGTGTTTAAGCAGGTCTTGCGGACAGCTAGGGAGGACGAGGGCTTACGGAACGTCCTGGGGGAAGCATTGAGGCCCCAACCAGAATGGTGGCTCAATGGGGAACCGAGGGTTCTTGGTGCAGTGAGTCTGGATCCTAGTTTGTTGAAAGATAAAGCTTCATTGAGACTTGCAGATCAATATCTTACAGGGACATGTAGATCTGAGTTTCAGGCTTCGGGGGTCAAAAGGTGTGTTGTCTTTCTCCCTTGCTTTTTGTCTCGCTTCATTGCTTGTCCAGGTTCTGGTACCGTCTATTTCACCAGTGTTAGGAGAGAAAAGGGTGTCCCATACGAAATCTGTGCGTTCTTATCTTGTCTTTGCTTTCGTCACTCTTACGTTCACCACGAAAGTGCGATTCAAAGTCATAGCCGACGATGGAACCGTCGTCAACGTCGACTCCAGCAAGGTCTAAAACCTATAATAAGGTGCTTTTTTACTTTCCCCTTGGTCGCCCTTTGCTGACGGCCTTATAGACGCGTACAATATCTGTCCTCGTATAATGCCAAAATTTAAAAACTTTTAAACACAAGTTTCTCTACCGGACAGTAGTCCGCTATACTCAATTATTTCAGTCACTAAGCTGTGTTCTGTCTTAACAAAATCAGCCGGGAGTATCAACATCTCAACGTGCGCTAATGGTGGAATGCGAAGATTACTATGCCTCCCCAAAAACGACACCGTTAGTGTGTAGGAGGTTACAGCATTCTGCGGGGGCTGAGGAGAAAAACAATGAAAAGTTACTAGTGTAGGATCGTCAATCGATACTGATTATTGATGGGCGGTTAAGATGGTATGAATTTCATTGCGTGAACTTTACTCTATGTTAATATGAATCACTAATGCCTGTTCAACGCGTAGTGAATCTTCAACACGAGCCTGCACTCTTTGAACACTCTGTTCTCGCTATCTTCAAGGCCACCTTGTTGCTATGGATTCTGCTGCGCGCTTGATGTGCTTCAGAAGTGTCAGCTACAAGAGGGCCATGCATCTCTTTCGAGCTTGAGTGGTAAGAGGATGTTCTGTCTCGATCATGCTGCGGTTGAACTCAAACGATCACAGATACTGGAGGATCCTACTTGACCGATATCACCACTGTGTTCCATGATGAGAACCTGTCTTTTGGACAGCTTCCTGAACTGAGCACTCCGACGTTGTACCTTGTTGTCAGTGCTTCTCCGAAGTCCACCGACGCCGAGATGCGTATCCTCTTCTGTTATTTTCCCGGCTCGAAACACTAAGGAGAAGAGGCGATCTACATGTTGCACATATATCGTTTTGGTGCCAAGATACACCCTCCCAGCGCTCTCAGTAGCATGCACGAGATCTAGGGATGTACGTGGTCTAACATTCTCACTCAACGTGGTTTAAAAGTCTATAACTTAGTTACTGCCGTATAATCTTTTCTCTAATCAGGCACCTCTTCAAAGACGTACGCCACTACATACTTCAAATTCTTCCTTCCTTGGAACCAAGGTCTGCGGCGTTGATGCTAATTTATGCGAGTGAATTTCGGTCCCCACGTTGCCTTACATATTGACTTTCCAGGTGTCCACAAGCGAACGCCGGAGGAAATCTATGTCTTGGGACATCCACGGTGCCTGTTTACAATTGTGCGTTTTGGTTTCGGTGGAAGTACACAGTTACTCTCACTTCCACGCGCCTCGTCCGGCTCACCGCATTATACAAGCCACGAACAAGTGTCTAGATCCGCTCTACTGCAAAGTCAGGTACCCGTTGTTATTCACTATCATCGGCGATCACGACTGGCCAGCCTGTTCATTGAGACACGAAACCCGTTTGATGTACACAGAAGTGTGAATGGTCAGAATGTCCTGCGATAAATGGAACTCGATGTCCGCTTGGGGCCACCTAATTGCGAAACCCGTCCGATTAGTCGCGTTGATTTTAATTACGCGTCCACATGAAGGCGAATGCTGCGAACGTAATGCGGTTACTGTGTTGTCATTCAGACGCGAGCTTTGTCCTTTTCGAATGTGATACGGTTGCGGTTTGACTGTATCTGCAAAACGTTCAAGTTGTCCGAGTATGATTCGGCGTTCGCGGAGTTGAATTATGTCCCCTCGTTTTATATAGCACACCTTTGAATTGAACTAGTTCGCGTGTAGACGGAAGTATAGTTTTGTGAAGCAATATCTCTACGGGAAGCTTGCGGGAAGCCGAAGGAACTTTGGTAAATACATACTACGTGATCTTAGTCAGCAGTTCGGACCGTTCTGCAGGCCGTCATCACCGTGTGGTCGTTGCCTTTACTCCGCGACAAGAAATTGAACTGAACATCGAACAATGCGATACCGTCGAGCTCGAACGAACCACTGATCTTTCGAGAACAACTCCTCCGTTTACTGCCCCAGCTCGGATCGGAGAAACCTCCCTCCGCCGCCATGAATGTCCGCGATTTGATCCACGACTCAGGTCCTTACCAGCCTTATCCACGTACTAGATCTGCTACGGACGAATCAGAGACAAGACCAGTCAGCCTTTTTCTTCTTCCTTCTCTTCATTGCTCATCGCTTCAAGGTCACGTCGCCGTTAGATGCAATGTTGTCTCTGGGCCCTTCACGCGCTTCGTCGCCGTCCACGCCCCCAGTGCAGAATTACTCGAGAAAAGCGAGTATAGTGCTCATTGGCATGAGGGGAGGTGCGTATACTGCCATTTTCAGCTCTAACTCTATCTCAAAGTCGGTCAGTGGGAAAGACTACTCTAGGGACTATTGCCGCCAAGGCTCTTGCTTGGGAACTTCTAGACACGGACACCATCTTTGAAAAACAAAATATGCCAATTGCCCAATACATACCAACATATGGCTGGGACGCTTTTCGCAAGGCCGAGTCGAATATCCTTGCCGAAATCCTGCGCCAGCATCCTGTGGGCAAGGTCATCGCTTGTGGTGGTGGTGTCGTTGAGCTAGAGGCCAATCGCGTGATGCTCCAAAAATTCAGGCAAACAGGACCTGTCATACACGTTTTGCGCGAGAAGGAAGCTGTGCTCAGCTACCTCCGTCAATCCACCCATTTTCCTCCATACATTCACGAAACCTCGAGAGAGGCCTGGGACCGGAGGGAAAAGTACTTTCGCCAATGTTGCTCTTTCGAGTTTGTCTCACTTACTGTCCCCATCCCCCCGGCTCCCGAGGGACCGAAAGAGACGGTGACACCTGACCAGACTTTTGCGCTCAAACCTGTGGAAGAAGAGTTTTTCCGACTCTTGCGGTTTATCCATGGTGTGGATTGTAATAAGGTCCCTTTGACACCTCGTGGTCGCCGCTCATACTTCCTCGCTCTCACATATGAAGACATCAGGGATGCGATTAACGATCTGGAGGAGATCTCTTTGGGCATAGACTTATGGGAAGTCCGCGCCGACCTTCTTCTATCGCAGGACCCTACCTTTATTGCATATCAAATTGCAACTCTCCGCCGACATTCTCCACTTCCCATTCTGTTCACACTCCGTACCCTCAAGCAGGGCGGCAAATACCCTGACATCGGTACGAAGGATACCCCTCAAAATCATTTGAACATTCTCTTCCATGCGCTCACTCTTGGTGTCGAGTATATAGACTTGGAGATGGTTCTCCCAGACTCTATATTTTCTCACATTGTGGAGCATAAGGGAAATAGCAGTGTTCTTGTCTCGTATCAAGATTGGAAAGGCAGCCTCGTCTGGACTAGTCCGCAGACACGGCAACTGTACGATAGAATGGTTTCTAGGGGTGCGGATATCGTTAAAATCGCGAGCACAGCGAAGGTCTTTGAGGACAACATGAGTCTGAGGAAGTTTGCAGCCACCGTTGAGAGAAATCCTATCCCGTTACTCGCCGTCAACATGGGGCCTGAAGTAAGTTTTCCATCGGGTTATCAAAAGTATGGAAATAATTCCTATCTGCTAGGGCAAGATATCCCGAGTACTCAATACCGTCTTTTCTCCGATGTCACATCCTCTGCTTCCTCGAGCGGCGGCGCCTGGCCAAATCTCATTTATAGACGCGCAATCTCTTCTACATCTGATTGGACTGCTACCGCAGAAGAAGTACTACGTTTTTGGTTGTCCTATTGCCCATTCTATGTCACCCACCATACACAATACCGCCTTTTCTACACTGGGGCTCCCGCACACGTACGAACTAAAAGAAACAACTTCGACGAAAGAACTCAAAGAGATCATGGACTCGACTAGCTTTGGCGGTGCAAGTGTAACCATACCTTTCAAAGTCGAGATTATGCCTTACTTGCAACATATATCGCGGCATGCAAGGATCATCGGAGCCGTCAACACCATCACACCCCTCGCACCCGGCGTCTTTAGTGGTGACAATACAGACTGGCGAGCAATTAAAATATGCCTCGTCCGCTCACTCACTCCCGCAAACGTTGTCACCTCAAGCACCACTGCCCTCGTCCTCGGCGCTGGCGGTACGTCTCGGGCAGCCCTCTACGCGCTCTACCAAATAGGCGTTATCAACATCTTCATCTACAACCGCACACGACCCCGAGCCGAGTTGCTCGCGGAAGAGTTCTGCAAGCTCGATCCGCTGATGAAGATCAAGGTGCTGGATAGGTTGGACGTTCCCCTCCCGATCCACCCGTTACCGACGATGATCGTGTCTACGATTCCGGCGACGTCCATGAGAGATACGGAGCTTATTGATGTGGGGCTTAGGGAGGAGCATTTGAGTGATCTTGGTGGGGTGGCGATTGAGTTGGCATATGAGAGGAGGATTACTAAGTTGCTAGCGCTGGCGCAGGAGAAGAGGGATAAAGGGATTGCATGGGCAGTTGTGGAGGGTATTGAGCTGCTCTTGGAGCAGGGCTATGAACAAGTGAAAATATGGACTGGGAGACGGGCGCCGAGGACGAAGGTGAAACAGAAGGTGATGGAGGAGTATGAAAAGGGGAAACGTACTATGTCGTGATATATGGGTACGCATTTCTCGCCTGTTATACCTTTTTTACCTTTTTGTAGCATTCCCTGGGGATTGTTCGCACACTCGTAGCTTCGCCTTGTAACTGACTCTCCATCTGTACTAGTACTAACATTGCATTGATATATTATAACATGTGCCGATAAAGTTGTAGGTAGATGTACAAGGAGATATAGTCCTATAAAATAATGTACAATCCCGTAGTAACTAAATTTCGGTCCTATACCTCCGATGACTCCCCAACGCGAGGTCGAGCCGACTTACAAGAATGGGACAAGTACCCAAACGAGAACCGTATCGCATCCACCACCCGTCGAATCACCAGTACACACCAAAACCCCACGAAAGACCGACAAACTGAACGAAGGGCTCTAATCCTCCAGGACAACGGCGGCTCCCTATACTCCGGGCCATACTCATCCACAAAACTCTCCGGAAGTCCCTCCCATCGATCATAATCCTCATAATGCAAGCGATTCGCAGGTGCGAACCCCACCAAATCATCTAATCGCACGTCCATGTCGTGTCCCCGAACAACATCCGGCTTGGAAGACATATCTCGGAAGAATCGAAAGGCCTCGGGGGCGGTGAAGCGTTTCTGTTTGTCCCGGGTGATCATGCGATCGAAGAGGGGCGCGAGCAGTGGGAGGGCCGGAGTAAGGTGCTGAGGGGAAGGTAGGTTTAATGATGCACGATATTTGGGGGAGGGGGAGATATCTCACCTGGAATTGGGCACAGAGCATATATCCCATGGCTTCTACGTCGTATGCGAAGGGGTCGTACCGGTACTCGCCTTGGGATAAATCCCGTTGAACAGAACTTTGTTGAGCCATGCGGCGGGGAAGCAAACGGTTAGATGAATCCGGGTCGAACTGTATGGCAAGGTCGAAATCCACCAGAGCTGGTACGAGCTTCCCAGCGTGCTGGAGGTCCCGCCGAGCCTCGTTCATGGCTGGCAGTTTCGGGTTTATGACGTGATTGGTGACGATGCTTTCTAGGTGGAGATTCTGAAACGGTATATGATGAGGGGCTGGTGTAGTAAGGTGGAGGAAGCTACTTACTCGATGAACGATATTGTTCTCATGGAGAAAGGCCAGGCCCTAAGAATGTTATAGCGCCAAAAATACACCGTTGAGAGATAGTATGAGCATACTTTGAGTAGAAAATGTATGAAAGTGAGGTTGCTACGCAGTGTGCATTCCCAAGAAGAGGCACGTCCCCATCTGGCACAGCCAGGAGATGAGATGAGAAGGAGCTAAATTTGCGAAACGTCTAGCAGGCATACCTAGGCATAACCACAAAGCAACATTCGTCTAACTCCAAAAACTCAAGAATCGGTATGATGCCCTCGAAGAAGCTGTTTTCGCCTTGCTTCTGATGCAGATATCGGTAAATATCTAGCTGAGGGCTTCCCGCTCTGACAGCTCGGATAAAAACATGTCGAGCTTGGGAATCCTGGGCGTAGAAAACTCGACCCTGCCGATAAATCATGAGAAGATGCCTATAGAGCTGACAAGGGCTTTACATTGTTTGTATTTGGAACGCCGAATAGGTAATCCCCTTTCGCTCTGGGGCCACTAGTATATGCGTACGGAAACGGCTCGTCGCAAGACAGACCCACTTGATCGAAGTCCATAGATGGCACGAGAAACCCGGAAGACGCTCCTTTTACCACCAAAGGATGGTAGAGGAAGTATCCTTTATCTTCGAACCATTGTCGTACGCGTGGGGAAAGCCACCACTCTCTCAAAGAGCCAGGACTATTCTCGAAGAGGTCAGCGCTGATCTACAAACTCGTCAGAAACACAAGGATTTAAGTAGAAAACAGAAGGGAGTACCAATGGTGTCTTTAACTCTGATTCTGAAGAAGACATAGCAGAAAACTGGGGGGCTATGCGCAATCCAGTTGCATTTTCAGAGTTATTGAGGAGCGAGGTACCGGAAGGTTTGTCCAGGATCGCAGTAGGCACGCTGCGCCGTCGTCACTGCGCTCCGGAAAGATTGGGTCTACTCCCTCAGAAGGTATGGCGAGACCAGAGTCAAGCATGGATTATTACGACGTTGTCGTCCCAGTTGCAATAAGCTTTAATCCGTATGGGACTGCTGTAACAGTGAAGCAAATCGAGTGGGAATCTCAATCCACGAAACATTTCAGCCTGGTCGCAAAAGTATATAAATGAGGTAGTAAGCCTACCATTTCAAATCCCGTCGAAAGGAATGGTACCTCACACAGCATACTCGGGTGCCGGACCAGAGTTGGTGTTCTGCGCGTCTGGTTTAGGCTGCTTTCTTCAAGTTTGGCCTGAAAGGTTGAGGAACATTTGTCCAAGCAGGGCCTCGCTTGTTAGAATGGTGTGCCTTTCGTTTGAAAACATCCAGGTCTCAGTCTTCAAATCGGCAGGTGTTATGTCCAGCGTTTCGATGAGTTCTGAACCCCAGTGAGGATACCACACTTCACATTTCGTCACGAGACGTTCAGTAGGCGAGCATGCCCTACCGCGATGCGACCGGCCAGAATTATAGGTGCGATTCTCGTTTTAAAAAACTGATACAAATGTCGTAGCAGTTACCAATACCGGCCAATCTGGCAACATGGCTGATCCAACGAATGAACATCGTGATAATACAGAAGGGCAAGAACAAACCTCACTATAGAACCACGCATGGGATTTGAATTCAACTTCTGAACGAGTGCAGGCATGCTTGGGGCTGCTTGAAGTGGCAGTATTAACCATGGTCACCGGATCCAAATTTGGAATGAGAGGACTCGAAACGAGAAGTCGTCATTACGTCACTAATCTCTCCTTTTCCACCATCTTTTGCTCTGACTTTACCCATCCACAATTCTCCCTGCAATATACTACATATGCACAAATGGTAATAAGGAAAGGCACAGCCAGTTCATCAAATATAAGTGGTGGTGCAGGTGCTGTCGACAAGAAAAGCAAAAAGAAGGCACCTGAGCACTCGAAGGCGGAAGGTGGGATGCGACAGCAATTGCCACATCTGCATGTAACGGCACTCCTCGACAATTTCGATACTCCTCAGCACACAACCGAAGATAACGGGACGGTATATTTTATGAACCTGGACCTCGGTCGCAAGATGGCCGAACATGCCGTCGGACCTATGCCGGTCGACGAATTTATCAAGCTCATACCCGAATGTCCTTCTCACCCTGATGCAGTAATGCCGGATAGTCGCGACGCGTTCAGCAAAGTTCCAAAGTGTGAGGGCGAGGATTTCAAGAATAAGTGCTCGCTCTATGACCCAATTGTACGTATCGTCTGCTTTTTCTCCTCCCATGTCTAGTGATCGTTGCACCATAGAATGAGGCTTTCAATTCCACGCGCAAAACCTCGCAAGGCAGGATGATTCGTTGTCCGGGCATTACCTTTTACAACACTTCCGTCCAGCCGGGACCTGGCAAATATCCAACCAAGGTTGATGGTAGCGGATATGCTCAAGAGCACCTCGAGTTCGTGAAAGACGCAGGGACTTCGGTTATTCTTTCTCGTCCGAGCTTCTGGCAGCTTTTCTGGGAGGCCAAAATGACTGACTTTGCTGGTGAAAACGGAGTTCTATTCGAACACATTACCGACGAGAAGAAGGAGCGTGTTATTGCTGATTTTGGTCAGACATCATTCTATGCAGTACAAATGCTGGCGAACCAGTATCGCGATTTTGCTTTTTCAATCTCGATGACCGATGATACTGCACGATTACTCCGATGGGATCGCTCGGGTGTTATCTTCTCTGAGGCTATTCATTATCGCAAGAACCCCAAACCTCTCTGCCAGTTCCTTTGGCGTTTTGGAAATGCCAATTCATTGCAGCGTGGTGCGGACATGTCTGTACAACAGGTCGTTACGGAAGTCGAGGAGGTGCTCTTTCGAGATACTGTGAAGGCGCACGTCAAACTACAGCTCGGGTTGACTGACGAGAAAGAGGTGGATAAAGCGCTAGAAAAGCATTATGAACCTGGTCAGGTCTGTATAGTCGAGGTATTCGAACATCGGGAGGACCAGTCGCTTTCGTCATCGTCGAAATCTCGAAGTCAGGAGCAGGAGCAAGCTCGCGCAGAGACTCGCAAATTCCTGGTGTCTCGACCAGTAACCTCACCATGCTCACTGGCCTCGCGTTCTACTCGTGGGTCCTGGGCTGTCGATCTACAGACCAAAACCATTGTCTTCTTGAAAGACTGTTGGCGTGCCAAGGTCGAAGCGGTAGATATGGAAGGTTTGACGCTCCAGAATCTTCGAGCAAGCGGTGTGGATGTAGGGGTGCCGACGGTTGTTTGCCATGGTGATGTCTTAGTCTATGTCGAGAGCCATGCCAAAATGGCGGGTGGGTGATTTCCATTGATGCAGTATGTCAACTTTTTCTCATCAATTTCAGTTTCCTCAACATTGACATCGAAGTATACTGAGGATAGTTGGAATAAGGCTTCGAGGAGTGTTAGGTCCCGAACCCATTATAGAATGGTTACTGCTGAGGTGGGCTATGCACTGCAGGAGACCTTCGCTGGGACGCGGGAGCTTATCAGTGGCTTGCCAGGATGTGTTCCATGGTCTGTTACCATTTATCTTCTCATTCTTCTCTATAATGAACTTCATTCAGTGTTATACAATGCAATAACACTGGCGAATGTTATGCATCGAGATATCTCATCGACTAATATCATTCTCGTTGCTGACAAGATACACAACTTTGGAAAGCGGGTCGCATATGTAATCGATTGGGAGTTCGCCGTAGCAGCCAGTCGACAGGGAAAACATGAGGACTGGTGGAAAACGGTGCGAAAAAAAGGTTTATACTGTGCGGTATAGCAAACTCATCGTATAACGAATACAGGGCACGGTTCCTTTTATGTGCATTAGCTCTTTACCAAGTATGCCAGGTGTAGAGGGCCATCACACCCACTTCTTCGGTTATGACGTGGAGTCACTCGTCTACGTGGCTCTGTATTGTGGATTATACCGCCTACCGTGGAAAAGCTACTCAGGAGAACCGTCACCAGTTCTTTCTGCAAAACCTCTTTAATTATGACACAGGCATGTGCTTTCAAGTGGCAACTCGTGACACGGAAGAATGATGAGCTTGTGGGCTGTTTTTGAAGGACCGGAGTTCTGCAAGTGGTTCAAGGCGGCTTTGAACCTTATTTCTATGTGGTACCCTACCCCCAAGTCACTTCCTTCTCCTCAAGCTATCCTTACTGAATTTTCGAAAACTGTTGAAGTGAATCCGGCATCTTTGGACGAACGTGATGCTGTCCCTCGCAAAATGCCTATCCGAGGTCTCCCAATAGGAGCTGTTAACTACGATACGCGATCCTCCTTACCGGAAACTCCAGAGACTTCGAAAGAACCATTGCGCAGGTTACGCAACCGTGTAGTCGACTCGTCACCATCTGAAGGAGCACCGAGGCGTGGGAGGATTCTGAGAGGGCGAGGCCAGCCGCAGGGCTCCACTTGTAATACTGTTGGAGGAAACACCTGCAGGAGAAAGCGGCCAGGCGATGAAATAGGAGATGGAGCGGATGATGAGCATCGCAAGAAAAGCAAGAGAAATAGAAAGTCGAACTAGAACAGAGATTACCACCAGCCTTTAGGGTCGTACAAACTCAACAACGGATACAAGAATGAGAAGTTGACAGGAAGTGTTTCTTTATCTTTGAATCACTGACGCACACGTCGGGAGTGTGAGATTTCGAGCTTCTCATAGCACTGACAGTCAGTTGCCGTCGGGTTCTTGTATGGATTCACTTACGTGTTTGCTTATTTCCTCGGGGATTTCTAGTATATAAGGCTTGTTGCCGTCACAGAAGAGGGCCGGCCCCCCTTTCAAGGAGCAATAAGCAGGCGATATATACACAGTCGGTTGTGTTAGGATCATGGGGCCATTCTCAAACGAAGTGAGTGGCAAGAATGGATTACACCTATGGCAAACACAACATAGGGACTAAATACGAAATCTACAGCCAAACGCACCGGGAAATTTTGGTGAAAATATCCTACAAGGCGGAGCATTCTTAGAGAAGTAACTATACAATTGATTTGGTCAAACACTCGTAATTCCATATCGGCAGTAAAAACATATACAGAGAGAACAGTACGTAAATATTAGTTGAGGTCGTTTTTCGTTTTCTCTTTTTTTCTCCTTTTCTGTAGAACGTATATGACTCTGACTCCAAGCAAAAAGTGAAGACTTGAAATCGTAACAAAGAAAAAAGAACATAGAGCAGACAGAAACTGGCAATTGGAGGATATTCACTTCAAAAGGATACTCATCGACTCGGCGCGAGACTGCAAAATATATCAGCTGTGATTATAAATAAAATATCTAGATTTACCTTTATAGGCCCATCCTAGAAAGATCACCCTTCGCCCACTCAGTAAGATTCTCGCGCTTCCGCGTCGCCCTGCGAGACTCTAAGTCGGCCCTGCCAACCGTCGGCATGGTCATTGTGCCCGTTGTGGAAGCATCCAATGCCGTGTCCACAGTAAGATAGTCCTCGCTCATAATCTCCACTTCGCACGGCTTCCTCGTGATAGTATATCCCCCCCAGGAACCAGCATTCCATTCTTCGCCCCACGCATCCAAGATGAAGAACATCGTGTCTCTGAACCGATATTTCCTCTGATAGAACGTCAGCGACGACTTGGGAGGGATGTTCAAGGTTATCGTTTTCTCGACACTCTGCGTCGTCTCGTAAGACGAGAATACCTTCGATGAAGCATCCATCGACATCGACAAGCCCTCGTAAGAAGCTGCGATCCCAACGGAGACGGTAACCTCAGAGCCTTGGGTAACTTTGAGCCCCGTCGTATACTTGAGGGAGTACTGCTGCGTCGCGTTTGTGTTGTTCTCCCAGTACATCTTGTACACCCAAGTAGTGTCGATAAGATAGGTGTCCTTGGCGGCGTAAAATGCCTCATTCGCATAGGAATAATAGATGGTGGTTCGACCAGACTTGACGAGGGCGTCACCATATTTGGGCTTGTAAACGACATGGTCGGAGAACCCGCTCTAGGGCATCCTTTCAATACTGTTGAATACAATGCGAGGTAACGAAACACTAACCATGATGATGAATGAAGAACGGCGAACTGTTTGGTCGAAAGAGATTTGGAGAATAGGTAGCTGACTGAGAGAAGGTCCAGTCGTTGGGTGGTTTATCTCTGCTGCTTAGCTTGTCGCCTTTATACGCCTCATCCATTCATCCTGTCAAGCCGATTGTATAGACGGACCCGGTCCCAATATACAGCAGAAATATGCATAGATCCTGCAACTCAGGAAGCATCGGCATTTTTCAAGTGCCCTTTCTATTAGTACCGTCATTGAGGTAGTAGAACGGCAGTCTGAGACACAATGCTTACGAGCGCGTCAGCTTGTCTTTATCTTCCCCTCGCTCATCGGTCCTACCGACTCATATTTGTAGCTAGTTCTCAGCACGTAGCATTCTGGATCTCTGGTCTACCTTTCAACACCGTCCATTGTGCCTGTTTATCAGTTTATCATTTTAACAAAATGAGAATATAGATACGTTCTTTGACCGGCCGGGTCTTCATCTCTGCGGGTTCTTCATCTCAAACATTCAGTTTTGTGGGTTCTGTGGCGCAAGCATTGAGCTGAACGTGAGTTATGTATCGCAAACGTTGACTTACCAGATCAGGTACTCCTGTTACGTGTCCTAAACCTTGTCTTCGAGCTCTAACGAGTTCTCCATCCTGGCCAATATCGAACGTAACCTCGTACGGGTCCAAGTCCGGATAAAAATGGGTCATTGGTAGCGGACTGACCACATGACTCGTTGCAAAACCCAGTGGTAACACAGTCGCCGTTGCATAAGGGTGCACGATTAGGACACGCTCTCCTTTAGCACCCGGATGCTGCATACTTCCGCCTGATGTTCAGGAGCAACGGTATTGAGGACTGGACTCGTGAAGTCGTGACGGCAATGAGATGGCTCCGGCAACAACAAACATCGGAACCGAGGGAAAGGGTAGGTATACAAACATAATTGAGAAGAGCGAACACAAGAACAACAAGGCCGGGTGGCTCAATGCTCGTCGTTTGACGGTGAGAAGGAAACGGGGTGGCGTAGAATAAGAATACCCGATTCCGTGTGGTCTGTAATAGATGATGGGCATATTCATAATAATTTAATGGGAAATTCAAGGAAGAAACACATCTGTAGAGCACGGGAGGCTTGTTTGAATGTTTTGATGTCCGTCTAGGCAAGGGTTCTAGACCAGAACTCCTGCACAGGCCATTTGAGTGCTCTGATACCCTCGCGTCTGGCGCCCAAAACGCGATTATGCATCACCTCTTTAATTGGCTGAGCACTTACCAGCAGCAGAGCAATCAAGAAGTTGCTCGACATACTTCGTTCTTCCCGCCCTAAGACACCTCCATTGATACCGTGGTGATACGAATCACTTGAACATGCAATCCAATAGGTCTTCTCCACACAGGTGCAGACATAAGACTAATGCACAGCGCGTCCGAGTATAGTTGAGCTTGGGAAACGTTAGTGGAATAGTTATTGTCGCCGAGGTCATGATATGAGGTAACTTCGACCAGAAAATGGTGCTGGGATCCCGCTTCGTCGTACATATCCTGACTGAGTACGAGTATGACACCTATCCCTAGCTTTTGACTGTCACCCGTCAGTGTCGAGCAATAGAAAAGTAGCAACAAGTGCCAGCCTTATCATGAATAACCATAGTCCAATCCAACATTGAACCAAGTCCATGGGGTTTGACCGATCCACAAACGCCTCGAATAAGTACCAAAATTGAGCATTAACCTTCGATACTCGTTCGAGGTGTTTGTGGATCGTAACCGTTCGCTACCAATTGTTTCCTCTCGCTTCGTGCTTGTACGTCTTTTTCCAAATAGTCGGCCCCACCCTGTAGCCCGTTTGTTGCTGCTATGACAGGAGGCATGGTCCAATTATATATTGATGACCATGTTTCCAGATTACTGTCTAATTGCTCAATGATAGGCAAAAGTGCGCGAATTCCTGCGGAGATACCAAGATGGGGTTGGCGTAGTATTGAATATAATTCACGTCGAAGTGCTCTGGAGCTTTACCGGTTTGCCGCCATAACCTTGGATCACCACCAACAAAAGGGTAAGGAACATTAGCGACACGGCATCATAGTGGGAATGAAAAAGCGCGCGCCTATAGCGGAATTCTCCCTGTAGGATCCAACCTTGTTGTGGTTTTCCGAAAAGCGAGGAGAAGGAATTGTTGCTATGAAGTAACCGTCGAAAAGGGTAGTCGTATTTCCAGCACTGTGTTGTTTGTCAACAACAATCCTACGGAGTTAACATGTTTGTGAGGAAACAGAAGATATAGATTCTTGGTGCTCGCAGCAGTTGCGACTTGCGAATGTAAAACAAAAGAATCGAATAAATGGACCAGAGACGCGGTAACGAGCAGGTGAGAGAACTGCCATCGAGACTCGCCTTTTTCCAGGAAGTTGGCGACGACGAGGAAGAAGAGTGCAATCGCTATCCAAATGTCCGCGAACCAGCATAGGAACCACGCTCTTTCATCTCGACGGTGGAATACAGCGCACGACTGCTCCGATAGGACTGCTCTGGGTCGTCTTCCCTGAGACGATATTGAGTACTGGACTCTCGAGAATTCTTGGTGTCTTGGCTTGTATTTTCACCGTGCTCCCTAGCCTCGCGCCCTACTCGCGGGTACCGGGCTGTGCATCTGAAAACCAAAAGGTTGCCTTCCTGAAAGACTCATGGCGACTTCATATCGAAGAGGGGAGTATAGAAGGTCTGATGCTCTGGCAGTATCTTCGAGCAAGCGGTGTGGAGTCAGGAATGCCGACTGTCATTTGCCACGGTGACGTCGGGGCACGAGGTGATAAATCTTGAGAAATTGTCTCATTCTTGTACCAGCCCGGACGTCAAGGTACTCAAGGTCTCTTTGGAATACTGCTCTGGAGACATCCCACATTATGGGCTGTGTCCGTTACAGGTTCGTCACTGGGTATGTGCTGCAGGAGACATTTACTGGGACGCGGGAACTTCTCAAAGGCTGCCAGGATGTTCTATGGTGTCACTGTTGCGTATGTGGGGGAGTGTTCAGAAGTATCTAGGAAAAGTTCTGTGACACTGTTCCAGTGGACACGGTAACTTTGGAAGAACGTAAACGGTGTCTCGCAAGATGCCTGTCCGATATGTTCAAATGGACGAGGATTCTGAGAGGTGATTAGTTCCACGGTGAAATAGAAACAAGATGAAAACACGTAGGATTACCATTGTATAGACATTATTCGTCTACTATTTGTATAGCGCAGCGAAGGCTACGGATGCCCTCAGCCTGGAATTTCTATCGCTGTCACCGACTTCACGCAGCCACCATTGCAACAACTTCCTAGCTTCAGCCTCCTGCACGAAGCCAAGGCCACGCTCGACAACGGCTTCTCTGACTTCGTCGTCAGAGAGTGCCTGTACACCTTCCTTTGTCAGCCAGGCGTCGTCGCTCCCCAAGAAATCCATATGCCAGCCGATGCGAATCCAGGGCCAGAGCTGTATGCCAACGCGGGAGAGTCCGTACAGACTGTACACGGCTCGCCGCCGGTCCCCATCCGTCCAGAACCGGGCGCGCGTCTTAGCTTCCTCCACTAACAAGTCCATATCCACCTCTTCATTGATATCTTCTTTTCTAAACGGGAACGGGCCCTCCTTGAAGGCTTCTAGGTACTCATGCGCCGCCCGGAGCATCGGGAGCGCTTCCCGGGCCTTCTGCACCTTCTTGTCCCGGATTCGTCTCAACTGCCCAGGGAGGATACACGTTGACGGCAGCATCGCAGGCGCATATAGCACCATCACTGGGATCAGCTCCTCCAGGAACACCGCTGTAATTAGGAACGGCACCACCTTCAACACGTCTTTCTTTTGCGTCCTCAGCATCCGCCATTCCCTTCGCGTCGATGGGGTATCTACTAGACTCCTCTGCCGCCGGAATATCTCCCTCCCACCGCGAAAGTAGAACTTGAGGAGCTCCATCGAGGTGTGTACGAGGGTTTTCAGCGGGCCTGAGCCAGCGGGTGGAGGTTGGAGGATTCCGCGCGTTTGGGCATCGGCGATATCGGCTTTAATGAGCTCTGTTATGGGCGGTTTTGGTTTCGGTTGTGTAGTTAGCGAGCGACTGAGAATGAGTGGACGCGCGAGGACGCGACACCGGAGAGGATGGAAGACTTGCATAAGGTTTTTTTGGTCACTGTCACGAGTGTGACGATCGAGTCTGTCAGGCACCCGCCGGAGTGGCTGTCCGCATGCCAGTTTGGACGACGCCGCGAAGATGTATGTCTCGCACAACAGCGATGTCAATGAGCAAGCCATTGCATAGTCGCTCTTCAGCTCCTCGTCCAAAGACCTTGGGTCCATCCGTTACGTGCAGCCATTTGAACGGTCTACCATACTCGCAGCCAAATACGCGTCGCAGAAAGAGCTGGCGGTGGTACTCTGAACACTCCTTCCAGAGCAAATGGCAGTTCTTTCTCCCCACATTTGAAAAAACCACACCGAGGCTGGATCATACAGGAGGTATTCCACTGTAGGCGGGCCATTTTTCATCGCACCGTGATATCACCTCTGACGTTCCTCAAATTGCCCTCTGGTTTAGGTGATCCAAGACTATTATTGATCATGGCGAAACAGTAAAGCTCAACAGCACCTCGACGTGCACCTGCATTCGATACTCTATTGAACCCCATCTTGGTATCCCCAAAGAATTCGCGCTCTGTCACTTCTCATTGGAGGCAGTAATCCGGAGCATTGTCTTCAGTGTATAATTGACCCTTGCCTTCCTTTGTGGCGGCAACAAAACGGATTACAGGGTGGGGCCAACTATGTGGAAAAGACGTATAAGCACGTAGCGAAACAATTGGTGGCGAACACTTACGGTCCATGATCACTTCGAACAAGTACCGACGTTTAGCGGTAAACTTCGGTACTTTTTCACGGCGCGTGTGGATCAAATGCCTTAGACTTGCTTCATTATTGTATTAAATTGCGATTATTCGCATTGAGGTCAGCACCCATATCTACTTCGATTTTGTTCGATACTGACAGGTAACAGCCGAAAGCCTGAGCTGGTTGCCGTCCTCGTACAAAGTTGAGATATCTACGATGAAGCAGAGTCCAAATAATTGGTCCTTGACACGATTCTCTGGTCGAATTTACCTCATGCCACGACCTCGGTGACAATAACTATTCCATTAACTTTCCTCAACCTCAATTATGCTCGGATATGCTGCGCATTAATCTACTGTGCCTGTGCGGAGGAAACCTAACGGATTGCATGTTCAGGTGATTCGTCCACCGCAGTATAAACGAAGGTGTCATAGGGCGGGAAGAACGAAGTATGTCAAACAACTTCTTGGTTGCTCTGCTGCTGAAAAGGCGATGCGTAAAGTCGACTAATCATAGCACCTAGTGGCTGGTGCAAGGGTTCTGGTCTTTGCCTGGACAGCCATTCAAACGAGCTTCTCGTATTCTACAGGAAGTGTTTCGTCCTTGAATTCCCCATTGAATACGCCCATCATCTATTACAAATCACACGAACTCTCCGTTCGTTCTTATTCTACGCCACCGCCTGATTCCTTCTCACTGTCAAGGGATGAGTAGTGAGCTACCCGGGCCTGTTCTTATGTCTCGTTCATCGTTTGTATATCCTCCCTCTCGGTCCCGCTGTTTGTTGTCACCGGAGCCACCGCATGCCGTCACGACTTCACGAGCCCAATTTTGAATACCGCTACTCCTGAAAATCCGGCAAAAGCTGTTCAACGTCTGAGTTCTAGGGAGACTGTCCTAACTGCGTGACGGAGACTGTATTGCCACTGTGTCTTGTGGCAAATGATGGTGGCCAGTCCGGTACCAATGACCCATTTTTGTCCGGACTTGGATCCGTACGACGACGTTACGTTCGATATTGGCCAGGACGGAACATGCATTTCAGCTTGAAGCCAAAGTTTGGGACACATAACGAGGGTGCCTGATCTGGTAAGTCAACATTTGCGATACATAACTCATGATAGCCCAATGTTTGCGCCCCAGAACCCACACGAAACTGAATGTGAAGACGGCAGTCAAAGAACGTATCTTTGTTCTCATTTGTCGAGATGCACAACTGATAAAGTGAGTGGCATTGGAAGATAGACCAGATATCTGGGATGCAACGTACTGAGAACTACTAAGGCTACAAAATATGAGTCGGGAGGACCAAGAAGCGAAGAGAGAAGGCAGGTTGACCGCTGGTAAGCCTTGTGTATCAGACCGCAGTTCTACTTCCTCAGTGACACCACTAATAGAAAGGGCGTTTGAAAAATGCCGATGCTTCCTGAGTTGTAGGGATCTATGCATATTTCAGCCATATACTGCAACCGAGTCTGCCTATACAGTCGTCCTGACAGGATGAATGTATGAGACGTATAAAAGCGACAAGCTGAGGAGCAAGGATACAACCACCCAACTGTTGGAGCTTCTCTCAGTCAGTCGCCCATTCTTCTCATCTCTTTCAACCAAGCCATTTTTCATTCATCATCATGGTCGGTGTTTCATTACCTCATATCGTTTTAAAAAGCGTTGAAATGATCCTCTAGAGCCAAAAGTTCGCCGATTATGTCGTTTACAAGGTCACCAGCGGTGACGCTCTGGTCAAGTCTGGTTGGATCACTATTTATGAGCATCCCGCCGACCAGACGACCTTCTACGCCTGCAATGACTCTTATCTTATCGATACCACTTGGATCTATAAGATGTCCTGGGAGAATACCACCGACACAGAGCAAACCTACACCCTCGACTATGTGACGGGCCCCAAAGAAGCCGAAGCCGCTGATGTTCCGAAATCTGTTGGAATTGCGGCTTTCTACCAGGGCTTGTCGATCACCATGGATATTCTCTGACTCCGAGACGACGGAGAGTGTCACGAAAACGACTTCGTTGACTGTCCCTGCAAATTCGACGTTGACGTTCTATCAGAAGAAATATCGGTTCAGAGACTCAATGTTCTTCGTCTTGGATACGTCGGGCCAGGAGTACAATGTTGGATCTCCGGACGGAAGTGATGTCCTAAAGGATGAGCGTGAAGTGGAGATTATGAGCGAGGACTATCTGATTGTTGGGGCGACATTGAGTCGTTCCACAGCCGGTACAATGGACGTGCCATCAGTTGTGAGGGCTGATGTCGAGGATGGCAGGGAGAAGCAGGACCCTAAGGATCTCCCTGAGATGGTGAAGGACGTACTTGTTAAGATGGGTTTGAAGGTAATCCGGATATTTTATTCACAATCATGGCTGATATATTTGCAGCTTGACGCCGAGCCTGCGAATATTCCTGCCCAGTGAACATCTTTCAATATCCTGTTTGATTGTCTTTTTATGTGTCTCTGTCCCTTGTTACGCTTTCAGGCCTTCATATGCTTTCAGTTTTTGCACGTTGGAATCATTTACCTTGTACAGATCGTTTTTCTCAGAAATAAACAGCCCAAATAACTTTTACCTACCATGTTATTTTTCCTCTGTATGTTTTTTTGCCGCCAATATGAAAAGGTTTGATTTCAGCATCAGTTTTTAGCCCTCGTTTTGAGTGATGTAAAACGAAAAATTATCTCCATTCCATTATTCTATAGGGGGAAAAGTTTTTCGTACCGTTTTTCAGACGACCTTTTCAGAACTGACAAAGGCCTCGCTAAAACAAAACCTTTTAAGGTTTCTTTTTTTACGATCTAAAAAGACTCGGCCTCCGCTGTGAATGATAAATCACCTGGCGGGACATGAGGAACACGGGACATTTCTAAGGGCTCTGGATCATGAACTTGATGCTCAAACAAGGGACTTGACATTTTTCATGTACCCTACAAACATGGTTGAATTATAGGTGCCCAGAGTTGCTTGGTACCACCGCGCTGTCATCCTGGTTCTCTCCTGCCTTGGAAGTTGGTTCCTTGGTCCGCCCTACTTACGTTTCATTTGCAGTACGTCTGACTGAGATATCTTGTCCATCTTTCACCATCTTCCTTTCCCCCAGTCACTCACTGTACCTGCCTATTAAAGTTTAGCAATTGAAAACAAACAGAGGGATACTTAGGTGCTTTCTTTGTTCTCGTGCCGGTTCTTCAATCCCAAGCGTTGAGTTTTATATGGGGTTCTATATCGTAAACATTCATTTTTGTGGCGGGTTCCACATCGGAAACATTGAGCAGTGCCAGGTCAGGCATTCCTGTTACGTGCTTGGCCTTTGGCTCAACCATCTTCCATCTCCGGAATCGAACTGATTGGGGCATTGGTCACGGACTTACCACCGCTACTTGCTGCAGGACCCAATGGCAACACGGTCACCATCTCGTACTGAGGGCACACGATCAGGATAGTCTCCTCCGGTACTCAGACATTGGATGACTTTCACGTGGTTTTCAGGAGCTGCGGTATTTTAGGTTGGGGTTCCTGAAGTTGTGACAATATGAGATGGCTTCAGAATGGAACGAAAGGGTATACAAATGGGTCCGAGAAGAGTGAGGTATTGTAACAAGTTGTTCGAGTCATCCCTTATCGTGGCTGATATATTTTGCAGTGCTATGTCGAGCGATGATTATGCCTTTCAAACAAAGACGTTCCAATTGCCTGTTTCTGCTTGCTATCTTTTCCTTTTTCGTTTGTTACGAATTCAGGCCTGCGTGCCAGAGTCACTTATGCTTCCACAGAAACACCAAAAAAAAATGAAAAGAAGATCCTAAATAACGTTGACGTACAGTTATGTCTTTCTCTGTATACTAATTTTTACTGCAAATACAAAATTACGAATGTTTTAACCAAATTGATAGTGTAGTTACTTTTCCGAGCATTGTAGGATGTTTTACCGATTTTCCCTATGCATTTGCTTTGAAGCCGAGGTTGTTCAGCGCGGATGATGTGTCTCCAGGAAGAAGACGAGATATATATTGCCGTCGAGGAATAGAGCATCGTCGTCAAGTTTCCAGTCCAATGATAAGACTACAACTTTACATTTCTGGGCAAAGAGACGTGGATCCTTGCAAAGTGGACTTGAAAGTGATTGTAGAGCAAGATGATACACGTCGTCCCTTTCTCGTGTTGAAGGAATGCCATTCTAGAGTCTGGGTATAGCTTGGATGATCGGAGGCTTGAAGAGAGCAATAGACGGCATCAAGACCGAGCAGTTCATCGACGTACAGGTGGGTGGAAGCGGGAAATCTACCCCTCCAAGTCTGAGTGGGTGTTGTTCGACTCAGTAAGAGCCTTGATTTACGCGTACGCGATCCTCATAGTTCAAGCCGGACTAGGACCTGTTTTCCTCACCCGTATGTGTGCAAGTCTTTGTTTTTGGGCGACCCTTTCGCTTCGTTTAGTACATCCCGTGAAGAAAGTGTGCCTGCTAGTAATCCTGCGATAAACTTTCAAGATAACACCAAGGTTCCTTTCTGATCTCTGGATGAACTTGATTAAAGAATTTCACAGCAAAGAGAGCCTCAGCTTCACTTGAATATTCGTCGATGACCCGATCTACAACTGCATTCACCACATTCTGGAAGGACGCATTTTCTGAAGGAGCTGGTAGCATCCAGTCGTTGTCGATAGTAACTTTCGTGGCTGGGACACAACGGGGAGTGAACACGAAACTGACCACATGGCTCAGGCTCGAAATCTCCTCGTAAACCTTGGTGTAGAGGTTACAGACCTCACACATCTGCTTACTCGATCTAATAGTGTTCCCAATCACCGATATATCAGACTCGTGTAGGAAATTCATGATCTGGATCTCTGGATGCGGACGAAGAATCCGAGGTTTTCCCTCCTTCCAAGCAGAGTCCACAAGCACCATACTTCTTCTAAACCACATATCGAGCTCATCATCTGAAAACTTAACTGACTGACAGTGGAGAATAGAGGCGAGGGTCTCGCATAGGCTAGTTGGGATGGTAACTGTCTTTGGCATCATCCTTCCCACCCATATGGTGCTGCAGAACGAGCTACCGTAACGCGTTTCACTGAAGGCAGACCGACAATACTTCATCCAGGGACCAGCAAAATACAATGCCCCAGAGTAGTAGAACTGTACCCTCCAAAGACGACGGGCCGTCTGACGAAAGAAGTAGGACGCCTCTGCTTCGGGGAAATCGCGATAGCACCCGTCTCGGAAGAAGCTTGATGTGAAGAGCGCGCGGGATAGGCTGGTGATGCGTATAAAGTATTCTAATCGGCTTTGCGTAGCATAGTCTTCGTCGAGAATAACCTCGAAGAGTTTTCTGAACATTGTGTGGTTATCCCCGTCCGTGTAATGGGGAGAGAGGGCGGTAATGTCTGCGGACCTCTCTCTGCCCCTCTTCCTCGTTGCACGCCAGGACACCCAGGCACGAACAAGGCTATCCAACTCTTCAAACCCTCTGTTCGCGAGGAACCTTTCTCTCAGCATGGCGATTTTCTTGAGGAACCGCTTCCAAACCCGATCGAGGATGCAGTCCATGACTTTTCTCGTTTCCTGGAATATGTCCACCTGCTGTCCGGGTGTGTGATTCTGAGCGTCAAAGATCTCACGAAGAAGAGCAAGGAATTGTTCAGAATATTCATGATCTGTCTGGTCGGGCACGCCACGGCTCGTTGCAGTGTAGAGCGTATAGGATCCCATTGTAAGAGAGGCGGCGACTGACACCTTATCACAGTCAGAGTCACCGTCACGGACGAAGCATCGAGAGATCCAGTTCAAGAATAACAAGGCCTCTGTTGATTGCTCATCGATAATGTAATCGTTTGTCCGCAATAAGGTCTTAACATTGCGTCTCCCTCGCGGTGTGAGGTTGAGGGATGTCAAAAGACGGAGCTGAGGATCCAGGAACTGGCAGAAAGAGTTGTGAGTTGACCTTGAGGGGAACGAGAGCATGAACCTCCGCCATTTCTGTTTGTGTTTACGTAGTGATAGTCGAATGAAGCGACTTTTAACTTTCGAAGATGGTGGTTCACTGGAGTCGGGGTTTGTCCTAATCGGTCAATTCAGGGCCGGCTCTGATTTCAAATGTCATGTATTTGGCATTACCGTACAACTCGCACACTCGCACAGAGGGTATTTGCGTGTGTTCGCCATGGCGGCACGGAAACTTCAAAGCATCCTTTCCATTCCCTAGTCCGAGTTCGGGCAGGTGGGTGTTAGTTCACGCGTACACGATCCTCATAGTTTGAGCCTGACGAACAGGACTCGGACCTATTTCTCTCACCCCGGGCCATGTGTAGAAGACTTGCTCCGAGTCGTCTTTATTTTGGGCGTGTACTCTGAGTAAAACCTCCAAGTAGTAACCGAATGCTATCAAAAAAGCGGGGCAGAAACGCGAAGTCAAGGGATCGCGCCAGAAAAGTATATGTTCTTTTCCTTCTAAGCGCCTCCGACTCTCGAGCGAGCATATAGGGGATGGGAGGGGGAGAGTTCAATGTTCAGCGCGGATAAGAGACGGGACGGCCTGGGGATGTAAGTAGTATGGCTCGTCGAGGAATATAGGACGAGTTTTCGGATGAGAAGGCGACGACTCGAAATAGCACATTAGAGGCAAAGTGAACGTGCTCCGTTCCCTTCCCGTGTTGAGAGGATACGAGTGCAGAGCCCATGTGTAGGTTTGAATGACTGGCGCGTACGGAGGCTCGAAAGCGTGCATAACGGGAATTCTACCCCTCCCGTGCCTGAGTCCGAGCTCGAGCAGTAGGTGTTGTTGGAGCCTTGGTTTATGCGTACGCTATCTTCATGACGAATAGGACTCGGACTTGTTTTGTGTGCAAGTCTTTACTTTTCGCTATGGAGAGGGCATGGAAGAGGTCGGAAAATAAGCGCCGCGAGACCAGAGTACCTAAAGACGGTGAATAAAAAGATCTTGGAGATCTCCGGGCTGTACGCGTGCCAAAATGGGATATTTAACGCGAAGCAGAGCCTGCGGGAAGGGATAGATCGCGCTGTGAGTTACCGAGTGACGCCCAAAAGCTGGCTGGTGGGAGAATATGTGAGACGTTTCAGCGGGAACTGGGTAGATGATACACCCGGGCTGAGTGGAATCGTGAGTACGCAAAGATGATGATCTCGCCTATTATGGCAAGTTTAAAGATTAGCGCGCACCCAGCTGACTAATCCAAATTTCTGACTCCTTTAAATCTCGGTGGTACTGAGCCCTTTGCTGGCAATGTCATCCTCGTCTCCTACCCTCCCACCTGCCCTCTCCCGCCCCCTCGACGTCCTCCTCATCGACAACTTTGACTCCTTCACCTGGAACCTCTACCAACAACTATGCCTCCTCGGCGCAGACGTGACTGTGATACGAAACGACGCCATCTCCCCCGAGGTGTTCCCCGAGCTCAAGCTCAACTCGCTGATCATCTCCCCCGGTCCCGGGCACCCCAAGACGGATTCTGGAATCTCGCGTGCTGCGATTGAGTTTTTCAAGGGGAGGGTGCCGGTGTTTGGGGTGTGTATGGGGTTGGAGTGTTTGGTGGATTTGTTTGGCGGGGAGATTGCGTGCGTGGGATATCTATCTATCTTATTGGATTCCTTCTAATTTAGCTATAGTTACGCTGGGGAGATCATGCACGGTAAAGTATCCCGGATCCTGCACGACGAGCGAGGATGCTTCAAAGGGATCGCACAGGGGATCAAATCAACGCGGTACCACTCCCTCAGCGCCGCACATACCACTTTGCCTGCGGAACTGGCTATCACCGCCACCACGGACGACTCTGGTGTGATCATGGGCGTGCGGCACCGTCAATACACGATCGAAGCCGTCCAGTACCACCCGGAAAGCATTCTCAGCGAAGGCGGGGACGCCCTCATGCGCAACTTTCTCGCTCTACGCGGTGGGACCTGGGAGGAGAACCCAGAGAGTCGGGTGCTGGACTCGACGCTGCCGCCGTTCGAGGTCAAAGGGGGAGGGGGGAAGAAAATCCCGTCGGTGCTAGAAAAGATCTACCACCAGCGTCTGGCGGACGTCACGCAGGCACAATCCACGCCGGGGACGACTCTGGCGGATTTGGAGACGCTGTACAGTCTGAATGTTGCTCCGCCGCTTATCCCGCTCCTCCCGCGGCTCACTTCCCGTCCTGCGCTGTTTGCCGAAGTGAAACGCGCGTCTCCGTCCAAGGGACCGATAGCACCGAGTGTGTCCTCTGCGAGCCAGGCGCTGACGTACGCGTTGGCTGGTGCGCATGTTGTGTCGGTGCTTACTGAGCCCAAGTGGTTCCTTGGGAGTTTGCAGGATATGCTGCATGCGCGGATGAGCGTGGGGACTCTGCCTGATAGACCTGCTATATTGCGCAAGGACTTTATATTCAGTCGGTATCAGGTGTTGGAGTCGCGTATCTGGGGTGCAGACACCATTTTGCTGATTGTGGGTCTCCTACCCGAGGTGGCGTTGCGTGATCTGTACGCGTACAGTCTGGAGCTGGGCATGGAGCCGCTCGTCGAGGTGAACAATGCGAGGGAGATGGAACTCGCTCTGAGTCTTCCCGCCAAAGTCATCGGGGTGAATAACAGGAACCTGCATGATTTCCGGGTCGACATGGATACGACGACGAGGTTGGTCGATATGGCAAAAGGAAAGGGAGTGGTGCTCTGTGCGTTGAGCGGGATCGCGACTGCCGCCGATGTGAGCCGGTATGCGAGCCAGGGCGTGGACGGGGTGCTTATTGGTGAGAGTCTGATGCGCGCCAAGGATCCCGCCGCGTTTATCCGTCAGCTCTTCTCGTTACCCCCGCCTCCTTCGACACCGTCTCATCCAGTCCCGCCCCTCGTAAAAATATGCGGTGTTCGCACAAAGGACGAGGCGCTCGCTATTGCAGACGCCGGTGCGGACATGCTTGGCATCATGTTTGTCGAGTCGTCCAAGAGACACGTCAGTCTCGATGTCGCGAGGGAGATCTGCGCGTCAATCCGTGCACTGAGGTTCTCTCGCCCGCCTCCTCCTCCTCCTCTTTCATCCCTAGACAACGCCCCGTGGTTCACATCCCACGCTGCCCGCCTCACCTCCTTCCCCCTCGTCGTCGGCGTCTTCCAAAACCAGCCCCTAGCTGAGATACTCCATGCTGTGAGCGCGTGCCAGCTGGATATCGTACAACTCCACGGTTCCGAGCCCGTCGAATGGGCAACCCAGATCCCCGTCCCCGTCATCAAAGCCTTCCACTCCGAAGAGGGCATCACACGCGGGGGGTACCACCACTTTATACTCCTAGACAGCCTCCGTGACGACGGGGGCGGGGTAAGCGGTGGGACCGGCAAAGTGGTGGACTGGGAATTCGCGAGCCGTGTCCCGCTCCCGGTTATCCTCGCTGGGGGGCTCAATCCGGGGAATGTGGGCGCTGCAATCGAGCAGGTCCGCCCGTGGGCTGTGGATGTTAGTGGAGGTGTTGAGAGGGAAGATGGGGAGAGCAAGGATTTGGATAAGGTTAGGGCATTTATACGACATGCCAAGGCAGAGTAGAGTGTTTGCCATCAAGCGTCTAATTTATACCGTCAGTATCTTTTATTTGGGATAGCGTGTCGTCCATCTGTCTGGTGCTCAATTCTAAAACATCCCGACGACCAAGTTTCGTCAGATGCGCAGGGCATCAGAGAATCTAAAGGACCACCGCAACTTTGAGTTCTTTTCCTTCGACTGCTGCTCTTGTAAATCCTAAGGCATCTCATCAACATTTTGGGCACGTCAGCGTGTATTCGACAATACGCGGAGGGGCCCGCTAAGACGTCGCGTCTCACTCGGGCAGGCCCGAGGTAAATCGATTTAGATCTCTCATTCCGCTACGTGTAAAAAGTGCTTTCAAATCCTCAGAACCGTGGCTTTCGATTCATCGAAAATCCGCAGTGTCAAAAGTAGTGAAACTCTGTTGTCCCTGGTAGAATCGGAAGATAATTTCCTGACGCTTCTCTACTGGCACTTTCCTTCGGGTATGTATATGCTCGAAGTAGTTGTCCCTCTTCGTGGCTCGAGATTCGAACGTCCCCGCGCTTGTTACAGAGTTAGATCTTCCTCGTCTTCATCTTCTTTTCAAATGCAAAGATCACCTTGGAGACGGTGCGTTTCATTTCAAGAACTGATCCTCTGTTGCGTGTGCAAGGGACCGTGTCCTTCTCCCTTTCCGATCTTCTATGAGATTTCTCCTACCTCCAATACTTCTTCTCTCATGGTCCCGAAAATTTTTAATTTTGGTGGCGGGCTCGCAGATCCAGTTAATCCAAGGTTATGAGAGACGTGCGTTTGCCAGCCTTGGACGCGTATACTGCACTCGATAAAATTCACACACTTCCCCTCCGCCTTTTCTTATTTTGGACCTCGATGTGCAGGGTGGTGAACCCTTTTCATCCATTGTTTCATTCCGCTACGTGTAGAGGATATTCTCTCCTCGCTGAAATTATTGAAACTGTGGACTCTAGAGGGACGATGGCTCGTTTCTGCTATAGGTTTTCTCTCTTCGGTGACGAGTCTAGTCCACCCATCATCTAGTTCCTCTGCACCTCAAGCGTACCACTCCCAGGTTCGATGATGGATGGATGAACTTGAACGCCGTTTTCTGGTCTTCTTCTAACCCCGTTCCTTGATCGTGCCACCTACCGTGATTTTCTTGATTCTCCTCTGACCGACAGAAAATCACAAGTGTCTTTTTTGCCAGTGCCTTTTTCTGCAAAAGGCCCCGGTGTCGAAATCAAACTTGAAGATCTGGAATCATTTCTGGAAAGGTCTCAGAGTCGGACATATGCCCGTACATCCCGCTACATGTGAGGAGGGATTCCCCTCTTCATTCATTCCACTAGAGATTTAAATGACACAATGGTAATCTTCATATCTGTCCTACTTTCTACTTTTCTTTCTTTTCTTGTGATGCTCTCCGTCCATCCCATCTCCTATTTCATCGCCTGGCTGCTTTCTCCTGCGGGTGTTTCTGCCAACAGCATTGGAAGGGGAGCCGCGCGGCTGGCCTCGCCCTCTCAGAATCATCCCACGCCTCGGTGCTCCTTCAGGTGGTGACGAGTCAACCACATGGCTGCGTAATCTGCGCAATGGTTCTTTCGAAGTGTCTGGAGTTTTGGGTGAGGAGGATTGTGTAGCACAGTTAACAGCTCCTATTGGGAGACCCCGAACAGGCATTTTGCGAGAAACAGCATCACGTTCATCCAAAGACGCCGGGTTCACTTCAACGGTTTTCGAAAATTCAGTAAGGATAGCTTGAGGAGAAGGAAGCGACTCAGGGGTAGGGTACCACATAGAAATAAGGTTCAAAGCCGCCTTGAACCACTTGCAGAACTCCGGTCCTTCAAAAACAGCCCACAAGTCATCTTTCTTCCGTGTCACAAGTTGCCACTTGAAAGCACAGCCTCTGTCATAATTAAAGAGGTTTTGCAGAAAGAACTGGTGACGTTTCTCCGAATAGCTTTTCCATGGTAGGCGGTATAATCCACAATACAGAGCCACATAGACGAGTGACTCCACGTCATAACCGAAGAAATGGGTGTAATGGCCCTCTTCATCAATAGTACTTGGTAGAGCATTTATACACATGAAAGCAACTGTGCCCTGTATTTGTTACATGATGAGTTGCTATACCATACAGCACAAACTTTTTTTCGCACCGTTCTCCACCAGTCCCGATGTTTTCCTTGTCGATTAGCTGCTAAAGCAAATTCCCAGTCGATTACATAGGCGACTCGGTTTCCAAAGTTGTGCATCTCATCAGCAACGAGAATGATATTAGTCGATGAGATATCTCGATGCATAATGTCTGCAAGTGTTATTGCTTTGTATAGAACTGAATGAAGTTCATTATAGAGAAGAATGAGAAGATAAATGGTAACAGACCATGGAACACATCCTGGCAGCCACTGATAAGCTCCCGCGTCCCAGCGAAGGTCTCCTGCAGCGCGTAGCCCACCTCAGCAGTAACCATTCTATAATGGGTTCGGACCCTAATGCTCTTTGAACCTTTATTCCAACTATCTTTGGTATGCTTCGATGTTAACGTGACTAAAACTATGGTGAGAAAAGGTTAACAAACTGCATCAATGGAGTCACCTACCTGCCGTCTCGGCATGGCTCTCGACATAGACTAAGACATCACCATGGCAAACAACCGTCAGGCACCCCTACATCCACACCGCTTGCTCGAAGATTCTGGAGCATCAAACCTTCCATATCTACCGCTTCGACCTTGGCACGCCAACAGTCTTTCAAGAAGACAATGGTTTTGGTCTGTAGATCGACAGCCCAGTACCCAGCGAGTAGAACTGCGAGGCCAGTGAGCATGGTGAGGTTACTGGTCGAGACACCAGGAATTTGCGAGTCTCTGCGCGAGCTTGCTCCTGCTCCTGACTTCGAGATTTCGACGACTGATGAAAGCGACTGGTCCTCCCGATGTTTGAATACCTCGACTATGCAGACCTGACCAGGTTCGTAATGCTTTTCTAGCGCTTTTGCCAGCCTCTTTCTCGTCAGTTAACCCAAGCTGCAACTTGACATGCACCTTCACAGTATCTCGAAAGAGCACCTCCTCAGCTTCCGTGATGCATTGGTGCACAGTCATGTCTGCACCACGCTGCGATGGATTGGCGTTCCCAAAACGCCAAAGGAACCGACACAGGGGTTCGGGATTCCTGCGATAATGAATAGCCTCAGAGAAGATCACACCAGAGCGGTCCCATCGTAGTAGTCGTGCAGTTTCGTCAGTCATCGAGATTGAAAAAGCAAAATCGCGGAACTGGTTCGCCAACATTTGTACAGCATAGAATGCAGTCTGACCAAAATCAGCGATAACGCGTTGCTTCTTCCTCTCGTCGGTAATGTGTTCAAATAAAACACCGCTCTCGCCAGCAAAATCGGTCATTTTTCCCTCCCAGAAAAGCTGCCAGAAACCTGGATTCGATACGATAGCTGAGGATCCTGCATTTTTTACAAACTCAAGATGTGCTTGAGCGTATCCGCTACTGTCAACCTTGGTTGAATATTTGCCAGGTCCCGGCTGGTCAGAAGTGTTGTAAAAGGTAACGCCTGGACAACGGGTCATCATTCCGTGTGTTGTTTTCCGTTTGGTGTTAAACGCCTCATTCTGTATAGTGCAATGATCACTAGACATAGAAAGCGAAAAAGCAGACGATACGTACAATTGGATCATAGAGTGAGCGTTCATTCTTAAAGCCGACGTCCCCGTGCTTTGGAACTTTGCTAAATGCTTTACGACTATCCGGCATCGTTGTATCAGGGCGTTGAAGGCATTCAGGTATGAACTTCATGAAGTCCTCGATTGGCATGGGTCCAACGGCATGCTTGGCCATTTCGAGACCGAGTTCCGGAATTACGAAGTTCCGCCCTATTATCCTCAAGGGATAGTTGGTTTCCAGCGATGGTTTTGCGTTGAGGAGTGTCAAACTGGTCGAGCAGTGCTGTGACATGCAATTGGGTCGCTGCTACCGTATCCCCCCTTTCCACCTCCATGTGACCAGTGGCCTTCTTTTTACCCTTCTTGTCAACAGCACCTGCTGCAGCACTACTATCTATGTTTGGCGAACTGGCCATGGTGTAGTCGATTATAGATAAAGCGAGAGCGGAAGATGGTGTCAGCTGGAAAAAGAGTTACGTCATGGCTTCCTTCCTTGATTATTTGATCATCATCATGGGGCTAGTTCCTTTTTAGGACGGAAAAAGGCGAGAAACAGTCTTTTCTGTTCCATTTTTCAGGTTGTTTTCTTTACCTTAAAAGAGTATGGAAATGATCTTATCTTTCAGCTTCTTTTTCTGAACTCGTTTTCACCATTAGAAGATCGAAGGAAATGTCACAATATTTTGAAGTCTCGTTTTTCATCAGTAAGTTATTGCCCTTTCGAGAAAAGTTGGCGGTGAGGCTCTAACCAAACAAATAGCCTGCGATTTCGTCTCAATCTTCGACGAGCCATATCTCACTAATTTCTTAATCGATTCCTTTGAAAGTAGCATCATTCAAATCCGATTTTCCTCTAGTAGAATGCCCCATACTTTTTTTGTCTCCGCAATGTCATATTCTCAACCGCATTTTGACCACCCTCTCCGAGGTTCTGCAAGCTGTAGCTCCCTGAATAATTTTTTTGTGGCCTTCGTTTCTGTATGTAAGGCATGGTTTCATATCCAGGTAGATGGCCCCAGCATCATTTCAGTTGATTTACGTATTCTAGCTTGTAATGTTCAGGGTGGCACTCAACCTTTTTCCAAAATTTCATTTGGACAGTTAGCAGCTTCTCCTGCACAATACCGCACTTCACTGGGCTCGAAACTTAAATTTACATTTATATCTGCTACTGTTAGCACTCTCTTTACGCCTCGTAACTCCTTCCTGAGGTGCTGCCGCATAACTGTTCCTCTTTTCTGGTAGTCCAAAAGAATGCGTTGAATTGTACGTTGTTTTTGGCCAGTGTGCGAAATTATCTGTTCAATGTCATGTGTACGAGCCATAGTAAGAAAGATCCCCATCCCCGTCATCAAAGCCTTCCACTCCGAAGAAGGCATCACCCGCAGGGGGGTACCACCACTTTATACTCCTAGACAGCCTTCGTGACGACGGGAGCGGGGTGAGCGGTGGGAGCGGCAAAGTGGTGGACTGGGAATTCGCGAGACGCGTCGTTGTGGGTGGTGGTGGTGAAAGCAAGCTCCCGCTCCCGGTTATCCTCGCTGGGGGGCTCAATCCGGGGAATGTGGGTGCTGCGATTGAGCAGGTCCGCCCGTGAGTTGTGGATGTTAGTGGGGGTGTTGAGAGGGAGAATGGGGAGGGCAAGGATTTGGATAAGGTTAGGGCGTTTATACGACATGCCAAGGCAGAGTAGAGTGTTTGGATCAAGGGTCTAATTTATACCGTCGGTATCTCCCGCTCTGAAGTTATTTGGGCTAGCGTGTCGTCCATCTATCTGGTGCTCAATTCTAAAATATCCTTCATCTGGACCGTTCGTTTCTTTTCTAAATTCCAAGACACCTACTGTTGAGCGTGGATTCCTCGACACGGGCACGCCGATATTCATGACAGTGAATGTTCATTTCATCCGGACAGAGTTCATTGTCGAGTACTACTGATCCCCACGTGTCGCTCTTCGTCGCTTTTACCCTCGTGCTCGCTGCAAGGATAGATCTTCGCTCTTTTCTTGTGACTCTCTTTTCACTCGATGGTGCTTACTATATCCGAGTCCGAGACAATGCGCTTCATTGGTCCTTGTTTCATTCCGTTGCATGTGCAAGAGTCTCGAAAAATTCATTCTTCTTCTGCGGGGCTAAATGAATGCCGAATGGATGTGTTTCTACTGGTAGCCTTCGACGTGTAAACTACAGAGTACTTGGTGGATGAGTGCCACTGTCTGGTCCTAGTCTTCCATTATAGCTGAACTTAGCCCGATCTCAAAGGACTACCACAACTATAGGCTCTCCTTTTCCTTAGTTGATCAGCTGGGCTTTTCTGCCCCGGCACTTACCAAGAGAATTATGCCACTCTTTCTCCATTTCAGCCTGCCAGTTTGAATTTCTGTCTCACTCGGGCGGGAAGTAGTTCATCCTTCGGATCCTCATACGTATCCCTCTTTGTGGCTCAAGATTCGAGATACTACCCTCGCGCTCGTAGGATTGATCTTTCGTCTATCTTTGCATCCGCATGGGAAAATATCTTGGTTTGGTGCGTTTTGTTTCGGGAACTCAGTCAGGGTCCTCGTTTCTTTGCCATAGCTATCAAAACTGGCTTCATTTATTCAATGCGCCATTTCGTTTTTTGAGAACTCGGGATCCTCTGCTACATGTGTAAGAGTTACCTATTCGATGTGCCCTCATAGCTTCTTTATACTCGCTTGGTAACTACTCAGTGCTGACTTGGTGCTTCTTCCTTTTGTAGGGCGGTCGCGAGGGACATGGACCCTTCGATGTATATATCCTCGGCTCAGTCTCATCGTGTGGTTTTCCATTACAGCTGGTTCTGCAGATCGGACCTGCCCCTGCTTAACCACACCCTTATTTCATCGGGCGCCTAGTAACATGGGTCTCGATTCCAAACTTCATCACAGCAACTAGTTTTCTTTCTCGCAAGGAATTCAGTACTGGATTGGAACCGTCTTTGCGCATATATGATTCCAAACCCTCGTTGTAGAGTTAGCAATCGACCTTTTCTTGTCTACATACTATCATTCTCCAGAGTCTTGATCCCCAAGGGCCAGCTCCTTTGCAGGAAATTCACCACTGATCAGCTTTTTTGCCCTACTTGTACCGATAGAATTATGACGCTCTCTCTCATAATTCGCCCGATACCAGGACGAGCCCTAGGTGATGACCCTCCCTCAGTTCATATATTTCCCTTTTTTCTGAGGGTACTTAGTGTCGAGGAAGAAATGTCTCTAGCCATCCCGGGAATCCTCGTCGTGACTGGTCCTTTCTCCTGTTTTTGTTTTCGAAGGGGCCCATTGACTTCATCGATCTCGGATCCGCTGATGTGCTGGGAACGTCTCTCGCGTGCCTTCTCTGACCCTCATAGTACTCGGGCGGTACAATGCATCATTCCCAATACTGTACATCGATTTCGGGAACCGGGAACTGATCCTCGATAAGATCTTTTCATTCCAGACCTAGATATACCCCCGCGGCACCATTTACCTTACCTTACCTTTGGCTTCCGTACCACGACTTTCCTCCATTACCTTCCGTCCCTCCACCACCGTACCTTACACTAATAGACGTGTCTTCGATCTTGTTACTTCCGTTTGATGTGCTCTGGGTGTTTCGGTCTCGGTGAGACCGACCTTTCAAAGCTGAGCGCAAAGCCACAACCATCCAACCATTGGAGCTTCTCTCTCAGCCAGCCAGCCATTTTCTGAATTATCTTTTGACCAACCCGTTTCTTCATTCATCCATCATGGTCGGTCCAGTTTGTTATGTCGTTGTGTTCCACGGCGCCGAATGATTGTCTACTAGAGAGAAAGGTCATCCAAGTATGTGGTGTACGAGCCCAGTGGCTGGCGACGCCCTGGTCAAGTGCGGTCGATCTACCATCTTCTATTATCAGGCCGACGAGATGTTCTACTGCCTCCATCGACACTTACCTCGTCGACACCACCTGGGTGTCGAGGATGTCTTGGGAGAACAACACCATCGCGACGCAAACGTATCCCCTCCAACTTACGACCTGAGCTCGAAGTCACCAAAGGCACCGAGGTGACTAACTCCGTCTGGGATCGGAGCCGTGTTCAAGGGCCTGTCGATGAGTATGGATAACCAGACCAAGACGTTCACGACGTACGAGACGACTGGAAACTCAGACCAAGACGATCACGCTGAGCGTCCCTTTAAAGTCGACGCTGACGTTCTATCAGAAGAAGTATCGGTTTAGGAGTACGATGTTCTTTGTGCTGGATGCAGTGGAATGAGGAGTGGAATGCCGGGTCCCCTGGGGGGTACTCGATTATGAGGAAGGAGTGTGAGGTGGAGATTATGAGTGAGGATTATCTGACTACGGATGTTGCGTTGGTGGATTCAGCCACTGGGGACGATGGACGTGAAGAGGGTTTCGAGGGCGGATAATGAGGGGGTAAGGAAGACGAGGAAGAGGGAGAATCTTACTGAGAGGGCGAAGGGGGAGCTCTCGAAGATGGGTGTGTAGAGAGAGGTAAGTCCGGATGGGTCATTTATTGGTTATGGCTGATGGATTTTCGTAGGGGAGGAGACGAATACCGATCGTTTTGCAAGTGACTCGGAAATGTTTTCATTTACCTGTTTGCTTTTCTATTCCGTTGAAAAACATGACCTAAAGAATGCATTTTGACTCCTTTCCCTCATTCGCTGTGCTGTTTACCGGTACACCAATATGAATGTAACCTTGCCATCGAAAAGTGTGGCAGAAACACCCCGGCAGTAATGGCAACAAAAAATGATATGCAACGTTTTTTTTCCCTTCTCGTGGAATAGGGCAATGGCAGGACAGGGCTCTGGATGTGTTTTCCGGAAAAGACAGGCCTGGGGTGGGGGGATATTTGACGTCATATGGGAGTGGCGAGAATCATTGATTGCTGGTGGGAGAGATCTTTCTTTTTGCAAAGCGATGGTGATTCATCGCTAGACAACGCTCCGTGGTTCACCCCCAGTCAAAAGTCTGTAGGCCTAGGTTGACATCCACAGGTACGAGTTGATTCATAGACACCTGTGGGTATGTAGAGAGATCTGTGGAGTAATGAACTTGCTTAACCCAGACTCATAACCTTGATCCAACTTGGCAAAAAATTGTTTACAAGTGCACTTGGAAAATTTCCCGGGCACCTGTGTTGAAATCGTTGAGAGGTAGTACACAGCCCGCAGACGTACTCCCAGGTGGCATAGCACAGTAATCCGAATAGCAAGGCGTCAGCTAATCCCGAATGTCCCTCTCCCTCTTACCAGTCGTGACTGCCGCCATCCAATACCTTGTTAGTCGCGACCACTGGCTACTCCCCTGCCATTACTTCTGGATGATGTCGCTCAGTCTCGTTGATTCCTTGTAGGCTGCTGCTTTGGCCATATTCACTGATACCAGCCTCGTATTACATGGCTGAAAACCTGCAAACGTCGGAAGGGTACCCACAAGACCACATATAGGCCAGGTTTTTCTGCTTGGAAGAGACAGTGATGAGCGTAGTGGGTGTTGTCTTTGTCCTGGGCAAAGGTATGCCAGGTGGCCAGTAACCTTCGCCTTGTTGCCGTCTGACGCTTTTTACAGCTTGGCATGCTGAGAACCATCTGTACTGGTGCTATACATACTCCAAGACCATGATGTCTTCACATCTTCCCCTTCCATGAAAGTCTCCCTGCCTAGCTCATGGATTTTACTAGGAATGTTCATGCACCTGCAAGGCCGATGTATTTGACACCTACTACGACTCTCACAGCAAGCCAAGGTGAAAGCACTGAAGAAGATATGCCATGTGTAGTCCCTCATTTAGCTTTGCACTGAGTACCATCTGATACTAGAATCAATTAACGGCACAGACTTAGAACGGGACGCAGGAAGCGACAGGGCAGCCGGTCAAGCGGGAATGTATGCAGGGTTATGTAGATATCTAGGCATGTATAGATATTCATCGATATCAATATATGGCTATCTACAGACTGTCCATTACTGCCTATGAAGTAAATATAGAATGGGCCATTCTTAGCTGCTGACAGGTACCCATAGATTTATCGACTGATATATGTGGTAATCGACTCGTGTCCGCAGACTTTTGACTGGGGTTCACCTCCCACGCTGCCCGCCTCACCTCCTTCCCCCTCGTCGTCCGCATCTTCCAAAACCAATCCCTGGGTGAGATACTCCATGCGTGCCAGCTGGATATCGTACAGCTCCACGGCTCCGAGCCCAGTCGAATGGGCAACCCAGATCCCCGTCATCAAAACCTTCCACTCCAAAGAGGGCATCACCCGCGGGGGGGTACCACTACTTTATACTCCTAGATAGCCTTCAGGACGGTGGGACTGGCAAAAGTGATGGACACTGGACAGGGAATTCGCGAGTCAGCTCCCGCTCCCGGTTATCCTCGCTGGAGGGATCAACCCGGGGAATGTGGGTGCTGCAGTCGAGCAGGTCCGCCCGTGGGCTGTGGATGTTAGTGGCAGTGTTGAGAGGGAGGATGGGGAGGGGAAGGATTTGGATAAGGTTAGGGCATTTGTGAGGCGGGTTATAAGGAGTAGAAGTAGGGTTTGGGTTATAAGGAGTCTAATTTATACCGTCAGTATCTCCCGGTTGGTCATGTCTGAGGTTATTTGGACTAGCGTGTCGTCCATCTGGTGCTCAAATCCAAAACATCCCGGCGACGAAGTTTCATCAGACGCGCAGGGCGTCAGAGAATAGGACCACCGCAATTAGTTCTCCTTTTCCTTCGACTGCTGCTCATCTAAATTCCAAGGGCAGCTCATTAAATTTTTGGGCATGTCGGCGTGTTTTCGACAATACGCGGAGGGGCCCGCTAACCTTTATTTTCGACGTCGCGTCTCACTCGGGCAGGCCCGAGGTAAATCTCTCGTTCCGCTACGTGTAAAAAGCACTCTCAAATCCTCGGAACCGTGGCTTCGTTTCTCATTCGAGATTCGAGTCCTCATCGAATCCGCAGTGTCAAAAGTAGTGAAACTATGTTGTCCCTGGTGGAATTGGAAGGTGATTTCCTGACGCTTCTCTGTTTTCGTCAACTGGCGCTGAATTTTGTCTCACTCAGGTATGTACATGCCCGAAGCAATTCATCTGATCCTCATAACGTGTCCCTCTTTGTGGCTCGAGATTCGAACCATCTAACACGTCTTCGCGCTCGTTACAGGGTTAGATCTCCTTCTTCATCTTCTTTTCAAATGCTGCTTATAGCAAAGGTTACCTTGGAGACGGTGCGTTTCATTTCGAGAACTGACCGGGACCCTCGTATCATTCCGTGCAAGATGCCGCTTTCAGATGTGCCCAAGTTGATCTTCTGCCGGTGCTATGAAATTTCTCCCACCTCCAATACTTCTTCTCTTATGGTCCCGAAAATTTTTGATTTTCTCCTTTGGGGAGTGGCGGGCTCGCAGATCCAATTAATCCAAGGTTATGAGAGACGTGCGTTTGGCCTTGGACGCGTATACTGTACTCGAATAAAACTGGCACACTTCCCCTCTGTCCTTTCTTATTTCTGGACCTTGATGCGTGCCATTCTGGTCTTTTGCACTCTTCATTCTGATCCCCGTTATGCGTAAAGGACACTCTCAAACTTCTCTCCTCCTTGAAATTATGCTCAAAACTATGGAAGGATGATGGTCCTCGAAATCATCGTTGGCTGACGCGAGACTCGAGATCTGAGGCTATCGGTTTTGTCTCCTCGGTGACTAGTCTAGTCCGCTGAGATTTCTCCATCATTGCACCTCAAGCCCTCGATGCGTGCACTTCCAGATTTGATGATGAATGAGCGCTGTCTTCTGGTCTTCTTCCAACCCGTTTCTTGTTTCCGAGCCATTGGACAAATCTGAACTTATCCGCCACTTACCATGATTTTCTCGATTCGTGCAGAAATTCTGAAGGTTTTTTTTAAGAAAAACTAGGACCACTGGCAGTGCTTTGTTCTCAAAGGCCCCAGTATCGAGGTAACTTGAAGATCCAGAATCACTGGGATCTCCGACGTCTGACTCGGGCATATCATATGTGCCCGAAATAATTCATCTGATCCTCGTACACTCCGCTACATGTGAGGATCTCCCCTCGTCGCAGCTTCACTTCATCAGAGATTCGAGATAACGTAGTACCACCCGAGTTGCAGGGATAGATCTTTGTTTCCTTTCTTTTCGCTCACATGGCAAAAATGGCGCTTCCCATCTCGAAGACTGTGAGGTTTCATTGATCCTTGTTTCATTCTGGTTGGTGTGTAAGTCTCGAAATATTTATTTCTCTTCTGGGAGAGTACAAAGATCTAAATGAAGGTTGCGAGGGACAGTATTTCCACTGGTGGCCTTTGACGTGTAAACTCCGGGGTTTGATACTTGGTGGTGGATGGGTGCCATTATCTGGTCCTAGTTCTTCCATTACAGCTAGTTCTGAGGGAACTTACCCCTTCCACCTCACTGCCTCCCTATTTGTTGGGCACCTCCAGAGCCTAGGACTGGCGTGACTCTCGATCCCAAAGGACCACCTGCAACTATCCTCCTTCCCCTTCTCCCGCTACTCTTCTAAATTCCAAGGCATCTCATTAATATTTTTGGCACTGTCGGCGTGTTTTTGACAACTGGCGTACGGTCCTGCCAACTTTATTTTCGGCGTCAACGCTTGCTGGGTGGGTAGTGACTCGGAATGGTCTCACTGAACTCAGGCATCCATCCTGCCCGAGGTACTAAATCGATTTCGGACGAAAAGATCTCTCATTCCGCTACACGTAAAAGGCGCTCTCAAATCCTCAGAATCGTGGCTTCGTTTCTCGCCCGAGATTCAATGCATACCTATCGTTGCGGGGATAGATCTTGGTTCTTTTCTTTTGTGTATCTTTTCCTCCCCTTCATCCACATGGGAACAGGTGCATATGTTATAGCGACAATACTTATCTTGAAGACGACACACTTTCATTTTGGGAACTGGCCCTCCGCTACGTGTCTAAGCGGCTGCCCTTCAGGTGATGCCCCAGCTTATTCTTTCCTTTCTGCCGTTTCAGAGCGCATGACAAGTTCTTTCGCGCAGGATAGAAATTCATTTCTCCTCGGTTGTCTACGGCTTATGTTCTGACTCGGTGTTTCTTTTCTTGTACGGCGAACGGCAATCCACTACGCTCACTCCTTTGGTTACTGGGTCGTCGTGCGTACAAGATGGTTATCTGATTCCCGGTGACGACGTACGCAGCACTGTTTGGTCATTGAATGTTGAACCTTCCGGTACCCCAGTACCGACGGTATGAGTTTTCTCCACCATAGTGACCAATTCAATGAATAGATTCTAGTAAGTCTTGAAAGATTTATTTTTTCTTCCATGAGGCGATGAAGATCTACGAGTGCGTATCCCCGCCGCTTGATGGCGGACGAGTACCATCGTCTAATAATTACGCGGGGACCTTTTCCTGCTTTTGTTTCATCGGGTGCTCTCAGGGAGGGTCTCGATCCCAAAGGACCGCCACGACTAGTTCTCCTTCTCCTTGTACTCGCAGGGAATTCATTCCAGATCAGCTTTTTTACCCTAGCGCCCAGAGAATTATGACGCTTTCTCTTTTTCTCTCATGATATGGGTCGGAAATGACATCTCTCTCCAGCTCATGATCCTATGGCCCTTTTTTCATGATCCTTTCCTTCAACACGTCAGAGAAACTTTCCGGGCCCGGGATACTCTTCCAAATCCCAAGGCACCTCATAGATGCCGGCGCTCACCGTTGACTTTATTTTCTACCTCGACACGTGAATGGCTCTCCTCACGTTCCCACTCCGCATCCATCATTTCATTGTACATCAATTCCCTCCCTCATTCCGCTACTACGTGTAAGGGGCGTTCTCAAATTCCTCCGAGATTCGAGATACCATCTACGTTCCTGTCCTTGAAATTTTTGGAGTAGCGCGGGCCGTTGCAGGCCCGGGGATAAATCTTCGTTTATTGTGTGTTTCACTCTAGCGAAGATATGTTGGAGCTCGTGCTTTTCAACTTTATTGCTCCGAGTTGGTCAGCCTATGCAGCTAATGGACGGCTTTTCGTCGGGACAGCCCTTTTCGTCTTCAACACTCGCCGCCGCCGCACCACACAGCCTCATCAGTCTCGAGAAAGATTTATCTCAGGCTTCCTTCCCTGGCGCGGGGAATAGTATCCATCACTCCCATGAATCTGAGAAGATTTTATCTGAAGCGACAAATCAAGCGCGTGCGTTGTTTCCATTGACGTATACACTCCGATTTTGATGCTAGATGAGCGCCCTCATCCTTGTTTCACTGATATTGGGTCTAGTATTAGAGAATGATGTCTCTCGATCTCATAATTTATAGCCTATAGCCGGAAATGATACCTCCATCGCCCGAAATCATGACGAGCCCCAGGTGATGGCCCTCCCTTAGCTCATATATTTGCCTTTTTCTCTGAGGGTACTTAGTGTCGAGGAAGAAATGTCTCTAGCCGTCGGAATCCTCGTCGTGACTGGTCCTTTCTCCGGTTTTTGTTTTCGAAGGGGCCCGTTGACTTCATATTCTACTTCGATCCGCCGATGTGCTGGAACATCTCGCCCGCGCCTTGTCATTCCAAAATGACCCTCACTCGGGCGGCACAATGCATCATTCCCGAGGTAATTCATTAATACTGTACTGTACATCGATTTCGGAAATCGGGAACTGATCCTCGATAAGATCTTTTCATTCCGGGGCTACGCGTAAGGGTTTCTTTCAGATTCCTCTCTTCGTGGCTTCGTTTTTCCCTCGAGATTCGAAATACCACCCGAGTCTGCGTGCCTATCCGATCCTGCATATTGGTATAGCACCCGTTGGAGCTTGCAGGGATAAGTCTGCGTTGGAATTCTTATTGTTTCAATATTCTGTTGTTTTTCTCTCTTTCAATACTGGGTCAAGTGGAGGATGTGTTGAGGAAGACGCTAACTCAATATATTGCTCGGGTATGGATTCTCCATTCTCCGAGGTACAGCCACTGCCGGCGGGTCCCTGGATGGTCACAGGTCACCGTTTGTCACGACTTTTCCCGGGGGGCCTGGCTTCGGGTCGGCGCTTTGTTCGTCCTCTACTACCCCTGTTACAACCCACACTCTCTTTAATGCTGCAAATAGTGTCAAAAGATTCATTTCATTTCCGCCGTGCGAGGAATATCTGAATCTGGCCGTGTTATTTCAATCGCATTCGACCACGTTCAAAGGAGGCCCAATCGTTACTGGCAGCTGGTATAGCTAGGATCAGATCCCTTTTGTCTTTCTCCTTCACGTCTGGTATGTGATCTGGATGCTTCATGCAGAGATCCATCATAGTCGCGGTGCTACTTTGGGCGGATGCCTTGTACTCGAGACTTACTAGAAAATCCGAGATCAGGACCTAGGCGACTGCACAAAGTCGGAATATGCATAAACTGCATGCATGACGAAGCAGAACCCAAATATTAGCACAAATAGCTAGGTCATGATCTTGGAGCTGATGCCCGTGACGTTCTTCCACGCGATGTCCCGCCACTTCATCGTCTTCCTCGACTCCTGCTATATCTGACATTACATACCATGTTCAAGAGGTTCGATCTTAGCGCAGCATAAATGGAGGTGAGAAGAAGGAAGTATATTCTAGGCTGCTCCACCCTTAATGAGTGCTCGGCTACAGGAGATATCAAGTCGTCAGTGCTGGACGTAGAGAACACGAGACTCCTTTCAAGGGCTCTAAATCATGAACTTGAAGCTCAAACAAGGGATTCAGCATGCTTCACGTACTCCGCGGGAAGCTTTTTTTGTTATTGCACTTACTGATTGAATAGGCCTTACTGCTCAGCTGTCCCTCTATTACGAAGCATGCGGACCCGAGGTTTGCTCCTTACAGTGGATTCTGTTTACCCTTTCATACTTCTGGTTCCTTGTCCTTGTCAAAAGACGAGTCATATTGGTCACGGGCTTGTCCTTGTGCTTTACCCTTCACACAGAAGTCCGTTTGTACACCCATTCTCTCATTTCCGCCAAGTTCGCTCTTACCCGGAGCCATCCTGACTTTCGACTTCTCCACCAAATCAGTCGATGATCACTGAAAGAGTCTGCATGCCTGAGGAGACCGTCCTATTTGTGCAGTGTTCCCTGTGGCGAACAGTGGTCAGTACGTAGGAAGAGCGCTGGATATTATCGTAATGTTTACGACGAAGCGCAATGCCAAGGAACTCGCTAACGAAAGTATATATCTCCCCATTTGTTTCGAAGCTAAATTTTGTTCAACGAGTGGGGAAAACGAAGATAATGAAGGACAAATGAGAGACCGCCAATCTAACGCGCTACAACAAACCTAACTGTGCAATGTATGAGGAGGATCAAGGGCTTGGTAGAGTCTGTACGACGCACCGGTAAGCAAGGACTAAGAATCTGTACATCATCTCATTTCCACAGATGCCCTCAGCATCCCGTTCTACTGCCTCAGTGGCACTATGCATCCGCGATGACTCCACAGGCCCTTTCAGTGCCAGCTTTAATCACCATCTGACAGCTGGAATGTATGAGAGGTATAAAATAGATAACTTGAGCGCAGCCATTCAACCATCCAACCATTGGAACTTTCTCTCTCAGCGAGCCAGCCATTTTCTGAATCTCTTTTGACCATCCCATTGTTCATTCATCATTATGGTCAGTCTCGTTCATTATCTCGTGGTATTCTACCATGTTGAAAGGATCTCCTAGAGCGAAAAGTTCTCCAAGTATGTGGTTTACAAGCCCAGCGGTGGTGATGCCATGGTTAAGTCCGGTCGATCCACCATCTATTCGTACCCAGGCGACGAGGCTTTCTATGCCTCCATCGATACCTACCTCGTTGACACTACTTGGGTGTCGAAGATGTCTTGGGAGAACAACACCACTGCGGCGCAGACGTACTCCCTCCAGTATACGACAGAGCTCAAAGTCACCCAAGGCTCTGAGGTCACCAACTCTGTCGGGATCGGTGCCGAATTCAAGGGCCTGTCGATGAGTATGGATAGCCAGACCAAGACGTTCACGACGTACGAGACGACGGAAACGCTGACGAAGACGATCACGCTGAGCGTCCCTCCCAAGTCGACGCTTACGTTCTATCAGAAGAAGTATCGGTTTAGGAGTACGATGTTCTTTGTGCTGGATGCATGGAATGAGGAGTGGAATGCTGGGTCACCTGGGGGATACGATATCACGAGGAAAGAATGTCAAGTGGAGATTATGAGCGAGGATTACCTGACTACGGACGTGGCGTTGGTGGATTCAGCCACAGGGACGATGGATGTGAAGAGAGTATCGAGGGCTGATCTGGAGAGTCGCAGGAAGACCCGAAAGCGCGAAAATCTTACTGAGAGAGCGAAGAAGGAGCTTTCGAAGATGGGAGTATAACCAGTAAATCCGGATATTTTATGCGGCCTGTTTGCTGTTATCTTTTTCTATTTCGTTGTGGTATCCGATCTTTGCGCACGATAACGACGAAAGAAGGACTCTAAATAATGTACTTTTACTTCCTCATTCATAGCATGCTCCTTATGTTTTTTACCGCGAATACGAATGTTGTGATTTCGAATTTTACGAAAGAGCACAAGTTGACTTGATGGTTCATTTTTTTGTAGAACATTTGTACGGCAAACGGTAATCCACTACGTCCATCGTGGTGGCCCTCCACCTTACACCACCACCACTCTCATAACTAGCTGCGGTCTTTAAAATCTTTGTGTTCTGCGGGGCAGCAGAGTTGCAGATCCACACCAAGGTCATGAGGAACGTGTGTTTCTACACGGCGACCTTCAATGTGTGACACTTCCGAGTTTGATGATGGATGAGCGCCCCCATCTAGTCGCTCTAAGCTTCCACCCCTGCTTCTTGCCTCCATGGCACTAAACTGCCTACGAAGACTTTCTCCATTCCGACTGATTTCATAAGGTTTCTCATTTCATTATCATAAGAATCACAAGGTCTTTCTCATAATGATGCCTATGTGGGATCGGCCCCATGCCCGAGAGGATGAAGTGACCTTAGCACTGTTATTATCAGTGATAGCCCTTCTTCAGTTCATATCCTTTTCCTTTCCTCTGGCAGCATAAAACAAACGTAGTGTTGAGGATGACAACCTGAATCATGACTAGGAATTTCTCGTATTTTGGTGTTCAAGGTAGGCCGTTAACCGTTAATAACCTCGACGCATTATTGTAAATATCCCTTGCGCGGAGTGCATCTTATTCTATAAGGACTGCCTCCCTCGGGCTGAGATTGCATCATGCCCGAGGTAATTCATTGTACATCGATTTCGGCGGCGGGATGTTTGTTCTGGTTCGGGAACGGATCCTCGGTAAGATCTCTCGTTCTGCTACGTGTAAGGGGTACTCCTGGGCCCTGGCACATTCCTATATTTAAGTTGGCTTCGTTTCTTGCTCGAGATTCGAGATACATACGTACCTATCCTCGCGCTCGTTGGAGAAAAAATGATCGTTCTTTTGTATTTACCTGTTTCAATATTTTGTCGCTGCGATGCTTGTAGTGAAGATAATCTTAAAGACGGAAGCACAGCCACCCGGGCCACCCCATTGTCACGTCACAGTTTCCTGAACCGCAACTTCAATTATCAGGCCAACCTCGTTGTCTCTATACTTACACCTCACGCCACTACCCACCGCCTCACCGCAGAGTCTCATCAATATAGCTGATAATCTCGAAAGATCATTGATCACGGATCTCCAACTACCGCGTGAGGAATAGTATCATCTTAGTCGGGACGTGCCAATTTTCCTTCAATTGAAAACCAACCTGCTCAATGACGAACGAATGCCGAGAAGATAGTCCATCCGTTACAGCGGGTATGATTCGTAGGTGAAACTTAATATCAAATCTTCCTTCTTATCCGGAATGTTTGCCTGCTGTGAATCGTGACTTGGGGCGCGATGTTCCGGCTTTATTTGCTTTGGGTGCCTCGCTGGAATTCAAGACTACTTTGCAAATGATTATAGGTATGGTACTTCTTTATACAATGTGGCTCCGGATGCACACATTTGCTGGTTCTCTGCGTACTATCATTCTTACTTGGCGCGTTCTTCCATTCATGGCGTCGGAAGCTCATCATCTGCTTCTTCTCCCCGGGTGCAGTTCTCAGTCCGCGAAACCTTCATGCATGCCCCATCAACTCGCCCAGCATTCAGTTTGTCCTTTAAAGCTTAGAGAGGACCCTGGTGAGGCGTCGGTAGTGCACAGGTCACGAGCAGTACACCTAATCCGAGTCGAAGGGACGGACGGGTAGTTAGGATAAAGGTGGGAATCTGACCCTCGCCTTCGAGGACCTCCCAAAAACATATCACCGGAGGCCTATGACCGAGAAATTCCCTATCACTCAAGCATGGGTTGAACCACACGACGGGTAAACTCCTGGGCGGAGAGAAATAATCCGTGGTTCGAGGAATAGAAGGAGATGTTGTGGTCCTCGCCTTGGAAGACTTTCTGATCGGTGTTTAGGGAGCGAGGACAAGATAAGTAATGGGGATTGGGAGTCGTGCGTTTGGGGCAGTGGATATAATCGATTTCTATCGATTATTCCCTTCCGAATGGCGATGTCTCGCGCTGTTGTAAAGGATCACAAGGTGTTTGGATACGCGGATTTCTGATTGGCAGGTTTGGTGGTTCATGCCATGGTAAGTAATCACACATAGATGTGATTGATTATTGATTATCTTTGTCCCGGTTTGATGGGCGGACTCGGTGTTTAAACGTTAACGTTTCATCGTGCTAGAGCGCCTTTCCCTTGTGCTGGATATAAGTAATTGAGTGGGTCTTTCTGATGTGGTGTTGGAGCGGAAGGACTTACGTCTCAAGCTGGACACTCGATTATGGTAGTGACCCAAAGATATAACCATAGGTCTATATTTGCATGCATCTATCCTTGCTAGTGTGGCGAAGCTCTAAGATTAGGTCTCAGGTGTTGTGCCGGTGTCTTGAGGGTACCAGAGGGTCTCCAGACCAAGAAATCGGTAAGTAAATATCGGCTTCGCAATGGAGAACTTTCTGATCGCTGATTCGGTGTTCATGTCATGGTGAGGGTAAGGAATTAGGGTAGCCATAATGGATTCTTTTTTTATTCTTCAAGCTGTGATTGGCGGTTTCCGTCAACCTTCATGTCAACGGTCACAAGAATTCACTAGTGTCTAGCTATTCATTTCCCGGTTTGATGAGCGGGTATTCAGATATTCTGCACCGGTGTTCATTTCGCGGTGGACTTGATTTCGAAGTGTTTCGTATTGACTTTAGGGGGAGAGGCCAAGCCCAGCGGTTAACTATACTGATGTTCTGATATTACCTTAGACTGATATTCATATTTCCTTCGGCTCACAGGTGCGCGAAGCGCTTCGGTAGTACCTTCCTTGAACTCCCGCCTGTGACACTGTCGCTGAAGCTTGCTTTCTCGCTTGTGTATTTCCTTCCTCCGGGAACCGGACCGACGTGCTGTAGAGTCTAGCCAGTGTGCGGTGATAATTACTCATTTCTCTTGTTAATCAAGGCACTCGCTAGTAAGTCACAAGAAATACATGTACGCTTCGTGGTGGATATAATTCATAATTTCCTACCTTTTTTTTTGATTGGCGGGCACGCTCATAGCCTCGGTTTGGACGGAACACAAATTTAGATTATTGTTTGTCGTATTTCTGGTTGGGTATCGCGGGGACGGGAGGACTGATGCTGAGGAGTTTGCTCCGCAGTCGCCCTCGGCTCCGGCACTGGAGTTGATTGCGATGTGGAGGCTTTCCATACGCACTCCTGTGATAAACGTTGTTGAAATCTCCGAGTTCAACTTTTGCTACTTCCTTCATGCTCGATGTCGCGAACCAGACCGAAAGGCCAAACTTCCTGGTACTTATTCTAAGGAATCGTAAGTCTTCGTATTCAAAAGGCTTTCATAGTGGGTGCTCTTGATTATTCTATTCTTCTTCTGATTAGATTCGAGGAACACGTTGTGGGTACGTACGTTCAGTTTCAAGTAAACGTTCCCCAGGCTTCTGGTGGATATATTCCTTGCTGATTCCGGGTTTCATGAACTGTCGGTGTTCAAAAAGCTCTTGTAATGAGCGGATATTATTATTACTCTTTTTCTCCTTTTGATATAACGATTTCGACCACTTCACGCGGTAAGAAAGTCATGAGAGCGCCTTCTATGCCTTGGCCAGTCCCGACTGAGTTTGTTTTATTGGAGGATTCGGACTTCGCGATCATCTTGTATTCGAAAGGATAAGTTCGCCTTGGCGTCTGTGAAAATACAAAGTTTTAACCGTCAGTCGTCTATTATTACTTCAAGTGCCATGCAGTTCGATACATGTCTATTCTTGGGGTATACCGTATGCCTGTTTATGAAATATTAAGATGTCTGTGATTCTAGCTTGCGTCGTTTCTTCTCCTTCTTCTCTCGCTTGCGCTCTTCCTTGCTCAACTTTACCTCAGGTCCGTTTTCGGGAGCCGGGCCGCCGTCTTCCAGTTCCTCCTTCGTCTGTTTCCGCCTTTTCTTCTCCGATTTCTTGTCAGCCGACTCAGCAGCGTCGAGAGTCGGACCGACATCTCCCTCCTGCTCCTCCTGCTTTCTCTTCTTCGCCTCCTTCCGCCTTTTCTTCTCCGCCTTCTTGTCATCATCACCTTCTGACTGCATCTCCATTTTGCGAACTCCCTTTTTATCCCCATCTTGCTTATCCTGCTTGTCCTTCCGCTTCTTTTCCTTGACGGTGCGCATGGACTCTGACTGGGCCTCTCCATCACCATCGAGAGGCGTTGATGATAGCATTGATGTTGATGTGGCGGCGAGGAATGAAGAAGATATCAATGAGGAGAATTTCGACATGCCAATGCCGATGCGTGGTGGGGCATCATCGCCGCCGGAGGTACGTTGAGCGTTGAATGATCCGATACCTCCACGAGGGAGGTCGTCATCGTCGGTCCGGCTCGACGATTCCAGTTCTGCAGGGGTGGATTTACCAGCTCTGGACGAGCCTGATCCAATACCTCCAAGAGACGCTTCATTCTCTTCGTCGATCCTTTCTGCAGGGGTAGATTTGCCAGATTTTGAAAGTAGCCGCTCTTTGAAGTAATCCGCTACACTTTTGGTTGAAACCGTTAACGTTTCTAGAGTCGGTAGTTCCTCTGTTTCTGCCGGCGTTGAAGGTTGGGGCGTAGCAGACTGAGATATCCCGAGAATCTCTGACATGGCTGCATCGGAGGTGGTGGCGCGGTTTTTGGCTGCGATAGCACGGGCGCGGTGACTACGATAATGTGAATATTATGTCAATAAAACATAAATCAAAGAAGACGTACGCTCTATGGCGAGGAAGGGCACGTTGAGTCTGAGGCTTCGCAGCAGGGACGACAGACTCCTCTACTACATCACTGGACTCTGCCTCGTGCAGTTTTGTCTTCTTCGTCTTCTTCTTGCCCTCCTCGTTGCCCTTCTCCTCTCGCTTCCTCTTTTTCTCTTTCTTTTCCTTCTTCTTCGTCTCCTTCTCGTCGGTACCGCCGTCGTCTGCAATCTTGGTCTCTGAAATAAATTGGCCACCGAGCGCAAACTGCTCTTCAACAACCTCAACACTTCCCTGTGAGGCATTGAGTCTCATCAGGACATTTTCAAAGTCCTTATTCTGCTTCCACGCAATGCCATTGGGGTCTTTCTGGTGGGCGGCGCCAATTCCCATCATGTCGAGTTTCTGCGACACCTTGATATGAGATGTTCTCCCCTCACCTGACACGCCAAGGCCCTGTGAGGATGACCAGCCGAATTTGGAGAGATAAGTCGCGCCGAACTTTGAGGCATCTCAAAGGGGGGAGGGGAAAGGAAACGAGTAAGATTGAGGCGTGAAACGTGGCTGGACAACATACCATCCGCCCAAGAAAGATTTCGTGGGTCGGCAGAAATTCGTTGTTTAACTTTGCGCCCTGAGAGACCCATGGTCGTGTGCTGAAGGAGAAAATATATTGGCCTAAATTGAAACAGTGATGGAGGAAGGGATCGACGCTTGAAATTTTTTAGATGATGAGGTAAGCAAGAAACGTCGGCCGCGGGAGAATTCTCGGTAAATTATATTATTCCATCCATGGCCATCCCGCCATCAGCGAATGGTTCCGACTATTATGCATGTCTTCCAAGTTCCGATGCATTCGAATTCGCGTCCTGAAAGACGTACGTCTTGTGCGTGTTCACATATAATATCCCCAACATCTATCAAAAAGGCGAGGCGAGGAGCTTCCCCCTTTGAATACAGAAATTCAGGCCTGCCTTTCTAGAACAGGTGGCACTCGCCAACGGGGCTGAGGCCTATAATGACAATATTCCTTAGCGGAAAAGCCGATTAAAGTCGAGGCTGCCAGACAGTCTTCGCTTGTTCGCTGTATGTGGCTCAGGGCTACCAGAACGTCTATCCCAATTGATTTTTTGCGACATATTTCATCCTTACCGTCCAGCCGTGCGGCGTCGACTACTTACGTCGCGGGATTGCCCCGTTACAGCACCACGTTGATGGTCACCAAGTATGAGGTGATATGCGTCTGCCTTTGGAAATTGTAGGCGCGCTTAGTGTCCGCAGGGTTACTGAATGGCATTTGCAAGTCACTGGGCGCAGCTATAATGGTCCACGTCTGCAAGCGTCCAGACAATCGATGTTCGCATGTTACAGCAGCCAGGCAAGTGCGTGTTGATTGACCCTTATTATTCACCCGGAATGAACCCTTTCCCACGACTTGCGATTAAACTAGATATTCTCTTCTTAGAATGGAGAAAATTGTTCTTGTGTCAGGATATGTCACTGTCTGTTTCGAGCGTCACACATTGCATGGATCCACATCTCCGGCAGCTGATGGTATTTACTGCAATCATCCGCGGAAGACCTCCGGTACCCAAGCTGCAGGTCCGTAGATCCTGGGCGTTGCGCTTGGTCGGTGCTGCGGTTTCCAAAAACGCACATCTCAATTCCATCTGTCCCGTGGAAAAGTGGGAAGGGTCCCTTGACAATGAAGAACACGGCTTCAATCGCGATCGAGACATGTTGCCGACATTTCAACCAAATATATGCCGTGAGATCAGGGTCGCGGTGAGTCACTATTGGCTCCGTTTATTTTGGCGTTTGGCTTCTTATTGTTTTCGCCCTCAAGTAATCCCCGTCGTGTATAAGAACATTCGCAGAATGGGCGTCATTAGCGGATATCCCGTTTCCTCTATCCCTTCCCCACGATCTCTTTCACTTTATAACGTGAGCTCTTTTCCTCTTTTCTTTCAACTAAACTCAGTTATCCCTACAGGACAACCTATGACCCGAGTTCCCGTCGAGCTGTACCGCTGCATCGTCGAATGCGTTACCGACCGCAAGACCCTCCTCTCCCTACTTCTCACTAATCACGTCCTTCATGATGAAGCTGAGCGTATACTCTACCGCGATGTCAGTAACATCTTCGATATCGAGTCCGTACACACTGCTCCTCCAACGCTTCATCTCGTGTCCCCGCGTCGCTCGTCTCGTGCGGTGCTTTCACTTCCTAATGCGTTCCCACATTGCGGAGGACCACACGTGTTGGAAGCTTCTGCCGATTGCTCTCCGTGCTCTCACGAATCTCAAAATGCTCGTCTTTAGGTCCATCGGAGGATCTTTAGAGGCATACATCCCGAGCGACTGTGCGTGCCAGTTGGAATATCCTCGACTGGCAGTGTACTTCCTGAGAGCAAAGGATCAGAGCTTTCACATTTCCTCCCCACTCAGCATCGCCTCCGGACCATTCAGAATCTCCAATGGCGTCCCGACTATCAAGTACCGCCTCCGTCCTCACTCCCGGCGCTGTCAACGCTCAGTGGAAACTATGATGCGATCAAGGCCCTCCTTCCTGGGAGGACTGTTACAAGTTTGCACTGGATATCTGATGTGAAGGATGTTCGGCATCCCGACGTTTCGGAGTTGGTGGAGCCTCTAGGCAACCTGGAGACGTTCCGGTTGGGTGGACATCACGAGCGTCCGTCTTTGGCACTTTTAGCAGAACACCTCTCCAAGGTGAAGGTACTGGAATTGTTCGGCGTTAAGGTTCGTCATCGATACTGTGGTCTCCATTTATGAAAGCTGATCGATACTCTTATCTTAGCCCGGAGATCTTGAATGCATTGACAAACTTCCGCATCTCGAGGAGCTCAAGGTCTCGACGCAGTGGGGCTCTTCCTCTAATGGTCCCATATCTCCGAGAGACGCCGCGAGTGTAGTGTCAAAGCTCTTTGACTCTGCGCCGGCTCTGCAGTATGTGGACATTGCTCAGCCCGTGTATTGGCCCATCCCTGCGTTCTGCCAGGCATATGACCGTTGGTGGCGTGGCTCGACGAAGCCCGAGACCATTCAGCACCTTGCTTTCTGATTATGCTCATGTTCATATTTTTTTTTTCGCTTTCGTTCTTCCTTGCATACCTCACATCTAGATTATTAATCCTATTGCAAGCATGTCGTTGCCACAAAAGTCAGCATACTCAGATTCGTATAACTCATGCACACTACGTCTGCTCTTTATAGTTAATTATTCCAAGCGTACCCGTAACCTGTATCTCACATACGTAGTCGTCACACCTAAATAATTCCATATGCATTACCTGCCATTGATGCTGACGTCCATTTTGCCATTTATTGTTCTACCGAAAGAGATTGATGCATGACGTGACGGAGGAGAAACACAACGTGATGGCGCAGTTTCACGAGGTTTGTGTCTCCAATAGGCAAGTTGACCCCCGGATACTTTCACCGTGACACCGCTTTTCACAAGGGCCGCCGGTATCCACTCTACGCCTGAACTCTTTCACAGAAAATACATGAGACCTTCTTCATTCCTGTTGAGGTTTCCCTGTGGCGTCGTACAACTCCTCTAGAATGTGAATCCTATTACGTTTGTAGAATGAGATCCCAGCACTGGATCCGTAAGTTCTGTGGTGCTGCTGCGTTTCGACCATTGATTCCCGTGTGAAGTGAGGTGAGTGTTTACTTCAGTTGTACATCATCGAGCGAGCGGCGAACATTTGCGATGGAACTAGTGCGTACATGGCACCCGGAAGGCCGTTGCTTGAAACGCAGGGTAGGGCTGTTTGCCGGTTGCCTTGCTTCCAAGGATCTCTTCCATGCCGCCTCCAAGGAAAATCCTACCCTATGCAGCTCTTTGTGACCCTAATCCCGTCCTTTCGTTTGTTTAGATGCAGGGTTCCCCACATTGGGCGCGGTCAGCGTTCAAATTCCACCTAATGTCATGACCACAAAACCCAATCTGAATCTCTGCGTTGATGCGTTCATAGGGTCCCACCAATGCCATGAATTCAAATGGTATAACCATTCACCGCAGTTACCCTTTCTCGTTTGGGTCTCTCAGGCGGTATGTACCCATTAATGCTTCATCGCTTGACTTTTACTCACACTCTTGCCTCATGCCGCATCCCAGTACGTGACACACTGAGAGGTACCCACTAATACTATTGGTCCGCTATTTCTCCGTCACCGCCCTCGTTCCTGCCGCCCGAGGCCTTCGAAACTGGGAAAAACATATTCGCGACTGCTTTGCATATGCATGCGGCAACCTCAGTGTTGATCAAATATTATAAGCTTTGGGTATTCTGACTCTTTGGACTCTTATGTTGCAATTTCCTGCCGCAGACACCTCAGCAATCCTGCTCATTGCCCCTGGGGCTTTACCAGGTTATATTCACGCTCCTCTCAAGCCATCGTCACTGATCATCATTAGATGAATAACTTCTTCACCCCCTCACTAAAACAAACGGGTATCGCCAGCCCATCGCTGATGTGATCATTGTCAAAGGACAGATCGCCCTTAAAACTTTCCAAAGCCACAGGAGAGCGTCGCCCTTTCGTACCTCGAAAATGGGAAACATGTTTACACCTTACGTGCGGCGGCCTCGTGGTTGCATGTGCTGTTCTCTGGTCTTGGCCTCGTGCGCTTGCAAAAACAAACGACCGCCTTGGCTGAAGTTCACTGCCAGTCAAGAATCTCGTATACCCTCCATTTCACGAACAAGCGCATCTTGCAAGCTTCCGAAACGGGGACATGGCCAACCCGGAGACAGACAGACAACCTTCGCCATCGCCCAGTCCTCGGGCCTCTAACGATGAACACTCGATCTATTCTATGCAAACGTTCCACTCCACACTCCTTGGAATACCCGGGATCTTACGTTGAGCCTCCCACCGCCGTAAACGTCAGCGGCTTAACACACCGTCTTCCTCTGTACCCGCGAAGGTTTTCGTTCTACATTGTGTTTTACGGTCACCCGCAAACCATGCTGAAGTTCCTACGGACATCGCAAGCTACCGTGATATTCCCTTCAAAGGACAGATTGCTCATTTACAAGTCAACTTCTGTGTCTAGGTGCCTAGTGCGCGCGGCGGCCTCGTGGGTTACATATATGACATTAGTCTTGAGAACCTTTCTCAGCTTCCCTTCTGCTTCTCACTTATAATCCACGCTCAGTTCGACGTATTGCTATCCAACTTGACTCTAGAAGGGCTCAAATCTCCGTCCCCGCACGCCTCGCCCTGTGGGGTAGGGCTCTCCGCCTGTAGGCCCAGATCATCATCCCGCACATGTTTCGAGCGCCCCAATCACTCACGGATCCAGACGACAGCGAGTGTGGGGGTTTGTACGCTCGAGGGGGAGAGGGAGTAATACGGTGACAACATATCGTCCGACATCCCGCGGTTTAGAAAGCACCCTCTTTTCTGTCGAACCTGGTGCTACTGTTTACTCGTGCTTACATTCTCTGTCAGACAGTCGTGGTTTCGTTTTACCCTTGCTGGAGTCTATCGGGTGTAGAACGTCGTTCCTTTCTTTTGTAAGGTTGTCAAGTAGCACTCAATATATTTTGTTAAGCAGAACATGAACAAATCCGGAAAAGCAGCTGGTATACACTCTTGTTACAAACTCCGTATATGAACCAAACTATAGACTACGACGCCAAAAGGGGCACCGAAAATAAGCAAGTTGACTAGTAGGTATGCGTGAAACTATAAAGATGCAGGAATGTAAAGTACCTGGCTGTACACCCTGATCCAAGGATTAATATTTGGTTAACCTCCAAACCTCATATATTATACCCATCAACGATCGGTACACCAAATCTCCAGCTTTCCTTCTGGTTTCCCTTTCGAACTCTCCCTCGCCGTCTCGATAGCGAGTTCATAATCGCTCTCGTCTCTCATTGTCACCTTGCTGCCGTCCTCGTCCTTGAACTTCATATTCAAGGCTTTACCAAACTTGACAGTGATCTTGTCCATGAACTCGTCAAACGATGTCTCTGGCGATAAAGCCATACCGCGGACTTCGTCATCGTAGTGAAGCTATATCAAAGTATTAGCAACAGAATAGTGGAAATGACTCATACCTCTCACCTTGACCCTGATCTTGACCAGCTCGAACGGTCCATCTTCATACTCCCCACTCCCATACCCTTCCTCCTCTTCCTCGTACGAACTCGGTGCTCGGCTGACCATCTGCCGGGCTGTACCACGTCTAGTGAGTTTCCTACGCATGGTCCCCCCACCGAATGAGCTAGGCGCGTAATTACTCGCGGGGGCACTCCGCGAGGCAGAGCGGGCAATGACCGGAGGGTAATTGGGATTGGCGTTCTTGCTAGCCCATGCAGCAACACGATCGGGTGGCATGGATGGTAGCGGGGCGGGGGGCTCGGAGGTGTAGGCATCTAGGTAGCCGTCGTAAAGTTCCGTTAGCCGAGGTCCCTGAGACTGAGAGGGGGAAGTAACTATAACTCTGGTTAGCTACAAGGGTTACGATAACTGACTATTTATAGAACCCATACCTTTGGCCGGTGGTTCTGGAGGAGGTGACGGCGATGCAGGACTGGATGAAATACCTGGCTTGCGTACACTGAGGCCACGTACGGGAGTGCCAATTGCACCGATACCTGCGTTGGGCGATGGTCGACTGGCAACGATGGCGGTGTTGCTTCGGACTATGGGCGGAGCAGAGCTTGGAGCGGAGGACGACAGTTCTCGCGCAGTTGATTGAACATTGAGCGTAGTCTTTGATCGTGTCAAGGTAGCTCGCGGTTCGTCGTCAGGTTCTGGGCAGATAATTAGCGGAGGTTTTAGATGCTAAAGTTGGCTTACTGGGTAGGAGTGATACGGTAGGTGGAGCTGTGAAACTGCGATTCAGAGATGGCTCGGACTCAGGACTCCGTGTGTTTGTACGAGAGAGATAGACACCAGATGGCGATATGCCCTGCTTGAGTAATGTCACGCCGGTGAATGTGGTATAGGCATCACCGGGGTCGCTAGCTGCGATCAGTTTCTGGAGAACATATGAGCCGATGAGAGGTGTAACTAGATGGACGGCATACCGCTTTACCCATGTAGTCTTTGGTGATCGCGTTCTTCAGTTTCTTCTCGGACGGACGATACAGGACCCCAACCGGCTGCCAAGGATGAGGTTCACTCCCATGATGGACGGACCCAAGAAGACTCACGATGCTGAAGACGGTGTACCCATCACCACGGTCCCGGATTGCATCGTCAATGACACTATGTTCGTCAGTCGCTTTGTCACGACTCGCCTCTCGCATATCCACCAACCCAGGATCCAAACGGCCCATATAGATCTGCGACAGACCCTTGTTGAAGAGGACTTCAGCAGAGTAGAGGCGGAAATTGAGCCCCAGCTGTTCATAGTTGCTGCCGAGATAGTCAGCGAGTGGCACAATGAGCAGACATCCAAAACGCGACGCACATCGCCTGGTTTCCCCTCAGATACAACAGGGCCTCTTCAAAGTCCTTGTATGCGAGATCATACCGAGTGAGAAGGAAGTTGGACACGCCGCATTGAAAGTACCTGGGCCGGGACCACGTCAAGATAAGAAAAATAGAGGGAAAGAGTTATCAGATTAGACATACGCCACAGCAAGATAACCATCCATCGAGGTAGCCTCATTGAACCGTTCAACGGCCGCTTCGTGCTCCCCAAGGGTCGCATATATCAAACCCATATTCGTCTGGATCTTGGACGAATCACCGATCCGCTGTCAAATGCTACTGGTAAGGATCTAGCCCAAGTGGCAATTAAATAACGCACAGAGAACAAATCAAGGGACTTTTCGAAATCCTCTTCATCGTAAGCTTTGAGCGCCGCGGCCCAGGTTTCGAGTTCAGCTTTCAGAGACATGTGCGTTCCCGACGCAATAAAAGAGTGAAAATCTACGAAAAAAAGGAGTGAAAGAAGGAAGAAGAAAGAGAAGAAAAGAGTGAGAAAGGTGGCCCCGATCGACAGGAGGAGGGAAAGACGAACTGAGGGACGGAAAACAAGGGCTATATATCTAGCGTGGATATATCCGGAATCGTCTGATCGCGATCTTGTTGTCATGGACCAGCATCAGCCACGTTGCCAAACAATCATCTTCCAGTCCTGCCCAGACAGGACCAGAGGTTCAGAAAATGGGCCTAAATTGAATACTAGTCTCCTAAGTAGAATCTTGTCCGTACCACTGTCTTTTCCTCATCTTCTAGTCGGGTTTTCTGACTAGGGGGGACGACGGTATATTTAAACCCTAGGCAAGGCAACAGTGCAAGGAGGCTGTCAGGTCTCCACGCCGCTACTCTGGAGTTTAACTGCCGGCACCGCCACTTGCTCTTCCTATCTGTCTTGATGACCGTTGCATTGACCAAGGTTTTCCCATCTGTCGAGACGAGTCATCGATCCCCTCACGGCAGTTATACAGTGTACTATCTTCCGACGGTAGTGCTTACATTTACTGATGCGCGGCAGTTCATCAACAGGGCGTGGGTACATGCGCATGGAGCACCCCCACACTGATCTAATCATTAGTTGTTACTAAGTTGTTACCCCTTTTTCATGACCAAGGGACTAGCAGTCTCCCAGCTACCCCGTGTTGCAACGGTAACCCACTGCCAGCATTAATACAACGCTTCGGCAGGACTATCTGTCATAAAGGGACTGATGAACAAACCCATATTCTCACACCCAACCGCCAAGCCAAAACTTGCGTGTGAAAGCAGGAGATATAATATAGAAATGCGCGGTGTAATATAAGAATACAATGTCCCGATCCATACACAAACAATTAGTACCCAGATGGTCTCGCATCCGACTTCGACGTATCGTAAGCTCGTATCAGCTTCGCCTGGTCCTGCTTTCCGGCCGTCTCTGTCTGGCTGAAAGCAAATCCACGATTACGCCGCATTCGCTGGACAGCTCGGACTTTCTTGATGGCCTTTTGGAATCTTCGGGCGGTGTTTCAGTTAGCAAGACGGATATTAAATGGGGCCTCGGTACTCACTGTTCTTGCCGTGGTCGATAATCGGGTATATTGTACTTTTGTAGTTCTTGAGCAATATGATAGGACAGAGGCGCATACGTTCGTCGATAGCTGAAATAGACGCGTGAGTACGATGTCCATCCTATCCTGGATATGTGACAACTCACTATTTCCATGCCAGGTCACGGCTGAGGCAAAATATAGGTACCAAGATGAGCACGAAGTAAAAGACCCCGTTTGTCCACAAATGGGGTACTATTCCTGAATACTCCGTGGAAAATCCTATGATAGGAGCAAGGTAGGCATAGAGGGGAAGGAAGACCATGGTGAACGCAAAAGATCCGGGAATGGCGGCCACCGTGTACTTTGTCCATATGCTGCAGAATGCGTGAGTTAACAGATATCACGGACATGGAACAAACCGGGCTTACTCTGAAATTAGAGCAGCCTTTCCAAGAACCGTCAGAAGCACGGCCAGATACAATGTCATTCCCCAGAACCAATGACCACTATCGAGACCGCTGGTCTGCTTGAGGTCTCCCCAGAAAAGGATGATAGAGAAGCCGAATAAGATCTATACAATCGATGAGGAAAATCAAAGCAGGTGAGAGCATACAACGTACGACGCTGTGATACAATGCATTGACAAACCACATCCAGAACGCTTTCTTTGTAAAGAACTCGTTCTGTTGTCCGAGCACATATAGCTGCGGATATCCGATCTAGGATTCGTGCCGACACGAACTGGTCGAACACACCAATAACGAGCGGAGGAAGAACGGCGAAAACAACGTTATACAACGACAATGTCCAAGATTCGTAGGCAATTTGTCCAGAGAAGTTATTAAAGAATGAATACTAGGGTCACGCAAGAAATAGATTAGAAAAGTCTGAAAAGAGCGACAAGCGTGAGACGAACCCAAAACTGTGTCATGTAGAGCACGATATTCTTATAGAAAGAATCTGTTCACGTCAACATTAGTCCAAGACAACACTTATAGGACGAAAGATTCACATAGGATGAGCTTCGATAAACGCCGGTAGCTCCATGCACCGTGAACAAGCAACAGCTTTTTCAGGAATCGGAACTGCGAGATGGCCACGTCTGCGGAACGAGCAGCTTGCAGACCCTAAACCACGATCATTGGTCAGACTATTCGGCAAGTGCACAAAAATATATTTACCTCCACGCCGGAAATACCTACGCCAACGTGGGCAGCCTGAATCATGCTCACGTCATTTGCACCGTCGCCAATGGCAAGTAAGATCGACTTTTGATTCTTCTTGACAAGCTTGACAACTAACGCTTTCTGCAGAGGCGATACTCGACCTAACCGAGAAGGAGCGGTGAGCTACCAGCTAACCGTCTACTTACCTTGGTTACTCACAGCAAATGACAGCTTTACACATGATAGCCAGCTCCAAGAATATCTTTGACATGGATTTCTCCAGAGCGAAGCCTAGACTTTTGCCGTCTATTCAAAACGTCTTGTTAAGCGCCTAGGAAACAGTGAGTTGGTGGCTCACCAATGATCAACGCCAAATCTTCTAGCTCTCCTGTACTCCGTTGATTCTTGATGGCACTTAAACGTTTACTCAAGAACTCTTGAGTATCATGCGCATTCTCCTCGTTCACGATGACCTAGAAATGTTTCATAATTGACTAGTATCATGCCATGCGACATTGCATACCAGATTCATTGATTCTGCAATCAATCTGCATGACATCCCAATATTGATGGCGGTCTCTTGACGATCGCCTGTCAGTACCCAGACCTGTAAAACGGCATTGAGTTCGGTATCTATGGCCTAAGAAAGAAAGACATACCTTGATACCAGCCATCTGCAGGGTATGGATAGTGTCCGGAACACCATCCTGAAGCTTGTCCTCGATAGCAGTAGCACCTAATAGGAACAGATCCTTCTCGATAAGTTCCGCCGCTTGATCGAGGGCTTCCCCACGGCCGTTGATAGTCGCCGCTGCCTGGTCATAGATAGCCGACCATTGGCGATATTCCTGCTCTGGTATATCACGGAAGGCAATACAGAGTGTCCGAAGTCCGTCAGTGGCATAGTCCTGAATTAACGATATAGAAGTGGTCAGGTCAGTTGACAAGCAGGCATACCTCGAGGTGCGATAAGGTTTTCTCCGTGTACGGCTGGTTCTTGCTCAGACGCTCTAAAATGACAGTATCGGCACCTTTGCAGTATATTTTGATCTTGCCATTGGGCATCCGGACAACTGTTGACATTCGTTTCCGCGTTGAGTTGAACTCGCAGACATTGAGAATTTCGAACTCCAGTGATCGTCCCTGGATATTCACAAATACGGATTTCGGCTTCCGGGTCTAAATGAAGAAGCACATAAGCTATTGATGAAGTCAAAAGTTTAATGACATTCACGTACATGGAATTGATACCCTAGAAGCTCAGCTCCAGCAACCAAGGCTGCCTCGTCGGGACTGCTTGCCTGGTAAATCGTCTTTCCGTCTTTAATCTCTGGAATTACGGTGTGACAGACCGCCAAGAGCGTCAGAAACTCTCTGACTACCTCCTTTTCTTGGTCCGCAGAGGCACCAGTTGAGCTTCCGTCCACAAAAGGATTCGCAGACTCCTCTGAAAGAGCTCGCATCTCCGCAAAGGTCTTCCACCCGTCCTTGCCGTCCTCGCCTTCTCGTTTATTTTCATCAACCACATCTGCATAAGCCACCCCGGCTATACTGCAGCATCGGAACTCCATCTCGTTACATGTCAGTGTACCCGTTTTATCGCTGAATACATACTCGATTTGGCCTAATTCTTCAACCAACGAGGAAGTTCGGCAGAGAGCTGGGGTATCCGTCTTCGCGTAGTACATGTCTAGATCGAAGTTGATAAGTTGAGCCTGTTGAAACTTCACGACCTCCATGGTGACAATGAGAGATATGGGAATTAGGTTGTTGTAGAGAATAATGAATGTGAGGATGTCTAGATAATTTCGTTAAGTGCCTGGATAACGGTAATGGATGTAGTCAAACCTTCGATGAAGCTCTTAGCTGCATAAAATGATAAGCTTTGAGAACATCACGATGGGATATCTCGCACCTCTTCCACTTATCGATGACGACTCGAATAGATACCACTGTTGGCTGGAAAAGAACCATGACCGTATGCTACCTCCTATGGTCGATCCTATTGACAGAAGAAGGAGGATAATGAACAGGAACACAATCTGCACATTGACCTGCCGTTCCACGGCTGTTCTCTTAATGGGAGCCGCACTTCCATTACAATTAATTCTGGCACCGCTCTAGATTAGATGTTCACACTCACGTAGCATTCCGCATTAGTTTCGTCTCATGACCAGAGAACACGCATAAACCATACACCCATGGTGTGTTTCGTAACTGAGCACCTCGTAGAAGCATCTGGTCGGGGCCGAGAGGTACCTGCTTCGGTGTACCGGCACTGGTTATGAGGTCTAACGTTCCTTCATAGGTGTACAGAGAGTTGTTAGGATGTTCGGACCGGAGGGAACCGTGCAGAGAGAGAATGAGTGGAGGGGCTGTTAGCGAGGAAGTATGCGGGGAGGCTTGCTTGATTTTCAGATTGGTTTCGCTGATGGCTTCTTTGAATCAACAGCTCTAATGATGAAACTAAAACGTACCCATCAAGATTGGAGGTTTCAATATAGCACAATCCTTCCGGTTCGCTGGAGCTGAGAAGAATCATATCGGCAGGAATAAAATCGTTGCTCTCCATCCGCACCACATCACCGACACGAATGTCCTTCCACTTCTGCTCCATGAATGTTCCCTGCGGCTCCAGAACCTTTGCCTTGCGTGCATTGAGTTCAGAGTCCGATTGATGTCGTTTCTAGACACAGTTAACTTGCGGACGGACATATTGTCACTGGAGACGCACCAAATCCTCTTGAACTTCCTTGAACGCAGAAGCTAGTAACACGACCGCAAGCGGAACAATGGTCGTATAAGGGTTGGTTGGTGAAACATCTGGTATTTGCTGTATACAAGCCGTGAACAGAAAAAACATGTTGGCGTATTTCGAGAATTGCTCTGAATAGGTCGGATGAATGATAAATGAATAATAACACAGGGTCCGAAGTCTCGGAAACTCACCAAGTAGAAACTTGGGAAGGAAGGTCACAAGGTTGTACTTGCTGGTAGAAACGAAATTCGAGGAGAACTCGGTATTCGCAGCGCTGTTGTTGAGTGCGACAATTCTCTCTCCCGTCAACTGTTTCTCTTTCTTCCACGGCCATTTCCACTGCCGTTTTATCTTCGTCCTAGGCTCTTTCTCCTTTGACCTGACGGACGAGCCATTAAAGGAATCTGACCCGCCGAACGGAGACTGATTCGAAGGGTGAAAATCATCATCGTCAAAGTTCCAGCCCTGTGGAACAGCCGTCTCCTTTAGAATTGCCTGTACCAGCCGGTGGCGCAGCAGAGCGTGCTAACGGCAAACCACTCTCCTGTGACTGCATGGGTATCGGCCGACTGTACGTGGACTCGAGGTCGTCGTCATCGTCGAAAAATGGATCCATGAGTTGCGGATTGGAAGGAGAATTAGCATAGGGAGTCGAGGAAGAAGATGGTGGGTAGCCATTATTCGTAGGCTGGTATTGTCTAGTGGCAGGATTCGCCTGTGAAACAAGGCGTAGAAAGTCGTCGCTCATTGTCGAGCTCGTCGTACGGAAGCTGGTATATTTCGGGGTCGCTGATGGTTCAGAGGCAATAAATAAATAAATAATAAAATAAGTAATACAGCAAATATGGAAAAGCCCCTATCTGCGAACAGTCATCCCAAATGCTTGGAGATATACCATGACATACGAAAAGAGTCAAGAAGCCAATATTGAATACGTACAAAGACATACAGCAAAGATTGGCTCAGTAGCGCATACGCGTGAGAATCCACCACTTCTGTCAAATATAGACGTCAACTTCAACCGAGATATAAATTTGTACTACTGAAATAGTGAGGCGTAGTATATGGAGCCCTTTTGAATAATAAGCTAACACTGTTCGCCAAACTGGTCAAAGTTTTTTGAGTAGTACAGCTTCCAGCGCACAAGGTTTCAGAACGGTGATGGGTGCAAAAATAGTTGCATGATACATAAATAGCTGCATATTTGCTGCCTTATTCAGTAACTACGTAATGGCAAAGAATCGCTTGACTTGTCCCGACTTTTGAGCGCTTGCGCTCTGTACGAACCTCCAGCTGAGTTTGTCGAATGACACCGCTCTTACCGCCCCATCACCACCGGTCAATATCTTGGACGACTGCGCTTCATGTGCCGTTGCCGGGTGGCCGTAATCGGCTGCGCATTCCTCTGCCGAACCTACGGGCCTTGCATGCAGCCAGCGTCTCTCGCTATGGCAAGAGAAAGGGCTATGCTCTCGTATTTTCTATCTATACGGCGGTGTTCTTAATCATCTATGCCCTGCTGCCCGCATTCGGTGTCGCGCCCACGTTGGTGTACAGGCGGGAAGACCTGAAACGGATATGGAAGTGGGAAATAGAGAGTGGGCATTATCCAACGAGGCACCCTGGTGAGTAGCAAATAACAGCGACCCGGATCTCGTTCTTATCAGGAACCCAATTAGTTCCCAAGGAACTAGGCCTAACCCCGGTTGACAATCCCGCCTTGCCCGCACAGCGTTTTGGTCACGACCCAGGGCACGGCACCGGCCCCCAAAGAGTCTACTTGTATGTGGAAGCAAAACCTCCATACGTGGCATACGCACCTCGGCCGATACCAGGCAGTGTTGCCGACTTGGACGTCGTTATGGAGCACTGTGATGTCTCGGGCAACAGGGTAAGCGATACGGCATCTCTTGCCCGCGTTAGCTAAGTAACATTGCAGTATGTCCGTGACTGCCTCGAAGTACTTCGCGTAGGCGCTGGACTCGATAAGGACGACCGTGTGCGCCGGCCAGTTCCCAACGAGTGGAAATATCTCTTCGTCGAGGATACCGTTACTCAACCGATTCCCACACGAACTCTTTACTCCCCGTTCGCATCCAAAGACAAGGATGTAGAGAGACTCCTGGATGCGAAATTCACCAAAAAACCCAATGTTGAATGGGAACCATCGCCTATATCTCTACCTCCGACGCAAGAACACCACATTTACTCTTCCGCTCATGGCCCCTGCGACCCTAACGACCCTCGTATTTTTCATATGTACTGGACAGGAGCATTCACAGACAAACCATATTTCGCCATCATTTCATTCCTCTTCACTCAAAATCTCGGGCTCCATAACCCGGACTACGAAGACGAACGTGTTTTCTGTAGACCTCAGCTGTGGCTTTGGATCAATCCTGTCCCCGCTGCTGCACAACCCTCCCCCCACGCCCACTCCGACTTGATCAAGGAACTGCAAGAGAACCCTTGGTCAGCGCCTTTCTTCCATCCTCGATTCTCTCGGGCCATACAGTTCAAATTCTGGAACACGACAGAACAACTCGACAGCCTTCCCGAGCTCAAAGATGACTGGAGACATGTCGGGAGCGTATTCAAGTCTCATGGAAAGTCGTATTCGAGCGGTAGCAAAGCCGCCCATCAGAGTGGTTCCAAGTCTTCCTCCTCTTACGATCGGTTTTCTGTCATAATGTCCGACATGGTCCGGTTTATATTGTGCCAGCGCTTTGGAGGTATCTACTTGGACGCGGATACACTTTTCCTGCGTGATTGGGAAGAGCTGTGGGGATGGAAAGGTTCATTCTCCTACCGCTGGGCCTTCCATGAAAGATACAACACGGCCGTTCTTCGATTGAACAAAGGATCAGCCTTAGGGACGTTCCTGCTCCGGACTGCCTTGAAAAACGAATTGGACTTTCATCCAATTCCTGCGTCGAATTACCTCAAGCATGGACGGTTGGATCCCTTACTCTACCGGGCACCTGGAGCCTTGTTCGATCCTGCCTGGATGAACGCAGATGGATATCAGCGAGATAGGCCTCCGCAACCATATTTCAAAAGGTGATGAGTGTTTTGAATATATGTACACTCACTTTGCCGATCAATTTTCCTATCAACAGGTTTTCCGACTTTTTCGACACACCTTCACCTGGCGGCGCCTCCCCACAAGCCTTGGGCTTTGATGGTTTCTTCAAAGGTGCATTTTCGTATCATTTTCACAACTCTTGGTTCGTTTCACACCTACTCGCTTTGTCAATTTATCTCAACGTAGTTGATAGGTGGAAACCCGTAGATCCGGGTCAGAATTGGCCCAATCTCGGACAGCAGTTTGGAAACGGTACTGCCAACCTTGCTGTTTTCCCTGCTGATGAACGGGATTTGAGCTGGTCGACTGTTCTTAAGAGGACATTTGAAGCTTACATCAGGGGGGAAAGGCCGAATATGTATGGTGAATGGATACTCTAGTAATCGGTGCGGTTCTTCATGTCACGGACCGATAAATATTGTACTGGCATACAGCATGTCCTGAACGACCTATTCATGATCATATATATAATAATTAATTTGCACAGGTTGCGGAAATCATTTGTTCAAAGGCCCGGTGAAATTAGACCCGCATCGTTGAAAGTCTACAAGAAAATACGGAACAATTTTGCGCCATCAACCGTCGACTTCATTAAACATAAGGAGTAGAATAGCACATTGTTTAGGGTAGATTTTTAAGGGGTTTTAAAAGAGAGAAAAAAATGAGAGACTGAAAGTGTAACAACGAAAACAAAGAATATGGTAAGCGAGTAATTGAAAGATACATCCCCGAGTAGGATGCTCGTCGACTTGACATAAACCTCTGAAAAATGTCAGCCGCGATCATGAATGAAATTTCCGGATTTACCTTTATACACCCATCTTCGAAAGCTCCTTCCTCGCCCTCTCAGTAAGTTCCTCGCGCTTTTGCGTCGGCCTGTCTTCCTCGGTCTCGGCCCTTGCGACTCTCCTTACATCCATCGTGCCCGTAGAGGAATCTATCAACTCTGTGTCCGTAGTTAGATAGTCCTCGCTCATAATCTCTACTTCACACTCCTTCCTCGTGATGTTATACCCCCCCTGGGATCCAACATTCCAGTCCTTGCTCCACGCGTCCAAGATGAAGAACATCGCATTCTTGAACCGGTACTTCTTCTGATAAAACGACAACGTCGACTTCGGAGGGACGGTCAGCGTGATCGTCTTGGTCTGGCTCTGTGTCGTCTCATACGTCGTGAACACCTTGGTCTGGCTATCCATGCTGAGCGACAGGCCCTTGAATCCGGCTGCAATCCCGACAGAGTTGGTGACCTCGTTGCCTTGGGTGACTTTGAGCTCGGTCGTATACTGAAGGGAGTATGTTTGCGTTGCAGCCGTGTTGTTCTCCCAAGACATCTTCGACACCCATGTGGTGTCGACAAGATAGGTGTCGAGGGAGGCGTAGAGGGCCTGTTCGCCTGGAATAAAATAGATGTTGGATCGACCAGACTTGACCATGGCATCGCCGCCGCTGGGCCTTGTAGACCACATACTTGGAGAATTCCTTGCTCTAGCGGACCTTTCAACGTCGTGGAATATAACGAGACAATGAACAAGACTCACCAACATGATGGAATGAAGAACGGATAGGTCAAATGAGATTCAGAAAATACCTAACCAGTGGCTTCAATAGTTGGATGGTTGTATGTTTGCGCTCAGGTAGGCTTGTCGCATTATACCTCTCGTACGTTCCAGCTGTCAGATGGAGATTGAAACTGGCACTGAAAAAGCCTATGAAGTCGTCGCGGATCCATAGTGCCACTAAGGCAGTAGAACGATACTCTGGGCCAATGAATTGATACAAGAATTTCTTGGGCCTTGTTTACCGGAGTCGTCCCTGCCACTGTCCTCTTTAGTTCTCCCAACTCAGAGCTTCAATAGCCCCAATGTATTGAGGATTCTCTCGCCCTATCACTCGTCATCTTCCTTTCCCCACCCACCATGATCCCGGACAAATTGAGATAGGTGCTTTCAATCTACTGTTCCTTGGCGTCTGACTTCTGCATTACGACAAGGTCTGGCGCTCCTGACTGCTGCTCGCCACGGGGCCCAATTGCACGATTAGGACAGTCTCCTTCCTGCGCACGGACCGTCGACTAGGCAGTGGGCGGCGAGAGTCGGGACGGCTCCGGGTCACGGTAGAACCGAGAGAAAGGGTGTACAAACAGACTTGTGTGTGTGAAAGGCGTGGCACGAGGATACGCTCATGACCAGGTGAGGAACCAGAATAAAAGAGGGTTGGCCAATAGACGGACAGCTGGTACTAGTGAGGCCTATCAATCAGAAAGTACAGGTCTGCGGAAGATGTGAATCGTGTTCAAGCCCGTGTTTGAGCTCCGATTTTATGATCTAGAGCCCTCATAAGAGTCCCGTGTTCTTCAACTCCAGCACAAAGGGGATATCGCATCTCTTAGTCGAGCACTCCCTTGCGATGGAGCAGCCTAGGATATACTATATTCTTCCCACCTTCGTTTATGCTGCTGCGCTGATATCGAACCTCTTGAACACGGTATGTAATGTCACAGGTATAGCAGAAGTCAGGGAAGATAATGATGTGGCGGGGGTCTCGTGTGACGTCTAAATACTGACACCACTGGCTTCGAACTTATCATGACCCATCAGTGATCTAGCGTAAAAGTAAAAATCAGCAGTGACCTTCTCGTAAAGGATATTGACATAGAGCCAAGACGGAATTCTGTCCTTCAACCTATCCACAAACACCTCGATATGCGTTGTGTGTTTTGTCTACATTCTAAGAGAAGGCAAGATAAAAATTCCTTCCTTCCTCCCTGAGGTACAGCCACTGCCGGCGGGTACCTGAGAAAACGCGTGACCGCAGACATGGCTCATCTAATTTGAAGTCATTTCGACGTAAGTTTTCTTTTCAAAAGATTATAATTTCATATTGGCGGCAACAAAACATACCGAGGAAAAAGAACATGGTAGGTAAAAGTTATTTGGGCTGTTTATTTCTGAGAAAAATGACCTGTACAAGGTAAATGATTCCGACGCGCAAAAACTGAAGCATATGAAGGCCTGAAAGCGTAACAAGGGACAGAGACACATAAAAAGACAACAAAACAGGATACTGAAAGATGTTCATTGGGCAGGAATATTCGCAGGCTCTGCATCAAGCTGCAAATATATCAGCCATGATTGTGAATAAGATATACGTATTACCTTCAAACCCATCTCAACAAGTACGTCTTTCGCCATCTCAGGAAGATCCTTAGGGTCTCGCGTCTCCCTGCCATCCTCGACGTCAGCCCTCACAACCGATGGCACATCTATTGTACCCGTTGTGGAGCGAGTCAATGTCGTGCCGACAATCAGATAGTCCTCGCTCATAAGCTCCACTTCGCGCTCATCTCAGGACATCATCTCCGCCTGGAGAGCCAACATTGAACTCCTGACCCAACGTATCCAAGACGAAGAACATCGAGTTTCTGAACCAATATTTCTTCTGATAGAACGTCAACGTCGAATTTGCAGGGATAGTCAACGAAACCGATTTCGTGTCACTGTCCGTCGTCTCGGAGTCAGAGAATACCTTCGCTTGGGTATTCATGGTGATCGACAAGCCCGGTAGAAAGCCGCAATTCCAAGATTTTGGAATATCAGCGGCTTCAGCTTCTTTGGGGCCCGTCACATAGTCGAGGGTGTAGGTTTGCGCTGTGTCGGTGGTATTCTCCCAGGACATCTTATAGATCCAAGTGGTGTCGATAAGATGAGAGTCATTGCAGGCGTAGAAGGTCGTCTGGTCGGCGGGATGCTCATAAATAGCGGTCCGACCAGACTTGATCAGGGCGTCACCGCCGGTGATCTTGTAAACGACATAATTGGCGAACCTTTGGCTCTAGAGGATCATTTCAACATTTTTAAAAGAATATGAGGTAATGAAACACTGACCATAATGATGAATGAAAAATGGCTTGGTCGAAAGAAATTAGAAGAATGGGCGACTGACTGAGAGAAGCTCCAACGGTTAGGTGGTTGTATCCTTGCTGTCGCTTTTATACGTCTCATACATACATCCTGTCAGGAAGATTGTATAGGCAGGCTCGGTCGCAATATACGGCTGAGGTATGCATAGATCCCTACAAACCAGGAAGAATGGGCATTTTTCGAATGCCCTTTCTATTGGTAGCGTCATTGAGGAAGTAGGACGGCAGCCTGAGACACGGCTTACCAGTGCATCAACCTCCCTACATTCTTTGACCGCCGTCTTCATCTCTGCGGGTCCAATCATTCAGTTTGTATGGGCTCGGTGTACATTGAGCATTCCGCAGATCATGTATCACAAACCGGGTTCGATAATTCCACTCGTTTGGGTATCGGCAATGTCGGCTTTGATGAACTCTGCTCCGGGCGATTCGTGTTCGGGTTGTGCAGTTAGGAAGAATGAGTGGACGCGCGAAGACGACTGGAGAATTGCTGGAGATGGTCGATTCGGAGCGAATAAGCATCATTCATCATTGCAGTTCGGCAACTGCCGAAGATAACCATGGAAGAACCTGGCAAGTACCCAGCCGATACGAAAAAAAGACGTTGTTCAACTCGATGCGATAATAACTCATGTAGCACTGGACGATCAATTACGATTATTGCTTTCTGACTAAAGTAACGTAACAGCATTTTCCGCTATCGGATTCACTTGAGTTATAGATCAAACGGACTGTTTCAGGATCGCGCATCTTAGATAATTCACGATCTCCTTGCACCAATATGGGTACCAGCCAACTCCCGCTCCAGTTCCTCACTAGGATCATCCATGACAGGGCGTAGGCGGCCTGTTAGCTTGAGGAGGGGCAGTGAACCCCGACGTAGTTCCCTCCTTGGCCTTGCATTGGAGAGTTCATGATCTCGTCCCGTGATGGAAGAGGAAGGCTTTATGATACTAATGAGACTCTATCGTTGACGGCAAGGTAATAGAGGTATTACCTGTCCTGTCGGCGAATTTGACCCGCCTGCCCTAGCCTGTGCACGAACTTCAACACGGAAGGAGTTTACTTCATCAATAATTAATTTCTTCATTCCATCAATGCTGTCCTCTTCTTCAAATCCGAAGTCGAACTTCTGCGGGTGCGAATAGGTGTTCAGTAGCTAACACATGGGACCGGAGAGACAAGCGCACCGAATCACAAACGGGCTCGTCAGCCGGATCATGCCATACTTGGAGGTAAGGATGGTTAAGCGCCTCCTCGCAACTTATTCGCTTGGCTGGATCGAAGCACAGCATTCCTGAGAGCAAGTCAATCGCGAGGGGGTTGGCGTGAGGAAACAGTGTTGAGAAAGGTACCCGGGGCTTGATAGGAAGAGATCGGATATAGTCTTGGGCCTTCAAAACGTTCAATCATAAGGCGCCTGTCCTTAGTTGGAAGAAAAATCTTACGCGGGGAGATCCGACACGTCGAAGCGTGTCTTCAGATGGCGTTCCAAGATAATGAAGAATCTGGTTAAGCTGATCGACATAACTGGAAGACGGGTAAGATCAAGTTTCAGACATGAAACAAAAATCATCACGAACTCGCGACCCTTGAAAATGGGTTTGCCGCCCAATAGTTCGGCCAAAATACAGCCCACAGACCAAACATCAATGGCAGTGGTCTAGATGTATATTTAGAATGGAAGCAGAAGTGAAAATGATAGGGACACACGTAATTGGCAAAGCTCAGCATGATTTCTGGAGCTCGGTACCATCGAGTCGCAACATATTCTGTCATGAAACCTTGATTTCCGGCGGCTTTCGACGTGCCTCCTCCGGGAGTATAGCCTCTAGCAAGTCCAAAGTCACAAATTTTAAGTTCGCAATCAGCATTGACCAAAAGGTTTCCGGGTTTAAGATCGCGGTGCAAGACATTGGCGGAGTGAATATATTTCAATCCGCAGAGGGTCTGATAAAGGAAAGACTGGAAGTGTGCATCCGTGAGGGGTTGACCGGATCGAATCTGTACGACAATCGATAACATATTTCGTCAACAGGTAGCCCAATACTCACGATGGCGTGCAAATCGGCCTCCATCAACTCTTCCTGGATATCGGTTTATTAGTGAAAAGATCCTTCATTGAGAACCACTCGCTTACATAGAGATACACTTCATCAAAATTGCCGTTGGGTTGAAATACAATATCCATATCGTACAAGCAGGTGATCTGCTTGGGATATAAGTGATGCAAGAATAGGTCAGGAATCCGAGGACGAACATTTTTGTGTCCTCGGAAGTGGTGCAACAGTCTGGATGTATATCTGTCAGGGATGCAAAAGCGAATGCGGCCAGAAATGCATACCTGATCTCTCTCAGACACCGCTTTGTTAAAATACGCTTGGGAGAACCAGAGATCAGCAACTACCGTGAATAGCAGAATAAAGACACACCTTGGTATTGATATTCGTGATTTTCTTAATGGCGCAGCCCTCGCCTGATCTACGATGTCTCGCAGCGACCACACACCCATAAGCGCCCTGGCCAAGTTCCTTGACGAATTGGTACTCGGAATCGACGATGAACGTGGAGTTGAGTGCGGTAAAGGTATGTCTCTGCATGGTGTCTGCTTGAGAAAATCTTGAGGGGGTGGGAATATATACAAAGATGGTGGTACAAGTGAAAGCTGTATATTGACAAAGATCAAAGATTCTGTTTGGCAATGCTGATGAGCACCGCCACTTTGCGATCGGTATCATAGGGGCTGTACGACACGCTTCGTTTCGAGGCTAGATTTTCATCGACGTGAAATATTAACGCTGTGAATCACTTGGGATGCGTACGGTGTTCTGCATTTGTCTAGGAAAATCGTCTCGGAAGTAGTTCAAAAACCACCAACCAATAGGAAAGTTACCTGTGGAAATTGAAGTGAGTTTTGGTCTTACAGCGAAGTGCCAGTTCAGAAGGGACCAAACGCTAGACTTTCAACGTTCAACACGTACCGTTGTATCATATGTACACATCGGAGGGCTTATGCTTAACCTTGAGCTTGAGGCTTTAAACCAGCCACTTTGCGCTGGCCATCTCCATGCCGTCTCCACGCATAGTCATGCGAACTCCAAACAAGGCTCCGCGTTGAAAAATTGCCAACATAAGCATATCACTTTAATGATACTGACGATTATACATATGATCTATAATTTGGACGTCTCGGGGATAGGAGTTGAATGCTTTTGGATGAAAGCGAGAGACTCCTCCAATAATTTATCTTTCACACCGTCTTCTTTCTCATTAGAGAGCTCGTGGAAGGCACCCTGAAAGTCCTTCAGCATTGTAATTTTGAAAAGCATAGTAGTAGAATCCGTAACTCACGGGATATGATACATATTTCTTATCCTCCGTGCAGACTGCGTCAAAGAATGCCCGACTTGCCTTCGGACTCGTAATCTAAAGCAATGTTAACGCCGCCGCCGTAATATAAATTTCCAAACTAAACCAACCCTGTCGTCCGTCCCATGAAAGATGATCAACTGACAATTAAAAAAAGATGAGACGTTGGCTCAACGTAACCCCGAACAAACACGTACAGGAAGCTTCTTAGGCCAATGATGGCATCGTGATTTCAGAAGGTCCTCGCCCTGTCATGATGCAATGATCAGTCGACAATATTTATGAACTGTCAAAGTCAAGAATCATACATGATCGAGCATATCCATCAGACCAAGGAGACTTCCCGAGGGCTTTACAAGAGGATCCTTTACATAGGCCGCGCCGACAGAAGTATCGCGAGATAGTTCCTAAGGGTGGAATCGGTAAGTAATGGGAAGGTATTGAGTTCTTGACCAGACCCACGTCAGGAGCAAGGTCCGCCGGGAAGAGAACGTAGGGAGTCAGGAAAGCCAATTTGCTGAGACTCCAACGTAGGACCTTGTTGACCGGAAAGGTCTGCTCGACCATAGGACTCGTAGCTATTACGCCGGACAAAGACGCGACCGTAGAAGCATAAGGAGAAGTCCTTCCTTCAGTAGGGAACCCCAAGACTTCTCCACCGCCCTATCTCAAAGATGAATTCTGAGCCGCTGCAGAAAGTGAAGACGACTACGCACCATGGACTGCCCCATGAGGAACACGGGTACTCCAGGAAGCTCCTTCTGTACATGTTGGATAGCCCAAGCGACGTCCTCCATTTCATTGGCCCAGTTTGTTCTGGCGTACGAGCTGTCTTTACTCTTGTTCTCCTTGTCCAGCGCCGTCCTTCCGAAGCCTCGCTGGTCATAGGTGAAGACAGCGACACCACGCTCGGCAAATTGGGAGTGCAGGTCGGTATATCGACTGCAGTGTTCGCCGAAACCATGAACAAAGACGATGACGGCCGTGGGACTGTCGACCTTGAAATAGCGCGTAAAGAAGTTGGTGGAGTGGGGGCCTTTGATCCAGGACTCGGTCAACGTCGACGCCATGGGTGAATGAAGTTACTCGTCGTCGCCGCAATTTCCAGTCTTATGAATATCAGACTCGATTGGGTATCCCGGGGCCCCTACCCGTTGCTGACCGTGTGATAGATTGAATGGAACCTGACACAGCCCAAGCTAGCTAAGAATACCGGTGATTCAGCCGACACTGAATCACTCACCCATCGTTTTCTTCTGTTTTTCTTTGGAAAATTGTCTTGTTTCTCCAATTTCGCGATGGTAGTACGGAAGGAGGCGCGAAGTTGCTTAGTCACTGACGTACACGTCATGAATTGAAAAGTCAAGTATTAGGTATTCAATGGAAATTTATCTGAAGAGCTTCGTACGATATCCATCCAAGGTAATAAAGAGTCGAAGTCCAAGAAATCTAGTAACCTCCAGCACCAGGAGCAGCGTCACCTTCCCTCCTCAATCTCAACAGAACTTCCTTGAACCGCGTCAGATCCGTCGTTCCTGGGCCTGCCCTTGCAATAGTCTTGCTTTGCGAATTTTGAAGCTCAATAATATCACAGATGCGCTCCCAGGTCGTACCCTTGGACAGCGACTCCGTCAAAGATTGACGATATTCCTGCTCTTGCTCCCTATATCCACTAATTAGCATACAAGCGCTTCTTGGCAGGTTTATCACTCACTTGTTCTCCGAAATAGTAATCTCCTTCTTTGCGTTGTATTTTTCGTAAAATTCATCAATGGCTCGCTCTGCTCGACTGATGGTCTCTTGACGGCGGGCTTTGGAAGCTTCGTCACGAGCCGCGATCTCTTCAGCTTGGCGGGCGCGCCATTCCCTACAGAGAGGTCAGCAGGAAAAAGAAGTATAGTATCAGGCATCTCCTACTTGATTACATCTGGTTCATCTTCCTCGATGGTTTGGGTGAGGATGGGTGTTGAAGAGAACACAGAGGGTTGTGGACGAGGCGCAAACGTCGCACTGAATGTCGGCGTTTGTTGCGGGGGTGATGAAGTCTATTTGGATGCAGTCAGTCATCGTGTTTTCGAAGGCGAGTAGCTCAACGCACCGGGCCCATGTCAATGTCAGGGAACTCGCTCTCAAACTTTTCAATGTCATCATCACCGGTGACCTTTACTGACGTCTCCTTTTCGATAATGGGAGGTGGGCTATTGAAGTCGTCGAAAGAGAAACCAGATCTGCCAGCTGGAGGCGCAGGAGCCAACTGTGCTGGAACAGGGATGTCGCTCTCGCCATCCAGTGAAATGTCAGGGAAGGCAGATGCAGCACGGTCGAAGTCAATATCATCGTTAGGAGCTGTATTTCATTAGAAAATGGCATAACTGGACGACCAGGGACCTACAGGAAAACAAGTCGGCCATGGCTGTCGACGTTGAAGGAAAGGTGGAAGGTCGTGGGAATTATAGGCTTGCACATGCCGCTCAATGTACCGGGCTTGTTGGTTCCTCTGCAACTGCTCTGGTATCCCAGGGTCATAGTACCGTCTCTTATCGTGAAAGGCGCGCCATTTTTCAATTGATACTCCAGGAAAAATTAAGACATTTGTCGCAGAAAAGACATACGCCAGCTCGACTTTCCGGCACTGAAAAGGCTGGATATCGCGGTGCTATATTCGACAAGGATAACTGCCTTGTAATATTGTTTCCAGCTCGCCAACGTTTGTCTTTCTTACACATTTTGTAGACTCTTCCTCACAAAGATGAGCTGGTGCCTGAGTTGAAGGTGCACATCTACAGAAATTTCCTTGGTTTCCGTTGACTCCAATCGCTATAGACCGCCTGGCAAGAATGTCGAGAGACTTTTGGCGAAGGCAACGTCATTATTGTCAGCAACTCTGCTGGGACCCATTTGGACGCAGGCGGGATACAGGTTTGCTTCATACCCAACACCCTCGTTTCTGGATTAACATGACAATGAATCGCAGGCTGAATCGGTCTCTTATCATCTGGATGTACCAGTTCTGATTCACACAACAATGAAGCCCTCTTATTCATGTATTGCTGCGATCCGGAAATATCACTCCTCGTTACCCAGCCCAGTCGAAGACAAAGAGTTGATCATAGTCGGAGATCGATTATTCACCGATGTTGTCCTTGCCAATCGCATTCGATCCTGGAAGGGATGGCGGTCATTTTTGGGACTGGATCGTGAACCCCCTTCTGCCAAGGGTGGCCCGCTTGCTGTATGGACTACAGGAGTTTGGCAGAAGGAGGCAACGGTCCTAAGATGGTCGGAAAAACAAATGTTAGCTCTGGTTCAGCGGTGGTCTCGCCCAGGGATAGAGACTCAGCTAGACACGGGGGCATTTATTCGGAAGCCGCCAAAGGAGGAGAATACAACAAAGGACGCTGGGCTTGGGAATATATTCACAAAACTTGTATGGAGGTACGTCTTGTTGGTTTGTTCTCGAGATCAACGACCTTCACAATATACGTATAGGAGGACTTGAACATTGGTAGCACTGTCTTAAGTATGTGTAGGACAGTTCGAAACGATCGTCCATTCCATCATCGTCAGGAGGTATCAATCCCGCTGTGTCGCTCGTTTCAACAGCCCAAACATAGTCTACACTAAGCAATGCTTGAATCACTCGAGCGCTGCCTCAAATTGGTTCTTACTGCGCAGTGCATGTCTTGTATCTTCTTCTTTTGCTCTTGTCCCCGGGCCCAGTAAGATCTCCTAACGTCAATCTCCGCACTTCCTTGCTTCGACAATGTTTTTCTTTCTGTTTTAATATTTTGTAATGCAATAACGGGGTCAAAATTACTCCCGCTGACCAGCACCAACCCCATCCACATGTTCATATAAGCACTCCTTCGCTCCTATACGTCTTCCTCTAGTGATATATTCTGCGAATTGCAGGGGCTGGACCCGTGCTGTTCCTCAGCTTTGATAGCGCCCCAACGTTTACATTGTTTTTTGCCACGCTCATTCAGATTCGTGAGTATTCTTTGCATTACTTTACATTCTGACTAGCTCAAAGCATCTCAGCTTCTTCAGAGATATCTTACGTAGGCACTATGCACTACGTCCAAACAACTACTCGTGTCTACCGTTCGCCTTTCATGTTAGTGTGCACTCGCCTCCCGTACTAACCTGACCTACAGATGACTGCCCACTCCCCACCTCATCTCTATCATCATCTGAAAACAGATCGGCGGATCACCGTCCGAAGTCTTTAGGCCTGGCAGAAACTATCGAAGGCCCGGATGAGCAACAACGACCAGCTACACCTCCCCAGCGTGAATTTCGCACTTATGGCCGAGGAGGCGCGCGTTCTCGACGTCCCAGAGTTAAGCCCGACAAACGCGAACTCAATCCGAAAGACAAGCCCAAATTTCCATCCTTCAAGTTTCCGGCAAAGTGGCGGCCTAAGGTCCCTATTTCTGGGCAAACTCCTCCCTCCAGTCCCGGATTTTATGATATGCCCTGGTGTGGACCGTCTTTGTCGTCCCAATCTGCTCCTTCTCTCCCGTCCTCCACATCCTCTCCTGCGGCGTCTAATACTCCTCGCCTGCCGTTCGATGATAGTCCCCCATGTTTACTCAACGAGACCTATTTCTTGCCAACCTCTGGAAGAGGAATTCGAAGAAGACGAGGACGTCCAACACTGACTCATTGTCGGTCACTCGTTCAATATCCTCGACATTTTCGGGGCATTCATCGTCAGCCTCAGGCTCTTCGTTTACTTCCCTGTCACGCCCCGAGGAAGGTGATGATTCCGCGAGCGAGATGTACACAGAATCATCTGAACCCTTTGAAAACCCTTCCTCTGCGCCATATAATAGTCTAGAGAGGGAGATTGGTTGTCAAGACGCTGGTGCAGTGTCTGGATGTGCAAGTTCGTCTACAACTGAGATTACAGTTGTTGGGATGGGCAATGAATGCGATGTGTTAGATGCTATGAGGAAGTTGCGTACTAAATGATGATATGCTGTAATGAAGATACTTAATAGAAGAAATTCTCTGATGGCTAAGCTCGATGCCAACCTACCCGTCACTTGACTGGATTCCGTCCCTTGTTAGACTGGCTGAGGCTACCCAAGTTTTGTAGTTTAGCGCTTTATCACTTATAGTCGGGACTCGGCTCGGGTCCCGCTCAGTTCCGAGAAGTATGTGGTCATATTTGTCTACGACCCTCTTCCCCTCGACGTTCAATGCATCTACACTGGCACAATGAGACGGTTCAGACCTCCTGACGTTTCTTCCCTCATAACTAGTACTTTCAATGCAAATGCCACCATTCCCGACCCTCGCAATGTATATGTCGCCTGATCAGGCAAGTTATCAAGACAAATACAGACGTCTTTTTCGGCCACTGGTAAGGTTCAGCTCTATCGTCACTGTTTTCTCAGTTGACCGAATTGCCTGGAAGTCGAAAGTATGGCAAACGGGTTATGAACGACATCCTCTACGAGCCTTGGCGCAGCGGGAAGGAGCACTGGCAATGGAGAAATTTCGTCTCTCCGATGTTGCCTTCCGCGCACGGAACAAGGCAGATACAGCGATTTACAACTGTGATGCCCACGAACACCTTGGAAATATGCACCGGTATAATGCCGCTGCTGCCCACTGGATATTTACTGGTACGTCTACTTGCATTTTTCTTCTGTTTCGTCTGCTCAGCCTTTGCGACAGACAATAATAAGAAGGTAAACTTGTTCCGAATGTGCGAAGATGACTCTATTGAAAGCAACATAGACTGTCCCATTTTCTTATGATCTGACATTGTCTCCACGCCCAAGAGGCCACTTTTTTTGCGGAGCGTGATCATCAAGGACGCGATAGCACACCGTGATCCCTACGTGTGGCTTATATGTGGTATAATATTTTGACTTCGTTGGGTCTCCTCCATCTGATAAAATCATTATAGGACGCGACTCTCACGTCAGGGACTGGGCTTAAAGATAGATCCTGTAATGGCTGCGATCGAGCGAATGCTGCGACAGTAATGTGTTCATACACTTAGCATTCCAGTTACGACTAACGAAAACTTCTAGGCGTGAACTGAAGTGGGAACTAGGCGATGGGGGATTCAAAGTTATACTGGATAACCCATCGACCTCCCCTTCCCAACCAATCCAATAACTCCAGCGTAAATGCGTTCCCGTACGAAATCGAGTGGCCCTAGCTCGACTCTCCAAATCCAAAAGCTCCACCTACTCCAGCGACAGCTTAATTTGGGCAGTGAACAAGAGTAATATACAGTTTCTCCTCTCCTTTCTTCGCGTATTGACGGTAAAGGACAGACGAAAGTTGCCGGGTGGGGAAATAATCAGCTGTTTCTGGCGATAAACGACCTGGGTGAGACTAGGCGAAAACGGGCCCGAAATCAACCGGAACTGCCGTGGTCTCGGATGTTGCACAACGTCAAATCTATTGCGTCGCCGACATTTTCCAGCGCCGCCAGCGACGTATTAAAACCTTCTATCGTAGTCAATCTGCGACCGTGTTATAGCAGAAGTGGTCAAATATAAGCCTGATACCGCAGAGCGGTCTAGCGCCTGCTACATTCTCATAGGAAGAACGATTTTGAGCATGCTTTTCGGGTATCCACGGCGTTATCAATCTCCAGCATCCCTGCCGTCAAGAAACAGATTGTCGCAATGATTGGATCCATCGTCATCCCCGTAGATGCGCCCTGATTTGAAAGAGCGTCAGACACGTTGGCTGACCGACAGCACTTCTGCTTGGGTTTCAAGTCTAGGATTGATCTTCCCTCCTCTCTTTAATGCAATCATCAGAAGGTCCTGCAATGTCTGTATCTCCATTGGAGTAGGTAATGTTGCACAAGATGAGGAGCTTGCCAATGTCATAGCAGTGTTCACATGGTATTCTGCCTATGAATTGATCTTTCTGAGGAAGTACCAGGATGGTTGAAACACATCTTCTGGGATGACATGGAGTATCTAAATGTATACATTTTTGTCTGTTCAAGTCGCTCATCCATTCATTGCAAGAATTAGATGACAGACTCGACGTCTTCAAGGCGCCTTTTGAGCTGTTTAGTAGCATTTGTTCAATCCAAAGCTAACTATAGCATATGTAGCTCACATGGCTCAATGTTGTGACTTACCTAAGTGTGAGCAAGCAGTCATCTACTTGAGGAGCTTGTTGCTCGGCGCTCAGCTACGGACCGGTCCAACCTTAGGCTATTATGCTCCGGTAGATTACGCTTTCATCAAGAGTGGCGTGAAATGGTAGCGATGTGAGCTTATCCTGTGGCGTCGGTTACAAAGGAACGGATCAAAATAGTTTTGATACTAAAAATGCCAGGAGCTTGTCGGCGAGTAGGGGACTGCGCGAGCGTCTTCAATGTTAGGAGGAAATTTTTTGATGAAAGCTGATGAAAGATTTCGGGCCGCCATTAACCGGAAGGCGTCGGTGATGACGTGGTCCATATCGGTAAGCCAGAACCCACCGGCCGAAAAGCTCCTACCGCAACCTTGCTCCTGCCAGCACTCATTACGACTCGGACGCGCCGTGTAGCGACCTTCAACGACCTGGATTCTACGCCGTATCATTCTCTATCTTAGCCAAGAAAGCGGATCGAACGACCGACCGAGCTAGGAGGCGATTTCGCGTTGGACCTGGGAAATGATTCTCTGTGGATCATGGCGTTTCCTGTCTTCGACAAAGTCGTTTGGACGGTCGCCATTGGTGCAGCAGTTTCCTACCCTTCGCAATAACGCCAGTTTTCTCTCGTCGCAGCGGACAATTTTACGATGTCGCGCCTTTGCGACGCAACAGGCCTCGGAGCCTTCCCAGCCAAAACCTCAGTCGTCGATAATATCCCGTGTGCTGCCTTCAGTCTTTTGCAAACTCCCCGTCGTCGTCATCATTTCGTAAAATTGTGGCATTAGCGAAGCCTGAACGCAAGCCACTTTCGATCGCTGTGGGTCTATTGCTGGTGTCATCCTCCGTGTCCATGTCCGATTCCATTCACGGTTGGAAAGCTCATCGATTTCTTCTCGACAATAAATCCGGTATTTTTCTGTAAAATGCGGAATGTACTGCCTCACTGACACTTACTAGCAGATTCCATTGGGATTGTCTATTTGGCAAGCTTCAGGGCTGCTCGTACTATTATTCACGGCAGGCGCCGCTGCCAATGCGTCAAGGGCAATGCTTATGAGGATCGCTGGTAGGTCAAACTTAACACATTCCGTGCGCGTTTCTAATCCTGAGCAGGTCAGCGCATCGTCGCAAGACTTCGAGAACAGATGTACGCAGCTTCTGTCCGCCAAGAAGTTGAATTCATCGAGAAGAGTGAAGGTGATGTCATCAGCCGACTCAGCGTTGATACCAGTGTTGTTGGAGAAAGGTACGATCGCACTTTTTATCCTGTTGTCTTTTTTTGACATTTCGCGAAGCGTGACGCAGAACCTTTCTGATGGACTTCGAGCCGTAATCATGTCATCGGTTGGGTGTAAGCCATTTCGCTATAACTATTTGACGTCTCAAAGCCTCATGCACGAAGAACAGTGGCCGCCATGTTTTATATCTCTCCAACTCTCACTATGCTGATGTTGGTCATTGTTCCACCTGTATCTTTGGGTGTGGTACGTTTTCGATCATCCAAGCTCCACCAAAAACTATTTTGAATACTAGAACAGGTATTCTATGGCCGGTACCTGAAAAAGTTGTCATTGAGAACGCAGGAGGCGATGGGAGAAATGACAAAAGTTGCCACGGAGTCGTTGCCTGCCCTTCGTACGGTTCAAGCCTTCAATGCGCAAAGTCAAGAACAAGAGAAGTTTCACGAAAAAGTGATGAAGGTGCTTCAACTGGCCAGGAAAGAAGCCATTGCTAGTGGTATATTCTTTGGCAGCACCGGCTGGAGTGGTAACATAACACTTCTTGGACTGCTTGGTTATGGTACGCTGGTTCTCACGCACTTGATTGAGGGTGAATGACCCCTTTTGCATTCAAGGTGGGACTTTAGTATCACGCGGCGAAATTTCCGTGGGAGATTTGACGAGTCTGCTTCTTTATACGGTCTACGTTGGAAATGGATTGCAGATGATAACGTATAGCGTGTCCTCCCTGTTCTTTCACGTGTCGCTAAAATTCTCTATAGGACGTTCTTCGTACGTGCAATTTCATACATCCAAAATGCATATCTAGATCTACTTTCAGTCATCTATCATGCGTGGTGTTGGGGCAGGAACTCGTATCTTCGATTTGCTTGACAGAAAGCCAGCGATTCCTCCGGACACTGGTATCACTTTGGATCACAGTCGGCGTGGAATAGTGAAGTTTGAAAACATTCGTTTCGAGTATCCCAGCCGCCCAGGTGTTGAGATTCTAAAAGACCTTAATTTCGAAATTGGAATTGGTGAAAGTGTCGCCGTCGTGTACGTTTCTCTTTGACACATATTAACATGTTGCGTTAATCTCTTAATTTTAGTGGAAGGAGTGGAAGTGGAAAGACGTCCATTCATTCCCTGCTTCTACGGTATTACGATCCGGTGAGTGGGAAGGTCACCTTTGACGGACAAGGTATGGGAACTGTTTTTTTTGGAAGTGGGACCTCATAAGCATGCAGATATACGCGAATTCTCTGTCGACTCTTGGCGTGGCATCATCGGGGTTGTGCCACAGGATCCCATCCTATTCACGGGGACGATCGCTTCAAATATAGCCTACGGGAATCCCGCCGCTACTCGGGAACAGATCGAGCACGCGGCCAGAGAGGCTAACTGTGAGTTTGTATGGGGCATGCCAAAAGGATTTGACACTGAGAGTGAGTATATACCTGCGTGCCTGACCATGAGAATCCTAATAGTATGTCCACGCAGTTGGTCGAACGAGTTTAAGCGGCGGACAGCGACAGCGACTTGCGATTGCCAGAGCCTTACTTAAAAAACCGGCTATCCTTGCACTAGACGAAGCGACAAGTTCTTTGGATGCTACGTCAGAGCATAGGGTGATTACACTTTATGATGCATGAATTCGGTTCTCACAACAGGGGTATCTAGGTAAATGATGCGGTGGACAAAATACTTCGCTCTCGGCAAACTACATGTCTGTTTGTAGCGCACAGGCTATCGACGATTGCTAGAGCCGAGCGAATAGTCGTTCTTGAAGGTGTGTGTCGCTATTGAAGACGCTACCGAACTAACATAACCGTATGCTCTAGATGGCCGTATAGTGGAATCAGGATCGTACCGTGAACTAGTGCGTTTATCTCTCAAGAGCCAAAGCACGTATTGAATTTCACTCACCTAAGGTTAATCGCGAGCATTCCAAATTCCGGGATTTAATGGCAGCTCAATTAGATGCCGCTTCTAGGCAAGCGCCATCTTGGAGTCAACCTCCGTCCCTCAAACCAGAGGCGCTTCAGGCCGAAGCATAACAAGCGCCCTGAGCGCTTATTTTGACGTACGTACATAATAGATTATTATCTTTATCCACCTGTATCAACAAAAGCACACGACCAAGTGTATATCTATAGTAGAACCCATATAAAGATATCTCTTACTCTCTTAGAGCCAGAAGAAAACTAAAAGCGACCTAAAAGCATTAGGATTCTTTCCTTGATTACTACTTCTCAACACGTTGCTGACGCGTGTTGCCTTTATAGTCCTTCAGCCCTTGATCCCATCTCAACAAGACTCAATAAGAGGCACCATCGCAATGGAACAGACTCAGTTGCACACACCCGTCTCTACGACTTCGACATACCAGACTTTTCTACCACCTCCTGAAATTATGGCAGCAAAAAATGCTTTTACGACCATTAAGAGCGCTACGGCAACTCTGGATGTAACATTGATTTGGCATTCCATCATTGCATTGCTATGCGCTCACTTCCATCTTGCAGGATGTGTTGGATAAGATGATAGTCAATCATTACCATGTCGGTATCCTTGGAAGCAAGACTGGGCTTGCCAAAGATATTGAAGCGTGCGACTCAGTTTGCCGCCACTGTTCTTACCCACTTATCCGATGCAGGATTACCGCCGATATCGCTGATCAGGACAAAGAGCGCAAACAAGGGCTGAAAGAAATACAGCGTGAGCATTGCGGACTTTGCTGCAAGCGATCCGTTTTTAATGTTTCATATCAAGTATTACTCGACGACTTTCTCGACAAAGAGATACTCGAGGCTTTGAGGGCCCAGGGTAAGGATTCTGTACCTTACCCCTTGCGACAATTCCCGAACTTTCTGACATGTGATACCGTAGTCGAGGAAGAGATCAATAAAGAGATCGATCATCTCGTCGAAATCCATGTGAAGGAACGCTTGGAACAGCATCATATTCCCGAGGCTGTCAAACTTGAGGTACAAGAGCGTAAGAGTGCCTTGGAGCGAGAGCATCGTCGTCTCCACAATTCGTATGTTTACTTCAATTCGTTCGGCATCACAAACCTCTGACCTCCGACCCGGAATTGGTAGAGAGAGCAAACGCGCCAATTCACTTTTGCGCCAGAGAGACGGCAACGTATTGCTGAACACCATCTATGCAGACGACGGAGAAGGCGAGGTCAGCAAAGATTTTCCTCGCACGCTAAACGATCTTTTCGACCTAGACGGTGCGTCCTATCAACGCACTAGCTTTTAAAAAGGCACTAACAGAATACATCCGAATGGTAGCCACGATCAGTAAAAGCTTAGCAACCGAGTATAAGCTACCTGGCGTCTCCGACTCACGCGAGAAAAATCTCAATTTACTGCTGCGTTTCTTCGGCATCGCGTACCAAATGGTACGATAGACGGACGAGTATCTTTCCTGCCTTCCATTGACAAGCAGCGTTTAGGTTAGGACCGGCGACGAGAAATACAGACGAGTTGGCGTGGTATTTTGATTTTAATGTGGTATACATTCGTCAAGTAATACAGCAAATAAAAATAATCTATGCCCTCATTCACTTTCTTGGGCCTCTGCGACCGCTTTCAAGTTTCCGAGTATTTGATAACAAGGAGTAAAGTCACCATAGATAAAGTATTGACTCGCTTGCTCCTCCTGCTTGCAATGAGAGTCCGACATCCTGAAAGGTATGAGTTAACTAACCTCGGGCGTTTTATGGAGTATGGCAAAAGCATTCATGCTGCACTTTTCGCCATTAATGAAGGCGTAGTCGACAGTACTGGCAGCCATAATGCGATCAGAAAGGACTTTCACTGCGTATCGACCGTAAGTCCAGTTACATGTTGACTTGTAAACATAAAGGTAGCGTACAGTCAGTCACCCTGAAAATAAGACTGTTAGGAACGTAGTCCGGACTAGATCGTGGAGTCGAGAACGTACTTGTGGGTTATACTTGTACAGACTCCGCTTAATAGTCCAAATACAGAGAAGAGGGATTCTCGGCCCTTCATTGGTGGGAGATTGGTGAAGTGGAAAAGGACGTCTTCCTTCAGGTATGTTGACGTGAACTTGGGAAGGTCAAGTGTACCCATTAAGTGGTAGAACTACGCAAGCATGTCAGCGTCAGTCCTAAGCAGTTAGAATTTGCGTACTCACATCTTCTATCCATTTCTCAGCGTCTTTGTACTGGGAGTCTGATACTGGCGAGCTGGGAGCGGACATGATGGTGGCAACGCAGGGAGCAATATGTCGCGCTAACCATACTGAAATTCTTAAATACTCCCAAGACCGGGGGTAGTTACAAAAACGGGCCATATATCCGCATCAGATCTTCTTCGAAACCTTCGTGGGGGCCCATCATCATGAGACAAAGCGAAAATCGAATACATAGTAACTGTAAAGATAACGGGCTGTCAGCAAGACTGATGATCGCGCCACAAGCGTGCTTTCAATTACCCTGCAGTGTTTCAGGACGGTGTTGCCTTGTGTCATTATCATTGGTACTGGGTGGGCATGAGGTTTCCAGGGTAAATCTTAAGCTCGGCGTCGCTGTCTAGATGTCATTCAAGTTTCAGTGGAACAGCCGGCTATATGTACCGATCTTTCAAGGTGAATTTACCGAAGGTAGCAGCTGTAAACGCATAATCTCCGTAAAGCCTTCAGAGGAGCAATTTAAAGATCAACGAATGGTACCTAGTGGTACCTTTAGGCTGTATCATAGAGTTGCCGAGGCACCTGAAAAGTTACTGAGGTTCGCCCTAGAATTGTATTGTTTGTACCCGGCAGCTTTCCAGTGTCAGAATCCAGCTCGTGCTTACCGCAGTCCGTGCGAATCATTTGTCCACGAACCACGTTTATCAGGTCGGCCTGGTCGGGTAACGCGCAGAACGGCTCCGCCGATACTGCGCTCCCGAGGCGTTGCTATGTACTCGTATATGCACCAGGAGTGGGTCCATAGCGATCTTGCGATGTCTGGGCACTGATTGTTGCGGCAGAACTTGAAGAAATCCGCAGAGCTCTAGAATAATTTGTAAATTTTCGGTTCCTTTTATAGCTGCTTGCACAGAGTTTGACAGCGACGCGTCTTTTGCGTGAGAAGAGCGCGATTTTGACTTCGTCATAATAATGGTTTGGAGGTTAACGTTATGGGCTGAGGCGCTGATTCATGACTATTTCGGCAATCTTGGATGGTCCTTTCGTACCCTCGAAGTCCCCAAAACCCGATTTATGACGAAGTCTACTTCTTTCATCACTTTCATCTCCACAAGAATGTCAGGTATGTGCAAACACCTGTAACGGGCGACACAAGCTCGAAGAACATACAGTGAGAGGTCCAGTGACCCCAGACATGCCAGTGCTGGCTCCTAGTGGCTCCTAGATGACCCGCGATGGACTGACTACGTTCTCAACCATCATATTATGGCTTTCCGGGACGTCCTTTCAGAAGTCATGAGATTCGATTTTTGACCTTTTGTGGGGCAGTGAACGCAGAGTAAGTCTCAAGTGAGTGCAGAAACTTCCCATCAAGCTGAACCCCTGTTGACTGTGATGCTAGCACGTGGTCTGCTAAGCCCGCTGCCGGACCGGATGCCGGTAAGCATCCTTACCAATCCTCGTAATCACAATGTACTACTGGTTCTCCTTCCACCATCATCTCTATCATATCCCGTCTACATCACTTGAACGGAATGGCGCATGCGTCAGTCTTTATCTGTTTAATATTTTAAGAGAGGGATTTCCTGACTTCTGCACGACAGACACGTCAATTTTCTCGGAGGATCTCCGTTGAATCGGCTCTCCTGGTTGCGGTCTTCTCAAGATTTCTTGAACGCGATAGTAGCATTGCCCCAGACTCGCTGGGTTCTCTTCAATGCAGGATTTCCTCTTGTAGGGCAGCGCGATGCAGGTCCATACCTAGCCTACCTGAGCACTAAGGAGGTAAAGCCCATTCTGGGATCGGAACCATTTTTTGGGCAAGGAAAGGAGATCGGGACATATCTACAGGCAGACGAAGTAACATCGCATACCGAGGCAGCCCGTCATTTGAACAGCCCTGTCGTTTTTCTTGGTCTACACGAAGACCACAGCAAGACCGGCGCGTTACCTTCATCGGACTTCGCCGATGCTCAAGCCGCCGTTCAGAACATTAAAGGAACCGCATATTTCTCTTTGGATATTGCGAGTCTGGATAAGTCTTCTGAAGAACTAGAGGCTTTCTTGACAAACACAGAGACCGCGAGCAATGGCGTGAAATTGTCGTTTTCTGAACCGCGTTCTGTCATGAACACACTGGACGCTTTTACGTCTGCGATTTTTGCAGAAGCAAAATCCATGGTGGACTGGAACGAGAGAAACAAGGTCAGTGCGCTTGATTCCGGTAATCAAGTGATTCTCATTGGTTCCTTGACGATAGTTCTGTCCTGGATGTGGTTCTCCATTATACTCGATGTGGGGAGGATGGAAATTATCTTGTTCGGCTTTACTTCCTTGGGCGCCTAAGACAAACAAGAAACCATGCATCACAGCGTATGTGGCCAGCTACATGTGAAGCCGAACGTATTAATGAAGTAACGCCTATAGCAAAGGCTTACACAACTTCACGCATCCGCGCAGTGACCCCGTGGTCATCATGATTGCTGTCGATGAAATCGGAGATAGGATCCTACTAGGCAGAAATGTAGGTAAAATATTTCTCCTATGTCAGAGTTTCTCTCAACTCTTTTACAAGAAAAAATTTCCCGGGAAATTTTATTCTGCTTTAGCTGGCTTCGTTGAACCTGGGGAGTCTTTCGAAGATGCCGTTTTAAGAGAAATGTGGGAGGAGGCTGGCGTCAAAGTTTGGGACGTCCGATACCATTCCGGCCAGCCATGGGTAAGCCAGTCTGACTGCTCATATATGGTATCTCGTTAATTAATCTTCCCCTGTAGCCATATCCTGCTAGTTTGATGGTTGGATTCTATGCCAGAGCGGACGCTTCAGAACCCATCAGAGTGGATCTTGATAATGAGCTCGAAGGTACGACAAAGGTCCCGGTTTGTTATGCCTTTGCTGATATTTGCTAGATGCACAATGGTACGGTCGTTCGGAAATATTATCCATCATTAACCATCCGGATGGAACAAACCTTTCGCCTAAGACTTTCAACGATGAATACGACGGGAAGACGGCCGGCGCCGATCTGGGCTCTAAACTGAGAGATGCGCCTACATTCAGGGTTCCTCCAACGACCGCTATTGCTGGGGTGTTGATACGTGACTGGGCTGAAGGAAAGATCGTCTTTGATGTTGATAAGAAAGGCAAGTTGTAACTTCTTGTCTTAGTATTCTACTTCTTTGTTTGAAATATAGCGTAATATACGTTGTCCATGATAACGATATGGTCTGAGCTTTCGTTTCCTTCAAACCTTATCAATGTCCGAGATGTTCAGGTCTCTGTGCTCGCCTTTAAAACTGAATATTCACACCATAAGAAGATGCAACCATATCACTCACACTGACCCGAGTAGGAAACATACACCATGAACCTAGTTGTCTTTTTGTCAGTCACTGGCATCTCTGCAGTTCTTATTTTCTGATCGCCGTTTTCTCAATTCCGAAGACATTTAAGGTGTCGTATTCTCAACGATCCTGCCTTTTTGCCTTGCTGGAGGATGGTATTCCGCAAGTAGATAAGGTCTACAGCGTCCCTCAGTATGGCAAACCTCTTCTTTGCCCAATGGCACGCTGTTTCTTCCATAACTAACTCTTTCTTTACGCCAAGCCAATGTCGTCAACGGATGGGAAGATGAATGTACGTAAGTATGCAATAGTCGAGCCCTCAAATCTCTCAATTGGATTGTCACCGTACTCTGGGATATCTCGGCAGTATACCATGCTAAATCCCCTCTTATTCAGCACTTTCATCCACTAGCTTCTCAGCGGCGCAACATATCCCCGGGTGTATTACAAATCGTGGCATGGCAGCCCGATTAGCCCAGCTCTTTGCACCCAGTACTTCGCGACGCATTCAAGGAAGGACCGGGAATGACCGAAATGGCTTCTGTATTTTGGAATAGAACTTGTTGAAGAAGACCTTCCAATAAAGCATTCAGTCAAAGTCCCACTTCGTGATTGGTCCACAAGTATTCGAGTCGCCGTTGGTCGACAATTCGACATCGACTTCATACACGTCTTGCCTCAAACAACAGGAAGTTTAGGCTTTCTGACACAGATGCATACAAATACACGAGGACAAAGCAGAAGGAAGCTGTTTTGGTTTGGTTGGTCAAAAAGCGTCAAAGGCATTGAAGCCGATACGCCGGGCAGAACCATCTGTGGCACAAGTATAGGTGAGAACAGGTGAGAAGATTGAGTTCCCCGCTCGGCAATCATGATGCTCGCATTTACTTACATTCACAAGCTCCAAGCCAATTCCCGCATCATCCATATCGTTGCTTGCCTCCAGCTGCGTAAGACCGGATTGTATTGGTATAACGCCAAGAGCAGCGGATTCTTTTGTTTCCGTTTCACGAGGTCCTTCGCTTATACTTATTCGGCAACGGTTTTTATCCGAGAGGATACTCATATACCGTCGCGTCTGGGTATCTAGGGTTATGCTATATTTTCCGCTACACCCGCCCCGCTACGACACAAATAAGAGCCGCGGATGAATTTGTTTCAGAGCGGTTAGTTCGGAAAACGGTGAATGGCACCTGTTAAGCCCAGTAGAACGTAGATATAACAGCTGTTAATTCTGTCAGGTAACGGCTATAATAAGTGTAGAGGACGATAAAACTTACTGCACTCCAATAATTACTGAATAAAGTCGCAGCCGGCTGTCTTAGATAACACGCTATCCAGCATGCTGTGTCATCGTTGTCATCGTATCCACGTGTGCCCGATATCCTGTCATTCCCGAAGCTCCCGATCAACACCCGATGTTCCCGTCCCTTCGCTCGCTGTCCCTCTCGACGGCGGAAGTTTCCACTTCGTTTCTTCAAAAAAATACGGAAAAAAGTGGAATAATCACAATCAATTGTTTGTATGCTAATTACTGCACATGCGGTAAAGAATACTTTACTTGTCAAGTCTCCATGGCATTCCCACCCAATTCCCACCTGCTCTCAGCCTGCACGAAGCATCTATGATGTTGATCATAGTACCTATGCCTGCTTGTGATGATGGAACAGGGAGCACATGGAGTCTTGAGGGCGACGGCATAGGCAGTGATCCTGTATATACATGAATGACCGTGACTTGATATTATTACTTTTAAGTATATTCATGGACAGTCCTTCTATCCATTTGTCGGACATAGGCTATGTAGTTGACTATGTTATCAAGCTGGGGATCTGTATGAACTCATGTATATATAGGTCCTAGGAGGAACAGACATCGAAGATAGGAGGTAGTGATAAGTCGAAGTTATATGGGTAAGTCCCTTGGCCTCAGAAGTGATCAGACTTTAATCAGACTTTTAATCATCCACTTGGTATTTTGCCTTGTAATTTACTCATATTGTAGCTATGCTTGAATACATGCAATCTCAGAAAACCCGAATACTTAAGATGCTTCTCAGAGGATAGAATTGCTCATCGAAGTGGACATCAGTCTACGTCAGTTGGCCGGCAAGTAGCCGGTTCCGGATGCTGACACATCACAGTCGGTCCGACGTCCAATGTATTGAAGAGCAATGAGCACGGTGAGATAGTGGTGAAAATTAAGGTTTGGTCCGACAAAAGAAGCATTATTTTGACTGTTTTAGTACAGATGGAGCACGAGCTCACCATCGTCCACGACGAGCACAGCGACAGGATGGATAGTCGGTGATCGGGACGACGGGACTCGGGACGGCAGGTGCACGTGTGCGGTATAATCCTGCTGACAAAACATGCCAGGGGACTTGATAATGACGAGCACAACTTTATTCAAAAATTATTCAAGTACCGTAAATATCCCTCTCCCTCGCAGTTGTTATAGTTAACAGCTATTATATCTGTGCTTCAGCGGGCATGACGGGATATCGGGCACACGTGGATACGATGACAACGATGACACAGCATGCTGGATAGCGTGTTATCTAAGACAGCCGGCTGCGACTTTATTCAGTAATTATTGGAGTGCAGTAAGTTTTATCGTCCTCTACACTTATTATAGCCGTTACCTGACAGAATTAACAGCTGTTATATCTACGTTCTACTGGGCTTAACAGGTGGTGAATGGTATTGGTGTTGGTACCAAGGTCCCAATAAGGCCCACAGCCCAAACATGGCAAGCCATGCGCTGGTGAAGCGATGAAGATTTGGATCCGGGAAGATCGACGATGTATCCTGCATAAATAGTCCTAGGCTTTCACGATCCAGCTTTAAGGAACCTAGCTGGAGCATTGCTCAGTTCTTGGTCGGGTTGCAAGTCAATGCAGCTTAAATAAAGGTGTCAACAAACTCTGGCACCAGTCCGTTACTTTGTACCTACTCATAAGGTAACCTAATACTCACACGGATCGCAATGCGCATCCACTGATTGGATCGTACGAACCGGAGTAAGGGTCCTTGCGACACCAGTACTCACAGGTTGCTTCAGGTTGCTTCCGACGTGTCACAATTAAACCCCTAAACGTTACGGAGGTGTCATCGAGATTACAAGTACCACCACCACCCGGCCGTTCCTTATTGGGACCTGGCGCCGGTAACACCACCACCACTACCACCATGGTTACCATCCTCGGTATTTGCGTCGCTATTATCACTGCATGCATATCCATCCTTGTATTCCTGCATCAACGGCGCAGCGCACAGGCAAGAGCTCTCAACGAGCCGCCTCTTCTTCCGTATTGGATTCCTTTTGTGGGGCATGCGCTGTGGTACGGACGAAGGTCCAACGAGGTGTATGTTGCTGCGAGGTCCGTCCCTATCCTCGAATCGCTTTCGAAGCTTTGGCGCTGATCTAACGCACCGTAGATTCTTTTCTCCAGATTCGCGTCCTGTATCAGTAACGCTAATGGGACAGCGTATATATGTCCGTTTACTCTCACCTGAGCAATCGAGCTACTGATGGATTGGCTCCTTAAGATTGTCACGGCAAGCAAAGACGTTTCAGCAGTATACCGTGCGAAAAGCCTCTCGTTTAACAACCTCATCCTCTGGGGTTTGGGCGCTGTATTCAACATCTCACAGGAAGGTCGAAATGCGATCGCATACGAACCAGACCACAGCTCTTCTTTATTGGAGAATAGCCATGGGTTCTTTCGCGACGCACTGAAGGAGGGTTCAGCTTTAAATCATTTTACCACTTCCTTCCTCGATTGCCTACGCCTGGAGCTCGCCAAAGAGGATGTCAAGATCAACGCGTCCCAAGAAGGGATGAAAATCCACCTACGCGACTGGGCCAGAACGATTCTGGGCACCGCATCCACAATCGCGATGATGGGACCTCAAATACTCGAGGAAGAACCTAACCTTCTCAAGTATAATTGGCAGTTCGATCTCGACCAAGTCTCGTTTACACTCGGTCTTCCGCGATTCTTGATTAGAAGACAGCATGCGAACAGGGAGAAGCTTATTCATGCATTTGAGAAGGTGTATAAGGACAGAGATACGAAGCTGCAGGACGCCATTTGGTGGATACCCGGGCGTCAAAGGATGTTGGTTGAGGCAGGGATGACGTCTGATTATGATATAGGTGCTTCAACACTCCCGGTATGGAATGGGTACGTGTTTGTGGATGCCAGTCGCTGGAAGGCTATACTCATTAGACTTTAGGCTTCAAACCAACTCCAACCCTGCCGCTTTTTGGCTTCTTCTTCATATTGTAACGATCCCTGGGCTTGCAGATCGCATACGCAAGTCAATCGCTCCGGCATTCGACAGCGAGGGGAAAGTTACCAATCTAGATCTCATGGTAAACGACCCGCTTTTTCGCTCAACATATAACGAGACACTTCGCCTGTACTCGACTTCGATCTCCACTCGGAATTGTGACCGAAGACACTATCATCTCTGGTTATACTTTCCGTAAAGGAGGTGTCGTCATGTGTCCAGTTCGTCCACACCATTGGGATGCGGACGTTTGGGGCCCAGACGTCGAAAAGTTTGTCCCAGACAGGTTCATTCGAGAATCTGCGAACGGTTTGATTAAGGGAGATGCAAAGCTAACACGGCCATTTGGAGGAGGGACGAGCCTCTGTCCTGGTCGGTTCTTTGCTTCGAACGAGATCATTTCATTCGTCGGAGCCATTCTGTTGAAGTACGATATTCGCTTGGCAGCCGGTGAAAGTATTCCTCGACCTAATCTGAACGCACCATCTCTCGCCTTTCCTGCTCCTATGAATGACGTGGAGGTCATTATAACGAAGAGAAATAACTATTGAAGGACATTTTCCTCTGTATGTACTTGTACCATCGACCCGAATGTTCACCTTCGGCATTTACCGATGCCTTCTTTCTTCCGCGGCTTGCCTTGATCACTTATCATCCTTGAGCAACTCTCTTTGATCTGACGCGAGACCTACTAGATCCTTTACAGGAAATCCAATGTACTCATGGGTTACTTTGTTAATTGTGCTATGGACTTGAGTATCTGGCCTTCGATTTTTCTCGAAGTAATCAGTCATATATTCTGATCTCTGGCTGGCCTCTCGTACGACGTTGGGATCCTGATAAATGCTCAGCAATGCAGAAAACTGCCAGGCTTACCAGAACCTGCCTCCCAAACGTGTCGACAAGACTTACTACATGCGAAATCTAGGTATTTCGCCTTTCGGAAAAGTCCGCGGAGGGAAGGAAACCTCCTGGCAGATTCATTTTGACAGTGCGTCAAATGTCGTGTCATCGGGAAGACACCTTAGTCTATGCTAGTGGCCATATGAAGCCTCATATTCAACCTTTCCTCTTCCTACAACATGTACACCCTATCCTTACGAGCCTCTCCCGTATCCGAAGTTACGCTCATTGAACCGGCTTCACTTTCGTCGCCCAACGCTAAAGTAGCAGCTAATGCTTCTAAAGGCGAGCACGGAGACGCGTCATTTGAACGCCGAACGATGTATGTCAGCGCCCAGCACCATTCCAGTTTGTTATGCTTCAAATTTAAAAGGCGTCGCGTCGACTGGCGGATATTACCCTTGCTTGGAGCCCTTTACGCGCTATCTCTTATTGATAGAGCCAACATTGGCGTGGTGCGTCTCGCAGGGTATGGGCAAAGACCTTGTATGCATTCGCTCATGTTTCTGGTTACTAGCAATGGTTGCTCATGATTCGCAGGAACTTAGTATCGGCTCCCGCTACAGTATCGTACATGCATCTATTTCATCCCATACACCCTACTGTTCGTCGCCTCTCCTTCCTTTGGCGCATTCATGCTCAACCCTACACCAATCTAGTGAACTGCCGAGTAATATATGTCTGCGTGCTTTTGGGGTCCGTAATTTCTGGTCGGCACAGTTATCGCCTGGGGTGCTGTTCAGCTTGGCATGGGCTTCGTTTCCTCATGGGAGTACTTGGCACTCTGTCGAGCTCTTCTAGGTACCTTCGAGGTAAAGATCTTCTTCAGCTCCTCGATTTCATTCTTGAGTCAATAACCGCCTCTTGTACTAGGCGGGGCTTCTCCCGGCAACGGCATTCCTCGTGTCCACCTGGTAAATGATTTTACTATGCTAATAAGGCTTCCGTTATTCACGAGCTTACTAAGGTACAAACGCCATGAAGTTCAAAAAAAGTGCGAGTGCCCTATGTCATGGGTGCCATTACCTTTTTGGCTGATCTTGTTGATGCAGACTTGCTGGGCTGTATATGACGTCGATTCTCGCTGGTGGCTTTAGCTCCATCTTTGCATACGCTCTGAGTCGTCTTGAGGGTAAAGGAGGTTTCGCCGGGTGGTCCTGAATCTTCGTGAGTTCGAATAGATGCCAAAGATCGTTGTCGCAAATTGATTCTTACATATGTTTATAGATCATCGAAGGGACGGTCACCATTATTTTTGGAGCTACTTCCTGGATATACATCCCCGACTTTCCTGACAGGAATGACTTCTTCACTGCAGAAGAGACTACCCTGGTGTTGCAGCGCATTGAAGAAGACCGTGGTGACTCGTTGCCTGATCCAATAAAGGGAAAGGTGTTGTTGCACCTCCGTGATTGGAAGATTTGGATGTACGGTGAGTAATTTGACTTGTGTCTTCGATATCCGTCGTTCATTGTATGCAGCCTTAATGTATATGTGCACCGTTGTTCCAGCGTATTTGGTCGGGTTCGTCATCTTCGTTTTCCGGCTTTCGATTATATCGCCTTGACTGATAAAATTTGCTGCAGATTTTTCCTATCTATGATCTTGAGTGGAATGGGATGGAGTATTGAGACATCCTTGTTGCTTGTAAGTCCCTTTTATTAGGTCCATCGATATGCTGATGGTCTTCATTCTGGAAAGAGCACTCCCCCCTATATATTTTTGCAGTAAGTGTCCAGTCATGCATGCTAAATGGAACAAGTCCCTCATTGGCATATATCGTGCAGGCCATTAGTGTCATGTTATTTGCGTGGTTGTCCGACATATATCATACAAGAGCTTTATTTATTGCTATGCAAACACTGATGACTATGATCGGCTTAGTTCTGACAGCCTATGCGCGCCTCCCTGTCCCGCGTTACATTGGTGAGTTGAACACCTTTCTCTTCTTTGATCCGAACGGAACCTTTCATTTACTCATCCTCAAGGAACATTTCTGGCCGGCGCAGGTTCAACAGGAAGTATAACCGGGATTCTGGCATATGTGTGTGCGTTCTCCATGCAATATAGCGCTAATACTCATATAAACGACCAGGCCTCGAACAACTCTGTCTCGCACTCGAAGCGAGCTGTGACTATGGCGATCATAGTTAGTTTCGGCGGAATTGGCGGGATCATTGCGACTACTATTTGTCGTCAGCAAGACTCTCCGAATTATATCCCGGGTATGATCGCGACTATTTTACTCCAGGCACTTCTTCTGTTTCTGCTTGGTATCCTGACTGCGTACTTTCGGTACCAGAACAAGATGAAGTCGAGAGGAGGCGGTTTGGTCCCAGGAACATTTCTATATACACTCTAAGCACCATGTTGAGACCTTTGAAAGTTCATATCTGAACCATGTCATCCTTAGCTGCAGACTTCCCTGATTTCAGGATTCAGCTTGCTTGCTTGTGGCGTACTTCGGCCGGCTTGAGTTACCCCTCGGCACGGCATTGTCCCCCCGCAAAGTACCCGATCCGGAAAGAGTCGGGATGTTGAAAGACGACTCCTCCTTGTAGGTCGTTCTGCACTCATTTGAGCTTCTGATACTATTCTCACTTCTGTTTTTCAGGTGGAATGCTGTCGGGGATGAATTCTTTCCTAAATCCAGAACACTGCTGCTAGCTTGTAGTATACTTGTGCCCTGGCGATCGCGCCTGTCGAGGCGGAGCGTCAAACATGGTCTAAATAAAATTCCTGGCATGGCTCAGGAGTATCTAGTTCATAGTAGTGTGTGCGCAGTACTTTGACCATGCCCACCACCGTCGATGTTTGGGTCGCCATCCTCGTCGTCGGCATAGGTGCAATTTTCGCACTTCATCACCGGCGCAATGCCACGGCGCAAGCGCTCAATGAGCCTCCCATTCTTCCTTATCTGATACCTTTCGTGGGTCATGCTCTGTGGTACCGTCGGAAGTCTATTGAGGTATACAATGCAGCAAGGTTTATTACTATTGCTTCATCTCTCGAGGGACCCCATCGTTGATCCCCGTTACAGAATGTTCTCTCCTGATGCGCGACCAGTCTCGTTAACACTGATGGGGCAGCGAATATATGTCCGTATAGCCATATCTTTGGAATCGATGCTCCCTAATATACTGCATCTTCAGATTGTCACCGCGAGCAAGGATGTATCAGCAGTGTACCGCGCGAAAAGCCTCTCATTCGGACCGCTCGTCCTCTATGGCCTCGGCTCCGTGTTTGATCTTTCGAAACAGGGCAGAGATATGATTGCCCATGAATATAATGGTCCCCACTCTTCTTTGCTGGAGAGTGTCCACCCATTCTACCGAAGTACTCTGAAGGAGGCCCCTGCTTTGAATGAACTTATCACCTCCTTTCTTGACTGTCTCCGTGTAGAACTTCTCAAAGAAGACGCGAAAATTAGCGCGTCACCAAGGGGGATGAAGGTTCCGCTACGCGACTGGGCTAGAACCGTACTAGGCACTGCGTCGACCGTCGTCATGATGGGTCCACAAATTCTAGAGGAAGAACCCAACCTTCTCGATTACAACTGGCAGTTCAACGCGGATTTCTTCACCTTCGTCGTAGGCCTTCCGCGCTTTCTGCTGAGAAAGCAGAATGCAAACAGGGACAAGCTCATTCGGGCATTTGAACGGGTGTACAGGGATAGAGATACGAAACAAAAGGATGCCGTTTGGTGGGTAGCAGCGATCCAAGGCATGATGGTTGAGGCTGGTGCGACATCCGCTCATGACATTGGTGCTGGAACATTCAGTGTATGGAACGCGTGAGTGCCTGTGAATCTCTGAATATCATCGCAACACACTGACGCGTATCGTGTCATCTCACATCAGGCTCCAGGCGAACTCTAACCCTGTATCCTTTTGGCTTCTCCTGCAGATCGCTACATTTCCGGGACTCGCGGAGCGCATTCGCAAGTCGATCACTACCGCGTTCGATAGTAATGGAAAGGTCATCGACGTGGAACTTCTGGTAAACGACCCCCTCCTCCGTTCAACTTTTAACGAAACTCTTCGAGTATTCTCCTGTTCAATGTCTACCCGACTCGTGATGGAAGACACCATTATATCTGATTACACCTTCCGCAAGGGCGCTGTGGTCAAGTGCCCCATTCGTCCGCATCATTGGGATGCAGACATTTGGGGACCGGACGTCGAGGAGTTCGTTCCGGATAGGTTCATCCGAGAACCTGCAAATGGCCTCATGAGGGGAGATGTGAAATTAGTTCGGCCTTTTGGTGGAGGGGCTTCCCTATGTCCCGGTCGATTCTTTGCCTCATATGAGGTTCTTTCCTTCGTTGGAGCCCTTTTGTTCAAGTACGACATCAAGTTGGCGGAAGGCGCAAGGATACCTCGGCCCAACCTGAACGCTCCCACCCTTGGCATATCTAATCCCATTAATGATGTCGAGGTGGTTATAACCAAGAGAACGGAGTGAGAGGCGCGTGGTTCTATACATTCATTTATACTGGATAAGTGGTATCGCGGATAGTCAGGAACCATAACATATACAGACATATACCCACAGTACATTTAGTTTTAATCATACCCAAATAATGCGGTTTGGCCATAAATATGATTTCAGCCAAGAAAGGGGACCGAGAAAACTAGAACTGGCACCCTTGGCATTCCCAAGCTTCATGCATCAATGCATCAGGGGTGATACTTGGTGTAATGGCTTGTAATGGCCAACAAAATCAATATTTCCCGCAGTTACACATATACCTAACCTTCTATCATTGTGCCGCTTTTCGGTGGCCTATCTCCCTTTTCCCACTCACTGCATTGGCACTTATTGGTATAACATCAGCAAAACCCAGAATTAGTCTTTCCGGGCTTGGTCTTTTTCTAGCCCTCTTTCTGCCTCTTTTTCTTGGGTGATCGAGTCTTGGTCTTGGCAAACCGGTTCTTCTGCGGCTTTCTGATCTTATCGATTGGGGCGGTCTTCGAATGACCTTGCAGTTGGTATGTATACGGATTGAAGTTAGATATTGCAATATTGAAGCCCATGCACATCCGTCACGGTGATGTTGCAGCGTCGCAGCAGTGCAGCCACTTGCAGATGGCGCACGGAATGGCAGGGAATGGCGGAAGAGCAACAAGAAATCTTCTAAGTTCTTTCAAACTCCGCCCGGGCATGTCCGGAACATGTCAACGTCATGTTGGACTTTAACTCGGAGTCCGAATTGATTATTCCCTCCCTCCTCTCTCCCTCACTTTACTGCAACTCGATACCGGCGATGGGGCCATTGGGCATGTACTGGTGGTACGAGGGCAAAGGTATGGGTGTCTCTCATTGAACTGACTATATCTGATTCTCGCATTTCCTTCCGGGCTGCCGTCATTGCCAACAGGTGAGAAAAGAAACGGTACGACCCAACACCTCATCATCACTCGCTGCTGAACTGACCAGAGCTGTAGATGGATGTGTGCAGACCAAGGAGAGGGCTGTTGTGAAGACTAGGATGGTGGCCATCCAGGAAGGGATGTGCCGGAGGGTGCGTGCTTCTTCCATTCCCCCATATAATTATTCACATTGTATTTTGTGTCGGTTAGACTGCTTAGCTGTTGTTCTCCCTTCTGCGGTGTGTTTTCTTTTGACAATCTGATGCAATACTGATATATTCGTAGCACTGTCATGCCATCGAAATCACATTCTTATCCTTCCTATAGGCGCCCATTCTTGCAACATCTCTCTCGTTATGTCACGGCTTCATTTCTATCTCTGAGGCAGAAAGGGTCGTAGTGTTAGCGTTATGTGCTATAGTTCATTGTCATAGATAGAAATCAATATACTAGAATTTCTATATCCTCCAAAGCCATCGGAACACGAAAGAGAAAGAAACAAAAGACAGGAAGATGTTCTCTTCCTAAGACAGTGATAGATCTTGCCAAGACAAAATCCTTCTTGACGAGAATATGTACCTTACTTGGTAAAGACCCTTGATCTTCTTGTCTTTGCCGTCTTTTTGGTCTTGTGCAAGACTGAAAAGACACAAAAGACAACTTCTGGGTTTTGCTGATGAATGCTGTAGTTAAATACCATCAATATATGCCCTTGAGCGATTATTCGCGATAACGGCGATGTCTTCGCGACAATCTTAGTATCTTTTATTAAAGTCAACCTGTTCGAAGACATCATCAAGCTGGCGGAAGGACACATCCTGCTTAGCCATGGAAGGTATAACCACGAAACGATATCGATTCGAACCAAGGAAGCGGTACTATATAGGATACATTTATTAGATGATCTCATAAATGCTGATTACCGGAATGGATATATGCCAATGTCTAGAACCCTTATTGTACACCTATAGTTACATTGATGGCACATACCACGAAGATGCCTAATAGACAGTCGAGTCTTGGAGACGCCAACGTCCCAGAGGCCCCCACCACCACAACGACTGACGACGACCTGGCGCTTCACGTTGTATTGTTTCTGAAGGAGGTTGATTTGGACGATCCCAGTCCTCCTCTTCGTCATGACTATCTCCCCCGACCGATGTTATATCGGTCTCCTGGCATGAAGCAGTTTCATTTTGTTCCCGCTGGGAATTTTGCGTGGGATGCCTGTCAAGCTCTTCCCCGCGTCTGTGCTGCCCAGCTCTTCCCGATCTCCAAGCGAAGCTACCCAAGCCCCAACCAGTGTGAGTCGAGCGAGGAGCACCCGCTTCTTCAAGCTCTCGAATTCGATCTGCGCGTTCGATAGCTTGTTGTCGAGTAGCAGCTACGTGTGCTTGCCGGAGTAGTGCATACCAGCGGTGGACTACTGCCGGAAAAATGCGAGGAAGAGTTCCGGTGGACGTAAACGAAGTGGTAGAAGATGAAGCTGCATGAGGATCTTCTGAGAGAGATTGAGGTGCCTCTAGTGACGTCGAACGAGAATCGGGAGCATGTGGTACCGAACGGCGACGGACTGTCGTTGCAGTCAACTCCACTGATTCTTGTCGAACAGTGAAAGCACCCGTAACGCCACGCCATACTAGTTGCGCACGCTCTCGGGTACCTTTGCGATGTTCTTTTGAGGCCCGTTTTCTCTTCTCACGTCTTCCTTCTCTCCGTTCTGGAAGGTCGTAATTTGTCCCAGTCCCGGCACCAACCCACCACCACCATCCTAAGAAGCTTTGCCACAGTACAACCGCCCACATCAATCCCGGAAGCCAGACGTATTCTTCTTCCCTCGGAATGTACAGGAAATTGAGAGCCGTACTAACGAGGGCCAATGCGAGAGCTGCACAACCAAAGGCCGCTGTACCGCCGTCCGTACGCCAGGCCTGTTTACGATTCACGAGTACGCCCCAGACGAAAAGAGCTACCGTGAACAGGAGAGAAAGCGTTGCATTGCAGACGTTTCGGATAGCCGTAGCGACATCTTTTACTTGAAGATTTCCCGACATTGGTGTGAGTTGCATGACGGCAGCCATTACAGCCAAGGGTACTATAAAGGATGAGCAGACTGCCAATGAAATAGGACAATTACACCGTACTCAGTAGAGAAAAGATAAGTCTTCCTTCTAGTCGAGAAGGGTATAGAAGTGTCAGGAATTGTATATGAGTTATCTGTAGGTCTGAGTACAGATAATTCTTTATACACAGAGTAAAGTAAATGCACCTGGATAAGTCCAGACGTCGTAGCATTCATGATTAACCAGGTCGCTAGCTCGGCCGTGGTCCATGCAGCATTTTCGCTCATGTCCATCGGGGGTACATTAACAGCGATATACGACAGCATGTAAGGCCACTGTTGACTTTCTTCCAGTGTTGCAGAGAGTACAACATGTAGCGTGGCGAATGAGGGATATAAGGAGGGTAGTGACACCGGACATTTGCAAGACATAGTTGACGGGGGCTAATGGCCAATGGTACTGGGCCGTGAATATGAGATGAATAAATAGAACAGCGACGAGGGTCAAGACGATTCCGGTGAGCAGAATTTGAATAGGAAGTGAGCGAGCATATGCTGGCCGATATTGCAGGTACGGATCAACGTCCAAACTGTAAACAGGAAGTTGAGATAAATGAACCAGAAAGAAATGCAGAGTACACGCACCCTTGTATATCTTCATCTGTATCGGCTAGCACATCATGTAAAATGATGGACAGGAAGGCGGCTGCCTTCAGTAGCATGGCCGTTAGAGTCGAAGAAGCATTCCACATCTACAGTGTTTGTTCTCCGCGATACCAGCAAACAAACGCCCACGCCTCACTGATCCGATTTGTCCGTTATTTCAAATATATTTTAGTCTTGGCGAGGATCTTGGCCTGCACATCCTGCACCAATAGTCATCATTGCATTGATAAGTAGGCCCCGGGAAACTCACGCCAAGGTTTGTCCGGCAAAATAGCCAATTTTGGCCCTCAAATATGCAACAATTTAGGGCTAAAATATGCTAACGCGGACAAGGGTTTTCCGGGCCGGCTTTCCGGAGTGCACCGATAAGAATTTTGGACGAATATCTGGCAAATCTTTCTCTATTTTGGAAGATATCTCCTCATTTATAGTCATTTTTGCGGTTTTCGATAGGAATAGAAATCGGCAGAACCACTCTGCACAAACAGTCCTTCATCCCTCCTGATGTCCTCAAATATGCTAGACCCGGACAAAAGTGTCCCTCTTGAACCCCTCAAATATGCTAATTTCCGGACAAACCTTGGCGTGAGTTTCCCAGGGCCTTGATAAGTCGACAGGCAGGGCAAAGAGAACGATACGAAAGAATATTATTTTATAGTTAATACACCTGTGCAAAAGCTAAAATTAGGGTTGTATGCATCACCCGCAGTCCACCTTAAATACGTGTCTGCCCATCAGGCCCCACTCGCCATCGATTCAATAGTATCACACCATCCAAAGACTAGTAGGAACATAACCCGAACATCAGCCAGTATTTGACCGAACAGACTGCATAATAATCTACGATATCATAATTCAGCCACATGTTCTTCCGGACGAACCACTGATCGTTAGCGTTGGTTTAAGTTTTTGATCAACGGAACTGCCCCATCAATCGAGCAAGTCTTAATTGAAGCAGGAAGAAGTTCTGAGTTTTCTGATTGCCCGATATTCTGCCACTATGAAAACGCACTGAGCGAGCCAGAAAAAAAAAACTGAAGCAAGAAACAAAGGTTTGGTTCGTCAACCTATTCATTACTTCGAACTTGGCAAGTGGCTCCTTGCAGCTTATCCTCAAAGTCCGATACAAAGGATGGTCTGGGCGACTTAATGTAATACATACCGATGTGCAAACGTCAAGAGCGGCTAGACCTCAAGTTGAAGTGCCAAGACGTTCCGATGTGCATGTTGTGAGGAAGACCGCATGTCGGACACTGACACTTAGTCGCAGGACTCCAGGAAATGCACGACGGCCAACTGAGAACTTAAGATGAAGGAAGAAAATCGGCCCGTATATCCGTCTGCAATCCGGACTTGCTTCCGAGTTTGGCAAGAGTTTAGATGCTCTCTTCCCTCACGCAATTCAAGCACTATTTGGGATGCGGCAAGTTCTCTGTACATACTCGGATAGCGCAAGAACCATGGCTATGAACGGATCCTTCTGTGTTCTGGCGTCATTGCGTACTGAATTTAGTGGCGAAACTTAGCAAACGTTATTCCAAGTTTCTCCCTCATGCTACTTCGTGCGGCAAAATGCTTTGCTCAAGGATATAAACCCACTCTGCGATGCAGAAAATCTTCACTTCATCACTAGTGAATTCAAGATCCAATCATGTTTACGCCTTCTCTGCTGGTGCTCTCTGCTTTTGCTGCTATCGCGAGCTGTCAAACGCTGTCTGGTCAGTACGATTGCACCACCAGCGGTCAGTATTCCCTTTGTCAGAACTTGTGGGGTGCCAGTAAGTCACAGATATATTTGGTTGACTGAAGCTGACGAGAAGATACAGGAAGTGGTGTTGGATCCCAAACGTCAACGCTGATCAGTACAAGTGGAAATAACATTTCCTGGTCGACTACCTGGAACTGGCAGAATAACCCCAATAATGTCAAAAGCTGTACGTATGCCGATCTTTCAAAGAAGAAACCTTTTCATTGACAGATGATGCAAGATGCGAATGTCTTGTCGGCGACGAGCAAGGGCAAACAGGTGCGTCGAAATCGTTAGTAGACGGACAATCCAACTGATCAACATGCTAGTTGGCTAGCATTACTACTGCCCCGACTATCTGGGATTGGAGCTATATGAGCGAGTCAAGCGGAATTCGTGCTGATGTCTCGTAAGTCGTGTAAGTATCGGAGTTGTCTCGTTTAACCGTAACGGGACAGATACGATATCTGGTTCGGAGCAGCGCCAAGCGGAACCCCGGCATCCACTGCGTCCTCCTACGAGATGTGAGCATTATTTTTATATTTTCCTGACGTCAGGCTAATCCTTCCGTACAGAATGATATGGCTGTCAGGTGTCGGGGGGTAAGTCACTTGTTACTTTAATTAAAATACATCTTCCAAGTCTCTACCGCCAGCATCCAACCCGTCGGTTCTCAAATTGCTACCAACGTGAACGTCGCAGGGCACTCGTGGAACGTTTGGAGGGGACCTAATGCGAACTGGCAGGTCATCTCCTTCGTGAGCCCTACGGAAATCCACAACTTCAACGTGGACTTGAAAGATTTCTTCAGTGAAGTCGATTAATAATTGTGCTTTTATGACCGTACTAAAGCAGATGCTAGACTATCTTGTTGCACAACAAGGAGTTTCCTCGAGCCAAGTACGTTTAGCACTTTTCTGGTGTACGGGGAGTTGCTGATCTTCCTTTCTTGCAGTACGTCCAGGCAATCCAAGCAGGAACTGAGCCATTCACTGGTAACGCCCAACTTATGACCACCAGTTATTCCGTTTCGCTTTCTTAAGCTGGAGATTAAGTACATGCTGTGCTACCTCTGCCAGGAAATATAAGAATCCCGTGTTGTACATCTTATCATATTTATTCGGCGTAGTCTGTACCACCATCACGGACTTTCCATCCAAGGCTGATCTAGAAGAGTTACAGTATTGCGCAGCCTGACGCGTTTTTTTAGTGAGCAGTCACCTGTCGGTGGTACGGCATGATGACTGCAGTCACTTCACGGAGCTTCGAATTCTCCCACCACTTAAATGAGTCCACGCAGCCAGCAATCACCCCACATCTTCCTTTTCCACGTTCGTCGGGTCGGGGACCGCCAGGTGTTTTCTCTAGTGTTGCAGGTAGTATAATGTCCAACTCCTAAACGCCATGAAATCCGTCGACTCACTCTTCCGCCAGCATGAAGCCCCATCACAGACCTTTCGCCGTCCACCGCAAGATTTCCATAGTCTCTTTAGCGCTTCTGTTCGTTGCTTTCCTGCTCCTGCTCCTCGTCGGTATTTCTTTGCCGATAATCAAAACTATATACCTCATCCGAGTCTATTCAACGGCTGAGAGGAACCAACCAGCGACAAGCATTGCAACAGAGCTGCGATTCGGAGTATGGGGTGTGTGTGCAACAAGGTGAACATCGTATCGAACATTTCTGGTCCCAGTCTAAGATGGAATCCCTATACTTAGTGCACTGAACCGACCGTCTTTGTTGACGAATGATGGAGAGTGTTTTGGCCCAAGGCTTGGTTATGATATACCTTCATCAGTAACCGAACTCGTGGGCGTGGATGCAAGTCTCGTCCAGGTCGCCTTGAAGGGCCTCCTGGTCATCCTCATCCTTCACATTGTGGCAGCGGGACTATCCCTCGCCGCGCTCATTCCAGCTATGTGCCTTGGATCGCATGCTTTCGCCATTGTGGCCCTCGTGCTCTCAATGATCACAGCAATTTTGGGGACCGTCGTATTTGGGGTGGATCTAGCCTTGGTTCTGGTACTCAAGAATAAGCTGCCAAGCCTGTCAAGTCAGGTTGACCTTGGGATTGGGTTTGGTAACGGAATTTGGATGGTCTTAGTCGCCGTGGTTTTGACGTGGGTTGCTGTGATAACGCTTTCTGCCAGAGCGTGCTTCTGCTGCGGAGTTCGTAGGTAAGCGTCTGATGCTTTCGCCACCACCGACCATCGTTGCTAACCTGCGATTCTAGAAAATCGTTCAAGTATTAATGATCTGGCTTGCATGGGCTCTTACGACTATCATGATCTTTACCCTTATGATTCGAATCAATGGAAACTCTGTAGCATATATTTGAAGATTCATTGACGTATGAATAGGCTACGGTAGCACCAGCACTGTATACCCCATACTTCCTCAGAATCTGTTTCTAGATCTGTGGGTCTTATAACCTCCTTCTCCACCTCGTTACTCTCAGTAACTACACTCTCCTTCCTCCGATCAAGTCTGACATCGACAATTTTGACCGCCTGACCCTCCACCTCCCCTTCTCCCACCCCTTGCGCATTAGGGACCGATTTCCTATGATCAATGACTTTGATCTTAGGGAGCTTAATATACCCACACTCAACGGGTATCACGTTCCAAAGTATTTTCTCCTCAGCCCCTGGTAGGAGGATAGGCACTCTTCCACTGCGCAGTCCAGCTACGACGAATCCATCAGATGGATCGGGCTCCACATGGACAGTACAGCTCGCTGATCGCGTAGGATGGTTATTCCGTATCGTCAGTGTCAGTGGAAGGCCTTCGTGCAGTCTGGCAACAGGAGGTATTTGGAGGAGCCCAATTAAGCCATCCGTAGGTGGCCGCAGTAGAGGGAGTGGGAATATACTCTTTGAAGTCGATCCTCTTGTTCCGTCATCGTATATTCTACAGAATTATTATTAGACGCTTTCGGCGACAGTCGATCGACGAACGTGCGTACCTGCGCCACTCGACCAGATAGGTACCTGGTCCAGGAATAGCTTGTTGCTCACCTCCTTGCAAGCTTATCCGACACGAGCCTGAGAACTCGTCGCCGGGAACATATTCTGAAGCCATAGTCAGATTAGATCAAGATCACATTTCAGTGACATACCCGTGGAGAAATCTGCTTCATCAAACACATCAGTTGACGCTTCCAAAACTTTTGCAGCGTCATTGTTCTGTAAAGCGCGTTAATTAAATCAGATACGTAGCCGGTATCCCGTTTAGATCATACCTGTCTCTCAAGCCCAACTTTTCCCAATTCCAAGGACCAAGGACCGGCACACTCCAATCTGAGGGACACGAGAGCCTCTCCTGCTTCACCCTCATCCCAAAAGTCTTCTTCAAACCTTCTCAAATCCACCAGCCCCAACCGCTCAGCCAAAGGACGCTTATACACGACATCATATGCGACATTCAGCGCTTTGACAGTTGGTACTGTCAGCGTCTGTAGAATCTCCGACACATCTTCCATTTCAGACTTGGACAAATCCTCGCTGGAATCATGCCTCGAAGGGGTTACCCTTGACTGAATGGAGATATCAATCATCCTATCTCCAGCCCCGCCTGTATTGGACAGATTCAAAGTTTTGATTGAGCTCACGCCTGGCACAAGGACACCAAAAGAGATGCCCTTGATGAGACCAGAAGATCGCTCGTCATCAAGAGTTATTGAATTGACTGAAAAATAGCGTCAGTTACACCTCAAACTCGAACTGCACGGATACATACATGCATCATCAACCTCTGTGGGCTGCAGGAGTACATCCATCGTGACCTCCAGCTCTCTATTATCGGCATTGGTAACCTTGATGACAATGGGATACACTTCATCGATACACGCAGGTGCATGGTGCGTGAACGATAACAAAACGTTGTGGGGACGATGACGAACACTAAATGAACATGTCAACACCATTCAACGGATTGCACAAATTACGAGCTCACATCACAGAAGACGAGTTCTCGCGTTTGACATCGATGAATTTTAGAGGCTTCAGCGAGGCTAGCCATTTACTCGTGGGTAGGGACATATGTCTATAGCTGCACGGATACATCGGTATCTGGATATTCCAGGAACCCTCCATCAACGTCAAGAGAAGTTCTTCGATCTAACGTGGATTCAGCACGCTGCACATTAACACCTGTATAATGAGCATGGATAACCTGACCTTGAACGTCGTTGGGACCTCCGATGAGAATGTTCCAGACAATATTAGGGTAGAACCCTGTTTCCATCCGCAAATTCGTTTTCAAAGTAGGTGGCACATCCGCGCTTGTCTTGGAAATGTGTCCCAGCTGAACATGAGTAACCTTGGATGATTCGTCTACTTCCTCATCTGAATGTCGAAGAAGAACCAAAGGCAAAGTATCATCTGAAAACCGAATGGACAAGGACACGAAAGGGAGCTCGGATATTGCCACGTCAGAAGGTGCAGTGATTGAGATCTGGAAGGCAGCGCGTTGTCCGACCTTTACCTCAGGAAGTCCAGAAAATGACATTGGAATCAACTAGGATAAGGTTGAGCTATTGACTTTTTGCTTTGAAAATAATCAGTAGAAAAGACGAACATATCGGCTGTGTACCCGAAAGGTCGACTGATGAGCGGTTCGTCAGGCGATGACGGCACCGTGCTCTATTCTATGATGAGCATGCAGTTGACACTAAGATTTCAGTACTAGGACTAACCTTGAGAACCGCAAGCAAATCTTCCTGAAGTGTTCCGGGCTCATCCATTTCCTCAACACCTTCATTAAAACAACATCAGGAAGGTGCACCAGAGGAACAAAAAGGTCAAAGCAGCAGCTAACCATGCGCTAGCATTTCAATGAGCAACCGTATGCTCAACTCCACGTCACCGAGTTGCTGAACGCAAGCATACCATGTCGTTAGTAGCGGTCCTTAACATAGGATCCCAATTTCTCGCGGCGGTACGTCTTCGCTATTCGTTCAAAGAACCTGCATGATCTTTAACCCCGACTCACTATAACCGACAATGATTCTACTCACCGAATCGCCATGTCAAATTTACCAGAGTCAAAATATGTTTGTCCGATACGGTAGGCGATCCAGAGGGTCAGTCGGGCTTGACTTTGACCTTGAGAGCTGTGGGTATATTTCTTGAACAGCTCATATGACTTGGTGTACAACTGTGTATCAAGACATCGTCAGGAGAACATTAAGATGATAGGGAAAAATATCTTACCTCAAGTATGATGACAAGATGATCGACCTTCTTCTCATTCGCAAAGCCTGGTGAATTTGAGATGCCCTGTTCAATCAGCCATCATCCAGTCAATTAAGACATAAAACTTCGATGGAAACAAATCCCTACCTTGGTGTCAAGTGTTATGAGGAAGCGTTCTCGTCTCATTTCCGTGCATCTAGCAGCCATATAGTAATAGAACCCTGGATGCTGCAACGCATGGCTCGGATTTAATCCCAAAGATCGCAAGGCATCTGTTTCCAACGCGGGAGTGGATCCTCGCGAACTGGACGGATTCTGTACTGTAGAAGAGTAGAGGGTGGTGTTGTAAGCAGCAGGACGATGAGAGGGGAGAGAAAGCGTTGTGTGTGACCCTTGCTCCAATAGTTCTGCGAGGATACGGTATCTTAAAAGTGTATCAGAAAGGCTTGCACGACATGTCAGACCGAATGAAACTTACTGCCTGGCTACCCAGCTCCAATACTCGAAGGTCTCTTCACCAATCCCCCATCCCCGTGATAGATCGCCGAACTTTCTGATATGGGTGTTATGATGGGACAAGGCCAAGGAGTGCTCGTTATTATATAGATACAGCTTCGTTATCTAGAGAATTCATGAGCTGGACTGTTCCCAGGTAACAGGGATGACGACTGACGGACTTTGATGTTGATGCAATCAGCAAGTACTTTGGCTTCAGCCCATCGTTTAGTGCGAGGTGGAAGAATTGATATGGAACCGAACATCACAGCAAGAACCTCGTATGCGTCCTGATAGTGCCTGTAAACTTATGAGAGTGGGATTTTGGCGGAATGGGATATCCTACTTGAGTGCGACTTCATCTTCCCCTCTGAACTCGGCGAAGCAAGCCATCTTGTATTCGTACCTAACTGTCCAACCTTCTGGACGTAGGGGCCGTATGGTTCCAGCATGTCCGACAGGGCTTAGAGGATTTGAATAGGAAGATACAGCTTGGGTGTGACGGTTCCGTTTTACGCCTGACGCGCTTAGAATGTGAGGTGTAATATTCCACTGCCGGTTCGTACAATGCTTGCTGAAGGCTGGTTATAGAGTGAGCAATAAACATCATTCAGGAAACCACGCTCACCTCTGTACAAACTCGCCCAATTCTGACGAGCTTACAGGGCTCAGAACAAACAAGGCAGCTCTAGCATCGAGGCCACTCTGTTTTCGTATGAAGGTTAATCTAGCGTCCAATGCAGGGTCGTCTTTATGCAGGTGAGAAGAGATACAGTATGAGCTAATGGTCACATACCCAGCATCCTTCTGCTCGCCATGAGGACCACAGTAAGCTTCATGTTACGTTCATTAGTAGACTTTTTCCGCGACGCAACATATGCAGCCAGCTCTCCATCCCGCTTCCGCTCTTCCTGCTCCCTGTCCTTCTCGCGATCATGATCTGGTGCGTCCAAAGGCGACCGAAGGTTGTGTAACGGGAATTCGAATAGGCGCAAGAACAACACGAATACCGAAGGCACAAGGGTTGTATGCTTGCGAATCCAGATAGGCGCGATGAGCCCGTCAGGATACAAAGGAGAAGAAGGCGTCAATGGAGAGAGAGGAGAATGAGCCACGGCATGCTGCGAGTCGTCTGGGGGCCCAATTTTCCGGGGAGGAAATCGAATATCCTTGTCAACCAAGAGCACTTGAAATGATTTGGTCTTGTCGGGCTGCCAGATGGATACTTTGCGCTGGGAGAGCAGGGCATCGCGAAGACGAGCAGTGAGAAGGGCGAAAGGATCCTGGTATTTGGTCGTATCGGCGGGGCTTGGAGATTGAGGAGGAGGAGCATCAAGGCCGGCCACGAACATGACCGGCGCCAGCTGAACCAGCAGTTCAGGAGGATAGGAATTCATCGAGACTATTGCGGGCTAGGTCGATGACATACGGACGGACATATGGGACGTGGTCGTAAACGACAAGATTGAATCGGCAAACAATCAAATCACCGGGGGAAGGATGCGCTTCTTACCAACTCCTTAACCACGTCTCGATTTCCTTGACAACATTATTGGTTTCAATACTACGATACTAGCAGGGTCCCAGTACTGTTGCAACCAAAATACAACGTCGCCGGAAATACACCGGCTTCTTCCAAACATCGCCGACTAATAGAAATTTCTTCCTTCCCCGACCTTGTTCTCAATTAGGACATTCCTTTCAAAGATCAACGCTTCTTCCTCTTTGAGATGAAGGATCCATAAACGCACCACTATACACCGGACTTTGAGCCAAAAAAGTCGCCGCGGCTATCTTGTTGATACCTGTTATAATTACAAGATAGTTGATCTGTTTCGATCTTCTTCTCGCTCCACCACTATCTCGACAATATATCGTATATTTTGCTTGTATTTTGCGTGCGTCTCCTCGGACTTAGTCGATATTTCTGCCGCAATGGACCTTTGGCTGCTGCTTGCCACGTCACGGCGTCGACTTCGAGCTCTCTGGGCCCAACAATCAAGTGCGCCTCCGACTTGAACCTCAACCACTACCTCGCGCAGCTTGCGATATCAGAGACCATGCCGACTGGTCCTTCAACTGCTCTTGTCTGGTGCCCATGTGCAAATTGTGAGTGCCGTAACTTGAAACAGGACTCCCAAACTGCCGACAATCATAGGAAAGCTGAGGTTGAGAAAGCAAGACAAGCAGGCTTTCACCAAAGGAGACGAGGGAAGGTGTTGAATAAGTCATTCTGGAGGTGAGTATCAGAGTATCTCTCGTCTGCAGGACCCGTTTCTAACTCTATCAATAATCAGTACGCGTCTGACATCGTCACTGAGCAAAAGACAAGTATCGTAGCTTCAAGCAAGTCCTACCAGTCACCTAGAAGCCCAGGACAATGTACAGGTCACTGAAGATGACATGCTGGATTCATTTGGCGACTATGACCCTCACCAGTTCAGTCAATTCGACAGTTCGGAGTCTGAAGATTATGAGGACAGTTTTGGAGATGACAAAGAGGGCGCTACCTCTAGTTCTGATGAAGATGGCGACTCAGGTAGTGACAAAGGAGAAAACATTGCTGACGAGACACATTTCAGATCAAGTGGGACGCTATTCGATTCCTCGCAACCTGGTAATGCCTTTGTCAGTGAACACGATTTCGACTTTCGTGAACTGCTATGGGCGTTCGATGTCCATCCCTCCATACGACATGCATACATACGTGTATTTTCGGCTGCTGCTTTCGACAACATTGCTCACAAGGCGGCCGCTTCGATGCTACAGGGTTATCGTATCATTCAACATCCACATGAGCTACGAGGCTTGATTTGGAAGAAGTAGAACAGGCATCGGGAATCTGGTATTGTGAAGCAGAATGGACACGGAGAATTGGATCCATGTTTGGCGTTGAGGGTATATGTTGTGATGGTTGATGCATAAAGTGAGTGATTATCGGCATACTGCTCTTCTATTCCGCTGAAATTGAGGGCCTTGTGATCAAGGGCTTGTCTCCTGGATGGTGAACGGTATGAGCAAGTTGTCAAGATGTTTAGCAGCAATCTACGCACGATGTAACAATATCAGAGTGGGCCACTGCCTCCTGCACGCTAAACGGAGGCTCCTACTGCTCTGGCACTTGAGCGTAGGGATCTAGAAATTGAAAGGTTGCGTTTGATGAAGCAGACTGAGTCATGTCTTCCAATGGAACTGGTGCGCTTGTCGTTGTCTTCTTCGGCTTTTTGGTCCTCACTGCATCCTCCGTAGTACCAGTTACAGGTCTCTTGGTTGGCACACGAAGCTTGCCTTTCGATTCGCCTGCTGGACGATTTTCATCACCAGGACTCTGATTGGTTTGTTGACGTGGGGGATTTTTTGTACTAAGGGGTTTGCCGCGAGTCCGAGATCTCGTGGTGTTGGTTGCTTGTGCACCCAAGGGTGCCATTAAACACGCTGCCTCGACCAAGCTAGAGCGCGTTGTCGTCGATGTAGTAGTGGTAGATGTAGATACAACGCGGCACCGTGTCCTGTATATCCGGTACTTCGAACTTAGAGTCTGTTCTGTCATGCAATTACTGTATTCGTTCTGAGGCCCGAATTATTATTATATGCTACAAAATGCTGCCTGTGTCTGAACACAATATCGACCCAATATACCTTCATTAGGTCATATAATGGTCCAATATTGGCCTGTCCGACTATTTTGCTATTATATATTGAATACCGCCTGTTTTGAGGGGATAGTGTCTGGCTACTATTTCGCTTGAAGCCCGGTGATAAGAGCGAAGGTGTAATCGCTGTGTCAAGTATCAGAAATCCCATTTTCACTTCCTGCACTAGAGCCGAGCTTTATATTCATACTTGACGTCCTCCTTTCATAATGATCTCACCCCGCGTATTTTTCCTTCTTTTTATCGCATTCATGTTGTCATTCGGTAGGCAGAAGTGGGTTACATTGTCTTGGGCGTTTATTAATTTCTCTTCCCCAGCTATTACGGCGCGAGCGTCACCAGCACCCATACCTAGTCCCATTGATGGACTGCAGCCATACGTTGTTACGAAAAACCAGTTAGGACTCGGAAACGGAAATGACACCATAGCTGTGGGTATTTTTTCATTAATCGAACGGCATTCCATGGTCTGACGTTCCATTCAGTTGTCCGAAACAAATTCAGCAGAGTCGTTCGGCCAGTCATGGACAGCTATGATTTTCGTTGTAGTCGCCACCATTTGGAACATCCAATTCGCATGATCCACCTAGATCCTAAGGTTATTGTGGGAACACTAAAGGCTTAAATTATATCATGTAATATATATCGTACACTTATTCATTGGACTTGAACGTATTACACGAGTTACGAAGTCAAAGTGCAAGCTCCATGGCCGTTTGTCACCAGCGAACACATACATTGCAATCACTGATCATGAAACTCTGCTGGAGAATAGACAAAATCCTTTCTTCAATCTTGGCTGGACGCAGTTCCCGCGTGATCCAATTTTAGTTTGCTATTCATAATGTCGACGACTGGCGGAGCATTTGTTGCTCGCAACATGTAGCGGAGTGTTTGCCGGGCAGGCAAGACTCAAACTTGCGAGTCCAGATCCGGCTGAGTTTGGCGTCGCAGGGGCTGATTCACCGATGCATTGGCAAGAGGGTTTGAGAACAGAGAAGCACTTACGGGCAAAAAGTTCGCCGGATTTCTCATGCCCTCGCAGCCATGGAGAAGACGCAACCAGATGAGATCTTCAGTATCGCCAATCAACGGTCGGTTAAGTAAGGCTCGACCGATATTCTTGCTCCATGTCCAAAATACCTCCACAGGAATGTAGAGGAAGCAAATAAATGGTGCGATACGAGGGGGTAAAGCAATACGCGACCATTGCTCGGTGAGAGTTTCATCGTGCATCGTAAGAAGTATGATGCCGTGGACCATCGAGTAAAAGGCATATACAGACGCGCGGAAGACGGCGCCATATGAGCCGGTGGTGAATAGACTGTTTTGTCGAATAGCAAGAGTCCACAAGAGGTGTGTAAGCAGTACCGGGGCGAAAACTCCCGCCGGAGTGGATGGGGCTGTTCTTTAGTCCGGATAAGACACAATGGCCAGGTAGACCAGACGTACGCATTAAAACGTATATCCACAAAATAAGATGAAATATGTGAAACCACGCGAAAGGAACGACGGGTGCGCTGTCTGGTATCCGTATATTGGCTAGAATGATGACAAGAGGCTGAACGATGAAAGCGCGCCGGATGGCATCCTTTGATGCTTTCGAAAGAGTAAAACTGTCCGTCAAAATATTCAAAACGGCAGCCGTCACCACGACCATGGCAATTTCGGATACACGCTCGAGCTGCATCGTAGTTTCTCGACAAGATCAAGGCAATGTGCTTTGTCATCTTCTTCTCGAAATTTCGGGTTAGGCCGGCACGCTTACATAACCTGATAAAAAAATTTGACCAAGACCGGAATTGCGTTTCTCATCCTTCCACATTATGTTCACCGCTGCTCGTTCTCTACGCTCCTCCGTCTCCAGGACTGGCCATTATGCGGTATGTATCTATTTCCTATGTCTCTCTAGGGAGGCTCATTCATTTCCTAGAGTATTCCTCGGGCCATGATTGCGCGGAATATGAATTCCAAAGTCAACGGTACGCAAAACCTTACCCTAGCTCGAGATCCCTGTACAGCTCAACTAAACCTTCTGTAGGCCCTGTCGTCGGTATTGACTTGGGAACGACAAATTCCTGCGTTTCCGTGATGGAGGGCAAAGAGTCGCGGGTGATTGAGAATGCTGAGGGTGCCCGGACGACTCCTTCCGTCGTTGCTTTCACCAAGCACGGCGAGCGTCTTGTTGGTCTGCCTGCTAAGCGTCAGGCCGTCGTCAACTCCACAAATACGGTATTCGCGTTTAAGCGGCTGATCGGGCGGCAGTTCAACGACAAGGAGGTCCAGGATGACATGAAGCACTGGTGAGCGAAATTTTCATCTTAGGATGATATATGCTGATGCCCTTCCGCCAGGCCCTTCACCGTGGTGGCCAAGCCCGATGGACGCCCGGCTGTGGAGGTCGAAAATGGAGGTCAAAAGCAGCGTTTCGTGAGTGTTGCTTTGTCATTGTGTATCCACCATCCTAATCTTTTGCAAATAGTCTGCTGAGGAGCTGTCTTCAATGGTATTGTCCAAAATGCGTGAAACCGCACAGCAATACCTCAACAAAAATGTCAAGTAAGTTTTGTGTCCCGTGTCTCATACCCACATTTTTGACATTCTGACGACAGCCATGCCGTTGTCACTGTCCCTGCCTACTTCAACGATGCCCAGCGGCAGGCTACCAAAGATGCCGGTCAGATCGCTGGACTAGACGTTCTTCGAGTCATCAACGAACCCACCGCTGCCGCCCTAGCATATGGTTTGGACCGTAGTGAATCATCCGTCATTGCTGTCTACGATCTTGGAGGTGGTACTTTCGATATCTCCATCTTGGAAAAGCAAGGAGGGGTCTTCGAGGTCAAGTCAACAAACGGTGACACTCACTTGGGTGGTGAAGATTTCGATATCCTCCTCGTCAACCACATCTTGAACGAGTTCAAGAAGGAGTCTGGAATTGACCTCAATGGAGACCGGATGGCTATCCAGCGTATTCGTGAAGCTGCGGAGAAGGCGAAGATCGAGCTGTCGTCAACAACGCAAACGGAGATCAACTTGCCCTTCATCACTGCCGATGCTTCAGGTCCCAAGCACATCAACACCAAGCTATTGAGATCACAGTTCGAGAGCTTGGTCGCCCCCTTGGTTCAGCGAACTGTTGAACCTTGCAAGAAGGCGCTCAACGATGCTGGTGTCAAGGTCACTGAGATCAATGAAGTCATCCTCGTCGGTGGTATGACCCGCATGCCTCGCGTTGGTGAGACTGTCAAGTCCGTGTTCGGTCGGGAACCCAGCAAGGGTGTCAACCCCGACGAGGCTGTCGCCAAGGGTGCCGCCATCCAAGGTGGTGTCTTGGCTGGTAACGTCACCGACATTCTGCTCCTGGATGTCACTCCTCTTTCATTGGGTGCGTATTAACGTCTCTGCGTGGTTGTCCTCCCCTCTTATCTCTCTTTCTCTAGGTATCGAGACTCTCGGTGGTATCATGACCAAGCTTATCAACCGTAACACCACGATCCCCGCCAAAAAGTCGCAAGTCTTCTCGACCGCCGCCGACGGCCAGACGGCCATCGAGGTCAAAATCTACCAGGGTGAACGTGAGCTTGTCCGGGACAACAAGCTCCTTGGTAACTTCAACCTCGTCGGCATTCCCCCGGCTCCCAAGGGTATTCCTCAAATCGAGATTACCTTCGATATCGATGCCGGTTCGTAGCACAGTCTCCTTCTGTCTTTGAGTCTCATTAACGATTGTGTTAGATGGTATTGTCAACGTCTCTGCTAAGGACAAGGCCACCAACAAGGATCAGTCCATGACCATCGCCTCGTCTTCCGGTCTCAGCGACAAGGATATCGAGAAGATGGTCTCTGACGCCGAGCAATACGCCGAGTCTGACAAGGCCCGCAAGCACCTGATCGAGGAGGCCAACAGGGCCGACTCTGTTTGCGCCTGATACCGAGAAGGGTAAGCATCTGATAGCTGGTTCTCAACTGGGTTCTTCAATTCCTCTTTGTATAGCTATGAACGAGTTCAAGGACCAGATCGACAAGACTGAACAGGAGAAGGTTGCCTAAGCTCGTCGCGGAGCTGCGGGAACTCGCTGTCAAGGGACAGGCCGCCGACCCCTCCGTTGATGCTGAGGCCTATCCGGGTGAAGATCAACGAGACACAACAGGCGTCCCTGGGTCTCTTCAGCAAGGTACGCACTTTCTAATCGCTCCTATTTCCCATGCTCACTTTTTCTTTGTAGGTGTACGAGAAGCGCAATGCCGAGGAGAATGCTTCGCCGTCGTCGGAACCTGAGCCTGAGAAGACTGAGAAGAAAGACTAAGCTTAACACTCTTTCTCTTTCGCCCTTGTCTTTCTTCTCCTTATTTACAGACATCTTAGACGACAAAAGTATCTCGCTTACATTACTCTAGTGTTGCTCTTTGCTATTCGCACCCCCACTCAAATGTTATTGCTCGCATTACTCTTATCTTGGTATTACAGCCATACACCGCATTGTACTTTATGAATACATATCATGACATTCATTCAGGATACGTAGACAAGCGCTGGTGTTGGGTACCGCGACCAATGTATTATTAGGACGAGCTTTATGTATCAACAGGGATTCACTATGCCATGGTAACGATTACAAGTTGCTGAGCTCAGAAGTCATCATGAGATGCGCCTTTGCGCCTAGTCACTTTTGGCATGTTGTAAATTCAGAAGTAAAGTAAACCTATTTGAGGTGCACATAGCACTATCAGATGGCGCAGTACACGATCTCCATTCAAGGTATAGTCCTCAATGTCGGCTTCAAGTTCTACGATCCGGACTTCCGCTAGCCTGCCTCCCGTAATGAGTAATCCGTGATCCGTAATTGGTTGATGGACATCCTCCCCTGCTCAACGGTATGCGAAGCTATTCGGAGTTCTTGAGGGACCCTTGCTGCGGCAATGGCTTCATCAGAGAGGATAAGACTGCATATAGGTACTGTGATGCTTCTGGACGGACTACTCGGCTACTACTAAGTTCAACGTTAACCGAACTATCTTGAATGGATGAGGGTCAATAACCAGGAGGGAAGACACATGATGGGGTTCCTACAAGGGCCGGTTAGTCCTAATGCTACCGGAATGAATTCACCGGTCTCTCTTCGAAGAGTCAAGAAGTAATGATTCGTATAGAACTCCAGAAGATTAGATATAGGAACGTCTGTTAGAATAGGCCACTTTGAGTGTCATAAAGCACTGCTAGGAGGTCTGCAAGGCTTGGGAAAAGGGTGTCAAGCTTGAAAGCAGTAGGGCTACAGCGTCATTGTGTTGAACGTGCGATGGTTCGGCATTGTTTCGTTCATAGAACTTGTGAGTGTTAGGTTTCATTATAAATGGAACTGAGATATAAGAATACCCAAATGGTCGAACGGAAGAGCGGACTAAACCCTTATACCTGATTGCAAGGTTGAAGACGAGGTTCAAAGAATAATATCATCTTAAAAGTTCAAGGTGAACATTAAAATATCTGTTGGAATTTTTCTCAGTTTCAACGAAATGGAATACAGAGCTGGGGACATACCTCACTACACTGCCAATGGGTCGACAAGTGCCTTCACCATTTCTCGCCCAACGAACCACCCAGCTACCAATCACTTCACCGTTTCGAATCCATAGTTTCGGCTACCGTTTCCTCACTTCCTGGAACGGGGATTGTAGGCCTCCGTTCGACAGGTAAAGCAACGGATTTGGCAAGCTCCCACTTGGCGAACGGTCGGGACGTATCGATAATAAAATCGGGATCGTAGACCTGAACGCATGGTTCAACCCTAAGACAAGTCTGCTTGCATATTTTCGAAACGTACCCGGGTTATTCGTGGTTTCAGAGTAAGAGAATAGGTGGTCATCTCAATTTCGGGTACACCTCCCTGGAGTCGGGGGCTCTAACCGGCGAAGAGTAGTTACGTACGGGTGGGTGACCCATCCGACGAATTGCCGTGCTCGCTGCTGATGTCGTGACCGCGATTGTAGCCAATGAAAGTCGAGCACTCGCCGGTAGATTGGACTCGAATGACGAACATAAGGGTGAAATAGTTGAGGTGAGCCCTAGAGTTGTCCAAGAGAAGAGCTTGAGCCGCCTGAAGGTATTGCTCAGAGGCCCGTGGTATACATGCTGTTCCTCCCTTGGTTCTGCGGCAGAAAAAGATTTCTGAGAGGCCGGTCGACGCCGCTGTTGACAGTGTCCGCCACCGTGCTGGAGGGTGCAGTAGAGAACGATGAAAGGGTGTAAAATGGCGACAGCCAAGTCGCAGGACTGGGATGGAGCAACATGGTGGTTTGCGTCCAAGACTTGGATGGCGCCGCTTACGCGCAAGCATTCTCATTCTCGGCAGCTACCACCTGACTCTGACACATACTCCCATGGATGGCCCTATCTACTATTCGAAATCGGAATTCATTGAAACTGTACGGTAGTTTCTTTCTGGATTCGCGTACGAACCGACGTGTCGCCTTGTAGGACACTGGAAACAAGGTATCACGACGAGCGACAATCGCTGGGCCGCAAAATATCATTCTCGGAGGCAAGACGATCATCTCTAGCGGCGCTATAATACGTGGAGACCTGCGCAGGTCTGGTCCCGGTCATGCTGTCGTTATCTCGCTAGGTAGATATTGCTTGGTAGGAGAAGGGCTGCGTGATGCGGTGAGGACTTTCTTCCTTTTTTTCTCTTCTCTTCTAAGACCGTCCAGGCCACCAGTACAAAACTTATCGCGGCGCTTTCAACTATTACCCTATGAAAATCGGAGACTATGTTCACATAGGCGCCAACACCGTTGTCGAAGCTGCAACCATAGGGAATCACGTTGAGATTGGGAAGAATTGCGTGATTGTATGTTCTGCCTTTTGCCTTTATTCTCTCTTCTAAGCCAACCCAGGGGAAATTCACCATTATCAAAGACTGCGCAAAGGTCGCAGATAATACTATCGTTCCGGCCAACACGGTGATCCCAGCCATGGCTCTGTTTTCTGGATCCCCTGGTATGTCGCTCTCCTTGCTAAATTTATTGTTCTTACGTCCTCTCTAGGTCGTTTTGTAGAAGACCTGCCCGAATCTACCCAAGAAATGATGGAGAATCAGACTAAGCAGTATTACACGCGCTTTCAGCCATCAGAGCAGAACCGATGACTGTGTACTTTCTGGTGAGGCTTTTTCTATGCATGTTCTTGTGATGAACAAAATAGAAGTCAAGCACTGATCAACGTGATGTGCATATTTTTTCCTGATTTTTCGACTCTTCTCTCGTCATCTGAGATGTGCTGGCATTCTTCATCCTTAGGTTGTTCACTAATTTACCCCTTTGTATCAAGATACCTTGGATCACATTTGTACTCTGTACTTAATATCACGTTTCTCGAGCCCTCTAAGATGGCGAAGTTCCGACTTTATTGGTAAGCCCATCTTTATGATAAAGCCTTGTCATGGCTCGGGCAGGGAAGGCATGGGTCTTCTTTGGTCCTCTTCTCTAGCGCTGATGAATAATCAATTCATACAGCTAGCGTAATCTTATGGATTCTCCTGCACCGTCCTGCACCGTGTTGCCTCACACGCGACGCGCTCGTGATATAATCGCGCAATTCGTGGAAACTATGAACTAATTATCATCAGTACAAATATCTCAGGTGCATACGAGACACCATTACTCATCTACCTACAATGTCGACACCCCAAGGATTCATCAAGCGCAACGAGAAATATGCTGCAACAGTTCGACAAGGGCGACTTACCCTATGCCTCCGTCGAAGAAGCTCATCGTGGGTATGTCTGAGTCTCATTTTGGACCTGTATCATTAAACTCATGAGTTTCGCCTTCCTAGTAACTTGTATGGATGCGCGAATCGAGTGAGCCTACTGTTTCTGAACGTATAGCACCATCCCACTGACTCTGCCAGTCCCGCTGCGTCCCTCGGCATCGAGCTTGGCGAAGCGCATGTTATCCGCAACGCAGGAGGCAGAGTGTATGACCACTCAACATTCTCACACCAGAACACTGACCCTGAGGATCCCACAGCCAAGATGCGATCAGGAGCATCATAATCTCCCAGCGTCTCCTCGGGACACGAGAAATAGCCGTCTTCCACCACACCGATTGTGGAATGATGACATTCACCACACAGGACTTGCAAAACCAGATCGTCGACGAGGACGGGGCCGAAGCAGCTAGTTTGGTTAACGACATTGATTTTTTGGAGTTTTCTAAATTAGAAGAAAGTGTGAAGCAGGATGTCAAGTATCTGCAGAGCCATCCCCTTGTGTTGAAGGATACTCCCATCACTGGGTGGATTTATCACCTTGAGAACGGAAAGGTGGGTAGGCTGAATTATCTTTGTCTGCACCGTCTAATTCGTATGAAGGTTACTCAAGTGGTGCAGTGATGCAGTCTCTCTACAGCTTTCGTTGCATCATACATGGATCCATTGTACAATATGTTCAATAGTCACGATACTTTATTAGTCTTCTTCATAATTGTTGGAATAATCATGACCTTTTTGACTTGCGTTGTACTAAGTTTTTCTCAGGGAAAACCTCAAGCCCAATCGTATTCTCGTCATATCTACACGTACATCTAAGATTGTCTAAAGTCTAAGAAACCTATGCACCCGCCCAAGCATCGTCCTTGAGCCATAGTCCATATCCACCCTTGACCATCAAACGTTCATCAGCAATCTCCTTGAGCCAACGCCATATGTCACTACCCTCCACCTGCTCTTCCCCCGCCCACATTTGTGGGAACACAGTCACGACAAGCATCCTGAGACGTGGACGGTCCCTCAGAATGGACGCGACCTCCTCCACAAACGTCAAGTCGTTCTCTTCATTACCATTCACCCGACGACACAGTTGTAGATGGGTAAGTGCAGGAAGTGAGCCGAACGACGATAGGATGTCGTAGGGAGAGTGCCATTGGTCGCTGGGTTCACATATACGGAGATGTGTTATGGGTGCGACGCACGCAGGTCCCACTGATGCGGTGGGCGCGTCGAAACGTTGTATCGTGACAGCCGACAGACTCTCATGATTCGGATCTGCCAGGATCAAAGCTAGAGACGACGGTTGATATCCCTCCTTGAGAGACAGAGATAATAGTCCCTTGGCTCGAGATACAATCTCCCATACGCGCCCCCATCCCTTTGCATCAAGAACCGCGTTTCCAGACACGGTAAAATGTCTGATGTGGATAGTCAGAGAAGGGTTCGAGCGGCACGCCTGGTAGAGAAGGGACACTGGGCGAGTAGAGCTGAGGGAAACTGTGCGGTAGAGTATGGTGTTGAAGAGACAGGACATGTCTTTGCATATTGTCGCAAGTGCGTTGATTTTGGATTCGATTAAAGCGAGGGTAATGATATCGATGATAAGCTCAACGGGGAGAGCTAGTAATGGAGACGAATGCCGAGCAACAAGGGATAGGGAGAAGGAGCGGAGTCGTCCTTGCTGATGGCTTCGAGTCATGGTAAGCGTGGACATGGCGGTCGCTGGTCAAGCCGAGTCAAGCGGTGACTTATTTATCTTGCGATGTCATCATACTGTGTTTTTTTTTTGCTCGGAACCAAATTGAGCCTCCTGGCAATTACCGACATCGAGGCCGGTTCTAGCCTAAAGACGGAGGTCCACCAATGTCACTGCGTGGACGCGTGCGGCGTTATCGACGCGTTGAGTAATAGAAAACCTATTAAAGTCTGAGAACAAATCCGAGTGCGAATGTGGGATGTGGTAAAAACACATTTCTGGTCTTGCGAACCGGCTAAAACCGAGTTCACGGTGGTAGTCGAGGCTGGAACAGTGCGAAGAATTCGATGGGACACAACTCCGTTGTACCTAGAGCGAACGAGAAAGTGTCAGGTGCATTCGAAGAAGACAGACGCTGTTATCACATCGCTGCCCAAGTAATCTTAACAAGGACTAGACCTGTACGGCGTGGCAGAAAACTCACCAGATACCCATGCTAAAGTCTCTATCTTAAACGCTGACATCTAGTAAGAGAAACCTGGGTAGATGCGGCTGATATGGCAGCAAGCGTGAGTCCGTCGGAACCGCGAAACATCCTCAAAGTCGTTCTTTTTGGATCCCGTGCTCAGCGAAGCTACACATCGAACCCCAAAACGACACCAAGGTCCTAATAAAAGCACGAGGCGAGGCAATGCAAGAAAAGAATGGCTCGAAGGCGGGCATGATTCCTAGAAGAAAGAAAACTGAAAGTCGTGGTCAGAGTTAACGTTCAGTCAGGGAAGCCGGATGTCGGGCCGCCTGGATCTGCTTTCGCTCCTTGACCAGTACTGGAGGCAGCCAATCAATCTAGTTTTCTAGTTTTCTATCCTTAGGCTCGTTATCCCGAGTCGACATTATCTGCAGCCGATGTCAGCGAGGCGCAGCTAGTCTGTGATGATCAAGATTACGGTAGCATGAAAGGATTTAAAGGGAGTAGGTATTCACTGTTACTTTCGACTCATGCACTAGTAGATAATGCTACGACTGTCATACCTTCTCATAATGAGCCATCGAGATTAGTAGGAGTAGTATACTCCTATTTACCTGAGCTGTATCACCAGAGATGGCCAATCAATCCAGTTTTCCAGTTTAACAAAGCAAACAGAAAGCGGTCATTAGTATATAATATGATATAGCAATACTACTATTACAGCTTGAACATTTTCGCGTCCAGCCGAACACCATTTTTCGCCAAGAAGACCTTTGCCAGGTTACCCATGATAATAAAGGTAGATCCATACGTCCCAGCTTGGGCAGAACTTGCCTGCCGCTTGGCATATCTTGCAGCAATCCCTTGCATGATGATGGCTAACTGTAAAGAAGCTGAATATCTCGACTCTACGATTGAAATATGGCTTACTCGGAATAACATCCAGCTACGGACAAAGACAAGCTCCTTGATGGGACACGGTTGCTTCATCAATCGACAATATTCTTCTTCCATCTCCTCGAAAGTTATTGGGACGTGTTTTGGGTTCTCAGCACCAAAGGCTACCAGCAAATTATGCCTGGCAATCGGGATGTCAACCAGGTCCATCGCCCACGGTTGGGTCAAGTTTGCAAAATCAGCGAGCTAATTCAATGACACACTCAGTCCAAATACCAAGAACAATATCGATACTACATACAGGACTTCCGAGTGTACACAGTTCCCAGTCAAGGATACCAATAACACGGTTCTCTGTAGGATGGAAGATGAGATTATCCATTTTATAATCCCCATGTACAATTCGGAGACCAAATTTAGACTCGTCGGGGAGGTTGGCGTAATACCATGCTATCATGTTGTCAAAGGAGGGTATAGGCCCGACGGGTATGCCCGTATCGACATCTTTGGCTGCAGCTTGGGCGTTGGAGACGGCAGAAAGGGATTTAAGCTGGCGAGGGAAGTAGTCTGTCGAAGGACCAAAGTTCGAGAGACCGACTGCAGCGGGGTCGACGCTGCTGAGTTTAGCCAGTGCTCGTACGGCACCCAACCAGCTGCACGTGAATATACATTATAAGAGAAGTGGATATTAACGAGAGAGGACGAAGGCGCACCATTCCCTTCGATCTTCGGGACTTGATTCAGGCATCCGCGGATCGGTAAAGATTCGTCCGTCTACAAATTCCATCACGTAGAAAGGTGTTCCAATGACGGACACGTCTTCACACAGAATGTATGGCTCTGGTACCGGGACGCGTTCCTCAGGACGAGTCGTTGGCTTATTGTTGAATGTATGAAGGGCATGAAGCATCGTGTATTCCCGCTCTACCTGGTGAGCAGTTTTCGACAACAACTGTCCTGCGGGTTTCTTCCGGAGAACATATCGTTTTGAGCTGCGCCAGGTTAGCCTGCGTAAATGGTGGTGACATTGGAGCTATGCACCTGGCGTCGGTCAGAAAGTAGGTAGGATTGGACTGGTAGAGACACATTCAGTGCAACGAATGATGATGATAACGAGATACTACCTGTCCAAACTACAAATAGATATTAACTCGTAGTCCTAACAGCGAGAAAGCGTGTGACACACCTTGAACTGCTTCACCTCCAGCGGCAAGCGCACCTGAGGAACATTTCTCACCAGATAACTTTCCAGCTTTGGTACATCGATATTTGCACGAACTTGCCCATATTCCCCACCAACTTTCTTCGGCGGTTTGCTGGAAGACATGGGTACAAATAGAAGAATATCAGATGGCAGCGCTCCTCGGTCCTTAAGCGGGTCTACCCCGGTTCACTAGTAGCCGGAACCGATTCATGGTAGCATCAGCCGCGGAACCTTTAATCGGGATTGCTTAGGGCTCGGGGTGGCGTGGGAATGGTGGCACACGTTGGACATGTTCGTGACTTGAAGTGCTTGAAGTTGATCCAATACCAATCCAATACCAACATCATTAACGTACACTAGAGTTCACATCCATTAGTGAACGACTTGTCATCGTATGTACGGACTGTTAATCAGGTTTGCGAGACTATTGACTTGGGGTGAGTTCCTTCGATTCCTATCTTATTCTATTTTGTGCCTTGGTAGTTAATGCAAATCCACACATGGTGATCTGATTTGAAACCAGGTCTTTATTTTAGCTATCTTCTCTCTTTGTGGTGTATGCGCTCTCGCGGTCGTCGAATCTGTAGCAACCAGTACTATATCTATGCAGCAGAAAGTCTGGGGTCGATGTAGTGTGATATGTATGATGTATTAATTGAACACATTCGATACATATTGCATTACAATCGTTGTATCAAGGAAATCGGGCGTCGCGCACACAGTTCCTGCTAGTATATATTAAAGACGGTTTTCCAGGGATAACATCACATGTTGGTCTACATCCTGAGGATTCCCTTCGACCGATTGGTATGGCATTTGCTGAGGATTTCCGGGCATGACATGAGCTATCCAGAGACAGGATCCTTGTGTTGAAGGAATCTATAAATTGCGATGCCAGGGTATCATACGATCCACATTGGTGTGAAGCGTGACAGCTATCTTGTCTTGCTGGTCATCGACGCGTAGATACTTGCATAGTATAGCGCGCAAGCATGGAAATACATATAAACATCGTAGCTGGCATCCAGATACACCCGAACTCTCGTGTCGCAATATGGAACGAGAGGAGTGCTAGCTGCGAACGTTCAACGAGCACGGGTGGTACAGTTTGACCCGCTCTGAGGAAATGGTAAACACTCCTGTCATGCCTGAGTTTCCGCCTGAAGGAAATGCAAAGTGGCACTGAAAAAATTTCCTTATACAGTTTCCATCTGGTCAGAAACTGAATTCTCTCCGCCAAAATCAGATTTTCGACAGACGGAATACGTCTAAGGAAACCTTTTCAGTTCCACAATTCATTTCCGTCAAATTTCCTTTGGGCCAAAGTTGTTGGGGGCCAGGGGTGAAGGTGGTGGTCCCTAGCCAAGGCGATATTGATCAATTCGGTCAACGGGACTTGAACGTGAACCCAAGAACTCAGCGCATATGTGAAGGAGTCTATTGTTAGTTATACAGCTACAAGTCGGAAATAATAACAAATAGATGCATCTATTTCCCATCCGTCAAGCTTGTGCAAAAGACCGAGACCCAGTGTCTGGCATCTTCTCTTGCGACGGCGAGGGAGCAAACTTGGCGAACAACGACGTTCTTCTCCGTGGAGTGGCTTCCTTTCCATACTCGTGCCCCTTCTCCTTCTCCTTGTCTGGTGTCACAGTCAAAAAGTTCACCAACACCTGCCACAGATTATTGCCCGTAACAGAATGTTCCCCAGGTAACACCGCCTGGTCCGCAATCTTTGCCAACCGCCTTGCCTCATCCGTATCTCGCCTCGACACAATACTACTCGGAGGAGGCGTCTCCCCCGCATCAAGCGCCCAAGCCCAACTCCAACTCCCCGAAGCCTCCAACAAACCATCCTTGATCGTTTTGTCTCCCTCACTCTCCAAAGAATGCTGCAGAACAGCAATATTCCGGATCGTATCCTTCTTTGCCCGCTTGAGGTTATCTATCCGATGCTTCTCGATAGCTTTGACCGCATGGGAGAATTTCTTGTCAAACTTAGCCTGGCCTTCAATAAAGCGCCGAGCGGCGAGTTCGGATATGGACGCCCATGAATTCGACGGGGACTTTCAGAGCGTCAAGCTCGGATTCTGGTTCCAGTGGTCGTATGATGCCTTGGGTGGATACGCGCTCTCGAATCATGATGCCCTCCCAATCCGGATTGTCCTTGGAAAGAGACAGTAAGATAAACAAACCCAGCAACTGATAAGAACTGAACATACAAAAGTCTCCGCATAAACGGCAGGATCTCCGGCCATTCCGTTCCCCCTCCCCAGGAGGCGAAGAGGCATAGCGATGATGATGGAAGCGCGGACCAGCTACATCACCAGATGAACTGTCCTTCTTGAGAAAATCCCCGTTCCCATTTAACGTATCATCATTTGCATGCTCAGCAGGTGCCAAAGGATGTAATCCGTGATGTTTATTCCAGACTTGAGGCATTGACCGCTTCCGTATAGACTCAGAAAATGCTCGCCGCAACGATCTCTTCTGCGGTTGGGCGGGGGAGAAGTCTCTTTCGTCTTCAGCCATCTCAGGAGGTGTGAATGAAAGCGTCATTGAAGATATGCGGGACGTTGGCTCTTGTTTTTGCGGGGACGGTAGGTTGGCTGTAGATGTATTGCGTGTAGGCGTGTGTGGAGGAGTCGGAATAGTAAACGATCCGTCAACAGGACTTTGGGGGGTTTGATTCATCCCCGTAACAGACTTGCAGAACGAGGCGATGGCACGATAGCAATATTTTCCCGGCGTAGTAAATGAGAACAGGACGGGCAAAGTGTGGGCAGCATCTAAGCAAGGAATTAGATATCGGTGGTATCATTGCAGCGATACGATCTTACCATCATAAACCTGTAAGTGTACGCGCGTAGCTTTGTGCCGTGATTCAATACCTTTAAGTGGTGGATATGACTCTCGAATGTCTTCTCTAATGGGGTATTTTTCTGGGTATGCTGCCTTATGTGCACTAGCGAAGTATAAGTAAAGACACTATATCAAAACGGAAGAATACAGCTTACGCGTAAATTATTTCGTCACGTAAAACTTCTTTATCGCTGTCAATAAAAAACAGAGGCGGTAGGCCTCCCAAATATGACATGGCTGGGCTAACAAGAGGGTGGCCTAAAAGGCTATTCTGCGCATACATGTGCACTTGCTGATCAATCTTGAGCACATCTCCCGATGTCGTAGTCATGTTGATCGTTTGGCTACCTGAACCCAGCGAAGGAAGAGGTGCCGTTGCACCGACATCTACAGGCATTCCGGAAGCTGAAGTACATCTAGGTCCGTTAATGGTCGTCACTAATGTGTTGGACTCATGCGGATCCATCTTGAATGCCTGTCGTATACGGGAGCGAAGAGAAGCGTGCACAATCCGTGTCATCTCCTGGGACGGGGGTGGCCATAACGCACTCGGTTTCTGGAGAGACAACCCATACTTAGGAATGATATCAGTGTCCGTATTGAGGTGAATGCTCGGAAAGGAATGTGTCAAACTAAAGGATATTAGCAGGAATCCGGACCATGACAGGAAAGCGGGACTTACTCGCACCAAGGTGATATTAAAACGCCTCCTGCAGGCATAGGTAGGCCACTGTCTCGAATGACTTGAAGCAGCGCTAAAGATATGCCACCTCCCGCCGAATCTCCGGCGACAACTATATGCGACGGCTTGACCGGACGATGCTGAGCATCCGGGGGAGGGTTTATTAAGTATAAATCTGCCGAATGGTCAGGGCATAGGAATGTGAAAGAACGGGCTGGCCTACAGGCGGCTAACACGTCTTGAAGCGCGCAAGGGAATGGGTATTGGGGGGCTAAACGATAATTTACGGCTGATAGATGATGAATAACTAACGATGCAGGGACTTAACTATCTGGACTCACCGAATACACGTCCATTAATTTTGCGAGCATGTCGCTGAATGCTGTATCTATAGAGGAACGTAAGGACGGCTGTATCCAAATTAAAAGTGCGTGCCTTGCCTCTCTTGGTCTACGCTTCCAAAATAATATCCACCTATGGGAGAATGAGGTCAACAAAAGCTTAAAGAAGCGCGTCTATGATCACCTCCGTGCAGATATAGAATACAACGCATTTCATCCATATCTTTGTCATAAGTCGCTGATTCACCGGTCTCTGGCACCGGGTCAACGTCAGGTTTAGATTTCTGTTGCATCTTGTACCGTCGCTTGGCCTCTCGCCAGTCCTTCTTCGCAGTTATCCACTGACCATCGACGCTAAATTGATATTTAACGTAAGACCCAGAGAGCAATAAATAGAGTTGAGCACACCCGCTGACACCTCGCACCTGCCACCACTTCACCCCACCTACAACACGCCGTGCAGTTTCCTCACCACCTAGAGCTTGAACAAGGTATGTAGCTGCTTCATCACAGCATGACATCGGCACCAGTACTCTTACAACGCGTACCCAGGGAGGAGACGGCGTCCGTGTGTTTCCAAAGCCTAGAACATAGTTGGGATTGAAATGAATGTACATCCATTGGATCGGAGTAACCAACCTTGGACTTCCTCTACAGTATGGCTGATGTCCCTTGGTATCAGCAAGCACAAAAGGGGTGGTGGTGTATTGACTCACTACGTTGCTACCTCCAAGAACATCTGCCGAAATCATTTCAGCTGGGTTCCGGCGTGCAAGGAATGATGACAGCATACCTTGATGATATTGAAGGCCTGGTCGTACAAAAGTTCATCACGTCTCAGCTGAACCTCCGTCTTCTTGAGCGCGTCCTTGGTAATTCGGTCAAAGTAATGCTTCACGAGTGTCTCGAGCAATAGAGGCCCAACCCGGAGGCCTGCTTGGGCGGTGAGAATATTAACGGGCATAGCACCGGCAGTGAAGGAAAGGATGGTGGTGGTCGGAAGACAAGGAGACGATCATTGAGAGTTGCAGCAGCGCCTAACAAAACACCGCCGGGTAAGATATAGTCATCAGCCCTAGGTAAGGTCGATTAAGCGCGATGACACAATGCTGTTCACGAGATCGTGGCTGTGCTTCGGCGGAAGGCAAAAAAAAAAGGGACCTAAAATCGATAGCAGTTATTCTAACACAAAACAAAACTGCAGGATCAGGGTACAATAATTATAAGCAACAGATTACAATTGTCGATGAGGAAGTATCAGAGTATCAGAGTATCATTGAAGGAGAACAAAAATTCATGATGCAATCGTTAATAAATAAAGCGTCACGGTCTGACAAGGATAAAACCCAAGAAAAACAATTTCAGTAGGCATGCTCCAATCGGTCTTGAATCGGTCTAAAGGAACACCGATAACAAGATAACGGGGATCATCGCTGCTCCTACAAATGCAACGGTGCGCTGGGCATCGTTGGAACCTGAATCTCCCGTTGATGAGGCAGACGTCGACGTCGAAGTTCGACTCATGCTAGAAGACGTGGAAGAAGAAGCTGTACCATTAAGACGAACAGCATTGCGCTATAATGCCGGGTTAACTCAGTATGGAATGTTGAATAGGATTGGCTTACCTCGAATCCTTCTAGCGTTTCTGAGCTGCTCTCGTTAACATTAATCACACCCACGCCCCCTTCGCCACAGGTGTTGTAGTCGAAAAACCAGAGCGTTTGGTTTTCAATGTCGGTGGTGATAGGGACAGTAAGGATGGTTATCGCAGTGCCGTTAACGGTGTCACGAAATCCCGAATCAAACCCATTAACAGTGTTGTTGGCGCCGTTCGCGGGAATACATGGTGCATAGAAAAGGGACTGGGTGACGGTATGATTTCCCTCCGTAACTGGGATACCTTCAGCACACGACGCGAGCCCTCAAATATAAAACAATTACGAACAGTTGAAAACGACGATATCATTGAGCTTTGCAGTCACGCTCTGGGGCTGGAACACCGCACTGGCATTGTTTGTCGTATTATGGCCTACAGTGACCACGATGTTCTCAGCAAGCACGGTGACGTACAACAGCCAACTGCAAGATGGGGATAAAACAACGTGTAGCAGAGTCAACGCGGCAAGAAAAACTTACAACGGAGATAAGCCCAGCAAAAAAGGCACGCATACTGCACGTCGTCAGAATTTTGTAAAGAAAGAGACCAAAAGGACAGAAGAGATAGAGCAGGTGAAGGTGACGGACGCGTCGCTGGGTTTTTGGCCTGTACGAAGGAAGGGAACGAGGAGAAGCTTGCTCACGACGGCCAGCCTTTTCCCTGTCAGTATCCGTGCTCACGCTCTGATTGGCCGAGAACAATTACGATCACAGTAACGTATACGTACGTCGCTGATACCGCGTAAGTTCACTTCCGAAGAATTTCAAGAAGATTCAAATTAATTCTCCTCGGGGCCAGAGCAGATACGGTGGGAAGACTACCGTATTAGAAGACGGGCATAGTGGGCGGCCTGAGTTGACTGGACAATAATGTCGAGCAGGAGGACCATGCTCAACAAGGAGTAGGTATGCATGATGTTACCCAGTTAGCGACGCCAAAGAGGCTCGTTGGCAAGGAAACAAGAGTCGATATCCTTCCACCCCAGTGACATCTAGAACGGGTGCCCGTGTACGCCGGGGTCAGACCCTGCTTGGGAAGAGGGAAGTAGGAAAGACGTCAATGCTATCAAGAATGCCAGCGGCTTCTCCCGATAAGCGATAACAGTCGATGCCACGATAACGTGACTGCAATCGTCTTATACCGAACCCCCACCATAAACGTCTTCTTCCTCCGCGGGGGTTTGAATTGAAATGCTCAGGCTGGCCATGCGCAATTTCTTCTAGTTACATCAGCACTGATTGATTATTTTTCAGCTTCTTGACGCTTCTACCCTCATCGAGAAACTCGGATACAATTTTTGACGTTTAAAGAATAGCTTTGGAAGACTTTATGTTGTATTCGTTTATGTATTCCTTCGGATGCAGATTCCCGCTTCCCAACCACATGGAAATGGGCTACCGGAAGATTACCAGGCGATAATGCGAAACTGTAACCAGCACATCTCGTACCGTCAGGATGCACGGGACTAGATGCCGTAGGAGGCACCCTATCGACTGCTTTCCCTCTCGGCAGCGTGTGAGTCGTTGTCAAGGCACTGGCGTATTGTCGCTAGAGTTGCACTCTGACATTTGGCGGTCCCGAATACGGACGACTCTTGGCGGAGGAAGGCTCGGCTGTGAAGACAATCTCCCTCCTCCGTCAGTTTGCGATATCACAACTCGCCTTCGTCCTTCCTCTTCTCCTCCACTTCCAAAACCCAGGCGCGCTCGCTCGGATCACTCTGGGAAGGCGTAGCGGCTACCGTGCAACTGTCGGTATATTCGTGCGACCCCGGCGATCAAAAAAGCCAACTTTCCGACTTGCTTGTTGCACCCGTAATACTGTCAGTCAGTAGATCTTGTTTTATATTTATACTTAAAAGTACTGAGGCCTTCTCCCCTCAGAACATAGGTTGCCTTTGTCCCGGACAGACTTCAATTATCTTATAAAGCCAAAAGGAAATCGAAGATGCAAAACGCAACGCGTCGAGCGCAAAGTACACAACAATATCGCGCCAGAGTGACGCATGGAGTAGCGTGCTCTGGGTGGAAGCATAATAAAATGCGTTATCGAGCGTAAACAAGGCGTTTTTTTTCTTCCCCTCGTTCGCACAAGTTTCGGTGCACAGTGGTTACTCCCGATATTTCTGAATGGAGCAAGTATAATCCAGTTGAACTGTAAGTTTTCTGCGTCCTTTGTTCTGCAGTCCAGATCTCTTTGATTCCAATGTACCCTTTCAAGTGCCGAAATTCCTTGTTCGCGACCTTTTTATACCGCCGAAAGGCTACAGTAGTAGCCGAACGTTCGAATTCCCTTGGGCTAGCTTCGCGAACAAGACAAAATCAAGCCAGCAGCTGATGACCCCAGATCAGACCCCAAATGAAAGGTCAGCGGGGGTTCAAGTCATTTGAGTGACATCTACGTTCGACGCGGACTCCGCATGGTCATAGCTAGGTTCGGAGAGGTCAGCAGAATAAAAAGTGTAGACTTCCTGCTGTCTCATTTCTTCCTTATGCCTGGAAGACTAAAAATTCAGAGCCGTTGCTGAACTCCTCCTGAAAACACCAGATGCGTCAGAACGCGAAGAACGCACCTTTCTGCGCTCTTCTACCTCAAACCCGAACCCGGATCAAGCTTCGCCTCCGTACTGACCCTCTTGGCTAACCCTTGGCTACCATTGCCAAGTGACCAAAGCATCCACCAATATTCTCACTAACATCCTCAGCATTAATCTCATCCAGTTTCTCACAGGCTATGATCTCGCTACAGTATCGGACGGGCTCCTTCGGTTCACCTGCTACGAGTTCCCTTTACCAGGGTCTCGAATCGACAAAGGACGTAAAGTGGGACAACGATGTGCCATCACTCTAGTTTTATGCAGCAAGTTCCCAGGGCCCTTCACCATCTTTCGGTTAATAGCCATCTGGGCTCTCAACTCACTGATCCGTCTGACTTCCGATTTTTATGCACGTTTGTAGATCGCCACGCTGCCCATCTCCATTGCCAACGCCCGTTTGTCTAGTTGGGTACTGTGGCGACTACGCCTTGAGCTGGCACATGCACATGCACATGCAAACATCGGTCATTGATGATGAGATGTTGCGAGCTCAATTGGCCATTGTTCCAGATCCGGGAGACAGTGAGTCTCCTAGCATCAGCATTCTCACGATAATGCATCTTACATTCCAATCACTTCAGGCCCAGCTTCTTCGTAACAGAATGAAGAGAAATTTGATTCAGTTGGCCACTAATATGTGCAGATCTGCTTGTATCGAAGATTTCTGGTGGTTAATAGAAGAACCGTCCAGATATGACATTATTGGTTCGAGCACCTGTATACGATCGACGGTTGTGAGTACTGCAGCAGTCTTCAAAGTTGGAACCACCCATTTATCACTCAAGGAACGATGCAATATGACTGACCGTGTGTCAAAGCACAAGGGTGGTGCGATGTTCGGCAAAAGCCTTGGAAGTTCATTGAGCCCACACACCATCTCACCGCGCAGCCACGCTGTTTGTTGGTGACTTGCATATGGCTAATCCGACAATATGGGCGGCGACGTTTCAACTTTCGGCAAAGATTCGACAGCGGATGCAAAGCAAATATACGGAACGCCGGCGCCTCCTCAACCTTACTGCGTGCCCATTACCAAATCCACAAGGAAACTAGACATGCAGTCAAGCAGTTTCGAGCGGACCAATGACGGTGATACCTGCAGTTTAAAGGATTTTGTTGATTGTATGACGCCAGGAACGGCCAATATTGTGCGAATATGCAGAGTCTCGACTGACCGGCAAATGTGTCGGAATCGCGTCATTCCCAAGGGCGAGGAACTTCCTTGAACTGCCAGCCGGATCTTGTGGCGGCTAGGTATTATTCCCGAAGCACGTGGCTAAAACATAAAATGGTTTGTCTCCTATCGACAACCAGTTCGCGTTATTTTGGACCGCCATCTGTCTTGATCTGCAGCTCTGCTACTCCCCTTGCCCTTCGTTGGGCCCGCTTCTAAAAGTCTATGCATGGAATCAAAAAGAATAATCTCAGCATCCGCCTTACTGAGTCTGCTGTATTTCTGAGGACCGATGACTCGTCTGGAAGAAATCCCAACAGTGAAGCACGGCCTTCCATTTTACGTGGTTTGCTCATTCTTGAGCTCGCCAGGCCGACCAAGATAACTAGTATTGACCTTAAACTCCAAGCTACGTCTTCTACAGCCTGGCCAGAAGGTACGAGATTATAGATAAGCACCGCTTCAATGTTGAATTCTTTGTTATCAGGTTTTGGTGCCCGGCGAGTAGATGTCACAGAGGACAACAAAGTTTTCTCCGTGTCTACTGGACTATTCAATGCCGGCCCGCCTCCCCGTCGGACCATGTCCGTTGGCCCCGGCTTGATAGGCTACAACGATGAAGCCTTTGATGAATATGACGACGACCATCTCGAACAGGCTAGCCATTCCGAAGATGCTCTTTATATGGCAGATACCGCAAATACAAGTCGATACCTAAGGGCGCAGCGTCGCGTCAGTGTCGACAGTTCAGTACCGACGAAATCCACAATCATACGACACAGATATACCTATCCCACCAGGAAATCCCTCCATATTCGCTGCAGTGCTCCCGTCATCGTCAGGCTCGTTGCCCACACCTCCACATTCGTCTCCTTCCGTGGAACGTCCGACGATAAGTCCCGCTCACTCTGCAGGACATCTCGAGACGGTGGATGAGAACCCTGCAAATACCTTGATAGATCTGCGAAACACCCTGAGGGCTGACTTGAGTCGTGGCAGAGGAAGTGAGTAGATCTACTTTTATCACTCCCCAAGGGTTGTCATCTTTTTCACAAGGTCCTTCGCGTGCCTTACCTCCAAACCCACCCGTCATTCACTCTTCGTCATCTAGTCTGCGTTCGTGGCAACCCGTCTCGAGAGATGGATCACGTTCCAGACGTGTGAGCATAGACGAATCCTTTGAGTCCGGCCCTAACACCACGCAGAACTCTCCCCAGCTGTCACCGCTGCGAGTTCCCAGCTCATCAGACATGCGAAGTCCCAGCGAATCCCGTGGTCGTAGGAAAGTATCCGGTTTCAGTCTCTCTTCAGTATCCAACGCCATAATGGATGTCGTACGATCAAGTTCACCAAGGAACAGGCGTCCTTTTGGAGCTGGCAGTCGTTCGACTGAGCGGGATTTGCATCTGGATGATCTTTCGTCGAGAGGACGGACACGCGAGAAAGGAAAGCCGACATTGACCGCCAACGATGATTGTGTTGAACTGTCGCGCTCGAGACAGAACGGCTGGTCAAAGGAACGGCTGACGCTTGGTGTCATCGGAGATATCTTGAAGCCAGACGCGGACGATAGGATTGATGGTGAGCGATGGCGAGAATTCAAAGCAGGTAACTTTTTCCTTGCCCATTTTACTGAACATACTCTCAACGCCTAGTGTGAACGCGCACAGGTACATATACCTACCCGATATCATTCACAATACCCGGAAATGCACCTCCCACTCTACAATGTAATTTCGGTTCCATATCGTGGACTATCTCCGCAAATGTCCACCGCCCTGGGACTTTCAAGACGAAGCTGTCCGCTCAGCGCGAGATCGTCGTTGTATCTTGTCCAACCGAGGAGGACACAGAAGACACCGAGAATATTATCGTGGAGCGCCATTGGGACCAGCAATTGCAGTACCTTATAACGATATCCGGCAGAAGTTTCTACATCGGTGGCACGATTCCCATTTCCTTTACCATGATGCCTCTCACGAAGGTAAAAATACACCGTTTGTCAGTGTTCATCGAAGGTTGGAACTATCACTCTTACTATCGCTTTTTACTCATCTCTGTCGTGTTGTACAGAGAAAGTGGAGTATCTTGCACACTTCAAACGTGTTGCGCGAACAGATCCGATTACCCACGTCCAGCTTCTCGGTGTAAAGCACGAAGGGCGGCACTCAGGTCCGATACTACCTTTGGAGTCGGATGACATAGACGCCTTCAAGAATTCGCCTTTACATGCTCTAGTTAATCCTGAAGACGACGTGTCGGAACTTGCATCAAGCTGGATGGGACCTGGACCGTGGGCAATCCAGCGCGATCTACAACTTCCTACGTCCTGCCGCATGCTACACTTCACGAACAAAAACAAAAAGAGCAATATCAATGTTACTCACACGCTGAAATGTGTTATTCGGGTAGAAACTGGTGACTCGAGTGCAATTGATCCCAAGACGGGAAGACGGAAACTCTTCGATATCGTGGTGCAGACACCAATCATGATCTTATCCGTGAGCGTTTCCTTTGGATGCTGTGTATCTGATGTAACTCTTTGTCTCGTTATTAGTGTCGCTGCAATCCAGAATGGTCATCTCTACCTCATTACACAAAGTCTTTTGAGGATCCCACTTCTGTCGCAGTCCAGTGTCCGTGTCAGCACCTCTCCCTTGAGCGGGTGCGGGACAAGGAGAGGGAACGCGAGCGCGAGCGTCATCCTCTGCCTGATGTCGTGGGACCGTTCAATGGGCTGGAAAGAATTGGTTCTGGTCGATCTTCCGATGATTCTAGTGCATCGACGGTGGAGGCTAGTCCGTTGGATCCGACCTCGATGCGGTCACTGCGTCAGGCAGAGGAGGCGATGGATGAAAGTACTCTATATGAACGGCTGGTTTCGGGACAGCAGAGTATAATGGGAGAGGCGCCCCCCGCATATGATAGCATTTTGAAACGGGTTACTGGACAGTTGTATGAATAGTCTTTAGAGAACCCAAAAGTATTAGTGTAACACTAGTACTACAGCGTCTGATACTATGGTTCATGTTATACCTTAGGCTTTGAACTAATTATCTTCGATAGCAGTAGTGGTATTTGATACAATTATTGAGTAGGTAGTGCGCAATGAAATAAATTAATCTATCAAAGATGACCTCAATCCTCGCTATACAAAGACACATCAGCAATGCTCGATAAAATGAGAGTAATCAGACTAACTCTGGTGTTTCTCGTCTCAAGAAGAAAACGTCTATCGCAGCAGAGAAGGCGGCAAAGGCCACTCCGCCACCAAAAGCAGCCTTGGGTCCTGAATTTCGTGCAAGAAAACCGCCGACAAGCATTCCAGTGGATATCGAATTGTATATATCGTTTTTGGCACGGTACTGAAAAAGTATATTGTCACGACAGTGCACAAGGAGGAAGCAGCATCAACGACGCACGGATTCTATGACGCACTCGACACCTGCAAACAGCATTCCGACCTTTCCGAAACCCTTCCCGGTGGTCCACATACCCTTTCCCATGTCTTTGAATATCTGGCTGGCCTTTTGAGTCGTGTTCATCCCCGCTTGGGTTTGCTGACGGAGAAATGGGTCCTCGTACGCGAACGAAGCCGACATGAGAGAGAAGAAGGCACCGATACCGAGACCTAGACAGTGCATGAGAATACTTAATTGATGACAGAAGAAAGGGAACGTACCGCCGACACCAGCAAAGGCGGCCTTGGTCGCGCAGGACTCCATGGCCATGGACATGTAGGATTGGTACCTCATCATCTGCTCATACTGGGGTCGTTCCTCCTCCGAGACGCCGGCAGGTAGGGGTTCCTTTCCTGGGGCATAGATGGGCACCAAGGCGGGATCCCTGCGTTGACCCCCATTCATGGTATGGATTGCCGGAGCAAAAATTCAAAGTCGAAGGAAAGTTGCAGCTTGTTTGTCGGTGTTGATCAAGCCGGCTTCCGACGCGCCTCGGCACCTTTCTTAGTGCGATATTAAATAAAGGATACTTTCTCGGAAACAACAAGTGCGTTATGTACGAAATATTAGATTTTCGTCTTTGTTGATTCCAAAGATAAAGGCTGTGGCTGCTAGGCAAACACCGAGGCATAAGGTGGTGAAAATGCTTACGCTTACAGGCTGTGTCGCCCAAGCGAGGCATAGGATGCCCATTAACGCCAAGATGAACCCAAATACCGAGAACAGAATGGTCAGCGAACGACATTTGTTTAGCAAGTCGAGGGGCAGCTGGTCGTAGAACGGCCCAGCCTGGACGAGGCGGGGATTCGCACACCAAATTTCATCAGGCTGGACGGTGCCTCCCGCTTTAAGCTCTTCCTTGTTGGCTTCTGTGACCTTGAATCGAATCAAAAAGAACGCGGCGAAGAAAGATATAAAGGCTATGGGGATATGAGTGGCTGTACATGTGTAATTGGGATTCAACGTCGGCGTACATGCAGTGACATGGACAACCAGTGCTCCAAGGAGGCCTGCATTACACGCTCGTTCCCATGCCGAGGTATCGTCTCCCTTGTTCGGCGTTGACACTTGCAGCAAGCTCGCCTCGACAGAGGCGAAAAATGTTGTCTGAGGGATGGGTTACTGATAGGCATCTTAGGCCGTAAAAATGGTACGTACGATTAAACTGATGAGTTGAAGACGGTCCATCCATGACTGGACTAAATCCTTCGTAGCCTTCCGTCGAGCTTCCTCATCTACTTTGTCTTGATCTTCTTGTGTGTCTGCATATCAAAGCGTCAACAAAACACCACTCATTCGCATGAGATTTCCCAACGTTTTTGTGCAATAATCTTTTCAATGATGCGTTCACGTTCATAGCTGCTATCGTTTGACACATTGTGCCGTCCTTGAAAAAAAATTCGTGTTAGACGCGTCTTATCAGTAGACAGAGTACGTATACGCACTATGTATGGGGTGCATAAGGAATTCCGCTATTATGGCTGTTCAAACCTAAGCCGGGTATACGCAAATAAGCGCCGAAGAGTCGCAATCAGGGACTGCGGTAGCCACGAGTCAGTTCATTGCCTTTCTGAGAAGCATGGGTAGACAGCGCAATTGTTTCAACACGTTGAAGTCGGGAGTTACAGCTTATATATAGAAAATTCCGTCAATATTTATTGAAAAACTAAATGTAACACGGCACGCTAGATTATGATGACACTAGTGTTATTCTAAGGGCTTTGCGAACAATGGACTCTAAAATAGAGGCATCATACACTTGATCAAAGGCTTAGAACGAGTATTGTCCACATACGTAAACTCCTTGATAGTATCAGCTACAGGAGGAGAGGGAGGCCGGTATATGCTGTTAAGAAAATTAAAGACCGCAGCCACAAAACTAAGTAGCACTCACAGCGTCGATGCAATCATCCATGCCTCATGGCGAAAGGCCACCACAGCCTCCGTGTCTGCTTCACGATCAGCCCTCCACGCCCTTTGTTCCAAAGCATACGCAATGTCGCTGAACCCCTGTGCACAAAACTGGTGTGCTACAGGGTACGCAGAGAGGATCTCGCGATGTGTGAAGATGGCTTCTAGATACTCGCCGCCGGTGGTGGGGTAGTTGTCGAGCTGTGCTTGGAGCGCTTGGAGGTAGGCGCACCCGTGGTGTTTCGGCTCGGGGGTCTTGAAACCGGTATCGGATGATGCATCGGACTGTTGGTGTAGGAGTTGGTCGACTCAAGTTCAAAGCTAAAGGGGATCAAACGTACATCGCAGCTGATGTCATCAATGAGAATGGCCTCTGGTTGGGCGGGATAGCTTTCCTGTGTTACGTGTGGGGCATCAGAATGTTTCCAGTATAAATCAAAGATCTAGTCGAGTCACCGTCGCCAGATTCAGTTGGCCGAGAAGATTGCATAGCTCGATTTCCGAGTGATTCATGTCTATGGAGGTCGTAGAGAGAGGTGAAAGGGATGAATCGTGCCATTGTTGCTTTTTGTCGGTCCAGCCACTAAACGCGTGTTTGACTCCCTGCGGACCTCGACATGATCGATTACCGGCCCGCTGATTGGAAACTAGTATGTAGATAAGGAAATTTATCCGGTGTTCATGACGCCTGCCAAATTGACTGGGGGATTTCTGAGGACGCGTTAGAAATGATTTGATCATGAAACGGGTTAACCGCCTTTCTCAATTCAACTTGGAGCCGATCATGTGCGCTGAGCAGTATGGGTCCAAGTTGAAATAGAATCGAAAGTCTAGAAAGAACAGCTTTGCTTTTCTTCTTACAGCTGACAGCGTGTACTTGTATCGCCAGGTTCTGGTTGATGATAGCCGAGGTTTATGGGAAAGCGTCCGAGAAACGGTTATCATGTCGAAGACGGTCACGAGGAAACGCAAGCTCAAAAGGACATGTTCCATTCATTCTATAAATTCGAATGTCAGTATAATGGATATCGATAAAGTAACTGTATATGACCTACATAGATGAAGGGCCGTTGGTATCGTCAAACCAGGGGTTGTACGCAGGAACTTGATGCAGCCAAGGGATCATAGAAGGATCACGTCTAGTGGATTGCGACTCCCAATGAAAAACGTCTCTTGATTGGACTCCCGCCAGATCCACGAATCAGAGCTGCGTTCCTGGCTATGCATCAGGAAAGATGCTGATGAAAAAGTGCACCTATACGTTTGGGCATTGCGATCACGAATTCCAACAAATCAAAGATGGGTTCCTGTGATGATGATCCTGCAAACGGAACCGCAAGCGTGATGATGTATACTTGAAAGCCTTCACTAAAAAAAGCCTTCATGAGCGTCCGTCCCATGCGGGAGCGAGGGATGTCTCACAGGGTGGAGCGATCAGATTGAAGCGCGTGAAACTTTGTTGAGAAAAGTGCCCGTTAGGCATTCGTACGGCAGCTTCGTTTGATTAATGGAGGTGCGGGTAAGTTGCACACGGAGGTTACATATAGGCAGCCTACCTGAAACTCGAATTTTCCTTCTTCATCATGTCTCCGAGGTATTTTCCTGAAGGCACAGCATTCATTCATACACCGTCTGTTGCTACGCAGATAAGTACGCGTGGTTCAGGTACTCGTGAGAGTTGTATGCTGTGAGCCATGTGCGAGGTTGACTTGGAAGGATAGCTTTTTTCTAGGACCTGGTGGATGATGGGTTTTAAGAGGTGTTGTATTCGCAGAGCGTTCACCTTGTTTGACATTATTATAACCACCTTTCAAGGTGAACGTACGGTGAACTTGTAGGTCCTTGACGCAGTAGATCGAGGTAAACGTTGTGATAGTTGTCAACTGCTTAGCTGGGTTTGCCACTGTCAGAAATCCCGGCCACCGTAAGCTTACCGACGGTCGTACAAGACTTTTTTTACTTACTTGGTAGGTGCTAACCGCTTGGCACGAAGTACTTGTGCATCCCGGGCCCTGATGATCATTTCTTGATCTTTGTCATAATGAAACCACTGACAGTCAAGCGACAGCCAGGGAATCCATTTTCCTCATTGGTTACGCTTGACGTCACGTTGTCCCAATTTGAAAATCGGAATCCTCACGATTATATACTTTCTTCCACGAACCGCAATCATGGTGATGGCAAACTGCGTTCAATTTTTAGACTCGTCGCGATAAAGGGGGCAGCTCCGGATCTGTGTTTCCAACCTCCATCAAAGAACCTGATTGCCCCATCTTCTTACCTATTCTCCGTACTTTTTCCCAGTCCGGTCAGGCCGCTAGGTAATATAAACCTTAGCGCTGTGGATGAACTCTGTTGCCCCCCCTCCACACTGTCCACCATGGGCGTCGCAAATATTCCTTTGGACAAAGCCTACCTCACAGCTATTTGGCTGGAAACCCTCTTTTATGGCGAGTTGTCCAGTATTCGTAGCTACCCGACTACTTATCTTTTTTTTTTGTGTCGTCTAGGCATCAATATCTTTCTATTTTTCTCGTATCTATGGATCGCGAGGTACTGGCAGAAGCCTGGGGCTGTCAACCTGGTGGTCCTGTTCACGGCAATAGCTATGTTTTGCTTCTCGACAGTCCACGTGTCCTTGGGCTTCTATCGCTTGGTTGAGGGCTTCATATATCGTCGCGATCTACCAGGGGGACCTGGAGGATTCTTTTCCGATGTTTCGATACCTGCAAACGTTGCAAAAGTTTGCATACATACCATAAATTCTATATTGGGCGATAGCATTGTCGTAAGTGATGGCCTTTTTATAAACAAAGCCGACGTTCGCTGAGGGTTGTTCAAGGTTTGGAGATGTTATCATGTTTGGGGTAGGGATTGGGTCGTTTGTATTCTCCCCATCCTGCTTATTATAGCTTCGGCCGGTAAGCAGTATATTGATTGTTCAGATGCTGTTTTGCTAACGACACTCTCCAGTTTGCGGCTTTGGACAGACGGTCATCTTTGCTGAGGCCAAGATGACGCATAGCGCCTTTGGTCCGAATTTGCAAAGATGGAACGGGTCTCTTTTTTCACTGTCGCTCGTGACCAACGTCGTTGCGACATCGTTAATTGCATTTAGAATATGGTGAGTACGCAAGCCTCTTTATTTTTCCCAATTTCAATTAACTGTGGGGGCAGGCATCTCGGAAGACAGTTTACTTTTTCGTCTTCCTTCAGATACCGTAGAGTCCTCACACTCGTCGTAGAGTCGGGTGCGATCTACTCTTCAGCACTGATCATCGAGATCACCTTGTATTTCTTGAATACCAACGCCTTTTATATCATTTATGATCCTATAGCTCAATTGACGGTTAGTGCCCTCTTCCCTTGCAGTGCGATTCGTCTTTAACATATTACCAGGCTATAGTACCTACGATGATAATCGTTATGACCAGTTTGGGACTAACTTCCAACGACTTAAATGAGCAGACAAAATTGTCTGTCGAAACATCACCGCATTTTGCGTTAAAGCCTAACCGCGGGGGTACCGAGACCGGGACCGATTCCGCCTTTGTTGCAGCCCCCAGGAGCGTAGTGTTGGGGACAAATAGTGCGTCCGCGGAATCAGGGTTTGAGAGGAGTTTATACCTAGATGTAAAGAGGGATGATCCAGTCCTCTACAGTGGTGGAAGCGGTTCCGATAGGATATTGGATAGCGTGTAAGATGCGGTCCTGTATAGGCGATAGCCTATGTACTATATATTTCAGCTCTGTACATATTATTTTACGGGGTATTGATCGGGGGAAGTTTTTTTTCAGGTGACATCGTCGCAGGATTGATTACCTCAGGTTTCCAGATTTCCGACATCGTGTCTGTTAATGAACTTCGTCATGAAGCGAAGAAAGTCACGCCGGTCATTCCGCTGCGGCGTTTGGTTACCACGACGCCGCCTCGAAGGAACAGCAAGTTTGCTGGTTTATCTTGCCTGTAGGAATTGAATGTATACAGCCACTCATTACCAACTTAATCACAGAGTAAATGACTCGGCAGTGCGCCGCAGTGGAGGGGCGACGGGACCGATAATGCCCGAATAAGGTAATAACCCTAACCCGAGAAAGGGTGGCCGGGGGTCTGACTAATTTTTGAGTGACCAACGGTCGGCTCGCCCTTGTCTTCGTCCCTCGTCCTCACCTAAAGGACAGACTTTGACTCCCGGATTGCTACCTCCAGCATCCGAAGACTTTCCTTAGTCTCACTTAGACTCTTTAACTCATCTTACAGCTGCTTTCTCGCCTGCTGGCAGGTCATTTTTGACGACCGACCCACACGAGACAGACTTTATTCGACACCCGAATCCATCACTCCAAATCATCCCAACTCATCTCATATTCCAAAATTCGTCGGTATTTTTCTTATTCTACTCTTCTTCTTTTCTGATATCACTTTCTGCGCCGGTAGAATGAGCAAATCCGCAACTGCAACAGTACCAAAGATCCCAGCCCAGCTACCAACCCAGTCAGCTTGGTCAAGAGGCCCACCACAGACCGCGTCTTCGTCACGATCTCAATCTCCAGCTCCTCAGAATACAACCGTCCATGCAACACATTCAAGACGCCCTAGTACTCTTGGCCAGGGTATACACATAAAAGATGGAGTGAGCATTCCTCGGAATAACGTAGGAGCTGCGAAGCAAGGTGTGTGGCATTCTGCCCGTTGTCATGCGCCGCTAACCTTTGCCATGCCAGGACCCGCAGTGTCCTTCGGATCTATAGATGATGTTTCGGCGCCAATGTCGTCGTCACCCGCTGCCACACCCCCGATAAAATCAGAGGGTGTCAAAACGTTTGGAACTGTTCCTGCGACGGTCAGCCAGGTAAACGGCAAGTCGTCTGTATCCATTGCGAAGCCAGGATCTTCGTCAAATACCTCTACTACACCCCACAAGCCACGTAAACAGGACATTGCTAAATTGTTCCAGAATCCTTCGTCGGCGCCCCCGTCACAAGCTTCCTCCGATACCTCATCTCCTAATATCAGACCTTCAAACCTCCCGCCTTCATCACAGCCTCCTTCGATACCATCATCATCGTCATCTCATCCGCCGTATTCTCCTTTTGTTCCTCAAAATGGCATGCGACCTCAGCAGCCAAATGCTGGCCCTAATGCTAGTGCTAGTGGCTCTGGTCCAAGGTCGCCTCCGTATCAACGGCAGGTCCCTAATGGCAATGCCCCCCGTATACCGAGTGGGCCAACCGGGCCAGGGGCCCCCCAGATGTCTGGGGGCCTCGGTAGCCCTCGTATGACACCCCATCCTCCTCCTGCAAATATGCCTCCTCCAATGCAGACCCAAATGGCTTGGCAGCCCAATTACTATGTAAGTACAGTGCTCTAGCGTGTTATCAGAGTCTTCATAGTTTTTTTTTCCCTTTCAGTATATGGGTGACCAGCCATATATGTACCCATGGTATGCAATGCCTCAGCAGCATCAGATGCCGCCTCAACAACCCCAGCATCATCCGCCTCCTCCCGGTGGGCATGGCCCTCCCCATAATGGGATACCCGTTTCTCCTCGTAACCACCCTCCTCCTCTTCAAGGACCTGGAACTCCGACCCCCGCCCATGCAGTACCGGCTACCCATCCTCCTCACCTCCCTCCCACTATGTCACATTCTTCCTCTGGAAGTATCGGCGGTTTGTCATCGCCGCCTCCCACACCCTCCTCTGCCTCGATGCCCGGTACTGGTCGGTTAAACACCAGCGCTAGCGCGTTTGTACCCGGTCAACGATCAAGTGCTCGAATTTCACTGAAAAATGCAGAGGGGATGGAGATTAACTTGGAAAATCTTAAGAACCAGAAACTCAGTCCCGCTCTGTCTGGCACTGCACTTCCACCGGTCGTATCGGCACATAGCAGCCCTGGTCGACGGCCTGCCGTACGCATGGAGTCTGAAGAGGAGCGGTCGAAACGCCTAGCAGGTGAACGGGAGAAGGAGCAGGCCAAAGTCAAGGCAGAGGCAGATTCCAAAGCCAAGAAGGAGAAGGAGGAGAGGGAGCGTAGGGCGAAGGAAGAGAAGGAGAAGAAGGAGAAGGAAGCGAAAGAGCGCAGGGAGAAAGAAGAGAAGGAGAGGTTGGAGAAGGAAGCGAAAGAGAAGAAGGAGCGAGAGGAGAAGGAGGCTAAAGAGAAACAGGAACGAGAAGCGGCTGAGAAGAAGCGGCTAGAGGAGGAGGCCGCTGAAAAGGAGCGGTTGAAGAAGGAGGAAGAGGAGAAAGAAAAGGAGCGTCTCCGACTAGAGGAGGAGCGGAGGAAAGCTGAGGAGGAGGCTGAACGGAAACGGTTACAACAGGAACAGGAGGAGAAAGAGAAAGAACGGTTACGCCTGGAAGAGGAAGAGAAGGAGCGCGCCCGTATCGCAGAGGAAGAAGCCGCTAAAGCTAGGGCTGAAGCTGAGGCTGCTGCTGAGGTTGCTGCCGCCGCCGCCGCCATTGCCGCCACTAAGCCTGAGGAAGGCGAGGTCATCGAGGAAACCTCAACCGCCGCCGCCGATGCCACTGCAACAAGCAAAGACAAGGCGAAGGAGAAGGATCTCCGAATCAATACTACGTCACCCCCATCAGAGCTTCCCCGACGCCGTCCTGGTCCTCTCGATCTCTCGACCACCAAGGCGAACATTCCCGCACCCCTTCCTTCCGCCCTTGCTACTGCTCGTATCATCGATGACTTGGGTCGCGTTCCTTATCCCGAAGGCATCAAGAGTCCTCGAGTTGAGCTCAACATAAATGCCAAAGATGGTAAATTCAGGTGTGTTATCATTATTCGTCGCTTACAAGTGACTGCGCTGACTTATTGATCTCAGATACGACCGGGACTTCCTTCTGCAATTCATGTTAATATGCAAGGAGAAGCCCGAATCACTTCCTGCCCTCGATGCTATCGGTCTTGAACCTTCCGACCAGAGTTCGTACCCTATGAGTCGTGGTGGATCTGGGCGACATCGTCAGAGCTCTGGTCCTGTACCACCTCAGCGCCAGAACTCCACTGGTCTGGGATTCAACCCAGGATCTTCCTTTGGCAAAGGAGGTTCCAGCGCCCCCTTCAGCATGGGTATGGGCAACTTTGGGACTATCGGCGGGTCCAAGCTCAACAGCGATGACCGATTCAACATGTCCAACAACATGCGTGCTACGTCTGTCAGTGGCGCAGCTCCTATGCCATTTGGCCGACCTACCCAAATGCAAAGAACGGCAAGTCAAGGTGGCCCGGGTGGTGCACCCATGGGCAGCAACCGAACCCGGAGCAAACGCGGCGAGAAACGCAACGATAGCAACAGAGTACCGACCGGCCCTGGATCTCAACACGGGTATAGCATGGGTGGTCACGGATCTGCGGCAGCTCTCGCTCAATCGATGCTTGAACCTGTTGCTCCATTACAGCAGAGCGCCAATCGTTGGGACAGGCGCGTGCTTAGTTCAAACGATCCGGACTCTCCCGATGTCGTTGACCGCAAGGTCAAGGGTCTTCTGAACAAGCTCACAATGGAGAAATTCGACTCCATTTCTGATCAGATCATCGCATGGGCGAACAAGTCCGAGAAGGAAAAAGATGGCCGCACTCTCATTCAAGTCATTCGGCTCGTCTTTGAGAAAGCCACCGATGAAGCTACATGGTCCGAGATGTATGCTCGTCTCTGTCGGAAAATGATGGAGCAAATCAGTGCAAAGGTCCAGGATGATGGTATCAAGAATTCTGAAGGGAAACCCATTGCTGGCGGTCAGTTGTTCCGGAAATATCTTCTCAACAGGTGTCAGGAAGATTTCGAGCGAGGGTGGGTGGCGAAAGAAGCTACTGCTGCAGCCGCAGCTTCCAAGGCTATCGAGGATCAAGCTGCCAAGGCTGCCGCCGAGAAGAAGGGCGACGGCGAGGAGGAGATCGCACTCTATTCTGAAGAGTATTACGCCGCGCAGAAAGCGAAACGACAAGGTCTCGGTTTGATCAAATTCATCGGTGAATTGTTCAAGCTGCAGATGTTGACGGAGCGTATCATGCACGAGTGTGTCAAGAAGCTGCTTGGAAATGTTGAGAATCCCGAAGAAGAGGAGATTGAATCCCTCTGCAAGCTTTTGACTACTGTTGGGCAATTGTTGGATACATCGAAGGCCCGGGCTCATATGGATGTTTACTTTTCGCGCATGAAGGAGCTTACGAAGAGCCCTAATGTTAGCTCTCGTATGCAGTTTATGTTACAAGTAAGTTTCATCATGTCTGCGATTACTCTTCTGACTAGCCGTGATTAGGATGTTCTCGAGCTGCGTGAGCGGAAATGGGATCAGCCGTAATGCTGTTGCCTGCGCCTACTACAATCGCTCAGATACACGAAGCAGTAAGTGTCTTTTTACTCTCAGTCCGGGCATCGCCATCTGATCACATTTCAAAGGCCGCGAAGGAGAAAGCCGCTCAAGCACAGGAATCATATCAACGTCAAATGTCAATGTCTCGCGGTGGATCCCGACGGGGTGGAGAACGAGGCGAAATTCCCCAAGTTGGTCCCGATGGTTGGGCAGTTGCTGGCGGTAACTCTGCTCCACGGCCGCAGCCCAAGGCTGGCGATCTGTCCAAGTTTGGTCAGATCAGCAGCAAGGGCGCTCCTCTCACCTTTGGTCCTCAGAGCAGCATCTACGCTGGAAAGAAAGACAAGCGAGAGTCTGTCCAGCGAACTAATTCTTCTTCGAACATGTTCTCCATGCTTAATAACGATTCCACCCCAGAAGCCACGCCCAAAGGTAAAGACTTCCCTCCTTGCCAGAGCTGTCGATCTGACTTTCTTTGATCTAGAAATGGTTCAACGGAAACGACTTATTCTTGCGCCTCGGTCGAAACCAGTCGAAGGCCAGGAGAATGCACCGACGACTGCAGAGTCCGAAGGTAGCTCAGACGAAGAAGTTACCACCGAACCTGAGCCTGTCGAGATGAGCGACAAAGACGCCAAGAAGAAGATCGAAGAAGACATCAAAGAGTTTAGCGCTGTTCGGAATCTCGATGAAGCAGAAGTTTACTTCACACAACTTCCTGCTAAACACCATCCTCTCTTGGTTGAAAAGCTGATTTCATTTGCTGTCGAGTCGAAAGAAGCAGACGCACAGTTGGTGTCCCAGTTCTTCTCCCGTGCCTCGACCAAGAACCTGTGTACAATTGCTGATTTCGAGAGCGGGTTTGCTGCAGTGGTCGAGTTCCTGGATGACATTGCGATTGATGCACCGATGGCGTTCAAGCTGATGGCAACCATGATGAAAGGCCCGGCCTTTGATGATGAGCAACGGACACGCTTAGCTTCAAAGACGGACAATGCCAAACTTCTTGGGCTTCTATCTTAGACTCGCTGATTTCGCCTTGCATCTCGTACTGTATCCGTTATCCTCATGTTTTGCACTTTATTTCCCCTTGCATTGTCTCATACTTTGGCATATTGTTTATTTTACGATGCATTCAAGGCATCGTTCGGTACCTACTTATTTTAGTTTCACTTGCACATCATGTACGTAGCAACGGTAGCATACTACCGAGCAGAAGAGTTTCATTTTTTCTGCGTAATTACCGGCGAGTTCCAGTGCACTGCATCGCGTCATGATCATCAAATGTGCGATTTGCCGTAAGCGGAATGCCGTTTAAATTATCCGTGCAATTTTCGGTCACGTCCAACTGCCATCTGGTTCCCTTTTGCCTGTTGGGGCCCTTCCAGCCTCTTCTTGGATCTTATCGTATCCTTATACGAAATCCTCCGATTTTCTGCTCGGACTCCAAAACAAGTCCAAGCTCCGGCGTGGCCTCACGCGACTCACTGTCACCGTCACTGCGTACTTTTCATGCCCTCAGTTCGTTCTTCTCTAGCGTCGGGTGTGGGCTGGAAATATATCAAAAAACATCTTAATTTCTTTCGTGTTCATCTACTGTTCTTGTGAGTGGGTTGGTTGCCTTCTACTTGCCGTCATTTACCGCTTGGGCAGTGCTTTCACACCTCTGGTCTTTTCTGGAATATTTTATGCCAGCAATGGGCGATACCACATATCCTACATCGACTCTTTGTTCAACTGCGTCAGTGCGATGACTGTCTGCGGTTTGGCGACCGTGGACCTTAGTAGTCTCACTCCCTGGCAGCAAGTGTTATTGTTCATTCAGATGTGTCTGGGCAGCCCCGTACGTTACATTCATTCCTTCGTTCATGTTGACTGACAGGCTTCAGGTTCTCGTATCTTGGGTCATGGTTTACATCCGAAGGTAGGATCGGTTGGGATATTCTACTTCTCAGCTTACATGCCTTTAGACACTACTTTGCCAAAAAGTTCCGGCGCATTATCGCAGAGAACAACGCTGTCCGTGTTACTCCCATCGACGCCGAGGAAAAGCATATGCCCTGGTTCCGCCGCATTTTTACGCGGAACAAAACGGTCGCTGTGGCTGAAGACGGCAGCGACAAGGCTACCGAGACAGAGGGACGGGGTGGCATTATTCGCAGGAAACTGCGAACGGACATGATCAGGCGGATGGATGATGCTCCAAAGCGTGTGGATCCAAATGGGTGGATATCTCAAGGCAACACAATACCGCTACAAAGATTTAGCACTGTACAGTCCAACCAGGACGCTCCTCGGCATCTTTCTTTCGCGTCCCCTTCGCCCGAACGGCCTATGCAGTCTCCACGTATCACCAAGGGTCCAATAATGAAGAGGTAAGGGCGGGCTGCGCTTCCTTTTCTCATTGCTACAATATTCTTCCTAGGTTGGCACGACGACTATCGGACCCCGGGACGCCTTCGAGACAGAATTCGCTCAAGAATGGTGAGCTTTCTCGATCTTACAAGTGGAAGCCCATGAGATGTCGACATCATCCCCCGCTGTTTCGATGATACCCACGTCCATTCTCATGTGGCCCACCCTAGCCGTGCTGTATCTCCTCTCTTTTTTCTGCTCTTGTCGAGTTAACAAGACTGACGTAATTGCAGCTCCTATGTACAGATCAGAAACAATGGCTGTAGGTTCAATTGCAACGAAATTAGCGCGTACACAGACCGTGGAGTTCTCACTGCCAAATCAACCAAATCGAAGACCACGGATAGAAAGAATTCAGACTACGGAACTTGATTCTGATGTTATGGCGCCTACTGAGGATCACAGTAAGATACCGTTTCCTTCTGCTCTCCAGAGGTCTGGGAATGATTCGGAAGTACATCGTGACATCCCTTCTTCCCGATGGACCGCATACTCTGAATCATCCTCGAGACCCGTGGACGTATCTTCAGCCACAGCTAGACTGACCGTTCTGCAGGGTCCTACCGGACACCCATGCAACACCATCTATCGATTCCCACCCATGCGACAACCCACACGCATAGGTCCAATCGAACACAGACGAAGCACAGTGGTTTCGGCGGATTCCCCATGCCGCATGAGATTCTGGGAAGCTTGATCAATCGGTTTTTTCCCAAGTTCAAGCGAAAACTGACGAGAACGGTGACCATGCCGGCGCCGACCACGATTGTGCCTCAGCGGGGAACATCTCTAACGACCGCGAGGACTGTTCCATATATTTCTTTTGACGCTGTTGTTGGACGCAATTCTTCCTTTCCATACTTGACAAGCAATCAGATCGATGAGCTTGGTGGCGTGGAGTATCGTGCGCTAAACGCTTTGCTTTGGATTGTTGCCGGGGTATGGACCATACTTCTTCTGTTGGACGCCCGCTTACGTCCTGAAATAGTATCACATACTCATTCAACTCACAGCGTTTATCATGATTGCTCCATACATATCTATGCCTAGGTGGAGTTCTGTATTCGATGTTCCCCCTTTACACCGTCCATTGTCGCCCGTATGGTATGTGGTTCATCAGAGAGGCAGCATCGTATACTTAACGAGTCGCAAGGTTTTCACTCTTCCAGATGGTGTCCGCCTATACCAACACGGGCACGTCGCTGGTAGACCAATCGATGATCCCGTTCCAGCAGGCGTACTTGATGATTTTTCTCATGGTTTTCTTGATTTTAGCTGGCAATACTTCCTTTGTAGGTCTATCTCCGCTCGTTCCCGCATAATTGTTCTGACTGTTCATACTCACTAGCCCATCTTGTGAGTCTCCTGCAGCTTAGCCGCCTGGTAGTTTTACTCAATCCACTCCGTCATGGACACTCAGTTTACGATTTGCGATGTGAATTCTCTCCTCTCTTTTCGTGCTGTATTCTGACAATATTTAGATGGATTCTAACGAAAGTCGTACCTGGAAATTCACGAGCAAACGAAACGCTACACTTTCTGCTTGATCATCCTAGACGTTGTTTTATCTATTTATTTCCTTCCCATCAAACATGGTTTCTTTTAACTATAGTGCTTTTCCTGAAGTGTGTTCTTTTCCTTCTATGTCTTGCAGATACTAACTGCAAAACAGCTTTACGGATTGGTTCTTTTTCATGGTGTTAGATATTGGGACACCCGCGATTGAAATCATTCCTTTGGGCACTCGATTCGCTATCGGGTTCCTACAGGCGATCGCCGTCCGAGCGGCAGGTTTTGCTACCGTATCATTATCGGCTCTTGCTCCAGCTGTCAAGTGAGATTTTAGACCTACTATTCGACTCGTCCGAAATCTAACCGCGAATCAAAGGGTACTCTATGTCGTGATGATGTATGTTAGCGTCTGTAAGCATATTCACACATCGTTTTGTATGCTCTTGCTCATATTCTCTTAGACCCTATAGCGATGAGGTTAGTTTCCAACATGTAGCTGGGGCCATCTTCTCATTCCCCACCAGTGTGCGTTCGACAAACGTGTATGAGGAGCAATCGTTAGGTATCTACCGGGACACCGAAGCGTCGGAAAACGAATCGCAATTTGAACTGACTGGACCTCGAGTCACCGTGTGGAGTCGATATCTAGCCATGCATGCTAGAAAGCAGCTGGCTTTTGATATGTGGTGGCTAGGGCTAGCGTTGTTCTTAGTATGTATCATTGAGGTATGTGTACATCCTCCTTCTTCACTCCGGTCGTTCATGTCTGTGTAGCGCCCTCAACTTGATGACACCGCCATTATGAGCTATTTCAACATTTTTACTATCGGTGGGTCTAAACAAAGTTACAGCAGCACGGTACTTGACTTGATATTTCAACAGTTTTCGAGCTTGTCTCTGCGTACGGAACTGTCGGATTGAGCTTAGGAGTCCCTTATGTATGCTTTCCTCGCCCTGACATACTTACTACGTCCTTAACGTGTCTAATAGGCGAACTATTCACTCTCGGGCTCCTTTCGAACGTTGTCAAAGCTCATCGTTTGTCTTGTAATGCTTCGCGGCAGGCACAGAGGCCTCCCTGTTGCCATTGATCGTGCGGTAATCTTCCCCATGGAGTTTTCACGCGGCGATGGAGATGACGAGGATGAGGACGATGACGAGAACGGCGCTGGTGATGCGGCTGTTAGTGAAAATGGTGGTGCAGTAGCGGAGGAGAGAACTGTCAATGGTGATGCGTTTGACCTTCGACAGCGTCGTGGGTCACGTCTAGATGAAGAAGACGAAATATCGTTGCATAGTCTCCACAGACCGGGCGATGCCAATGGATCTGCAAATCCAAGTTGACGGTGATTTCATACCCTATTTGCTTTGGATGTGTTTTGGATGTATCATAGGGTGTATATAGAGCTTCCAAGAAGCTATCAGAAGTACACGCGAGTAGACTTACGTTATACCCTCCATAATAATAATGGTTATAACAGTATACCGTTGAAGGATACAGCTCATCGATCCAGACTCTGCGTACCAATGGAAGCACGATAATTACTTATAAATTACTGCGAGAAACTCCACCGTTGCGTTGATTCCGAAGCTACGCTAGTGTCATTTAATACTTACTCTTTCAACTCAATCCGTCAAGGGCCCCCTTAGTCTTCCCTAGCGCTGGCTCTACTGAACTAGTACTCAGAGCTCATTCTCCTGGATGGATATCCGCAGAACAAACTGCCTGAATTTTGAGTACCATCTGGATGCCACAACGGAATGATGCATTCTGATATCATAGCGTGTTTGGTAGATGCGTGCAAATGGTATAGTAGGCATAATTCCAACGCCGTTCACCCCACTCTAGCTCGTTCAAGGAAAGGGCCAAAAGGTGGTTTGTTGCTGAGTAGGACTGGATTGGGCCTGAGTACAGAGAGAGTAGCAGGTGGGAATGAGGAATTAAAACGAGACAGACATCGCCATGCAGCTGTACTTCAAACCGGGTAACAAAGAGCGTATGGAGGAGGCCGAAAGTCCAAAAGAGGATGCAACGCCAACACGTGATGTTTTCCCGAGTGGATTGTCACCGTATACGCACGTCACAATAAAAGGGTAATAAAAGCACACCTGGAGGAAGTAATGGATATTAGGTATATTCATTTGATACATCATACATATCGTGTCAGATCAACCTTTCTGCTCCAGGTTCGACAGATATCAGTATATACGCTATTAGAGCAAGAGGCAAGAACAAGCAAACAATCAGTAAGAATCCGACTCCAAATCAGAGGCCGAATCATCATGTGATGGGTTTTCGTCAACTACCAATGCACAAGTCAGAAATAGAATGGTAGGAATCTGAGGAACCTACCCCAGTCAATAACCAGTCTCTCTCTCATCCCAAAGAGCTTCTTCAGCCTTTTCTCCAATGCGATTTTCATTTTCTCTCCAAAGTTGTACTCCATGGACACCCGGAACACGAACTCCTTCAGCTCGGGATACAGCCGGGATACCGCCTCCGCCAAATGATCCCAGTTGAAAAATCCTTCCTTCGTTATTTCTTTAAACTGATGGGGCATAGGTATGCATGACAAGCTGCCGGAATTTGGGAGCCGAAGGTATAATTTTCAGTGCCGTCGTACACCATTGCAGTGTGAACGCCGGGTCAAATGGTTCCGAACCAAGCTGGATAGTGACAAAGGTCAGAGAGTGGAGCCTTTTGAAAGACTGTTTGGAAAAGGGAGGAAGGCGGAGCCAGTCGGCTGTCACAAGGATGAAGATGAGTACTCAGCAAAAAACCATCAAAGAAGCTTACGTTCGGCTGTGGCTTTAATTGGCGGTGTGAACGCAAATTCCTCCAGTGAATCAGATGCCAGGTCTAAGAGACGAGCGAACGCCTTGGGGGAGAAGGGGGAATTAGTACTTTCACAGGTAATGCGCCGAAGGTTCTTCGGAGGCGAAACCGCAAAAATGTTGTCCACGATCCAATCCGCGGGCATACGGCAGTCTCTGATAGAGAAATCTCTGAGCGCCGACATGTCTCCTGAATATTTGAAGGCCTGCGGGGAAAGTCCACCCACAAATGCTATTCCATCTAACTCAAGTTTTTGCAAGTTTTTGAAAAGCGAAAGAAACTCTATGCCGTTTGAAGTGCTGGAGAATGGTCCAGAGAAATGAAGGTCTTGGATGGCAGGGAAAGCCGATATGAATTGGCGTGTTTCTGGAGTGACGCTGACTCCGTAAGGAAGAAGGGTATCCCATAAAAGCTTTCGTGCCTTTGGCATGCAAGAAATGTTGATGTCCGGAGGGAGTGGGGAGTAGTTGGGCGGGTGTGTCATGACATTTGCAAGGGCCCTAAAATGCGCCATTTCGGGAAGTGTCGTGAGAACGTTCGTGACTAGTCTTGAGAGCGCCTCATCTTGTGCGGGTTCATACTTGACTGTCTGGACGAAATCTAGGAAAAAGGGACAGGACGAGTGGATAGTGCGCCAACGGGCAAAATCCTTGTGCGACGAGAAAAGGGCAAAAGAAAAGAGGTACGGGAGAGAAGCTGCGCGCCAGGGTCTGGAGATGCAAGACGAGGCGCGTAACGACGCCGTATCATCACTGTTACACGAGACAATCTTGTCGATAAGCTCAGCAGGGAGGTCGTTTACTGTGATTTTGTGTTGTTGATAAGTAAGAGATAAAAGAAAGAGAGAGCGATTGACCTCGAGAGGACATTGTAGCGAATTTGCTAGATTTCTTGTCGATTCAAGTTGATGGTAGTAGTACCACAAATAGTTGTGTAAACTCGATTCAAACAAGCCCGACGCGTGCCACTATTCTCACGCCACCCTATCCATATTGCCGCAGTTCAGTGGATGTTAGCTACAATATTTACACATGTATACACGTGTATTTTATAACATCCATACCTGCACGCCCTACCAAGTTTCTACGCGTTGATAACCGGCAAGACAAGGAGGCTGTCATACTTCCCACCAGTATGGATAGTATGATACCCGACATTATGATCCACAGGCTCCTTCAATGCAAGAATCTCCGTTTCGGGATAGTTCATGTTATGCCCAGAAATTCTGACCATAATGCCCTCATTCTCAGCAAATACCATACCAATTGGCCAAAGGGGAATCTCCAGCGGCACAATTTTACCTTTGGGAAGGATCGGTTCGCGTTTGTCGTGAGCGTAAAACAATTCATTGCCGCTTGACTTGCTCAAATCGAGGCTGACGCCATGCGATGCCCGAAGGAATCCTTGTGGACCGAGCGTTTTCGCCGTGTTGACGTTCGGCACTTCCTCAACAGGAACTGGGCAGGGGTAGTTGAGATGTTCGAGGAGATTGCCTTTGGCGTCGATTTTTTGTATTTGAACAGCGACGTCCAGGTCGTCATGCTCCTTGCAGGACATCCAAATCTTGATTTTAGGATATCCAGAGAGCTCCGTAGCCTTGGTGAAGTAAAATGTGAAATCCTGCATCCAGGGCCAGAACAAAGGTTAGCGGAAAAGAATGGAACGGAGGTTTTCGACTTACACTTGAAGCTGTCAGACTGTGGGCATTGTGGGTCGTCGAGCTCTCGTGGGAGACGGCAGATAGACTCAGTGACTTGGAATCACCGTCCAAGTAATAGATCTGGTTCTGGGCACGCGCGAGGGGAAATTGCTCCGGTCTCTCGACCACTGTTTTTGCTGGACTGTTGTTAAACCCTAGCAACGAGAGGCGAACGGGAGGGGTCGAGCCTGGCCAGTCGTTGTCGATTCCCTTACAATAGTAGTCGAAGTAACGCTGCAGCTCGTCATTCATTTCCGGGCGGTATAGATCATACCCTGGGCAAGAAGCAGAGAGTCAACGACGGTCCTCCTTCCGCAGGCGGCAGAAATCATGGACGGCAACTCACATTCTTGATATGGGTGTACCCTCAGCCACTTCTCTTTTGTCTTTGCCGCCCTAAACGCATGGAAAGAACCCCTCGTGTGCAGCCCACTGGAGTACGATGCAAGGATGTACATGGGTACGTCGATATTTTCCACAGGGATATTCTTCTCACGCCAGTAGTCGTCATACAACGGTCTCTTCCGTACCATGGCTGGTGCATTCTCCAGCCCATTTGGTCCTGCCATTCCGTTCACGATGAGCCCGTTGAACGCTTCGAGGTGAGGCTTTCCTCCTCGGACGAAGATGTCGCGATAAGGATCAGTCAAGCATTCCCAAGGCGCAATGGCTTTCAATGCCGGATGTGAAAGTCGTGACGCAAAATTGATTTGACAGATAGCCAGCCAAGAATTTCCACTGGAGAGGCGTCAATACACATGCATAGCACTGAGGTAACATACGTCTTACGCCATTGCGACAGAAACATTGCACCAGTGCTGCTTCGTGAGGAACTCGATGGTATCATAGATATCTTCAGCTTCTTGGATTCCCCAGAATGAGATATCTCCTTCAGAATTTCCTGCACCTCGAGCATCAATGTTAATAATCGCGTATCCCCTTTCGCACCATTCTGCTGGGTCCGGTGCCTGTAGCACGTTAGCGATTACAACTAGTGAATTCGATAGGTCCTCACTTCGAACTTTTCGTAACCAGAAGTTCGATCGTTTGCAATGCCTGCTCGAAACGGCGCCATCACGTCATAGCGTTGCACACCTACAGTCATTTAGCGTATCAGTTAAATAAGATATCATATATTAAACGAAGCTTACCATTTCCCGTTTTTCCGTATGGACTCCAAGGAATAATAGCAGGCACTTTTTTGTCCAAGTTAGCTGGACGAAAAATGTCTGCATAAATGGTGATGCCGTCACGCATAAGAATGCCAACGTCTCGATCGAAAATAACATCGGTGCCGAATGCTCTCTTTCCAGGAGCTCGAACGTGGCCTTTCTCGAGAATGGTTTGTCCGGGTTGGAATCCGTTGTAGACGTAGAACGGATGGACGTCCGGACGTGAGATTTCGAGATATTCGATGTCAGGATATCGATCCTTATACTCTTCTGCGGTGGTGCGAATCTCTGGAGAAGTCATACTGTAACCAGACTTGAAGATGAACGTATAAAGGTTGCATATCTCCAACTCTTGATATAGGACTTGTGAATTGTATCTCGGAACCAGAACTCCCGTGATTACGAAGATGGGATGCCATAGAATATATCCGTGCCTATGGCTTGCACCAGCGGCAGCACCAAATCGTACGTCAGGAGACCAACTTCTCGCGAGCTGTCGCATCGATGGATTCACCGGACCATTTCACAAGTGGGGTATATTTATGCTGCACACTCACGGCAGGTGACTAATTTCCGTCCGTCGAAATACAAGGAAAACAATTGAAATAGGAAAGAAATTGAACGAAGTCTTTTGATCACAGCAAAGTCCGTCGGCTTTACCATTAAAGGGAATCCCGACTCATTTGCTGTGGCCAAGAGACATCGTCAAATTTCATATGCTATCCACCAAATTTCGCCGGTTTTCGCTTAGCCCGAAATAGCTACTGTTTACTAGGAGTGCTGCATTCGATCCGCCGGGAGAGATAGAGGAGCCAAGTGGGCAGTTTTCTTGCGGAGCGTTGACCGACTAGGATAGGTGGTAAGTAAACGTAGACGCTTGAAGCTTCAAGGACTGGCTTTGACAACGTCAGGATGCTTGTTTAGGTCGGGCACACCTTGGTGAGCAACGAATGGCGTTATATCCATTGTTTCGGTACACTATGTCATAAAATATAACAACTCGCCTCTCAGGTACGCCATTTATCTTCACTAACGTTCTCAAAGACTTCAAATACCAGCTGTCCGTGGCGGAGTATCCACTTGCCCTCAAAACCAGGTAAGCCCATCATCTCTGTCGTCAGATAGAGGATACTTACTGTATACAAAGTTGAACCAAGTTCAATCACCCGCAACACGGATCGTTCATATCGTAACATCATATCCTTGGCCTGATATGCATTGAAAAGACCGTGGCGATCAATGAAGCCTTCAGTAAGTAGCCACGGCATCTGAAGTCTTAGTGTCCTAAGATTTATCGCAGGCTCGATGGCAGCGGCGATGGAAGTCTAACCTCGAATTTAGTCCACTGAAACTACATTCTAGCGGAACTCACAATGTCCGAACTCGCCACCATGCATACAAGGGTCTGGAGCTCGGGAAACTTGACACATAAGCACTCCACGTCGGTGAGCGTCATTTGCAAATCCTCGACAATAAAATGCTTCAGCGTCTGACTGTGGACACTCGCTAAGTCAAGAATAAACACCCTCGGGATACTCATGTTTCCCATATTTACGGTGAATGCGTGAAGTTTAAGAGACTCCAGTCCGGGTTTTGGAACGAGGTTTAGCATCCAAGGCCACAGATTATTAGGGCCCATGTTATCCATTGAATGGGATCGCACAGTAAGGTTCTTTATCACGGGTATGGGTCGATCCACTTGCATTCTACCATTGGAATGAAGATATTCCGTATCGAGTGTCTCCAAGCTCGGAAGGTACGTCGTCACCATTGGGATCGATTGAGACTGCGCTCCCTTCAACCTCAAATCCTTGAGAAGAGGGAGATCAGAGAGCACTGTGATAAGTATCGTTGGTGGAACCCCCGCGCATCGCTAGATAGAGAGAGACAAGGTCGTGGTTAATGTGCGGTTTCAGGAGCCATAGGAAGACTTGAGAGGTACTTACACCTAATTCCAAATGTGTGAGTGTGTCGCCGAGAATGTTAGACCAGTCTTCAAGGACGCGAGGAGGACCGTCCATACACCACAGGGATAGTTTCCGCAAACCTGCGCGTTGTTTGAGTGTCTGCCAGACCTCCTCTCCAAAGTCGCTGAGCGTCCGGATGGTCAGCTCGCGAACAGGAAGGTTATGTATTGCGTTCATAAACGCGAATAACACAGAGTTTGCAGTAGAACTATCGTCTATCCATGTCATTGACTGAAGGTTAGAGCAGCGAGATACCGCAATTAGAGCGTCTCGAGTTATATTGGGATAACCAGGAAGATGCCCGCAATGCACCGCGCCTAGTAATATGAACATCCGTCAACCATAAATCAAATCCGACTCAGAGGTAAATATGCCTACCTGTCTCGGTGATGTGGCACACATATTGTGCAAGCTCTGGCCGTTGATTCAAAGTCATAGAGGGATGTCGAAGAAGACCCTAGGAGAAATATATTAACAACTTTTGAATGTCAAAGAGAAATCCAAAACAAGAGAAACCCTAAAAACTGATGATGCTGTGTTTATTCGGTGTCTCGGTGCACGCACCTTCGATGAAATTATCTGCGAGTCGAGGGTTTCATACAGCAATGGCGTTGCTGCTCTATTGAACATTTTGCTGACTATTGCACACGAACACAAATCATGGCGGTCCGCCAACTGGTCCAAGATGGGGGGCAAAATATCAAAAGGAAGGTCTTTGGCCTCCATCATGAGAGAAATGACGTTCACAAAGCAGGTAGATGATGGTGGTACGTCTTTAAGAGCGATCTAGTGATGCCCTAGCTTCAGGACCAAGCTCTCCGGCAATCACTGACGTCAGACATCTGAGTACGAAAAGTTCAATACAAACACAGTTCTGTGAATTTTAGGGCAGCATTGCGTAGAGGAGGGATGGCGAGCAAGCCTACACCACATTACCTATAGGATGTACGGTCATCGTAGTGGTGGTGCAAAAGACAAATTACCTTGCTTGTCAAGGTCTCTCTAGGTCTAAAATCTTCGCTTACACAAGCCATGGTCTTCCCGTGATATGACATCATTCTCCACACGTAATCAAAATCCTTATCGCTGACAATTTCACCCTTTCCATCATGCATCGAATGTCTTTTCACAACGGATATCAAATCGCCAACATATTAAATCCTCTAGATCTACCGGTAATGGCAAGATTGGACATAGCTACTGCCCTCAAAAACCTCAATGATATTTGTGCTTATCTTCCATCTGCATTAGAAAGACAAACTCGGCATATCATCCAAGGGGGTCGCAAAAACCGAAAAAATCATATCGGGTCGAAAAAATTTTTAAGGCCTCGATGGACCGACCGACCGACCGCCGTGGGAAAACATACCCACAAAGGAAACATCATGTAATCACTCCGTGTCGGAGTCATCCGCCAGTGCAAGCTTTCCGCCTACTTAGTCCTCTCATCCTCGATCTAAACACTGATAGTATACAATTCTTGTCTGCTAGCAACAACGCTGTCCTACTGTACATGACAGACACCTCCAATTTTGGATCCATCGAACTCGACCAAATATTTTTACAGCTGGTAACTCAATTCTCACTAATCCTGCCAATATCTGGCAGCATGCCATTGGCGTTTTGAGCCTTTGACATCGTCTTGACCGCTTTTCCGGCGCTCTTCGGGCCATGTTAGGTTATGAATATTATATATCAGTTGAAATAAACACCTCCAGCAGCGTCTAGGGTCTCTGGATGCTATTTTGCAAGAGGGGGGCAAAAATTTTTTAAGGACCTTTTGGACCGACCAACCAACCAACCCGATGTGCCGGCTTGCCAGGCCGCAACCCCCTTGATATCATCTATATCTTTTGTGCTTTATTGCCACTTCCAACGTTGGCAGATCTACTTGAAAACCTCAAATCTCGATGATGGGGTGGATATAAACAATTTGTATGGAGATGTACCGACCATAATATTAGACACCATGTGTTGAATAGTGGGACTGAGCCATATGTGCGCTTCAACATTGCAACAGATAATGCGACTACCCCGCCGTGCCCTGCAGGTATTAGGGCTTCGCACCGTCACCGTATAGTACGGTTATACGGGTGCCGTCATACGGGTACCGTGCCCGTTCCATCTGGCGAAATAACTTGCCCAGAGACGGACGGTATACGGACATCCCGTATACCGTTAGCAACCGTATAAACACGGCCGTCATACGGTAATCGATGGCCGTGTATGTATCTAAAAATAACTGTCATCAGATCACACTGTACACGTGTTTGCCATACACTTAACATCGTACCACGATGTGCTGGCACCGCAAGCTCTTCAGCGCTACCACCCGATCTTCTTTCACTCGCTCTACTCAAGCTCTAACCCTTACCAGCATAGAATACTTTCTATTTCCTGCTTCTGCTGCCTCTATTCTACTACTGTTTCATCCTTTGAGTTTGACTACCCACACATATTGCGCAATAATTTGCCCCCCGCTGGCCTGTGCACCTGTCAAATACTGCTGAATTTTAAGCCAGAGGAGTTCACGAAAGAGTATATAATGGTCCTTTTTTCGCAGACTTACAACCACATTCTGAGCATCATGACAGATCAGTGTGCCCTCGATGCCAATGGAAACTTGAAATCCCCCTCGAAATTCAATTTTTATCACGATGCAGATGACGACGTGCCCATGGCAGGACCTGGAGCTGCTCCGAAGCCCCAAATATCAGGTATGTATTATTCAACGGCCGTCTATATACCCGTACCGTACCGTCAACCTAGTTCTAAGAGCATTGATGGTACGGTTACGGATCAGCCGTCGCCCGTCACTGTACCGTGGCTATACGGCCGTATACCGTATACGGTACGGTGCGAAGCCCTAGCAGGTATGTCTGCGTATTTCATCCCTCACACTGTACACATATCCACTGATCACTGGCACTGAGTAGGAAATGACAACCTTAAGAGTACAAAGCCTAAGCGGAAAATTGTGGACATTGAAAGAGGTGAGGCGAAGAAAGTTCGTGCTTAAATGTAATCAGTTCAGGTTCCGAGTCCTATGAATATAGGATATCTCGGTTATTATGCAGTTGGGAATGACCCGTGGGAAAATCTATTCGTGGAATCAATTGATGGCGGCGTTTGCCGACTATCTCGCTCTGTCCCCTGGGCTTTGCCCATGGGAGTTTTTCTATTCGTGCACCGTTCTTTCCCGGCTTCATCCTCTTTCTCCCGAAAGCTACGCTTCATCGCTGCTTCTTTATGTCGCTGGCAACTGCCATCCGATCGACACGACCTGTCCTTGTCAAACCACTACCCAGAGAGTACACGAAACATGACAATTCATGTCCCCAACCATAGCCAGCGTTTTCCAGGATCAAGAAACGAATTTTACATGGAGACGACGGATCTTGGTCCGGCGAGCAAGGCCAGGAGTGCAGAGAACCTGGGGGTATATCATGCATGACGGGTTGGGGCATAGTAGTAAGTCTCCCCGTTCCTCACTCGCATTCGAGGATACTAACATTCTCATAGTTGATCTCGATCCCGCCGATCAACATGACCTCTCCCCCTCGAATGACTACCTTGGGGAGGGCACAAAGCACGAGATTTCGTGTTCCCAACAATGGCAAGGTTTTCGCAGCACGAGGGAGCTGAATTTGCATCGAGACGACGTATCTCTGTTCAGAGAGCAAGTGTAGGAGTGTGCAGCACTTGACGTGTGGGCCCTGGGGGGTGTAATGGTAAATCTCTTGATTCGCATTTAGGAATATACTCACCGTCTCATAGCTCAATTCCGAACCCCCCGACCAATGCAACCTCTCCCCCTCGAGTGACTGCCCTGGAGAGCACGCGGTGTGCGACGATTCGTGTTCCCATCAGCAGCCAGCATTTTGCAGGGCGAAGAACCCGATTTTGCACCGAGATCACGTATCTTCGTTCGGTGAGCAAGCTTAGTAGTATGCCTCGCATGACAGATGAAAGTAGTGGTAAGTCTGTGTACAGGCATTTAAGAATGTACTGACCTTTGCATAGCTCGATCTTGATCCTGCAAATCAACACGACCCTTCCCCCTCCAACGACTGCCTTGGGGAGGACACAAAGCATGAAATTTCGTGTTCCCAACAATGGCAACGTTTCTGTAGCACGAGGAAGCCGATTTTACGCTGAGACAATGGATCTTCTTCCGGCAAGCAAGGCGAGGAGTATGTGGAACTTGAGGGTGTTATGTTGCGCAAGACGGGCGGTATAGTAAGTCTCCTCATTCCTCACCCTCGTGTAGCCTGATTCCGCTGATGAACACCAACTCCCCCTAGACCGATTTTTGTGCTGAGACGACGTATCGTCATCCAGCGAGCACGGCCGGCACCATGTACACTGTGCAGGTGGTGACTCGGGATGAAATAATGTAATGACGGCAGCGGATCTGCAGGAGTGGGTACGTATGGACATATCTCGAACCATTCTGGGTACTAACTGTTTCTTTAGCTTGGTCTCGTCTCATGCACGCAATTCCCGGTGTCAGGGAAGAAGACGCTTGGTTCGAAATATGCCCTTCGACATGCAGACGGATGCAGGTGAGAATTTGGGCCCGACATGACGTATGAACGTCCGGTGAGAAAGGAGATGTAGTTGGCTGTCAATGAAGGGTCCATCGATGTTATCAACATGGGCAAGGATCGCCTGATGCCTTCCTGTACCGTACACGATTTCCTGAATAAGTGTGACAGAAAATAGGACTCGGATTTGCCACCGTATGAGCTGGCCCTCACCCACTAGTAACTAGCAGGATTCTCTTAAAGGCATGTATGTATGATTATGGCGGTGTATGATTATTTTCAAAGTGTGCCTCACATAAGTTGGATTCTACAAATTTGGGATGGGGATGAACACCGCTTAAGCAAGGTATGATAGTCGTCGACCGACGACCGCTAGTACATGAACGATGACTAGCAATGACGGACCTGCCCTAAACATCACGTGACCTTCCACGACGCGATTGTCCTCTTAAGGCTTACTGCTATGTCGAAACCCTCAATATTCAATTCTTGAAAGAATCTACGCTCGGTGTGCAAGAGATGGACTACGCTAATACTTAAGCTTCAGATGTCACAAGTGGGTCGACGGCTACTATGCTGGACAACAGGTTGGTTTGCTCCGAGGTCGCGGACGATACTTATGTATAGCGTATTAGCTGTGAATCAATGACGGTAGGATGAATATATTATATATGTTATGGTGGTTCCTAATGAGTATAAAGGGCTACATATGATAAACGGGATTATAACGAGACTACAGAATTAGGATTGTCACAGCGCAGCAGGACCTTCAGGCGAGTCATAAAACTGTTCATTTGGATCGTCTTCACTCTCTGATTCCTCAGGCAGAGCGAGATTCGCAGCCATTACCAAGGGATCCAAGTCAGTGGGAACGTCATCCTGAACAATGGGCGGAGGCTCGATTGGGTTCACCACCGGAGTGGCCCCCTTCTCTTCTGCATCGGCAGGCTGACCATCTCCGTTCTCCCCAGTTGCATGACCAGCATGCGTTGGTCCAAGCACGTCTTTTCCCCAAAATTGAGCTGTATCAATACTCAAGGTAGGCCTTCTGGTTCTACCAGGAGTGTCATGGCCTTCAAGGAGATCGTCATCAGGCGGTAGCGGGGGTAAGGTAGGAGAAGAGCTATCGGCAGGAGGATCACTTGAAAACGCGGGTGTGTCTGCAGTGAACGGCACTTTGGTGTCCGTCCCCACATCCTCTTCTGTCGATTTGGCTGTCTGTGGGAAGGCAGGATCTTCGTCGGCGGGTACGGTGGATGGCTCCCCGTCGTGCTCTGGTTTAGGAGCAGTCTCATTTGCGCTAGAATCTTGCGTAGGAAGAGCAGGGGAATCGTCGCTGTTTCCTTCTGCGGTGCTACTGCTCTCTTCTGGTTTGGGAGTCGCTTCGTCGGCTTTAGATTCGGGAGCAAGAGGGTCGGTAATCCCACTGCTATCATCTCCCGATGCGGCGCCGTTATCATCATCCTCCGCTTCAGGAGTGGTCTCGTCAGAAGGAGGAGGGGTGTGGTTGGGGTCATCACCGTTAGAAGCATCGTCTTCATTTCCCTCTGCATTGGTACCCTCCGCAATTCCGGCATCAGGCTCTGTCGTCAGGGCGCCTTCAGGCCCACCAGCATCCGTAACGGTGTCAGAAGATGACACCGCGGCATCCTTCGCATCCCCTTCTGATTCCTGGTCCCTACCCTTAGTATCCATCCCTGCTTCGATAGATTCGTCCCCAGCCTCCGTTCCAGCGTGAGAAGCAGTAGGAGAATGAACGGTGATATTGGGAATATCAATGTGATCAAATGTGGAATCAAAATTGAAATCGAACTTGGGCATAGACCCTAGTCCAGACGGTTCAATAAAGTCAAATGGAAAGTCGTCGCCGGACCCATGACCAGCATCAGCCCGGGTTTCAGGTACAGAAGAAGAATCGACAGTCGGGTTGGGCAAAGATACGGGTTCTCCAATGGGAACGCTTCCGTCATCTTCTTTCCTCTCCGCCACCTCCGAGGTAGCATCAAGAGTTACGTCAGTACTTTGCTCCCCGTCTTTCTCCACTTCCTCGTTAGATGGAATACTAGAATCATCCTGTCCATCTCCCCCGCCATCTCCGTGATCAGGTTCGCCATTGATTTCATGCGAAGCACCAGCATCATTGTCATCTCTGCTGTCTTGCGCACTACTCTCGGGTGGGGCATCTCCAACGCCTGCGTCGGGAGTGGGGTCATGTAGCTGTTTGTCCAAATCACGAGCGTCATCATTGTCCTGAGGATCTACAACATTTTCAACAGGACCATCATCAACATCACCGTAAACCTTCTCGCTATCCACACCAGCATTATCGACATGAGTGTCTGAATCCGAGCCTGTGTCATCCCAGTATTCTTCGTTCTCGTCAGCTTCAAATGCGACCTCATCAGGACTTTCGTCCCCCTCTACGGCCGGTACCGGTGACAGGACTGTTTCGTCCGTTTTTGTCAGCGTTGTTGGCGGGTTTCCCGTTTGGCTTGGGGGAGGAGTCTCCGTTAGAGGTGTTCTTGGTTGCCGCATCTCCTATAATATATCAATATGAGTATGAAGAAGCATATATGGACAAGATGGTATCACCGATCCACCTGTTGTAGAAGACGATGCCGTTGACGAACCATTCTCTTGGCCCTTCGATACGGAATCAGGCGCCTCCGAAATACTGAACAAGTCTACTATGATGCCGTGCATCTCCTCGGATGGGAGTGCGACGGATGTGGGACTGCGCAGTCCGTCAACGGACGGCGAACGAGCACATTCTCGCGCCCGAGCAATGTTCAACGCTGTCTCCATGCCCAACCGAATTCCTTCCGCCAGCGTCAGGGTCTCCGTTCGCGCACAAAGGGCGGCGTAACGGGGGATCAGAAGATGCTTGTCGACATTGTATTTCTGGTAGACAACGATTCGGTCGATATCGTCCATGAGGTGCTTTTCCAGCTCTCGGACGGCAAGGTTCTTGACCTCGGGGAAACACCATCGATCCGCGAGCTTGAGAATGATCGCCCAGTCTTCGACAGAGGCATCGTAGAGCGAGTATTTACTGTGGTTAGACGTTAGAGCTGGGTGACGGGAAAAAACACACTTCACGACTGACGGGTTGTAGAACACCCATAGGAATCTCGCGAATTCTGCAGGGGTGACGTGGTCTAGGACGATGGCGGTTCCCTCCGAAGTCCCTTGACGTTCTTCGCCTGGAGAGGCTGGCGTTGCCAGCTGGTGTTTGAAGAATGTGGATTCTCGCTCGAAAAAGTATCGATGGACACGGAAATGGTATTGCTCGACCTAGATAATGTCAGTTAACTGAACTCCGGCGCAGTCGATTAGACAACACACGAGGAAGAACAAGTCCCCGCCTGAGAGATGGTACTCGTCATGGTGCCTAAGGGCAACGAAACTGCTATCCTGCTGACTGGCCATCGAGGGGAAGGGGGGAAGGGAGGAAGGGGGGTTTCTGAGAAGTCGAGGGGTGGGAGACGAGGCTTTTGAATCCAGAATCGCCCACCTACACGTGTATGACACATGTCTTCCGGCAATGAGTATATCTCCATCATATTGCTTGCCATCGATTCGATCGAACGTACGAAGGGCGCATGTTTGGAAGGAAACGTAAGCCTCACACGTTCTCTTCACCTAAAACACTGCATTCCGGTCACACATGAAGCAGGCGCATGGATCGAGTCGTACCAGCGCACGCTAAACCCTGCAAAGCGACTTGCCTATTCCGCGGATGCAATTGTCCTGTCATCAAATTATTTTTTGATTTTCAGGAACCCGATTTATCCATGCTGAGGGATTGTGTAAGGCTGTACGCGGTGTATGGTATTTAGAAACGTTGATATGGGACGATACATGATGTTACAAGTGCATACAAAAAGTGAGCGAAAACTATGCTACCCATGACCCAGGCGGACGCGGGGAATCTGTTCGGAACCTCTCAGAATCAGGGATAGAATTGATAGGGTTCGCCACACCGCGACTGTCGGTCTCGTGCCCTAACCCTTCTTTCCTTTCGAAACCGACAGAAGACGCTTCACCCGAACCGTTAGCTGTTTTGTGAGAGTCTGAGAAGGCACGAACAGCGTGTCTGTCAGTAGATATTCAGGCAAGCAGGGCTCAACACGACAATAGAAACTCACCGTTGTCAACCTGGGTCACAGGCGGAGGACGATCACTGTCGTCCTGCGCCGCCGCGCCTGCCATCCTGGCCGCCCGCAGATCCGTTCGCCTGGCGCGCCGAGGTGGTACCCTGCCGAGTATCGGTGTTCGATCCTAACAGCAACAACGGAATGAGTAAGCAAAAGTACAGCAGAACGAATTTATGATCACCCATCCACCTGATGTACGGTTCGACGACGTATCGTCTCCCTGCCACACCTCGGTAACAACCTGCAACACGTCAAGAGAGTTGATGCCATCCGGCAGAGGACTCTTCACTCCGTCACGCGAGGACGAACGAAGGCGCTCCCGAGCCTGGAAGATGAGGACAATGGTTTCGACACCGAGTTTCTGCGATTCGGTTTTGGTTAGAGGCTCGTCGCGAGAGCAGAGTTTCGCATAGAGCGGGGTCAGGATGTCCAGATCAACGTTGTATGCCTGATACAGGACGATGCGATCGACCAAGCCCATCGGCTTGCGCTCGAGTTCACGGATTGCGAGAGCTTTCACTTCCGGGAACCCCCAGAGGGATGCGAGGCGCAAGATAGCATGCCAGCCGTCGACTGAAGCGTCGTATATGGAGTATTTTCTAATAAACACAGTGAATCTTCGCCCTCGGGTAATAAGGTAGGCTGAACTCACGGATTATAGAAGACCCAAAGGAACTTGGAGAAGTCCTCTGCATTCACATCATCGAGCTTGAAGGCAGTTCCAGCTGAGGAACCTGCAGGTCGCTCCCCGGGGGGTGCTGGATGATCGAACATCTGCTGGAATCTGGGGGATTCTCGCTCAAAGAATATGCGATGGACGCGAAATACGTATTCATCCACCTAGGCGGATTTCGTTAATACGAGCTTCATTTGGAGATGAGAGCTACGCCTACTAGGAAGTATACGTCGCCTCCGTTCAGATAATATTGCTCATGGTTTCTAAGCCTTCCAAGACGCTGTCCGCCTGGTCCAGACATGAGAGTAGCAGTTAAGAGGACAGAGATAAAGTGTGAGAATGATGAACAGACTCATCATACAACCTTTCAGTGATTTATATAAACCTCATAGGCGCCTCGGGCCCCTCTTCCTGATGGATCGTGTTCTGGGACTCGACTACAAGTCATATGCGGAACACTGCCTTCTTGCGACTCTGGACACACGTTACGTAGTACGTACGCGTGCTCGACTGTTAGAAGTATCAGATGATTGAACACTCTAACATAGATTGACTCACTAGTTTGTTCATCAACATTGTGGCTGAGATCGAGTTCAAACAAAGCTCAGTTCCCACTCCCATACCGTGCAGCGCAGCAATACGATATCTGATGCACGTCCTCGAGGCCGGACCCAACTCCGAGTCTAAGTGAGTTGGGGTACACTCCCTAGGTTTTCAATACCAATCCCCCCCCCAGATAGAACGCGCGTAAAAGGTCTGGTGGGCAGGGGGTACAAAGCCTCGAGGCGAGGTCGACTGAATTGACACAACAGCCAACAGCGATTCAACTTGCATATGATTCGTCGCCGCCATTTCAGATGACTCTCAGTGGAACGCGTTTCTCACAGGAGACAGGTGTCACCGATATCGATGGTGGTTCCACGACGCAGGGTATAGGATTGCTGTGTTGATGGCGCTTAATACAGCTTCTCATGTTCTTGCTCCTTCTGCAGCGAAACCTAAATGATGAGGACGCACAGCAAGGCAGATTACGCGTCTGAGACGTACCTCGCCCTTTCTTCTCATTTCCACCGCCATATTACCTTTGCCGCCTTATTTGATGAGTCTTGGGAGCTCAGAGCCCAAACGTGGAACAATAACGATGAAGTAAAGGAAGATAATGTTGGTTAAGGAAAAGAAGATATTTGTAATTCCTTCCTTACGGCGATCACACAGCGCTAGTGTAACACTGTAAGCGAGGCAATTGCCGGCTTCAATTTCGGGGAGATCTTACCATCTATCTACCCTGCAAGCCAATTCATCGCAAGATCGATTTCTGTCCATATCCTGAGCAGCGGCTGATTCGCGAGTTCATCTTCAACACAAGTGTCCGCCGCGGTGCCGGCGCCCAGGGCCTTGCTGGGAACGGAAACTGCCGCAGATCTTTACCTGTTGAATCAAAATTGGTGGTGTCAACTGCATGATATCTTTTTTTTTGTGGCTTCATACACCCTACTCAGCAGGAGCTTTCCGACTAGCAGAATGGGGCGTCAAGGACGCTGTATTCAGCCCGTTAATGAAGCGAGGTTTGTAGCCTCGCGAGTGAGAATCATAAGCATAATATATGACATGTGGTAGGTTATTCCTTGGTGGGAGGTGTCTCATAAAGCGCTGACCATACGAGGTAAATGCCCTTTATGCACATCCTTCCGCGCGTCCTCGAACAAGTCTCATGTGGGACTCGATCAAGCAAGCTCCGGTGGCGGCCTGAGAACCTTTTGGTATCACACCATCATTGTTCACTTAACAATACCCACTAAAACCCCGTTTTCCCTTGTCTAGTCCTCGGGGAGGGAGCTTTCTTTCAGAAGCGTGCCCTGCCATGTCTTCAGAACAAGGGATTTCTGTATCGCCTTCCTCTTGAATTTCTTTTGATCTGATGGTATGCTGTCTAGTTTCATACGACGATTTATCGCGTGTGTCCATCTTTGTTCTATTTCGCGCGCCGTATAGTGTGGTTTATCATTTATAACACGGTCATTTCGGATCTTCCAGACAAGACGCGCCGACCGATATTAAAATTCAGTGGAACCTTTCTGTTCCTCGCTTGGTCTGGCTTCTATGCATGTTTGGCGGCTGAATGCCACATGACATGATAATGCCCTTTGTAATAGTTCAGTCAGTCTTGGTTTTCTGTTTCCATAGCTGTTGGGCAAGCTCCCATATTTCCTTCTGGCCCGGAGCATCACACCTGGTGAGTATATGGTCTATGTTCTCCTCAGTGCCGCACGTCTGGCACTCAACTCTATCTTCGCAGCTGTTGATGTGTCTCCAGTGTTGCCCCGGCCCCCACCGCATATTCATCGACACCGCGCAGTAACATCCACATGGAGAATCGGGCTGATCTATTGAAGTCTTTTCATCAGATAGAGGTCGACAATTGCTCTCTTGTAATCTCGGCTTTGCACTGTTCTCCAGCGGTGGCTAGGGCCAACATTACGTTTTCGTTAGTGTCCCTTCTATCAAGTTTGTCCTGGTACGTATCCGCTTGCATTTTGATATTTCCGATTATTCTGTAGGCTGTGGCCTGTGTCACGGCCGCCAGCTTCGCTCCTTGCATCTTGATTTCTGGGGGTCTGCATGATATCTCGAAGATTCCGGACGGCTGGGTATGTCCATGGTAAAGATGGCTCCGATTGCTGCGGAACCTGCAAACGATAAAAGGCCCAACATGGCGGCAATAAAGACGCAAACACAGACGCAGTTCGTAGGCGTGCCTGTGTGAGAATTTATCTGATACGAGACTGCCGACAAGGGAAGAGCGCCGTCGCGGGAGAAAACACAGGTTTGTTGGGAAGCTGAAATGAGCTACGATCATCGTCAAGTTGAACAATGGCATGATTGTCAACAACCGGATCACTGGAAGCAACCATGGATACATACGAGGTCCATTGACGCTATACTTATACCTAAAGAACAGATGAAAGTGATCCTAATTAATTCTTTATGAAGTCTTACAAATTCATGATTATGAATACTCAGAACGCGATAGTGCCCCTGGTCCCCAGACTATTGAAGAGAAGTTAAATGCATCTGGGGAGTCATGATGAACTTGTTGTACTCACGGTTGCCATCGGCTGTCCTATGGGACTAGCAAAGATGGATACTAGATCTGTACCCATGCTTTAGACCAAACATGTTAACAGCTGTAATGTCTAGTAAGTAGGATGAATTCAGAACAGAAGATGATCTAACCGAAACTAAGAATGCATCCAAGACCAGTGGCGCTCATGATTGCGAACGGTACGGCAGTACGTGCATTCTTTGCTTCTTCATATATATGCATGGGAGCATCAAAGCCACCTGGACGTGCTCTTAAGACTAACACGTTCATTAAGAAGAAACGACAGTTACCTATTGCCCAAAGGGGGGCCAAGAAGCTCATGAAGAACGCAAATCCGTTGGGATGTCTGGAAATACAAAAGACGTCAGCCCACCGAAGACATAATGTCAATAGGGACGAAGAAACTCACGATTTTCAAGGTGACCGAATGCATATTTTGCGTCGTTCTTGAATTCTATGGGTGTAGCCGCTGGAATAGCGATAACAACGGCAAAGGCCGCCCTAGAAAGACTTCATGAGAAGGAAATCTTCACCGAAAGAGAAGAGAGCTGACGCCATGTTAAACAAGACGTGAAGAGCTATAGCCTAGCTATGTCCTTTATTGCGAGACTAGCCATCACTTGAAGTTCCCAAACCCATAGCCACCTATTCTATAGTGTACGCGGCGTCAATCAGAGCATTGGACGCGGTTTGGTCTCCAGGGATTGCGACGTCATGCGTAGTGGAAGGGATATGTATATACGAGGCAAGCGGTAAAGTGTACGTACGTTGCTTCGATTGTCTAGGCTTGAAAACTCCCCTCCTCCTGGCGGTCGACGCGCTTGATGTAGTCAAAGTGACCTCGTCTACGGAAGACACACACGCGATGTCAGGCATATAGTATACGCACCTTGGTGTGCCGTCTTTCTCTTAAAGAGAATTTTCATCCCTACATACGCCTTCCTGTTCCACATCAATCCTATCCACTAATCGTCTCGATTCGACGACTTTACTTCAGAACAGTACGCAGTTTCATACTTGATGATTTATCGCAACTGAGTTCAAGCATACCTTCAGTACTACAGCTGGGAGAACAATAAATTAAACGCCTACATTTTGTATTGTAGCGAGTCGCAGTCAAACACTGTACACAAAGAACTTCAAGAGAAGAAAGAGTTGAACCAACTAGCACGGACAGATCACGCGTATTTTTGATGCCTACATCGCCATTGCGACAAGAAATGCCGGAGAGTAATTCATTGATTTACTAACACTGGTTTGCTTTATCGGAATTCACCGGGACGACAAGTTGACACCTCGCTGTACATGTTCTGCCTTTTTCTTGCTGATATTTGATCCCCCTGATTGTCTGAGGCTCCAGCTAAGGATGGCTTCGTGCTCGAATGTCGTTCGAGCCGCAGATCTAATTGGGGCACCGCATGTGACGATGATGCTCATCACCGGGCGCCTGGAGGTGCACCCCATTAGAGGAAGTGTTGGTGCCAGAAACTGGTCATGTGTTGTGACCACCAGAAATACACTGTACAGCCCTCTTGTGGGATCATAGAACCAGTATTCAATTGGGTACGGCTCATATAATGTGCAGTATTGGCGCTTGCTCGACAAATTCGTCGCCATGCCCTACGCATCCCTCGATGAGCCATCAGATCCAATACCAATATCACCGTCGCCCAGTCGCAGCCAGGACTATTACTGGGAGAACATCGTTCTACAAGTAACTCTGTTTTGAGACATTGATGATAGAGATTTCATTCATGAGGACTGTAGGTCGAAGACATCCTTTTCCGAGTACCAAAGCACCATTTGGTCGGAAAATCAGAGGCGTTTGATTCGATGCTATCTCTCCCTCAAGGTGGCAGTGAACCCGAGGGTGTCACCGACGATAGGCCCATCCAGCTAGCGGGTATCAAGAAAATAGATTTCGAACGACTGCTTCAGGTTCTTCATCCAATGTAAGGACCCAATCTTCGAGTGCAAGGCATCCTGACCAAAGTGCAACAGAGATACCGCGAAACAGCCTGAGTTATCTGTAAACGGCTGGGTGTCCGTTCTCGCACTTTCCAGCTTATGGCGGATGACTGTGAGGAAAACTGCCATCGAACGTTTGACGAGCAGTTTATCGGAGATATCTCCCGCGGATAGGATCGTTCTTGGGAGAAAATATTCGGTCGGGCAATGGATTTCTTCCGGATGTGAGGAACTTGCAACTCGTGTAGAAGTGGTGTCCCTCGAAGAGGGGGAAAAGGTCGGCTTGAGCACAGCACTGAGGCTTGAACACATACGAGAGTCAAATTTCACGGATGGTAATCAACAACAAACCCAAGGTTCAACCTACTGCAGTTATTGTGGTTGTTACTGCCGTTGTATCGGGAATTATCCGTCACGACCACCATTCAACTCGCATGTGGTGAAGGAGAAGGTGGGGAGACTTTTCGAAGCCGAGTTGAAAGACGTCGAAGCAGAAGGGGCCGGGTTTGGGTGATTATGCATCAGAGATGATATCGTTACGTTTTGTGCAATGAAGTCCTCTTGCATGTTGATTGCTTCGATTTAGCGCATAATGAACCATGCAACCGTAAGGTGCCTGTTAGCGAGTTTCATCGTGCAACCACGTCGGCTGGTTGGCGATAAGGTACGAGAGTGCGAATTTAATAAGCAGGCGGTGATTTGGTTCCACAAGGTCTTATGTAATGGAAGGATGTTTCGGTTGAGAGTACAGTCAGAGAGACGTGGAGCATCTGTCCGAGTTTAGGATAAAAGCATTCAACAATACCGTCAGAAATGATGACGACTCACCAAAATTGGTGGAGAACGAAAGCCTGGAATCACGGGCCGAAAAGCTGACAGGATTGATGACTCTCACGCCATCAACGCGTCCCCACCTAAACCACCATCGTCTTTAGTGTCCATAGGTGCCCACACGCTTCCCTGCGTCTTACTGACCAGAACTTCTGGAATTTCACTACACACTGGGCGAAGTGCTTGTGTTTATCTTCTTGGGTGAGCTTGCCTACTCAAGTGTTCCTCTGCTTCCAGGTCTCATGTTTGGCAAAAGTACTTTCATGACACCCATTCCTCCAGAACTTGTGTTGGAAGTCCTGACATACATATGCGGGTGCCGCGATGATCTTAGGGCATGCTGTCTTGTCTGTCGTGCTTGGCGTCAGCTTGCCCAACCCTTTGTCTTTTCCGAATTATCACTATCTCTCGAATCCCATTGCCTCCCTTGGAACCGAAAATTTGCCATATATCCTCACCTCGCCCAGTATGTCACTCGCCTGAACATATGGGGCGGAAACTGGGGGAAAATAGATTCTGCATCGTTTGTCGAAGTCCAACCTCCACTTCTCGAAGGCCCTGCGATATTGAAGCTCGTACGCCAGCTTCCAAATATCAAGTATCTGAAAATCTATGATTTTTTCTTACCAAGCGAGAGGGAGATAGAGATTCTATGTCATTTTACACGGCTGGAGTGGCTGGAAATGCACGACGTGATTTTCAGCCAACCAACGGATCTGTTGGATCTCATGTCGCAATCGGTCAACCTGAGGGGCCTCCATATCACGGATATGGAGGTAAGAAGTCCTACCGGAGAACCGATTGGTCCTTCACTTCATAATCACGTCGACGCCGTTCCGAAACGGCTAAGGAATCTGAAGCTCCCAGACCCCACTGAAAGCCCGTATATCGTCTCTTGGCTTTTGGGAGGAGCCTTTGATCTTGGTGATCTCATCGACCTCACCTTATCTTGGGCATCATTCCAGACAAAACGCGATCTTATGGGACCTCAATCTTTTTCCTACATCGATTCTTTTGTCAATTCGGTCGGTGCAGGGATCAAACGTCTACGGCTCAATATTGAAACATGGGAGCATACCTCGGAAGTGCACGTCAATTATATGCTAGGTGAGCGTATTGATTCTTTTGCACAATCGCCTTGTGCTCAATATGCATGCAGAACACTTCATCTCGAAGAGAGCGTTGAGCAGCTTTATAGCGCTTGATACCCTGGATATCCACTCCATAAATCGTTATATCAACAATGATGCAGGTTGTTTAGTTGACATCGAACGTCTTCTCCACCACGTCACGCTCCCAAACCTTCGAAAAATATGCATCACGACGCGGTTCACCCTGAACACTGCCGACGATCTCCCATCCTACAAAGAGCTTCCTTTCTGGGCTAGTCTCGATAGACTTCTCGCCAGCTCACAGTTTCCGTCTCTTCAACAACTCCTGTTGTTCATCGAGGTGAAAAATATCCATTGGGATGCCCACAAATTCGGGCTGAGGTTCGAAGACTCTGATTCCGATGATGAAGATTCTCTCAGTGTTGTTATCCCTCCGCTGGTTACCAGACATCCGTGGCCAGAGCATCCCCCGACAGTGGACGATGTTGCCGCCATGATCACAGAGCAAATGCCGACATTGGCGTCTCAGGGATGTTTGCTGTTTCGCCCTGCTAAGATGGGCCGATTCTAATGTATCGAAGAGGTGCATTTAGAAGAAGCGCTTCTACTCGATTCTATCAGATTGTCTTCTTTGATGTGATATCCATAAACGGTCTGTACACTTGAAGGGCCAATTCTTGATGCCGGTAACTTTCAATGATTTCTCCCATGGTCCCTACGTTATTCTATGATGTGATAAGGACAAAGCAGGCAAGGCCGTTAACACGGGGCAAGGATAGGCGCCGTCGCCTATGCTCGAGGCAGTTCATCGATTCTCTCTTGAACATGAACATGCAAGACAAGAAACTCGAACAAGCTTTACCGACCGATGCATGTGGTGCCGTATCGGACTCGTCTCATCCTCCTTCCACAACTATGCCTCCTCCAATGGCTTGGCAACCCAATTACTATGTGAGCGCAGCGTATTAGCGTCCTGTCATGGTCTTCATATCTTTTTTTCAGTATATGGGTGACCAGCCATACGCGTATCCCTGGTATGCAATGCCGCAGCAACATCAGACGCCGCCCCAACAACCTCACCATCATTCCCCCCCTCCTGATGGGGATGACCCTCCCCATAGTGGGATACCCATTTCTCCTCGCAATCATCCTCTGCCTCTTCAAGGACCTGGAACTCCAACTCCCGCACAGACAGTACCGGCTACCAATCCTCTTCATCTCCCGCCCACTATGCTACACCGCAAAGGCAACGTTCCTGCACCCCATCCTTCCGCCCTTGCTACTGCTCGTATCGTCGATGACTTGGGTCGCATTCCTTATCCCGAAGGAATCAAGAGTCCTAGAATTGAGCTCAACATAAATGCTAAGGGTGGTAAATTCATGTGGGCTAATGTTATTTATCGCTTACAAGTACCTGTACCGACCTATTGATATCAGATACGACCGGGAATTCCTTCTGCAATTCATGTCGATATGCAAGGAGAAGCCCGAATCACTTCCTGCTCTCGATGCTATCGGTCTTGAACCTTCGGACCAGAGTTCGTACCCTATGAGTCGTGGTGGATCTGGGCCACATCGTCAGAACTCTGGACCTATACCACCTCAGCGTCAGAACTCCACTGGTCTCGGATTCAACCCAGGATCTTCCTTTGGCAAAGGAGGTTCCAGTGCCCCATTCAGCATGGGCATGGGAAACTTTGGGACTATCGGCGGGTCCAAGCTCAACAGCGACGACCGATTCAACATGTCCAACAACATGCGTGCTGCATTTGCCAGTGGTGCAACTCCTATGCCATTTGGCCGACCTACCCAAATGCAAAGAACGGCAAGCCAAGGTGGCCCGGGTGGTGCACCCATGGGCAGCAACCGAATCCGGAGCAAACGCGGCGAGAAACGCAACGACAGCAACGGAGTATCAGTCGACGCCGGATCTGAACACGGGATTGGTGGTCACGGATCTGCAGGAGCTCTCGCCCAATCGATACTTGAATCCGTTACCCCATCGCAGCAGAGCGCCAATCGTTGGCATAGGCGCATGCTCAGTTCAAACAATTCGGACTCTCCTGATGTTGTTGACCGCAAGGTCAAGGATCTTCTGAACAAGCTCACAATGGAGAATTTTGACTCCATTTCTGATCAGATCATTGCATGGGCGAACAAGTCCGAGAAGGAAAAAGACGGCCGCACTCTCGTTCAAGTCATTCGGCTTGTCTTTGAGGGAGCCGCTGATGAAGCTACATCCGAGGTGTATGCCCGTCTCTGTCGGAAAACGATGGAGCAAATCAGTGCAAAGGTCCAGGATGATGGTATCAAGAATTCTGAGGGGAAACCCATTGTTGGCGGTCAGTTGTTCCGGAAATATCTTCTTAACAGGTGCCAGGAAGATTTCGAGCGAGGTTGGGTGGCAAAAGAAGCTACTGCTGCAGCCGCAGCTTCCAAGGCTATCGAGGATCAAGCTGCCAAGGCCGCCGCCGAGAAGAAGGGCGACGGCGAGGAGGAGATCGCACTCTATTCTGAAGAGTATTACGCCGCGCAGAAAGCGAAACGACAAGGTCTCGGTTTGATCAAATTCATCGGTGAATTGTTCAAGCTGCAGATGTTGACGGAGCGTATCATGCACGAGTGTGTCAAGAAGCTGCTTGGGAATGTTGAGAATCCCGAAGAAGAGGAGATTGAGTCCCTCTGCAAGCTTTTGACTACTGTTGGGCAGTTGTTGGATACATCGAAGGCCCGGGCTCATATGGATGTTTACTTTTCGCGCATGAAGGAGCTTACGAAGAGCCCTAATGTCAGCTCGCGTATGCAATTCATGTTACAAGTAAGTTTCATTATGTTTACGATTGCTTTTCTGACTAGCCGTGATTAGGATGTTCTCGAGCTGCGTGAGCGGAAATGGATCAGCCGTAATGCTGTTGCCGCGAAGGCGAAAGCCGCTCAAGCGCAGGAATCATATCAACGTCAAATGTCAATGTCTCGCGGTGGATCCCGACGGGGTGGAGAACGAGGCGAAATTCCCCAAGTTGGTCCCGACGGTTGGGCAGTTGCTGGCGGTAACTCTGCTCCACGGCCGCAGCCCAAGGCTGGCGATCTGTCCAAGTTTGGTCAGATCAGTAGCAAGGGCGCTCCTCTCACCTTTGGTCCTCAGAGCAGCATCTACGCTGGAAAGAAAGACAAGCGAGAGTCTGTCCAGCGAACTAATTCTTCTTCGAACATGTTCTCCATGCTTAATAACGATTCCACCCCAGAAGCCACGCCCAAAGGTAAAGACTTCCCTCCTTGCCAGAGCTGTCGATCTGACTTTCTTTGATTTACTAGAAATGGTTCAACGAAAACGACTTATCCTTGCACCTTGGTCGAAGCCAGTCGAGGGCCAGGAGAATGCACCGACAACTGCAGAGTCCGAGGGTAGCTCAGGCGAAGAAGTTACCGCCGAACCTGAGCCTGTCGAGATGAGCGACAAAGATGCCAAGAAGAAGATCGAAGAAGACATCAAGGAGTTCAGCGCTGTTCGGAATCTCGATGAAGCGGAAGTTTACTTTACACAACTTCCTGCTAAACACCATCCTCTCTTGGTTGAAAAGCTGATTTCATTTGCTGTCGAGTCGAAAGAAGCAGACGCACAGTTGGTGTCCCAGCTCTTCTCCCGTGCCTCGACCAAGAACCTGTGTACAATTGCTGATTTCGAGAGCGGGTTTGCTGCAGTGGTCGAGTTCCTGGATGACATTGCGATTGATGCACCGATGGCGTTCAAGCTGATGGCAACCATGATGAAAGGCCCGGCCTTTGATGATGAGCAACGGACGCGCTTAGCTTCAAAGACGGACAGTGCCAAACTTCTTGGGCTTTTATCTCAGACTCGCTGATTTCATCTTGCATCTCGTACGTACTGTATCCGTTATCTTAGTTTTGCATTTTACGCTTAAAAAGTTGTGGTAAGGACCGGTCTATAAAAGCATTCGTCTGCAGCTTACAGAATGGTCATTATCTTATCCATGGAAAGTCCTTGATAATTATTCTCTTCGATCCATTCCGCCCTCTTTGCTTCGAGAACTGCCCGTACAGTGATGGGATGAAAAGGAGATTGCTCGACGGGGATAATGTCAGCTATTGCTAGACTCTGGTGCAGTGGATTGGACAACACACGAGAAAGAATAGGTCACCGCCAGAGAGATGGTACTCGTCATAATGTCTGAGGGCAACGCGGAAGGAAGAAAGGCTTCTGAGAACTCGAGACAGTGCTTTTGAAACTATCTACACATGTATGACACATGTCTTTCGGCAATGCGAATATCTCGCGGTGATTGTAGAATATGATAGAAACGTTGATATATGTGACGTCGAAAATGTTACGCGTAGATACAAAAAATGACAACAAGTGAAAACCATACTACCAAGACCCAGGCGGACGCAGTGAAGGTTCAGAAACGCGAATGACAAGGTTCACCACACTCCAACTGTCGATCCCGTACCCTAACCCTTCCTCCCTCTCGAGCTCGACAAAAGACGCTTCACCCGTACCGTGAGCTTTTTTCTAAGAGTCTGAGAACCCACAGACAACGCGTCTGTCAGTATTAATTCAGGAAAGCAGGAAAAAGCCCAACACAACAATACAAACTCACCATCATCATCTCTCGGCGTAAGCAACGGACGATCAAGGTCGCCCACCACCGAACCCGCCGTTCGCAAGTCCATTTGTCTTCCTCGCCGGCGAGGAGCCTTGAGGATCGGTATTCGATCCTGTGGGGCACGCCGAAATGAGTAAGTAAAAGTACGACAGAACACGTTGATGATCACCCATCCACCTGATGCACGTTTCGTATTGCTTCCCCACACCTCGTCGATGACTTTCATTACGTTCGTGAGGTCGACGCCGTTCGGCAGGGGGCTCTTCAGCCCGTCGAGAGAAGAGGAGCGGAGGCGCTCGCGGGCGTGGAAGATCCGGACGACAGTCTCAACGCCTAAGCGCACTGACTCTTCTGTGGTGAGAGGTTCGTCGCGGGAACAGAGTCTGGCGTAGAATGGTGCCAAGACGGTGGGATCGACGTTGTAATCCTGGTACAGGACGATGCGGTCCACCAAGTTGATAGTCTTGCACTCGAGTTCTCTAATAGCGAGAGCCTTGACTTCGGGGAATGACCATAAGCAGGACGTGTGGAGAATGGCGACCCAGACGTCTGTAGAGGCGTCGTATAGAGAATGCCTCCTGATCAGAGAATAAACCTCCTTCTCGGAACTGACGGAGCGTAGGACTCACGGATTATAGAACACCCAAAGAAAGTGGGCGAAATTTTCCGCCGTAATGTCGTCTAGTCTGAACGCAGTACTGGGGGAGGTCCCTTCAGGCTCCTTGCCCGGCGCCGTCGGGCTACTGAACATTGAGCGAAACTTGGATGACTCTCTCTCAAAGAAGTATCGGTGGACCCTAAACATGGATTCTTCGACCTAGGTAGGCTTTAGTGAGTACGCGTACACCCTTTTGATAGCTAAAACTCACCAAGAAATACACATCTCCTCCTTTTATATAGTACTGTTCATGCCTTTTGATTCCTGCGAGTTTAGACGATGATCCAGACATTGGGGCAGCGATACAAAGGGACGGAGGGGAAGTACGAGATAAAGGATAATCACTCGACCCTCTGATGGTTTATATATACCCTCGTGAGTAGGCGCCTCGAGTCTCCTCCTGATGCATCGTGTCGTTGTCGCCTCAACTGTAGGCGAGCATGCTCATAGGCGGAAGCTTAGATTGCCTTGTCCTCGCGGTTTACGATACACGTCATCCCCCCACACGTTGCGTACGCGTGTATCCCTGCAGGAATCAATGGATATTGAAAACAGGTATCAGATGCCTAACGCAGACTTACCAGTTTGCTAGTCAGCATTGCGCATGACCGAGGGTACCAAGCTAATTAGATCTGATACTAGGCAGTGCTGCCCTCGAGGTTCTGAGCCAAAAGAAGCGTGTTGTCTCTTCCGGTATTGATCCTCAGGCAAGCCTGACCGACGGAGCGTCTGTGGAAGTCTAATGTGCTGCCTCGAGGTGGTCCGCTATCAATCAAAACGGAAAACGGAGTGTGAAGAGTCGAAAGTCCTATGTAGTCGGCTGCACGGATCCAGGAAGGCGATGCATCGCTAGAACGTCTCTGTGGCCGTCAACGATTCAGCTCGCGTCTTGGACGCAGAAGACAGATCACCGATAATCGATGGTGCCATTGTCTGAGTCCACGCTATTGTTGTCCTGGGCGCTTAACCAAGGTTCTCGGACTTCTGAAGTCGAAGCTAAAGAGAATAAGCGCGAATGGAAAGGTAAATTAGGCATCTAAGATGTACCTTGATCGTTCTTCCATTCCCCTCTTAGGACTTCATATTACTCCAGTTTCTTGTTCGATGGGTCTTGGCCGGAAAACGTGGAACGAAAACAAAGAGCTCGGTTGATGCATTGATTTGCATTGATGATGGTCACAGAAGAGAAAATTATTTGCAATTTAATTTTCCTCCCAACGACGATCTGCCAACTCATCACAGGTTCGATTCCCGTTCATATCCGGAGTGCAGCGGCCACATTTCGCATAGATTATTACGGGCGACACATTCGCATCGACGTACGGACAACAACGTTCTATGACTACAGATGACGGTTCAGCTTGAACTTGGTCGCTTATGCAGACCGTTGTCGAATGCAGGTTCGTAGGTACGTCTATGCTCTTCATTCCAGTTACGGTGCCAGACTTGAACGTAACATTTGAGCAAGCCTTTCTCACTGTCCCAAAGGCGTGTCTTGCTTAAATTTATAGCTTATGCCGCACCAGCCTGAGTCCCCTGTTTCGCGATGACCTGCTAACGCCGTCACGACTTGTTACCAGTACGGATGTCAGTATCGTTGCTATTGGTGGTCGGTCTTTATGAGAGGTTGACTAGATAATTATTGAGCATGTTGCGTCCATCAACCGGCACCCTGGTACGAGCTCGAATCTTTCCCAGCCACTTGACGGACCTTCCTCGCAGCGCCGCCAGACCTCAGAAACGGATTCTTCTTTTAGTGCATGGTCTATACCTCGTTTTCTGTGTCCTGGCTCCCCTAGCGTACCAGTCTTCAAGGTCCTTTCTTGCCATGCCACGCGCTTTTCGCCGCGGACGAAAGGGTACTATCTCGAGGACCTCCCACGAAGATTTTTGGAAAGATTCATTTAATGGAGCGAGCACCTGCCAGCCTGACAAATGTGTATCTTATACGTCAATCACTTGCATTTATAATGGCTTTCCCTACGCGTAATTACGAATCATCGTTGAACGATAAGCGGTGCCAATTCAAGGTATGCGATAATTAATATCACCTCCTCTTCCTTAATCATTGTTAGTCAAACCACATCAATAGACTCATTGGAAACCAGTGTTGATGCGAAGGACCTTGTGCTCCCAATAACTCTTATTACACGCGTCGAACTCATGATCAGTGCGACCACAGAGCTGTGTAAGGATCACGTCTATCATGACTCGACGCGTTCAGTAATTATAGTATTACAAATTACTAGTAAATATATCGTCTGTAACAACACCGTCAAACAAAGCCCTACTTCTTCACCTCATACCCCTTTGTCGTCATGCCAGCAGAACCACTGAATGACCAACAAACCGAGTATCTGGAAAGCCAGTTGACTTTATGGCGCCGTCTCGGAATGCAAGCCTCCTTTATCCCACCCTCCTCTCCACATCTGACCCTACCTAATGCAGGGACCGACCACCAAAACGACAGAGCCTGATCGTTAGCATACGCGTCTCCGAGCTCGGACGCGAAGTATCATCTCAAGAAGTCGGACGGTACGCACCCATCGCACCCGGTCCATCCTGCCGTCCTAGTACTCACCCCACCCAGCTGGTTCTCCAACCGCGTCAAAGACGACCGCGGCCAGCCCCGCCAAACCAAGAAAACACCCGAACAGCTCGCCGTGCTCGAAGCATCCTTTGAAATGGATTGCACGCCCTCTGTCCAGGAGCAGATCTGGCTTATACAGGAGACGGGGCTCACGCGTAGGCAGATCGTCTCGTGGTTTGATTATCAGCGGAAAAAGCTTGAGGATGAGCCTGGTGTTTATGTTGAGAGGTATTATCCTACGGATGAGGAGGTGAAGGATATGGCAGCCCGTGCTAATCAAGCGGCGGCACAGTGGAGAGAGTACCGAAAGGCTGGTGGGAAGGGCGCAGAGTGATCTCCTGGTTCGAATTTTTTTTAAATCTGCAGTTCTGCCTTGTCAGTGAAACGTATCTAGGATACCATTATGGCATAATTACAATCTTGACAGCTACTGTCCTTCAGGCTTCTAAGTATTATGGTCACTAGAGTTTTGGAGACGGCTCGTCCCCTTCATCAAAAATTGACCGTACGAAAAGGCAGAGAGTATCTAAGAGAGTATCTAATTCCAAGGCGATGAGTGCAGGGCATAACATCGTACGCGGAAGAAACACGGATACTTAGTGGCTGGGCCTATTTAGGGAGTAAGTATCGATGGTATGAAAAGAGTGCCAGAACAGCTGACGAGCAAGCCGCCGTTGAATAGTGAATTTGAATTGAAGCGCTTCGCGTCGCTACGCAGGAACCAGCACCGCGAGTCGCGCGACGCGTATTTATGACGCGTCCGCGTCAAATCACATGTATATCACGTGCATCAAGATAGAAATTTACCATCGACAAATATTAAAGCCCTTGGCTCTACCCTCCATCTGCTTTGTTTTCCCACGTCCGAAATGCCAGCAGAACCGCTCAACGAACGTCAAGTCGCTTTCCTTGAACGCCAGTTAAACTGGTGCCGCATGCTTGGAATGCAAGTCCCCTATTTAATCTTTACCTGCTTCGAGAAGTTCGAATCTAACTGGGGCTCAGGGAACGACCTCCGAAACGAGATAGCATCATGATTAGCATGCAAGTCTCCGACCTCGGACGCGTGGTATCGTCCCAAGAAGTCGGACGGTGCGTATCTCGTATCATACCAGTCATTCTTATTCCAACCCATACTGGCACTACAGATGGTTTTCCAACCGCGCCAAAGACGCAAGCGGTAAACCCCGCCAATCCAAGAAGACACCCGCCCAGCTCGCCGCTCTCAGAGCCTCGTTCGCGGTGGACTGTACGCCGTCAGTCGAAGAGCAGATCCGGCTCATTGAAGAGACAGGGTTGACTCGTAGGCAAATCGTCGCGTGGTTCTCTTATCAGCGTAGAAAGCTGGAGGATGAATACGGTACTTACCAAGAATGCCCAGCGGACCAGGAGACGTTCACTTTGGGATCTCATGCTCATCAGGCGGCGGCACAGTGGAGAGAATATCGAGCAGCTGGTGGACAGGGCGCAGATTGAGCACAGTCGGTGATGATTTCAGGTCTCAATTGTTGGCTGTAAAGAAGTCTGAGTCTGCGCAGAGGAGAAATGTGATGCCTATCATAACATAGAACAAATTTTTATATCCACGGTTTACTTTATGATTATATCTGCTACATATACTGTCCTACTCTAGATATGAATAATTATATCCTAGTGGAGATGCTAACCGGCCAAGGTCATTTGAAATGAGACTATCCGTAATAGTCGGCTAACGTCCTGCAGCGAGACGCTAGCATTCACTTTTATACAAAGTGAAATCCCGACTTGCACAGGCTTGAGATTAAGCTGCGAGAGAAAGTATGCCGCCTTCGGAAGTCCTCTGTCTCTCCATTCCGTCCATACGGGACGGGACGGAGGCGGCAATATAGCATCAGATCAGAGATAAACCTCCAGATTTTCTCTAGCCCGCCGAACGCCGCCGAACAAGTTTCTGCCCACAGGACGAGCAGGATTCACAAACTGCCTCCTCCATAGCGGTCACAGTACACACACTGGACTCAAAATGCAGCGAAGACGACGTCTCCTTCGTCTGCCACGATTCGTCCGACCTTGCTTGCCCCAAAGCAACCCTTACGACAATAAGAGTCGGCGCGATACCCGCAACAGTATCCAACAGCGCCTTGGGATAAAACCCACCAACATCATCCGTAGCAAGGAACCCAATAAAAACAACAAGCGCCAACGCGTACATCACGGCGCTCTCCACGACCACCTCGATGACGCTCCAGTACTGCTCCCGGTGTGCGAGTATCCGGAAGATGATGAGCGCGGTACAGTACACCATCGTAGCAAGCGACATGGAATAAAAGATGACTCCCCACTTGACGGCGGGGCCCCAGATAGCGCCATCGGAGGAGTATTTATCCGTAGCGTTGTGATATATGAAAAGGCCGTCAAAGGCCGTCCCGCTGACGGTTAGGAGTATCGGCAGGACGACCATAGGCCACCGACGACCCCAGACGACCCAGCAGCGCCAGGTCTAGGTGTCGCTATCGTCAGAAATATAGTTCATGAGTTAGAATAATGTCCCCCACCCACCAAGATAGAGTCTGCGACGAGGATGTTCGCTCCTGTTGCGGCCCCCGAGATTGCCCACAGGGTCGTGTCATCCGCATTGCCAAACGTGTAGAATAAGGTGCCGGTCTGCATGTCTCTCTGCGAGAAGACAAGTGGAGGTCGCATCCAGGACCATCGTATTCCGAGGTTGAGTGTAGTGAAGAGGTACATGAGCACAACTGGGATCAACATCATGCTTGTGTGGCTCTTCGGTACGCGGATGGTAGGGTTGACGACTGCCATCGGAGTCAGTAATTGAGGGGGTCATTGAGGTTTGTTCATGCCGTACAGATGTACCAGAGTGTCACTCCGAAAAGAGCTGTGTACATTCCTAGCAGCTCGTTCAGTACTGAATGCATTTACTTAGTTGATGTACTCACCATGTACCAAAGCCTCGAGAGCCAATCCATTCAGGTATGCCGTCAGAGTCTCGACGACGACCTTCTCATCGTCTGCCGAGGCCATCGCAGAGGTGGTAGAGGAACGAGAAGGAAGAGAAGAACAGAGGCTTCATCCGACAAATGAAGCCACGTGGGTCTGTCCGAGCAACATAGCGGATAATATATCGCGACTGGTTCCGTCCAGACCTACACTGCCATGTGCGACTAACGCCAATGGGTTGCGGTTCCTTCTCATCGTCTTCCCAAGCCTGTTTCGCTGAGAGCAACACTCAGTACTTCTTCATCGCTCTACGACCGCTTGGGCTGTCTCGTTCACTGGATGCTTACCGCAAGTATTGACTGGAAGGATGAAGAGCTGTCAGGAATAATCTGCACGGTACGTGGTTAAAAAGCTCACCCAAAAATCCATATGGTTTGTCTTCCTGAACTATTCTCCTTCTGTACATGGTGGCGCGGACTGACTGACCATGGTGCGCTTCTGGAAATACAGAATATCCGGTTTCTCGAATTTTTCCTTCGCTATATGGACTAGTCGCTCTCCCTAAGCAAGGAGGGTATTCCATGCGGGTTACAGACATGGGTCATGGACAAGATACGGCTGTCTGTAAGCTGCCGATGGAATTCTAGCGGCGATTCATAATTTATACTTCGGCCTCCGATCTCCTGCTGCACGTTGGTTGCCTTTCTCGCAATACCTACTTGTGAAATCATGGAAATCATGGTGAAGTCTTGTTTGGGACTACGTTATATACAGCTACCTTCAAGACTTTCTACCACCTCGCCTTCCTGTGCCTCCCCTGAAATTGAGTTTGCGAGCACGTGGCTCAAAAATCTCCGACTCGAACGACCAAGTCGACTCCTCATGGCGGAACACGCTCGCCGCTGCAGTACGGACTTGGTTTTCGTCAAAAGTGCACGAATAACCTCGCGACGCCATCAACTTGTCCCGCACCCACTGGATGCGCAGCGCCGTTTCCCAGCCAATAAGCATTGCTTGCCGCTCAGAAACCCCTCCATCTTGGTTAACCAGAGTGACGATTCCGGACCTCACTAATGCTGGGATGTCGTGAGTTCTTCCCAAGGTGATCCTTTCCACTGCCTCGACCTCTTCACGACGTTCCATGATATGAGAGATAGCGCTGGTGCGTATCTCTGACATCACCCACATCGTGGAGAGCTTCAAGATTGAGATCCATTCTTCTAACGACCTTTTTTGTTTCGAGGCATGTAGAACGTCCCTACACATGCGTGAGATCAAACAACAGTCGAGTAGCGACAACCATACAGAGGGTACATGAAATTTAACAGTCGTTCGAAGTCAGTTTTGCTGACGCCTTGTAAGTGAATAGGTTTGTCATCGGTATTGCCTTCGACGGCGTCAGCGTCCGCCTGGGGCAAGGTGAACATGGCTCCGAATGTCTCTGAATGCTTGATAAACTGGTATCTTGGCGCACGGAATAGTTCATCTTCGACCTTCACCTCTTCTTGTCAGTGCCTAATTTGAACAGTGAAAAAACACGCTCACTAAGAATGTACTATTCTCCCAGTAAAAGTCCTTGTTTCTGAACCTCAACACCTCCTTTGGCTTCTCCTCTATGTCAAATGCGATATCGCTCCCTGGCGAAGTGGGTCGAGAAAACTCTTGGGCATTCTCGTCCTGCATGTTCAAGTGAGAAAGGCTTATCGATGAGCTACCTCGTGCGCAGATGACGGCGCCTATTCTTGCCCCGTGTCAACAGCCTTGCTTGCTTCGCTCTTATCAAATCATAGAATATCGTAGGGTCCATGGGACAAATCATGATATGTTCCCGGCATCAAGACCTGTCCGTTTATGGATATCACAATCAACATAGACAGAATCGAGTAGAAGCGCGTCTTCTAAGTGCACCTCCCCGATACATTAGAATCGGCCTGTCTTAGCAGGGCGAAACAACAAACATCCCCGAGACGCCAATGTCGGCATTTACTCTGTGATCATAGCGGCGACATTGTCCACTGTCGGGGGATGCTCTGGCCACGGATGTCTGGTAACCAGCGGCGGAATGACAATACTAGGAGCATCTTCGTCATTGGAATCGGAGTCTTCGAACCTTAGCCCGAATTTGTGGGCATCTCAACGAATGCTTTCTTGATGAGCAACAAGAGCTTTTGAAGAGACGGAAACTGTAAGCTGGCGAGAATTCCATCAAGACCAGCCCAGACAGGAAGCTCTTTGTAGGATGGGAGATGGTCGGCGGTGTCTAGAGTGAACCGCGTTTTAATGCATATTTTCCGAAGGTTTGGGAACGTGGCGTGGTGAAGAAGACGTTCGATGTGAACTAGATGCCCGACATCATTGTTGAGATAATGGTTTATTGAGTGGATGTTCAAGATTTCTAGCGCTGTAAAGCTACCTCGAGAATCGAGAAGAAATGTTCAGTGTGCATATTGAACACAAGACGATTATCTAAGACCATTGTATTCCGAGGTTGAGCGCGGCGAAGAGGTACATGAGCACAACTGGGATCGGCATCGTGTTTGTGTGACTTTTCGGTTGGCGGATGGTGGGGTTGATGACTGCCATCGGAGTCAGTAATTGAGGGGGTTGAGGTTTGTTCATGTCGTACAGATGTACCAACTTGAAAGCGTTACTCCAACAAGAGCCGTATACGTTCCTGCAGCAACTTAGTCAATACTCAAAACATTTACTATTTCTTCAATGGGCTCACCATGTACCAAAGCGTCGAGGGCCAGTCCGTTCAGGTGTGTCATCAGCGTCTGTCGAGGCCATCGCGGAGGTGGAGGAACGAGAAGGAAGAGAAGAGGCTTCATCCGACAAATGCAGCCACGTGGGTATGTCCACTGTCCGAGCAACATATCGGATAATATATCGCAAGTGGTTCCATCCAGACTTACACTGCCATGTAGGACAAATGCCAATGAGTTGCCGTCCTTTCTCATCATCACCTCGGGTCTATTCTACTGAGAACAAAACATAGAACCCCTTCATCGCTCTATGCCCCCCTGGCTGTTTGTTCAAGTGCTCGTCGCAAGTTCTGGCTAGAGAATTGACCTGGAATGAAGAGCCGTCAGAAATAATCTGCGTATGTTGCGAAAAGCGCACCCAAAAATGCATATAAGTTTCGTCTTCTTGAACCATTCTCCTTCTGTACATGGTGGCGCGGATTGGAACAAAGCACTTCTAGAAATAAGGAATATCCCGTTTCTTGAATTCGCCCTTCGTAGTACGGGCTGGTACTTCTCTCGAAGCAAGGAGGGCGGAATGGATTGAAGAAAACAATTATCAAGGACTTTCCATGGATAAGATAATGACCATTCTGCAAGCTGCCGAGGGATGCTATCATAACCCAGTCCCTACCGCAACTCTTTGAGTGTAAAGTGAAAACCCGAGATAATGAATACGGTACAAGATGCAAGGCGAAATCATCGAGTCTAAGATAGAAGTCCAAGAAGTTTGGCACTGTCCGTCTTCAAAGCTAAGCGTGTCCGTTGCTCATCATCAAAGACCGGCCCTTTCATCATGGTTGCCATCAGCTTGAATGCCATCGGCACATCAATCGCAATGTCATCCAGGAACTCGAGCGCGACGCCAAATCCCCTCTCGAAATCAACAATTGTACACAGGTTCTTGGTCGAGGCACGGGAAAAGAGCTGGGACACCAGCTGTGCGTCTGCGTCTGTCGACTCGACAGCAAACGAGATCAGCTTATCAACCAGGAGAGGGTGGTGTTTGGCAGGAAGCTGTGTGAAGTAAACTTCCGCTTCATCGAGATTCCGAACAGCGCTAAACTCCTTGATGTCTTCTTCGATCTTCTTCTTGGCGTCTTTCTCGCTCATCTCGACAGGCTCAGGTTCGGCGGTAACTTCTTCGTCTGAGCTACCTTCGGACTCTGCAGTCGCCGGTGCATTCTCCTGGCCCTCGACTGGTTTCGGCCGAGGCGCAAGGATAAGTCGTTTCCGTTGAACCATTTCTAGTAAATCGAAGTTAGATCGACAGCTCTGGCAAGGAGGGAAATTTTTACCTTTGGGCGTAGCTTCGGAAGTAGAATCGTTATTAAGCATAGAGAACATGTTCGAAGAAGAATTTGTTCGTTGGACAGACTCTCGCTTGTCTTTCTTTCCGGCGTAGATGCTACTCTGAGGACCAAAGGTGAGAGGCGCGCCTTTGCTGCTGATCTGACCAAACTTGGACAGATCGCCAGCCTTGGGCTGCGGCCGTGGAACAGAGTTACCGCCAGCAACTGCCCAACCATCGGGACCAACTTGGGGAATTTCGCCTCGTTCTCCACCCCGTCGGGATCCACCACAACTTGAAGACATTGACATTTGACGTTGATATGCTTCCTTCTCCTGAGCGGCTTTCTCCCTTGCGGCCTTTGAAATGTGATCAGATGGCGATGCCCAGACCGAGGGTGAAAAGACACTTACTGCTTCGTGTATCTGAGCGATTGTAGTAGGCGCGGCAACAGCATTACGGCTGACCCATTTCCGCTCACGCAGCTCGAGAACATCCTACTCACGGCTAGTCAGAAGAGGAATTGCCTACATTGTGAAACTTACCTGTAACATACTCTGCATACGCAAGCTAACATTGGGATTCTTTGTAAGCCCCTTCATGCGCGAAAAGTAAACGTCTATATGGGCGCGGGCCTTCGATGTATCCAACAATTGCCCGACAGTGGTCAAAAGCGTGCAGAGGGACTCAATCTCCTCTTCCTTGGGATTTTCAGCATTTCCAAGTAGCTTCTTGATACACTCGTGCATGATGCGCTCCGTCAACATCTGCAGTTTGAACAATTCACCGATGAATTTGATCAAACCGAGACCTTGTCGTTTCGCTTTCTGCGCGGCGTAATACTCTTCAGAATAGAGTGCGATCTCCTCCTCGCCGTCGCCCTTCTCGGCGGCGGCCTTGGCAGCTTGATCCTCGACAGCCTTGGCAGTTGCTGCAGCAACAGTAACTTCTTTCGCCACCCAACCTCGCTCGAAATCTTCCTGACATCTGTTAAGAAGATATTTCCGGAACAACTGACCGCCAGCAATGGGTTTCCCTTCGGAATTCTTGATGCCATCATCCTGGACCTTTGCACTGACTTGCTCCATCATTTTCCGACAGAGGCGAGCATACATCTCGGTACATGCAGCGTCATCGATAGCTTTCTCAAAGACGAGCCGAATGACCTGAATGAGAATTCGACCGTCTTTTTCCTTCTCGGACTTGTTCGCCCATGCGATGATCTGATCGGAAATGGGGTCGAATTTCTTCATTGTGAGTTGGTTCAGAAGAGCTTTGACCTTACGGTCAACGAAATAGGGAGAGTCCAGACTGAGCACGCTCTTGCCCGAACGAGTGGCGCTCTGCTTCAATGGAGCAACAGGTTTAACAGATCCTTGACCACCCGTGCCATACCCATGTTGAGACCCAGGGCCGGTCGGCACTCTGTCGCTGTCGTTGCGTTTCTCGCCGTATTTGCTCCAGGTTCGGTTGCTGCTCCCCGAACCGCCTTGACTTGCCGCGGGCGGGAGACGAGGAGGATGTGCGGCTGGGACTACGTGAGTCTGAGTCGGGGATCCGGATCCTTGAAGAGGCAGTGGGTGGTTGCGAGGAGAAACAGGAATATCATTATGGGGAGAGCCGTCCCCACCAGGAGTGGGCGAATGATGCTGAGGTTTTTGGGGTTTCTGGGACACTGTATCGGGGAGATGTGTATGGCTGGTTGCCCATATCCTGAAAGGAAGAAATTATGAACACCCTGATAGGACGCTAGAGCGCTGCACTGACCTGGTAATTGGACTTTTGCATTGGAAGCATATTTGCAGGAGGAGGATGAGGCGTGTCAGATGCGGCATCGCATCCATCAGTCGGTAGCGAAGCGGGTGGCGGATAAATTTGTTCAGCTTTCTCGTCTTGCATGTTCAACGTTCAAGTTCAAGAAAGAATCGATAAACTGCCTCGTGCGTAGGCGACGGCGCTTAATCTTGCCTCACGTCAACTGCCGTGCTTGCTTCGGCTTTATCAGATATCATAGAATAGCATAGGGTCCATGGATGATGGGAGAATTCATTGAATGTTACCTGCATTACTCAAGACTTCTTCATCGCTCTGCTTGCCGCAAGTATTAACTGGAGGGAATGAAAAGCCATCAGAATCTGCAAAGTACGTGGCTAAAAAGCTCACTCAATAATTGTCAAAAATTCATATAGTTCGTCGTCTTGAACTAACCTCCTTCTGTACATGGTAGCGCGTCTCGAATTTGACATCGCTGTATGGGCCGGTAGCTCTCCCGAAGCGAGGAGGGTGGAGTGGAATGAAGAAAATGAATTGTCAAAGACATTCCATCCAGACTGCAGACGTGGGTCGTGGATGGCCGTTAACGACTAATCTGTAAGCTGCCGATGGATGCTATCACGAAATTTTGGCGGCGATTCATAGGGTTCAAATGACGTTGTAGCCGTTTGTAAAACTATGGAAACATTGGGTTCTAATTTGGACTTGTAGCCACCTTCAAGCCTTAAGTTCTTCCTTTGCTTTTAGAAATCACGACATCAGTAGCATAGCACCCACAAAAAAAATACATGGAATTACACGAGTGGTATAACACCCATAGAGCCGCAAAGTAGAATAGTGTATCAACTAGCGACGTAGTCCTGGATAGTCTTAGTGCACTGCATCTCCGCGTCTTCGCTCATAACGAGGCGTATCTGCGGGTTACCAATATAAATGTTGATCATCGTCACTATCCTCTGCCCTTACCTAGGAGCACCCGGCTCAAACATCTCCGACTCGAATGACTCACTCGACTCCCCAAAGAACACGCTCGCCGCTGCCATGCATACTTGATCTTCGTCAAAAGTGCATGAATAACCTTGCGACGCTATCAATTTTTCCCGCGCCCACTGGATGCGCATCGCCGTTTCCCAGCCAAGAAGCCTCGCTTGCCGCTCAGAAACCCCTCCGTCTTGGTTAACCAGAGTGACGAGTCCGGACCTCACCAACGCTGGGACGTTACAACTTGTTCCCAAGGTAATCCGCTCTACCACTTCTACCTCCTGATGGCGCTCAATGATATGAAAGATAGCGCTGTTGCGTATCTCTGTCATTACCCACATCGTAGAGAGCTTCAAGATCGAGATCCATTCCTCCAGCGGCCTTGTCGGCACAGAAGGAATGTCCCTAGACATACATGAGATCAATCGTATAATCGAGCAGCGGAAACCATACAGATGGTACATGAAATTCAACAGTCGCTCGAAATCAATTTTGCTGACACCGTATAAACGAATGGGCCTGTCATCGGTGTTGCCTTCAACTGCATTAGCATCTGCCTGGAGCAATGTGAACATGGCTCTGAACGTTTCTGATTGCTTGATGAACTGATATCTCGGCACACAGAAGAGCTCATCTTCAACCTTCAACAACTCTTGTCAGCTGAATTAAACGACGACTGTGGAAGCGACACCAACCAAGAAGATACCGTTTTCCCAGTAAAAGCTCTCGTTTCTGACACATACCGCCTCCTCTATGGCTGATGTGTGTTGCTCCTTCTCCTTCTCCCTAAGTTCCTTCTCTTCCTTCTCCTTGGCTTTGGTCTGCTCCTTCTCCCGTTCACCTGCTAGGCGTTCCGACCGCTCCTCTTCGGATTCCATGCGTACAACAGACCGTCGATTAGGGTTGCCATGTGCCGATCCAACCGGTGGAAGTGCAGTGCCAGACAGAGCGGGACTGTGTTTCTGGTTCTTAAGGTTTTCCAAGTTGATTTCCGTCCCGTCTACATTTTTCAGTGAAATTCGAGCACTTGATCGTTGACCGGGTACAAACGCGCTAGCGCTGGTGCTTAATCGACTAGTACTGGGCATCGAGGCGGAGGAGGGTGTGGGAGGCGGCAATGACAAACTGTCAATGCTTCCAGAGGAAGAAGAACGTGACATGGTGGGCGAAAGATGAGGAGAATGGGTAGCTGGTATTGCGTGAGTCGGAGTCGGGGTTCCAGGTCCTTGAAGAGGCGGAGGGTGGTTGCGAGGAGAAACGGGTATCCCATTATGGGGAGGGCCATGCCCACCGGGAGGAGGCGGATGATGTTGGGGTTGTTGAGGCGGCATCTGATGCTGCTGAGGCATTGCATACCAAGGGTACATATATGGCTGGTCACCCATATACTGAAAGGGAAAAAAAATTATGAAGACTGATAAGACGCTAGAGCACTGCACTTACATAGTAATTGGGCTTCCATGCCATTTGGGTCTGCATTGGAGGAGGCATATTTGTAGGAGGAGGATGGGGTGTCAGACGAGGACTACCGAGACCCCCAGACATCTGGCCCGGGGGCGCCCCTGGCCCGGTTGGCCTACTCGGTATACGGGGGGTATTGTCATTAGGGACCTGCCGTTGATACAGAGGCGACCTTGGATCAGAGCCACTAGCACTAGCATTAGGGCCAGCATTTATCTGTTGAGGTCGCATGCCATTTTGAGGAGCAAAGGGAGAATACGGCAGATGAGATGACGATGATGATGGTATCGAGGGAGGCTGTGATGAAGGTGGGAGGTTTGAAGGTCTGATATTAGGAGATGAGGTATCGGAGGAAGCTTGTGACGGGGACACCGACGATGGATTCTCGAACAATTTAGCAATGTCCTGTTTTCGTGGTTTGTGTGGCGTAATAGAGGAAGATCCTAGCTTTGCGGCAGCGGGTGACGACGACATTGGCGCCGAAACATCATCTAAAGATCCGAAGGACACTGCGGGTCCTGGCATGGCAAAGGTTAGCGGCGCACGACAACGGGCAGAATGCCACTCACCTTGCTTCGCAGCTCCTTTATTCTGAGGAATGCTCACTCCATCTTTTATGTGTATGCCCTGGCCAAGAGTACTAGGGCGTCTTGAATGTGCTGCATGGACAGTTGCATTCTGAGGAGCTGGAGATTGATATCGTGACGAAGACGCGGTTTGTGGTGGGCCTCTTGACCAAGCTGACTGGGTTGGTGGCTGGGCTGGGATCTTTGGTACTGTTGCAGTTGTGGATTTGCTCATTCTACTGGCGCAGAACGTAATATTAGAAAAGAAGAAGGGTAGAATAAGAAAAATACCAACGAATTTTGGAATATGAGATGAGTTGGGATGATTTGGAGTGATGGATTCGAGTGTCGAATAAAGTCTGTCTCGTGTGGGTCGGTCGTCAAAAATGACCAGCTACCAGCAGGTAAAAAAGGGCAGTCGATTTATGGATGTAGGTCAAATCGGACCTAACTAGGTGGTGGTGGTGGTAATTGACGAGCTGCCTCGTGCACAGGCGGCGGCGCCTATCCTTGCCCCGTGTCAACGGCCTTGCCTGCTTCGTCCTTATCACATAGAATGATAAAGTAGGGTCCGTGAGAGAAAGTATTGAACGTTACCGGCAATGAGATCGATTGTATATAGTCCGTTTATAGATATCACATTCAAAGAAGACAATCTGATAGAATCGAGTAGAAGCACTTCTTCTAAATGCACTTCTCCGATACATTAGAATCGGCCCATCTTAGCAGGGCGGAATAGCAAACATCCTCGAGACGCCAATGTCGGCATTTGCTCTGTGATCATCGCGGCGACATCGTCCACCGTTGGGAGATGCTCTGGCCACGGATGTCTGGTGACCAGCGGAGGGATAACAACACTGGGAGCAGCTTCATCATCGGAATCGGAGTCTTCGAATCTCAGTCCGAACTTGTAAGCATCCCAATGGATATTTTTCACCTCGATGAGTAACAGAAGCTGTTGAAAAGACGGAAACTGTGAGCTGGCAAGGAGTCCATCAAGACTAGCCCAGACAGGAAGCTCTTTGTAGGATGGAAGATCGTCGGCAGTGTTCAGGGTGAACCGCGTCGTGATGCATATTTTCCGAAGGTTTGGGAGCATGGTGTGGTGGAGAAGACGTTCAATGTCAACTAAATGACCTGCATCATTGTTGATATAGCGATTTATTGAGTGGACTTCCAGGGTGTCTAGCGCTGTAAAGCTGCCCAACGCTCTCTTCGAGATGAAGTGTTCTGTATGCATAATGAGCACAAGGCGATTGTCCAAAAAAATCAATGCGCTCACCTAGCATATAATTAACGTGCACTTCCGAGTTGTGCTCCAAAGTTTCAATATTGAGTCGTAGACGTTTGATCCCTGCACCGACCGAGTTTATAAAAGGATCGATATAGGAAAAAGATTGAGGTCCAGGATCGCGCTTTATCTGGAATGATTTCCAAGATAAGGTGAGGTCGGTGAGATCACCGAGATCAAAGGCTCCTCCTAAAAGCCAAGAGACGATATACAGGCTTTCAGTGGGGTCTTGGAGCTTCAGATTCCTTAGCCGTTTTGGAACGGCGTCGACGTGATTGTGGAGTAAAGGACCAATCGGTCCTTTGGTAGGACTCCTGACCTCTGTGTCCGTGATATGGAGGCCCTTCAGATTGACCGATTGCGACATGAAATCCAACAGATCCGCTGGTTGGCTGAACATCACCTCGTGCATTTCCAGCCACTCCAGCCGCGTAAAATGGCACAGAACTTCTATCTCCCTCTCGCTTGGTAAGAAAAAGTCGTAGATTTTCAGATACTTGATATTTGGAAGCTGGCGTATGAGCTTCGATGTCGCAGGACCTTGGAGAAATGGAGGTTGAGCTTCGACAAACGATAGAGTATCTGGGCTTCCCCAGTTTCCACCCCATAGGTCCAGGCGAGTGACGTACTGGGCGAGATGAGGATATATGGAAAATTTCCGGTTCCAAGGGTGGCAATGCGATTCGAGGGACAAGGATAATTCGGAAAAGACAAAGGGTTGGGCAAGCTGACGCCAAGCACGACAGACGAGACAGCATGCCCTAAGATCGTCACCGCATCCACTTATGTATGTCAGGATTTCCAACACAAGTTCTGGAGGAATGGATGCCATGAGGGTGCTTTTTATTGCGGGTAACTTCAAAGCCAAATATGAGACCGGGAAGTAGATGAACTCTTGAGTAGACAAGCTCACCAAGAAGATAACCGCAAGCACTTCGCCTAGTGTGACAAAATCCCGGAAGTTCGATTGGTGACACGCAGACTTGCGTGCGGACACTGGATGGTGGTGGTTCAGGTCTGAGACGCGTCGATGGCGTGAGAATCATGTCGCAGCTCTCGGCCCGTGATTCCCGTCTTTCGTTCTCCGTCGAGTTCGTCGTCATTTCTGATGGCATTGCTGAATGCTTTCATCCTAAACTCGGGCAGATGCTCTGACTGTACTCTCAACTGAAACAGCCTTCCATTACATAGGGACCTTGTCTGGAGTCAAATCACCGCCTGCTTATTCAAGTCACTCTAGTACCTTATCCGATTAGGGCTTCGCACCGTACCGTATACGGTATACGGCCGTATAGCCACGGTACAGTGACGGGCGACGGCTGATCCGTAACCGTACCGTCAATGCTCTTAGAACTAGGTTGACGGTACGGTACGGGTATATAGACGGCCGTGCCGGTCGTCAATACGGCCGTTGAATAATACATACCTGATATTTGGGGCTTCGGAGCAGCTCCAGGTCCTGCCATGGGCACGTCGTCATCTGCATCGTGATAAAAATTGAATTTCGAGGGGGATTTCAAGTTTCCATTGGCATCGAGGGCACACTGATCTGTCATGATGCTCAGAATATGGTTGTAAGTCTGCGAAAAAAGGACCATTATATACTCTTTCGTGAACTCCTCTGGCTTAAAATTCAGCAGTATTTGACAGGTGCACAGGCCAGCGGGGGGCAAATTATTGCGCAATATGTGTGGGTAGTCAAACTCAAAGGATGAAACAGTAGTAGAATAGAGGCAGCAGAAGCAGGAAATAGAAAGTATTCTATGCTGGTAAGGGTTAGAGCTTGAGTAGAGCGAGTGAAAGAAGATCGGGTGGTAGCGCTGAAGAGCTTGCGGTGCCAGCACATCGTGGTACGATGTTAAGTGTATGGCAAACACGTGTACAGTGTGATCTGATGACAGTTATTTTTAGATACATACACGGCCGTCGATTACCGTATGACGGCCGTGTTTATACGGTTGCTAACGGTATACGGGATGTCCGTATACCGTCCGTCTCTGGGCAAGTTATTTCGCCAGACGGAACGGGCACGGTACCCGTATGACGGCACCCGTATAACCGTACTATACGGTGACGGTGCGAAGCCCTATATCCGATGTCAACCAGGCGACGTGGTGGCAATATGATACTCGCTAGCAAGCATCTTACTATTGCGTGATTCATTATGCGCTAAATCGAAGCAATCAGCATGCAAGAGGACTTCATTGCATTGAAAACGTAACTATCTCATCTATGATACATAAATGCATAATCACTCAAACCCGGCTCCTTCAGCCTCGACGTCCTTCAACTCGGCTTCGAAAAGTCTCCCCACCTTCTCCTTCACCACATGCGAGTTGAATGGTGGCCGTGACAAATTATTTCCGCTACACCCGCAACGGTAATAACCACAATGGCTACAGTAATATGAACCTTGGGTTTGTTGTTGATTACCATCCATGAAATTTGACTCTCGTATGTGTCCAAGCCTCAGCGCCGTGCTCAAGCCGACCCTTTCCCCCTCTTCGAGGGACACCACTTCCACACGAGTAGCGAGTTCCTCACATCCGGAAGAAATCCATTGCTCGACCGAATATTTTCTACCAAGAACGATCCTATCCGCAGGAGATATCTCCGATAAACTGCTCGTCAAACGCTCGATGGCAGTTTTCCGCACAGTCATTCGCCATAAGCTGGAAAGTGCGAGAACGGACACCCAGCCATTTACGGACAACTCGGGCTGTTTCGTGGTATCTCTGTTGCACTTTGGTCAGGATGCCTTGCGTTCGAAGATTGGGTTCTTACATGGGATGAAGAACCTGAAGCAGTCGTTCAAAATCTATCTTCTTGATACCCGCTAGCCGGATGGGCCTATCGTCGGTGATACCCTCGGGTTCACTGCCACCTTGAGGCAGAGATAGCATCGAATCAAACGCCTCTGATTTTCCGACTAAATGCTGCTTTGGTACTCGAAAGAGGGTATCTTCGACCTACAGTCTTCGTGAATGATATCTCTATCATCAATGTCTCAAAACAGAGATACTTGTAGAACGATGTTCTCCCAGTAATAGTCCTGGCTGCGACTGGGCGACGGCGATATTGGCATTGGATCTGACGGTACATCAAGGGATACGTAGGGCATGGCGATGGATTTGTCGAATAAGCGCCAGTCACTGCAGATTATATGAGTCGTACTCAATTGAATGCTGGGTTCTGTGACCCCACCAGAGGGCTGTATTTCTGGTTGTCACAACATATGACCAGTTCATGCTTCTTCTAATGGGGTGCGGTGCAAAGGTGCCGTCTTAGTCTGCGTGATTTCCGCGAGGTTCAGCGGGCAATACTTAACATAGTCTTGGGCCGCAGTCCAGGGACACACCGACACACCGTGTACCATTCATCCATCGAGACCTTCTAGTTATATATTGGTTTACTTTAGCCACAGGCCTTATGCACCAGATACCGACAGTGCTACAGGACAAGGAATCGCGGGGAAATTATGCTCTAGACGCCCAATAATGAGGATCATCGTCACATGCGGTTCTCACAAAGAACCGACAACGTTCCTTCACCCCATTAAAATCTGCGGCTCGAACAGATTTCGAGCACACAGCTATCATTAGCCGGAGGGACATCAAGGGGATCAAATATCAGCGAGGTGAAGACAGAATAAGTACGGCGAGGTGTCAACTTGTCGTCCCCGTGAATTCCAACAAAGCAGATAAGTGTTTCAATGAATTACATTGATGGCGCTTGCTACTCCAGCACGTACTGGAAGTCTACGGAAGTCTCCGGAAACATCTCCAGATTTATACTCTAGTAACCTATCGGACAGATGGTCTCGCTGGGTTCCCAGATGTGATCAAACGACTCACTGGCAGGCATCCTACAACTGCATGATTTACGCGCTAAATCGAGGCAATCAGCCTTTCTCCATTGTGCAAAACCTAACGATATTATCTCTGATACATATCACTCAAACCTGGCTCCTTCTGCCTCGACGTCTTTCAACTCGGCTTCAAAAAGTCTCCCCGCCTTCTCCTTCACCGCATGCGAGTCAAATGGCGGAACTGACGGAACTGAAGCATAACTTCCGCTGTAGTAGGAGTTGTTGTAACGACGACAATTACTGCAGTAATATGAACCCGAATTTTGTCTTTGAACAAGTTCCATGAAAAGTGACTCTCGTATGTGCTGAATCGTCAGCGCCGTACCCACACCAATCCTTTCCGCGTCTTCAAAGGACACCACTTCCGTACGGCTGGCGAGTTCTTCGTATCCGGAAGAAACCCAAGGTGCGACTGAATATTTTCTGCCAAGAAGGATCCTCTCCACGGGGGATATCTGTGATAGGCTGTTTGTTAAACGTTGGATGGCAGTCTTTCGGACCGCCGTCATCCGCCATATGTTGGAGAGCGCGAGAACGGATATCCAGCCATTTATGGACAGTTCAGGTTGTTGCGTGGTATCTCTGTTGTATTTTGTCGGCACCTCTTGCAATTATCAAAGAGTAGATCTCTCACATTGGGTAGATAATCTGAAGCAGTCGTTCAAAATCGATTTTCTTGATACCCGCTAGCTGGATGGGCTTATCGTCGCTAAACCCCTCGGGTTCGTTACCGCCTTGAGGTAGAGATAACATCGTAGCAAACGCCTCTGATTTTCCGACTAAATGGTGCTTTGGTATTCGGAAGAGAGTATCTTCCACCTGTAAGTCTGATGAATGACATATCTATCATTTCGCTTTAAACAGATCTACCTGTAGAATGACGATCTCCCAGTAATAGTCCTGACTGCGACTGGGAGACCCTGATATCGGCGCTGCATCTGACGGCTCGTCGAGGGATACGTAGGACATGGCGGCGATTCGTCGAAAGAGCGCTAATCTCTCCGGATTATATTGATATACGAGTCACACACTGGCCAATTGGATACTGGTTCTGTGATCCCGAAAGAGGGTGAATGATTCTGTCCGTCACGACATATGACCAGACCCTGGCGCTTAGGGGTACAAAGGAGCCATCTCGGTCTGCGTGATTTACACGAGGTTCATCAAACAGAACCGAGCATTATCTCAAGTCCGGATGCACAACGGCATCGAGCAAACGACACAGCCGTCCACTGAAGCGGAGACTTTCTAGCCATTGAATATGGGTTTGTTTTAGCCATAACTGCCGGCCCTTATGTGCTGGATGTCGTTAGTGCTGCCTTACAAGAAATTGTGGGGAAATCATGTTCCAGGCGCCCGGTGATGGGCACCATCGTCGCATGCGGTTCTCATAAAGAATGGAGAACATCCTTTCGCTCCAATGAAATCTGTTCGAATTCGGAACAAATTTGACCACAGAGGCGTCTCCAGCAGCGAGGCGTTGGCGAGACCATATATCAGCACGAAAAAAGCAGAATACAACGAACGGACAGTGTACAAGGTGCCAACTTGTCCGAATCCCGGCAAATTCCGACTCAAAGCAAACCAGTGTCGATGAGTCAGTGGATTACATTGATGGCGCTTGCTATCCTAGCACGCACTCGAAGGCTATGGAAGTATCTGGAAACATCTCCAGATGTCGATAAGACAGTGTCCCAGAATTCCCAGTATAAAACACGTCGCGAATCATCGTACGCCAGCCCAACCCACCCGGAAATCTTCAGCCGTACGTCATGGTCCAGTCACTGTCAGTTTCCGTCTCTTCACTCATTTAGACTCCAGATGGCGACCAAAGTCGTAAAAGCACCAGACCCTCGGCTGATTCCACAGCAGAGGAAGAGGACGCATGTCGTTGTGCCCCGCTCGCAGCGCGCGCGCAATAAAACCAACACGGGGAGTAGTAGAGACAGCGATAGTGAATCGGACGTTAAGAGGAGTCTACGAGCACGATGAGGGAGAGCACGGGACGGAGACCCAGTAGTGCTTGGAAGCAAATGAGGAGGACAAACGAAGAAGCTTGCGTGTGGTGCAGCATCGGCGTTGCGGACGCCGAGACAGTAGGTGTGTGGGAGAGAAACGCGTAGTTAGTGCAAAACACTTCACAGAGGCGCTGCGAGATGATAGCGGAGGCTATAGATATTTGCGATGAGAAAACCTTTAGCACGAGGCTAGTCAACCTACGGTGATCGGGTGAAGCTATCCTGTTAGTTGGTTCATTCTGTTCATTTCGAGTTCGAGGATGAGTGGGAACATTTATGTACTCGCTTATTGCGAAGAATTCTGAAGACGTGTGTCCGACTTGACGGGCATTTCTAAGCACTCCAATCCCGCGAGGCTAACATGGAATATGACCATAGCAAGCCGAATAGCAACTTGAAATTCGCCTGGCTGCAATTTGATCTTGACGCATCTATAGAAAAGCCTTAGTTACTGATTAGAAACACGCTGGAAAACCGACTGATGCCCAATGGAGACGAAGAGATGTCGGGTTTTGGCCACGAGAACAACGCCCAGCTGTCTGAAATGACAGCAGTCACTATCAAGGCCTTTTTCGTTCAGTATGAGACTCAAAGAGTGCGGATCCTTTTAAGTAGTATGCGGCCCTTGACAACAGGACTAACGCTTTGGTCGAGGCGTATCGGCCCCGAGGGACAACTCCGCCTTGCTCCCACTCGCTAACACTCTTTGAAACGGTGCCGTAGGAGGGAGTATTCCAGGAACTTGAAGCCAGACGAACTCGAAGGAGGAGTGCGGCGATAATGGTATAATCATAGTAATGCACAAGTATAGTAGAAGAACACAAACCGCAGTAGCATGTAGTAATAGTACAAACCAGCCCAAAACAAAACACTACATCCGTGAGATTCGTCAGTCCAGCCCGATCCATTGGAGTCGGAAACACTCACTATTAGTTGTCGTCTCGTCGACTAAGGCTCACGGCCCTCTTCAACCATGGACTACACCCTTCCTGGAGTACGGGTGCCCTCTCTGGCGTGGACATCGCCGGTATGTGAATGTGGGCATGCTCATCAAGGATGGCAGCAATGGCCAGGTCATCATCGCACTCAAACTCGCACGGTGTTTGGAATATTAGAGGTTCTTCCAATGAGTCGGAGGAAGCAAAACTATCGGTTGGACTCGGTGGAGACGAGCTAAGTACCTTCCGGCGCTTGCATACCCGTTCCACGTCCGAGTCTGTCGTTGGAGGTGAATGAGATATAGCAAAGCTGGCTTGCGAAACGCGTTTCCGCGAGCAAGAGGGAGATCTGGGCCGCAGGGAAGGAGGCCTTGTCGTTTCGGGTATTGACTTGCTCTTCACTGTTGACGCATCGGACATGGTTCTGTATAATGGTGAACAATAGTATTGAAACGAGATGCCAGCACGTACAGAAGTTGGGTATTGGATAGTTGGATATTGGGTAGTTGTTGATGTTGAGGTTGAAAAAAATCGGCCATGTTAAAAGGCGGGTGTAACGCGGAGAGAGAGGGCCAAGTGCAGAAGACCCGAATCTGGGCGGGGGAGGTAAATGGTGGTAGAAAGGAAAGAAGCGTGCAGCTGTCATTGCGTCACGTCATCGTCAGCTGCGTAATTTCCTCGCGCATCCTATTTAGCGCAATTCTGGATTCTAGCATGTTGCGAATACACATCAAACGGCTCTCACACAGGGTTTGATCTGTGAAATTCGGTTAATACAGCATGAAAACCATGAGGACGAGGCGCAAAGGTACCTTGAAGCGCAGTAAGAACGGTGATTTTCTAACAATTTATCCAGAAAATGTTCTCATTGATTGACCTGAATGATGATAAGATAAAATTCTTCCAATATAATTGAACCTGACCTTCCGGGACTAACGCATTGATTGGCGTTAATCATGCCAGTCACTCGATAACAACTCGACAATCACTGGAGGAGATAAAAGGGAACTATGTCTTCTAGGCTTTCCTCGCCTTGACTACCATTTTTTGCGGAGAAGATACGGAATGGTTTTGAAATGACAAGATTTTCCGAAAATCTGTGTTAGCAAACATGAGACTAGGCCAGACTGGGAGCTTTAGGGCAGAGTGAACGTACGACTCCTTGTAAAAGTGCGGCCATTGAGAGCGCAATGCTTCTCTCAATTCGAATTCCGCCCTCCCTAGCCTAGACCTGTGAGAGTTGAGTGCTCGAGCTGCCTTCAAAGCGGGAGAAGATACCTTATCTTTGAGAGTATTGGAAGAGAACGGGACTAAAGGTCTTCCTGGCGTTTTAGACAGCTTTCGTGTCCATAAATGCCGGCATTTGTGCCAGAGAAAGAATACGCACAAATTTTCAGAAGAGACGCATAATCTTCTTAGCCCGAAACATCGTATCATTTTCCTTGGGACAACGGCAACGTGCTGTCGATATCTTCGCCCGTAAGAAGCATCCAAGCCACCGAAGGTACACCGTCAATAACAGGAAAAGATTCACAGGAAGGTCGTTTAGACCGAGAAGTTTGAAAAAGATGTTCCGAGCTAGAATTGAAGCTAGCTAAAGGTGGAATGGCGGAAATTTTTCCGGACATTACTCGCATACGAAGACGGTTTCGAAAAAAATCAATGTGCTAGAGGTCATAGGAACTTCCTCGCAGTAAGGTGGTGGTGAGCGAAGACGAAAATCTCGGATATATCCGGCGGCATAGGCCTCTATCCTTTCAACTCTGCTTCCGGGTCCCGGCATTATTCCCATTCAGATCATATTAGTGCATCAAATTTCAGAGCTACGAGTACACAATACGATGGACGAAAAGAATATTTCAGTCTGACTATAAACTATCAAACAGTAAAAACCCTACCGATCCAAACATCGCTGTGCTACTTCTACCGTCTACCGGGGGTGTCCTTGACAGACACAACCTTCTCTCGTCAAGTCTCCTCGATCGCGGCATCTAAGCCGTCTTCACAATACCTTTCGAGACGGACTAGCACATGCTCGGGTAGCTCCTCTTCATCTTCGCCGTTTAAATTAGTCTCTTTTTCGTCTTCGGTCTCTTATTCATAACTGGTTTCTTCCATATCTACCATATACCGAATGGTGACTCGGATAGACTTCAATGAACCACAAGCCCACCGGCTTTCAACCACCACGTCAGGCGCATCGTCACTGAAAGTCGCCTCTATGTAGAGGTAAAGAGTGTGTAGGCGTGGAATCAGCATATTTCCGGAACCCAGAGTGAGCGCCCAGAGAACCTCGTCCATGATCGCTTTGCCTACATCCTTGAGCTCGAGATATTCAAGGGAAGGAAGCAATCATAATAACCCATTGGCATCTGCACTCGATACCGTGCCTCCCACAAATGGTGACCCGGCACTGATCGTTCCACCAAACCTCGTACGACGCAACGTGCGGTCCGCAAACCGGCCTCAACGATTTGTTGATATCGATCGAGTGCTGTTAGGGCTGCGAGAGTTAAGAGTTGCAACAGTCGTCCAATACCATTTATGTCGTTGTCCTCACTGTAGACTGAAGTCGGCGTGAGCGTCATTACTCGGAGATTCGAAGAGAACGTTGTTTGCACTGAACGCGGTACAATCAAACAAGTGTGTCTCCAAATTGGGAGACGCCTTCAGGGTGCTGAGGATCTGTTCAGCAGCAGGCCTTACACCGAGGTGGATAAAGACACCGCTTGATTTGGTGCCAAGACAAGACGAGGGGTCGATACATATTCCCCGCGTCGCACAAATGAACTGTACGCAGTTTCGGGGGATTATCGAACACCTGTATGTATCGGTTCCTTATCAGAGGAAGATCTTCCCAATCGAAAGGTTGGATGTGGGGAAACTCAAGCGAATGAAAAAGAATCTAGTAAGAATTTGAGTGAGGGTTATATTTTTTTCTGAAGGAATAGATAGAGATTCAGGATGCGATGGGAGAGTGGAAGGAGCATGATCAGAAGCGCCTCGGGCATGCGCGTGAAGTCTTCATAGACGGCAGTGGATAATGGGCAATTTCCCGAACAAACGAGCTGAAGCCCAATGCTTTGTATATATCTAAATTTGCGAGTTCGAAGTTGTCGTTGATGAAGATGTTCAGCGACTACCATAGCTTTCCTTCGTCGATCCCTACAGAACAACAAAACTGAGAGAAGGGGTCCTTGGCTGTCTTGAAATCATAGCGAACGCGAATGCCTATCAATCGGGAAGAAACAGAGAGTTGCGATAGCATATGTAAACACACGCGGCAGAGAACCTCTGCATGGTAACCACTTTGGCTCCCGGGGCAGTGTCATCCACCGTCTACGCGGCAGAACTATATAATTCATAAGCCATTATGATCATTGAAGGTAAATCGCGATTACACGAACCAAAAATTATCATAAATAGAGCTATACAGACATGTGGACCTTGGTGGCGGTGGTGGCGGTAAAAAGTCAGCGCGCGCGCGACAATTTGTCGACAGTCGAACTTGCCAGAGGCCATTCGCCTTCTCCTTTCCTTCCAAGGTTACACATTGTGAGTTGTGTCAGGTCGGCAATTTTGTTTATTCAGAATGATATCATGAGGACCAAGTCGCCCAAGCCTCCATCATGATGGCATCCACCGCCTACTTTCTAGCCTTCTTAACCTCAGACTACCACCATTATGGCCGCGTTTGTCTCGTCTGTTGCGTAAAAGATTGATCATTACAGAGCAAACACTGGCTGTCAGAAAAAAGGTCGGCAATTTTGAACAGAGCAGTTCAGCCGAACCATAACTCTACGGTTGTGGTATTCTTGGTAGTGCGCCAAAGAAAGCAAACGCCGGTGGGTTCATCGGTACAAGCTGGTGGCAATGGGTTGCATCCTATCCTCGGACAACAAACACGCGCTAGGAAACCTCCAGGGTAAGCATCTCCAAGAGTGAGGCCTAGGTCGGTATCCTCACCAGACACAGGCTGAGCTGTGGAATCAGCCGACACTATATTCGTACCTTGGCGAGCCTATGATTCTACGCGCTTGGTGTACTAACCTCATTGGGACCACATACCGGGTTTCTAACCTCTAACCTCTAACGGCCGGGTCCAGAAAAGATTGACTGTTTCCTTTTTAGGGGCACTTACCTGTTCCCGGCAGTGTGCGGCCCGGTCGGCTACTAACTTCTTACTAGTACAACTACGACGTCAGGGTATACGTACGTGGTTTACTTTGTCGTATTCTTGTGTTATATATCTGACCAGCTTCTTACAGCTGATATTTTTACGTGCTGCGTATGTCTCTTACCGCGGTGACCATAACGTCACGACAAGTCCTGCAGGCTCAGTCCGACAGTGCTCATTGCTCAAATTCTTTCAGTTACAGCCTCAGCACGTATCATGGCTAGACTGGATGCGTCCACTACTGCTTGAAATTATGCTGATTGCGCATTCAACGTCTATATGAACGAGAAGGAAGGCTTTGAGAGGCACCGCCATGAAGCCACGAAACACATTTACAGTAAACAGACGAAAGGCACTACCAGGTGCCGCCACCGCAACCACTATCATGACTTGGTGATTTGGGTTTGTATATATAGCCGCTCCTCGCCACATTCGTCCTTCCTGTTGTTTGGAAATAGCGAGGAGAATCGATGTGCTATATATAAAAACGTTTCGAACCAGGCTGGAATATCGTTCAATCAACATTCAATAGGATGATGCTGATCAGATGAGAATTCCATCAAGAGGAGTCACGCATGATTGACTGTGGTTTACGTGTAAGTTATCTGATTTCTCCCTAGGTGAGACGATACCCACTTGCACTTCCGCTATTTTTCCCAGATGCTTACCACCTTCCGGCATACCATTAGAATCATGGAGCTCAGCGTCTCCGATTGAGCAATGAAAAGGCAGATTATCTCTATTTCAAACGTGACGAGGCTACTAACGAGCATCATAGGCTCATATAATACCGAATCTCTACAGACCATGAAGGCAAGTATACGTAAAACTTTACGAGAACTTCATCCCAGTGGCGATGTGGACTGAGATCTTAGAACCCAAGTTCCCGCAACGTATTGCATTGACGGCATCTTTCTAAGGCACAAATTTCCCGCAGGCTATTCTCTTTTAAAGGCCACACATACATGTAACTATCGGCCCACCCCCATCATGTTACCACTGCTCCTAGTCCTGGTGCCTTTATGCTCAGCCGCCATATATGAAAAAGTCGCAGACCTCCCTACACTAGACTTCGACTATATCATCGTAGGAGGCGCGTAAAATCTTACTCTGCTCTTTTTACCGTCGCTGACCATCTGCTGAAGGCGGGACAGCAGGAAATGTCCTCGCCAATCGTTTAACCGAAGAGTCCAATACTTCCGTCCTTGTACTAGAAGCAGGAAACTCGTGTGTCCATCATTCTATTTTCTGTCTCGAGCTCACAGAGTATCTAGGACAGCTGATGTCCTGCTTTCGCAGGTACCGTTCTTCTGTACACTGGCAACGCCCAACACACCTCTGGACTGGAATTTTACTACGGTTCCCCAACCTGGCTTGAACGGACGGGCCATCCCGCTCCCTAGGGGCTTCGGACTGGGTGGGAGTAGTGCAGTTAGTGAGTCCGACGCAACCAATCGCTGCTTGTAAGCTCATTACTATAGATTATATGACGTACACGCGTGGTTCGTCCGAAGACTACGATCGATATGCCAGGACCAGTGGAGACGATGGTTGGGGATGGGATAAAATTCAGCCGTACTTCCGCAAGGTATAGTTAACTTCCATCGGGTGTGAAGAATAACGGCTAAGTCTATCGCACCTACAGAACGAACGCTTCGTCACTCCCGCAGACCATCACAACACCACAGGGGAATTTGACCCCAAAGTGCATGGCTTTCATGGCATAAACTCGGTCACATTACCTGGATATCCGCGCGCTATTGACAATCACGTTCTTCAAACTACCAAGGAGCTTCCGGACACATTTCCGTTCAATTTGGATTTCAATTCGGGGTATCAGTTAGGGATCGGTGAGTATCAGAGTGTTCGTAGGCGATTTAAAAATGACGATTCGTATAATCAGGATGGGAACAAACAACTGTAGGGAACGGGACACGGAGTAGTTCACAGACCTCGTATCTCGGGCCTGGGTATATTGATAGGAAGAATTTGCATGTGCTCGTGCATTCGTACGTTACGCGGATTCTTGTGGCCAACACCTCGGACTCGCATTTGCCGCGCTTTAATACCGTCGAGTTTACGCAAGATGCTGGAGGTAAGGATGCTTTCTCTTTAAGGTCCCAGAGTGAGCTAATTGCTACAACTCAGTAACGATCCAGACCCTCTCCCCCCCCAATCTCAGAGAAATCATCCTGTCAGCCGGTTCTATTGGAACACCCCATATTCTGCTTAACTCGGGTGTTGGAGACGCTGACGAACTTTCTGCGCTGGGTATTACTCCGACCGTGAACCTCCCTGATGTCGGGAGAAATCTGACAGATCATCCGAGGTGGAGTCTTGTATGGAGTATTAATGATACAAGCACGATAGAGATGTATTGGAGAAATGATACGTTCCAAGCGGATGCTTTAGCAGAGTGGGAAGCCAACCGAACAGGTTACATTGCGAGCACAGTATTAAACCATATCGGCTTCTCGCGTATAGGAGAAGGTCTCCTAGGAGAAGAGCCTTGTGCTGGTAATCTGACGGCACACTATGAGCTGATATTCGCTGTAAGCCAGGTTCTTTGTGGACATGCAAATAAGTGCCTGACTGCATACTCCTCCCCAGAGCGGAATTTTCGAGAGCACAATCCCGGCAACCGGGAACTACTTTACTACAACGATTGTTCTACTATGCCCGCTCTCTCGTACGTCCAGGCTGTACTTTGTCTGTTCTTTTCATTTTAAAACTATCGGGCAGGCGGAAGCGTCACCATCAATAGCACTAATCCTCTCAACCCTCCGTTGATCAACCCCAATTTTTTCTCCCATCTGCAGGATATAATAGCCATGCAGTATGCCGTAGAAGGTGCCCAGAGGTTCACCTCGGCACCAGTGTGGAAGGACTATATCATCGCCCTGACCACCAATATTACGGACTTGGAAGACAGCATCAGGAATGAAGCGGGGTCGACAGACCATCAGGTCAGTACCGCGAGTATGTCCCCGTTCGATGCGGATTGGGGAGCTGTGGACCCGGATTTGAGGCTTAAGAAGGCAATGGGAGTGAGGGTCGTGGATGCATCTGTCTTGGTAGGTCATTCCTCTATAACGTTGTCTTTGTTGATTAACTATATTGACCTTTGCTCTGTAGCCTTTCATTCCTGCTGCTCATGCACAAGCAGCAGTCTATGTGATTGCGGAGAGGGCCGCCGATTTGATAAAGGGATGGAAATAAAGCAGGATCATTTATGGCGGCCTCAATCAGATCTCAACGTACTTTGTTATTATAATTTCACATGTTTAGCGACAGCTAGGTGCTGCTACTCAGACCAACCTTCTGAGTCGTCTATTTATTGAAATACGTTGTGGGTGCTTGTAGGGGCTTGTAGGTGACGATTTCCGAAGCCACGTGCCTCATCATCACTTGCGATCGTACCACTACCGTCAACGCATCATGTCTTCTCCCCGCTGCCACTAACTGAGCGCCTTCCAAGATGCCTCTCTCCGCAAAAACAAGAGCTTCTTCCTATGATATTAAAGCACAAATCGAGGATCTCAAGCACGAAAGGGAAAAATCTCGGGCCCAATATCTGGAGACCCTAAAAAAACTGCGGAGAAAGGCGGACGTGGAACGAGATAACGATGACTTGCGAAAAGAAAATGAAAGATTAAGGAAAGACTTGGAAGAAGCGAGGGAGAGGGCCTTGAAAGCAAACGATGATGCGACCGACATGTGGGGCCAAAAGGAGGCCGTCGCAGACGAAAACCGTGATCTAAAGAGACTGGTAGCCAGGTTGCAACACCGACTAGAGGAATTTATGCTTTCGAGAAATCGTGCACAAGTGAAGGTGGAAAAGGCCCCCAAACCAACAATGGTGAGAGCCTCTGTATCCTTTGTCTCGGATGAGATTCTCTTACATTTCCAGGTACCGACTCCTTCACCGTCATTGAGATCTCACTCAACAGCACCGGAAGTTATCAGTCTAATTGATGACGACGATGACGACGACATGGTAGTCGATACCTACCCTCCTCGCCGCTCCGTAAGTTTTCTTGTTCTCGTATGTGACAATGCTCATTCGGTTTAGATTGGAACACCTTCATCGACAATGACCCTCAAGTCCGAACCTTTATCAGATATTGTACGTAGTATTTTATTGATCGTGACCGCCTCTGAAGGTGTAATTTGCAGGAGGTCAATTTGCAGGTAGCCTATGATACATAACTTAACAACTTTCCTTAGGCACTGTCGATGTCTGCACGCGCCAAATTCCTCTCCGCAAAAGAAAATTCAAACGAGAAACCCGCAGACGCAGATCCCATGTTGGAGTCGGTACCAACGAGAAATTCTACTTTAGCTACCGTAAGCTATTTCTTGACTTGACTTCATAGGAAATGGATACAATTACTCATAAATTAGACGGAACAAAGGGGAATTAATTCTCCGAGTGCGAACACAGGCTCTGAAGTCCGTATATCACACTCGGTTCAATGACCTTGTTGATTGACTAATTGTTCACTAGGACGAATTTGATCCCAATAATATGGAAACAGTAAATGCTGCATGCTATGTTTTGAGTCTCCCCCCCAGTGATATTTCAGGTGTTTATACAACAAGAATCAAACCACTCTGAATCTCCGAGGCTCCTAAACAGCTCCGTCTCTCCTCAAGTGACAGAGTCGATAACTCAAAATTTCAACCCGAAAAACACTGCTTTGGATGAAGTGGTTAGTAGCTTATTGTCTCTCGTTTCTTCGTTTCTCACTTGACTCGACGCAGAAAGACTTTGACATAAGTAATATACAGAACGACGTTGATGATCAACTGGAGGATGTCCGACGAACAAAGAGAATGCGCCAAATTGTATGTGCTCGTCGATCTCTGACTGCGGCGCTTAATATTATATATAGACACCTACCGCAGTGCATTCCAGTGAGAATAGCTCGCACATCCTGTCCAAAGGAAAGAGGAAAGCTGCACCTCAGCCATTGGGTGTACGTCCAACTCTTTCTTTACAGGTTTTGCTTGATCTCACACTTAACAGGACAAAGATTACCTGTCTCAGATTGAGAATGCCCACCTCAAGAATGCCATACATTACACCATACACCCACCACCCCCAGACGGGTTCTACGTCCCACGCGTCTTCATAGCAGACACTTACGGTGGCAGCGCCTATCAGTTTCTCCAAACACTCAAGACTCGCAATATCAAATGTGTATGGCCTAAAAAGTGCCTGAATCCCCTCGTTGTGGACGCCCCTGGTGCCCCTGGGCTGATGTTCGCCTCGAGGCTCGAAATAGTGGAGAGCAAGCCCTGGCATGTGTTTGGTGAACGGCAGGTCGAGAAGCAAACTCGCTGGGAGTACATGGGAAAATACGAGAGTGTTGTTTCGGGCCGTATTGAAGCAGAGGAATTCGCTGGACAGTCGGAAGAGGTGAAGACGCAATGGGGAAAGCTCTTGCTGAGTAGTAAGAAGGCAGACGCGTATGTTGCTATGCGGGCAAGAATTGCGCTGAAGAAGCATGGTCTACGGATCGACGATGATAGCGTGGATAGGGAGATGGAAGCTATAACGAAGAAGATGAGAAAGAGGCCAGTATATAAGGAGATGACGAAGGACGAGAAACGGCAGTTGATGAAGGAAATCAAGGCTCGCAAGCCATTGGCAATCACTGCTGAAGAGATCGTTGATGCCTTTTGCAGCGGTGATGAGGTACGGGACATCCGTCTACAACGAGTTTCAATGACTGAGTCTCGCACCACAGCATATCAAAATTCTGCGAATGGAATGTGTTGGTTATGACCATGTATTTGTGAAGGACATGCAAGAGAAGCTGCCGCACTGGAACCCGAAGTCTGAGGCTACGGGTCAAAAGACTGCAGGCAGGGTGCCCGAGTCAGAAACCGAGGATGATACTGGACCTACTCCTCTCCGTAGGACTCCAAGGCAGAGAAAGAGATCTATTCGTCTGCGAGAGTTGATAAACGAGGAACAGGAAGATGAAGAGGAGGGGGAACCAGAGGATGAAGGCGAAAATTCTGACGGAGATTCCGATTATGAGTACTAACGGATGATTTTGGTGAGCGGCATTTTGTTACAAGTACATGTATGTTGCTTTATATTTGTCGTCGCTTTGATACAGAATACAGGCCTAAGTAAGCTAAAGTTAGACGTGATTGCTATACGAACCGGACACGAATGACATGACACAAATCAAGACATGGCCCATCCGCTCCCATGACATTTTGCCAATCCTCTTTTCCAGCACTTCATTCTCGTCTTCAGCATGTGCACCAGCGTTCACTCCCAAACCACCGTCGATCTGCAGACAGGCTCTAGTTTCTAAACTGCATACCAGTGAACTCGTCACTAAAATCATTCGCTCTCCTCATAACTTCTGAACGCCGAAGACAAATCCAAAACTTCAACAAGAAATAATTCTGAGGGTTTCGTACAGCGACAGCGCTGCTGTTCTATTGGATATCTTGCTCGCTATCTCGCACGAATGGGACAGGTGATCGGTACTTTGGCAATGGGAGGAACATGTTAAAAGGAATATCCTCATGCCCTGTCGGGGAAGTACGATGTTCACAGAGCAGATGAATGATGATAATTGATGTCCTAACTCTACCAGAATTTAGGTGGATTGTTATTTCTTGCACAGAGCCCCGGTGTTCCTTCTTGGGACCTCGCTCGGTTATCTATCTATCTTCAAAGCGCCTATGTGACACTTGCATGATGTCATTCATGGATGTGATATCGATGAATGCAGGAAAGGGTTGATACGAGGAGAGAGACCCACACGGTGTAACCGCGAGGTAGAGGGACCATCGTCTTTCTGTCTCGGACACCCAAGACTCTAACAACAAACATGTCTGGACAACCACTACCCGCCGCGGGGTTCCCGCGATCGAAGACCTCTGTTCCGCCAGTTCGCAAGTTTTCAAGGCTGGTACCACGGACCAGAAGCAAAGATTTTTACTGGGAGATCTGCATCTTCCTCGTAAGTCCAGCTTCAATACCATGCGACCGTGCCCTGAAGGGATGGGACCAGGTCGAAGGTGTCTTATTCCGTGTGCCAAAACATCAATTCACCAAGAACTCGGAGACGTTCAGAACCATGTTCACGTTGCCGCAGACTGCGACCGACACCGTCGAAGGCGATACAGACGATAAACCTATCCTACTGCAAGGTGTCAGTAAGGTAGACTTTGAGCGACTGCTCAAATTCATGTTCCCTCGGTAAGACCACTATTGGTCTGGCTATCGTTAATGAGTTGATGGCTCATCTAGGAACGAGCTGTCTCCATCTGAACCTTTATCGCCCGAGGAATGGCTATCAATCTTAAAGCTCTCGACGATGTGGGAGATGACCGAAATACGCAACACTGCTATTTCACACATCATGGAGCGCCCACTGGAGATTGATGCAACAGAGCGAATTTCCCTAGGCACAAAATACGATGTGTCTACGCTGGTGACCTCTGGAATCGTTAGTCCGGTCAACCAACAGGAAGGAGTATCCGAAAAGCAGACGGAAGTTCTTGGTTATGAAATGGCATTACGTATACAAAGTATACGGGTTAAGCTGCTGGAGAAGCTGAGGAGTTTTACGGTGTTTCCAGATATCCAAGTGCGCATTACGGCAAGAGACGTTTTTCATGGGGAGTGGCCCTTTTTGGAGCCGGTGGAAGAGGTGCCTATGATTGCGTTGGGAAGGTTGGAACCGTCGGATAGACGGAGGGCGCCCCGGAAGCCTGGGCTTCCCTGGGCCTCCCTGGGCCTCCCTGGTCGCTCGTAGTGACTCTGCAGTGACGAGCTCGTCGGGCCCGCCGTGGTGAGCTATACTACGAGGAAGATTAGGACCAGGACCATCCCTCTTACGAGTTCCGTGACGGTTTGTACACGAGCTTCGAGATATGTTTCCGGTGCCAGAAAGTCCGCTGTACTGCCGGCTCACGGAAGTTGTTGACCCATACAATAATACTATGAAATTTACAAGCGAGCAATAAGGGAAATCGGAAATGAGCCGCGTTTGGTATGTAACCCGGGCCGACACCGAATTGCTTGCTACTAGGGTTCGAGGAGGCATTGCCTTCTAAGTTCGACATGTTGGAACGTTATGGGCGGCGCCTAAGTCATGAACAGTCGCTTCTGATTTGAAAGTGTGGTGCCTAAGGATAGAAGCGATGAACCGGCGATTAACAGTTGACCGCCTATGGTGTTGGTGCCGATACAAATATGGCTCCAGGGCGCTGAAGAAAGCGACGTATTACCGACCTGGAAGGCCACGCTATTGAACGAAAGAGCCTTGCCGGACTGATTCATCGCCTCCATCTTTCCACTATGAAGCAGCCATTTTTCTCTCACCGCCACGAGAACCGTACCATGATTTATTCTCACCCCTTCCTAGCATATGGAACAAGTTCCAGCATGAAAGTGCCCCTATACCATGCGTCGTTCCTGCTCATCGTGCGCTTCCTTGTCTCTGGTCTCCTCTACTTTACTAAACCTTTTCTTCCCTGTCCCGTTTTCGTGCCCGGTTCCCATGCATTGTGTTTCCTGTGTTTACGTGTCGTTGTGTGCTCGTGCATCGTGGTTACTGTGTTCGCGTCTCGTGTTCCCGTGCATCGTTGTTTTGGTGTTTGCATTCGTGTTCCGGTGTGTTGATCCTGTATCGTATCGCGCTTGCCTTCCCGTCGTGTTCGCTTTCATGCGCCCGAGGTGCGCCCTCAGTGTCTCACAGCGATGTAATGGTCGTGTTTGGCTCCTTGCCTTTTTTCGGAACCAATGGCGTACTTGTCTGATACCTTTCCACTGCGTCACCTTTGACGTCTTTGTCTTGTTTCTGCGCCGTTACTGTACTGTACTCTGTCATTATGTCTCACTTGAACAAATGCTTCCTTTCTGTCCCCTTTCGAGGCCTCCGACATTCTTTTCTCTTCCCGATGGCTGACAGTTCAACGGCTGACGACTATCTGCATACCTTGAAAAACCTGCCAAAGTTGCCTGGTCCAGATCGTTCAGAGGATTCACTTGCTAGTCGTGCTACCTCTCCCCTCACCGAACAAGACCCCAGTGGCATCCTTCCGCTCCTCCCTGAATGTACCTATTCCCGCACATAGCAAAGCCTTAGTCCGACTGCTGACATCATCGCATACTCTCGCCGTTGAGGTTCTACGATGGGCTGAACGCCGTCGTCCACCTGTCCCTCATTCCCAGCGTTTATGCCGCTTCTGCCTATCGGAAGCTGAAGATGAAGTGCACGCTTTGTTGTACTGCGACGGATCACAATCCTTGGAAGATTTGCGATCTGATTTCTTTAAATCCGTTTTCCTGATTGCCACCGGCCATTTTGCGAATCTGTTGAAATCGGCGGCGTCTGGTTTTGAAGTAATACACGTCCTACTGGGAGCAGATGATATGAAAATAGTTGGAGCTCTCGCTAAATATATATTCAACGTTTTCCGCAGTTTTAGTACCGTACCGTTATATCATTCGTGAATGACTTTTTTTGGGTACCCCATGACGCGCGACACACTCAAAAGCGTGATCACAACGGTATGAGCCTTCGTGGCCACAGTACATGCCATGTCAGGGCTGTGGGCCCGGCCGTTCCTTATTGGGACCTTGTGCCGGTAACAACACCAACACCAACACCATGTCGAAACCTTCGATTCTTGAAAAAATCTACGCTCAACGCGCGAAAGATGTCGAATTAGCTTCATCAACGCCTGGCGCATCGCCAGAAGATATCGACACCTATCTTTTGATGAACCTTGCACCGCTGCTCATCTCTTTTGTCGAGCGCTTGAAACAGAATCCAGCCAGCACTACATCTTCCATCTCTCTTATGGCAGAAATAAAGCGTGCTAGCCCATCGAAAGGACCAATTGCGATGAAAATCAACCCCGCCCAGCAAGCGCAGACCTATGCTCGTGCTGGAGCATCCGTCATCTCCGTCCTTACTGAGCCAACCTGGTTCAAGGGCTCCCTCCTAGACATGCGGCTAGTGCGCCAGGCGATTGACTCTCTACCCAACCGACCCGCGGTACTTCGCAAGGACTTCATCTTTGACCCTTACCAAATCGCGGAGGCTAGGCTCTTTGGCGCAGATACCATTCTCCTCATTGTTGCTATGCTTCAGGCCGATCAGCTGAAGATTCTCTATGACTACGCGTTGAAACTTGGCATGGAGCCTCTGGTGGAGGTGAACAATGCAAAGGAGATGGAAGTTGCCTTGGGCCTGGGAGCGAAGGTCATTGGCGTGAACAACCGGAATCTTCATGATTTCCAGGTGGACATGGGGACGACGAGCCGATTAGTGGAGATGGTTCGAGAAAAAGACGTCATCCTGTGCGCTCTGAGCGGGATTTCCAATCCGCAAGACGTACAGACATACAAAGACGAAGGCGTCCGTGCTGTGCTCATCGGAGAAGCGTTGATGAGAGCGGAGAATATCGGCGAATTCATCGCTGAACTTTTAGGGTGGTCATGGTGAGCGTTGTTTTAGTGAAAGGGGCTACGTTTGTTCTGAAAGTTAAATAAAAGATTGGCATGAACCCTGTAATGGTGCGACTATGATCGCCGGGCGAGACGAGAAAATTTGAAATTTAAACCGTTGGAGTCTTCAGTATGATTCAGGTTCACTGTAAGGGATAAATTTGGCTACTCTCAGCGTACATGCAAGAATGTACACATTTCCGCATTTCTCATTCAGATGTTACATTGCTATGGGACTCAAGAGTAGTACTCGCCATGTACTTGATAAAATCATTCAATTCTGAGGTTTGTATCACTATTTATTCAAAGTCGCGCGACAAATGATTCTTAAAGGCAAGGGGCACTATCGCAGTTGCAGCTACACGTCAAAAGGTGTTGCCATCTCCGGCACCAGGAAATTCTTCACCCGGGCCTCCTCCAGAGGAACCTTCATTCAGAACACCACCATCCTCAGTCAAGGTGGCAGCCGGAGAAATGGTGAAGCTGGCACTCATATCGACGCCGATGGTGCCCCAGCTTTCATAGCAAGACCAGTCAGTCGAGGACTCGCAGTTCACATTGGATACTGATCGAACTCACAGAAGAAGACCGTCCGACACGTCGTCACCAAGGTAAACATACTCAAGAACAGGGTCGACACCAGTGGATCCATCATCAGGTTCAACGCCAAGGGCGAACACCCGATCAACAGAGTTGGTAGTGACCGCGACGGTGTTGTTGCTGTAGGGCGACGTGAGTTCAACCGCGGTGATCAAGGATTGGTCGAAGAAGATTTGGCCTAGTATCTTTCGTTAGTACGTCAACGACGGGATGCTTATTGAAGGTTTATTTTACCGATGTGGTGTTCACTAGAGGCTGTAAAGGTACCGTTGTCGAAGAGGGTCCCGTCACTGTGAACGACGGTGTGGAAATGGGTGGCTCGGCCGGAATAGTGTCTTGGAAATACGCGTTTCAAAATTCTGTTAGTAGACAAGTAAGGAGCGGGTGAACGTACCAGGGAAGACGGTCTCAAACGACGCGTATCCTTCATCGTTAGTCGGCTGAATGCCACGGAGGAACGTCGCATCCTAGGGGAAAGGGATCAGGTCAGACGACTCCCCATTTGATGAGGACAATACTATAAACTCACGAGGTTCGAGAAGTCGCTGGAATCACCATTCCCAGATTCTATAACTCCCGCATAGACACCGGTGGAGTTGCAGTGCCAAAAGTCGATGTACACTCCAGTAAGAGGCTCGCAGGTCGATACGTCGATAAGTTCAAGATCGACGTAGGAATAGAGGCCGGGCTGGTCCTCTGAGACGGTCCTGCGGACGTATTCTCCCTTAACATAGAAAGGTCCTTGTTCGAGCTCAGGAGTGAGCACGCAGGACGCGTCTGCGGAAAAGGGATCAGAGTCGACCGTAAGGCCAGTCGCATTCGAGTGGTGATCGGTGTTCAAGACTTCTTCCAACGTGAGAGCGCGCTTGTATTGCGAACCTGAAAATAAAAATCTCAGAACACGGAGAGTGTGTGGAAATTAGATCTAACGAGTGGGGAGGCCTCGCTTCTTTCGAAGTTCGTCAGCTAGGGCCGCACGACGTGCTGCTGACTTCTCCATCTTGTTACGGCGCGCCAGGGTGTCCTGGCATGCCCCAAGAGAGCGGCGGGTAGCCTGCTGAAGCTGCGAACGGCGGGCGACCTCGGCGCCGCTCATTGGAGCAGCTCCTGGGTGCCCGACGACGGCAATCGTAGCGAGTAAAGCAAAGGACGCGATAGAAAAAAGATAGACCATATTGCAGTGGGAACCAAGGCAGGAATCTTTGGATAGAGACTACTAACAGCTCTCCTCGCATCTTAAAGGCTTACCGTCCGCAGTCGCTGGGTGCAAAATGGAGTTATATCCCATGGTCCATAGACCCCAGCCATGAGGGCTCGGTAGTGAAACGGAATACCAAGGCTTGAGATTCTGGTGGAATTACTGTTCTCTGTCGTCTGATTGGCCCAAGACGATTAGCGGAAATTGTGGCCAGGTCCGAGGAGAAAGAGTATTGTACAATACCTCCCTTTCTATTGGCTCTTCGCTGTTCATAAGCGGCACCGATTGCGAGACACACATGCTCCTAGCGGACGCCGTAGAATGAGGACAGTCAATCTGCCTTCCTGAACTGCGCATTTCCGGCCGAAGATCAAAGGGAAGGTTTTTGGGACTTTGAGATAGGTCAAATGTCGTGTAATCGAGTGTATTCCGCATGATTTACGTCTCTTGATTTACGCGATCTTTGTCTTGGCTTTTATCGATTTAGCTTCGATTGATGTGCGCAGTCGTTAAACCAGGCGAAACATGGCTTCCCTGACTGAGAATCTCCGAAATAACATGGTCGACAGAGTTGTGGGGGCGTCCCAGCCTTGTCAAAATCTAGGCTGACCATATACGAATAGCAGATTAGCCTGGGCCATAGCAAATACTTACGGGGAATCTCACTGCATCAAATATATTGCTGATATTAAAAAAAACCGACACCCTCAAATTAATGACAGGGCTGGTCCTTCCACCGCGTGGTGGGAGAATAGTTTAATGAGTGTAGTGGATGAGTGTCAAAGGCGGGTACTGTACATCTTCATTGGGCACGGGTGGAGCACCGAGATGCACATGGGCATTTCTCAGCAATACAGAACTGTCAGTCGGGGTCCACGTTTGGATTATTGAGGTTTCCAAGATATCAGAACAGTCAACTACACGAGGTGGCTGCAGTTGTTCTGTCAAGCATATGGTACGGTTGCATCTGTGAGCCGGGAACTATATTGGAAGTCGGCGGTAAGTACTGAGAATTACAACGAGTTGCTAAATCTTACCGAATAATTTCATCATATTTAATGTCACTAATTATGGTAGAAGATGGTCGCCATAATGTGGTTGTTGACAAAACTACAGGGAAAGATAACTGGAAGCTGGATAGAGACCTGTATAAATTTCACAGCGCAACAGCTGTATCGGGTGACAAAAAGAGCCAAAAATCCGCGGTACCAGAACCTCGGGAACTAAACAAGTGAGCGAGGTCGTGGACTACTCCAATTACACCTATGGAGCACGTCTAACCATCGTTTCGTGCATGAAAAATGTCAATAAAGTACTCGGGAACCTGGATATCCAATACTTTGTTCATACCTTACTAGTACCAACTGTGAGCCAGGAAGCAGTTGAAATCGACAAGAAAGCTTGGGCGAGAAGCCCGTCGACCTGAGTGCTTGACATTGACGGCTGGAGGTGAATCATAAAAGGTGAATTTCCAAATGGAAATCGTTGACGCGTAACAATCACGTGGGGTGACACTTACGTGTATGTGACTGTCTTCCTATCAGGTTCTACCTTCTACCACCATGGCTATTCCTTCCAGCGACATCGACTCGTTTTCTCCAGATGCGATGCGTCTTTTTTATCGTCGCTTATACCCATTTCGCTCCATATTCACCTGGTTAAACCAACAACATGCTCCAACACGCTTGTTCACCCACCGCGAATTCGCTTTTACGCTCCCAGGGGATATCTACCTTCGGTACAACTCATTTCCAAATGCAGAAGAGCTGAAAAAGCAGGTCTGCCATCTCAATCCATCTCGATTCGAAATTGGACCCATGTACAGCGTTCGCGTAAGTGGCATTCGACGCGTTTGTCGATAAAATTTGAATATAACTGTCTTGCAGCCAAAGGATCGGAGAACTGCGCGTCAAGGGGCATTCTTCCCTGTTCAACGTGAACTGGTATTTGATATCGATATGACGGATTATGACCCCATTCGCACATGCTGTTCAGAGACTGCTATCTGTAGGCGTTGCTGGGGTTTCATATCTGCCGCTGTCCACGTCTTAGATACGGCCATTCGGGACCAGTTTGGATATCAACACCTACTATGGGTCTATTCTGGTCGACGTGGAATCCACTTGTGGGTATCAGATAAGGAAGCGATGGAGCTGACCGACGAGGAGCGGAGGGCAATGGTTAATTGGCTGACAGTCGTGCAGGGTGGGAAGGAGCCGGGGAAGAAAGTCAACGTTCGTATTGGTTCTCGGGCTCTACCACCGTCGCTGCAGTAAGTGGTGACATTATTACTCTTTTTGTTTGGCTTACGACGATAATAGAGAATGCCTACAAGACCTTGCTGAGGTTTTTACCGATCTTATCCTCCAAGATCAAGATTGTTTTGCCACGGAAGAGGGATATGAAGCTCTTTTAAAGCTTCTACCCGTTCCTGATGTTGTCGATGCTCTTCGGACCAAATGGTCGGCTGACCCGACGCGGTCCTCGTCAGAGAAATGGACAGACCTCAAAGCTCAGATAAAAAAGTCGTCGGAAAAAGTACGACATCTCCATTTGTTTATCAACGCTGATGTTGACTTGGCAATAGGCAACATTGACGGCAGCATTAGAAGATATCATTCTCCAGTACACCTATCCTCGCCTCGATGCAGAGGTCTCGAAACATAGAAACCATCTGCTCAAGGCACCTTTTGTTGTACACCCCGGGACAGGCCGAGTCTGCGTGCCCGTCGATCCGACGAGTATAGAGGAGTTTGATCCGGAGAAAGTGCCGACAGTGGGTCAGCTACTCGAAGAGCTAAATCACATTGAGGGTAAGGAAGAATCCGGAGACAGTGATTCTGGTAAGGCTTCTGCGTCGAACATAGGTACGCTGGCTGACACGTCTGTCCAGATTGGCAAAGAACATCCTTGAAACCTTACGTCGAAATGCTAGATAAACATGTTGCAAGCATCATGAATGACATCCGAAAGGTGAAACTCGAAAATGGTGAGAACTCTCTGATGCCCGTGTTATAGCTTTAACGCCTATGTTCCAGACATGTCATGGTAATGTTTACATGCCGCCACCCCTGCCGTTACTGGTCATTTTTCCTGCATTTACTTTCTGTAACTAATGGTGTACATCTTATTCTGAATTCCATATATAACTACTCGGCCAGTAACCCAAGACGACATGCATAGATGATATATGAGACAAGGGTTATCACCAACTTTCACGAAGGAGGCCTGTAACGGAATGAGCTCAAGTACCTTCAAAAATGTAGAAGGATTGCAGGCTACGTACACGGGTGAAACGGAAGTGGCTGGTCCCGGTAACGCAGTGAGAGCCGGGAAAGGCGAAAAGGCGCACTGTAAACTTCTTTTCAGTCAAACCTCCATACCGGTCGCTACATACGTACTGCAACATCTACGTCCTTCCTCGTAATGTTAGGTGGAAAATGGGGGCCCGCATTGCTCGGCAAAACAGGTGGAACCGGAATAACATCAGAGCAATCGATAAGGTCCCCCTCGTTGTGGCCCAGGATGGATAACTTGAGCATCGCGTCCTTGAAAACTCGCTGTAACTTGGCGTGATCAGCTTGAAAATTTCTCTGTCAGCTAGCTTCTAGGCTGCGAGTGAACCAGAAGCGACATACTCATCAGTGATTGCCACTCGCACGCAGTCCTGCCGTCTGGCATGTGGTGTTAGCATTATATTCATAGAGTAAGGAATCCATGTCAGTACCTCTAGCTATCTGTGAGAGTGTAGCGGTAAGAATGTATATCAGCCAAACGAAGTCGAGAAGCATACCTCAGCATCGGATTGCAAACGTATTTCACCCTCAATGGCCGATTCTACCTCTCCTTGGTTTCCGCTGGTTCTAAAGGTGGCAGGTATCGGTTTCATATGTAGCAATAATGCGTAGAAAGACCTACCCTGGGAATAGTGTACCGTGCAGTTGGACTTCAATGAAAAATTGGCTGTCGTATATGCCCGGTGTCGAGTCAAATGGGGTCCTGTACAGGACATGATCAGATTGTAAGCCCCTCGGAGAAAGGTAGCGACCTACCTCGGAATCTGCAATCGATGCAACAATCAGTGACACCATATACCTCCAATATAATAACATTCAAGACTCCTCACAGTCGGATCCACAAGATCCGCAGCGGCAATGGTATGCGAAGCAAGGAGTGCAACGACCTCATTTGAATTGAAACTCGCGTCGCTAAACCTGGCCAAGATCTTGTCCGTAGAGTCAAAGGGCTCGGGGACCAACAAGTCCGGCGAAGCCTCTTTCGCTTCCGGACGGCCCAAGAAGAAGTTGAGACGAGGAGCGCCCGGACAGTTCGAAACTCCAACGGCACCGGCGAATTGGATACTGTTATCCAAGCAGTGTGAGAATGGAGTACGGTATCATACAGTGCAGAGTAGACATACAAATCTCCGGTACTCAAAGTCGCGTTGTGAGCTTCAATGAAGGGACGCTGAGCATTCACAATCTCATCTGGGAGATGCATTGTCAGCGCCTTATAAGACTCGAAGAAAATGCATAAACAAGATACCTATTCCGGCATTAGCGTGGAACGCAAGTTCGATATCGGAAAAGGTAACGATAGATCCATCAGCGCCTCCTAGGACACTATTTGCGATTTGAGTGGGAAGAACAGCAATAATATAGACGGAATTCAGTACTGCATAGAACGAGAAAATCCAATAGCATCGTGGAAGGTGAGACGTAAAGACTCGTGAACCTTAAAGAGTGATCAATAATAGAAACTCAATGCACGAATCCCATCACCAACCTCTTCACCGCATTCACCTCCATCGAAGAGGTTCTGTTGGATATCATCCATGACAGGAAACAAGGCGCAACAAGCCTTGTTTGATACGGTCTGCCCAGTAGCACAAGTGAAGCCCTGGGGACGACTCGTAGTAGCCGCTACGCATGAAATCAGCTAGTCTCCGCAGCAACCACAAGCAGAGTCCTACCCTGCACTGCGAGGAGAAGGGAGAGAACCAAGAAACCTGTAGCAAGAAACATTGCAGAGGAGGAACTGGCTCTCAATACCCTCCTAGCCTACACCTTTATACCTCTATCCCTCCGGTAGCACGTCCAATCACGTTTGGGAGATACAAGACGCGTGGTGCGTAACGAATTGCTGGAACTCGTGAGTAAAATAGAGTGGTACATCCAAAAGGCCGGTACGGTACGAGCTTGGATAGTAGCGCAGGAGGGATGTGAACTGGCCATGCTTCAATTACGGGTGCAGTCGCCTTTCCGGCTAAGAGAGTAAAAAAAAAATAATTCCTGCTCTCCGCGTGCAGCAATACTGTAGACATGAGTAAAAAAATTCATTTATTAGAGTGTATGAACGTTACGTTACGTTTTAATTGTCCCCAAGAATCGGTAGCCAAATTTCAAACCAGCGTTTTTCCCAGCAACGGGGAACATACACCTAGATATGTAAGAAATTCACAAAGACTGTACACACGTCACCTGTTCGCTGTGCTACTATGCTTCCATAGCCAAGCCCCCAACCAGCGCTTTCCTCAGCAGCCAAGAATTTCGTGGGGTATCCAAGGCAACAGTTAAGGTTGACAGTGAGAAAAGTAACTTAGCCTCGCCGCAGAACTGGTAAATAACACCAAAGTTGACCGTCAACACCGGTACCGTCATCAGCCCGCCACTCTTCCCACAAAGGATAACAGCGTAGCCGACGCCACACCCGGGAAGCCATAGGTAAAAGTTTATCAGTCTCCAATGGCCGGTCGGCAAATAACGAAAATAGAATTGCAGAGACAATTTAGCATACACAGCATGTAGCACGTATAAAAGTGCTATCGAAAGGTCGTCATGAGATCTAAAAAGAGGACTTGCTAAAAGAAATGTACGAACGAACAGTAATACGTCTATCCTACTAACAGCGGAGCGCTGATTTGTTACATGTTGAGTGGGAACGGGTCTTCGGCTAACTCCACCTCTAACCATTTGCATAGAACGGTACCAGGACCCAGAGCTGGGGTGAGGATATCAAGCAGACGCTGCCCTACGGCAGTCGCACACTCCTCCGCTCTCCCAAACCCGGTTAGACAGCCGTTCCGGTAGTCTGAATCAGATATGCCGAGCATTGCCGGAACGGATTGCATCCAAGACGGGCCGTATACGTGAAGCACCGTTGGCAATGCAATGAGCGTAGGTAGATCCTTCGCTGCCGTAGCTAACTGTTGAACAATGTCATCCACCGAATGAGCCGGAGAAGCGGAGGAGACCACGTCAAAGAATGCCGGGAGCGCTTTCAAGGCGTCAAATGCTTCGTCAACCGCTTCTCTAGCCAATCTTGTGTCCGCGTTACGGGCGTCGGGTCTAGGGAGTTGGTTCAGGATATCATAAAGTGCTTGCGCATCGGCAGTCACAGAGGATGATACCGCCAAATCCGGTGGCGAGGGAGGCCTAGATGACGGAAGCTTGATCGCGAATCGTCCCGGAGATGATGTCGGAGGGTAAGTGTAAGAGCCACGACGCTTTCTGACTACACCGGGAAGACTCGTGGGAGATGCTGGTGGCGTCGGTGCAACATATGGGCGCGACGTCAAAGCTAACAGACCTCTCCATATGATAGATATGAGGAAGGTAGCCAGGTTTGTTTGAGATATCGGTGTCGCCGAGTATCTCGTAATAGCTTTGGAGTACGCTGGGATTACGGTCTGTAGCCTAACGATGGATGGGTGTAGATGACTCGACGTTTTGCCACTTGGAGAGTTCTTTCCGGTAAATGAAATAGCCAGCGCCTGCAAGGATTCCACAAGGGGATGCAGCTCGCTCTTCATCAGCCCCAAGAAAGGATGTACTACCCGATTAACAAGGGAAGTTAATCCTTCTCGGATGTGCTTCAGGCCATCTCCGCGCAGGCCCCCATCAAGTCCTAGGGCGAAGTCATCAAATGTTTCCAACAACTCGCCAGCGAATGTCGCGATAGCGACGGCATGGAGCTGAATAGGGTTGAGTGCTTGAGTCTGAGGCGCAGTTGACGGAAGAGCTAGAAGCGTTGGTGAGGAAAGGTGGGAGAGTAAACTTGCAGAAAGGTTGCCGAGGAGCACAGACAAAGGCCTGTGAAGGGATCGCAAAACGGCCCGGTACAGATGCGGGGTTTCACTAGCTGCACGTAGCTCACTGTCAATTTCAAGTTTAATGAGATCGACATCAGATATTACGAGGTAAAACGCCAACGCACGACGCAATGAGGGAACCCAATGCCCGACCGCGACCTGCGGGGATCGGTCGCCGCCCGGACACCAGCTCGTGTACAGCTGGTGGACCACTAGGCTGGGCTACGGCCCTTGAAACGGCCTCGCTTAGCTTGAGGCTCAGTATCTCCAGGTACGATCCATCCTGCACCAGCGTGGTCGCCGTGGGGGCCCTTGCTGGCTCTGGCGCTGGCGCTGGAGACGGGCGCCGGAATGTTGTCAATGACAACCTGGTCAAAGGGCGAGATCTCTCGAAAGATACATCGGAATCTGGGCGTGAAGGCTGCGCTGGGGGTGGGGAGGGCGAGAAAGGGCGGCTGGCTGGACGGAAGAAAGGAGTTTTGAGTGCGTACATGTTTGGCTGAAGGTATCTGGTAGAATGAATGATTATTTCCTGGGTATGTTTTCCAATGGTTCGTTGTTTGAATCTGCTGAAAGTCGTTTAGGTTTTTCTATTGTCTATGATCTCGGAGCAAGACGACCACAGTTAAGAGCAGAGCAATTATCCCATGTGTCGTTAGAAAGGCAATCACCTAAGGAGGACGGTCGGTGTCGACAAGGAAGGCAGCAAGTGGACCGAAGTGTATGTTGTTAATCTGTCTTGTATAACTGACGCAAGACTGTTACTTCCAAATCCTTGAAGAAGGAAAGAAAGAGAACATACTGCAGTGAGGGTGGAATCATATAGGTTGAGGGAATAACAATAAAAAGCGATGACAGTGGTAGACAGAGGGATTGCGTTGGAAGGGGGTTCCTTGAAAATTTCTTCCGGTTTCAACGAGCACGGTCTTATATGACGATCGTCATTTTCCCACGATCCCCAAGCTCCGAATGTGCATCATGATCCAATATGTCAGCCACAAGATTACTCGGCAAACTGCTATTCGTCAACGGTCGCGTATTCTCAGTCAGCAGGGAATAATGTATACTCTCCCAAAGATAAACTTGTTTGAACAAAGAGACCTTTCCACTTTGCGTATGGCTCGAGAGTCGAGGGAGGCTAGCATGAATCTACTGATGTCAACTGAATCGCCCTGACAAAAAATATATCATGGGTGATATATTCATAGCCCAGACGCGAGATTTTAGAACTACTTATATCTACTTATATCTCTCTATTCTTGCAGCGCGCAGTACAAACACTCTAATTCCGAGGAGTCGTATTCATTTGTACTCATGTATGTCTTTGCTAGTGCTGCAAATACTCTAGTATGTTTGCTCAGCTGGCCAGGATAGCATCCGACTCATAACGTATGGCTACCAGGCCCTGCTACATACGGTCTTCCTTTCACCAAATGTTCACCAAGGTGATATTTGATTGTCAAATATTCTATTCTTCCATTAATACATCGTTGAAAAGATTACACCACGGTCGATAACTGCGTCCGTCTCGAACGCACTTAGTTACGACGCTCTATATTTAAGCGGCATTTAGCTCGACGTCTTTTCTGATCACGACATCTGGAAGAAAACGGATAATGTGTACTCCACCCACTTTCAAAGTCAGCTTCTAGGTAGGTCTTAGTCGACGAAAAGATTGTTTGTTATCAGATGGAATGATCTAGGACCCGCTCGTTGGTATTATGAGCTAGTAAAAATGCGGAACTGCTTGCTATACCGTCATCGTTCCAATCACTTTGACTGCTAATAATTGGGAGATACCCTTCATTCTCCTTGATTTTCGGAATGATTCACCTGGACAACGGTCTTCACATGCACAATCCCGCCGACGTAGCGGATCTATAGCACTCGCCTCTTGTTAAAGAAATAATTCCCTGTCCTCCAGGTACCAGTTCTTCTTCAAACGATGCCTGGAGGCAACCTTCCTATCATAGTAAATCTCTCAAGACAAACGAGTTTACCTTGGCAACCGGACACCGACACAGTTTCTTGAAACAGCCCGTACACACAATTTTACTCCTCCACCAGGGCACGCTTAATCCTTACACGCAACTGCGCGTCACCACATCGTAGCCGCCATAAACAACCACCGTCGTCACTCGCACGAAGCCGAAGAACCGTTTCGGATGACTGCTGCAGAATGACCTTCACTTCCCCTAAACGGATGCAGGCAACTTAAATTTAGCGGTCCAGACTGGGGAGATCACATACCTTCAAACGGCGGTTCACCCGCAGGAAAGACTTTGATCTCATTCCCGTCCACACCCTTCAAGCGTTCCAGGAGGATGTCCACTGAACCTTCAAACCACCCTCGCGCTGAAGTCGATGGGCCAAGGGCGTTCCAGCTGGTTTCAAAGTCAGTCGGATCGGGATCACTGATAAACGGTGTGTCGAATGCAATAAGGTCGGGCCGTGCGACCTACAGAAGAGCCAGATAATCAACCGCTGTCACATAATTTGTATTTATACGATCCTTACCTGGTCTGTTGGTCGTGTTTGTGGTGAAGACTTGATATCAAGACATGAGGGGCTGTAACGGCGAAGTCCAAAAAGAGGGCTCTACCAAAGACATCATCTCAAACTCCTGCGCGGCCAAGGCCAGATCCCCAGCGGTGACCGTTCTCGAGAGTGCGGGATTAGAACCGGACGTTGATTCACTGCGGACACTTGATGGTCGGCGACCGCGTAGTCGAGGAATGGGTGCAGGTTTCTCGTATGCATCGTATCGCAGCTTGCTAGCTCCCAAAGATGGAGATGCGGTGAGCGAGAGACTCCCAGATGGCTTTTGGGGTGACGTTGGCAGAGAGGTCGAGCTCAACTTCGAGCCTTGTTGCACCAATGCCTCCAGAACATGAGGAAGCTGTGTGTATAATAAACTTCCATTCATAGCGACATAAGCGGGGGTCCTACCGTCAGTGATCTAGCAGAGCGCAAGATCGACTTCAGTACATCTTTTTGCGTTGAGAGCTTCAAAAACTGTTCGCAGCGCTATTTCACGGTCGTCTGGTCAGCACACATTAATCGGAACTATCCAAGAAACGGACTCGTCGGATATATTGTCTAGAAGTCTCAGCCAACCCGGACACCGCAAGTTTGACCTCTTCGGGCACTGTGTCGCATTCTGCACTAATTCGGAGCATCGAGACTAGACAGACATCTTGGATGGACGCTGCAGAAGGATCGTTTTATGCTTTCATGTGATTTGCCTGATAGTGCTCACCAGTTGAGGAGGCCAGCCTCGACGACAGAGCATTCAAAACATCCTTTGGAGGCAAAGACAATAGTTCGCAGTATTCACATCCGAGAGCAGCGACGATGACCATCATCGTCGGGCCCATGTCTTCACCGTCCGTGAGGCGAGCCAAAAATACGGTGGAAGATGCGATCTGGAACATCGAGCTGCCTGTAACACAATAAGCTGATGTGTATGCGAAAAGTAGTGAGGCGACCGACTGTCTCTAATAAATGACAGAACTTTCTCGACTGCAGCATCCAGGACACGTTGGGAGTCCGACGGACCTACCGATTCGACATGCCTGAAGAGTTCCAGAGTCTGGCGACTATACTGCTCTCCATCACCTGCAAACTGTACTTGTAACACTTCTAATAACCGCCATGTAGATTCCACTTTGTTATTGTATGGCATTTCGGCCGGCAGTGCCCGCACAGACTGAGCATAATACGCCGAAATGATGTCAGGGTCGACTCTGTTAAGAATTTTCAGAGTCTGCCAGTAGATAAGTAGCAGCTAAGACCATAGTTAGAATGGGATTTGCCTTGCGCCGAATCAACGGATCAGCAGAGTCGAGCAGCTGCATGAATCGTTCTACTTCCCATTCCTCTAAGACGGCGGGACATTCAGGTGTGATTCCTGCCCACCACATGGGGTGGACACACTCGAGACATGATAGGAAGAGGTATTGTTCGTTCGGTTCTCGGGACACGAGGATCTCCCTTATGCTCTCGACCGGGGCCCGCCTGGATGACATCGCGACGTTAAAAAACGCCTCGTTTCTTATCTCTCCAAGAAGTAGTGCTGCTTCACGGAGCAGACCTGATTTGTGTAAAGACGTCAAACGCGATCACGGCTAAAGAATATTGTGCTAACCATAGTCCTTACTGGTTGAAGCCGATCGAATTAATCTAATGACATTTGGCAGGTTGGTATCATTCAGGCTATGAATTCCGTGAGTATGGCCGCGAGTCACATGAAATGGAACCAACCCTAAATTTCGGAGTGTTCGAATAATTGTGAGCAGCCAGTACCTCGACTCAGGATGCCCGATTGTTGATACTGAGGAAAAAAGCTCATTGGTAAGCTTGTGGATGTCGCGGTTCTGTCAGTCCGTCGTATCAGCGAAGAGAATGGCGTATTTGAATGGAAGGGCGCACATCACTAATTGACGCCGATATCGCAATGGCGGAACCCGACACAGAAGGGTCATGGTCTTTCATTCTCTTCATCACGGTGGGAATGATGGGTTTCATAAGGTCGGGATCATGTCTGGACAAGGCCCTGTATACCAATAGGGCTCGACGGCGAATATAAGGTCTAAAATGAAGACGGAATACGTCAACGAGTGTGTATAACAAGCATCAGCGCACATACTGACGAGTTATGAACTAGTAGATCGTGAAGTCGGGCTTGCACGGCGGGGATCACGTCTTCTGTTGACGAAGCTATGAGGTTGTCCAAGGCAAGGCATATTCGCATGAGGGAAGAGTCTTCTAAATCCTATCAAAAGTTGAAGAACGACGGGCTTAGACAGTTAGGCTATGCAGACCTTGCGCAAGGTGTTCACAAGCATGAGTTGTAACTCGTGGTTGGGAGGCATAATTTCGGAACAAAACAGATAGCCTGACAGGATACAATGGGTAACGACGTTTCTCCTTTTCTGTAGCGACGCACCGATCCGCTTGTCCTTGGCATTGGAAGCTGCTTCAGCCAAGTTAATCGCATGGGGAATCGCAAAGTATAAGGCCTCCTGTTTTAGCCCGCTCGTTGTCACCGCGTTATAGCAATAGAGCAGTACAATCAGAAGTTCTTTGCAGCTCCGCTGAAATTTTAATCAAGTTCGTGATCCTGCTCTCGTTCGGCAAAAATGGGCGCAACCCACCAAAGACAGCCTTGGGTCATTGAATTGACTTTGAATGGATCGAACCTCAGCGAATATGTACTCGTCGGCCTGCTGTGCTGACTGGGCGGTCTCCACGTTACGAACGAGAGTGTAGTGCCGCCTACTGGACGCTCCAGAAGAAATGAAAGGGACGTCCATAGGCGTTCGGGTGCAAGCCATGTGCAGCGGCGCGTAGACGTGTTGAAGGCGCCAGGACAACACGTGTCAACAAACATATTCTCCCTGCACCCACCAACGCCCACATGCACCAGGTCAATTAATTCCTTCCGAATCCCCTCCACGATGTCCTCGAGCACCGCAACTGCTCATTCATTTGCCAGGCTCCTTAACCAACCGAAGATCTCATCCAAGTCGCGTGCATCAGGCGAAGTCGACGATGGAACCAAGAAACTTCGACGGATGATCCTTGTAGATGGGATTCCTTCAGCTACTGTGCGTACAGTTTCAAATTCACTTTAATTGCAACTTATGTTCTATAGGATCCGACGCTACGGCCCCGGATATGGAAGATACTTCTACGCATCAATGACTTATCCGCGGACACGTACTTGAAATATGTTGCACGGGGCCCCTGCGAAGTCAGAGAGAAAATTAGAAACGATACGTTTCGGTGTGTGTTTCAACCATTCACATGGGGGAGTTTGTTGTTCATGCTGCTACATCAGGACTTTGGCGACTGATCGCGGCTTCAAAGAGCGCGTGCGAGAAGACATGCTAGTTCGTCTGTTGGACGCATTCGTGTGGAAGAATCATGGTCAGAATGGACTCCATTCTTTAGCCTTATGTGCGGCTAATTTTTTCAACCGTTGACAGACCGACAAGAGTCGCATCAATTAGGATTTACTTATGTCCAAGGCATGAATGTTCTTGCGGCTCCATTTCTTTTTACAATGCCATCGGAACTTGAAGCTTTCTATTGCTTCTCAAAGTTCATTGAGGAATTTTGTCCTCTTTACGTCCAGCCCACGCTTGATGGAGTACATCGGGGCCTGAAGGTATGCCCCATCTCTTTTGTGTCCCTTCGCGCCCAGAAATTCACTGACTTTGATTAGCTTCTTGACAAGTGCCTCAAAATAGTCGACCCAGACTTATTTGATCTTTTGCGCAAGAAGAACCTGTCGGCAGAAATATACGCATTTCCTTGTGGGTGTTAACGTCTCCGAGCCATTCTCGTCTTTCTGATATCGATCATAGCCGTCCTGACGCTGTGTGCATGCACTCCCCCTCTAGACCAAGTGCTCCGTCTATGGGACTTTCTTCTCGCTTTCGGAGTGCATCTCAATGTGCTTTGTGTCATTGCACAGCTTCTTCTCATCAGAGATGAGGTTATGAGCTCTCCCAGGTAAGCAATCCACTTGTTCTCCGTTTGAAGCTGACAATGCGTCTTAGCCCTATGCGTTTGCTTCGTACGTTCCCTCCTCTTGAGGCTGTACCTGTCATCGGTATTGCTGTCACGTTGGTACGCGACCTTCCTCCCGAACTCTACGATGAACTAGTTAAGCATCCTTATGAGATCTGAACGGCGATTGTACTACGATATTTATGGTTGTATGGACTAGCTCTGTGTTTGAGATGTATTATTATGCCTTGTGTGGAATCATAATATAATACTTATATGGACAACGCGCCTCTCACATCTATAATTTGCATGCCTTCATAATATTCGCACCAATTGAGACGACTAACAAAACAAGTACTATGAAACTAATTAATGCTAAGCATTCAATCCATCTATTCTACAATCGGCTATAATACAGTATGTGAACAAATCGTCCCATCCGGATGTGTCGAAAATACTATGCTGCTGAATGATATGGTAATGAGTGGGAAGAATCCGTATATGAATACGGCCGAGACGAGTTGTCCCTGTGTGTCAGATGGTCTTCATCTGAATGAGAACTGTCAGACTCATTGTCATACAAACGGCCACTAGAGTCTGCACTGACATTAATAAGGAACCACGTCAGAAAAGATGAACGACTGCAGCAACCGGAGATCACGTACCTCGTGTTATCACGGTCTCGATCGCACAGAATATCGCGAGGAAACCTCGGTATGTTTTGGTATGACCGGGAAAATGCGCCGTTCTTGTCGACAGTGGCGTGGGGTGTGCTGGGAGAGGCAGCAAGAGAAACAGGCGACGGCATACTATTGGACAAGTTCCCACTCTCCGTACGTGGTATCGGCATGGGCGGCGGGAAGGTATTAACCTCGGAAAATACGACATGCTGAAATCGTGCTAGTGTCTCTGACACAGTGGACAGGTCCTGCATCAATTGCGCGGAGGCTTGTACCTGCACGACAACGACCGCTGTGAGCATCACCAGCGCCAAGATATAGAGCGCCATACTGACCATTTGAGGGTTATGCACAGTCGCAGAAGGTAATTTAACGCGCAAAGAGCGCACTTCTTGTCGGAGGTCAGAGTTCTCTATCTCGAGCGCCCGACACTTTTCTTCGAGGTCATTAACATATTGAGCGCGGCGGGCTCGGTAGTCCCGCTGCTGAGTCAACGCGCGAGTGGGAGGAATAGTAAGATCTTTCTTGCGACCACGAGTCATAGTAGTAGGCGAGGGGAAATGTGCGGCAGGGATTTGACAAAACGAAGGCGGCCAGAGAGCTAGATATAAAGACCCTGCAGTTCCCACAGTTGCGAATTCACAATTGATGATCAGATTCATTTGTTTTTCAAAACCGTAGTAGCTTCCATAGGCAGGGTCTCGGAGCCTCCTCCGTAGCAGGTGTCCCAAGGGAGACACTCGGAAGGAATCCGAACTAACCGAGCTGTATACTACCCTTACTAAAGGGACATCATCAGCTGGAAGCGGCGCGCCGGAGGCTTTGTGTGAGGGAACCCCCTGCGGTGTTATCGGCAGTCACGAATATACTATATTATTATGCCTCGACTCCAGCGCTGAGTATCCTCATGGAGAGCGAAAGCGACGTTAACTTAAAATTTCTAATAGATGCCCGACGGCGCGGCGAAGGGGGCCACAGAAGCAGCGCATAAGTCCGGAAAACTCGATATTCGGGTAAGACCAAAGTGTGTTGTCGTTCTTCAGAATCAAGAAAACAAGAAGTCCACGGAGGTGACAAGACCTGCAGCAACCACGCCACAGTACGTCATATTCAAATTGGCATTCAATTCAGGCATTGAACGACTGTGATTTTCAAATGGATCTCGCCCGACGGGAACATCACTGTGGTGCATCATCTCAGGATGATCGTACGAGTGAAAATAGGGCGGCATCACGCACATTTGCAGCTGTCCGACCATGACGTTTAAGATCACCATCAACTTTCAAGACAGCATCAACAGGTTCACATGAACGGATTTGACCGGCCATCCATGTTTTCGGTTTCTTCGTTTGCTCACTAATAACTGCCATTGATCTGTAAGTCCGAGCGCCCAGCGGCGGCAACCCGTAAAACGGTGCTAAGTATAACTTCCAAACAGCAGAAGCAGTCACTGACTACTTGCCGATCGGATTCGTGACACAATCCTTCTTACGTTTCCCCATTGGGGAGAAGATCTTGAATACTATCATATGGACTGCCTGTCTCCACAAAATCCAACATAAAATTGCCTGGGATTGATAAATCAAAGATTTTCTTAACTGTATATTTTAAACTTACTCTTGGCGCAGTGGAAACGCCGACGATGCCCGCCACACCCATGTTGCGCTGCATTCCACCGGCCTCTGACTCGTGCTTCCGGTAAAGAAAATTCCCCTAGTCTCGTTCCAGGGGACCTAATGCGTTGTTGTACAAGTGTTAGTTTATACGTCTTTGTGTCTATGCCCCCCATACCCGCTCAAGAAGGAGCTGCAACAAAACATCGTGCCCGGGTGTTCTGGTAATGCACGAGATCCGCGAGCCACCGTCATGGGGTGAATATTCCAAGGACTCCACTTCCACTGCGGCGGGAACAGCGGTAGACTCCCAAGGACCATGCGCCAGCTGATGTTTATCCAACTCCTCTTGCACAAATGCCCTGTTTGCCCCTGGCGCATACGCTGCTTCATCCTCCCTCCGGTCTATAATTAACATACCCCGAGTCAGCTCGCCAATCCTGGTCCAGAGTTCAGCTATTGCTATACGATCGGACAACAAAACAATGGCGTGCTCACCTTTCGATCTCAAAGGTGCGTTTATGCATGCTCCAGCCGGGACTTAGAGCAGTCGATGACGGAGGGTTCGCGATGGCACACCATACGGCAACGATGTCGTGTAATTCCATTGCATCCTTACCAAACTGGAGCATTACCGTACGCGTATGTTCCAGAAAAGACGAAGTGAAGTGAGTTAGAGCTTTCTTCTCGCCAGCAACAGAAGGTGTGTTCATATTCGAGAACGAAGGATCGACTCGGGCTTGATAAACCGGGAATGGTAGCTCGTGCGGAGTCGTTATATCGAGAGGCAGCAGGAAAAACCGGTCAAGGGGCAGACCGAGCTCTGGTTTCGAAGGCATGAGAAGCTCCTTGACGGCATACGGGTCCGCAAAGAAATTGACTAAGATAGATTGATGGTCACCAATGGCACCGGAGACAGAGGGAAGGGGCTCATACATTCTGCAACGGGACTTGTATTTCCCGGAACATCCAAGGCGCCTCCCATACAAACGATACGGCCTATGCGACCTCTTACGAGATCCCTATCGCGTCGCATCAACTGAGCGAGATTTGTTAACGGACCGAGGGCTATGTAGGTAATGCTTCTTTCCGGATAGCAACGCAGCAGTTCAAGCGAATTTTCAACGGCGGGCTTCTTCGATAACAGAAGCTGGGGATGGTCCGCGGTTGCGTCGAACTCTGCGTTGAGTTCGCTATGACGTTCTGTGATCCCACCTAAACCGTCCCTGGCGAAAGTCTTTGTATTGAACTAGCCTATCACCGAAATGAATAGTACGCTTACGAACCTCCCATGAAAATATTGGGCGCTGTGGATGTCACCTTCCAGGGGAGCGTCGCTTCCGAACACAAGCGAGGTCTTGGGAGACGCTGAATAGTTGGAGAAGCGGGCTTTCTCCGCCGGATAAGCGTCAAAATGCCGAGTTAAAGCCTGGTAAGTCTTGAGAATATTCGCACTTATGAGGTTTAGTCAAGATATCGCCGGGGGATAGTCGTGTATTGACGAACTATGATGACTGGATATCGGTATTGCCTGAATTATCTGCCTTAGATAACGGCCGGGGATAACTGATAACGGGACAAACCAAAGGAAACAACAATGGAAAGGACTTCGAGCTCCGGCGAAGCGAGAGCGAAAAGACTAGGTATGGATTAGGACTCCGAGTGGCCTTGGATGCTCAGGCGTACATCGCAATGATATCATCTACACCTGGATCTGTATCAACTGCGAAAAAGAAAATTAGCTCTGAGCCACCGATAGTCACAGAGTCTCTTACTTATCGCTGGAATTCTGTTTCTACTGGTAGCCATAGAGTACAGTTAGGGGATAACTTGAAGTTGATTGTAGGAGGCTGAGCGTGCGCTCCAAATTGATAAGCTATTTTTATCTCACTTTCGACGACAGTTCGAACTGGGCTCGGACCGTGGATAAAACATATATTTATTTATCAACTACAAAGTCTCTTGAATAATTGAATCCTAGCAGCCACAGAGTCGTGAATCGAGATGAGAAGGCAAAATATGAAAAGATGAAAATCAGTTCAACGTCAATCTCAAAGCTTCGCTTGACATATTGTTGACGGTTACTAGCAGTTACCAGCCACCTTGGAGGAAGGAAGGAAACCAGTTTTAGTCGAGGACCCGTTCGTTGTATGGATATCGGCACCCGCCGGGAACTATACAGGTGGTCACGGTGGCTGAAAATGTGACGTGACACAAAGTCCGGGCGTCGTTTTCGAGCATATCCCATCTCTCACTACACAAAATGGCTGAGCAATTGCGGTTCCTTGGTTCCCTGGAAGGCCACAAAGGATGGGTCACCGCCATCGCGACCTCGCAGGAGAACCCCGACATGATTTTGACCGCTTCCCGGGGTGCGTCCACCTCCAAAATTCCCGTCGAGATTCACCCTGACGTCTCGTGTAGACAAAACTATCATCGTGTGGCAGCTCACCCGCGACGAAGACTCGTACGGATACCCAAAACGAATTTTGCACGGCCATAACCACTTTGTTTCCGACGTTGTTATCTCTTCCGATGGCCAATTCGCCTTGTCTTCTTCCTGGGATCACACCCTCCGACTTTGGGACCTCCATACCGGCGCGACAACGCGTCGTTTCGTTGGCCACACCTCCGATGTTTTGTCTGTCAGCTTCAGTGCTGACAACAGGCAAATCGTATCCGGCTCCCGCGACAAGTCCATCAAGGTTTGGAATACTTTGGGAGAGTGCAAGTTTGACATCAAGGACGAGGGTCACACAGAGTGGTACGTGGAATCGATCTACCAGCGCAGAGCCCTTTCTAATAGTCCACCAGGGTGTCCTGTGTGCGGTTCAGTCCGAACGTGTCGAACCCCGTTATTGTATCGTGTGGTTGGGACCGAGTCGTCAAGGTCAGGATTCGTTCTCTTCGTATACTTTCCCCTTCCATGATGCTATATCTTTATATTTGCTACTTCAGAGGGACTCGTCCCTATGAGACTATTTTTCCACCAAGATCTCTGATTCCTTTCGTCGTCCTTAATATTTCTAGTGTCTGATTCTTTCTGACAGGTCTGGGAACTTTCCAAGTTCAAGCTGAAGACCAACCACTACGGTCACACCGGTTACATCAACACCGTGTCTGTTTCACCCGACGGTTCCCTTGCCGCCTCTGGTGGAAAGGACGGCATCACTATGCTCTGGGATCTCAACGAGGGCAAGCACCTCTACTCCCTGGAGGCCGGCGATGTTGTCAACGCGTTGGTCTTCTCCCCCAACCGCTACTGGCTGTGCGCTGCTACTGCCAGCTGCGTCAAAATCTTCGATCTGGAGAGCAAGTGAGTATTTCTGAATTTCCTGTAACTTCCTTCGCTCATGTCGATGCAGGTCCATCGTTGACGAGCTCAAGCCAGCATACACTGATGGTGGTGACGAGGCAAGGCAGCCAGAGTGTGTGTCCATTGCATGGTCGGCTGATGGTCAGACATTGTTCGCTGGATTCACCGACAACGCTCTTCGTGTCTGGACTGTCACCTCATAAGCTATGCTTTTGTTGTAGGTGGTATCGAGAGGCTGGTGGTGTTTTCGGTATTATATCTTCGTCCTATAAAAATCAAAATCTTTGCCTCGCATCCCATACATGATCTGAACATAAGTGATGAGCATCTTTTGCCTCTATACTGTCTCTGCTTCAGCCATGTTTCTTGTTCTTTCAGTGAGATCCCAACGGTCTAAACCTCCGAAATTTATTTTCATGTCCAGGAAGGTCATGTTGAATTGTAATTCATAGATGTGTGAAACCTGTGCTCTCCAGCTGTCGCCGCTGTGATAATGCGTCAAAACATGTTATGGACGTCAGATGAAAATAGGCACTGACGTCGCGGTGCCATATACATCTCCTTCTTGACTGACAAGTCTCAATGACTGGTCTGTGTTTGAGCGGGAGTCGTATATCCAGATGTTAAGGCCAGAGTATATCTCCTGCCATCCACTTCGATCCACCAGCCTATTTGGCGGTGAGATACGCTTTGTTCCTGTGGGCAGCGTAGGCGCAGGACGTATATCAACATCGTTCAGCAAACGTAGGGCGCCCAAATTAGATATATTTTGGAACAAGGAACGATCCTCAGGCCTTGATGGGTCGATGACCTTGATGAGTTGTCCAGACGCTTCAGATTCCGAATCACTCTGTTCGTCGTCGCCATCCATTTTCGTATCTTCATCACGCTCAGCAGGCTTATTCGCTTCTGCATACTCTTCTTCTGCTACCTTCAATCGAGAAAGAAATGCTGCCCAGGCCCCGTCGTTGGAGAAGTCTGTTCGGAGGACGACGCCTCCGTCGACGTCGTCAAGCAATTGATCTAAGGGATCTGCATCCTCCGAGGATATCACCTGATCTGATATCAAAACCTGACACTAGGATATCACTATTCACTGCTCACTTGGTCCTCTGAGGCCGTTGCAGCGCTTGGCTTAGATATGGGAGGATTCGCAGCCCAAAATGCATCCAAAGCGCGTAGGAGCCATTTCCGTCGACCTTCTTGAGGAAATGTGGTACGTATATCACTATACCGGGCCTATCGTAGCATCAGAAACAGAAATAAAAGGCGCAGAAAAGTACGAACGGCAAGAAACCGAGAAAATTCAAGATTCATTTGTCGTGGCGTCTAATTTCAGTCCGAGACTCCGTTAGGACGACTCGCTCGCTTCAACTGGGAAGCTACAAGTATGATCTCCTACTGTTCTTTTGGAATGGAATGGCCAAAGACCAAGTGTCGTTATTTCCCACGCTGACGACCAGGATCGATTTATTTTGTCACGTGGGCACATCACATCTTCCTTCCTCCCCTTTTCTTCTCTTTCCTTTACGACGCGCCGGTATTCAATATGTGGCTTTCAGATGCTCAGAGTTCGCTGTCATCTTTTCTTGATGCTGCGCTTATTTCCAACACTTTCATCTTGCAGAAATAGGCGTGGCCCTCACGACGTTCGGCGCGCTGTTTATGTTGCTGGGCGTCATGCTCTTCTTCGATGGCGCTCTTCTGGCTCTCGGCAACGTATAGTCCAATCTTGTCCTTTACAGTTCTCCTTGACAACCAGGGAATTGCAGATCCTCTTCGTTTCAGGCCTTACCCTCATAATTGGACCCCATAAAACGTTTTATTTCTTCGCAAGGAAGCAGAAACTACGTGGCACCATATGTTTCATCGGTGGGATTATTCTAGTTTTCGTAAAGTGGCCGTTCGTTGGTATGGTCGTGGAGACGTTTGGGTTCTTGAACCTGTTCGGGTGCGTTCCTTGCTGGTCACTGATAATAAAGATACTTATGGATCTCTAGTGACTTCTTCCCTGTCGTCATTACTTTTATGAGGCAGTTACCTTTTATTGGGACGATGCTGTCGCTCCCTTACGTGAGAGATGTGCGTATGCTGCTGTCCGCTTGACCGTCGCTCACCGTCTCTCAGGTAGTAGATCGTATTGCAGGGTCGCGAACATCTGCCGTATAATCATGATTATTATTCATTTTGCGAACTTCAATACATGAAACCCCAGTGCCGTGCGTCTGACTACAACGTGGCGACAAGTCTATACTGCCTCAATGTGGGCGGTACCCGCCTTCTCCTTGTCATCGTGCGACACCCGGCTCGATTCGTCTGGGAGGGCGTCCGTATCCATTCTCTTTCGAGCCAATTCGTCAACATTGCGGAAATTGAAACCGTCTTTCATTGCCTGGGAGATGACCATTCCACTGCAAATGTACGTCAGCAACGTGGCGTGCAGGATCAAAAGCACACAGGACGATCATACCCTGCATAAAGTACTACGACCAGGTAACCGGAAAGAGGGACAAGATATGACCTCCGAGTATAGGCCCTGTCCGCCAAGCCGCCTTGAGCGGGAGGGTACCATGCTCCGCCTCCAACTCCCTGCAGAACACGTCAGCATACACGTTGCGTCTGCCTAACTGTTTTACATGCCATGACGATTAAGCCCGAGCCTCGCTTGGTATGTTTTCCCAAGTTTTTCGTTCCTAATGTGAAGATACACTGGCGAAAATATTAGACGACAATGACATACACGTATAGACAAGAAATGCGTACCGGATAACAAATAGACTCGAAGAAGAACAATGCAAACAAGCATCCAACGGCTGCTTGTCCTGGTAAACCCGCTACTGAACCGCAGAAAACGCAACAGCATATGGCGTAGAACGTCAATAACAACGCCGGGTCCACAAAGTTGAGAATGGCAACTCCCACAAATCTGGAAATCCAATGAGTCTGATCAACTCCAGAGCATTTACGAATTGCTGACCTCCCAACTGTGAATGTTATTTGACAGAACGAGAACAATTGACTGGCTTTGGATTTACTGATCCCAATATTCTGATCGACCAACAAATTCACGACGAAGGCAGCTACCCCAACCTGGGCCCCACTATCTGTATGGTGAGAAACGCGCGATTGAATGGAACTCGCCACGAATGTTACTCACACATAACACGTCTGCGCCACAAACCCAAAGATACACCGCCATTGTCTCCAAAATGGCTGGTCATCCACAGTAATACCAGCTTGATGAATCTCTTGCGACAAAGCGTCTTCGGTAATTTCAGGTAGATCGCAGAAGCTTTGGCCCGACCAATGAGTTCGTCTGCATCGGTCATTTTGCGAGTGAAAACTTACTAGAAGAGGACGTTTAGAACGATACCAAGGCCTGCGACGGCGAGATACACCCTGATAATGGAAACAATCAATCAACGCTACACGAAAAATACTGAAAGAAGGATCCAACCATTGTACAGTGTCCAATTTCGTGGCGTTTGCCCCAGTGAAGAACCACCTTGAAGCGATCAACGGTCCAGCGAACGACGCTACACCTTGGAAACCTTGACTAAAGTTAAGCCTGGCGGCAGCATATCGCGGTGTTCCTAACACAGCGATGTACGAATTGGCCGCGACTTCCAGGGTGGCAAGTCCGCAGCCTATTGGAATGGGATGATCAGGAAATGAAGATATTGACTCTGAGCGAAGAGGGCCCCACCGATGACGAAGGTACAGGCAACGAATCCACCGTATTTCTGATAAACAGCAGATGGCCAAAAGAAGACGGCACCTTATAAAAATGGCAACATCAGGACAAGTGCGGTTAACGGGGTTTAGAGATCACGTACCGAGACTGTAAAGGCCTAGACCCATATGTATACCAGCCTAAAGTTGGATTCAGTTTTTAGAATGAAATGGAGAAGCTACTTTGAAGCCGCACTTTGTATCCTTTTCGCTTCATCTACACATCGCGTAATGAGTCGATTAGCGGCGAGGATAGAAGAGAGAAGTAACGTACGAAAAAGCTAGCAAATGGTGCGTAGACCAGGTATGCACCAAAGTACGCTAATTGTAGCAGCGTACTCTGAACCTTGGATATCCCGAAGATCGTTTGAAAGTGGGCATTGAGAACATCTAGAAGCTAAATGACAGGATCAGACATCGGTGAGAATTCTAGGTGGGTTGCCAGGTCACTAACACCGTACGCAAAACCCCCTGCGAATGCAGATTAAGAGACCAGGCCGTAGAAAGAGAACTGGAACGTACAGGTGAAGAACAGTGAAGTAACTAGGGCAAAGGCGAATAACCATCGTCCCCTTGACAGTTCAGAACCTACGCTACGCTGTCAATCGAACATAATCCGCGCGATTTTGGGACAATACCAGTCGTTCCAGCGAGGGGGGCCATGATATCGATCCGGGGGAGGGGGGAGGAGGAACGGTTGATTCAACAGCGTCGCTTTCGCATCCCCGTTTTATGCGGGGCTCTTTTCCATGCAATACTCGGACCACGAGGAGCTTCTTGCTCTGAGTGATGGAATCTCCCCCCGCGTGACTGCTGGCGAAACCAGATGACCCGGTCCGCTTGTGTTGAACGACAATCTGGGGAAAGAATGTGGGGCAATACTTGATATTGGAGACGATTTAGTGAGGAAGTTGATGGAAGAAGATAACGGAGGCCGACTGACCTTGATCCATCTCATCGCGGGATAATGTACTTGCTACACAGTTGAGTTGAGCAAGTCTATGGTCCTCGGGAAATGATCCGGTCTTTGTTGTAAACGAGGGATTGGAATGACTTGCGCGCTTAATGATAATAAAAATAGAGGAAAAGGATAGCTTAATGAGAGTTCGTTTAATCCCATATCGACAAGATCCTTGTCCTGTAGAATTGTCTAGTTCAGCGTCGAAGCTACACGTCTATCATCCGGGCTGGCTGTGAGTGGTTTGTATGCCAAGATCCTGGCATGATCGTATACATAGCTGCCGTACCCGGTAGCGGAGCATACTTGTCGGTTGTTCTAAGGAGGACCTTCCGGCAGGGAGTGCAGCATGCGATTTCGTTGTTTATTTGATAGTGGCCATTCGCGAAAGTTAGACGCATATGAAAGGAGTAGTACTGACATAGGAAGATACTCAGACTCGTAACAGAATCACAGTTTTCCTAGAGAGCCAGCTTGATTTGCGTCGATCGTAGCTTCCGAGGGGAGCAGGATCGATATCATGGCGTAACAAAAGTAACGATCTAAATCACCTTCGAGAAGTTTCTCGGTGTCGATGCGTTAAAATCGTTACTATGCTGGTAATTGTAGCAGGCTTCAGAGACACCGTAACATCATCCCTAACTCAGAGGAGCCTGGGCATCTGATACACCGGATATACTAAGGACTATAAGAAAAAGCAGCCCATCTGGTGAAGAACAGATGAATGGCCTCCAGTTATAGACCGCAAGTACGACCGAGTAGCAAGTTTAAGTCTAGAGAGTGTTGTGCAGGGCCATCAGGCAGTACGATATAGATGTCAGATTATCGTTCAATGCCGAGTTTGGATGGATGATTTCTCCGGGAGAATCGGACCGGGATTTGACCGGGACTCTCTGTCCCGGAGGATGGCCAGTCTTCCGGCACAGGTGACACCGAGACCAGTCCCGAATCCCGACCACCTCGGGGTCAACACTTGGCAACGAATTCGAAAGGGCGAAGCTTTTGTTTCCCCGGGCGTTAAAAGTGTTTATCCTTGGAGACCGCCAACAGTGAGTTTATTTAAGCTAGGCTGGTCAGCTGGGGCAAAAATGTCTCTTTTTAATTTTTGTGGTGAACACCACCCTTTCTTTGGATTCTTATCAAAGCTCGACTATTGACTAGGACTTCTCAAAGATCAAGAGTCTGTCGGAAAAACGACAGACTCTTGGCCCACTGCTCCAGACATCCAAGCTAGACTTGGCGCTGTACATGGAGCTCGAGCTCGAGGATTCCAGAGGACTATAGCCCTTCTTGCCGTCTTCAGGCTATACATACTGCGCTTTTTATTGGAATCTTTATTGAAACTCACGCCATACGGTGATGCCCTGAGGTTAACCGGGGCAGCCTGTCTGCTATGTTTACCTTCGCCAGTCTATATATTCGGATCACCATGTGTTTCTTCCTTGATATTTGAAGCACGAATACGCTGTCATTATGTACCGCCGCGTTGGTTTCATGCGTACACACCAAGTAGCCGTAGGCTTCCGTACCCGTGTCTTATTTACAGGATTCCTTACCTGGCTTCATTGATCTTTTCCAGGTCTGCATACGACATTTGCATTGCCATAGATGTTTCCAGCTGGGCTATAAATGACATTCGGAGGTCTGTTAGTTCACATTTCTAGCTGAATATTAATACCTTCTCGCATCTTTCAATTAGAAGTCCGAGAAGCTTTATCAGGGGAGTGCCGCGGATTTCCCACCAAGTCCTCTGGGGAGCACTAGGAAAATAATCAGGTGTGGCCAAACTCAATAGTCTCCAAGCGACTTTAATGCCGATATAAATCATGATATCCAGCTTGTGATTTCTCTCCAAATGTCTCTTTACCTTGCTCAAATTTCGGAGAAACGAAGCAAAAACGAAGTAATGAAAAATTTTCAGGGTCGTCCAGGGTCGCCGCTGGTCGGACCCTTAGACTGCCCTGGTGGCACTATTCCGGCGTTAAAGGCACTATTCATAGCGACCAATATATGGATACCGTCCTGCATGATGGGTCGGTCAATTCTCTCTAACTCTGCTGGATACCACGTTGTAACACGTTCGTCCGTGTGCAAGTAATGGTGAGCACACCGGAATTTGTTTTTTTTGACTGTATCGTTAAAGTTCAGGTTCCAGGGAACGTTGGGCGGCATGAGGCAACGACGATGGTACTACACATTGTGGTCGAGGATAAAGCACTTTGGCCGTCACAGACACCTTCCGGACGATACCGTATCGTCGCTTCACAACGAGCCTGATATCGACAGACTCTCTGATGCGACGTTACTTCGAATTTTCGTGTTTACCCAGTCCACGTACGCGTCACCACTACCAGAGAGGGCCATATCCCACGTCAACCGTCGCTGGAGGGAAATCGTCTTGGAACACGCCGCTTTGTGGCGCCAGATAGACGCCAAGGTCCTCAGTAGCTCCCTGCAGCAAGATATCATAGAGGCGTACTTGTCCCGCGCACGGACGTTCACCGCCGATTTGAGGGTCGTTCTCTCGGAAAATGAGTGGATTCGAACTCTAGAAATCATTGCCGAGCACTCGGCCCGATGGCGTCTGGTATCTATTCGAGCCGACTTCAACTTTTCTCCCGATCTCCTCAGTCAACATATATCCCAGTTCCACCTCCCACATCTAGAACACTTATCTATCATCTGCTTAGACAGATTTTGTGACCCACCGGACCTTGATACCATTGATGGGGACACGAGTATTCTACGCGGGAGCGCACCCAGGCTCACCAGTTTCCGCGTGCAGCACAGCGCCATCACTTATTTTCCTCCCCCCTTGCACGGTCTCACGACTCTCCACCTAGAAGAACTAGGGGGCCATCGCATCGACTACACCAGCTTTCGTCGTTTGATTCTTTCCATTTATTCCTTGACCAACCTTTCAATATACGGCGACTTCATCGACCATTGGACTATGACCGGAGATCTCCGTATCCCCGCCCTTCGCTCTCTGCGGTCTGGTAGCAACGCGTCTCTAGGCGCGATGCTATTATCGCTGTCTGTGCCAGGGTTAGCCAGTCTAACATTATACAACGCATGGGACTCTCATATCCAGGAATTCATTCGTCAACGTGAACCTGGTTACGAAACCACACTTCCTTGCGTTCATTTAATGCTCAAGGACTGCCATTTTTCTTTGCCATCCCTTCGAACACTGTTAGAAGAGGTACCGGCGATATATCGGCTCGATATCATTGATGGCTTCGCCGACGAGGCCCTTGACCTACTGCAAAACGATAATGCCCTGCTCCCATCACTCTGCGCATTGTCCATCAACAGACTTCGTGATCCCACCAAACTATCTACCTTCTACAACTCCCGCAAAGGCAAAGTGGCATTCCGACTGCATTTTGATTTAGATGCAGTCCCACCTCCTGATGCTTCCAGTGTTCGTTGGGATAGGCTCGAAAGCTGGCCTGCAGGCACAAAATGTATTGATAGGGATGACTTCATGACAAGGTTGTCTGATACTGGAGTCGCTTATAGATCACCGAGGTATTCAAAAGCCCTCGGCAGTCCGTAGTATATTGAATCTCTGTTGAGACACGGAAGCAGTCGAGTGCATTTACCTGCATCTGTGTTAGAATCAGTTTCGGTGCGAAGCTGATTGGGACGGAATGGTCCGATCTGTGCGAATGTGATGGGTGCTCAAAAGATTGCTGTTGCCTCACACCTTCATTATCAACAACTACGACGACGATATACGCCTAGGAATCATTTGGTGAGCTGGTCACGAATGAGCCTTATTTCCAGAGCTAACAAGCCTATCCAAGTGAATTCCGATGAAGGACGGCGTATTTTCATGGCTTAATTTAATTTGGTCTGCGTTCCGGCGACTGGGCTGCCGTAACCAACGGCGTGCATTTGATGCTATTTCAATTATCGGCAGCGACACCTCCACCCTCGTAGATCCAGGGCCATGCGCCGTGAACGATCTATCGGACGCATTACTCCTCAGCATTTTTGAACTCACGAGCGACTCTTATGGGCAAAGTTATCCCTCTGTCGTGAGGAGAATATGCCACGTCAATCAACGTTGGCGAAAGATTGTGACCTCGTCCCCAAAACTATGGCGGCACATCGACGCTATAGTGCCAAATGTCTACAACCAGCTCGCATTGATCAACATGCATCTGATCAAGGCGTACCCACTCACAGTCGACTTACGGCTGGCACTTCCCAACGTTGAATCTGAATGGGCCCTACTCCTCGAACCTCTCACATACTCTTCCTCTCGCTGGCGGGTGCTTTCCATCCACGTTGACAGTGATTCCGACTGGGGACAGCACGCTCTCGTTCGACATTTCCGCACATCACATTTCCCCAATCTTGAACACTTCTCCGTCATCCGTTACTCCGACGTTTCATCATGTAACTGTTTCGCGCAGCAACATTTTGGGGGGAACATTCTCTTAGAGGGCTCACCGAGGCTCTCGAGCGTACGTTTACAGCATTCCTCGATCCCTCATCTCCTACCACCGCCGCAGTCCATCAGCACGCTGCATCTAGAGCAATTCGGAGAATATCCCATGGAATATGGGACCTTCCGACGGCTTATAATGGGATTGCCGTCGTTGGCAAATCTATCAATTTATGGCAACTTCGTTGATGGTTGGACCAAAGCGGGGGATTTGGTCGTACCTGGCCTGCGAACATTGAGATTAAGTAACAACGAAGCGTTGAGCGCTCTGTTGCTATCAATCTACGCCCCAAACTTGGAGAGCTTAGAGTTTCACGCAGTATGGGACTCTCATCTTCGTGATTTCCTTCATGAGCGCGAGAAAGTATACGAGACCAGTGTGCATTATTTGATGCTGAAGGGCTGCCGACTGTCGACGGATTCCCTCTCTGCGCTTTTCAAGGATTTTTCTGGGACGGAGAGAGTTGATATCCTCGATGGGTATGCGGACGTTGTCATGGATCTGCTCATGAGCGATGATGACCTGCTACCATCTCTTCACACCGTCTCAGTTCACAAACTGGCAGATGCTAGGAAACTCCTTGTGGCCCGCAGCGTGATATTTCGGCTGCACTATGGTGTTGATGTTACGCGGTTGCATGCTGAGGTTGTGAGATGGGATCAGCTGGACCCGTGGTCTTTGCCCATGGAATTCTGCGACAGAGATGACTTTATGACGAGGATCTCCGAACATTGTCGTCGTGAAGATGACCGGAAGCTTGTGAGGTTCGGGTTGAAAGGTTGAAGGAATAGAACAAGGCACATGGGTAATTGGCAGACCAAGAAATGGTATGCTTTGAGTATCAGAAAGGTAGTATAATGGATTCGATGTAGTTGTTCTAATCAAGCGGCTCGCGTTGAACCAGGTGTTCGACGGGGACTTTATCTATGGCGGATTGATAAATAAGATACTAGAGAATGGGCCGATACAAGTGTCCCGGGAGACTTTCGTTCAGCTTCGATTGGAGCGTTTAACGATGAAAGGGTTCTGATGATTTTGACTCTATCCTAGTCCACCAGATAGCTGAGCTGCTCGGCCGGCGCTGCAAACTCGGAAGAATCAAATCGAATGGCGTAAGGACTCCGAGTCGAGATTGTTGTACCTGCAAAATCTGATTTGATAAACGAGGATACCAATGTGGTATCGTTAAACGTTTCCTTCATATTCAGGACAAGGAGTTCTCTGTATTACCATGGTATGAATCACCGAGTCATATCGAAGTCATAGGTAGCTTCGGCATTAACGGTCCGACAGAGCGGAACGATGCCGGTGTCGGAATTTCCCGGTTCCAACTCCTCGGCGTGTTTTTTCTCCCAGGTTATTTCTTGGTATCCCATACTCTACACTCAAATGGCGGCTGCAGGCTTGTGGAAACTTACAAGACGGTCGGCACGCTTGTCTCATGCTGCAAGAAGAACCGAAACTTCTCATTCCAAACTCTGGGTAGTTCCACCAGAGGTGTATCTAGTGAATAACCCCGAATTCAATGTTCACATTCCTTTTATCCTCTCGTTACAAAATTGGCATTCCTTATGCCCTTCGATGAAATATAAATAACGCGTCGAACGGCAAAATCCGTAACCGAATATCCAATGTGACGCTATCGAAATCTCTACCCAAATCGATGTCCAACCTGTGAAAGAAAATGGTATAGTTCCTGGAAGACGCAGGTGAGATTTACCCCCGAAAATGCATAAAATGAAATGACTTACTTCAAGAATGATTTTAAAAAAAGTATGCGGTGGTATAGCTCCATCATGATACGACACAACCACCGTTCATGCTGCACGCGTTGGACGCTTCATCTTCTGGTATGCGATATACGTCGTCTTTGTCAAGTGCAGCACTGCTTATGGTAAGCCCTAGACTCTCTTCGAAGCTATCCATTACTGCGAGGATGATTTGTGAGTGCAAAGTGCGCCAGCAGGACGATTGCGAGTTAGGTGAAGACAGTCGGAACGATTCATTGCAGGCTTTTATACGTCTCATTATTGTGCTCATCGCATTTGGACGGGTCTATTGTTTCGTCCCTCAAATGCTTCTCTTACGAATGCCGTGTTTTTAACAATAAGACGCGCTTTGATGGTAGCTCCGGAAATAATTACCGTGTGGCGCATCGCATGTCGGCGGTGGATCGTACATTGCGCTTGCAGACAATTAAGAGCCACCAGTATGGCAAGTCAGATTTTCAGATCTTGACACGAGTCGTCAGCACACCATTACTTGGCGGAGAGGTGAGTCACCATCTTCATTTACCGAAACGCCAGCTGAATATCGTACAATAAAAGAAAAGCGGCGTGTTTCTGTTCTCCATTTCGACGCGTCTGAAAAGAAACATCATGGACAGGTTTGACCTCTGGTATATTGAGGATAACCTCTCGGGCCGGTTCCCGAACTTGAAGGACGGTCAATGATAAGCGGTTCATCATCAGCTCTTCAGTGGATTGAATCCGCGTATTGAGAGCGAAATCATCATGGCTTCCAGTATAACTATCCCTTGGAACTTAGGAGCTACACTCTCACTGTATGATCTTCTCTCCGAAATGTTGGGAACTACGCAAATTTTAAGAACGCTTCGCACATCGTCACATATCCAGGAAATTTGATGAATGTGGCGGAAGAATATCTATGGTATTGTCGATCTTTACTCTCAAACAGTATCATGGTAACCTCCTCGAACTATACTGAATCGCTTCAAATTCAGGACGGGCAATGCTTGATAGTTGAGATGTTGATGAGCTATAAACTAAGTGACCCTCTCTCAGGCATATTTTTATGAGCCAGATGTTCGGAAGGAACTCTGAAAGGCTGGCAAGTCCGTCATCCTTAACCCGTTCGTTATCGGAATGTACGGTTGACGTCGCTCTCAACGTTAGGGTTCATTCGTTCCGAGTGGTTCTTTCACTATTCTTGTAATTTTGTCACGCATTCAAATTGCCATAGCCCTGGTCTTGGAAAACCCAAGACTGCGTCTATTCTGATTTCTCTGAGTGATCTCTATCTTTATCTGGACCGTACATAAATGGAGATCGTTTTACGCCCATCTTCAATATATATGTGGGTGTTAATCCCACGAACACACCTAAACACGGCTCTAGTCCCCGACATATCCGTGATCTTGCGGCATCAAGCAGGGAAGTATCAACCGGATCTGGAGGTCGCCTTACAGGAGATAGAGTTCCCCAAGGTGGTGCGTATGGTGTTTGATTAGTCAAATAAAAGCTATATTCAATATATCTAGCACACATGTTCGAACAAGACTGCTGGGGCATCTTCTGACAGCATGAATGCTAAAAGATACTTGCTACACTGAAAGGACGAAACCCTTCGAAACATGGCTAATGGTTTCCTCATAACCGAGTCTCGATCTTATTCTTGGGTTGCCTGCGGAAGGGAGTCGTCTTCAATTGCATTGACGTGAGAGTCAATGGCCGCTTGCATGGCACAAGGATCATTGGAGTCTACAAGGGTACCTATGCGGACGCTGAAGCGGCTATGGATGCCTCAGGGACGATGGACATCTTCTTTGACCTAGACTCGTGTCTTCTTCACGCCGCCGTGAATAGAATCGTCTTGTTTCTTGGGGCAGCTGTCGCGCGCTGGATGCGTTTCTCATGCCAGAGATGCTGGAAGCGACAAAAAAAGTCTGGGAAAGGGTGATCGACACCATTGTCGTGGAACCTGACCGTAGAAACGAAGTGGAGCGGAATGACATTCCTTTCATACTTCCAGAATAGCACTAAAGAGCGTGAGTGGAAGTTTTCTATCTGGCTATTCACGGTGCACTGATGTTGCGGCTATTCCTTTCCTTTGGGGGCCTATTTTTACATCAGGTCCCGAAAGACAGGCGCAGATGGAACTGTCGTAAGTTCTCCGAGAATTGAAGCTGTCGTGTCATGCTTGTGCTTGGCTTTTGTGCAACAGGTGTTCTCAATAAACACTTCAGTGATTTACAATTGAAATTTTACGGAAGAAGAATACTCAAGAATTATGTCAAATAAATGGTCAATACGGAATACGATGTCAGCGTCAGGTCCATATGCCTCCATCTTTAACGGATCTGTAACCTGTTAGATTACATTCTTTGATTTCATGTAGATATTATTTTCCGAGATATTGAACTACTTACAAGCAATTAATCATGTAGTTCTGGATTTACGACTCGGCAAATAGCGCACAGATGACGTTTGTGGCTGTGCAGAAATCTAAATCACTTTCACTTTTCTCTTTCTCGAGGGTCAATAGACCTTCAGATTTCCAGGCGACACGTCGCAGCTCTATCCTTCCTTGATTTCCATGCAATAATCTATATCTCTTTCTATTCATTATGTACCACAATAACGCCATCAGAATCCTGACTGGTATGCCTCCTGAATATAGTCACTGATTGCTTCGCGAAGCTAACACTGTGTACAGGAAACAGCCACCGGGAGCTCGCCCAGGCTGTGGCCGAGCGGTGAGCTACTGCTTCGACAGCGAAGCCAATCCCATTGTCCGACATGCATGATTCATACTTGTAATAGGCTCAATCTCCCCCTCGTTCCATGCACCGTCAAAAACTTTTCTAATGGAGAAATCAACGTCAAAATATCCGAATCCGTTCGAGACGAGGACGTTTTTATCATTCAATCCGGATGCAGCGATGTCAACGATAACCTGATGGAGCTGCTTATCCTCATCTCAGCCTGTAAGACAGCTTCAGCCAAACGGATCACAGCCGTTATTCCCTGTTTTCCCTATGCACGAATGGACAAAAAGGATAAGTCTCGTGCTCCGATTACGGCGAAATTGGTAGCGAACATGCTCGTCGTTGCCGGGTGTGACCATGTTATCACGATGGACCTTCATGCCAGTCAGATCCAGGGTTTTTTCGATATCCCGGTGGATAATTTATGGTCGGAACCACTGATGCTCACGTATATCAAGCGGGAGATAGAGGGATGGCAAAACGGGATCATTGTTAGTCCGGATGCGGGGGGCGCAAAGCGGTGAATTTCGGCTCCTGCACAGTGGTACGTCGGCGGCTGAATTCTTCCAATAGGACTACGGCTATTGCGGATAAGCTTGGCGTAGAATTCGCATTGATCCACAGAAAGCGCGATGGAAAAAATGAGAATGCGCCCGAACGAATGGAGATACTTGTCGGAGACGTTAAAGACAAGGTGCGTCTATAAATCCCTCGCTCTAAGTAAAGCTCTTACTTATTTTTATGTCTGTTGGTTAGGTGGCCATTCTGGTTGATGATATGATCGACACCGGTCACACGCTAACATTGGCTGCCGAGACGTTGCATGAGAAAGGGGCGAAATCAGTTCATGCTCTCATATCGCACGGTATATTTGGCCTCATTTCGCTCTTTTTTCAGGAGCTAAATTTTGTATCTCAGGTCTACTGTCAGGAACTAATCTTGGCGCTATTAATGATTTGCCGATAGAGCAACTAGTAGTAAGCCATTTTCAACATTTACGCTTCCCCTCACTCATAGCATGCTGTTAGGTGACGAACACAGTTCCTCAGGCGGAACATCTTGCCCAATTTCCCAAACTTACCGTCATAGATATAGCCCCTACAATCGCGGAAAGTATTCGCCGGACTCACAACGGTGAAAGTATCAGCCTGCTGTTCGGCGAATGGGCTGAGGACAGGAATAGGGCTGTATAAATAATTGGCTCGATATGGATTAGAAGAGATGGTGAAAAGCTTGGAAGTAATAAAACGACTGTACCATCACTGAATTAAAAGAACACTGGGCTGTCGATATTCTCTCCCGTACAAGGAAAACATGAGTGCGCTGAGGAAGAAGTCTATCGTGCGTGTGCCGTTGTCTGTCGTATACACGTTCTCTGATGAAGTATGTAGGTGCTGGGCCTAATTCTACCGTGTTTTAGCTTTAACTGTCGCGCCAGTGCGCGCTCAGTTCCGGTCGACTTGACGAAAATGGGGGGTATATAACTATGCCTTTTATTAATAGTGAGACCACACGATGATGTTAAAGGAACGTCTCGTAGACAAACGCCACGAGTGATGGAGGAGGTTGTACTGAGCATTAAGTCAGCACATATTTTACTATATAATAGCCTTGCTCTTGATATTAAAGTGCTATCTGTACGAAAAGAAACGCCGATGCGGAACGCAGGCTACCATATGATTTGAGCATAGTGATATTAGTCCTCCTACATTTTACAGCCAGAGTCTTTGCGTTAAATTTTCCAGTGAAGTCTACCACGCAACTGAGGCAAAAAGAAACCCTGAAAGATACTCAGTAGGTAGGCAGTTGGTAGGCAGTCACTTCGTGAGTGTGGGAAATTCCAATTTCAAATGCATGCCCATCTCGTTCGAACCATCACCAGCCGGTACCACTACCATGTAATCCAGCATCAGCATCCCCCAGCGCCCTGACGTTTTGAGCAGTAGCAGCGGGATCTCTTCGATGTTCTGCTCCAACTCGGTAAATTTTTCCAGAGTACCTACTCTTTGGTTGCTTGGCGCATTTGCGTGGCACCATGATCATGAATGTCATGGTCAGCAGTGACCTAAGCCTCTTGTCAGATTCTTGAAGTTCGTATCTCTTGTCTTGGCCCACACTTCATTTTCCACTCTGGAATCCGGGTTAGTATATATCCAACGCAATTTGTGCTGGAAATAATTGTCATCGCATCAGCGTCAAGGGAATCTCCTCAGGAAATTACTGCGCGCTCGATATCGTCCTAACAGCTTAGTGCATCTAGTTCAAGTGGCTCACCATCCAACGCCTTCGTTGGGAGTTACCCGCAAATATTGTTGGAACCCCAGGCCTCTCAGGTGAACGCACGGTCGAGCTATCCGTCCGTCGGTTCTCGAAGTTATACTCTGCAAACACTTTAAACCTGGTGCAATTTCCAGTCCAGCCCCAGAGTGTGGATTACGACAAGCCTACCTTGTCAACCTTTTTTGTGCTACCGATTATAAGGTAGATGCGCATTCTAAGACTCCGATAGCTCAAGACTGATGACTTATCGCAGCACCCTCTTGACACCGTTTAGCCGGCCACCCGTAAAACCATTCGGTCCATTCTACGCGACGACGGTAGGTAATGAAAAGAGCCTACCCTGTCTTTCTAGAGGTAAATCCTCGGCGTCGCAACAAATTTCAAGTCCATGGTTTGTTGCACCATTCACCATTCAACGTTTGGGCATGCATGACTCTACGACGACCGGATACACGATGATTTGGAGGCGCTACTGCTTTCACGACATGGATTCAATGTTGCCTCGAGTTTTTCCCGTTGTAACAAATCTTGTTTGGGGAATACTTTATCAAAAGAGTTTTCAATATAACAAATCTTGGACTGCGCAAATCAGCCGACATGCTACGACCTGGAGCCAAGACAAATATATCGCGTAAGTCAGGTATGTTGTGCTTTATATTATCCCCGAGCACATTCGGGACTCATCATGTCTTTTCGACAGTGCCGTTACGTGACGTTTGACCTCACTCAAAGCCATCAGCTGTATTCTCTCTGCTTTTCTATTGGACTTGCGCAGTTCAGTGTAGTGAAATATCGCAGCATCCTTAAACGGCGTCCGCCTCTAATAGCATGCGTATGGAGATCATCCGGCTCGCATAGTTGTGAATGAGCCAATAGGCAAAACCGCAATGTACAGAAGTTTTACTCCTCTGGCCCTTACACAATTTCTAGCAATTTCCCGCCCGACTAGACCCCAGCAAGACGTACTGCGCGAACTCGCCAAGTCTATATATTCCCGCTTCACTACCGACTCCATGTCGAGTGTTCCGTTTTTTCCTATGCGCCCAGGACGGCGGATTATCGAGGTATAAGACGCTACTAGGATGGGACCTCTACCCGACAATCTTGCATCGGCTCCTTGTAAGGCATGGTCTATTTCCCTTCTATCGCGTCTTTTGCTTTACTAGCTGCGACCGCAGTCGTCGGGAACCCGGGGGCAGCTCCCACGAGCAGCGTCGGAATTGCTCAGAGCTCGAGGCTTCACCAAACTGCCCGCCGCTCGCTCGCGGCATGCCAGGACACTCTTTCCCGTCGTGACAAAATGGAGAAATCGGCTACGCGCCGTGCGGCTCTGGTAGACCACCTTCGAAAGAAACGGGGTCTCGTCACTCGTGAGTTCTCTTCGGATTCTCTCGCAGATTGCTAAGATGCTGAATCTTATCTCAAGGCGCTCCGTACAAGCGTGCGCTCAGTTCGAACAACGTATTGAGCACCACTCACTTGCCGAGGTCAAGTGAGGCGGAACTCAACATGGAGCGCGACCAAGAGTCGTCCTACGTTCGGGGGGAGTACGTGCGTTCGACCATCTCGGAGGAACAGCCGGGTATCTATACCTACGTCGACCTCGAGCTGATTGATGTATCGACTTGCGAGACTGCTCCGGACTTGTACATTGATTTCTGGCATTGTAATTCGACTGGCGTGTATTCAGGAATTCTCGGGTCCGGCAATGGTGATTCAAGCGATGTTTCTAACGTGGTCAGTACTGCTGCACTGCGATTCAGACTCGTTCATATAGTTGACTTGATTTTCTATTGTAATAGGACAAAACATTCCTCCGTGGCATCCAGCCAACCAACGAAGAGGGACATGCGTCCTTCGAGACCATCTTTCCGGGTAGATTCAGTTATGGCTTCTTTTCTTGGACGTCTGACTGAGTCATGTTTGTGCCAGGCCACTATTCTGGACGCGCGACTCATTTCGACACGGTCGTCCACAGCCAGGGAACCGTCTTCGACAACGGTACTTTTACCGCCCCCAGCGTACACTACATTGGTAAGTGATCCAAGTTAAGCATGGGATTCGATCACATGCTGATGCTTCATATGATACCAGGTCAAATTTTCTTCGACCAAGACCTGGTCTCCATCGTTGAGGCTACCTCTCCGTATAGCACTAACACCATCGAGATTACGACCAACTCCGTCGATGAGGTGTTCGTGTTAGGTATTGGGTCAATAGTCCTCGAATACGTCTACCTTGGTGATGACATCTCGGATGGTTTGCTGGTGTAAGTTCTCTTTACGATCATTTGGTTTATTCTCTGACATTTCTTGCTTCACAGCTGGGGTGTCATTGGTGTCGATATGGGTGCAACCTACGAAATCACGCCAGCCGCTACTTTGACTGAACATGGAGGTGTTATCCACTATCCCAGTTCTATTGGGGGAGGCAACATGACTGGTGACTTCCCAAGCGGAGCCGGATCTGACAACTCGACCTCCTCCGGTGGCGACGTGATTAGTGGGTTCCCAAGTGGGACCGGGTCTGACAACTCGACCTCTTCCGGTAACAATACAACTAGCGATAGTGGAGACGAGTCTGGCGAATCGACTTCCTCCAGTGACAACAGCACAATAACTCTCCTTCATGGAGATTTGCTTTGTAACTGCACGTCTTATTAAGATCTCGAGCGTCATTTTGCTATTCTTTATATGCTTGGATAAAATTCAATAGATTTATATTGATCATATTTTCATCACAACAAGAATCGCTTTCAACTTAGTGGCCATCGATCAGCAACTTGTAGTACTCCGGTAAAGAGAAAACCATTTTAAGGTCGAGTCTCCAAGCAACAAATGTCAGCCTCATTTTTGCAGAATCTTCTTCTCTCATAACTACCACTATCCTTCAAATTCTGCCAAACAGGATGCAAAGTGTAAGTAAATTGAATAAAATTTAGCGTGAATATTTCTGAGGACCCTCCGGCCCGGTGTGCCGGATACAGCGGTGTTATGACGCCGTCTTCAACTCGCCTTGTTTTTCAACCTTACTGGTCACTTTTCCTCGACGAACTCAGTTGTCGAACTTCCTGGCTTCTCTGTACTCTATGTGGTCTCCTGTCTCCCAGTATTGATACTTTCTCCAGTCGTCCTTGGTTAGCGTATTCGACCGTCCCAACTTGTTTAAGGATAGGATGCCCAAAGGATGCCAGCCGGATGTGTCGCAATAGAAGCAAACCGTGTTATTTTGAGACCCGACGCCTTACTCTTAGCCGGGTTGCATACTTTGGTGGCTGATCTGCATAGATTTCGGGTCCGTCGACCAAAGTCCTATTGTGGAAACCGTTTTCCTGGTTTGACCCTGAGTCCCTAGCCAATACCGAGTTGTCCTTTTGACACACCTGAGAAAGATTTATAAATGGAAGTGTCTATTTCGGTTGACAAGGCATCCTGACTGGGAGTGCGAATGGGAGTGTTGTACGACACCTGGAGCGTTACCATAGGTCTTAATCGCGGGTTTAGGACAAATGTTTGGTTTCGGCTTGGTCTGGCTCTACTAGCAACTGGTATTATATTGAAATATTGGTCATGCTCTGCGACTAACTTCCTGCAACAAACTCTTGATTATGGAACTCAGGAACCCGGAACCGGATAGCTGCAAAGCCGCCACGCATATCGATGCACTATCAGATAATTAGCTCCGTCACCATTATCTCGGTGTCGAGACGCTTCAGTGATGCGCATCACTATTGTAGAAGCCAGCTCATGTTCCTCTCCATCCGTTATACGATACCTCTGATTCGGCGCAATACCCGCTGCAGGGTGCCTACGGTACTTCTCACACAAATTCTGACCGCCCACACGGGCCACTACGATGCATGAAAAGATCTCACGGAAATGCTCCTATACTCCCAGTTTTGACCTCAATCCTGTCCCCTGGTCAGCGGCATCATAGAGGTGTCCAATGGTCTGCCAAAATTATCACTCGTGTGTGAGCAAAGCGTTATGCGCGATGTGCTATTGGATGAACCCGTATTGGTGTTCTTTCACATCCTGTATGTGAGAGGCGTATAAATGGTGGACAAAATGAATCTTCACTGCAGTCATCGCATACCATGGCTTTTGCACATCTCCTTGCTGTTCTCCTTTCTCTTGCCGTTGTGCGCCAGTCCGACGGTACTCTCTGGCCCTCCCTTATTTGCAATGACACTGATTCCTTTTGACTAGCTGCCCTCACGAAGCGAGTGGCATGCGCCGACGGTGTTCATACTGCCACCAATGAGGCCTGCTGCGCCATGTTCCCCATCATCGATGACATCCAAGCGAATCTGTTCGACGGAGGAGAGTGCGGAGAAGAGGTCGGCAGTCTCTTCGGTTTCCAACGAGTATTTGCTGCTTACGAGTATCACTGATACTTAGGTGCACGAGTCGCTCCGTTTGACCTTCCACGATGCGATCGGATTTTCTTTTACTAAAGGGTGAGTTTCACCTCCCTTTATAAACGCAGGCTGATGTTCTCGATAGTGGAGGCGGGGCTGATGGATCCATCTCCACCTTCTCTGACATTGAGACCGCCTTTCACGCAAACATTGGTGTCGGTGCGGTTATGATGATCACAATTCTTTGATTATTGTTCACATATTTTAATCTAGACGAAATAGTGGAAGCACAGAGGCCCTTTATCACTAAACACAACATTACTGCAGGAGACTTGTACGATATTTCATAGATTTTGACTCTGACATTCTCAAAATTCTCTTAGCATCCAGTTGGCTGGTGCAGTTGGGGTGTCCAATTGCCCGGGTGCTCCACAATTGAACTTTTTGTTGGGACGTCCCACAGCTGTTGCCCCTTCACCGGACCTGCTCGTCCCGGAGCCTTTTGATACGGTAACATCTATCATTGACAGGTTTGCCGACGCAGGGTTCAATTCTTCGGAAATTATTGCACTTCTGGCTTCGTGCGGCATCGTTTCCTTCTACCTTTGCGACACATCCGTTTAATATCCTGCTCTAGGCATACTGTTGCTGCTGCTGATCACGTCGACCCGACGGTAATATTCATTCATCTACATGTTGACTTCTTTGCTCAACGATGTTTGTAGATTCCTGGGTGTGTATCTTGCGACATCCTTAGCTTCATCATTGTTTATTTCCAATAGCACTCCCTTTGACTCAACTCCGGGACTCTTCGACACCCAAGTCTTTATTGAAGTCCAATTGCGGGGCACTTTATTCCCTGGGTACGTGTCCCCTACTTTTTTTTGGCGAGCTAGTTGTTTACGTATAATTTGACAGGACCGGTGGAAATCAAGGTGAAGTTGAGTCGCCACTGCCCGGAGAGATTCGACTTCAATCAGATGCTTCGGTAAGCGCAGCAGTATTTTGCATTTTATCGATGGCTCATCGCGACTCCTAGCTGGCACGGGGTTCGTCCATTTTTTTTATAGATAGCTGAATCCAACCCAGCTTCCACAGACTCAAGAACGGCTTGCGATTGGCAGTCTTTCGTTAGTATGTGCTGCTGCATCTCCTAACAAGGACAATCTCGATGACGATTGTTCAGACAATCAGGCGAAGATGCAGACTCAGTTCAAGGCTGCTATGCTGAAACTTTCTGTCCTCGGACAAGACGTGTCTCAAATGGTGGATTGTTCAGAGGTAATTCCAGCCCCTTTGGCAGCTTCCGTGCACGGAGCACACTTGCCTGCCGGGTTGAACATGAATGACATTGAACAAGCGGTAAGGTATTTTTTCATCTTAATGAACAGATTTTCATTTTCTGTTAGTGTGCTACTGCGCCGTTCCCCACTCTCACGGCTGATCCTGGTCCTGCCACCAGTGTTGCTCCGGTGTAAGAGAATTTGATAGCCTGATCCGCGTGCAATTTTCTGATCTCATTGACTTATATAGCCCGCCTTCCTAAGGCGACTACACACAAACGAGCAGAAATCTGTTTCTTGCTAACTTGATGTATAACAATCGCAACTGTAACTGTCCGGGAAACGTGTACCAAATACGCCTGATTCTTGTGTTTTTATCCCACTATGTCGATACGTTCTTGACAATTCAACTTTCTTGATGTGCACCTCAAACCGATCTGACTGTTCTCCTAATTCGAATCTCATGATTTTGAGCGGCCCGTTAGCGTTCCGAGTTGCCCGTGTCGAGACAACGGAATGACGGCATGTGAGAGAACCTTGCCGCCTTCGCAATCCTATGCATGCGGTTCGGAATCTATGGATACGATCCGTAAAAATAACTCAACAAGCCAGCCTTCACACCTACAAGCAATGCAAGCAGCAAGGGTCGAAACGTGCGCCTAGTGGTATGACACACTTATCTTTTTTTTTTTACCTAATACCCACTGCTTCTAACCGCAGATGGCCATTTATTTCATCGAAGCTCAATTCAAAAAATATAACGCGGGTCCAACGATATGCAGTCTTCGTGTATCCATATGGTACAGCCTTCTTTCTTTGTAAAATACGGGCATATGACTGCTTCCGATAATACAGCGCTTTCTTGGGGTAGTTAAAAGACTGGTCATCCCGCATCTTGTCGACCCAACTCCCTCATTTTCATTGATGATGAAGTTTTTATCTTTCGTCGCTTTCATCTCTTTATGGTCAGTGGCTTTGGGTATTGGAGGGGCTATGCAAGGCATGGAAGATGCTATGGAAATCCAGCGGCAGCAAATGGAACGACTGCACGAATTCCTTGGCCCCATCCACGACTCGGGTGGACTTCCAAAGCGACAGGTCAATCCGACGATATCTTTTTCAAACCGCAGGGCCCAGGAGTTTTTTGTGGATGGGACAAAGATCCCTGAAGGTTTGTTCATGTCATCACTGTCTTGCTTGCATGCTTAAATCAATGTAATAGTTAACTTCGACGCCGGTCCGTCTTGGTCCGGATTGATGCCTATATCTGCGGATCCAAACGAGACTCGAAAATTATTCTTCTGGTTCGTTTGTGAAGTCCATTCGAACGCCCCTCAATCAAGCATTACCCTCTCCTAGGTTTTGGCCTACCAGTGACCCCTCGAGTACAAATGACTTATTATTTTGGACTAACGGTTAGTAGTCATGTCGGACTTGCTTTCAGATTATTTCTCAATATTTTTACGCCAGGCGGCCCTGGATGCTCGTCTTTGGAAGGCTTTCTCCAAGAAAACGGACCCATTTGTAGGCCGTTAATGACTTGATTTGCTTCTCCGTCTCATCTTCCTCCCGCGAAGCGTGGTCTTGGGGTCAAGCAGAACCAACACCGTAAGTCATGCGCCTACACAAATACATCCGGGGGTTGATAGCTGACTACTACTAAGGAATCCATTTTCATGGACTAATTTAGCTCACGTTCTTTGGGTTGAACAGCCAGTCGGGGTAAGCTCAGGCTTGTCCATGATACCCGAACTTGGGATAATGAAACTCAATGGAATGCAGACCGGGTTTAGTCAAGGAACTCCGAATATCACAAACGATGACGAACTTGCAGAGCAACTGACCGGTTTTCTGGAGCAATTCCTTGAAGTCTTTTCCGAACTCAAGGGAAAGGACTTCTATCTTTCCGGAGAAAGTGTGAGTGTTATACCTCTTTGTCTGAGAATTCTATGTTGATGACAAACAGTATGCTGGATTCTGTAAGCAATAGGATTTGCCGTCGGTGCCTATACGTGATTTACCGGTCACGATAGACGTGCCATATATCGCGAATTGGATCTATGAGCATCCTGGACTCGATCTAAATTTGCAAGGAATTTGGATTGCTGATCCTTCTCTTTCATATGGCGTCGTTCAGCAAGAAATTCCAGCTCTTCGCTTTGCACAGGTACGACTGTTAAACTGGATCAAAGGTGGATGTACATATGATTGTGCTTGCACAGGCCCACGCAGACCTATTTCCCTTCAACAATTCATTTTGGAACACGCTACAAAATATATCCGACACTTGTGGTTATACGGATTATCTGGAGAAGTTCGTAACTTACCCCCCTGCCGGTCAACTACCTTTCCCTGCTGGAGTTGTCGAAGGGACACTTGGAACTGTCCAGCCGAGCTGTAGAATCCATAGCCCGATACAGCGTGCTGTCAGTGTGTAAGTTCTTTGATGAACTCTCATACACCATATCATGTACATCATATACATGGATACTAGTGGCTGACGATTTTGCAGATTGAACCCAGTTTTCGACGTTTATCGGTAAGTGTAACCCATGCATGGAATCAGGATTAATTTACTATGCGATTGTAGAGTCTCCGACACATTCCCAAATCTTTGTGAGTTTCAAATATATTTGTTGATTTACGATCTTCTGAAAACTGTTCAGGGAGTGTACTTGGGTTTCCTCGGTCTACACAAGAATTCATTTACTTCAACAGGTACTTTCCCTTTTTGCTCTTCTCAATTCAGGCTGGTTGACTTTTATTTAAGGACGGATGTAAGTTCCCCTCTGTCAGGGTTCGCTAAGATGCTTCATGTGAACATAACATCAGGTACAAGATGCCATCCACGCACCTCATATAACTTGGAGCAGCTGCGCGAATAACAACGTATACGCCGGCAACGGGCGTGATAACTCTGTCGCCTCTACTCTTAGTGTGCTTCCAAATGTCATCGAGAAATCGGTCAGAACCGTGATCGTCCACGGACTTGCGGTCGGTCATTGATAGCCTAGATTCTCGAAATAATCTCAGAAGCAATCTATAGGACTTCATTCTAGTTGCTGAAGGGACTCGTATCGCCATTCAGTAATGCCATCTATCTCCTTCATAATAATGGAGACAAAACTGATGATGATTTCGTAGAAATATGACCTGGGGAGGAGCACAAGGTTTCCAGACGCCCATCGAACCGGAGAGCTTTACGGTCGAGAACTTTGGCGTACTCGGAAATACGCATACGGAGCGTGGATTGACTTGTATGTCAATGAGCCTTGCTTCACCGGATAGGCTAACGACTATCTACAGACGTTGAATTTTTCTACAGTGGACACATGACGCCTCGTAAGTCAGTGTTAAAACGTTGACGGTCGGTACTTACTTGTTTCCTTCCAGAATTCGTCCCCTGGGCAGCGTTTTCGACAATGTCATTCCTTCTTGGGCGGCAAGAATCACCCTCAAGCGGCTGAAATTTGGCGAAGAGAATAAAATCAAGTAAACGTGGTTGCTCAAAAATGACTCATGTTACTGTATGTTGTGGAACGAGAATCCTACCTTTGTTCTAACGGATACAGCGGTTGCTGGTATCCAGTACCGTGTGAACTCTGAATCGCGAATTTGTATCTTCAGACTCAGCCCGGCTCAATAATGTCCTCATCTGGAAAATGCACCTTCGATATATAGCCCTACGTAGACCTTGTAGGGCATATAGTCTGAGAGCTAAGTCCGCAATACTGAGTGCTATGTAATACACTGACCGCTACCATAGTTGTCTATAGCGCGGAGCTACAAGTGCTATAGTGCTATGCATGCTATGGCCGGAGACCCCTTTTGCGGCGGTCCATTCATCCGTCCATTCCTTCCGTTAAGCAATCAGGTACCGGCATCTGACTCAAAATGGAACACTGACAAGGATCCAGAATACTAATAGAAAGGTTGGCATGGGCCGCATGGCATCATATTAACTTCAAGTATGTGTATAGTACTAGTGTAGTAACAGTGTAAACGAATATCTGAATACCGAGGTCAGTAAATTTATGCAATAGCAGGCTGCACCTTGAATAACAGTCCGTATAATCCGCTGCAAAGTAGATATCAGCGGTACTGTAAGGACCATCACGTTCGAAGTTCGAACGGCACATCAGATAGTACTAATAGATTTACTATAAATCCCACCGCTGTGAAAATTAGGACAACAACGGTGAAGGGAGATGTAGAGTCCTCAAGTAGGATGGGATAAGGACCAGCATGGACTTTGGGAAGGATCGCATTGGGACGCGACAGCGCACCTTATAAGGCGTGCCTTCAAGGGCTTGACAAATTAATGCGCCGGACGGATCACAGGGGCTGCACTATGGTGCTACGCCGCTATATCAGTATGTAGGACGACCGAACTATATATCACACTGTAACTAGCTACGTCTTATGGATTGTTATGTATCTTAATGAATTCTATATTGCGAGGGGGGGTCTACAGCAAGAAAAAGCATTTTCCAGATGTGCTTTTACCTGCTTTGACTCTCTGAGAGCCCACTCGTTCATCTTCTTTCTTCAGCGGTCTTGAGTGCATCTCTCACACTGTGCCTGTCGAACACCTTCCAAAGGGCGATAGTTAGTGTCATGAAACTCGATAATGTGGAACGAGTTGTTGTACATGAGTCGTTCTTAATTGACCGTGGTGGTGTCGGCTAGCGCCGGTCTCTTCCGACTATTCACGTGACAATTCGGCCTAACACCGTGGGAAATTTTCACTCTGTCCAGATAATTTTCGTTTTTGGTAAAATTTCGATGCTAGGTCGACCGCTGACAACAGCATTTAGGCGTCCATCCTTTCCTCTCTTCACGTCTTTTTTTTCCACAACTTCTTCCTGTTACGCCAAAAAGATGCCTCCCAAGAAAGTAGTAGCAGAGAAAAAGATTTTGCTGGGTCGGCCAGGAAACAATCTCAAGATTGGTATCGTAGGTCTGGTCTGTTCCCTTCGGATATTCGTCTTTTCTTCTCCTGATTTACTCTTTTTCTTCAAGGCGTGCCCAACGTAGGAAAATCGACTTTTTTCAATGCTCTGTCCAACACCAGTATGCCTTGATTTCTGTGGATCGGACTCGGTTGGTTACAAGGATTACAGGTCTGGCGATCGCAGCGAATTACCCGTATGCGACCATCAATCCTGAGGTGGATCCTTTTTCTATATCAGAAAGAAATATGTGATAACAGCTTTCAGGAAGCACGCATTCCAGTCCCAGATGTCCGGTTTGACTGGCTATGCGAGACGTACAAACCTGTATCCAAGATCCCGGCCTTCTTGACCTGTATAGATATCGCTGGATTGACAGCTGTGAGTGATTTCACTGTTGCTGAACTCAAGTGGAGTGTATCTCACAATCTTAGGGCGCTTCAACTGGTGCAGGTCTCGGCAATGCTTTCCTGTCTCATGTTCGCGCCGTGGATGGTATCTTCCAAGTCGTCCGTGCGTTTGAGGATGCCGAGGTTACGCATGTCGAGGGCGATGTGGATCCCACACGAGACATGAGCATCATCCAAACTGAACTACGGCTGAAAGACATCGAATGGGTAGAAAAACATCTGGAGGGGATGAAGAAGACTAGCAGAAGTCTCAATAGCACGAGTTTAGCTGATAAGGCTAAGAAGGAAGAGATTGTAGGTATTGTTCTGCTTTGTCTGACCTTAGTAACTCTTATGATTTTTGTCAGGCAACCGTCGAAAAGATTCTGAAGGTTTTGTCTGTAGATGAAAAAGATGTTCGGAAACAAGACTGGTCCAACAAAGAGGTGCGCAATGCAGCCAGCGAATTTTTTTTGCTTCGTGATGAAAAAGAGCTTTGTGCTCGATTTAACCCAGCTCTTCGAAGAGGGAGTAACGCCCCATTATTCTTATGAGATTTTTTTCATGTTCTGATCCTTCATCTTTCCCGCCTGCTTTGAACATAACTGACGTATTTTTTAATAGGTGAATATCTACCCAACTGAATTCTCGAATGACGACAAAGAGCTTGAAGCTCGATTAACCCAGCTCGTCGAGGCGGGAGTAACGCCCCATTATGCCCATGAAATCATTCTTCTATCTGACTTCTCTATTCTTCCTTTCTTTCCCATTCTTGAATCTGACCAGTTAATCTAAAGATCGACGTCGTCAATGGCCTGCAACTACTCACCGCCAAACCGGTGACCTACCTTGTCAACTTGAGCGAGCGGGATTACATACGAAAGAAGAACAAGTGGTATGTTAATCACGGTCAATCACTATGAGTACGCTAATTACTTTTCAAGGCTACCCAAGATTAAAGCATGGATTGATGCTAACAACCCCGGCGATCCCTTGATCCCTTTCTCTGTGTCACTTGAAGAGCGTATGGCCAGCATGTCACCTGAAGAGAAAGAAGAAGAACAGAAGAAAATCGGAGCGCAGAGCGCCTTGCCCAAGATAACGCAGGCCGGATATAGTAGTCTGGATGTAGGCTTTCTCATTTACTTGCCAGTTTATACCTTGTTGTTGATCTGATGCTTTCTCTCAGCTCATCCGATACTTCACGTGTGGTCCCGACGAAGTACGAGCATGGACCATTCGAAAGGGAACCAAAGCACCTCAAGCCGCCGGTGTCATCCAGTACTGTCCTTTTCCTCTGATCGAGATATCGCGTGCTGACAATCGTCTTTTTTCAGCTCGGATTTCGAAAACAAATTCGTTTGCGGCGAAATCATGTCTTACGATGATTTGAAGGAGTATGGCACTGAAGCTGCTGTCAAGGCTGCTGGGAAGCTGAGGCAACAAGGGAAGCCTTATGAAAGTAAGTTGACTTTTTTCCCAGAGTCCTGAAGCGAGTTTTAATCATTCGAAATAGTGGTTGATGGTGACATTGCTTACTGGAAAGCCGGAGCATAAGATCTATGCTCATGTCAGTAGGTAACGTTATCATAGGAAATGAGTGTATGTAGTACAAAGGAAAATGAATGTATACAACTAGATCTGAATGTTTGGCACTCACATCTACATTTTTTAGTGCGGACGATGTTAAAATTGATTTCGGCCGAAACGCTATCGCAAATCGGGTACGATAAGCCGATCAATGGTCTGCAACCTTGACATCTTACCACCATCATCACCTTTTCCATGGGCTGCAAAGGGTGCTACATGCATTCCACACACCGATTTTCTGTGAAAGTAATAAGCCCGTCTCTGAGCTGTTTACTGCTTCCCCAATATATTACCCAGTGGCAATGAATCCTTTGCGTGACAAGAGGATGGCAACGGGGATTGGTAACGTTAGAGAAGCACCTGACCGTGAAAACGGGTAAAGAAGACCGACACGTTTACGAAGTTAGGAGTAAACTACTCTGTCATTGCTTCCGGCACTGGATCTTCCATCGGGCAAAACTTGTTCGGCCTCCGTTCTGGATAAACATCCTTTTCCCATCGAACGGCACAGCGTCTCAACTATAGAAGCCACCTACTCTCTTTTATCCTGATGCCTTTATGGATTAGCACAGCGGGTTCATTGTGGGGCCCAAAAGGTGACTCTCAGCTATCCAAGGTACGTTCTGTCCTGCGTGTTGCTCGACATCTCTGACGGGTTTCCCTGTGTCAGTCATCCCGCTATTTCCCGCCGTGTCCCTTTTGTTGGACATTGATAAAAAAGCGTCCAAATGGATATCTTTATTAGTACTAATAACATGAGGCCTAGTATTTCTGTGTCGAGCGTAGAAAAAGAAGGGATAGGGCAATCAATGCGTAAGTTTCCCGATGCACAGTCCTCCCCATAAATACTAATGGTATACGCATATATTTGGCGCAGACCAAATAACGTTGGTATCAAATGATTATTGGTATATGCCAACCTTATTGTAAGCCGACGCGGGCTGGCTAATAGGGCTAGGTCCTTGCGGCAGTCCGATCAGCTGCTCAATCTGGAAACGGAACTGTTCGACAACGGGACGGTTGAGCATGAATTGATCGAAAGGCTTCGTATCCAGCAAACTTCCGTAGGACGCCAAAGCTATACAGTGATGACCAATGAGCACTCCAAAAATTACGAAAGAACCGAATGCATACGCTGAAGTCCGGCCTTCGGCGGAACATCGTTACGCACACTCCATCCTCCAGTTGCCAGCACGGTCTGGTAGTCGACAGAAAGCAACCAGTTCATATAGAGCTTTGCCGCGTTGGGGTGCGCTGCGGTGTTGAAAATTGCAGCGCGCTGGGACCAGATACAAAGTCCACTGGGGTCGCTTGTGGGTAGCTGTTCGATAACACCGGTGGTGGCATTAGGGAAACCGGCAGCGGTGGTGAATGTCACTGCCTGCGGCGAGGAGGAAGAAAGGAGGACGGTAGTGGGAGTAACACTTCCTCGGACCCAGTCGATGCCCATAGCGATGAAGTTGTTGATCGCGGCCCAGCCATGGGCTTGCTGGATCTTGTAGAACCTGGGCAGTTGTGAACATTAATGACCAGTGCCTAGAGAAAGGATCTCACAAGAAAAGGACACCGTCATCGTCGTTGGGGTATACGGATACGATCTTGTTCTGCCACTGCGAGTTCAGATAATCGAGGAAATTCTTGGGCGCATCGGCGGCAGTCGTTTTCGCCGTGGCGTACGTGTTGGTGAGAAGGTAATAGGCTATGCCTCTGCATCACAACCCCTCTATCAACGGTCATCCGAAATATGGAGCGATAGGTGGACTTACACGAAGGCTCCATCTGGGTCTTTGATGTCGTTCGTAATCTGATCCCATCCAGCCGGTTTGTAGTTGAGGAGCTTGGGACCTCCTATCAGTCGGAGCAAGACCATGACCTTCGAGTTCACTTACGCGACCTTCACTCTTCCATCGCACGAAGTCGTGATACGTCTGCAGATGGGCGACATCTACTCCGGCCTTCCCAGTCTGATTCAAGGAGCGGTCGATAATCCCATCATGGTACTACGGATAAATCAATAAGACTGAGGGGGATATTTGTAACGAGAGGTTCTTGCCTTGGATAAATCGACAGTGATCGTGATGTTCATCTGCGGGAATCTTTGCTGGAAAGCCTGGACGAAGGGATCTTGCTGATCACTCGTGTCGCCCCCTGCTCTAACCAACAGTTGTCCTCCTTCAGCAACTGCAAGAGCATACAGCTCGTCAAGGGTGCGCGTCTCCACGCCGGACGAGGTCGGGCTAGGTCTAGCTGAGCTAGCGGCAGTGACCGTGGCATTCGTAGTGCTCGTAGCATTGGTGCTGCTCGTAACATCAGCGCTGCTCGCGGCAACGCTGGCACTGGCTACAGAAGTGCTATTTGCGGTAGCACTGATAGTCGCCGCAGAGGACGGCGAGCTCGAAATGAGATACGTCGCGAAAAGAAAGAAGAAGGCGCGCATTGTGAACCGATGTTCAGTAAAGAATGAATGAGTATGCCAAATATGAAGAGGAAAGGGCACGATTTTCTGTGCTGACCATGACCTCGTCTTTATAGCGTTCTGTTCTCATCTTTGTAACCAAATCGCATCTTCGTCTTATGCAACTGTGCCTTGGTACGGTTACCATTCCACATCCGCCAAGGTGAACCCCGCCCAAATACGCGTCACATTTGTTGAGTGCCAACGTCATTTCGATGCGAACATCGGTAAATTCAATCAAGAAAGATTATCATACGTACACTACGTCCTCGAAAACACCGCGACATTGAAAACCAAAACATCAAGCCCCTGACCTTGTAATGAAAGGCTTGTGGGCCTCCTACGCCCGCACTCAGCGCTGACATCAGAAACGGGGTGGAAACAATGCTGCCATTGATCGGCCCAAGCACACCTTACTGCAAACCAAGGAATTGGACGCGAGTTTCAATGAGTACGTCGTTTCCTGTGGAGAAGGCTTCACCCAAAAACCCAAAAATATAGACCTTCATCATACCAGCGCTTCCCGAATCCCGAGTTCGGCTTATTCATTAGGCCGGTGATCTCGCAATTTAGGAGGTCGGCCCTTCGCGCTGACGGACCGCGATTTTGGCTACCAAAGGTCTTATAGAGGCGCGATCTAACCCTTTATACCATCGCTGCGTAGTCCACGACGTTTGGTGGCTGCATTAGCCAAATGGAACGGTCCAACTGAAACATGGTTGGCAAGGAAAGACACTTTAGCCCTTAGAAATCCACTCTGTAACAACACTAGCTTCCTATAGCTACCTCTGGCCTAGACACGTTCGTAAATCTGCACGGGACTCGAAACGATGAGAGTGCGGCGGTCCGAGCTGAGAATAGACAAAACACTGGTCAGTCAGTACTGGGTTGTAATAGCAGCTTATGCCAGCTGTCTTCAAGAGCTCTACAATTCATTTGGTGGGTTCCACACGGCATTCAAATTCCGGTACCTTAGGTCGTCATAACTTCACGTATAGCATGCATCAAGCCCTCTTTCGCCTTCGATTCTGCGCGCGAAAATGACCCTTAGGGTCTCCATACCGCATGTCCCCAATCTTCCGCCTTCCCTGAATGCTACGGATCGCAAGGTGTAAGCTCGGAGGGTTCGAGTGGGTTACGCCACATCCGTGTGTTTCCTCCAGCGTACCTATGCTGTTGGTACTATACCGCGCACTCGATGATGGTGGTGGGGGTAGGGAGCGATCATCTTCAATTTCATCGTGCGATGATCGATCGACGATATTTCGTAGTAAAGCGCTTGTCTAATTTTGAAGAAATTCCGGGAGCTGATTCAGTGCGGGTGCCTCAGCCACTAGTCATGACTGGGATAATTTTGTTTGAGGGATCCCGAGTTTGCGCAGTTCATGATTACTTCAACATTCTTTCTACGGTCTATCACCTTGCCAAACGATTCCTACTATTATCATTCAGTTCTGGACTTCCGCTGTTCGTTGACCTCGGAGGACTATATTACATTTCAATGATTCTAACATAATCAGCCTCTCAAGGCTAGTTTTTAGTAGTGAACCGGTATCCGCATATGGAACTCTTCCGTTGTTCTTCCGTGAAGTTAGGTACGCGAATGAACTTATTTCTATCCCTGACATAAAGATAGAAACTGTCCTCAGTATCCAGGTGATTATGATGAAAACAGACGACAGTCGGCTGATACTCCAATTATGCCTAGGGGTGTGTTGCCCGATTTCTAGCGTCCCAGTAACCCATCGATTTTTACCAACTCACAAGGGCACTCGTTTCGTATCCCCACCACGTATTCCGGGTCGAGGTGATGGAGTGGCCTGTCGACGTGCCGTGTATCATTACTACTGTCATGAAATTATTTACCGAGTTGGAGTTGACGGGGCTATCATCGCGCAGCTAACATTGTTTCAGTCCAGGATACGTTCCCTGGAGTCCATATTGATATATGCTCGCGCTTTTCGCCAGGTTATCCGCCACAGGAAGTAATTTTATTCGAATACCTTGAATTTCGGCCGATGTATGCTTGTTTAAAATGGCCGTAGAGCGGTTGCCGACAGATGGTTAAGAACCAATAGGATAATCATCCTTCACACTGGTGATTAGTATTTCTAGATGGTAGAGCGCGACATTGTAGCAGCCACGTACCTTCTCGCGATACGACCAAACCAGCCACACCGCGAATAAAAATACCTGGGTTATTTATGGAAGATTACAGCACTGTCTCTTATAAAGTCGATCTATCCCTTACGATAGTCATCTGGAATAACAGTCATGTTGTTTCCATTCAGTTGTAGCAACACCTAAACGAGTCATATTATCCGATGTGCCTCAGTGCCAGAAAACAATTACCTACCATACTCTCGGGAATGTACTATGGCCAACCTGCCTAAGAGAGAGATCATAAAAATTATATGCATGGTGTAAGAACGCAGAAAACTTACGAGATGTCCCCAAGCTATCTTTAGGATCCAAACCGGCAGCAAATCATAGCCATTAGTCAATCATCATTCCGCTCAATACATTCGCTGAAACGATCTTGGTGAACGTTCTCAATAGCCCGTACAACGAAGCCCAATCCCGACGTATGAGGAACTGAAACCATCGTATTTCAGATCATGCCATGAGCAGTCGAAAAGGAAAGAGACATACCTCCAAAATTAGGTGGAGTTGTTGACAGATGCTGAGCAGATTGGTGCTCATACGCTCTTACACCAGCTTGTACGGCGGTCTGAGTCTAACACCGACGGGGAGGCTCGAACATCAGGTCACCGTCTGCACAGTACGTAAGTGACACTGAAAAACATACAGAGCAACATGTTGCACTAACACATAAAAGCCAGTCTCTTCAAGCCTGACGGATGCCCAAGGTTTGGTAGCCAGTACCATACGAGGATCCCAGTACGGGATCGTCAAGATAGAGTAGCAGGAATCGATCCAAGGCGGCCGCTATATAATTCCTAATTTGAGACTGTGAATTCCAAGGCAGACGCAGCAAGCGTTGCTCCTGAGACCAAAAATAAGAACCGACGGAGAGATGACGAGCCTTAAACATACTGTACCCTCATCCAAGTTCGCACCCGAAATGAAGGGAAGTTTGGCGAAACGGCCTGGAGCGAAGGTAGATAGGGAAGAAGGCCTGAAGAATTGCCGATACTGAGATTTAGGAGCTCTTGATAGATCGCGGAAGAATATACTTTACTGAGTTTGATCCTCGGGAATCGAAGCAGTCAACGGCATGCTGAAGAGCACGAGCAGCCTAAAGACCGTAATGGAAGTGTGGTAGGATAGTATTGTTGAAAGCCTTTCCTACATCGCCTGTGGTGCAGATGATAGTCATGTCGTTTGTATGGACTAACCCTTGGAGAGAATCCAATTGATGATAAAACCTCTTCGTTCGAAGCCAAGCTTTAGGAGCTTGAGCGTTGAAAGAAGGCCAAGTTTCGCTACAAGCAGCTCCCATTGAAGTGCCCATCCGACACGTGTGATATTCAGAAGAGAGGGAGTTAGGTGCGGACGGGAAATTCGATATAGAATAGGCAAGTCGATGAGCCTTGCTCACACAGTGATATGAACCGCCTGACTCTCTGCAATACATGTGCGGTGCCGGCACCTGGAAGGCCAAGATACTTGTCCTCTTGTGCCTTGGTCTTGTGGTTGCTGTTGACGAACAGTGAGCGGCTTTATGAAGGTCTGCTTCTTGAAAAGAAGCCTGGCGCGTACCTTTGAATTCCGTGTTGCCGTTCCCTATGTTGAACTTGAAGATGAATCTTTCATCCATGGAGATAAAAGTTTGCATGTCCTCTGCCATCGATATCCCTGAATACTACGAAGAACAAATGTCAGACTAGGCTGCATGATTGGAAACACTGAAGTCGCATAGAATCCGTCTACGACCAGTCCTTTTTTATATCTCGGGACGACACACGACCCGCCAAGAGCGAAATCTTTTCAATAGTAATAGATCGCAGCGTCCCGGTTTCTATCGCCTCCACAACGACGATATCTTCACTGAAAACCGCTGCTGCGTGCGGTCAAGGAGTGTACAGGTGTGGAATAAGGCGACGGTCTGTATCGGAGTGAGCTCCCGTAGAAACCTGACCTCGCAGCCTTCGACCTCGAAGGTGCTCAGCCAGAGGAAGTAAGCGTAATACTCCAATAATGTCTTCATCCGGCGCAGCGATCTAGCAATGTGAACGTCCCGCCATAATTCTATCGCTGAATGCATCGCCCAATGGCATCTCCAGGCCCATATGTATAAATAGTGCTGGTGTAGAAGTTGCAGAGCCGCTCATGCGTTGGAAAACGAAATGTGTCATCGGTGGAAAGTTGGCAACTGCAATAGCCGCTACCACTGTCGGGGCCTCTGGAGACGAAATTCATGCCCAGCAGTCCGCCAAGTCTGGAGCCATTCCTCGCAATGTGTATCTGCTTCAACAGGGAGCAGATGATCCCTTCTCGAGCCGCTTCAGGGCTGAATTGACAGTGGAACGAAATGCGAGTAAGGGTTGAAGGTACATGATTTTGGGGCCGACACTGGTGTTACAGCCTGTCAAGTTGAGAAATTCATGGCCTCTGATCTTCAGTATAACGATTCCTGGGAGAAGTACTTGGGCGGTAGCCTCGAGATGGTGATGGTGATAAACAAAGGACGCATGTGGCATGAATCGCCTTCAACAGTCCGTGATCATTTCTTCGGACTTCCCAACGTTGTCGTCGTTCTATGCCTACATGCGAAGTGAGTCCGAGTTTAGAGTCGGCGTCTCGGTCCCTTTAAGATGGTTATCATGATCCGAGTCATCTCAATTCACGGTTATATGCGCCAGATGCTGTTCCCAGTACTCCTTTACCTCTAGCCACCACCATCATGCCCGGTTCACCGTGGAAATGGCAGCCAAGAGACAGCGCACCTCGTCTGTCACGTAAAAAGATTGCAGAACAGACGCTGAATGCCATCAAGCACGGTCACTTCGACCTTCACGGTGCCAGATACGACCTCGCCACTGCTGAAGAACGATCATGTCGCTCGACAAAGTACTACGCTCCTAACTCTCTTCTCTCTACATGGTCACAGGTTCCAGGACCCTCGTCAGCCGCGGGGACCCGTATCACCATATCTGAAATCTCTACCCTCGAAGGACTACGACATCTAGCTACCAGCAACAGCGCCGGGAAGATCGCTGTTCTCAATTTTGCCTCTGCAAAGAACCCTGGTGGTGGCTTCCTTACTGGTGCACGCGCCCAGGAAGAGTCTCTGGCGCGTTCATCGACACTTTACCCCAGTCTTATGACGGAGACTGCTCAAGAGTTTTACAAGCTGCATAACCAGAAGAGGAATCAGGACCGTGGGTTTTACACCCATGCGATGATATACTCGCCATCCGTGCTGTTCTACCGGGACGACGAGGGAGATTGGCTGGAGCCTGTCGAAGTAGATGTGGTTACTAGCGCAGCGGTGAATGCCGGTGCTGTACGAGCACATGCCGGCGACGAAAACGGAAGACTGGAAGAAAAGATCGAGAAGGAGATGTGGGAGCGGATGGGCCGTATCCTGTTCTTGTGTGAGAAGATGGGCGCGAAGACCCTGGTTCTAGGAAGCTTCGGGACAGGCGTCTTTCAGAACAAGGTCAGTGTCGTCGCGAGACACTGGGCCGATCTGTTGTCGGTACCCGGAGCGAGGTTTGCAACTTCATTCAACAGAATTGAGTTCGCGATACTGGGGAAGGAGACAATCAAAGAATTTAGAGAAGTTTACGAGTCGAGGATGAAGGAGAGGGGTGCTACTGGATGAGCTAGGTCTGTTCACTTCGTCTCGCTGTGTTCTCCGTGTTCTCCTTGATAACAATTTTCCTTCAAGTGTTATAATGACGCGTCTCGTGCCTTTTTATCTAGCCTCTGGTCCTGTCGTATCCACTCCGCTCTCGGTTTTCTACAGCATTCATCACATGTATTTTGATACCCGTGCAATGCGATACATATCATCCTTTCTTCGATGTCAATCGAGAAGAGTTTGTGTTATCTCCGTGGCATCTATGTCCAGTATAATAAGTCAGTCGCTTGGCAATTGTGTCTCACGTCACTCTGATGTCTTCTCTAGCCCTGTATTCTGTATCAAATCGAGATGAATATAAAGCTACATACACCTCCTCCCGGATCGAGAAGAGCGATTACACCATTCGTAGTTTCAAGAAACTTGTATACTACTGATAGATGCTCGTCAGGAAGAGCCTTTTCTACTGACACAGGTTGAGAATCGTTGCGGCAGCGTTTAAGGATAGCCGTGCAAACACACCCGTCGTTTCATGGGCCCGGAGTCGACCCTCCTTTCAGTGACCGCTTGTAGAGACTATCAGTGCTGCTGAGCACGAATCCACATTTCCAATAAAGTGAAATGAATTCTAGAGTGTATGGTTTCTAGCACTACGAGACACCTGTTTCTTACAGAGAAGGTCAATTCCAAGCTCGCTGTCGCCCCGTAGTGAATTCGCTAGAGCCCGAAATACTATTCCGTTTAGGCAACTTCGAAAAAGACCATTCTCCTTGGAAAATATTCTCCGCGATAGAACGAACTTGGCTCTCCCCAAACGCGTACGAACGACCTAGTCGATCCGTCAGCAGTTTATCACGTATCCACTGAATACGCAGAGTCGTGTCCCAGCCCAGAGCTTCTGCTTGATCTTCCGAAACACCTCCGTCTTGGTTGACGAGGGACGTCACTCCCGATGTCACCAATGCAGGGAGGTCGTATTTTCTGCCAAGCGTTATTCTCTCTATCACATCGATTTGGAGGTGACGCTCGATAATCCTTGGAATGACTTGGTTGCGTATATCCGTCATGAACCATATTGTCGAGAGCTTCAAGATCGATATCCAGTCTTCTAATGGCCTCGTCAACACGGGCGGGATATTCCTTGAACTACGTGAGAAACGAGACCAAGGAGATTTGTTGTCTGTAATATCATACGTTGGATACATATACTGGAGCAAACGTTCAAAGTCGAGTTTGCTGATGCCTTGTAATCGGATGGGGTTATCATCGCTACTGCCTTCGACGTTCGTATTCTCGGCCTGGGGAAGAGTGAACATTGCTTTAAAGGTGTCCGAGTGATTGATAAACTGATATCTAGGCGCACGGAATAGCTCATCTTCGACCTTTCTCCCATCATTTCATTAGTACGTGATTCAAAAAGTGTTGTTTAGACTTACACACCAAAAAGACGCTGGTTTCCCAGTAAAAGGCCATATTCCTGGTCCACTGTGCCCTTTCCGTCTCCGCAGAGGCACTTTGAAGACGTTGAGACGCCGGTTTTTCTTTGGTATCGATTCCTCGCATGGTAGTCAGAAAGGAGTAGCCTTAGGTAAAACATTGCAAAGCGAAACATTACAGTCTCAGGAAGGTGCAGAACGTCGCCTCCGGGCCCCCGGCCCCAAACGATTGACGCCAACAGAACTTCATGGCTAGTGTCGCTTTGAAAAAGAAAGAAGCACGGATTAGGAATGTATCTGACATTTAACGAAGGAAATCGACATAAAAACTCGTCTAATACAACGGTCAGCCGCCGTCATCATCTTCATCGACAAGAAGGCAAAACTCCAAGAGGCCGCGGGATGCTACAGTCGGCATTCTCTCCTTGATCATGGCTACGACATCATCCATCATAGGGGGATCATCTGGCCAAGGATTCTCGGTCACTACGGGACGTGTGGCATGAGCATCAGGTTCATCATCATCCTTGGGGCTCTCCGACAGGTAAGTGAACAGATCTTTGAGGAAATACCAATGTCCGTTGTCAATATCAATATCGAAGACGACCCGGAGCAGAGAAGGAAAGTTCGGACTACCAAGAAGGTTGTCAAGGTCGGCCCAAACGGGGAGGTCCTGGTAGAATGGGAAATCGATAGGCTTCTCCAATACGAAGTGTATCGCAATGCAAATATTCCAAAGTTTTCTGAAGGTAACATGACGAAGAAGACGCTGAATGTCGTGTAGACACGAGGCATCATTTACGACGTAAGGATTTTCTGAGCGAATGTCTAGGGTTTCTAATGCAGTAAAGTTTTCCAGCGCTGCTGTCGAAATGCAGTAGTCTGTGCATACAGTTAGCAGTGATGGTGAACCAAGAATTGATCGCACATACCTAACATGTGGTTGACTTTAATTCCGGGACGGTGTGGACGCAGTAGCTCCATGTCAAGACAGAGATGCTTGATCCCAACCCCAACTATACTGATAAACGGTGCAACATAAATGGGAAAATTTTGGGGAACTTCACGATGCAGTGTCTCCAACGAGCATTTCGATAACAATGTGAGCTCGGTTAGACCACTGAGATCGAAAGCTGATCCTGAAAGCCACGAGAAGATGTACAAGCTGTGTGTGATATCTTGGAGGTAGAGATGCCTCAGACGTTTGGGGACGGGGTCAACATGGTTATGTAGGACAGACCCAATTCTCCTGCTTTCAGCTTGGTGAGACTCTCCGATGCTAATTTCTGCGATACCGAGGCTCTTCAGGCCGACCATTTGCGACGTGAGATCCAATAAATCCTCCGGTTGTTCGAAAGCCACATTACACATCTCTAGACATTCCATTTGAGGAAAACGGCAAAGCACCTCGATTTCGGTCTTGCGTAGAGAGGGGAAACCGTATATTTTCAGTGATCTAACATTAGTAAACTGACGTATGAGCTCCAAGGTCGGGGGCTCAACGAGAGGTGAGGGTTGTGAGGGTTGTGATGACACAACCTGTCGTTCATCCCCAGGCCATTTCCCACCCCCCAAGGTGAGGCTGGTGACATAGCCAGTGAGGTGAGGATAAGCAGTGAATTTCCGTATACAGGAGTAGTATTGAGATTGTCGGGTCAGCGAGAGGTCAGCAAAAACAAGGGGCTGGGCGAGTGGGAGCCAAGCGTGACAGACAAGACAGCACGCTTCTAGAGAAGTGCGGCTGCCTTCTAGGTATCCGAAGATACGCAGCATCAGTTCTGGAGGAAAGGAAATCATGTAGCGAATTTTTTCGGCAAATCAGACTTGGATATAGTGTTGCCGCAGCTTCGGCTCAAGCTGCCGAGCTGACCGAGCTGATGCCCGAAAGCTCCGAGCGGAGCTGAACTTTTCGGCTCACAGCTCCGACGACCGTATTAGGCAACAAGTTTATTCGGATTCTATGTTCTTACCATGCCATTTCCATGGCTTTAGGCTATTAAAAATGTACTGGCTTATGTTCAATCTATACTTCCTGATGTTGCTTCGACGTTGCAAGAGCAAAATACTCTCCCAAGAAGAAAAAAAGTAAATTCGTGAGAATATTGCACCCAATATGGAACTCATGCCTCTCGCACAGCCACACAGTCGAGCTTCAAGTAGATCCTGCTCAATTTCGACCTTTTCACTCTCGGGACACATGTGGAAATGTTGTATAAGGTGGTGAGATATCAAACATCATTTCTGGCAAATTCATGGACTCGTATACGCAGAAAATAAAGAGAGATGTTTTTGTTGCCAAATTTGGAGGTCGAGCTACAGCTTGAGCTGGAGCCAGCTGGAACTAGTGTTGCCGCGGCTCAGCTTATCTCGGCTTAACGCCGAAGTCGGTTTTGAGTCGTTTATTCTGACTGCATCAACATTCAAAATGACAGACATTTTGATGCTCGCATTCACTGAAGAGACTTATTGGTATCATCAGAAATTGTGTTCTTGTTCCTCCTACCCTCCTATCCTCGGCGGCTCAAAATCGACTTCGGCGTTAAGCCGAGATAAGCTGAGCCGCGGCAACACTACCTGGATATAGCAAAATTTCCAGAACGGAATGATCTACCTGAGTCCAACAGAGTATGTTCAAGATTCTGTCACCGCAGTGTCAGTACTGCAGTCACTGTGGACGGAGGAGAGAAAGCAATGAGGCCAGCCGGCAGGCCCGTAGGTTCGGGTCTTAATCTTCCGGGCCTGATATCCCGTGACAATGTCACTAACGACCGCGATGTAAATTTCTTCTTGCTCAATGCTCTCTGTTCTGTTTGCCTATCACTTCTGCGACCTCACGGAAATTGTTCGAAGAATCTGCATTTGCTTCGTGGTAGCTGGACCCACGATGAACGTATATATGTTCACAAGGTGGTTTAGTTCTTCCAGGCAGCGCTCCCAATGGCACAATTTTCCATCTAGGGTAAAACAAGTATACGCTGTCTTCGAGTTTCAATCAACTGTCTAAATCATCGTTTAGGAATAGATTGCTTGCTCCAGTGCAGACGGGCCCTTGAGTCAGTTTGGGTCTTACAGAATGGGACTGATTTTCACCTCAAATGATGAGAATGCGTAGCTATGCGCATTGCGTAGTCGCAAAGATGCCTAAACCCTTGGTGGTGGCATGTGCGAAAGATTGCCGGATGTTTATCCGTTGAAGAAAATCAGAAGAAGTCTAGGTTTTCGATATCAATATCATGGATAAACTTGTCAGGACCGTGCGTACGTCGAGTAGAAGGGCCAATTTTGGCTGCACGTTTCCATTTCATTCGCTTTCGCAGCTATTCCGAAGATCGGTTGCTCTCTCAGGCATATTGAGAATCCTCCATGCCGTGACCAAAGCAATTCTTTCTGCCTGCTAAACGGTTTCCGGTGCTCCCTTTGCTCGCTAGTTTCTTCCGGATACGATTATTTCCTGCTAGTACGACTCACAGTCGGCCGAAAGTCTCAGGATCAACGGTCAAGTGCGCGATGGTACTTCTGCTTGTCCGCCACCCGCCATCAGAACGGCAGTTTTGCTTCAAGACATCCCTGTCATGTTTCTGTCACCATATGTTATTCATCCACAAGGGATATTGCTCGCGTTAAGTGAAGAATGCGAAGTGGTCGATTCTTTCGGTTTTTAAGAGCTGAATGGCTTACCATAACCAGAACTCTCAGGAGCGTTGCTACATTATGATAATGTTAGCATCGAATCAGATGATTCCAGCTTTCCGACGACACGGTGCTTCGCTATTCAAGAGACTGGTGTCTTTAGTCCAGTATAATCAGGATCCATGGGACATCTAGCGACCTATGCACGCCATGGTCCTAGCTACGACTGGGCAGGTCATGGACATGAGAGTAAAGTAATCGCTTTTTTTTCATCTGGCACCTGGCTCCACATACTGAAGGAACGACACTGATGGAAGCGTCAACTGTCCGTAACACGGTCACGAGGCTACGTTTCTCACTGTCAAAAGACACGACCTATCTTCGTTGCTGTCTTTCCTTCCAATGGGGTGTAAAGGAATCGCCTGCGGGGAATGATTACGATGGTGTCCAGGCCTGTCGTGAGCTGGAGGTCTGATGTACATTTCGCTGTATCACAGGCACCTTCCCCCGATCTTCCGAAAGCCAAGCCAACCACAGGGATCTATCCAGAGGCTGATTGCGCGGTGCAGACGTACCTGGTTTAAATACCCTCCGAATCATCCGTTCTCATCCCTGTATCCAATTTCATCCCCCACCCCGCTCAAAAAACACTACTATGACTGGCAGCGCTTCATTATCAGCTATCGCTGTCCTCGAAAATCCTCGTGCAGTTGAAAATTCCAAAACCGTGCTTTTCGATGCCCATCTCTACTACCAGGATACGCATGGGCCTGATCCTGGCCTTGCCTCTCTTCGCTATTACAATGCCAATGAGCTCTCTTTCGAGCAAGTGGGAGTATACTTTGTTCATGTGAATGTAAGCATTCATCTACTCTGACTATCCCTACCGCTCACCGAAGTCTATAGATCGCAAGAATGGAGCACGAGCTGTCCAGCGTGGCGGTTTTGGATGGTCTGTCTAAAGAAAAATATGTTTTAGTGGGAGACATCGTGTCGGTGAGTCGAACTCGGTGATCTACATTACTATTCAGAGCTGACCATTTCACTCATAGATTATCCCAACCGCCGTGAGGGATATCGCTGATGTCAAATTCCGGCCCTTTGTCAACATTTCTGGCGTTGTAACCAGTGTCAACAGCAACGATAAAACTTTCCATCTCGCTCCTGAGACCTACGTCCACGCCCTTAAGAACTGCAAGACTAAGGCGACGCTGCCAATTCGATGTTTCTCTGCAGTTACCGCCCAAAACTTAGGTGCTAAAATGCCTGATCCCCGTGTGGGACACTACGTGTCAGTTTCGGGGCACCTTCATCGGGTGATCCGTCGACTGGAGGATAACATGGCAGACTTCTTCGACGTGGAGTTGGACAAAATCACATATCTTGGCCCGCCATACACTCCACCGTCACCTCCATCTTCAGGTAAGCATGGATTGGATTTTGATGTAATTTTTACTTATGGGTATAATATCTAGGTATACCCACAGCCCCAGCGGGCAAGATCAGGTTTAGCTACACGGAGAGTAGCCCATGTTTGTGTAAGAAGCGGAAGATTTCGGAGACTACCGCGTAAAATTCTACTACTTATCTTTGTCGCAATACTCCTGGTATACGGACATTGGGTTTAAAAATATTTGTGTCACATTATCTTGTACGGGGACCTAACGGAAGCTCTATGTAACTACGTGGGAGAGAAGTTGCCACAAGTCGATGCTCGGTAAACTTATCGCTGAACCTTCTTGTCCGATCTTGCGCACATATTCTTTCATTACAATGAGCGTGTTCCCAGTGTCTATTGTCTTGCGTGCCAAAACCGAGTGGTCTAGCTGCCTGAAATTGTACAGGAACGGCGCAGCTTTTATAGTCGCCATTAGTTTGAATTATTCGCTTCCGCTGCATCAACATTGCTATCAACTCCTAGCTCACTCCTCCCTTCAATATCTGCGTAACGACTGAGGTAATGGCACCGGCTTTCGTTGGCTGTACCTATACGAGGGTGAAGTGATTATCCCTGCGCTGGTCGTCGCGGCAGCAGTTCTCACAAGGGATCTCTCCGGCGGCCACCCAGGTAGCGTAACGGCACCGTAAGCATTTGACTCTCTTTCAACTTTACGGATCTCTGCACTGAAAACGTCGAAAATCGTGTTCAATGGATCTGACCCTCCTTCCCTGACTCTCTCTTGCGCTTCCCATACTTTGAGAATGGAATCCCGGCGAAAATACGTCGCCTCTGTGCCTGTGATACACGTTCCACGTTCAACTAATTTGTACAGGCCTAGTTGTAGCCAAGGAAGGACAAAATAAGTGGTGCCAAGGTCGACAAGTACCGCAAAGTTGGTACAAATCATAGGATGGAGCTGCTGTATAGTTTTATTGCGAGCGTCAATGAGCTGCCAATTGGTGGAAAGCTTCAGCGCGCTGGTCAGCACATGCAGTTCGAGTTTCCCGCTGTCACTATGTCTAACAACGGTTCGATTAAAATTCTCATAACTGGTTAACGAAAGCGCCTACCGCATATGTATGACTCGCAGTAAGCTTTCAAACTCTGCTGAAGAGACACCTTCCAAAACGATCGGATCATCATCGTGAGAGCCTTTTCCTCCAGTTAGATCCAGCTCCTCCCAAAATGCGGATTCCTCGAAATCACGTATCGGAACTTTGAATAGCTGGGTCCCAACCTGTGATCTACATTGACATCAAAGAAAACATGCTCATCTGAGTTGACGCACCTGAATGACTGCATTCTGCCAGTAAAAAGCGCTATTGTGTATGACCTTACGTGTCGTGTTGTCATTCGCATGGAAGATGAGAGACTTTGCTGCCTCCAGAAGCCGAAACCCGTACGTTTTGACATTCAATGCCAAAGACACTGTAGTTATCATTAACTGCGAGATTTTGAGCATATCTTAAACCCATAAAACCAGTCACATACCATCAAAAACGCACAAAGTATCTGCGACAGCATAGTACAAAGAAGACAATTAAGCCAGCACGTGCCCCGGACACATTCGAAGTCAAGCTTGTGCCCTGGGGTGAGTCATCGAATCTGACAGCAAAGCATACACTCGAAGTTAACGTAAATCAAGAAATTGTAATGCTTGACATCTAGGCCAGGGCAAGAATCTAAAAGCACCGATTTCAGGCGTCAAGATATCTTTGGCTTGCGGCGTCAGCGAGCCTGAACTCCTCCTGGAAAACCTTGTCAAACGCTGCCTGGACATCATGATCCGTTAATGTCCCATTATACTTCACATATCCCCTGTTTCCGGCCTGCTTTACCAACGCATCCTCGCGCAACTGATAGATCTGTATGGCTGATTTGAACCCGATCTGTTCAGCTTCTTCTGCTGATAGCGACTGTACACGTTTCACAAGGCTGAGATAGCCGGTGCGAAGCCATGGTGAAATGGAGTAGGATTTCGCGAGGACTACCCGTTCTACGGGGTCCAGTTTCGCATCTTGTTGGAGGTACTCGATTGCGAGTTGGCGAATGTCGGAAAGTTGCCACATTGTAGACAACTTTAGGACCGAAATCCACTTGTCTTTGTTAAATGCAGAGTAGTCCTGCGGAATCTTTCTAAAGAAGAAATTGATATTAATTAATGATGCATGCAGGAAGCGAAGACTTCACTGAGGGTATACGATCTCAAGCAGATGCTCAAAATCGAGGGCAGTGATTCCATGCAACACTACGGGGTTCTCGTCACTGATCCCCTCGGGACCTTGAGTTCCCTGGGGTAGGCCAAATGTATCGGCGAATATCTCAGAGTGCTGCACGAGATAATGTGAAGGTATTTTAAAGAGGCGGTTTTCAACCTTAAAAATCTTAGGCTGATATGTAAATGAACTAGTGCAAGTGCGAATCTTACCTGAAATATCACATCGTTCCAGTAATATCTAGCATCGCGAATGGTACAAGAGGATTCTGGCCGTGACTGCAGCATTCGATGATGGACGTGCGATCAAGCAGCACGGTTGCACAGCCACACATTTATCAGCACAGTGGCAGCCGCCCGGCCTCCTGGTTTCAAATCCACCCTGTGCCCACCAGGATGCGGCGCGTCCCTGCGCGTTCTCGTTCCCGTTAGACGTAAGCACCTCATTGTTGGACTATTACGGCCACTTACACTGAGTCATTCACCATGCCCAATGACAGTATCGTACCATACCCTCGCAGCAGCGAGTTTTATATTCAACACATAATTCTTCTGGTGAGCTACAGTTATTCCCAGGCCAGTGAGAAACCCGATCGTTGACGACTCGGTCAGGTTGACGGCGTTCTCTATCAAATGCCGCGTTACCTCTTTGAAAAACACTCTGAAATATTCGCTACTATGTTCACTCTGCCTCAAGAGGGAACTATGGTTGAAGGATCCGACGACCAACACCCTATTGAGCTTCAAGGCATTTCTAAAGACGATTTCGAACCTCTTTTAAATGTCATGCTGACATATGGATTGTAAGCGCACCTACTTACGAATAAATGACGGTTATTGACGAAACTACAGTGAGAGCCCTCCACTCAAGCAAAACGAATGGTTTTCAGTCTTACGGTTGGCCAATATGTGGGGCATGGCAAGAATACGAAAGTCAGCACTAAGAAAACTCACCAAATCCATGCCGCTCGATGCCGTTGAAAGAGTTGTTTACGGTAGGGAGTTGGCGGTAGCAGAATGGGCGATATCTGGTCTTCGTGACTTGGTAGCCAGGCAGACTGCTATTTCCAAGGAGGAATCTACGCGACTTGGTGTGGACACCATTTTCAAATTATCGAATATCCAGCTTAAAGCTGGTATTTCATCGTGGTCTAGCGCTCCCGGCAAGGGAGGCAATAGTAAAATCGACGTGGAATTGAATCAATCGTTCGGCCCCGAGATTACCGATATTCATCACAGGGCAGTTGCGTTGGGATACGAAGTTCCTTCTGCAGCACCATCTTTCATACAGTAACCGAGTCACTATTGCGGTACATGTTAAGGCATGCTTCATCGTTGCTTCCCTTATTGTTCACTTTTCAGGCGTCTATTGTGTTCAATGAAAACAGCAGACATAAGGCTCTGATATGGAATGACAGTCGTGACCAACGACTGTCAAGCTAGGAGCCTATGGCTGCTAGTGCACCCTTTCTCGACATGCACTTCTATTGCAGTTACTTTCCCCCCCTTCACTGCTGCCATCATTTTCGGACATTAGGAACCTTTGCCAATGTATACATGATACTATTTTCATCCTTCAAATTACAAAATTGAGCATACTCATGGTCATTTTATGTGGTACAGCTCGCTTTTAGCGTTTAAGAATGCACACAGGAAAACGATTTTCTATAACTGTCCGAAATATACCTCACGTTTAGACTCAACTCGATGTTCTTGCGTCGTGTCCCCGTTTTGCATTTATTCCGTTCATCGTATGCAGTCATGTGCACGTGTAATTGCCTTTCTCGTCTTAGCATTGAAACTGTCAGTGTCACTGTTACCTAATTATCACCCAATTATTTACCCTGTTCCACCCTTATCGATACTTTCCTTTTCTCAAGCGACACTATGGCTAGCAAAACGAGCTATCCTCGAAGTACAGAATTTTATTGGCAGTCGGTCATTTTCCTGGTGCGCATAACCTTGAACTTGGCATGGCATGGCATTGATAGAGCTTTGCACATATATCCAGGTTGGAGGACAATTGTACCAGGTTCCTCGTTATCACTTCGAAAAATCCTCTGAAATTTTTGCGTCCATGTTCACCTTACCTTCCGACACAAAGAACAATGTAGCGAATGGTTCGGATGACGACCACCCCATCGAGCTACAGGGTGTGGAAAGCAAAGACTTCGAATGTCTTCTGAGAGTCTTATTGACGGAAGCAAGACTGTGAGTCTGGGATTGTATCTTCTCATTCTGTCCTTGACACGTTTTTACAACCACTAGAGAAAACACACCCTTGCTTCCTGAACAGTGGCTTTCAGTGCTGCGCCTGGCCAACATGTGGGTCATGTCAAAAGTCCGTCAAATTGCTATCTACGAGCTCAAAAAACTTTCCATGACCGACGTCGCCAGAGTCGTGTATGGTAAAGAACTTGCGGTGCCGGACTGGGTCATTTCGGGCTATCGCGATCTGGTTGACCGCAGAAATGCCGTTTCCGAGGCAGAAGCTCAGCAGCTCGGTTTAACCACCACCCTTCAGCTATGGCAGGTTCAGATGAAGCTCGTCACCCGCATGCCGATGGGCGCAATGGGTTATTCTTATGGATACAGGCCACCCCCGACTCCCCGCGATGTGTTCTTGAATGAGGTGTTTGAAGCTGAGATTGAAGATATCAATAGAAGGGCAGCAGCGTTCGGAGACGAAGTTCCCCTCCCAACTCTTTTGTCGTAGGCTGATCAATTATATGGTGATAACGTAAATTGAGGACGGTGGAAGAGGTAAATTTGTAAACTGTCATCGAAGCCCTTCGAAAGGTACTTCGAAGAAGTCGGATATATCTCAAAATGTAGAAAGAGAATGGTGATCATGATTCTGAGCGCAGCTTTGTAGATGGGAAGACCTTAATTATGGTTACTCGGAAAATTCGATTGTCTTTGCCTGTTGCAAGATATCGACAAAGAGTCAAAAATGGTCTCAGTATGATAAGCAAGGCGAATGTACCTCAGGATAGAAATTCACTTTGATAGCCTTTGGTTTCACCTCGCTTTCGAGGGCAGTTTTCAGCGCCAGGCAATCCCGCGAGTGATCTTCACGTCTGTACGGCGCTATATCGATGGAAACCGAATGACGCGCCGGTAGATCACGCCAAATGGACTGGTCGTTCTCCGGAGGACCATAAATGACAAGGAGAAAACGAACATTTGTTGATGGGGCGGTAGCGAGTGTGCGCATAGACCATTTAAGAGCAGAACGGCCGAATGCTGTGCCGCTTCCTTGCCACACCTCAAAGGTGATATTCTGGAGACGACGTGTAAGTGATAAATCGATGGACGGAACATCAGAATCGGGTAATTTGGCTATTCAAAGCATTGGTATCATTAAAGCAGGAGGGAGATGATTGTGTTGACTCACAGAAAAACTGGAGGTACAAATCCTGAAGCGAATCATGGTTGTCTCGGAGGAGTATGCGAAGAGGAGGCACACAGGATATGTTGAACCTAGCGGCAAGGCGACGGAGGTCTTTAACTGGGCACAGGGTGAAGTCAACGACTTTATTTCCAAAATCAATTGCAAGTGCGTCGAGGTGGAGATTTCCTTGAATGGCGGAGAAGCTGTCCCGGGTGCGATGGAACATGATTTCTACCAAAGACAGTTGTCGAAGGTTTGGGAACAAGGTGAGGAATGCTTTGAGCTTCGTCGAGTCTTCAAAGCTGGCGGTGTCAAGAGTAAGGGAGGTAAGCTTTTTCGTAGGGATGCACGGTAGCAATCTCCCGAAACTGGAGCAGTGGAAAAGACGAAGGTGTTGTAGATTAGGCAAGAGTGGAAGTACCAACTTCGCGTCCTCCCATACGCTCGCTAATTTGATAGTGACGGATGTTACATATGTTGTGATCTGAGGAGATGCCCTACAAAGAACGATGAACGATGAACTTTGATTCTTTCGCATGAGGTTGATGTTCTGAAAACGGAGCGTCCTTACTCGAGGCAGAAATGCCCAGCATACGAGAGCGCACGTTCTAAGAGTTCTTTGATCATATTTGAACTCGTCAATGAAGGAATCTATGAGCTCTTGAGGAAGGCTTTGGATTTTGGCCATTCCTGAATCGATGGTCGTGCCGGTGTCGTGCTGGTGTTAGTGTTGGTGATTAGGAGGTAAGCTGTGGACAGGGGAAAACGGCTGTATTGCGTCACACGGTCTGTTTGCCCAGGCTTGCTCATTTCCGACAGTCGTATAAAGGTCATACCCCGACAGATAAGAGACCTACACCTTCGTTCCTTCCTACGCGATGAAATCCATCAAAAATTCCCACTTCCTCACTGGGCTTGTTTCATTGACATCCCGCACAAGAACAGGAGCAAAGATAGCAGCTATCCTCGCCGCTTTCTCGTTCTGCTTCGGCCCTTCACCAGCATCAGGGTCTTTTACATCATCTTCCTGCGCAATGTAATGCAGAAACGCTGTAACTGATATCCACACATTAACATTCGCCGTCGGCAGTGTTTCCAGAACCTACATGCGCATGTTTAGTGAGACAGGGAGTACTTAGTAAGTAGAAAATATAGGGACAGACCTCAAAAGCGGCCTCCCGATCCGTGACATTGAGTATATCCACGCCGCGCGGCATGACACTTTCAGGCAACGCGCTCAACAACGCTAAAAGCGTTGCTAAAGCCAAAGAGGGGGATATAGTGGAAGGGAAGCGAGCGCCAGCGTCCAGGCATTTCCGCATCTCTGTAACGGCACTAGGCGGATGAGAGGAAAACAAGGCATTAGTTTGAAGGGCTTCCCGCGGACACGCCATCAACCATTCAACGAGCCGCATCACCTCTCTAGGCGCATTGGCCCCTTGGCCCTCTTCCAGCAATCTTGATTGAGGCTGTGATATGGGCCCAGATAGTCGGGTCAGTGTAGCCAGAGGAACGGCAAAACATGTCGGTTCTATCAAGAGCGTTAAGAAAGGTCTAGTAAACAGGATGTGACTCACCCCATTCCCCTCCAACCACGACAAAGCTGTCCTTGCCACCGCTGCCTAATGTGCGAAGGATGAGGGTGCAGTCCAACTGTTGACGGTTACTTGTGCGAGTTAGATAAGCCTCATTGAGTAGAACGGCAGACTTTTCGTCTACATGTACTGCGATCGTGATTTCGACACTAGACATAGGCATTATAAGGCCAGTAATAGGCTCTACACGTAACCAAGAGGAATCTGCAAAGCCATTAAATATAGGGAATGACAGAACAAGGAGTTGGCGTACAGAGCTCGGCACCAGGCTCTATGGGCACAAAGCGGAATGTACATGGAACCTTCCCAAGATTCTTCACCTGAAGGGTATGGGTTCGTCTTCGTTTATATCTGTTGTGGAACCGGATAAGCCACAGCCATAATAAGAAGTGAGATACCTACGATACCCTTCCGAGACTCACTCCGCTTGGCTCAACCTTAACCTTCAAGTTCGCCTGGGACTCGATATCCTCAAGCTGCCTATACAATGTCTTTGCCATTGCGAGTGTATGGTTCTTGTCGTACACATCAGCCTGTACGTATTGTGAATCCACGCATCGCTAAACAAGAACAACGCAGGAACTCACATCAACCACAAAATCAGCACTCAGCGGTTTGTGGTCGCTCATTGTTATCTCGTGATGTCCACCGTATCTGGTTTGTTTGACCCGTACATGTGTGGGGGAGAAAACATGGAGAATTCTGTCCGTCCATGCTGGTTTGCGCCTGTGAGCTGACGCGTTAGTCTGCATTACTTCCTCAACGAGCGAGGACCTACTTCACATCGTATCCCATCGAGTCGATTAGTACACCCTGACTGAAACGATACGTTGGGCGATGCGTAATGGGAAACTCTGTAAAGACATCAAACGCCTTCTGCGAACAGATGGCATTCTTCAGCTAAAAATTATCATGAGTTAAGGCGCGTTCGATCTGGCATCAATAACCAACTTGATCATAGGGTAGCAGAGTCTCAAATCTAGACCCTTCCCAACACTTCTCCAATAATATGGCCCTTACATCCAAGTCTGGCAGGTCGATGCGGTAATTCAAATCACCCATCCAAAACACGGCGTCACTTTCCCACAGAGTCATCGCGTCACCAATATTAGGTCCTCCAAAAACTAGACGTTTACTCAGATCAGCGTAATCGGCATTTCGTCTGTCGACCATCACGTCGAAGGCAGCAAGGTGAGAGTTCACAAAAGTTAGTATGGTTGGTCCTTGGGTTAATATGCCTTCAGTAGGTGGGGGAGTGAAAGCCAGTCGAATCGCGGTGCCACCTTTGTTTCCCTGGGGACAGCTCGTAAGTGATAAAGCAAAGTTGATAGTGTTTAAGTTGTATTCACCATGATTCCCATAATGCCGGCACCTGCGGCAGTCGTCCTCACGTCCTTGAAGCAATCCTTGAGGCTGTCCTTCACTATGATTATGATAAGCATTCCGACGAGTTGCTTCGATACCAACTGATCGGTAAAGTCAGCGAAATGTCACAAGGAAAAGTCAAAGTTACCTTGACATAATGCTCTCCCCATTCACCCAGGGCTGCAAAGACGGCCATGCGCCATGCATCTTCCTTCACAGTCCCGGTGGAATAGATGAGTGCTTCCGTGCTCAGGTCAAGCTCTTGAAAGCCAAGTACGAAAATATCAGGTTGGTTTTGCGTGTATGGATCCGGGTCAAGCGGTATTGGGTCAGCTTCAGGTTCCTGATCTATATCCAATGGGGTATAAGACAATTCAGATGGCTGGGTATATGTGTAAGTCGTAAATGTTGAAGCAGAGGGTATCGGTTCTAGCGTCGTCGAGGATGCGGTAGAGGGAGGTGGCGAAGGAGATCGAATGACGCGTGTAGAAGAAGCAGAAGAATAAGATGGAGAGGAAACAGCCGTTGAATGGACGGGGGTGCTTGAAGTCGACGTAATTGTCGATGGTGGCGGCACTGAGATTGATGCTGAACATGACCGTCACTTTCCATGTCTCATCGATCCTGGAAAGTAAGCTCACATCGAACATCAGCAGCACTATCCAAAGGGTTTCGGGCCACCTCTCCCATTGACAGCGGCGAAATATCCTTCAGAGGAGGTATCATCCTCAAACCGTGAACATTTGTGTCATTTCCTTGAATCCACGAGGACAGGTCTTGCGATGGATCTTTGCCGTTCACGTTGAAGGTTCCGAGGCGTATACTATCTTTCACATGAGAGGGAATAGTGATCACTGAGGAAAGATCATGACTAACCTCAACCTCCGCCGTCCCTTCCTGACCTTGCTCCTCGCTGTCCTTCGGACCCAATCGTCCCGTATTATCAGAATGTCGTCGGTATCGTCACCGGGTAGTCCCGCGCTGGCCGAAGATAGACGAGTATGGAGAGGCTGCGTTAACAGGCGAACATCAGGCGGGGACGACAGGACTACACATTCATTAGTTCAAGTTGAGTGCGAAGGGTAAGCCTGCATACATATAGGAAGTGAAGAATGCTCTGAGGTGTACGGAGCCAACCATGAATACGTCTGCGCGGGCGACGATTCTAGGCTGTCCGAAATTTTCTTCAGACGCCTACACTCAGCCAGCATGCTCGTCAATCCTTGGACATCATAGGTAATGAACGATAGAGATTCTCCATCGGAATTTATGGTCAACTTAAACCCTTCTGGCTATAAGCAATAGATAAATTGGCACCGGGAATCGCCTACCAGATCGAGGACGCAGAGCTGAGGACGAAGCACGAAGATCAATGGTTTCGCGGCGCAATTGGGCCATGGTCATCGAAAACCCGTCGCATATAGGGAAGACGCGCTGGATATCCAGGGTATCGGCGGCACCATACTGTGAAGGGTGATGCTTGAGTACGAATACACTGAAGTAGGACTGTTCAGATATTGAGTGATGAACAACAAGATAAATTACCGACCCTCCCTCCTCAAGGGTATCCAACTCATCCCTATGTGATAGTACCGCAAGTATTCTCTTGTTCTGTAATGTGGTCGCGTCATCGTCACCTTCGGTCGTCGATGGTATCAGGGCCGACGCAACGAGCGTAAACTTGACGTCGTCCGACGAGCGTAGCAGTAGTCGCAGAGAGGTCGCGAGGTCGGTCATGATGGAAAAGGGAGAGGAAAGGAAAAGGGCTAGAGCTGGCTCCTTTCTGTAAACGTCGCGTCGATCGACATTTCGACACGTCAACTCAAACGACGCTGACGTCAGTATATATTGATGATTGCCGTCCTCCAACCTGCCATTTGCCTGCCCTCAATGCCTGCACCGGACCGCCATGTTCCGAAGGGCTCTCACTGGCATATGGCCTTCCACTATCTCTCTTTACCTTCGACGCCCACCGATAACAAATCGTAAACTGAACATACGGAAATTCACGATGACCCAGCCTCCACCTGTTCCATCCAGCACCGACTTGGAGACGTATTCTGTCAAAGGTGAGCAAACTATCAGGAGCCAGCTATCGAAGAAACTGAGGCAACTCCCAAATCTCAGAGGGAATCAAGGTCATCGAACGATTCTTTGATCTTCCGCTCGACTATTCCAATCCAGACGGAGAGAAAATACGCGTTTTCGCGCGGAATCTGATACCCAAGAGCAAGGCCAAGACTGCTGCAGAGGAAGAAGAACTGCCTTATCGTTAGTATTCATCTGCGTACACAATTCCTGTCAATTGTTAATCTTCACCTTCTAGTCGTATACTTGCAGGGTGCGTCAAAATTTCCCCAATGTTCAGGGCTCACATACATTTAGGCGGTCCCGGACATGAGATCCCGTTCCCTAATATCAACGGTTACGCTGCAGAAGTGGGTATCTTCCTTCCTTTCCCAGGCGGTACACTAAAATGTCACTTCAGATTCACGAGCAGGGTTACCAAGTTCGAACCTCGCCTTCGATACCAAGTAGCCGCTGACATTCTTCCAGACGCTTTGGATGGACCCTCGAGGGACAGGCCTTAGTACCCACATCTCTCCTGAGAGCCTTCCTGCTAGTCTGAAAACAGACCAAGCCATCGCCGACTACCTGAAGTTCTTCCGTGCGGACAGCATAGTAAAGGATTGTGAATCCATCCGAAAGATCCTTCTAGGACACAAACAGAATCCAGAAGACCGCAAGTGGACAATATTGGGGCAGAGCTTTGGGGGATTCTGTGCTATAACGTATCTCTCTTTCCACAGCGAAGGTTTAAAGGAAGTATTTACGACTGGCGGGCTCGCCCCGTTAGTGGATCACCCCGACTCGGTATATGCAGCCACTGTTGGCGAGTATACTATCTCTCTGATGATGACTTCGCATCAAAGCTAATCGACAGTACAGTGAGGATTATGAAGAGAAACAAGATTTATTATGACAAATATTCACAAGACATTAAGCGTGTTCGCAGAGGCTTTTTTCTCGTCCTGATTTGTAACTCAACGTCCACCCAGGTCCGTAATATCATGTCATATCTCGAAAAAAATGAGGTACAGGTCACTAATGGAGGACGGCTTAGCCCTGATCGATTTCAACATCTTGGCATGGACTTCGGTATGCACGGTGAGTCATAATAATGTAGGTCCAAGCGTCGCCTTACCATGATTTTCCAAAGGGGGGATTGACAGAGTTCATCGTACGTACGCACGCTTAATCGGCAGGACGAGCTTATTAAATTCAAGTTGTTTCTAGAACTTGTCTTTCGAGCCGCCAATGATCTCGACACGTTTGGTCATTTGACATACAAGACGATTCAGCTCATTGAACAAGCTCAGTCATTCGACGGCAATCCCATTTTCTCAATATTGCATGAAGCAATATACTGTCAAGGGTACTACTGCGATTTATATGCCTTTATTCAGTCTCGAAATTCTTTTACAGTCATGCATCGAAATGGGCCGCGGCCCGAACGTTACAGGATTATCCTCAATTCTCTTGGTCTTCCGTCAAGAATTTGGCCAACTCGGAGCCAATCTACTTCACCGGCGAAATGGTTCGTACAATTATATTGGTCGGTTACCTCGGCCTAACAAGATATTGATAAATTAGATATTCCCAAACATGTTCGACGACTACGCAAATCTCCGACCGCTCAAAGGCGCAGCAGAAATCATCGCACAATACGATGGTTGGGGCCAGTTATTCGACCTCCAGCAATTGTCCAAGAATGAAGTCAAGGTGTCTGCGGTGTCGTATGTCTTTATAAACACGAATTCTCCAGCACGCTTCTCTGACTGTTAATGACCAGGTACTTCGACGATATGTAAGTGATTGCTTCTATGCCGGAGGGGAGACAGCTCACTTGAGTTGGTCAGGTATGTCGATTTCGATCTGGCGCAAGATACAGCTGCGAAAATCAAAAACACGGAGCAATACGTCACGAACCAGCTGGTCCACAGTGGCCTCCGTGCTGATCCGAAGGACGTCATGAAGCGTCTGTTCCAGTTGTCGAAGCGGGAATATGATTGATCGTACTGTAAGGATTTCATCAGCGCCCATTCAGCATCATTGAGCTGTGTAACGTACACTGTGCCGGCACCAAATCCAAGAGCTACCTCTTCAGTAGGGTTACGGAACGCCTAGCAAGCCGAGGAAGAATCCAGTCCTTTTCGTAACACTGGAAGACGGGTAAATGTCGGCGGCCCATGCCTATAAATCTAGGAGAGCGTACCGAGGGGCAGAGATAAAGAGGCAATCTCGTCTGCTCAACTTTGATCCAACGTTCTTCATCTCTCACAGACTCCCAATTCCCGCAAGCCTCACACCAATGGGCAAGACGATGCTCAGGAATAAGAACTTCTACTTCCATGACAGAATCATTCCCTGCGTACCCCTCTACCGGACACCTCAGCACCGGTGGATGACCCCACCCAAGAAGCAGTAGAAAATCGAGTAAATTCTCCCCATCTCTTTCCCACCCCGATGCGGTCTTCAAATCGAACAAAAACCGCGGAGCTCCGGAGTCGCTCAGATTTTTTATTTTCAAGCACGGATTGCGAGTGTCGAGCCGTGTGACCTCTCGACTATCTGCCGTCCTGTATGGGCGTGCAAATAAGAGATACCAGTTGCCTCTCTTGTGGCCGAGCGCAAGTTCGAGAGTGAGACCTGGTGGTGTGAACTTGAATATAGAGGCTGGGTTCGGATCGATACGTGGTAGGGGCATGGTGGAGGCTACTTTGTCTGCATGACCGATGTAGGGAAGGTTGGAGCAACAGTTTCAATGGAAGGCTCTAAGCGAACCCCAAGCTGGTTTTGAGCGGGAGACCCGAGCAAAGAACTTTTGGGAAGATTCGCGGGCCGAAATACCCGATGTAGACGAAACGATCGGTCACGATAGCACGTGTTAGAATAACGCGTCACAGCTTCTCAAAGAAAAAGCAAAAACAACCATAGGACGTGTTTTAAAAATGTCAAGGGGTATGATACGGGAAAAGATCCACGAGTGTTGTAATGCATGTGTACAATGTCAAAGTCCTTTTGCGCTATGTACTAATGTGAATTGTCCTTGAATTGTCCCTGAAATTGAGCAGGTTGCTTGCAAGTCAAAGCCGCCTCAGTGGCGGCCGTCATCTACATCGTGGGTGTTCAGTCATATTGAATGAAAAAGCCAACGAAACCGACTATTACATACCAGTTTAATTTCGCCGTCGAACTAGACACGGCAACCTCAAGCAAAAGTTTGCAAAGCGGCGATATGACTTTTCCCGAGCCCGGGGGGCAGCCGCCGTCGTGGGGAAATAACACACGGACTCTGCGGGATTGGAGGACGCAAAGTACCGTGAGGGTTCAAAAAAGAGAAATGAATCCCGTTTCCCCGGTTGGACGACGGGGGGACAGACCTAAAGGGCCAGAATTTGTCGAATTTGAGAAAACATTCATGTGGACATTACAAGGTGTTAACTCGCCTCTCTGAAATAACGGTCTGGATAAGACTGTTTGCTGTGCATATTAAATTCGTCATTGTCCTCATGGTACGTTATCGATTCCGACGTGCTCGATATCGAGTCTTCTTCACCAAAAGAAGACGGCGGATAGCTAGGCGAAGATGTCGGGCAATCGGACATGGAAGAGGATAATGAGCAGCGTTCATTAGAATCATCATCATGAACTGCGTCTGTCCAGCAGACGTCAGCGAAGGATTCTGCTGGATGTGTCAGAAGCTGCAAGTCTAGGTAGCGCAAGCAGGAATGGTCAAAAGTGGTCGCAAGGGATGTGCAATCGAGAATGTCGAGCAGAAAGTCGGTTTCGTTGGAATGAAAATAAGTTTCATGATGACGGGCGAGCCCACGAAATAAGGGTATATCAAGTGACTCCGACCAGGGAGGAACATCTGCGACGATTAAACTATCGTCGCTGTCGCGCGCAACGTGATAGAAAGGTGTACGCCTTTGCATCTGGGCGCTCGGTGTCAGTGGGCAATCAATGATGGGTGTGCGAAGATATACCTCGTCGTGGTGAATGGAAGGCGAAAGATCGGAACACGAAGGGGTATTGTCGTGAACATGCATCCTGTTTCGGTTTGCTGTACGGAATAAACGGTGATAAGGAATGTGAATGTCAAAATCTCAGCGTAGCGGGCCAGACAACACGGGCATGAGAGCGCGCATCCGCTGGGCGGCTATCTTATAAGGCATCGGTTATTGACCGGAAGAGATGTGTTCTTTTGTTTCGCATCGACCCGTGGTGCCTTGAGTACTCCTGTACCCAATTGTACCATCCGACAGCGTACGTTCGACCCTTCACAAAGATAGTGCCATATCACGTGTTAGCCGAATCTCAATTGTAATCTTCGACGGGCCAAGCATTGAAGCAGTGCATTGACGATTGCGGGTTACACAAGATCAGAGCGGAAGCAAAGAATAGGCGTAAAGCACAGCTCGATCCAATGATTGAAACCTAATATACACGTAGAACAATATCACAGCACACACATAGAAAGCAGATCAGGAAGTAAGATGGGCCACTGACAACTCTGCGTTACTCCTCCGGCGAAACTTTTGAGTGAATTCTTTTGCTTTAGCCATGAAAGAGGCTTTGCGAGATAATGAGCACTTGGAGGGTTGATTCCGAAGACTATGTACCACCATCACGGAGCCGCAGCGAGGGGGGAGATCATCAGGAGCATTTTCGGTGGTAGCTTCTTCCACGGATACTCCGATGACCATACCAGAATCGATGACGGTGTCTACAATACTAGGCGAGCGAGCGTGGCTGAGCCGCCGGGGGATTAGACCACTGACAGCACGGGAAATGGTAGTTTTACGGCCAGCAATCTGTTGCATCTGGGTGACATGGTGTGACTCTTCAGATAGGCCATCCTCGTCTGAGGGGTTATCGGACGTAAGGCTGTCGTCGCTTCGGTTCTGGTGTATTATATGAATGTTGCGTATTAGGAATAAGAGCTATATATACCTTGATGAAGAAACGTGACCGTTCTGCTAGGGGTGACATTCGACTGGGAGTTGGTGTGGCGCTCCTGGCTGCATCGAAGACTTGGGTAAAGTCGTCAGATAGCTGGAAAGGAGCGTCAGAACGCCACTATACACGTTACAGGATTACGAGATGTTACCTGGCCAAATCGCGAGATAGATACGCTGCCTCGCCGTCGTGACTTGACTCTGAGAGTCGTCTCTGGCGAGTCTGGTGGGGATCTATCTTCAAACCGTTCCTTGGCGCGTCTCTCAGTCTCTTCCTCCACCCTTTGAAAGATCTGATAATTCCGTTAGAAAGGAAACGATATAGTCAAGGTAAATACACGCCTTTTCGAGAGATTCTGGACAAGCCTCCATTGCTGTCGACCGCAGACTATACGCGCAGCAGCCAGCTAGACAGTGGCCTTTATGAAAGGCCTTTTATGTGGGTGCAGTAACGTGCAGAAAGAAAGGAGATAAGAATCTCAGAAGAAGGAACCGTCCAGAATTTAGAAGTATGTGCAGCTGTCCATCTTACCGTGCTTCCACTCGGACGCACACATCAAAATTTAGTGGCTTTTAAAGTTGCATGATTATGTAACGCTGCACGTGCTTGCCCGTGGGAAGGATGCGGGCCGTGCGGCAGCGTGCGGCCTGCTCTCGGAAAAGCTCTCACCAGCTGTTAATAGTTTCTTCCTGCTGATCAACGCGCACCATATGCACAGCGGTGGAACCGTTTTCTGGGTCACAGGAAAACGAGCTCAATATCACGATTCATTCATGTCCAACCACATAACTAGATCAGCGGCCGGCACGGCAGCACCGCGTAAATACAATGTACACCATATGACTGGAAAGTTTGTTTTCCAAGAGGTACTATACTTTCCACCAGAATAGTCAGGTCCACCTTCTATATCTCGTTACTTCCAATGCTATTTTTTCTGCGGGACTCGGATCTGGTGGCGTCGCTTCCTGGGACATTTCTCTTCTAATCAGCAGCTAGAAGGACGAGGCAAAGCATATCGATTTGTGCATTGACCAGGCTTGCTTCTGGTGCTGCGTTCCACACTGGGATAAATGCACATCATCACACGCATAGGTTCCGAGATGAGTGGAGACCACCTACGTAAACGGCACACTTGCACCTAAAAATGTGTCTTCAGTATAGAGTTCATTGCCGCTGTCGAGACTTTACTAACCTTCCGCATTGCATGAGAGCAGAACCATCGTCTTTGGTCTCACGATCACAGCCAGCTCCGCCGCACTGTCTCAAGGCCTTCTCGAGCATACCCTTGACCGAATTGGCCATAAATCGAGACTCCCTGATAATCAAATTAGCAAGACGTTCACACCCAATAACGAGGGCGCTATGTTTATGAAATTTTGAAAACAGAAGCTTCATTTGCCTTGTTTTACTCTTCCTTTGTCCCGCAATTAAACACTATGGAAGAGACGTGGAAACAAGCCCAGCAAGGCACATTTGGAGATTGTCGTCATCCATTGTGTGGGACTGTGCTAAGAAGCAAATGGAAGAAATTGGCATCTTTTTCGCGTCGGCCACGAGTTTGTTACGGAACCGAAGTGGTGTCAAGAGAGGGAAACGGCTTACTGGTCGGCGCTGAGAAGGGTCAAACACCTTTCGCAAGTCTCACTAGCAAACACGGGAGGTATACTGCGAAGCCATCCCGAGAGCATCTCTTCAAGGCTTTTCTGCTCATCTGCAGTAATCTTTTCAGTGCCCTCGAGAACAAGGAGTGTCGCCAAGAACTGGCACACTTCAGCTATGGTGTGGAGAGACTGAGTACTCGGATTGAAGCTGTTCCTTGATGCGATCATACGTTGGACTTGTACTGCAGACAGACCCTGACCGGCGGAGGTCTGCAAGAATCGAACAAAGAACGGTCTGTGAAATTCCAGAAAACGCGTCAAATAAACGCGTCGAGCATCGTAGGAAATCACGGAATACAAACGTAAAACTGATTACATCCAGCATTACAGCAGTTGAGCCCCAAGGAACGTCAGATGTTCGAAATTTCTCTACGAGAGAAGGCATATATTTTGCAGCAAGTTCGCTATGGTTAGATTTGACGTATGAGATTGTGTGGAGCATTTGAGATATTGGGATCCCCTACTGGTAGGCCCTCTTCTGTTCAATCTGGGGCCAGGATTGGACGACACCGAGCTGGCATATCGGGGGTCAGTCCTAACCCTCGGTCAGGAACAGTGGGAATATCAAACCTGTATCTTCAGAATATCAGGCGCGGCGTCTTGGCCATTTGACGCCACACCACAACATTCTGCGAGAGATTCTGCTGAGACGTTCATGTACGACATGGTTGAAAGCTAGAAAGAACGCGTGTTCGGTTTTCAGGGCCCGAACCAATTTGTGCGTGCGGCGTTCGGGCCGCGTTAAATTCTCTTTTTGAACCCTCGTGTTTTTCTTTTATTGAACTTTTGCGTTCTGACGCGAAGGCGTTCTCCTGGCTGAGTCTGATACATTTTCTCTGAGGAAAGGATGGCGTGCCGCAAAAAATGGACTAGTAACGCCGGATTGGAGTGGGATACCTGCTCTGGCTTCTAGTCACTATTGACCTCTTACTTCGCTAGCCTCTTCTGGGATACTTAACACGGACTGCGTCTTGAAGCACGGGTGTAGTAACCCTCCTACTCTGGACCAAAGGAAGACAGGTGAGGGCATGCTCCTTCGTTCCTGACTAGTAACGAGATGATCGCACTATCAATATCAACACCATACCCCATTACGCTCTCCCCGGTTGTCGATATTTCTGGCAGTGGTATGCCTATTTTTAACGATAGTGGCACTAGTATGTCAATTAATAGGTATTGTGCAGCTTATTTTGAGCTCCAAAAGCAAACGACATCTGAAGACACTTGTCGATTATATCTCTTATACCTGGCTGTCGATTCTTGGTTATTGGCGGCGGTTACTACTATCGACTAATGAATTTATCACTCAAATTCTTCTCTCTCGTATCGATCCTTATGGGTTTAAACGTTGCGGGGTTTCTTAGATCTCGATTCCTTTGTTATTCCCCACACTCTGGGGTTCATCGTCGACGTGGTAGGTTGCTGGGCTCCAGAGGACCGCAGTAGTACGTTTAATAAGTCGGCGCCGCAAGTATATGAAGCTGATGGACATCCTTGACAGACTCATCATCCAATATGATTTACTTTCTGAGTTTTTGAGACTCTCATTTCCGCGTCGTTCGGGCAATTAGTGATACGGTGAAGGTGACTGGACAGTTTCGACTTTGCGATGGGTTGTCATTCAAGGTATAGGCTTAATAACCCCCCTGCTTGTTCTGTTCATCTCGTGAACTGTATGCTCTGGCTTCCGGCTTCTGACTACGTTGTACCATGCGGTTCCGTAGGCTTAACACCCTGCCCTTTTTATTCAAAGTTAGCTGTTGTGCATTTCTCTTAGTACTAGTAAGAACGACGACTGAGGGTGACAGAGATGCTCTGTATGACGGGAGGCATCAGTTCTCGTCCCGCTGACATCGGATGAGCTGTTGAATCCTGCTCGCACTTCTCATAGGTAATGATGCGGCTCTGGGCGTCGCCACAGATCTTGCCCTTCGAGTGTACGTATTTTGTGCATACTCTTGCGTCTGTGAATTAATGCCTCTCTTCTTGTCGGTGGACATGAAAGAACTTCGAAGTCCTGACAAAAGGTCAGTGATCATCGATCATGTGTTGACTTATCTATTCTTCCTCGGCTTGAAGTCCGTTGTAGATACAGATATTCAAGTTACAAGAAAAGCCCCTAACTTGAACATTGCCCTTATCGGTGGCAGTGGTACCGCCGGCTATCAAACTGATGTCTCTCGGCTTCTGTCACCATGACGCTGAATCTCAGCAGTCTACCAGAAGACGTCCTGTACAACGTTTTCTCCTTCCTAAGTCCAGTGTCTATCCTCAGAGTTCGACAGGTATGTCGCTCAATCTATTTCTTGGCCTTATCTAACCTCAATCGCCTAACTGTAGGTCTCCAAGGATCTCCACTCGCTTACTCACCAAAAGATTGTCTGGACCAACGCATATCGGAACTCCAACAGCTTTCTTCCCGTAGAGCCTCCTGCTGATACGTCCGCCTTGGAGGTAGAACGCGCTCTTATTTCCGCTATCAAGCTAGACGAGGCATGGAGCAAACCTCAGCCAGAGCATGCACGCGAACGGTTTCTCAAATGCCCCCCGGGGAGGTCCGATAATATCTACATCAAATTATACCACGGACGGTACCTAATGATTGGGTCGCGATCTTCGTTTTCGTTCTATGATCTAGACGCCAAACCGGAGGACTGGGGTCGTCGCATTTTCGGGTCTGGCGAATCCGAATCCACGTACTCGATCTACCGCGCCAATACGGACGATTCTGTGGAGGTCTCGTACATATCTGCGGTGGCATCGTCGCGGTTGCCTCAATATTTCATGTTAGTACATGTATGCTGTTGTGCAGTGGCGTAGCTGACTGTATTGCAGTCGGATATGGCAGATTGACTTTGTTGGCAAGACGCTCCTGCAGGTCGCAGACGTACCTATAGGGAGGAACATGTCAAGCTTTGCCAAGATCACGAATGGATGGCTGGTGCACGGTGCTAACAGACAACAAGGGTCAAACGCTTTCAATGCCGTGCTGTTCCACATACCCACTCGGCAAACGTATGAAGTACCCGTTTATGTCCCATCTGTACGTGATTTGAATGGCAGCTCTGGTTGTGTGTATTGACTTTACCCTAGCCAGGAAGCGGAGAGGAACGCATCTTTCAAATAGACTACATTATTGCTCCTCAGCATCTCCTCCTCATGTACATTTCAAGACGACAGACCTTATTCGAGGCCTTCCCACTTCCAAATACCAACGACACCGCTCCTAATAAAGTTTTATCCGGCTCCCATAGTGGCATCTGTCCGTCTGGATTCACCGAAACCACCTTCGTCAGCGCCTCAGACCAAGCGAAGCGTATACGTCTCCTGGGTAGTGTCATCACAGGACCCGCACGGGGTATGCCGGGTGTCAGAGTGTTCGACGTGGTTCTGGAGAAGGATGGGTTAATGTCGTTTCCGGAGGAGTGCTACAACAATGCCATGTCGGGCTACAATCTTCACTTGACGCTATCGCGCTCTGGGGCCGTGCGGGGTATCTGCATGGCTCCTACCACATTCACCCTTTTGCGTGTCGATTTTGGACCTAGGGCTAATGGTGATATGCGGCTGGATATCACGGAGCTTGGGTTGAAGTTGGATGGTGTTATCGCCTATGATGTGGATTTCGACGGCTTTCGTGGACGGCTGTGTCTTGTTCGCGATGAAGGTATAATGATATTAGACTACATGTAAACTTTCGATGTCATACAAGTACATATATGGAGAAAAACTGTAGGATTCGACTCAGCAGTAATTTAGTGACCACGTACACACGCACTTAACAGGATTCGGCTGCACGAAACCTGGCTTGGGAGAACGTACCTCGTCTCCAAAGGCCTGGCCCCTTTGATATATCTCGTTCACTTCAGAAGAAAAGATGTTTTCCAGAACATGGCTTGTTGTCGCTCCCGTTCCACCTAGCTGAAAATTCGAGATGGAAACCTGGGCCTGCCAAACTTTCCGACAAGTGGGCAGTGTAAGTCTCGAAATCTCCTCCGTGGTGATCACAATTCTACGGTTAGCCAAATCCCGATAGCCAGATATGACCCAATCCACAACAGCATATTCTTTCCCGTACACGACACGGTCGACATCTGACATCCTCAGCTTGGTTAGTTCACTGATGGCCAAGCGGCGGGCGTCGCGCATCCCCCACATTGTTGCCAGCTTCAAGACGGAGATCCACCCACGCTGGCCGAGCGTTGCGGTCCTTCTACGAGATGATGATGATGGCAATTGCCAAGCATAGCCGCACAACGTACTGCTGGGCCACCAACGCCTCCAATATATTTTCGAAATCTGCGCTCTTCACACCTTGCAGAACCAGAGGATGCTCATCGTCAGACCCGTCGATGACACCTACATTACCTTGAGGAAGGCTGAACATGGTCGAGAATATTTCCGACGTGTTTTCGAATAGGTGTCGGGAGACTTTGAAGAGCTGGTTCTCTACCTATCAGATATCGATAAGCCTCGCGGTGCGTTTGTGGGTATCGTAAAGTGGCTCACTAGGAAGGTCACAGGTTCCCAGTAGAATTTGGCGTTTCGAGTCCGTGTCTGCGAGTCCGAGGGTGTTGGACCGGTAACATTCATCATTGCAAGACCAACGGACAAGTCCAATCGCAACCCTAAGGTATTTCCCCGAGTGCGAGGCTGAGTCGATGACGTTTGAGGTAAAGAATCGAAGGTACTTATTCCTGCTACGTTAGTAGAAGGTCTTATAGGGGATGGATGGTAGCCGAGTTTTTGACAGCTCCCCGAGCCGAATGTCATCGGACTTTCTATGTGTGGTAAATTTGAACGGCGTGCCACACATAAATTTCTGTTAAAGTCAGATTCTCGGTGTGGCAGTTTCTTTGTTTGTCACTTTGTTTACTGTGACTCATGTTACTATCACGCTCTCCACGGAGTTGCTCGGCCGAACTTCCATTCAGCTCTCCAAACAGCGATTCTGAGAGAAAATGCGAGCTGGTGGCGGCATCTGCCGCCACCGAGCGAGGCTTTTTCGAGCAGCACCCTTATTACTGTTAGTTTTTGAAGTCCTGATCATAACTATTTACTAACTGATTCAATTCACCCACAATCACCAATGGCATCGGCTCTGATTCCAACTCTTAGGTTCAATCGTGTATAAGTGAGGTAGTTTTTGGACAATGGATACTTTCATGAGGAGCGAACGTAGCAGGCTTTGCCCCAGAGCGGGCCTTACAGGAGTTATTTAAAGACGGATAGTATTGCGGAGCCTGAATTGCAATCCAGTAGCGGCAGCTGCCGGGACCCCGGGCCCGATTCTTTCCTTTTGAACGAAGAAACGGCGGACTGTATCCATTTCGTTATCTTGAACCGTATACGAAATTAGCATTACAAACTGCTAGCTTGTGGGCGTCGACTAGCTTCTACGACCTCTGCCAGTACCACTGAAGCCACCGAAGCTGGCAGAAGCCGTTGGCGGCGGTGTCTGAGGAGAAAATCTCGGATTATGCGAACGGATTCCGTCCCCCAAAGCTATACCTTTTTGATAAACCTCGTCCAGCTCAGAAGCAAATATATCATCCAAAGGACCTCGGTCCACCGGGGCTGACCCAAAACCTGATGACGCCGTCGCGTTCAAAATGGACACTTGAGCCTGCCACACTTTCAGACAAGTGGATAAGGTAAGTCTCGAGGCATCCGGTATGGAGATCACGTCTTTTCGTTTTGTCAGAGCTTGATATCCCGACATCACCCAATCCACAACGGCATACTCCCTTCCGAGCATAACCTGATCCACATCTGTCATGTTATTCAGCTGAGTAATTTCGCTGATTGCCATACGACGAATGCTTGTCATCCCCCACATCGTCGCCAATTTCAAGGCTGAAAGCCACTCATTGTGACTCAGCTTGGGAACTGACCTGATAACATGAATATCTTGAAGAAGGTTGTATTTGAAGGAAAGAGCTCACTCTCGTCCCGTGTGTACCATCACCTTCAAAAGATTCTCAAAGTCTGCACTTTTTACACCTTGCAGAACCAATGGATGCTCGTCATCGGATCCATCCACAGGAGAAGTCGTCCCTTGAGGCAAGCTTAACATCGTTGAAAAAACCTCGGACGATTCCTCAAACATATGGCGAGTGACTTTGAAGAGCTGATCTTCTACCTTTAGTAAACTGATTAGTCTCGCGCTTGACATACAAACTACAAGTAATCTCACCAGGAAAGTTATAAGCTCCCAATAAAAGGTCTTATTTCGAGCGTGCGCTTTCGAGTGTGCTTGATCATCCATGGCCACAGTGAGGACTTGAATGACGAAGTTTGTCACGAAGATATTACCGGAGAACTTACACCTGGCAAACACCTGGCAGAACACGTGTAGAATGTGCACGCATCAGCTGAGATGTAATGATGTCTTCCTGCAGGCCGCAGCGTTGAGTCAAAATTCATACTTATTGAAGTTGTTTCGATACTGTTCCATAAATGGCTCAGCATTGCGATCCATACGAGAGAGCATCAGATTCATAGTTGAAGTCGAAAACCTATCGAGGACGGGGAGATCGGTCCGACGGCACACGTGGGCTGAGTTTCAACGCCATTGGATTATGGCGGGACTAGATTTCTTCCTCGCCATGACCTTCACAACTTGCCGTTGTCCTATTGAGAATCCGATGCTCTAGTGCTTAAGTTGAACCCAATTTTCTCTTTCGCTAGTCACCTCTATATAGGAGGCTGAGCCGCAGAGAAGCCTCAAGTGAGCGCCCTGCCAGTGAAATTCCTCTCAGCTCGACGGTGGGGCTTTCACTTTGTCAGCTTAATTGTTATTCTAATGTCAAAAATTTAGGAAGGAAGGGCTCTTGACACGATACAAAACGTGTCAATACTGATGTTCATACCCGAGATGGATCTCGTGGGAGGAAATGGATGATCCGCCATCGTGCTACCGAACTTACGATGTACGAAGCATGCATATATCTTGTGTACCGGGCGAGACCATTAACGATCTAATAAATAGCTTTACCCATATAGCAGACACCCGAAAGACCAGAGATGCTGCCCTAGGACGATGGGAAGGCTCTTGATAACTCTACATGTGCATTCAATGTTGCCATGCGGCGGGACCCGTTTCTATGACATGCGTCCCACGATTATGTCGCTATCAACCTCGCATACAACAAGCAGCCTTGCAATGACTTTCCTGAGGACGCCGAAGAACAAGATGTTCTCACGATGCTTGTTTTCTTATAACCAAACCGTGGAATGCACAACTTCGCTGACGGATACGCGAGGAATGTCCATCTTACCTGTTCTTAACCTTGCGGATATTTCTCCGCAGTTACTATTCGCTGTGGAACCGGTTTACAAGCAAGCGAGGTAGCGTACTGCCGCCTGTACTCTCACATGGCATACTTTCTCAGGCCATCGCTAGCGCCAGGGCGCATCCCACCCATATTTGCGTAATTCATGCGACATGACTTGAGGATACCGTGCGTGTTTTCGGCTTAATTTGAATTAATGATCTGCCATGTCCAAAGGTGAGAGACAACGCCGTGCATATAACCGAGCTCGGTATGAAAAGACTGTCATTTTTTAGTTCCCTCATTCACCCTTGACATACGACAATGTCGAACCAGAAGAATATTGGGACTCACGCAGCGCCGATACGCAAATATTATCAGCAGCAGCTTAAACATGCAAACGAGTACGCTATGACCAAACGCCACGATCCCGTCATGTCCTTCGGACCGTCTTTTCATCATTGCGGTCTTGCCTATCAACAAGCACTGGAGTGGGCTCAGAGTCTCACCGAAATTTGGGTACGCCTCATTCACTTATCTTCCTTATTATCTTCCTTAAAAAGCTAATGGCGCTTTCAGAAGCGCCCTGCCTCAAATGACACCGTCCGTTACTTTCCCTTTATCGACACGCTCAGAATCAGACTATGGGATTCAAACATACCTCGCCGTCCAGACTCGTCAATGCGCGTGTTTGGCCTAGACTTTGTCGATGCCCGTGGGGACCCACAGCGAGTGGGACCAGATATCGTTGTCGTTGCTGGGAAGAGGGCGTCATATGGTCCTGAAATGGAGGGTGATGTTTTAATTCCAATAGATGGTGTCGGTGGACCGGAGAACACGGTCCCAGAAAGATATGGGGTGGTGGCGAATTGCGAGTACTTCTTTCTTGCTGGTGGAGAGACGGTTGTTGCCTACACATTTGATCAGGATCTATTGAGTTAATCAATAGCTGACCTTTGCCATTTCTATGCTTGATTCATGCTGTCACGAAAATCCAATCAACGAAATAACGATAAGCAGGCAAAGTTTTTCCAGGTATAAACGTTTTCCAACCAGTAATTGGGGTTTTCGCTGACCAGCTGAGCAAGCTGTAAATTTCTGAATACTAACTTCATCCATGCTATTAGTACTACCGAGGAACTTATACCTGGACACGTGTAATATGTGCATGCATAAGCTGAGCTGCGATGAGGTCTCCTGCAACGTCGAGTCCGAATTCAACGTACTCGTTGAAGATGTTTTGATAATTTTTTTGTAAATGGCTCAGCGTTGAGATTCGTCATTATGAGAGGATGGTCGAGTCAAAGTCGAAGAAATCGAACTACTGGGTCTGAGAGTGTCAAGCTTGCTATCATCTACAAGCCATCACGTTAATCTTCAGTGGGAAGCAGAAGTGGATTCTAAGTAAAAGCTGTGTCGTCAGCACGAAAAAGCCTTGAAGATGAGTCAGTACTTGGAATGGCACCCTGTGGCATTGCATACGGACCACTCTGACACGTAGTTTGTTCTGAATCTGAATGCGAGAATATTAGGTTCATGCATACTATACATGATATTTTACAAGCGCAACATGTAAGAGCAATCTTCACTGAATACTAGTAATAGCACCAGATTATGCCACTCCAACTTGGTATATCGGTAGGTTAAAGTTGGGACATCCAACGACACTCGCTGATTTGAGACAATGTTTGGACCATTCCCAGGTGTCGTGACAGAGGACGACGTGGATGAAAGCAACCCAAAAGAAAGAACGAGAGATGATGGACGGCGATGGACAGCAAGACATGGAGCAATAGAGCGTCATTGAGATGGACGTGAGAAATCTCGCAATGGTCATTGACATGTCTGCTAGATGTGACATAAAGGCATAGAGAACGAGAAACGTAGAGTAAAAGTAAATAGCTGAACGATCCAACCATACGTATACGTGTAGGATGTAGTACATACAATACAAATGCGGAAACAAAAAAAAACAAAAAAAAGTCCGGACGTTACATCTTTGAATAAGACTTCCTTCCTCCCTGACCTCGTCTTCATAACAGAGTTATTTTCGGGTCAGAGTCAGGGGAGGAGGGACTAGAAAAGCTGGTAAGCCTATTTTCGAAAAATTCGGCATGAAGAGGCGGGGTTCATCTCCAAAAGCTAGACTCTGTTGATAAACCACGTCTAGCTCAGAAGCAAAAATGTCATTCAAAATCTGGTCTTCCAGATTGTCTGGCCCATAACCTCGCAACGCGGCTGCATTTAAGATGGATACTTGAGCCTGCCACACTTTCAGACAAGTGGGTAGAGTAAGTCTCTTAGCACTGTACGTGGAGACCACGGTTTTCCGTTTGGTCAGAGCCCAATATCCTGATCTCACCCAACCCACGACGGCATATTCCTTGCCGAGGACAACCTGTTCCACGTCTTTCATGCTATTCAGCAGAGTAATTTCGAGGATTGCCATGCGGCGAACATCCGCCATTCTCCACCTCGTTGCGAGGTCTAAAACCGAAAACCATTCATCTTGGCTAAACTGCGGAATTGCTCTGCATAAAGAAAATTATTGATTGCAGACAAATACATGGGTCGCGGAAGAACTCACTTCTGTTCAGCATGCACAATCGACTTTAAGAGATTCTCAAAGTCTGCACGCCTTACGCCTGGGATGACTACAGGATGCTCGTCATCAGATCCAGCCACCGCAGCAGTATCCTCCCGAGGCAATACCGCCGTCAAAAATGTTTTCGATGACTTTTCGAGCATGTGGCGAGTAACTTTGAAGAGCTGATCCTCCACCTAGGTAAAGCAGCGAATCAACCACGGCGCCTGGCTTGCGAAATTCGAACCATGATAATCTCACCAGGAAGGTTACAGGCTCCCAGTAGAACTCTGGATTTCGCTGGTATGCCTTTGAAGGTGGCTTGTCGTCCATAGCTAAGGAGAAGCCAGGCGTGAGAGAAGACATAAAGCTGAGCTGCTTGAGGAAATGCCTGGCAAACGCATGTAAAACATGCACCAAGGATTGATAAGATAGCTTGTTCTCCAGTGTTCGACATATATATCATCACTACCTGTTTTCTTAGAAACCTCAGCAAAGACGTGTCCTCAGAGCCAGGGAACTTTCAATTCCAACTAGCTACCAGACAAGAGAGTAAGATTTTCTTGGGGTTTCCCATCGTAACGCCACCAGAGTTTTCTTCTTGAGATATATCAGTGAGATGTAGTCATTTTAGCTACTGTAGTAAGTCAGAAAACAGAATTTAGCAAGTACTTCGTGCTTTCGTTAAAGCGATCCGTTGAAACTCGCCAGTCGCCGCCAAGAGTTCGAGAACTCGGATAGCACAGCCACTTCCACGTGGTATTGGCTGCCTTGACTTTCTGATTATTACTTTGACTTCGAAACAGATGCCAAGTATCTTCTTACCACCACCACCGGTGCTAACAGTCTACCCCATCGATAGCTACGACAATGACTAGGCTATTATCCCGGTTCGCAAAGTCATTTTTTGCTATCATTCTAGCATTGGTTAGCTTGCCTCAAGTTTCGGAACGCGCTCGATATTTACCTGGTCTTTTACAGGTCGTCATATCCATGCTAGCATTCCTCCACCCTCCGACTCGAGCGTACATCGATCCATGGACGGGTGACTTTCTCGGTGAAGGAGGTGTAGCTCTGCATACAGGCTCGTTCAAGAAGGGCGAATTGGATGTCACTCAAGGAACCGTCATCATGCCAAAGTTAGGGAACGAGACTGCAAAGTGAGTTTCCTGACCTTTTCTCCTACTTCATTTCTAATGGTTCGTAGGGCTGCGCTGGGACGGTCGACGTGGAAGTTACTGTGAGTCAGCTTTCAGCTACCCCGTTGCACATGCTTAATTTTCGGTGAAATACAGGCACACGATCACTTTGCGATACCCCGAGGTTCTTTTCACCTGATTTTCTGGGACGACAACAGCTTGATTTCTGGTACAGAACCCTACTGCCGACGAACGAGAGGCGCTGGAATCATATTTCCATCTCCTGTCACGGTTATATCCCTGCGGAGAATGCGCGGCAGAATTCCAAAAATTGCTCAAGAAATTACCTCCTCAGGCGGGCCGCTTTTCCCCCTTCCGTGCCAAGATCACTGAATTCTTTCTAGACCTCCTCCCGGCGCTCTGCAGCACTTTGGTACGTGTTTGAAAGCCATAGTATCGTCATCTCATATTAATATACGCATTGCCGCAGGCTTTGCTCCCTCCATAATGAGGTTAATGAGCGTCTAGGTAAACCTCAATTTGACTGTGCGCATTTGGATGAAGAGTACGACTGTGGATGTGGTGATGAACCTATCAATGGCACGAAGGCTTTAGGCGGAGGGAAAGCCGAAGATTCCGCGAAAAATTCAGACGCAGATGAACTGACAGGCATAGAGATGATCAATGGCGGGAGGTAATCTATCCTTACGGATAGTAGAGTCTATGGCCGTTTTGTAAGATATACATGGTGGATTATTGACGGGTATCATGGTATGGTTAAGAATACTCCCGGACGGGTCGCGAAGCGCTGTGTGTATTAACACGACGCATCGACGAACGCATTGAAGTTATACACTTCTGGTCTGGTCTGAAACCGGAATCCGTGTGGTGCGCAGTGCGCAACGACAGCGCCCTTTCTTTCCATTATTACCTTGATGCCTCTGTCACCTTTTAAAGATCGGCACAGCTTCGTCACCCCAGCTTTGACGTGGAAAGACTTCTTATGGTCGTCCCCAGCATATAGCTTTACCTTCGCAGCTGCTGTAGAGAATACTACGACCCATAAAGTATCATCCGTCTAGATCAATGGCTATCAAGACCTATAGTCAAAGAACTACGCCAGTTACTTACCACCTGCCAGTGAGTGGGCCGACCAACGCTATCGTTAGGCGCCGTCGCGTCTTTTGGGTGAGGGCGCGCCCACAAAAATACCTGGTCACGTTCAATGGGGGGATATCTTCCCTCCTTGAAGGCTTGGGAGTAGTACGCATTGAGTGTCAACCATGCCGTATGCGGAAAGCCGTCAACCCATGCTTGAGAATTTGGTTGGGCACCCTTGATGGGACCGATATAGTGCGATTCACCGTAATCTGATTGGGATACAGTATCGAAGAGGATTTAGAGAGAGAAGGTTAAAAGACCGACCGTTCCATGATATCACTTGTACGATATCGATCTGCTCGCGCGTTGATATCAGCTGTTCCCAGCGACGGACAAAAAGCCAATCGTCTCCTCTGTATATCCACTATTTGAATTGCAGGGAGGCTTGTTCTGTATTCAGATGAAAGGAACTTACGTTCTTGTTCCAGCTATCAGTCCCATAATGCTACGAGGTTATCAGATAACGTTCACCTGGTCAGTTTTGATTGAGACGTACCGTAAAGAACCAAGGTGAAACGGCCGCCATGAAAGTCCGCCCACCCAAATGACGAAGGTGGCGCTGGTCGGACTTCAACTCTGGACATTCAACCTCACTCCTCGGAGATCTGGACGTCAAATGGAGAGGCCAGCTCCCGTTCCACTGGACAGAGGAGCCATGAAAGGAAAAGAGTATTGGAGATGAGAACGACCCACATTAAACGCGCCGTCCAAACACGTTATCGTCGGATATGTTGCTGGGTCAACGAAGAAGGATGGGATAAAGTAGATCTGCTGCGCAAGGGAAGGGGTTATTACGGGATGGTATAGGTCTTGAGACTCACGGGAACGATTTCCTCGAGGGCATTCTTGACGTATCCCCAGGCATTGTCCAAGGTCTGCTGACCAAATCGTAGGTGCTCTCCCGTGAACGTTGATATAACGACGCCGCCTTTGTATCGAAATATCCCCGGGTGATTTCCAAAGGATCTCATGTACTCGCAAAGCAGAGGAACATCTCCAGCTGACTGTCCTGGTATAGAGCTGAAATAATTCAGGGGCTGGAGCCAATAATCAAAGAAAGGTTAGGATGTACCTCATATCAAAACTAAAGAACAGTTTGAAGGGAAGATTTGCTTGCGAGAGGGCATGAAAACAGTCTGCAGAACGATCCTTTTGCCATGGTTCGCGTCCGACATTTAATACGAATCCGTCTCTGTGGAAGTTGGAACGAAGATGTTAGCGGACGAAGCAGAAGAGAGGGATTCTACTGGCAAATTATTTTGGCTGGCCAAAACGATGTCCTCCAACCAATCTTCGACAGTGTATGGCTAGTAAGCAGCATGCCTCAATTATCATTCACCATGGACCGGCACGAGAGAATATGGAATTGGCTAACGTAGGTATTTCCCACCATGAAGCTTAATCATGTGAGCGTTTCTGAAGGAAAATAAATTGAATGCAGTACTCACTGGGCGAAAACATACTTGGTAGAGTTTGCCATGAACTAATTCTAGAGGGGAAGATGACAAAAGCGGGTCAGCGTTCTCTGAGCGCGGTTTCAACTTTTCTAGGAAAAATGGAACAGACGTTAAGATGGCATGCAAAACGGGATAAAATGCAGTTTAGCGCGAATGATGGTCACGGTGATGGCGGGAAAGGGTCGGGGGTCGGGCCGGAGAAGGAAGTTGAGAGCCACGTGCTCGCTTTAATCTGAACTTTTGCTGCATTTCGGATTCTGCAATGTTCAATCCTCTGGCTTCTTCAGTTCCAGTTTTTCCTTTTCTTTTGAATGCGAAAAAGAAGGATAAGCACTCTGTTTGGATCCATGCACGATAGATCAACCATTGATATGTGATGGGCGGCCGAGTCGATGACTATCAGCATCAGCTCCTAGGTGTCAACACTACACATTTACTGCGCACGACGCAATTGAATTCTAATGCACCTAAGGTTCAGGAAAAACGTAACTCATCTTGCATCAGTGGTGCTTAATGTTCGTGTGTTCCATTCATTTGCCCTGTCCTGTGAAAAGAGCCTATAGGCTTCAAGTTCACTACTGATGCCGTTGATGTATTAGATTATGACTGCGAACTTCGAATTCTTCTAGGATCTCGTCAACAGTTGGAGCGTCTTGATGCTGCGGTCTGTCCTTCCAACTAGTGTCGTACGTCTGTCTAAGAGGTGAATTCACCGCTTCCAGCTAATCGAAAGACCTCAATGTCGCGGAGATGCAACTGCCTGGAGGCATTTCATCTGCCTTCTAGACCCGGCGCCGCAAATTTTACTGTTCCATCGCGAAGAGGAGTACCTCTCCAGTTCCGGCTTTACGATATCACGGCGTCCAATGTGTTTTCAGATTTCGGCCTCACCTTCCCTAAGTCAATGTCTGTGTCTATTTTGGGTACGCGACGGTGGCGACACCGCGGCTTAAAAGTCCAGAAGAGACAAACGTAGGCCTACCTCTGTCCCCGAATTCAAAGGATCTATTTAAAGTCTTACTATAGGTTAGGCTCCGTTTGTTTGTGTCCTGGACAGCTGCCGATAAGCCTGATATGACCAGGATTCTACTGATACCGGGCACCTCGGGCTGTGTTCACCTTGAGCAGCGTTTCTGCTACTCCAGCACGCAGCTAATGGACGGTAATTGCGTGGAATACATCAGGGCTGCCCGTGCTTCTATGTGACGCACCAGAATTCTTTTCGGACTTCTTGGAAACAAGGCTAAACATAGAGGGCTATGTTTAGCCTGTCTATTTTTAGACCTCATACAAAAATCGTATTGCCTCCAGTCAACGTTCCCTTTCCTCTCCGAGGCCCCAGCGTGCATTTTCAGGGCAATGTCACCCGGCTCCCTTTCCCTTTGCGCTTTTTTGCTGTTGAACCTCCTCACCTCGGGTTCAAGAGCTGCCGACCGTAGCACTGAGGCAGGAGAGGCCTCCATCTCCGGTTTGTGGATGGTTTATTGTTGGTTGGTTGATGTTACCTCATGTTTGTTGAATTTTTTAGATCCATCAGCAGAGTGCGTGGCCTACTACTACGCGCCGTCAGCCACACAAATCCACTCCTTCCCTACGGTATGGCAGCCTGCGTCTATCCTTGCCAATGATACCGCCGCACAAGCCAAATGGCAGTCCATTATGGGCAGTATTCCGACGACTATCTTACCCAAGGTGAGTACTGTCTTCCTCATGTCCTTGGCATAATTGTCTTACCTTACAACAATAGGGAACTAGCACCGGAAACTTCACGAACGTCACGTATTCCGCAACTGACCCAGATTGTTGGTGGAGCTATCATCAATGTGTCCAGCCCAAATTGGCTGGACTACCTGCTGACATCGCTTCTGTTCCGGAGGTATGTCTGGTGGTTCTGTAAAATGTTTTATCGCTGACGTTCTGTATGTAGCCTGACACTCTAGGGTTTGGGTTCGATGATGGACCGAATTGCTCTCATAATGCGTTCTATGACTATCTGACTAGTCAAAATCAGAAAGCTAGTTAGTATCTGTCCCTCCTTTAGCGAACACTTATATTCAAGCTGTTTTAGCGATGTTTTACATTGGAAGTAATGTCATGGATTGGCCGCTGGAAGCGCAAAGAGCAGTGGCCGACGGACATGAAATTTGCGTTCGTGAGTAATTCATCTTTCCCCTCGTTCTTTTCTAAAATTTGTACAGATACCTGGTCTCACAGATACAGTACGTAACCCCGTGTTTGCCTGTTCCTGGTCTAGCATTGAGGTAACAACGTTTCAGTGACATCATTCAACAGTTCGGACGCCTTCGCAGAACTCTACTATAGTAAGTCATTCCCCCTTTGTTTCATGCGGTGATGCTTAATTTATGGTAATCAGCCGTGAGTTGTCTTGTGTTGCGAGGCGTGATCCCCTCCTAATATAAAAAAAGATGCAAGCAATAAAACTCGTTACTGGCGTGACGCCGAAATGCTGGAGGGTAGGACGTTATCTTGTTGCTGACACATGTATCCTGACGAAAGTATTCTAGCCCCCTTTTGGTGATGTCGACGACAGGATACGAGCAATCGCAAATGCCCTTGGCCTTCAAACTGTCATATGGAAGTATGACTCGAACGACTGGAAGGCAGGAACAGGGAATATTACTACTGCCACTGTAGATGCCAATTATCAAGCATTGATTAACAACGCCACTAGTGGAACCTTCAGTACAGTATGTCCAAGTTACAGTTTTTTTACAGTGGTGCTCATCAATATTATTCTCCAGCAAGGTACCATAATGCTGACCCACGAGCTGAACAACTATACCATGTCGACGGCAATGAAGTGGTATCCACAACTGAAATCTGCCTTCCAGGTCGGTGCAGCTGTATCAAACGTTCCACCAGCTACTGATCAGCTTTTTTACAGTACTTGGTACCCATCGCTGTCGCAATGAATAACACTCAGCCGTATGTCGAGACCAACTACACGTTTCCTTCATTCCAACAATGTAAGTTCTCTATTGGCTAGTGATATGGTTTAAGTTGATGATCATACTCGGCATGTAGACATCGCGGGACAGACGACTGCAAATACCACATCAACGTCTTCTTCATCGAACAATTCTGATGCTGGCACAGTCGTGTTTAGTAGTTTGACGCTGCTGGGACTGGCGTTGACCGTCCTGGGGACAATTTGATTGCTATATTATACCGATTACCATTCAGTAGCAACGGACAGTAGTAGTAGTATACCTAGGCAAATATTACGTTGACGAAGACTTGGTACTTATCAAAAATGGTCTGGAAAGTACGGACCGGTCTAGGCCGACGAGCTCCAGACATTTCTAGACGGTTCATTTGACCTTATTCTTTGCAAGCATGAACCCGCGTCCATCAGTTCATGATTCCCACCAGAAGGCAATTGCTTTCCGTCTTCGTAACAATTACTTTCACCTCCGTATTCGTTAGACATTTCATGTCTACTCCACCACGTACCATTGTCATTGGAGGCGGCTTGGCTGGCCTGAGCGCTGCCCATACTTTGCTGGAGAACGGAGCCGCAGTGCTGCTGCTCGACAAGAAACCATCGTAAGTCGTTCTTACTTTGATGAAGAACAAGGAACTGAAGGGCGGTCGCAAGTCTTGGTGGGAACTCTGTCAAAGCGAGTTCTGGAATCAACGGTGCTGGGACTGAAGCGCAAGCCAAGTATGATATCAAGGATACAGTCGAGGACTTGTACGTATCATATCGTCGCTATCGTCTCTGACGTTGACCTAGGATTTCAGTATCAAGGATACCACTGCATCTGCTGGCCATCTCGCTCGTCCAAATCTCATCCAAGCCTTGACATCCAACTCGGCGCCAGCTCTCTCATGGTTGTCCACCAAGTTCGGCGTCGACCTTTCACTTGTGGCCCGCTTGGGCGGGCACTCTATTCCGCGAACGCATCGAGGAAAAGGCGGCGCGCCAGGTTGGGCCATTACTTCGGCGCTGATCAAGAAGCTCGAGCAGGAACCTAATGCCTCGATTGTCAAGTCTGCAAAGGTATTGCGCCTGTTGGAGGAATCAGGCAGGGTATATGGTGTTGAGTATGAGACTGAGGGAAGTAAGGTCGAGGCAGAGGGTCCGGTTATCATAGCTACAGGGTGCGCTCGTTCGCTCTTTGAACTTGTTCGCTGCTGATGACTGTCTTACAGAGGTTATGCAGCAGATTTTTCGTCGTCAGGATACCTGACTCAATATCGTTCTGATCTCCTCACGCTACCCACGACGAACGGCGACCACGCTACCGGCGACGGACACCGCATGGCGACATCCCTCTCCTTACCCGCCGCGCTATGCGACATGGACCAAGTCCAGGTCCACCCGACAGGGTTCGTCGACCCTGCCAACCCAGATGCCAAGACCAAGTTCCTGGCTGCCGAGGCTCTGCGCGGTGTCGGCGGGATCCTCATCAACAACACTGGCTCGCGGTTCGTGAATGAGATAGACCGACGTGATGTGGTGACTACAAAGATGCAGAGCGTCATCGATGCAGGCAAAGGTCCGGTCCGGTTGATATTGAATTCGGATGCTGCGACCGAGTTGAAGGCGCATTGTGATTTTTATGTGGCCAAAGGGCTGATGAAGAGGTATGAGGGTGCGGCGGCTTTGGCGAAGGATATGGGCGTTCCGGTGGATAGTTTGAAGAAGACGTTTGAGGCTCATGGTAGGTATGCGAGGAATGAGGAAACGGATCCGTTTGGAAAGACATTCTTCCACAACCCGACGTTTGACCCGGAGGCGCCAATATTGGTTGCGTTGATGACACCTGTCGTACACTATGTGAGTCTGGTCTCTAGTTTTATCATACCTGTTACTGACTAGTTGTAGACAATGGGTGGAATACAGATTGATGAAAAGGCGCGAGTTCTCCACGCAGACGGCTCGCCCGTCTCGGGGCTGTTTGCAGCTGGCGAGGCTATTGGTGGTGTCCACGGACAGAACAGGCTTGGAGGCTCGTCACTGCTAGAGGCTGTTGTATTCGGACGGATTGCGGGGACGTCGGCATCGTCCTAGGGAAGAAACCCAAGAGCAAGTGTATCATTAGTTGCGTGCATCTGTGAAGCGCGAGGCAATTTATCTCTGAAACGTTTGATCCTATTCTAGCATCTTGATAGCTCAACTCAAGACTTGAAATATTTTGGATGTCGTGGTTACTAGGACCACACAAACACAATGGAGTTGCCGGACGTTTTTCTTGCAATACGCGCACGATTGAGCGGATTCTGTACGGTCTTTGTGTCTAGGTCAAGCTGGGAGCAGCTGACCACGCTCGGCTCTTGTTATGTGAAGTTCCTTTGACCATTACGCGGGCTTCAACTCTAGAAAACCTCCGTCCTGCGTTACGCACTTAGGAATCGGCGGAAACTGTTAGTGCCTGCTCATTTTCTTTTGTTTAGCTGCTTGTGATGGAGGGCGTGCCGTCTGGCTCTCTCTCACGAACAGTGTACCTTTTACAGACCAAACTCTGTCATTACGCGCGCCCTGGCACCGGAGATTCTAGAGAAGCATTTACTCTTCAGTCTGCCTCGCTAACAGCGCGTTCTGGTGTTCAAACCAGTCGCGATCGTGCGAATGGGCAACCTGTTCATTCCGCATCGCGGTGGCGGAGACCCGCAACTCCTGCGCATTACCAAGGACCCAATATCTTACCCCTGGAGAACTTGACCGTCTTACGAAAGGTTAGCTTGTTAGGACAACACAGACCGCGCGCAGGTACCCGTCTGTTAGACCGAGTTGAATGCCCTCATCGTTCGTGGATTTTCGTAACGCTTCGTCCATGAGCTTGAGATCTTGAGACTCCTCGGGCTCAACCCCGGTCTTCGATTAGCCCGGACCAATAGCGTTGTTCCCTCTGCGTTTGGATGGTGAGCTGATAGTGACTCGTCCCGCCTTCCTGCTCATCGTTAATATTTCTTGAGATGATCTGCTTTTGAAGCAGCATTTTCATTTACTTATATCCGTGTACTATATCGCCTCACGTCCGCGGACCCTCGTTATCTACTACGCAACTTGCATTATTATTGCATCTCAGCTTCGTAGGATAGGATTCGTTTACTTCTTGTTCATTGCCTTATTTACTCAAGTTTCATAGGATCGTGCATCTTGCATCTCTTGTAAACAGACTGCGCCTGTAAGTGTTTTATTACAGGTTATATTTTACATAGTAGCGGTAGAATTGTTGGACAAATATCCGAACTGTTTGATCATCTCTTCCCTCCGGCCATATCTTCAATGGTCCTAACTCTTCTAGTGTCCTGGAGTTCATGAGTATTTGTCCGAAATCCGCTGATCCGTTCAACTACAGCGTAGTTCACAAAGGGCTTCCCATTCTAAGTGGTACACTACACTCTTTGCTGGATGCTTTAGATGGGTGCCCGATATTGGGAGTCGCAGTATGAATGTCGTAATTAGCTTATATAAAGTCTTGAGATATTCTCGTTCGTGTGCTGTATGAGAATTGTAAAAGGTCTATGTTTACTTCTTCCAGATCGACTATATATCTTCAAAGCTAATGAGTGGTTAGTGAGCAAAAACAACATAAGACCGGGTAAGCATATCATGTGGCTCGCTCGATGGACTGGTCGTGGTTACTGAAAACTTCAAGGTCCGTCGGGTGGAACCGGGTCGGATAAAACCACGCGGCGCATGCGTTGGATTGAACTTCTGAAGATCAAATTTAATATCAACCGTGACTTCGCAGGAACCACTTCTTACTATTCATCGTTCGCGAATCGCCAGTACGCGGTATTCAGGGACGATATCTTCCTCGTGACCGGAACGTTGACCTAACATCCCCATTTTCAAGTAAACCTTGTACTTCGAAATGATTTCTAGATACGTTGTTCACCCCGAGCTACTCTACTTTCAACCCTTTTCAGCTCCGCATTTTGCTTCAGGCTCAATTGAAACCCAGCCGTTCTCACAAGGAAGAACGGATACCCTAATGCCGGATAACATAAGATAGAAGACACCATTTGGACTATTTCCACATTGCAGCCTGATGATCTGACGACTTACCCCTTGGAAGAAGGATCTAGATTCTACAGGATTCTACTCTGTTTTCCCCCTTCACATAGCAACACTGAGAAGCTCACTCGCTGAAGCCTTTGTCAAATTCCGATGTAGTAACATGAACAGAAAAGTTCGCGCTTTGCACACATCGTCCGACTCGGGATCGGTTGTCTGCAAACGATCTCATCAGGCTTCTGTATCTTTTCCCCCGGCTTCGTAGGGAGGACAATTTCATATGGTGCGAGTATTCAACTACCGGCCTAGCAGCGAACAGATCGGGGAGGCTCTTGGAATTATACAGCCGCTAGCGCAACGATAATAAGATTTCATTGTTCAGCTTCTATCTTTATACTTATCAGAGAAGTAATACGAGTTAACTGTTTCTCTTCTGGCTCACTTATCCTTTCATTAACTGGAGTGCGCCTGAGCTATATTCGCGTACCTATGAGGGAGGTGTTAGGTGCATACTAACTATATATCGGTTGATTACTGGACGCAAATATCCGGATCCTTCGGGTGTTCGAATTCTCTGCTGCTGCTGCTGCGCTGCTTAATATTTTGATTCTATGACTAGCGTCTAAGTATAAGTCTTCCAGGCACCCAATAATGCGGATTGAAGCTCGAATTCTCAGTCCATAAGGGACAGGTTAGTTAAGTTCATGTAGTTGCGGACCTCGAACGATCTTGTTTGCATAACACTGAACAGAAAGAATAACAGAAAGTCGGGCAAACCGCAAAATGTCAATTTAGCCGTGCCAAAGACTGGTGTCGGACCGGACGCCGGGACCGAAAGTCAAGATCAGTTTCTATTTTGAATTCTCTCTGGAGGCTGCCGCAAGTCCTCTCCTGTAGTGGTCAATGTGAGCCCGCGCGCACTCGTAGCACATTCAATTGCAGCGTGATATCTTTCACAATTTAGCATTATCCCCACAACCTTCAGGAAACCGTAAAACCTAAAAATATTCCTGAATTTTTAAAATTTCTATCTGATGGAAGCAAACCTCCATTGGATGAGATCAAATGCGATTATGGCACAGCTGCTGCAGAAAAATATGACAGATGCACTGCTATCACTGCCATAGACAAGCAGGTGATACATCAGAATGTAAAGAAACAATGTCGCTTGGATCCATTGCAACTGAGACTTTGTGATCCGACCGTCACCCTATTAAAAAAACGTACTCTGTTCATCCCCCCCCCCCCCCTCAAATTTTAGGGCACTTATATCTGGAAAGTCCCACATGTGTCGGAACGCCGAGAACAGTGATCATCACGGTCGCTTTATTGTCACTACTAGCAGGGCAACGGTCTCGTTCTCGTTCTCGTTGTGTCCGCTTTTACGGAGAGAACTTTGCAGTGGTTGGTTACAGCGTTGACCGATGAGCGGGTAGGCGAGAAAAATTTGGCTGACTTTGTTACAGTGTCACTTCTACCTAGTCTATGCACTGGAAAGTGTCCGGTGGTAGTAGTACTTTCTATAGATATGGTGGTTATACATTGTAGTACAGAGGGAACTTGAAATATGAATACAGAGATTTTCTAAGATACGAATCGTGTGTCAGTAAGTATGAGTGTACGTCTAAGTTATTGATGTGTTATATAAGTCCAAGATGTCAGTGTCGATGGATAAGTAGGTACAAATGTTAGCCACAGGAACCAGAGGAAAGCGAGTGCATGAGACGACAAAGCAAGAGATCAAAGACTGAATACCGCACCGCCCCTTCGGCGACTTTGAATGGGGTGCACGACGAACAGCGCCAGGCCTAGTCCGACCGTCAGCCCAATCGCCACCGAAATAATCTGGAGCGCGGTCTGGAAACCAGATAGGTAGGAGGTGGAGGATCCGGACGATTGCTCTGACACGAAGGTCAAGAGACCACCGTTTCCGAAACCAGACGGAACTTGGAAAAGGATACCAGCAATCTAGACATGGATGAATGATAACGTTCACGAAAGGATGCAGGAACGAACCATAATCACGAAGGCATTTCCCGAGAAGAAACGTCCGTACAAGTTGGCCACGAATCCGACAGCGAATGCACTGTCATCAGAGCGCGTAAGTACATAGACCGGTTAATTTGAGAAGAGATATGCTCACCCAACTGCTGCGCTTATGTCGCCCTGATTGACAAACTTGGTAGATGTAAAATGGTTGGACACCCATCCAACGGATGCAATCACAACAGCAAGGAACTACACGGATGTCAACGTTAGCGGCGTAGAGTCATCCAGAAAGCAAACTCATACCATTTCTCTCCGATTCCACGGCATGTAGTTCCTCAAGCACAAACCCGACGCAAACATCGGCACAATCAAGAAATACCAGTACCCACTCGGCGTACGCTGCCACCACGGGCCCTCAGGATCGTGGCTCAGCGCGCACTTGTAGTCAGTGACACCGACAACAGAATGGCTAGTGATCTTCTCGTATGCCTCTGCTCCTATCGACAACCCGAACCCGAGGAACAAAGAGTAAATCACCGCGTAAAACATCCGCACCGATCCAGCAACGAGGTTGCGCGACATAAGCTCTAGCGAGCCGCATAGAACAATGAAACCCTAGAAACCATGTTTAATCTTTGTAAGGGGGGAGATAAGGATGTCAAAATCTAGCACTCACGGGAAGGATAAGTACTACGGAGCCGGAGGCTATCGCCGAGTAGCAAAGCTTCTGTGAGGCTGCCATACCCGCAGCAATGAAACTGAAAAGCATCGATACCGTGATTCTATCCCATTCATCAGTCATTTGGGATAAGGGAGGTCAGGGCTGTAAAACTGACTCAAAAACGTTGGAATATAGCTCGTTCCGGACACTCAGGAGCTGGATCCCAACGAGGAGCATGCCGAGTGGAAATACGGCAACAGAATCGATAAAGCTCCCTCCAAAACTGACGATGGAGATCGACGAGGAGCACATCCCGCCAAAGAGCATGAGCTGCCACCACGGATAAATCTGCTTCTTGCGCATGAGATTCGTAAGCTGGCCGGAAGCATCGCTAACGGCAAGGTCGTCGTGGATGACCTACAAAGACAACGTAAGAAAACGGAGAAGAGCACGATCTAGAAAGAGCACCGACCTTCCAGTACAGCTCATATGCGTCGCGGAGTTTGTCTAGGTCTAACCCGCTACCCTGCTTAATAAACTTGATGGAACTTGTACCGGTGGATGAGTCGTCGAAGCTGATGAGCATTACGTCCGGGAGGTACATGCACGACACCTCTAGATCGAGCACTCGTCCGGTGGCCTGGATTTGACTCTGCAGGCGATGAGTCGGAGCGGCGAACATCATCATCGCGCGCGCGAGCTTGAGGATGAATTCCTGGCGCTGCATGATCTCCGCGACGTGCCGAGTGATGTAGATCTCGCGGGCTTTGCGTTTCCTGCGGCGCTTCTCCTTGTCGCGGTCTCCAGCTGAGAAATAGTCGTCCTCTCCCTCGGTAGTTGGGGTCGTCACAGGGGTCTGGGCGGGTGTCCGTCCAAAGTTCTTCACTGGACTCGGGAAGTCCTTGAGCATCCCAGACCATTTATTCTTCAGAGACGAGGTAGAGGGCATCTTTTCATGGGTCTTGTCATGATGATGAGTTTCGGTAAGTGTAGTGAGCGTTTCGTTCGAAGGACTGTTGGCAAATGAAGGTGAAAAAGAGGAGAAATGCTCGAGATTCTCTGATTTCGGCCGAAAGGGAAGCATCTCGATACTGCGCCGCTGTGAACCGGCTTTGTCTTTGTCATGGTGCTGCTGCTTTACAGTTGGGAGCTTGCTCTCCAGGGAATACCTAATAAGTGGTTACGTTAGAGCTAAGGACAGTTCCAGAGGAGTAGAACAGACCTAGACAAATGATAACCGGGGCGCTTGACATCCGGTTGAATCTGGCTTGCCGTAGGAGCTGCGGGGCCAGCAATGTTTCCAGTACTGGCAATCAGCGAACCCAAGACGCCTCCGCCAGGACGAGGCTTCGGGCGGCTTCCAAAAGAAAAAGAGGTCACAGAAGACATCGACGCTGCACGTTTCAAGAGAAATTCCTTCTCCTTCGGAGAAGACGGCCTTGAAGCAAGAGAGATAGAAGAATCGCTGCCCATCCGGGCCGCCTCGGATGACCATGGTCTCTCTGGATGCTCCGATATAGGCGTCGCTGCTCCAGATAATAGACCTTCTGGTTGATTATAAAGGGTCAAGAGGGCAGAAAGAACACCTCCACCTGCACCAGTCAGACGTGGATTCTTTGGGGCTGCATCGCGTTCTGCATCGGTATCTTTACGCTCAGTGCTCCGTTCCCTGCTCTTGCTCTTCTGCCGGGACTTTAGATTGAGGAAAAGATTACGACCACGGCCCCGAGCACGTGTGTGGGCGCGAACGATGTTAGCTGCCTCGCGGTAGTCTTTGTCTACAGGCCCAGGAAGGCCGGAGCTCTCGTCCTTGTCAATGAAAGTCCCGGGAACGTCATGGTAGTTGACCTTTGCAGTTGTCGGGGAGATATCAGAAGGCGTGGTGGTGGTAGAAAAATTTCTGGTATGAGCAGCCTCACGCTGATAAGGTGTCATCCCGGTGTCCACGGGGGGAAGATTCTGGGGTCGGGGTGGAAAATAATGGATCCGTGGTACAGGCGGCGGTCGGTCCTCAACTCGCGACTCGGAGCGGTGTCGCTCAAGAGCGTGGGTAAGATGCTCAAAGGCGTCGGGCTATTTGTCAATGTTATCAGTCACTGAAAGTACACTGTTCGACGCGACTCACGTCCCGAGCATGCTCATCGAGAGCATGGGTCTCTCCCTTGTCGCGGTTATCCGACCATTGCACCTTCCTAGGAGTTTTCTGGCCTGAGGGACCTGCAGCGCCACGACCATTGTCCTTCATGGCCTTATCCTTGTTGGCCATGATACTAACGGGCGTACGAGATCCATTAGTGCCAGCCACATTGGACATGGAGAGAGAGAAGAAAGGGAAGGGGGGAAACAAGATCGCGGACTCACCAATGCTGCCGTCTGGCTCGTTATATTTATTACCGTAGTAATTTATTGAAGGAAAAAAATAGATCGAAATCTACCATGCGTCGATCAGTTGCCGGTAACATTCAGGAGATCCGAGACCTACCCTGCAAATTACACACGCGAGACTATCTCAGAGTCCCGTAAGATGGATATGTGTTGCCTTCAAGCCGTCCGAAGAGTTCTAGTAAAGGATACGGTGAGGTGGCGGTCGATGGCCGCAGTAAAGGACCACTCGACAAATTTATTTCAACGGCCCCCAGGCTCCAGCACTGGTTTGGAGCCGCAGACATGCCGACGTCTGATAGGCCCGGCCGTTCCGGATAAATCCGGAGCCTGTACTACGTCGAGCCATCTCGCCGTCTGATTCGCAGCGCGATTTGGACGCTTCTTCTCCTTCAAACTCGAAAAAATAACATTAAAATTACGGAAACCTTCTGGTCGCACGGCGTCGCGTATGTATAACCCTCTGACCTGGATAAAATAACCGATGTATTGCCCTTGTTGGTCCTATCGTTCTTGTTGGCCGCTGGTCATAGTACTAATCAGCCCCACGGAGTCTTTGGCAGGCGGCTCGTAAACTCCACCTTCATCATCTTCGCGTCGGTTCTACCTTGACAACGGTAAACAAACAAAGCCCAGCTTCTCGCTCGCCCATTTTCTGCCAAGTTCAAGATAAGAATTACGTGCGAAAAAAAGAAGACCGCTTATCGGTCCCAGAAATAATACGCTTTGTCATAGAGACCACGGCCCTTGTTGGACGGGTATAGACTTTGCCTAGACATATGTATCGATGTCCCCCAACCGTTTGCGAAGACGAGCCAAGTGGAAGGAAGCTAAGAATGGGTTACCGCCCAATACCCGCCTTGATCACCGGATAATCGCGCCCGGGATTGGCGGTAGTAAGCGCCCTCCGACACTCAAAAATAAGCAATTCTATAAATAGACCTCGTCGGGATAACCGTTTATGATCGTGTCCGCTCCGTTAGTTATTCAGTATCGGGAGTAGTATGGAGTAATGTTCTCCTTTCCTATTACTTAGCATGGCAGTTTTACACGATGTAGGTACAAGGACGTACAAATCTCTAAAATGAATTCTCATGCGTAGTTGGTACCGATTGCGCATTTTTTCACAGTATCACAGCATTAATCACACGGGAAACGGCTATGACCCGCAGTTGGACGCGTCAACATGGACGGACTTATTAGTGAGTGTTTTATCTTGTACCCTATCTCGTAAAAAGAGGGTACCGACCGTGAGACAGTCCAGAGAGGAGTAAGTTCTGTGGAATATAGATGAGGGCACAGTGCAAGAATAAACGGCACACCGTACCTGTTTTCTCAGCACTATCAACTCATCATCAAACGCCGCACGAACAACCGGATTACGGGTGTACTTACTCGTAAGTAGTGCCGCGAAAGACGATAGTGTCTCGGTACGCATGATAAGTCCGCCACCATAAAAGTAAACATTGACCGGCGTCTGGTGCTAACCCCATTAGTTCGACGATTTGCGTTCGTACCTTTGCGCATTGAGTGAGGAGAAATTCCCTTCGGTCGACGCCGACCGAGAACAAGGTCTCGAAGCAGGCAAGGTCGTTTCCCAGTCTCAGGATACTCCAAGAAGTGGTGAGCGGGTGCTTACCCGCAGTATAAGCAACGAAAAGATTGGTAGTGTTTCAGCGAGTCTCGAAGGCGACGTCGACTAGGTAGGAAGCTGAGAGGACAACGAGTTGGTAAGGTCGAACTCGAAGAACGTCAACTACACAGCGGCTGCTAATTCGAACGCATGTATCGCGAACCCGGCGGTGTGGGGTATTGGACCCGCCCGAGCAGTAGTAGCTGCAATTTCAGAGCCTAAGATCTTCGTTAATCAGTTGGCATGTTCCTGCTCCCGCGTTGATCTGGACCGCATGGAGGTAGCGACCTTCGTGTACCAAATGGGATATAATGGAATGGAAGCGGGTGAAGTCGCGACGGTTCGACAAGAATCATAGTGGCACGGAATTCAACTGTCTCTGTAGGTTTAGATTCGGTGGGGTCGTGTCGTAGGAATAGTCGGTACGGGTGTCTCTCCCAGGCATAACATCTGTTTCTGATCATCTACAAGTCCAACCATAAGGCCGTAAATTTTGTGCAAAAATAAAATCCGTTAGTCCCGAGCCGTCGGATGTCGCTAGCCGTGGGTTATCATGGCGAGCCCCATCGTTGCTCCTTTAGCATAAGATTTCTCGTACGCACAGACAAACCTGAGGGTCATGGTCCTATCGAAAGGAAATATGCGATGGTCTCGGCCAGTCCGAATTATCGTGCTATGTGCCACTTCGAAGATCGACTACGGGCAGCGCAGGCATCCGGTCAGTGACCGCCTAGGAATCACCTAGTTATTTGTCTACATACGCGGACCACTCAGTCTACCGTGTCCCGATGAACGAGGAAAAGACTTCAGATACATGTTCAACAGGTGCCAAGTGCATGTCGATCTCGACGTTGTGGAGTAACTCAAAACATAGCCGTATATGTTCGTTCCTGCTCCTGTATCAATGTTAGCCGACCAAACGTGCACGTACGGGGGTACCGGAACTCCATCACTCACGACATGTCGATCCAAACTTCCCGCCGGGAACCATTGTGGAATGGAAGATATTTAGACACAATCGAGCCACGGCAATTAGAGGTATATTAGATCAAGATGAGCTGACGAGATCCATAGACGAGTTTTGGGGTGCTCTTCAGTACAATAGATAGGTGATCAAAATACGTTTAGAGTAATTGAGCCAAGAACAAGTGTTCTTCAGACATCGTAAGCGAGCCCAGCCTCAGCACGAGAACAAGCCAAGAGTTATATCCTTCCATTGCTCCGAAATACCCAGTCCGTAGGGCACTGCGCTCACTTGACCAGCTAGTGACAGGCCGCAACACGCCTAGGTGATCGCAGTTGTAGGTCCTAGCCTTCGAAGCCCGAGAATCGTCTACATAATTTGATTAAGAGAGTATCTTCTCTGCTGTCTGATTACATGTCAGACGTTCCGTTGAAGTCGCGGGCTACAGAGGGGGATTGGAAGGAAAGCAAACGAAGGTGCAACAAAAGTGAAGCCAAGAAAGGGCGGAGGCTGTTTTTCCCGAGTAGCCGGCTATTGCCGGAACAACCTCTTTCCTTACTTTCATCATCGCTATTGTCTTGTATTGCCTTTTCTTTGCGCCAAAGTGCCTCTTGTGTTCCCTCTTTCGCAGCGAGAATACGAAGTAACGAACATTGTTGAGCGTGTCGAAGTATAGCTCTCTGATTGGTGCCGCTGCCGGCGGTCTCGCTACCCGCCAAGACTTGGTCGTCACTCCCAAACTTCGCAGGCTCTGGTATCTCTCCGGTCATGGAATTTGTACACTGATATCGTCACGGGGAGATACTGGAGGGTTCTATGATCATTGTGCGTTATCAGTGATATTGCTCTAATTGAGATCCGACCTCTGTTTGCAGTTCAGGATCTGGTCTGAGCCTCGGTATTGCTTCGGGGCTGTTTGTGCTACGCCGGATGGAAGAGGATACGTTTAATTTCGGCATTGACGACAATCCGCCGAGCTTACCCTTTTCGTGAAGTATCCGACGATTGCTGTCTCGCGAGTCTCATGGCTTGGAAAAGCAAGTTCCGAAGACAACAGTGACGACAGCGATCAAGAGGACTATCCCAATACAAGCAAGTTGTCAAGGAGTAGTTCCTGGACAAAAATTCTCCCTGTCTATCGGCGGAGTACAAGGGAATTGCCTTGACGATGTTCCAGCTGAATTTCTCTGAATTTACCAGAAACCAATGCGGAAGTTCTAATTTGTTTAGGCATCCGTTGTCCGTTTGTAGGTGAGGACAGGAAATCGAGCAAGGAAAAGATTGTATATAACAACTTTACGGGTTGGGTCGGGTATGCTTATCATGGCGGAAGTCTCAAATAGTCTTTATGGATAACAGATGGTTGGTAACTGCAGGTATGGCATCTGCACATATACTCGGTTCTTCAATCTGATTCTTAGTTTGCAGAAACTGCGCCTACATACGCAATCTTGTGTATCAAACACTTCAAAAACTATTCAATCGACATCTCCGTATAGTACAATGTTTGAACGTCGACGTCCTATCAAACTTTATAACCAAAGTCCGTGATCATCGTAGTCAAAGGCCTATGTTCAAACTCAGGCTGCTCAAATTGTTGATGTGGTAGTTAACGGTATAAACGTGTCAGGTACAATCCTTGTCTCTCGTGGTACCATGCTCACCACCAGAAGTTCATACCGCACTTTACATTGATCCGAAAGTACCACATCTGTTCCACTTCGAGAATGCTCAATCGTATTAGCGCGTGAGTCTCGATATTGTCTCGGAATCCTTCTCCTGACTGTCTTCGATAGAATATCCTAACCGTGAAACGAAACATACGGTAAGGAAGCATAAGATACAAGACCGTATGGACAATCTGAGTTCTAGGTCGAATCATTTAACTCTGCTCTCGGAGGAACTCACATCTCGATCATACCCTCGAAATTCATATGCGCAGCAGCTTCTTGCATGGCAGATTGTATTCGCCGATGGAAATTAGATCAATGTCTATCGGCCTCGGAATTGTTTAAGAATCAACGCCCTCGAAACCTGCGATACTTCACAGACTGTCATTTTCTTTCGGTCATGGCACAGAGAGGAACAACGGGAGGCGTGCGTGGGTAAATGGAAAGGGCCTTCCATCAGCTCTTTCATCGTTAGTACCGCGCTCTGATAACGTTTCTGATGCGACAAGGTTAGCAGCATCGAGAAAGTCTTGCATTTATCCGGGTTGCCTGCCGAGAACTGTTGTTTCAGCTCCTCTTCCACTAGGAAATGTTCAAGGAACATCGGGAACTGGAATATAATGTGGTGCAGGCAGGAAGTGAGGAAATTCTCGACTCGGACGAAAGGCGTCATATTATGCCTTCGGCGAGGATACAGTAATTCTCCTGGGAATGAGTATGGCATCGGCGGCGATAATCCGGTAGCGGTGGTCTCAATACTGGCGGGATCCTTAATCTTGAATCACTAAGCGATGACGAAGATTGAATCGGCCAGGGGAGCAGACACCCGTGTGTAAGTATATGGACCAGGCTACGCCACAGGCTAACACCTCATCAGTTCGAGAAAAACAGATTGGTCACAAACCCGGACCCTTCAAGGAGTGCAGTTGAAACAAGCGCACTTTAGGTGAATGGTTTGCCATTTTCTTTAACGAATGTGCCCAATTAATTTTACTGACAGCCTTTTGACCCGATGTCACGAATCCACAGCTAGGAGAAGCGCTGCTACTAAAATGTTTAGAGTCGCTATCTGGCCGAAGAGTGCCCGAGTTTTATCCTTTGGTGTCATCGTTTCTCTCGATTGCGCTTTTCTTGGATGAGGTATCGGCTGTAAGTTTTGCTTTTCTTTCTCGAATTGCCTCAGGGTCATCTAATATTAACAAAGGGCCTTTTTACTAGATTGTACAGTCATGTTTATCTTCGGATAGAACCGGCTACATGGTAGGACTCGAAGAACGCATAGGCTACACTCTGTACGCCGCTTCTGACATCCTAATATCTCGGAACTCCTCCCTGAACTTGTTTTCCACCCCACTCTGGACTTGATTTTCTGACAGGGAGCCCCTACCCATTCGACTGCCGCCCAATGAGGCGTATGCCTCTTCTCGGACATGCTCCAGCAACAGCGCCGTCTCCCACCCTATCAATTTGGCATCTTCTATACTCACGACTGGATAGCGCGTCGCCAACGTGAGATACCCAGAGCGTAACCACGTTTCAACCGAATACTCTCTTGCCAAAATGATGCGCTCAGTGGCATCAATCGAGTACAGTATCTCAGTGATCTTCTCAACGGCATACTCCCGGACGCGCTTCATAGCCCACAGTTTTGATAGCTTTAACAACGAGACTAATTCTTCCTTGCTGAACGTCGGCGATCTGGGCGCCTCTCTGTATAACAGCGACGGTGTCAAGATGGAGATTGAGATATCAAACTGGACGACGTACAATGGATACAAGGCGCGGAGTAGCCTTCGGAAGTCCTGCTCCGTAATGGGAAGGACGATCGGGTTTTCTCTGCTCTGCCCTTCCGTCGCTGCTACCTGCCCTTGCGGGAGCGACAGCATGTCAGCGAAGACCTCGGATTGCGTTACGAAGTGGTACGTGGGGACTTTGAAGAATGCATTCTCTACCTTTTACCGAAGTTCAGTAATGGTCTGGTTCGATGGGGGTGGATCTTACCTGAAAGACTACGTTCTCCCAATAATGGTCAGGTTGGAGAGGAGCAACCGACGGCATATATTCCTGTGAAGCCTCCGATGAAATAGTCTCTTCTTCATAGTCACTTTCGTCTCCGGGAACATCAACTGCATATATGGCGGTGGATGATGAGAGGGACATCTTATATCTAACTTCCGCCTTACTTAGCGTCCTACTTATACCCTAGATCTTCCCTGCTTTATCACCTGCCCGTCCATGCCGCAACACGAATTCAATTCATCGGCACCGTCCGGAATGTGAACGGTATGAATGTGTTCTTCTTATCACATCGCTGGTATGACTAGCAATGCCCCGAGTTCGTCCTGGTGACTGTACGGTCGCCTTTTTCGCCATGGGTCAAGCATGTCCAGCAACCTTCGTGGGCGGCTAAAGAATCAATCACGATATAAGGTTCAGGAGGTTTCTGCATTCACGTAGGGCATAGGGTTTGTGCAATCGCATCCCCACGGGAGGCTACGTCCACTCCTTCTCCTAAATCTTCTACATTCACTATGAACGAAACGGAGTCCTTGAACCAAAGTATACCGTCGATTCATGATGAAGTTGTCGACTAGGAAAGTGTCCCGTTCCTAGTCAGTCCTCTTATCTGATAGGCGCTCTACTGGCGGTCTGACACCGTACTACTAAGGTTGGTTGAGAACTAGGGCTGAGCAAAAAAGTACCTCTTTTTTACAAAAATTGTTTTTTACTGTAATTTACACGTGAGCTCTTGGGACCAGATTTTCCTTGGTTAATTACAAAGTCACGTGTATAGCTAGAACACTGGGAGTAGCACCTATAGCAGCTCACAGGAGCCTATCTTGTGTCCATGAGCAAGATGTGAGCGTCAGAGAACTCTGGAACGAGAAATGTATACCTGGCTGCCACTTTCCGGCATGTCGCGCCGATCTCACGGCAGCGGGGAAAATATTTTCTGTCACCTGCCTAAGGTGTCACGTGATAAGTTATTTACATGTAAATTACCTGCAAGAAACTCCTCGCCGGAGTGCCGATGTAATTTACCTGTAGGAAAGTCCGGATGGAGTTTTTTGCGCAGCCCTATTGAGAACACGCTGTCCAGTGTTACGAGATATCATAAGTGCACATGTGATCTTTTTGTTATGAAATTGACATGATACGCCATTCAGAGAGCTATCTCTTTTGATAGAGGAGGCTTGATAGCATTGAAAGTTCTCGAACATTTGGAAGATCGTCAGATTCAGGAACATAGCCATCTCTGATCTGACGGTTGGGCCATAGGTTACAGAAGAGACATGGCATTTAACGACGAGATCATCTGGGGTAGATCCTGTAAGGTGGCTGACTGGATGATAACAGGGCATGGCGGTCTCATGACAGGGTGCGAATTGGGACCAGGGTACTCTGGGTCGACTACAGGCGCTGTATGATGGCGATCCCACCTATGGAGGGACCAGCCGATGTCGACGTGAGATACCGTCTTCCAACTTAGGGAGGAGGCTGAATACGATTCAAATGAGTTGTCGCATCCTGCGTCTCAGGCTTGTGGTGCTGTAGGACATCTGTACACGATAGTGATGGCGATTGATTGCGAGCAGTATTGGTTAACTGATGAGAACTCAGTCCGACGTGGTTCTCCAATAACGTTTTTTCTCGTCGTCCTCGCGTTGTCGTCGCGCCGTATCCCTTTCATTTTTCATCGAATCACTCTGGTATTCGGAAATGTTGTTTTACGAATACAAAGAATGCTTTTGTCGCTTTGCAATGGGCGAGACAAAGTATGTTATCGTCTTTCTGTTTCCTTGCCAGTGCCGGTATTGCCCGCATTCAGCTTGCTCTTCGGAATTTACTGGAGATACTGCTTGCATCCAAGTCTCCAGTCATTCTATTCCGTTGCGAAGTACTGGTCTGCGCTTGCAAAGTGCGGATAGTCCCACAGTCCATATTATCTCTCATGATAAGTACGGAAGAATACAAATTACAAGTTTCGATGTCGCGGCCCGATATAACCGGGAAAAGGAAAAAGCGGTGCTAATATGTTTGCTTTATTTAGACTCTCCCTTGCGTGTCTCTCCTTTCTCTCTTCATGAACGATTATGCACAACGGAACCACTACTCATCTACGACTACTCCTCGTTTTGGAAAAGGAAACACTGGGAAATTCAGACTAGCTCAGGAGACAACCTCTCACGCCGAAGATTACCAACCGAACGAAAGTATCAACAAACGGAAACAGGCGGTACCTCCAGTAATTTCTGCGGCCAATCGAGGAGGCAAACAGTATTTTCGTGGTGCAGGATCCAGCTTCAGAGGGGGAAGCTATAGGGGAGGTTTTCTTCGCCGCCAGTCTAGTGCCGGCGGATTTCCTCTAAGAGCAACTTCCAGCTCTTCATTTCATGCCACATCTCCGTGGAATGTCTTTAACACATTTCCTACCCGCATATATGCGCCTCAAACCTCATATTCTTCTTCAACCAATGCTAATGGTCAACCTTCGGGTACCCAGAACACCACCGAAGCCGTTGAAGTGCGTGCATCCAACAACACGATGGAACCACAGAGCAAGCGCCAGAAGCTCACTCATGAAGATGCTGCAGCTGTAGCAGCCTCAATCCCACATTCCCAGCCATCTGACGCGTCTTTGAAGTCTGAAGAGGCTGATATAGGTCTAGACGCGCCCCTGTCAGCAACGCCAACGATGTCTGGATCAAAATGGTATCACCCACTACCGCCAAACTGTCAGAAATCGAATCCCAACTGGTCGGCGAACCGGAAGCATTGGTTCAAGCAAGAGAGCAAATATCTGAGGTCTCGCGGCCTGAACATTCTGAGGAACTTTTTCAGGTATGTCAATGCCAGAGTTTTTGTCTGCTTACATGCTAATGTCTCATCGACAGAGATGATGGGATGGTAATCGACTGGTGAGATCTGCCGGACTTTGGTCGTTTGTTGCTGACGAGATTTTAGGTCGAGTCCAGTGCCAGTCTGGTCTGACACTCTCGAACCGGATCAGTCGTCTTCATCGTTTTCATACCCTCCTCCCATTACTTCTAAATCCAAGAAGCGTTGTAAAAAGTCAAAGGCCTCGAAACATACTTTGAACAGCATCACCTCCAGTGAACCCATCGTCCTACCTGGTCCTGCTCTCGCGCCTCCTTCGGACAACAATATTGACATAACCTCAGTTATACCCTCAGATGATGAGCCAGAAATTATCGTCATCGACGATGATGACGATTATACTGAGCCTGCTACACAACCACCTATAACGCAAACATTCGCTGACGTTGATCGACAAGCGACTATGGAATCTCATGCTTTACAATACTTGAAACAGTGAGCTGTCATGACCATTTATGCTTCCCTACCATTGCTAAACGTACTTCAGATATGTTTTAACATTTGATCACGATCGCTCGCTTCTCCGAGAAGCGTACACTGATCACGCTCTTTTCTCATACTCTATCGTGCGCGACAAGCCTCTGTCCATCTCCGAGGCTCACCTGTTTTCTGGATGCGAAACGTCATCAAGTAAATACCACACTTTTTTCTTCTTACTCCATACTCATTGATCTACCCAGATACGACTCTGAAAGTAGGGCCTGCTGATATCGTGGAAACTCTCAGTTCTTTTGGGAAGCACCAGTTCTTTCCACGACACGCTACACTGAATGTCGACTATGACCTCCTATACCTCGGGAACGACCAGATCCTACTGTCTGTACACGGCCAGGTCGTCGAGCCACGGTCAGACGGGGAGGACGTCAAGGTGGCTGTTGACCAGAGTTTCGTTCTATGCTCGTATGTACTGGTGTTGTTGCGATGACTTTCTGTTCTGATTTTTCTCAGCAGGGAGGATTCGGGACCATGGCCGTTGGTGGCTATCTCCCATCAGATGGTATTGCGTGACCAGGCTTGGGTCCCGGCGTCTCAGTTGAGACTGTCGTGGTTGTGATGGCTCGTGGGTATTGAGTATACATGACTGTACTAATTTGTGGATATGTATCACTAGGCTTGTTGTAGATGTAAGTAACAGCGCAACCGTGTGGAGCGTTTCGATCTTGGGTACCTGGTGCTCCGGCGCTCAACTCGAATGAAAGAGTTATCTTGATGGGATTTTTTATGTTTCGGGGTGCATCGTAAATCTCAAAACTATGCCTCATAGATCTCGCATGAGGAGATTATTTCCCGATCAGGTTCAGTGGCTGTAGCGTACAGTCAACGAGACGCAAGCCAGTTTTACTGGATCCAACAAGGAACGCTGCCTCTTCATTGAAATTAACGGTAACGTCAATGCGATTGAATGCTTTGCAAAAATTGTAATTCTTTTCTATTATAGCGCATACCGCAACTTGGGATGTTGATTGATCTATATCCTTGAGTTACAAGCGGCCGTAAGAATTACCACATCCCTGCCTCTTCTACTTCTCTTTGGATGCTTACCTTGTGAAGAGACTGTGCACCATCATTGTGATTAGTCTTAAAGGAGGAAAGGGTCGACGGCGCGCCTAACCACCAGAGTTCGCCAAGAAAGGCACAACGTATTCAATATTGAGTCCACTTCAATTCGGAATCGCAGTATGTTCTGTCGCGCTAACGTTCGTTGGTTGCCAGTGGGTGACTTTCCGTAAGGATTTACAGACGGATGGGAGCTAAAACAACAACGGCGTGAAATTTGTAATATAATTTACAGACAGATCCGTAAACCGTAAGGACCAATTGAACTTGTTTTGACTCCAAATTCTTGACTGTCGTCGAGTCCAAATTAGGTCATCCCCCGCCGACGACGCGCTACTTTCTCAATACACTAGCTGGAGCAAAATATGCCTAGAGAAGAGGGAGTATCCGATGTTGGAAACTGAACGACAGTTTTGCAGGAACATGAATGGTATGTGGAGTGTTTTCAGTGTTATCGGGCTCTTGAATTGATGGTAAATATTGTCAGCAGTGCGATTTCTTTCAATGAGTAACAAGAGGGAACGGAAGAAACTAAGGAGAGGATGTCCATATTCGGGCAGCGAACGGAACTTCCAGAACATATAAAAATCAAATTCTTGACAGCTACAGCACAAAATCCGTTTACAGACGGGTCGGGAGGCCTCTGTTAATGCACGAATTTACAGAACTGGTTGACCAGGCACAGATGATGAAATTATGCTCGGCATTTCGGCTTGATGGGTTTAGGAGCAATTTACAGACAAAAAATGTCTGTAAATCCTTACGGGAAGTCACCCAGTCTGAACTGATGGATAAATTTTACTTCCAGGCGGGACCTGAGCTCGAGGGGATCGGCGATACCGATTGATAAAAATCAGACCCCTCAAAAAGCGCCCCGTATATTCATTCATTCGGTACTGGCCGGTCAGTGTAGCGGAAGCGGGAGATTAATAGAAATGGGTGGTCCACTGAACCTCCTGTAAAATCCTCGAATCGGGCTCGTCGAATTATCCCACTGCAAATACTTACATGCATCACGACAAAAACGCGGATCTGCACACATGGTACGTGCACCGATATCTTGAGAATGACGACAGGACAGCCACTTTCAGTCCAGGCGTCGGGCTGGAACAGGGCAGGTACGCGCACACATTTAATTCTCCTGTGGGATGTATAGTTGGGCTTGAGCTCTCGAACACAGGGATTACAGATGGCTGTCGGTACTTAAATAAAGCAGGTGGGTAGCGGTGCTGGACGGGTGTTGCGAAAGAGGTGCAGGGTACGTACGGGGCGAGGAAGTAGTACGCCACGCTATACTTAGTCTGAGTCTAAGGCCTGTCCGGAACTGTCGGTTCTGCATTCCCCCTTTCAACCTGTTTGGTTTCGCTGTAGTGTCGATTATGCCCAGAAGCGTTCACATGAACATAAGTAAGTATCGCCTTTGTCTTCTCTATGTATATGTGATCTTTCATAGTGCATAGATGGCCGCCGTCAAACGCTGAAGTGCCAATCGGCCCTGACTGATGAGGCATGATTTGCTTTTCTTTGAAATTGCAAAGGATTGGCTTTCTGATTTGGCTGCGCAGTGCAGATCAAAAAAGAATGTAAAAAATGAGAATTCAGTGTCACTACCATAAATTTCTAGTGAGCAGATGCGATGTATTGAGCAATATCAGGAGCAAGTATTTTGGTTGTCAAGGCAGGAACTTGATTCTAGGTAGGCCGCCGTGCCGATCCAGGCAACGCTCACGTGGGGAACTTACTCTCTTTTCCCCACACCATCATGTCTATTTCCCCCACTCTTCTACTTCCAAAAGCAAGGTCAACACTAGAGGGTAAGTGGTACAGATTGCAAACGAATTGTGGAAAGGCTGAAACGCGAAATGACAGATCTGTCGCGTAACAAGTCGGAAGCCATGTGTTTGGGGGGGTGCCAAGCCAGAGAAGGGGCTTGCCTGGGTCATCTTTCAGGGATTCGTCACTGCTGTGGCTGTTCAGCCTGGACCGGCCTCCGACAGCTCCAGCGCAAATTCCTTACCGTCAAACTTGGATTTAGAAACCCTCAAATGCCGGCTCACTGGAAAGTTCCGACCAAACACACTTCCCTTCCTTAACCTTTGTCCTTCACATCATAATGTTGCCCGTGAGTCTGTTGGCTCTGGGATTATCCTTTGCAGCTTCAGCATCTTGCCATCTGCATGCTCCTTTACGCAATCGCGCAATAATTGACCAAAGCGGTCTCGCTGACAGCTATGACTATATTGTCGTTGGCGGCGGCTCCGCGGGTCTCATCGTTGCTTCCATTCTTTCAGACAATTCTAGCGTTTCTGTTCTTGTTCTCGAGGCTGGCGGGTCTGGAGATGATGTCGCCGTTCGTCGAGGTGAGCTGGCTCTGTGATTAGTGGCGTATGGAATCACGAATCTAAAAAAAAATGCAGATACTCCCGGAGACACTTATTACAATGGTCTCGGCGGTACTGAGTACGACTGGTCGTTTTCAACTGCTGCACAAACCAACCTTGGCGACCGGATCCTTAAGTGGTCTCGGGGCAAGATCCTTGGTGGTTCTGGTGCGACCAACGGCATGTACTACACGCGTCCCAACACCATTGAGATGAATGCGTGGGCCAGTCTCTTGGAATCACAGGACTCAGCTGGTTCCGCCAAGTGGGGCTGGGACAATTTCTACTCGGTTATGAAGAATATGGAAACCTGGACTCAGCCCACTGATTCAGCAGCATCTGTTGGTGACATCCAATACGATGCTTCTGTTCACGGCACCAGTGGTCCCCTTCATTCATCCTATCCTGCTGTGTACGTAACGCTCTCTCTATCACTGGCCTCCGAAACCTTACCTTTCGCAATAGTGAAATAGGTTTAGTCGGTAACTGGACGCAAACTTGTTCCGCTGCCGGTATTCAGACGCGTACGGATCCTCATAGTGGAGAGAACTGGGGAGCCTTTGTTTCTACCTCGTCTATCAATCCCACGAACTGGACTCGTTCATACTCGCGTTCGGCCTACATTGACCCCCTTCCGCCCCGGTCCAACTTGGCCATCTTACCCGGTGCCACTGTCACCAAGATCGTATGGGGTAGTTCTGACAGCAACGGTCTCAAGGCTACGGGCGTTTCCTGGGCGGCAGCTTCAGGCTCAACAGAGCAGACCATCAACGCCAATAAAGAAGTTATTCTCGTACGTTACTCTTTTACTTCTCCGATTTGAGTCTTCTTAGACTGTTTTAGGCTGCTGGGGTTGTTGGCTCGCCCCACATCATGCTCCTGTCTGGGGTTGGTCCTTCTAGTGTTCTCTCCAGCGCCGGCATCGAACAGAAACTGGATCTCCCAGGAGTGGGTCAGAACGTCCAGGATCATGTCGGTAACGGTATTACTTTCTCCACGACGGCGGACACTTTGGGCAGTATTTACGCAAGCAACTCCACTTTTTCAGTATGTATTATTACTATGATGACATTCGGCACTGACATTGGCCTCTAGGAATCGACAGAGTTCCTTTCCCTGATCAACAATGCCATCGCCTACGTTAACCTAACAGTTCTTATGGGTTCTAATGCCGACACTTGGATTCAGAGCGTCAAGAACGATTATACCGCCAGCACGGGTTATCTTCCCTCTAATGATTCCACCATCGTATCTGGCTATGAGGCCACTTTCAAGACTATTACGGAAACATATTACCCTAGTGCAGACCCCCAGATTGAGCTCCTGTTCTCATTGAACGCAGCGGGTACTGTCATCATCCAAGCCGCGCTTCAGCATCCTTTGAGCCGAGGCCAGATCACGATCAACTCTACTTCGGCGTTCGATTCTCCTGTCATTGACCCCAATTACTTCGCGCATTGGGCCGGTAAGTGATTTCTGTAGCTGAACAGCGTTTTAATGTTGCTGACTGAGGATTTTATAGATCGTGATATCCTTCGTGCGGCGTTCAAGTTGTGTCGTACGATCGGTGCAACTGAACCATTGTCGGGCAATCTTGGCACCGAGTCTGCCCCCGGAACTGATGTCACCACTGATGATGCTTGGAATACCTGGATGAACGCAAACGTGCACACAGACTACCATCCTATTGGCTCCATGAGCATGCTTCCAAAGGACCAGGGTGGCGTGGTCGATACTAGCCTTAAGGTCTACGGAACTTGTAAGTTCAAACTCCTCGTGTGATGCTTCACTTCAACTAATTCTATGCTCAGCCAACGTCCGCGTCATTGATGCTTCCGTAATTCCGATTGAAATGTCTTCTCATAGTGGCAGTCTCGCTTTCGCGTAAGTTGGCCATTCTTTCATGCGTGGATGATTTATTTACCAAATCCATCTTTAGCATCGGTGTCCTGGGAGCTGATCTTATTCAAAACCCCGTTACAGCGACTTCTACGGCGACGAGCTCGGCCCACAGCAGTACATCGACGTCATCAAGCTCTGGCTCCAGTTCCGGCAGCACTGGTGCTGCAACGTTGACACTTCCTCCTCGAGCAGGCTTTGCTGTTGCAGCTATCGTTGCTGGCGTCATGCTGTTCTTGTAGGTAGGCGACGGCCCTTGATGATGATGTTATGACTTTTACGCCACAAACCCATACATCGTCATTCCTTTAAAATCGCTGCTTCTCTTTGCGTGAGGACTCTATAGCCTCCGATGGACATAACCATACATACCTCTACATACAACATACCTGTTTGCTTATTATACTCATGGACTCGACCAGCGTTACCAGTATACTTCCGGTCACCTCGAGCGCTAGTTACTGGTGTAACTAGGGGACTCTGCCACTCTTTTTTCGCTTTTATTATCCAGGGATAGCTAGTGTATCGATACAAGTGTAATCACGGCCGCAACTGTACAAAAGTATTGCAGTAACCAAGTATTACGCTTGTGTTTACAATCTTTAGTGTTGAATGTTCTCCCCTTGAACGGCTCTCGCCAATATCTCTCGAAGACTGGAACCGGTACAGTGAGTACTTCTGATGGTGGCCCTGGTAAATTGCGAAGTGCCGAATGGAATACGATTATTGCTTTTTGGGGAAAACTACACTGACCCTATCCAATAAGCGAGTAAGCTGTGGTACATTGATGCCTGACGCAAGGGTCGAAGCCGACCCTTACGACACTTACAGCCTTTTCGGAAGCGCTTAGGCGCATCACGGATTTTGGCGGAGAAATCCCGCAGCATGGAACCGGGAACGCGGCGTAGGCATACTCAGTTCAAGAAACCACATACAAAGCGACGGCTAACTACCCGTGCGCCTCTATGGTTCTTCGAATTCGTGGTTGAGGTGAAGCGGCTTTCAACTCCCCCTGTCCGTTAATTCTTCGAACGTCGTCTGCGGGAACTTGAACATCGGACCAGGAGGTCTTAGTGGGAGTGAACACTAGTGAAAAATGAAATTGGGCCCAGCCGCCTGCGAGTGGTGAATTTTTTATGGTCTAGCATCATATGGTGCGTTAATCTATTCACCAGGTTCAGGTTGCAATAGAAGAGAATCCCGAATCCTTTGAATCTGTGCGTCCGGATGCTATAAGTACAAGTAACCGTTCTATTCAGTTGGAGTCATGTAGACGGGTTTCGTCAATTGTTTGATGCCTATTGCCTATATCCTAGGGAGCGGCTCGTGTATTCTCTTTTGCTATAGAATTTGCGGCTTAAGTGGATATACATTTCCCGTCTAGGTCTAGCGGCCCCACCGCTCTCAGGTATGATTGCTGCCTTGTTCATATGGCAAAAAGGAACCCCTCTGGAATCGCAATCCACGAGAAGCCGGATTTCCTAGGTCTAGGACTTTCTGTTCAACAGAACGACTTAATGGCGCATTCTGGAATACAGGTTGGACCAGACTTGGATAAAGCTGAACTAGCAGGGCCCACGAACTGTTGAGTTTTGAAACGCACATGAAGTTAGACTCACACGACCATATCGAGGGAAAATTCCCATACCGCGACGCTGGGTGAGCCTGATAACGTTGTATTTGGTTTCTTCTTGGAGCTGGAGGGACACGTTGCGTCAGGCGCTCGGTCGCAGATCGGCGGTGCCTTATTTTCACGCACCCAAGATATAATTCGAGATCGACGAATTGAAGGCACGAGACAAAACCCTGGTGAACCCCAAGTGATAGACTATTCTTAGTGCGGTTCACAAGCTGGTTACGCACCTTAATTATTTCTTGAAGAAGCCCACACATAGTCCGACAATCGGCATACAGTGATCCGTTAGAAAAATCAGAAACTCGCCTACACTCCAGATCTTCCTTCGAATCATCCACGGTCCACTTCGCAGGGAAAGGGAAAGCATGACGTTGCAACCCATCATATCAGGCTAGAACCTGTACCTTTGACAAATGGAGTAGTCCCGGCCACATATGAAGAGGCCACAGACAAAGCCTCTCTTCCTTCGATTTCCCTCTTTCACTCTTTTCAAATTTGACGAACAATAATGGCGGACCCATTCCAACCATCTAGCTTGGTGTACACGCCGCCTCGCCACCCCTCCGCGAACCTCCGTACCCTGCTCGCCTACATAGACGCGCGTAACCATCTAAATCCAGATATCATGAAATTCTTCCACGCCACTCTCGAGCATCGTTACCTCCCAAAATCGCTCGGGAGACCTGTATTGAACAGAAGGCAGTACGGCGAATACATGTCGCAATTACAACCCATGTTTCGGTCCTTCAGGGTGCGTGAAACCCCTCGGTGCTCGCTCTCACACAAGAGGAGCCACTTGTGGTTCGTTCCGTATATCCTGTATCTTCATTTTGACTGCCTTTAGATGACGTTACACCAAGTGATCGAGACGGGCGACACGATCGTGTATCATGTACGTTATACTTCTGTACCTGCTCTGCTGATGTTAATTAATTTCGGGCCAGGCCACAGCCGTAGGAGAATCGGTCGCTGGCGTGCCGTATGACAACGAGTATATGACAACCATGCAGTTCGTTGTAGGCGACTATGGCCCGCAGATCTGCTACGTGAAGGAGTATGTTGATAGTAAGAAGACGACGGAGTTTTTCAAGGAGCACAGAGCACGAGTGGCGGCGAATAATAGACGGAGATCACAGTCAGTGTCACAGGGTTTATAATAGAGAACCAGTGAATATACATATGCAGGCCATTAGAGATCGTACACCCAGTTTAATTATCAAAAGTATTATGCATGCTCCTCACACCTGTCGTGCTTCAGTTAACCACTGAAAACGCAGGACCAATGATGCCACCAACCGCTTCCTATTCAAGAATTAAATGATATATACATTTTCCTTGTGAATCTCGTAGCCTTCCAACTTCTTGAAGAATTCTAAACGCGTCTTGCGTTCCTCGACGAACTTCTGCAAATAGATATAAATACGGCGTAACCAGTAACAAGCGTGGACTAACCTCGTCAACATCAACATTAACTGCCTCATGCTCCTCCTTCTTTGGTCTCGTCTTCGTCTTCGACTCTGGCTTTGTTCGCCGCCTCCTCGTTGCCTTCCTGTCACTCTCTTCTTTATCCGGGTCCTCCTTCTGACCACGCTGAGTACGTCGACGGACGCGTCTTTTCGGTAACGATGCCTTCCATTCCCTTGCCAATTTATCCGGATCGATGCTTTCCCGCGGTTTATTCTGCTTTTGCTTTCCTCCTCGCACCTTAACCTCCTCGCTTTGACTCTCTACGTCGTCACCATTCAATAGGTCTTCTTGAATTTGTGAAATTTCCGCATCAGAGTCGTCGGATGACTTCCGTTTGCGGCTTCCCGAAGCTTCGGGTTTGGCGGGTGATGGTGTGCTTGGTAATGATCCCGATGTTCTGGGTGCATCAGATATAGCCGCTGAATAAAGCTTCTGTCGAAGGGGTGTGAAAGGAGCATGGTCATTACGGTCCACCGTGGGATGAGGCAGTGGTTGCTCCTGCCTTTCCGCCTTGAGCGTCTGCTCAACGGCAAAGAACCCAAAAGGATCGCTCCCACTCTTGCGATTCGATGGAGGCGATTCGAATATAGCACCCTGCTCGCCATAGCACCGGGGGGAGAAATCTAAATAACGCCCCTGGTCGTGATCCTCCACCTTATATCCAAATTGTGTGTTCTGTGTCGTGAATTCGTGAAAGTCGTCAGAAGTAGCGATAGGCAAAGAGTCCGATTCCGGTCCTGCTTCTAATCTCGGGGATGAAGAGCGTGTTGGAGAGGATGGAGGTAGTGGACTGAGAGCTCTGGCCTTCAATTTTAACTTTTCTCCCAGTGCTCCGATTGGTACTCTTCCTCGGCGTCTCGGACGAACGGCATTAGAGCCGATATTTTGTAGTGGTTGGTCCTCGTGAGACTTGTAATCCAACTTCAAGTCTGCAGTAGTGTCGCTAGGTTGTTGTGAACGGATAGAGCGTGTTCTGAGTGAGCGCGACATGGTGGTATTAAGCCAAGAAATTGTTCGTATTGTGACACATGTGACCCGTGACATTGACGCGTCGATCACGTGGCAGATGATTCCTAAGTTTTTGATTTTTTGATTTCAAATGATTTTCACATTTCCAGGGGTTTCGGGAGTCGGAGTCACCATGATCCGTTGTCCTCTTGCACCCACTCAAAACGATGGCCTGATATACCGGAGTCCTTTATAATCGTACCCTTTTATTATTCAATCGATTGCTACGTCGACATGTCTCTCTCTTTATGGACTTTTCACAGACCGGCGCAAAAGGCGCTCGGATGGATACAAAGACGGTGCATGAGCGTCCGACCAGCAGAGTCGGACGACAAGGTGAAGAGTACGTCTCCCTGCGCTCTTCGTTCACACGTTTACCGTATCCTCACTATGATATCAGATCACCCTAGGAAAAAAGTGACAATTCAGACCTTGCAAACACTCAAAAGCGCAAACATACCTATAACGATGCTCACGGCCTATGATTATCCCACCGCAGTCTCTGCTTCTTCCAATACACTTATCGACATTACCCTCGTCGGCGACTCTCTAGCCCAGGTATGCCTGGGTTATACCTCGACGAACCAGCTTACTCTCTCCGAAATGATTCACCATGCCCGAGCAGTTGCTCGCGGAACCACCCACCCACTACTAATCGCGGATATGCCATTCGGGTCGTACCACATTTCCGTAGACAATGCCGTGGAGAACGCCATCCGTCTGATCCGCGAAGCCCAAGTCGAGGCCGTCAAACTCGAAGGCGGGGAAGAGATCGTGCCCATTGTGCGGCAACTTACGCGCATCGGCATCCCCGTTATGGCGCATGTAGGGCTTCTGCCCCAAAGACACGTAGCCATGTCCGGGTACAAGGTGCAAGGAAGGAGTGCCGTGGGTGCGAAGCGCGTGATTAACGATGCCTTGGCTCTGGAAGACGCTGGAGCGTTCGCCGTCCTAGTTGAAGCGGTCCCGAAGGAACTCGGGAAGCATCTAACGGAAAAACTCCAGATACCTACGATCGGTATTGGCGCGGGTCCGTGGACAAGCGGTCAGGTATGCATGTACGCACATGCTTTTCTTCCTTAGCTGATGGTGGACTAGGTGCTCGTATGGGACGACGTTATGGGTACCTGGTGCGGCCACAAGGCGAAGTTTGTCCGTCGTTTTGCCGACCTGAAGACGCATAGGGATAAGGGCGTGCAGGAGTTTGCTCAAGCCATCCGAGAGCGCACGTTCCCTTCAGAAGATACGGAGAGCTATACTATGGACCCTTCAGAACTAGCCAAATTATCTGATTAATCATACATTACCTCGTTTGTTTTTAGCATAGTTCTAAAACACGGTCAGCATTGGCGGATGGTGATGCAATCAATACTCAATAGTCAGGGCCTACCACTAGATGCAACTTCAGGTACCGCCCATGTTCCCATGTTCTGCTTCTGCACTCGAGAACCTGCTCAAGCTATATCAGGTATAGGTCAGTGGACGGACAGCAGCTCCAATGGAGATAGGTTGACACAGAGTCGTTCTCTATATGCCTCAACGAAGGGCCGGTGATTACACGAAGAACATCTGAGCTCTCCCTGGTTGATATTCATGGACCATGGTTGTCCTTTGGAAGTAATACCCATATATCAGCTAGCCACAGAATCAGTAGCGTAATGCTCCTATATCAAAGAAAGACATACGAAGGTATACGAAGAAAGCTCAAATGACCCCCGCTCTCACATTCTAGTCCTATTGTTCCTCGTCTCAGAACACAAATTGTAAGTTCACAATGTATCGTAGGTGCTACCGCTGCAATGAAGTTGTTGAGAAACTATATCGTTGATGGAAGACGTAGGACGCACCATATCCTGAAGCCAAGCGCTAAGTTTAAGATACACTCAGGTTCCAATTCCACCAAAACGTCAAAGGCGTGTTCCTAGAGCGATGAAGGGCGACATCCAGCTTGGTTATGAAGGTCGGTCAAGCGTTTCTCTTCAATGAACAAGTTCGACCAAAGGGTAGGGAGAAACATGGATATATGCTTCCAGGAGTGGTAGGCATGGCCTACTAGTACCCCAGGGGCGTCATCGAGGGTTAACATGATTTCTCCAAGCAGCTCTGGAGGCAACGGATGGATACCAAAAACATGTTCTGTTATCGAGTTCTACAGAAAGATGATGAAGAAGGGACACGAACCGGATCCCTGGTCGACATGATGGTAAAGATCAAGCCTGGTGATGGCCAGACGACTTCCTTTTTCTCTTCCACGACCAAACGCCTATCAGCGTTCATTTTCGCGGTGTTTTCACGCTGCCTAAACGGCCAGGACTTCAGGAAAGAAATGAAGAATTATAGAGATGAGTTTTACGAAGGAAAGGATGGGAAACCGGTACGTCTGAAGTCATGCTATCGCGTCCCTTTCTTCTGAGCTTTGCAGGAGGCCCGTGGACCAGAGGAGCTATGCTAGGCGTCTATGATACCCCAGCCATGTATCCTCGATATCTGAACCATCGAACGGTATCAATATCAATATCGTCTATCACACGTTGCACCGACCACGCGCCTTGGTCATGTTGTGTGTCCTCAATGCATGGCTGCTCGTCGCTCGACATGGCTATGATACTATTGTCCGAGCCGGTGATGTATGGGTACTTGTCCTGCTGCTCGTCTATTTCTTTGATGGTATCAATGAAAAGGGCTCATTCCATGTCTTGGATGCGACCCAGAGAGAGGGTGCGCAAATTTTTAGGCTCGTTCATGTTCTAACTTTGATGGATCTAAGGATGGAAACCTTGCGTCATTAGAAGCCGAGCCGTAAAGAGCTATAACGTTCCACGATCTTCTAGGAAGTTGCGTCCATTCTGCCACCCTCAGCCATGGGATACGAACGACTTGAAGAACCGTTCGATGTAATGCCAATGTCTCAATCACCCAGTCGCAGCGAGAACTATTACTGGGAAGACGTCGTTGTACAGGTAAATCCCCATCCTCCGGACGCATGGTAAAAGTTCCATGCATCCCCGTCTATAGGTCGAAGACACACTGTTTCGATTTCCAAAGCACTACTTGATGGGAAAATCAGAGGCCTTCAAGTCGATGTTGTCTATGCCGCAAGGGGATAATGAACCAGAGGGTACCAGTGATGATCGTCCTATCAAGCTTTTGGGTATCAGTAAAGTCGAGTTTGAACGGCTTCTTCAGGTCCTCCATCCGATGTGAGTAACAAAACTCTTTAGTTAACCACGAAATGTGCTGACAAACAGGCTGCAGAGATGCACAGAAAGAACCAAATCTATCCATGGATGCATGGTTCTCCGTCATGAAGCTATCTAGCCTATGGAGGTTGGCAGATACCCGAAACGTCGCCATCTCCCACTTGACGACGCTTCTGTGGAAGATAGATCCGGTGGACCGAGTCATCCTCGGCAGAAAGTACTCGGTCGCGCAGTGGCTTTCTTCCGGATACATGGATCTAGTGCACCGCGCAGAGCTGTTGACGCAGGAGGAGGCGGAGAAGATTGGTTTGGACACGGCACTCCAGATTCAATGTGTTCGGGAAACGTTTCTCAGGTCTGCCTACAAAGCTGAGCGGTCAAATAATCGCTATTACTATCAGGTTAATTCCGGTGAACCATCGTTTGACCGAGAGAAGGTAAAAATTGCGATAGAGAAGGCGTTCAAGAAGGAATTGGATGAACATGAAGCCGATGGGGCTTTGTTCAATGAGTAGTTTTGTATTGCGAGATTGGTAATGGATACTGTTTTCATTAATACGAAATGGAGCCTGATCTATGTATGAAAGAACAGGGTTACGCGCTGGGCAAGGGGATCGCGAGACTCGAGCCTATCCCGGTCTAGGAAGGAAAGAGCTAGTGTCGGGTACGGATTGTGAAAAATAGGTCCTTGCTACCTCTACTCCTGGATCAAACTCTGATCAAGGCTTTCAACCATAGCAAAATAAGTCGGGATTCCCTTCAATGGTAAAGCTGGCGCATTTTGCTGTGATCAAAAACTCTGTATACCAACTGTTTCCCTTGCATCTTGACCAGCACCAATTAGTCGCGTGCGAGAAGTGCTCCTTACTTTCATCTCGCTAGGTATCAGAGAAGTCAGATCAAGCGCTCGGACTCCATAATGACGAGCATCTGACGATGGCTCACGGCAGGCGTTGGCAGTGTTCGGCGAAATGAGCCTCTCAAGCACCCCTTCTAGGTATCTGAGTGAGATACGACGAATTATATCCAGAAAACATGTTTCTCTTTGCAATAATATGCATAACGGCCTTGGTGTCCTCAAGTTAGCGCGACTACTTTCCCTTCTAGTAGAAAATCTGCGCCTCCCTAAAAGTCAACATGGCGGCAACCAGTATGTTTACAATTTCAAGTACGATGATCACCATGTAGATCGGTACCGCTGGCAACCTAGCGGTTCGACAAGCTATAGTGGTGCGTGGCGACCTGAAGAGGATACAGTGGAGCAGATGGTAAAAAGCGTTCAGGGAGGAGCTGAGAGACGTTGAAGCTGAGGGGGCTGAATTCTAAGACTAGTTTGTACTGTTAGAAGATGATTCGGTCCGAGTCAATGAGGGAGCGCAAATTCACCACGGCGAGATGAGCGGCCCGAGTGGCCCGCTTGTACCGTCGCCAATCGGGAAGAGCCGGGTCCGCTCTTCCCACTTTCCATCGCGACGGATAATACATTGTTTCTGCTTGGCCATTCATAACCGCTCTCGTGCCCTGTTCAAGTGGATAATGATGAAGAAATCGATTGAGATGAGTTATTCAAATAAACGAATCTAGACGAAGGACGGAAACCTACTAGATACGTCGGGATCGCACAATAAATCTCTTAATAACAGCTCAAGAACATTCTCTTTTCCCTAGCGCTAGCCCTAGTACGAGCTCCCTCATCGATTTATTCGCAACTGGGCATTAAAGGAGTCTCTAGCCTAGTTAGGCGGCTTTCTTCTGGATTCACGGATCTAGTGTACGGCGTAGAGCTGACGACCCAAGAGGCGGAAAAGATCGATTTAGACGCAATACCTCAGATTCAAGCTCGGTAAATGTTTCGCGGGTCTACCTAAAAGTCTGGGCGGTCAAATAATCGCTGTTGCTGTCAGGATAATTTCCATGAACCATTGTGCGACCGAGAGAAGGTGAAGATTGAGCTCGGGTTACTCAATATGTTCAAGGAAACAATCGGACGCCAGTCACAGATTGTGAAAACAGCTTCTCGCTATTTCTTTACTCGACTCGGTGGCAATAATGCAAGCGCTTGTTATGAAACGTTTCGAAGCAGCACTAGCGCTAAAGTTTGCCGGCTTGCGACAGCCAGCCTCGTTGTGTTGTCACGGTAAGTATCGCAAACCAATCGGACACCAGATGTGACATCGATATAAACTGGAGGGGTCACCAGGACTCGACACGCCCCTTCATCATGTCTTCTGAAGTACCCGCCTCGTACCACACCCTCGCAGACCCGCCGATTCCATTACCGGTGACCTCGTCGCCATGTCGTAGCCAGGACTATTACTGGGACACTATCGTTCTTCAGGTTAGTTCATCAAGCCGTATGATGCTGGATATCCCACCCTTCATGTCTCAATGTAGGTCGAAGACACCCTCTTTCGAGTACCAAAATACCAATTGGTGGGGAAATCGGAAATTTTCGATTCAATGCTCTCCCTACCGCAGGGCAGCAATGAACCTGAGGGCTCTAGTGACGATGCGCCCATCAAGCTGTCAGACATTAGTAAAACCGACTTTAAATCACTCCTCCAAGTTATTTACCCACGGCAAGTCTGCTTATCCTCGGAGTTTGATCCGAAGCATACTCACAGAATGTTTATAGAGATGCAGCGAATCCTCCTGAACTATCCATTGATAGCTGGATTTCCGTTCTCAGGCTATCCAGTCTATGGCAGATGGTGGACACGAGGAGCAATGCCATTTCACATTTGACCCAGCTTCTGTGTAATTTGTCTCCGGCAGATCGAATCCTTCTTGGCCGGAAATTTTCAGTCGCGCATTGGATTTCTTCTGGATATGTAAATCTAGCGGAGCGTGGAGAAGTGGTCTCCCTGGAAGAGGCAGGGAAGATTGGTTTGAGTACCGCCCTTCTCATTCATCATGTGAGAGAATCACTCTGGAAGAGGGACAACGAACATTTGCATCGCAGTTCGCGATCTCGATACTACGGCGACTATAATAATTACAACGACGATGAATGCTACGAGAAGCCGATGGAAATTTCCAGAAAGGATTCCGTGGAAGAGGCGGTAAAATTAGCGTTCGGGGAGGAGTTGAGAGACGTCGAGGTTGAGGGAGATAGATTTAAAGACTAACTCGCAATTTGTGGAGATAAATCTGTTTTTTTTTCGTATTTCTAAATCACCACCCAAAGAAGTTTATTCAGCACCTTGGTGGTTGGCCAGCGGGTGTTCGATATTTAATAATGTCGGCTTGGCGGCCCGGTCGCCGGTAGTACAAACAAACAACTATTTTACCTTCCCAACACAACTGCACGAGTAATAATTCTGTTTTTCTGCTCTCAAAACCATCCTTGTGCGCTATTCAGGTAGGTACGAGGAAACATGGTGAAGAAATATAGGGACGGCACAAAAAGCTCTAGATGAAGGAAGGAGAACGGACCAGGTATGTCTGACTTGTGCGAATGCAATCAGTGACTTGGAATAGTTTCTCAACTCTTCGCTGTTAACTTTAGCCCTACGCCATCATTCATCACAATGGGATGTCTTAGGAAGCCTTTCGATCCGCATTCAGCAAGTGATTAAACAGAGAACAAGGCTCTGATCGTGGTACACGTTAACGTTAACGTCAAGAAAGGAGTTGATGCTGATATAAGACTTTCAGCAGCGCCCGGACCATGAAACAAGACATGTACACCTACCTATCCGTTGAGTATAAGGAGGCATCAATCAGCATACAATGCAGATGGCAGTTGTCCTCTTGGACGCGATGCATGCTGGACAATCATATCATATATCATAGGTTTCATCGCAAATGCCTCAAAGCCATCTGGCCCAGTGCCGTTATTGCGTCAAACGTTTTCATATAGTGAGTATCTGCGGCATGACCGCCACGGACCACATGCACTGTTGTTACCTCATTGTCCTGAGGAATAAGTCAGCAATCATAGTCTATCAGCGGAGTGTGTGGGTTCAATTTCGCGCATACACGGCGTCTTGACGGAAAGCTTGGGAATGCGGCGGCGGCGAAAATGCGTCGATCAACCAGAGGATTCGTCGATACTCCGGAACGCCTGGTTGCGTTATGGGTCTTTCAGTCAACCGTGACAATCAGCCCTCATTAACACTGCGGCGATGAGGACATAAGATCAGTGTGGTCTCCTGGAGTATGCCTGGAGCATAATCATGATTGAGCAATCAGATTTGAGCTTCAAGATATACTCCACAAAAACTCCAGGGAGTCCCATTGCTTCTAACCGCGGTGATTGTCAGTAAATGCAGGTCATTTGATTGGTCTGCCTCTATATATAAGATCATGGATTCCTTAGATGAATCTGTTCATATCTGCCCACCATCATGTCGACTCCCATACCCCAGCCACCTACAGTTCCTTTTCTTGGAAATACTCGCGACTTGGACAGAGACGTACCGATCCAGTCTTTTATCCTTCTCGCAAAAACGTATGGCGAGATCTATCAGCTCGATCTCTTAGGTGAGTATACCCACCTGTCTAGTTGATCGATGGACTGACCATTATCACTTACAGGCGGACGAAGAATTATATGTATCAATTCGCATGCCCTAGCGAACGAGATATCAGATGAAAAGAGGTTTAAGAAGAGCCTTGCACCTTCCTTATATGAAGTCCGCAATCTTGTCGGCGATGGTCTCTTCACTGTACTGCGTTTCTGCATCTGGCTCAAGTTATTCTTGACTGAAAACATGTTCCAGGCTTTTGGCGACGAGGAAAATTGGGGTGTCGCTCGCAAGTGAATGTCATTTTCCCGTCATTTTTATGCTGATTGTCTCCCCCAGACCGTATCTTGATGCCTGCATTCGGTACGATGTCCGTGCGAGGAATGTTAGATGACATGAAGGACATTTGCGGTCAGCTTCTTCTGAAGGTTGGTTTTCTTATGCGCCGTCTTCATCATCGATTAAGGTGTTTACATGTCTAGTGGGAACGGTCGGTCCTTTCGTTTGGATGAACCTACCTTGGTTGCTTATTTGTTCCCAAAAGGTTTGGACCTCATGAAGTCATCGACCCCGCCACCGATTTCACTCGACTTGCGCTGGATACAATCGCGTATTGTACTATGTCTTATCGGTGCGTTCTACCACCTATTGCTAGCACATCCTTGCTCATATCCTGACCAGACTAAATTCTTTTTATACTGTAAGACTTTGCAGGCATACGACAACCACTGACCAGCTCATGTCATACGACACAGGAAACTCAACCACCCTTTGTCAAGTCTATGGTCGACTTCTTGAAGGAAAGCTTTGTTCGCACCAAGCGTCCTCATCTTGTTCAGGCTCTGATGCGTTCCGCGACGGCTAAATATGAAAATGACCGGAAAATCATGCGGGAATTGGCAAATTCTAGTATGTCGAATGTACTTCATATCCTTGCTGTCCCGTTGTAACTGGTCTTAGTCATTGCCGACCGCAAGCAAAATCCTATCGACAAGAAAGATTTGCTCGACCGTATGCTGAACGCTAAGGACCCCAAGACCGGTCAAGGACTTTCAGAAGAAAGCATCGGTTATAATGTGTGTAATGATTATCTTGGCCTTTGTAGTGCCTGCCTTTGCTGACCTAGTCCTTAGCTTCTGACGTTCTTGATTGCAGGTAGGCGTACACCTTCATAGACTCTGACTAGGTGACTTAGCTGATCCCATTTGTAGGACATGAAACATCGTCGGGTAAATGCAGTAGCCCTGTTCTCTTTCTGTTGTCTTATCATGTCCCACAGGAATGATGACCTTCACGGTTTACTACCTACTCAAAAATCCGGACAAAATGAGAAAACTTCGAGCCGAGATTGACGAGGTCTTAGGAGGACGCCCTTTGGAAGTTGAAGATTTCGATAAACTCCCTTATCTTACTGGTAAGTCGTAAATCATATCGTTCAAGGGGAGTAACCAACGCTCTTGAACAAAGCTGTGATGCGGGAGTCGTTACGTTTAGGACCAACAGCATCCGGACGGACAGCAGCACCCCTTGAGGACACTACTCTGGGAGGTGGTAAATATTTCGTCAAGGCTGGCAGTGCCCTTACTATCCAAACCTACATTATGCACAGAGACCCCAAAGTATGGGGAGAAGATGTGAGTGAACAAAAGTCTGTTTGATTTTCCAGCTGTTTCTCATGTTTTGGATAGGCAGAAGAATTTCGTCCGGAAAGAATGATGGACGGGAAATTTGAAGCTTTGCCCGTGCGTTTTCTGCTCGTTCTTCCATTTAATATGCTTACCATTGGGGCGAACAGCCTAACGCATGGCAACCTGTAAGCAACTTCGTTTTTCATCTTTTGATTCCCTACCTAAGTATCTTTACCATAGTTTGGTTACGGTTTGAGAGGATGTATCGGACGTCCTTTCGCATGGCAGGAAGTCATGTTGGTACTCGCGTCTATTCTCCAAAAGTTCGATCTATCCTTGGCCGACCCTTCGTATACGCTTCAAATAAGCCAGGCTCTGACCATCAAGCCCAAGGATCTCAAGATACGCGCGAAGCTACGCACGAGCGGGCCTCGTATTTCTTCAGTATCTGCCGTTGGCATCAAGAGAGCCTACGATGGTCCAGATGTCATCCCGTATCCTGGTGTCGCGGAACCAGCAAATAGTAAAGCGCCACTTTATGTTCTGTATGGCTCCAATACGGGAACATCAGAAGGCTTCGCCCAAAGGATTGCTAGCGAAGCTGCGACGTACAGTCAGTGCAAAATGAATTGATGAATGATGAAAGCTAACTGTTTTTTTTTTTTTCAGGCTTCGCCGCTAAAATTGGAACTCTAGACTCGATTACTGGGCAATTACCGACCAATGGCCCTATTGTCATCGTTACCGCATCTTTCGAAGGTTATTACTACCTTCTCGTCTCTTACGCTGTCATTACTAACTGGCGCAAGGTGAACCCGCGGATAATGCAACTCGCTTCGTTGACTGGTTAAGTAATCTTCAAGGAGACGAGCTTCGAAACGTCAGCTTCGCGGTATTTGGATGCGGCAACTCCGACTGGGTTCAGACATATCAGAAAGTACCGAAACTATGTGACGAACTCATCGAGAAACATGGTGGCAGACGGCTGCTTGAGCGAGGAGAGGGCGACGCAAGTCTGGGAAACTTCTTCCAAGTCTTTGATGAGTACCAAGGAAAGCTGTGGAAGACTTTATCAAAGGTAATGAATTTCAATCCCTTTTACAGGCATGTCCTTATTGGGTGAGTAGGAGTATTCCACCACGAGGGGAGCCGTGGATCTTTCAGTCATTGATGTGAAGGTCATTGACGCCGGAGACGAGAGAGCCGAGAGCCTGCGTCAGCCCGATACAGCCTTGGGTCGACTGCTAGAAAACAAAGTTCTCACTTTAGCGGGACATCCTGTGAAGAGACATCTGGAGTTTGAGCTCCCCCCACACATGAACTACAACGCTGGTGATTATTTGGCAATGTAAGTTAGAGCTGGCTGTTCCTTCTAAACGCCACTGATACTCTGTCCCAGTCTCCCCCACAATCCGACGCGAGATATCAATCGTGTGCTCTCTCATTTTGGTATTGTGAAAGAGCAACATGTACGTGAATCAGCTGGTGATGTCGGATCACCACTAATATCCATGACGTCCAGGTTATTATATCGTCAACAAGTCCCACTTCCTTACCCGTTGGAAAGCCAGTTGCGTTGTTTGAAGTTCTGAGCGGCTACGTGGAGCTTTCGCAACCGGCGACAAACAAAGACATTGAAAGAATCATCTCGGCTACAACTGACGATGCTACCATTTCATCTCTACAGGGACTTAAGGCTGCCTATCAGAACGAGGTGATAGCTAAACGGCTCAGCGTGCTCGACATCCTCGAGAGATACCCGTTGGCATCAGTTTCCCTTGGGACCTTTCTTCAGATGCTTCCACCTATGCGCGTGCGTCAGTACTCTATCTCCTCGTCCCCCCTTTGGAACCCGCAACGTGTCACGTTGACCGTGAGTGTCATTGATTCTCCTTCACGTTCCGGAGGAGAGAGAGTATTTCTTGGAGTCGCTTCGAACTACCTCTCTGGTCTTGTTCCTGGGGAACGGGTCCGGATGGCAGTCAGGAACTGTTCCTCGGCGTTTCGTCTACCATCAGACCCGACCGTACCTATTGTGATGTTTTGTGCCGGCTCTGGGCTTGCACCGATGCGTGGGTTCATGCAAGAGAGAGCCATGCAAAAGATATCTGGTAGAAACGTGGGAAAGGCTCTCTTATTTTATGGCTGCAGGAATCCAGAGGTGGACTATCTGTATGGAGAGAGTGACTTGAAGGAGTGGGAGAAATTAGGTGTCGTCGAGTTACATCCCGCATTTTCGAGGGCAGCCGCGTTGTCGGAGGACAGTAGATATGTCCAAGAGTAAGTTATTGTTTTCTATGCTAACGTACCTATATTGACATTGATACAGTCGGTTGTGGCATGATCGCAAAGCCATTCTCGAAGCTTATGATGCGGGCGCCAAGGTTCGTTCAATGCTTCCTTGTTCAGCTAGAGTGCTGATGCTGATGTTTTTCAGTTCTTCACCTGTGGTTCTGGCCAAGTTGCGAAGGAGATCAAGAACAAGTTGGTTGAAATTCTGGAAACCCAACACAGTCTCGACCATGATCAGGCCGTAAAAATATTCCAGCAGATCACGCAAGGACGATACGCGACTGATATCTTCGATTGACAAGCACGTTATAACTCTTGTGTAATGTCATGACCGAGTAAAATTTTTTCTGCGTTGGTAATGGGGTTTCCTTTGGAAGTGTGAAGGGATCCACTGGATATAGACATCAACGTTCGTTTCACGCTCTCACGATTAGATAGAAGTTTAAGGTGTGGCATACATTTCACCTTGTATTCAAGGGGGTCGGCCCCGGGGTGTGATGCCCGGAAGGAACGTACGGAAACTAACGGGCTAAGAACTTACCCTGCAAACTGAAAAACAAGTCTCGTGCTTTTGGCATCTTTTCTGGTCAGAAGGAACCGCGAATGTTTTAAAATGCACTTCAAATAACGGTCGCTCAGGACGGAATCGGGTTGTTGAAAGGTGAGGTTTCTCTTCCCGGCTACTGCTCATTTGTCGATGTAGATAGAGTAAGCGAAGACATTATTAGTCGGGTCGAGTAACAAGCTGGGGGCATTTAGGCCTGGGGCTGGTAATGCGGAGGTCTGCCATCTGCATCAGTAGGAAAGACCATTCCGTCAGGGTACGAGAACGTTTGAACACCGGGGTTAGTACTGAAGGCTTTATAGAGAGGGTGTGAGTAGAAAGAACTAAACCCTGGGAATGGTATAATTCTTCGGTATCGAACTGTGATCACTTGACTATCAAGAGACTTCAAGGCGGCCATGAAAGTGCTGCCACAGTGCCAGTTATTTCTGAAATAGAGGAGAAGTCCAGGGTGGTAGTAGAGAGCTGAGTAGGAGTTCTGATAGAACGGCTTGAATAAATATCATCCGATGTAATCGATGTGATAGTGACCGGTCTGCCACCACGGTGATCAGACACGGTTTGACTTATGACCGAGCAACACCAAAATCCCCCTCGGACATAGGTCAGTTTACCGGTGTGACCATCAATTCCGACGGAGAGTAAGTAGGACCCTTGCCATGAACAACAAGGAGCATGATACCATGCTATTGCGGCAATCAAGATGCTTTCCAAGGCTCGAAAGACTCGAGAGGTGCGGAAGAGCGACAAAAGGCTGAATTTGAAGCCCCAGACATCTCTCACTAAGCATCGTCAGAATGGAGCACTCTACGTGAAGGTGTGGACGATATAACGCCTGCAGTAGATGGGGAGTTTTTCAGACCGGCCGAGACCACAGACTCAACGTCCGACTTGTCGTGGCGCTGCACAAACTGGTTCTTGTCGATATTGATGCTGATACAGGCTGAGTATGTGGGGGTTCGCTAGTCATAAGATCCGAAGGCATAGTACCATTCTGTGAGGGTAATAATGCCCGACTCCACACAGTCCAACGATACTTGGCAAGATAGAAGGCGGTTTGGAAGAAAAGAAGGATTCGCTGATAATCTTCGGACACGGAAGCAGAGCTTCTTGAACCCGTGGGCCTTCATACTCGATCAAACCCAAGGAGGATAACACAGCAGAAACCTGACGAATTGCAGAACTGGCCGAAGATGAGGAGTTGCTACGCCGCCTTGTAGGTTAAATGTTGAATGTCTTGTTGACTTGCAATTGATGGAGTCCGCTAGGACCCGTGAACTGAGCAATGCCTGCCGTTTCGTAGAGAATTCGACGTCCATCATCAAAAGGAAGAAATCGGAACCTAGGTGTTAGGTCGACGTGATCGCAGTTGAAGAGCCTGAAGCAGGATCCGTGGTGCATGGAGACAGATTCGGACGTTGCTTCATCGTAAGGACAGTTACTTCCCACGGAGCTCGGACTCTTGAGTCGGCGTCGGACATAGCTTGACGAGGCTACTATTCATTCCTCTGGCAGCCGCGTCTGAGAAGTGGAATCTTGGCGCCGTGGCTCCCAGGCAACCCGAGACACCACTACTGCTGGAGGTCGTTTCCGGCGACGACCCCCAACCTAAATACCAGCCACCGCACGATTTATCTGTGGAGAAAGTAGGAAAAATAGTCAACGTAAGTATAAGTAATAACTTAAACACTAATGTTAAAAACAGGGTACAAACAACAGTAGGTTCCGCTTCAAACCTGACGTTACAAAGTTCGTTCAATACACCCCAGGCACCAATCGGCAGCGTACACTCTTCGCCCATTCACTCCACTCCTCTCCAAATTGCTTTGATAGAACCACGTCTTCTTCACTTGAGCGAAGGACAAATGCGATGCCTGAAATTTTAAGCTTAGCAACTTCAACCGTAGCCTTAAAGTTGATATACCCACACAATGTACCAAGCCAAAGGATTCCCGCGGCAGTACAGAGAGCTCCTAGCCAGGTCTGTAGATATCCACTTTCCCTGGTCCAAGACCCCGGTGCTGCCTGCCATAGTCCCGTACCGACCAGTATCATGATCATTCCGGTGTAGCTAGGGTGCCTATGACAACGAAAACGTGAGCAAGCTATGGATGTAGAGTGAACTACACCTACCGGACAACAGAATACGGTCCCGTCGTCATTAGCCTGTGGTCCTTCTTCACTGTGTGTTCGAATGTAAACATTTCCCCCATCGTACGAAAGCACATCAGTCGAACTATTCCCCCAAGAATAATCAAGGTGGTGCCTATGAACAATAACAACGACAGGGGGCCATTGAATTGCCAAATCCTCTCCGGATGTCTGTCAGGCATGAACAGACATCTGAGAGCGATGCCAGATGGTGGCCAGGATGGAAACCACTCGCTTAGAACAATGGATACGATTTCTGTCCCTGCAGCAGTCCATACAACGGCCTAATGATAAGGTGTGAATATAAGCAGTTAGTAGGAGGGAAGGTTATACCTTCTCAATAAAATTAGTGACAGCGACATTCCTGTATATTGTCCTCTCGAGTAACGTTTTCTGTTCTGTAGGCAGTCGCTCGTTCGATGCAGGGGGTGGAGGGGTAGCAAACTTCGGCGGAGTTACGGCCCGTTGGTTCAAGTATGCGGCAAGAAAGATGAAGGACAAGGGTATGAGTGAAATAGAGAGGGCTGGCATGTTATCCATAGTATCGTGGGTGGTTGTCTTCTTTTGAGCTGGGCGGAAATACTTGCCCTAAGGAACACCCCGGCTTAAGTACAACTCGTTGATCACCAAGGGTATGACGCATGATTAAACCGTTTTATCGGGGCCACTTGATCAAGGATCAAGAAGGGCCGCACTAGCATGGCGTTTTGAATCGACCGGTGTTGTTCCTGGAAAAGAACCATGTTCCTGTGAGATGAAGTTCATATTAGAAAATGTTGGAAGAACAAATAACACGCGCACCTAGGTATTTCAATCACATCAAAGATAATCAATGAGCCAAACTCCGACCTTTGGGATCACAAGTTCCCAGCCTAGTCACTGAAGTGGATGCATAAACCCACAGCGCCCAAGCGGGCTGTAAATTTATATCTCATAGGGAACATGGCTGAATCTGGTCATAGATATTCTCGGCACATTAGCATCTTACACTGCTATAGGTGAGGCAACAAGGCACATTAATTTGCTACCATTTTAACACCAGGCTCTAGTAGCCTGCGGCATCAGAAAGGCGAGAATTCGAGGCAGAGAACAACTGAGACCAAGCAGTGTGATTAAATAATAACGTTGAACCGGTACTGGGGGCCAGAGCCAGACTGATTGCCGATGTAAGGCTGTGTGCGTCGAATCAGGAAGTCGCTTTGAGAATGACGAAAGAAGTAAACCTGTCAAGGTGTAGTAGTAATATTGAGGGTTTAGAGTAGCCAAGAAATTTGAAACAAATGTGTACATCGGTTATGCACCTTTACCATCTATGACGAACTTCCCCCACTCAATCCACCATTCATCCACAGCCTCTATCGCATCGTAATTGAATTGTATCAACGTCGCTGCCCAAACTTTCGCTGCGGCCTCATCTTCTTGATCAAGTCGCAAGGCCAGTGCTTCATCGCGTTGATCGCGTTCGGCACTAGGCGATAAAGACATGAGCGCAGCAGCCTCCAGCTCCGAGGATAAAGAGCCTAGATTGCGGGGCGTTCGTATCTTTTGATAGCCGTCTAGAAGAAGTGGAATCTGCTCCACAGATGAGAGTCTAGAGAATAGATGAGGGAGAGTAAAGGCACTCTCAATCTAAAATTGCGCGAAAAAAATGAGTGCTATTCCGTATTGCGATAATAACGTATGATCTCACCGCCAAACAACTGGTCGAGAAAGGGGTTCTTTAGAAAGGGACACTAAATTAAGGGAGGATACGTACTCAGAGTATATTCCATAGAACTGAAACAAGATTCGATTGGGACGGACACTCAAAAGGTACAAAAAAACATACCGGACCGGGTATCCCCGCATCTCCAATGAGGACAACGTTCCGAGTGGTATCAACAAGATGCGGAGCGACTTTGGGAACTATCTGTCGTTCTCGATGACAGTGCGATGCCAGTCGCAGGAGCCGGAAAACCCTGGGAGTAAGTCGGATCAGCGTAATCGGGCCGTCCTTTTCGGCTGAGTGACTTACAGTGAATCACACTGGCCAAGAACATCTGCAAAAGCCTCCAGAACATCGGCATTCTCTCCTTCAAGTTGTACATCTTCGAACTCGGACTTGCTGGGAGACATAATTACGACGACGTATAGCTCAGGTCCGTGCTGTACAATAGTAAGTCTCATAATGCAGAGTTGAAAGGAACACTAGCACCATCGCGCCTAAAACCATTCCATCAGAAATCATCCAAAGTTTAATCTGCGCAGAGAAATGATGTATCAAATTTGACGTTCACGTCGCACAAGAAATTGGACTTGCAGCGTTCGACCGCGTCAAACCTTCCAGCTTCGGATCGGCACGCATAGACGCGACCGGTATACAGAACGTTGCACTACAACAGGATGAGAGGATACAGAAACTTTGCATGGCAACATGACGTACCCTGTTACCTGACGAATTCCGGTGCGTTGAAGAGAAGATTCGGGATCTTCGTCGCTATCACTGCTGTTATTGCTGTCAACTTCGGAAAATGTCTCCGATAAAAAAGTGCGGCTAATCCCACTGTCGCCATCGGCCCCCACGATCTAAAGTGACAAGAATTTTGGCCCGCGGCTGAGCGAACAGCAAAGGAAGAAAGATACCAGGTCTCCCTCTATCGTTTCCCCGGTCTTGGAAGTGACAGTCGGTCGGCCAATTTTTGACGTCGAGAACGAAACGATGTCTACTTCATATTTGATGTCGATCCCAGCTTCACGACAGAGGTTGCGTAAATGGCTGCATAGAACACCATGCTACCGAGGATCTCTTAGATCGATTCCGGAAGACGATGAACAATTACATACTGGAATTGTGTGGAAGTCAGAGCCTAGATCAGACATGACTTGGTCGAAAAACTCTGTCAGTCCAATTGATCGGGATGTACTTCCTGATCGTAGTCGAATGATTAGTTTTCTCTGAGAGTCACTTCCCATAAGTACCTTCAATGTATTCCAATCTGAAAGATAAATGAGTCGGGTCAAGGAATACTATAAATTATCTACACACCCTGAAGCAGTTGTACCCTCGTTTTGGAGCAGAGATTTTACACCAGGAAGACGGACTAGAAGACGCGCTGCATTCGGAGGAGCACGTACACCACGCTGAAGGACCTTCAGTACCACGTGTAAGACCTGACCGTCCATTCCGACTGTTTGAACTCACCGGTACGTCTTCAGAGTTCTTCTCGAAGACAACGACATTGTGCCCAACTTGTCGCAGACGATAGGCACATAGAAGACCTTCCAAGCTCGCTCCAATGATTATGCATTGTGCTGGGTGAACGCCGTTTTGAGGGGTCAACATGACCGGAGGGTGAGGAGGACGAATATTGATGATGGTCGACAACTGAGAGAAGAGTCAGGGGCATGGTGATGGCCGCGAGGATGGAAATAGAATTCACGAGACCTAACAATGTTTAGTCTTCGACCTATCTATCAACGTTCGCCCAATGACGCGAAATCGGAACGATGGAAGTTTCAAAATTAAAGCGTGACTGTCCGAAATCCAAACACATGTCCCTGCTAGACGCATCAGTTGCTCGGAAGATAGATTGTCGTCGCCATCTGCAGTTGCACATGCAAGACCAAGGTTCGTTGTAAAGGGCCTAGTAAAAAATACTAATCACACCTCGGGCCGCCCAGTCATTGATCGCCGTTTATGATGCGGGATTTGCCGTCAGTCGACGCCGTTTCCAAGTTCTTTACACTGTACTGCATAATATTCGCTCACCAGAAACTTTTTCGCAGCTGACCGCAAAACATAGCAGTCAGAACTCCGTTACATCCACTAATCTGGCGGCAAAACGAATGAGTAGTCGTAATGGTGGAATCCATTCATGGTGAGATTTTTCGACTAAATGTTCATAACCTCGCTTGGATTTAGCGCTTTGTCTGGGTGTATATACGCTTCCTCGAAACGGAATTTATCAAAGTTAAGGTCCGCTCGTCCACCGAAGGATAGCCTTTGTCCCATTGTAATTCGGCTATTGCCAGGTGTATTCAGGGAGATTCAGGGCTGTCAGTCACGTCAACGTTCCAGCACCTGACATTGCCGGGCCTTGGCCTACATTGCCATTGGGAATGCTAGTAGAGATAAGTAGCAGATACTGCGTTCTCCAAACGCTGTGAAACAAGGCGATAGTCCTGAACAGAAGATCTGTTCCAGTACATAGGATGCTGTAGTTGAACACTACTCCAAGAGGATCAAGTAGAACAGAGAAGGATTCGGCTTGGAATAACGCTGGCTTTGAGGGGACCTCCTGGTTTCCAGTAGACGATGTACAAAGAGACAGCACCGAAGTGGTTGCATCGTAGAACGAACATCATCCGACAAGCTGCCGTAGATACGGCATAACGGATCTGGTAGCTTTCTAGTTTTCAGGGTCAGCATCCTAATCCCTTGGTGCTTGACGTTCCGAGAAGGCTAAGTAATAGCATCCGGCGAGGATTTGCATCTGCAGCCGAAAGAGAGAACTTCAAGCATTGTCAGAACCATTCACAACCACGTCATGCAAAATGGAGATAAAAAATCGATAGCATACGGATACTTACAGAAGAAAACCAAACAAATCGCTGGCGTTTTCTCGGAAGCCGAGGCCAAAAAGATTCTATTCACCTATAATTAATGATAAATCGGTCAAAACGGAATTTTGGACTTAGATTTACCGTCTATTTTGTTCGATGATTGTCAAGCAACGGCTCGCGCTCTAAATGATGGTTGTGATCAACGTTTAGAGTAAAGTCCTCTCGTTCTGGTAACGGGCACCTCATCGCAGTCGGGTGCGGGTTGTCCTAGCCTTCCGCTAATAAGCAGCAAGAGATTCAGAGCGCAAATGCATGAACAAATGCATTTCGTTGTTAGGGCCGGCCGTCAGATCCGTCAACGAGGACGACCGCCAACGAATGATAGATCTCCGAGTCTAAGGGACTGAAGTATACTGCGCTTCCGAGTTCCGGGCTGCGAACAGAGAGGGTTGTGCGATAACAGATAAAGGCTGTGGAGGAGAGCATCGGAAGGAAAGTCAATGAGCGAATGAAGTTGCACTAAGCCGTTCTATATCATCGATCCCTCTTATCGCGGTGTCGATTTCCTGACTCATATAGGTGAAGGGAAGTGGCACCCGAGAGATATTCCGAAGCACGCCATTGGTCCAAGCCAACAGGCGGTAGGATCACAAGACAAGCCTAAGGAAAAACCGTTCTCGCGAGTTCAAAGGCACTACCAACCTGACAGGCTTTATGGCATAGGGCAAGGGGAGTTACTTGATATCTTCCCGGCATGCATATAGTGGCGGAGAAAGTATTCCTTGCGTGAAGACGGTGGAACTGTTCGTTCGGAGTCCACGGTATATGATAGGTCGGGGCAACACATTTAGTCCGACGAAGTCATGCGTGCGTCGCAGCTTGGCGCAGTCATGTCGTGGTTTCGTGTCAGTCGGTGCTAGTCCTGTCGGTGTCATTCGGTGTCGCGTCGCGCCCACGTGACATCACGTCACTCCAGGTCACTCCCAGCCGTTTATCTGTAAGAAAACCAATGCTACAGGCATTCACTATTGGAAGCCTGATCTTTTGAACCTTCCACCATCTCCAAGAAGGGACGAAGTTTCACTTGAATCTTCAGTTACGTGTTTGCATCCACATTGTGGGCATTGGAGTTCTCCGTTCGTATTGGATGTTTTGCCTGACCCACGATTGGCGATACGGTTGTCTCCCTTATTTCAGGGACGCGCAAGCCAGTATTTTCAACAATTATGTTGATTTCCACAACACCTTTTTGGCCAGCTGTCATGAGAAGCCGCCCTGGCATCGCTGAGGTTTCTATCTGGTGATGACCAAGAGCCGCTTGAGACAGTGACCGTCCATGGGCCTCCAGCTGGGAAACGTACCGCTGTCCATGCCCAGACAAGATGAAGAAGCGACTCGACAATCCCTATTGTCCATTTTCGGTGGAAATCTGGTAGCTCCAGCTAGGGTGAGTTCAGTCGCCTGGTCGATGGGCGTCGTTTTCACCAAAGACTGGATTTCCAACTTTGCATTCCTTCGTGAAAAAATGTTGGCGGCAGGTCTGGACGTAGCCCGTCGCTCTGCTGCTGAAGCGCTCGCAAGCATGACAGGTTCCATGTCCAGATACTAGGGAACACATGGGGTTTCCCCAAACTAAGTGATTCTGGGTTTTACACTGTAAACACTGACCTGAGAATCGTCCAGAACGTACCACGCTCGTAGCTGAAGCTTTTTCTGCAACGCGTTTTGTCCTATGAATGAAGCAAAAGAATCAGTTTTTCTGTGACCTTGAACATTGTCGCTAGTTCAGACAACTCTGCCCTTCCGAAGTTCCAGATGTTCTCGACGACGCGAGGTTCTAAGACTTTTCGACGCAAATCGTTCGAAGTAAAGTCTACTGAGACGAGGGACTGGAGGGACCCTGGACATGGCGGTAAACGATAAAGCGACAGAAAGGGGTTCAGCCACGCCACATTCACCTAACCCAGGTTTAAAAATTTTAGGAATGTTTTGATATCAGACTTGCTTGATCTTTGCTGGCAGTAGTAGGAACAACAAGTTAAATACAAAAGGCCGGAGGAGTGTCCGCACTCCAGCCTGAACTTGACCTTAGCCCTAACTTTGTAGGGTTGCCCACGAAACCCTAGGTTTTGATGCGCCTGGGTTTATTCCCGGTAATTATAACTTACTGGTAACATACCCCCGCGGAGATTTCATGCACAGCCCTAACCGTAAATGCTCTCCGATTGGGTAAAAATTTGGCCGAGATTTCAAAAGTTCCGACACGGGGAATCGAACCCTGAGCTGCCGCGTGAAAGGCGGCAATGTTAGCCGTTACACCATATCGGACGCTTATAATATGGCGGCAACATACAGATTCATCAACTGTTGAGAATTCTTGCGAGTCTTAACTAACATTGTAAACAGCGGACACTAATTATGCTGCATCTGGTTTTCCATGGCTTCGACGACGACTTAGATAAGATTGGATAACAAATTGTTCGATCCTGGGGACATGTCAAATTATAGGTCGGAAGTCAGTCAATCGAACGTCACATACCTCTCTTTTACCAGGAATGAGACACCCTGGCCCAAAAAACCTTTGGAAATCTGCATCTCTAAACCTTGATATAAACCGCCTGGGCTCTTCAACGCGTCGAGAAGTATGGAACCCAAGGTGGCCGCGGAACTGGCAGAAGTTGTCTTGCGTTGGGCTTGTAATCTGAGTTTGGCGAGGATAAGCGGATAGAGGATCGCCACGGCTACAGAAAGCTTAGGTCAAATCATTGGTATGAATAAGGTACCAACCAATAGAACTGGACACCGCTCCGCCAATGAAAGCTTCCTTAGGATTTGGCTTGATTGTAGACGACCGGGAGCGAGATAATCTAGCTACAACTCTTCTGTAGAACTGAAAGACGGCGAGTGTTATGGAGGGATTGAGTGATAATAGTATAGTCGTATGGAAACCTGGGCGACTCGTTAGAGAAAAAAAAGTAATGGGCTTCGGTGCTGGGTGCATGTACCTCGCCAAAACCCAAAAAGCCCGTGTTCACTATAAATGAACTTGATGACCGATGACAAACCCACATCTTGAGCTTCATCAGTGTCTCCGTCATCGTCGTCATCGTCGGCGTCGCGCTCAGCTTGCAGGCGTAGGGTAATGAGATTCAACGGCATCGACACCGCACGAGAAGCGACGCCTGCGATGAAACCGAGAAAAAGCTCTTGCAACATCGGAAGGGATATCTTGGCTTTGGTATCATTATAGCGATAGCGAAGAACGGAATTTCGAAGAAAAGTGTAGATGTAATAGTAGCAGAAACTGTTCGCAATGACACTCATTTAGTGCCATCAACCTGGAACAACTAAGAAACGTACTTGGAGACAAGAGATGCGCTGGTATCGGTCATTATACCGTCGTATAGGGCAGTCAAGCCATATCGTCTTATAATATGCACAAGAATACGTATTCCGTCGTACAGTCCGCTGGTGCCTTTTCGTTTACGGTGCAGCTGCTGTCGCGTCGTAGCCAGATCCAGAGGATACGTGAGGGCGTTAGCGAACGCGCTACCAACGGCGCCAGAGACGGCCTGGACGATGGGCGGGAGAGTGCTGGTCATGGTTGAAGGCGAACATGGGCGTCATTGGAGGTAGAGGAGAAGGTGGTGATGATGTCATCGAACGCGTCCGGCTATAAAGACTTGCACGTGAAATATCTTTCCTTCCGTTACCACCATGATTGCCCATGGAATCCGAACTCTTGGCGTCCTCGGTGCAGGCCAGATGGGCACCGGAATTGCACTGGTGTCTGCATTGCGAGCCAAGGTTCCCGTGCTCTTGCACGACCGGTCTCAAGATCAAGTAACTAAGGGCCTCGCCTTTGTAGACAAGTTGCTCGAGAAGGACGTGTCGAAAGGGAGAATAAGTAGCGAGGAAGCCAAGGAGGCAAGAGACAGGATAACGGGTGTTGATGGCGTCCATGCGATGAGAGACGTGGATATGGTCGTTGAGGTGTGTCTGCAATTCCCCAGTATCCAGCTTCTGTAACGCTCAAGTACAATGTTAAGGCTGTCTCGGAGAACCTATCGCTGAAGCAGAAAATATTCCAGCAGTTTGCCACTGAACTGTCACCAGAAGCTATACTAGCATCCAACACAAGTTCGATAAGTATCACCAAGATTGCGGCATCGACAATACCCGAAGGTGTCAGTGCCGCCAGTGATGCAGCAAAGAAGACTGCTGGACGTGTTGTTGGTTCGTCATCGTTGCGGTGAACCGTAATCTTGCATTAACGAGCATATAGGTCTACACTTTTTCAACCCTGTACCTGTCATGGTACGTCCTATCCGTTTGTGAAATACGCTGCTCACGCGGGACGTCCGGCAGAAACTTGTCGAACTTATTTCAGCTTTACAAACTACATCAGACACATTAGACAGGGCACGCTCATTCGCCACGGCGTGCGGAAAAGGTGCGGCTCCGACGTCCCTCCCCAGCTCCCTTGTCTCACTTCGTGCAGAAGTGACAACGTCAAAGGACGTTCCCGGATTTGTGTCTAATGCTCTCTTGATGCCGTTCATCAATGAAGTATGTATTTGTACCTCTTGTGTGCATCGCAATTTACGTTAGCGTATAGGCCATCATGTGTTTAGAAAAGGTACGCCTTGTTTCATTTTCGCCGCTATACTTAAAGGGATGATCCTTTAAGGGAACGGCCACTCGAGACGATATCGATACAACGATGAAGCTGGGCATGAATCATCCCATGGGTCCACTGCAGCTTGGTATGTTCTTCCCATCTTATCCAGCTCTTATTCTCTGACATCCACGCATAAAAAGCTGACTTGTACGTCAACCTCATGATATTCATCCGCATTATTTCTTATAGTGTTTGCTCAGCATCGGGCTGGATACTTGTCTTGCAATCCAGGAAACATTGTATGCTGGCACTCGAGACTCGAAGTACCGGCCCAGTGTGTTGCTTGAGCGAATGGTGGACGCGGGGTGGTATGGCAAGAAGAGCGGGAAAGGTTTCTATGATTACAACTGATCTTTGTGGGAACAGAGCGAAGAAAACAAGTAATCAAAATTCACGACAGGATGACTGTAACATACAATGGGAAGGAATAAAAAAGACTCGTTCGGTGAGGCAACCGCGTCAACTATTATGCATCGTCGTCAGAGTCATGACCCACAGACATCATGTCATTCAAACTAGAATAAAGTAAGCAACTCAGATATCTTGCCCGAGGGACTATGTCGGCATACCAATGAACCAGTGGCCTGATAGCCACCGCAACTTCCGCGAGCTTCTCCTTGAAATCAGGATCAAGTACCTCTTCATCCGTGAAACTGCATTTTGCAACTTCAATCAGTATGTTCCCTCTTGGAGATTTGAAGTTAGTGATCTTACCGATGGATGACCGCAAAGGAACGGCATTTGAGCAGATCAATATCTCTGAGAAATAACTTTAACACGACGAAGTTTCATTGAACATGAAACCGCACGGATGGTCCTTGTCAACTCCCTTTGGTGCAACCTTGAGTTCATCGTCTCTCCCAAAGATATTGTTCCTTTTTCCAGGTTTCGGCTCTCCAAAATACTTGACGAATTCTGGAGATGATATGATCTCTCGTAGCTGGAAAGAATTGCGTTTGATGTTAGACCTAGAGTAAATCAGAACGCTGTCAACGCAGGGATGGTCTGGATGAAGACCTTATGGTTGCCAGTTCATTTCTGCCTGGACACCACAGTCCACCAGCGAAGAGGCTTTCACCACCAGGCTTGACTGTCAAAATTTCAGCTGGTTAGAAAGATTAAGCGGACTGAAGTAGAGAATTACTTGATCTAAGATGTAAATAATAAATACAAAGTCAACCTCAGGGAATGGCAACCTACATGTGATCTAAGATGGCAATCAGTGATAAGTAGGACGATGAGAATCAATATATACACACATGCAGCGAATGTCCCCTTTCTCCCGCTCCTGGAGAAGCTCGCCGATAGATTTTGCTTATATGGCGTCTTATCATTACTAAAGCGGACCTAGCAGTAACGCGATCAGTTCAAGGCGAAGAGAATGCCAAACAACGCGTACATCACGGTATATCCGATGAATCACATCCTTCGGCGGCAATGGTGGGATTTGATCGTCGACTTCACTGAGCTTGTCCGTGAAAGCCTCGACGAAATCCTTCCATTCCTTCTCTGCTTGACGGAACACGCGTTCTAAGGCCAAGTGGTAATGTCAGCGAATTATTTGATACCGTTATTGAGATGACGCGACAGACCGTGCAGCTTGAACCTGGTACATTCAGCAATCAGGAGATATGTATTAAAATTACACGTACCATTCACGGTCATTGCACTCTGGTTTCTGTAGCTGTGCCAAAAAGTCTAAGGTATTTTGAGAGACCTGACCAGGTGGAACTGGGGGGCACGCGTCAATGGTGGGCAGAGGTACCACGGATAGCGACTCACCTTGCCCTGTCTTGGGCGCATCAATGACTACACCGACGACTTCCTGGCCCTCTTCAAGCTCCAAGTCCGACTCTTCATATTCATCGTTTGCAACCTTTCGCTTCTTCTTGGGACTCTTTTTCCGTTTCTTCGGTTTGTTATCTGAGTCGTCGTCCAGCGCGTCACTGTTGAACTCTTCCTCGTCCGAGTCATTGACTTTTCGAGCCCTCTTCCTGGGAGACTTTCGCTGAGGCTCTGCTTCGACGTCGGACGTCTCTGAATTTTGGGACGATTTACGGTTCTTGGAGGAACGGGATGTCGACACCTTCGTTGTACGCGTTTTGGCAGCCATGGTGATTGTCTGAGTAAGACACGCTTCGGCTATTGCGGACCGATGGACTAGATTTTGAAGCGCCGGATTTCCGGGTCGAACAAGACCAAACCAACCAGAATGAGGCCGGACCGTGCTTTTTCTGGCTATAGCTCATGGCGAGCTACTGTGTATAATCACCTGGATTTGAAAGGGTCGTATAAAATGTTCTTCAGCGGGCGAACGACAACTGGGCGTAGGCAATGAAGTTAAAGGGCGGAAGTGGCTGTGCTGCCCTTCTAATACCTCCAAGACTCGCCTACGAACAACTGGGTGCGGTTGATGAGGACTCCGGCATGAGAAAAAGCTCATGAGGGTGTCCTATTATCGTATTATTCATTATTTCCAGTCGAGAGAAAAGGCAAAACAAAGCGCTTCAACTCTCAATTTACATATCTGGCCACGTGGGTAGTCCTGGCTCTTAAAGAAAAACACATACTACCCTCTGAAGTTAGCATCCCCAAATACACCAGAAATATTTTGAATATTCAAAGATACCACAACTTACTTACAGCTTTTATATGTCTGTATCGTCGCAGGGAGGAAGGTTTTGACAGTGTCTGACTCACGGTCGGAATCGGACTGGTCGGAAGGCAGGACTTCCGGCCCCGTCCTCAAACCAACAGCGCCACTTCATCAGCACTCTGTTTGTCTCCAAGCCAAAGTTTTCCTCACTGATTCAGCTTTTGGTGAGGACTTTTACGTCGCAGATATTTTCCTAGCTAATATTTGAGTGACGCTTTCAGTGAAACAGATATAATGTCTACTTTGGATTGGACGCCTTGTAAAGGATGCTCGTGTCCAAATCATCATTTCCCCCCTCAGAACATCGTCTCAGAGAATATTTCTACCACAACTGTGGATCTGACTCATTTAATACGCTCGAATGACCAGCCATTACCAGCTGAAATTGATGCTATACAAGGCATTATATCCCAACACGAGGAGCGCATCGCGACTACAGATTTGCGCGTCTCCACCTTTGGTGGTTTTCGCCAAGAGATGGCCAACCTTGTTTCAAAAATTGACGAGATGATTGCTGCTCTCCTCGAGGAGCGCAAACGAGTTTTGGTGGAGATGCAGGAGAAGAAGAGTCTTCTTAGCGCCGTTCGACGACTTCCCCCCGAAATACTGTCACATATCTTTCGCGAAACAATCGAATTTCCCATCAAGCTCACGCAGTTAGACCGAGAAGTGTTTTGGTGGAACTTTAACCCTGTTCAATGCTCACTGTGGGCCATTGCACTCGTTTCCCGACTTTGGAGGACCGTAGCTCTCGATTTCCCCGAGCTATGGTCGTACGTCAACATAATGATCAAAAAAGAAGATTTTGCAGAGGGGGAATATAGTCTCATTCGGCGTCTCGGTCTTCAGTTGTCCCGTTCCCAACAATCCTTACTTTCCCTTTGTATTTGTGATGACGGCACTGCGCCCCTCAGCTACGAGAAACTCCCCTCTTCCCTCGAATTACTTCTTTTTTCGGTTTCTGACAGATTGCGCGAACTATACCTTGGCATGGCTGCAGAGGTGTTTTCTGCCATTCCTCCACTTCAATTACGACTGCCATCCCTTGAAATTCTTTCCGTTCTTTGCACAAATGCTCTTGAAATCAGCAACTACGACGATTTGCAACTGATCTGCCATGCACCGAAGCTTCGTGACCTCACGTTCATAGATGTCGAGGATCCAGCAGGTTCCTTTGAAATGCCGTGGACACAGATCACTCGTTGCAGCATCTCTTGTGCGTGTAACAAGAACGACAATCCAGGACCTGACCCTGTCAGACTCCTGGAAGTCCTCGAATTGATGACGAATTTGACAAGTTACGACTTGGTCTGTGAAGCATACTCGCTAGAACTTGGAGCTGAGCGGGTTGCATGCGCAAAGCTTCAAGACTTCGCACTGATGTCGTGGCCCAGTGATGAAGCCATTCCCCAGCTGTTTGACCGACTCCTGCTACCGTCTCTCTCCGTCTTCAGAGCAAAGTGCTCAGTGGGGTCAAGGAGGCCAGACGTTGAAGACGCTTTTAGATCCATCCAAAATGCCATCAATGTGTCCCATAGCCCTCTAACAATTCTTGAATTCGAACACGGTCTCATCGCAGAAGAAGACCTCCTCTCCATTCTTCGAACCACACCTACCTTAGAGCTGTTGAAGCTCGTCGATGTCGGTCCCAATGCTATCACCGACCAGACTTTAGACGAACTCACGGTTAAACCATCCTCCCCTCCCATTGTTCCCCGACTATCCAGCCTCCACCTCAGTACAAAACCAAGGTTTACATCACAAACATTTGTCGCAATGATCGGGTCGCGACGGGGGCCCGAGAATGGTTCGCTCGGAGTTGAGAGCCTGAAGTCTGTTACTATTTGTTGGTTCACTGATGAAGACACTCCGGATGAAAACGAAACGTTGGAAATCATTATGTTTAATTTGTCTAGTTTGGACATGCACCGTTTGGAGGGATTCGAATTTGTCCTGACCACGCAGAAAAATCCTCAGCGACAGTGAGACTGAACAGTAGGTGCACTGTTTATATTTCTGAAAAATATTGTTAATAATACTTGCATCATTTTAGCATCCTTGCACGTCTTTGAGTGCTTCTGTCTTACTACTCTTATTCTTGCAAGCTCCTTTCGCATTCAAAGTGGGTCGTGGCATGGAGGCCTCAACGAAATCCTTCCACTCCTTCTCTGCTTGACGGAACACGCGTTCTGAGGCAAGCGGTAATGTCAATGGGATTATTTGATACTGTTATCGAGAAGACGCGACCAACCGTGAAGCTTGAGCCTAGTACATTTAGCAATTAGGAGATATGTAGTAAAACCACAGGATTAGGCGTGCCATTCAGTCATTACACTCTGATTTCTGTAGCTGTACCAAAAAGTCTAGAGTATTTTGAGAAACCTGACAGGGGGAAACTAAAGGAAACGCGTTAATGGTGGACAGCGGTACCACGGATAGCAACTCACCTTGCCCTGTCTTATCAATGACTACACCGACGATTTATTGGCCCTCTTCAAGTTACAAGTCCGACTCTTCATATTCGTCATTTGTAACCTTTCGCTCCTTCTTTGGGCTCTTTTTCCGTTTCTTCGTTTTGTTATCCGAGTCGTCTAGCGCGTCACTGTTGAACTCTTCTTCGTCCGAGTCATCGACTTTTCGAGTTCTCTTCCTGGGAGACTTTTGCTGAGACTCTGCTTCAACGTCAGACGCCTCTGAATTTTGAGACGATTTACGGTTCTTGGAGGAACGGGATGTCGACGCCCTCGTTGTACGTGTTTTGGCAGCCATGGTGGTGGTGGTGGTGGTGGTGTTACCAGCGCCAGGTCCCAATCAGGAACGGCCGGGTCCACAGCCCTAACATGGCAAGCCATGCGCCGTGGCCGCAAAGGCTCATACCGTTTTGATCGCAAGGTTGTACGTCTCGCGGAGTAGAGACACTTTGCAGGGCACTTTAAAAGATCAGTGTTTCTGGAGTGAATGCTGCTGGGAGAGAATAATATTATCCGCCGTTTCTTGGTCACGTATGAAGGTAGTATACAGGTACACATTGAAAGATACGCAAAATATCAAAAACATACTTCGCAAAGGAGCAAAGGATATCTGCGTCCTCTGCATTGACAAGCAGTCGTATGATATCAAACCCGGCAGAAGCGGTGCGCAAAGAGGCGGAGAAAGAATGAGAGCCGATCTGGAAAACTTTGCGGAAGAACTGGGATCGCAAGGACTGCAACTGATCTGATTCCTCGCAATACAACAAGACATGCGCTTCGTCTTCAACCTCTGTATGGCAATAACGGCATGAACGATCGCCTCGAGGAACAGGAGGGCACCGACACTCAGTCCACCTAAGCACCTCGACTGCAAGCATATGAGAAGACGTTAGCAAACGAACCAATGCTTTTCGGTGTGCAGGCACCGGCACGGCAAGATAGGATCGGAGAGTTGATAGTGTTGACTGTCGCATCCTCTCACTAAGGGATCCGGAATTTCTTGGTTGTGGAGCACAGTGATGAAGCAGCAGAGCCTTGGGGGAAGATGTTAAAAAATCGTCGATGTCATTGCAACAGGACCGTTGAACTGCCTCGATGATGTTATCAATGTCTACGGGAGACCATTGCCGAGACAGATCAAAGGTCACAGGAAGGGGTAAGAGACGGAGCGCCTTGACGAGATCAGAGATCCACGAAGGTTTTGCATTAATCGCCAAGTCCACTGCATCCCTCACTGCATATGACAGAGAATGGTCATTCGGGAGGGAGAGGGCGTACTGCCAATAACGAAGGGCAAGCATCAGTCTGCGGTACTTGACAGGCCACATCCCCATCTCCAAGAACAGCATCGCCACTGGAGAGCGCTTAGCAACGCCGAGCAAGCGACGAATGAATGTCTTCTGAACTCTTTCCAGTTCGGCCAATGACGGGTTATCAACATCGATGGACACATCGCAGGCAGACATCAGGTGAGGGTCGACGGTCGCCATGTAGACAGAGATTCCCTCTTTCGGGGGGACAGTCCCAACAAAATTCTCCGCACCAAACGATGCATTCATCGACTTCCGCGCCTTGGAAGCTTTGATATAATAGTGTTCTTTGAATATAGACCTAAACCGAACCAATCAGGGAATAATGAACACCATAGGAGAGAACAAGTGATTGACCTATCCGTTGATGACAACGTTACACCGACATATTTATGCTTGGAGACACAGGAGAGAGCATGGGCGCCGACAGTGAACACCGGGAGAACAGAAGGGAGTGGACCCGCAATCCAAATTTTAGTTTTCTCGTGAGATATCGTAATTGAGTTTTTCCGACACCAGTCATACAAGGAGTCCAATTTCGCTTGCAATCCATCTGGGGATGTTGAGAACATCCGCCTGCTCCACATGGGAGATGGACCGGCCTCCGAGTGATATGTCGTCCCTGTGAGGTGACACAAAGAAGTCAGAAAAGTAGACGTTCCATAAACCAGGAGATGAACTGTCTCCGGCTAAATTCCGACCATGGACTGGAAAGCATCGGAATGGTGAGGACCTAGTTTTACGACATGACATCTTGCGATACATCATACGTAACCAATCTACCATAGAGCCACCAGCTCCAAGGTAAGAAACTTTGGACCATAGTGTGGACTGATCTGTAGAGGGGAAGGCATTGACGAGGTCAATAAATGCGACGGTGATTGTCTGAGTAAGACACAGTCCGGCGATTTCGGACCGGTAGGCCCGAAAATTTCAGTGCCCGGGCCTACTTAGCACAACAAACCAACACCAACACGCTAACCACCACTTCAACAGCACTCAGATTCTCCCTGTTTGTTTAAGTCGATTTTTTTTTGCACATATTGGGTTTTTGGTAAGGACTCTTACGTCGCAGGGATCTTCGTACCTAATATTTGAGTAGTTCCTTCAGTGAAAGTCGGATATAATGTCTCCTTCAAATTGGATGCCCTGTGCAGGATGCTCGTGCCCGAATCATCATTTCCCCCCTCAAAACGCCGTCTCTGAGAATACCTCTTTCTCAACTATGGATCTGACCCGTTTAATGCGCTCGAATGACCAGCCATCACCGGCCGAAGCTGATGCTATTCGAGGCATGATATCCCAACACGAGGAGCGCGTCACAACCACAGATTTACGCATCTCCTCCCTTGGTGCTTTTCGTGAAGAGATGATCAACCTTGTCTCAAAGGCTGATGAGATGGTCGCTGCGCTCCGTGGGGAGCGCAAACGAGTTTTGGTGGAGATACAGGAGAAGAAAAGTCTTCTGAGCGCCGTTCGACGACTTCCCCCCGAAATCCTGTTTCAGATATTTCGCGAAACAATCGACTTTCCAATGAAGCGCACGCAAACAGACCGAGACGCCCTTTGGTGGGATTTTATCCCTGCTCCGTACTCGTTATGGACCATTGAACTGGTTTCGTGGCGTTGGAGGACCGTAGCTCTCATCTTCCCTGAGCTATGGTCGCACGTCAACATTTACATCACAGATGATGATTTTTCAGAGGGAGAATATGGGTTCATTCGGCGTCTGGGTCTTCAGTTGGCCCGTTCTCAGCAATCCTTACTCTCCCTCTCTATATGCGATGGCGGCAATTCCAACTACAAGAAACTCCCATCTTCCCTCGAATTACTACTTTTTTCGGTTTCTAACAGATTGCACGAATTGCACCTTTCCATGACCGCGGAGATGTTCTCTACCATTCCTTCGCTGCAATTACCACTGCCGTCCCTTGAATCTCTTTCCATTCTTTGCACGAATGCTGTTAGCATCAGCGGTTACAGTTATTTAAAGCTGGTCTGCAATGCACCCAAACTTCGCGACCTGGCGTTTATAGATGTCGAAAATCCATCGATGTCATTTGAACTTCCATGGACGCAGATCACCTGTTGTAGCATCGCTCATGCATGTCACTCGAATGAAAATCCAGGACCCGATCCCACCAGGTTCCTGCAAGTCCTCGGATTGATGACGAATTTAACGAGCTGCGACTTGGTCTGTGAAGCGTACTCGATTGGATTTGAAGCTGAGCAGGTTGCATGTACCAATCTTCAGGAATTTGCAATAAGGTCGTGGCCAATGAGTCATAACGCCATCCCCCAATTATTTAGCCGTCTCCTACTGCCGTCCCTCTCCATCTTCAGAGCAAAGTGCTCGGTGGGGTCAATTAAGCGAGACAGTGAAGAAACTTTTACATCCATCCGACATGCCATCAATGTGTCCCAAAGCCCTCTAATAGTTCTTGAATTTGAACACGGTCTCGTCGCAGAAGAAGACCTCCTCTCCATTCTTCGAACCACGCCTACCCTAGAGCTGTTGAAGCTCGTCGATATCGGTACTAATGCAATCACCGACCAGACTTTAGACGAACTTACGGTCAGACCGAACGAAGATCCTATTATCCCCCGACTATCCAGCCTCCACCTCAGTACAAAACTAAGGTTTACATCACAAACGTTTGTCGCAATGGTCGGGTCGCGACGGGCCGGCACTGGTTCCCTCGGAGTTGAGAGTCTGAAGTCTGTCCGTGTTTGTTGGTTCACTGATGAAGACCATCCGGATGAAAACGAAGCGTTGGACATCGTTGTGTTATCTAGTTTGGACCTGTATCGCTCGGAGGGATTGGAATTCGTCTTAACCACGCAGAAAACCCCTCAGCGGGAGTGAGACTGAACAGTAGGTGCACTGTTCTATATCTCTGAAAAATGTTGTTAATAATATTACATCGTTTCAGTCCGAGCCGCTTCTATCCATACACGTCTTTAAGTACTTTTGTTTTACTACTCTTATTTGTGCAAGCTCCTTTTAAGAGCTCCACATTCTGATATGAAAGAAGAATACGACAAACCATTGGCCCAAATAGCAAGGGGTCCGATCACGCTCTTGCACCCTGATATGCTCTATATAAGCCATACCATCTCTTCCATCATGTCATCCTGATAAGATTGCGTATTAATGAGAGAAGGAGAACAGTCTTCCACTACTCACAAAGGCGTTGCGAGGTTGAAAGGTGTCCAATATGCATACCAACTACGCTTTACTACCCGCCCACATCCACGTCCTAGGAGAAACTTTGAGAGCCATCCGAGCCGTCATCCAGCGCGTCACTGTTGAACTCTTCCTCGTCTGAGTTGTCGACTTTGAGAGCCTTCTTCCTGGGAGACTTTCACTGAGATTCGGCTTCAAACTCTGATGCCTCTGAATTTTGAGATAAAGTTTACGGCTCTTTGATGAACATGGTATTTGTCTGAGCAAGACACGGTACGGCTATTTCGGACCGACCAGATTTTGAAAACCCGGGTCCCCGGGCCGAATAAGACAAACACTCCAAGGGCACTCTGTTTTGTTTCCTGACCAAGTTCTCCCGCACTTCTTCAGCTTCTATCAGAAAATCATCGTCGCCGTCACCATATTCTTATTCATCTTCAATTTTTTCTGGTGAGGCCTATTATGTCGCAGGTTTTTTCGGACTAATATCTGAGTGGCTCTTTCATGTTTCAGTAACAGTTGGATATTAATGTCTACTTCAAGTTGGATGCCCTGTACAGGATGCTCGTGTCCAAACCATCATTTTACCCCTCAGAATACCGTCTCGGAGAATATTTCTTTCACAAACATGGATCTGAGTCGTTTAATACGCTCGAATGACCAGCCATTACCAGCCGAAGCTGATGCTATTCGAGGCATTATATCTCAACACGAGGAGCGAATCGCAACCACAGATTTGCGCACCGCTGCCCTTGGAGCTTTTCGTCAAGAGATGGTCAACCTTATCTCAAAGGCCGACGTGATGATGGTTACTCTCCTCGGGGAGCGCAAACGAGTTTTGGTGGAGATACAGGAGAAGAAAAGTCTTCTGAGCGCCGTTCGACGACTTCCCCCCGAAATCCTGTTTCAGATATTTCGCGAAACAATCGAATTTCCAATGAAGCGCACACAAACAGACCGAGACACTTTTTGGTGGGATTTTAACCCTGCTCCGTACTCGTTATGGACCATTGAACTGGTTTCGCGGCGTTGGAGGACCGTAGCTCTCACCTTCCCCGAGCTATGGTCGCACGTCAACATTTACATCACAGATGATGATTTTTCAGAGGGAGAATATGGGTTCATTCGGCGTCTGGGCCTGCAGTTGGCCCGTTCTCAGCAATCCTTACTCTCCCTCTCTATTTGCGATGGCGACAATTCCAACTACGAGAAACTCCCATCTTCCCTCGAATTACTACTTTTTTCGATTTCTAACAGATTGCACGAATTGCACCTTTCCATGACCGCGGAGATGCTCTCTGCCATTCCTTCGCTGCAATTACCACTGCCGTCCCTTGAATCTCTTTCCATTCTTTGCACGAATGCTGTTAGCATCAGTGATTACAGTTATTTAAAACTGGTCTGCAATGCACCTAAACTTCGCGACCTGGCGCTTATAGATGTCGAACGTCCAGCGATGTCATTTGAACTTCCATGGGCGCAGATCACTCGTTGCAGCATCTCTTGTGCTTATGACAAGAATGAAGATCCAGGGCCCGACCCCTCTAGATTCCTAGAAGTCCTCAAATTGATGACGAATTTGACAAGCTGTGACTTGGTCTGTGAAGCATGCTCGGTAGAATTTGAAGCTGAGCGGGTTGCATGCACAAAGCTTCAAGACTTCGCACTGACGTCGTGGCCCAGCAGTGATGAAGCCATTCCTCAGCTGTTCGACCGACTCCTGCTACCGTCTCTCTCCATCTTCAAAGCAAAGTGTTCAGTGGGGTCAATTCAGCCAGACGATGAAGACGCTTTTAGAGCCATTCAACATGCCATCAATGTGTCCCATAGCCCTCTAACAGTTCTTGAATTCGACCACGGTCTCATCGCAGAAGAAGACCTCCTCTCCATTCTTCGAACCACGCCTACCCTAGAGCTGTTGAAGCTCGTCGATGTTGGTCCCAATGCGATCACCGACCAGACTTTGGATGAACTCACAGTCAAACCATCCTCTACTCCCATTGTTCCCCGGCTATCCAGCCTGCATCTCAGTACAGAAATGACGTTTACATCACAAAATTTTGTCATTATGGTTGCGTCGCGACGGCCCGGGAATGGCTTGCTCAAGTCTGTTCGTGTTTGTTGGTTCACTGATGAAGACAATCCGGATGAAAACGAAGCGTTGGATATCGTTGTACTGTCTAGTCTGGACCTGTATCGTCCGGAAGGATTGGAATTTGTTTTAACCACGCAGAAAATTCCTCAGGGGGAGTGAGACTGAACATTAGGTGCACTCAGGCTTATATTTCTGAAAAATATCGTTGATAACACTTTTATTTCTTCTATCCTTACACCTCTTTTAAGTACTTTTGTCTTCATATAAACTCCCTTTAAGGGTACTATATTCAAAATGGATCATGTCATGAAAGAACAATACGACGAACATTGGCCAAAATATCAAGAGGCTTGATTACGCTCTTGCACTAGAAGCCTAGAGCTGACTACGAGAACTGATATGCTCTAAACCATACCATCTCTTCATCACGTTATCCTGATAATATTATTTGTCAATGAGAATGAGAACAGTCTTCCACTAGTACTCACAAAGGCGGTGCGAGGTAGAAAGGTGTCCAATATCCATACAAACCATGCTCTGGGAGAAGTTTTGAGAGCCTCTTGTACTACGTCCTTAGCATACTGTTCAGCACTAATGGCACCTCCTGCACACAGTAAGATAAGAGACATGCAAAATATTGAACAAGGGCCACCTTGAGATACTTCTCTTCGCTTCGCCAGGATGATGGGCTCGAGAGACTTGTAGAGCGAATGGTTAGGGAGTGGATTTAGCTTGTTTTCGACGATGTCGCTCTTCATGCTGCCAGTACAGAGCTAAAAGTGCGTAAACGACTAGAGATGAGCAAGAGGGATGGGACGCTTACATTGACAACCTTTATACTATTGTGGCGGGAAATCTATCGTCAGGAATTCATGGTAGCAGAACCAAGAAACACACCTACTTGAATGGAGACAGTTCAACATGAAGTGTGTTCCCATACGCGTGGAGAGCTGCCTTCGAGGAGCTGTATGCGGAGCCAAAGGGATACGGTGTCACGGCAGCCACACTACCAACTTGAAGGATGCATGCGTCACCTGATGCAATGAGAAGTGGTACAAATGCCTTAACCATCCTCATTGCCCGAATACATTGACATCGTAGAGATCTTGAACCTCCTTCATGTCGAGATCGATAGCGGCCGACAGAAAGGCTGCAATTCAAAGTGTCAGACAGACATTGTGCCAGGGAATGGACGGACTTTGGCCGCTAGATACAAGAATGAGTACGAGCTAAGGACAAGACAATTATGGCCTACGCGTTATTGACTAATATGTCGAGTTTTCCCCCAGTCATCTCCGCCACCTGGTCTCGAACCCGGTTAATCTGTTCGTCGTTTGTAACGTCAAGAGCGAACGTCGTCATTCCTGCTTTCTGCAGATCCGAAAGTACCGCTTCATTGCGGGCGGTAGCAAAGACGACGAGACCTGATAGCTGAGGGCTTAAGGATGTACCCCTAGAAGGTAACCATTCCCACTTGCCTCGTTCATGGAATTCGCGAGCAAGAGCATTACCGATTCCCGTGCTGCAACTAAAGGACAGTTGGGAAAGCAACCATGATGTTGAGATTGCCGTACCCAGTGATTAGCACCGTTTTTCTTGGAGACATGGTTCGTGACAACCCAGCACGGGAATAAAGCGCGCTGTTTCGCGGGTGCCGATGCTACCCTGAGACACTGGACACACTTGAACTTGATGTAGGGACGATGCTTTCTTTCACATTTCTTTCACAATGACATTGCTAGCATTGGACAGGCATTTTCAAGCGAAGAGTAAAAGGAGCGTTAAGACTGGCTGGAAAAGCTAATTGTGGGTGTTTGGATGTCCACTCAGCTAGACCGTGGCGAAAGAGGCCGGAGGAACGGCCCGGTAACCTGCCCTCAAGCAGAACTGCGGGAGAATGACGACGATCCAGTTGCAACATCGACGCGCATAAAGACTACCAATCAAGACAAGCGCGCCGCTGTCGCACGTCTCCCGATTTCAAGGCAATGGCTCACCGGTGCTCCGTACTCAGGTCTGAGGGCACTCCGAAAAATTGATGGTATTGTTATTGCCATTAGATACGATGTGTCTTGGCTAGAAGTTTACGAGGGTGAGTAAACTTGACGTTCTAGCATTCGTCGATAACGGTAGCAGTTCCTCTTGGTCGATATCGACTGGCTCGATGTCTTCGCAGCGAGGTCATGACATAGGTTCCCGCGGATATTCCGAAGCCACACGTATAGCCTTCCGTTTCGAGAGCCAATGGTCCATGTGCAACATGCAGATACGAGACGAGATCCTGTAGGTGATGTGAATGCTTTTGCGATATCTATTTAACCCTTTTCGCAGCCTGAGCGACAGTGAGAATTGGTCCAGATCCCGGCACTTACTATGTTGACATTTCCTCGCCCCAACCATTGCTTCGCACCTATTGCTCTGGCATGAGCAATGACGTCCACCACTACAACGCAATAGCACCGATACAACCGAAAACCTATGTTGATGACTCGTCGGCCGTTGAGAGGTAGGGGTGCCACTGAGCGATATCGCACGCCCTGGCCAACGATAATAATTAATCGCGTCGTTTGAAATTACCCCCACTGCTATTCATCAGCCATGTTTAAGCACCTATCCACGAATCATCGCCCAAAGCACCTCACCAAACCACTCAATATCGAGATGACACTCCCTCTAGCCTCTCTGACAACCGAAATCAGGAACCCGGTGTCGAAAGATATCGACACGCTCAGTACGGCTGAGCTCTGCAAAATTATCAATGACCAGGATGCTCTGGTTGCTCCAGCAGTCGCGGAGGTGCTTCCGGCTATTGCGGAGACTATTGATGCTATAGTAGAGAGAATTGAGGCTGGTGGAAGGCTCCTGTACATGGGCGCTGGGTCGAGTGGACGGTGCGTATTTATTTCTCGGTTAGGGGGATCAACCTGGCTTGATGGTACAACAAACAGTCTAGGCATCCTAGATGCGGCTGAACTTCCACCAACGTTCGCTGCAGATAACATGCAGTATATCGCTCTCGTAGCCGGAGGCGACGGAGCCCTCAGAACGGCTCGAGACGCGATCGAAGACTCGCGAGAGGCAGGATGGGCGGACTTAGACGCCCTTTTCCCAACCTCTCATGACGCGCTGATCGGTATAACATCATCTGGGCGTACACCGTATGTTTTGGGTGCCCTCCAGCGCGCGCGCGAGCTCGGTTTGCTGACTATAGGCCTTGTCTGCGTTCGGCCAAGTGCAGTTCGAATGGAGAGGAACTGTACAGTGGTCGTCGATCCCGTTACAGGACCAGAGGTCATCACTGGGAGCACAAGGATGAAGGCCGGCACCGCTACCAAGATGGCCCTTAATATGATATCAACAGGCGTTCAGATAAAGCTGGGAAAAACATACGGGAATTTGGTATGTTTCTTTCGTCATGGGCGTGTGAAGCGCTCATGCGTCGTCGGCATTAGATGATCGACCTTAATGCGTCGAATCACAAGTTGGTTTCTCGTGCGAGACGCATTATCCGCACTGTCGCGGCTGAAGTGGGGCTACCACCATCATATGCATCGATATTCACTGATGACGAGCAGCTCGATGCTGTTATACGTCGGTGCGATGGTAGTGTAAAGCTTGCTTTGGTTGTTGTCGTATCAGGATGGGGCATTGATTTGTGTAGGGAGGCGCTCACACGAAGAGGAGGGGTCTTGAGGGCCGTACTAGAAGACGTGAGATTTGAGACAGTGGCGAGAGTTTTCAAGGTTTGAGCGATGACGTGCTCAAGGTATCATTTGATGTTTTTTTATTGCTCTGTACGCTTTAATTTGCTGTCGACGTTGGCTTTTTTCTTGGTTGTTGTAGGAATAAAAGGGAATAATGTATACTTTGCAAGATCACCGGCCATTCCCTGAAAGTTCCACGGCCCCTGGTGTTCCAAATAATGGAATCCTGCTTCGCAGTGCGGTAAGCATATGTTGTAAAGCACTTCCTAACAATAGCCAGGTCAACTTCGAATGTGAAATGATATGGACCACGCACGTTTGAGAAGAGTCCGACAAGCGCATACCGCCGACCTGAATAACGCAACATCATAGAAGGATCCTTACGTTGAACAGTATTCTTCCACTTTCGATCAAGGCAGGCTGAGATTTGCTCAGGATGATACTACGACGCAAAGCTGCCGCTTTAGTGATACCCTACTTCAGGACCACAATTGCTGATAAAGGAGGGTAACGCCAGACGCCGTTTAGTCGGAATCGGTGTCCAGGAATGCGAGATTCTCTCAGGAGATAAGCCTCGAGGCATAGGGTCGGGGCCCATAACAGCGAAAGGAAGATAACGAGAAGGGCTTCGATAATAAAGGTCCGAGCTCGGAAAGTCTTCAGCGATATCTGATTGGTACCCAAGACTTCCATGTGAAGAAGCTAGAGACGTTGCGGAGCAGAGCACGGAGCATAAGTCGGTCCATGACAAGAGGGACAATAGCACAGGCTCAGAGTCCTCCGATGAAGCCTCAGTTCGGGAATTAACCATTAAGTGAAAGCGCCGCTCGTTGAATGAATTGCTGGGAGACCAGATCGCGAGAGCTAAAACAATCATAGAAGACGAACGAGGATTGATGATGATAAGCAGGAAGTGCAGAATACTTAAATTGGCGACAAATTGACAGAAATGGGGGATGCGGTCGCCACATCGGGCCTGATCTGTTCAAGTAGCCGAGTGAATGATGATGTTCCTTGGTCCCGACAACAAATAACTGGTATAACGCACAATTGAAGTCGAAGCAAAGAAAAAAGTGAAGGGGCTTGCTCGAGGGCAAAATAATAAGCTGTAAAATGCTAAATGCTGGTACGAAATAAATAAACGGGTCTCGTGTGGCGTCCTCACACGGACCCGACTGCATTATAAGTTACGATCTGTTACAACAAAGAATCCAACCAACCAGCATACGTAAGGGAAGGCTTCCAATGAAATCAGAATGCAAAACCCAGGCATTCGACAATGTCCATGAATGCAGACTGCTGCTTCAGTCTGCCTCCAGTATTTCCGGGATCTCCGCATCTAGCACCGTCTTCTTGACCGCTAGATCTGGATAGACCAGGTCCCACTGTGGGAGGGGTGGCCTTTTCGGTAGGGCTGAGTTACCACGCCAGGGTTTAGGTTTGGGAGAAGAAGGGGGCGTGCGAGGTGTCATGGGTGACATTAAGGAAGATTGGGATGTTGTAGTGGTGAGTGGGGGGGTTTGAAGGGTAGATAGGGAGGTTGCGATAGGCGGCGGTGGGAGCTTCTTGGAGCATAGTCGAGGGAAACTGGAGTCGGAAAATGGCTGGTCTTTGAGACGTATGCTGCTAACGAGTAGAGTTTTAAAGTCGAGCTGGGGTTCTGCTACTGCAGCTTTTTGGAGGCGTTGCTGAGTGACATGTAAGTCGTTAAAAGGCTGGATAACGCTGATAACTCACATATTTATCTGGATGATGAAACGAAGCTTTGCGCATCAATGGCGGCGGTGGCCTTCTTGAGCTCACCAGTGAAGTCGTGCGAGAGAGGCGACGGTGGCGACGAGGGGGAATGTTTTCCTTGTGCTGTGAATCATCGGTTGGAAAGCGAGAAATATCGGCAACCGTATTCTCTTCCTCGTCCTCGTCTGGTATACTGGGTATATAAGAAGACAGCACAGGGCTCGAGGACGGGAAGGGGACGAGCATGGTGGTAATCGTGAAGGTCGTAAGAGAGTAAGGGCTGCCAGTTATTTGAACCAGTACTTATATGGCTTTGCTGATCCGCCACTCGGCCGTTGAGCTGCCACAGACGCGTCAAGCTCCGGCATTCCCCGGTGGCCTAGGTTCACATTTTTTCCAACTTTGGCTCTAATTGACGCGACCGAATCAAAGTGAAACAGAAAATGCCGCCAAGGCACAGTGCAATGACAACGAATTTATTGACTGGACTGGCCTGGCCGCCACAGCGCTCATCGATATCCGGATCTTTCAGCAGATTACACTTGGATTACACTCATTTCGACTGGCCCGACGATATTCCGGGTCGAGGAGCCAGAAGTCGAGAAATCGGTTTGTGCAATATTTCCAATCTTCCCCAGAATAAGTGTATATTACTATGAAGGGGGAGGAGACGAGTTTTCTGTCTTTTTTGAGTCACACGACAACGCGAATACTCCCGCGGAACTTTGGATGCACGGCGGAATCGGAATACTTGTTCGAGAACAATAAGATTTTCATCAAGCACAACTGCAGTCCACGAAACTTAACGAGAGCGCATCATTTACGGGATCCACTAGAGACTGCGGCACCAGAAAGATCTTCGAGAGGCATGTTGAGTCTTTGGACAGCAGGTCACGACGTAATTGCTTGCCAATCACCATGATTCTATCGATGATTTACCTACCATGAATATATGGGATACGAAAGCTTTCTCAGAGCAGCTTGTAGATGTCTGTTTTACGTAGCAAATGGACGGTGAGCATTCAAGTGACCGAAAGAAGAGTGAATACAAACCTCGCATCCAACCCTAACATTGGGAACATCTATAGGCAAACTCCCAACTATTTCCCGTTCATTTATCTATGCGACTGATCTCTCTGAAGGATCCTGAAGTATATTGAGTGCATCATCTATACACGGCCTTTGAGCCAATGTATGCTACCTATGCGGCGGCGGTTCCTGATCGAAGCAGTCTACATGCATCGAAGATGGCCCCGCACGCGACAAGAAGAGCAACATTACGTCGCAGAGTTCGATACCAGAAACATATCCCTGCACAAGGCAACGTGTCTTTCGATCCTGAAACTGGGGTCAATGGCAAACGTTAGAATGTCGTAAAGACAAAAAAGAGATGGAGGAAACTCACCATTGGGCGAGGCAGACACATGAACCCTCCGATCCTCCGGCAGCCAGCAACTCAGGACAAGACGGGTACTTCTCCATCACAGAACCAAACTACTGAATCATGGTGCACGCACAGGCCTCTTGAGTCTCGAGGAAAGGCAATGACAAGACTGGGACGCCGCCACCCTTTGCTCCGTAGTCTCAGAGTTGAATTGAAGAGCTAAGGAAGATCCCGCATAGTAATGGAGAATTCATATCTGAATGAAACAGTGATCGTCAGCGCGCCGTATTCCTCTTTACACATGAGCGTTGTCGAACAGAACTGGGGTGAGGAGCCAACGCCGCCAATAGTACCATTCCTAACCGCATTGTCATGCTTGATGTCGTCAAAGAGTCCAGCACGTAATTGCAACAGGATACGAGTGCTTGAGACCCCCGCCATCCCGACTATTATCCTCCAATGAAATCTATCGATTTTCTTCAAGTTCAAGCAGGTCCGCTTCCCCTTTTTTTCTCGCGGCTTGCTAATCCAGCTATGAGTTGATGCAATACACGAGAAGCACTGCGTCCACGTACTACTTGTTGCGCAAAGACAGCCAGACAGCTTCAAGGTTTGTGCATTGGCACTTAATTAACTGCTATACGTATTCCTCCTTTGCGCAAGGGGCATATATGAGGTACAAGGTGTAAAAATGATACTGTTTATTCCAGTAGGCAGATACTGCTAGAAACTAAGATAAAGGTCAGCGAAAATTGTGTTCTGAGAGACAGGCACGCACTCTATACAAAGCTCAACCTCCTTCACAACCTGTCGCTGTTGTCGATAGCGAGCGGAAAGGGAAAGAATGTCGGCGGGCGAATCGACGATGGTGGTACAAAAGCAAGAGATGGTGTTTGTTGTGGTAACTTTGTCCCGCCATGTATCGTCAGTTTTCGATTCAGAAAAAAATCAGGGTAAACTGATGTAGATTCTTCGCTCTATTGCTCTCTGTATGTTACCGTACGCAACATTATACGCATTCGAAAGCTTCCTTATGTTGTTCCTGGAGCAGGACTTGTAATAGCGAAATGAGCCCTGTAGCAGAAATTTTGAAGAGCATTCCCACGCTCGGACCAGTTTCGTGTCAACAAGGGCATTCGAAGTCGTATCGCAAGCACTTGTGCAAATACGACCTATGGTGAGAGGCTTTCTCCAGGCAACTTTTGGAACTACTTGAAGTATATTGTACAGAAGGGAGACAAGATATCTGTCCTAACAGAACTGAAAGTATATGTAGGAACATTGTAAAATCACAACATAGCGTAACACATCGCATGCCTGCATGCAGCAATGAGACAGAAAAGGACATCGCTGTGGTTCAGATTACCTCACTTTTTTCCATCAAAGAGATTGTCCCACAAACTATTTGCGCCCCATTGAAATCCAAGTCCAAGTCCAACCAGCGTAAGGAGCCATCTTGGTCATACCGTCAACGTGTCCAGGCGCGAAGGTATCGAAGGACCGAGGTCATGAATTAGCGATAGGGACAAACTCCGAGAAATTTCTCACAGGCAGAGGAGCCTCACTAGTCAAAATGTATTGACCAATCCCAGCAGTGTAGGTCTTCGGAGAAGTGCGATCTGGTCAGTGAATTATAGAGTTTTACGAAACGCGCAAATGCCTCGCTAATCATAGGCCACAACGAAGGGTCGTCCTCTAAGTACGTGTGGTATGCGTTTCCAAACCAGTGTACTTGGCGCTAAAAGAATGATGAGAGGGATGAAAGCCTTTGGCTGTAGCTGTAAGAAAGTATGGCAAAATAAGGGCGCAAGTGTTTGGTGACCGAGCAAGAAGAGAACCGGCGGCCGTCGGAAAGAAAACCGGCATACCGGGACGAGCCGGCAAGTCGGCAAAACTGCTTGATCCTTGGCCTTTCTCCGACTCTTCGTCTACTCGGACGACAAATGTTCTACTGCTCTAGTTTCATCCTTGCTGCTGCCAAGGTAAGCCACAGTAAGCGTGATCACCTATTTCCGTTGGGAAATATCCAAGTTCCTTCCTTGCTGAACCATAGAAGGCTTGCCCGTAAACGCGTAAACCTTGAAAAACACTCTCTGGCGACTTTCGAACATGAATCCGCTCGACGTCCTTGGCATTTCTAAAATGTTTTTCCTTTTAGCTATCAACTCTTTCACCTCTGATGAGACTAAGGCTGGCCGCTCTCCAAGATTCCCGCTACCTCTGAGACCGACGTTCCCGCCCAAACCGTATTTGGTTGGAAGCTCCCTTGCGGCTCGACAGGTCTTGGTTTAGATTATGCTTGGCTACAAACCTTCCTCATCTTGTGCTCTGTACTGTTTCAATATGACGTTCTTCGAGTTCCCAGTTAGTCGAGACACTCACTTTACATCGCAAAAGATTCTCTAGTATTCAGAGATATAAAAGGGCTATGAAATTGCCAATATTCTTCAGACAAATCACCCTCATTCATCACAATGCGTTTCTCAGTTGCCACCCTCATCCCTCTCTCCGCTCTTGCGGTCCCCGTCCTCTCGACTTCCGCGCAAGCTAGGGACGGCACGTACGGCGGTGTTGATAACAAGGGCAAAGACCACCACAATGACGGCGGCAGCAAATACTACCATTACGGCAACAAGGACTACGACAACAAGGACCACGGGCGCAAGGACTGCACCTGGGAGCCGGTGTTTGAGCACAAGAATGACTTCAAGGGGTGGAACAAGGGCAAGTACACTCCCTACGACCACAAGGATGTCAAGAAGAACTCCTACGAGATCGGTAGGTTTATCTTTTTATCTTTCATTCTTGATCATTTTCACTCACGTTTACTCAGATTGCAAGAACCTGTGCGAGAAGGACGACAAATGTAACTCTTGCCAAGGTACGTCTGATCTTCACTCGCTCACAGTCAACTTTATCTGATATTTCTATAGCCTATTCGAAAGATGAATCCGATGACAAATTCATCTGCGAACTCTTCGAGGAGATCATCGACATCTTGACTTGGGAAGAAGACTGTGATGATGACAAGGACCACAAGAAGGATGGAAAGGACCACAAGAAAGATGGTAAGGACGAAAAGAAAGATGGAAAGAAAGACGACAAAGGCCGTAAGGATGGTCACAAGTACTACGACACTTCTTGCTGGAACGCCCACTACAACTACTAGGCTTTCCTCCATCAGTAGGCGGCGACAATGGACATTTGCACCACTCTGTATGTATAGTATTGTATACCTCCAATGTAATGTGCATGTAGTACCCCTCACTGCCGGAATTTGCTGCGAAACATCGCGCTGATCAAGAGCAGGCTTTTACGAGATCTGTTTCAAGCATAACTAATGTGTGTTTAACAGCATTTCTGGCCTGTTCACTTGCAAATTCCCCAGGTAATTCTCAAAATCAACTCTAATTTAGGTAACCGGATGACCTTTTCGACGTGTACAATTCACAGTGAGCGTCTACAACAGATTATATGTTTTCGTTTTGTGTCACTGGCGGCAAGAATCTAACTGGTCAAAATCCAAATCTGTCGCCCTGCCTTTGCAAGGCAGATCCATGTCGGCCTGTAATGGCAAGGCGCAAACCCTGAGCTGGCCTGGAATCCACTGCACACCAAACAAATAATACGGCTGAGATAAGGGCAGCTCAGCTGGCGGCGACTCAGGACGAAACGATAATGACGATATCGGACTCTCCTTCCACCTGCGATGGTGGGAGAATGGCGGATGGGTGGGCGTGTCAAATAGCGATGTATGGAAAGCCACGGTTGTGGCTCTCCGCCGACGCGGCATCCCGATCTACTTCCCATAGCGGGGATGTCGGAAATGAAGGTGCAGATAACCTAGCATGGAAAGGAGCACTACTAGATGAAACAGAAGCACTAGAAGCTGATACGGAAATATGTCATGAGTTTAAACTTTAATGTCGACAATGCACGGTTATTAACGCTTACCCACTGAAGCCAGGCGTACAAACTCCTTCGAATGATGAAAGGAATCATGATGGAGATGTATCGCTCGACGCAAGTTACAACTGACCAGGTCACAGCAACAATCAAGGAGATAGATGGTGTCAAGCCAGTACCATTAAGGATGTGGAAATTCATACGGCACAAGGATGTATCACAGCCGATACGAGGATTCCTTTGGAAGGCTATACAGAACACCTTCAAAATCAGTGCTTTCTGGGAATGTCTGGGTCCCTGATTTTCTGCGAGAGGTGTATGCCCCCACTGCAAAGTGACGAAGTCTATGGAGTACATTTTGCTTGAGTTGAGGTATCAGCCACACTACAGTGGGGACTAGCTATAGGACTTTGGGAAGGTAAGGGCCAAAAGTGGATACCCACACGTACGGGGTCGCTCTTGGAGCCACACTAGTGCAGATCAAAACAGCAGAGGGGAGTGTTGACAGATCTGCAACTCGACTGTAGCGGATACTGGTGACAGAGACGATCCACCTAATCTGGAAGATCAGATGCCAGTGAAGGATCAAACGCGGGGACGATGACCCGTCTAGTTGGCACACGAGAGATGCAGTACGCAATCTTTGGATTGCAGCAGTGAATCAGAGGTTAACAATAGACTGCGTACTGGTGAAAAATCTACATTATCCCACGACTTTTATTATATCTGCCATGGTTTTCCGACCTTGTGATTCCGGCAGCTCGCTATCCGCCCGCTCCCCGAATTTCGGGGCACGATAGACAAAGCCTTGTGGAATCCCTGGCTGGAGCTCCGAGGGCACTATGATCCGTAGCGACATTCGAATTTCGAATGCTCATGGACGACGCCATTTGATCCTGAAGTAATACGTTGAGCGCCATGATACAGATCGTCGGCTCCTCGTGATACTCCCTATGCACAGCATGTGCATCAAAGTCTTGTGTGCTGTCGAACGGAACTGAGGTGAGAGGCGAACGTCGCTAATGTTCCTGTTACTGACCGCATTGTCATGCTTAATATCGTCAAAGAGCATTGCAACAGGATACCGAAGGCTTGGGACACAGGTCACCGCGACTGTCCTTCTCCGACAAAGAATCGATTCTTGTCGCATTCAAGTAGATACGGTTTCCCATTTTTCTCACTATAGAGGCCAGGATCGGAGCCCGATCTTGGCGAAAATAACTTATCTCGCAAAAGTACCAGGGCGTTCTCGCGTTCTGAATCTTTCATGGCAGTCGCCAGGAATTCTTGTACTTCCTGTACAGCATCGCGCGCGCCAGTCCAGTCGTCGGCCTGGCTTGATGTGGTGGATTATTCCTAAAATTATAGTCAGATTATGCAAATGCTGATTTATTTGGATAAATCCACAAACAGGAACGTTCAGTAAGCATCTCGAGATCGCTGATATCAGCGTTTTGGTTCCGATATCGAAACACGATGTCAACGAATCGAGGGTGAAGATGTGATACGCCTGCCATGAACGGATAGTAAATATATCGACATCTCAAGAAACTGATGCGCATTCACCAGTTTTGGGCCTCAACTCCAAGGTGAGGAGGCGGACGGTGGCATCACTTCCATCAACTTTATATCGCATAGTAATCCCAGGTGGCACTAGCTTTTTAATTGAAGCCAAGTCCAGCTTCCCGCCAGGACGGAGACTAGTCTGCACACTGGGCCCGATCATGTCGTGCATTTCTTCCTGAACCGACTCTGGGAGGTTGATGCAGGTGAGATATTTCTTCCGGAATTGCTCGTCGCCTTTGTCGTTGTCAAGTCCCAAGTAATCACAAACGTCCGTCCAGTCCAGACCATAGAACCTGGACATCATTTCAAATTTTTCTGCGTAATCGTCGAGCTCGAAGGCAGTGGTCCTCGCCGTGTCTAGTAAATGATGAAATATTTAAAAAAGAGGCCCCGCTGTAGAAATGCAGGAGGTTCTTTGTTGAAGAGAGAGAAGTACTTGTCCCAAATGAGCCTCTGAGCCTCTACTGCCATTAGCTGGGTAGGCCTTAGTTTGTTTGTAGTCGAATCATTCTGGAGAGGGGCCGTCTTTGCAGACATTTGGCGTTTTTTTAGAGGGCATGCTTAGGAAAATGTATCAGTATATTGGGTAACGAACGATAAGAGGCAACTTACACAATTTCGTTTCTATGCGATGGAAAATGCTGACAGAGGAACCGTTCTTGCTGCCATTCAACGACTCTTGTAGCATTTTTTTTCCCTTTCAGATGATGATTTATTTCGGAATGCTGTTGATAAAGTGAGACCCAGCTAAGGGTCTCTCCTTCTCGTGACCTTGATCTTGAAGCATGGTACGCTCTTTGATTTTTTCCTCGTACTCTTAGGAACGGTCCCGTCGTATAAAATTTGAAAACGACGAAACAAAATTTGGTCCTTTTTTGGCAAAACCGGAATCAGGGGGAAATTGATGCATCGCCTATCCTTGTCCTTCTACTTCCATGAGCAGCGCCTACCCGTATATATGCGGCACAGGTACTAGGGCCTTGCGATGACAAGCGCCATCGAAGTATCTGTACCGTTCTGGGATGGCCCAGTAATCGCCGGCCATTGTCTTCAGCTCGAATTGCTGTTTCCAGGGGAGGATCGCTTCCTTTGGATAGGCCGATATTGTGTGCTTGTTCCCCTGCTGTCTTGGACTGATTCTCGTCTTCGGAGGGCCCCCGATTCCCTATATATGACCTGTATGGTTTTGCCCAGCTGCTACAACTCTCGCTGTCGCCTACAACATGCAGAACAATTCGTCTCCAACTATCCGCCCATGCTCTGCTTGTGGTAACGCTCCAGTCATCGTAAACAATCCTCGCAACTTTCGGTACGAAACTTGCTGCGACCATGTTGACCGTAACAGGAATCGACGACGTCGACGCAGGCATCGGAATGAGGATCATGCTCGGCCCCGTCTAAACAACGATGATAATCAGATTACACCCGATTTCCCATGGCATCACGGGTCAAACCATCGTTCTACTGGGTTCTGTTCTTGTCCCATATGTAACCATCTTCGCAACCCCACTGCGACGCTTTCACCTGCGATGTTCGCAGCAGCTGCCCTTCCCAATTGGCAGGTACCTTTCGTTCCCGGAATGCCTTATAACTGGGGCCAGCGCTTATACGATCCCACGCCTCCGGTAGTCCCACACGAGTATCTCGATAGCCGGGGTTCTTCTCCTCCAGTGATACCTGGTTGGACTCCTCCTAACCCAGTCATTCCAGATTTACCTGCTCCTGCGAGCCCTCCTGCAAATCCACCAGCTCCTAACACGCCTCCAGTTGTGCCTTTCATACCATCTCCTTCCCCCGTAATACCCACTCCTCCACCTCTCAGTGAAATCGCATTGTACTATCAGCTTCGCCAACTACCTTATACCTTCCTTGAATCCTTCCATGGGCAGATACATTTCCCTGCATTGCATTGGGACATCATTCATCCTCCCAATACTGCGCGATTCGTAAATGGCCCTACAGCATTTGGGGTTGTTTTACCCAACTTTCACGCAGCTGCCTTCACACCCGACACTATCCGTAACGTTCCATGCACCTCGAGACACCCTATCCTTCGGTACTGGATGTCTCCCAGACGATGGGGTCCTCTTGTTATTCGTAACTTTGATACGATAACCGTACGGGAAGTGCTACAGCAAATATTCATATATTTACATACTCCATTGACTGAGGAAGAGGTCAATTGGATCCACCGGACGCGTCCGAATCGGGATCGATTGGAACTGGCGAAGTTTCATAGGAATTCTGATGTGTTCGGATGGCAGCCGCCCGATGGGACGTTTTTGAGGTCCGATCTTTTGGGTGGTCATAGACGATTCCGTGGCTTGGGGATACTGCTCGAGGATGGCGAGTGGAAGCTTTCTGTAGACTTTTTTGCAGGGCCCGTGCCTCGACTATGGGAAATGATATGACACAGTAACAATGCCTTCTTTGCTGTCACCCAAGCTCTCACACCGCCGCATTTTTTAACCTTCTTACGCAATGTCACTTCTGATTTGATCAACTATGTCCTGCCATCGAATTCATTGTACTTGGGAGCAGCTGTAAAGGTATTTTACGCCGCTGTTAGCTGTATGCATGGTCCGTATGAACTACAAGTTTTCTCCATCGAGCAAAGTATCTAAATCAGACGTTCATTTGATGTTAAGATCACAACAGCTATCTCGGGCGTTCAATATGCCGGCCTGCGCCATGAAGAGCTTTCCCCGCATCAAGGGACTCCAGTTCTTCCTCCTATTTCATACCGTTTTTTGCTTCATGGTCATAAATGACGAGGTGAGGGTCTGCTGCCTTGCCTTTGCAAGCCAGATTCATCTCGGTCTATAATGACAAGACACAAACCAGCTGGCATGGAATCCATTGTGATACTACAAGAGTCTCTACAGCTGCCTCGTAACCTGAATGCTACTCTCCAGGACTGTCACTTTGAAGGGTCAGGCCTCAGGCTTAATGTTATCTCCAGTACACAATTGCAACAGATACAGACTTGAGACTGAGCCGTCCCGACTGTCTATCTCCAATGAAATCCATCGAATTTCTTCACGTTCAAGTCCCTTATTTCTCACGGCCCGCTGTGCAGCATGCTTATAGACCAGGGCCGAAGCCCGACGTTCGCGAAATATCATTCAAAGAGCTCTTGCCCTCCTTGCAGTACCGACAATGCTCCTTGTTCTTTCATATATGGTCCTCACATCCTTGTCCATCAACATCCGAGTCAGCACTGTTGAGATTCACTGCTGACAGGCTACTCAAAACAATGAGAGCACAATTCGGTGTTCCTGATACAGAACTCACCGTTTGCGGAGAAAGACCAGAGCTTTCTCGCATTCTGAATCTTCCGTGCTGGTTTCCAGAATATCGTGCACTTCCTGCGCAGCGTTGCGCGCTCCGGTCCAACTATCGCACTGGTTTGATATGGTCGATGGATGCTAAAATTATTGTCAAAACTATACAAATGCGAGTTTATTGGAGCACAGACAGGAATGTTCTGTAAGCATTCTTGAACCATCTCGAGGATCGCCGATATGAGCGTTCCGACATTTGAAGGCGATAACAATGAATCAGAGGCTAAGTTGCGACACGTCTGACATGGAATAAATAAGTATTTTGATGTCTTAGAAAACTGGAAATAACGTGCATGGAAGTCATCGCGTCTCATCAAGAAAACATATTCGCCAGTTTTGGTCCTCGACTTCGAGACGCGGAGGCAGATCGTAGCGTTAGTAGCATCGACTTCATATCGCATAGTAACGCCGGGTGCCGCCTTAATTGAAGCCAAGTTCAGCTTCCCGCCACCGTTCGCCAAACCACCCTCGGGAATCCACGTCAATCCAACGGAGCAGAGGATAGTGTGAGCGATTCCAACCGCCTTTTGAGATTCTGTTACGCCCTTCTTTTTGCTTCCTGACACTGTCCTCCCGAAGCTCTTGATAAGACGAGGTTACTCGGGCGGCTGCTTTGTAGCGGATCTAGGGGAAGAGCAGTTAGCGGGTGATATATGAAAGACGAAGGTTTTCTCTGACAAGTGCAGGGCCTCCCAAAGGGCGTAAGTGCTCTGCCATGGCTTCTGAATAGCGATAGAATCCCTCTAGCAATATAGAGAAGAAATCGGGTGCGACTATAGATTTATGAGCGCGTTGCATATACACGTACATGAATAGCACGTACAAGACGACAACATGGAAGAGGTCGTTCCAGCGTTAGCGGTTTCGACGTCAAAGCCGACCTTTTCGGCCTGATCAAACCTCCCCAGTGATATGAATTCATTCCCTACATCGCATTTCAAGTTAGAAAAACACCAACGGTATGAAACGCAATCGTACCTGTGTAGCAATAGTAGAAGAACTGCGACAAGTCAGAGACTATGGCGTATACTGGGAACGAGAAACCCGATAATTTCTTGTTCAGCGCAAAAACCCCTATGCAAGGTATTAGACTCTGGACTCTACGAAAAGCCCCTGCTCACCGCTCATCTCCGCAACAACTTGTGCAAGAAGTTTCAAAGAAGGGTGATCTGAAAAGAAACTTTGTTTCATTATGATGAAGATGAGGATCGTTTTGTGTTGGTGTCTAATCATGACATCTATGAAACCTCCCTTGGTAGTTCCGTCGAGACAAAACTTGTCGCTGATGTAAGTGTACAAAAGTCCCCCAAACGACTGAAGGCTCTTTGTAACCACCTGAAAAAGATATAATGACCGAGAGCCGCAACGGGGAAATACACAAGCTTACCGGCATAACATGGTGAAAGGTGTGACGACGGACATCCGTCAGCACACTTAGCCGAATCGTATCGCGCATGTCTTTCTGAACCGACTCTGGAAGGTTGAGGCAGGTGAGGCTTTCCTTCCGAAATTGCTCGTCATCTTCGTCGCTGTCAAGTCCCAAGTAATCGCAAACATCCTCCCAATCTAGTCCATAGAATGTCGACAGCAATTCATCGACGTCTTCACGACTATTAGCGGTGATGGAAGGATCAGTCACCTCCAGCAAATCATGAAATATGGAGAAAGTGCTGTGCTGAAAAAGGTCGGGCACTTCTTCGTTGTTTGCAGCAAGTAGGGCGCGGAGGATTTTCATAGCCTCTACTGCCGTTGGCTGGGTGGATCTTGGTTCGTCTGGGCTCACGTCCCTCCGGAGAGGAGTCACTATGCTTGCAGACATTCGACGCTTTTAGGGGACGTGCTGGGAACATGTATCAGCATATCGTGTCAGGAATGACGCGACGCAACTCACACAACTTTGATTTTATACGACGAAGATCACGATTGAAGCTTGAAGGACCGTCTCTTCTTCCTATTTCGTGGCTTTTGTATCATAGTCATATATGACGAGATGAGGTCTGCTGCTGGTAGGGTGAGACCAGTTTGAAACACTGGTGTAAGACAACGTAACCACCGACGAGCCATACTCAGACACTGATTTCACCTTGAGAACGACGGGCTAACAGGTGTGGAACAGAGCTTCGTTGAACTCTGTATACCTAGAAATCACAGCGAAGTTCGGCTACGGCGACGGCCCTGACAGAATTCTCTTTGAGGGCCTATCGGTGATGAGATGCCACCAGCACAAACGCTCTGGTACATGGACGCGGAAAGGGGCGGTCCGTGGCAAGGTATCATAAAGAATCGAGATCGAAAGCGCGTGCCGAGACCAGACGCACAAAGTGGCTGCCCCATATATGGCCAGGAAAATTAGGCGACACAAAATGGAACACAAGGGTAGTGCACTGCTTGTTGCATTTGCAACATCTGGAACGTTACATTGTGCGTGCGTATCAATACACATGGTAGAAGTGCAGGGGGTGGGAGTCGGTCATCAATCTATCTTGATCTTTCTCTGCACCAGGTTGATAAACGATATGACTGTGTAAACGCGTAGACTCACATTTGCAAGCGATGGCTTTATTGGACGACCACTACGAGATGGAGATGAAGGTTTCGGTATTGACGGTTTCGGATTGTCAGGCGTCGAAGACTCTGTGCTGCTACTGGATGTTAGAGGTCGAAACTACTCCCGGGGAGGAATCACGTTCGTTTTCTCCGTTACTCATCCAGCGATCGATAAAGGGAAGTACGTATTTGTCAATGGGTTTCGTGACGTATCCAAGCACGGTGTCTAAACATAATGTCAACACAAAATGAAGGAAAGAACCACTCCATATATTCCCTTGAAGGCATTTGAAAATATCACTCCGCAATTTTCTAATAGGCCTTGATCCAGGTAACGTCAATTAAACAAGAAGTATAAAGTCACGGACAAGCTTACCGATATCCCATCAATACCATATAGATAGTCGTCCATACTATCCGCTGAAGGTCTGTATCAACGTCGACGAGCTCTCTACCTCGACCTATTGGGAATACGGCATCCTCTACCAGTTTCCAATACTTGGGAGCATGCTTGGGGCTCCTGCGGCGCCGGGGAGGTAGAGGAGGAGCCTTGTCACCAAACACAAGCTTCACAGGCTGGTACCAACAATCAGTGAGGAGATCGTCGCATTGTGCCATTATAATGAAACCTTCCCAGTTGAAGGCACTGAAAGGATTGGCAGACATCGCAGTCCTGATTCGTGGGATGTCTGATTCACACTTGCGAACTTTAGGAAGGACTTCAACGTAGAGCTTGGTGAGAGCAGTAGCTAACGCAGGAGAATAGACGGTGTGAACTTCGGTTGCGTCGGAAGGAACTGGTTGCCATGCTGGGAAGAAAGGGCCGTACATAAAATCAGGTCTGATTAGCATCCATAGACGGTCGCCTAACTTGGAGTGGACAGGGCGCGGCTTCAAGTAGAGCTTGACGTTGGAGTCCATGATAGACTAAGAAAGGGGCTAAATTGCACCGCCAACATTTGCGCTTGGCCGCAACTCATTGAACATCGGCACTTCGGCACTATCGGACCGGCCTGGCGATTTGCCTGCCTGCCTGAGGCTCTTATTTACTACTACCAGTTCTAGTGACAGCTGGTATCGTTGTCATCGTCGCTATTGACTCCCCTGCTTCATCGTCGTCGTCACAGCCGTTATACACGCTTGAACCTTGCTTGATCAGGCTCGCCAGCACGAAATCCCTGTCGATCAACTTAGGACGACGACGACGGACATCTCTGAACAGAGAGGCATTCATTGGTGCAATACCAGGCTTTTCTTACTATTGCTGCAAAGAGGCTTGCTACAGCCATCACCTCGGCAGGATTTTATGGCAAGAGATTCAGGAAGTAGCATGTGATGCATATCGTAGGCCAGCATCAAGCTTTTCTCAAAAATGATCATGTGTTTTTGCATTTATATCAAACAAGAATGTTACGAGACTTTACAGCAATGTCTATGTCCTTTAGCCTCTTCCTTTCCTCGAGGCCAGGCATTGCAAAGAGCGACACTTTTTCAAACCTTTTTTCTGGCAGTCGTCGGCCAACAGCCCAATGTTTTGAAGACCTTTTCTGGAAATGAGCCCGTGGATTATTGTCACCAAGCAGTGTGTACGTATCTTCTGGTATTGGGTGCTGGTGGGTGGCGATGATTTTGAATGTGTGCACCATTCCATCCTATGTCTTCAACAACTAACTCTCCGCATTCGATCACCCCTTTCTGCCAATCCCACATCCAAACCCCGCACAAGCACCTTTTCAATGCAAAGTCCCTTCATACCAGTCCTCATCCTTCTCGTCATCATGCACAACATCCCCCAAACAGTCACCATCCACTGGCAGAGGCTCTGTCATGACCTGCTCCCATGACGGCCTCCATTTCTTGCTTCCTCGTCCCTACTTCGGGATACAAAAAGAGGAAGGTCGCCCTCATCACAGTGTGCATTGCATTCACAAGTGCTGTCCATGCATCCTCGAGAGACTCGCTCTCATGGTACGCTGGTATTGTCCTGGACAGCAGAGGGAATGCCAGTCCTGCCACTTTATCCACAGGGTTGGTTGACACTCGCTTCTGCATGTTTGCCAGTGCACGAAATAATGCTCTACGCCGATATCTGCTCTTTAAGGATGTTACCTGCATGTGAAATCGCGTCAGTATCTCCGTCTCGTAGTTTCCATCCTTGTCTATTGGCTTGGCATGCATCGGTCCATCAGGCGTATCCCCAACAATGATCCTCTCCTTCCCGACCTCCTGCAGTGTCCACGCACGCCTAAACCAACTCCGATCACTATCCAAGTCACCCTCTTTCACACTCAAAGGTCGTCCCAACCCACTCAGGTAGATCATTGCCTTTACACCACCACAATACACCTGTCCAATTGTGGGCACATCCAGCTTCCACTCCCCCACACGCAGATCCTCCCTCGGCCCACCCTCCTGTCTCAAACAGAGCACATCTAGCCACGTGTACTGCACTCCCAGATTCAGCATCTCGATCCGTATCAAGTCGAGGTCCGCATCTTTTGGGATGGGCACAGGCCATTCCTTCCTGTTGATAGGGGTCCACACGTCGACGCGATCCTTCTCATCCACCCATGCATGGGATATCGGTCGAGTCGATATAAAAGCAGTCCCCAGTAGCACCACCCGATTGCTATACAGGTCCCACACTCGTCGAGGAGGCAACAGCGGGTTTACTATCCGGTTTCCTTCCAGTGCATCTCGTTGCCTACATTGGTACAACCCTTCACCTCTACATAGTAGGTCTTGCATGGTGCCAGGGTTATCGGTTTTCCATACCCGGCGGAGACGGCCATATGCGGTACCAAAGTCGTAGCTTTTTGAGATGCAGCCTTCGAGAAGGGAGGAGAGGGATGGTGTATCCAGGGTGTATGACGTTCGAAGGATGGAGTTGAGTAGATCTAAGGTACCTTGAATGCCGAGGCAAGTGCAAGGAACGTTCGCAAGGGCGGAGGATATCACTTTGCGCTCTCCGCCGGTATATTCCCTTTGCAAAGGAACTTTGATCGACGACTCCGGTTTGCCAGTCTCTGTGAAGGCAGAAATGACCTCGTAGCCCTAGGAACATCCTCGTTCACTAATAATTTCATCCATTTATTTCGCATGGCTCACTGTTTGTATTCTAGATCGTACGACAGATTCATAGTCATCATAATCAGGGAACTCGTTGCCTTTATCGACACTGCGGCTAACGAGTTGTTCCTCCACTGTAGCAGTCTGAAAATAGGACTGTCCGAGAGCGGTTCCGGATGACGGCGGGGCGATGGGTTCGGTGTCACGTCCAAGACATGATTGACACCCTCTGGAATTCTGGCCAATTATAGGTGCTTGCGACTCTGACAGTGCTGATGTGTTGTGATTAGGATAGTTGTCGGGTGTTTCGTCAGGAGGTGAATCCTTCAATTTCCACGCAGTGGAAAAGATGGTACGGAGTTTCCAAACCAAATTGACGTAGTTCACAAGGAGCTGGTTTATGACTAATGTCATCGGATTGAGTGCTGGAAACAAAAATGGGCTGAATGTACGTACTGTTTCCCATTTTCTCTGCTCAGACGGTTACGCGTGCAATGGGGTACAAGACGAAAGTGACTCGACACGAGGTGGGTGACACTGACAGGTCTCGCAGGTCACCCCAGGATCACCTGTTTGCAGCGTGGTGGTAGAACCAACAACATCGTACACGGTCCGGGCCGAAAGAACATGGTGGTATCTGCAAGTACACGCAGAGATCGCAGTCCTCGCTGTACAAGACGGATTTCATACCATGATTCGACTTGATAATCGGTCTCATACGAATGTAATGCTGCGAGACGAAGCATAGATCTTTCATGTTTGCGTGAACAATAAATTGATTCCCCCCGGTAGTATCGAGACATTTGTACCGAGCTGATATGTATCGCTACACCTTCTGTAATTCTATCACTCTTCCTGAGTCTGATGAACGCTAAGGAGAGACATGAACAATAGTAACTCACAATACACGATGATATCACGTACGTGATGGCGCCAACCACATCAAGATCTAGCCAGCTCTGAGATAATCCTGGTCCGTGTGGGGCTCGACATTCTGGACAGTTTTTTAAACAAAGCTTTGAATCGAAGACGAGCAAGACGCACCATTAAATTACAACACGATTCTTCCACTCTCTCTGATTTACTGAATCCATACTATCTTCTCCGTCGCACCTTACAGAACCTCCTGGCAGAGCAATCGCCTGGCGAAAGGTGAACCGGCCTGAGGGGGGATATACGTTGAGGTTGTCAATGCCGCGTTACTGAAGGACATCGACGAGAAAGACGGCGAGGTGTGGAAGTCACGATGACCGCAGCGGTCTGAGAATGTGTTAGCCACGAGAACAACGCACGAGTAATGACAGGATGCTTCGTGGACTTGGGAGGTGCGGTTTCATAGAAATATTATATGGTCCCCTTGGTTATCCTCTCCCCGTTCAACTCAAGAAGATAACAGACTTGGTGTCGAAATCACGGTTCCTTGATGGTAGTTGCCGCCATCATATGACTGCCCAAGATTGAGTCATAACTACATCTGGAAAGGTGGTCAGTAGACGATACCATACCATCAAAATATCTCGCTTACCACCCACAGATATTTAAATCGTCGTTCTTCCATCATCATCGCAACTATGACCGTCCAAAGCATCGACCTTAGCCATCCACTCGATCCATTCAATATGTCCCTGTACCCAGGGGACCCGCCCTATACCTGCTCCCCTCATGCAACCGTCCCAGAACACGGCTACAGCGTCCAAACCATTTCTCTCTGCACACATACAGGCACCCACGTCGATGCCCCTTCCCATTTCTTTGCAGAGGGCAAGTCCATCGACCAGGTCCCCCTCGATTCCTTCATCCGTCCCGCCATCGTCGTCGATGTCAGTAAAAAGGTTGTCCCCCGGGGACGAATCACTTGGGACGACCTCAGCCTGAGCATTGACGACAGATCGGATGCTATAGTGCTCATCCGTACAGGCTGGTGCAAGTACTGGGGCAAACCAGAGTATGTCAACCATCCTTTTCTCGACGCAGATGCCGCTAGGAAACTCGTCGCTCGAGGTGTATCAGCCATCGGGATCGACACGTTGAGTCCCGACGAGACGGGGGGGAGTGCCAATGATTTTGGGGTGCACCAAGCGATTCTCGGTGCTGGCGGTCTCATCGTCGAAAACCTGAAGAATTTGGCAGCTATACCAGAAGGTGCATTCGTTAATTTCGTCCCTTTGAATCTGAAAGGCGGGGATGGCTCACCTGTGAGAGCGTTCGCGTACGTACCGTAACATTGTCGAATTCGTCTCGTTTATGCCTCTTCGCAACCAATCTTCTGTGTTGTGTGTGTTGGAGTTTTGCCTTTTGTCTGATGACTGCTCTTGTGCAGGAATACAAGGACTGGGATGAGCTATGCTGGCCTTTTTCCGAGGTACCTTCGTACAAATTGCAACTTGCTCGACGTCTATGAAACAGGACGTTTTGCTTGAAAAACGTATTGGAACCAATCAAAAGAGAGGCAAGACTCGACGCACCTCGTAACCCTTTGCTAACGCGAACCGAGCGAGACAATCCATTTGGAATCGTCCATCTTTCAGTCCCATTGCCCGATGATACTATCCTTATTATATGCGTCCGAAATAACAACGTCGTGGAGATTGGTCTTCTATGACGGCCACATTTTCATGGATCGTTGGAAATTTATCCCTGGCTTGGATTTGGATTGACTTTTACCATTATGGAACGGGACGCTGCCAATTTTGCTACAACGGCGGGACGGACAAGTGGTGATTGGGTTGAAATAGCGAATTTCCCACGACCGGCCCAACGAACTATGACGCATCTGGGATTCACACTCAATCATCTGCATTTATTTGAATGATACGCGCAGGCACCTGAAAAATACGCTTGGAGTACTCCCACTTCAGATTCTTGCACAAATTCACAGAATCAAAATGGGACAAGTATTATTCATGTTCAAACGTAGCATTAGATGCAAAGACAAGCCAGATACCCACTAAATTATGATAATCTGGATCCTGGGTAACAGGTAATTACCGGTAAAGGGTCGTCCCTTAAATACTACAGAAGCTATAGTGTGCTCTAAATAGACAGACAGTACATCTATATCCAGAAAGTCGGTATATCATCATGCATCATGACCTCCCCTCAATGATTGCTATAGCATCAGCCACATTCTCCTGAAAAGCCTCTGGTCCCAAAAGGTCTACAATCCCCGCCGTGGTAAACATCTTTTGCGGCTCCGGTCGTAAATGCGTCACAAACAATCCGACACCCCGGTTCTGTGGCAGTTTCGCAGTCAGTCACAGAAATGGTATATAAATAAGGGACCCACCAGATATTCTTCAAATAGCTCACGGAACATCTGTACGGCACTGCGGGCAGGTTATCAGAAGAGTTACTTTGCCGTTTTCATAACAAACTTACGAAGCATCACAAGTTTCTACGTCGGCCATGTGAAAGACCAGCACTTGAGCCAATTGCCTCCTTGGCTCTTCCGAAGGATGGCTCTTATCCACACCATAGAGCTCCAACCTTCTCAGTCGTTCTGATATACCAACCATCAGATTTCGGCCTTTTTTGTAGCGATAAGAAGAATGAATACCTTTCAATTGCGCCGTGTTCGCTGCAATTGGCAGTCGGTAATCAGTGTTAGGAATTCCAACGGAAAAATTGCACATACCAAAATCGAGATTCTCCCGGATTCTAACAATTAACACCCCTGGAACGTCCTCTTTCGCATCAGGGTTCTCGCTAATGGGTTTCCACCTGTCCGTGCGGGGTAGACGACCCTAAATCGACCGAAAAATATCAGTTTCGATTCCAGAATTGTGCATCACACTTACAAGGATTGTCATACGGGTCTTAGAAGACCGGTGCACGACAAGGAGAAGTGAAATCACCAGGCTAACACCAACTCCTACCTCTACATTCCACACTATCGATAACACAAACGTGAGCGTCATCAGTGCCAGGTCTACCCATGCCCTCATTCTTCGTGTTGTCAGCACTGTTACCAAAACGAAAGCCGAAGGCACGCACTTGATGTAATACCTGACATCATGTGGGCTTTCTGCAAGCAAAGATATCACAACAAGGCAAATACTAGGTCATGGATGCGTCAGGTTAAGGCGCTCTTCGAATGGAGCAGAGACCTACATTGAAGCCAAAACACACTTGGGAAGATAATAAAGGAAAGGAAGGAGGAAAAACGTCGCCAATAGAATCACGGCGGAGCAAACGAGAGACGCCATTTGGGTCCGTCCGCCTACGTCACCGTTTATCTTCGACCTACGAACACCTCAGCCGACGGAACTAGTAGCATGCCGGAGCCTATCTCGCACCTCGTAATCGAGCCATATGCAGGAAGAGTGCCAGGAATAAACGAACTCGCAATGTTGCTGGCTCCTAGGGCCACTAACTCGCGATTAGGACTGATACTGTACCCAAACCTAGCTCCATTCTGCTTCGCTGAAACGATGCTATCCAAATAACCGATGATCGCAATCATACTAGTGGTGCATCGTCAGACTCGGAGCTATCAATGCGAAAAGGGCGGCTCACACTGCAGTAGACGTCGTTCGCCGTAGATATCGCACATTGGATGATCGCAAAGGAAACTGGAAAAATGAAGCGCCAGTGGTTATAGGCACCGAACCTAGGATATCCACGCCATCTTCATCCCAACCGAACTCGGCCGACAATACTGGATTGTTGGATGAATATCGAATAATGATGAGATATCCGATAGAAAGCACGTACTCGTTGAGATAATAACCACAACCAAGACCTCTGGTATCCGGTATATCCACCAATACTTGACAAAGCTCTGCTTCGCTTTTCTCATGAAAATGAGCGTAAAGAATGCTCCGAAGCTGATGGACGCGGTAGTAAGATTTGTATGCTTTACAAAGTGGTCCAGTATGAAAATGAACTTGTCCCATGTCGTTCCCGGATGAAGGGCGTGTTCCAAGGCGGTTAACCCTAGCATCGGCACCAGCTGTTCACTAGACAGACGCGGATTAGATGGCTACCGAGACGCGGAAATGCCTCTACTCACATGGTAATAACAACAGCAATGGCCGTAATAAACCCTCTCAGCAACGCCCGGCTCAGAACGACATCAATGAACCCCAGCCTGAAGAGTCCAAGAAGGAACGTTATGAGGCCGGCCTAACCTCGACGATCAGCAGGATCCGTCGAAACACATTCATTTCGTTCCTACCTGGAGAGTGATAATCGTCGCAACATGCAGACCTAGCCTATCGCCTTCCCCCGAGTGTGGATCGGACAGGTCATGCCGTATATCATCTACAGCCTGACCAAGCAGCAGACTCAGCGCAGCCTCAGGTGCTACATTCAGTTGTCTCGAAGTTCCGAGAAAGGCGTATACGATTCCGGGGAAAGAAGCTGCAAACTAGGAAGCACAAGTCAACACCCCTACCCGACCCCGAACAGCTAAAAACGCACCAACCCCGTTGTCGGATTCAACTTTGCGAGGGAAGACGCATAACTGACAGATTGGGGTATGAGCATGCTGGCCACGGTCATCCCGGCTAGAACGTCGCCGCCGAGCCTGTGCAATCATGAGAAGGGTAGGCAAGCTTTGTTAGACAAAAGGGCGCACAGAGATAACGAATAGCTAGGAATCCACGCGGTAGCTGGGATGTAGTATTTAACTCGTTTCTTGAATTTGGTCCGATGTTCGACTCGACCTGCAAACGCGAGTGAGCACCAGCAGTACTAAGAGTCAAGCAGCTCACTTTGCTCTGATATGCTTCCATACTGCCTGCTCTGCCTGTCGCTCTGGCTTTCGACGTCTATCAGCCCGTCCCCTTCGCTTTGAGGCGTGTCAATCCCGTGTAGTGAACTTATCGAAGCTGCCGATGATACAGTGCTGAATACTGGTGTTCCATGTCCATGTCGTGAGTTGGCCATGATGGTGAAAGGTACCCAGAGGAAAACGAAGGGAGACCCGTAGGGTATCAAGACAAGAAAGGAACAGGTGCTATAAATAATCTTTCTGGAACAAGGAGCCAATAGGAAAAAGACAATATTATCGCGGCTTTTAAACAAGTTCCCGGGGCGCGGCCGAAGAAATAGCAACTGTATTTGTCAAAGCGCTTAGCCGTGGCTGTATAGAACTGGATACCGTACGTGTATATATGGTTGTAGATTCCAAAAATGACCCCTTGATCCACCAACAAGAGAAATATGACATGCCAGACCCGAAACGTCCTTATTAAGGCGTCGGGGGCTCCTGCAATCTGGCTTCCACCATAGTTCCTTCTGCATCGACAGGCCACAGACAATTCCTGAATACATTATCAGGATCATACTTTTTCTTTATCTCCTTGAGTCGCGCGAAATTCTTGTCACCATAACATGCGATCGTCCGCTCCGGCGCTTCATGCCTGCCAAGGAACTAGGAACAATATCAGTAACAACATACTTGGCGTCAAGACACAATCACTGACACTAGGGAACGGACCGCCTCTATGAACAGGTTTAAGGGTACCTCCAATCCACTTGAGCAGCGTCAGCATCTTAAGCGCTGAGAAAGACACGAAAATCCACTCACCTCTTCGGCCGACTCCTCACACCTGTCATCTTGTACGTCCATATCCCATTGATGGAGCGCAGCAATAGTGAATGCCGCCTCTCTCTGTTCCTTTGGCAAACACGAATCTTCGATATCACTGATCCGGCCTCCCGTCAATTCAAAAAGCCAAGCTGTTGATCAGTTTGTGAGCTCTAAAGAAACATCAATATCCGCATAGCATATTCTTACTGCAACCATCAGGCGTGTCCGAAAAGTTCAGAACAGTTTCATGGATAATATCATCGGGGAGCGAAGTGATCAAGGCTGACCGAATGAACCACTGTCGTCCAGCTAAAAGTAGATCAGTAAACTGTGTATACCAGTGAAAGGGTGAATGTAACCTTTTCCCCGAAGAACCTGCGCCACGCTGTCTTGTTGATGCAAGAAACTTTTCTCGTCCACCTCATTCAGGAGGCAAGTGTCTCCCGTCCAAGAGGATATCGCAGCGAGGTATTCCTGCCCTTTTTCTTTCGTGCCCACATAGCACATTTGAATTACAACCAGGGAAGCCTTGCCCTCCGGTCCAGCCGTAAGCAACACATTGGCATACAGCTCCCGTGGAGCGCCCTTGACGCAATCACGGAAATGCTTCAGAAGGGAGGGAGCTGTAGCTTTTTTGAAACGACTTCAGACTTTGTTTTAAGAAAAAGTCCAAACGGAGCATCTAGAGGAACGTACTATATGAGATTACCAGCGAACACCACAGGTACGGGGTATGCTCTTGCTTTGTACCGAGTAGCGATTCCGAAGGCTGGCCCAGCGCCGCGTACTGCCCACCAAAGGTCTGCCGGGATCGTTAATAAAGAGTACGTTCAAGAAAAAGTTAAATGATGTAAACCAGGATGGGAAGTCTCGTTCACGACAACTATCTTTCCATTCGCCAGAACCATCTCAACCTCAACTAAGTTGTCGACGCTTAATCCATGAAGGCGGCTCAGAAATCCGAAACCTCCGAGAAGCATGATAGATGACCCCACAGGATGAGCGGCACTAAAACAAGTCAGTATAGAAGACTAAAAGCCGTATTTACGACTTGTGGACTGCATCGTTAAGACGATACAGGTCCCAATCGTTTTCTAGACGATCGCGTTCCAAAAGGCAACGGAAAGCGTGTCCAACCATTCTACGAAGATCCGAAAAAGATGGGTTTGTCAAAGAAAACTAGTAGCGAATGCGGATGCATTCACAGAAAACAAGCCGAGAAATACTATCCCTGAGCAAGTACAGGACACCAATCACCATATTTTGGAGCGCTTTGTTTCACGCAGATGAACAACGAAAAATAAGACTCACAAAGGAACGTGATAGGGTATCCCATCATTTTTCCCGGACAACGAAGTAGCCTCCAGTGGATGTGCAGCCGTATACATATCAATCTCCTTCTGTCGCATCCCAGCTCCGAACGTCACAAAAGCATGCGAATGCACAGGCTCTGGAGGCGACAGAATATTCAGCTGCGCAGGAGGTAAATTCGAGCCTCCAGAAAACGGCGCGGCAGCGGCGGTCTCGGTCCATGTCGAGTAAGACGAAGAGACTTTTACGTCGGGAGGGAGAACAACTTGGCTCGGATTCAGATACCCAAAAGGGTCGGCGTCTACGGGCGCTTGGGAGGTCCCTGGCACTGGTACTGGGCCGTTCGAAGGGGTCGGAAGGATAACAACAGGCGAAGCAGGCCCCGGGGCTAAAGGTGGAGATACAGAGTCTCCGTCGAGATTAGTCCTCCTTCTATTACTCGACGGCCCCTCGAGGAAATTGGCCACAGCCTCTGAAGCTAGATGGTACGAACGAAGGCTGGCATCTTCTTCTCGTCGTCGTTTACCGGTGGCTGGTTGCTTGCCTTTATTGTTCGTGGAGGGCTTCATGTCCTCGAGGCTAGTATACCCGCCTGGAAGTTCAGGATTCGGGACCTCGATATCTATGTCCACGATCCTACTCATGTCAAGGACGACGTCTCCTCCCACAGCCCAGCCAGCGGTCCCATATCCGCCGGCCTTGATGGACGGTGACAGTGAATGCTTTAGGCAGAAGAGCATGACACTGTAGACATGGTTCAGCAGCATACATCAAATATGCAGAAAAGAGACATACGTGCTGACGTCCTCTGCATCGACAGGACAGACAACTGCCTTTGCTAGTGTTTTTACATTCCCGTTGAACATTGTCGTGTATTCAACGAAGCTAGCCAGAATTTCAGTGATATTCGCAGCACCACTGAAGTGACTTACTGAGGATTTCCTCGAATGAATACCTGGCCCTTCAGTGAGGCATTGAGTTCCTCGTAGAGATGTTTGGGCAGAGGCGACACGATGACCGGTTCTGCCTCCTTCGAGTTCGAATTGAAGTCCGTCATGGTGGTGCGATGGTAACTTGAGCCCTGTTAAGCGTGACAGTAAGAATATGGCATCCCCATGTGCAGCCCTGCTTAAATACAGCGGTATGGACCCTGCTGATGGAACTATGTCGGAAACGAAAATGAATTACTCGAAGGTGACGCGAAGGAAGCGATGTGCCAAACATGGAACGCGCACGCGCCACCGAATGATGTGATCACCGATCACTCAGGCTCTCCACTAGACAAATATTGTAAGTCTAAGGTGCTCGTAAAGTGGGAATTGGCATCGTCAAGTAGCCTAGCGAGACGCCGTGATATTTCTGGAACTCGGAAAGCACTTTATTCTCGGTGGCTGACACGAGCCCGGCAGCTTTTTTGAAGGGTGGCTACATACATTTAGTTACGACAAACGAGGACCGTGCTGTCTGGTGACGGGTTTTTCAGCATGGACGCAGTAAATATTGAATAGAGCTGCGAATTGCAGCCGGCGTTACAATAACAATCTCCCTAATAGACTTTCCTTGGACCCAATTTTGTGGAGGGCTTCAATTCAATGAGACATCAGACGTATCTACGTTACCTAAAGGTTCCAGGGCCTAGGATCATTTAGTCAACGGAAATAATTCAAGATCATCTGGGGGCCGAAGACACAATGGCTCACCGCATGCAATCTGCGTCTGGGCTGTTAACTTGGATTTACGAAAGGATACATCACAAGGCAGACAGAATCAGCAGAAGGGATCACCCTGGAAGTTCTAGGAATATGCCATGACGTCTACGCTTTACATTGCTACATGAATAGCATCCGGTGTATCCTGTTGAAGGCATTGTCGGGAGTGAAGTCATTTTTCGAGTCGTTCATATGTGAATTTGGGGGTAGGGAGGCACAGATAACACACAGAAGGTGGAGTAAGGTGGAGTCAAAGGAGCGCTTGTACCTTTGCCACATACTTTGCCGGGTCTCCCGGCTTGGCAGTGACATTTTACTGTATCCCCATCAAGATTCAGTACAAGCAATTTAGATCACCAGACCAGCCCCGCTCAAAAGGCTCTATACAGGAATGGAACGTACGACAGACGGAAAGCGCACAGTGGCTTGAAGGTCGAACCGAACTCGACTGTAAATCAATTGCAAATTGAAATCGGCTTTCGAAAACTATGCGTCATCGATTGATTAGTGGCCTTGGATCAAAACAAAGCGACCTTTTACCAGCTACGACCACAGGATGCCTGGAGACCGCTCACCTAGACGGCGCTATGACGATCACAGCCCAGAACGTGGAAGGAGGGGGCGTGAGCACTCACCTCCACATGCTCCCACCTACAGACGAAGTCGAAGTCGGAGCCCAATAAACAAGCGGCGGAAATACTCAAGGTCAACTTCTCGTGATGGAAGGAGACCAGATTCTCGGGACAGGAGACGGTCGACCTCTCGTGACCGGCGGAAGAGAGAAGGAAGGCCACGGAGAAATAGGTCGTCGTCGTCATCCAGTGCATCTTCCGTTGACAAGAAGAGGAAGAAACGGCGGAAGGACAGCAAGGAACGACGAGAAAGAAAGGAACGGAAAAGGGAAAAGAAGGAACGCAAGGTGTGCATATCCTCTTGCTTTTCGTATTATCTTGCACTTACGTTCACTTGAAGAAGAAGAAAGCCGTGGTTCCTCAGTGGGGCAAATACGGAATCATATCTGAGATTGAGTACGCGTTGTCGACTCGTCGTTTCACCATTCGTTCACCAACGTTTCAGTATATTTTCCAAAGGCCCGGAATTCCATACATGGCTTGTCGAAGAACGTAAGATAAACCCTGAAACAATTTCGAAGGATCAGAGCAAGAAGGAATTCGTGCGGTTCGTGGAAGATTTCAATACCGGTTAGTTCCTGCTCGTAGTGTCTGTTCTCGCTAAATGTTTACCGTACTCTAGCAACGCTCCCCCATGAGAAATACTACAACATGGAGGCATACGAACGGCGCATGTCTGCATTGCGCTCGGGAGAGTTCGTTCCTCCATCAGACGACATGTATGACCCTCAAGCCGACATGAAGGCGATCAGTGGCGCCCACAAGAAGAAACTGGTGGAGCGTGAGAGCTACATGAGCCGTGAACAACTTATGGAGCTGAGAAAAGTGCAGAATGAACGAATCGAGGTCAGTTCTGTCTCTTAGTGAATAAATCGTCTTGGAGGTGACCTCTTTCTTTCTCTTTAGGCCGGTAAGATGAAATTACTGGGCATGGATATAAAGCAAAACATGGGAGTACGGATGGATGGGACAGCTTTTGAGTAAATAAATAGTAATTTGTACCAATACGTCACCGTAGCCGGTTCCAACTGGAACACATGCATATGATTATAATCCGCAATTCGCCTCGACTACTCTTTCTTTCTCTACCACTACTACCATGAACAAGAAAACCGACCTCCTTGTCCTTGGTGCAACAGGTAACAAATTCCTGGGATTTACTTTTCTTGTCTAACGTCGTCCGGCAACAGGAATAACCGGTCGTCAAACTGTTCGATATCTCTGCAGTCATCTCCAACGCTCGACTTTTACTTTTTCCATCGCCGGCCGCAGGAAGGACGCTCTCGACGCCATCGTCGCAGAGTTTTCACTGCCAGAGTCGGTCGATGTGCTGCAAGTGGATGTTACGAAACCGGATCAGGTCGAGGCGGCGGTAAAAACGACCAAGGTCGTCATCAATACTGTTGGTCCATATTGGACGTATGGCACACCGGTGGTTAGGTGTGTGGTCCTTTTCTTTCTCTATTCGTTCTGCTGATGTCCAGCAGGGCCTGTGTACAGAATGGCATACACTACGTTGACCTCACTGGAGAGCCCTTCTGGGTGAAGGATATCATTCAAGAGTACGTCTCTCTTCTACCTCTCCATTTTTGCTACAACCTTTGCTTCCGCAGATTCGACTACTTCGCCACCAAAACCGGCTCGATTATCGTGCCGACATGCGGGATGGACTGTATACCCAGCGACCTCTGCGTCTACCTCGCTTCCAAGACCCTTCAGGGCCCCATCGACAACTCGACCACCGCATGGCACTTTGACGGAACAGCTTCAGGAGGCAGCCTCGCGACAATCTTCACGATGATCGAGGATGTCCCGACTGCGAAGCTTCGCTGGGCTATGTCTAATCACGCTCTGAGCCCTGTCGTCGGCGTTCCTCAGAAGAAGCCGTTCAAATTCGTACGAAAGCTGCACATACCTTTCAGTAACGAGATATTGGTGGGCGGACAGTGGTTCATGGCGAACGTGGATAGGGCGATCGTGCAGCGGACGTGGGGGCTGCTTGAGTATGACGCGATGGAGGCGCGGTTGGAAGGAGACTCGGAGCGGCTGGAGGCGGCTGAGAAGGCCAGGTATGGTCCTCTGTTCACGTATGACGAGCTGGCTATCAGGCCTAACGTTCTCGTGGCTGTCTTTGCGCCATTACGCTTGCTCTTGGGCATGATGAGCCTGATGATTTCCCCGGTGTGTGTCAATGCCAGTCACGCAGTTTTCGATGCTCACTCTCGCGTAGATACGCTTCGTCGTCAAGAAGCTTCTTCGCAAACCCGGAGAAGGCCCTACCGACGCAGAAGTCGAACTGGGCGGTCTGGAAGTGGTCAATATCACACGGTCTGGGTCTTCGTACGCCAAGACAACGTTTAAAGGGCACGGAGATCCAGGGTATCTTCTTTCCTGCGGTACGTTTTCCGCCATTCTACGTAGGCAACGCTAACTCTGTGGATCTTGCAGTTATGGTGGTAGAAGCAGCGCTATGTCTTCTTCACCCAGAGACGATTCGGCCGTTTGCGCGGCGCGGTGGTGTCCTAACGCCAGCTTCAGCGATGGGAGACGTATTAGCGGAACGGCTGAATGCGACAGGGCACATTGAAATCGAGAGCGTCATCCTTAAGGACGGACAGGATAACAGGAAGACGATTTGAGTGTTGCATTATTTAGTTACGAGCTTGGATCTTTGGACGCATATACGAACTATTTCCGGGATATGTATGTCACAAGTGTTTCTCGAGCCAGGAATCGTCAAAGCACCACGACATCAGCAACGGTTCCGTCAGCGCCACGAGCGTCGCAGGAGATACAGGCCGTAGAGGAGATGGGCGAAGAATCTTGTATTTCTGGGTCAGTGGTACTGACGATATCGGCACCTGGATATGCCTTGAAGTGGATAAGCTCCGCGAGTCGAACAATAAGCTACCTGTTGGGATACTGAAGAGATGTTAATAAGAGGGAAAGCTGCATGGAATTCGGAGTGCACCTGGTGAACTGTCCTTTTTCATCTTTTCTATCTTCCTAGAAGTAGCGGAATTGGACGAAAAGTCAGAGTTGGCAACGACAGGGAGTCTCTGCATGGCGGCAGGAAGGAACCAGTTCCGATTTCCGATTCGCGTCGCGTCTCTCACGTGAGGTACATTTGGTTTAGATTTATTTCAATTTACCTCTATATATTCCAAGCCATAAATAAATCTAAGGATGGTCTAGTTGCGCCGGTGCACCAAGGATTGTCTTGATCATTCCCCTCATAATTCCTGTCCCGTCCTCCGTCTTGAGCTCCTCATACCAATCCAGTGTCTCCTGCGGGTCGCCCAGCTGATGTGTCACCCCAGACCGCTTCCTCGCACGTAACACCAGCTCTGCCGTGCGGTCCCCCCGCTGATCCTGAAAATCTCGGAGCACAGCACGAAGGGTCTCGATATCTAGTTTCGTCGACGGCGACGCAGGAGATATCCGGTGCTCACGGAACAGTTGTTGAAGAACGAACGCATCTTCAAACGCCTGACAGCCTCCTTGCCCTAGGTCTGGACAGGTAGCATGCGCGGCGTCGCCGATGAGTAGGGCACGCCCTGACTCAAGGTCGACGAGCGTGGGAAGCTTTTTGGTGTCGTGTATTTCCACGCGTGCCATCTTGGAGGGGTCCAGCCGCTCAACAAGTCTTTGGACAGCTGGATGCCAGTGACCAAAATGTTTCGCGAGGGTAGAGCGGTATTCTTCTGGACGTTTAGGCGCGGAAGATAGAGGAAGAGGGACGTCGAAGAAAAAGTAGTAATGTGTCGCTGACATGGGCATGAATGACACTCGCTTGCCCTCTCCGACAAATTGCGTCCAGTTATCGTTTGATATCAGTCCCTGTGGCTCGACATGAAATCAAAATATAAGCAGAAAAGCGTAAATCAAACCTCGAACTCCTTCATTTCGATAGGCCCGTTCCAGTTCACATATCCGACATAATCTCTCTCGATCTCTGTCTTGGTGACCTGATTGCGCAGCTTAGAATGTGTTCCATCTGCGATAACGACAAAGTCGGCTGTCTCTGTCGTCCCGTCTTCAAACGACACTGTAACGCTGTCCTCGGAAGTCGAGTACGATACGGCGCGCTTCTGAAGGTGGATAGGTGCTGGAGCATTGGCATCGAGGAGCATCTTCTGCAGCTCAGCTCGTGCGATAGGATACGCCCGCTGTTTCACCTGCAAACAAATTCTCCGTTCAAGCTCTAACCATCAGTGAGATCCCACGTACCTCCTCGTACAGGGGTAGCAAGCTGAAATCGCAGTACACCTCGCCACTATCCCACTTCCGATAGCTCATCCTATTCATCTGACCAGACACCCTTTCCACCTGCTTAAGTAGCCCAAGCTTAGCAAGAACCTTGACGCCGTTACACCAGACTGAGATAGCCGCACCAACGGGTCGGAGGTCCGAGACTCGCTCATAGACAACAGTTTCGTGGTCATCCTGCTGTAGGGCAATGGACGCTGCCAGCCCACCCATACCGGCTCCGATGATGCATACCTTCATGGTGGGAGGGAGGATGGCGATCAAAGGAGCTTGATTCACCTTTATCAACAGCTCCGGATCCGATATCCAAATCGGTCTAGAGCTTCGCGCACCCCGCGGCGTGCTGGATTTGTGTACGTTGCAATCCGGGGCATCGGTGGTAATGGCGACAGCCTAGTATGTTTTGGGAAATCTCTAGAGCACCTTCAGCGTCAAAAACAATGTATGACGGCCCTATGGGCGCTGCTTCACTGAAAGCGCATGCATAAGCGGCGATGGCAGTCATGGTGAGGAGAATGGTCGTCAAGGTATGTTGTGAGGACGCTTCAAAGTCGACAACATTGAAGGTAGATATGGTGGTGGTAGGAAGAGGAAGAGATCATCGCTTGAAAATCATTTCCCATTTTTTCCTCAAAGTGGTGAATAAATAAATAAATATGCAGGTACATAATACAAACTGGCCTTTCTTTCCTTACTCCAACGGTTTTCGAAGTCGCGGAACGTATTTCCCATAAATTCAGACGCATATTGCTAGAAATTCGCTGCTTCAACCTCGACCATCACCTGCTTTTTGACGAACTTCCCACCGTTGCACCAAATTGGCAGTGTCCCGCCCCAGAATAGCGGATACTTCGTCAACGATGTGACCACGATAGAAGATCATCCTCCAAGGTTGTTATTTCAGATGCATACAATAAGGACGCGACGGTGCAAAGGGCTGGAGACGATTCCAAAGATGGCCTCAGTCACTCAGTCAAAATTGCAAGGTACGTCGAGCATTGCGTTCTCTTCTGATTGATTTCAATGCTTTTTTCAGGGAGGAGCACAAAACGTACAATTAGGCCTCGAACAAATTTTGTGTAAATGTTCGTAAGAAAACAGAACGGGTCCCACTAGTCCTTGCAAATATTCCCGGTGGTACCCAAAGCAAGAGTAACGCGACGTGGAGGTACAGTCGTCAGACAAGAAGTAGAGGTCCAGTATCGATGTCGATGCCGGTGTGAGTAGAGAGTGATGGTTTGGACCCCGTAGCTCGTTCTGGGATGATTGCATGCAGAGAACAGTCATAGGGAGGTCGTCAGTCCGAACCTGGACTCCCGCCCAAACCAGTTTCACCTTAGCAACAACAGTCATCTCGCTAGCCAAGACGAAAAATGGCCCAAAAGTTGCGGATTAGCAGCAACGGATGCTCCTTCAGCCGTATTTTCCGTCGTATGAAATCAAAGTTATGTGAGTTTCGTCCCAGTCGCTATTGCACAACCATATGCTAATATGTGCTTCTAGCACATCCTCTGAAAAAGCGTCGAATGTCGACAAGGGAAGCTCCCCTCCAGAATGACGCGGCTCCAGACGCGCCAAGGTCCACACAGCTAACGGCAGTACAAATCCAAAAACTCCTCTGTGACGTATACTCTGCTGGCTCCAGCCAAGAAGCGCCCACCTTCTTGCAGCGGAGCGTTTTCGCTATATTTCATGACTTGTTAGATATGATTGAAACCTTCAAGCTCGATGATTGTGAAGCCGCTGATGAATTGTTGGCGACATTCTATGGTCTAGATTGGGGGGACGTTTGCGATTACTTGGGGTTGGACAGTGATGATGGCGACGAGCAATTTCGGGAGGAAAGCCTCACCTGCGTCAACCTTCCAGAGTCCGTCCAAGAAGAAATGCACGATATGATCAGGCGAAGCGTGCAGACCAGTGTCTGTCGTCGCACCTATCACCATGTTATGCCGGTAAGCTCGTGTATTTCCACTCTACGACTTTGAGCCATTATATCTCTTTAGGTAGTTACAAAGAGCCTTTTGTTGCTCGAGGGACTTCTACACACATACATCAGCGACAAGTTATGTCTCGACGGAACTACCAAGGGAGGTTTCATAGATATCATGATTAGATACCAACACAAAACGATCCTCATCTTCATCATAATGAAGCAACGGTTCTGTTTAGAGCGTCCTTCTCCAGAACTTCTTGCACAAGTCCTTGCAGAAATGAGCGATGAGTAAATACCTCTAGCAGAGTCTCGAATCTGATGCCTTGCATAGAGATCTTTGCACTGAACGAGAAATTATCGGGTTTCTCGTTCCCAGTACATGCCACAGTCTCTGACTTGTCGCAGTGCTTCTATTATTGCTACACAGGTATGATTGCGTTTTATGACGTTGGTTCTTCTCACTTGAAATGCGATGTAAGAGATGAATTCATATCCCTAGGGAACTTCGATCTGGCTGCAAAGCTCGGGTTTGACATCGAAAACTCTGGTAATCTAAGGACTGCTTTGATGTTATCATCTTGTGCGTGCTACTCCTGCACGTGTATATACGACGCGCTCATGAGCCAGGACCTATAGTCGCCTCCGATTTCTTCTCGATATTGCTAGAGGGACTCTATTGCTATTCAGAGACCATGGCAGAGCACTTACGCCCTTTGGGAGGCCCTGCACTTGTCAGAGAAAACCTTCGTCTTTCATATACAGCTCGCTAACTGCTCTTCCCCTATGTCCGCTACAAAGCAGCCCGAGTCACCTCGTCTTATCAACACAAAATTATCAAATCATTCAAAAGGATAGTGCCGGGGGCCAAAAAGAAGAGGGTAACAGAATATCGAAAGGCGGTCGGAATCACCCACACAGTCCTCTGTTACATTGGATTGGCGTGGATTCCCGAGGATGGTCTGGCGAACAGAAGCGGGAAGCTGGACTTGGCTTCGATTAAGGATCTAGCACCCGGCGTTATTTTGCGATATGAAGTTAACGATAGTAGCGTCATGGTCCGCCTTCATGCCTTGGAGACTAGGGTCGACACCGGTGAATACACCTTCTTAATGAGATGCGAAGAGGTCCAGGCTCGTTATTTCCAATTTCTCGAGAGGTCGATATACTTATCCGTTCATGCTAGGCGTATCGCAGTTTCAACCTCGATTTATCGACATCTTGTTTCGATGCGGAGACAAAAACGCTGATATCAGCGATTCTCAAGATGGTTCAAGAGTGCTTACTGAACATTCCTGTTTGTGCTTTCATTCCCGTGAACCCGTAATTGCATGGTTTTGATAATAATTTCAGGTTCCATTTACCACATCAAGTCAGGGAGACGACTGGGTGGACTGGGTGAAGGCATGCAACACTCTGCAGGAAGTGTACGCTATTCTGTCAACTACTGTGGGAGATGCAGAACGCGAGGACGCTTTGAACCTTCTCCGAGACAGGTAGGTTTTGTACCAGGATCATCGGAACTGTGCACTCATGTTTTGAGTAGGTTATCAGTATTGTATCCCCAAAGTGTCGACTGAGGTGTTTATCGGCAAAGGCGTGAAGGCCAGATTTGAAAGGGCGAGCATCGTTGGTACCGTAGCCAGGAGTTCGAATTTGAGGAGGACGACGTCCCTTAAACCACTAGAGATGTTAGAGCAGGAGCGTCGTCGCGACATGTTTATGCAAACAAGCACAAATGCTGACAGTTTCGCCCCTTTCTTAGTTTCACATGGACGTCGACATCAAACTGTACTTGAAGCCTCGCCCCGCCCACTCCAAGTTTGGCGACCGCCCGTGGATGCTACTAAATTCTAGTTTTCCCTATGGCCCCTTCTGCTCATGGCAGAGAATTCCCCCAGATGCGACCGAAATGCACACTGTCCATTCTCCCATATTAGCTGCTGCCCTCACCAAGTTTCATGTAGAAATCCTCCCTAAATTGCAAAAGTTCCATCCAGAAATACCACGAATCAGGGCTGCAGCAACCGCTAGCGCTTTCAGTGTAGTTCGCTGGGAAGGTTTTGATGCGGTAATGCAGGCCCAAGATTTCTTTGCCTATTGTCAGTACCAGCCCGTCAAGCTCATGCTCGGCGACGAAGCTCCTCCTCCGCCTACTCGGTCCTTCACGAGCACCACGCACTCCCCAGAATTTCAGAAACTTTTAAACGATACCCTATTCCCATTACGTTGCGATATCGAGCTGGTCGATCTTGATACAGACCTCCAGCGGCTTCTTTGGACAAGCATTCTTCTAGAGCTGCTAGGCAATCTTAGTAAGTCCTTCTATGTCGCACTGATTGCGTTCACTTTACAATCCCTGGACCAGAACCTTTGCTAGAATTGCAGGACTATTTCCACAGCTGCTTTCAAAGTATGTAGAATCATCCTTTCCCGCATCTTGTCTTGACTTCATAATCAGAGAACCCGATCGGTTACGTCTTCGGATGCATTGAGAGATACGTACTTCCTCACTTGGACGGATGGATTGGTGGTGGAGAGTCTTTTGACGATCAATCGAACCTTGGTTGCTCAACAACGTCATTGCTTAAAAACGTGAGGTGCCCCATTTACAGCTTCCTCATTTCACTCACAAAGTTTGCGTAGAGAAAGATCAAGGTAGACTGATGACGGCATTCCATTTCCTGTACTTTTACCCACCTGTATCAATCCGCATCAATGTCAACGTTCTTTACAACAGAGGGTTCTACAGCGGAAGCCTAAGCGCCAGTCTGTCCCTACTGAAGTCCAGCTCCAGAGGTGCCAGGGAATTATAAGTATCCATTGGACGCTGGCGAAGCCGTGTTCCCACTAACATGATGGAGATGTCGAGCTCATCAACCTTGATATGGGCGTCTAGCGACTCCTATGGACTAGTATCCATATACTTTTAGCGAAAAATATCAGTGAGCTTTTTATGATTTGATGCCCGCTATCCGCTTCACGTATTCTGTATTAGTTCCTCTTTTAGATCTGACTCGGAAAATATAGAGGTTATAAAAAGTAGGTAGAATTGCCTTTTCCGCGCTGTGTCGTACGGAGATTTTCCCATAGGAACAATTACGTAGGCGCACCTCATCAGATACATCAGTCAGTATATGTCTAATCGACGAAAAAATCAAGTGCAAGTCGCCCTAAGTACGCGTCTCAAGCTCCACCAGTACCGAGTCAACAATTAGTACAAGCACAACGACTTCGACATTCGATAATGAAGAGAACCCGTTTCGTTGTGGTCGCTCAGACTATGCCGTTGTTTGTAACCGCGAGTCCGCCCATTTCGATCTTCAGTGCGAATTCACTCGCGGATAGGATACAGAGAAAAACCAAGACAGAATAATAGAGGCACATCCGGACACACAACCGCAAGTATCCCCCACGTAAAGGTTGGCGCTGGTGCACTTCTATAATACACCTCCGAATTTTGTTCTATGAAACGGCTTGGTTGAGCGGGCACATGATTCAGCTCAGCTCTATATAAAAACCTATCATCATCATCACTACACGACACGATACCATCTAGATACTTATATACGACGCCGTTACAATCACAAAGCTTACGGGGTTGTTACATAGCCGCTTTCTATCCTCAAGGATGCACGTGAGGATCAAAAACTGTGTCAGACTCTTTGGAGATGCTGACAAGAAGTCGTTGGCCCGGGTTCTAGTGAAATGCAACATCAGATATACTCGTAGCAGTGAGGGGATATAAGAAACATACTTTTTCAACTACAGACTCGTCCATAGTCGCATTCTTTTGGCTCGAAGAGAACTGCATTTGTTCCAAGGGAATCGGATAAGATCGTGTAGTGCTGGTGGCCATAGATCCAAACGTATTTGAGACATCAGACGACCCTTTTGCGCGCACGCTGTCACGGACATTCAAAGATGCCAACAGCGAGTTTGTATACACTGATTAAATGTCAGTCGCGGACGAACTGGTAATAAATAGTAAGACCATTCACATTTTCCGAGAGAGAGGAACACTCCTAAATATATGAGTGAAGTTGGGAACAAGGCGAACTAATATATATGAGGATCAGATTATGGTAGAATACCATTGTGGCAGCACAAAAGTTACCGTGATGAGGGTAGTAGTGGCCGTGACGCTGTTGGGAAATGAGCCCCTTGGGTAGCCATACTGCAGTCGGAGAGGTAGTTCACTTACGCTGAGAGTGCACCAGCGTTGATGGAATATATCATCAGTGTCTTCACCATAGAATCTGTCCTGATTACGTTATGAGCATGTAGGGAGAAATCAAATCAAGAAATCAAACAGACTTCTTAAACCCCGTGCGGTTGGCTCTCAGGAGCCAGCACAGAGCGATGGCGATTGAGACATCGGCAGTAGTAATAGATACCAATGCAAGATACATAATCCACAACTAGAACGGCAACGTTAGGTCAATGAGGTTTCTGATGCGTGAAGACTCACGTCTTTTTCAATGAAAACGTGAAAGCTCTTCCCGTTCACCAAGCTAGTTGATGTGTATTAGTATCAGGGGCACAAAGGTACAAGGGTGCTACACACCCAAGTGTCGCGTTTACTGTTTTAGCCAGGAATTAGTATACAAATAAGTAGCGTATGTTCTTGTACGCACTCATTCCACCGGCTAGATACATAAGATGTAAACATTTTTGCAATGCTCAATAAAAGTTACGATGCTCACCAAATACCTCGAAGATGAGTGCAATAAAAAACCCAGTTAAGATCTTATTCCTCTTGCTTACTGATCATAACCAAAAACAAAATAAGTGGGAAGGAAGAGATAGCTAAGCATAAGAAAACGTACAGATGTAGATCCTCATTGCAAAAAAGCTTCAAGGTATGGACTTTTATTAAAGGGAAAATGGTAATGAGACGGCGTAGAACCCACCTTCGCACGAGCAAGCCGATTATGGTCTTCGGAGAAATTATTAGCGGGTAAATATGAATAGCGCGAGGCTCTTACCGTGACATAGATCAAGCCCTAATGTCAGGGAACATGAGTAAAACTTTTTTTAAATATCAAACGTTGCACCTACGAATAAATTCCTGAAGAATACCTTTTGAGAACTAGGTCGATACACTTAAGGAAGAAACACACCAAACTGGTATTTGCAAAGATGCCGGATTCATGTAGTTGGAAATCATGTAGTAATACAGCGCGTTTGCCGACATGATCAGGTTAGTCGTATCTAGAACACTGTCCGTGTATTTTTTGTCAGCACATACGCACAAGGCAACCCTAATGCTCTGACGCACAGCACTGATATCACCTATATATGGAAATTTGTCATAGGATACACGATATTGAGAAGAAGTCACCTACAAGAGCTTTAAAGTACCATGGATCGGAGCGTTGGTTTCGAAAGTACAGGAACGTTTGCATGAGAGTTATACCATATAACCTGTATGTGATCAGACAAAGCGGCGCGACACGCGCTTGAAGGAGACGCACGCAGCCTCAAAGAGGTTACCAATATAGGGCACCCCAAGGATGATGTTCATATTTGGTAGATGGACGGAGGTCATAGCTGGATGAGCCACGGATAGCGGTTACATTCTTGGGTTTACGGTTGAGATATATATCCAATTCAACAGGACCTAATCGTGGTCAGCACTGAATGAAATCCCGCACAGATCTTAGTTATTGATATTATGGTCTCAGTCTCTGATGGGTAGCTGCGGCGGACCTGTAATTACGATATGAGCTGAAGCAGAAAAGGGCACAAAAATAGACGAACGCAAGTACGCCCATAGCGCCAGCTACAATGGCACAATCTGAATCCCAACCCCTTCTCGGCGCTAGGTTTTCTGATGATCAATTGTCGGCGTCGCTGGATGTCACGCTATGGGGCTAAATTTTGATTTCCTCCGATAAACAACAACAGCAAAGTGGATCATAAGCGTGCTTCACGGGAATCTATCGAAAACACTCGTACTGAAGGACCTAAATTTAGAGCCTAGAGCCGATATGGCCCATGCCATACCATCTCTTCATCATGTTATCCTAGATTGTTCCGTGAGAAAAAGCAGAGAGTCGTTTTCCAGACACTCACAAAAGCAGTACGAGGGAGGAAAGTATCCACTGTCCATACAAACCATGATTTGCTTCCTGCCCAAAGCCATGCCCGAGGGTTGGCTTTGAGAGCCTCCGGTACTACGCTCTTGGCATAGTCTTCAGCACTCATGGCGCCTCCTGAAGGGATCCAAGACATAAGATGAGAAACAACGGAAAATGTTGGAGGACAAAGACCTTGAGATACCTCCTTTCGCTTTCCAAGGACGATAGATTCGATGGATTTGTACAACGAGTTATCCGGAAGAGGATTCAGCTTAGTCTCGATGATGTCGCTTTTCACGCTGCCAGTACATAACTGAAGGAGTGAAAGTTTGGATTACTAGATGAATAACTTGATTTTTAATGCAACGCTCACATTGACAACCTTGATACTATGCGAGGAAGAATTGTTTACGCGATGGGTCAGTTTCAGAGCATAGGTAAACGCACTTGAAAGGAGACAATTCAATACGCAGCGTGTTCCCAAATGCATGAAGAGCTGCCTTCGAGGAACCGTATGTAGAACCGAAGGGATATGGCGTTACACCGGCAACGCTACCGACTTGAAGAATACACGCGTCACCCGAAGCAATGAGAAGGGGCACAAATGCTTTGACCATACGCATCGCGCCGAACACATTGACGTTGTAGAGATCTTGTACTCGGTTCATATCGAGATCAATTGCGGATGATAAAAAAGCTAGAGATATCCATGTAGATAGAGATGAAGAAATATGCTTCGAGAAACAGACACACTTTGACCGCTATACCAAGATGAGTAAAGGAAGAACATAAGCAAGTGAGGGCTTACGCGTTATTAACCAATATGTCGAGTTTCCCTCCAGTGATTTCTGCTACTTGGTCGCGAACGCGGATGATCTGCTCGTCGTTCGTAACATCAAGAGCAAAGGTCTTTATGCCAGCGTTCGATAGCTCCGATAGTGCAGCTTCATTACGGGCTGTAGCAAATACAACAAGACCTGGAACCAGAATTTTCATTTCATGATGCGCCTGAAGCAAAAAGGCACCGGCTTGCCTTGTTTGTGGAACTCTCGAGCAAGAGCATTTCCAATGCCTGTGCTGCACCTAAAACATAATTGTTAAGTAAAACAGCCTTGCATTTAGACGGTCGTACCCTGTAATGAGCACTGTTTTTCTTGGAGACATGACTGGAGGTAGTTGAGGCTGTAGAGGCGCTTATTACGCCGAAAAGTGCAGCGTACCTCACACTCATGGGAACGGTGGTTGATGAACGGCCCGTTCGGGTAATTACAGGGACACCGGGGAGTGTCGAGGGTCCTGATCTGATCAACTGGCTAGATCCCGCTTATCGTGATTGTTGATCCTATCCCTCAGGCTGTCTCATGTTTAAGTTCAATCTACAGCGCCCTTCTCCTATCGATTGATCCTTGAGAGATACATTGTAGTGGTGAGTGGTTCCGCTCGCTCAGGTTTTAAATGCATTCGGTCGGATTTTCCACGAATGGAGCAAGTCGTGTTTCTCAAAGTTGTATAAAGAATGTCTGGCAACTATGCTGTCCAATAAGCCTATCTAACTATGCACGCTACCGGAGAATATGGGATGTCTGAAAGATCAAAGACGCATGCGTTAGCAACTAATCCTCTCTTTGGCGGCAATTCAGAGTCCCTGGCCTTGTCTGACAAAATTTTACTCTCGTACAAACGCGCCATGGCTATTGCCTCTGCTTATGGTACTGTACTTAATCTACTTACTTTCCAATTTCTGCTTATACTCTGCTCGACAGATTTATCTGTGGAAGACGTGTTGACCTTGTCCCCGAAATACTGGAAGTTTCATACGGATCCAGCTTTGGTCATGGATGGTGCAGCTGGCACCCTTCTTACCATTCACTTCAATCTGTGTATCGGCACTCTGGCCATGCACTCTGGAAAGAGACACGATCTCAAGCCAATCCTGCAGCAACTCTTGTCATTCAAAGTCTCGTGCGTATCTTATGATGAATACAACGTCTAAATCCCTGACTTCGAAATGTAGAGGACAATATTGTTTGACAGAAGTTGGTCATGGTCTCGATGTCTTCCATCTCGAAACTACAGTGACCATGTTATCAAACGGCGATTTCGTCCTTCATACCCCTTCCAATAAGGCAGCGAAGTAGGTTTTATAGTTTTCCTTGATCATAGTCTCACTCTGATCATCTCTCTAGATTTATGCCCCCAACAGTGCCCTGCGGAATTCCATGCATCGCTATAGTATTTGCACGACTCGTCGTCGGCAATGCAGACCGCGGAATCAAGCCTTTCTTGGTTCCTATACACGATGGCGAACATATGCATGCAGGTGTCCAGTGCAGGTACCAAGTTCGAGAACTTCCTGTGTATTCTTTTAAATAATTGTCTTTTCAGAGCCTTGACTCAACGCGGCGGGTCTAATCCCGTGGACCACGCGATGACCAGTTTTGATCATGTTCGCCTTCCAAACACTGCGCTACTTGGCAATATGGAGGGCGCTTGTTATGGATATCTATACTTAGAGTCCGTAACTCCTTTCTCGGCAATCGGCCCGCTCGTCCATCAAGAATGTTCTCGCAGTATTATATCTTCTACACGTTTCTCTCTCTTTCTTGCGTAGTCTGTACTTCTCTAGAACACTCTAGATAACTAAAATGTAGCCTATATACAAGGCATCCAGTAGCTACAAGAATTCATTCCTATTTTCATTCCGAATTATCCTCATTTGAGTGAACCTAAGTTTGGGAAGACTACGCTGAACGCTTGTCTGTTCCTACTTATTCAGTTACGCTAAACGCTTGCTGAGACCTAGAAGAATACGCTGAACGCTTTTCTTCGACTATTCGGATTCCTTTTGGTAGAAAACCCATATATTTTGATCTCAAAGCCAGTTACAAATCACTACCGTCATCTACGCGACGTACTAACTAGCTTGATCATAACATTGGTGGACACATTGGGACCTACCTTGTAAAGGAAACCGACGATAACCGCAACATTGATTCAGCATTCTCCCGATTCATTGAGAATCTACTTCGCGCTAATCACCTTAATATGACCTCCACAGATCCCACCTCTCCTATTCCACCTGAGACTGAAGTTAAGCCACCTTTCCCTGGCTTTGCAGATGAACTCACAGACATCTCGACATCCTTCGACACCGACTTGTACGACGCAAACGTTCTTGTAAAGGCCGAGAAGAAATGGCCTACCTCAGTGCCGTTATACACCCTCGCTCGTCATTCACAGGCATGAGAACGGAAGGATAGAGGTGTTGAAATACTCAACGACATTCCGGAAATAGGAACCACCATCAGGAAAGCCCGTGCACTTAATTACGGTCAAGCATTCTTCACTTTCAATAATGACATCAAGGACCTCAACTCACTTCTGACTAATGTCCTTGCAGTTGCGACCCCTCACAACAATGGCGAGGCAGTATATTTGCTTGACCCCGAGGCCTACCGTGCTTTTCGAGGGAAAATGGCAACTAGAAGGCATATTGCAGCTGAGGCCATTCGAGAATATGGATACCTTACCCTGCCAATCCCATCCTGGCTCTCGGATATTTCCACAGCTTTCAATGCGAACGATTTTGAGTTATACGCGCTTCAATTTCGAATAGCCATTGAAGAGTTCCTATGGATGCTCGATGACTGTTATGATTGGAGAAACCACGAAGTGAAACATCAACTTGACAAGAACCTCATCGCCGAGCGTGATCAAGCTAGGAACACTGCACGCTCATCTCTGAATCCGGAAATCCATCGGGCTACCTCTCGCCAGCCTACTCTACTGCGCAACAGCACAACGCCAACTCCGCAAAACTATGGTATCAATTGGGGCCCGATTCGACGTGCTGCAACTGGAGAACCTGAAGGGTTACCATTTCGCTCATTTGGAGAGATTCCCTCGCGGCGAGCCGCAGAACTTGTAGGACAGCCTTCACTACCTGTCAACACCATGCTTAATCGCTCACACGGTTTCAGCCAATTCGGGCATGACAACCTTCGCTCCAGCTCATATCAGCCACCGACACCTACCTTCACCTACCCTGAAACCCCAAAGACTCTTAAGGATGACAATCCAGTCAACGATGGCTGGGGGGGAGAAGAGCAAGAGTGCAACGAGCAGGAGGCCAAACCACAGCAACCGAACGTGTCCATCCCACCTCGTAATCCAAATGATAAGTTCAATCATTCTACAAGCACCACGACAGAAGTCCATTTCAACACTAAGCTCAAAATGAGTGACGTACCGACTTGGGACGGAAACGGTGATACCATCGTTAACTGGCTTTTGAAGGTAAATGATCTATCCCTGTGGAGCAAATCAGTATTTGATGAGCTAGGACGAGTAGTTCCCAAACGACTCACTGGAGAAGCGGAAAGATGGTACTATTCCTTGCCATTCTCTTATCGTATTCAACTTGAACAAAATTGGGGCCTTCTCCGTAAAGCCATTACGGATTATTACATGAATCGACCTTGGTGGGAACGTCAGAAAGACAAGGCTCGTGCAGCTACGTACCGAGAACCGGGCTTTACGCGAGAAACTCCAAGTCAGTACTACATCCGCAAGTCGGAAATGCTCAACACTGCTTTCGATCTGTTAGATTCAGAATTGATTGCTCAAGTCATGAATGGAGCGCCTGCAGCATGGAACACGGTACTCACTACTCAACTCTACCAGACGGCTGTTGAATTCCAGTCGAGCATCAGATACCACGAAGACCAGCTACTAAGGCTCGACCCCAACTTTCGAGGTCGAAATCTAAATGCATATGAGAACCGTTTAGCACAAGAACGACGAAATTACCCTCCTTATTCATCACACACGCGACTCATTGGGTCCTCAAAGGCAATCCCTCCTCCTCCATTCCCAAAGGACGACGCAAATATTACGAAGCGCAAGAAATCACCTCGTGAAGTGGGCGCCAGACCGTGTCGTACTTGCGGAAGCTTAGAACATTGGGATCCCGAATGCAGGCACCGAGACGAGGGGAGGAGAACTGCCAGAACTCGATTAGCCTCCATAGCTACCGAGGACCTTGAAGCACAAGATGATTATGATGATTTGTTCTATTCACTTGAAGCTGAACAGGATTTTGAACAATCCCTTCAGATTACTGACGCTGAATGCAGGAACATCGGATCGTCAGCCCTGGGGGGAGTTAATCAGCAAGCTTCGGAGATTTACAAGGAGGAGGCTACACCAACTGTCAAGAGCTTCCACGTCGCATCCAACACTTCATGCGCACCGTATACAAGGTGTAATAAACCGAATCTGCAGACCAGAAAGGAAAGACGGCGTCTAGAAAGGGTTCAGAAGAGGTTTCAAAGAGTTTTCCACACCACCTATCAAATGCCTATGTCTTCAGCTGGAGGCTCACTCTTGGAACTCAGGAAACATATGCCTCGACCTTCGGGCTGCACGTTCCTAGGGAGTAAGGCCACTTCCGCTCTCGCAGGAATTAACGGCATTGATAAAGACATACTAAAGGTTATCGTCGACTCAGGATCTGACATCACGTTAATTTCACATGATACTCTCCAGAAACTATCTTCGCACCCAAAAATCCGTATTGGTCAGAAAATTAACCTGATACAAGTCACAGGAAGGTCAACGATCTCTGGTTATGTGAACATCGATCTATTCTTCATTACCAAGCAAGGACCAGTAAAGATTAATGTTGATGCATACGTGGTAAATGGGATGTCTACTCCTTTCATTCTGGGAAACGACTTCGCTGATCAATACTCCATCTCTATTCTTCGTCGAGGAGGATCCAGCTACCTTTCATTTGGTGATACCGGCCGAGAACTCGAAGTAGAGAGCTCCACAGCACCATCTACTATCGATTTCGAAGGCCAAGTGTTCAAGGTACGCGTCTTGATGGAAGCCAGTAGTCGCTTGGCAAAAATACGAGCCCATCATAGATCCCAGAAACTCAAGCGGAAGGCACGGCAAGGCAAATCGAGAGGCGAGGTACGAGCAGCCGAAAGAGTAGTCATTCCTCCCGAATCCAGCAGGAAGGTACCGGTAAAGGCAAACATTGTTAGCAATGGTACCTCTCTTTTTGTGGAAAAAAGCATTCTTCAGGATTCCAATCAATGGCAATTCTACGGTTCACCTGACTCACTCATATCAGCCACTGACCCTTTCCTTCACGTCTCGAATTTTTCAGATAGTCCCATTGTAATTAGCCAAGGAAAACTACTTGGAACGGCGCACAATCCGAGTAATTGGCTTGATAGATTCAAAGATACAGGAGAATTGGCGAAGAAGGAAGCACATGCGACGTTAATAAAGGAATTGGTAAAGGCACGGAGTATGACATTATCTTTTGATCACCACCGATCCGCCACAACTGAAACGGTTCGCAGTGAATCTGACATCACTTCTAAGGCCCAGCGAAATGCGTCAGAGCCAGATGACCCCGCAGCTTCTGAACCTATCGAGGGTGGTCCTAAAACTTCCAACACACCACCAGAAACTATTCCATCTGACCAAATACTAAAGGAATTAGACATATCCCCGGACTTGGCCATCGAGCAACGCACACAGCTTCAGGAAGTCATTATCAAGAATAAATCAGCTTTTGGACTTGATGGGAGACTCGGAACTCACGATGCAAGAGTGGAAATCCGACTCAAACCGAACTCACAACCGGTCTCTTTACCCCCATTTCCGGTATCTCCTGCTAATCGAGAAGTCATGGATAAGCAGCTCGATTTATGGATACAACTAGGTGTTATTGAACCTTCTGATAGTCCCTGGGCTGCCCCTGCGTTTATCGTCTACAGGAATGGAAAACCACGTATGGTTATTGACTACCGGAAACTCAACGCACAAGTTATTCCTGACGAGTTTCCCTTGCCAAAGCAGGATGATATCATGCAAGCTCTTAGTGGTGCTCAATGGCTAACCACTCTAGACGCTCTGTCTGGATTTACGCAACTGATAGTTCAGGAGAATTCGAGGGAGAAACTAGCTTTCCGTTGCCATCGGGGGTTATGGCAGTTTACTCGGATGCCCTTTGGATATCGTAATGGGCCCAGCGTTTTCCAATGAGTTATGCAGAACGTGCTAGCTCCGTTTCTATGGATATTCGCTCTCGTATACATTGATGATATCGTAATCTTCTCACTTTCATTTGAGGATCACCTAACTCACGTTGATCGAGTCCTCCAGGCAATTTCCTCTGCTGGTATTACACTCTCCCTGCCAAAATGTCATTTTGCATATCAGTCCCTTCTTTTATTAGGACAGAAGGTATCGCGTCTAGGTATGTCAACTCATCAAGAGAAAGTCGAGGCTATTCAGATGCTAGAAACCCCGCAGAATGTACAAGAGTTACAAACCTTCTTGGGAATGATGGTATACTTCTCTGCTTACGTTCCATTCTACGCCTGGATTGCCCATCCGTTGTTTCAATTATTGAAGAAAGGAACACCCTGGAAATGGACTGATCTACACGACGAAGCCTTTTCACTGTGCAAACAGGTTCTAGCCAATGCACCTGTCCGAGGATACGCTACTCGAGGACTGCCCTATCGAGTCTATACTGATGCATGTGACTATGGACTCGCAGGCATCCTGCAGCAAGTACAACCGGTTCTTATTCGGGATCTCCGAGGAACTAAAGTCTATGATCGCCTCAAGACTGCTCACCAGAAGGGCGAAGCTGTTCCCCAGCTAGTACCATGCCTATCCAAGGAATTTAATGATGTTCCTCCGGTGAACGCATGGGCTACTTCCTTCGAGGAAACTGTCGTACACATTGAAAGAGTTGTCTGTTACTGGTCTAGGGTTCTCAAGTCTGCAGAACGGAATTATTCACCCACCGAGCGAGAGGCACTGGCTTTAAAGGAAGCATTGATTAAATTCCAACCCTACATTGAAGGAGAACAGCTTTTGGCCATCACTGATCATGCGGCATTAACTTGGAGCCGCACATTTCAGAATGTCAATCGACGACTATTGACTTGGGGCACCGTATTTGCGGCTTACCCTAATATGCACATCGTTCACCGTGCCGGGCGTGTCCACTCAAACGTCGATCCTATCTCCAGACTTCGCCGACGGCTTCCCCCCGCAGGATAGCCCTTCCTCCAAGAATATATCTGCGGTTGACCTCACCAAGTCTTTTGAATCGGATCCTATGCGGAATATGTTCGAGGAACTAGGAGAAAGATTTGAGGAGAAACTTCTCACTGTAGGGGCAAAATTCGTGGACTCGTTAGTTGCCCATCCTAATGACTTTGCTGTTGACTTCGGTAGCATCCCTATAACACATATTAATGACAAACTCGAGATCGATATTCCCTGGTCGGCAGCCCGAACACATAACATCTTAGTGGGTATTTCGAAAGAAGAATTGAATTCATGGCACGAAGCTTACGCCCTTGATGTGTACTTCTCCGAAGTCATTAATTCTTTACAGAAACCGGAGTCCCTTATTCGACCACCGTACCCACAATATTTCTATTCGGATGAAGGCTTACTTTATTTCGAAGACAGCAATGGAAATAATCGACTTTGTGTACCTACTTCGATGCGAATTCAATTAATGGATGAGATACATAATTCCTTTACAGAATCGGCACATGGGGGATACCACAAATGCTACAACAAGCTTGCAATGACGCATTACTGGCCCGGCATGTCAAAAGATCTGAAGAAATATGTCAGTACTTGTGATATATGCCAAAAATCGAAACCTCGCCGGCACGGTCCTATAGGATTACTGCAACCTATTCCCATACCGACTCGTCCATTTGAAGTAGTATCCATGGATTTTATACCCGAATTACCCAACTCCTCAGGATTTGATAACATTCTTGTCATAGTAGACAAGCTCACAAAGTACGGAATCTTTATTCCTTGCTCTACATCGATCTCTGAAGTCGATACCGCACGACTATTCTTTCAACATGTCATTTCGAAATACGGGATTCCATCTCAAGTCATCACGGATAGGGACTCACGATGGAGAAACTCCTTTTGGAAGGAGACTTGCCTACTTATGGGAATGAAGAGGGCCCTGACTACGGCACACCATCCTCAAGCAGATGGTCAGACGGAGATTCTTAATCAAGGATTGGAAATAGCCCTCAGGGCTTACGTCGGGCCGGAACGCGATGACTGGCACAAATACCTCGACGGACTAGCGTTATCCTATAACACAACACCACACACGAGTACGGGATATGCTCCCGGTTATCTTCTATTCGGATTCCTTCCTACTACAGAATCTACCTTGCTAGCGGACCCCAAATTTATTCCGAGGGACCTTGGAAAGACAAAACAAGACGGAGATTCCTCAGGTCAAACTCGCAGCTCATATGAAAATGATAAAGCTGTCAACTTCGTAGAGCAATTTCAAGCAGAAAGAACCCGGGCGAAGGAAGCTTTGAAATTAAGTCAGGCTTTCCAACAAAGGAACTACAACAAAGGAAGGTTGCTAACCGAATTTGAGGAAGGAGATCAGGTGGTTCTTAATCCGCATACTCTTGAACTATTGAAAGAGGTTAAAGGACGGGGAAAAAAACTTCTCATGAAGTATGAGGGACCTTTCGAAGTCATCAAGAAGATAAGTCTGGTAACCTATCAATTGCGATTACCGGCGTCTTATGGAATTCATCCGATCATCAATATCGCTCACCTAGAACAGTATCACGCGTCTCCTGCCGAATATGGTGATCGGCCTACAAAGCGACTAAATCGCCAAGACTTTGACGACCTTCCCGAGATGGATGTTGAAAAAATCGTAGCGGAAAGAATGTTCAAAACGTCAGGAAAGCATAGACGTGTCCGGAAATTTCGAATACGATGGGTTGGGCTGCCAGAAACCGAGGACGAATGGAAAACAAAAGAAGAACTCAGGAACGCGCCACACGTCCTCCAGGAATGGCTGCAATCAGCACAACGCGTTGTCAATGACGAACAACAATGAGAATTTCGATGTGCACATAGCAGCCAGCTAGCTCCTGAAGTTTCTAGCAAGTATCTCTTTCCTATTTCACACAGAAGCAGCTACGGACTGGGGGGGCTCTGTTATGGATATCTATACTTAGAGTCCGTAACTCCTTTCTCGGCAATCGGCCCGCTCGTCCATCAAGAATGTTCTCGCAGTATTATATCTTCTACACGTTTCTCTCTCTTTCTTGCGTAGTCTGTACTTCTCTAGAACACTCTAGATAACTAAAATGTAGCCTATATACAAGGCATCCAGTAGCTACAAGAATTCATTCCTATTTTCATTCCGAATTATCCTCATTTGAGTGAACCTAAGTTTGGGAAGACTACGCTGAACGCTTGTCTGTTCCTACTTATTCAGTTACGCTAAACGCTTGCTGAGACCTAGAAGAATACGCTGAACGCTTTTCTTCGACTATTCGGATTCCTTTTGGTAGAAAACCCATATATTTTGATCTCAAAGCCAGTTACAAATCACTACCGTCATCTACGCGACGTACTAACTAGCTTGATCATAACAGCGCTAAGGATCCTAGATCTGCTTTTTTCTCCAACATATCACGAGTTATTACCGGAACTTTGTGCATGGGCGCCTTCGGTGTCTCGGCAATGAGCGTTGCTTCGTGCGTTGGGGCAAGATACAGCCTCCGGAGACAAGTCATAGACCCTTCCACCGGTTCTTCAAGGCCCATAATTTCCTTCAGCACTCAGTACATTCCGGTGCTTTCCGCAATCACACTATCTTTGGTCTTTGATAAATTTTGCGCCTATGCGAGGATGCTCTTTATCTCGGAAACCAATCCTGTCCTGCGGCATTGTGTCGCTGCGATCTTCAAAGCGACTGTTGTCAAACACGCCAAAGAGATCACGTTGACTCTTGGAGACCAGTGTGGAGCTCAAGGGTTGTTCGCAGTCAATCAGCTATCGTCTTTGCATGTAAGTAATTCGTACTCGATGTTTGCTCATTCGGTAATTATGTTCACCCAGGCGAATTTGCGTGGTGCATCCATAGCTGAAGGTGACTTGTTAGCTATTTCTATCCGTGAGTAACATGGAAGTGTTCCAGCGGTCGCTCTCTTCTAACTTTTTTTTTCCTTTCAAGGGTTTGGGATGGAGATACTTCTAGGCCGTGTTTCTATCCCCCCACCAAAGGACCCCACCTCCCTGCTGGCTCGACACGAGACAGCCTTGATAGAAGAACTCCGGGCTTTAGTGTCTAATCCGCTCGGGCACCGAAGTGCCACAATCCAGTCCATCGTCCTGCCTCAGCTTCCCTTACTTGTTGAAGCAATTGGACATCGTATGGCTTTTGAGGCGGCAACTCAAAGCGGCATAGATGGAGAAGTGATGGCTATGTTCATTGCGAGCGTTATTAAATCCGATGCTTCATGGTACATCGAGAATGGGTGCCTGTCGCGTGCCGAACAAAGGAAAATGGAAGCTCAGGCGGCCATGGCTCTCCTTCCGCGCTTGGAAGAGCTTCTGGCATGGCTTGATTGTGATGACTACGTTACTGCGCCCATGGTCTCCGACGAGATGTGGAATTCTCATATCCAAACTCTGAAAGTGTATCATGGGCAGCGGCCTGTACAGGAATGTGATCTTTTAGAACGAGCCAGGCTTTGAGCTGGATATGTACTTTGTTTTTTAGTCTACACAAATATATTTAAAATGTTTCAGGCCTCACGTTCGAGATGAAAGGAATTATTTATGGTAGAACTACTCAAATCGCAACCAGTATGGTGATGTACCTCATAGGTGACAGTTCCCTCAAAAACGGAATCGACCTCCAGGATGATGAAATCAGCATTGGTCGACAGCCAAAGATAGGTAGAGCCGGCGATGAGTATTTCAGACTAGACTCGGAGATAGGTGCTTTTACCCAAGTCACTTAGGCGGAATCCAGTTTTGATTCTTTCTCATCACCGGACACAAGAGAAACCATAGGAGCAAGATCGAAAATTTTATATTCAGGAGTCATCAAGGAGACAAATCTACAGCACGTCGTGCTCCTCAGAAAGTGTTACTAATAAAGGATACGGGAAAGTAGTAACTCTTCTGTTCTGTACGCTCTCGAGAAACTTATCAGGAACAAATTCCGGGGGTAACTCCAGAGTGTGCCGCAGCAGAATTTTCGATAGAACGAGACGCATTTCTAAATGCGCAAGCTGCTTTCCAATGCAGCCGAAAGGACCTAGGAAAGCCGTCGATAAGTCTGTGATCACATGAACCCAATAGGAAACTGACCATGCGAAAAGGTCATCATTGCCCCTTTATTCAGGCGGGAACCTTCACCGAGTCCGTCTGGAAGCCAGCGCTGAGGCAAGAATGCAAATGGTTCCGGATAGAAATTATCTTCGGAAACCATCTGGCCCCAGGCTGGAATACCAATGATCGTGTCTTGGCGAAAGTACTCCCCTTCGATGCTCGCACCACCCTTTGGAACCAAACGATAGAACGAGCCTAGAGGTGCGCCAAGACGCATTGACTCCATGACCACGGCGTTGAGGTACGGAAGGTCCTGAAGTGCTCTCGAGTCCAAGATTTCGCGGTCACGGAACACTTGCTTCAGCTCCTCTTGTAGACGATGTTGGACATCCATATTCATGGCTAAGTAGAAGAATGAGAATGTCAAAGCGGATGAAATCCCGTTGGTCCCTGGTATAAGATGAGCTTGATAAGGTATCAAACCAGGCAGAAGGGCTTACCTGCTTGAATCGCCAGGATCGTTTCTTTCCTTATGTCAGCGTCGGTGAGTTTAGTGATACCATTGGGTCTATCGCTGAGCTTTATCTACAATTAATTGCAAACCGCTGAAGTAGAGAAATATAATTTACCAAATGTGTCATGAGGTCAGCCTGTTGAGAACCCAGTCGCTTACGGCGTTCCACACTGCGACGAACAACGTTGTCCATTATGCGAAAGATTCGAGTTGCCGGGAGGTGCCAGAGGACATGAAACAATGACGGCGACTCCCCCAACCTAATCGAACAATGTGAGAAGAATTCCAGATGATCTTCAACTGCGACGAACGCTTCAAACATCTGAGCTTCAAGAAGAGTGCCTTCCACAAGATGATCATCATCACCATTCATTAGGAGGTCCTACAAGGTCGTAAGCTCGGTGATCATGGACGTAGTCATGACTTACCATATCGTATGTGTCCCCGAAGATAATTTCATTCTGTTGCGGCCTGATATTTACTAGATGTACATGATACCATTGTAAAAGAACTCTTACCGTCACGTCATGAGACCACTGTTGAAGCGCCAGTGACATGTCAACACATCTCTTCAACCTCGAATTCTGTTGTCGGGTCGTGAGAGCCTTCAACAGATTTTCTGTGCGGCGCTCAAGCATTGGTTCATAGTCAGATAGTCTAGAAAAAGGACAAAAATTAGCAAAATTCGCTCCTTGGTATAGTGGGAGTATGTATACGCTTCTGCTGTAAATGCTGGTGCCCAAAAGTGTCGTTGGCGAACATTATGTGTCTCCTTATCTTCGATGAAGAACAGCCCATATCCCGGCCCAGAAAGATTATATGCAGCACTTTTATTCCATGCCGACGCCGTCGAATATATCATTGCTATGGGCTGAGAACTGTAAATGGACACCGTATTAGGTCCTGAATAGATGATCATTTCATATTCATTCGCACGAAGTCCATGAAACTCACCAGTTCTAACAAATTTCCCATACTTTTGATGGAGCGCTCTCATCCTGCGATATCTATATCCAGAAGACACCATAAGGACCATATTCAGACTCGTAATGCGATGCAAAAGAGGCCCTGGAATCCGGTAAAGAGGATGGAAAGGGCAAATACGATACACAATAGTTAGCATGCCGATAGTTAACAAATGAATTCCTGAGAAATATGCCGAAAATTGGACCGCGTGAAGGAAAGAAGTTCCAAAGACGATCTTGTAACATTCAGCGACAAGGCAGGTCCAAAATATCATGGATAAAAGCGCGACATCGCCGCGGACAGGTTTGCGATGTATATAAACTGTTGTGAACTGTAAACACGAATCGATTAGTGATTTTGGCGCGTTCTGAGGAGGAAATACTGAACGTACCAAACCACAGAGAAAAGCATTCGCAGACCAAAGAGCCGGCATGATTCAGATGCAGGATCCTGCAGTGTCAGATAAATCCCTTGGTTTCTATATGCTGCAAGCATCAAGACATCACGGGTGAGAGCATAAGCTCATCCAATAATACACCTAGACAGTGCACAGGAACAAGAATGATTAGGGTTTCCGGCATCCATAATGATAGAAATCTATCCAGCGAACAGTGTTTAGTATAGATCCGAAGTTTGGCATTGACCAGGACCCCTGATACTGCTTCCGCTCTTATCTCAATGTACTGATCGCAGCGCATCGGAAAGCGCTCACATATCCTCTCATGTGCTCGGTGTGGAAATCCTTCGGTGGTCGGAACGTTACCGCCCATACATTCCCCGTAATTGGCGTTTATGCCGCTTCTGTCGGGTCGCAGTAGAGGATGAACCACATGCGTTACTCGTCTCTGCTGCTGCGCCCGGTCTCACCACCCTACGACGGCAATTTTTGGTCGATACCTTTCCGATATGCCCTCATTTGCGACTAGCTTGGAACACATTGGGAGTCGACGACCGCTTGGCTTGCCTGTTGCAGTTACCTGCTGCAGAGCCTTTTTTAGCACAGTTCGTTCATCATTTCGAAATCTTCCGACTCGGAACCGTTCCTGTTTACATACCACCGCTGACTCTTTGCGCTGGCACAGCTTCATCGGAAGACATGTGAACGCGTCGAGTATTCATTGTTTTGTGTGGTTGACAGACATTGGGTAGTACACGTGATGTTCTGCTTGTTTCCTATATTATTCTGTTCACTAGTCCCTGCATTTCCTTCAAATCCATGAGATGTTCTTGGCTGGCAACTGAGGATATCACAGCGGCATGGAGGAGTGTAGTCTGTGAGACGTTGTGTGTCGGCACAGAGCCCCGCGTTCCTTTTTGGGACCTCGACCGGTTATCTATCTTTACTTAGCACGTAAAGGAAAGTACTCTCCGGCTCGTTTCTGCTGAGGAACATCGTCGGTTAATAAAACAACTTCCTTTCCGCGTGTATCGGGATTGGTGTTGTATGGTACACAATGTTCCCACCTGAGGTCAGGCCCGACGTCCCGATTAGAGCGATACCTCATCAGGTTGTCGCAGTACTAGTGGTACCTATTATCTTATCTGTCATTCAGAACATGGGATTTATGAGAATTACAATGCCTTACGGAATTCATACGATTCATTAACGGGTGACGGCCCAAACTGTGAAACCAGGGCACCGCGATGCAAGATGGTTAGTAGGGAAAATAAGAGATGAAACGACAGGGCTTGATGCGTGATGGCTTGAAGACGGTAGTGAAGACCATCTAAGCAAAAGAGCACTAGCTGAATGATCCACAAGGCCGAGCCTTGCATAACCAAAGATAAGGTTGTCGCAGGCACTATAAGATCCGAAGATGATTGTCAGCACAATCCGGGCGGTAATCTATCAAGACAGCATATGTCGGGAACCTATAGAAGCAGAGAAGCGCATCAGAGAAAGTTTTCCTTTGCCTTTGGATTTGGTTCAAGCCTGGCCCAGGTCCAGAGCCCCGGCCTTCGTCAAGGAACTGGGACCTTGACGCGGGAGATGGGGAGGCACTGGCAGTCACCGATATTAAGCTTTCGAAGATACCATGTTCTCCTGTTCCACTCCCGGCCATTGATATTTTTCCGGTTCGCTATGAATATATTGATTAGTTTCTAAAATAACAGCAAAAGATACGCCACAGACTATAGACCAGGAACCGGCGAATTTGATTACAGGACAAAAATATGCTCACCGTGTCCGCCGGTAATATCAGGACCAATCAAAATTTAGCCTGAAGATAGAATGAGGTTCGCGCTTGTTCATCGGTTGAACCAGATTGAACCACTATGCAGAGACGTTTGACTTGAGTCAGCAATGCATGTCCATGATGGAAACTCACTCGAAAAGAAGAGTGGAACTTCAGCTGAACTTGACGACCCCTTCCCACCTCACCATCCTCATAATGGCGTTCAGGTTTCGCAACCAGCCCTGGAAATCCCTCTACATCCTCTACTTCGGGCTAACGACCCTTGTCCTACGACTTCCTGTATGGGTCTTGCTCTCGTTGTATAAGTCAACCAGGACGTGGAGCGTTCGGCGAACTATATACTTCAAGGTCATTAGGGAATACATTGGTCGCTTTTTCGTCACCGGATTCCCTTCGCCTCCTGTCTCCCATTGCGGTTATACCTGCTCTCAAATAGAGGCATGCCCACAACTTGTTGTTGGAGAGATCAAGGAGATAGCTAGAGTCAATGGCGTCCAATCCGAAACCACCACGGGGTTTTGGTATACCCAAAACAACTTCGAGGGACCGGTGGATAGGATGGCCAGAGACGACGAGACAATTGTATATCACATACATGGTTTGTTGGTTCTCACTATCGGCGGAGCATTTTCTGACATGACATCTTCGCTGCAGGAGGAGCATTTGTGGTTAGTAGGCTTCTTATTATATGGCTACCATGAGTCCACTTATCTGAGGATCCTCCTGATAGATGTGTTCTGCCAGCCCTGCTGACAGTATGACCCCGGTCCTGTGTGAAGGACTGCTCCGGAACTGCTCCAGTCTGTCCCGGATGTTCTGCGTCGAGTATCGTATTTCTTCCACGTCGCCGTTCCCAGCCAGAAATCCTTTCCCCGCTGCTCTCCTAGACGCGCTCGCCGGCTACCGCCACCTCGTCGTAGTTGTTGGGTTTAAGCCACAAAATATAATTATTAGTGGCGATTCTGCAGGTGGTCAGATAGCACTCAGTCTGGCGCGGTACCTGTCGAAGTACGCGTTGACTGCCCTGGCCCCTCCCGGAGGGCTACTGCTCATCAGTCCCTCTGCAGACTGGGGACGTACGCATGACAATGGCTCTCCGACAGAGTCAATCACAAGGAACGCAGACACTGATTTTGGCGCACCATTCTATCAAGGTTATCCGACTCGTGCAATCATCGGAAGAATGCAAAGTTCGGAGGCAGCAGCAAATCCTTGGATCTCTGCTGCATCCCTGAAGCTTCCAGAGCCGAAGGGGCTTTTTTCGGGTCTACCCAGAACATGCATCATTTCTGGAGAGGCAGAGATACAGCTCGACTCGATTCACACCCTTCGAGATCGCCTGATTCATGATACAGGGAACTCTAACGTCACATACATCGAGAGTTTTGGGTCGACACACTGTTTTGTGTGTTTCAAAGCATTCGAACCGGAGAGAACGGCGGCACTGACCTCGGTTGGGGAGTGGATAGATGGCATGAAAGATTAACAAAAACTTGCATCCATGGTCCTGGACGCATTGGAGGGGAAGATCCAGAGTAAAGCATGTTTTCCATTCGCAAACGTCGAAATACACCAGCATCTTTTTGCGTAGTCGCAAGTGCATCGATAATTTGTTTCGTATCATACAGCGTAAGGTTCACGCCAAGTTCTAGCCCAAGATTTCCTTGCCTAATAAGTTCGCTCGCGTCGTGCAAGGATCTGCTGGTGCTTGAGATTCTTTTTTGTTCGTTAACTTTATTCCAGTGACAGACGTTCACCATGATGAGCCAGGAGAATTTCGCGTTTATGGGATGCATTTTTGCGTTTTGGTGCATTGCTAGTACACGACGACTGTTAATAAAAAAAACTGACGCCAAGTGCACAGATAGCTAGTTATGACGTACTTGGACCTCTCCACACGCGTATTCTGACCGTCACCTGCCAATCTACTATTACTATCACCATTCCGCGTCCTTGACTGAACAGATGTCGCCAGACAGTATGTCTTGTCAACGCGTCTGGTTTGCAGTCTGAAGCTGCAAACCAAACGCGTTCCTCAACCCTGAACGGTGTGTCCGAAAATATTGATATATACGATCTTCGTAAATTGGATGCTGTAGAGGACGATCCCGGATGTCTCAGCCCTTTATGGACTCGAGGACTGGCAACGAGGTTGAAGTTTGAACGAGCGGAACAAGTTGAATCCGTCCAGTGATCCCACGTGATCAGGCCACGTGTACCCATATCCCATGATGTCATTGACCTACCTCACTGTCCAGTGTCAGCCAACCATCAAAGATAAAACGGCAAAAAAACGCACTTTTGTCATGCACTAAACGCATCAAATGCAGAAACGCGATCCTCTGTCCTCTGGAATCCACGCCAATACAATGCAACAGCCTGGCGTCGGGCGAACAGAAGTGGGAAACTCGACCTGGCCTCGATTAAAGATCTAATACCCGGCATTATTATGCGATACCAAGTTGACGATAATAACCTCATGGTCCGCCTTTATGCCTTGGAGACGATGTCCAACACTAGTGAATCTGCCTTCTTAATGAGATGCGAAGAGGCCCAAGTTCGTTATTTCCAGTTTCCCGAGAGACCTATATACTTATCTGTTCATGCTAGGCGTATCGCAGTTTCAACCTCGATGCATTACATAACATCTTGTTTCAAATCCGGTAGTATTACGTCCTCGCATGTATTAGAGATACGTACTTCCTCACTTGGACGGATGAATTGGTGTAGAGAGCCTTTTGACGATCAATCGAAACTTGGCTGCTCAATATCGTTGCTTGGAAACGTGAGGTGCCTGTTTACAGCTTCCCTATTTCACTCACAACGTTTGCGCAGAGAAAGGTCAAAGTAGACTGATGACCGTACCCCACTTTCTGTACTTTTACCACCCGTATCAATCCACATCAATGTCAACGTTCCAGATGTTACCACCGAGAACCCCTACAGCGGAAGCCTAAGCGCATCGGCCTGGATAGGTTCTATGTTATCTGGCACACCACTACTTTGCTTCGTTGTGATGTCGATGTCGATGTCCACCTCTCGTCGCATATTCGATCTGCTACAAAAAATCGCCATGAACTGATACCTGTTTCGTGTCCATGTCAGTGTATCCTTGGATAACGGTGACCGCCGCATCTGTGCCGGCAAAGAACGCCCCGCTTGAGTGCTAGTCCGTCCCTACTAAGGTCCAGCTCCCCCGGGGCCAGGGAAACGTAAAAGATAGGTAAATACTTAAACTTCTACGCATCCGTTGGCCGGAACATTATACAACGTGGCCTGCAACCTCGGTTGAGCAAATAATTTGGACCGACTTTATGGACGCCACCCATCCGCGGGTGCTGCTAAAGCCGGGTTTTACTTGCGACCCTTTCCGCACAGCATGGGGACTAGCTCCTCCTGACGCGACTGGAGTTTACACCACCTAGCTCGAAGCCAAAATAGTTCCTGTACTGCACGAGTCAAATCAAGAGATCCCACGCGTCCGGGTCGCAGTTTCTACAAGTATCTTTAACGTCGGTCGTTGGGAAGGGTTTGAGGTGATGATACTGGCGCAATATCTTCTCATCGATCCCCATTACCAGACCTTCAAGCTTGTGTTTGGCGGCAAGGCTTCCCCCCACCTTCCTCCACCGCAGGGGCATTGGAAGCGCATGGGCGAAGTCGCATTCCCACTGAATGGAGATGTCGAGCTCATCAACCTTGACATGGGCGTCTAGTGGCTCCTATGGACCAACATTCATATCGTTGCGGATAATATCAGTGAGCTTTTTATGATTTTATGCCGGCTATCCGTTTCATGTATTTTGCATTAATGCCTCTTCAATGTAGATCTGAAAATAGAGGTTATAAAAATTATGGAAGGTACATAGAGTCTTTTTTTCCGTGCCGTATCGTACGGAGATTTTTCCTTAGGAACAAGCGCGTCTTATCAGAGGTGATTGCTCAACGAAGTCACTTGTAACGGCGAGTGAGTCCTGCCATTCCGACAGACTTTGTAAAATTTACTTATGGACAGGTTACAGAGAAAGATCAAGACAGAATAACGGAGGTTCACCCTCCCAGCCAAGCTTGTAATAGACACTCTCAAAGAGTTATCCCGGCAGTCGGATTGGCTAGAGGAACACTTAGCTAGAGCTAGTCCTTCACATAGGCATAGCTCAGTATTGGTTGGAGAATGTAATGTGCGCCCGGGACGACCCAAAGACAACCTTCCCGTGCATCTACTTATTATAGTATTCGCAATTCCGTCCTTCCTTCAAGCTGTTTCTTCCGCAGTACTTAACTGGCGCGATACTTCCTCAATCCGTTCACTCTACCTTCAAAAAATCAGCATTTTTTGTAAAGCTTAGCAACAATAGCTGAAGTTCGGCTGTTCCCAAACGTTGATAGCTAGTATTTCCAAAAGAAGCCGCGATTGAGAAAAGCGGTTGTAGCTACGTGTTTGGCGACAACGTCGAGAACGCTCGAAGGTGGAATGCTTACCCGGGCCCACGGCCTTTCGACGGCCACAGACTCGCTGCTGTCCCTCACCCTCAATTTTCACAACAAACTTAATTTGAAAAGTTACCGAGGTTCGTCTCGGGAGATATCTCCGTAAGCCTTATCTCTGCTATTCGCTTCTTCGAAGTGTGTTAAACTGCGTAGAGGCAACTCGTATCTGCACGCTCAAAACGTGTTTGCTAAAAATTCAGCTGAACTGAAATATGGATAAACGCATCCCCATACCCCTTGAACTCATTGATATAATTATCAGTGAATGTCATCTTGACATTTCTACCCTACGCTCATGCTCTCTGGTTAACCGATCCTGGTCTCCACTCGCTCAGTCCCACCTATTCTCCCACGTCCGCCTTGAGCCTGAAGGGCTCTGCACCTTTCCCGGGGGCCTATACTCAACGGATGAATTTTCCTATCACGTTGAGTATCAAGGCGTCCCCAGCGCAAGCTTTTCCCACCGTGGCGATCTAGCCACATTCGCAGCACTTTTAAAGTCGACCCCTCACCTTAGACCGTTCGTGAGAGAGTTGCACGTTGGGGCATACCAGGATGAGATATGGCCTCGAGACTCGAGCGACATCCGAGAGATCGTAAACATCCTCTTACCCAAGCTCTTTTGCTTGACGATGAAATTCCACAAGTTGCATAGCTGGGAGGAGCTACCGTTTACTGCCATCTCAGAGTCACCGAAGTTGACGTATCTGGAGATATCTCATGTCCTGTTTCCCTCCGTCTCCAGCTTTCTTGTCTTTCTCGGGGCGTTCCCCGCCCTCAAGGTCCTTATCCTAGACGGGGACGTGTGCATCGAGAACGCCGCCTCTGTATCCCAGGTCCAAGCCAACCAGTCCAGGCCGCAGCTACGCGCCTTGACAGTCCATACCACACCTTCTTCCTACTGTACCATTCTAGACTGCCTGTCGTCGCCCTCCTCCCTCATTAACGTGGCTACGATCCAGAGTTTATCTCTCTTTTGTCGTCTTCGGGACAAGAATACCCCCAACACTTCCGTGACGCAATCCACGGCACGGCTACTGGAGTATGTAAGCAGCCCTCTAGAGCATCTTCGGCTACCCGTCACTTTGACCGGTCAGTAGCCACCGACAGACTCTTCTACCTTCCGCACTTGCTCACCCTTTCTTTCTCCAGATCCGCTGTTCAAATTAATCTCATCTTCCCACCTCCAGTCGTTATACGTCTGCAGCCAAGCAGGCGTGCCCAAATGCCTCAAGTGGCTTATTCAAACACTCTCCCAGTCGTCGCCTTTGGCATTGACCTCGCTCTCCATAGACGTCCTACACACGACGCTTTTCTGTGATGACAGATTCGAGGCCACCACCAAGCTATGGACCGACCTCGCCGCCGTCCTAGATTCTAGTGGTGTGAACATAAGGAACGTGGCGGTGCGCGTTAAAGGCGTCAGTAGGTTCGCCCGCATGGGCGCCCAGGCACAGGACGTGATGAAGATACTGAATGGGCATGGAGGAGGGCTAGAGGCAGAGGTGTACTACTATAGAGGCGATGCGGTGTATAGCGGTAAGGTCCAGTTAATGAGGAGAACATTCGGCCTAACTATAATGTTTAGGATCGTATTTGGATTCGCATTATATTGTGCCGCCGCATCGTGAACCAACGGATTGGGCGGCTATTTGGGGAGTCTAAAGAAACTTCTTGGTGCTGTTAGATTTCCTTCCTGACTGGCTGTTGACTAGAGGCGGTGCAAGTAAATGCCTTTTTTCTTGAAAAATATACCAGAAGTCGCTGGTCTATCATATCGTTCGGTTTCAGCCACTTAGACCATCTACCTGCTCCTGCTAGTGATGACCTTATATATTAGATGGTGCCCTGAAACTACCATTCAAACCGCTACTCCACATTTCCTTTGTCTTTTTTCGTCTTCTTGCTGAGCGGTATGGTATGCTTCTCTCCTCTCTTGGCTTCTCGGTCCTGGTTGGCTGGGGTCCCTTGATGCAGGGAAAGCTCTTCGTGGCACAACGCGGCATGTTGAACGCCCGAGGTAGCTGTTGTGATCTTAGTATCAAATGAACGTCTGATTTCCATACTTTGTTCGATGGAGAAAACTTGTAGTTCATAGACCATTGCATACAGCTAACAGCGATGGAAAATACCTTCACAGCTGCTCCCAACTACAACGAATTCAATAACAGCGACGTAGCTGATCAAATCAGAAATGGCATTACATAAGAAACTTTAAAAAATACGGCGCGATAGAAAGGAAGGCTTCGTTACTGTGTCATATCGTATCCCATAGTCGAGGCACGGGCCCTGCAAAAAAGTCTACAGAAAGTTTCCATTCCCCATCCTCGAGCGCCATCTCCAAGCCACGAAACCATCTGTGACCACCCAATAGGTCAGACCTCAAGAACGTCCCATCGGGCGGCTGCCATCCGAACACATCAGAATTCCTGTGAAACTTCGCCAGTTCCAATCGATCCCGATTCGGGCGCGTCCGGTGGATCCAATTGACTTCTTCGTCAGTCAATGGAGTATGTAAATATATGAATATTTGCTGTAGCACTTCCCATACGGTTATCGTATTAAAGCCACGAATAACAAGAGGACCCCATCGTCTGGGAGACATCCAGTACCGAAGGATAGGGTGTCTCGAGGTGCATGGAACGTTACGGACAGTATCGGGTGTGAAGGCAGTTGCGTGGAAGTCGGGTAAAACAACCCCAAATGCTGTAGGGTTATTTACGAAGCGCGCGGTATTGGGAGGATGTATGATGTCCCAGTGCAATGTAGGAAAATGTATCTGCCCATGGAAGGATTCAAGGAAGGCGGCGTAAGGTTGTTGGCGAAGCTGGTAGTGCAATGTGATTGCACTGAGAGGTGGGGGTGTAGGAATTACAGGAGAAGGAGGTGGTATGAAAGGCACAACTGGAGGTGTGTTAGGAGCTGGCGGATTGGCAGGAGGGCTCGCAGGAGCAGGTAAGTCTGGAACGACTGGGTTAGGAGGAGTCCAGCCAGGTATCACTGGAGGAGAAGAACCCCGACTATCGAGATACTCGTGTGGGACTACCGGAGGCGTGGGATTGTGTAAGCGCTGGCCCCAGTTATGAGGCGTTCCGGGAACGAAAGGTGTATTGGGAAGGGTAGCTGCTGCGAACATCGCAGGTGAAGGCGTCACAGTGGGGTTGCGAAGATGTTCGCATATGGGACAAGAACAGGACCCAGCAAAACTGTGATTTGGGAAATCGGGTGTAATCTGATTATCATCGTTGTTTGGACGGGGCCGAGCATGATCCTCATTCCGATGCCTGCGTCGACGTCGATTCCTGTTACGGTCGACATGGTCGCAGCAAGTTTCGTACCGAAAGTTGCGGGGGTTGTTAACGATGACTGGAGCGTTACCACAAGCAGAGCATGGGCGGATAGTTGGAGACGAATTGTTCTGCATGTTGTAGGCGACAGCGAGAGTTGTAACGACTGGGCAGAATCATACCGGTCATATATAGGAAATCGGGGCTTCTAAAGACAATAATCAGTACAAGGCAGAAGGGAACAAGCACACAACAGCGGCCTTTCCAAAGCAAGCGGTTTTCCCCTGGAAACAGCAATTCAAGCTGAAGACAATGGCCGGCGATTACTGGTCTACCCCAGAACGGTACAAATCCTTCCATGGCGCTTGTCATGGTGAGATCCTAGTAGTACGAGTACCTGTGCCGCATATATATGGGTGCAGCGCCTGTCAAGAAAGCTGTAGGGCGCAGCGCCTCATGGAAGTAGAAGGACAAGGATAGGCGATGCATCAGTTTTCCCCTGATTTCGGTTCTTGCCGAAAAAGGACCAAATTTTGTCTTGTCGTTTCAAACTTTAGTCGACGCGACTGTTTCTAAGAATACGAGGAAAGAAATAGGCCAGGCCCGAAAAAATCAAAGCGCGTAACATGCTTCGATATCAAGGTCACGAGAAGAGCTTAGCTGGGTCTCACTTTCGTTCCGAAACAAATCATCATCTCGTTATCCACAACGTACACAATATATGAAAGAAAAAATGGTACAAGAGTCACTGAATAGCAGCAAGAAAGGGCCCTCTGTCTGCATTTTCCATCGTATGAAAACAAAATTGTGTAAGTTATGTCTCATCGTTCGTTACCCAATATACTGATACGTTTTCCCAGCGTGTCCTCCAAAAAAACGCCAAATGTCTGCAAAGACGGCTCCCCTCCAGAATGACCTGACCGCAAACGAGTCAAGGCCTACCCAGCTAACGGCAGCAGAGACTCAGAAGTTCATTTGTGACGAGTACTCCTCTCACTTCAACAAAGAACCTCCTGCATTTCTACAGCGGAGCCTCTTTGTTATATTTCATTTTTTGCTAGCCACAAGGACCGATGCCTTCGATCCCGACGATTACGCAGAAGATTTTGAAATGATGTCCACGTTCTATGGTCTGGACTGGAAGGACGTTTGCGATTACTTGGGACTTGACAGGGACAAAGGCGACGAGCAATTCCGGAAGAAATGTCTCACCCGCATCAACCTTCCAGAGTTGGTTCAGGGAGAAATGCACGATACGATCAGGCGCGGTGTGCGGACTAGTGTCCGTCGCCGCATTCATCACCACGTCATGCCGGTAAGGCTGCACATTTCTACTCTGCGGCTCTCAGTCATTCTACCTTTTTAGGTGGTTACAGAGAGCCTTTCGTCTTTCGGGGGACTTCTGTACACTCACATCAGCCACAAGTTGTGCCTCGACGGAACTACCTCGGGAGGTTTCACAGAAATCGCGATTCTACACCAATACAAAATGTTCCTCATCTTTATCATACTAAAACAAAGATTCTTTCTAGGTCACCCTTCTCGAGAACTTCTCGCACAAGTTGTTGCAGAGATGAGAAGTGAGTAGAGGCGTTTCGTCGAGTTCGGTGTCTGATACCTTGCAATAGCGATTTTTGTATTGAACAAGAAATTATCGGGTCTCGAATTCCCAGTGTATGCCATAGTCTCTGACTTGTCGCATTTCTTCTATTATTGCTACGCGGGTACGATTGCGTTATATATCGTTAGTTCTTCTAACTTGAAATGCAATGTAGGAGACGAATTCATATCACGGGGAACCTTCGAGCTGGCCGCAAAGGTCGGATTCGATTTCGAAACCGCTAGCAACCTTACGACCACCTTCATGTTGACATCTTGTACGTCCTACTATTCATGTGCATGTACATACAATCTGCTGACAACCTGTAGTCGCACCCGATTTCTTTTCAATAATTGCTAGAGGCATTCTATTGCTATTCAGAAGCTACAATAGACCACTTACGACCTTCGGGCGGCCCCGCGCTTGTGAGATAGAACCTTCATCTTCCTTATACATCTTAAGCTTTCCCCAGGTCCGCTACAAAGCATCTGCTCAAGTGACCTCCTCATATCAAGACGACATTATCGAAAAATTCAGAAGGACAGTGCTGGGAGCCAAAAAGAAGAAGATAACAGAATGTCAAAAGGCAGTTGGAATCGCGCACACGATCCTCTGCTACATCGGACTGACGTGGATCCCCGAGGATGGTCTAGCGAGAGGCGAGAGACTGGATTTGGCTTCAATTAAAGGGCTAGTGCCACCCGGTATTACTATGCGATATAAAGTTGATAGAAGTGATGCCATCGTCCGCCTCCGAACCTTGGAGTTGAGGCCTAATACTGGTGAATGCGCTTTCATGATGGATTGCGAAGAAAGCCAGGCGCGTCACTATCAGTTTCTTGAGATGTCGATATACTTACGATCCGTTCATGCCAGGCATATCACATCTTCGACCTCGATTCATTGACATCTTGTTTCGATGTCGGAACCAAAACGCTGATATCAGGGATTCTCGAGATGGTTCAAAAATGCTTACCGAATGTTCCTGTTTGCGGTTTTATCTAAATAAACATGCATTTGCGTAATTTGACTAAATTTTAGGAATCATCCACCATATCAAGCCAGAGAGACGGCTGGACTGGCGCGCACAACACTGCGCAGGAAGTACACGAAATTCTAGCGACTACCATGAAAGATTCAGAACGCGAGAACGCTCTGGTGCTTCTCCGAGACAAGTAAGTTATGTACGCGAAATTTCAAACTGTGCGCTCACGTTTTGAGTAGGCTATCAGCATTGAACCCCCCAGGTGTCAACTCGGATGTTTATCGACGCATGCGTGAAGACCAGATTCGAAAAAACGAGGAGCATCGTAGGTACCGGAACCGAGAGTTCGAGCTTGCTTAGCAGGGCGAGGGTTCCGGTGATATTTCACGAACGCCAGGTCCTGGCCCTGGTCTCTGATGTACTGTACATTCTGATCCGTGCAATGCAGCCCGAAAGAATAAAAGAGAATTTTTTATCAGACCTCCTAAGAGCGCAGAGATCAAGTTTGAGCTTCGAGGACGGATGAGCAGGCCCGGAAGGTGGGCGAGGGGAGGGCAGTTACCATTACGTACGTTCAACACCGAGTTCGCAGGAGTTAGTGGAACGCAGAATGTGCCTCGCCCGTCGACCGTCTATGATGGGCCTAGGAGAAAGATGCGGTGGAAGAGTTGACAGGTCCCAGGTACTCGTTCATTCATTGCGCTTGGAACGGTTGGCAAGATCAAACCTCACGACCGTATTACTATCAGTGACGTGACGCGATGCCTATGATTCATGCCCTCACTGGCTAGCCTGACGACCCCAGAGTTCTGCAGTTCATGAAGAAGCAGCGGATGAGGGAAGGCGAAGTTTTACGAAAGACGCCGGTCAACTACATTAGTAAATGTGTACAACAGATATCGTCAAAGCTTGCTCTTGATCAGCGCAACGTTTCGCAGCAAATTCCGTCAGAGAAAGGCACCACATGCACATTGCACTGAAGGTATACACTACTATACATACAGAGTGTTACAAGTGTCCATTGCCACCCCGCCTGTTGCTGGGGGAAAGCCTACTAGTTGTAGTGGGCGTTCCAGCAAGAAGTGTCGTAGTACTTATGGCCATCCTTGTCGTCCTTGTCATCCTTCTTTCCGTCCTTGTCATCCTTCTTGTCGTCCTTGTCATCATCACAGTCATCTTCCCAAGTTAAGATGTCGATGATCTCCTCAAAGAGCTCACAGATGAACTTGTCATCGGATTCATCCTTCGAGTACGCTAGAAAGATATCAGATAAAGTTGACTGAGCGAGAGTGGATGTCAGACGTACCCTGACAAGAGTTACATTTGTCGTCCTTCTCGCAAAGGTTCTTGCAGTCTGAGTAAACGTGAGTAAAAATGATCAGGAATAAAAAAGAAAACGATAAGCTTACCGATCTCGTAGGTGTCCTTCTTGACATCCTTGTGGTCGTAGGGAGTGTACTTGCCCTTGTTCCATCCCGTGAAATCTTTCTTGTGCTCAAACACTGGCTCCCAGGTGCAATCCTTGCGTCCGTCGTCCTTGTTGCCGTAGTTGTAATCTTTGCTGCCACCGTCATTGTGGTCGTTCTTGCCCTTGTTATCAACACCGCCGTACGAGCCGTCCCTAGCCCGAACGGAAGTCGAGAGGACGGGGACCGCAAGAGCGGCGAGAGGGATGAGAGTGGCAACTGAGAAACGCATTGTGATAAATGAGTTGAAGTAGGTAGACGAGGGTGACTCGTCTGAAGAATGTTGGCGATTTCATAGCCTTTTTATATCTCTGAATACTAGGGAATCTTTTGCGACGTGGGTGAGTGTCTCGACCAACTGTGAACTTGAAAAACATCATATTGAAACAGTATAAAGCACAAGATGAGGGAAGTTTGTAGCCAAACATAATCTACTCCAAGACCTATCAAGCCGCAAGGGAACCTTCCAACCAAATACGGTACGGACGGGAACGTCGGTCTCAGAGAGAACGGGTAAATTTGGAGAGCCGCCAGCCTTAGTCTCAAGAAGCAAGAGTGATGATAGTCGAATAGAAAATATTCTAGAACTGCCAAGGATGTCGAGTGGATTCATGTGTGAAAGTCGCCAGAGAAATTGTTTTTCAAGGGATTACGGCCAAGTAAGTACATGATTCAGCAAGATATATGGGTCTTTCCTAATGGAAATCGGTAGTCCTCGCCGACGGTGGCTTGCCTTGGCAGCAATAACGGTGGCACCAGAGCGATAGAAAATTTGTCGTCCGAGTGGACGAAGAGGAAGAGAACGGCTAAGGATCGTGCCGTCACGGCAATTTGCCGACTTGCCAGTTCTCTTTCCGACGCTTCCGATACCGGTTTTCCAAATCCCTCTGGCTTGGACATCCTACGTATTTATTACATAACAACAGCTATATCCATCCCAACAATTCCAATCCACCTTCGAATTCCAACCGTCAAATTATCTTTAGCGATATTGAACGTTCAGAATCAACCCCCCCCCGGGTATTAGCCCTTGGCATACCTGAAATGTCTTATGCATCTCAGGACCAAAAATATTCTGACACCTCTCCCCGTTTTTTGTGCTACATCTTAGGGCGATGTTCTCACTTAAACCCTATTTTGTGAGTACTACTCGAGGCAGGATCGTCTGCGGCTTGCCAGGACGATGATACATGGGCCAAGTACATCAAATTCACAGTGTACTTATCTTTTTACTTACCTAGATCTGTCTATGCAACCCTTCCCTGCTTCCAGCACTGGGATTAAAAGTGTCCATGATTGCAAGAACTCAGGCGGCAAATATTATTTGTGTAAGCAAGGGGTCCACTTGGACCTGAAGTGCGGTTATGATCATGATAAGGGAGAATGCTTCAAGTGATGTGTTGAGATATATAATGGTGGCATCGTATGCCCCTATTGACGCGAAACTGGTCCATGCGTAGGAACACGTCCTCGGGTTTTTCCGCGGTGGCCCAACTCGCTGGTACTTCGTCTGCTTCGTTCCATGACACGTCCCCGACTCTCTTGACTGATGGAGTCATCCATTGGATAGCCTCAGCCTCAGTCACGGGTCGCGCTGCTTTGTCAAATTTCGAGTAGTTGACTAGCACTTCTTCAAAGGATTCTACTGACTCTACCAACAAACTTTCTGACTCAACTTTATGCCTCTCTTTCTCCCCAAGTCTACTCGAGGTTCATCTTGTTCTCCATCCGGTGATCCGTGCCCGACGGAGAAATTCTTCGAATAATTTACGCTCTAGATCAACGGCTTCGTTGTCTCTTCCCATCACCGATAATCCAGATGTTTATGTGACTGCTCCAAAGGCAAATCTATCAATGGCCAGAGTGGTAACCTCATCATAACATGCTTGGAATATCTGCACTAGCGATGCACGCGGTCCGGCTTGGCCGGGCCCGGGGATGGGCTCAGGCTCGGCCTTCAATGTTTTAAAGCCTTGAGGTCCAAATCGCTCGCTATCAAATGTTCTACTTTCCTGTTGTTTCATCCTGCTCTACTGGTAGACGAGGAACGTTAAATATAAAAATCGTCGTCACAGTCCAACTTCAGGGTTCGTAGTACTGCAACCTAGAATCAGTTTCAGAACCTAGGACGGTAGGACCGTAACCTCCGCGGAGTTCGTACTCGGCTTCAACCTCCCATGACCATAAGCAACCTATTATGTGCTTATTTTCCTACGTTCTCCAGCCGTACCGTGTGCTCTATGCCGTGGAGTCATAGTTGTTCCAAGCGTCATATAAAAACCCAAGTATTTTTGAAGAATACCTCCAACGCAACTCACGGTCACCGAGATGCAATTCACTCTCAAACCCCTTGCTATCCTCGCCACCACTATTGGTATGGCCAAAGCCATCTGTCCTGGCTTCAAGTACGCGGATTTCCTCTGTTCGTAACCTATGCTAAGTATAAATTCTACAGCTACGGCATTGCCGACCTTGGAGGAGGACCTCCGGGCTCTTGTACGCGATATATTTTCAAACTTCTTCCCCCAAATTTAACTGACCACTCTCAGGGAGGGTTTATGACGATTCTTGCAACCCGGTCCTAACTGTCATTACCGACAACCCATGCACGCAGGGCTCCTTCAGCTGTAGCCCTCCCCCCATCACATTCACCGGGCTGCATCTTAACGGGCAGAAGTAAGTCCAAAGTCTGTGAAGTCGTGACAATCACTTACGATTTCCTCGTAGCTATGCCTGCCGTGGTGATCCCAATTCGGGCTCCTGCAGTGGACATGGTATCCAAGTCTGCGTACGTCCTTGCTCAGTCGCTTCAGAGAGAGAGAAATTGACCCATATATCAGTGTCGCAACGATGGGAACTAAAACCAGCTCTCTAATGTATATGTACCGTATATAACAATTTGACAAGAAGTCTACACAGTAGGTGATTACAAACACCTTTTCGAATATAAATCATGATCGCAGCTGGGGAAGAAGCTTGGGTTGGTATCCAAGTGGTTGTTAGTTTGAAAGCATATCTAGCATTGCCTTGGTCTGGGCATGAGCATGAGCGCCGTATTAAGCAAGGCTGAATCTACCGAACGTGACAATGTTTATGTTTGAAGATAAAGGTATTAAAGAGTTAGGAACTTGGAATACCATAGCTAGGCAGTCTAATCACAACAATCCACTCTTCGCCGTACTACAAATTTATCCACAAGTAGTACTCGAGGAACGATATAAGGAAGTTTTCCTATGTGTATGACAGAACATCGATAATGCTGATTATAGTCCTATATGGAAAGGGGAACGAACGGAGCGGAGAGCCTACATCAGTCTACCTTAATCTTTCCCTGTATCCCATCCGGATCTATGAATACAGTCACGAAGCGGGAAAAGGGGAAGACTTACGCTCACACGCAATGGCTTTGTAGATCGACCACTCGGAGATAAGACCACACTGTTCGTTGCTGAATGCTCTTGATTGTCAGACGCCGAAGACGTCGTGCTCGTACTGGCTGTCGACTCGCTACTGGTGGAGGCTGAGACTCGAACTTGGGGGGACTGGCGCTTGTCCCTCACCCAGAGACCGGATATATATTCTTGGACGCCCGTGATCATGGATCCCCATGTAATCCCTATGAAAAATGTCAAAACAAGACAGAAAAGAAAAACTATGCGTACCTTCAATGTGATCCACAACCTCTTCCAGCAACTGTGAGAGTGGCTCTGATAACAATGAACACAAGTCATAGGATTAACATCATACTCACTAATATTTTGCGTCAGCAGAAGAAGAATGCTCGTCCATAGGAGCCGCTGAAGATCAAGCTCGATGAGCTCGACATCTTGACGCAGCGGAAATATGGCATCTTCCATGAGCTTCCAAAACTCGGGGGCATGCTCAGGATTATTGCGGTAGCGGGCAGGTTTAGGGGGTGTCTTGTCGCCATACACAAGCTTGACGGTCTGGTACTGGCAATCGGCGAGAAAAACCTGAGCCGGTGCGACGTTCCGAAAACCGTCCCAAAAGATGGCATGGAAAGGGCTTGTAGGAGCAGACGCCTGGATACGTGAGATCTCTGTATTTGACTTGCGTAGTTTTGGGAGAATTTCTTCGAGCTTGGTGAGAGCGGCAGTTAAGGAATGTGAGTGGATTGTATAAACTTCGGTTGCGTCAGAAGGAATTGTTCCCCATGCTGAGCAGAAAGGGCCGTATGGGAAATCTGGATTTAATAGCATCCATGGACGGTCGCCAAACTTGGGGTGGGCCGGGCGAGGCTTCAAGTAGAGCTTGATGTCGTCCATAGTGGGAGATGAAAAGGGGTATTTGGATATCATGCGACAGACGTGCATATGAGACTGTAGCTAACTTTGTAGCATAAGAGTTAGCGTGATCCCATGAACATTCATCCCTGCCACGGAAACTCGTCATTCACCATTTATCCTCGGTGTACCACAACATTTGTTGACACCCTCAGATGATTGACTAACGTCCGAACCACACCAGGACCTAGACCAGAGTTGACTGCACGATGTTCAACAACAACAACAACAACGACACCCATCTCCCCGCTCAGAGGAATATCCTATGCGCTATCTCGCACTTTTAGTCAGTTCGTAGGAACGAATGTCCTATTGCTCACCTTCCAGATCGTACACTTTTATGTCTAGGCCCTCTTGCTTGAACGCAGTCAGACGTTGAATGTTATACATAATCGCATCTCTCCAATCCGGTCGCGTTTTACAGACTCCTGCGGCAACAGTATCACCTTCTATCAAGTTCTATGCGAGTTCGCAGTTGTGCTTCGGCCGCCTGCCAACGATACTCGATTAGATCAACCAAAGCGGAGTCACAAGCTATACAGGATTCCTCCGCTATGAGAACGTGTCGTGTCTTGATTGTCAGAGGCCTCATCTTTGGGAAACCCTCGAACGCGATGTGCTCGAAGAGCTGGTTCAGGTTGCCCCAGTTGTTCAGATTTCGTAGGTCGATCACGAGCTCCTCGGTCTCAGGAAAGACTGGGGTTGGGAAGATATCGAATATAGGCCACCTAAACTTTGGATCCTGCGTTAGGATTAAACAAAACTAGGACTCAGCAAAATGATGATTTGGGAAATCGGGTGTAATCTGATTATCATCGTTGTTTGGACGGGGCCGGTCATGATCCTCATTCCGATGCCTGCGTCGACGTCGATTCCTGTTACGGTCGACATGGTCGCAGCAAGTTTCGTACCGAAAGTTGCGGGGGTTGTTAACGATGACTGGAGCGTTACCACAAGCAGAGCATGGGCGGATAGTTGGAGACGAATTGTTCTGCAGGTTGTAGGCGACAGCGAGAATTGTAACAACTGGGCAGAATCATACCGGTCATATATAGGAAATCGGGGCTTCTGAAGACAATAATCAGTACAAGACAGAAGGGGAACAAGTACACAATATCGGCCTATCCAAAGGAAACGATCCTCCCCTGGAAACTCCAATTCAAGCTGAAGACAATGGCCGGCGATTACTGGGCCATCCCAGAATGGTACAGATACTTCGATGGCGCTTGTCATCGCAAGGCCCTAGTACCTGTGCCGCATATATACGGGTAGGCGCTGCTCATGGAAGTAGAAGGACAAGGATAGGCGATGCATCAATTTCCCCCTGATTTCGGTTTTGCCAAAAAAGGACCAAATTTTGTTTCGTCGCTTCAAATTTTATGTATACGACGCGACCGTTCCTAAGAATACGAGGAAAAAATCAAAGAGCGTACCATGCTTCAAGATCAAGGTCACGAGAAGGGAGAGACCTTAGCTGAGTCTCACTTTATCAACAGCACTCCAAAATAAATCATCATCTGAAAGGGAAAAAAATGCTACAAGAGTCGTTGAATGGCAGCAAGAACGGTTCCTCTGTCAGCATTTTCCATCGCATAGAAACGAAATCGTGTAAGTTGCCTCTTATCGTTCGTTACCCAATATACTGATACATTTTCCTAAGCATGTCCTCTAAAAAAACGCCAAATGTCTGCAAAGACGGCCCCTCTCCAGAATGATTCGACTACAAACGAACTAAGGCCTACCCAGCTAATGGCAGTAGAGGCTCAGAGGCTCATTTGGGACAAGTACTTCTCTCTCTTCAACAAAGAACCTCCTGCATTTCTACAGCGGGGCCTCTTTTTTTATTATTTCATCATTTACTAGACACGGCGAGGACCACTGCCTTCGAGCTCGACGATTACGCAGAAAAACTTGAAATGATGTCCAGGTTCTATGGTCTGGACTGGACGGACGTTTGTGATTACTTGGGACTTGACAGCGACAAAGGCGACGAGCAATTCCGGAAGAAATATCTCACCTGCATCAACCTCCCAGAGTCGGTTCAGGAAGAAATGCACGACATGATCGGGCCCAGTGTGCAGACTGGTCTCCGTCCTGGCGGGAAGCTGGACTTGGCTTCAATTAAAAAGCTAGTGCCACCTGGGATTACTATGCGACATAAAGTTGATGGGAGTGATGCCACCGTCCGCCTCCTCACCTTGGAGTTGAGGCCCAAAACTGGTGAATGCGCGTTCGTGATGAGTTGCGGAGAAAGCGAGGCGCGTCGTTATCAGTTTCTTGAGATTTCGATATATCTACTATCCGTTCATGGCAGGCGTATCACATCTTCGACCTCGATTCATTGACATCTTGTTTCGATGTCGGAGCCAAAAGCTGATATCAGCGATTCTCGAGATGGTTCAAAAATGCTTACCGAACGTTCCTGTTTGTGGTTTTATCTAAGTAAATCTGCATTTGCATAAACTGACTATAATTTTAGGAATCATCCACCACGTCAAGCCAGAGCGACAACTGGACTAGCGCACACAACACTGCGCAGGAAGTACACGAAATTCTAGCGACTACCATGAAAGATTCAGAACGCGAGAATGCTCTGGTGCTTCTCCGAGACAAGCAAGTTATGTACGCGAAATTTCAAACTGTGTGCTCATGTTTCGAGCAGTCTATCAGCATTGAACCCCCAAGGTGTCAACTCGGATGTTTATCGATGCATGCGTGAAGACCAGATTCGAAAAAACGAGGAGCATCGTAGGTACCGGAACCGAGAGTTCGAGCTTGCTCAGCAGGGCGAGGGTTCCGGTGATATTTCGCAAATGCCAGGTCCTGGTCTCTGATGTACTGCACATGTTGATACGTGCAATGCAGCCCGAAAATGAGGAGCCGAATTTGCGGCGTAAAAAAAAAGAGAGTTTTTTATCAGGCCTTCTAAGAGCGTAGAGATCAAGTTTGAGCTTCGAGGACGGATGAGCAGGCCGGAAGGTGGGCGAGGAGAGGGCAGTCACCATTACGCACGTTCAAAACGGAGTTCGCAAGAGTTGGTTGAACGCAGAATGTGCCTCACGTGTCGACCGTCTATGATGGGCCTATGTGACAAGTCTTGGAGGGAGAAGGATGCGGTGGAAGAGTTGACAGATCCCAGGTACTTGTTTATTCATTGCGCTTGAAACGGTTGGCAAGATCAAACCTCACGACCATATTACTATCAGCGACGTGACGCGATGCCTATCATTCATGTCCTCACTACGACCCCAGAGTTCTGCAGTTCATGAAGAAGCAGCGGATGAGGGAGGCGAAGTTTTATGAAAGACACCGGTCAACTACATTAGTAAATGTGTACAACAGATATCGTCAAAGCTTGCTCTTGATCAGAGCAACATTCCGCAGCTAAAGGTCCCACATGCACATTGCATTGGAGGTATACGCTACTATACATACAGAGTGTTACAAATGTCCATTGTCGCACCACCTGTAGTCGGAAGAAAGCCTAGTAGTTGTAGTGGGCGTTCCAGCAAGAAGTGTCATAGTACTTGTGGCCATCCTTGCGGTCTTTGTCGTCTTTCTTTCCATCCTTCTTTCCATCTTTCTTGTCGTCCTTTCCATCCTTCTTGTGGACCTTGTCATCATCACAGTCATCTTCCCAAGTCAAGATGTCGATGATCTCCTCGAAGAGCTCGCAGATGAACTTGTCATCGGATTCATCTTTCGAGTAAGCTAGAAGGAAATATTGAATAAAGTTGATTGGACAGGAAGGGGTAGATATCAGACGTATCTTGGCAAGAGTTACATTTGTCGTCCTTCTCGCAAAGGTTCTTGCAGTCTGAATAAACGTGAGTGAAAATGATCAAGAATGAAAGATAAAAAAATAAAACTACCGATCTCGTAGGAGTCCTTCTTGACATTCTTGTGGTCGTAGGGAGTGTACTTACTCTTATTCCACCCCTTGAAGTCCTTCTTGTGCTCAAACACCGGCTCCCAGGTGCAGTCCTTGCGCCCGTGGTCCTTGTTGTCGTAGTCCTTGTTGCCGTAATGGTAGTCTTTACTGCCGCCGTCATTGTGGCGGTCTTTGCCCTTGTTATCAACACCGCCGTACGAGCCGTCCCTAGCTTGCGCGGAAGTCGAGAGGACGGGGACCGCAAGAGCGGCGAGAGGAATAAGAGTGGCAACTGAGAAACGCATTGTGATGAGTGAGCTGAAGTAGGTAGACCAGGGTGAATTGTCTGAAGAATATTGGCGATTTCATAGCCCTTTTATATCTCTGAATACTAGAGAATCTTTTGCGACGTAAAGTGAGTGTCTCGACCAACTGCGAACTCGAAGAACGTCATATTGAAACAGTACAAATCCTAAGATGAGGGAGGTTTATAGCCAAGTGTAATCTAAACCAAGACCTGTCAAGCCGCAACGGAACTTCCGCCTAAATACAGCACCGGCGGGAACGTTAGTCTCAGAGGGAAAGGAGAAATGTGGAGAGCAGCTAGCCTTATCCTCAAGAAATGAGAGAGCTGGTAGTCAAATGGAAAATATTTTAGAACTGGCAAGGACATAGAGTGGATCCATGTTCGAGAGTCGCCAGAGAGATTGTTTTTTTCAAGGGATTATGGTTAAGTCTCCCATGGTTCGGAAACAGGAGATCCTCGCTCACCGTAGCTTGCCTTGGCAGCAGGGGCGGTGACACCGGAGCACTAGAAAATATGTCGTCTGAGTAGACGAAGAGGAGATTGAAGACCAAGGATCCTGCCGTCACGTCAATTTTGCCGACTTGCCGGATCAGCTCGGCTTGCCGGTTTTCTTTCCGACGCTTCCGGTTCCCTTCTTGCTCGGTCACCAACAACTCGGAACGCTGGAAACTTGGACATCTTGCGTTTCGACAACAACGCTCATATGCGTCCCACAAATTTCCAATCCTCAACTGCGCTAACCGTCAAATTATCTATAGTATTCTTTGAACGTTCAGATTGCCCCCGCCCGTACCGATTGGACCTTGGCATGCCTGAAAGGTCTTACGCATCTCAGAACCAGAAATATTTTGATACCTTTCCCATTTTTTGTGCTACGTCTTAGGACGAGACATGGGTCAGGTACATTAAATTCACAGTATACTTATCTTTGACTTACCTAGATCTGTACTCCGCTTCTAGCGCTGGGATTAAAAATGCCCATAATTGCAAGAACTCAGGCGGCAAATATTATTTGTCTAAACAGGGGACCACTTGGACATGCAGTGCAGTAAGGAACATGGTTGGATTGAAGACAAGAGAATGCTTCAAGCAAATGTGGTTCGTGTTGATTGTAACCGTCAGCCACTAACGACGCGAAACTGGTCCATGCGTGAGAATATCATTATATCTTCGGATTTTTCCGCGACGCAACTCGCGCTGGTACTTCTTCTGCTTCGTTCCATGACACATCCCTGACTCTTGACCACGTTGGAATCATTCATTAGATAGCCTCAGCCTCAGTGGGTCGCGCTGCTCTGTCAAACTCGATCAGTTGACCAGTACTTCTCCAAAAGCTCCTACTTTGATAACAAATTTTCTGGCTCAAGTATGTCTCTCTTTCTCCTCAAGTTTGCTTGCCCGAGGTTCATCTTGCTCCCCATTCCGTGATCCATGCCCGATGACCACGGAGAGGTGCTTCGAATAATTTACGCTCTGGATTCATGGCTTCATTGTCTCTTCCCATCACCGATAATCCAGATGTTCACGCGACCACCAGTTCCAAGGCAAATCTATCGATGGCCAGAGTGGTGCACCTCATCATAGCATGCTTGAAATATCTGAACTAGCGATGTACGCGGCCCGGCCAAACCGGGTCCTGGGATGGGCTTTGTGGGGGCTCAGCTTTCAATATTTTAAAGCCTTGAGGTCGAAATCGTTCGCTATCAAATGATCTACCTTCCTTTTTTTCCATCCTGTTCTACTCATAGACGAGGAACGGTAGATAAAAAATCGTCGTCACAGCTCAACTTCAGGGTTCATACTTCCCTCGCCTCGAATCTGTTTCAGAACCCAGGACCGTGATCTCCACGGAGTTCGTACTCGGCCTACCATGACTATGGGTGGCCTTTTATGTGCTTATTTTCCTGCGTTCTCCACATAGTTGTTCCAAGCGTCATATAAAAACCCAAGCATTTTTGAAGGATACCTCCAACACAACTCAGTCACCGAGATGCAATTCACTCTCAAATCCCTTGCTATCCTCGCCGCCACTGTTGGTATGGCCAGAGCCATCTGTCCTAGCTATAAGTACGCGGAATTCCTCTATTCGCAACCAACGCTAACTATAAATTCTACAGCTTCGGTATTGCAGACCTTGGAGGACCTCCGGGCTCTTGTACGCGACTTATTTTCAAACTGCTTCCCTCAGTTTAGCTGATCACTCTCAGGGCGGGTTTATGACGATTCTTGCAATATGGTCCTGACTGTCATTACCGATAACCCATGCACGGAGGGCTCCTTCAGCTGTAGCCCTCCCCCCGTCACATTCACCAGGCTGCATCTTAACGGGCAGAAGTAAGTCCAGGTCTGTGAAGTCGTGACAATCACTTCAGTTATGTCTGCCGTGGCGACCCCAATTCGGGTTCCTGCAGTGGACATGGTATCCAAGTCTGCGTACGTCCTTGCTCACTCGCTTGAGATAGGGAGAAATTGACCATATATTAGTGCCGCAACGATGGGAACTAAAACCAGCTCTCTGATATGTATGTACCGTATATAGCAATTCGACGAGAAGCCTACACAGTAGTCGAATACAAACACTTTGTTAATGTAAATTACGATCACAGCTAGGGAAGAAGCTTGAGTTGCTTCCGTGGGCCACTAAATGACTATATGCATTCCGTCCAAACGGTTGCTTCAAAAGCATATCTAATGCTGCCTCTGTCTGGGGCATGCGCGCCGTTATCAAGCAATGCCTCAATGTTTCTCAATGCTGAATCTACCGAACATGACAATGTTCATGCTAGAAGATAAAAGTATTTACGTCAAGAAAAAGTTTGGAACTTGGATTACCGTGGCTCATCGGTCTGATCACAAAAATCTACTCTTCGCCGTACTACGGTTTTATCCACAAGTAGTGCTCGGGAAACAATGTAAGGAAGCTTTTTAATGTATATAATAGAACGTCGATAATGCTGAGTATGGTACTGTATGGAAAGGGGAACAAACGGAGCGAAGAACCTACATCAGTCTACCTTAATCTTTCCCTGTATCCCATCCGGATCTATGAATACAGTCACGAAGCGGGAAAAGGGGAAGACTTACGCTCACACGCAATGGCTTTGTAGATCGACCACTCGGAGATAAGACCACACTGTTCGTTGCTGAATGCTCTTGATTGTCAGACGCCGAAGACGTCGTGCTCGTACTGGCTGTCGACTCGCTACTGGTGGAGGCTGAGACTCGAACTTGGGGGGACTGGCGCTTGTCCCTCACCCAGAGACCGGATATATATTCTTGGACGCCCGTGATCATGGATCCCCATGTAATCCCTATGAAAAATGTCAAAACAAGTCACAGAAAAGAAAAACTACGCGCACCGTCAATCTCTTCCATCGACTTTGAGAGTGGCTCTGATAACAATGAACACAAGTCATAGGATTAACATCATACTCACTAATATTTTGCGTCAGCAGAAGAAGAATGCTCGTCCATAGGAGCCGCTGAAGATCAAGCTCGATGAGCTCGACATCTTGACGCAGCGGAAATATGGCATCTTCCATAAGCTTCCAAAACTGGGGGGTATGCTTGCGGTACCAGGTAGGTTTAGGGGGTGTCTTGTCGCCATACACAAGCTTGACGGTCTGGTACTGGCAATCGGCGAGAAAATCCTGGGCCGGTATGACAATCTCAAAACCGTCCCAAAACATAGCACGGAAAGGGCTTGTAGGAGCAGACGCCTGGATACGTGAGATCTCTGTATTTGACTTGCGTAGTTTTGGGAGAATTTCTTCGAGCTTGGTGAGAGCGGCAGTTAAGGAATGTGAGTGGATTGTATAAACTTCGGTTGCGTCAGGAGGAATTGTTCCCCATGCTGAGCAGAAAGGACCATATGGGAAATCTGAATTTAACAGCATCCATGGACGGTCGCCAAACTTAGGGTGGACCGGGCGAGGCTTCAAGTAGAGCTTGATGTCGTCCATAGTGGGAGATGAAAAGGGGTATTTGGATATCATGCGACAGACATGCATATGAGACTGTAGCTAACTTTGTAGCATAAGGGTTAGCGTGATCCCATGAACATCCATCCCTGCCACGGAAACTCGTCATTCACCATTTATCCTCGGTGTACCACAACATTTGTTGACACCCTCAGATGATTGACTAACGTCCGAACCACACCAGGACCTAGACCAGAGTTGACTGCACGATGTTCAACAACAACAACAACAACGACACCCATCTCTCCCCGCTCAGAGGAATATCCTATGCGCTATCTCGCACTTTTAGTCAGTTCGTAGGAACGAATGTCCTATTGCTCACCTTCCAGATCGTACACTTTTATGTCTAGGCCCTCTTGCTTGAACGCAGTCAGACGTTGAATGTTATACATAATCGCATCTCTCCAATCCGGTCGCGTATTACAGACTCCTGCGGCAACGGTATCACTTTCTATGCGGACAGTTCGCAGTCGTGCTTCGGCCGCCTGCCAACGATACTCGATTAGATCAACCAAAGCGGAGTCGCAAGCTATACAGGATTCCTCCGCCATGAAAACGTGTCGTGTCTTGATTGTCAGAGACCTCATCTTTGGGAAACCCTCGAACGCGATGTGTTCAAAGAGCTGGTTCAGGCTGCCCCAGTTGTTCAGATTTCGTAGGTCGATCACGAGCTCCTCGGTCTCAGGAAAGACTGGGGTTGGGAAGATATCGGATATAGGCCACCTAAACTTTGGATCCTGCGTTAGGATTAAACAAAACTTTCGCACCTGGACACAGGATCGCTGTTGCATCATCTTCAATGTCATGCTTGTATGTACATTTAAGACATCGGAGGGAAGTGTGAGCTCGTCAAGAGATGGACAAGTCAAATACTTGAGGATGCAAGAATTTCGCAGATGAAGGGAACGTAGGGCGGGAAGCGTTATGATATTAGTATTCATGTTACTCCCATCCATGTCCACAGTCTGGTCCTCAAATACTTCAATCCTTCGACAAAGAGTCAATGTGTTTATGCACTTTTCGACGGCCCCAGACGTCCGCAGGTCCAGGATTAAATGAGTCAACTGGGCCCAAGGCAGCTGGATACTACCCGGCCAGAAGACTTGATGTGCGACGGACAATCGCAACGTCCTCAGCCGAGGCGCCTCTCTAAACACATTACAAGCTCCTGCAACAGAGTCGAGATACGTCGGCTCCGCTAAGCCCAGGCCCAACGAAACCAATTGGAATGGCTGCGGACGAGCAAGCTCGGAGAATGAAGACACTATGGCATCGGGTTTGGCATGAATAAAACTGGCACTCTTCCATCGGGAAATGTGTGGGAATAGACAATCAACAAGCGCCTTGTGGCTTCCGCACAGATAGTCAAAATCCACGGTGAAAGCCAGATCGGCACAGCCGGACCTTTGGAGAACACCGTTCAGGAGCGCTATGCTAGCCCTCTCTTTAAAAAAGGACAGACGGGGCACCGAGAAAGACGCCCATAGCGCCGGACACGACCAGGCAACTTGACGCCACCTTCGGCAGACTCTGCCTAGGATCCATGGTCCTCCGGTGAAGACGTTGAATGGTTCTATGGCCAAGGTGAATATCTCAAATAATAGTTCTAGTGGCAACCTTTGCACGGGTGCCAGTGGATGCGCCGCGCCCGCTCCAGATTCGTGGCTGGCCGCAGGCGGGGCGGGGGGGAATAAAGTGGCGAATGAATCGTCGCTGATACGACGCTTCTTGGATGAAGAGCCCGACGCTGGGTTAATGACGAGTACCTAGAATGAAAACTCGTGTCAGTAAATGGACAACGCCACTGCGACCTCGATCGTGGCTGTCACTACACACCATCAGCCGGCATTCAAGTTACTGATAACCCTTTGGGCGCTTCGATGGAAGTGGTCCTTGGTGCTAATAGAGAGATTCAAGACTGAAAAAAATGACAGCGAGCGTGGGGTGAGAGTTGAGAACAAGTAACTAGAAATATAAGAGAAGTAAATTATATAGTCACGTGGCACTCAGTACGCCTCTCACCACTTCGTCTAACTTTTTTCCATACTGTTACATGACGAAATATTTGCTCCCTTTTACAATTTTACGTTGATCACGATAACAGTTGGCCAATTTGCTAGCTATCACTACAGAGTACATGCTTCTACTACCTCATTCTATTAGTATGGCTATCTTGGAAGCGGCAATAACCTAATGGTAACTTGAAAGACGAACCTCGAGGCACTAGACAGAATCAGTCCAGAGCTAGCATCCGCCTGACATCCTCTTGGATCCTGGAGTCGCTGAGGCAAGAGGTAATTCACACGTACACCAGCAGTCCCGTGGGGTCGGTCAAAAATCCAGTGGTAAGGGCGCGGATAACGTCCTCGAATCTGGACGTAAAGCAGGCAATCATGGCCAACGGAACACCATTCTGTTACAGGATCAGAAGTATACTCGACACTCCCGTTATGTATCTGATGATCAAGGAATTCTGAAACAGGCCAGAAAAAAATTCTACCGGTTTGGTAGGGGCACCGCGCTGCTGCGCCTTCTACAACTGAATCGGTAACACTCCGGGAGTCGTAATGGGGATACATTTTTCATGTCATCGTGAGAAATGAGTAAGTAGTAAACGTCGGGACCGTCAAGTTGTGGGAGGAAAATGATAAGAGATCATGACAGGCGCCCTGTTATCCCCCGCGAAATTTCACGGGCCGTGATGTCAGGGACTCCTACTTGTAGAATTGAACGTTCAGGGCACCCTCTATTAAAATTGATCCCGGTCAGTCAGAGGCACGGCGAACAATGAATTAATGAAATCACTCGCCTTTACGGACCTGACCAAGGCAATACACCGAGCCTCTCCATTCCTGGACCAGAATCACATTCCAGGGCATGTTTGCCGATACCGCTTTCCGAATCCAATGTCGAACTGATAGCCTCGGTTGCGACGGCAAATTTATGAAGAGATTGCGTGCTGCTATGTACATGTAACGACGAGCCGGAATTGCCATCGGGACATACGCATCATTCGGTTAGAGACAAATGGAAAAAACTTGTCGTCTGTAGTCGATCTAAGACAGATTTCCTGAGATTTTAGGTAATGGCAGCCTTGCCAGGATGCCCGTCAGCCCAGGTACGCCAGATATGAGATCCAGGACGACGGTCGACAAAGAAGAGAGACGGTCCCAGGTCGTTTGAGAGGTCCTTCGTAAGGACCAACGGTGGGGAAGGAACTGAGCAGCTCAGGTCGTGTTAATAAGTATGGGAACCGCCCCAGTGCTGACAAGACCCTGATTCTGGAAAATTGCGTGCTATGTTGAAGTGGAACCATTAGAACAATCAGGAGCGGCAAAAGAGCTCGAGCCCAGACACAGTCTGTATTCAACCAACACAGCACGGGCCCGTGCGGAGATGAATGCTGGGAAATAATTTACCTTACGACCAACTCTACATAGCTCCGCAGCAAGCGACGAGATGATAGTCCGAAGATCAGTCCCTAAAGTGGAAGCCGCCGCCAGAGTACCTCATTTCGATGTGCTGCAGACAGACTAAGTTCAACCGGCGAAACTTGGATAGGCGAAAAATGATTAAAATTGTTGTATCTGTCGCATGCCAGCAATGATGCAGCTCGCCAAACTCAGAGATAGTAAGAGCCCACACCGGCCGCCATTTCGCTCTAATAGTCCCGCTACCCAGCGCCCAGTCACGACGCAGCCAAGGGATTCGGGGGTCGTATTCCAAGAGTAGCCACGTGGCGCTGCCGGCATAACCCTCCGTAAAGCCGACCACGCCCCGTCGGGCTCGGGATTGCCACTTTTGGGTTTTTCCACCCACGACAAAACCGGGAACAATATTGGGTTTCTGCACCCCGTTTCCTCCACTTGACAGGTTCTCATTCAACAATAAACAGACTTGTCAGGTTCCGCAGTTTGGCAGATGTTTAATCATCTTTACAGAATACACTCCTTCGTCGGGGGGCAGTTTCCATGGGTTCGGATTTTGGACAGGTTATGGGTACAGTTACTATATGCTAGTTAGATCCTAAGGCAAAAGCGAGTCCTACCCTGATTATTATGTACAGAACGAAGAGATCAAAGCGCAGGAGACAAGGTAAGAGTACACAAAAGATAGTAGGTGCAAGAGGGTAGGGTATATATAGCGTATTCGACACAGCAGGATATAAAGCGACGTTAAAAAATACAGACCTTGAGACACCAAATGGAAAACAAATGTAAATGAGGAAGATATGAATTATATTGGACGTGCTAGATATTCATCTGCTTCGGGGTCCAGTAAATCGATTGGAGACGTGAATGTCATGATCTGGACAAATTATCAGTTAGACATATGATGGATAGATGAAGAAGAGTCTGCGACGCACGTATGGATGGACAGCCTGGCCGGGGGCACTCGTCGAAGCCTCCTCTTCCAGAGAAGTTGACGCCATAGGTTGCATACGTGCTTTGCTGCTCTGCGATGTACCCGGACGCAAGTCCCACGTCACATCCGAGCGCTCTTCGCCTCTGTGGTATTCGGATGTCTCGGGTTCGTGGTCAATGTCAGAGTCGGGCGATGTCACATCCATGTCTTCTGAGAAATGCCGGTGATGGTGATGCGGTGGTAGATGTGGGCAGTACAGCGAATGTTGCGTGTCATTGGGAAAGTTGTAGATTTGTGGGTAGGCGTCATCACCGGATTTGGCAGATGATGGATCTTGGAACTGATAACGGGGCAGTGAGCCAGAGTGCATAGTGAAGAGAGGTGCCGATTGTGGCGGTGGTGGTGAAATATTCTTGGACATGTAACCAGATTCTCGGGTAATAGATCGGGGGAAGAATATCTAGCAAAGAATTAGACTCACTTGAAATTTTTGTGGATGTTGTTTCAACTTACTAGTAGTGTGATCGCGGAAGAAACGAAGCATCCAATTCCTCCAATCATGATCAAGAAGTCTTCAGAAATCGATGTTCATCAGTCATATCGATCAAAATGACCAAAGCCTTACCAGGCCAAAATCTAACAAGAAAGGATGAGTAGGTATTAATAGTATCGAACACGGGACTTACGGATGGCTGAGAACCGGATATGGCGTGGCGATACCATCAGCACCTACGACAAGAAGAGGAATATTGAACAAGAAGCGGAAAATGACCCGAATGACCTATCTCGTCCGAGGTGAGAAATAAACTCAGATAGGTGACTCGTACCCACATTCAGATGATAAAAGGTGGCCAATCTGATAACGACGTCTGGCTCAGCACCTTCAAGTTTTACATGACGAATAAACGCTGGGAAACGAGCAAGAACGTAGACAAAACACAATGTTGTCAAGGACCCTGCAGAGGAACCACTGAGGAAAATCCAGGCCACGCACTAGAATCGGACGTGAGCTCCGAAAATGCGGGAATACAAATGACAAGCATACAGAATCCAAGTCGTTTCTTTGTACAAGGGTAGCGAGGGGCATCCCGAGAATGGCTATCATGCTCCCTTGAAAAAGGCGCCGAAGGCTGGTAAGCAATAGCGAATTTGAAAAGAACGAAACATAGATTTACCGAGATACCACACACGGAACTCCCAGCTATGAAACCAATTGCGCTTGCTGGGGCCTTGATGAAGGAGAAAGAGCCAGAAAGTTAATTCTGTTGGAATTAATCATCAGGGATGGGGTTGATACGGAAGTAAAGAATGTTCTAGCCTTCAAGATGGGTGACGCTAGAAAAAGCGAGTTGACATATCAATCAACGGAGGGTGAGAGGAAAGAGGCACGAACAGTTCGAAAGCCCAAGCAAAGCTCAGGATGAAGTAGAGTGGGAGGACCCATCGGAGATGGTTGTGGTGCCAGACAGTGAGTGGCCGAGGTAACACTACAAAAGCAGCCAATCAGAAGGAGCAAAGTCACCGAACGGCCGAGTACATACCAGTATCCAGTATTGTCATGTATCCTATTCGCAACGAGCTGCTGAGTGCTGCAACCAGGTGATGAAACAGAACACGCACCTTCCCTGTATTTTAGGATCGTTATTGTGACACTGAACACCATAAGGAGAGGCACGGTTGCGACGTAGGAGTACCTAGACGAAAATGATGAGAAAAACGCGAGCAGTGATAAAGGCGTATTCACGTCATGACCCGCTTGAAAGCACCAGGCTGTCGACCAGAAGACCATTTCAAACACTGAAATCTATCGTAGGACCACAGGTGAAGAGTCATGAAAGCTTGAAACTGCAGACACAGTAAGCAACGCCTCGTCTCCGTACAACCCAAAACAGTGCGCTCACGGTGCAAGCCAGGACGGCCCACAGAAGATAGGCCGGTGGCGATCCAGAGCTCATGAAATGTCGCGAAAAGAGACTGGAAATGTCGTGAAAGAGGCCAGTTTTGAAAGAAATCAAGAAAGAAAGAAAAGGGAGTGGAAGAGACCCTGCATCCACGAAAGGTTATGATATTCAGCAGAGCTTGTCGCTGTTGTCCCTGTTCGGTGTTCCCCGGCCCAAGGCACCGGAATTGGAAATTCGAACCCAAGCCAGCCAAGCCGGCTTCGATCACGTCTACCGGAGGCAAATGTGCATCTGCCGCACAAAAATACCCGTTCATTGCTCCCCGCTGCTTCTCTGGTACAGCCTTGCATTTTTACTTTCTGTAGCTATGTTCTCTCATTCACAGGCAGTAGAACGCTGTTGGTTGCAAGAACGCCTTGGAAACCGTCGTATTCATTCTATATACGAATTTGAATCATCTTTAGATCGCCGACCGCGATCCGGTCAGAGATGCTTGAATACTTACCCTTAAGCTGTCCGTGTTCCCTCAAAAATATTCACCCACCCAGAAGGACAGAGCTCGACGTTTTTACCTGCCAAAGTACCCCCAGAAACACTAAAACAATAGACTGATGCTCCATGTTAGTATTTGAGCTACGTACTGCCAAATGCCACATCATTCATTCCACGGTACGTAGAGCCAACTGTTGAATCACTTTTCTATGTTGGTGCAAAACGAGGCCGACCGACACCCGAGTGTAGGCTGACTGGGGTTAGTAAAATTGCGAGCCGAAGTCACTCCGAAAGTCGGAGCTCGTCCAAAAAGTCCCATGATTCCATGGGGCACTATACGACGGACCGCCCAAGAATGAATAGCGGGAAATACGCTCTTTCAGGTGACCCACAAGGGAGATGGAGGGGACGGAGGAGCGCTAGATTAGAACAACCAGCCTCCAGATTGGATGGCATTACAAAATAACAGAACACATCCCTTGATTCCCTGTGGCGTACATTAATCTATTGTGGATTGCCAAGGTCCCCGTTCGGAAGCAGTCAATGCCTCTTTTCTGCGACAGTAGCATTCTAGCCACCATATAATGACAGAAGCAAGCCAGCAAATGACGTAGCCCCCTCGGAATGGACCAAGTCTCCCACCGCTGATCCAAAGATCATTGATGCGACACCAAGTCATCAATTTACGCCTCCATGTCCAAGTCCAAAAGCCTTAACCGCCAGTCTGCATTACGTCCCAGTTCAGGCTTAGGCACGGAATCAACAGGGTTCACTCGTTTCGCTTTCTCGACTTGCTCCATTCGCGCCGCCCAAGAATCTGTCGTCGATTCACCCTCCTCCGCTGCGGGCTTCTTCCAGATGTCCTCGACTGCCTCCTGAAGCTCCCGCTCGAACGCATCGATCTCCTTCTGAAGATTGGAACCTTCTTCACGATGGTCGGGTGTGAATTCGAAAAGGTGTGGAATAAGGCTTCGGGCTTCATCTGTAACAATAAAGAACCATCAGCACCTCTCTCCGATGGCAACTCGCCACAAACCTCGGGTGGTAGCAAACTTCACAACGAGCTTAGCCACAGACTTGAAAAGGTACTCCTCCTCATCCGCAGTGCCCTTCCTACCCGAGCCCACCTTCCTCTCCTGCTTTCTCTTCGACCGAGAACTCTGCCTATAAATTGTTGCACATCAACCATCCAGTAAATACAAAGATTGATTAAAACGCACTTGGACGACCGGGATGTGGCTGACGGAGCTGCCGTATACCGGGTGAAGGCAGTATAGGGCATCGATACGTCAGTCATCACATCCACATTATGTAAGGCCGTGTCTTCAACGCCAAAGAACGCATCTATCGAAACGATCAAGAAAAAACTTCATGAAAAGCGGGGAAGCGAACGGCTTACCTGGTTCCTCCACCTTCTTGATGCGCAGCTCTTGTAGTCTAGAGAACTGCTTACGCAGCTGTTCCCGCATTTCGTTCACGTCCTCCTTGATTTGGTATCGGCTTTCCAGAGCGCCCGGGTGGATGACATCAGCCAAAAGTTCAGGCTTGCGATGAAGCGTCATCTAGAAATGGCGTTTAAAGTTAATAACCGATTGGAAATGGAAAGATGATCCCTTGACGCACAATTCGGCGCGCTTCAGCGAATTCATTGCCTTGAACAAGTGTAATCACCGTCTCTCGAGCGTCTTTGGCATAGTCGAGAATAACACGAGCAGCTTCCATGTAGCGCTTCTTTGATGTTAAATCCTCTTCACGGGAGCCTTAGCAAGAAGTCATAGCCAGGAAATCAGCGCACATACCACCAACACGATATCCCATCGCAACAAGGTCCTCTTCAGGCATTTCCATCCGAACTGTCAGGTCAAAGAGACTTTGCCACTCCAACGCCTTTTCGTACGCCACCATAGCTTTAGAAAGTGCCCCAGATTCTACAAATACTACAATAAATTGATCAACCTTTACCCACATCCAGAAACATTCCAAGCCACCTACCTGACGCAGCCTGTCTAAACTCTCTTCTTTCAAACAGCCAGTCACCATACACAGTTAGCACAGCCTAAAATGAATTGAATATAACCATGAATATGAAAATGCGGAATGTAATTTTAAGAATGGGCTTACGTTCTGCCGCTCTGTCCCCTTCCATATTGACAATCCACTCTCATACAGATGATGACGCTCGATATAGGCTATGGCTTCATCAAAGTGATCATCCCCTAAAGCCGCATCAGGGAAGTAGAATTCAAACTGCACGGCGCTTACCAGCGAGGCCTAGATTCCTCAAAGCGCTCTCATATCTCTTCAGATGATCATCGATCCGGAATCTTTGTACATATTTCTCCAGGGCACGCAGCTCGCGGAGGAAAGGGAGGTACTCTCTGGGGTCCTATGTCCATCACCGTATCAGCAACGAATGGTGCATTCAGTAGAGGTGGTAGGCAAACCTTCTGGGAGTGTTGTGCAATCATCAACACCAGCGAGAAATCATACACTCCCAAAGCGGTATCAAACAGCTTATCGGCATCTACGAGAAAGATGATGTACTTGACTGCATCTTCTACCAACTCCGGGTTTGCATCTAGAATGGACATATAATACGGATGAGGTTAGAGTAGGATGACGATAGATTGAGAGGCGTACCCCGCAAACGTAGTAGCAACCTTAGCCCTGATTCATGGTCCGGAGGAGTCTTCACAACGTGAGCAGTTAATATGGAATTGACATATCCAGTCAGATCTCTCTTCTCCAACTCCTCCCGAACGGTATCACATATCCTTGCAATAGCTTCCGGGGGTTGAGAAGAACGGCTGGAGATGCAGGTTAGCTAAAAGCGTTATACATTACAGAAACGTACCCAATATTTGTCAGAAACAGATTAATATAATCTACTTCTTTCACATCCTCTACAAATGCGGCAACATTATCCAACAATGTCTTCTCGTCATGTTGTACGATTACGCTGAGATCGATCCTATGCTTCCTACAGGCCATGAACGCCTTACGATACTTCTGACTGAAAGAATAATTGAGTTTCCGAGTACAAAGAAGGTAAGAAGGTAAGAAAGAACCTACTTATTCAAATCCTGCTTAACTACCTCCATGACCAATGGTCGTGGATTGATTGTCTCCAGATTTCCTCTGGGCATCTGCAACACGAGGCCCATCGCACTGGGCACTGGGACGACAATTCGCGAACCCCTCTCGACACGCCGTTTCTCCCAGCTGCCTTTGAGCGCCTCTCTGTCGTTCTCGTTCTCCGTTTTGATATACAAGAATAGCGACTTGATGTCTGCGAAAACGGCTTCATGGTTCCCCGTAGTGAATATCAAGAACCTAGAGGCAAGTGTGAAGGATGTTGCGTTTGAGGCGATCAGCGCACTCGAGCAGCCCTCAGCGCTGATGTACATCTTCCCAGATTCTGTGAGTCCCAGATACAAGGAGAAGCTGGAATCATCGACGATTACGCGGTCTGAGGTCAGGCAAAACGAAGGGAAGCTGCAGATGAGCAATGAATTATTAACCCGAACTGAAATTAAATTTAGAAGCGTAAGCTTAAGGGTAGTCCTAATGAATGGATTACGGAGAGACTAACCATCAAACAATTCTCCGCCTGGGGACTGCCATATAATTCCTTGGTCCACTGGAAGTAGACGGCCATTTCGGGATGGCATCACCATAGAATGTCCTGCCTCTTCCTCAATCTCAACAGTCGTAATAATATCCGACCCATCGCCGTTATCAGACCCAAGGAGAAGGACACCATCGCTCCGTAGTATAATCTGTCTGTACGACCTAGGCTTCGCACTGGGAGAGGTCAGGCAAGTAACCCTCTTCGGGCCCATGACCTTCCCTCTCCCGGGCGTCAGCCTCGTCGAAAGATCCCATATTTCCACATATCCCGTCTCCCATAGAACGGCTAGCATGTCGGAGCTGTGGGAGAAACATACGTGGATAGGAATTCGAGATGCCTGAGAAGCTTCAGGTAAGACAGTAAGTTGATAGGAGGACATCGGCGGAGGGACATTTTGTGTCCTGAATGGCGTCAGGAGGATGTCGGCTGTAAAAAGATCGTTATAGACAGATGAACACAGACTGAAATCTCATCTTACATCCATCAATCACTGCAACGGAACCTGTGTCCAGAGGGGGCACTGTCGGAGAAGAAGACGTAATCCAACCATAAGTTCGTTGGGTAACTCGGGCTACAATATGACTTCAGTTGGAAGGCTGCAACATCTTTCCAGGCATACAAAACCCTACATTTTGTTGTCAAGATCAATGTGAGTGCATTCTCAGGATGCCATTCCACTGATGTAAAATAGCCAGGCTGTGAAGTATTTGAAGGCGCTACAATCTCCTGTTTGAGGTACCTAAAGAGCCGGTAATCAATCGCATGTCATCGTACCCTTGTGAACTTACCAATGGTAATTTCCTATCGTCCAGAGCTGAACTTTATGTAGAAATGAACAAGGAAGCACGGGGCCCATAAGAAATTTCCCATACCAATGTCCCCCTCCTTCCTTGTAATCCATAGCGCCAGTATGTTTGAATCTGAGCTCCATCTGAGTTCCCTAACCTTATAGCCCCATCTGAAGTCTCCCGTTTTTGAGGTATCGTCTACATTCAGATCACCGACTCTGATACCAAACTCGCCATGGCGGAGGCCGTTGCGCTCGAAGAAGACGACATCATGACGTCCGGCTTTACCAATTCCGCCGCCCTCAAATCCGAACCGCTGTGTCGCCGCGATCAGGTTTCCCGATGGTCTCCATGAAAGCGTATGTTCAAGACCGGCGATAGGCTCGGAGGTGGTTTGTAATACTGCTTGACGATCATACACGCGGAGAACGCGATGTTGAGTTTGATCCGGAGACAGGGAAGACACACAGAAGAAGGCACCGTCACCGCACCAGCTGATGCGAGGGAGCGCGTCGTCGTCGGGGCTGATGCCGAGAATTACATTTGAAGGCGCCTGAGCGGCACTTTTACCCGCCGAGCCATGAAACTGTGTCTGTTTAGAACCCCAGCCGACGTTTATTGGAGCATCTACAGATGTATTGGATACATGTACAGCACCGAAATACATCAGAACGAACCTTCGCCAAAATCAGTGGGGTGCAAGGGTGTTTCAGATAGAACATCAAATGTCGAAGTCATCAGTATCAGTTTGTTATCCCCTGGTTATAGATTAGCATCTAGGCCAGTCGGGTCCCGCGAGCAAATACCGGTAACAAGCACAAGCGAAGAGTCATCTGGGCTCCATGACACAGCGAAAATTCCTCCATCAACCGTACCAACAACATCATCCTAGGGTAAAATGGTGTATCAGCCATTTATCAACTGGGAAAATGCATCTTGGACGCACATCCTGAGAAACTCCGTCTTCTAAGGGAACAGTTACAATATCCCCACTACGAAGGACCGCGACAAGCTGTTGATTGTCCAGATGCACTCGAAGGGAAACCACTTGTGGGTGCGACGTATATTCTGACATCGCGGTGGCATTCAGGTCGTAGAAACGAGTTGCCTAAAGCCGAATTCAGCCAGCTGGAGATGAATTCACGAATAGACAACCACCCTTCTCGTCTGATACCGCCTTCCATATCTTTACCTGAACATCTGCGCCTGCACTACAGCGTTCCGTCGCAATGTACGTGATATTTTGATCAAGATCGATGGTCGTGCACGATATGATTTCTGAGTCCAATGGTAATGCAGACGATGTCGACGCGACAAGGGAGAGATTCCGCATTATAGAGTGTACAGTAAAATAATGTCCAGGAAGAAGAATATAAAAGGAGAAAAGATCGGATGTATGTTTGGCGACGTCACGAAAGACAAATAGCCACGGACCGTTTGCTTCACTGGCTAGGCTACCAACTGACCGCTCGTGTATTTGTTTGTTTTTTTTCGTTATCGACTACACAATGGCACCCTCACGGACACCAAAGACGACAAGGAAGCCTTACCGGCCTGAAGGTAGTGGCAGTCAATCTGGTACGCCTGGTGTCCAAAAGATTAAATCATCGCTAAGACAGACACGAAGACTGCTCGCAAAGGTAGGCAGTTCAATGTGTATCACCCTGCATTTCTTTCATTCAGATTTCTTAGGACAACCTAGCGGCAGATGTACGTGTCACAACAGAGCGCCGGCTAAAAGCTCTGGAGGCTGAACTCGCTGAGGCAGAGCAAAGTAGGAAGGAACGAGCACTGGGAATGCGCTATCATGGAGTGAAGTTTTTCGGTGAGTCTCCGATTGAAGATACCTATATATCAGTTAACGTTAGCGCCAGAAAGACAAAAGGTCCTCCGGAAAGTGAAGCAGGTCAAGAAGAGACTTTCCAGCGCTTCCCAATCCGAAAAGAAAGCTGTAGAGTCATCTCTTTTCGATGCACGCGTCGATCTGAATTATATCTTGGTCCGTCGGGTTTTTCTGTATGTCAAATGCTGTCCTGACCTATTCAGCATTACCCCAAAACCAAGAAATACATATCACTCTTCCCCCCGGAAATACGACATCCCGAAACGCAGTCAAATTCCACCGACTCATCGGAAACCGATGCGCAGAGACAACAAATTAAGGATCAAATACGGCAGCAGATGCTTGGTGGAGAGCTGCCTCTCGAACCTGAGCTACACTTGTCTACGGACACCAGCATCCTGACAAAAAAGCGAGTATCCAAACCAAGTAAATTCACCTCCTCTGCTCCTGTGGCCGACGCAGAGCAAGACGACGACTTTTTCGGTGATGATGACGAAGATGACGATGAGGGTTCATGAAATCCAGATACAAGTTCGTATGATATCAACATATGATGTTGGGGTCAGGACGTTGTTAAAGCCTATCACTCCCGGTTGGTGATTGGATTTCAACTCCAACGTAGTGCCGAAGGAATCTCACATCTTGACTTTGAACTACAGATTTCAATAAATCGACGGACGTCGTTGTATAATGGATGACTCGTCCCTTTCCGTTTACATCATTAGACCAAGAACGAGAATTAATACTGCCTCGATCATTGTGGAATGAAGCTTGATTTATAAACAGGGGACATCACGTATAGCATTTACTTCGAATGGTTTTGACTTTCTCCAAGGCAACGAATGAAACGTATCTGGAGAATTTCCCTGTTATCTGCTGTTCCTGATCGACACGTTGATGAATAGGTGGTGAAGACTTGATATGTTTCCCAGCCCCTCAACCAGCGTCGTTTGAGCAGCTTATTGCAACCACACCGTTATTTAGGAGTTTGTAGTAAGTGGTTATATCTCGATCCCCCACTTCGGTATCATCCGCTTCCTGAGCAACTATTCGGCACCTTGCTATTTATCTGCCGGATTGCCCCGGGGCCAGTGTTGAGTCGATTATTCAATGTCGAACTTAGACGTAAGAGGAGAAAAGGCACAAAGTCCGAACTGACATAGTATCTAGAAAATAATAAATGTACATGAAGAAATGAAAATGGATGCTTTCGAGACTCCGACACTCGAGAGAGTCTATGCATTGTCGACTCTCCAGGTATCGTGATTTTTCAGTGGTACTATGGTACTATGGTATTTTCTTGACTATCGTGGAAGTTACTGCCGCAATGCCATTGTCAATTCCTCAGTTTATCATTACATCACTGGCTTTCTCAAGACTCAAGTCCGCTTTTTAGCGTTAAACGTTAAACACTCTATATCGACAAATTACAACCTCGTTTTTAAAAATGTTACAACTGAACAACGTTGTATAATCAGTAATGCACAATAAATTTATTTGTGGGTCTAGAGAAAGCCGTGCTGTGTCGAAATTTGCACGTCGCTATCCGTTTGCACATGCCGACCACCCGCAATAAGCCAAACACTTGCCACGAAGGTGCCGGATACCCAGAGGTTCAACGGCTCCCGCAATTGGCTCCATAGGCCCTACGACCGGATCATAACCTTGTTATGGTGACGAGGGCTGAGTCGGTGTTGATGTTTTACCCCAATGAACCTTATCAAGCGTTTCTGAGCCAGTAGCAGTGTAGAAATGTCTTTTAATTCTGCTATAATCTAAAGAATACCACAACTCAGCGTACATTGCTGCAAGCCGACGGTGTCCGCGGAAGTCCGAGTAAGTCAAGCCTGATCATCCGAGTTTCTCCGTTGTACTTCGCTTCATCTGGGGCTTCTTCGTTTCAACATCCTCAGGTACCCGGGATCGAGATATAACCACTCACTCGAGACTGGTTATTTAGTAAACAAGTTTGCGAGAATCGAGGGATTAATATTCTTCAACCTAGCAACCCGTTGGGTTAACTTCTTCCAAATTACTTCCGCGCCGGATACATCGTACGTCACTTCAAAGCCTCGATACGGGCGCCACTTCCGGCACACATATCGAAATGGTACACCTTAGGTTCTGTCTCGTTGAGTCCCTACGCCGCCGTCATACTAGGAGAAGGCAGTAAACCTATATATATCTCACGGCTGTAGGATATTTAGCAGGATCTCCCTGACAGTGCGTTTCCAGGAGTAAATGGGTTGACAGCGTCGCTCTTCGCACCCGCTGTCCGATCCAAAACCTTCAGACATCCGCATTCTCTAACAGGACCCATAAAATAAGCAAGAGGGAAAAAATAATGATTGTTCTACGGATAAGAACGTAGGTATAATATACAGGAGTGCACCTGAGGTCTATATTATCGACAGAGGTATCAAACTTCAACTCAGGGTATCCATAATATCCGCCGAACTACACCGATTGCCAACCGGAACGAAAAAGAAATGAAAGAGGGTGCTACTTCAAGTTTGAAGGGTATTATAAATGAAGACAGGACGAAACAGTAGACACGCTGCGCTTAATTGCGCATGGCGGTGTTGGTCTGAGGAAACAAACCGCAGAACAGAGAACTAGGAGGCACGACGCTAGCACGATTACGTAGCTGCGCCTCTGCCTCCTCGAAAGGCGCGACCAGGCGCATGTCCAACATTGGTGACTGGCGACCCACAGACGGGATTACGGTAACAGGTTCTAGAGTCACCGGCTACGGAAGAGTGGGTCAGTAAAGCGAATAGAAGGCGGAGGTATAGCGGGGAAACTCACAAGGATACCGGAATACATCTCAGCATGCGCGTTTTCCTCGTCAAAATCAACAGGGACGTCTGGGCAAGGGTCCTCGTCGTGAAGTGACATGAGCCCCACGGGATTCTTGAGCATATCCAAATACATGTCCTGGTAGACATCAAAAGGTGACACGTATAACTCCGTGCCAGCTTCATGGAGAAACTCATCGTCCACGATGAATACATCGTCGCGGACATAAGGTATTCCGTCTAGCTTTTCATGGAAAAGGATAGCAGCCGATTCACCGACATCTTCGGATAGCGCATCACAGGCAAACGACATAGATGATGATGAGCTGCATGATTCGGACCAGGGTGCGAAATCAAAGGAGCGCGGCTTGGGTGGAGGATGGTAGAAAGGACTGGTGGAAGGGATGCTGATGTATTGTGTATCATCTTCCTCATCTTCGGAATCCGAAGCATCCGACTCGGAGTCGACAAAAGCGTCGAAGGGCTCGACGAAGGAAGAGGAGAAGAGTGGCAGTGGTGAAGAGGGAGCAACAGCACTTGGAAGTGGTAGTTTAAACTCAAGAGAGCGTGGCGAGGGTGTCAAGCCTGAAAAAACATCTTCAAAAAGGAAGGGAGACCCGAGATTGAGATCAAGAATATTCTGCATAAAAGAGTTAGTTTGAAGAATAAAGAGATATCTGAGAAAACAAACCTGGCTATCCTCACGTCTTCGCAAACTGAGAAATATGCTCGCGCGCTTGGAACTTTTATTGCCATTACCGATCTGTTGGGTCACCTGTTGGCCTGCAACGGAGATTGAGTTGAAAGATGCCGGAGCGACCATGTTGGTGCAAATAAAAAGCAGGGGTAATAACGAATTGAACGAAGAACGAAGGGCCAGCACAGCTAGGCGAAGGCAAAGAGTGAAGTCCAGAGGAATTGGATAGTGGGGAAACTCAAACTATGACAGGACCCACCTTTTTATACCTGGGCCAAATGTCGGCAAATTGGAACGATCTCGGCGCTGCGTAGACTGTTTTGCAAATTCTGGAATGTTGATCTAGATAGTAGCCTCACGTGTAGTCATGATGTCGATCGGTAGGATTGCTCCCTTTGACACCTAGGCAACGGATGCTTCGAACATATAGTAATACGTGTTTCAATCGCGCCCCTCCAGTTATTTTCGACTCTGAGAGGTCGGGAGAGGGGACTCCTGGGGATGGCGCTAGTGTTGCTAGTCCGCTGGGGCGGCTTTCTACGGTTGTTTTTGCCTTGTCCTTTGATGCAACCGATGCAACCTAAGGCTTGGCCGCAGCGTGAGAGGTATTATCCTCACCGGAAGCCGTCCTCTCATGGCAACGTAGGACTGCGAGTAAACTGCGGCGTTTGCTCCAAGAGCATGCCCTGAATTGTGAAATAAGTAAATGAAGTCGCAGAGTGACAAAAGAAGGACTTTGTCTTGAAAGGAGTGAATAGGCACAGCGCTGCACAGCGGCGTAGCATACGCCTCGTTCAGATGCGCATTGTCGGATGTCCTGGGGACCGCACGGTACCGCGCAGGAAGCAACCATGATGGCATAGATGGCGGTCATTTATCCCATCAAAGAATGGCTGTTAGAACCAAGTGCGAACAGTCGATATCAGGTCTAGAGATAGGGAGGCGGGTGCCTCGTCATGATTTCGGGGGGCGGAAAGGAAATAATCTCCTCAGATTCAATTATGATTAATCAAATGCATAATGTATAGCATCTCGACCGGCCTTTTCGAGGCAATGGGGTTGTGTTAAAATTGCGTGAAGTAGAGTTGCACACCTAACGACTTGCGACCGAGAACCATCTAAAATTCGGCTCCAATAACTCGTAGGACTGCGTCTGAGCCACGCGGTCCGGGCTTGAATCATTTGTGTAAACGACTAGAAGCATATTCAGTACTTCATAGCTTGCGGTCGGATTTTCTCCTGAAAAACTTACGCATACATACATTGAGATACGCCGTCTATGAATAGGAATAACTTCTTCGGAGAAGTAGGGTCGCTTCTTCTTTTCGGTAGGTTCCCATAAAATTGGGGACGGGTACATCATGATTCAACGCATTAAACTTGGCGCTAACAGCGCCCCGCGATGATGACAAGTTCCCAGTAGATGCCAGGATAATTGGCTGAGTAGGCTGGTAATCTAGGGATAGAAAGGAACGAGGGCAGTGGTAGAATTGATACCAACAGGCAGGGCCTGTTCCCAGGCACGGTAATGGTAGAAGGACATGGAAGTAAAAGATCAAAAAACAGTCCGAGCTCGCGTCCGCCGGTCCGGGCCGGCCGACCCGAGCGATGATGAGCGGCAGTGCAGCGACCCTTGTTGAGCGCCACTGATCCCAGGCTCAGCACCGCTGCATGGGCGCACACTCCTCTTTTCTTTCTCCTTTCAAGGCGGTCTTATGTTTCAATGTGACATCAAATTACAGGATACTATTGAAACACAGTTAATAATTTGAAAGATCTCTCAGCGCTATTCTCTAACTCTTGGTGTGTTTGACGGTTTTCGTGGGAGCGTTTGAAGGCTAGGGGCGTATGTGTTAATCAAGCAACAGTACAGATGCTGTAGTCCTCACTTTCGGTTGATTGCCACTTGATTTCCCCCCAACAAGCCTCACAATCTTCGCTGGAGCTCTTCGTATGGTCAACGTGTAGGCCCTGGTTGGTACCGACTCTTCTAATGAAGAGATTGAGCAAATGGAAGTTACTGAAGCCTTCAATATAGAAGGATAAGATTCTAGCACTTCAAGTGAATGATGGAAGTAAGTACCTTTCTCAGCTGGACGTGGCTGCTGGATTCCATGTTTCTGACGGCGTGCGTAGGACTGCGGTGTGCGATATCGATTCGACGGAGAAGTTGACCTATAACGGGCCCCTTTATATGCTGCCACAAGATCTTGGATTCTTTCTTGTTGATTGTTCGCCTCGTATTGTTCTCTGTCGGGATCTCAGTTTATCTTTGCATGTCTGGGTGGCACCTCTCAAGACTATCTGGACCACCGAGACAAAGTTCATGACAGGGTAAAGACACCACAAAGTACTCCAGGGCCCCTTTGTCATGTTTTTGTCTAACACAGGGCGGACGAAGCGTTCAATTGTAGAAGCCACTGATAAAGTCATAGAAGCTAGATGAGGCTGCCGGGACACCTGAACAAGGTCATGCCCTTGGGGATGAATGTATCTCCGTCATCGATCACTATCATTGCCTGTTATAGCGCGGCTTTGACCTTGACCTATTAGGCATGCGGACACATTGTACACAGACATTGTTCATGCAGAGCAGAAATGCCACCGGTTTCAAAACAGCATATAAGGGCCTCGATACTTGCTCAGTTTCTCTCTATCGACCTCTTCGCCGTCGGAACACTTACTATCTTCTTCCACTCAATTTACACGCCTGTAATGCAATTCTCACGCATGGACATCATGGACGAGCAAAGGTTCGATCCCACCAAAAAGGTTCGTTGCTCCTACTTTTATGCCACACTGGATTAACACTTCACTTATTGCAGACTACTTCCACTACCGCGCCACAAAGTGTTCTTGATGAGGAAGTTGACCTCCCTTTGCGCAAGGTACGTACTGCGATGGCTATTCGCGTTGGCGCAAAAGATTGAGATTTTGTTCCTCAGAAAAAAAGCACGGCCGATATTTTGGATTCCCAAAGATTCGACCCCACCAAAAAGACGTTGCAGCGGCAAGCCGATTCGAGCAGCAAACCATCTAACGGCTCCGACGATCTCCCTCTCAGCGATGAGTTTACTATCATCGACCCCCTGGAAGTACAGGTGCGTATCGGTGCTATCGCTCTGATTTCCATCCTTTATTGACGACTATTGCGTAGGCACCTGCCGCTTCGGTCGATGCCACTGTCATTCGGAAGGCCCTTAGGCGTGTTCTGTCGTTCGACAATCCCTTGCCACCCCGCCCTTTCACCGCGAGCTCGACCGCTTCTTCCTCTAGGCCCTCTACCGCTGTGTCTACTCCTGAGTCTATACTCTCGTCCTTGACCCAAACTGCTCAAGATCCCATCGAATTCGAATGCGAAGATATGAATCCCGACAGATGTATCTCCACGAGAATGATCATCCACCGGTCGCCGTCGAAACTCTCCTTCGACGCCCTGAGTTGCTGCTCTGGAAGCGCTTTTGAGAAAGAGGTCGCCGCAGAAGTGGAACGTGCTAAGGAAAGCAAAAACATCTCTGTCTGGGTTAATCAAGAGTCTTCTTCCACTGAAGAGTACTTCTGGACGTCCAACATGCGGCACAGGAACAGGAACAGCGCTATCCAGGTTGAATCGCGAGTTGAGGCGGTTTAATTTTGTGTCAACATTGGCCTGGTTGATGACCGTCTTCTCTGTCTTCATGCACTTTATCATCCATTCTTTCGCTCATTTCTCAAGGCCTCTCATTTGCCCTCAGAACACTACTTAGAACTTATACTACATCTCTAGCTTTAATCTTTAATTTGAAGTATCGTGGCAGTACTATTAGTGAGTATATGCAAACCCTTGTCTGCCCACCAATTGAGTCGGTGGTGAATACTATTCTGGCGGTAGGCAGGCTTTTTCACACATCATTCTGTCCCCGGACCGGCACACATGTGCCGGTTTCTTTCTCTCCCCATCACTTCGACGACCCAATATACTCAGTACAGTCTACATTGCTATTTTTGCTCTCGTTCAATATGGATAATCAAAATTGGGACCCAGGTCTTCTTTACGCAACAAGTTTGCATACATAATGTTGGCATCGGCATGTGACTTTCCTGCCCTTTAAAAGACCAACATCAGCGGGCGCTTGTTGAGAATACAGCTTTCCCAATGATTGCGATGCCTCCCTCCCCCACTGATAGTGCACCGCCATCAGCTCCACTGAGTCGATCTCCATCCCGAAGAGGACGATCTCAGACTCGGAGTCCGCGAAGCCAGTACGCAGTCCTCTTAGATTTTTGCGTTGTGATTAAGTAGCTCATTGCTCTGCCCAGATCTCCTGGACGTTCCAGCCCTGCAGTCGTTATCAGGTACTTATACTTTGTTTTTCCGGCTTTTCTGTAGCCATTCAGGTCTGATACGATGCCCCAGACCCAGTAGGTCTTCTAGTCGGTCATCCAGCCCGTCGTGGCAACTTGCTTCCGGGTCGTCCATATCCCCGTGGGTTTAGTCTTGATTCAGTGAGGCCTCAGGTTCTCAAGTTTTTCTAGCTCTATTCCGTCGACCTCTGCCAGAATCGCACCTCCACCGATTCCTGGTTACATCCCAAGTTCTTGTTACCCCCCAAGTCCTCCAGCTGTCTATCCACAAATGTACGCCACTCTTGTGCATTCTGCCAGTGTGCTTATATTCATTTGGTTTGTCTTAGCTGTCAAGTACCAATGTACGACGCGTCTTAATTCTTTATTATTGTCGATATATTCATCTCCTTAAAGGACTCAAACAATCATCGTTCCGTAAGCATATTCACTGGTCCATCAGTTCAGTGTGCTCACCGATTTAAAACCCTTTGATATACTTTGTAGCTCCAGTAGGTCATCAAGCTCAAGGTCCGTTTGTTCTCGGTCCGTCAGTCATTCTCGTCCGTGGCCTCCGTAAGATTATCCTTTCCTCCATCTTAACTTATGATTGACCATTAAAACAGCCGTGTCGTCAATTCCCCAAGCCCGTTCGTCATTCCTTCTGCTATCCTGATATTTTTTCACCTGCTGTATTTAGGACTACTTCCCGAAGCAGGTTTGTCACAAAGATTCGATACGAAATATCTTATGCTTATAGCCTACAATGTAGGAGTCTTTCTCCGCCACCATTCCCTATGCCTTCAGTTGCTATTCCTTGTCCATCTTCTGTAAAATATGGTGCGTAGACGGACCTCGATGTGCTGTATACACCGTCATCTTAAATCGACTGTTGTCGACAGGTTGGTCGGAGTTTCCGCCTTGCCCCTTCATTCCCCACCCTCGATTCTATTTTCAAGATGGAAATGTCAATCTCGAGGTTGGTTTCTTGCAGATTTCCCTGTTCCGAGTTGGTCGATGAACATATTTAGATTAACGGGACCCGGTACAAAATCCACCGTCATTTCTTGGTGATGAATTCTTCTGTGTTCGCACACGAACTACCGTTCAACATCATATTCAAGTCTTTGCCTTGTGATGTCGACCAACAGGCATTTGAACTTGTGTTGTCCCTATTCTACCCAAAGGACTGTTTCAGTGGACACGACATCCAGTCCGAGTCGGATTGGCACAGGGTTCTTGTTTTTGCGTGCCGATACAAGATGATACTTATTCGAGATATGGCTATCACCAAAGTCCCGAGTCTGGATCCCATTGTCAAAGCCGAATTGGCGGCTAAGTACGGATTGAAGGATTGGCTTGTGCCAGTGTACACAGATCTGTGCATAAAGGATTTGACGACCCGGAAGGGATGGTCGGCGGAGGAAGGAAAGAAGATAGGCCTGGAAGGTATTTTGGCTCTTATTGAAGTTAAGCGGGATATAGTGGATCGTTTGGGAGAGTATCTCGACCGGGAAAAGGTAATGAAGGCGGTGGAGGAGAAATTAGAAGAGCTGAATTTGATCTGAACGGCCCTTTGTACCAAGTAACTGACACGTAACTGTACGATAGATTTACGTTTTCTTCTCGGTCCAGTCATTGACTGGTGTCTTCATGCCTTCCAATTTGTACATTCGAAAGTTCGTTTCAGCATGTCATTTTCCACCTGCGCAGCCTCAACAATGTTTAACGGCAGAAGATTCCATCCTCGTGGCATGCAAACAAGCGCCTACTCAAATTGAAAACCCAGCTCCGAAACATGTGACTTCAAGAGCGCATAAAAGACTCGAACAGCGGGCGCTTGTTCACAACTTTCACCCTGATGCTCGTCCCGCAGCCTGATATCCCGCAAGTCCCATTGCCAGCACCAGTAATCGTACACGTGCGGTCGCGACGGTCATCTCGATCGTCGAGAACTTCACGAAGCAGATCTCGGTACTGTTTCCTGCCGAGTCGTCTCCTCCATAGAACTCACTGCTATGCAGCTCCCGCTCTCGTTCGCCCTGCCACATTATCGAAGCACCTGAGTATGTTGATCCTGCTTTTGTTGCCAAATCACTACTTATTAACTTTCTTAGAAACCCAGGCGCTACTGAACTTTTCTACCGCCCCAATCCTTTACCCATGACTCATTTAAGGTAGAAAGAAATGAGAGTGGACCATCTTTTTCATACTGATTAATGGTGCAGTGATCTTGTATATTCCAGGTATGTACTGTCGTTTTATCTACATTATTTGCAGAAATCGAAAAATGACCTGATTTCTCACTGAAAGCTCGTCCGAATCTCGGTCTTCTTCGCCAACTCGGAGTTCAAGAAGTTTCCCGTCGCATTTTGGTTTGCCGACGTAGGTTCGCTCTGTGTTTAGCGAGTTTTGGATACTTACGCACAGTAGCTCCAACGTGGTACTTCCAGCACAAGATCCGAGTAAACAGAGAATTCCGTGGTGCGGCACTCTTACAGACTTTGACAGCTCGTGTCGTCCTCATCTGTTGCATCCCAGCTTGATACCAGTACCAATGTACTAATTGTCATCATTTTATCTGGCCCATACCAATTACTCACCTCCTCCAAGTCCTCCACAGACTGATTCCGAATCGTGGGCACTTTCTCTCCCCCCATTTTTCGAGTCCCTCATCTGCCTTATTTAGTGGTAGAAGTGACAGCTGTTCTCGCAGTCGCTCCAGGGGCCGCTCTCCTCGCCCTGAGATTTCACAAGCTTGGTGAGATTGTTTTGACGGTCCGAACTAGCATCATATTTAATCAGACACAGTGCTCCCATTGTCATTGGGTTCGTTGCTGGCTTGTTATCGTTTTTCTCATTTCTCAGCTGTTGTACTTAGAAGGTCCCGATCCAGAAGCAGAACACGGTTCGTCGAACGATATCGTATGATGCGATGACATACTCATGATCTGCAATCCAGGAGTGTTTCTCCGTGCAGATATCCTCAAGCCATCTACTCCAGTGCGCAGGATAACCGGCTGCAGCTTATTCCATCATCTGAGGTTCCGTTGATATTGATAGATTGGCCTCATCCTGCTGTTTCTCGTCCTCGATATTACTTCCAAGATGGAAATGTAACGCTTGAGGTTAGATTCCACATCTCCGGATACAAGTCACTCATCGAAGTTTTATAGATTGACCGGACCCAGTATAAAATCCACCGTCACTTTTTGGTTACGAACTCCCCTGTGTTCGCAAAGGAGTTACCTCCTCACATCACATACAAGCTACTGACTAGTGTCGACAAAGAAGCTTTCGAGCTTGTTCTGTCGCTCTTCTATCCAAAGGACTGCTTCAGTGGGCATGACATACAATCAGAATCAGATTGGCGCAAGGTCCTGGTGTTTGCTTGCCGATACAATATGAAAGTCATCCGAAACATGGCTCTCACCAAAGTTCCAACGCTAGATCCCATCGAGAAGGCCCACTTGGCGACGAAGTATGGACTGAAGGATTGGCTCGTGCCGGCATATGTCGACCTGTGCATGAAGGATTTGACGAGTCGTAGCGGATGGTCTGTTGAAGAAGGAATGAAGATAGGTCTGGAAGGACTCCTTGCGCTTGCCGATGTCAAACGAGATATCTTGAAGAATTTGGAAGAGTATTTGGACAGAGATAAGGTTTTGAAGACCGTGGAGATGAAACTAGAAACCTCGAAATTGATCTGAATGAGTCGTGTATAACTTTCTCGCTGTACGATAGATAATGGAGTTTCGATTTATGTTCTTCTTTTGACTTGCGTTGACTCACCTCACAAATAATAGTTGAAAACGAGTATGTACTCTAGCTGCATCTGAGTGCAAATCGCGTCCTTTCCAATTCAAGATAGCTTGGCTTGCTGATAATCACGGAACGATTACCGCACTTGTTCCGAATGAAGTTATCATAAGGCTTCTATCTCGCCAATATAACTCAGAATTGCTTGGCAATTCGAATCTTCCACAAACTGCCATGTCCTGCAGCGCGCGCCTCCTCTTAACCATCGCGATCATCTTTCTCGTACTACCAAATGTCGCTGCCTTCGGCGCCGGAGACATCCCAGACTTCTCGTACCTCCATGAAAAGGCATTTCGCCATGGAGATATTGAGGGTATCCTGGAGAACCTGCTTAAATCTGTGGGGACTGGAGGTGGTATCCTGGGTTTTGCCAAGTCGGTTATGAACTCTGAAGGACCCAAATTTAAGAAGAGTGATATCCAAAAGGTGTACTTTGTAAGTAGATTGGCCGATCGTTAGCGATATTGACCATTGACGAGAATGTTAGGGAAATTGGCTAAGGGACTATTCCCAAGCGATGGATATCGCTGGTCTGAGCAAGCTCAGCGCCGATACGTTGGTTCTCGTTGTCGCTGTCCTTGGATTTATGGCAAGTTCCTCGATCTCATGGTTGATCCCGATGCATATGAATTGTTATCACGCAGACTTTTGGATATGCCACTGAGGAATACGAGCTCACGCCTCAACGTCTGGGCGTATACCTCCCCGTCGAGCACATTGATAACCCCAAGGGATATGCTGAGAATGAGGGAGATGCACGTCAATTCCATCCAGCCCTTCGGCCACCTGTGGATCCCCGAGAACTCGAGATCGATGAGCGCACGGGGATGAAGAACTACATGGCCACAGAGGATCAGGAATGGGACTCTTCGACTGCACATATCCGAAGGACATTCACAGCATGCATCGAGTACGGCTGTCGTGCAGGGGGGGAGGATGGACCTGATCTATGGGAAGCGTACCGCCTCCTTGGCACTGGCCTCCACACGATGGAAGACCTCCTTGCCCATAGCAACTGGTGCGAGATCGCACTCCGTAAGATGGGCTATGAGGACGTATTTTGTCACGTCGGTGAGAATATCTGCGTTTGTGTCCCCGAGACAGGCGAGAGAGTTCCTCCGCTTGTTACCGGGACGTTTGGCAGTGCGGACTTCATGCACTCGATGCTCGGCGAAGCGACAGACCATCTTAGCCAGGCGAGTGTCACAGCCTTGAATGACAAGATGTCGGAGTCGCAGGACAGTGATGTCACGGAGAAATTGGAGAGGTTGAAGAAGGTAATGAGCCTAGTTGGTAGTGGGGATGACGATTTGAGTCATGGAGAAGAGCTTCAAGCTCAATCTCAAGCATATCAATTCGATCCGGATAACGTTGCGCCACCCGAAGTGCAGCAGCAGTTGTTGGATCTCCTGCGCTGGAGGGATAATCTTTATAAGAAGATCAGCAGTGTCATTGAGACAATGGGTCTGGATGAGGTATTGGACGAGATGAGCACTGCGCTTACTGCCTGTGAGAATTCCAGGTACTTTCCGCCAGAGTTGTGCTGATCATACCACTAGATGTATACACTGTCATCGCTCCGTGGCTTACACCCATACTATCTCAAGTCACAACCGTACTCGGGGAAGGAAGTAAAGCCGTCATTGATTCGGACGATCAATATGAGGTCTTCAACAACCCGGACGCCTCTGATCCCTCGCACAGTATCTTGTCAAAAGATCATTTCGGGCTGATCCTTAATGAACCGGCGGGAAAAATCGCGCAGGTCGTGGTTGTGCATAGCGTGGAGCTCATTGTCCAGGCATGGTCGGACGAGAGCGATCCAAACGATGTCATCGACAAAGTAGGCTTCCTTGTTATCTGCCCGGCGGTTTGTTCACATATTTTCAGATACTTGAGGCTTTCCATCATCCATATTATGCGAACGAGAGAAGCCAGATTCAGAGTCAAATGTTTGATGAGCTGCGACGATGGGTAGATGGGTTGGAGGATGTGGCTGCCACAATGAATCTGTTAACGAAGGAGAGCGTCCAAGAAGGACTTAACAGGAGAGAGGGCGATGAGAGCGTTGAGCCAGGGTATGGTGGCAGCCGTGGTGGTGGGTACGAAAATCGAGGTAGGTATGGTGGAGTCGAGTACGAAGATCAAGGCCCAATACAAGAACGGGAGGTCGAGTACGGAGCCGGAGAGGAAGAAAGGGAAAGCTGGCGATATTCCGAAGACAGTAGAGAGGAAGAAAGGGCGAGTGAGCCCAGAGAATCCGACAACGAGGAGGATTACAGAAGTGCAAATGAAGACGAGGATGATTACGGCCGCCGCTCTGGGGGGTATGAAGACGAGTCAAATTATTAACACCGTAGTCATGGTATTGAATGTATTGTAAGACGCTTGTATAGGAATAAATTTTGGGTGACCATTGAAGCAAAAACCAAGTTGTCATCCAGGTAAGGGGGCGCTTAAAGCCCTGTAATCGCTGATACCCACGACACCCTGGTGCAGTCCGCCAGTCATTAAAGACACCGCGTTATGTCCGTGCTAGACGTGCCTAGCCATTTGTGATATCATTCAGGACTTGCCAGCCTCGGGTATCAGCAGAATTCCACACCCTACAGGCCAGATAGTAGTCGGGGCAGTAGTGAAGAGTGAATGAAGAGGCGCCGTGGCTCGGCCGGTATTAGCCAGTCAAGAGCCGCTCGGCATGATCCGCGGCTGTTCGACTTTCCTCCTTCCCTCGTCGCCCTTCCTTCATACCGTTGAGTGGAAATCACAGATTATGGGGCGACAGTATTTCATCAGGTTGGACCACGGGAACAAAGAAAGATCCGAATTTTTCGCTGCGACGGCCCGCTCGGACCCTTAGTGACTTCAATCTGGACCAACAAGCTACGGTGTCTATTTCATCAGCGAAGGATGTCAAACTCGCGACAAATGGGCTCGGAGAAGGTTGACGAGCCTCGCTTTACGGGTCTTGTTTCCTGTTGGGCTCCGTCTTATCTTTGTAGCACACTTGAACTTAGAAGATACTTCCTGGACTTCCTGTTCCCATCGTCACAACCGAAGTTCTGGTACCCTCAGATTACTACTTGCTCAAATCCGTTCTAGGATCTCGATCGAAGCCGGCGTCTCATTGAAGGTCAAAGAATCGAAGTTGGAACTTCCCCAGCTTGGGGTACCTAATTCGCCGAACATCTGTTCTCATGACCATGATAGGTTATCCCGCAGATTCTCCGTGCTTGTGTTCTCAGAGCCATTTGTACCTGTATGAACGGGCATAAAAACCGGACGGACCCTGAGGTTGGGTTAGGCCTTACCCACCTGCGTTTTCACCACGATGGGGCTATTCTATCATGTTTTCATAGCCGCCTTCTCATCTATTGGTGTGTATGCTCCGCTCTTCACCTATTAGATTGAGCTGCGCTGAATACATTTTTTCCTACTCTCCAGGTGCTTTTCTATTCGGGTACTTTTTCTGACCTTCTTTCCCAACGTTCATGCTGAACTACCTTTCTCGAAGATATGACAGGTGAATATATTGTTTAGCCCGTACTACCCGTCATTCTAATTCATCATAGTGGGATTATTTCATCCGTCATAACAATGGACAAGTATTTGGACAGGTTTGGAAGCGATGCAGACATCACAGGAGCAGTAGTTTCTACGTTTAACGGTACGCAGTGTTAAGCAGTATATTGAATGGTGCCAATGATCGCTGGTCAGGTGGTTGCTTTTTTGGGGCCATGCTTGCGGGATGGGCGAGTGATAAGATAGGAAGGAAACGTTCTATTCAGGTGAATATTATATCGAATGAAGCGATTCGGCGTTTAGCTGGCTCACCGCAAAACGTGGACCTTAGCTGGGATCCGTCTTTTCGATGTGGGGAAGCGCGATGCAGTGTGGAGCAAGTAATGTCGCCACGCTCCTTGTCGGGCGTATAATAGGCGGATTTGCTATAGGGTGAGATCCTCGCTCGTGTTTGTCGAATCTGCTCATCTTGAACCAGGATACTCTCAATGACTGTGCCTTTGTACAATGTGAGTCTTTGTGATCATCTTCCCGGCTAGCTATTCATGTCTCTTACAGACTGAAATAGCGCCCCCGAAGATTCGTGGGCTGCTTGTTGGCTGCACTCAGCAACTGATCGGATTTGGATTTATTGCCGCTAACTGGGTCGGTTACGGTTGTCAGTTCATTGATTCGGATGTTAGCTGGCGTTTGCCTTTGGGGCTTCAAGTAAGGATTAATTTGTATGGTTCCTCTCTCTGAATTGCTCATTATCATAGCTTGTACCAGCGGCTTCGCTCTTCATTGGAATACAGTTCTTGCCGTTTAGCCCTGTGCGCATCGTAGTTTTGTGTCTTGAGTTCATGCAATTCTCACCCAGTTATTTATAGAGATGGCTTTTAGAAGTTGGCCGAGACGATGAGGCACGCGAAGTAGTGTACAAGCTCTATGGCGCCGAAACCCCAGAACTGAAGGAGAAGGCGGACAAGGAATACTCGGAGATGTATGACACCATCAAAGCCGAAGTGTTTGTACGAAGCAGGAATATCAAGGACCTGTTTGCCACGTCTGCGATGACTCGGCGAACGTTGGTTGCCTGTGGCGTACAGATATTCGGGCAGTTCACGGGTATCAATGGTGCGTTTATGAATGTGTAAAGGATGTTAAGCGTTAAACTCATTCCTTGCTTTTCGTACAGTCATCAATTACTTTGGCCCACGAATGTACGAAAGTTTGGGTATCACCGGAAACGACAAACTTCTTATACAAGGCATCTACGGAGCTGTTGGACCCATTGCCAACTTCTTGTAAGCACACCTTTCCCCTCCGTTTTCTCCGTATAATCAATCCTCTTTACAAAGCTTCATCGTTTTCATTCTGGATCTGGTTGGGCGGAAAAAGCCTCTTCTATTTGGAGCCGGAAGTTTTGTTTGCACGTTCTCTATCCTCGCTGCGATTGTGGCTACCAATCCGCCTACTCCTGAGGACAATCCTAACGCATGGCCGGTGAACCACAATGCTCAGAGGTAATTATTTATCAAATAGATTCGCGTTCTTCAAGGTTTTCTCGCTGATGATATCATCAGAGCCGGAATCGCTATGATTTTCTTGACCAGTATCGTTTTTTCACTGAGCTTCGGGCCCGTTAGTTGGGTCTTGGCTTCAGAAGTAAGACGCTCATCCGACCAGTGAGCGCGTCATGTAGCTCATTATTTTAGGTATTCCCCACTCGCGTTAGGTCAATTGGAACAAGTGTCGCCACATGTTGCAATTGGGCTTTCAACGTCCTATTCAGTCAAGTAGGCCTGTACCTCAGCTATGATTGGTTTTGCGTCGTTAACAAAATTGGCTAGGTCTCCACACTAGCTTTGGAAGATATCGGCTGGAAGTACTATATGGTTTTTGTCTGCCTCAACTTTGTCGAGTTCTTCGTCATCCTATTTCTGTTTCCAGAAACTAAAGGTGCTCCATCTTTCATTCCTCGGGTTCAAATTTTGAGAAGTGCTTTGTCTAGGAAAAACACTAGAGGAGATGAACGAAGTATTTGGTGACAAGATAGATTCACGCAAAGTCCTCGATGATCATCATATGCCATCTGGTGACGATAAGGATCATCACGTTGATTTTGAAGAGAAATTGACAGTAGCTCACTAACGTCTGAAGTGTACATGTTTCCTAATGAAAATGAGATAATTTTGTTCATCACCTTGGAGTACTGATATAGACTTGGTACAACAAACTTCCTCCGTAGTCTCTTCCACAGCTGAAATATCCACCTCGCCTGAGCGAGAACAGGATGAAATCATTGATATGTATTTGTTATATCAGCTGTTCTCAGCCGCGGCGTTCATTTCCAAATGCGGTTGCCTCCGACACGTGCACCATCGGTATCTCTGGCTTGCATGCTGCCACGACATGGAATTTCTGTCGCAGACATATGTCGCGCTTCGTGGACCAACAGGAGCACCACAGACAGCTTCTGACACTATCGCGAGGCTTAGCGACCGTCTTTCACCAGCAACATTGTTATCAGACCGACGCGCAGCAGTTCTTGCCCTCAAGGGACTGGCACGAGATTGCAAGCAAGATGTTGGTGAAAGGGCGCTCGTTGGGCTGTTGCAAGTGCTGTACAATGATGCAGAAGTCGATTCCGACATTGGGAAGGCCGTACTGGAGACGCTGAGCCTGCTATGTGATGTGGAGGAGGGGCGGGACTTGGGATACAAGCACAGCGACGCTGTCCTTGCCAGCGACAAGACTGTGCATACCCTATTTTCCTTATTAGCGGATAACAGCTTCTATTTGCGCTTTTCCACGCTTCAGTTCTTGTCGACATTGCTGCACAATCGACGCCAGGTGGTGCAAGGGTACTTTCTCACCGCGTCTGCTGGTCCTACAAGCGTCATCTCTGTTTTGGAGGACAAGCGGGAAATAATTCGCAACGGTACGTCCAACCTTTAATCCATTGTTTACTATCTCTCAACGACGTGTAGAGGCTATTTCTGTCGTACAGGCGCTCGTGTCACAGAGTCCGGATATCCAGAAGATACTGGCATTCCAGGGAGCATTTGAGAAATTATTCAACATCATTAGACATGAGGGCGGTGTAGATGGAGGTGCCGTTGCCCAAGAGGCACTGGCTTGCGTCGATGCGTTACTGCGGTTCAATTCATCTAATCAGGTGTGTAATCCTCCTTGTGGTAACATCCATCTCTAATATCTCGCAGAGCTACTTCAGGGAGACCGGTCTACCGCCTGTTCTGTGCACTCTTCTTCAATTTCCCCCGAACATCCAATACAATGATCCAGCACCCCAGGAGTTCGCGCTTCAGTTTTGGGACCAGCAGAAATTAAGCAACGCATCGTATGTCGTGGCTATCCTTGGTATGCTTGTTGGTTCCAAAGGAAATAGCGTGAGTTTGATCATCGATCTTCTTTTGACAACATTGATAAAGCTATTCAGGTATTATAGGAACAGGAAGCCTCTGTGTTCACGCGTTGTTTAGTGGAAATTGCTCTAGCATCCAATGCACCGACGCAACTCAAATCCCAGTCTCTATATCTACTTCCATCAAACCTCAATTTTCCGCTCTCCGAACTCACATTAACGCCATACATGCCCGTACCTGAGACGAACGGCGAGGAGTGGGATCGGCTAGAACCTGCTTCGGCGTTGGATGCGCTTGTGGAGCTTGCTCTACACGGAGAATACAATGGGCTTTATAGCGACAAACGCTTCAAAGACGGCTTGGAGCTGAGAGCAGCTGCTGCGACTGTGTTTGAGGTAACTGATAATCTGGTCATCTTCATTCAAGAAGCTTAGAATCTCTTCAGAATTTCGTGCGCAAAGATGAGATAAAACAAGCTATAGTTCAAGCTATGATTCCACCAGAAGAAGCCGCTCCGTCGGAATACCCACCAACAACCCCGCTCCTTCATTCTCTCGCCGCATCTCCAGATTCGACACCAGCCATTGACTCGGCCAGGGTAACAGGCACACAGTTTGCATCTCTTCTTTTCGCTCATCTTCTCCGGTCATCCTCAGGGGCAAAATCACTTGCACGAGGCATCGTACCCCATCTTACCGCTTCCCCGGAGCTAGGGGGTGAAGGCGGCTTTTTCGTTCCCGCTGATGGGGCTGCTCCACCTCCACCGTCCCCTCCCGAAGCAGACGACGACGAGCCTCCACAGACCCTTCTTCAGATCTTGACCGAAAATCTTTCGCTCGCTCTTCTGTCCCGATCTCATGCGAACACTTCCGATAGGGACTCGAGAGAATGGGACCGGCTGATCGTCGGCTATCTGACGCTACTTTCTCAGTGGCTTTGGGACGACCCTGCTGCTGTCAGAGACTTCTTGAATGCGGGAGGCTTGGGTGTGGTACGTTTCTCCGATTACTTTAGCAACAGTCTTCTAAATGCCGTGAGCAGCTAGTTGAACCTATCAACCATATATCCGACTCAGATTCTATCGTTCCCGGGCTGTGCGCGTTTCTATTGGGCGTGTGTTATGAATTTAACAGAGAGCCCGGTGAGATCACAAGGTATGCCCTCTGCTGGCTGGACCTCAATGGGAGCTGATTTGAATTATAATAGGCATACAATCCATCCCATTCTGCATCGGCTGGGCGTAGACTCCCTTGTAGGGTGCGTGTCCCGTCTACGGGAGGATGAACGGTTCAAATCTGTTGGCCCCGATGCCATGGTATTTTTGTACCCTCCCTTGTCGCATATACAACCTAGCACCGCAAAATCTGATGCCGAAGTCGAAGGGGAGATTTGGTTCGATTGGGCATTCGTGGACTTTTGGAAATCAAATTATTGTGAGTTTTCGGTTCCTTCTAATAAGACCACAAGCCGCCGACCTTACTCGATTAGATACTGTGCAACGGGGATTCTCTACGGCGCCAGATCAGCTGTCGTCTTCTTCTGGGCAAAATGCAGAAACCATGGTGCTCGTGGCGTCACTACGGGAGACGATACGGAAACAATCTGAGGAGATCACAGCGCTGCAAACACAGCTACGGGAGAAAACTGCTCGTGCGGACGAGGTAAGACTTGATCCTTCAGCACCTTGTTCTCGTATTTATTCCTGGCAGGCCACTACGTTGAAAGAACATGTATCGTCATTAACCTCACAGCTGGAGAGCTCTGAGTCAAAGCGCAAGGATGTGGAAAAGGAGCAGGAGGACCTTCTTGTGCTGCTAGACGAGGTTAGCAGTAAACGTAGACGGGACAAGGACAGACTCAGAGGAGCAGGTCTGGATGTGTCGGAGGATGAAGAGGATGATGACGAAGATGTGGGTAGTGGCGAGGAGTAAATGCGAACATGTGAACTGTGCAGTTATCATTGAAAATCTGGAATGTCTTTTGGGTTCTGTGCCGGATTGTTGATCATTCAAGTACGCTTCGGTGAAATCATCGTCCAGGTCTTTTCAAGGCTTTTCTTGATCTGGCGGAAGGCAATGTACAATCCGAACCGCCACTGAGCCGTCGGCCTTATCGACAAAGCTGTACAAGATAGGGTATGGATGTTCAGAAGCGCGTAAGGACGTCCAATAAAACAGCCACACTGTTATCATGGATAGATAGGCCTTAGGAAGGGAACAAAGCTAGGAAGCAAGACATTGATATGGGCAAACCGCAGACGATGAGAAGTGCACTTTTCTCGGTCAGAAGGCGCACTGTCCTCTGGGCAGATCCCGCTGCATCATCAGGTATATTTTTGAGAGGCTGGTAAAGGGTTAGCCCAGCTAAGACAAGGCTCAGGAGCGGTCGAAGAGCGAACATCTGACAAAAAGGGAGTGTACAATGGAAACTTGTCGTCTGTCGAAGGACACTTGAAGTTATCGCGTGTTTAATCGACTCAAGACAGGATAGGATGGGATTTAACGTCTTTGCGGTCTCTTACGGTGGTTATGCAGACGCCGAGGGCCCAGACACTATGATCCCCAAAGTCGAACCGTACAAGGTGACGGCCCGACCAAGAATATCGAGGCGAAATTGCGATAGATCGTCCCTGCTGTCGCCGGCGAACTGAGCGTTGTTATCGACATAGAATATTAGAATATTCCGTCCAACTAGCAGCGGCCCAAGAAAGCCTCAGAACCGTCATCTGTTCGACCCCAAAGAAAGTCCAATTGTTATCAGCAGTCCGATGCATCGAATATCCAGGAACATAGTCGGGCACCGTGATTTAACCCTGGCATCTGTGATCGGCCCCGAATCAACTCGACATCTCTCAATGTTCCACAAGGAAGCGTCCTGACTTTTCCTGAGAAAATAGAACCACCATTGGATATCCCGTATGATTTTGAAGCCCCCCAGCTATGCGAGGGCCGGCAACCAGGGACGCCTCTTTTTTTCGAGAAAAATTGCAGACGTCGTCGAACGGGACAATATTCAACTATTCATAGCTAGTGGTGACAAGGTGCCCGTTTGCGACGCGACTACTAGAATTGCCGTTGCCTCAGATGGTAATAAGTCCTAGTGAGAGACTGACAGGCTTAGCGTTGGAGACACTACAACCGGGGGTTTAAAATCACAACTCAAAAGATTTGTGGCCATCTGTTAGCTGCGGGTTAATCAGCCTACAAGTAACCGAAAGGCATGACATGAGCGGTGCGTACGAGCCTTGTGGATATGCCAAAAATCTTGACGGTGGTCGTGATCGTGCATCGTGGCTCAAGAGCAGACATAGAAGCATATAGACTCGGAAAATACCGCAACTATTTACTTTGGGTGTCCTCGGTTTTTCAGCTGACAGATAGCGGCGGCATATGCAGTCTTCGTTTACTTGTTTATCCGGAGTTCGATGTCTTGAATTGAAGGGGCACTAGGAAGAGATCCTGTTCCGCCGCTTGACACGACAGCGACAGCAATGGGCCTGAGACTAGACACAGCAGAGAGACGATTTCTGTTCCCTGATCTCTCGAAATGTGCCGTACCTATCACAATACGTGTTCTGCCTGAGGACAAGGAGAGGACGCACCAATGGCTGCTTGAACGACGTGATGGTTCAGGGAAAGAGTTTATTCCGATTGCTGACAGGGCGGCTAACCAAATTGGGAATTCCCGAGTTTCTCGTCGCTGAGAATACAGGTATTTATGTAGGCGTTTTGACTTTGAACTGCCCTGGCTTTTTTTGCACCGATGAAGAACGGGTTCTTTTGAGGCCGGACAAGTGCGAAATCAATTTGAAATAAGAATGTACAGTAATTTCAATCAGTACAAGTAGTAGTCCGCGATTTCAGCATCTAGTAGCACAGTAGAACATTGTGTAGAAGTGTATATATGAACGCGTGAGCGTAGACGCGTCATTATTGATTATATGTAATATTCACAAGTCCGAGTGATACACAATGCACATATGCTACAAAGTCAGAGTCAGCCATTGAATAAACCGCGTAGCCAGGCCCAATACACTTACCAATATAAGCTGGAGTCTCATTCAAATCGATTTAATTAAAAGCACGATCCAACCGTGCCACTTCCGTGGCACCCCTCAGGCTCATACTGAATGCGAGGCTTTACGCCCTGCATTAAAATTAAACGCCGGCATTTAAACCATAACATGAGGCTCACCTGAGCTTCGGGTACTGTAGCAGGTACTGGCGAAGATGCGACGAGCATGGTCGTGACTGAAGAAATTGGTTAATATAACGACAGCAAGAAGCAAAATATGACGTACAGGTCAAGAAGATAGTAACCAGAGACAGACGACAGTACATTGCGTTAATAGGGTTTTTGGTTGGATGTGCAGATACTTAACATTTCTCGACGACGCCTTTTAAACATATTGAGGAGGATAGGTGGACGAAAAAGAACAATGTTACCGACTCACGGCACCTCTCCTGAGGTAGCCTTTAATTATAGATGACGCACCTAATTCGCCTTTCGCGTGTATTTCGCTAGCCCGCTCATCATTAACGGATCGGACTGGACTGCGTAAAAGTAACAATAGATGCCAAGAATAAGAGGAGCCGACGCAACAGATAACATAAAGGCTGTTCAATAGGAAGGGAAAAGCGTATGTCGGTCATTCTTTCCCTTGAAGCATGCGGTCGCATAGCCCATCACCTTTTCTCAGTCACATCTCCTTGCGCACTAGTCCATTCAAATTGCCTGTCTCCAATAGAAATCAGCGAGCGGTGCGAGTCAGAAGAAAAAGGAAAAGCGCGTTATGTTCATTCAAACTGTCATTGCCAGGTCCCACGGCATTAATCCGGCTTCCAACTACAGGCAAGAATCAACCTGCGATTAGTTTAAGGTGATATTTATTCCAGACTCGGCATACGCGCGTGTAGTACTGTTGTCCGAGGAACGAGCACGGAAACATTGAGCTCGCGACTGAGTACTCGTTGTCGTACTTTGTTGCTGTGTCAACATTGCAATGGTCTTCGCGAATTGCGTATCCTGTGCAGGCTTAATGGTAAAACTAAGTCAGCATTGCATCAGAAACGCACAAGGCCTCCTCTCCCATTATCATTCCAAAGCACAACTACAACACGGATATATCATCAGCAGAAAGATGTCTTCTCAGAGGAAGGCTATTCGCCTGGTAAAACCTTCACCGTCGAAAAATTTTAGGCCAGCCTATAAATACTCGCAGCGCCTCGTTGGTTTCTATCCGTATTTGCTGTGCATGCATCACTGCCTGCTACGTAGACGTAGGAACGGTCTTGTAGTCGGTGTTACTGGTGGTATCTTCAATGGGTAGGCTGCGATACATTCGCTCAGCGGGATTCTTCGACATGACGATACATTCGCGATCGTTACCATCCTCCTTCCTGGCCTCGACCCTTTGTTCCAGCTGGTCAAAAAATAGAAAGTTAGCAAGGGAGCCGACTAGATTATCACCCCAAGAAATAATCATGCTGACCGCAGTGGCCAATTTTACCTCTTTACTCATGCTCGCACTTCCGGCCGTTAAGCTTCATAATCATTCGTGATCGCAATAGATCGGAAATTGTGCTTGTTACCTTTTTTCTTGCCTACTGTTCCGCAAGAAAATAGGTTCGGCTGTTTGCATCGGATGTTCCAATCTTTTTCGGGCTGTCATTTTCTTTCTATATTGGAATTTCACCATCATGTTGGTATCTTTTGGACTCTCTGAAAGATCCGAGTCCTGGCGTTGTACACGCGCCTCTCTGAAAGAATTAGCCCGTTCATTTAAAAAATATCGGATATATCCGAGACTTACTGACTGAAGGTATCTCAAGAGGGTAGCCGTAAGAGGGATCAACACGTAGCATGACTGCATGATGTCTGCCACAAATTTTACCAGGAAACGAGGACCAGCTCCTTAACTTGTCAAGAAAGCCAATGGTTTCTCATAAGGCTGTCGGGGAACGAACGAGACAGTTGTAGTACATACCAAATTTCTCGACAAATATTAAAAGTGCAGTCGTCGTTCCTGAAATAATTGACCCAAAATTGATCATGATTCGCAGAAGGGAAGATCTGTCAAAGGGGGAAAAGGTTTGTACGAGTAGAAGGCTCAAAGAAGAAAATGCGATACCTCTCGGAAAGTTTGCGACTCTTACTCCTACACCGTCCGGATGAGAGGTTTAAGCCGGACACCAATGATTTCTATAGACAGTGTTCTAGATTTCCATACAGCCACAGGAGTTCGATGTCCGGATTTCAGGATTTCAGGCCCAGTGACAAAGGTATACTTAGCGCAGGACGCTGGCTAATTGACTTGTTGAGGAACCTTGTTCAACTAGATTGTGATAAAGACAGCCAGCACAGCAGTTACTTTACGAGGCTAATCAGCAGCTTGCCCAAACAGGTTCCCCTTGTAAATGATACAGATGAATAGTGCGGCATTATACGGCAGCGTGACAGCAAATTGCAGGATGCCGTGGTGGTAGGAGAGTGAAAGGCGCAAATCGGAACCGGGCCGAGTTCACCATCGAACCGGGTTACGTCATCGCCTCTCCCTTTGACTTGCGAGAAACTGGCAGCTTCAAACTTACCTGAGCCACCGATCACTACTGCGCTTAACTGTGAAATTTCTCCAATACTTGCCACGTTCTCTATTCCTTTGGATGCGATATTCGAGACCGGCTTATCATTACTTATTTGCTTCATGAAGAAGAGGACCAACCGTTGAACACGCTGTCACTCTGAATGCTTAACTGTATTCACTCATCAAGGGGGAGAAGCTCTGTATCTCCCTCAATCGCCCCATACCCTGCCAACTTTTGTGGGTGATACGGTACTCGGTCTAACATCTTGTCCTCTCATATCGCCTTGGCGCAGTACTTGTGGTTCTTCAAATGTCTTGCGATGATCACGGTCGATGCATACGTGCGCCTCAAAAAAGCCCCCATTTCTCAGTGTTCTGATCAGAGAGATCTTCGACGGCGACATTTGAGCTATGCACCATTCTTGACTGGACTCAAAGGCGGCGAAACCTTTTTGATCACGCTTGAGAAGCCCCCGTGGGTATCTTGCTCTTACTTGTAATGGAAGAGACCCACCATACCGTATACCTCGGAAAATCAGGAGGGTGCATTCCAGGCACCTGATTCCTGGCGATCCAGTGCGGCGAAGGGTTGCCCGCCTTGGGGCTCTTCCCATATCGGATTCGCTCATGTGGATGTCAGGTCGGACGAGTCATCATTCTAATCCACGTTGACTGAGAAGCCTTCTGATTTCGGTTTTTGCGTCTGTCATGAATGTCCAAAATCGGATCACCTTTTCAAGGGGGGACTTTGCGGTTCAAGGAACCGGAATTCTTTCAGCGCCACCGCCATTATGCAGGACGTTAATATTTCCCAGCGGAACGTTCTTCTTCTTGAAGTACCGGTGTAACGAACTGTTGGGCATGATTACGACTCTTTCCGAGCGCAAGCGACGTCGACGTCCGGCTGTCAGTTATATACAGTGCAATGGAGGATCGAGTACTCGATATTCTGAGAAGAGAAGCACCGTAGAGGCGGACCAATTGACGACCAGTGTACAAGCTGCTGTCCGCAGGAGTTGCAGTAACAGAAGAATTCGGCAGGCAGTTTTTACTTGGCTATCAACACTCCGAGGCGCGTCCTGCATTTCTCTGGATCTCTTGTGTCATATTGCTCGGGCTCGGTTTCCATCGAATGGCTTTGTTCTAACGATGACTGAGCTTTGACAGTGGTTTACCGGACAAAACACACGGCATGGAGCGCGTTGGGACATTTTCCAGCTTCTCAGCCCAGCGAAACAAACCAGTTGTTTAGGATGACTGCTGCCTTTCTGCTTTTTCGTTTTTGCCAAGATCATGACGCCCATACGGTACGCCAGTTTACTACCTCGGGAGCTGGAAAAATCAGAAATAAACACGGGTTTAGCCGTTGCTCTTGCCTTTCACTAACGTACTGAAATTATCTGAAGTACGATGGGTTCCAGTGTATTTCCATAGCGGGCTAGACCTCAGAACTCGGTGACCCAAGCGCGCTTCCTGTTCAGGAGCTTTGAATGCCGATGCTATGGATGCCATAGGACTCTTCTTCGAGAAGGCCGATGTCGGTGCGCGGGATAAATACGGTTGTGCCCCTTTGCACATGGCCCCATCTACCGCTGCCTCTAAGAGTTAATTGTTTACAGCGCCGATATACACACGAAGCAACAGTTGACTATGCACCTCTTCATCCCACAGCGCCAGAGGAATCGGCCGCCGATTCAGAGGTCCAGGGGCCCATAAGCTAATGTCATTTGTGTTGTAGGGAAGTGTACTCAGAAAATGTCCTACTATAGCGCATCTCTGTGAGCTTGAGAATTGCACATACACAAAATGGTAAATATATACATGCGTACACTGCACCTGCGGATCGATTTCCAGCAAATTGTGGCGGGATCTCATCTTCGTTATACGCCCTCCAGCGCCCTCCCCGCCGGTTCTGTCGGTGTCGAGGTACTTACTACTCTCGTACATTTGTGGTTCCCAAACGCAGGGAACAAAATCTGTGCTGGATATGTTGATGTAAAATATCTGATTCGATTATGACCTGTGTTACCTGGCTTACAGAAATTGTTGGAATGCTAGGCTATACATCAAAGCAGTACTACTATTGGAGCTTATTGGGCTCCAACGAATCACAAAGTCCATGACGACGATGAGTACTCAGCTGCTCCACGCCTAGAATTGTTATCCTCCGCTAGAGGACTCTTAGTCTTTGGATAGGCAAGCAGTCAAATTTGAGCTTGAGTTCAGACGAACAAAATTTGAACAAAAATAGATTTAGAAGTCGGAAAGAGCCGGCCCGCACGGCATTCGAAAATCAACCGTGACGTTCACTGACCGTCGCGGTTAATCAACCGATATCTCAGCAAAAGCCTCCATCGTCTTTGCTTATCTTCGCTTTGAGCTTTATCCATTGCATTTTGGTACACTGTCTTTGAGGACATCTGCTGATGTTTCGTTGTTGCAGGAAATGTTGTCCCTGTTAAGCCTGGAACGGTTGTTACCGTCGGCAGATGCCATCAGCACTTCAAACACAGCAGTGAGCGCTTGATGCCAACGTCCTTGTCGTAGGTCCAGGGTGCTGTCGCGTTGTTTGCGTGAACCTCGGAATGGACAAGGCCATGGACGACACCTCAAGACTATTCTATTCGCTCAACATCGAAGGGGAAAATGGTATCAACTCTAATGCCAGCTACCTCCCGTCGGATACTGAGGATTTCAGCTACCCGGACCAGTGTTCTGTCATCACATACCGACATTTCGACACGCCCTACTACCTATGAGCAGCTCATTGACTATCTTGACATGCTCAAGGTACCCGTCATAGATGGGGGCAACCTTCTACTAGGGAAGAAAATAGGACTTGGCGCCAGCTTCCACGTCCAGGAAGGGAGATTTCTTAATCGGAGCATCTATTCCTCACTCGTTGCGGTAAAAACACCACGAGAAAGTATCCACAAGCACCCCCACATCCTAAGCTCAATTATTAGGGAAGTCCTAGACGAAATACGAGTTATGTCCCATCTTTCGCTACATCCGAACGTAGCAACCCTTCTGGGCGTCGTTCTCGAGGAAAGCGGAAGCGAGCGCCTTCTGCCTCGGATTGTCATGGAGCGATCCGTTGGATCGTTAGGAAGTCTTCTTCGGAAATCGCAGGGAGGGCTTCCTAGACATCTGAAGACCCGATTTTGTCTGGATGTAGCTGCCGGTCTCGAAGCCCTTCACCTCATCGAAATCGTACACGCCGACGTCAAGTCAGATAACATCCTCATCTTCTACACGGCGGAAAACTGGTTTGACAACTGTGTCCCCATGTTGACCGCAAAAGTCTCCGATTTCGGGTTCTGCGTCCCAGATACCAATGCACGGAATATAGCCGCTGGCGCAAGCGGAACTGTGCGCTTTAGGGCACCGGAGACTCTTTACGAGGCGCCTCCGTCCTTGCGCCAGTATGCCAAGCTTCCTGAGCGAGATCTCTATTCTTACGGAGTGATGGTATGGGAAGTTATCAATGACGGTCGTCTTCCATTTCCCACTGTCAGCGACGCCAACATTCCAAGTCCTTCAAGCTCTCCACCGAAGATGGAGCGTCTGATTGTCTCATCAAAAGCAGTGTGGTGGAGGTTGAGGGTTTCTTGACAACTATACGGGGTACCGTCCGCAGGAGTCCAAGTACCAGAATGTCATGGCAGGACGTCTTTACGTCGCTTTCGACAGCTTGCGACGCTTCTTGTATTTCCCCGAGTCCCAACCTTTCCATTGTACAGGTATTGTATTTTACCGTTTTTTTATTTTTGCACTTGTTCATCGCTAGAAAGTACTTCACAGACGCAAGTGAACGGCAAGTTGCGGCACAGTGGGATGAATCGCAACAATTCGGATGGATACCTAAAGTGCCCTTTCCATATACTGTGAGTCTCAGGCACCGATGTTCCGTTATCAGACGTTCTTACTTCCCTCCCTAGACATGGCGAAATGGTGACGACAGCAGCTATTCAAGTCTGGTTCTGCGCGAAGCTCGAAGAATCAACCAAAAGTAGGCCATGGGATTGGATCTCCGCCTATTCGACTTGCCCTTCATCACTTTCAGGGCAGGGAATATCTTAGCTATGAAAGAGTTCCTGCATATATTCGAGAAAAGCCAGATTCTCTGAATTAGGAGAACAAGGCGGAGCTCTTCTCCATCTGGCCTGTGGAAGTGGATGCAGTGGATGTCATTCGGGCTCTCCTTCAAAAGAAGACCAACGTCAGTGCTCCAGATAAACGCGGCCGTACGCCTTTACATATGGTGAAATCTGTCGCGGCCGCCCAAGTCCTAATCGACTTTGGAGCGAATGTACATGCTAGGCGACATGCAGGTACCAGAGGGCTACATGCCTCTCCACGTTGCTCGTTCCGGAGAAATTGCAGAGTTACTCATACAGAACGGTGCACTGATAGACGCACTATCCAACGACTCGGATACGCCTCTCCACACTGCTGAGTCTGCTGATGTTATTCGTGTCCTTGGAAGATACGGTGCAGATCCCTTAGCACGGGATAGCGCGGGGAGTGTCCCTCTACATCACGCATTCATAGATGATGTCGCCATGAGCCTGATGGACCTTTGTCCTGCCGCAGTCAAATGTGTAGACGCAGTACAGTTTCACGCCTCTCCATTTGCAGATTAACAACTGGGCTGGAAAAACGGTCCAACGGGCACTTGATTGTGGTGCCGACGTGACTGTCGTCAGCAAAATAGGGACAACGCCTCTCTTTGGTACCACTACCTTCGAAAGAGTCAATTACGCAGGGTATCGTGTCCTATTCGAAGCTTTCGCTGATACTAGGAAGCAGATCCCGCCGGCGGATGAACTGAAGTTATTAAGTCCGCCTCTACATGAGATCACTGAGCCAAAGTTGATGGAACTCTTCCTTCGCAATGGCTTTACGAGCTATATCGAATATGGAAGCCCTCCTTATGGTCATACAGCCCTTCACGCAATAGCTGATCGGGACTTGGCTCTACATAGAGCATTTTCAATGTGGTTGACATTCACCACGGCCCGCTCCGTGATCGATTATGGAGGCCTCCACCTTCACCTCTTTCAAAGGATGCGAACCTTGTGAACTTCTCGTCATCGGTTCCCTCTCTCGAACTTATAGATCTACTACTAAAATACGGCGGTGATCCTAATGTTCTCAATAAACAGCAAGCAACACCCTTGCACCTATTGGCCCAAAATGTTTTTGGCGACAAAGGACACGCTGAGAATACCGCTCTTGTTCAGCGTCTGGTGGATGCCGGTGGGGACGTTAACGCAAGGACCATCGATGGTGAGACACCCTTGCACCTTGCTTCGCGTGTAGAGACCGTCGTCGCCCTTCTGAAAGCCGGTGCCGATCCTCGAATTGTTGACAATGAAGGGGTAACGCCTCTTCACCACGTTTATCGTTTGTGTGAATCCTTCGACGTAGCTGTCCGCATGTTCCTCAAGCACGGAGCAAATATCAATGCTGCCGATGATGAAGGATTTACTCCCCTGCATTATGCGTGCCGGACCTACGAGGAGAATAGTAGAGGCCTCCGGCAGCTTAAAAGGTGGAGAAACGTTCCTTACGACAAGATTCGGCAATCATCTCTACCGGCGAAGGTCCGGTTGACGTCTGATAACGCTGATGAGGCTGTGAAGGCTCTGCTTGACAACGGGGCTGACGTTAATGCTCAGACAAAGGTGGGGGAAACCGCGCTGGATATGCTTTCTAGGCAACCTTTTGGATGGGGTGCATACAGCCTGTTGGTAGCTGCTGGAGCAACTCAAGCTTCTTCCAAAGCAGCACCATGGTGGAATTTCTAAGGCGCATGAATGATTCAAAACCACAATCGTGATTTACATTCAACATAAATTGGACAACCTTATATTCAAGTACTGCCTAAGTAGACTTCTTGTCAACTTGTTATGCGTGCTACATAATACAGTACAGAAGAGAAAATGGCCTTAGTTCCCGTCGTTGCGGCACTGATATGATGAAAGGGTTAAAATTTCATTCTCAAACGCGTGAGCAGGGACGTACGCAGACTTGGATACCATGTCCATCACAGGACCCCGACCTGGGATCGCCACGGCAGGCATAGCTACGAGGAAACCGTAAGCGACTGCCACCACTTCACATACTTGGACCTACTTCTGGCCGTTAAGATGTAACCCAGTGAACGTGATAGGGGAAGGGCTACAGCTAAAGGAGCCCTGCGTGCACGGGTTGTCGGTAATAACAGTCAGGACCGGGTTGCAAGAATCGTCATAGACCCTCCCTGAGAGTGGTCAGTTAAATTTGGGGGAAGAAGATTGAAAATATATCGCGTACAAGAGCCCGGAGGTCCTCCTCCAAGGTCGGCAATGCCGTAGCTGTAGAATTTATACTTAGCGTAGGTTACGAAATAGAGGAAATCCGCGTACTTGAAGCCAGGACAGATGGCTTTGGCCATACCAATAGTGGCGGCGAGGATAGCAACGGATTTGAGAGTGAATTGCATCTCGGTGACTGTGAGTTGCGTTGGAAGGTATCCTTCACAGATACTTGGGCTTTTATACGTTACATGAAACAATTATGGACCTCTCAGGGGCGCTGCATGGAGCACACGGTACAGCGGGAATAACGTAGGGAAATGAACACACAAGAGGTTGCTCATGGTCATGGAAGCTGAAGCCGAGTACGAACTCCACGGAGGTTATCGTCCTAGTTTCTGAAACAGACTCGAGGCGAGGGCAGTACGAACCCGGAAGTTCAACCGTGACGACAAATTCTATGCCAAGGTTGGTATTTACCGCCCCTTGTCAGGATGAAACAACAGTATGATTCGTTTGAGTACACCAGCTTAAGGCCTGACATAAACCTATACGAGAGAAGCAGGTTATTTGGAATATCATGTGCACGCCTGATACGATGCGAATGGCTCACTGTTACGCCACACTCCCTACTACAAAGTCCGCAGAAGTTTCACACGACAGGAAAAGGATGGATCGTTGGATGGCAAACGATTTCGAGGCCAGGGTAAGCAATCCGGATTTCAGGGTTTGATCTCGACATGTTCTAATATGCTGTGATGTGGCGTACCCTGTGGCCATCCATTTCCGAGGATTTTCCCTTAGAGTCGGCATCCGAATTATCTGTAGTCAGAGACGACAAAGATGTCACTGGCAGTGTCTGTTGATCCAGAGTGTAGATTATTCGCATGGATCTCGATGGTGTCGGTGAGAGAAACAGAGATCAAATAAGACGCATGCATTCTTCTATGGCAGCGAGCACGGTCTGGAGAACGAAATGAAGGCTGAGAAGATTCAAATCGGAGAAACAGAGGGCAGTCAGAAGCATACTTGGTAATTGGAGTAAAAAAATGTGAGCAGTCTACTAAAGAATTGTTTGAAAAATGCCCGTCAACTGTTCGAATATTTAACAGAGCCCCCTGGAGCCGGCACCATCCAAGATGATGATTGTGAGATGAGAAAGAGCCAGCGAAACGAGGTAGACCGATGTGGAGGAAGCTATTCTCATGCACTCACCAGTTTCGTGCCATCAATCATGTAGGCGTTTCAAAGGCGATTGCAAATTTGAATTATTCTCCCTTCTCCAGTCCAATCGTGTTTCGCACCGCACTGCATGTCCAAGTGCTACCCTGCTTGCACAAGTAATATTTGCCCTTGAAATTATACGCATTTTTAATCCCATCGTTACGAACGGGATTGCAACCCTTCCTACAGACCGGATGTAAGTAAAGGAAATATGATCCATGTATCGTTATTCTTGTCGATCTTTCCACTATTGGAATAGTACTTTGTGTTGCCCGCAGGCTGCGCAATATCCGCCATGATTTCAGCGGAAGATGTGGCGAGGATAATAGATAGAAGGAAGAGAATTTGCATGATGTCGCCTAAGAATATTGGAATCACAAAACTCAGTGAGAAGGGAGAACAGACAGTGAATGTTGGTACAAGCACGATGATGTACGTACGCTACGAGAGCCACAATCATTTTATACTGGACTTCTGTCAAAAGTCACGCACACAGATTGTATTGAAAGTAAACGCATGAGTATTCACCCGAGAGAACGACGAGTACGACAGGAAAAATGGTCAGATGTCAATAGTCTTTTGTGTAGCCACCGATGCTTGCTTCAAACTGGAGATCGATTTGAATGCATGTCGAGCGTATAGAAGGGTAAGTGCCAGGCTATACATGGTCACAGGGTGGATATAGAAGGTTGTGCACTTAGCTTTGGAACGGAAGACCGCTGAGTCAAGTTGGCTTCCGGTGTTTGAAAAGCAGCGAAGGTTACGGGATGAGGCAGAGTAGATCCAGAGAAGTCCTCAGCTGACCAGGAGGGCATAGGTATCTTCTAGAAATGATTGCTGAGACGCGGTCGGCGAAGTGGCTGGCGCGATACGCTTATGTAGACTGAGTCGTGACGGCACTTACCGTACTTTCGACGAGCAAGGATTCTGAAGTCATCGCGTGACATTTCTTGCGGCTTGTTGTGCTTCTTGCTACGCCACAGTCTCGACCCAAAAGGTCGCAGCAGTTTCACCCACGGGGCCGAGATCCAGGAAAAGGACGGACGATTCGATCCCATCTACAGTTCAGACATGTTCTATACTATGATACGGCGCATCGCTCTGATTTGCCTTCGGAGTTGATGGTCACGCGGATTACCGGTGGTAGGGAGAAACAACGAAGATGACAGTGACCATTGATCTAGAACCTAGATTATTTGAAGTCTGACAGCGTTATGCGTGCATGGTCATTGAGCAACGACCACCAAATAAAGAACAAGATTACACTCAAGACTTGAGAGTCGAGAAGAGAGACCCGGTGCTTTGAGACAAAAAAATTGCGAGTAGAGCAGAATCCAGAGTAGTAGTCATCTATTAGAGTATTCAATAGTGTATAGCAGCCCACTGAGGCTAGCAAAGGATTTGACAAGGCCAGGGTCAAGAGGCAGTGTCATGAAACGAAGCGGACCGACAACGAAGTTATGTCCGGAGAAATCCGAGGCATTATTCTCACGCATGGACCAGTTTCGCGTCAATAGGGGCATACGAAGTCACGATTGTATCTCTCAACACGAATTACATTTACTTGAAGCATTCTCCCTTTTCCAGTCCAACCAGGTTCCTCACCGCGCTGCACGTCCAAGTAGCTCCCTGTTTACACAGGTAGTATTTGCCGCCTGAGTTCTTGCAATTATGGGCGCTCTTAATCCCCGCGCTGGAAGCGGGGTCGCAGCCTTTCCTACATAGACAGATCTAAGTAAGTAAAAAAATAAGTACGCTGTGCATTGAATATACTTTGTCCATGTCTCGTTGTCCTTGGCAATAGTTCCGCCATTGGAACAGTACTTTGTGTCTGCAGGCTCCGCAACATCTGCCATGACCTTCACGGCGCATGCAGCGAGGATGATAGATAAAAAGAAGCGAATTTGCATGGTGTTCGATATCTGAATCTGCTGTGAGGGCGATGGTGTCCACAATGCAAGGGCCACAGTCCTTTTATACTAAAATTCTGTCGATATCCACGGACACGAATTATATTGAAGGTGAGAGCGTGAGGATTAGACGACAGGCGAAATGTCAGCCGTCAATGTCCCGTGTTCACTCGGTCGTTGAGCCACGAAAACTTGCTCAAACTGAGGATACTACTCGATGCATACTGCCTATAGAAGGGTAAGCGAGAGGTTGTACGTGGCTGAAAAGTGGGTATAGAAGGCTGCCCACTTAACTTTCGAGCAGAATCCCACCGGTGTTGGCTTGTCAAGTTGAGTTTGAAGAGAAGCGATGGATGACTACTAAGAACTTACTTCAAAAGACCCGACCATGAGGACATAGAAATATTCACTGGGCTGTTGCTGGACTGAGACGCGTCAGGGAAGTAGCTATTATGCTGGTACGACATACTACTGTAGATTGTAGCCTGCCAGTGAGTCCCGACGCTACTTCTCGCTACTCGTGCTTTTGGTTGATCAGTGATTGCCGAAGTCAACGGGTGGCGTTTGTTGTGGCGTGTTGTATTCCGGCTTCCATCTTTGCCGGTCCCCGGTTTGCTGCCTGCTCACTGACGGCTACCTTCCTCCTTGCAGTGGAAAACTGTCTTGAGAACGGGACGATATTCGTATAAATATTGGCCGTAACCCTGTTTCAGGTCGTGGGGCTGCTTTGATTCTGGTTCAAGTCCATGTCACGTCCAGGACGCTGCCTTTTAAATTCCAAACGGCCTCCATTTCCCTTGGACTGGACACGATTCCCCTATAATTACACTACCAGGCTGAATGCGACGTGATCAAGACGAGAGTACTACCACAACGGTCACGGCGCCTGGCTTCTATAGCGCGACCTTGGTCACTGTCCAAGGTATCTAGGCTCATTCACTATGCCGAGGAATCCAGTCTCAAGGTGTCAGAATTTGCTCTAGCCCGGATTTCAGTCAGAGGGCAATCTCGCTGGACCCGACTTCAAATTTGACGCTAGTAGATGCGCAGTACCTTGCACGGCCATCACAGGTATGCGGTAAATGCGCGTTCAAGGGACAAGTTCCTTCACTTTCGACAGAACCAAGGCAGCCTCCAAATGTGCGGATTTCGTATATCTGAACTCCGCATCTCGTAGGTTTCTCTTACATTCGGTTATATGCACGCTTCAGAATATCTCCAATCACAGTTGAGGGAGGCGAATCTCATCAGGCTTTGTCGAGGACCGTGGTCATGGTCGCAATGGCGGTTTTGGTTGTCACAAGATATGCAGTCTTAGCAACGTTTGTGTGGTCAAGACCGATATCCTTGACCTCCTTGAAAAAGAGTGTTAGCGATCGATAACACAGTGAGTCTACCTTCTGCGACACGTATTCATCTCTCATCGACTCTATATATAGAAGGGCAACAGGACTGGTTTTGTTCACAAGAATCGATCAGTTCCGACCTCGGCGCGTTCAATTATTGACAGATTCATGAATGACCCAAGTTGTCAAGAGCTAACTGTATCCTGGCCTACTCCATCTCTTCATATATCCCTTTCGAGGAAGATCTAGACGGTGCGGGCGAAGAGAAGGAGATGAAGCTTCATCTGAATAGCAACAAGGGAAACAGGGGATTGACCCTGTGATTGGTTCCCATACTAGCTCCTGATCCTTCTCTGTGCGACGAAGATACGCGCCCGCTGCTGCCATGGACCATCTCTATGAAGTGAACGGTGTTTCTTATCACGAGTCGGGCCCTGGAACGGATGCATCACAAACGGACGCTACTTCTGTATATCGCAAGTGTCGACGGCCTGGAGTCCGTACGATCACACTCACAAATAGCGAACGATGTGTGCTCACTGCAGGATCCGTACTTGGATAGAAAGAAGAAATGGGTGGGTCCTATCTGCCTGATTAGACATTAGCATGCTGAAGTAATAAGTATATAGACTTCAATTTCCACCGCTACATGTGTCCTCATAGCCTAAGCTTCGACCCTGCAACTGGCATCAGCGATCTACAGCTACGGCGGGTGATCATCATTTTGGGTTTCCCGGGCATTCAGAATAACACAGATGTTATGGTGATACGACACAGCATCGGTAAACACATACATGAAACGACAAAGACTGCCAGCTCCTTGTACCCGAACCACAACTTCACAACACGTTATCCAACGTCTCGCTACTTCTTATTTTGCCATTCGTTCAGTTGCTTTGGATCAAGGTTACGAGGTCGGCCTAGTGGAGAGCAAGGACTGACAATTGCAGTCCAGGGAGGTATTAGATGAAGTTTGCGTTCTTCGTCGTCTTTATTGGAACTGCTACTGCAATCTGCCCCGGATTCAAGTATGTTCTCCTGGGTATTCATCTTGTTCACGGGTGTTGAACATGCTTTCCTGTAGCTTTGGTATCGCTGATACCCACGGAGGGCCTCCAGGGTCTTGTACATCCAACTCTTCTCACACGTACAGCTTGATTCTTACCAACACTGATCTGGCAGGGCGCGTTTATGATAATTCATGCAACACCATCTTGACGGTGTTCGCTGACAACCCATGTACTCAAGGGGCTTTTGGCTGTTCTCCTGCACCCATCACGTTTAATAAGCTGCATCTAAACGGAGTATAGTACGTCCTGCCGATCTTCATGAATACTAGAATTCCTGTTAATCTTGCGCGTGATAGTTACAATTGTAGTCGCGAGACCAATTCCGAGAAATGTGAACAGAATGACATACAAGTTTGTGTGAGTCTCTTGCTATGATTTTGTGAAACGGGCTTGCTTCTAATTGTAATATCGGGCGTCGGCAGTGTAAATAGTATAATAATAGCATAATGCTCTTGTTCAACATATTGTAAACATACTATATCTTGTCCCTCAGGCATCAGGAATTGGGCATGAGATTCGCTAACTCGTCTCGGAGGAGCGGGTTTGCATAAATCCAGTTCTTTTGAGCTGTCGTCCAGTCGGGGATTTGGTAACCAGCCTCGTAGAATCCGGTTCACGAATATGCTTGACTACGATATGATGTTGAATTTCGGTCGCATACCTTGTATTTTGGTACGCTTGTTGGCACTCTTGGAAGTATTACTGAAAGTTTTGGAGCTGACAAAGCCGGCGTACCACCGACACGAATCGGCCCGACAGAAGCCGTCATCGTTGTTTAGCACCACCACTTACCAACACCGACATCAACACCTCAAATGTCACGTACGACTCCTTCGGACGAATTTCCTCAGCTGCCTCAAGAACTGGTCAACACCATCATTGACCATCTTCTGGATGATATTCCTTCTCTTCGCTCCTGTTCTTTGGTATGCCGGACATGGAGAGAACATGCACAGGAGAGCATTTTCCACAAGCAGCGCTTCTATGTATCTGGTGGTCCCCAAGGCGATCTCCACAAGTTTCGGATTCTTCTCCGCATGTCTCCACACTTGGGTGCCCTCGTGAAAGCCATCGAGTTGTATGCGATTGGATGGGTACCATCGACACCCCTCCCTCCCAACCCCCAACTGGAAACAGCGACTCCCGAAGTTCTACCGCTGTTACCCAAATTGCAGACATTTTCATTGAAAGTCACACAGGATAAAGTGTGGGACCAGATTGTTGGGGCGCCTGTTGCAGAAGCGTGCAAGTCAATACTTCGTACGACGTTCCTCACCGATATCCATCTGTCTGGGATGAGGTTCGATCTCTATTCCGATTTCATATGTCTTCTCTCAGACATTGTCGCTGTTCGTGAGCTCAATATCTCGGCCATTATTATCAAAAAATACGACGTAGCCAAGCGAGTCGATAGAAGGCACCTTCGCCTTACTTCTCTTCACATGAATCTGGCCCCTGCCCTCCTCAAAGTCTTTACACAGTGGTTTTTGAGTGACGAGTCACGTTTCGATATTAGCGAAATAGGCAAGCTTACGGTACTATCTACGCCCAAGAGTACTTTAACATGCAGGGAAGCGCTTGAGAACATCCTGAAGCGCATAGAAGCCGGCGCGATCACATCTCTCGGTCTCCAGAATATCTTGTCAGGTAAATGTAATCTCTCTTTATGTCCCTTTATCATACAGCTGACACTTTTACTTGCTCTAGGCCCCTTATCCGCCTTCGCGTCTCTTCGAAATTTACAGACGATCACATTATTAACGAAATCTTTATTCCCTTCCAAGAGCATAGCCTGGCTTGCGCAGGATATCATGGAGGGAAATTTTCATGCCGTACGGGAGTTCTATGTTCACCTCGAAATATCTCCATTCCAGGATAATGTGCCTACAAATAACGATTGCCACGTCGTGGACTCAATTGCTAGCACCTGCTGCGATGTTAAAGTGTGTGTTGTGTTGTTGTGCTAGGTGCATTGGGAAAGTGCTGTAGCCCGTTTCACTAATGAGATACAAGCTATGCTTCTAAATCTTCATCACAAGAACCTGCTTCACTTTGGTACGTAAATAATCTGTGTATCTGATTCTGTATCCTGTCGATGAAATTTCTCATAGATTTGTGGACAGTCTCAGAAGACGTGTATCACCGATATGACAATACTTTTCAATGGTGAAAATACGAAATACATGAGCTTCTAGCCTCAAGATTTGTTCGAGAGCCTTTTGCAAGCACGATGTGCAGTTACGCCCACCTACAAGAAATGGTTTATATTGAATTTGTGATAAATACCTTATTCATTTTCTTACAGAATTTATGCGGGCGGCGAGACCACTATATGTAGATGTTGTTTAACATAAAAGTCCCATGGTTCGGCCCGGTGCAACCGCTTTATCTCGAACTACCATATGGCATCCAGGGTCTTCCCTCTCGTCTTCCCACCACGATGCCTTCGGTCAAGGAAAAGGGAGAATTGTTACCAACATTTGTGGACGACCACAAGCCAGCATCCTGGAACTTCAAAACACTCTGTATCATCATCGTCTCATGCAGGTTACTCACCTGGACCATCTTTCGTTTCTCGGCGCCGGTACAAACACCTACTACTGTACCATTCTTCGCCAATATCACGACGTCGGAACTCCGGGCGTGCCCACATATTCGGGGCATATTGGACTGAAGGGTGATACACAAGAGAAACCGAAAAGGTCGTTCTTCTGGTGCGTCTGTTTCTTCGCTCTTCTTTGCAGGTACTCACAGTCGTGTAGGTATTTCCCTGCTGAACACGATGCTAACAATGCGCCTGTCATGTCTGTATTCCTCTGCGATGACTGCTGTTAGAGATTTTTCACACAGTGCATGGTAGCCTGACGGTTGGAGGCGGGCCAGGAACCAGTGGATTGATCAACCCTGTATTCGGTCAGTCGCCTTGCACGATGACCAAAGACGGACTTGTGCGAAACCCCGAGAAGAGTGAATGGAGCGAACATTACAACCTCGTCGGGCTCGACCATGTACGTTGTATTTATCAATGCTTGGGCATTTAGGATCACTAAGCTTTTCTGCAGCCGGTCGGTGCTGGTTATTCTTATGGATCAAGGGTCAATAACAGTCGTGATGCAGCTTATGATGTGTACGATTTCTTACAGAAGTTCTTCTCCATCTTTCCCGAGCTCTCCAGGAATCAGTTCTACGTGTCTGGGGGGTCGTACGGTGGCATCTATGTTCCGCACATAGCTACAGTTATACATGAGCAGAACCAGCGACATACAGGTGCCATTAATATCAATTTAGAGGCTCTGCTTGTCAGCAATCCCTTCTCTGTAGGTTTACGAAGCGTATGTGCCGGTTCTGCTGGACTTATGGAAGTCATAGGATCCTGCCTCGCACTACAAGTGGCAGCTCTACTACATGTGCACATTGACCGATGTATACAACTCCACCACCTGCGCGGACCTGCATGCTGTTCTACCGTCTTGCCTCGAAAGCATCGAGATGTCGATGTTGTCTCCCACTCTGGACAACAAGCTCGCGTCACTCAAAGTATGTATAGCTATCAAGGAAGGTGACACCCATGGTAGAGTAATCGAGGATGTTCGACGTGTGGTGCGTCTTCCGTCTTATGGCTTAGGGGGCTGGTCTGATGTTCTCTGTCGACAGTGTTTTCCCTATCCAGACGACCCATTGTCATGTCACTCCGAATTCACTTGGGCAACTAAGTTTTTCAACAGTTCAACTACGAAGGCGTTACTTGGTGTCCCGGACTATGTCAATTATACGTCGTTTAGCGGTGATGTGAGTAATGACTTCATAGGGAACGCAGATATGTGAGCAAGGATCAGGACTTTAAATTGAGATTTATCAATAATAGAGATGACATAGATGGCACAGGCATTACCTCCTCTACGAACCACTTCTTCAAAGTGGTATCCGTGCACTGCGTGCGTACAAGTTTCTGTTCTCTTCCCACACGCACCTTAAACTTGGCGATAGACTGGATAGGCGCTCGCGACGCCAACTGTCCTTGGCCAGGAGTCCTCTCATTCGTAAAAATTCTCAATACTTTGCGTCCTCTCTTACTCACATATATGTAGCTCAAACTCTTACGGACGCCGTTCCAGCAAGAGTTCCTCGCAGCGCTCGATTTGTCTTGGTCTGACGGGGAAGCGACTGTCCGCGCCATTGGTGCTGGGGCGGGGAATATGACGTACATCCTCTTGGCTGAGGCGGGTCATTTTGTGAGTAGTTTTTTTCCTGTGCAGCTCTGGAGGAGTTTGACCAATTGTGCAGGTGGTCAAAGATCAGCCTGCACTTGCGAAGAAAATCGTGGAGGGATGGATTGAGAACAAGCCTTGGTTTGACTAGGCGTGTGTACTGAAAGATAATTTTCGATGCTGGAAACTTCGTAGAAAGTGAGCCTCGCAGTGAAGGTCAACTAGATAAAAGCTTCCCTTCAAGGTGCACGTATCTTCGTATTCAAATCCTCCAAAGGCACGCCATATTGTAAACGGGATACTGATCCCATGAAACGGGCTAGGTCGGTCGTTCTAAACAACGTTTCAAAGTAGCTTCGGGCTTTTCCCAAAATCGTGAAAATCCTAGACCGGGGACCAATATCACACCCGAAGGAAAAGAAGAGTATTCGGTTGATGAAAATCGGGACGCTGACGCTGGGGTAGGGGAGATGGAGGTTATTGGTGCGTTATGTTGGTACGTCCTGAGGAGGATGAAGGTTGCCGTGTGCAGAATAGAAAGACAATGAGGATCTCGACAGTTGGCTGATGAAACACGAGATACGGAGAAATTTTTTGAAGTATGGGTGGGTGTAACCCATACGGATTACGCATTATGTACTGCTATTTACCTAGACCATTAGATACTTCCACGGATCTCGAACAGATCGAGATCACTTACCTTCTTGACTAGTTACGTTCTTGTTCGTACCGCAACAGAGTTGATTCCTATTCTGTTGCGCGTGTTCAGTGTTCCCAGCTACGGCCTGGGTTCCACTATCTTATTACTCAGGAGACTGTAACGCCGATACACTCCAACAATGCTGTGCGGGCGGCCTCTATCCACCGAACGGTATCCATGACATCGTTTCCCCTCTCGGGGTCGTGAAACCGGCGTATAAATGATAAATCTGCTAATCGCCTCCAGTTCCAGCCCGGGCTGGTTCCCTGTTCCCACAAGACGAGACACTGACGGATAGAGACGAATTGCTACGACTCCATTCACCAACCTGAGACTCTCCTTCATTACAGACCATATTGATCAACCGACAGTGACACATACTTCCCTCAAACTGCCTTCACCTTTACTCGCCAGCCCCTTGCCCGGAACTTCTTCGCCACCGTTACCTACTTCAGGCCTGTCGACCTCCGCCTCTGAGCCCTCGACCGCCCTATCCATCCATCAACGGCGTGGGTTCAGCGTTTCCTTAACTTTGCATCTGCCACAACGAGAAATCGTATCCCCACATATCGTTCCTGTTCTGGGCCCAAAGGGTCATCTGCAACCCCATGCGTCAAACCTTCCGAGGAGGACAAGTCGCAAGAGGGTTCATCCTTGATTTAGATTACGATGGGTCGAGACAAAGGATATTAAAGTGTTCGTGTCTATTGCGATTGAATGTAGCATAGTATACAATGGATGGTATCGACCAGAACGTGTATATATTCCTCTAGAAATTACCTACGGAAAAAGTCCAAAGCCAAAACTAAGTGTGTATGTATTAAATGAATGGATTCAGAGAGTGGTACCCGTCTTTATGAACTTGAAGCCGAATCGCGGGCCGACACAGCGGTAGTAGAGCTTGTCTGCGAGTGCAGTTTCTCGGCGTCTGAAGTTTTTGACGGTCGGTCCATATTCCTCGCTATCGACCATACAGCGTAAGAGCCATAGCTGCACAAACAAATGAGTATCATATGTCAGGGGAACTGGGAAGGCAAAACATACACTTGTGTCGACATGAGTAATGCACAGATAAGAACCAACATCACGCTGAGAGCAATATCACTAGGTGTGTGGAACTTGGCCAACTTCACACCCCACCAGACAACCAGATACGTTGCGAATCCCATTTTGCACAAGCTGGATGATTACGATAGCATCAGTGATCAGCCGAAAGGCTCAAGAAAGAAATGGAACATACAATGATTGCACTGCGGCGAACTGTAACGTTCTCTTCACCAAGGGCTTAGGATACCGAAGTCTATATAGGAACAGCCCGATGAAGATGGACTGCTCTGTCGTTGCCTGGAAAAGCCATATGTATCCTGCAGTTGCAATGGCGGGATGTTCTGTGATTTGTAGAACGACTTGAAGGAATATAATGGCGAACAGGGTCTATAGAGTTCATGTGAGCCTGGAAGAAGGCGAACATTTGTGAAAGAACTTGCGCAGAAGTGGTGGATGAGTAAGGGCCACCTCATGTTTGGGCGGTAAGTCAGCTCGAAAATGTCTATACATATGTTAGCTCTTCATGGGACCTTTGATCGAAGAAGAGGACGTACATAAACCGGAAATAAGATTGCCTACTACTCTCACCAAGGAGATATTGAGAACGGTGTAGTCTTGACTCGCCACTGACCCGCCGACACCTTGTGTGATAAGTGCGACCAAGGTCAAAAATGTATTCATGGCATCTGAATTACCGTCAAGACCGGTCAGGCAAAGTTTAGGGACGAGACTCACAAGTAACAGTATTCCGCTTATTTTCGAACGATAGATCTCTGTATGTTGTATATATCCTTGGCAGCACCATCTCCACGCCTTTAGCGCCGACGTACAACAGGAAGAAGTACAAAATTGTGGGGATAGAATACTGTTCGAGTTCGTTTGAGTGGCGATAGCAACGATTGTAAAAGTAACTCACGAAAGCAAATGTAGTGGGGTATATCTGCAGCATGCTGAATTTCATCAACTCTGTCACAGCATCCTCAGACAATCCCTTCGTATTGTCGACCGTGAAAGAGGCGTTGGGCGCAACCAGGGTTGAGGCAAAGGGGAAGGTTTCGGTCACATTTTCGTATGACCTGGGGACTGCGAGAGTTAAGTATGAAAGTGATGAAAATGAGAAGGAAGCTTACTGCACACATCTCCGCCAGATGGAGAGATCTGGGGGCAATGAACCTCAGGCCGGAGTTTGACAATGTTCTTATGAATATATCTGTGCCAGTATCAATCTAGGTGAACACGAGGCGTTCAGAAAAACCCTACCTGCACATCGTTGTATTCTGTCCCCCTTGCCATGCATCTCCAAATGGAACTTCGTTGGCAAGAAATTGCATACAACTCTCATTCCTACAACGAGATTCAGCGTCGTGCCAAGTCAAAGATAGAAAAAAGACTTACGAATCGTAAACCTGGTTATCGCCCGTACAGTACTCCATCGCCGTACTGCAAATATCAGCAATAGCTCTTTGTACAGTTAGTGCTTGATTGTCGGCGTCGGTACCATTGTAGGAGACCCCCAGCTCCTCCGCAATTGTAGGCGCCAACTTTGGTAGGAGGAAGTCGAACGCCCATGGAAAGCGGCGGAGGGACATGTCATAGGACTCGACCTTCAAGTCGTCGTCAAACCGCATCCACATGTCGGTCTGCAGAGGCAAGGTATAGTTTATCGTCTTGTAATACACCGCTAGGATGACGCTTGCGGAGACGACGGGTCCCTCAATGGCGAGTGATTGGATCGACGCCCCCGAAGGTACGCCTATCAACTGGGTGGTGTTGAGCGAGGAGACGCCGCTGAATATTCCATAGAGGTACTCTAGTAGTAAAGTCGGTTAGTAAAGCTAAGGATGGAGACTGAGGCTACATACCTGTATTCAACAAGCCACCTTGGAATGCTGTATTCACATTTAATAAAGGCCTCGACGAGACAGGAAGGGAAAAAAATGAACCCACTGGTCATAACATCAACCCTCCCTACACAATCCTCAGCCAGAGCAGGGCTGGTGCTTCCAGATACATCAGAATTAATAAATCTACAATAATCCTCCCGTCAATTCCACATCTACCCATACACCGAGCCACTCACCCATCCAAAAATCCCTGAAACGCATCCAGATACGCCGAGGGCTGGTGTGCAAGAGCACAAGTGAGAAAAGCAAGAGTTGTGAGTAGACGCGACATTGACTAAACCTGAACCAGGGCGTAAGGCATAAATACCAGGCCGTTCACCCGCCCCCTATCATTCGTATCGGATGCGCCCAAGGCAATCCCGGATCCAGGAGGTAGGGCCGCCAGTGTGCAGGGTGCAATCCGATCTTCGACGTTCAACAGGCCGAGATCATCATGACCAGTAGTGACAAACAGTAAAAGCCTGATGTTCCTTTTATTGGAGTCCGAGCCGCTGCAAAGATCTGATATCATAAATTACTGATCTCGCTGTTCGAGAAGCTTAAATGCAGCTCTTCTGCAAATCCTACCATGGGGATAAATCGCAGGCACGCAGTTTATTTCACGTGGGATTTCTGCCCTTGTTCCTCGTTTTGACTTGCCACGGTTTTTGGACGCGTTCCAAGAAAAGCTCAACCGGGGGCCGACACAATAATCTTTCATTATTATGAAGCAGTTGAGGGTTTTTTTTTAGAACGTGTCGATCGATCCAAATGCATATCTCGCCAGGCCTCAGTCTAAGACGCCGGTCATCGCCTTTTGATTCCACATTGAAAGAGGGGAACACACCATCCAATTCCACGAAAGATATGGGTAACATACACCGAGTTATAATACAACAACAAAAGATACAAACGAGCGTGTACGCCGTGAACACAAGTACGACAAATTGTCCGGTCACCAGAGAACTAGATCGCGAATTCGTCAGCCTAATTGACTACTCGGGCGCTGATTATGACCTACGGTAAGCATATGGAGAGAATAACACGTTGTTCGTGGGTGACGTTTCAAAACAAGCACCGGAGAATGAAGTGCCGGAGCGTTCATAAACCTTCACATATTCGATCCAAACCGCTTGTTCTTTACTCCTCCTGTCACCTCCTCCTGTTATACGACGTGAACTGCGCTCCCGCCACACTAGTATCGATGCGACTCACCTAGATCGATGGTCAGACCCAACCATGAAGCGACTTCTGATTCGGCATACCACTAAACAAAGGTAGGTAGGTGTTTACGATAAGGCTCAAAGAGCAGTTGGAAGAAACTTACAGCAAACTTCTTTATTTCACGGTCATCTGGAGACCTGTACGAAATCTCCAGATACCCGCCTGGCTTGATACAGACAGGTCTATGAAGACGGACTGCGCCCGCTGACCCATCGAGGACAAGATGATTTTTGTAAATCCTCGCGAAAAATGTTTTCGCATAGACTGTTGCCTGCCACACAGGATCATTTCCTGAACGGCACGTCAGAAGCCGAGGATCGGAGCAATGGCTGAAAGACAGACCGTTTATAAGAGGACGATTGTCCCTATCGAACTCATCTTTGAAGATGAGAGTGTACTCCCCAGGATAATCAGCCATACCGTGGCCAAGCGGAATTTCATGACTCGAAACAAGGCTAGGTTCGAATGAGAGTGCAAAACGTTTATGTAGAAAAAGAGATTCTCACGAAAACGGGCTCTGACTCCTCACTCCGTGCCGGCTTGTTGGAATGGTGTCTTCGGCCTGACCCGTCGAGTTGATAAAGGGATTCTCTGCAATGATCCGGTTTTTATGACTGTGTTTATAGAACGACACTACAGGGTAAACCACAAATAGTGAAATAATGGCCAAGAGCAAGCAGATGAGCGCCGCGACGTTGGCCATGCCGCGTGGAGACAGACGGTCCATCTTTGCATCATTGAGCGTTTCGTCCTTTTCATCGTCGACTATAAGATCCTCCGCCAACGGGTCAAAGGCATAAGCCACGAGCCCGCGATCACGGGCGCCCGCAGGTGCAGAAGGATATTTAGAATCGGAAGACAGGGACAGGACGGAGTCTCCAGATGTGGACAGGATGGATTTCCTGTGGGGGTGGAATCGACGAGTGGGAGGCGCTTCATCTGCGAGTCTGTACAGAATCATGGAGCTTCGAAGCGACGTGTTGGACGGGTTGCATATAGCTCTGATATCCTCCGATGGTATCCTATTCAACTCCGAAAGCGTGTGTGATCGAGCGAAGGAGTGAAAAGTCGTAGGGTTCAAAGGCGAAGAGATGAAGTTCTTCGTAGACACAGACGGGGTAGGCGCATGAGAAGAAAGAGATGATTCCTCCGTGTATGGCATACTGGGCAACATCGATATTTCGGTTACCCCGTCTGTGGACCCACAAGAGTCGGTGGAGCCTCCAGAACTAGAAGATGGAGAGTAGTTTGAGAACCTCCGTCCTTGAAATCCTACATCGGCTGGAAAGAGTGGCCTGTCGGGCCGCTCTATCATGGGTGATAGTAGCGGTGCATTTTCCCTCCCAGGCGTCAAGGAGAACTTTGAAGGAAGACGGTGATATTCAGGCTTTGTTTCCTCAGACGCATTGGAGACTGGGGTGGAGGTGGTGGCCATGGTGGAGAGGTATGCACGGCATTCGTTGTCTTGGGCGTGGGGTTATAAATGAGGTGAATGAGACATGGACGAGGCGATGCCAAGGCGAAAGGGGAGACGATGCCTCAGACATGTGAGACTGGGGCGATATGCCATGCAATAAATTAGAGTCTGTTGTCGATATTCAGAGCTTGCTCGCTGCTAGCCGTCTTGGCAGCGCACTGGAATATCGTTTGTTTTCCAAATGCTCGGTCCTGATTCCAACCAGATCAGCAATACACACAAGAAAGAACAAGATATAAGTTACGCGCACTATGTATGCTCGTATTCCAATCCCCCGGCGACAATCCTCCGTGTCGGACACGTCGATGACGACCGTCTTCCAGAATCCACCAAAAGCTACTGGGCACTCCAAAGGCAACAGCGTCGGTTAATACGGGGAGGTGAAATGAAACAGAAAACAGGTGAGAAATTTGACACCAAGATCGGCCAGAGACAGAGCAAATGGTAAACGTAGTGGTGGTGGACGTTGGAAGAGTCTCGTAGCGATCGCTTTCGCGCCGTCGATCCCGACTTTCCCACGGTTAGCGCCACTCGGAGCTGACTTTTTAGGCAAGTACTCCAAAAGTTTTACCGCGACCTGTTATATAACACTGCGCCTCTAATGAACTACGCGGCGACGAGAAGTCTTTGACGCAAGATCTCTATATCCTCGTCACCTAGACTGGTATATGCTTTGATATATCCTTCCGCACCACCAAACTTCTCCCGTATCATCTGGAGGGTCGCAACCATTGTCTCTGGCCTATAGGCAAAAATAATCAGAGATCCACTCCCACTGGAACGAGGACGAACCGACCTCGAACTGCCCATCTTGACCGCCCCTTCAAAATTACTGCGGAACACCGGATTTCTTTCCAGTCGCGCGGTAAACATCGGAATAGCAGGCTCGAGACCATGCGTCGTGAGAGCATAATCGTTTACGATATCCTGATCATCAACTCCAAGGATCTGCCAAGATCCATACGGTCAGTAACCCCCCAGAATGAGGACTAGACTAACCACTAACCATTAAAAGCACCGCGCATACCAGCCCCGTTCGATCTTTACCAGCTGCACGAGGTCAGATGCCACCACTAGACGATAATCACAGGCATCCCGAACCTGTACAGTGCACCAGAATCGGTTCCTCCGGTTTGTCGATTAAATGTCGCAAGATCGCATTAAAGGCCGGACCGGCGATGGTCAAGATCTCTTCGTATACTTCTAAAAATGTCTGGACGAATTGAAGAGAGAGGAATCTATAAGCAAGGGTGAGGTAAACGTACTTGAATTTCATCTCTGTCGAAGGCTTGTAGACTTTTCGGTCCGAGTCAGCATTGAACGGTAAAACTATGGAGCCGGAGGCTCACCGTAGAGCAAGGTTCGTAGGATCGAAGGTATTCTCCTCGCTTATTGCTACACGGACAGATGCGACTCCCTCGATATCAGGAGTAGCTGTGCTGTAGGACGATATCTCTGTATCTGAGCGAAGATCGAAGATGCGGCGGATTCCATGCGAGATCAGCTGTTGTTTGCCATTCTCCGTTAAGTATGATAGTTCTCCGCATCTGAATACAGTCCCAGGTTTAACTATTGTCGAAGGCGTCGCGGTTTTGTATCCTCCAACCATACGGATGTTTATCACACCCTGGACTTGAATGAAAGGCGGTAAGGAAAGGATAGATGCATCCGAAGGTATTGGTAAAGTCATTTAAATGGTATCTGAATGAATGTATGTCAACGCGTTGTAGTGTGTTCGTTGAAGAGTGCATTATTGGCGACTTCGTCAATTGAGTCATCCCGGAATTTTCGGACCGAGACGCTTTGCTCGTGTTAGGGTCCCGCTGTAACGGCCTTGGAGGATTCGGCTAACGCCGAGACTAGTTTTCCTGCTACTAATACCCCATGTACCCCCGGCTTTTACTATCCAGCTTTGTGTCTTTCTCCGTTAATGCCTTTGTGAATGGCGCAGTTTTTTTGCCAACAATGATTGCGCTTCTGGGGCGCTAGAGGACTTGTACGGGGATATGCTCTGAACCTAGCCTTTTATGCCTTGGGCTCGCTGGGACGAAATGAATTGCGGTGATCATCGGATAGGCTTATAGGGCCATTGAGATTGTACCTGTGACTCGGTAGATAGATGCTCCACGTCGCCGTGCTTATACTCTCCAAGTAGGTTTGCCCTAAGAATGACATTTATCCCAGGCTCATTTTTGATTTAGTTTCAGCAGATGTCAAAAGCTTTGCTTGTATCGGTGCCTCGTTTCATAGCTTCGGAGAAAAGTCAAAGTTCTTGTTATATCTTAGTTTTTTTTACAGAAAGGCCCTGTCATTACCCAGCAACCTGGACTATCGGAGAATGGCATAGCTGAGTTGATTGTACTATCAAAAATTCTAACCCTTTGTGGTTTCGACTCCTTGTGGTCTCGTAGCCGTAATGGTCTCGCGCTTCGCTCTGGACATCTCAGCGCTACTCGAGGACACGATTTGTTTTTATATGACACGTCCTTTCAACAATTCGGAATACCCAACTTGTTTTGATGAAAACACATAGATTGTTCCGTCTCCGGACTCAGTCCCGCTGGTCATGGATCGGGATACGTTTCGGCTGTCAGTCCAGATTCCAGAGGACCTGAGAGTACAGCTCTCGCGTCCTCGGTCTACACCAGACCGAAGGCAGTGCGACAGGATCTATCGAATTGATATCAAAATTATCGGTGCTTCTTGTCTGTTTTTCTGGAGGGGGATTGTCCATCACAACGTGGACATGCTGAAAATGGCAGTTGGTATCCGTGGGTCCGTGACACGGCTCCGACAGGTCTGATCGAGCATAATGAACGTGCTAGTGCATGTCCGTTCGGGACCAAGCTGACACGACAATAGATAAGCGGAATGCAGGGAAGGAGACACGGGTGCCTTGGGGGAGCTGATTGAAGATGAAGAATAAGGAAACGAATATTTGCAGCGATACTTGGCGGTGGACGCATCGAACGGCGTTGGGAGGTTGTTTCGTCTTGTTTGACAGGGCGATCACTTCGCTGGGCTGCCTTCTCTTTTTCTTTCTTGTTTCCTACAAATTCCCGTTTGCTTAACGTTGGCGGAGCGCCCTCACTGCCACCCACGCATGTACCAGATCTAGCCGTGTACTTATCATCGGATACCGCCGAACATCAGGCATATAAAGTGCCTGCCTCCCCTTTGTGCAACCAACCCCCGGCTCTGACAACTAGCATGGGCCATTCCCAGTCTCAGCCTGTTCCCCGTTCCGTTCGCCGGAAACAGTCTACCATATTCTCCCACCTCGCCTGCGCGACAGCCAGTTCTTCCACTCTCGCTTCCGTACCATCCAGGGAAACTTCCGAATTTCTCCTTGTAAACGAGAAATCTCAATACCGCGATAATGAAGATACGCGACGGCCAACTGAGGGCACCTGTGTATATAGGCGTCTCTCGTATCTTCCCCCAAGAGACATTGTACCCGACGATGCTGCAGTGGCGTACACTGACTTTCTACGAGAATTCCCGGGTACGTTCGCCGTTATTGCTTCTGTTTCATATTCCCCATTTGTCAGCAGAATATCGGCTTACCTGGATACTCGACACTCTCCGCCGTACCGACTTTACGCGACTAGAGACGACCGGTGAGACTTATGTCGACTATATGGGCGGCGCCATATATCCAGAGAGCCTTATACGCGTCCATACCGACTTTTTGCACCGCAGCGTCCTCGGAAATACCCATTCAGTCAGCAACAGGTTCGCCCTAACCCTGGATTGTCCCTTACGTTGTCCAATTTATTATTTACAGCTCCAAGCTATCCCTAAAATGTGCAGACGAAGCCAGAGCAGCGGTTCTTTCATTCTTTCGAGCGCCTCCCGAGTACACAGTCATCTTTACGACAAATGCTACTGGTGCCCTGAAACTTGTCGGCGAATCCTTCCCATTCTCTGGAGGCAGTGCCTATGTTCTGTCTGCCGATTCACATAATAGCGTGCATGGCATACGCGAATTTGCAACCGGACGCGGATCCAGGGTATGCTACATCCCTTGTCTGCCTCATGGGGGGATAGATCCGGCTCTAGCAAAGGTAGAAACTCGATATATGCACTATTCTGAACTTGTATCTGACGCTAAACCCCATAGAACATCCTTCTCCGCAATCACCCTCGACACAAAGATCTTTCCCCAAGTTTATTCGCACTAACCGGACAATCCAACATCACGAATTCTAAATCCTCCCTTTCTCTTATTGAATATGCATCCTCATTAGGATATAATACGATCCTTGACGCCGCTGCTCTGGCGCCGACATCGGTGGTGTCCCTCGAGGATACGCCGGTTGACGCGATGGCAATTTCCTTTTACAAAATGTTTGGCTTCCCGACGGGTGTCGGAGCGCTTGTTGTCAAAAAGTCGTTCCTGGCACAGCTGAAACGTCCTTGGTTCGCTGGAGGAACTGTCGACGTCGTTCAGGTGCCTGGGAGCATCGTCACACGATCGCATAGCGCTCATGAACAATTTGAGGTTGGTGCGATATCCGTTATTCACGTTTCATGACTTTTGAGATCTATATCGCAGGACGGAACGATTAACTATCTAACATTACCTGCGATAACAGACGGCCTACGATTTCTTTCCGCTTATCTTCCTTTTCTTCCTCTGCGACTTACAACGCTCCTACATTATGTTATCTCCTCACTTACACGACTGCGCCACGACACAACTGGGACACCCGTCGTTTGTATTCTATCACGAACACCTTCAAAACGGCTTCGCTCAGTAGGCGAGCAAGCCGACACTGGCTCGATCATTTCTTTGGTTTTCTTATCCGTGAGTTTCACACTAGCCTGTCTATAGATTCCCTAACCCAGTAGCCCCCACAGCCGTCAGGCGAAATGATTCCCAACTCCTTCGTCGAGCATGCTGCTTCTCAGCATAATATATCCCTCCGTACAGGGTGTATGTGTAACCCTGGTGGGGCGGCCGCGATCCTCAACATCCAAGACGAGATGAAACAACTATACGCTGGAGTAACTCGTAAGGATTTCGAGGATTTCATGGGGAAAGAGCTTGGGGTTGTGCGGATAAGCTTTGGACTGGCGAGCAACTTCTACGATGCGTGGCAAGTCATCCGTTTCGCGACGCTGATGTCGAATGAACGGACACGAGAGGTCATGTGGAGTCAGTGGACGGAGGCCTCGGGCGACATGATTGGCCAGGCTATCTGAATGGCGGACAGAATGTATGTTAATCACAGTGGAACGGATCGGGATTATACTATGGGTATTTTATTGAAACGTTTGTTTTTTTTTTCGTTCATTCATTCATCATCTCAAGGACATGTACATATTGCATCTCATTTTTGTTTGTTCTTTCAGTTGTATGTTTATATTTCTTTCGACGTTTTTCTTTGCTGTACTTGTATGTGTTTTTAACGTTGAATATAGTACGCGGCCATCATCAAGCGGATCAATGACGACGGCCTCGAGGATATGAAGCCTATATTTGGGAACGTGTAAGAGTTGGGGGGTTTTTCGTTCAAGATTACTTTCAAGGTTCTGTCGGTTCAGTTGACGTTTCGAAGCCTATCTGGACACTCGAGCTGACACCTTGCGTGCTACTACAGTGTTCCCGGTCTCGTCACTTCTTGGTTCTTGGTTCTGGTTCTGAATTGTTGAGCAAGTTGTGGATCATGATCAGTTCCCCCTCCGGGATGCTTTCGGGATTTTAAAGTTCCAAGTCTTCACCGGTCACCGCTCGGCACGGGGATCGTATAAGCGTTCCTCGTAAGTATGAGGCACATAGCGGGCATCAATCACCTATCAAGATTCAATATGCTGCGCTTAAGTGTACCGGTACCGTGACAGCGAGCAGCGGAGAACCGAACGAACCGGTCACGACCACCACCGTCACCTACAAATGTTCATGCCTTGTGGAAATGCTAATCGACATAAGAGTTCCACCCGACTCCTGTTAGAGCTCCCCGTATATTTTGCTGGGATACTTGTCCTGGTTTAGTGGTTTGGAGCTGAGGAGGCGGGGAAGAAGACGGTCGAGGATGGAAAGCTGGCTGGTAGGAAAGTCACCAATTTGAAGACTGTGATGAAGAGAAAGAAGGGAGATGAATGGCTCGGGGATGATGCTACTCTTGTTGGAGATTTGGAGGAGGGGGAATTTGAGACTAAAGATGTACAAGATTATTCTGAGTTATTTCTTTCTGCATTTGAGAGCTTTTCGCTGAGTAGGGGAAATGCGAAGGACACTTCCACCCGACTATGACAACTTTGAAAGCGTATGAAAGACCTTGGCGGCCAAGAAGAGGATTTGGATACTGGTGGCTTGGCAACTCCCGGACAGGTTGTACAGATCATTACCCAGAGCGACCGAATAAGAAAAGCGGGCAAGACAAAAAGCAAACACGAGGTGTCGGTCAAGGTCAAGAAGCAATCAAGAACGCCAGATATCAAAGCGCAAACTTAGATGTGTAGAAGGTGTAAATATCTTCATGATATTAATACCTGCGATTCTGGCGTGAGTCGGGCCAAGTGGGTGTCAGTGAATCAGACCACCACAGTAATAAGCTTGCCATTAGAGGCCTACAATCAGCGGAAAAAACAGAATGAAGATGTATTGGGTACTATGAACTCCTCTCAGGCAAAATCTTACACAGCCGCATCTTCTCTTCCCAGACTGCATCCTCGATCCATCCTATCGTCTTATCCTCTTTCAGAGCCAACACTTCCCTGGGTCCGCGTGAGCTCTTTCCTTCGTCCTGCAGCATATTGATCTCGCTAAATACGGTTTCCAGCCATTTCCTCGCGATCGCAACGTCTTTTTCTGCGTACAACATCGGGAGGCGAAACGCCCAATAAACCCTGTCAACACCGTGGGTAACATAACCTGTACAAAACAGATCAGCAATGGGGGCGAACGATCATAGCAAAGCATACCAGTATTCTTGCATTGCTCCGGTACCCACAGGATCTGGTACCTCAACGCAGGATACCCAGCATTCAATAAATCTTTCGCCAGAATCCTCACGGGCAAATAAACCTGCCAGTCACTGAAGATGTCCCCATAATACTTCTGTATCTCTTCCTCCTTCTCAGGTGGGGGATACATATGCAAAATATCCTCCACTATGGCTTTATCGTAATATCGCTCGAGATTCTTCTGGACGTCAACCAAAGTCTTCACAGGATGCGCGATCGAGTAGAGGTACCACTCCTCTCTCGTCTCTCCCACAACGACACATTTGACACCCTTCTCCTTCAATGCGGCGGCAAATCCACCGGAACGCTGCCATTCCATCGTGTCGGGCGTCGAGAGCATCCAGTCGTTATCGACACATCCACGGAACGTGCCGAATTCCGTGCCGACAACGTCTGTTTCTATGACATGGCATATCTGCTCAGGCGGAGACCTTGGACGGGTCACGAAGTGTTTTCAGAATGTCCGGGTCTCTAGGGTCGAGACCTAGCGCACGGCACAGCGCGTCAAATTGGGGTCGTAGTTCGGCTGGGGTCTTGGGGGTTGCGCTATATTCACGATGTCAATAGTTTTTGAGGTACGCAGAAGACGAGCTCATACATGATGGCGTTGGATTGAAGGATAGCGGAATGGAATGGCGCGTTGACTCCTTTGGGAAGATGGGAAGCGTAGTGAAGGATTTGATGCACGGAGTGCGCCCCTGCAGAGAGGCCTGAAATCTGGATGTCGTTTGGGTTTCCTAACATTCACTAAGCCTCAAGACTCAAAGCACACGAACGGAACCCTACCTCCGAACGCCTCGATATTGTCTTTGACCCACAGGATCGCGACCCATTGGTCTTTGAAGCCATAATTTCCTTTCAAGTTGACACCAGGAGCTTCACACGCTAAGAACCCAAACGCAGAAACTCGATATCCCATGTTAACCCAAACCTCGGAGCGTTCGGCGGAGATGAACTGGTTTTGGCTTTTCAAGCCATGCGGGGAACCGAATTGTAGGAATCTGAGGATCGTGAGAGGGAGATGCAAAACAGACGTACCAAATCGGACGTACCCTCCGTGAACGAAGACTTTGACTGGGAATCCGCGTCTTTCGGGAAAAGAAGGTGGTGCTGCGATGGTCACGAAAAGACTGTTTGTAATGAGAAGTTATCAAAAACACTGTTGTGGATACTAACGGGTCCTCCGTGGGATTTCCGAAGCCCACTACGTCTTCCTGGGGAGTATCTGGGTGATTCACCAGATTTAACCACCAGCATAAATACATCAGTGCTGACACATACCTCCGCGCTGTCCGTTGTTCGTAGGTTGCGCTGCGACTGTTTGACTAGGTCAGTTTCGTTGGGACCAGCAAAGGTGGTGTACCTCACAGTTTGACTCTGTTAGGTATTCCTTTCCTTCCTCGTATTTCCATCCGTCGGGTAAGGGAACGGGATCGGCAAACCGTGTAGGTGGTAACGCGAAAGGCACTTCTGTAGAGGAGTTGGCTTAGTGGTAGCTTGAGATGAATATGAACATACCTAACCATACAGCAGCACCATTGCTTGCTCTTCCGCCAGTGACATTTCCGAACCTGGTTGTAACTGTAATTCTCTCGGTGTTAGTAGCGAGTTCATCGTGTAGATGTTTGTTGGGGATCGACGACATAGTGTAGAGATATGAAAGATAGATTGGTTCTCACATATCTCGGGAGAAGTATTGCAAATGTAAGCATAGGCCGCGGCCGTCTTCCAATTGCCGGTGACCTGAGAACATCGAAGCACGAGCGAGGACACGGACACTTCAGTCAGTAGGTATAGGCCCGGGCGCTTATCTTCCCCACGTAAGGAATATATTGCAAGATCATCTATTTTTAACAGAGTCTGCATCAGCATCAGACAATTACATCTGGTCGACCCTTCAAATTTGTCAAAACACTAGCAACCAGAGCACAAATGACCGACTTACCCTGAACCCGTCTTGTATCTCCTTCAATGGCCTCAACACTCCATCATAAAACTCTTCACGTAGACTATCCGTCGTCTTACCAGGCTTGGTACCGTTTACCAAACACGTCAAGACAGCATTCACATACTTGACGCTCATCTTATCTCCCAACCGCTTCGCATACCCCACCAACCGTTCATGATCCTTCTGGATGTTCTCTTCCCCCACAGACGAAGATGGCCCAAAGATACTCTGGAGCGTCTTACGATACCCCAATTCAATGAGTACAGCCCCAAGACTGTACATATCATGCCGTATGTCAAACTTCTCCACTAGCGTATCTCTCCCGCCCTGTCTCTCAGGATGATGGTACTTCCTCTTGATCGGATCCATCTCCGGATGACGATCAGATCCAGCAATCTGGGGTCGAGCGGCTTCGAACCCGACGAGGTACGTAGAGCCGACTTTGGCATCCACCTTGGGTCCTCGCCGCTCGTCGACGTCGACGAGGATGTTGTCGCTCCGTATGCACTTGTGCACCCACCCTGCGGCATGGATTTCGAATACGGCGGTGGCGAGCTCGACGGCGATGCGGAATCGGTCGTCGAGGGATATGCGTATTTGTTTGTCAAGGACGTAAGCGAGGGTGGGGATGTGGGAGTGCACAGGTGAACGTGGGTGGGAGTTCGTAGACAAGGAAACATCGATCAAAGTCGTAGTCCTCTGCGAGACCCACGCATGAAAGGAGGTGCATAGAGGTGATTTCGGGGGAGTGAAACACGGCGGCCATTCGTGCGAGAGAGTCTTTCTGGGAGTTCTCCTTGCCGTCGTGTTCGATGTAGTGGGATTCGACATAGGCTGGGCGGGTGTTGAATGCAGCGATGAAGCGGGGGTCAGAGAGGAGAACGTTCCTTGGATGGAGATCGATGATAGTGGATGGGCAAGGGAGGGTATCTCTTTGTCTGATGAGAATATTCGCTTGCTAAGGGCCCATGCTGTTGTTAGGGTTCGTTCACCTGTGTCGAAGAGCCGTTTGTAGAGTTTATCGTCGTCTCTGAGTTTGGACACGATATCCAGTGCGAAGACGATGCCCTGCACCTCCTCATCCCACATCTTTAGTTCCCCAATAGGCCCTCAACACGTCGCTTGCCCCAGCCCACCCAAGCAATCTTGGTGGATACCTTTGGCGAAGGAGGGAGCCTGCTCATCAATTCGCGCAACAAATCCGAAACCTTTTCGAGTGAACGCTGAAGCACCTGCTTCCTTCGCAGAAGCATTGTCGACTCGGAGAGCTTCAAAAACTCTTGGAAGAGCTCTGCTCGCACCTGTACACCGTCCAAGCGGGTCCTGGTTGCCTTGATGACACTGTCTGCCTCTCCATACTCGATACATTTGTCGATGACGAGGGCGACAAGGTCGATAACTTCGCGGGTGGTGGATACAATGTCCATGGTTCAAGGCAAGGCAAGGTGCTGTGGTCTGGCTGTAGCATTGTCATTAAAGGCAGGGTCATCAAGGGATCCATCAGTCCTAAACATTTGAGCAGTAGAGTGAAACAGTTCTGTGATGTCCATCCTGATTCCTAACCTGGCGCCACACACCCTTCTCTACTAGTGTCATGTGGCATCATAAACAGCACCTTCCAGACATAGCAACTCGTATACTCGTCGAAAGGCACAGTGATAGAAAACGGCGTGGGCTATGGTGATGGTTTGGAAAGAAGGAGATTAAATTTGGAATGTGCATCGCGGAAAGCCGAATGCAAAATCCATGGCAACTCCACCCGTTTCGCCGGTTGCATCCGGCAACGTGAGAGAACGTTTCCCATCGCAAAGAAATTACTGCAGCGATACCCTAGGTGCTAACGATCTGCAACATCAAGGGTGATTCTCGTATGCTTGGCTTGCAAATTCTGCCATTCGTTTGATAGAGAATCTGTGCGTCAAGTCCGAGATCTCATTCGATCTGGGTGAAAAAATTACACGGAGACTCCAACAAGCTACTCCAGTTGACACCGATCTAATAGACGGCTCGGATCCCATTGAAACGCGGTCCACGAGAGTTGTTTCAGGCTTGTGGTAGGCGGACGGGGATGAAAATAGATACATGCCGAAGGCTTACGCAGATTTATACCAATAAGGGATGATTTATGCGCGGAAGAGGGGTCGCGACAGAACAGATTCGCGCGATAAGGCGCGTCTACACTGTATTTCCTTCACACTCCAATCGAATCATTGGGAAACCAACGATAATGGCTCTCTAAGGATAAGACCATGCCAGCTCTGTCCTTGGAACATGAATCCGTTCAGGAACGAGGCGAAAATGGCAGACGCCGGAGTTTGCAGAAAGGGTCTAGTCTATGCATCGGCATTCCCGCATAGGCCACTTCGCAGTCAATAACCCAGATATGTCGTATGCTGTCCGAATAAGGGCAATTCTCAGGATAGAGTTCGTCGGACGGTAATTTCATCCTTGCGTCAAGACAATAACTTCATTTTCAATAAGTGTCGTAGGCGCTCGAAACTGCAAGCTGAGGCCTAAGGTCAGTGACAATCCTTTGCTCTGAAAGATATAGGTCCACCATTGATCATGAATGTGAAGGAAAAGAACATGGGAGAGTGGATGAACGATGGTGATGATATAACGGGAAGAGACGAGCTTTGTTGTGGTAACTTTGTCCCGCCATCTTGATCGCGCCCATGATAGCCTTCAACACCCATTGGCTTTGGCTCTTTGGTGTACAAGCACTGCCAGCTCTCGATGCTAATCTTCCTTCATGATTCCGCTGTAATTCTTTGTATATCAGTTTGATTGTTCTTGGTGAGTATCGACCGCATAGATCCTCATCCAGTACTGATCTTTGCCTAGAAACATTTCTCTTCAATGGATGCAAACCATTCACCGCGTCACCGCGATCCGAATGTACATCCTTCACGTCCAATACTTAGGTCGAGGGATGGTGGTTCGCGTCGCAGTGACGGGCCGTCCGTCCAATTCCAGACTCCTACTCTCCGACTCCAAGGCCGGCTACAGCTGATTCGCTGCCTACCCATCATTCCCGTATACCTCAGCGTGGACAAGTCCCCAGTCGTCATGTGCTTCTGCCGGAGGATGTGACTACGCAACAACTTCGTTCTCAGCGAGCTTTAAGCCTCTCAGACCCACAACCTGCGCGACGACGGTCCTTATCACATCCCGCAGTCGGTCACCGTCCAGATCTAATACCACCACTCACACGTCCGACAGGAAAAGAGGAAGAATGCCCGGAGATCGAGACTGTTATGTTCAGCAAATGGGCTGTCGGAGCTGGATGTGCGTTAATTTCTCAAGTTATCTCGCGTTCGATCTAATTGAGTACCCATTACTCTCCATAGACGGTCCTGTCCTCGAGCCTCGCGTCGTTTCCAGCCTAAAAATTCTTCCGATTCTGAATCCGGTTTTTTCTGGACCGTCGTCCGGTAGTGATCATATTATTTGGAACATGATGTTCCACCCATCTACTGCCAAGCGTGTTCGTGACGGTGTCGAGGAGCCGTTTGAATCATTTCGCTATGAACCTGCTAGTTCTCCGCGTATGTCGATTTTCAATGTCATCTCGCCTTCGTTCCCGTGGATACTGGATCTTCGCTCGAAAGATCCGAACGTAGGCGTCACCGTTGGTGATGTTCTTTCCGAACTTTTCTTATATTTTCAAGTCGGCCTCAATTCTGTCGAACTCGACAGGGTATCTTCCCAATATCGGGCATTGATTGTGGAGGCGAACGGTGCGAGGCGAGGATCCGTCTCTGAAGAGAATTTCGGATTACAGCTGCTCGATTGGTTGTTGGGTAGTACCCAATTTATGGGTTTGTTGCGGGATGCTAAATATATCGAGGAGCGAAATATGCCTCTTTCACCCGACCTATATGTGGTGCTCACCGCGCCGGTCCACGGGGACTAGTTAGTAAATCAGTTTATTCCATGTGGTTGCCAGTCGCACAATCTGACTACTTACTCAGCAGAGGATCAGCTATTATTCATCAATTCATTGACTGCACTACATGAGTGACTACTTTCTAACTACCATACCCTGCTCTTGGCAGGCTTTGTATAGTACTTGATATGCAAGCAGTTCAGTATCTGTATAGGTAAACTCTTGCTTATCAAACATCCACAACTCCACAAATCCAAGCCAATTTCTACGTATCTTGTTTAACTCAGGGCCATGCAGGATTGCACTGACCACATCAACCATTTTGCATTGTATGAAGGCCTTCAGCAGTCGCCTATCCTTTTGGGACAAGGTATCAGATAGTTTTCTTTCAAACATTTCACAGATCTTGATTGTATTTTCCTGGGTTTGCACTTGTTCTTTCAGGAATAGAAAGATCTTCATGCAAACTCTAACATGTACTTCATCAGACCAATCATCTGCAATAAGAACTCCAAATATATCCAGAATTCTTTCTTTGCCACTCTGGGTTAAGATATCAATCAAATAGACTTTGACTAAGAAGTCAATGAGCCAATCTGGAGACCAACATTCCTGCTGGTGTTGGTGAATATGAAGTAGCAAAGCATCAATATAAGGAGCAGGTAGCTCAATCAAAGCATCTTCTGTTGCAACCTCACTTGTACCTGTTCTTGAGACAAACTTATAAAGCTGTAGAACCAGCTGTAAGAGATCATCCTTAGCTTCTTCATTCTGCAATCTTGGGTGTCTCCATAGTATGCTTTTGACAGATGAGATAATCTTGATATAAGAATTCCAGCTAAGAGACTCTGAATGATTCTTCTTCATTGTATGATATTCTAGCAGTAGCTCTCTCTTTATGCTACAGTCATCAGTTGCAAGTACTGTAAAGCATAATGCAAGTGAGTTGAAGAGATATCTATCTTCCTTCCTAAGCATGCTTATTAACTTGAATAACAAAGGCAATGTCTTTCTTTGAAAAATGAGCTGATGGTAATCAACTTTTGAGATTGAGTAACAGAGTGTTTCAAGAATCATTTCAAGAGTAAAAGGATTTAGCCCTTGCTTGAAATAAATGTCTGAACTTGATATTTCTACAAGGTGCTTTTCTAGGAGATCTTCAAGATCTAAAAGAGGATTTCTTTCCAAAAGTTGCATCTCATGTATAGCAAGATAGTTATCAGGATGCAGATGATAGTGCAGACATTCTGTGCAGACAATAATGATGAGATTCTGAGTGTCATAGTTATGATTTGGTAGTTCAGAGAAGGAATACTTTTCTCTCAGTTTCCTCCACAAAAATAACCAGTTTCCATACAAAGGAGCATACTGTTGACTTTGAGTAATTTCTGTAATTGAAGAGAGAGATATTTTATTCTGTAATGAAACAAATTGCCACAGACACAATATAGATGTTGTATATTGAGATGACAGATATCCAACTGGAGCAGGAATGAGTGTTTTCCAGAAATCATCATCAGTTGAAGGAAGTGTAGTATTAATCTGAGAAAACAGCAGATTAAGTACATCTACTTTAAGTAGAGAATCAATCATTTCTGGCTGAAATTTCAGTCCAGTTATTGAACGAAGACATATATCTGTGACTGTCATATCCTGGGAGTATTTGAGCAGCCAAATAACACATTTCCATGTCAATACTGAATCACTAAGCTGGATGTATTTCTGCTCATCTTGACCATGATCATATAGATAACTTCTTTGACACAGTAACCATGTATCAATGGTCTGAGGAATAGTAAAAGAATGCTTTCGAGCCCAGTCAGCAAGCTTCAAGCATAGGCCAATGACAGCCTTGACCAGCTTTTGAGCAGATGGTGCTAGCATCTCCAACAGAAGTAGCAAGACCACATTTCTATATGGACATGATGGCCAAAATAGAGGCAGCAGAGTTGATCCCGCATATATGCAGGCTAAGAGAATGACCATGCTTAGCATGATGTACCCAATAGCACGATTTAGCTGCCACATGAGAATGACGAGGCCAATCAAGAATAACATGACAGTCAGATGCATGAGAGCCGGGAGGGAGGCAATGATTGCCGGCACATGCCAACTCAGAAGAGCATCATGTCTATGTTGCCGGCGATGTGCACGATCATAAGTATTCCCGCTATTCATGCCCTTCACGTAGTCGAGGAGCCATGACTTCACGAGCCAAGCTAGTAATGCTACTGATATACCGCAGACTAGAGCCGAGAACCATAAGCCCTGTGTCCATAAGGCAGACCGTGGAACATGGAAATCCGATAGTGCATCAGTCGTGTCAAAAATGGGGTACGCCGGAGCGCCTGTAGTTGTGTTGAGCAGAGCCTGAAGGTTGACCGAGATCAGCCGCTGCTGCCGGATCGAGATTTCCTCGTAGTCGGGCTGAAGAGTCGTGTAGAACTCGATGAGGAAGACGGTGAGGACACCACCAGAAAACAAGCCGGCCTGGACAAAATGAGCATAAGAAATGATGTGTTTTGGAGTAACGTACGAAGATGAGTAGCGTCGCCATGTCGTCCTGCCAGCGCCTCAGCATATCTTTATCCGCCACGCGAGCCTCGTTGTTATAATACTCCCAGAGTTTAGACTTTGCATCGACGCCAGCACGCGGCGGCTCAGAATAGCTGTTTCCAAGCGTGTCGAAGTCTATGAATAAAGACAAGTTCTCATTCTGAAATTCGAAAGGCAGCGCAAGACGAGAATCTCACCAGTAGCAGAGGGCAAGGCTTGTGACGGTCTGTCTGGAGTGTATCCGAACGTTCGGGGCGTTGTTGGTCGTGAACTCCAATCCATATGGAAATCTCGAGATCCTGGAGTTGTGATAGAAGGTCGAGCAATGGGACGCCGATATCCTGGCGGAGTCGCGGCTGCGCTACCAGCAGAAGCTCTAGCATGGCTAGCGCTTGAAATCGGAGCCTGCTGGTTGTCGTCGGGTTCATCAGAAGGAAATAGCGCTGAATCTGCTTGATAGTGGTTGTCTACCATGGTTGTCGATGTTGAAAGTGGTGGCAAGAGAGAAGAGGTAAACCACGACAGGTTCACGCGCGTCGAACACGCGATTCTTCCACGTGGTTGGACTCGTGGACTAAACATCGTTTCGCCTCGCAATGATTAGAAGTATCAGATAAATTATCTCTATCCTGTACAGATGTAAACCAAAAACCGTCCCGTTATATATTTTTCGCTAAACCATCTCCCCAACTCTACCCCACCTCTCACTCTCTTCAATTCCTTTCCTCTCCCACCTTCGTCTACATTCATGCAAGCACATACTCGTGCCTGCTAGCCCTAGTATGACGCCTAGATCTCCCATCCTCAGCCCCTCTGTCTGGAATATCGACTGCATGACGGGGACGTATACAAGTCCTATCTGCGATATCGCTGACACGCTGACTGTCGTCAGCAACATCTTGTTGTGTGTTAGCCCGCATCCCAGACCGCGGTTTTGGATCGCCGAAACAAGGTCCAGAAAGACGAAAGCCGTAAATGTCTACGAAAAAAAGGTCTCGTGAGTCCTATATATGCTTAAGGAGAAGATACACTTTACCATCGTCTGTTCCCTTCTGGACATCTTGTCATCCTCGAGAGCAAAGATATACACGAACAACGTTCCAAACACAATCATCGAAGCCGAAAAGAGGACACGATACAGGACGGGTTTCGTTATAATCGATGCGTCTTTTTTCCGGGGAGGTCGTCGCATCACAGCAGGATCCACCGGGTCAACACCCAGACTCTGACTGGGGGGACCTAAGAAGAAATGAACCACCGTCTTCTACAGCATCATAGGTAGAAGCTCACCATCCATGAGAATATTGATAAATAGTATTTGCATAGCATTTAATGGATTGCTCAGCCCTAACATGGTACTGAGCGTGATTAGCATCAGCGCGGCCGCAGCCGTGCTCAGCTGGAACGAAAGGAAGTTTTGTATATTATGGAATATTGACTTGCCTGTGTGCACCGGTCAGAAGGAACAAACCACGAAGAAAGAAGCTACTCACCCTCCTCAACAGCAGGCAAGATCGTACTGAAGTTATCATCCACCAATATCACATCCGCCGCCTCCTTTGCTACATCAGTCCCGCTCTTCCCCATCGAAACACCGATATCCGCCATTTTCAACGCAGGCGCATCGTTGACCCCATCACCCGTCATTGCCACGATCTTCCCTCTCGCCTGGAAAGCCTCGACAATCGCCATCTTATGTCTGGGCGTCGTCCTTGCAAAGACGCTCACATATCCTACCCTCTCCATCAACATCTCCTTGCTCATCCTATCGATAGCAGCGCCCGTCAGACACCCGCTCCCATCAGAACTGACTTTCAGACCCAGCTTGCGTGCTATTGAGAGTGCAGTCTCCTCCGCGTCGCCTGTGATCATCACCACCTGGACACCACCCGCTTGTAGAAGTGCAATCGAGTCGCTGACACCTTTCCGTGGAGGGTCAAGCATCGCTTGGAAACCTGCAAAGACCATATTTGATGATCCTGGGGCGGGAGATGATGTGCGAGTCGGGGGAGCTGAGGGGAGCATAATGATGCCATTCACAGCTGCCGAAGTGGTCAAGTCAACGTTGCCATACCCATATGCCATCGCCACGACTCGTAGACCTCTAGATGCAGTTGCCTTGGCTTTACCCAGGATAACGTTCCGCGCCTTCTGGTCCAACGCAGGTGTCGACTCATCGTTGACATAGTAAAACTTGCATCGATCAAGGACTGCGTCAATCGAGCCCTTGAGATAGCACATTTCCCTCCCGGACGATGACGCGTCTTGATGAATGCCACTGACTGCCATGTATTTATGTTCAGAGTTGAACGGCTTTTCTGAGAGACGTTGGAAGGTCTGCAAGGCATGAGACCGAGCACTACGGTGCAGAGAAAGAAATAACTCACTGTTCTCCGGTCAGGTAGTCCGACTTGGTAGAGTACATTCAGCAATGCAACATCAGTAGACTGCCCAACGAAACTCCCGTCATCGTTCCGGCTCAAAGAGGCATTATTACACAGTGCACCGATATCGATAGCCATACGAACAGCTGGAGGTAGTGGAGGGGAAGCTTCATTATCCAGTTGAATGACCTCGTCAACCGAGTAAGCCTCAATGACCGTTTGCTCGTTCTTCGTCAGAGTACCCGTCTTGTCGGAACATATGACCGACACTGATCCTAGGGCTTCAACAGAATGGAGCTTCTTGACAATGGCTTTTCGATGCGCCATCCGCTGAACACCGAGTGCCAAAGTGACCGTAGTTACGATTGGAAGACCTTCGGGAATAGCAGCGACGGCAAGAGAAACTGCAAGAAACTATTCAGACGGCCGCAAACATGTAAAAGACATCAGCATACCTCCAATGGTGAACATGTCCAGCCACGACCTCTTCTGAAGCACACCAATCAAGCATATAAGACCAATCACACCAAAAGAAATCATCGAAAGTTTCTGCGCGAGCTCGTCCATGCTCAACTGCAGCGGCGACCGCTTTTCCTCTACATCTTGCATCATGGTAAAGATCGAGCCGAACTCTGTATTTGTTCCCGTCGCAATAACAACGCCCACCCCACGACCATTCCTAACCAACGTCCCCATGTACGCGATACATGTTCTATCTGCCAGTGCGGCGGGAACGGGTCCTACACACGTCTCCGTGCTTTTCTGACGCGCCACTGTTTCACCTGTCAGACTGCTCTCGTCAATCTCCACGTCCACGCACGAAACCACACGCAAATCCGCTGGAATCCGATCTCCCGTAGAAAAAGTGACAATGTCACCAGGAACAAGTTCGTTGGCTAGAACATGCAGTGTTTCCCGCTCGCGAATGACATGACAGTGATGGGGAACGAGCTTGTTCAATGCCTCGAGACTCTTCTCTGAGCGCTGTTCTTGCACGAAGCCGACGGTGAGTACGATGAGGACGGCGACGGTGATACTGACGGCGTCGTCAACGTTGCCGATTATGGCGCTTATGGTTGCGCTTGCGCATAGTAGGAGAATGAGTGGACTCTCGTATATTGTTTTAGCAAATTTGAGGAGAATAGGTTCGGGCGTAGCAACAGAGAATTCGTTATATCCATGTGCCCCTAGTAGAGTGGGAATGTCGGACTTCAGTAGGCCATCGGTAAGGGATGTCCGGTAATGTGATATTGTATCCTGTTACTTTTGATATCGTATAGCAATACAAGCGAAGTAGAAGAAATGCTCACCTCTACAGAACAATGTGCATACTGCGATGACGGCGTGCTCTTCGGCGGCTCCGGTCTGGGTGTACCTCTCCCACTCTCCAAGTGATCGTCCGGTGGTTGTCCGGTGATCCAATTGAGCGCGCGCGACCAGAGACTCGATGCTTCTGCATTCACCGCCGATGCCAGCTCGGACGGTGTCGTGACAGACCCCTCCAGATGATGCCTCCGAAGGGTAGTACTGTAGGAAAAGTGTGCCTCAGCATCGGGGACAGGCTGCAGTCGTGCATTGTCTGGATCTGAAGCTAGTAATGGAAAATAAGTAGATGCTGGGGGAGAGGGCGACCGCTGAGGAGAACGACCACGGCGAGAGAAAGACGACGAGCTCGAGGATACGGCCTGGGGAAGGAAAGGGCCTGAGCGTTTTCGTTCGTAGCCCATCCCAGATGAGAGGTCGGAAACAAATTATTATTTATTTTAATTGCTGCGACCTCCACGTGTTTGTTGCCCGGCGCCATTCAATGCAAACATCCATCCTCTAGGCGACCACCTGCTCCAGTAGCGACCTGTAGCGACGCGACGACTGCGCCGCAATTGACATTCGAGCAAGCGGATCTGCTGATGCACCGACATCTAGTGCTCCCCAGGTGATGCCGTACGCGCTACGGTATCTACTGACGCCGTTGTTACTCCCGGTTCCTCCATATATGCGCCGGACCAGGGACGTTAGGAATACGTGCAGCTGTTAGATAAATGACAAGGCGCTAGAATTGAAGCTATCTGAGCCTTTGCGCAACAAATGGTACGTGGATGCAGTGGTTTCTCGCGAAGTGTATCAACCCACAGTTGAATCAGTTATCATGATTGCACCAAGGAAAATTGGATTGGTCGGCAGGAACTGTTGGTCAGACAGAAGAGACTACGGATTATTATCAAAACAAAAAAAGTCTGTTTGATTTATTTTATATAGTTCACGTTTGCTTGTATGCTTACACCTGAATGTAGCGTTATTTCTTGTCAGTGGCTGAAATAGCGGCACCTGCTTGCCTATCAGAGTCACATGTACCAAGAATTTCTCGTCGATGGTACCATGTTCTCTCATTCATATCCATCCTGATGGCAGGTACGCCGAATATGATTTGCTTGGCAATAAGTGCTTATATGCCAATAGTTCTCGTATACTTGGCCCTGTCCCATCTACAGGACGACTACTAGATCTCTATTCGAATGACTCTTCCATGCCACATCGTATAGCCTGTCAGGGTTTTAAATCTTTGCTTCGGCACGTTCGACTTCATCAATCAGGTTCAATGGATAGCTCGGCTTGCAGTGGGTGTATGCAAATGGATATCATCATCACACGAGTGTATACCAACCTGGAGCATCTAATTCCCGTCTTTCTTGTGGCAATATTACACCGAACAACAAGCCGAACAGCTGAACAGGACATGGTTTAACTTTTCGACGCCGAAAGAGTCTTTTGACACTGTTTAGGGAGCGAAAATGATGGTCGGGTAAGATCTGCTCTTCTGAATATAATTGAGCTCGTATTTATATCACATGTGTGTTTCATAGGTTCAGGGTGATACGGCAAAAAGATCGTCATTCCACTAGATTAAGGCGTAAAATGAAGGTCCCCATTCTTCCGCAATCTGAGTAAAGAACAGTGCCTCCGTGCCGGCTTACGCCCAATCTGAAAGATTCTTGGCCTCGATAAGTGAGTCAACTGTACCAATGCCTTTCTGTGCTACTGACCTATCTGTTCAATAAGATCCCAGCTACTTCTACCTTACACCTACCAGGTTTCTACCGTGACGTGTATCATCTTGAAGGTTATCAAACAAGCCGATGCGACGCACAAAGCCATAGAATGCCGCCCGAACGCAGTACTTGAGAATTGAATGAACGCAGCAGGACGGGTGTGTGCTATGCCGTAGGCACTACTGCACCTGTATCTAAGCATACATGCCATGCCGCGACCAGAAACTCGTACGCCTATCACACTGCTATCAACGTACGTTATTCAACCAGGCTCTTCCTACGAGGCAGATCGCAGCGCAATTTCAACACTCCTCGCATCATATTCGGCTCGGAGCTTATTACCGATGATTCGGTCTTATCTGTCTTATCTTGGCATTTGTAATACAACATCTAATCAGATAAAAAACCTGACTTCGAATGATGAACATCTAGAATGGCTTCCACCGCGGTCTCCCCTGCTCCCGTCCCCACTCCCTTGAGAACTGTTGTCGTTCTAGGCGCGGCATATGGTGGTGAGTACCCCCGGCTAGCAGATTTTCGCCTCTTTCCCTAAAAACTGTGCTATTATGTAGGCGCTCGCGCAGCACAGCTCCTCGCAAACGCGGTTCCGGAAGGATGGAGAGTAGTAGTCGTTGAAAGAAACACGTACGTGGAATACTACGTCCCCTCCTTCTTGCTGATCCTAAACCCTGACTTTTTTGAAGCCACGTAAATCGTATGTTACAAGGTCCGAGCCAGCAAGTTGCTTCCAACTGATTGTTTCATCGTAGACGTGTACACTTTCCCCCGGTACTCCGTCCTCCTAGGACATGAACACAAAGCGTGTATGACCCACCTCTTCATTCCTCTAACTCCTAACTGAATCCGCAACTAGTCATTCCTACACGCAACATTTTCCAGTTGCCAGACCCCTCAGCCCCGTCGCGGCATATCGTCCTTCATGCCCAGGTGGAGTCTTTCCATCCAGATCGCATCATCCTCTCGCGAGCATTTCCGGAGCTCGGTATCCATTCTAACACGCTCCACTATGACTATGCTGTGTACGCGCTCGGGTCGCAACTGCCCGATCCTGTCAACCTGTGGGGTCCCCGGCTCGACTCCAAAGAAAAAGAAAAGACGGAATGTCACGGGACCAAGGCAGAGGGAATCAGCTGGCTCCAAACTAGTCAGAAGGTTATCGCGGCGGCCGGCAGTGTGCTCGTCGTGGGAGGTGGGGCGTTAGGAATACGTATGCCGCTTTCCGACTATTTCGCCTAAGCCCCGCTGACCATCATGATTGTGTAGAGTTGGCCTCTGATATCGCTGATGTTTATCCAATGAAAAAGGTTACTCTACTCCATTCGCGTCGGAGGTTGTTACCCAAGTATGACGAGGGAATGCACATCGAGAGTGCGTGCGAATGTCTTGTCATTTCTGTTTCTTGTTCCTGATATAATGACCGTAGTCGTCCAGTCTTTGACGGCACTCAACGTTGAGATGATCCTTGGGGAGCGTTTGGACATGAGTTCTGTCGACAAGGTTAATGATGCGGGACAACGCGTTGTGCGAACACAGTCCGGGAAGGAAATCGCTGCCGATGTCCTCGTATGCCACCTCCTCTGATATCAGAAATAATGAAGTCTAATCCTTTTCATCAGTTGTTCTGTACAGGACAGATCCCCAGCACCGCGCTGTTGAAGGAGATGGATCCGTCTACATTGAACCCGGAGAACTCGCTGGCCCATGTACTGAGGACTCTCCAGCTTGGTGTAATCGCTCCTTCTGCTTCGGTATCACCTACCTCGGTCAATGCTGAGTCTTCAACCATGATTTCCGATGCTGTCAAGCTGCAGGCAGCACTCGAAAAGCTTGCTTTAGACGAAAGGAATGCTCCTTCTGAGGAGTCTGTATCCTCTACTGCGTCCAGCACGCCTGTCTCTGAGGAAGACTTCGAAGATACGCCCTACGGAAACATATTCGTTATTGGAGACGCGGCCGATGCATTCGGTGCCATTCAAGCTGGACATAATGCTTATGCTCAGGTTAGTCTTTGGTTTTTGCACCTCATGTATGTTTTGCTAATTGTCCCTCCAGGCCGATGTTGCAGCCAAGAACATCCTGAAGCTCATCAATGGATCCGGAAAGGATGAGCTGGAGAGATACACGCCTTCTCCTCCGTCTATCAAGGTGTCTGTAGGCATTGTAAGTGGGCAGTCAGAGTGCGCAATCTCCCACGCTAATAATACTTCAGAGAAAAAGGGTGTACCAAGTCAATGGTGCGATCAAGACCATCAATAATGGCGTAGAAGATATGCTAGCCAAGTACATGTGGCCGAAATTTGGAATCGAGGTGAAGGACGATGCAGATATGTATGAATAAGCGAAGATTGGATTGACTATTATGATTGGTCTATCTGCTATCTTCTAGAGCAGTATACCAGCGGCGTTAAAATGGATCGTAGTTGATGCGGCTTCATACTTTAATAGAATAGGCAAGATGCCACTAGTTTATCTTTGTCGTGGGAATTGACTTCTCCCAGGCGTTACAGTTTTTGTGTCTCTTATGTCTCGCTTGGCGTTTTCTTGACTGTTGGTTGGCCTTCAGAGACGCCAATCTAAGAAAATAATGTTCGTCCATTCAAACACTCGTAACTCGACGCAGGTTGCACTTCTTTGCATGTCATATGGCATAGCGCGTGTGCCTGCTGACTGCTGCGTGGCACTGCTCTACAGCAACTCTACAGCACTATACAATATATTATCACGGCTTCACCTGTTGCTGGACAGACGTCCAACATGTTTAACATTCAGCGGTTGTTGAAAATCTTTCGTGATCTCGCAGGAGGCCGCTCACCGCTGAAAGTTATTCTTGTTCTTTGGGCTTTCATACAACGGCAACTCCGACGCTATCTCTGGGATCGAGGTAATCAAGCCTCCCCAAAAGGTCCACAGCCCATCAACGACAAAGTCTTTGGTGGACCTACTGATGAAATCTGTACGAAGTGGAGGATGACAGTCATGGACGACGATGTAGAGGAACCGGTATCGGCGGTCGTATGTCGAAGCGCCTTCCCCTCACAGTCAACTCATGGCTCCCGGTCTTCTTCTCGTTATCCCTCTGCTGCTTCATCTCGCTATGGCTCTCGATCTTCGTCTCGTTACGGTTCTCGATCTTCATCCGTGACACGATCAACTAGCGACCACGGTTTCTCAACTCTTCCCAAAGTCCGGCCCCGATCGTCGAGTCAACCTGACTTTGGGCCATACGCAAATGCATCAGGACACCGTCTCGCTCATTATCCATTGCCGAGTCGTTCTCAGTCTCGATCACGATCTCAGTCTGTTACCCAACCACAGGCAAGCTTTGACGATCCGAGCCATATGACAGGGTCGACTACCAAAAGCTCCGAATGGCTCTCAGACACCCTTTATAACTCTTCAGGACCATCGCTACCCTTTTCAACCATGCCCGATTCACCATCTAGCTCCGATGCGTGCCAGTCTAAAGATCCAAGCGACTTGTGGCGCGAATCCGAGATTATCCAGGCAATGGAGACCATTGAATCTGAGCTGCCCTCAGAGATCGATAATCCATATGATGTTCAAGTTCCTAATATGCTTGCACCGGCACCACAGCCCACCAACGACTCAAACAACACCTCGAACTTTACGTTGACTCTTAATGCTCATTCTTCCTTCTTGCCCTTAACACCTGAACGTGTTCCAAGGTATAACAAAGACTTTACCGAGTATGTTTTATTTGCCGTTGCTTCTCTGCTGTTTCTAAAGACGTGGCTGGCACAGTGAATCTATACATACCGATTATTTAATCGACCCGTTAACGATTTCATTTCAGCAGTATGTTTTCGTTCTTCAAGGTTTTCCCTATCCCTTATCTCTTGTAGGAATCATGTTCACGTAGACTGGTTGATGTGTGTGCATCCTGAGGGTGCTCGCTACTTTTTTCACCAGGAAAGGGTATGTTCAAAAATCAGATTTTATCGTGATACATATGAAATAGTTCTCTGACCCTCTGGCATAGAAAGTGTATACCGATGTCGACATTAGCGAATCGAACAACTTGCAGCTCATCACGAAGTTCCTCAATGATCTCGACAACTACATGAATACGAACGGTATTGTAATATCAGATGCCGATCTCGTACTTGACCTCATCTCGGACCCGACGGGTAACGGTGGGATCTCCTGCGCGTACTACTTCGCAAGTCACGAAAATCGCTCGATCTTTTGGTTTCATGAATTCAGTGGGACTTTTCTGAGTGCATGGAATGCAGTCAAAGGTGTTACCGATCCGGGGCATATCAGCCTTGAAATAGAGGCACAGTATTGGTACGAACTTCTCCCTTAATGGTCTTCAGTGCTGACTTGAATGTTAAGGTACCACTGTCAATTGTTTCCTACATGCAGACAAATGACACTCGATATCATTGACGAACTCAGAGATACTTTGATATTTTGGATGGGAGGTAGGTTTTTGCAATCATGATATATGTTGGGTTTATACCGCCTAATCTTCAGATACAATGACCCGATCGAAATCCAACTCTGCCTATAATATTCCAGAACTACAGCAAATGCTTAACCTCACAAATACTGTTCGAAGTAAGAACCCAGTGATGCCATGGTTTGAAACCTACAATTTTCCCCCCAGAATCACTCGATTGGACGTCAAACTCCAGGCCGAGCTTGGCATGCAGCATAGGTAAGGGAGCATTTTTGTCATACCTGATCACTCGCTGACCTAGTATCCAAAGATCGTTTGATGTTCATTGTTTGTAAGTATGGGATCATGACTATTAAGTCAAGCTGTAACATTTTACAGTTCGAGAACGATTCATTAATTTCTACGGTCAAGCCAGTGCCCGGCTTGAGCGCGATGCATCCGTTTACGATATAACGTTCAAACGAACACCGCTAGTTGTCCTGCTTTCACCACTCCTATTCTTTGCCCCCGATATTCATCTCACTGCGCTCAAAAAAATCAAAGGAGATGGATTTTTTCGCATAGCAGCTTGGAGCGGCTTCACTGAGAAACTGTATAACGAGTGGCGGGAGGTCATCCTTCATGTAAGGATCGCAGTCCTCGTTCATAGTGCTTGCCTAATTCATCTTTAGGCCACTGTATTGCTCACCGCCGACGTCGCTTTCCTAGCTATCCAAAGCGTTGATGACCATAGTACCGACGAAGGACGATCACCTGCATTAATATCTGTTTACGTCTCAATAATTGCGAGCATAGGCAGTATCATCTCGGGATTTCGTATGAGGGCCCACGACTCATCCAAAGATGCTGTACGTTTTATTTCGGTGACCTTAAGAGAGGGTTTGACGCGTTTTGCAGATGCGATTCTTTGGGAAAGAGAGAGGTCTAGAGACTCTGGCTATCATGTACAGCTTACCTCATGCTTTGCTGATATGGGCGTGAGTACTTGGGTATTCACATGGTCTTTCTGCATTCTGACCCCAAACCAGCATGGTCGCATTTCTGGTGGCATTCAGCTTTCTATGTTTCGCCGCATCCAGCTTATCCGTCCGGATCCTCCTGGGTATCGTGTGGATCCTCACTGGTGTTCTCATCCTTTGGTGCGTCATCACATTTTGGGATGTCGAACGGCTATACGACCGGTATACATGGAAACCACAATCTCCAATCAAGGTTTGGCGACAATTTCTCTCCGCACATTACATGAATATTATGGGTCGAATGAAAAGAAGACCGCCAATGAGCTCAATGGATGAGGCCGCTATTCGCGTATGAGGGGATATCCCGAAGCGACGAGTGAGTGAATGCGTCAGTATGAATGCTTTTAGTCCTGTATTTGCTCGCGCTGAACGTCACCAGATTTTTGAAGTCTGGACCGGCTGGACCGAGTCTTCCCTCTTTTTATCATCTAATAATGTTCGAGAACTCCACGATTTTACTATTTTATCGACACTATCTTTTGCAACAGATACCCACAGCCTGCCATATCTTCCCGATCTATTTTGAGTATGTAGTCGTCTTTCTTGCTCGCACTAGCAGCACTGCTGTGCACTCAGCAGGCGTTCGTTTCTGAGATTCCGCCACTTCATGAAATAATACACATTGCCATAGCTGCTAAAATCGAGTGATTCACGCTTTTCTGGGACTAAAATTTGGACGAGCTGTTGAATATAGCAAGATACAACGCGTCTTGATATTGGCCCAAATTTCAAATATAACGTGAGAATTGATTACCCTTTTTCAAAATTTCAATGTTTCGCTCACATATCTCATCTTTCCACGGCCAGGTGCAAGGACACAGGTACTGAATTGCACTACAAAACCAAATACTTAATACCCTCTAGTCAACCAGCACCACGTTTCTGCAGTCTGATTGCTAACGACCGTTATTACCAGCGGATCCACAGCGCTTACAACCTTGTCTTCGTTTTTATGACGTTTTCTGAGTATTCTAAGCGCAGGGAATGTCATCACAGGCGCGAGGCATACATAATGCATTTTCTCCACAGCAATTCTCACTTCTTTAATGTGGATACCCCTGGATAACGATACACGTGTAGTACGTGCTCGTCGTCCACACGCTGCTTTGTGCTCTCTACAACGACATCCTTTCGCGTTGTCTTCGACCGGCATTCATGTTATCCTCCCAGTGGTTATTGAGGGAACTCCAAAGAATCTTTCATGACCATACAGGTAGCTGCTCACCGTTAAAGGTTATTATTGCGCTTTGGGTTTTCTTGCGGCGCCGGTTCCGGCGTTATTCTCGAGCTCTTTGCAGAAAAGTGTATACAAAGAGTCCGCGACCTAGTAACGACCAAGCCCCTGGTAGAACCCCTGACGGAGAGCGAACAAGGTGCAAGAACAACGGTGACGTAGAGAAGCTATCATCGGTTGACCCAACCCAAGATTCTCTACCCATTTTCTGTCTTCCAGGTCTTTCCTCCCTATTGAACGTGCCTCTGGCGTCTGAAGGTAGTCTAGTTCCTAACGGGGCGGCACCCGTACGACATGTGAGGTGGTCTCTTCCAGTTTCCACGCCTGCCCTTGCGACAAGCGATTTTGATTCAGCGGCCTCCGAGGAGGATGTTCGACCACTCCCACCGATTCCGGTACAAGACGAGGGAGTGGACACCAATATTTTTCCAGGCGGTGCTCCCTCATCGCCTACTATATTGACTTCTGTGCATCCTCCCTTTTGGCCATTGGCGCCCGAACAAATTCAGAGATACACAAGAGAAGTTACCATGTCTGTGTTCATTTATGTGTATCTATATTGCCATACTGATATGCACGACTCAGAACACTGGATGATAACACGTACTGGGTCGATCCTTTGACGACTAAGTTTCCTCCGTATGTTCAAGCTCTTCCCAGATTCCTTATCTCATGTTTTCTATATCAAGCCATCACGTCGAGCACGGTTGGATGCCCTTTGTGCACCCCGAAGGTGCACTTTATTGGTTTCATCAGGAAAAGGTATTTCCAGGAGTTGTGCTCAGGACAACTTCTGATTATTCCTCATAGAGGACATTCACCGGTGTTGATTTGTGCGACCAAGAAAAACTGCAAACCACCATGAAGTATATGGATAATATCTATGAATTCATTCATGCATACAACATAACAATGCCAGCAAATGCCGATCTTGTGTTTGAGCTCGTCCGGGACCCGGACACCGGCGAGCAATGCTGCGCGTACTACTTCGCGAGCCACGACACTCGTTCCGTCTTCTGGCTGGATGACTTCAATGCAGCCTACTTCAACATATGGGATGGGGTCAAAGGCGTCACCGAACCGTCCCATGTTGGTCTTGAGATAGAGGCTCAGTATTGGTACATTCTTGCTGGCGCGTATTTATTTTTCGCTGACATAAAGTAGGTATCACTGCCAACTGTTCCCGACGTGTACGGAAATGACCATGGGTATTATCGAGGAGCTCAGAGATATCTTGATCCATAACATAGGAGGTAGGTTCTTCTTGCCGGAAGTGTTTTGTTATGTATATTTTTTACCCTGCAGATACAATGACTTCAACCTTATCCACCTCCATCTATAGCGTTTCCGAGCTACAAGATATCATCAGTGTCACAGATTGCGTCGAGAGTGAGGACGTCGTACTTTCATAGCTCGATGCCTTACAACTTCATATCTAGAATCAATTACTTCTGGACCATCTCGACGTCCAGGTTCTGTGTGCAGTATCGGTAAAAAAACCTTTTGTTGTCACGAAACTGAATATGCACTAACTAATTGAAAGGCCGTATTATGTTCATCTTTTGTGAGTTGATATCTGTGACTGTAATCCGAGTCTGACTAGGTTCTAGTTAGGAACCGATTCATTAACTTTCACGGTCAACCTGGTGCCCGGCTTGCGCGCGATCAGTTAATCTATGAGACGTCGGCCAAACGAACCTTACTCGTCACTCTGCTTTCACCATTCCTATTCTTCACGCCCGATATTCACCTTACTACACTAAAAAAGATCGGGGGCGACGGATATCTCCACACCCACAAGGCGTCTTGGACTAGCTTCACTGAGAAGCTCAACACCGAATGGCAAGAAGTTACCCTCTACGTGAGTATCGCATACTAATACACAGATACGGCGAGATTCTCTGACTTATTAATACAGGCTACTGTTTTACTCAACGCCAACGTTGCTTTCCTGGCTATCCAGAGTGTTGATGATGCTAGTGCTGATGGAGGACGTTCGGCAGCACAAATATCGAGCTACGTCTCCATGATTGCGAGCATAGGCAGTATGATCTTGGGTACTCGTATGAGGGTTCATGACTCGTCCAAAGACTCGGCACGTGTGCTGTTCTTTCACCTCAGTACAAGCAGCTCATGTAGTTCTCAGGTGCGATTCCTGCGTTTGACAAAACGAAACAGTAGAGGTATGGAGACTCTGGCTATCATGTACAGCCTACCTACTGCCTTACTCATGTGGGCGTACGTATATCCTCACTTGGTCTTGTCCGCATTCTAACCCTCACTCCAGAGTGGTCTCCTTCCTGGTCGCATTCAGCATAGTTTGTTTCACTGCCAACAGTTTATCTGACCGAATGCTCGTGGGTGGTACATGGATAATCGTTGGCGTCCTCATACTCTGGTGCATTGTTGCATTTTGGGAGGTCAAACAAGTGCATGTTCCCTATCTGTCCAAAGTCGCGGCACTGGTCAAGTATTGGGACCGATTTCCCATGAATCTCAGGAGGAGATTTGCGAGGAGATTTGATATACCTCGGATGAAGATGAGGCCGCCGACTCACGTGGTGGACGTGTGATCGAGGGATGTTTAATGCTGAAGGAGAGTTGATCTTTTCGCACCGGGGTCTCGTAGTGTTTTTGGTGTTTAAATTATTTCCTTGCGCTGTGCGCTGAAGAGTATAGGAGCGGTAAGATTTTAGGATATTCCGATCTCAGTACTACTGTCATATGTGCTCTGTTGTATGATAATTATCAGCTGGTCTACTTATCTATAGCACACGTTGTGTTTTACTCCTTCTCATGCGTCTATAGCTTAGCCTCTTTGATAGCCTCCGCGACCTTCTTGTCAAAGAGTGCCTTGGCCTCAGTCCATACTCGTGCAGTCTCCCGATCGGGAAGCTGGAGCAAGGAGGGGAAAAGGTCCGAGCTGAACTGCACTGAGGCCTCTCTTGGAAGCAAGGAAGGGAGATGATCAATAGATATCACGGACAGAGGCGGATTTTCAGCCCTTGAAATATTAATGAATTAGCATACGAGGATGTCTCTTCATATTAAGATTACTCACCCAACGTCGACAGGAACAGTGGGCTCAGAGAACGTCGTGTTGATTGTGTATATAGGGATCGGGTTGAAGGGGTTGGTAGTATCGCAGCTAACATCGACGACTGTCGATAACCGCCGTCCCTTCCCAGCAGAGATGAGCTGGTCACGAGTCAAGAACGAGGGAGTCTTGGAGCTGAGATAGATGCAGTTGACGAAGATGTCGGCATCAAGAATCTCAGAGAAGGGGCCGCCTTTGGCCGTTTCCGCCATGTCCCACTTGAGAATATCGTCCCTGGATGAGAAGATGAGTCATTGTGTCAGAAACTGGGGAGACATGCGTACTCATCCAAACCAATCTTTCTGAAGAGGTCAACCGCGCCGCGTCCACACCGTCCCATAGCGCCAATGACCAGGGCCTTAACACCTTTGCCACTCCCACCCAAGGCAGTCTTGACAGCGTTAATCATCGCATCTTCACTCTCGAAGGACTTGAGGTGTCCAAGCTTTTCGCCCTTTCTCCGCGATGCCACCGCGAGAGCACCAACAGCAGCCCCTGCGAACCCAGCATGATAGCCAAAGGCTGCGACTCGACGGCCATTGGCGTCGGTCAGGAACTCTATGTCATACAGAGTACCTCCCCCGCAGTGAAGACGCAACAAAACGTCGATCCACCCATCTTGTTGCTTGTAACAATGAGCAAACTGGATATGACTATGCGGGATAGGGTCTGTGGACACGGGGAGCTCTTTCAATCCAATGATTGGGACGTTTACCGGTGCCGATGGCCAAGAATTGTTGTCCACCAGTTTGCATCCAACACTATCACAGCAATGAGTTAGGAGCAGTGAACGAGGACGTAATATATGTACTAACGCTTCGTATTCTGAGTCAACAAAAATCCTCTGTTCGTCCCGTTCGACAAAGATTTCAAAACAGGCATCGATAAGCCTTTTGGTCGTAGCTGGGGTCAATGCAGTTCGGCGTTCGAACTCCTTTTTTTCGCAGCGGAGCCAGAGACTGGGCTTGGACATTTTGGATGAGATGGCAGGTGGTTGAGAAAAAATTGTGACTCGATTCCTTGACTCATTCCTGACTCGATCGGCCGTACATAAAATGATTTCGATCAGATTCAAAGTACTGCTACCTATTTCATGTCAGGTCCTTGCGAGGTGGTGGAGAAGAGCAAGGTAGACTCATCGCAAATTATTGTTGGAATTACTGTGGCTGTACGAGCCGTCGGAATCAACCGGCTCCGAACCCGTTACGTACCGTACCCGCAGTTTTCTTTTCTTTACCGTTTACCTCCACGTCGACGTACATAGGCTAAACGAGTTGCTCTTTTCGTTCCCTCCCTTGCTCGAATCTCAATAATTATTTTAATAGGAACATAGGATTTCATCCTAGAGAATGGGTATTAGAGGCTGGCGGAACGTTCAAATTATTATGTTCTTCGCACAATCCCCGGAAAAAAGTCATTTTATCATTTCCAGCAAAGCACTTTGCGACGACTGCAAGCGAGGCCCTCCTTGGCTCTTCCCTCCGCCGCCCGCTGGGCATCAAGCTTCACTTGACTCTACGAATGCAACGCCACGTCGTTATAATAATCTTTCGATAGACTCGGAGACTCTCCCCACGACTAGAAACGACATAGTGTCAAGCACAGAGACGAACGTGCAAGGAGTGCGGGCAGCCAGCCTGAGTCCAGTTGAGTAAGTACTACTAAGTAGCCAATGTCGACTGGCGGGAAGGCCCGAACATACCCGGGCCCACGTTACTTCGGAAGAACGGTCCGCAGGCTGCCGATCAACCGGGTCGATTCCTGATCCAAAGTTATTCCTCTTATCAAGTTACTACCATGGCCCAGTTGTTGCGTCCCTCGAAAGGCGTCCTTGGAACAGTACCGTCACCGTGATTTTTCCCCGTCTTCGTCTCGTAATATTCTGTGACGTACCTGTGCCTAGGATTCCTCAAGGATCGCAATGGGCCTCCATGTACAAGCCCACTCCAACGCGGCCCTTGCTTAATCTCTCTCAAGGTGTACCGGGAACAGCACCGGAGAAGATTTTGCAAGATGCGATTGTGGCTTCTTCCGCGTCCGATGCCTGGGGATATTGTATTGCTGAGGGGGAGAGTGTCCTGAGGGAAGGTGTAGCGGGAGAGATGAGAAGAATCTATCGAGGAAATGTTGACGCGGATGTGAATGCCGAAGACGTGGCGATAACAGCAGGTTGTAATATGGCCTTCGTTGCTGCGGTAATGGCCCTGGCAGACAACGGTGATGAAGTCATCTTGCCAATTCCTTGGTAAGTCTTATTACTGGGTGCTTCTTTGTACAATCCAACTTGACCGTGAACAGGTACTTCAATCATCAGTGCGTCGATTGCTACAGCATAAGTATCGCTAATAAAAATCCCGTAGAATGACTTTGACTCTACTCGGGATAACGCCTGTGTTACTACAGACATCGGCTGAGGAAGGGTTTTTCCCGTCCGTAGCGAAATGCAAAGGCCTCATAAACTCTCGTACAAAAGCAATTGCTCTTGTTACGCCAAACAATCCAGTGAGTATGATAATCCTGGAGATGACACAGCTGATATATGTTTTCTTACAAGACCGGCGCTTTCTATCCTCCTTCCTTGCTTTTAGAATTTTTTGCACTTGCGAAAGAGTACAACGTCGCGCTTATTATCGACGAGACATACCGCGACTTCATCACCTCCGGCTCGCCCCATCCCCTCTTTTCATCATCAACTGACTGGCGCACGACCCTCATACATCTCTACTCCTTCTCCAAGTCCTATCGTATCCCGGGATATCGCCTTGGTGCACTAGTCGCTGCCCCATCTTTATTGAAGGAGATTAACAAGGTCCTTGACTGTCTCCAAATATGCGCACCGCGTGCTCCACAGCTCGCTCTTGGGCCTTTACTGCCAGAACTCCGGAATTCGATAAGAGAGATGGCTGAGCAGCTCGAGAAACGACACGCGTTATTCAGAAAAGAGCTCCCATCGGCATGGAAAGTTGGCGCAGCGGCAAGAGGAGGGTATTACGCATTCGTACGGCATCCCTTCGTTAGTATCGGTGCAGGTGAGGTGGCTAAGAGGCTAGCGGTGGAGCTAGGAGTGGTCGGTCTTCCTGAAGGGTTCTTCAAAGACGGCAACGCCAATGACGGCAAGTGGATAAGGTTCTCGGTCGCTAATGTAGACGATGAAAAGATCGTAGCTGCCTGCAAGCGTCTCAAGAAGCAGAAAGCATATTTGGCTGGAAGATAGACACGGATAGTTAGAGACATAGAGTTGATTTAATCAGTGACATCTAAAACGCGTCAAAATTAGCGCGTTCTGTACCAAAAGAAATTGCTCATCGTGGAGCAATCGCCGGCCCGGATGACGCATTTAGACCGGGCCGACAGTACGGAGTTGGGGGTATAAAGTTCGCAGAGGGCCCCCTACTTCCGTCCCTTCATTCCCATCCACCACTTCGACCATGTCCTTCGGAAAACGCGTCCCCCTCGGTAGCGAATACACCATTCCCCAGATCGGACTGGGCACCTGGCTCTCCAAGCCCAAGGAAGTCGAAAACGCCGTACTAACGTTTCCCTGATCTCCCAACTGATGGTTGACTGATCGATTACAGGTCGAGTACGCAGTGAAGAACGGCTACCGTCACCTCGATCTCGCGTACATCTACGGCAACCAAGACGAAGTTGGGGCTGCGCTGAAGAAAGTGATCCCTAGTGTCGTGAAACGAGAGGATCTCTTCATCACTTCCAAACTCTGGAACACCGCTCACAAGCCTGAGCTGGTAGAGAAAGAACTGGATATTACGTTGAAGGAGCTTGGGACGGATTACTTGGATTTGTACCGTGCGTATGACTTACCCGATCTCGGACCGGAAATTGATGGTCCATCATTACAGTGGTCCACTGGCCAGTTGCATTTGCACCCTCGGATAAGGTTAGGGGATTGGAGCCTCCCAGTCCAGAGGACCCGAATTTCGTGGAACTTGACCTGGAAACCACCATCGTCGAGACTTGGAAAGCAATGATCACGCTCCCAAAATCCAAGGTCCGCCGTACTGCAGTTTTGCGATTCGTACCTGTTTCTCATCCGCGCACATTGGCAGGTCAGAGCCATCGGCGTATCCAATTTCAATATAGAACAACTTGAGGGAATCATCAAGGCGACTGGGGTCGTTCCGGTGAGGATGGTGTTATGACGTAGCTTGACCAATAATGTTGAAATCCACTTATTTCTAGGTTGCCAACCAGATCGAGGCACACCCGTACCTACCCCAGGATGACCTCGTCAAATACTGCAACGAAAAGAAGATACATATCACAGCCTACAGTCCCCTTGGTAACAACAGTAAGTCTCCTGACGCTTCTGCGGGGAGGAAAGACGGACTCACGACTTCATACAGTGTTCAACAAGCCAAAACTAACTGAACATCCTGTCATCACCGAAATTTCCAACAAACTGGGTGCCACCCCGGCCCAAGTTTTGATTGCGTGGGGCGTGTATCGAGGATACTCTGTCATTCCCAAGAGTGTACAGGAAGAGAGGCTGGTCTCAAACTTCAAGCAGGTTGAACTCAGTAAGGAGGACTACGAAAAGATTTCGACTCTTGGTGCGAAGGAGCACACGAGGTTTGCTTTTCGCTCTGATTAATACTTTGATGTGATCCTGACTTTGACGCACAGATTCAACATCCCCTACGCTTACTCTAAGCCCAACTGGAATGTCAATGTCTTCAACGAGCCTGAGGAGCAGTCGGCCAAGTACAAGCCAAACCTTGGGATTTGAATAGCGGTGATGGAAAAGAAGGCAAATAATGTGAATTATGATGTATCCTAACTTGTAGTTGCTAACTTGGATCCTTTCGATGTGATATTATCGTGATGAGTAGGATTACTTCTAGGAAAGAGTGTCAATGAACTGTAGAACGCCTTGTGAGGTACTTACCTATTCTCCTTGTCGCTCAAATCTCTCACTTGATATACATCGATCGATGTGAAGCAGCCGTCATCGCCATGTTCTGTTACCTATGACGAACGATAAGCGAGGTGGAAAGGAAACATAACAGGAGTTCTCACCATCATACCCAACACCCCGATTCTCTCTGAATTGCACAACGACATCATTGTAACCGACAATTTTATCAAGAATTACCTTGCCCCCGCTCCCAGTAGGCTGCGGTCCGGCACCCCACCAACTACCAAAGTCGTGGATCCTGAGGCGACGGTCCCTAGACAGCGTAGCATACCAAGACCCATCTACCATCGACTCTCCCCAGGATCCAGCAAACACCTCCACCTTACCCTCACCCCACTCCTCCCACGGAATGATCACCCGCCCTACACCATCTGTATCTCCGACGTACTGCTCAACAGACATACTCGGGAACAACGGCGGTGTGCTAGCCGAGAAGGAGCGTAAGGTTTCACGATGAATGGCGATGTCTGTAGACTGCCCAGACGCGACGACGTTGACAATAACGATATTGGAGTCGATAGAAGAGAAGCAGTTGACAGAGGGAAAGATGATGTCTAGCTCGCCCTCTGGTGGCGGGGTAAGCTGCTGGGGATAAGCAGTATACACGCTATTTTGGGTTAGGGGTGGTAGGATGTCTGGCCATATCTTGAGCGTCCGGATGGCTGCAGTAAGCTTTGGGTAAGGCGGCGTCGCGGTGGCAAAGCCTCTCTCTGGGATTGTTAGAAGGTTCACCGCGGCGCTGTTGCGACAGGCGACGGCGATGGTGTCAGCTTGGAGGAAAACAAAGGAGGTTCCTTGTGAGCCCCTGGAGCAACGGTCTTCCTGTACATGACCAGTGAGAGGAGAACAATAACACGCAAAATAAGGGCATACTAATCTGCACAACCCTGTCTTCCAATCATACACGCGAAGGGTCGACTCCTCTAGTTCATGAAGGCGAATCCCAATAAGATCTTCGTAAATATCAACCCAGGCGTCAGGCGAGGATTCATTGTCGCGGGCCGTTATCTCGAAAGGAAACTCTTGAATCGCGGCGCCTGGCAAGAGCACTAACTTGGGAAATCGCGTTATTCGGAGGCGCATTCGTAATTTCCCTTCCTCGGACACGGGCTCGTCGAACCTGAAAGCGTGTCAGATAACGAACGAAATACAAGTCTGTGTCTCGCACCAAGTAACGACAGCCAACAATCCATTTGTCTCATCCAATTTGAACGTCCGAATCTTTTCACAAGGTTCCAAAGGAAACTCGAGAGAAGACCATCCTCCTTGTCTCTGCTGGCCAGTGTTGGGCAGCGTCGCAAACCGAATATCGCAAGCCCTGGGTCTCTCGAACTTTTCCACCGTGGTCAAGCCGTCGTTGGTCCTGTCTTCGACGCCAATGAGCACGAAATGACGGGTGACTTGAAAGAGGTCCTTGGCGAGCAAAGAGTAGTCAGCCTTGACGGGTATGCTGGCAATATTTGGAGAGACAAGAGAGAGCATCATGTTTGAATTTGGGGGATCAATTTTGGTCGGCATGGGTATTTATGTTGAGCAGGGCGCATTGCAAGGATTTGAGTAGAAATACAAAGCGCAGAGGCGCCCCTTTATAGGAAGGAGTGACCGTTCAAAGAAAAAGCAATGTTACCTGGGTGATCACTTTTTGGGAGAACAATAGGGGACCGGGCCCCCGGCTTTACCCGTAAGGAAATATTATCATTTCTTGGATCATTTCTACTCTATTTTCTGCTCGAATCTATCAATGCTTGGGCCTGTACAGAACGCGCCATGACCATGCATTTGAAAGGGAGAGGGGAGCTGTGCGTCGTCAGGTAACGATCTACAAATGAAGGGGGAAATCTACCTCATGAATCCGCCAGTAAACTTGTCGCTTGGTTCAATGACACGACCATCGGAATCGACAGCCTTTGAAACAGAGAGTGTTGATGCAATGGATGCGATGGCGATCCAGGCAGTATTCAAAGCGAGGTACCGACCGGGGCAGACGCTACACAAGATATGTCATGCGAGTGATACATGAACAAGAACACGAACCGTCTGCCATAACCGAACGCAGCCATTGGATCAGGAGGAAGTTCTTTGCCTTCTTTCTTCATGAAACGTTCAGGATCGAATATTGTAGGGTTTGGATAGTCCTTCTCATTGTGGAGCACTGCCCTGTGATATTGATCAGACAACACCAATTACACTAATCATGCAAGCACTGACCACGTATTCGCGATAATAGTTGCGCCTAAAAAACGGCGCGTTCAGAACAGCCCCAAGACTTGGCGACACCGAGACTTACCGCCAGGAATATAATACCCTTTGTATACATCATCTGTCACACTACGATGGGGGATACCTGAGCGGAAGCCTTTAATACCACCACTCAGAGTCTATCAGAAACTCTTACTCAGGGGGAAAACAGGATTCCATCTGAGCGCTTCAGATAGGACCGCGTCAATATAGGGAAGCTGTGGATGATCATCAAAATTTGGCAAGCGAAATCCGCCCACCACTGCATCCAACTCTGCTTGAGCCTTGGCTTGTACTTCGGGATAAAGCATAAAGGCCAAGATCGCTGAAAGAACAGTCGAGACCGTCTGTATGATAAAGGTGTCAAAAACTGATAGAAACCGAAGAGTAGAAACTGGTCTTACAGTATCGGCACCCCCTCAATACAGCAAAGGAAAGCGTCAGATTTTAACAACCACCAACTTGAGATATGCTCACCAGTAAAGGCTACTCCTGCGGCGTTCTTGATGATTTCTAAGGAAGTCTCCGAGTTGTCAGAAAGTTCGGTCTCTTTCATCTTCCTGAGATTCTCAGAAACAAAGGAAAGTGCCTCATTGCCATTCGCCTTCGATTTGACTGAGAATGCGACATTGAAGCTTGACGGTTTCGATGGACACTTACAATCGACTCTGAAGCATACGCGAAGGGCTCTTCTATCATGGCTCGAGCATCTTTCATCCACGTCTTCGCAAGCTTCCTGAATTTCGCACCAGGAAACCAATCTTGGTAAATGTATTCGTAAGAACCATGGACTAGTATAGTTCAAATGGGACTTACCGGGTACACGGCTCAAAATGGGAAGATAGTCGACGAGGAAGGTACCTTCTGTCCCGCCAATACGAAGTGCCTCGTTGCTCTGATCCGCCAACCGCACAAACACGTCGCCATCCGGGTCTACGTCGTAATCGTAGACGATCTTCATTATAATTGAGCCAGCGTGACTAGGAGGTGGGTGGGATTCAGATAAACGGATACCTCTGTGCAAAATACTTACTGACGGATGTGATGAAAAGTCTCACTAGGTGATTTGATAAGTTGTCGTAGTAGTACCGACGTAGCCTTCAGCTGCACAAGATAATAAGCTGGAACAGCGCGAGGCTGGAAATATTGGTGAAACATTCTTCGGTGCGTTCTAAGAAGATATGACATCAACATTGACTGGGCTTTATAAATCACCAACCTCCACCAGTTAGAATATCTCATGAAACCCAGGCTGAAGCCCCATCCCGATAGATGCAGCATATTGAAATCTACGACATTAAGAGATTAGAACTCATAAAGATATATCATGCCAACCTGGTCTATCAGAGTAGTTTCCTGAGCGCTTTTCAAGCAACTCCGTAACTGCTTCTGCGGAGTTGAGGACGATCGTCTGATTACCTGGAGAGCTCAGATACAAGATATCGCCGTAGGTGGATGACCACTTCGCAAAGGTGAGCCATGGATGGTCGACGGGGATGTCCCATAGGTTACCGATGAGGGGAAGACCTTTTGGACCGGGAGGCAAAGGCGAGGATCGAGAGAGGCGGAAGCGACGGTATAATAGGAACACCGCTATCGCAAGAGAGAGGAACAGAGGAGTAGTTGAATACATGTAGAGCACGAAATATAAGGAGTTAGTGAGAACGAAGAATCGTATTTATCTTATATGGGATTGGACGGGCCGGGGGTAGTAGCTGTGAATTTTAAGAAGGGTATGTCTGACAGAGATCGTATCAGAAGTAAAATGGGTGCATGTGAGAGTGAATTCGACTTGCAGAAGCTTTTCCACAAACATATGACTGTCAGAAGTCGTAATGTCGTAGAGCCTGACAAACATACCCCACGGCTTTCTTGAATGATACCAGGACGCAAGATAGCCGAGGGTGCTCAGCTGCATGAACGTACAGAATCCATGAAAATAGCTAGCATAAGACCGTGCACTCGCAATACTGAGATGAAGCCTAAGAAACACCGGCGGCTTCTAGAACCACATATGCAACATACGTCGGCGCGGTCCGGCCCCGATGACGCGAAAATGTAGACCGTAAGCAAAACAAAGATGACGCGGAGAAGCCTAGCAGAAGAACTGATTTAAGCAGGCAAGGCATTGAACTGGCTTCTTATCTGTGGATTGTCTTGTCAGGTGTATGTTGAATGAGCCAAAGATGGCATCTGGGTGAGAGCACGTACGCGAAAAACGGACTTGTGTTCCCATGCCATGGAGAGGACCGGGTGAAGGTCTAAGACGTACAGTGTCATCGATACTAGTTTAGGCGGACAGGACGAGAATCGGAACGCCAGACTATTATAGGAAGCGCCAACTGTCGTTACTAAAGATGCCTTCTGCAATTTTTTTGTGGTGCACCAAGATTACAATTTATTTTGAGAACTAAGGAAGCAAAGCGTCCTGCCATGGATTGCAGTACCAGAATCATCAGAGCGTAGTACAACAAGAGTACTGTATGTAAGATAACATCAAGGACCGTCTTGCGACTATGAATTGACGCGCACCTTCATTACTGTTCAACATGATCGAAAATCTTCCCTTTGAATTGATACGGGTGATCACGTCGATTACTACCACCATCATTCAATTGTATGCTGAAAATTACATCCGGTCGGCATACCCTTGGGGTTGCGGTAGCATTTTACTATTTGCATGTTGGCATACCGGTATGACATCACCTTCAGAATGGCAAGGACCGCTACCACACCTCTTGGGAATGCTAGAAATGTTCACGGACATGGGGGTTAACGATTAGCATTCGGAGCTCGGGCCGGAATGGTTTGAAACATGCACAAACAACTTGCTTAGTCAGCGTGCACGCAAACGAGCGAACACGTCGATACTGCATTCAGACATCCTTCTTGCATTCCCGTCGCCGTCTGTTCCAACCATGAACGTCTTCCGGTTGTTTGGTACGTCCTCCAGGGCAATTTTACTCGGCGGTTCGTTGCTAATGGCGAATTACAGGCGACCTGTCTCACTTGGCTTCGATTTTCATACTTTTGCATAAAATACGGACCACCCGTTCATGTCGAGGTGCGTGTGCTGCCCTTTTCTAATGGAGCTCTCTAATGCTTTCTCGCGTGTAGGCATATCGTTCAAAACTCAAGCACTCTATGTCGCCATTTTTGCCACACGTTATCTTGACCTGTTGTACCGCTGGGTCTCCATCTACAACTTTGTGATGAAGGTGTTCTTCATTGCCAGCAGCTGCTACATCCTCTATCTCATGCGATATCGCTTCCGGTGCGTGCCACTTAGGCGGACCTAGTTTTCGTACTAATGGACGCGTACAGGCCCACCCACGATCCCTCTATAGACACCTTCCGCGTCGAGTACCTCTTGGGACCATGTGTAGTCCTCTCGCTCATCTTCAACTACAAGTTTACTTTCACGGAAATCCTTTGGTCGTTCTCCATCTTCCTCGAGTCTGTAGCCATCCTTCCTCAGCTGTTCATGCTGCAACGAACAGGCGAAGCCGAGACAATTACAACCCACTACTTGGCCGCGCTGGGTGTTTACCGTGCATTGTATATTCCAAATTGGATATACCGGTGAGTTGGGGCGATCCCTTGGCGTTCTCGTACTCGTGGCTTACACATGGCGTACAGCTACTTTACAGACGGCGTTGTCGATCCCATAGCCGTGACTGCCGGAATAGTTCAGACCGGACTGTACCTCGACTTCTTCTATGTATATTTCACGAAGTACGTGTTCTCTGCTTCGAGTTGCAATGTATACTGAAGGCCCTCTTATCTAGGGTATTACAGGGTCAAAAGTTCGAACTGCCGGCATAACTTACGAGCTTTCATGAGAGGATATGGGGTAGCAAATTATACAAGGGTACCTCATGGACTGAGGACTGGATCACTTGTCCTTCGAGAGAACCTCTTTATAATCTTTGCTTTCCAGCCTGGTCAGGAAAATTAATAACGACGTTGTAATTTGCCTTGGACGTTATCCATATATCAGACCCTTAGAGCGACTGATGTTGCCAGTGCCTACTCTGAGCTTGCTTGAGAATGCCAGCAGCTGAAATGGTTAATCTTTCTGGGTAGGGCGATGCATCGACTCGCAGTTGAGTGAAACAAAATCCGTTGAAGGAGCAATATAAGAATACAGATGTGTGGATCCCTTCGTAGAACATGACACCGTAAGGCTCACACCTTGACAACTGTGTACTTGACAGCTGGATACTTCCTCTCCCTCAATTCTTGGACGTAGCTGTGCACTATGAACAGGCCATCTATGGGAGAACAGGTATCAGACTCAGGAGCGGTGGAAATCTCAGGCCAAACGTACAGAATTGGATCAACCATATGAGGGCGTAAATCGCAGTAATCGCCGCTTTTGATACGTTTAGTGCAGTACGACAAACACTTACTGCGTCCTGGGCGCTGAGGTCGCCCTCGAAGGAATTCGTGCAGTCGGTGCTAGCTTGGTTATCGTATTTATTGCTGTACAGCTGGATCAAGGCAATGACTCCTAGAACCAAGCTGGCGATGAACGAGCCGAATTGCATGCCATTGAACGCTGCAACCAGCTTTACTCTTGCTGTGAGTGCCCCGATCAAACTGCGATAAAGTTAGTATCTGTTTTAGAAGAGGGGTAGGCAGCGTACCCGAAGAGAGAGATGAGGACGATGAAGGTGTATAGAGCGGCGGTGACCCAGACCATGATTTCGTGGCTTTTGCTTAGGACGAGCGAGTGATTCATGATATCTTTGACGTTAATCCATCCTCCTGCAGCGACAAGAGCGCTGCCGAGGAACGTCAGAGCTGTGATGATCTGCGTGAGGGAGCATTTTAGGATACGCAAAGGTCACAGCAGGAGCATACACACCACGACACCCAGACGCAAGGGCAAGCAGCAAAGAAAATGATGCCAACGCATATTTTATAAGAGAAGAATGTGCAGAAAGAGATTTTCCCTATGCTCAAGCGGTCTGGAGGGTTTTATATTATTTCGAATGACGCAAGTCTAAGGTTCATCGAGACTGAATACAGATAGTGACGGAGAGTTTCGGAATTTTCGATCGAGCATACATAGCCAGAATAGAACACAGGTTTAGGAAGTGAGACTCAGAAGAGGCTTAGACAGGAGCGACGGCGGGGGTCCGTAGAGCATCGCAGAAGAACGTCAGCGTGCGGACGAACGCCGGCGGGTGGTCAGTGCCATTTCAGGACAGGTGGCTGGACCAAAAAAGGAAAAGCAACCGCGCAAAACTTTTTTCGCGCAGAAACGTCCTTTATCAGGGGCGCGCCAAATCCATCATCGCTGCGGACAGGGCGCGCAGCAGGAACATGAAGCGAAGAGCACTCGTCTCTTTCTGACCATGATTATCCTGGAAGAGGATGATGAATGTACGCCTCTGAAGGGTGACTCGACGACGCCGGTGTCTCCTACTTCACCTTCACAGCTTTCCTCGCCTGATTCACCGCCTTCGTATAATGAAGCGGTTATTTGTGGCCCTCCCAGTCGTCACCCGTCGTACGATGCCATTCCTATCCCTGAGCAGTTGGATATGGAGTCTCTGGACCGAACGGTACCTGATAAGAGGCGGCGAAGGAGGAATAGGCGCAAGGTTCATATGATGCTGCTGTTCTTGGCTCTTACGGGGTGTATTGTATTCTGGTTAACGTTTGCGATTGTACGTTGAGCTTTTTCCGTTCTGAGTCTAACACCGCTTACATGGATGATTTAGTTCTTTCAACCTCGTGGACTTGCTGTAAGCTCGATCGTTCATTCCTGGTACTATGTGATCTTAATTTTCATCGTTTAGAGAAACCCACCTCCGGGGCCACCTCCAGATGTAAGTGACTTGGTCTGGGGCGCGTTCTCCAGCACTCATATTGATTTAGCGCAAGGGTGGTAAACATCATGGGCCGCCTTCGGAAGAAGATGGGGTATGTTTTCTTCTCAGGGTAAAACAATAATTCGTTCTTATGTCGGTGTAGTCTCGGGGTCCTCCAGACGGCGACGACGGCGTAAGTGTTTCTTTAAGACGTACTGCTTTCTTCAAGTCTCAAGATTTAACAGTCCCGAGGCGATGGTCCGCCTCCTGGGGATGTGGATGAGGGGGTGAGTCCCCACCAGCTAGATATCATTTCAACTGGAAGACCCATTTCTCTGTAGCCTCATGGTGATGGTCCACCTCCGGACGGTGATGATCACGATGGTGTAAGATCATCTTCTAATGCTACCGAGTCCACTCTGACCCACAGATTCTAGTATAAAGGACCTCGCGGCGTGCGTTGTACCTTCATACAGCGTCTGTTTCGACCTTACCTTTGCGTAGCCTGCAGAAGACCATGAATCTCAACATATCTTCCGGAATATCATGAGCCGGTCTTGAAGTTGAATGCAAAACATATGTGATCGCTTAGATTGGAGCAAGGTCCCACGTTCTTGTATATACCCTTCGAGATGAATCTGAATCTACTGAAGACTACGATTTGGCTGTACTGGAGGGGTTATGTCGGCGAGCTGTACTGAATCTGTGAGTCCCCTTTCCTTGGTTTTCTCAATCTAGTAAACCAAGTTCGAGAAAGTTAGCGGGCCATCACCGGCTATCCTTTTCTTCAGCTCTCCGACAGCTCCCTCGTCTTATAATTTTTCACTATTACGCAAGGGGCGATAAATAGGATTTCTTCTTTACATTTTTTTCCCCCTCGCGTAGCTACCTTGACAAAAGGATAAGTTGGCGGAGGGTCTTTTTCGATAGAATATCGCTTGGAATGTCATGGATACGAAGAACGAAAAACCGTTCCGTCCGTTCAAACACCCTTTAAGCTCTTTCCGGCCCGTGAGATCCGTGATAGTTACCGGCAAGTTACCGGGTCTTCTCCCTGCTGTCAACCCATGCAGAAGACCACAAAGTCCCCGCAGAACGAAGAAGCCGAAGTGAGTATTCTGGCCCTTGTCACAGTCTGTGCTAAAATACTGCTGCCAGAATGCCTACTCAAAGGCTGCAAAGGCGGAGCTGGGAAAGAAATACGACATTGCATTTCGCTTATACATCAAAGCCGCCGAGATCTTCCTGCACCTCAGTCGATCCAACGATGCGCGTGAGCAGGAAAAGTCGAAGTGGAAGATCAGTGCTTCTAAGGCTCTAGAAAGGGCCGAGAAGATCAAGGCTTTCACGCAGCAGAAAGCCACTTCGCCGTCGAGTAACCAATCCGCCGGGCCCGAAAACCGCTCGAATATGACCCTGACACCCGTCGGGGTGGACCACTTCTCCGAACGTAAGTCGTGCAGTCCGACATGAACGTACTGAACATACGGGTTACAGGTGAGCAAGATTATGTACTCCAGAAGGGCAGCGTTGTCAACGGGCTCAAGTTCCCAATGTGGGACGAAGAAGATCCGGATAGAAAGTCTACTTCGTTGTACGAGTATGTTGTTCTCTGTATCTTTGAGTGATTAGGTCCTTGAGGTGTTGACAGGGACCCTGATGGCCAGCCCAGTTTGTCACCGGAACAAGTAGAATCATCGACGGTTTGGCGACGGCCGGATGCCCTCGCGAATAATGAGTTTCTACCTCTAGGTTCAGATCCTAAGGCGCTTCGAATTAGGCCCCAGGATATTGTACAGCAGGTTGTTACGGACTGCTCTGTGTGTGCGTCCCTATCCGTAAGCTTGGAGCATTGTCGTAGATTTCCCTTGCGCGTAAGCCCGTCTCAAACTGTCTTGTACCAACGAGCTAACACCTTGGTGAAAGTCGCCCTCATGTCTATATTACTCCCGGCAGACTGGCCGCTGTGACGTCAAGGTTCTATTGAATGGAGCTTGCAGACGCGTATGTATAACGTTCTACGGTATTCTGTTATTCACTAACATGGTCATGCTATAGATAGGTCTGTATCTTTCCAAGTCACTGTCGCCCTTTGATTGACAAGTCGTACCTCAGTCATTGATGATAAGCTGCCCTGCCACCCCACTCTCTCTTCTTTGATGTGCATGACCTGTCGTGTCCAAGAAGGCTCCGATCCACCGAGGTCGGTGATTTGGCCGAGTCTCATCGAGAAAGCCGTGTGTTGTTTCTGATTTTCATGTTCATGCGCTTTCCTAATGGACGAACGGAAATAGTACATGAAGTTAATGGGAGGATACGATTTCCCTGGATCGTGCGTCGCAATTCTCATTTACCTTTTTATCTGATTCAATTCTGCAGCCTAGAAATTCTTGCATCGACCTTCAGTCAGTCTTTCTACTGTTTGGGGTTCTTTTGTATTTTCTAATGTCCAGTAGCATATTTGGCGGGTGGATTCCCGAGCAGTTAGATATTCAAAGGTACGCCACTGTATAGGGAAATTCTGGAACATGCAGTTAAAGCTGTCCATAGCAGTAACTTTGAACGTGAAAAGACCTGGTCTAAACTTCTAGAAGGCTTCACTCGCGGTGAGTCACGCCACGCTCGGAACATGCAAATTCTGATCATCCTAAAAGGTGACTGTGTTTTAACATTGGGGACTGGCGCGAGACCCGGCATACGCTGGGATTTAGTTGATATCTTGTCGTCCCACAGCTATGCAGTAATAGGTACGCAGGGCTTTCGCTGTAGGAGAGAACGTCCGTAACTCCGATACCACGCAGACGTCGAGGAAAATGACAAAGAGCGAGTATTAACCGTTTTGGACCCGTGGACATCCCCAGATGATGATAAGCAGGAGACAAGTTAGTGAAATCACTGTGCATTGATAGAAGATCTCTCAAGTGTATTAGGAATCTTGCGTATACCATGGTCGGATGCTCTTGTCGTCTTTGACGGCATCTATCTCAGCTGGGATCCGCGGCGTTGGAAGAACACATTGACATTCCACGGGTTCGCGCAATGATTCTTTTGTCACGCTTGCTATTACTTACTCCGGTTGTAGACGATGGAAAAAGAAAGCATGTGCTAATGGTAAGAAGCTGATCGGCCATGCCAACGTTGCCATTCGCCTCATTGTTGTTACAGGTTGCACGCGTCAACTCAGAGCCAACTTCAGCGTTACGGACGGTGCAGTCAACGAGGATGACTGAGATCTGGGTCTTATTAACGCGACACCTTTCAACAAGCCGGGAGACGTCTGAATTCATAGCTTTACAAGTGGAAACAGATGATGACAACATCAAGGTTTGCGATAACAGCCTACTCTCCGCAAAGGTAATATCCAAGTTTCCTATACGCTACTTTTATTTCACGCGTGCTGCAGGGAGTGTACACAAATAGCACACATGTACTGGTGAGTTTCTGTCGGTCTACATCAGACGCCATGTTCATACCAATCAGGTCAAATCTAGAATTTCCAAGAATCAACCTTCTGGAACTTTGGTTATACTTGCCTCGTACGACGGGAAGTCTCAAGATGTTGGTTTTACGTTGACAGTATATGCCCGTTCTGCTATCATGGTCTCATGGGATACCAATGTCCCGATACCGCCGTTCACGACAGAGGTGCCTTATATATGGATACCCCAACTGAACGCCTCGCTCACAGCGGATTAGATTGACAGCTCATTCACCCAGAAGAATGCGGGAGGCAATTCCACGTTTCCGACATATATGGTCAACCCTCAATATCATCTACAAATTCACCCCATGGCGCATATTCGGAGTAAATCCAAAGTCAGCTTGACCATGCATACAGCCAAAGATTTGCCTGTCAATATAACGGTTGTGTGGTCTCAGGGCCAGCGGGTATTTGAGTGAGCTTAACTTTCCCATCTTCAAATAGGATATGCGCTAACGTTGGATAGGCTGGCTGAGAAAGACGTCGTCTCCAGCTCGGGTGCTTACAGCTATGGTTTAGCCAGGCTTTCGCAAGAACTGGGAGGTAGGATAACTAGGCCAGACTCGTACGTCTTTCGAACTGACATCAGTCTTCTGTACATAGCCGGGGACTACAACGTCATACTCTCGGCCCTCGAGCCATACAAGACTGGCTCATATCATTTGAAGGTGGAGAGTACTTCGCGGTTTGACCTGACTCCCATTCCACAGGAAGGCGTCGGGATGTACAGCAGGGTTATTCGTGGAGCATGGTGAGTCGGCGCATACTCTAGGCGATCACACCGCTCTGATACGTATACCTAGGGATGCCGATACCGCGGTGGGAGGCCCTAGCTTCAAGCAGTATGCGCACAACCCCGTATATGAGGTCGACTGTCCATCAGCCGCTCAGATAAAGTAAGCATGCTCCATACTATCTAACATTCTCGCTCTTCATAAAATGACTCTACAGAGTCCGGCTACAGCTCGTTCGGCCTTCCTCCAGTTCTCCGCTCAACGTCACTATATACCCCGCCGACGCATCTGAATATACCTCTTCACATCTAGCCACGTCTGGCGCATACGATGATGCCATCTCTGGCGTCGTCACACCTCAGATATCCCTCAACCGAGGGAAATACTGGATCATACCCTCGACGTTTAATCCGGGAATCGAAGCTGCGTTCCAGCTGATTGTTTATAGTTCTGTCTCGGGAGTAGAAGTTGAACTGCGGCCGACGTGTGCAAAGTCCTGAACCTGGGAGTGTTCGTCTATCGGCAGCTCAGTGTGCAAACCTGGAGAGGCAGATGGAGTTCAGCTCGTTCTATTCGGCTGTCGGTATTCCACATCTTTATCTAATATAAATGCAGAATAAAACCAACAGCCAGTTTTCATGTTTATTCCCTCCTCCATCTGTGTCAGCGTCATCTGAGAGCAGACTGTAGACTATCTACTTAGGGAAGTAAATTAAATAAATAAATCATTAAAAAATTCCCAGACCGACTCGGAGTCAGGAATCCAAGACAAAGCTCCTCTACCACCACCACCACCAACATTTATCTCGCCCATGTCGATGTTGAAGCAGTACCGCCATCGTGGTGAAATCAAGACCATACCTTACTCCCCTTCAAGCCCCCCTCCTTCGCCTGAGCTCAAGATACTATTGGACTTATCCGCATCACCCAGGTTCTACGAACACCTGCAAAAAGACCACTCCTCTGTCGTAAACCTCAAACATCCTAAAACAGACCATGAAAGCTTGAAGGCGCGTCTACAACTTCTACTCATTGAGCGAGGTTTAACAAGTTTAAACAGGAGGCAGACGCACAGAGAAAGTTGTTCAGTGCTCAGGAGGCCCGGCTGCAGCGCCAAATCGATCAGCTGGTATCCAGATTCAGGGATCTAGAAGCCAGAAACAAGGTGAAAGAAGCCAGAGACAAGGTGAAAGACCGAGAGATTAGTAAACTAGCAGCCAAGGTCGAGGCGAGAGAGCGTGAACTGGATGAGCAACTTCGGTATGAGGTTGCGGACCGTTTCTGCCGAGGTAAATTTGTTTTTCAGGGCGGTTTGCTGTTTTACTATTTTACTGATTGGATACTCTAGGTTTGGTGGATATGCTCTGCAACAAGCTAGACAAGTTACCAGATCTACTCTCCGATCTAGCATCTGAACTTCACAGGCCAGCATTGAGATATAGTACGCAAATTCCAGCGGCAGTACTCAAGAGATTCGATGCTAACAAAACTATTCCCAGCCCCGAACGCCTTTGTACTGCTCACTTATCATCATCATTATAACGACAACTCGCTACCAGATTGTCTTCTACCAATTTTCGGAACATGTCCACCAGCTGAATGTATCCATCCTCGGGGACATCACGCCTAGAGCCAGGACGATTCTTACTGAGCTCGATACCTTCATGAGCGGTCCTTGCGGCGATGACCTCCGTCTTCTGATTCATCTTTGGGCGGTCCGTGCAGGTCTGGGCAGCACACGGAACCTGTTAGCGCACCCGGTCCCCGATTCCGCATTTGCGTCAGAAATGCTTCACGAATTCATCTCCGACCCGGAACAGCAAGCCCTGATGGAACGTATCTTGCCTTCTCTGATTGAAGATGTCGGCGTCAGCGAAAACATCAAGTACTTTGTATATTAATGGTGATACCGATTGTCAAGGCGCGAGACTAGTATTGTGGTAGCTCTAGAGTCTAGGTCGTTTTATCTTGTATCTCTTGTTTATCCTCAAATACCCTTGTATGATTGTGTTTTAAATGGCAAGTTTGACTCTTTACAACGGGAACACATTGTGTACAAATATCGCGACACACAAAGTTCTACCGTACTTCATTTCGTTTCAGGACGGTGCTGGCTCGCGACGGCCGGATGCCCTCGCGAATAATGAGTTCCTACCTCTGGGCTCAGATCCTAAGGCGCTTCGAACTAGGCCACAGGATATTGTGCAGCAGGTTGTCACGGACTGCTCTGTGTGCGCATCCCTATCCGTAAGCTTGGAGCATTGTCGTAGATTTCCGTTACGCGTAAGCCCGTCTCAAATTGTCTTGTACCAACGAGCTGACAACTTCGTGAAAGTCGCCCTCATGTCTATATTACTCCCGGAAGACTGGCCGCTGCGATGTAAAGGTCCTAGTGAATGGAGCTTGCAGACGCGTATGTATGACGTTTTAGGTATTCTGTTGTTAACTAACACGGCCATGCTATAGATAGGTCTGTATCTTTCCAAGTCACTGTCGCCCTTTGATTTACAAGTCGTACCTCAGTCATTGATGATAAGCTGCCCTACCACCCCACCCTCTCTTCTTTGATGTGCATGACCTGTCGCGTCCAAGAAGGCTCAGATCCACAGAGGTCGGTGATTTGGCCGAGTCTCATCGAGAAAGCCGTGTGTTGTTTCTGATTTTCATGTTCATGCGCTTTCCTAATGGACGAACGGAAATAGTACATGAAGTTAATGGGAGGATACGATTTCCCTGGATCGTGCGTCGCAATTCTCATTTACCTTTTTATCTGATTCAATTCTGCAGCCTAGAAATTCCTGCATCGACCTTCAGTCAGTCTTTCTACTGTTTGAGGCACTTTGTATTTTCTAATGTCCATTGTCCAGTAGCATTTTTGGCGGGTGGATTCCCGAGCAGCTAGATATTCAGAGGTACGCCATTGTATAGGGAAATTCTGGAACATGCAGTTAAAGCTGTCCGTAGCAGTAACTGTGAACGTGAAAAGACCTGGTCTAAACTTCTAGAAGGCTTCACTCGCGGTGAGCCGCACCACACTCGGAACATGCAAATTCTGATCGTCCTGAAAGGTGACTGTGTTTTAACATTGGGGACTGGCGCGAGACCCGGCATACGCTGGGATTTAGTTGATATCTTGTCGTCCCACAGCTATGCAGTAATAGGTACGCAGGGCTTTCGCTGTAGGAGAGAACGTCCGTAACTCCGATACCACGCAGACGTCGAGGAAAATGACAAAGAGCGAGTATTAACCGTTTTGGACCCGTGGATATCCCCAGATGATGATAAGCAGGAGACAAGTTAGTGGAATAGTTGCGCATTGATAGAAGATCTCTCAAATGTTCTAGGAATCTTGCGCATACCATGGTCAGATGCCCTTGTCGTCTTTGACGGCATCTATCTCAGCTGCAACTCAGCTGGGATCCGCGACGCTGGAAGAATACATTGACATTCCACGGGTTCGCGCAATGATTCTTTGTCACGCTTGCTATTACTTACTCCGGTTGTAGACGATGGAAAAAGAAAGCATGTGCTAATGGTAAGAAGCTGATCGGCCATGCCAACGTTGCCATTCGCCTCATTGTTGTTACAGGTTGCACGCGTCAATTCAGAGCCAACTTCAGCGTTACGGACGGTGCAGTCAACGAGGATGATGAGATCTGGGTCTTATTAACGCGACACCTTTCAACGAGCCGGGAGACGTCTGAATTCATAGCTTTACAAGTGGAAACAGATGATGACAACATCAAGGTTTGCGATAACAGCCTACTCTCCGCAAAGGTAATATCCAATTTCCTATACGCTACTTTTATTTCACGCGTGCTGCAGGGAGTGTACACAAATAGCACACATGTACTGGTGAGTTTCTGTCGGTCTACATCAGACGCCATGTTCATACCAATCAGGTCAAATCTAGAATTTCCAAGAATCAACCTTCTGGAACTTTGGTTATACTTGCCTCGTACGACGGGAAGTCTCAAGATGTCGGTTTTACGTTGACTGTGTATGCCCGTTCTGCTATCACGGTCTCATGGGATACCAATGTTCCGATACCGCCGTTCACGACAGAGGTGCCTCATATATAGATTACCCCAACTGAATGCTTCACTCACAGCGGATTAGATTGACAGCTCATTCACCCAGAAGAATGCGGGAGGCAATTCCACGTTTCCGACGTATATGGTCAACCCCCAATATCATCTACAAATTCACCCCATGGCGCATATTCGGAGTAAATCCAAAGTCAGCTTGACCATGCATACAGCCAAAGATTTGCCTGTCAATATAACGGTTGTGTGGTCTCAGGGTCAGCGGGTATTTGAGTGCGCTTAACTTCCAATCTTCAGTTGTGATACGTGCTAACGTTGGATAGGCTGGCTGAGAAAGACGTCGTCTCCAGCTCGGGTGCTTACAGCTATGGTTTAGCCAGGCTTTCGCAAGAACTGGGAGGTACAGTAACTAGGCTTGACTCATACAGTCTTTCCAACTGACAGTCAGTCTACATAGCTGGGGACTACAACGTCATACTCTCGACCCTCGAGCCGGACAAGACTGGCCCATATCACTTGAAGGTCGAGAGTACTTCGCGGTTCGATCTGACTCCCATTCCACAGGAATGCGTCGGGATGTACAGCAGGGTTATTCGTGGAGCGTGGTGAGTCAGTGCATACTCTAGACCACCACATCGTTCTGATACGTATACCTATGGACTCCGATACAGCAGTTGGAGGCCCTAGCTTCAAGCAGTATGTACACAACCCTATATATGAGGTCGACTGTCCATCAGCTGCTCAGATAAAGTAAGCATGTTCCATACTATCTAACATTCTTGCTCTTCATAAAATGACTCTACAGAGTCCGGCTACAGCTCGTTCGGCCTTCTCCAGTTCTCCGCTTAACGTCACCATATACCCCGCCGACGCATCTGAATATACCGCTTCACATCTAGCTACGTCTGGCGCATACGACGATGCTATCTCTGGCGTCGTCACACCTCAGATATCCCTCAACCGAGGGAAATACTGGATCATACCCTCGACGTTTAATCCGGGAATCGAAGCTGCGTTCTAGCTGATTGTTTATAGTTCTGTCTCGGGAGTAGAAGTTGAACTGCGGCAGAGGTGTGCAAAGGATTGAATCTGGGGATCTCGTTGAAGTCGTGCCGGCCAAGAGTTCTCAGCAGTTCAATGTTCTCAGCGAGAGAGGTCGATGGGGCGCAGAAGCTTGTTCTATCTCATGTCGATCGTCGGTATTCCGTATCTTTATCCAATACAAATGCAGAATAAAACCAACAGGCTGTTATATTTATCCCCTCGTCTATCTCAGCATCATCGGAGAGCAAACCAAGTACAACAGATTTTAGTTACTAGCTATCACCAGCAAGGGGGGTTGGAAATAAAATCCCCGACATGACCTACATTTTCATGTTTAAGGCCGAGGGGACCCCCCCCTCCCTCCCCCTCCTGCTAGTGTTGCCACGGCTCAACTCGACTCAACTCGGCTTGACTTCGGATGACTCGGCTCCGGGACGACTCCGAAGTCAAATGAAATCCTTGACTTCGGCTCGACTCGGCTTCAAGCTATTGGGATTTGCCGAATCATTGATCTCCTACCGAAATAGGAAGGCACAAAAAGTAAACTTCAGTAACAGATAATTTATGTGCAAAGATAGTTTCAAGGGTCAGTATAAATGTAAATGTGTGTAATGGTCACCATTTTCTAGGGCCGCTTGGTGCATACAGGTTGCAAAGACCGCAGCTTGTTGGCGTGAGAAAGTAGGGCGGCAAAAATACGGCGATTTAAGAATTATTTTCCCACGTTACCTAATGCAAACACCCATCTGCCGCTAGTTAGTAATTCAACACAAAGGGAGGGTTCCAAGTCACTGTTCCTCTGAAACAGATTTAATAACTTCAAATCAATGTCATATGCACATAAATGACTATCTGAGTCCACTAGGTCAAGATAAAGACAACTCTTCCAAAACTGGATGGAGTCATTGACTCGGGCCGACTTCAAGCCATCAAAGTCGAGTCGCAGCCGAGTCAAGCCATTTAGGGCCCGGAGTCATTTTGGTGACTCGGCTCAGTCCGACTTCGACTCCGCGCGACGACTCGGCGACTCGGACCCGAGCCGTGGCAACACTACCTCCTGCCATATAGGGTAGTAATATATCCATAATAGGTATGATTTGTAATGCTCTCATAATCATTTCGACCATGTGAATCTCTCAGGGACTTGGGTGGTGACACATCGTAACTTTTATAAGGTGAAAAACAGACTACAAATGTATGTGTGATGCTAAATATCTTCATTTTAGATGTAGATGCTATTATTTCATGCCAATGTCACTCATCAGACCCCCCAAAATGCCTATATATGGTAGGTAAGGTTTCGTGTTTAAGGTTGCTACCCCTCCCCCCCTCCCCCCTACCCCTGTCCGGGATTTTATTTCCAACCCCCCCTTGATCACCAGCAATCTGGGAGATATAAGTACTGGAGGAAGGAAATAAATTATTTATTTATTTAAATCAAGAAACTCTTAGGGGCGCAACGACTTGAATTCTCTCTCTAAATCACCACCACCACCACCACCCATCATTTTCTTTTTGTCTTGCCGTTCTCAGTATATCTTGAATTACCGCCATCCAGGCGACATCAAGACTGCTGCCCACCTCCCTCGACGTCTTCCTACCTCGAAGGTTACCCTTGTACTCTCAGCTTTATCTAGGCTCTACAAGCACGTTCTCGAATACGACTCCGTTATCTGCCTCCAGCACGCTAAGTCTGATCACGAAAGGATCAAGGCACGCCTACAACTTTTGTATCCTACTATGTCCTGCGAGTTGAAACAGGAGGCCAATGCGCAAAGCAAAACGTTCAGCGCCATGGAAGAGAGACTACAGCGACAAATTGATGCCTTGGGCTCACGCGTTGGTTCTTTGGAAAGATATAAGGAGGACTGCGAGCGGAATTTCGAGGATCAACTTCGATATGAGACTGTGGACCGCTTCTGTCGAGGTAAGACCATATTTCCTATAGGGCTGTTCGACAATTGGCTCATCGAATGTCACTAGGTCTGACCGACATTCTGCAGAAGAAAATCGTCAATCTAAATGCCATGCTCCATGATTTGTCATCTAGGCTAGAAAACGAAGCCTTGAGATATCGTACGCAAATTTCAATAGCTGAGAGAGACTAAATGCTGATAGGGTGCACAGCTCCTAATGCTTTCGTGTTTCTCAGCTACTATCTTCATTACGACGACGACAACCTGCCGGAGGTCTTCCATCTGTTTCCTCTAGAATTTCATCGAAGGAATGTCGCCACCCTCAGTTGCATCATACCGAGCTCTGGAACGGCCTTGAATGCTCTCAGTCTTCTTGTCGATGGTCCTCATGGTCGTGATATTAAACTTCTCACCCACTTTTGGGCAGTCCGCGCTAGTTTTGGCACCGAAGAGAGTTCTTCAGCACACCCGGTCCCAGGCCTCAACTTGGCATATGAAACCCTTCAAAATCTTGTCGATGACCCGGAACAACAAGCCCAGATACGAGACATTTTACCCTTACTTGTTGACGTCGGCGGATACGGTGTCAATCGAAATGTCAAGTACTTCTCGTCAGCTGTGTTGTGAGCTCTAGCTTGTTTTTACCACAGTCCTCGTATATCCTTCCATTTTCTTTTGTTCTAGTGTAGTATTCAAGATTGGAGTACAGAACCTCGTTCTATTCGGCTGTCGGTATTCCACATCTTTATCCAATATAAATGCAGAATAAAACCAACAGCCATTTTTATTCCCCTCCATCTATGTCAGCGTAGGGAAGTAAATTATTTATTGCTATTTCGAAAAAGGATGAGATTCTCAAAAAAGAAAAAAAGGTTTTGACGCGACTGATACCTGCCCGATCCTGCCCGATCTCACCCACACCATCTGAGACAACCTACGACGTCAATCATCATAACCCTCTGAGTGCGGGCTCGGAGGTGTTTTAACAGGGGCCAAAACTTTTTGATTCTTTTCAGGAATCCCATCATTTTTCGAAATTGCTATAAATAATTAGTTAACTAAAGATTTCCCAAGCAATCCTGGACCGACTCGGAGTCATGAATCCAAGACAGAGCTCCTCTACCACCACCACCACCGTTTATCTCGCCCACGTCGATATTGAAGCAGTAATGCCATTATGGTGACATCAAGACCATACCTTACTCCCCTTCACGCCCTACGACTTCGCCTGAGGTCAAAATACTATTGGTCTCGTCTGTATCACCCAGGTTCTACGGCACAGTACATGCTATGGAAGACCAGCTCCAAGCGCCAAATCGATCAGCTGGTATCCAGATTCAGGGATCTAGAAGCCAGAAACAAGGTGAAAGAAGCCAGAGACAAGGTGAAAGGCCAGAGAGATTAGTAAACTAGCAGCCAAGGTCGAGGCGAGAGAGCGTGAACTGGATGAGCAACTTCGGTATGAGGTTGCGAATCGTTTCTGTCGAGGTAAATTTATTTTCCAGGGCGGTTTGCTGTTTTACCGATTGGATACTCTAGGTCTGGTGGAAATACTCTGCAATAAACTAGACAAGTTATCAAATCTACTCTCCGATCTGGCATCTGAACTTCACAGGCCAGCATTGAGATATGGTACATAAATTCCAGTGCCAGTATCCAAGAGATTCGATGCTAACAACAAGTATGCCCAGCTCCGAACGCCTTTGTACTGTTCACTTATCATCATCATAACGACAACACGCTACCAGATATTTTCTACGAATTTTCGGAACATGTCCACCAGCTGAATGTATCCACCCTCGAGGACATCACGCCCAGAGCCAGGACAATTCTTACTGCTCTCGATACCTTCATTAACGGTCCTTACGGCGATGACATACGTCTTCTAACCTACCTATGGGCAGTCCGTGCAGGTCTGGGCAACACACGAAGCCTGTTAGCGCATTCAGTCCCTGGTTTCGCGGTTGCTTCAGAGATTCTTCACGAACTCATTCCTGACCCAGAACAGCAAGCCCTGGTGGAACGTATCTTGCCTTCTCTGATTGAAGAAGACGGCGTCAACGAACACATCAAATATTTTGCGTATTAATGCTGATACCGATCGTCGAGGCGCGAGACTATCGTGGTAGCTCTAGAGTCTAGGTCGTTTTATCTGGGGTCTCTCGTTTATCCTCAATACCCTTGTATGATTGTGTTTCAAATGACCAGTTTGGAATGTTATGTAAATCAAACACTTTGCAACGCAATTGAACGCAAATGCCAGGGGAATGCATTGTCTACAAATATTGCACGCGCACAAAGTAGTTCTACCGTACTTCATTTCGTTTCAGGACGGCGCTGGTCATTTTCCCGGGTCATCTTTCTCAGCGTGGACAGGAAGCCCAGATTGAGTGTCATTGCACAAGATTATTCCACGGCCATTGTTAGACCGTCTCTGAGAGGGTGAGATGCCTACCTGTAACCTCTGGCGAAAGGAGGAACTCGTTGACCCTCTTTAGAGTACTCCGGGATGGATTCGCTTGAGGTCGTTCGGAAATAATCCACTCTAGTCGTGTACGAATAGAGTGTTTGTCAACTGGTAGGATGCCTCAGTCAGTACAGACAATATACATGAAGGTCATTCAATCTCACCTTTTCGCGGACCCCTTGTTATAGCAAAATGCCCATTGTCATCGAAGAACATTTGCAGCGCTGTGACGACTACACCCACGCTGACATCCTTGCCTGTGTCACAAGATACACAGACCGAACGCCCCTCGGCCAACGCGGACTGAACGAACGACATGGCCTGAGGAAGCACGGTGCTCAAGAACTGATTCTGCCCTTTCTTGCCTGGTAAAGTTTTGATCCGCTTGACTTGCAGGCCGCCCCCGATATGGATATCATCCTCGCTAAGAACGAGATACACGAAATCGTCTCCGAGGGAAGGGCTAGGCAATCCCGAGTTTTGGCATATCGCAAGACGAGAACCAACCTTTGTAAGGATCGTCGGAGGTTCCCCCATTTGAGTAGGTGATGCTGCAACTATGGAGGTAACGAGACTTTGGAGCTCTGTTTGGCTGGATAATAATAGTTCTGCTTTATGGCTCCAGAAGATGTCCGGGACCAAACCCTACTTTTCATCAGAACCAGCGGGAGGCGGCGGAATGAACAGAAACGCACCATCCCCCAGGCTTCATGGTCGTCACCAGACCCTTGGATGTATGAGAACCCGCTTGACCGGCGCTCTAGGCCGTCTTCAACCTGCTTCGACGCGGATACGCATATGATAGGGTAGAAACCGGCATCTGAGCCAATTTGAGGGAATGATGAGGTTGAAGGTGTGATCCACATTGGGCGGAGCGGATATTGGAGCTGGGGGAGAGCATAAGATGATTTCTGTCCAGTTTCAGTCAGGCCAATCCAATGTTTTTGAGACGGTAAAGCATACAGCAAGCGCCTCTGCCCAACCATCTAGCAATGGGACAATCTGGTCGTGCTCTTGACTACTGACGGTTGAAGGTGGGGTGTAAAGATTCGTATCCCAGTCGGTAGTGATTTCCGGATGCCGGATTCGCATAGCTCGGTTGACAACTGCGCACCAGATGGGAACCGTCTTGGACAGTGCATCGGGAATTTTCTTTCCTGCTCTTGTAGAATCGACAAGGATCATCCTGCGCAATGATAAGCTCCCAAAACATTGCATCTGAAGGCCACGCACCCTTTCTGCTCCTCCACTAACGCCAGTAGGTGCAAGTTTGGACGTCTCAAGTTGAAGCTCCAGTTTGAAAAATGGCCATCGGTGGACTTGAAGTAGGCGGGGATGGATGTTGACTAAATATTGCTTTCGATGAGGGGCAAAAAAAAAACAAATGTAATAGGAACGTACAGTGCTGGGGTCCGTGTACCATGCGCCGCATCGTAAATTCGCTGCATGTCATGTTGGTTCAACGTTGCCTGCTCGATGAGACCATCATCGTACGGAGAATTGGCAGAATCTTTGTAGGCAAGTCGGACTTGGTTGACAAAAGTTATATCTTCGTCAATTGAGTGGAGGCGGTTGTAGATGTCCAAGGATTCCTTTCGAATATAGGATAGAGCAGCATTGCGAGTGCTCTTGAAATTATCAGTCCATACCATATATCTAGGTAGGTGGCCCAGAAGGATCCGGTATTTCAACAATCGTAACTTTAGATGAGGGTAGGAGCGGCTGAGGCCGAGGCGTCACTGCAGCTGGGGCGTTACGCGTTGTCACATAATCACGTGTCTGTGACTCGGGCAGCCCAGGCTTTCGGCTCGACGCATACTTTTCCTTAAAATTTCGCCTGGATACTTTACGACTTAACTGTTCCGCGGATTTTCTTCTATATTCAAATTGACTGCTATCCTGTTGTGATATAAAAAGAGAAAGGCCATCTATCCGTCAATTGTAGGTATCTTAACTATCTTTGCCATCCAAGTTGGTATATATGCACCGGTGTGGTAATATACAAGCTGTCTTGACGTAGACTGGGTTGTGCGAGTCATCGGCCAGCAGGGGTCGTGTAGCTGTGAGTCCAAGATGAAGAAATAAGATAGTTGATATCTAAATAGGTGTAGTCAATGAACAGAATGATGATGAAAGCTCACTGTGCGTCGTAAGGGTGCTCTGAACTCAGTACTCAAGGCTCGAAGATGGTGGGCAAAAAGCGAAGTATACATCCCCGAGGTACGGCTTGACTTGTACAGTTAGGGGATGGCCGCACGCGTACTCTTGCATCGCCAAGGGCCCCACTATGACATCCGAGAATGTAAACGAAGAAGGAAAGATAAGGGAATGGTCTGTTGGCAAAAGAAAGTCCATAGCTAGACCTCAACGTTGCGCAACCGCTCCACCCGGGATTAGCGCAACTTCATATAGGAGATTACGCTGCCGGCCTCAGCATGGATGAACAGGTCGTCAATCTGTCATCATCTCGATCCCCAGCGCGGTTCAAGGTGGTTACGGCCGTCGCAGTCTTGTCCTCGCGTCCAGTGTGTACAATAGGGATAGATGATTAGGTGTGAAGATGGGAATAGGAATATATAAGGAATTCAACTGCAAACTGTAAGCATTAAAGAGGTATAATGGACTGGAAAAACGACACCGCGACCTAGACCAATCCTAACGATCCCTCGTTCAGTGTAGCTCAGTCGTCGTTGAGAGCCACCCCTCATGAACGTGAGTCAGTGCCTTGATCGACGTGTCATCGTCCGCATTGAGAACATGAACTTGACATCATTTGAGCATTGATGCCCAAAGTGTTGCGTAGGGAAGAGAAATTAAGAGAGGGAAGGGAAAAGCAGTATGTAGACATGAGAGGAAGAAGGAAAGGCCAAGGAAGGACACGTCAGCATGTCTCGTGGCATCTCTAATACGGATTCACAGCGAGCATGTCTAACAAAGAGAGTCCACAATCAACCTTGAACTCGATGTTCAGTCGACCATGACTTTGTAAGACGGGAAATTGGGCTTCAACCTTCGTCCTAAATATTCCCTCCACAGAGGGATCGAGGACATCGTGCCCATGAATCACTTGAACATTGAGCAGGCGAAACGATGGCATAAGCTCTCCCGTTAGGACATTATCCCAGTCTGAGAGGCTGGGAGGTTCCATGCCCAAATTTGGAGTCGAAAAGCGAATTGTAGCTTTCTCTAGTAGGTTGGTTTTCGTAGTGAGGCAGTCCATCATCCAGCAGTCTAGGTCATCTTGGGAACCTTTGTGCGCTAGACCAGGACAGAATGCGATTATATCAATGGTATGGATGTGCGATAGCATAAAGCCATACGGCCAAATGGGAACCTTCCTGTCTGGATTGATTGTTATACAAAATGGGAAGGAGAATTTGCAAAGGCTTACTCCAGTTGATCTGGATCCTCAAATTTTGCAACGTGTTGACTGTCGCTTTGACGACCGTGACAGCGAAATCCAAGTCGTCTTCATTCATGATAGATATCGCAAAATCGCGAAGGCGTTCGAAAGAGATAACACTCTGTGGAGATAGCAGAATATCATATAATTCTTCAAAGGGGAATTCGATGGCGAAGCTTTCGGGACGCAAAGAATGCCCTTCGAAGAGGATGTATTTCTGGAAGTCTGCGTATTGAGCGGGGAGATTTTCTGGATTTGTGGTAACGGATAAAAGCGCCAAGTGCTGAAGCTCTGGAGATCCTCCAATCATTTCCAGAATTTTGGGGAACCCTTCTACCCACAAGAACGTGGCTGAGATATAGGATTGGTTATGTGATAGCGTCAATGGCGCTTTGATACCATCCTCCCAGAATTCTTGAACTGTTATATTCCTTAAAGAAGGCAAAATTGGGAACGGCGTCAACTGGTCCTCTGATTTGGACCAACAGGAAGAAGCAGAGAGGGACACAACCAAGGGGGGGATATGCGGAAAGTCGCGACATAGTGCGACAAATCTCTCAGCATGCTTGTCTCCGTCCAGTTCGACTTTTCTGAACAAGTGGATACGTGTTCGAGGGTAGAAAGCCCGACTGGTAAGAGACATGCATTTGAGCGCAGCATGATCATCCGCCAAGTTATCGATAATTGTGTCGATTAGCTCTTGAGGAAAAAGAGTGGCCATTCCGTTTTTACCTAGAAGTGATAAATGTATTTGGGGACTCATCGAAGAATGGGAGGTGCCCCTACCAGGTGGTTCAACCGCTCGGGCAATGCACTTGAGAGAACGGAAGGAGGAGAGAAAACGACCACGTGATTGGGACCCGCAATAAGTCGGAGTCCGGGTGTCCCCGAACGGACCTCAGCAACGAGCAACAACGTTCTACTTACGACTGTTTTCGCGTAGCAATAGCTGGCGTGCAGGATACTCTAACCAGCGGAATTTTTTCAGATGCTGTCAAGACTCAAGAACCAGTAGGCAGGCGCTGAATTGGTGCTTTCTTTTAGCCGTGAGTGCAACTCGGTACTTACTGTACTCTCCTAATGTTATTGTTCCACCAGCCCGGAAGTTTCACGCTTTCAAGAGCCATCTCTTTCGCAGGAATGGTGCTGCATTATATGCTAATTGTATGCAGGTACAGAGGACTCTTGGGAATGAAGGATTAAGTCAAAGCTAAGCGCTGAGCAAGGACTTCGCAGACAAGGTACGCGTCTTTATTAATAAGGACTTGGACTCGGGCCTAACATAATTGTCCGACTTGAAGCCATGGTAGAATATCCGAGGACCATTGCTCAAGCGGCCGAGTCAACAGCGACCGTAATGCTTATTGCAAGCGATGAATCAACAAGGGCCAAGGAACAGAAAATGAACTCGACTTGGGCAGTGGGCACCCCGTCCTGTTATTGTTGTATTTCATCTTTGACTTCGCTTAACCACCGGAGATACCACGCATGCATTTAACGTTAGCTCCGCATCAGTACTCGGGAACGCCAAATTACATATAACGAATCGCTAAAACCAAATACTCATCCCAAACGTTGGCGCCTTCTGGACTCGAACACTCGGACGACATTATCTGTTTCCTCTAGCTTTGGCAGAGCCGGCGTGTGAGATCCCACGAACGGGGAGAGAACTTTCTACTGCTACTTCCAAGAAATGACTAGGCACTTTCCTTCTTACCAGGACAATTTGACACGCTCCTTGAAACTTGCTCCTGGGATCCTGAACTCTGCTGCTGCAGTCCAATGGAGATGTCAAATTGCTTCCTTGGTGCAGCCCTATTTGGTTTTGATCCACCTTTCTGGTGATGGCTGCGGTATGGGCCCCATACAGAGTCACAAAAGGGCCCAATAGAGAAGAAACCCGGCGCAGATATCATGGTCTCCCCAATGACTGCATGCAAGAGTTTGAAGCGTACTTTCTGATTCTGGTGAGGATTTGGCCCTATTGTTGTTTTGCGTGTATGTTGAATAATCAAATATCATCCAGGGAAGGCAGGATGTGCCCCCCTGGACTAGTACTGGATCGATTATTGATAAGACCGAGGACGTCAAGTAGCAATACATGGGGCTGCGCAGTATGCACTGTGCATTAGAAATATGTCCACTGCGCCTTAATGACTAGGTAATGTGACTTTCTTTAAGAAAAGTCGAATACTGACTAAATACCGAGTCGTCAGAAGCCCGAGGAGGCAGTGGTCGACTGAACTGGGCCCATCTCGTGACCAGATTGATAAGGACCAATGAGGGATTGCGTGATTGGAAGAACGACAACATACCGACAACGACGCGTCTTAAAGGAAATAGACGCGTCACGAGCCCCTGCTACTGGGAAATTTGGCTCCAGTATGCTAGTCGCCAAGGGTATTCAATACGACGAATATGACGTATCCCATGATTCCAACCAAACCTCACAGGGTCGGCTGGCTCCATCGCGTATCAATTATGCCTCAACACGAATGATCCTGTGAGCCGTGTCATGGTGATTTGAATACTATCGTCCGAGGTTCCCGAAGGAAAGCTGTCAGTGGCGGCGATAGATAAATTGGGAACGTATAGACCTGAGTAAAAAGCGATCCCCAATTCTCATTTCCTCTCCCATGTCCTCCTTGCTGCTATCCCTCCCTGCTGAGCTGCTTGAGCTTGTCGTATTCGAGGTGCGCTGCTTTTCATTCTAGAATTTCTTCCGTATCTAAGGTCTATGGGTAGTCCAGCACTCCCACGCGAAAAGCACTCCGATCAACGTGCCTGCGCCTGGAATCGATCGCCACCCCACTAGTCTTCGAGAGCCTGCTCATTGATACTCGCAACAGACGCCATGTTTCAAAGTTTCTTCGAAACCTTTGCTCAGGGAAGGGATTGGCGAAATATGTTCAGCATATCCATCTCGTCTCGCTCAAACTCCCGAGAAAGCTACTTGGCCTGCGTAAGGAGAGGGAGTGGGGGAAACCTTCTCGTCGCTGCTATACCGTATATGATATCATTGAGGGGCATTTCGTGAGTCAGTCCACCGCGTTTCTCGACCTAGCTAATAGTGCTTCAAGTTGCTCAGCCTCTGACAAGAGAATATTTACTAATACGGCTCTCTGGCGCAGTCTCAGTCATATCACCTCGTTGTCCATCTCCAGCCTCGGATGGCAAACAGAGAAAGTCCGCCCCCAATCTTCATCTTACTGGTCTCACCGATCTCAGTTTCCTCCGGTTATGGATGTCTCGAATACGCGAGCACCCTCATCAGCACGAGCACCGGCCTCACTACACTCTCCGTACATCACTCACTCCATCCCGATGACCGATTCGATCCATTCTCCCCTTCCGTCCTCATTCTGTTCCGCGGTTCCCAATCGATGTGCCTCACCGCTCTATCTCTCTCCGGCAATCTCTCCCTCAGTGCTGCGGAAGTGTCCTCGCTCGTTCCGCACCTCCGTCACCTTCAGTCACTCTCCCTCAACATGGACTTTGTCCCGGGTGAATTCTGGCAGTCGTTGAGGCGGGAGGAGATTTTCGTAAAGGAGAAATTTGCGCTTACGACATGGGATGCTGAGTCCGCGGTGTTTGATTATCTATGCTCGTATACCGGACTGCGGCATTTGTTTTTGCACATCAAGGAGGGGAATGGTGACTACGATGCGAAGAAGGTTGTGCGAAGGCATCGGAGGACGTTGCGTGATGTCGATGTACAAGTTGGTGCCTAATGGACATCTTATTCGAATTCATGCTTCAAAGACCTCGATAAGAAAGTGACAAGCGATAGTCTTGCTTCATCTTTTTGCCGCCATTTGTTTTTAACGCCCTATCGGATTGAAGGGCTGTGACGATGTCCCCAACAAATTTGTAAAATTCAACGCCCGAGTCCACTACCAATGTATCTGTCTGTGTGTATCTTTTGACCTCTCAGATCATTGTCACTGTATCCTGATGTTTCGGTTTTAGGGTGTTGAATAAGTGCTAAAGGGTTTACTAGAAGATCCTCGCGGCATAGCTTCTGATCTATAAGAAAAAGCAAGGTGATTTCAAGGAAGACCCACACGGCCTCAATGTCTTCCTGCAACTTGAGGCCGGCGCTTAGGGCGTTCGGCAACAATGTCGACCCCCTGGACCGTAGCATGAATGACATGCATCTGCACGTCCCGCCTTATTTGATACCTCCGTTGAACCATGAAACTAATCGGAGAATGAGGTCCCCGTTCGTCTGCCTTGTTGGCCGTACTTGTACGAGGTCGTTTCGCTTTTGAATATGATCTTTCTTCGTCCAGACCATACTGGTACTTTCTTCTCGATCTGCCTCATGTAGGGGATGGAACTGTATCGAATCTAGAGGTCTACGGCTACGTGCAAGAAGTCCATCCTGTTTCATCAGACAGTTGCGAGTTGTTATTGGACTTCCTGGCTTGATTTCAATGACGCCTTGGAGATATCCATGCCCACCTTACTATGTCTAGAGGTATAAGGTTGAATTTCTGTGTTCCGGTTCCTCAATATCACAGGGAGGTTGCAGTCCAGTTTTGCGATTTTATGAACGCGTTAGACTACAACTATGGCTACCTTGAAGCATATCGCTTAGCGCTATGCTTGAGCGATTTCCATAATGGGATCACCTCGGAGAAATATGACGGGGTTCATCGATTCTGGCCTATCTAAGTATTAATAATTCGTCGTGCTTCGTTTGCTGATGCATCTTTGCATGAAACAGATCTCCACATATGGCGCCTCGTTCAGACGCCGATTTTGTAGGTTCTCGACCAGTTTGGGACCAGAAGAATAAACTAGTCATGTACGGTCCTTATATGTTCCGTCTGCTAGTCTCATCTGATCCTGTCTGATCGCAGTTGAGGTGTTATGCAAGGGCTGACTTCACCATCTATCGTTTGTTTCGTGGGGCATCAATACATCAAGCTTCACTGTTCCACGGTAAAGTCGACATTGCGTTCGGCAATGTTTGTCTTGATTATATTAGTCCTTGTGGTCGCACCAGCGTAGGTTCCCATGGTTGTTCTGTGCCCTGGGAAGCAACTTGATCAAGGATTTTTTGCAAGCGTACGCTGTATAGATTGCCAAAAATAGAATGGGCAGTCTCCGTAAACATAGGATGCTGATACTTGGTCGAAGAAATTTTGTGGATGGGTCCTCTTACTTCGGGTGTAAGGCGATAAGATCCGTGGTAGTCCTCTAACGTGCGTCAGACGGCCTGATGTGTTGGCGGCATAGAACTATCGTCGGAAGAATATTTACTCATATGGTACTACAGCACCTCGGACTCTGGTTCTATGTTTAACAAAATTCTCAGGTTCTCACCATTGACACAAGGCGAGAATCGAACAGACTGTACGTTGCTCACACAGCCTACGTGCGGCAAATGACAACCGGTTTATTGTGAAGTAACCGATATCACCTCGATCGCATCTTTTAGGCTCGGCACGACCATGCCGCTTCTTATTTGTACTGTGCCTTCGCCCACGGTTGGCGAACCGAAGGAAGCTCGAAATATGTCTAATTAGACCATGAAGGCCTTTTGCATTTCTTCCAAGTCCTTTACTTGCCTCGTAGCCTTCACAACGTCAGTTTCCGGTGCCCAGCGCCTTTCGACGAGATGGAAAGCCTGAAAGATAGATTTGATCGAAGTTCTGGCCCTGGAATCCATGTGGATGATTGTTGTGATTCATACCTTTTCGTGATAATTGGGTTTTGGCAGGACGAGTTGGATCTCCTGCCTTGTTCTCACCCCCGGACCTTACTTCATCTTCGACCACAATGATGCGCAAGGGCGAGTCTTCAAGTTCGGGGGCTGCTGCTACTGTCAAGAAGCGCCGCATGCCACGGGCATGCGATATGTGTAAACGAAAGAAAGGTAGCTTCTCATTGATGTCTTGAACTGCCGGCTGATAAAATGATGGCCTGTCTTGCAGTTCGCTGTACGCGGCACTTTGGTATTCCTTGAAAACATATCTCAATACATGGTTTACAGGTGACAGCGAGCAGATGCCCGGAAAACGATGCACGAATTGCATCAGCTTCAATTACACATGCACACATGTCGAAGCCTTGAATGTAACGTACTCGGATTTATGTCCCTGATTTTTGTATAACATAACCTACGTCAGAGTATGGGATCGGCGAAGGGGTACGCATCTTTGCCTAATGATTTTCGCCGTTACACAAGGAGATGACATACTGTACTAGCTATGTGCAGCGACTTGAAAGACGGCTCAGAAAACTGGAGTTGCTGTTCCAACAAGCAAGTCGTTCTTTCTGTCTCTAGAGCATTGTGTTCACCTTGTTGCGCAGTTTTTACCCGATGTCGACATCGACACCGAGCTAACCGAAGGTTCCACTGACGAGGAACCGTCCAGTTCCAAAGTTGGACGGACAGAGTATGACCAAAGCGTGTCAGCTCTCAGCAAGGACATGAGTAGGCTTCTCTCAGTGTCCCCAGAACAACGCTTCTTTGGAAAATCTAGGTGGGATTTGCCTTGCGATGACAATTGCACTTCCCCGCTAAATTCCGGTACACAGCGGCATCCCTTACATTCCCTTGATCATGCAAAAGAGGGCTCAATACCTCGGCAAGGAAAAGGTAGATCCGATGAATCAAGCCTTATTCATGAAACGACGAGAACAATTTTGGGATGCCCAATCAGTGAGTGCATTTCGTAAACTATGTAATACCCTCATTCAATTGAACACGACAGTACTATTCTCTAAGAATAGACGACTCCCTACCCGATTATCTCTTCCCTGAGGAAGATCTCATGCTGTCCCTGATAGATCTCTATTTTACCTATCACAACTGCTACCTGCCCCTTTTGCATCGGCCCACATTCGAGAATGACATGAGCACCGGCTTACATCGGAGCGATTATATGTTCGCGGGGACCCTGCTTCTAGTATGTGCTCTTGGCGCTCGAAACTCGGATGATCCACGAGTCTTTTACGGATGCAACGGGGAGGCGGGCTGGCAGTGGTTTGAACAGATAACGCCGTTTCGGTCATCATTGCAAGATCGAAGCACCACAACCCTTTACGAGCTTCAGATACACTGTGTGCGTCTGCTGTCATTTTACTAGAACGAAGCAATGGCTAACCCACATCTTAGCTATCATCATTGTACCTGGAGTCAGTAGGCCTCTGGGAGTCAGTTTGGACACAAGTGGGCTTGGCGTTACGCTTGGCCCAGGATGTCGGGGCGCATATGCATCGCAGTAACCCTCCAAATGCCAGAGATGAACTGTGGAAGCGCGCATTTTGGTATATCATTTCTCACTTCTGTCCCGGATCCCATTAATCGATGCGTAGGGTCCTCATGTTCCTCGATGTATCACTAGCGTGCCTTCATGGACACGCAGTAACCCTTCACTACGAAGAGTAAGCACCAATCTTTTCCTCTGTGTCTGTTATGAAACGCCTACCCGCAGTTTCGACCTCGACTTTCCACTCGAATGTGATGACGCGTTTTGGAGCCATCCGGATTCTTCGCAGAATTTTACTCAACCACCCGAGCAACCCAGCGAGATCTCCTTTTTCGTGTATCTGCTAAAATTAGTGAATATCATGAGCTACGTCAAGGATATCATTGTGCGTGCATTTCTTGTTGTATCAAGTTGTTTGTGAGACTTAGAATACATTAGTATTATACTAGGAAACCGCTCATGGTCATTGGTGGCCAGCGCCGCCCTCCTGAAACAGAAATTGTATCCAACCTCGACTCAGTCCTAGATCGGTGGGTGCAATCTATCCCCGGCCACCGTATGTACTTTCCTCCGTTCCGTGTGGATGATCCAGCTCAACAGTTTCCTTCCAGTACGATGGGATCCCAGCCGGAAGGAGCAGCTCTTCTTCAACCAGTCTGGATTTTTATACATAACTTATCAATACACCCGAATATTGCTGCACAGACCCTACATACCGCGGACCTTTGACAGCAAAATCACTTCGACTCTATACCCTTCAGTTGCGACCTGCGTGGAAGCGGCGAATGTCGTGTTTGGATGCGGTCAATGTGCAGAAACGGAGAGGATACATCCAGTCAGTTCAATGTAGTGGTACGTCTGACGAGTATTTTGGAATGAACCTTGTACTGATTGTGACACAGGCTTTCGTGAATTCGGTTACTCTGACGCTTCTGCTGATTGTTTGGAGTGGACATAGTCCTGGCAGTGATCCACTCATAAGCAGAGAAATGCAGAACGTGTTCGTGAGTATGGAGATGATGAAGGAGCATTGAAAACAGGTAAGCACATCTCATCGCTGAAAAAGGATATATGTATCTAATTTATATGTAGACTCCCTTCTGCGGGTAGCTTTCTGGTGAGTAGCTATGTGATTTCGCGATAAATTTCACGTTGAGACGCAACAAACTAGGGACATATGTTCGGAGTTGGCTTCTTCCGAAATGCCCAATGTCGTCCCCCAGTCCGCAAGTTTTGCGCAGCCGACAATACACAAAAAGCGTCCTCGAGAGGTCCCTCCGCCCGAGATCCCTATGCAGACCCCGTTTTCCTATCCGGTACAACTTCAGCCACCGCCGCAAGAGTTTATATCCCCTGATCCATGGGCGTCTCAGCTCACGTTGGAGACGGAACCACCAATATCATACGCATCGTCAACATCAGAATCTACAGCATACGTACCATCGACAGAGTATGATCCGCTGGTCACTTATGCGCAGGATCCTATTGGTTATACACAGGCTCCTCAACCATACTTCCCCGACATATGGTCAACAGAAGTAAACTCTGAGTGAGTAGCCTACCCGCGGCTTTGTTGGTCGACGTTGCGCTGATTCTTCTGATAGCTTTAACTTGGAGTCTTTCTTTTATCACTCAAATCATTGATGGAAACCCCGCAATCTGTACGATTATCTCATCTAGATTCTGTATATTAGGAAGGACTATGTATGCCCTGTATTGTATTACTGTAGCAGATTCCACTCTCGAACGTCTGACGCTGTGGCTGATTCTTCACAGCGCTGTCGGTCCTAGTATCCCAAAGTACCCTCACATTAGTTCCTGGCTTGTTATTCTCAACTCCCGACAAGTAAAATTCTAACGCGGGGTTCTATATCTATGTAAATATCATGAACGCAGGTTCCACTTTCCGCCGAAACCCCAATCTGCCTGTCTATAAATAAGCGTTCCATGTAGGATCAAGGCTGATTGATGTCGGCTAAATATAAAAGTAGATGGCGTTTTCGGTCGGAAGAAAGCCAACTTCGTGTATTGGATTTCGAGAATGAACCTGGTCGAAGTCAAAATTATTCGGTTCTTGGGCTGCAGACGCGCTTGACGACGCGTCATTTTTGGCGTACGATGGTGGTGGTGGTGTTACCGGCGCCAAGTCCCAATAAGGAACGGCCGGGTCCACAGCCCTGACATGGCGAACCATGCGCTGTGGCTGCGAAGGCTCATACCGTTGTAATCACACTGTTGAGTGCGTCTCGCGGAGTAGAGACTCTTCGCAGGGTACACAATTGAATGAAAAGTGATGGGGATGAGACAGAACATAAAGTGCGATCGAGCACGGCGAACCAGTTAGCATTGACGTGTACCTCGAAAATCCGGTGCACTTTGAGAGTCACTGCCGTCGAAATGGAGGAGTATTAGGAAATGGCTCATGAGACATGTGCATCATGATCAGTAATGACGATGAAAGAACATGTGAACAAATGAGAAATACGTAACGGGAGAGTGAGACATGGTGCACGGACCATGGGGTGTATGGAAAGTTACAGGTCAGTAGCAATGAGAAGATATCAGGCACAATGGGAGCGTACGAATCATCCACCAAGAAAAAAGGAATCACAGACTGCAGCGATGCTCGAGCCTTAACTCATGAAAGCAATGAAATGGGAACCAAGAACAACGAAACAGGCAAGCTCCTTCGAAAAAGAGACTGCCTGCGAACGAAACACCGAGTACCACCAGACTGGTGAGATCCTTCATAAAGGAGACCACCAGCGGACGTAACAACCGGGTAGCGCAGGCATCAGGCGAACATGACAGACGAAGCACACCATTTCACCGGACAGTGCGCCTGTACAGCAGAGCCCAAGCCTTAGCCTGTGGAAACCAACGAATGCGGGTGTCGAACAACCACACACAACCAAGCCACCATTTGCATAACAAACAGCGTGCCTGTAGCGGTGCTCGAGCCTATGACAGCGACACAACGGAGGTGTTGGGCAATGGTGAGGAAACAAACACACCATTATGACTAGAGAAAGTGTGCCTGTACCAGCGCCCAAGCCTATGAAAACCACGAAACGCAGGTATCAGGAAACCGCAAATGATGAAGCCCATCGTTTGAATGACAAACAGTGTGCCTGTAGCGATGCCCGGCCTATGACAGCGACACAACGTAAGCATCTGGCAACCGCGAGGAGTGAAGGACACCATTTCGACAGGAAACAGTGAGCCTGTAGCAGCGCCAAAGCCTATGAAACCAGAAACATGGTATTGGGCATAGTTGGTATCGGCAGAAGGTTTAGGTAGATCTTGCATATCTTTGAAGTACCTGACAATGGTTTGGGCGAGCTCCGTCAGGCCGACGATCACTGACGCAAGACCCATATCCATAGGCGACAGGAGAAGGCGAAGTTGAGCTGAAGGTCAAGCGCACAGCCACGAGCGTCTGTTGCCGCGTACTAGTATAGTAGTAGTACTAGTAGCGAGTGTGGAACATTTCCTTGCATATCGAGTCTAAGCACTCGATAAGATAAGATCTCGCGAATACTACAGCTTGTGAAGATAGCCATGCGTCACGGGGATGGCTCGCTAGGAAAGCGGTGGGACTCAGTTCTAGATTCAAAGCCGAACGCTGTTTGAGCTCTCGTCGGTGTGCCATATGAAGTCACGTAACCCTGTACCAGTGCGCTTCCTCTCTCCCAACAGGCCGTAGTCAGCCTAAAGGGTCATCAAGAAAATCTTCCATATCTGCTTTGGGATCCTTCGGTGTAATGCCTTCCGCCAGAGGCAATGCCGGAGCATTAACATAGGACGCTTCTTGTTTTCTTTCACGAGCGGTGGGTGCAATGGGCTTTTCCGCAGTCGTTCCGACTTTGCACGAAAATGAGATTTGAGGTCTCGATTAGCGTCAGCAACCGCCTTTTCCCTTGACAATTCATCAAGCTCCTCGTTCCATGCGATCTGCTCGACTTTTCCTTTGCGTGTCGGTGCCTCCGAACCTATGCCACGAGAGGATATATGAGCCAGTGAATGATCTACATCGTCATCATCGTCAGGCAATGTCGTTTGCAGTGTCGACTCCGGGTTGTCGGACAACCTTTGTCGCCCCAAGAACGATAAGTCTACTTCTGGTTCCACTATTGGTTCGCCGTCAGAATCGAGCTCGGTCTCCGGTTCAGCATATCTGTCTGCATTAGTCCCCAAATGTCTCTTCGAGAACTTGCGCTCTCTCTCGGCCCTTTCTTCATCATCTTCTTCGACCGGTACCTCGCCCGATGGTATACTCCATTAATATCATCACTGGATGATCAAATTGAAATTCGACTGCGCAAATTCCTGGATGCATGTGCTCTTCAGCGTGGGGCAGAGTAGATATCAGTGATTGAATGAAGCATGTGAGTCTGCGCTAGATTCGAGTTTAATCGCAAAAATAATATCGGAAGGCACGCAGAGTGAGGAGAAACGTAGACGGTGCAGGCTACGACCGTTTGTTTAAGTTATGTTTCTGTTCGTCGTGGTGGTGGTTAAAGGCCAAGGTTACGATGGATGGTTCGGCTGTCGGGCCGGTTTCTCTTACGAGATCGGTCTGGGACACTGGTGGTGATCGTTAGTTGACGCAAGGGGTTACCGGACCGTCAAGCCGGTACACCCGGTCGGTCGGTCGCCTTCGAGAGGCCTTAAAAAAAAATTCTATATCAATTTTTTTCTGCACTAATCAGCTCAAAAGTGCCATGAGGAAGCAATAATTGATGAAGAATAAAGATCTCACTGAGGATGTTGGCTGTGTGATTCTGTTAAGCATCTTCTCAGTGATAGAGATGATGAAGGAATAGTCCTGCCAGCTTGCTGATGAGGCGGATTTAGGGATTCCGGCAACGTCTAGACGGGAGAGATCGGTTACTACAGTTATTTACCGGTCATTGCAACACCATGGTTCAATGAAACACTTAGCCTCTTGCTCTCCCTCCCTTCATCCTTCATCATTAATTTGTATTGCATTGCTGATGTGTATTGTATCTTCATGTTCTACAGTAATTCTTCATATGTGACATGGATAATATTCCGAGAAATTGAGGCTTCTGTTCTAAAAATATCTATTTTCTCATGAACTCAAAATCTGACCCAGAAATGTGTGTCCTCCATCTGAATGTAATCACCCACAAAGGCCTCAATAATGTTAATGACCTTCTGAAGAACCTGTATGACAAGTTTGAGACCAGGCGCCCATTATCTGAGGAGTCTAGGGCATAGATAAAAGTGTGGTTCTGCCAAGCTATTGCCTTTGATGGACAGTCTGACAGTCCAATGCGCCTATTATTGCCCCATTGCCTCCGAATTTTATTTCTCCTCTTGCTCAATTTTTTACTATGCCTGGACATGCTAAATCAAACTTGAAAAAGTGCCAGATTACTCGCAAATGCCATGACCAGCTAATGGAAAAGGCAGTCATTGCACACAAGAATGAGCTTGCCAAACTACCCGGTGCTCCTCAGAAAGATGCAAGAAAAATCTGCAAAGATTTCGAGGCTGTATATCAGAGGGAGACTGGAAAGGAGATCTCGCTTTCTTATAGCACTCGAGTGATTCCAAGTTGCTGACTAATGAGGTTTGGGTACATGGGCCGGACTGTTTCAATGACTCAAAATAGCCCAGAATACCCACGCCACAATAATGCTGTGAAAGCGGACTTGTACCCGCACCTTTGAGCATCTTTTTTTTACTGTATCTTATTGTTGCATAGTATTACACATTCTTACATTCAAACCTAGTCAAAATTCCCAACCAATTGGAACCTACAGTAAATATCCAATTTTGCTGTTTCATTGACCGGTAAATAACTGTACCGGTAACTGCTTCTAACCGGGTGGCAGTGTGCTTACCAATACCGCATGTTATGCCTTCATTAGGTATACAGTTATTTACCGGTCAATGAAACAGCAAAATTGGATATTTACTGTAGGTTCCAATTGGTTGGGAATTTTGACTAGGTTTGAATGTAAGAATGTGTAATACTATGCAACAATAAGATACAGTAAAAAAAAGATGCTCAAAGGTGCGGGTACAAGTCCGCTTTCACAGCATTATTGTGGCGTGGGTATTCTGGGCTATTTTGAGTCATTGAAACAGTCCGGCCCATGTACCCAAACCTCATTAGTCAGCAACTTGGAATCACTCGAGTGCTATAAGAAAGCGAGATCTCCTTTCCAGTCTCCCTCTGATATACAGCCTCGAAATCTTTGCAGATTTTTCTTGCATCTTTCTGAGGAGCACCGGGTAGTTTGGCAAGCTCATTCTTGTGTGCAATGACTGCCTTTTCCATTAGCTGGTCATGGCATTTGCGAGTAATCTGGCACTTTTTCAAGTTTGATTTAGCATGTCCAGGCATAGTAAAAAATTGAGCAAGAGGAGAAATAAAATTCGGAGGCAATGGGGCAATAATAGGCGCATTGGACTGTCAGACTGTCCATCAAAGGCAATAGCTTGGCAGAACCACACTTTTATCTATGCCCTAGACTCCTCAGATAATGGGCGCCTGGTCTCAAACTTGTCATACAGGTTCTTCAGAAGGTCATTAACATTATTGAGGCCTTTGTGGGTGATTACATTCAGATGGAGGACACACATTTCTGGGTCAGATTTTGAGTTCATGAGAAAATAGATATTTTTAGAACAGAAGCCTCAATTTCTCGGAATATTATCCATGTCACATATGAAGAATTACTGTAGAACATGAAGATACAATACACATCAGCAATGCAATACAAATTAATGATGAAGGATGAAGGGAGGGAGAGCAAGAGGCTAAGTGTTTCATTGAACCATGGTGTTGCAATGACCGGTAAATAACTGTATTATTTCCACGGCGGTCGGTCGGTCGGATCGACCAGGCCTTAAAAAAATATCGAGTGGATGTAATTATTTGACATCCTCGTAACCCCTTGGGTTGACGTCAACTTTTTTACTATAATACAAGTAAGCACGAAACTTGCTTTTCACCATCCCAATCATGTCTGAAATAGTTTTTCCTCCCTTAGATCCCTCTCTTTACGCTTTGACCGAAGGCGAAGCTGCGTTCTTCGAGGCAGAAACAGGAATACAAGATGATGTTGAGTTGAAGAACCACATCTTAGCTACCCAAGAGGCAGCATACAAGGTGCGTGGCGATGTGTACATGGACTTTTCTGTGTTATAGCCCTTCACTTCCGTAGATTTTCCCTTATCCTTGTATTCGCAATTTTAGTTTTCTGGGGTGCGCTGTTCATATCTGGGCTCCCCTCAGTCGTTGACCGCACATAGGCTGAAGATCTCAAGGCACCCGTCTTACCAACAGCTCTTGAAGATTGGAAAGGAACGCCAGGGGGCTATTTATGCCGAAATCGGATGCTGCTGTCAGTCGTTTGCTTTTCTTCTGTGTTCGATGTCTGAGCTAGCTACAGTTGGAAATGACGTCCGAAAGGCGGTCGTCGATGGTTATCCTGTCCAACAAGCCATAGCCACAGATCTGTACCCAGGTGCGACTCTTTAATCATAACGTGGTTCTCATCTCATCTTGACGCGTACCAGAATTCTGGGATCTTGGACACAAGCTCTTCAAGAGCACCTCAGAAAGCTTTCCGGCACGATTCATACCTGCGGACATATTCGAGCTGAAGGGTTTGATAAAACAGCCTTTGGCGTCTGCTCCCGAGCTCTCCAAAGTCCAATCCTTCGCAGAACTTTCTGGAAATGTCTCTGCCATTCATGCTGCATCTTTCTTCCACCTCTTTGATGAGGAGAAGCAGTTCGAGCTCGCGAAGATCATGGCGGCTCTGCTGTCCTCTACTCCTGGGTCGATGATTTTCGGTTCTCATGGGGCCAATCCCATTAAGGGTGTTATACCAAGACCTTCAGCGCTTGTACAGTGCCAATGTTCTGTCATTCTCCCGAGAGTTGGAAGGCACTCTGGGATGGAGGTGTTTTTCCCGAAGGTACTGTCAAGGTTGACGCCTTTTTGAAGGAAATTGTAGCGAATGATTCCAGTCCGAATCTCTATTTGCTCGTTTGGAGTGTTACGGTCTTGTAAATGAATAGGCTGTCATGAAAGACTATGTGTTAATATCCTCGACGTAAATACATCGTGAGCTGGGTGTCATATATGGGAGACGGCCGGTTACAGGTCTACCTTGTAAACGTATCTGATGGGCAGTCCTAATCTTCATTCCCAAATCATCTGCGAAAGCCCATACGAATCCTGGATTCTTCAAGAACTGCCGGCCAACTAGTACGGCATCTGCTTGACCTTTGTCCAGGACCTCTTGCGCTAGCAGCCCGTCGTTGATGCGACCCACCGTACCGACTAACAATCCTGGATTACTCTTCTTCACGGCGTGCGAGAAGTGTGCTTGGTATGCAGGACCTGTGGCAATCTTCTGCTGTGCGTGGTTGCCTCCTGAAGAGACATCCAGGAAGTCGACGCCATGTTGAGCCAAAATGGCGGCGTAGCGAACGGTGTTTTCGGACCTCCAAGACGGAATATCAGGGAAGATATTTTCCAAGTTCTCGCTACCAGAAATTCTGCAAGGATCGGGTTAGCCTCGCAAAAGACTAGTAGATACGACCAAGGACTTACCTGTAGAAAAGCCGCATCGAATCTGGAATTACACTTCTCACCGCGTCAACGATCTCCGACAGGAACCGAATCCTATTTTCAAAGCTGCCACTATACTCGTCCGTACGATGGTTACTCATTGGGCTTATAAACTCGGTCAAAAGATATCCGTGAGCACCGTGGATCTCAATCACGTCGAAGCCCGCCTTTACAGCCCTCACTGCTGCATCTTTGAATGATTGCACGAGTCCCTTGACCTCTGCGTTAGTCAGTTCCCTGGGCTTCGGGTAGTCGTCTGCCCACTGGATGGCTGATGGTGCGACAACATTATTCGGCCATCCACCTATGTCTTCGCCGGCAACATAGTCTCCTGTGATAATCCACGGCGCGACTGTCGAAGCTTTCCTTCCGCCATGAGCGAGCTGTATGGCGATCTTCTGGTTCTGAGAGTGCGCCAACTCGACAATGGAGGCGAGTGGGGTGATGTAGTCATCAGACCAGATACCCACGTCGTCTGGTGTAATCCGACCTTCAGGAACGACAGCGGTTGCTTCCATGATGGTGAGACCTGGTCCGCGCGTGAGGATGCCTCCAACTGATCAGGAAGTAACAAAATTAGCTCAACGGTGTAAAAGCCAAAGGCCTCTGCACACGATGAACTGTATGCCACGGAGTCACAAAGCCCTCTTTGGCAGAATATTTGCACATCGGAGAGACCTGAGGAGACGTTGTCAGGAAAACCAAAGATACAAAAGCGTTAAAACTCACGAAAATTCTGTTTGGAAATGTCACTCCGCGAATAGTCATGGGTTGGAAGAGAGTCGGGATAGGCTTGCCATCTGGCTGAGGACGAATAGCTGTTCCTGCAGGTGGGTTCTGCTCTGGCGTGAAGAAGGAAACGCCAGGCGCAGGAATGTTTGCATTGGCAGGGAAAGCCATAGACCGTTAACTGAAGATAGAACTCGGTCCTTTTAACGCCTATAATGACGATGTATTGGGCTAGAACGTATCCACATTCCGAGTCGAGGATGAGTAATGCGTTGCTGAGTGAGCCTCTGCTGAGTGATCTGATGAAATCGAGGCGAGTCTGTTCTGCAGTTCATTCTGCTAAGGAGAAGATTAGCCTTTTCGGAACAGAATTTAGCCAAACAGTGCAGACGCCGCTAAATTGACATTACCCAACCCATCAGTCTCTTGCTTGTTGCTGGGTAGTGGAAAGCTTGAGGAGAGGACCGTTTTTCTACTTGAGTTCGGGTATGTGGGTTCTTGGCAAATGTGTTTTGGCACCTGTAATTGTCGGGGTTCATAGAGATACATATGGCGACTACTGCGAATGATATCTCGACCGGGTAAATGGCAAACGGTAACCTATAACTAATTTAATGCGAATACAATAAGGATTAAAGTCAAGAGAAAGGCATCAATCGTTTACTTATCAGATTTATCGGTTTGAATAAGTGTTATTGTGTTTATCTTGCTCCTTTCTCCCTTTCAGCGTTCTCCTCGGAATCGAGACTCTCATGTCAGCCGCCAGAATCGGTGTCGACTTCCGAGTCAGATTCCGTGTCCGAGCTGGAATTCCAGTCTCCCCAGATGCCTCGATACGCGTCAAGTATATTACATAGGGAGTCATGGGTGATCAAATCACCAAGTGCAATATGCATAAATTCCATCCGTCCTTCCCGTGTAAAAGCTGGAGTTCCGTAGGCCACATAGTAATCCTGGTTCAGTTTCGGCTCATTTATGTCATGCCTTTATGTACGTGAGCAACAGGTGCAAGGTAGATCGTTTAAATGGGACACATACACTATCCTGATATGATCCTCCACTTTCCATGAATTCATGCATTTGTAACCACCAAGACGCTCAGTAGGAAGGTCATGACAACGGACACACTTCCAAACAGTTTTTCCCACTGGTCGAATCTCATGATAGGTACGCGGAATGGTGTCACCTGAGAGGAAAATCTCAACATGTTGTGAGAATCTGCCGCGGTCCTAGAAATGGTGTTCGAATATATGTCGAGCCTGAAGGAAAGCGAGTAAGCTACTTGCTCCAGAAAATATACAAGACACTCACATATTCTCGCCAGTTGTACAATATGACCATCTCCGAATGTCTTGTAATCCGGTTGTGTTCACAGAGCAGACATTCAAATTGGGCGTCTGCGTCATCCATGTGCTGGACACTTGCAGTACTCGGTTCGAGTTCGACCAGTCGGATTATAGTCTCAACTATCATCTTGAACTGCTCATTTTGTGCAAGCGAGGTCGTATGCCAGGGAGCACGGGAGCGGTAGTGTTCATGGACAAGGCGGGAAGATTCGTCTGGAGCCGGGCAACGCTGTTTGTAGCCAAGCGATGTGCAAGCGTGAGTCAACATTTGAGGATAAAAGAGAGGCTCAAGCTTGTATCTGTCATCCTCATCCTCATGGCCTCGATGCAGCTGGGATGAAAGTGGGAAGGTACTGCAAGACTGACAAATCAGTACACTGCGTGCCAATTTTAAGTGTGTAAGGTGTTCTTCAGGGGGAATCTGCGAGTCGGGTCCAAGAATCAACTGGGACAACAAGCCGCGGACATATCCCCGCCACCGTCGGCAAAGATAGGGTATTTGAGGAACCACTGCAGAGAAGCTCTGTGTGTTTACTACCACTTCCGAAGGGAGCTCCAAAACCTCGCGCACGGGAGGGAAGTCACAGAAGTCGGCGATGGTGGGGAAGAAGCGCTTCAGAGGATAATTTGTGGACTCGTTCTTGTACTGACGGAGAACGACGACAGCGATCGATTTGCGACTGTTGATCAAAGCCTCACGCTCTCTGGCCAGGCGTCTAGTTCTCATTGACTTTGCCCAGCGAACCATCTCGCCCTTGATATTGGCCCAGGCTGCAGATTTTCGTTAATGAAGACTTCGTAGTTATACAACAAACAGCATACCGCGATCAGTCCAAGGACTATTCTTCTTCACAAGACGATGCTCCGCAAAGCAATCCGGAAACCTGACGCTTTCGAGATCTTTCTCATATCCAAGCTCTATGAGTTTATCACGGATGCTATACATTCCCATCAGAGACAGATGCTTGAAGTACAGTGGATGGGCACTGACGCTGCCTTCCTGCTCTTTTTCAATTCATCAATCTCGTCTTGTCGATCACGCACACGTTGATCGTGCCATTGTGTGCAGAGAATTGCATGCTAACTAAAGGTCAAATCATATTTGAAGGTAAGTGGAACGGATGGAGTTTACGTTCCGATGCTCGAGCAGAAATGCACACTGTTCTACTATTTCTAATTGACAAAGTTCATCATCTGAAGTCATAGTTGAGATCTTGGCCCGCATTGCGTCATATTCACTTTGCAAAGCGAAACAATCCAAATTTTTGCGACGCTGGCGTTGATACGCTGAACAATATATTAGCCACTGGCCACAAGGAAAAGATGATCGCGTACCGGTAAAATGGGTAGGGATAAGCCTGAAGATATTCTGAATCTTCAGTGCTTCTTCAGAATCCGGAGCATTATTAATAAGCTCATTTCGTCCGACCAGCCTACAAATCCAAGCGTATGAGAACCCCAAGCGCAGATGAATATGACGTGACATACCGCGTTTTAGCACAGCCAGGACATAGACGAGCCTTCAGATACATATCAGGACACCGAACGATCTTGGTGCAGTACTACAATTTAAAAAACGAATTAGACACAACACGAGGCCCGTACTACGCACGTACATGACATTCTGCCATGAAGGCAAGATTAACCCACGCAGGCTCCGACATACCAGGAAAAGGCCCTGGGAATCCTTCAAGGTTCGAGTGCGCCGATTTCCATGCGCATATAGTCGACCTGCTCATAAGCACCTTTCGAAAATCCTTGCTGAGACGCGCCAGATGTAAGAGATCCAATGGATTGAGCAAACCGAAAATCTATATACGCTCATTCTTTGTTTCATGGCGCGTGAAAGACCAGGAAACGAGACTCGCCTCAAGAAGGATATCTAAGGGTAGCTCTACGAACGCGGAAAGCTTTCCTACAGATCGCCGACCGCCTTTGACGGCCCTGCGGCGCTTGCGCGGTGGCGGCATGCACGCTGTGATGAATGATGAATGATGGAGGTAAGGAGGCAAGGAAGCGTGGGAAGCGGCAGCCTCGGCAGTGCAAAGGGTAAACGCGTGACCGTATTGACCGAACAAGCCGACGCGAAGCAGAAATTTAAAATCACTCAATCAAGGATTCAAATTGACATTTCTTCTTTCATTCACTCACTACAAGCTATTTAGTATAAGACAGAATCGAATAGTTATATACCCATCTTTAGATTCTTTTAGGCGTACGAGAGATGGCTAGGAGGAATAGGTGGGAGGGTAGCGAAAGTAGATCGATCTAAACACACAGAGGTACACACACTATTTCCAAATAAAAGATGAGGAGATATAAAAATGAAGGATAGGACGAATATCAAACTCGGCGGGGACTGCCCACCGCCTATACTATGATGGCCAGGGTATACCACCTTCAGGTATAGTTCTTAGTGGAGTTTGATTGTAATCAGCCGCTGTAGAGACCTCGTCAGATTCCTCTTCAAGAGAAGGAATGGCGCACACTTACTATTCACGTATACATTGTTTCCCCACCAATTCAGCGTCACACCTCCATTTGGAAACTAAAAAAACAGACCATCAGAACATGAAGCTCGGTCGTCAGCAGCGTGTACCCACCTGCAGAGTGAAGAAAATAAATATCAGCCCCAACACTGTTCCACAGTCCAAGGCTGCACTCGTAACGTAGTTGAACTTGCTCCACCACGCAAAGTTCCTCTTTCTGATCATATACTGGAACACGACACCAACGACGAACCAGCTCGAATAGTTTATACCAGTTGCAGGGGGGATTCCAGAGACACCGTTTAATACGATCGGCGTAGATACGTACTTTGCCCACGAATTCGGATGTCGCCGTTGCCATAACCAAAACGGCAGAGGCAGGAAAGCGCCGACGATGATCGCATATAGATGAGGATGATAGATCGAGCCAGTACCAAATTGTCGTGTAGGGCCAATAAGACCCCACACGGCTGAGGCCGTATAGAAGACCTGGTTATGCGGACAGGTAAGGTTACTCTTTTGGTGATCCGAACAAATGTCGGGGACATTGGAGAATATCCAGGTCTTTACGCCGACTTGCACGAATGCGGCCAATATTGTGCCCACCAATTGAACTGCACTTGAATGAGGATTGATTGATGACGAAGAGAAGGTGGCATACCAACAAATGTCGCTCTTGGCGGTACTTTGACATAGTGCCCCAACTTCAAGTCCTGAACAAACGATGTAGCCTCCGTTAAGGTCTGGACGGAATACGATTTGAACACCATGTTTGCGAGCGGGTTCCCTGGCACAAGTGTTCCAGGGATGATTTGAGCCAAGATATTCAGGGTGATCTATGCGTGGTCAGGAATCGATATCGATCAGATAAATGTAGGGCTTACTCCTTGACCGGTCATAGCGTAAATGAAGCCACTCGGTAGAATGTAGATAACCGGCAAAAGCAATGCCAGGAGTAACGCATAGACTGGTACGCCAGTTTTCCATACTTCGACAGCAACAATCGCGAGGCAGAAGAAAGTGACGAAAGAGATGATATACCACCAGTCTGGGACCTCGGGGTAGTTTCTCATTAATTTGGCGTGAATATCGTCCTTCTCGATCCTCATCTTTTTGATGCCGTTCAAGAGTGACTTGCCATGGTACAGGATGGTGTGTGTGATAACACATGTGGACAGCGCAAACGCGATCAGATAGCACATGGCATACGTTGCCGGAAGATAGAGAGGCGAATAGTTATAGTAGGCTTCGCTGTCGAAAGTATCGTCCTTCCGAAGGACAAGAGAGACGTTGTAGATATTTCCGAACCGGTCGTAAGGTTCGTTTGCTGAAATGGGGAAGTAGGAAAGATCCCACGACTACAGGATCATTCCGGATGTCAGGCTAAGTAAGGTTACAAAACACAAACACGACTTACGTTGGTGTAATATAGGATGGGCGTCAGAATCCAGTAAAAGACAACAAACCCAACTGCTACGTGCACTTGCGCCCACCATGGAACTATGTAGAACAGTCATCAGAATCGGTACGGGGCTGATTGAAGGAAGGGGCTTACCCATCAGCGGGCTGCCAATCCAGCTGATCTGAGTCCAATCAAATGTCAAGACACTCATGCCTAAACCACTGTACACCCCGAATAACTGGTTGACGGGAACATTGTTCGGCCAAACCCAACATAAGAAGGAGAAGATTGATACGGCAGAGAATAGAAATCCTGTGAAGGACGGGTAAGCACGACAGCCATGGGAAAAGTGAAACCGCACAGACCGGGCACGAAAGACCAGAAGAAGATACCAATCATAACCCACATGAAAAACCTGAATCGCGTCATTCCCATCGTCCTTTCAGTGATACTCGGTATAACTTCATCAGAGTCTTCTTCAGCGTGCAGCGTGTTGAGCAAAGTGCATGCTACAAGATTCTGAGGCCAGACCATAGAAGCAGGCCACACCAAAAACCGTCGACAGACGCCGGCCAAACCGAAACCAGTGAGTTGGGTGGCCAAAACGAGAACCAAACTGAACCAGTAGCCCAACGCCAAATCGTAGTATACTTCGGCAACCACGATCGCGTAAAGAGCATATGGGTTACTGACGGCGACGTTAGCCATGATAAACACGAGTACATGCTCTTTGATGTTCCATGGACCAGGATTAAGAGAGAATTCAAATGAAGGTGTAGTTGAAGAAGAGAAGGGAGCAAAGAGCGTGTGCACTATTCTCCTGGGTGATAGGATGAATGCGAGACGACTGAAGAAGGAAGCCGGATATTGAGGTGGTATAGGTGGTGCGGGTATGAGAAAAGAGGGGATATAAGGGAGCGGTATGCGGTAGACAGTAATAGGGAGTGTGAAAGCAAGGAACTTGCCAAGGGGATAGGAGAGGAGTAGAAGGGCCAGAGGAACGACAGAAGGCGCAGGAGAGCGGAAGTTGAAGAACACGTTAAGGGCGCCACTGATTAGACATAGGAAGAGCCCAACAAACCACATACGAAATGTTAGGGCGGGCATGTCCGGGTCGTCGATATTCGATACCGATGCCCGGACCTCAGGGTACGGCGAGTCCTCCTCTTCGATAGCATCGAAGTCAAAGTCCATTCTGTGTCAATGGTGAGCGCCCGCACGTCGGGAATGTAGAGAAGGAATACATACTTGATACTCGCTTCCCGGCCCCCGTCGTGATCAATATCGTCAAAATCGTCGTCAACGTAGCTCTCCCCGATACTGGGGCTCCCCCTACTCGACTTGGTATGAAGCCGCATCTCCGCCTCCGCCTCAATGTCCTTCTCGCTTCCAGCGCTTGGCAACGACACATGTACCTCCACGGACGACTGGGGCGTCTGTCGCTGGATCCTTGTCATTCGGTAGGGATCGTCATTGGATTGCGAGTCAGTTGAGGGTGGTGTCAGTGGTTGCGATAAGGGCTGATGAACGACGCGACCCGCCTGGGTCGAATCAGCTGGGAAACGGGCATATGGATCGAATATTGGCGAGGGGTATGTTGGCGCAGAGCCTGTGCGTGGAGGCTCGTCTGGATAGCCATAGGCATGTTGAGACTGCTGCTGCTGCTCTGCTGTGCTCGGGGGCAGAAATGCAAAAACATCTCCGTCGTCGCTGTCTTCGTCGTCGTCGACATCGTCGTAGTAATCGTTGTATAGCTGGGGACCGGGGCCAACACTGGTCACTGGCCTTGACGTCGTCGGGCGCGGCTGGCTGGAGGACGTGGGCAGTCTGTGCATGGCTAGGGAATAGGAAGGGCGAGCAGCTTGGGCAGCACAGAACAGCAGAGATTGATTCAATGAGCAACGCTCGCATCCAGGCACATTTACCTCTGTTTGTGCCTGTCACGTCGTCACGCCACAGGAACATTCATCCTTTTATGGTGAATTTTCTCTCGCCACATCCTTCTCGCGTTGTCACAGCCGCTCTGTAGCCTCACAAGGCCTCATTAAAGTCCTCTCGGGAAAAAAGGCGTACTTTACCCTGGCTGTCCTACCTCCATAGTGTTCCCAGGCAACACCAGCCGTGGCAGCCTTCCCGATCCTTTGACACAGGAAATGCCTCCTGAGCATCGGAATGTAGAATGTTGTAATGGCAAGATAACACGCTCTGTCGGCAGTATTATTCTTCAGTCAGACTCACACGTAACATCGGAGCTATTGTGAATACTTTTTCTCAGTAGCGGTCCCTCGGGAACGCAGCGCCTTGTCGATCTATTAAATGACTTCATTACCTATTATCTAGATAAAAGATGATATTATTGACATGGGGTTCTGCGGGATTTCCCCAACCATTCTCCATGTTTTGGGTATCCATCATCGGTGTCAAGTCGTGATCTGCGCGCTTAGAAACGTCGTGTCTAACCCGGGCTCAACGGGGAGGTGATCCCAGCTTCTACGGATCTTTTCGTCAGGGCATAGCTGTGCAGGGAATATCTACGCCACGTTTCTTTCGCCAAGTTCAGAATGAGTGCTGATCCGTCAAGTAGGCCTCCGTGAGTGGTACGATAAGACGAGGGGCTCAGTACGGGCAGTTTTGCCCTATAGTCGGCACCAATCAGATGTGTGAAGCGCTGATGAGAATAAAGGTCTTCATTAATATCGGAGAGCCATTGAGAGATTCCGGTACTTACGACTGTGCATAATGATTACCAGAGCACCTTTGCCATGGTAGGTAGATGCCACACCGAGAAGGGTATGTCATAATTGAACGAGCAGTGAGTTACCTGATTAAGGGTTTGGGGTTGATCTTGTTCTAATGAAAGGCGATCCCCATGAGGGTTTTGGGCATAGCCAGACGGTTCCAATTGTTTCAACACATAGTGTACTCAGGAAGCTGTGCGTGCAAACCTCATATGGTTCACAGAATCAAAATGAAGTTCGAAACCAAACCTCTGGAACCCTTGTGGAAACGGAGGAAAGTCGAGGGGTGTAGGCCGGAGGAGAGAAGCATAAGCGGCGAGTAGAGAAAGAGGAGAGCCGTAAGACAGAAAAACCAGCATCACACAAGCAAGAGTAAACGGGCAAATAATACCCCTGCCCGAGAACAGCGAATCATATCAACCATAGCCCAAGTAGATGGCAGAGGAACAAGGCACCGTATCTTGGGAGAGGCAGCGACGTGTGTTTAACGTTCAGCTTGGTGCGTAATTGTCTGCATAACACTTGTAAATGACTGTCAGTACGCATCACTGACTAACACAAAAAGTACGCACTCGCCAATTCTGTGGCCATCTCTACAACAATTTTCCAAGACCACAACGGGATGTCCTTGACGCCGGCCCTGCGTCGGTGAGGATGGTCGGATGACTTACATACTCGACGGAGAGAAAAATTGTCCCATGCAGGGTCAGCAAGCGGAGTTGGTCAACAACTTTGGTGACCCTTGCAGACATATCCCTTGAAATTGATTGATAGCTACTTGCCGCCGAGGAGAGGACATTTTTGTTGACGCAGTTCCTGTACCTGGCGCCTCCTCTCTGTGCTGTCGGCTGCGCACGAAAACACCGACGAAAGTCCTCACAGCCTGAAGACATATTCGCCTGAACCTATCTGATTGGCGTGACTAGACGAGTCGTATGCCGTATGTTCATGGGCCCCGCCTAGACCTTCCAGGGCAGATCCTTCGACCGAACGCTTGGAGCACTGAACAAATATCACAATCAGCCAATACTCGACCAAAGTATCAATGACCTACCTTCTGATGCTCTGATGCGCAGCAGAAATGCTGAGTAGTTGAGCTTACTAGATATCAGCTTCTATCAGCCGCACGACTCCGAAGATAGTTTTCTGTCCTCTTCTTTACAATCATAAGATGTACCTGTTGCCATGAGAACCAGAGTATAAGCCCTTCAGCAATTCTCAAAGCGTAGATGCGGACTTACGCCGACGAAAAGTAACATTGATCGGTGGGTAGTACGAACAGGCTCACCTTAACACCACCCGTTCCGTCCTACGAGCAGCGATCGATCGCAGTAGAGTTCCATGAAAGTAAAGTAACATAAGAAGAAAAGCTCTCGGCTAGAGCAGAAAATAAAGAAGGACTCGTCAATCAGTGACTATTTAGAAGTTGTGGCAATTCGAGAGCTTCTCACCAATACCGTGTCAAGCAGTGCTTGCCCATCCAAGGTGGAGAGGCAAGCAATACTATAAGAGAACTGATTTTAGGATACAGTAGTGGTAAGTCGAACACTAGAAACCAAGAATCAGACAGATGCATGCATTCTCACGTGATCACGTCGCGTCGCGCACCCCGCGAACGGCATAGAGCTATTATAAGCGACTAGAGCCGTGTCTGAAGAAACTCTTATGGAAAACGGCTGAAACGTTTGATGTCTCCGTATCCATAGATACTCTGTATGTAAGAATGGCTGCGCTATGTTTAGATGGAGCTACATAGACGATACCAATAACATACGTACTTGGGAAAATCCGGGATTTACAGGCGAGAGATCAAAAGTGCCAAATCAAGCATAGAAAGAGTCTGTGAAGTGGCCTCTAAAGGCGCTCTACTCCAAATTAGTAACGGAGTACTTGGCTGCAAGATCCGGAGAACAGATCAACTTGTACGAAAAACTTGCTTCCTCTCGGAGTTGGAGCTATATCATACTGGGGCATAACGAACTCGAAGATATGGATCCATATCATCGCCTTCCCTGCAGCTGGAAGGTCACTAATAGTACTGGGTGTCTGGCTGGATAGAGATGAATATATGATGTTGTGAAATGGTATGACAGACCTATGGTTTTGGATAAATTCCAAGACTACTGTGAAGCATCGAAGCAGAAAAACGAACGCAGACAGTCATCAATGCACCGCTTGAAGCGTTATCTGGCAGTGTTCCTCCTTGCTTAGTCAGCCATGGGAAGCTCGGACCGGACACTGAAACTCCCGCGATCTTTGTTTTTCTTCCCTCTCGACCGCAACATGCACATAGTCTCTGCCAAAACATGGCGGCGGGACTGGTGCTCAGGCCCCCTTCTTCCTGTTGTACTCAGTCCCTCCATTTTAACATCTGGTTTCTTCGGGTTCGTGGATTGTAGCCTTACTCCGACGATCGTGTCTTCAAAGCGTCTTCAGCTTGAGCTCCGTTATGGTCTCGTAAGGCGAACACGACATATTGGCGTAACACTCTTGTTCTGACTCCTGTATCGCAAAATCATCGGAAATTCACGGACTCGTTCGAAAACCTTCCTGACGACGCCCAGTACCAAACCTGTATTAAAGCTGTTTGCTGTTAAATCCTTATATTCTTTCTTGCGGCCGCCTTTTATACTTGGAAAAAAGTCTTCACTTCGTGGCGGTGGCGGTCTTGTACCACGAACTCACTTCGAACATTCGGGGCAGACGACGGGTATATTCATTCGTGTTTCATCCGTCTTTTACGTCTTCAGGCATGGGGTATGAATGAGTAGATTCCAGAACCTAAAGCGATGAGGGACAACCCTCGATTATTCGTGGCTCCTCCGCTTGTTTTCCCGGCGGCGACAACCACAAGACAATTGGAGTTGTTGGGTATCAGATGCGGTGACCGCCCATTCCGTCGTGGCATAAGCTCATCTGGTACACCGTTCAAGTTAGCTTATCTTTCCGTCTGGTCTCGCAATTTCGATTGGCTACTATGGTATACCGGATTTCTGCTGGCCTAGCCACTTAGTCACAGTCATATCCTCGTATGTACGATCGCTTTCCTGAATTTATCACCCACTATCGGCGGATCCCCAACGAGTCACTGTATCAGCTAATGCGTTTATTTATGATTATAATGGACAGAGGCGGTCAGTGTTTTATTGAGTCCTACAGAGGTGGCCTCAACCTGAGACGGTGACCTCGCCAGTACTCTGCCGTGAGTCGGAGTTGTCAGGCTTCCTAATGTTGCTACAGCATTTCTCCCCTTCTGTAAGCGAATTTGTGTCCATGACTCGAGCTTGTTATGGTGATCACACTTCTTTGCTTATCTTCACAATCGAGCTCTAGAGCGAAGCCTGTAATCACCAAGTACTATCTATAAACACATTCCACGAGTCCTCAGCGGGTGGCATCGAAGGAACAGCTATTCTGGGTGTGGCCGTCACCTGCTTTCTGCCGTTCGTGATATCGAAGGTAAGTATAAGCTCTTCTCTTGTTTCCCGCCACTGACGGATCACGCAGGCTTCATTCGCAGTGGCTTAGATGACTCTTTGGGCGTATCGTACTATGATGCCGCTCCGTCTATCGTCATTGGTATTCATGGAGAAACCAGCTACAGCAATTAGAACTGCGGACCAGGACAGCTCTAGTCGCAAACGGGTGCCGCAGTGCGGTACGAACGTGGCCTACACACCGTGAAATTCTTTCCCTTACTCCCCTTTTTCTTGCTCCACCTATTCCTGTGGCGAAGTAGCATTGTATGCCGACGGCGCCAAAGCTTTGTGGAGACACCCTCAAATAGGGTGATGGCATACCAAGCTCGCGCCACCTTCTTGTTTGTGTTCCCTTCCATCTTCTGCTGTAATCGGGAAGAGTGTGTGATTTTGTGTGTGCACTCATCTTTGTAGTAACCGGTACTCAGTGCTCACTATATACAAATATATCAAAAATAACCTCCACTACACTGGGATTCAGTATGAAGCGTGTCAAATACAAGTTTTTTGTTTTCCCGGACGTGCTGTCTGGATATGGGAGATGCTTATTGAAATGACTGTATTGGGATGTGGCTCCTTAGAAATGGGCCGGAAAAACTCCCTTTGACTGAGGGATAAGTTGGAGCTTTCACAGCACCCAGTAGGTTTGATGATGCAAAATAAGGCTTCGTACTGCGAAGAACCTGGTAATTTACCACATCCTGTTGGATGGCGGTCACAGTGGATCACCAAGATGACAGTATCTGCGGCGGAACTGTATATGACCAGCAAGTCTATTAGTAAATGGTTGAAATAAAATCATCATGGCTACGTATAATGTTGAACAAAACCTTGAAGGTCTTCGGAGCACCAAAACGCGCGACAATTTGGCGAAATGGAAATCTTCTTCAAGGAGTCGCGTCGGTCATGTGAGTAGCACGTGATCGATATTTCAGCTTCTTATTTAATATTTTATTTGTAACAAGTACCAAAGTACCGTAAAATACTGACTACGCTGCCTAGCGAGGGAATAAAAACGATTTTGTAACAACTTCCGGGCTTCCCCAGTCTCCTTGAGTTCCTTATAAGGCAAGGGGGCAAAAGATTACACAATCGCGTGACCCCTAAGCGAGTTGAACGCTTGGCCTTGTGGACACCTGAAAACTGGAATCACACGCTCTACCACTGAGCTAAGGGGTCATCTGAAATGATGACTATTTAGTCATTCTTCTACTGTTTGGGACTTTTATGGGTATGTACTATTTCAATTAATTCCAGCGCAATCCAATCCAAGAAATCGGAATAATTGAGAAAATTTTTTTTTCCATTCTCATATTCTTTGTCGTGATGTGTGACATTCGAGTTGATGATGGAATACACATGTGAATAACAACGATAATGAGCTGGTTCATGCCTTATACAGCTTCCTAGATAACATGAGAATGCTTGTATTAAGTACTCTTCCCCCTCATGAACGCTCCCAGTGGACACTCAATGATCATGTCAGAACCTTGCAACTTGAGACTCTAGGTGCACCTGCTGTACTACATTTGGGGCCATTATTCTTGTCGAAAGCATGTCCCAACTGGGGCTACCTTCCGCCCATGTTGTTTGCGATGCACCACACTGCGTACGATCCTTGCCTTTTAAGTTTGGAATCAGCAGAGCTTCATAACATTTTAAACCAGGAGCTAACACTTGAGTAGCCATGAGACTCGAAAGGATCAACACCACCACCACGTTCAGTGCAATATCAATGGGATGGTGAAACTTGGCGAGTTTGACAGCCCACCACACCAGCAGATAAATAGCGAATCCAAATTTGAAAATGCTTCAAGGGCACCGAGTCAGACACCACCAAGAATGAGATATAAAGAAACGTACAAAGATTGTATAGCAGCAAATCTCAACACAGATTGAACAGTTTCCTTTGCGTACCGTAGACGGTACAGTACGAGTCCGATAAAAATTGACTGTTCCGTTGTTGCCTGAAACAACCAAATTAGCCCCGCTGATGCAATTGCTGGATCAAGGGCCATCTGAAGAGCGATCTGAATGAAGATGATGGCGAAAAGAGTCTAAAAGCCTTGAGGTTACAATTTCGTAGTTCGAAAGCAGCTATCTAAAGACTTACACAAAGGTGGTGAACAAGCAATGTCCACCGCATGTTCGATCGATACACCAGTTCGTAAAGATCTTATTTCATACCTCAGCATACGGAGTTCTATGAAACCATAGACTCTCACACAGGCCGGAGACAATAAGCCCTGCAACACGCATTTCACCAAAGTGGTTCCACGTATAGAGGCCGCCCAAGCTTGGGGATGCAACAAGCTGCAAGATGAGCGCAGCCATAGTTCAGATAGTGCTGAGAATGTCTGAAGGCCCCATCAAGACATCGGCTAGATATAACAGTAGGAACACGCACAAGCCACAACATTACGCTTATGTGCAAACGAGAGTTCTCGATATTCCATGGAAAACCGAGCAAGAAGAAATTCGACGCCCTTGCCGTTCATGTAGAGAAGGAGGATGTAGAGGAAAGTCGGGATAGAATACTATTACACGCAAAGCATAAGAACACAATAGGAGATGAGAATACACGCACGAATGCAACAGTATATTAGCTGCATGTTGAATTTCATAAGTTCGGTCAGCGTATTGTCTGAAAGTCCCGCCGTCCGACCTCCTGACGTAAGATTGGCTGCAATAAGGCTCGCTGAAAACGGATAGCTGATGGCCGTCTCAATATAGTCTCTATTGACTTCATTCAATGGCAGCATCATCAGCATAAAAATGAGGATAAAAACCACGCACATACCACAATTCTCACCTCCAGTAATGCCAAGACTGGAGCAATGAGCATCGGGTCGAATTTGGGCCATATCCTTGAAGATGTATCTTAAACTAGTGTGACGATAGTAGCGATACATCGGAGATCAAGATAGATCACCGGCAAACAGATTGGTCGAGATTGTCTATTGTTACATTCTTCCCGAGGGATTCGAAGCATGAATTATACCTGCAATAAAGAGATCATTGTAAGCCTTGAATAGGAGTTTGCGAAGCATACTTACGAGTCGTACTGTTGATTAGCACCCGTACAGTACTCCGTGACTGCGGTGCACACATCTACCGCCATTTTCGCGCTCACCGCGTCAGTTGAATTCCCTACGATTATTTCAGTGCTGATCTGTTCAGACAGCACAGAAGATAGGAACGAAAAAGCCTTTCCAAGGTTCCGAACTGCCAAGTCGTACTCGGAAATCTTCAAGTCATCGTCAAAGTAGATCCAAAAATCAACTTGTAGCGGTGTCGTGGGTGACGAAGTCCCGTGATTCATCCGAAATACGGTGCTGGCAGACACGACGGATTTCTGTATTGATAGAGACTCAACGATGATGTTTGTTGGGTAGCCAACGATTTGTGTGGTATTCACCTGAGCCACTTTGCTTGACACCCCATACAAGAACTCTGGAGTTCATAGTTAACACTTTAAGGAGCGGATCTCATGAGTACATACCGATATTGTTCTCAATGCCGCGCAGCGCTTTAAACCAAGACTAAGTGAGAGCTACTGATAGATAAGACGGGGTCCTCTTACTCATGAAACTAGTACGCCCAACGCAGTCTGTTGCCAGAGCTGAACTACTACCCGAGGCCATCACTGACGATGGTTGAAGTAGTCTATGAAAGGCCTCAGTCAAGGATCACCTTTGCTGCCCAGGAACGACGTACCCCCCAATAAATTCTTCAAATGCATCAAAGAGTTCAGCAGATTGATGCGCGTGAGTACAAACCAATAGAGCGGTGAAGAGCAAAATATTCAGGATGGACATTATGAGAGACGGGTTGGAAATACGGAGTGCAGATTAGAGGGAAAGGGCACAGAGAAGATACTGAAAACCTACATTGCGCGCATCGATATTTGTAGGAGAGCCTGGCGTCGTAGCCTCAGTGGATAAATCACCTGCAACGTGAAACGGATAGCTGCATTACATTCCGCCTGTTCGGTGGATTATGTGTCTGCGTGGATGGAGATAATAACGTCAGTATGAGGGGAGCATCGTAGGCGAAGTCTGCACTCAGCAAAAGTAGGTCTTCTGGATTTGATGGCATGTCCACCTAGGCTGGCGTCACCCAGGAAGCACAGAGCAGGAAATGGCAACCTTGCGAATTTGGGTCCGGCCGAATCCCGATTCGCTTTTGTGATGGAGTACGCGCCACCTCGCGCCGCGCTAATAGACATCCTAAGTTCACCGTGTACTCCACAGGCTATGCTTGTTTGCTGGTTATCAACTGTAGTCCTATTCAAATGTTTGGTTTACGTGAATTGTCGTCAATGCAGACATTGCGAAATAAGACGCACAGAGAGTATACTGTTAACTCAACATCGATTTTTTTGGCAGTGTCCCACTTCCTGTTTTTAGTGATTCCTTCTCTAAGACGCCTAAAAAAGTTAAGGAGGAACGCTGCTGCGTTCTATATACCAAACAATTCATATCCTGCTGAATAGTCTCTACTTAGTGAATGACACGGCTTTCAAGTTGAAATACACGACCATTGATCATCTTTACCTAATGCAGCATCAACAAGACCGTGTCGAAGCCGGCTCTAAAGGCCGAGTTTTCAGTATCTGGTTGAATCAATAGTCCCTCATCAATTAAATGGGCCATCCATACGCAGGTTTCGATGTACCGACTACTAGTCGATTCTTGATTGACAGATAGTATCATTGAATGGACTGGTAGATAAAGCATTCGAATGCTTCGCGGATCCTCTGTCTTAGCTGATGGAAAACTTCAATCAGCAGTAAAGGTGGTTTCGGAGACCTGTCGACCGAATATCCCGCGTTCACGATCGACAGTATCCTTGCTCCGGTAGGAATGATCCATCATCACCGGAAGCATGGAGCGCTCAGGCTGTCCATGAATATTCCTTGTAATACATCACACCGCATGTGATCCTTGTCTAAAGGAGAAAAGATATCAATGTGGTTACCACGCAAATTGAGTTCGGTACGTGCATTTGAGTAGCCATGAGGACTGAATAAGCAAAACTAGCATGACGCTGAGGGCGACGTCGACTGGAAGGTGGAATTTAGAAAGCTTGATGCCCCACCAAATAAGTAAGTAGATTGCTGACGCGATCTTACAAATGCTGCGATGCTTCTTTAGTCCAAAACGTTGCTCCAGAATGGCGTTCACTTACAATGACTGTACTGCAGCAGACCTCAAGACTGGCGCCACAACATGAATGGAAAATCGTAGACGGTAAAGTACGAGACCGATGAACACAGATTGCTCAGTTGTAGCTTGGAACAGCCAGATGAGCCCGGCAGATGCTATAGCCGGGTGAAGCGCTATCTGAAGTGCTATCTGGATGAATATGGTTGCAAACAAAGTCTAGTGATCCAAGATGAACTTCTGCAGGAATTTCGAAAGGAAGCAGAAGCTTACACAAAAATGATGAACAAGCAAAGGCCATCGCATGCTTGTACGAAAAATTAGTTCGTAGATGTCTGCCCGCATAAATTATAAGATCAATATTAATCCGAAGTACACGAGACTTACACAAGCCAGATATGATGACAGCAGCCATACGAGCCTCGCCGATGCGATCCCAAGTGTAGTGTTCACCTAGCATGGGCGATGCGACGCTCTGCAAGATAAATGCGACCGTCGTCCAAAAGGCGTTAAGACAGTCTGACCAAAGATAAGAGGATTAGGGCAGGAGGTGTGCATAGTTTATTACCCACATGTAGCGACATTCCGTCTATTGGCGAACGACAGGTTGGGGTATTCCTTTGAAAAGCGAACAAGAAGGAAATCCACTCCCTTTCCATTGACATACAATAAGGGCATGTAAAGGAACACCGGAATTGAATACTGAGACCGCAGAATACGGGGTAAGGCATGTTGTGAGTGAAGCCGGAAGAAACACGCACAAATGCGACGGTGGTAGGATATATGACTTGCATGTTAAATTTCATGAGCTCAATTACGGTGCCATCGGACAGTCCTTCCGCCCCACTGTTGGTTTCATTCACATAATAACCGTTGGCTAGATCCAAATTATCAGTGAATGTCGTCCGCAATAACAGCGAAGGCCAACTTACCACACGTATCTCCTCCAGAAGGACCAAGGCTAGAACAGTGGACACTGGGCCGAGCTTGTACCATATCCTTGACAAAGTATCTAACGTTGTTTCAGCGACAGCCTTCCTTTAGTCGAAATGCTTACTGACCGACAAAAGGATTGATCGAGATTGTCCATAGTTACGTTTCGTGAAAGTGTCTCGAAGCAGGAACCATACCTAGGATCAAGAGCCGTGAGCTGATATCAAGAAAACTATCAAAGATGCTTACGAGTCGTACTGTTGGTTCCCACCAGTACAGTACTCAGTGGCGGCCGTGCAGGTGTCCGCAGCCATTCTCGAGCTCACCGCGTTGGTTGAATTACCGACAGACATCTCACGAGAGATCTGCTCAGACAAAACAGATGCCAGAAACGAAAATGCCTTGGGGAAGTTCCGGATTGTCAGATCATAGGCCGATATCTGCAAGTCTTTGTCAAAGTAGAGCCATAGGTCGACCTGTAGCGGTGTCATAAGCGACATTGCTGCATGATACATCGAGAAGATGACGCTGGCTGATACAACAGAGTGCTGTATTGATAAGGACTCAACGGTGGCGTTGGTGGGATAGCCTATTATCTGGGTTGTATTTCCTTGCATGACTTTCACAGGTATGCCATAGAGAAATTCTGCAAGAAAATGTATGTCTTAAAAGGATGTATTTGATTGTAAAATGGTGCCTACCGGTATTGCTCTCGATGCCGTTCAACGCTATAAAGCGTATCAGATTAGAGAACATACCAGTGGCCATATAGACACATACTCATCATCATATTGACTCGGCCAACAACGTCTGGCGACAGCGCCGAGCTGTTTCCTGGAACAGCTACGGACCAAGGCTGCAGCAGCCTGTATATTGCCTCAGATTACTGAGGTTCTCGGTATACATGAGGCCACGTACCCGGTAATAAATTCCTCAAAGGCATCGAATAACTCCGCAGGTTGATGGGCATTTACGCATAGAACTATGGTAGTCAATACAAGAACGTATTGGATAAGCATGTGTGGAATGGGTGCGAAGAGAGGAAGACAAGATATTTTCTGAGGGAAATGGCGCCCAGCGCGTAGCATATTAAAGTCTCCGAAGGCTTTCTTGAGCACTGGCGCGCTGAAGAAACGAGTAGCAATCAAATTATAAAACGGACCGGCCTATAAAACATAAGGCTGAGACGATCCATTTATGTTGCATGTAACCTAGCTTCGCAGTTTCCGGCGACAGTCATCAAAGTCGATCAGTGAGGCAACAGAAATCCCTGCAGCGTACATACCTAACCACAATCACATCGTGTTTGATAGTCTTCCCATTTTCGTCCGAGGGAAGTCAACGAAAATCTGAAGCATCAAATGATACGGATAAAAAGTTCTGATATTATTTGATGAGCCGGCGAGAACTTTGCATACCTTGGTTGGCTGTCATAGAAAGACCACCGACGAAACACACAGCAACGTACTATGTCCTATTGTTGACAGGTACAGTCGGAGGAATGAACTGGACTGAATACTGAACTTGTTCCAGACATCCGTTAACGCCAGCCAGAAACCCGGCGGGCGCAAATTTAATAGGACGAAGAGCGCCGCTGGTATTGATCTACTTTAGAGATCTTCCGTCCAACATAGAAAAACAAGGAACCTACATTTACGAAGCACTTGTTGAGATTCTCCAAGTCATTCATGAGAGCCCTAGGGCGTTTCACGCAGTGCCAACAATTGAGACGCCAGGTTATATACAGTTATTCGTTTCTCCGGTAATTTATTCAGTGCGGTACAGTCTTTGCCAAGTGACATGTGATTAGTATCAAATCTCAAGATGAAAGGGCGCTCTGGAAGCACGACTTGTTAGCGCTATTTTGAAACGGCCAAACAGTTCACCGACATAGCATACCTTCAGTAGTACGGCCGCTCTATGTGATCCACAAACCTGCCAAATTGAGAAATGGCGCGTGCAACTTTCCCCCGGAAAAACTCACAGAAGTAGTGGAGTAACTGCTCGTTGATCGTGGACGGGTAATCGTGGGAAAATATGACGCGAGTCGCGAAGGGTAGCACGCGTGACCTGCCATTTTCTCGATTTCTACCCTCATCCGCCTATTGCAAGGCCAGTGTTCTACCTTGGTATCTCAAGGGCTGTTAAGCAATAGCAGCCATAGGTATCACTCCAGGAAATGAAATACTTGAGAATTACTCATATTTGTTCAGATATGCCTCTAGAAGGACCTATGCAACGGTATACATGGTCGTCTTGCTCAGGCTGCGCGTGTCCCAACCATCACATTCCCACCCACGTATCCGAGGACGGAAGTGCACCTGATTCCATACCTGATTTCTCCCATCTCGAACGCTCGAACGATCCTCCTCTTCCTGGCGAAGCAGAGACCCTAGAATCTATGATATTCGACTGGGAAGAATCCGCCGCCGCCATCAGCAAAGAAATCGAGGAAATGCGTGCACTGAGGAAGGAACTGCTCAAAGGTGTGGACCATTTAGAGAAGCGGACCTCTACGCTTTGTCAAAATCGCCTGGTCTTCAACGAACGTATTCGAGATAGGAAGACTTTGCTTAGCCCTGTACGACGCCTTCCAGCAGACGTCTTGCTGCATATCTTTCACGAGACGATCGAGTTTCCCAGGGAGTGTGTCAATGCGCCTGGCACCTGGAAGCGCTTTGGTCTCGAGCGTCCATCTGACACCGATTCACCCTGGTCTATTGTCTCCGTCTCAAGACGCTGGCGAGAGGTTGCACTCTCGTTCCCAGAGCTCTGGACTTTCATCAATATCGCTCTCAGTGAGGAACTCTTTGAAGAAGGCGATTATGGGTACCTACGCTTCATCAGTCTCCACCTGTCCCGCTCCGGGTCTCGTCCACTATCAGTTGCCATTTATGAGGATGGCTGTTCGTCTTTTGACGAATTACCTCCAAGCTTGCTCGGATCTCTGTTTTCGTTTGCTCACCGCATCCATCATCTCTATCTTCATCTCGTGACATGCACATTTGCTTCATTGTCTCCTCTGCGTACTTCTTTTAGCCAATTGAAAACACTTTTCATCGCGCCCGTGGATGAAGAATATGAAGATTGCGAAGAACTCGAGGTATTCGATTTAGCTCGGGAGCTACATACTGTCACAACCATCAATGCCGACCTCTCGTTCTCATTCGTTCTTTCATGGAGAAGCATCATTCGTTACGAATGTGATTACGATCCCACGGAGCCATCCGGCCACACGACCCCCGATTTTTTTCTTCAGCTTCTAGAGGATATGGAAAACCTCACAAGTTGCTTTTGGAGATCCGGATTACGGACATACGGAGATGGATTGGACCATATAGAAGAGCCGATTGCTTGTCAGAAGCTTCAATCACTGGAGATAGCTTCCGGTCACCTCGCTGATCCAGAAGCGATACGTCAAGTCATTGATCACCTGCATCTGCCTTCTCTCTCGTCCTTACGAGTCGCGTGCTCAGACAAGGCCTACGAGAGTGAAATTCCATTCGGTTCTATAACCAGGCTCATTGGACGTTCTTGGTGCAGGCTCACAACGCTTGCTTTCTCTCAGGGCGCAGTGCCTTCCGACCAACTACTCTACATATTTGATCAAACGCCAACGCTGGAAGAGGTGGAGCTCGTCGACGTAGGGCCCGAAGCGATCACGGACGAACTGTTAGCCGCGCTCGTGTACCAGTGAAAATGCTGATAAACATTTACTTCCGCGACTTCGCTCTCTGTACCTCCGTGGATACTTCACTTTTTCCATGGCCATGTACGCTTCTATGGTCGAATCTCGATGGAAGAGCACGTCCCAGTTTTCGCAGGTCGTCAAGTTAAAGTCTGTCACGCTACGGAAGGACGTAAACGTCCGGCTCGTTGAAAAGGAGCGGGCTATCTGCTTGGCTGTTCTTACTCCGTTGCGCACAGAAGGACTTGAGCTGAACGTGAAACTACAACCGGTCTTTGGGCCCGAGGACGAGCACGGAGGCGAAGATGATGAGGAGGACGAGGAGGACGAAGATGACAATACCGATAATTCGAGGGACGGATGAACTTCCTTCAGGTCAGTTCCTTCGCTTTGCCCTTAGAAAGATTAACTTTTTACGTTAGCATAATCTCTGTTTAGTTGCTCATTATAGCTAACCATCCACAAGTTTCTACATGCTTTTCTCATTCTTGCTCTGCTTTCTCATCGTTACCATGCTTATCATCGAATACGATATCAAAGGACGGAAATTACGACGTGTCTCCAGTTTTATTTGTGCTTACTGCCGCATATATACCTTCAAGGAAACTTACAAAGGCAAGCTAATCTTAATACGACCAGACGGTAGGAGGGAGAAAATGTATATACAGGCTGCCTATCTTTCTCCTCGAAGTCATCGCAATGGATAATTTCTGAGAGATGCAAGAATTTTTTTTGGCGCCCTTTGAGGATCGAACGAAGTCAGTCAAGATTCCAAGAATTTCCAGTGGAACCGTAAGTTTTCTTCCTTCAACCACCACCATCACCGAGACGGCTTCGCTGTTGACAGCGCCCATGCTCAACGTTGCAATCTTCATCGAGAATACGCTTTTTTGTTCTGTTCGTCTGGTCCCACGGCGACGAGAAACTCGATATGTCACGCCCATGAAACTGGTCGTGGTCGCTCATTCGCCTCGGGCACGTTCAGAATACTGTCGATGAAGATATATCAACCTCGAGGGCCAGTGATAAGTATCTCGGTACCTTGGAAAAAGGGTCGATGACTCAATAATCCCGCTATCATGGCCAAAGTATCGAAATCGCGCGACCGAATGACTCACCACCACTGCTGCCTTATAGTTGTGTCCACCATCGTTATCCAGGGATTATTGTTGGCCATCCTGCAAAAGATAACGGCAGCTGTGAGTGTGAACCAACTCCCAGTCCACCCCGATGCTAAACGAATATCTTAAGAGCAACATACTTCCGTCATTATCAGCAACTTGATATCGAAAACTTGGCTGAGAAGATAGGTCGACCCGCAGTTGGGCGTAGCGCCGCGCAGCAATGCCATGTGGATATCCGGAGTCGACTGAATAATAAAGGTTCACCACATGATAGATCAGGGACAAGGCCCAGTATAAATACCTCGGTAAGCCATTCTGCCCGCTCTGACAGAGATCTTCCTGCCCTTCGACCATGATAATCGCAGATGATACCCCAGAATCTCCTGCAAAGACGGCACCTACAAACCTACCACTGCAATACTCGACGCCCCCACCAGCTTATGGATCGGCTAGCTTGAATGTTCCGAGACGCGTCTCTCCAGTACCCCCGGGACCTATGTATAACCCGTTGCCACTAGAACCTCCCTGCCGAAGGTCGCCGACGAAACGCTTCTTAAAGGCTTTCTGCGTGGCCATCTTGATCTGGTTTCTAGCTGCGATGTTTATGTCGAGCATCATGAACGCAGGCGGTTCTTACCGCGGGGGAGGGGTAAGCGCCATTTCCATATGCTTGCGCCAAGACTCTGATCAGACTCTGATCAATAGTATCTGCAGGACGTTCCTGATTCTGACTTTCCCATTCCCAATGGCTACACCGTTCGTGAGTGTATTCGAGGAGAAGATTGGACGTCGGCGGGATCGGGAGGAGGTTTCCCTGGTCAACAATATTCTGCGCACACATCTTTCGACCTGCCTTTGAAATCGGAGACGCTCTTTTTGCTTTCCCAGGGCTCGTTGTCCTCTGGTGTCGTTAAGGTCGTGACCTCTCCGGCGCTTACAGACGTTGTAAGGGTGGATGTTGCGATCCAGTACTACAAGAGGAGGGTTTTGGACTATGCCAGGGTCTGTCTCTTGGCGCGCCAGGAGGGAGAAAATGGCGTGGGCGTATTCGTATGTGTTACCTTTCTTTCTTCCTGCTTTTCGTGCTGAGCCCAGCCCTAGACTCCGAGGTGGTTCAATAATCCCTCTTATCAAGATCGTCCGTACTTTGACATCACCGTTACTATCCCGGAGCCATCGAGCACCTCTGCATGCAATATCAAGAACTTTGAAACCGACGTCCAGAATTTCGCTCAACTATTCCAAGATCTCGAGAATCGAGTTCATTTTAGCCAGATATCCTTGAGGGGATCCAATGGGCCGATCCAGGCAGAGGTAAGCGTGATATCATGCTGTATCGGAGCACAATCTGATGGCGCCTCAGTCATTGCAGTTTGATTATGGCAAAATCGTGACATCCAATGCTCCAATTCAGATCAATGTGAGCGCGACTCTTGGCTGTGTCTGCCCCTTCCGCTTATCCCATCATTAGTCCCTCGATGCTATAGGCGCTGATGTGCGCACGACCAACAGCCCCATTAAAGGAATCTTTGTCGCTTCCGGTAGTCTCGTCCTGAAGACATCGAATGCACCCATACGCGTCGATGTAGACTTGGGGGATATGGACACAACAAAGTCGACCTTGGAGCTTACCACGAGCAACAAGTAAAGTCGCATATAATTTTTCTTTGCACTAGAACTCATTACACCACATCTGTAGTATCATCGAAGCTGGTATCAAGCTATTCAGCCCATCCAGTGACGTCTCTGCGCACACTTCCAACGGACCTCTTGAGATCAAGGTCCTCCAGTCTCCAGTAGACTCAAAAGTAAAATTGGATGCGCGCACCTCGAATGCTTTTGCTGAGGTATGGCTGCCCCCGACGTATGAAGGCGCGTATTCGCTCTCGACGTCGCATATGCAGCCGTCGTTGCTCGTGGAGGAGATGTCGGATCCGGCGGGGAGAGGTAGACGCAGGACTGTGAGGCAGAACACGGTGAGAAGGGGGGAGACTGTTGGAGAAGTGTATTGGGATGAGCGAAACAGGGGACGGGGGACGGCGTCGGTGCGGTCGTCGAACGGGCCTGTTTCGTTGAAGCTTTGAGTGTACGGTCTGTGAAGATTTCTAATTCCTTGTTGTACAAAATGCATATGTATTGTAGGTTTAGATACCTTGTAGTTCTAGTGCAAATTCTTTCTTCCAAGTTCTATTGCTGTCGCGAACTGGGTAAGCGCCTGCAAAGTCTGTTTAGCCTCAATGCTGGTAGGCAATTCCAGACCAGTAACACAATAATCGTCGGTTGACAATGCTACAAACTGGGGGAAATGGTTCAATTATCGTTGGATAACATGATCCAAACTTTTACCCTAATTTCTGTGTATGAAACGACCAAACTTTGTCGGAGCCTAGAGGGACTCAGATATACATCTGAGCTGCTATAAATTGTAAAAATAAGTTGTGGATTAGTATCGAGAATCGCTCTGTGAAGAAGCCAGGAGTAAGTACCTCTATGGTAGGTGTTTAGGATAAGTAGTGGTGCCGACCCGGAATCAACTTCGGCATCACGACAAAATATGCCGAATCACGGCACCACTAGTATTCAAGCAGTGCCGAAGTATTGACTTTGCCGAAGTTGCTCGGCGGCAGGGACAGGAACCAGTTCGGCTTCAAGCCGAGTCGAAACAGTGCCAGATGAGGGATTCTTGAGGGTCTTTTAACAGCCGGATGATTTTGAAAGCCTACGCATTTTGTCGGAGTTATAAGCCAGAGAAATTTTTATCCAATTGTTTCCCTTTCACCTGCGAGTATTACTAGTCGATTGTTTGACTGTCATACCTTAGTGTGGGTTTTGCCTTGTGTGTTGCAATTTTCACCCTCTATGCCCCGACGGTCCGTTGATTCATTCGCTCATTCATTTGCTCATCTTGACTCTCCTTGACGTCGTCAGGTTCTAGAGTCTCGGAGTCTAGACCTGTCTAGGCTCAGTGCCGGAAGCGCCCGATGCTTGTCGTTTAATTTCCGCCCGTCGAAAAGTTTCTTGACAAGTTCTGTATTGAGGGTCCTTTCCGTCAATGACTGTAGGTTATCTTTTATTGCCAGGCCTGGCTACCTCGTACGTGCACCACATGCGCCTTCGCTGAAAACTGTTTGTCGCGGGGGATTAAGAGTGGCTCGGAAAAATACTATCTATTCCTGCTTTCAGATGCTCTAGAATTTGTGCTCGTTGAAACGACTATCTGGCTGCTTTTCTTTGGTACGAGTCGTTCTGACTTCTGTTTCATCGGTCGAGCATTTCATTGCCAACTGCAGTGTCTCGCTCAATAGTGGATTACTGCCTCAAAATCCGACTCCCGGTGCAGGTTGCATAGGCCGTTGTCTGACTTGCACAGGCATGTCAGTGACAAGCTGTGCAGTTTCGCGACTCGAGTGATCGAGCGACAATGGAACATATCCGTGACGTCACTTGGCCACTCCGTTACGGTATTTATACTGCATCCATTCTGCATCCCCCATTCCTCTGCTTTTTGATGTCTCAATACGTCTCTTGTTCTCTTCTCTACAACTTTGAATAGTTTCACCAGAACTAATACCGATTGTTCACTTTCCCGTACGTTCCGTGCTGCTCTTGTTCCAGTGAAGCTTACAATACCATCGTTTAACAGGCTCTCGCGATTTGGGTGCAGAGATGATCCGCTTCGACAGCATCCCGTTCGAAATCCAGCAGGCCATGTGCACTCCAATGCACAGGATTCTTGCCCCCACCCCGCTACCTAATGATCCTTCCAAGATCACCGGTTCGCTATACCTGGGTTCTTTAGCCGCCGTGTGCGAGAAAGACCTCCTTCGAGACCACCACATCACCCATCTCGTTCAAGTTCTAGACGTACCCTGGTTCCCAATCTCCGAGAAGGATGGGTTCAGCTGCTATCGCATTGATATCCTAGACCAGGCATCCTCAGACCTCAGGCCCCACCTCGAGGACGCGTGCAACTATATAGATAGGGCCCTCCGAGGTGGGAAGAACGTTCTCGTTCACTGCCAGCAGGTACGTCCGAAGAGTACATCGTTAGTTCGCCGGTTTTCAAATATGTAATTCCAGGGTATATCTCGGAGCGCATCCATTGTCATTGCGTTCCTAATTCGCAATCGGGGTATGTCCTATGATAGTGCATATTCGCTGGTGAGACACGAACGCGCGTGTATAAAGCCAAATCCTGGATTTGTTCAGGCTTTGCAGGAATGGGAAGGGATATGGCGTCGTCCTCCTCCAGGTCGACGGTTTACTTCATGAAGGCTGGAGAGCGACGGTACTGACCGCACCAGATTTGACATCGCTTCTTTGACCAGCTCTCGACTATATTCGGGACTGACGCATGCATGTACAAGATGCATTATATATCATTATGGACTTTTCGGTTATATCTGCGATGGGTCATTCCCAGAACTACGTATCGAATATCGAACTCTTTTCTCTTTGATTTTAGCACTGCAGGTACCTCCGTGCTGTCGATACATGTACATCTGTGTCTCATTACTTTGACCTAGCCGCCTGACGTCAATCCTCGACGCAACACATTGAACTCCATCGTCGGGTCGCGGTGCAATATCCGACATCTTATGCGTTGTTTATGTCGACGAATGTTTTATGAATGCACCTTATTCTCTGAGACGGTCTCACGATCTTCCTCCGTATGTATCCCACTACATGAATGGTAGAGCGTCATACCGCCCTCAAACATGCCCTCCTTGGCATGGGTCAGTTATAAACTTAGAGCAAGGAGCGATTGGTATTTTTGTGACGGAACTGTGGAGCTCAGTCGGTCATTCCTCACCGGGATATTTTCCGTCCCTGCCTCTACATGGCCACCAAGTTTTTCTCACCTGTACCATAGGAATACTTTACTCGAAATTGAGCGAGAATGTGCACTGTTCTTGTATTCATGCGAATTCATTTCAGACTTGCGCTTTTGCTTACTCTACCCTCCCCGTGTTCCGATGCAATAATCTTCACATTCGACAGATCAAGACAAAGTAACACTAATCAGAAACGATGCTCAATAACCTAGTCGAACTACCAGTGTTCGAAGGTTAAAGAGAGGGTATCCATACATGTAATTAAACAGCCTATAAGCCCAAGAAGATAAGGTATTAGTCAAACCGAGAGAATCCAAAAGAGAACCAACACCAAGGCTGAAAAACATCTCCGTTAGTCTCGCAAAAGAATCAGTTCAATAGGCGAACGTACAGGCCAGTGACGAGACTGAGTGTGCCAGAGGATTGAGTCGCCGTTCCACTGACAACCCCACTCAACGAAGTGTCGACGCTAGAGAGGAGTCCGTCGAGAGAAGGGATATCGTCAGCGACGTTGAGAAGGCCGTCAAGAGTCTCGGCGATTTCCTAGAATGATTCCTTCAGAATAATTAATATGTGAGTGGTGTGGAAGCTTACAGTGACGGTGTCGGTGACAGTGCTAGAGATCTCATGCCTGGGTCCCGCCCAGTGCCAAGCCGGGAAGGGAGGCCCGTAGCATTGTCGAGAGCAGAGACGAACATTGTCAATCAGAGGGGTGACCGTGATGTCGCTGGCGGTGACAGAGGAGACGAGGGTATCTAAATTTCGGACGGTGGATACACAAATCAGAATGAGTAGAAAAGACATGACCGACCGATCTGAGGTAAGATGGTGCTTAATTCAGACTGGAGCGTTGTAAGGACGTCGGAGACGGAGGAAAGTTGGCGTTTGGCAGGAGGAGGCGCAGCCGCAACGAACGAGGAGGCGAGAGCTGCGCCGAAAAAGAGAATGGATGCAAGGACGCGAAGCAATCATTGCTTGTGAGATGAGCGAGTGTGAAATTTAGTGAGATGTTAGATGGTACTGAGATCCAGTGAGAGTGAGGATGGGAAAGAGATGAAGCTAACAAAGGCCATTTTATACTCCAGAGATGATTTCAAGCGGCCCCCATCCAAGGGTTGGAAGAAAGTCGTCTAAATGTCGCTGAATCACTTCCTCCGTGTATACGGCAAAGTCAATATCGCGGAAAGATTTAGAGCAACTGCGGCAAATATTCTTCTGCGGATCCGCAAAAAAAAATAGTCATGCTACCATGGAGGCTGATGGGATTGATATTACAGAACCGCAAAAGGAGAGGTTGAGAGGACGTGTCGGGAGAAGGCGATGCAGATTTGAGGATCATTGATGCTTCTAGCGCCAAGCTTGAAAGTCGCGATATGAAAGAAGCTGTCCTTCGTCAAATTTCGTGAGAGAATTCAGGACGTCGGCCCGGACTAGGTATTCTAATGAGCAGCCTCCGTAGCAACATTACAACACTTCAGATTACCGGCTCACGAAGACAACGGGAAAACGTGCTATGGGTCGTAAAAAGAGTGTGTCGGACGAAAGACCTCAACGTTGTTGATGTCACTGTTAACACAAGCAAACTGATGAAAAGACAGAATAAAAATAACAATTGAATAAGTTATAGTCATACATTTCGTCACGAGCCATTCATAAATCGATCCCACCGTTTTTTACACGAACTCCCATCATAGTCTGCAGAGAATGTCAAACCTGCAATTGCAACCAACGGAAACATCAACATACCAAAGCTATGTCTCTGGTCGCACGAGCACCGACCCTTGATCCATAGATCCTCTGGAATCGGACAATGGCTCCAGTCATCATGCTGGTATCCGATCTCTTCGAAGAAATGTATCTGGTCCTTTCGGAGGAAGAGTGCGGCCGCAATGCTGTGGACAGGCGCGTCGCCCCAGCGCTGTGAACACGGGTCTTAAGATTTCAGACAATCGGGAAGGGAGAAAGGACAAACTTCGTAATAGAACCCGCCTGTCTTATCCAGGTACTCGAAAAAGTCAGTATAAGCAGATCCGCGCCAAAAATCCATGTCGGCTATCTCGAAATTACTCCAAACTTGTATGGTTTAGTAAACGGTACGTGAGGGGTAACGACCAGACTGACAATGACAGGTGTTGTATGTTTTGCCGCGATTTCCTGAAAGGAAGCCCATAGAGTTGTCTTCTGCAATATGTTCAGGGTGTTGGGCGATGAAGTCTGCAATAGATAACACAGTTAAGGAAACAGAGACCCACAGGAAGAGCAACGGACCTGTGACATGCCCCCATAATGACCGTATGGACGCAGCGATCTCGTATACGGTAATAGTAAAGCCGTATACTTTGTTGTTCTCCTCAAGGAATAAGAAAGGATCATTCAAAATATTGCAGTGGAATTGCACATTCGGCCTAGGTATGTAAGACGAGAATTTTAATATGAACGGAATACACACTCAATACGCCAGTACCATCGGTACTTTTGTAGCAGAGGATGTTTGAAGAAGAACTAGATCCGTAGATTAGACCGGACATCAGGATGAAGGATGAAGGACACGCACTCCAGAATTGAAGCGACACATGTTTCGATAGCTATGGACTTATCAGGTCAGAAATTTGTGAGAAATGAAATGAGCATACGGAACGCTATCTGCGACTCCAGTGAGCTAATGACCCTAAATAGATAACCGTGTGCGTACCTCCATATTTCACGTTCGCTGCTACCATAGATTTCCGAGCCTCCGTTGCCTTATCCTCGTCTATCCAATCGGGCTGGTTCCAATGTTCACTCGGTATGACACCAAAAACTGCATTGAATCCCGTCAGTACAGACATCCGTCTGGCCAAACCAGTTAGATGAGAAGCAAACCAGACAAGCTGGGCTTACCTCTTGAACTCGCTCGAAAACTCGACGTCGTTCAAAAAGACATACGGATACCCATGGCGCGTGTTGAACCGGTCTTCAACGGCGCGAACAGCCCGCATGGCACCGTCAAGGTCAGAGTTCCTTGCAAGCATTACGAATGTCGCGTTGGCCAGCCGTGGTCCTGACGGCTGCGATTCCGGGTTTGGATTTGGCTGTGGAGTGTAGGAGTCGGGCGTCGACTCGTCATCATAGGGCAGCTGGTCGTCACCGCCTCGGAATTTTGAGGCAATATTGGAGAAAGCAGTAGCTCGGCCGTACTCGCCGTGGATGTAAGAGAGGGTGTAGTGCACGCCTACCTTGGAAATATCAGCGACAAGCTTACAGAAGACATCGAAGGCGCATACAATGACCGCAAGGATAAGGATAGTATATCGAGCTAGGCGGGACATTATCTTGACCAGTGGTGGTGGTCGAAGGGAAAGAGGTCGTTAGCCGTCCGCAGTCGCTGTCGTGGATCACCGTGCTCTTGTCTTCCTACCATCATCATCATGAAAGGCTTTGTTGACTAAGGCTCTCTCGTCAAGAATTACTGCCACGGTATTATCCTCAAGGCATTAGACTGGGCCATCGCGCATTGATGCAACTGCGAGCTCGGTGCTGCATGTCTTGCTCAAGTAATTTCTTTCTCGCGTGTATATACGACAAAATTGGATGACCTGGTGAGTGTGATTTGGTTTCAAGATTATTCAGTGCTCAATATTCAATGGTTGCCTTGGTTACAAAGGGCTGTACTGTGCCGCCCTTCGCAGCAGAGGCAGTATGAATTCATCGTCACGCATACCAGCCAAGGGGCGGGGTCATGCAGGCTTGCAGAAAACCCGAGTTAATCTACGAGATAACACAGATCTCGGCTTGCAAATACTTGTGTATCAAGGTCAAGGGGCAGAATGAGGAGAACTTGGTTCGGTGAGTACCTTATCCCTCTACCATTCTCATCTAAATATGTGCGTCAGTGGCCAGGAGATCTACGAACCTCCACCTCTACAGCAAGCTAGTAGATCAAGGCTTTAAGGCAGACTGGGACGCTATCTTTTGATACGACACTCGTACTCGCTTTCTATCTCTTGACCAACGTCTTCAACGCATCAAAGTCGAGCATTTTGCAGCCGATCTAGAGAGAAATACCCTTCAACAGGTCCAGGCCGCGTTTTGGATTCATGAGCAGCAACTTTGCAGCGGAGTCGCAACTGTGATGAACGGAGCTATGTTCAGATTTATTCCCCCATTTACGTGTAGTCCAAACGATGTTGAGGTGCCCTCCTAGGACACGAACTATATCACTACATGCTGGACGAAGTTACAGACGCATCATCTGGAAGACTTCAGATTCTAGGCATGTCTTATCGACATTCTACACGATTATTGCTTAGCTTTCAGGATGTACATGAATAAAGACGATCGGCCTTGTATGTATAGCTGCAAGGGAGCTAGCATCGGAATACCCTTTCGCGCACTCCGCCTCATACCAATTCAAGAACAAAATTTCCAAGCTCTCTCGCTTTGAGAGTAGCGAATGGCCGTGGTTGACAATATGCGAGAGACGATTCCACAGATGCGGCGAAAACGTGGTAGACCGATCATCTTGAATAGGAGGCAAGCTCGCGATCAAGATGGCATGCCTCCCATTCAAGACGATCAGTTACAGGTCTAAAAACGGGGTATCAGGCTTTTTTTTTTTCTGATTCTGCGTTTCATTAACCGCCACAAGTACACTAACGACTAAGACGCGGTAAGGGTACAGGTCCTCAGGCACCCTCCTTCCCTCTTGTTCCAGTCACTCCGCTCATTCCTCTGATTTCTCTGGGTGATTCGACGTATGACATGGAGTAGAGTAACAGACTTTGAAGTGGTATCAGGCTGTGCATCCTGAAAGGCGTCCTACATGATTGTGCGATACTTCAGGACGTCAAAGTTGAACTCGGTTGCATGATAAAGCTCTCGAGAGCGTTCGTTGAGGAGGAAATCCATGGCTACAGCAAATTGAACGTATCCACAGTCGCGTCACACCCATCTCTTTTTCCTTCTCTTCTCTTCTTGCGGGTGTGCAATCACTACAACGGGCGCGCGGCGACCCTGAACACCACCGCATCTGCCTTTGGTCACAATTCCGATTGGCCAACCTCTGTTTCAGCGCCGTCTCATGCTCGTGCCGGGACTGACAGCCGACCTTGGCTCGATGGTTTTTTTTGTCTTCAGCACGATCACCGTTGCATGTCTTCGCGACGTACCTGAGTGCCAAGAATGTTTTGACAGCTATAATGTCTTCATTCATCCCAGCTCAGCCGTTCTTCGGCGCTGGGCATTCGCCCGTAGCGGCCCTAGGTTTCTATTTCGGTACACTCCTTCCGGCGCTTGCCTTCCTTGATCCATCGATGAGCTTTGGTCATAATGCGTGAGCGAACGTTTTCTGGTTCCATATGCCCTTGACCGCTCTCAGCGGAGTACGATTATCGAGGGGGAGGCACAGAGGAAGACATGCACAGAAATGGTATGGTTCAGTGCAAAGAGAGATACACTGTCACCCATAGTACCATTGATGCAGTGCATAAGTTCTGATTGATATGGACGTGCCGGTATCTCGTCCCCTTTCACTTGACTCCAAGAATTCTTCTGTATCGGTGGAACGGAATCATAATAATCCATTTGATAGATCAATGCGCTAACCGCTGATGGTTGAAATTAGAGCAATTGGACTGCATTTCTGTCATGCTGATGCTGCCCCGCCTTGGGTATTCGAGCGCCTCCTTCAAGTCTCTCACATGACTGTTTAGTATATGCACAAGTTCTTTCCCTTCAGGACCAGTAAAACAACCCCAGACACAACATGCAGCCCGTCCCCGTAGGTTACCCCGTAGTAAAACTGTGAGTTATCATCGTGGAATCGAGCAGTGGCATATACTGAATTATCTCGTTCAAGTTCCGGACCTCTGGTTTGTCAAATTGTGTGTTTAGTCTATTCAGTCCCTAACACGGTAATTTAGATCGTTGCCTATCTCTTACATTGGGGGCTCTTTGGTACCCTTTCTGTGCAGCTCTGTGCGTCGTTCCGAATTGTTCTCCGGTTACCGTTTTTAATGCATTTTTGCTAGATCTGTACTACCTAGCATTTCCGAAAGACAGAAAATTCACAAAATATCTCGTCTATGGCATCTACATCGTCGAATTCGTGCAGACGATGCTCATTACCCACGACGCATTTGCAGTGTTCGGTTACGGCTTTGGGGATGTCATAGTCCTCACTGACATGCATTCTGATTGGCTCACTGTCCCTGTCATGGGCGCTGCCGGTTCGTGCATCATCGTCTATCCGTTTTCCAAATTTTATAATAAATACAGTTGCTTATGTCGGGCAAGTTTTCTATGCATACCGAATCTTCATATTGTCCAAGTCACGAATCGTCCCTATGTTCATCACTTGTGTTCGTTGTCGTGCTCTTTCTCTGTGATAGTTTAGCCCATCTATTTACAGGTGTCCTTGACCAGCTTTGTGGCAGCTATAATCACAGGCGTCTACTCCTTCCAAGCAGGTAATATTATTGAACTCAGTAAGAGAAAAGTTTTAATCGCGGTGGGGGTAAATAACTGGCTGGGCGTCTCATGTTCGTCATGTTGACCCGTGTTTAGATTTGGTGCGGCGCCTCTGCTTTGTGTGATATTGTCATCGCTATCTGCATGACTTACTATGTGCGCTCTTTCTCTCTTTCAGTTGTCTTCGTTGATGTTGATACTATTTCGTAGCTCATGCGTAGCAGTACCCGTTTACGTCAAACCCAAATTCTGGTCACAAAGCTAATTCGTCTCATTATTGAAACAGGATCTGTGACAGGTACTTACTCCACCATGTGCCATCGTCGCTAAATTGACGCCACATATGTTCAGCCATTGTCGCTCTGGCCACTGTCACCCTCCTTTTTGCGTTCCCTCATCAGACTTTCTACACTACACCCGGCATGCTCATGCCCAAGCTGTACGCTAATACCGTTTACATGGTGCTGAATTCGCGAATGCGAATTATGGATGGACGGGGTACTTATACGTCTTCGACTGATATGAGCTTCGCGACCACTATGATGAGGGATATCACTTCCCAATCAGCAGAAGGCGCACGGTCTGCGGACTAGGTGCAAAGAGAGGCGTCAATGGTCGTGATATCTAAAGAAGTATTCAACGATGATCGCGAAATGAAGTGTCAGTCACGGTGATTCATGTGTTTTATCCAAGCTGATTTTCCCTAAGGAGAAATCACAGGACAGCGGTATGAGCTTCCCCGCATAACTGTTAGAGTATTTCTTCGAGACTACACCGTGCCAGACGGGAACCCACCTTGATTTCTTTGACGCAATAAACACCCATGCCAAATGTTACGACCTTAATATCATGTATATGAATTGATATTCAGAATGACTTCTTATCAAAGGCATTGTTGACCAAGGCCCCCTCGTTAAGAATTACTGCCATGGTATTATCCTCAAGGCATTGGACTGGGTTCATCGCGCATTGACGCAACTGCGAGCTCGGTACTGCATGTCTTGCTAAACGACAAAATTGGATGACCTAGTGAGTGTAGTTTCGTTTCAAGATTATTCAGTGCTCAATATTCAATGATTACTTTGGATACAAAGGGCTGTACTGTGTCGCCTTTCGCAACAAAGGCGGCATGAACTCATCGTCACGTTGAACGCACACCAGTCAAGTGCGGGGTCGTGCGGGCTTACAGAAATAACAAACCCGACTTAATTTACAAGAGATAACACAGATTCCGACCTGCAAATGCTTGTGTGTCAAGGTCAAGGAGCAGAATGAGGAGAACCTGGTTCGGTGAGTATCCTATCCCTCTACCATTCTCATCTAAATATTTGTGTTAGTAGTCAGGAGATCTACCAGATCGGGGCTCTAAGGCAGATTGGGACATTATCTCTTGATACAACACTCGTACTCGCGAGTCGCTCTATCTCTCGGCCAACGTCTTCATTGCATCGAGTACTCCGATTCGACCAGGAGTGCTAGCAATCCCGCCGTTCTCTGATAACTAAACTTCCATATTTACCAATGGTGCCTTATGAAAAAATATCTTGCGTTGATTGATAGGATAGGTCGCCAACGCCGAGTTCATCAACCAGAGATGCGAGATGAATCCGATTCTTGAGTCTTGTGGACAGCAGTAGACTGTATCGGGGGACAGACTATAAAATTGTGGGCATACTTGCAGTCGAGTTGAAAGCATCGTCTCCAGCATCTATTTCGCTTTGCCACGTTTGCCTTGCTTAATCCGCCCGGGCTGAGGAGCGAATGCTCTGTTCTACCACTCCTGGATCGTTCTCATGGAGTACGATTGTAAACGCGGAGGTTCATTGGAAGACATGACCCAGAAATGGCTCGCTGAAAATAGATGGATACAGAGATTACCCGACACTGCTTCGCATCTGTTGGATGGAGAAGAAAGATAGATGAAAGTTGAACACCACAACTGTATGGCATGGTAAGTCACAAGTCCACTACCCGGCCTTCCTTCTTCTCACCAGTTATTCTGTGGGTACCCTTTAATTTCGCAGAAGTGGTTTCAGTATCAAATTTATATCAACGCGCCGGCCTCTCTTCCGTTTCAATTTAGTTTGGAGGTTTCTTCAGGAACGGTGCCTGAGACTACTTACTGATGAACATGGTTGAGATCAGTAGTTAACGTTGAACTATCATTCAGCTTGGTTTATGTATTGCAATGCTGACTGGCTTTGGTATTTGTGCGCTTCGTTCAAGTCTCTCACGATGGCTATCAGAAAAATATATACAGATTCTTTCCCGTCAAGACCGTTAATCTGAAGCAACCACAGACACAACATGCAGCCCGTCCCCGCAGGTTATCCCATAGCAAAGCTGTGAGTTATCATCATCGATTCGAGAAGTGGTGTGTACTGGACACCTTATTTCAGGACCGGACCTATGGTTCGTGTTTTTATTTTGTTGCACTCGGGCAAGTCAGTCCCTAACACAACAATTCAGATCGTAGCCTATTTCTTCCACTGGGCACTCTTCGGGACTCTTTCTTTGCAGCTGTGTGCGTCGCTTCAAGATTCTTAGTAACAAGCCGTTTCTAATGCACTCGTTAGATCTGTACTATCTAGCATTTCCGAAGGACAAGAAGTCCACGAAATATTTCGTCTATGGCATATACGTTGCCGAATTTGCTCAGACAATGCTTGTCGCCCACGACGCCTTTGCAGTGTTCGGTTACGGCTTTGGTGATATTGAAGCCCTCACTCGCATGAATTCCAATTGGCTCACTGTTCCCGTCATGAGCGCTGCTGGTACGTGCAGCATCTTTTGGTCGTTCCCTGTTACTTTATCGTGGTTACAGCTGCTTGTGTCGCACAAGTCTTCTATGCGTATCGAATTTTCATCCTATCAAAGTCACGGATCATCCCGATATTCGTCACCTGTGTTCGTTGTCGAGCCCTTTCGTAGCGGCAGTATAGCTCACCTATTTTCAGGTGTCCTTGACCAGCTCTGTGGCAGGTATAATCACAGGCGTCTACTCCTTCCAAGCGGGTAACATCACTAAACTCAACAACAGGAAGACGTCCATCGCCGTCGGGGTATGTAACTAACTGGGTGTCCCGTGTTCATGATCAAGCTGACCCATGCGTAGATTTGGTGCGGTGCCTCTGCCTTATGTGATATCGTCATCGCTATCTGCATGACTTACTACGTGAGCTATTGTTCTTTTTCATTTATCTTCAGTTGATGTTAATACTGTTCCGTAGCTTACGTGCAGCGATACTGTCTTCCGTCGCACCCGAATGGTTGTCACCAAGCTAATTCGTCTCACTATCGAAACGGGATCTGTGACAGGTAATATTCACTCCACACCATCCGATGTCGTTGCAAGAATAACAACGCCTGCTTTTAGCTGTTTTCGCTTTACTTAACCTTATCCTCTTTTATGCATTCCCTCATCAGACTTTCTACACGACACCTGCCTTGCTCATGCCCAAGTTGTATGCTAACACCGTTTATATGGTGCTGAATTCGCGAATCCAAATTAATGGAGGACGGGATATTTATACGTCTTCTTCTGATATGAGGAGCATCACCACCACTCTGATACAGGATAACAATCTCCAATCAACACAAGGTACAATCCGAAACGGGAAGCAAGGACGGGCGCCAATGGTCACGATAACTAAAGAGGTATTCAACGATGATTATGAGATGGGTCAAATGAATGTCAGTCATTGTGATTTCATGCGCTTTATTAGAGCTAATCCCCCCCCCCCAAGGACAAACTAGAAGAAGCATGAGTCTAATCGTATAACTGTACTGTACGTTCTTTGAACCGAACCCCGTATAGGAACCTGCCCTGGTTATCTACTGTCTTGTTGTAACAAATACCGAAGCCGAATTTTACAAGCTTACTAAGACGTATCCCGCTCAGCTTATATGGCCATTTAGAGGATTGATTTCTGTTCGACTTGAGCTTATCTTCCCGATCCAAACCTTTGTCGATGACCAGTGAATCTGCTGGCGGTGATACTCGTCTGCAGAAAGTAGAAACAATGAGGGTGAGTTATAGTGGCGGCCAGATAGGAACAACGATATTGCAAATTTTAGGTGAGTAGCAATGAAGCGATGTTAACGATGCTGCTTGCCCGCGCGTGGGATAGCCTCCTGCGCGCCATTCGATCATAGCTTGTGCACTGATGGTGCATACTTAACAGTGACTAAGCGGGCTAGTAACCGACCCTCTCACCGCAAACGAGAAAGAATCCTGTTTTCTTGTTTGCAAGTCAGAACAGATGGTCACCAGTCCAGGTACCGAAGTTGATGTGCCTATACCCGATGGTCACGCCCATAGTCATGAGAGTCCATTTCTCTGGGCCTCGAAGATCCCATCTTCGTGGGTGAGTAGCACCGTGTTTGCACCCCGATTACCCACATGCAATGATTATCCTTCACGACGCTGGCATTGATACGACTTGTAGTCGGAATATTGAAGTTATGCACCGTAATGTATGTAGTCTGGAAAATACAAGAATAACGCTGTCATAATATTCTGTACAGGTTGACATATGAGCCTGCGACGTATCTGAAAGCAACGAAACGCTTACGTCTTCTCAATGGAGGCGGCGTGTTCCTGGAGCCACGCTGTCCATTCTCCAAAACCTGAGCTCGCGCTATCTCAGACGGAATGACAGGCAACGCCATTCCGAAGAGATCATGTACAACATCCTTTTGTACATCGGGTGTTACGTCGACACTTCCACCTCTCATCTGCTCAGCAAGTTGCTCACGCTCTCTTTGGTAAGCCTCGGCATCACCAATGGAGATGAAATTTTTGGGATAGCCAGTATAAGATTCTTTTGGAGCCCTATCTAGAACAAGATGAGTAGCTGTTGGATGAAGTGCCGCAAATAAACGCATTTACTAGAGGTGAGATACGGTGACCAAAGCAGGCTAGTTGGATGTGTCTATGGACCGTAAATTCGCAATCGCCGCCGTTGAAAGGAGGTCTATGTCTTCATTGGGTCGGATAACACTTTTGTGTTCGACTTCGCGCTCGTAATCGGTGACTGGAAAAAGGTTTATCCCATGAACGTTGAAATTGGGATGCAACATACCCATATCCAGCCAAGGCTGGATAAAAATCAGAGCGCATTGTGAGAAAAATGCAGGAACCTACGCACCGAAAAAAACCATCAGGGCACCCGGCATGGGTAGGACTTTCTTTCTCTTCGTAGAGATATCTGGCTAGGAAGATAACACGATATCCTTGAGAACTGGTTAGACGCGAAATAATAGGCCAGAAAAGTCGATCCTACCTCGGCACATGCACCGAATACGACAATTTTCGATGGGTCAAATTTTCAAACATTGACCAGGTAGGAATAGGCAGATATCGCATCCAGAAATTGTGCAGGGTGACAGGATTCATGCACCGGGCGGTAATCGACCGTTGATTGGCTTGTACCATCGGAATTCGTCCACGGAAACAAAATGGGAACAACGCAGAGGACGTGCTTAACTTGACTGTGTTCTATGATATTCTTCGCGAATGCCTAGATGTAATTCAGCATCATATTCTAAACATATATGGCAAGTTCACGTACCTCATTCTCCAAAATACTCTGATCCGTTGCCCATCATATATCCTCCACCGTGTATCCACAAGCCGACCAGGCCATTAACATGTTCTCCCTGCATCAAAGGGCTCCCTTTCGGCCAAACGTATCCGGAAATCCTCATCGGTCCGACTTTCCCATCCTTAGCTACACCCTTGATCAAACTGTCGACTGCAGGTTCAAGCCAAACGAAGGAAGTCGTTTTCAGCTCCGCTTCGCTCACTTGGCGTGTCTTGTCCGTTGATTGGACCGGAATACCGCATAGAGAAACGATAAGCGTCATGCAGTGAACCATCTGAACACCGATACACTCTTTGAGGGACCAGCACGATTTTGGTAGGATATAGCGAGCCGCCCAGCGTGGCAGGAGAGCGGCGAGAGAGACGAATCGAAAGGGATGAATAGTCCTTTGAGTAGCTGCCTAAATGTTGACGGATATTGTGTGGACATGGTAGATGTAGGTGACTGCGTTCCAGAAAAGATTTTATTGCTCGTCTTGAGGTACGTGGACTTTCGGCATCCGAGTGAGCGTTACGACGAAATCGTATGACGAAGTATGTAACCAGTGGTGCTATAGAGATCGCACACATTGAGATTAGGCATCGAGGGCGGGGTGACGAATGTGGTCGGCAGCCAGGAGAAGGCAGTTCTCGATTTGGACATGAACGCCAGGACCTCGTGGCACCGCCATTATCGGCAGCTGTCGGCAGACTTCCTAACTCAGCTGGGGCGGTCGCCGACAACATCGTCTTTCTTTCATATGATCATGGCCAACTTTTCTCAGCGATCGGGCTATATCTCCCCGAAGACGAGATTGTCGAGTAGCGTTCAAAGCTACGAATTGCTGATCCCAACAAGGACGATCACCAGCCTCCCTCAGATGTGCCATAGGAACACCTCGTCCTCGCAATTGAACGAGAATATGTGGTTATTATACATATCCTTACGCGTTTTATCACTCTGTGCTAGCCTGTCTTCCGACACAATAATTTTCACATTCCGAGGCAGATCAAGAAAAGTAACACTAATCAGGAATGACACTCGACAACCTAATCAAACTACGCGGCCAGTGCTCGAAGGTCAAAGAGGAGGTATCTATGAACATTATTGAACAGCTTATCAACCCAGGGAAGGCAAGGTACCATTCAAACCGCCGCCGAGGGACTCCAAAAGAGAACCAACGGTGTCGAGGCTGAAAGACGACGAGATTAGTCTTGCAAAAGGTTCAATTCAATAGGCGAACGTACATTCCACCGACAAGACTGAGTACTCCACTGAGAACCTCACCCAAAGAGGTTTCAACGCTAGAGAGCAGTCCTCCGAGCGAAGGGACATCGTCAGCGACGCTGAGAAGGCCATCAAGAGTTTGGGCAATTTCCTAAAACAATCCGTTGAGAATCATTAATATGTGGATGGTGCGGAAGGCCTACAGTGACGGTGTTGTTAGCGACGCTGAGGATCTTTGCCTGGGTCCCGCTCAACGTCAGACCAGGAAGGGACGCCGTGGCATTGTCGAGGGCAGAGACGACATCTTCAATCAAAGGAGTAATAGTAACATCGCTAGCGTTCGTAGAAGAGACGAGGGTGTCTGGAATTCCGAAGTGAATAAAAAGACTACGCCAGGTAGAGATGAAGTGACCAACCAATCTGAGGTAAGATGACGCTCAATTCAGACTGGAGCGTCGTAAGGACGGAGGAGACGGAGCAGAGTTGACGTTTGGCGGGAGGAGGCGCAGCAGCAACGAACGAGGGGGCGAGAGCTGCGCCGAAAAAGAGAATGGATGCAAGACACGAAGCAATCATTGCTGGTAAGATGAGCGAGTATGAAATTTAGTGAGATGTCAGACGATGTTGAGATCCAGTGAGTGTGAGGATGGGGAAGAGATGAAGTTAACAAAGGCCATTTTACACTCCAGAGCTGAGAGATGATTTCAGGTGATCCCCGTCCAAGGCTTGAAAGAAAGTCTAAATGTCGCTGAACCGTTTCGTCTGTGGCAAAATCAATACCGCAAAAAGATTTTGAGAAACCGCGCCGAACATTCTTCGGATCCACATACAAAATAGTCATGTTCCATGGAGGCTGATGTGATTGATATTACAGACGCGCCGAGAGAACGTGATGAAGATGTGAGGATCTCGGTGCTTCTAGTGCCTCGCTTGAAAGTCACCATATGGAAGAAGCAGCTCCTACATGTAGTCAGATTTCATGAGAGAATTTAGGACAACGGATCAGTGTATTCCAATGAGCAGCCTCCGTGGCAACATTACACATGTCAGTCCGTCGGCCCGTGGCGAAGACATCTGCGCCATGTGTCGTAAAAGAGAGTTTCAGATGAAAAGACCCAGAGCGTGTTGATGTCACTGTTAACGCAAGCAGACTGACGAAGAGAGAAGTTGTAGGTCATACATTGCCTCGCGGGCCTTTCGTAAATTGAATCCACCTTCTTTTACACGGACTCCCGTCATAGTCTGCAAAGAATATCAAACCTGCCATTGCAACCGAAGGAAATATCAACGTACCAAAACTACATCTCTGGTTGTACGAGCACCGGCCCTCGTAGTTCCTCCGAAATCGGACAATGGGTCCAATCATCATGCTGGTATCTGATCCTTTCGGAGGAAGGGTGGGGCCGCAATACTGTGAACAGGAGCGTCGCCCAGCGTTGTGAGTAGGGATCTTGAGATGGCAGACAACCGAGAGGCGGGAAAGGCAGACCTCGTAATAGAACCCGTCCATCTTATCCAGGTGCTCAAAAATGCCAGTGTAAACAGGTCAATCGATTTATGAGATCGAAACTTGTGCAAACGACGTGAGGGCATGTTGAACCCGGTCTTCAACCGCACGACACTGAACTATCGAACCCTAGATGATAACAGAACTCACCCGACTGCGCAGCAGTCGCATTAAACCTGCGAAAGAAAAACCCATAATTTGTACGTCCAGAAATCATCTGCAATGCAAGCTAACCGGTAAGAGACGATGGTTTTCGACAACACTCAGGGAAGACTGATTTTTACGGTCTTTCTGCTTCCTAGTCATATCAAGACGGAGTAGCGGACCCAACCCCTCTGCCTTAGAAACCAAGACATAATATCCTTGTCGGAAGCAGATTTGAATGCTCTCGAATCAGGTACTTCCCTCCTCGTTCGTCGCTTGGATATCCGTGAAGTTGTATTCACCCTTTTGAGGGTGCGTGTTGTGGCCGCTGAGATAACGTTCCATGACAGTATTTACAGAGAATTGCGCAGCACCGGCAATGGCATGAGATTTATCGCCCTATTGACAGATTCGCCGTGCAGTGTTTTCGGCCTTGAGTGACAGAACCCTCGTACAGAGTAGGATCCTCCCCCTTAACTAGCAAGACACATCGGCAATATCGAGGTTACTATCGACTGCTGAAGCAAGCAAGCCTTCAAGTCTGGATTGGGGGTAACATCTACTAGTCGGCATTAAATTGGACGGTCCTTAGCAAAGGGAATATTTTCAATATTTTATCAGCGAAGCGACTTTTGTTGCGGTTGAGATTGTAGGGTCTCCCAGGACGCTCGGGAACGAAGGTCGAAAATTCTTGGTCGATGGAGCCATTTAAGTCGGCAGGCATCTATCGGAGTTTGAATTAAGTTCGAATCTTGTCTCGGTCCGCTGTACCGGCGCACTTAAAATTTCGCTAACCTTGATAATTGATTCAGTGTTCCAGGATTTTCTTTGATCGTCTTTTTTATATCAGGTGAAAATCTCCAGTTCAACCAAAGAGACCAAGGCAGTACTAGAAGGCTGGCCCTTGAAACGCGAAACAAGAGATACTTACAACAACTCATCGGCAGTCGGACGACAAACGAGCTGTAAGCTCGTAACCAAAACATGAACGATCAAGCAAAGGTAATGGTTTGAAGGTCACTCACTTTTATATACAGCCATCTTGGAGTTAGCTGGGAATGGTCGGCTCAACCTGTCGGCCTTGGGTAACAAGACAGAAGTTTCGTCCTCGCAGCATCTCAGGATGGTCACGTATTGCATGCTCCCCTCGTCATGCACCATGTCGTCCTATGCGCCGCTATGCTGTAGGTTACAGAGGTTACAGATGTCCAGAGTACCCCGCTCAATCAGGCAAAAATATAACAGCTCTGGCAGCCCCCGTAACACAGATTGGGTCACCGAATGCTCTGACGAGGTTTTCGTACTCATCAACGGCGTTGCCACAGGACTAGCTGCCACGATCAGGAACTTCATATTGCATGAGTTCCGGGGCTAGAGGCGTTCCTGGTTTCGATGCTGCCGAAGCTCATTGTTCGCGGAACCGAGTCTCGATTCTAAAAGAGTGGGCCGTGTGACCTGTAAGTCATACAAGACTGGTAGACTTACATAGAAAGCTTACCTCCTTCGAAGCCTTTTTTTTTACCAGTAGTCCGTGAAACGCGGTCATCGCATTATAACCGTGATGAAGGGATCGAGAAGTGAAGCCTAGCTCGGAAGGGCTGGACCGGTTTCCCGAAGGAGCACTCTGGAAGGGCCTACCCGATGCGCTTCCTTGGCTGCTTGGTGTGGCATCGACCTTGTCTACGGAGTATTGTGTAGCATGGTGGGTGATAAATCTTTTGGCTTCCCCTCTTCCTCTCAGAGTTAATCCCCAGGGTAACCTTCAATCTTGTAGGAGTCGTTTTCAATATCAACCCGGAACCAAAAGAACTTGGGTCGAAGATTTCTTCTCGACCCGTGGATCGGTATCGTTATAGTGAGTTTCATGAATCAATACACTGCATGGTGTGATGCTGACTGGCCTTTTGTATTCGTGTGCGCCTTCTTTCAAGTCTCTCACGGTGATTGTCAGAAATATATGTACCGTGTCTTTCCCTTCAGGACCGGTAAAGTTGCCTCGGATACAACATGCTGCCCGTCCCTGCAGGGTATCCCGTAGCAAGACTGTGGGTTATCATCCTCGGTTCGAGCAGTGGTATGTGCTGAACTATCAGTATCTCAGGTCCGGACCTGTGGTTCGTTTATTTCCGTTTAGGGAATTCAAGCCCTAACACAGCAATTTAGCTTGTCGCCTGTCTCTTGCACTGGGGACTCTTCGGGACCCTTTCTGTGCAGCTGTGTGCGTCGCAGACTCTTATCAGCAGACGTTTCTAATGCATTATCCCAGATCTTTACTATCTAGCATTTCCTAAGGACAGAAAATTCACAAAATATCTGGTCTATGGCCTTTATATTATTGAGGTTGCTCAGACGATTCTAGTCACCCACGACGCCTTTGCAACGTTCGGGAGTGGCTTCGGTGATATGGAAGCCCTCACTGGCATGCATTTTGATTGGCTCACTGTCCCCATCATGAGCGCTGTTGGTGCGTACGGCATTTGCTACTCATTTCTGTTACTTATCATGAGTACAGCTGCCTGCGTTGGGCAGGTCTTCTATGCCTACCGAATCTTCATACTGTCAAAGTCACGGATTGTCCCTATATTCGTCACCTGTGTTCGTTACAGCGCTCTTTCTCCCTGACAGTCTAACTTGTATATCTTATACATCTATAGGTATCCTTGACCAGCTCTGCGGCAGCTATTATCACAGGCATTGATTGTTTCCAGGCAGGCAACATCATTAAACTCAATAATGAGAAAACATCCATCGCCATCGGGGCAAGCAGCTAACTAGACTTCTCATGTTCGTCATGCTGAGTTCTGCGTAGATTTGGTGCGGAACTTCTGCCCTGTGTGATATTGTCATCGCTATCTGCATGACTTACTATGTGAGCTCTTTCTGGCTTTCAGTGATCTTCATTGATGTCGATACCATTTCACAGCTTATGCGCTGCGATACTGGCTTCCGTCAGACCCAGATTCTGGTCACAAAACTAATTCGTCTCATCATTGAAACTGGATTTGTGACAGGTATTTTATTCCGCACAATACATCGTTTGTCATAAGGTTAATCATTGGCACCGTCTACTTTTAGCTGTTGTCGCCCTGCTCAACCTTATCCTGTTTTTCGTGTTCCCTCATGAGAGTTTCTACACGACACCCGCCCTGCTCATGCCCAATCTGTATGCTAATACGGTTTACATGGTGCTGAATTCGCGAATCCGGATTATGGGTGGACGGGATACGTATACGTCTTCTACTGATATGAGCGTCACGACCGCTATGATAAGAGATTTCACATCTCAATCAACAGAGAGCACACGGCGAACAGAAGGGATGCAAGGACAGGCGCCAGTGGTCACGATATCTAAAGAGATATTCAAGGATGATTTTGAAATGACTCATATGCATGTCAGTCGTCGTAATTCATGCGCTTTATTAGAGCTGAGTCTCATCCAAGAAACTACAGGACACAAGCATCATCTAAACCACCTAACAGTCAGATTACACTGTTGAGCCGACTCCGTGTACGGGAACCTGCCCTAATTTACTTATTGTTTTGTCGTAATAACCACTGATAGTACTTCGGGATCTTTGCTACGTTGAGATCACTACACAAGATACTTAGTGAATGTAACTGCGTCGCAACCATCATCCTTTGATTGGTAGGATCGGATACTAATGGGATTGTATGGCAGAGATGAGAATACGGTGGGCAGTGTAGCGCATTTCGAGGCTTGTCTCCAATTTCTATTTCGGTACATTTCTTTCCCACGCCTCCCTTAATTCGTCGATCCATGAGCTCTCTGGTCCACTTCTACGTCTTCTGGATTGCTCTCAGTGGAGTACGATTATCAAGGGGGAGGCTCGCTAGAAGACATGACTCAGAAATGATTCGAAAAGAGAGCTTAGGACACAACAACGGCACATTCGTGTGTCTTCACACCAACAGAATTACTCGATGCTATGAAAGATCAGGAAGATTCCTGATGACGGGACAATCTGTGGCGTAAAAATCTGTTTTCAATGCATCTGTTGGATGGGAGCAGAAGATAGATGCCGCCACAAATAGCGTGAGTCGTAAATCCACTATGGTCTTCCTAAGCCTCTTCTTCCTTCTCATAGGTTATTCCCAGAGTGATTTCAATATCAACATGGTGTCAATGAGCCACCAGGATCTCTTCTGCTACAACTTGGTTCAGATATTTCTTCTGGGCTGGCAGAATGGAATCACTATAACTAATTTGAGGAGTTAATGCGCTGACCACTGATGAACATGAATAAGATTGGAGTAGTTGGACTGCCTTTCACCTCAGTCTCAGTGTGATACTGACCCGCCTTAGGTATTCGAGGGCCTTCTTTCAAATCTCTCACATGGCTGGTTAGTATATATAATATATATGTACAGGCTCTTTCCTTTCAGGACGGGTAAAACAGCCCCAGACACAACATGAAGCCTGTTCCCGCAGGTTATCCCATAGAACAACTGTAAGTTATCATCGTGGAATCGAACAGCGTATATACTGAGCCATCTCATTTCAGGTCCGGACCTTTTGTTTGTCAAATTGCACATTTAATCAATTCCGTTCCTAACACAAGAATTTAGATCGTAGCCTGTCTCTTGCATTGGGGACTCTTCGGGATTCTTTCTATGCAGCTCTGTGCGTCGCTCAGAGTCATTCTCCATTGTATTGCTTCTAATGCATTCTCGTTAGATTCATACTATCTAGCATTTCCGAATGACAAACGATACATAAAATATCTCGTCTATGGCATCTATGTCATTGAATTTGTGCAAGCGATCCTCGTTGCCCATGACATGTTTGCAGCATTCGCAACCGGTTTTGGTGATATGGACGCTCTCACCAACATGCATTTTGATTGGCTCACTGTCCCCATCATGAGTGCTGTTGGTGCGCACGGTATTTGCTACTCATATCTGTTACTTATCATAAGTACAGCTGCTTGCGTCGGGCAGGTCTTCTATGCCTATCGAATCTTCATATTGTCAAAGTCACGAATTGTCCCTATATTTGTCACCTGTGTTCGTTGCAGTGCTCTTTCTCCATGCCAGTCTAGCTCACATATTTATAGGTATCCTTGACCAGCTCCGTGGCCGCCATAATCACAGGCATCTACTGTTTCCAAGCAGGTGACGTCACTAAACTCAACGACCGGAAGACGTCCATCGCTGTCGGAGTGTGTAACTGACTGGGCGTCCCAAGTTCATCGTACTGAACCATGTGCAGATTTGGTGCGGAGCCTCCGCTCTATGTGATATCCTCATTGCTATCTGCATGACCTATTACGTGTGCTCTTTCTCACTTTCAGTTATCTTCACTAATGTTAATCTTATTTCGTAGCTTATGCACAGCAATACCGGTTTCCCTCGCACCCAAATTCTGGTTACAAAGCTAATTCGTCTCACTATTGAAACAGGATCTGTGACAGGTATATAATCCGCACCATCCATCATTGTCACAAGATTCTGACTGCATTTAGCTGTTGTCGCTCTGCTCAATCTTATCCTCTTTTTTACCTTCCTCCATCAGACTTTCTACGCGACACCCGCCCTTCTCATGCCCAAGCTGTATGCTAACACCGTTTACATGGTACTGAATTCGCGAATGCGGATTATGGGTGGGCGAGATACCTATATGTCTTCGACCGATATGAGCATCACGACCACTATAATAAGAGATATCACCTCTCAATCAGCAGAAGGCACACGGCCTGCGAACGGGACGGAAGAACAGGTGTCAGCGGTCGTGATATCCAAAGAAGTATTCGACGATAGGCTAAATGAGTGTCAGTCATAGTGATTCGTGTGCTTTATTAGAGCTAATGTTCCCCCAGGGACAAGCCACGAGACGGCTGTATGAGCTTCCCCACATAAACCGATAGAGTACATTCTTTGAGCTCATACCGTGTATAGGAACCTGCCCTAATTTCTCCATTGTAATATGCGCCGATGCCAAATGTTACGACCTTATGTACTGATATGCTGTGTGTACGAATACATACCCAGAATTACTTATTCTCGACTCCAAACGAGGATGAATGTCGAACGCAAAGGTACATGTAAGCTTCAAGATGACTGACATCGTGACGGCCATAGTCTTGGCGTTAATCCAAGATCGAACGGTTAGCTCAACTCGTCTACCTTTTACAGCAAAATACGAAGGTTCTCATTGTCGTCGTATATTAGGGCACCTCTGCCGCACAATGTTAATGCTGAAGTCACTCTGCTGACCGCGCCTTCAATTAGTAATAGACCCGTGGAACACTCTGACTGGACCAGGACTGCCAGAAGCTTTGACGATCTTCCGGAAGATAAGGCCTAATGCTATGAAAAGGAGGCCTTCGTACGCGTACTTTCTAATAGTGCTGAGACTCTTCATCTCTTGCATTGAATTATAAGATACATCAGGTACTATGATCGTTCCACCGACAGGTTAAGACTCGACGGTTTTATTTCTGTGCAGCAACACAATTACTCAGCAGCTACTGTCCTTGGTATACTTAAAACTTGGTCACCTCCCTATAGCCTTCTCCCATTTGTCCATACAGGAATACCCATCATGATCTAATCGCTCAAGGTCAGAAAACGCTCGACAGATAGCGACAGAATCGCTCACCAAAACTCTGCTCCCTTTCACATGTGCACATACCCCGCCTCCATGTTTCTTCATCCCTGGGGCAATGCGTGTATGGGAAATGCTCATATCCAATCTCGTCAAAGAACTGAATCTGATCCTTGTTCGCAAACAAAGCGGTGGCTATACTGTGCACCGGTGCATCGCCCCACCGCTCATAGTAAAACCCACCCTGGGACTCAAGATAATCGAAGAACGCCGTGTAGGCCGGCCCTCGCCAAAAGTCCATATCTGCTATTTCAAAGTTGCTCCAGACTGCCGAAAGCAGCAATGTGAGAGGCAGAAAGAACCTGAGGCATGCGGGAGACGAACTCACAGTGGCATAAATTATACGTCGCACCGCCGTCATCCGAGAGGAAATCTAGCGCATTGTTCTTGGCGACAAAATCGGGGCGCAAATTGATGAAATCCTTGACGTGTTTCCATAGAGTGGGTATCGTCTTTTTGTATTCGTACATCGCAATTGTGAACGCGTATATCTTTTTGTGATCCTCCATATACACAAAGGGATCGAAATTGATATCACAGTGGAAATGAACGTTAGGTCTGTCGATAATCATGTGAGCATCAATACTGAAGTCCAAACTGAGAAGAGCGTACTCGATTCTCCAATACCAACGATACTTTTTTACAAGATCATGCCTAAAGAAGAAACCTGAATTGAAACGGCACATATTCCGGTAGGATTTGCTGCCTGTGTGCTATTTCTTAGCCACGGCATATAATACCAAAGGAGAGTTACATACCGCCATAGATGACGCTCTGTGACACCATCTTTTTACGTGCTTCTGTCGCTTTATCCTCATCTATCCAGTCCGGTTGGTACCAATGGTCATGAGGTATCAATCCAAACACCATCTTCGCAGAAGTAAGCACAGAGACTCGTCTGTACGCAGTTAGCCAGGAGGTTTGTACAAGTAGAGAAGAGAGAAGACTTGCTTTTTAAAATCATCATTAAATTCTACTTCATTCAGCAGAACGTAAGGGTAGTTATACCGTCGATTGAATCGATCTTCGATCTCGCGGATACTTCCGATTATCCTTGTGAGGTCACTGTTTCGACAGAGGACAACGAATGCGGCGTTGGCACGTCGTCCTGGTGCGGTTTCGTTTGAGGGGTCTGATGGCGCGTAGTATTCTAGTGGGACTAGATTCCGGTCTACGAAGGTTGGCGTTTGAATAGTCTCGCCGCGAAAATGTGACGCGATGTTATTGAGTGAGGTTATACGGCCATACTCATGGTGCATGAAAGCCAGTATATAATGGAAACCGATCTACAGTTTGAACACGGTAAGTGGCAGACGGTTTACAAGAGAGCGAAATACAACGCCCCACAACACCCAGGACGAGATACAGATACCGTGCGGCCGTATTCATCGTCACCAGCTTCATACAGCTGGGAGAAATTTGTCGAGATGCGGTATGGGGGAATAAAAGGAGTGTGTAGGGTAGGAGAGCCTCGACATCATCTAGCTGCAGATATCATACTGCGCAACAGTTGCGCACCTGCGGAATACCACAGGCTCGTAAATTTGTTATTCGTGTTATGCTGCGCTGTACATAAATAACTGTCAGGTACCGAGCCCATTTTAAGTTAAGTAGCAAAAGAACGGCATGGTACTGCGACAGCTAACTGAGATAATTCAATAAAAATTTTACAGCGGCTGCTAATGCACTCACTCACCAACGATAATGAAAATTTTCACTGCCAAAGACGCGAAAAACGACGAGCAGAGGTAGCTGGTCCGGATGGAAATGTTGTCGTGTAAGAAGTTAGATATCCTTTAGACGGTTCCCAACTGCAGTACTGGAGGTCACGGTCCTAACTTCGAATTTGTTAGAGAATATATGAAAGCAGACACTGATACAAACCACTGCCTCGTTTTGTATAACTTTCTCTCTCCTTGTTTTCCGTCGTTTCGCTGCTGCCCTTGACGTGCACAGCTGGGTGGCGACTATTTTGGGGTGGTCAAAATAGAATCAAAATCCGAGATCCCGATTTTGGGCGAGGCAAAATCGTTCGATATTTCCTTATTAGGGAATTCCCCGGATTTTGACTGAGGCAAAATCCGACATTTTGCACTTTGATTCTATTTTGACTCGCCCAAAATAGTCGCCGCCCAGCTGTGGTGGTGACTCGGATGCAAGGGAAGTTGTTGGAGTTATTGCAGTGGGAGGCTTGCAGTAGGAATAATACCTAAATTGTTAGCTACAAGAGCTCCTAATGAGCTCCTTATATACTACGAAAAGTATCTAGAATATTCTACCTAAAGTACTAAATATATCCAAGTATCGTGACAAATGAGTAAGCCGAAGCTTCGGGAATCTTCTGGCATAAGCTTGAAGTTGCAAATCCCAACAGAAGTGTTACCGGTGCGCCTAGCTAGACCTTTCTTTCTCCCACAAAGATTAACTCCATGCAAGAAATCACACTATTTCTTCAGCGGCAGCTCAGCACTCAGCGCTCGGAAGGATTGCAATACAGTTGAAGGGGTTACCGGTCACCTAGCCCGGTGGGGGCAATTTGAAATGTGCCGCCTAGCGTCCGACTACCACCATGCCAGCGCTCATCCTTTTTTTCCGACTTTCACCATCTTGTGAACGTGCCTTGAAAGGATGTTCGACACTCTGCACAACCTTTGTACCTTTTTCAAGCAAGCCTGGTTCTCTGGGAAGCCTCGGTGGACCCCAGCCCAGATGCCAGACTTGGAGGGAAAGGTCGTTATCGTGACCGGTGGCTCGTCAGGAATAGGGAAAGAGATAGTCAGGGTGTGTCACTCTTCAGTTTTCTACGCGTGCTAAAGCTAAATGGTCCCAGGAATTGCTCCTTCACAACGCTAAAGTGTATCTTGCTGCGAGGAATCCCGAGAAGACGAGAAATGTTATCGAGGAGCTAACGAAGGCTACGGGGAAGACTGCGGTTTTCTTGAACTTGGATCTAGGAGACCTGAAATCTGTCAAGGCCGCTGCGGAGGAGTTTCTTTCGTGCGTATCGCGTCGTATACAGCTGCTGAGATTTTCTCATGTTACCACAGGAAAGAGAAGAGTCTCGATATCCTGTTCAATAATGGGTATTGTTTACCCTCGATGCACTGACTACCGTCTGATCATCATTATCGCGTCAGAGGTGTGATGCTAGCTCCCCATGAAATGCTCACTGTCCAAGGCTACGATTATCACTTTGGCGTTAATGTCCTCGGTCACTTTTACCTCACGAAGCAGCTGCTACCGACATTACTGGCAACAGAAAGCAAGGTGCGCGCGGTGGCGACCTCGTCCTCGGCTATCTATCTGCCTTTGGGGAGCAAGATCTCGTTCGACACGCTCAAGGATGGACCAGCGAAGAAAAGGAAATCCCTGAAGGATCTGTACGGTCAAAACAAAGTGGTACGGTCAATTCTTTGTGTTTGTATATTAGCACTGATTTATTTAATGCAGATCGTTGACAGGGTGATGCGATGTTTGCATTAGAACTGACGAAGAGGTGCAGGGACAATGGGACAGTATCCATCAGCCTCAATCCCGTTAACCTAAAGACGGATCTCGACCAACATGCGAATAAGTTGGACACCATTGTTTGAGTGGGTATTTCACTTTTGTTTCTTGTGGCCTTCACTCATGCGAACTCGTCCAGAGTGGGTTTTGCTCCTATGGCTCGCAATGTGGGGTGCATGGATATCTCTATGGGCCGGCACAAGTCCAGAAAACGAGGATGCCAACGGTTAAGTACGTTCATTTGTGGTAGCTCTATGACAAAGGTTCGCTGATGCGTAGATTAGTTCATGTTTCCGTGGTGGAGAGTCCTCCCCCGTGAAGTACGATTGTCAAGGGCAAAACTTAGAAGACGCCACATACAGGTGGTTCGGTGGAGAGATGATTACCGTGATTGCACCCCGTCCATCGGAATGCGGCATTGACTCTGTACTATGTAAGATATCTTTGTACCCGTGGAAACACTCGATGCTGTGGAAGATAGGGCATAGGAAGCTGCCTTCGATAGACTTATTGGGCGAGGGAAGAAGACAGATAGATACTGGGCACGACAACTGTGCGACATGGTGAGTGATGTATCTACTATTAACCTCATCTTACTCACAGGAAGGGGTGGTAGGGTAGTTCCAGTATCAACTTGATATCAATGTGCTACTAGTATCTCTTCCTCTACCTTGGTACGGAGATTTCTTACCGGTGGGACGGAAAAATAACAATCAAAGCGTTTTCGGAAAAACTTGTTCGATCGGGGTAAATGAATTAGTTCCAAAGCTGGTACGTAGCATCTCCGAACGCTGACCAATGATGAACGTTGAACAGGGTCGAAATCAGAGAGTAGTTGGACTACCAATGGCCGGCCATTCAACTTAGTTGCGGCGGTATGACGCCGACCGGCCGTGTTCGTGTGTCTTCTTCTAGATCTCTCACGCTAGCTGTCGAAAATATATGTACAGGTTCTTTCTCTTCAAGACCAGAAGAACCACCCCCGATACGACATGCTGACTGTCCCCGCAGGTTATCCTATAGAAAAACTGTAAGTTATCATCGTGGCATCGACCAGGGTATGTATTGAATCATATTTCAGGTCTGGACCTCTGGTCCGTCCTTTTTTTGAATTCAGGCTATTCAATCCTCTACACAGTGATTCAGATCGTCGCCTGTTTCTTACACTGGGGACTCTTTGGGACTCTTTCTCTGCAGTTGTGTGAGTCGTTCTCATTCTTAGCAGCGATCAGTCTCTAACGCATTCTCGTCAGATCTGTACTATCTAGCATTTCCGAAGGACAAGAGATCTACAAAATGTCTCGTCTATGGTATCAACATTGTCGAGTTTGGTCAGACAGTGATTGTCACCCACGACGCCTTTACTGTGTTCGGTTACGGCTTTGGTGATGTGGAGATCCTTACTGACATGCATTCTAATCGGCTCACTGTTCCCGTCATGAGCGCTGTTGGTACGTGCAGCATCTTGCTCGTTTTCTGTTACTTATCATGAGTACAGCTGCTTGTGTGGGACAGGTCTTCTATGCGTACCGTATTTTCATATTGTCGAAGTCTCAGACCGTCCCTATACTCATCGCCTGTGTTCGTTGCCGTGATCCTCTGTGGCAATCTAGCTCATATATTTACAGTTATCCTTGACCAGTTCTGTGGCAGGTATAATCACAGGTGTCTACTCTTTCGAAGCAGGCAACATCACTAAACTCAATAATCAGAAGACGTCCATCGCCGTCGGGGTAATTAACTAACTAGACATCCTGTGTTCATTGTGCTGATCTACACATAGATTGTGTGTGGAGTGTCTGCCCTGTGTGACATCATCATCGCTTTCTGCATGACTTACTACGTGAGCTCTTCCCTTTCAGCTATTTTTGTTGATGTTGACCCTGTTTCGCAGCTTATGCGCTGCGATATCGGTTCCCGTCAGACCCGAATCCTAGTCACAAAGCTAATTCGTCTCACTATTGAAATGGGATCCGTGACAGGTATTTACTCCCTACTATTCACGTTGCCAGAAGATTAACACCCCCTGTTTTTAGCTGTTATCACTCTGCTTAACCTTGTCCTCTTTTTTGCCTTCCCTCATCAGACCTTCTATGGGACGCCTGCCTTGATCATGCCCAAGCTGTATGCTAATACCGTCTTCATGGTGCTGAACTCACGAATCAGAATTATGAGTGGACGGGATACCTATGCGTCTTCAACTGATGAGCTTCACGATCGCTATGATACTAGATACCAACTCCCAGTCAACTCAAGGCACATGGCGGAGGACATCGGTGGTCGCGACATCTAAAGGGGTATTCAATGACAATTTCGAAATGGGACATATGAATGTTAGTCATCGCGATTTATGTGCGCGCGCTTTATTAGAGCTGATCTCCTCGCAAGGACAAACCACCCGATGACAGCATGAGCTTCAGTGCGTAGCTGTTAGTATAAATCCTTTGAGCCGATACGATGTACGCGATACCCTTGATTTGTTTATCTCGTCTTGTCGTAATAAACACTGATACCAACATTATGGCTTCATATACCGATGTGTCCCGCTCGGCTCTATGATCATCTGGATGATTGATTTCTGTACGGCTTGAACTGATTCTTCTCACTTCTGATATGAATTCTGTGATGATGTCTATTCCAAGAGCGTCATCTGTGTTTGACAGCCAATCCAAAGAGTGAGGGAAAGCAATAGACGGCGGCACAGTTTGCACCGGCAAGATGAGCTGTGTCGGTACCAATATATCGCAGGCAGGTTGGGAGAAGAGAGGAGCAGCCTCAGATTCTACAGCCGTGTGTACAGGACCAGAAGAAGGGCTCATAAATTTACTATATCTAATGAAAGTGCTGACAGTAATATTCGTATGTGGAAAGTAGAGTTATATGGGCGGCCAGTTAGGACCGACGGTATTGTGAACTTTGGGCGAGTAACAATGGCTGGCATAGCCTCCGGCACGTCCTTCAATACTAGCTTGTTCAATTGGTGCCACGAGCAGGCTCGTCTGCGCTGATGATTCTGGGTCCGTGACTGATAAAATCTATCTTGTTGCTCACAAGACGGAACTCTCAAAAATAATTTGATCCCAGGAAAAGAAGTACAGAGATGATGGTGTTGGTGTTGGTTTCGTATTCTATTTAAATAGATCAGAGGGTGTATAACAGAAGATTCGGTGCCATGATAGATCCCCAGTCCTGAAGATTAATGTCATCATTGATCAAAACATAAAAATAGATGGGTTCAAGAAGGAGAACTCAACCAAGAACGAGCAATAATAATCCGCAAAGGAATTGACAGGGCGGAAGGAATAGAAGTCAAGGTAAATTAGCCCACATGAAAAAGGGACGGTGCGCCCAGCGAGCGCAGGCATGATCCTGAAGGGGAGAGCAACCATAGTGTAGATTATTAGACTGATACATGAATTTGCTGTGAGTGTAGATTATCAGACCTTTAACGAAATCTTTAAGGACCAAGCGTATTCCGAGGAGCAGGAACCAGTGTATCTTTGGCATATCGTCAGATTGGACAAAGAGTTCATCAAAGACCGTGTAATCCCCACTTTGTGATTAAACCGTAAAGGCGGGGACAGGGAAATAATCAAGGAACAATGAGTGCCATGTACACTCGTAACTGTCCCTCACCACTTGACGTCGTAAGCGAGAAAGAATCTCGCTTTCTTGCTTGCAACGACTAGTAGGGTTGTGAGACGAATAGTCACCAGTCTAAGCTCCATGTTGATGTGCCGGGATTCGATGATCACGTCCATAGCTAGGACAGCCCATCTTCCCTCGCGGTGTAGCAAATTTGCATCATATACGCTCGCATCCTGATTACCCACGTGAAACAGTGGTGAGACGTCACGACACTGTTTAATAAAACAAACTCCTTCCATACGGACGACGATCTTGTAGTGATTGGACTATTGAAGTTGTATACCAGAATGTGCGTATTCTTGGGACTATGAAAGTAAACAATATCACGGCATTCTGTACGGATTGACATATGAACCTCCAACGTGTCTGAAAGCAAGGAACCCTTGTATTTTCTGAGTGGTGGCGGCGTGCTTCTCGAGCCGCGCTTTCGCATTCTCCAAAACCCGAGCTCGAGCCACCTCAGGCAGGATAACAGACAGCGCCGTTCTAAAGAAATCGTGTACAGAACCCTTCTGCACGTCGAGTGTTACATGGACACCTCCACTTCTCATCTGCTCAGCAAATTGTTCGCACTCTCTTTGGTAGGCCTCGGCATTGCCAATAGAAGTGAAGATCTTGGAGTAGCCAGTGTGGAATTCTTTCGGAGCCCTATCTAGACAAGATAATGTTAGCTGCTGGGTAAAGTACCGCAAAATAAATGCATTTACTAGGGGTGAGATACGGTGACCAAAGCAGGCTAGCCATGCATACTCGGGAACCCGTATCGTTTCAACCTTCTCATCCTTAGTCACGCCCTTGATCCAACCGTCGTCTGCAGGTTCGAGCCAAGCGAAGGAAGTCGTTTTCAGTTCTGCTTCGATCACTTGGTGCGTCTTGTCCGTCGATTGTATCGGAACGCCCCAAAGAGGAACTATGAACATTATCCAATGAACCATTTGAACGCCGACATATCATTTAAGAGACTGGTATGTTCTGGGTCGTGGTTTGGGGAAGATGTAGCGATCAACCCAGTATGGCAGGAGGACGACGAGAGAGACGACTCATAAGGTAACGAAGAGTCCTTTGACTAGCTGCCTGAATGTCGACGGGTATTGCATGGTAGATGTAGGTGACTGCATCCCAGAAAAGATTATATTGGCATCCGGGTCAAGCGTGGTACTGAATTGTAGAACGATGGATTCTGAAACCAGCGGCACCATAGGGATCACACGGGCTAAGATCAGGTATTGAGGACGGGGGTGACGAATGTGGTTGGCAGCTAAGAAAAGGGAAGTCTCGATATGGACATGAACGCCAGGACCCCGAAACTGGGGCAGTGTAGACTTGGTGTAGGTCATTGTGACATGTATAACAAACCGTACTTAGATGCAGATAGTAATCCAATGAAGAGCACAGGCTCACGGAAATTGCCGAAGTTGATCCTTGCTTTCTTTTCCTTCTACCAACATGTTCTAGATCATCGGTCTTGGGCTCTGCGATGCACAGCTGGGTGGCGACTATTTTGCGCGGGTCAAAACGGAATCAAAATCCTTGGCACCCCCCTAATAAGGAAATGCTGAAGGACTTTGACCGATGCAAAATCCCAAAAGTGCGTTTTGATGTCATTTTGACTCGTGCAAAATAGCTGTCACCCAGCTGTGATGAAAAAGAGGTCACCGTTCGTGGACTCGAAGTAGAATGTTCAGTACATTCTGACAGGCCAATTTCTTACCATTTTACAGGCCATCAATGCATCAAGGACTAAGAATACTGTTCCGGTTGGCGAGAATCGGCGGTTTTTCGTAGAATGTTTTCTTGCACACGTCGACTCAATACACAATATGGCGATGAATAACTATTATACCAGTCTCTCTCTTTTGTGCCATCGAGGTACTGGTATATCCTTCCGGGTGGCCATACGCGTGAAGACTCGCATTTGATGGAAACCGACGGCAATGAAATATTGCCGAATGCCAACAGGGAGGATGTGTTCTTGTTGGTTGGGGATCCATTTGGGTGGGAAATATTTCGTTTTATTTGGTAGCAGACTGACATCGAAGATTGTAGGACAACGATACATACCGAAATTATCTTTCGCGCTTCCGCTTTGGGTATTACTCCCCGTGTCATCCACAATGCATCGATAATGAACGCAGTAGGCGCCTGTGACCTCCAGCTCTACAACTTTGGCCAGACAGTCTCCCCAGTTTTCTTCACAACGACATGGAAACTCGACAGCTTCTACGATGAGAATCAAGGAGAACGCGGATCTCGGTCTGCGCACGCCCGTGTTGCTGGATATAGAGGTCGAGGAGCAGAGTGAGGAGAATCCGGCTCGATGAAGGACATTCTTCCTGTCTCCCTCTCCCCCATCTTAATATTTGTGTCAGCGGTCGGAGGATCTACGGACCACCTCGGTACATGTCGATACGACAGGCTGTCTCTCAACTCATACAGATCAGTCTTTAAGGCAGACTGGGACACTATCTCCTGATACAACTCCTGCAGTCGTGCTTTCTCGCATCGGCGGTGGAAGCGATAATAAGAGCATTGTCTCCAGTACCTTGACCGACCTCGTGAACCATGCAGAAGATGCTTTCGGAGATCCTCTGCATAGGCTCCTCATCGTTGGCAAACGACTTTCACCTTGTCGAGTTCGAGTATGCGCAAGACTTTGCTGTTGATCTCGAGAAATGGAGAAGTATGAACATGCATGTCTACGGATGTGTATTGGATTAGGTTCGGTGGAGCCAAGAGTCACGGTGCTTCGCTGTGTATATTTTAGCGTACGTTGTTGAAGCTATACGCTCACGTATGTGCCCTTTACATGACATTTCTTTATAGTATTATCGTCTGAAGTCCCGATGTTTCACTTCAAAATGATAAGGTCTATCGCCGTGGTAACATATCGACTATACAGGTCCACGCTGTTTTCGTACTCGAGGTCCAATATTTGCATACTGCGAAGGCTCTGTAGCATCGAATGACAAGACATAATCACTGGTATCGAAGTCAACGACTGTTGAAGTGATACAATCTGCCACGGTGAGTCTAGGGAGCCCGGTGAGAGTAAGATCTGAGTCTAATCAGCTGAGTTGATTCCCATAGGCAGTCAAGATATTATGGGCCGTATAGACCCCATGTTGTTATCTCTGTCAACAGATCTGGGATTCGATTTCGGCACATAGTACATTGTTTTCCCATGGTTCCATTTCCTTCGATACGATGAGCCCTCGAGCTCTGGCCCAGCTGTACGTCTCCTTGACTCTCCCCATGGACTACGATTGTCTGAGGGATACTTGGAGGACATGAAGCAGAGATGGATACAGAGATTGCCGCACTCCGAGCTACGGGGCTTCTTTAGAACCAACAAAACCATCAGATGCAGTAGAAGATCAGGAAGATTTACGATGTGACAGCAGCATCCAGTGCTCCTGGTAAGCAACTATGTTCGGACAAGCAAAAGGCGAAAATGGGTGGATGTTATAGGATATTTTGACCCAGGTTTTGACCAATGCAAGATGATCGGGGTTCCATTCAATGGTAAAGTCCACATATCTTGCTATGGTCAAAAGACTTTGCGGAAATTTTATTTATATTCCAATCGTTTCCATCGCATTTTAACCGGCGCGAATCAGTCACCCGGGCCTGCCAGGAGCGCTCTATATGTTCCTGCTTACAGTTTATTCCGGGGGTGGTTTCAACATCAATTTGATATCAATACGCCTGCTTTCACTTCATACGAAGATTCCTTCTGAACCATGGTGCGAGAGTATCATACACTTTAATGGATTAATGCACTGACCACTGATGGACATGGTTGATACTGTCGTTTAGCTTAGTTGCTGCGCAACGCCGCGTGGCCTTAGGAACTCGAGTGCCTTCTTTCTCTCACATGGCTGTTCAGCATATATGTACGGGTTGTTTCCATTCAGGACCAGTAAAACTACCTCGAATACAACATGCTGCCCGTACCCCCAGGTTATCCCATCGAAACACTGTATGTTATCGTCATGAACTGGAGAAATGGTATGTACTGAACCATCTTACTTCAGGACGGGACCTGTGGTTGGTTTTTCTTTTCGTGTTTGAGCCATTCAATCCCTCACACGACAATTCAGCTCGTCGCCTGCCTCTTACACTGGGGACTCTTTGGGACTCTTTCTGTGCAGCTTTGTGCGTCGCTCATTTTCCAATAGCACCGTCTCTAATCCATTCTTATTAGATCTGTACTATCTGGCATTTCCGAATGACAGAAATTTTACAAAGTATCTCGTCTATGGCATCTACATTTTCGAGTTTACCCAGATGATACTCGTTACCCATGATGCCTTTGCCGCGTTCGGTTACGGCTTTGGGGATATCGTAGCCCTCACTGACATGCATTTTGATTGGCTAACTGTCCCCATCATGAGCGGCACTGGTGCGTGCAGCATCTTCTACTCATTTCCGTCACTTATCTGGGTACAGTTGCTTGCGTTGTCCAGGTTTTCTATGCGTACCGAATCTTCATATTGTCGAAGTCTCGAATTGTCCCCATATTCGTCATCTGTGTTTGTTGCCGCGCCCTTTCTCAGTGACAGTCTAGCTCATCTATTTACAGGTATCCCTAACAAGTTCTGTGGGTGCCATAATCACGGGCGTCTACTGTTTCCAAGCAGGCAGCCTCATTAACCTCAGTAGCAGCAAGGTGTCCATCGCGGTCGGGGTAAGTAACGGACTAAGCATCCCGTGTCCGTCGTGCTGATTTTATGCATAGATTTGGTGCGGAGCCTCTGCCCTGTGTGATATCATCATCGCTGTCTGTATGACGTACTACGTCAGCTCATTTCTTTCTTTCAGTTATCTTCGTCACTTGATGTTAATCCTGTTTTGTAGCTCATGCGCAGCAAAACCGGTTTCCGTCGCACCCGAATTCTAGTCACAAAACTAATTCGTCTCAGTATTGAAACAGGAACTGTGACAGGTATTTGGCCCACACCATCCACTGTTGCCGGAAGATTAATACCGCCTGCTTTTAGCTGTTGTTTCTCTGCTCAACCTTATCCTTTTTTTTACGTTCCCCCATCAAACTTTCTACACGACGCCAGCCCTCATCCTGCCCACGCTGTATGTTAACACCGTTTACATGGTACTGAATTCGCGAATGCGGATTATGGGTGGGCGAGATACCTATATGTCTTCGACCGATATGAGCATCACGACCACTATAATAAGAGATATCACCTCTCAATCAGCAGAAAGCACACAGCCTGCGGATGGGACGGAAGGACAGGTGTCAGCGGTCGTGATATCCAAAGAAGTATTCGACGATAGTTTAAATGAGTGTCAGTCATAGTGATTCGTGTGCTTTATTAGAGCTAATGTTCCCCCAGGGACAAGCCACAGTACGGCTGTGTGAGCTTCCCCACATAAACCGATGGAGTACATTCTTTGAGCTCATACCGTGGATAGGAACCTGCCCTAAGTTATTTATTGAAATACGCACTGATGCCAGATGTTACGACCTTACGTACTGATATGCTATGTGTATGAATACATACCCAGAATTACTTCTTCTCGACTACAAACGAGGATGAATGTCGAACGCAAAGGTACATGTAGCAGCTTGAAGACGGCTGACATCGTGGCGGCCATAGTCTTGGCACTAATCCAAGATCGAATGGCTAGCTCAACTCGTCTACCCGGCTTTTACAGCAAAATACGAGGGTTCTCATTGTCGTCGTATATTAGGGTACTTCTGTCGTACAATGTTAATGCTTGAGTCGCTCTGCTGGCCGCTCCGTCAATTAATAGACCTGTGGAACACTCTGACTCGACAAGGACGACCAGAGGCTGACGATCTTCCAGAAGATAGGGCCTACTGTTCTGAAAAGGAGGCTTCCCGGGCCGCACGCGTACCCTCTAATAACGCTGAGACTTGTCGTCCCCTGCATTGATTTATAAGATACATCAAGTACGATGATCGTTCCACCCACAGGCTGAGATTCGACGGTTCTATTTCTGTGCAGCAACACAGTTACCAGCAGCTACTGTCCTCGGTGTGGTATGCTTAAAACTTGATCACCTCCCTATAGCCTTCTCCCATTTGTCCATACAGGAATACCCATCATGATCTATTCGCTCAGGGTCAGAAAACGCTCGAAAGACAGCGAAAGAATCGCTCACCGAAACTTTGCTCCCTTTCACATGTGCACATACCCCGCCTCCACGTCTCCTCATCCCTGGGACAATGTGTGTATGGGAAATGCTCATATCCAATCTCGTCAAAGACATGAATCTGATCTTTGTTCGCAAACAAAGCGGCGGCTATACTGTGCACCGGGGCATCGCCCCACCGTTCATAGTAAAACCCACCCTGGGACTCGAGGTAGTCGAAGACCGCTGTGTAGGCCGGCCCTCGGCAAAAGTTCATATCCGCTATTTCAAAATTGCTCCAGACTGCCGAAAGTAGCTATGTAAGAGGCAGAAAGAACCTGAGGCATGCGGGAGACGAGCTCACAGTGACATAAATTATACGTCGTACCGCCGTCGTTCGAGAGGAAATCTAGCGCGTTATTCTCAGCGACGAATTCAGGGTGCAAGTTAATGAAATCTTTGATATGAACATCAAGAGTTCTATCATGCGGGATACCAGTTCCCAATCAACGGAAGGCACAAAACGAACAGAAGAACGAACGCCAGTAATCGCGATAACCAAAGAGGTATTCAACGATGGTTATGAACTGGGTCGGATGAATGTCAGTCATCGTAATTCATGCTCTTGATTAGAGCTGACTTCCCCCAAGGGCAAACCACAGGACGACAGTATGAGCCTTCCTGCCAACTGTTAGAGTACATTCTTTGAACTCGCACGCGTTCGGGAACCTGCCCTAATTTATTATTGTCTTGTCGGAGTAAAAGACCAATGCCAAATCAAAATGTCATGTCCGCTTTGCTCATACTCATACGGTTATACAGAGGCTCGATTGTCATTCATGACGAGCGCAAACCATCGATGAAGTAAGACGTGTATATGTTCGGTGCCTTTGAGACGCGACCTTTAATCCATCTCCGAGCATCAGATTACAGTCTTAGAAAGTCTTTCGAGCACTCACCTATTTGATCCGGTCTTTAGTGACTTCCAATTCTCCATCATCAGCGACGATTCAATGACGCGTGCTTCCAGTTGTGTGCTGGGTTTGAACACAGTAAGTGGACGGTTTTCAAGAGAGACAAATCCTACGCACCACAGCACCCACTGGACGAGATAAAGATATCGTGCCGCCGTGTTTATCTTGACCAGCTTCGTACTGCTGGGAGAGATTTGTCAAGACGCAGTGTGGGGGAATAAAAGACTTGTGTAGGGTAAGGGAGCCTCGACATCGTCCAGCTAAAGGTACTGCGTAACAGTTCCGCACCTGCGGAATACGACAGGCTCGTAAATTTGTTGTTCGCGTGATGCTGCGCTGTATGCAAATAACTTTCAGGTGCCCGGCCCATTTCAAGGTATCTAGCGAAAGAACGGCTTGATACTGTGACATGTTGAGCTAACTGAGATTAATTCAATAAAAATTTTACATCAGCTGCTAATGTACTCGCTCATCAATGATAATATACATTTTCAGTGCCAAAGACGCGAAAAACGACGAGCAGAAGTAGCTGCCGTGCAAGTTGTTAGATATCATTCAGATGGCTCCAGCTGCAGTGGCTGGAGTTCACGGTCCTGGACAAACTTCAAATTTGTCAAAGAATATTCACACATATGAGAGCAGACACTGATACAAGCCACTACCTCGTTTCATATAACTTTTTCTCTCTTTGTTCGCCGTTGTTGCGCTGCTGCCTAGGAGTCCTTGACATGTTGATCCAGGGGAAGTGTCACCAGTGCATTTAGCTAAACTTTTGTTTCCCCACAAAGATTAACTCCATGCAAGAAACCACACTATTTCTTCAGCGGCAGCTCAGCGCTGAGCGCTCGGAAGGATTATAATAGAGTCGAAGGGGTTACCGGTAATTTGAAATGTGCCACCTAACATCTACCACCATGACCATATCAGCGCTCATTCTTCCTTTCCAACTTTCATCAACTTGCCAACGTACATTGAGGGAATGTTCGGCACCCTACATAACCTTTGCACCTTTTCCAAGCAAGCCTGGTTCTCCGGAAAGCCTCGATGGACCCCAGCCCAGATGCCAGACTTGAAGGGAAAGGTCGTTATAGTGACCGGTGGCTCGTCAGGGATAGGGAAAGAGATAGTCAGGGTGTGTCACTCTCGAGTTTTATACGCGTGCTAAAGCTAAATTTTCCCAGGAATTGCTCCTTCACAACGCTAAAGTGTATCTTGCTGCGAGGAATCCCGAGAAGACGAGAAATGTTATCGAGGAATTGACGAAGGCTACGGGGAAGACTGCGGATTTCTTGAACTTGGATCTAGGAGACCTGAAATCTGTGAAAGCCGCTGTGGAGGAATTTCTTTCGTGTGTATCGCGTCGTATGCTGCCGCTGAGCATTTCTCATGTTACCACAGGAAAGAGAAGAGTCTCGATATCTTATTCAACAATGGGTAGGATTTACGACAGATGCGCTTGGCGGCTATCTAATCATCATTATCGCGTCAGAGGTGTGATGCTAGCTCCCCACGAAATGCTCACTGTCCAAGGCTACGATTATCACTTTGGCGTTAATGTCCTCGGTCACTTTTACCTCACGAAGCTGCTGCTACCGGCATTGCTTGCAACAGAAAGCAAGGCTCGCGTGGTTACGACCTCGTCCTCGGCTATCTATCTACCTTTGGGGAGCAAGATTTCGTTCGACACGCTCAAGGATGGACCAGCGAGGAAAAGGAAATCCCTGAAGGATCTGTATGGTCAAAGCAAAGTGGTACGGACGTTCATTCGTCTTTGTAAGTATGTAGACGCTAATTAATGGACAGGGCGACGCGATGTTCGCGTTAGAACTAGCGAGGAGGTACGGGGACAAAGGGATAGTATCTATCAGCCTTAATCCCGGTAACCTAAAGACGCATCTCGACCGGCATGCGAATTGGTTGAACACCATTATTTTGGTGAGTGTTGCACCTTTGTTTCTTGTTCCTTTTGCCCATGCAAACTCGTTGACAGTGGTTCTTGCTCTTATGGCCCGCAACGTGGGGCGCGTGGACGTCTCTATGGGCCGGCACGAGTCCAGAAAACGAGGATGCGAACGGCAAAGTACGTTCGTTTGTGGCAGCTCTATGACAAAGGCTTGCTGATGCGTAGATTAGTTCATGGTTCCGTGGTGTCGGGAGGGTAAGACGACCAAGCCAGTTCGAGATTCGGAAGTCGGCGAGAGATTATGGATTTGGATGGAGGACCAGGTAAAGGATATATAATCCAATGCTACTCTAGGTGCGATTGTCAAAACCCATTCCAACTAAATATTCATGCTGTGACGACAATTGCCGGTCGAATGCCTGAAATGATTTCCGTGAAGTCGCCGTTAAAGTGGTGTCGGCTGCTGATGCCACGACTTGCATACGGAGGACGTCGACGTCGGTTCCGATTTCTTGCCTGCTCTCGGCTGGCTGGCATTTTATTAACCGTTGAGGCTGGCTCCCTTCTAGGACGGGGCAGGCTTATATTCTGATATGGTGACTCTTCTTTTCCTTTGTGCCTGCTTTGTGCTGCACAAGAAATGATAACGAGAAATCTATTTTGTTTAATGCTCCTTTCACACATGAAGAAGACCCCCTTGGTTTCCTTTGTTCTGAACGCGGGAATACCTTTTCCATTCCGTTTTGCACTTCTCCTTGTCCTAAACGAGTACGGATATAATCCTTCTGCTGATTACTCTTGACTCAGTTTTGGGGATTAGAGGATCGCACGAAATGTCACAACACACTAAGGTCTCGTTTCTCCCATGGAGAAATTTGTAGCGCTTCAGTAGTGACTGTGCCTTGTGCCTTGACTGTTTCATCCTCACGGAAGGATTGAGGGTTTGTCAAGTTTCACGAGGCAGTGAGGCGCTTAGAGTTGAATCTCCGTGCGTACTGTCAATTGCCGACTGTACATCACAGGATCCGACCTGAGATCCGTGCTTGCTCCCGAAATGCATCATGAAAAGAATGCAGAGCTCCCACTGCAATGTCACGACGTGATATGTGAAAAGGAAAGTTTTCATGAAGAGGGAAAGCCGTCATGTTCAAAGACAATGTCATGCATCAGACAAAGAGGAATCCTTTATGTCCTTGAAATCAATAGAAATTTGCTAGAAATGAAAGCGTCTGGTGTTCAAGCAGGCACGGCAGTGCGGGCCGTGAGTCACGGTCGCCACTGCAGCCAAGCAGGAACAAACATCCGGTCGTAGCCATCAACGGTGCTGAATCAACTCTCTCTAATACCTGTTCTTTCTCTTCTTCTTGTTGCGATACTTGCTCCTTTTCTACGCACAATTTCCGCTCGGATAGCGAAGAAGTTCTAGGCTACCTCCTGATACCACTACTACGCACTGATTGGCCACCATGCGCGAGTCCAACTTTGCTTTTCCGGCTCAAAACAAGGCATGCGTTTGTATAAGTTCTCAATTGTACGACAGACGAGGTGATTAGTGGCAAATATGTATCTATTTCTTGCTGAAATGGCTTTTTAGCGCTAGATACGTCGTCGGCGTTACCCTTGTTCAACTCGCTGACGCATCTTACCTATCTAACTTCGACGTCACCGCGAATCCGTGAAATCATGACTATGGACGGCGGCCTGGAACGGCTTGTCAAGATTCTGCACGAATTCTGTCTCTGTCCACCGCCACCTGAAAATCCGGCTCTCTTCTATGGCCTGTCGCCGCCCAACGCCCGGCCTCAGAAACTAACTCCAGCGCTTAATCCACCGTCTTTTGACAAGCATGCCGCCTATCGTTTCTCTCTTGCATTTCAGTGTGTTGTGAATATAGGTGTACGCGGTAGCGAGCCTATCCGAAGTCGTGTCGTTCAGGCGGGTACTCTCGAGGTCGTGGGATGTATTTTAGAAGCATGGCTCGCTAAGAAGGGCTTTGCGGTCGGCCCGAGCTCTAGTGCTACGGGGCTGCCTCGAGAGACTAGGGAGCAAAGACACGCTCGGAGGCAGGCCATCGCTGAACAGCGTCAGAGAGAGGAGGCGGTTGAGCTGGCGAGGGCACTGCAGAGGCAGATATCAGTCGAAGCTTCGCAGGTACGTTGACTTAAGTTTTCTTCTTTTCTTTCTTTGTTGATGGTGGAGACAGTCCAATACACCCGTAACAAGTGACACTGATGCTGATACTTCCGCCGAGGTATCTACGACCGTGACGCCTCTCGGATCCAATACTCCTACCGGCAGCGTTGTAGTTCCCGGTCGGGATCGTAGTGGGACTATCATTGCCCGGCCTGTATGGGATCCAGCACCCGCAGTCAGGTCTCCAAACACAGTGGGTGCAGTACGACCCACGCCTGTCCCCGGTGCTCGACGGCGCTCCCGAGCTTCTCCATCACCCTCAACTTCCACAGACACCTCACGGGCCGAGACAGAAACCGAAGACGACGGCGACATCGACATGGACCAACCATCACGCGCTGCGGATGATGATCCATCAACGTCGACTTCTGCTTCTGCTTCTCCATCTCCAGAACGTCATTCTCATCACGGATCGCTTGGACGCCGCGCGGTTGGCATAGTCTCTGACGCACCTGCGACGCAGGTGGACTTGAATACGGATGCACACATAATTATTAATGATGCACGAAGCGAGGTTATGGTCGGCGGAGATGGGGGTGTCGAGGAAGGTATCGTATCATTGGAGCAAAACGATGATTTTGCAATGGGGGCCCCTCCTGGTGCTCCTGGTGCTATCGATGAACCGCCTCATGTAGGTATGAGAGAACCGACAAGGAGGCGGACGGCAGACGCACCTCCAGAAGCAACACCTCGGCCAGGGACTGCCCCTCTTCCTTTGCCTCGCGGCCCCGTACAACGTACTGGAACCGTTCGCGGGAGAACTGATGCGGCTGGCGGTACTGAGATCGGCGGCACGGCGCGCTCAAGCCATCACCATCATCATCACCGAGATGCTGAGTCTGGTCCTTACAGAGACGAAGATGTTCTCCTCAGCTTGCAGCTTCTTGCATATTTAAGCAAATACCCACATGTCAGGCAGGCGTTTTATGAGCCTCGATTGACGTTTCATCCAGCAAGCGCGAATCTATCCGGCGGGAGGTATGGTTCTACTACGACGTCGCCCGCCCCGTCGATCAAATCGACTTCCTCATCGAGCACATTGACACCTTCATCTACATCAGGGTCATTCTTCCGAGCCTTCAGAGGAAGGGACAAAGAGAAAGAGAAAGCACCGCCTGTAGTTCCGCCCGCTCCTTCTGGTAGCCCGAGGCAAACAAACGTGTTCTCGCTTGTAGAACGATTTACGTTCAGGCCTAGTTCGACTGAGACTGATATGCCTAATCCTCCTCCGCGCTTACCCCCGGAGATTCAATACTGGGCTGGAGTTATTATGAGGAATGCGTGTCGGAAGGATGAGAGCCGGGGTGGGATACGACAGTGTGCTAATAGTAAGGTTCATCCAATGTCCTCTGTGGATACTTTCTAATTCTTCGTAGTGCTATGTGGTCGGTGGGAAGAGTATCCCAGAGAATTCGCCAAGTGTCGACGGTGTAGGAAGGCCAAGTATTGTGGAAAGGAGTGTCAGAGTACGGCTTGGAGTGAGGGACATCGGTTTTGGTGCAGTGCGAAGGATGCAGATGATGATGATCCATCGCATCCTCCTTCTGGGCCTGCGCCTGGCAGTGATGGAAACGGCGGGTCGGCTGGGGATGGAGGCGGGACTGGTACTGCGCGCAGGCCGAGGACACTTGGAAATGTTGGAGCGGCTCCGCCCGCTGGAGGAACAGGAGGCGGCGGCGGTACGAGACTTACCGGTGGAGCAACGAGGACTGCTGCTACTGGCGCTCATCAACCTACTGCCAATGCTATATTCGTCGGACAAGGAGACCCCCGACCGGTCCAGGTACCAGTCACGACCTACCGACCCAGAAGGGAGAGACGATTGCCGTCAGATGCGCTCTTGAACGTTCTAAGCGAAGACCAGGATGCTAGGAGAAGACGAGCCGAAGCTAACCAGACGGCGACTGTCACCCAGGACGTCCTTGGGATACTAAGGCCGCCAGGGCCTGGTCCTCATTCGCAGTTACAAGGACTCATGAGACCAAGACCAGATGTTGACCTTGATATGGTGCTGGGTTGAGGATTTCAGTGTCGGATTCCTTTCTTTCTTTTTCCCTGGTTTATAATCTGCTCGATGTCTCTTCTTTTCCATGTTTTTATCTCGCATAAGCATATCATATACAGCAGCAACACGTCCACTCCACCGTTTCCTTGTCTGTCCCCTCTTCCCCTCTTCATCTAGCCATCCGTAATCATCATTCATTCTTGCCCGTGTCCCTCCCCTCCGTCGAGTATTATGTTTAGTTCTACTCACGTCATATCACATCGCTATGTAGGTACAGTCTTTTTGGTCTGCTAAGTGTATACACATCATGTCTTTGGCAGTTTTTCTCTCCATTTATTTTATGCAGGCGGTGATGACCATAAATGGAATATTCTCACGGGACCGCTGATTGCATAAGCCTGCTTCAAATTTTCTGCGCCGGGCCGTCGCGAAACTTGAACACGAACTTTTTTCTTCCACCTTCTCGGCTTTTTCGTTTTCCTCCCTACTACAAAGATGTTAAGTACAGATATTGGCGGGAGGTGACGAAGACTGATCCTCCGTTTCCTATAGGCTGCCCAGGCGACTTTCAAATCTATCAAAGCTCTCGTTCCTCTCCTTGACCGAGTGCTAGTGCAGAGGTTCAAGCCGGAGACAGTATGTCGTATACTTTATCTTTTGTTATACAGAGACTGAAGCGCTATGTCTGTGCCAGAAAACTGCTACTGGGATCTTCTTGCCTACGTCGGCGACGACGAATCCCCTGCCAGAGGCCACCGTGATCGCTGTTGGCCCCGGTGCGCCGAATAAGGATGGTCAGATTGTGCCTACACAGGTGAAGGCCGGAGACAGAGTACTTTTGCCTGGATGGGGAGGCAACGCGATCAAGGTTGGCGAAGAGGCGAGTCTTGTTCGATTCAGTTTTGTTGTTGTTCTGAGACCTGGGCTATGTAGGAATATTTCTTGTTCAGGGATTCGGATATCCTTGCTAAAATCCAGGAGTGAAGTGTGTAGGAGGGTATCTATCTTCGTACGAGGTGTATGTGCAAAATCAACGAATGTGTTCTCCCCCACTCAATTTGCTCTGAATGTTCGAGAAGTTTCGTCGGTGACTTTTAAGGAAATGATTGCTGGTCCCCTGGAGCGACTTTTGGGATGCGTAAGATGCCCTGACCTTTGAGTATTTGAATGACCTAAGTGGGAGTACATTGTTTCCAAAGTCATATATAAAATCGGTACTGTAGTCGAAGCTGGGTAAATTAGTATGTATTGTTATATTACTTATACACGAACACCCTCTAAGACGGAATTAGTTAACGCTGCTCATGTCTACGTCGAGACGAAGATGCAGCTGATTCTGTGAAGGCAGAGGGATACCAATGGCATCTGCCTGAGGTTCACACTTTATGGGTGCGGGAATCGGAAGCTGAGCCGGGTTGGCCTGTACTTCCTGCACAATAACGCGTGTTAGATGTCAGCACAAACGTTTGAATAGAACACGAACCTTGCCATCAGCGTCAGCCATCAACGGCGTTGTGACCGCGCACTTGAAGCTGAACGCCGGCGTGGGAGGCAGCGGAAGTGTCTTGTGACTTTGTCCTCCACGGCGATGCCTCCCTACCCGCTTGGAGCCAACTATACGACGGACTTGGCTGTTGACTTCTATCTCATCCTCTGACACGACTTCAAAGACGAGATAGGTATCAAGGTGGGAGGCATTCAAGTTGGCAAAGACGCGTTTGTTAGCTGTTTCGCCGGAAAGCGGATCCGAGAGCGAGGATGACGGGAACTCGGGAATGGGTTGTGCAACGGGAGGTTCGAAGTGGTCTTGATAGTAGGAGAAGTCGGGGGCACCCATTTTTAGGAGGCTGAATGCTGGGGAAATTGGAATGGTGGTGGTTACGGGGAGAGTATAGCGGCACAGCAGATCCTACATATATCCGCGCAGCGGCTGACCCCAATAAAGGCTCAATGTCAGAAAATACTAGTAATCGCCATCATGTGACGGAATACAAAGCTGCGCGTCCTTCAATTTTGTCTAAGTATCAGAAGATCAGAGACAATTGAACAAAGCCAAAGATAGACATGACCAACCATTTCTTTCTGGCGGTCCAGAACTGCGCTTTGTATATCCACTGCATCATGGCATTCTGGTCGCTGGTATATTCGCAGTCAACGGTTTCCGGGTGGTCTCGCGGGAAAGTGAAACCGATCTCTCTGGCCGCGTGCAGTAGCTCCTCTAGACTTAATTCCAACTTGGCGGCGCCACCTGAAGACCATAAGAGGGGCCCTAGGTTGATCCAGACGCCGTCGGGATGCAGCAGCGTATGAATTTGCTCCAAAGTCGCAATAACATTGGAAGACGTGTCGATGAAGAAAAGGGTAATGATATAATCGTATTTCTGGTCCTTTGGCAGCTCAAGAAAGTCATCTTGAAGCAGACGCAGATTTCCATCAAGCCTGGGTAGGACGTCGGGGAACTCGACTGCTCGGAATAGCGAGTCGTTCGACCTTTGGTGCGAAAACCAATGGGCATAGGGATAGACTCTGTGCTGATTGAGCGACGACGTAGCCTGTGGTGAAAGCAAGAACTTGAACGCAAAGCTCATGAAAGACGATATTTCGACGGCAGCCGTGTCAAAGCCCTGTTGCGACACTTCCCAGGCAAGCCGACCCAGTCCCGACCCAGGGATAAGGACTCGACGCCCGGCACGTTCACCTTGTGCGAGGGCACCGAGCACGTCGAGAATAGGCGTGAAAATCTTTTCCCGTTCTGCAGCTCCTTCGGTACTCCAATCCCGCACGAAATGCCGAAGCGATTCGCGTACCCTCGACAAATCTCCCGATCCCACGCTGACGTTGTGCGCTGGCCATTCATCCAAGTCGTACTCGACGGCTGCAAGTCGGGCAATGGCGTCTGTAATTCTGGCGTTCGATTCTATGGTTTTTTCAAAGGTATTCAGCTTGGCTGGGTATCCAATATCATAGCCAATCCGTTTGTGTTTCCTTCCAAGTGTCACGTAGGCCGCACGAGCGCGAGAAAGCTCGTGCACAGAGAGCTGACGGTACCGTTTGAACGAGTGAAATGCATGTTGAGGCGAGAATATGCCAGCCTCCGTACGCGCCGCTGAGAAAAGGAAGAAAACGTCGGACCACGCCAATGTTGGGTATACTCTGAAGACGAGGAAGAGAATGAGCAAAGGAAGGAATACAGCGAGCAAGATGTCGAAGGCCATATATGCGCCTTACCTGTGGCAGTGAACGGACCCAGCCACGGCACGTGGGACAGGCGCCCAAGCAGTTGAACTTTGTTCCGTACCACCATCAGCAGAATTGCATTGACATTCATTCGGTCTGTCGACAACGATGACGGTTAGCAGGCAGCCGTCGACGACGTCGCTGGGCAGATATGTTCGCAGCATGTCGCCCATGCCACAAGGCGAACGGAACTCCGATTTCTGTAATACTTTCTGGGGTGTGGACGATATTGGTGTCGGCGTGCTATTCACGAGGATGCGAGGCGCCATGAGAACAATGGAGGAACTGAGAAACTTTTGGAAAGAACGGTATGTGCTAGCAGAATACTGCTGGTCGTCTGCTGATTGGTAACTAGCGCCACTATCGAGGAAGACTACGCGAGGCGACTGGCCAAGCTGGCCAAGTACCCATTAGGCAGAGACGAAATAGGGTATGTCCTTTGCCCATCGATGCGATTAATCTACCTAATAGTGCCTGCAGCGATATCCGTAACTGCCTGGAAATCGTTGTACTCGAAACCCAAAACCAGTCAAAATTCCATAATAGGCTTGCCTATACCATTTCAAAAGAACTAGAGGCCAAGGCTGCGCAGTTCCATACTGACCAGGGTACACATAAGAAGAACTGGCAGAACCCTATAGAGAAGGCATACAAGGCCAAGCAGGCGCAGGAGGGTTATGTCAACAAGGCTCGCGAAAAGTACGAACAGGATTGCGTCCGAATCAACTCTTTCACCGCCCAGAGCACTCTCGTTCAGGGCAAGGAGCTCGAGAAGATTACACTTAAACTTGAACGAGCTAAACAGACGGTGCAAGCTAATAATCGCGACTACGTCAACTTCTCAAAGGCTTACGCCGATACCGCCGCCAAGTGGGAGCAGGATTGGAAAACCTTCTGCGATTCTTGTCAGGATATGGAAGAGGAGCGACTCGAGTTTATCAAAGATAGTCTATGGGGATTTGCCAATGTTGTCTCCGCTGTCTGCGTATTCGACGATAACGTGCGTCTTCTCCCGCTTTATTTCGCTCCGCTCTCATTTCTCTTTTCACATATAGTCATGTGAGAAATTGCGAGTGGCCTTGGAAGAAGCCGAGGTTGAACGGGATATGGAGAATTTCGTTCGTGATTACGGCACTGGTAGTCAAATACCAGACCCCCCAGCGCTCATCGATTACAATCGTCCCGATACCATCCCCTCGTCTTCGTCTGATCCGACCTTCCATCTTGCTGACTTCGTTCGTGTGGCGCGACCGCACAAGAAACGCAAAGTCAGCGATAAACTCTCCGAAGACGATCCTCCAAAGTCAAAGCGTGATGATTTACAGAGGCAGCCCAGTAGGCGCAGTGTAGCGTCTTCAGTGACTCCTCCACCAGTTGTTGAAGAAGAGCCCAAGGTCAATATGGCTGGTTTGGGTGCTGGAGGCCACCGGCAGGCAAGCGAAGACGTGCCGCCTGTCAACGGCGCTTCGTCGTCTGTGAAAGCTGATGTGGAAAGGAAACCCACAGCAGTATCACGGAAGCCTCCTCAAGATCCTACGGAATCAATTGCCCCCACTCCACAGACATTCATGAAGGTGGGTAATAATGCCTATCCTGTGGATGTCTCTCGGGATCCTCAGGAGCAAAGCGGACCGTCTACATCCATCGTTAATAATCATAGCCCATCAAAAGGCGTTGATACCGAAGATCCATTGGCTAAAACTCTTGCCGAGCTTAACAATGCTGTGTCTACGCAAGGAAGCGCGAGGAGAAACAGTATGTGGAAAACATCGCAGAATGTACAGCAACCCCAACCCCGCGCTGCCGGAGCTCCTCTCAGAAGTTCTGGTGCATCACCGGCATTTGGTGGGCCTTCACGACAAGCAACTCTCGCTTCACCGTCCCGGCCAGGAAGTTCCGCTTCCTCGGCCCCTCGCGATTATCGCAATTCTGCGGAGATGGTTGTGGGCGCTCATCCCACCGCGTCGCGGCCCGTGTCACCTAGTCCCGGTCCTTCTAATCCGCCAACAGCTGCATTCATGAAGCCCAGAAACTCTCTTGATCCTTCTGATTCAGAAGTCATCAAGAACGTGCTCACGGATTATCACCAGTCTCTTCCCGGTGAGCGAAAGTCTACTAGTCGTCGTGGGAGCTATAGCGCGCCTTCACCTTCACCTTCGACCGAGCATCAGCAACAGATCCAGAATCTTGGACGGCCGCCTAGCCAAATGGGCCATGCTGGTGTCGGAGCACACGGATCCCTATCCCGAAGCAACAGTCCTCAACCTCTGTCCCGCGGGCCCAGTCCGGCACCTGGATATATCCCTGCGCCACCACCACCCTCGATCCAGCGTTCGGCGAGTCCCAACAATGTGGGTATAGCCCTAGATCCTTCTGGACGCGTGCTTCACGATGATATGGCTCAAAGATACCCGCACCAGCACCAGCAACACCAGCAGCAACAACGGCCCCAGGTCCCGCAACAACCTCCGCCCCCACCGATTCAGCAACAGCAGCCCTCTTATACTCAGCCAGTTCAGAGACGAAGCAGTTACATGAGCATGGGACCGGCTATACCCCCACCACCTCCTCCGGTGCAGCCAACGTATACCCCTGGACCTCCTACCGGATATACCGCACCTCCTCCGGCTCCGGTCCCGGTCGCAACTTCTTATCACCAGATGCAGTACACCGCACCGCCGCCGCCTGCGCAGTACCAAGCCCCGATGCAGCAGCAAGTATTCCAGCCTCAGCCCCAAGTGTATGGTAACGCAGGACAAAATGGCATGCAGCGCGCTACATCGGCTGCTAGTGCTCCTTATTATACGAACGGGACGACTACCCCTGGACGGCAGATGCATGTGCAAGGTGGACCGGGATATCAACAGCCAGCTTCTGTGTATGGGCGGTCGCCTTCTCCTCAGCCTCCGCCACCTCCTGCGCCTCCACAAGAGGAAACTCCTATTCTGTTCTATGGTGAGAATTTACTTTCATTAGCTGTAGATGATTAATTGATGTGATTGCCTACGCTTTTTCAGTGAAAGCCCTGTATGATTATACCGCTACGATCGACGAGGAATTTGATTTCCAAGCTGGGGATGTCATTGCTGTGACAGCTACGCCGGAGGATGGTTGGTGGAGCGGGCATCTACTGGATGATGCTAGATCGCAACCGGGCAGGCATATCTTCCCGAGTAATTTTGTGTGTTTGTTCTAATGCTGACAAGGAGGTTCTGGGTATCCTCTGGCATCTACTTTCTTTTTGTTTCGTGATATGTTTTCTCATTATATACCGTCAGGACGTTCAATCTTTGTCATTCTTTCTGAGACCTGTTCGTTTCGTCCTTCTACACATTTTGTATATTTCCAAACATGTATTGTTCGTTCGGGGCGGCCAGAACCGGTGGTATAAAATGGAAATGACCTAAGGTCAAGTAAGGCCCGGCCTCGATGTTTCGCCGTACGTTAATTTCCCTTATCACAGCAACTTCTGTTACAGGTATTCGAAGGGCAAATTAGCGTTGTTTCCGGAAGATTTGCATGAAGAGTTAGCACCGGAATCGGATTTATCTACCTCAGTCTTCTTTTCTCCTTGCATACATACTTTTACGCATCTTTCCGAAGTAAGTCCTGAGATGCAGACGGATCATATGTTTCTGTAAGGCACATTTATGGGCGACTTGGCGAGGCCAGGGTCGTGTTGGTTACCATAAAGAGAGGCGAAGGATATAAAAGGGCTTGATCAGAGACTGTCTCATTGCCAATGACCCGCGACAAACAATAACGTTCGACAATCACTGTCGACCGTCCATATAATACTCCGTCTGCACATACAGACCGTCATCAACACCGCCCCCATCGCGACAGTCATCTCGCACGGTTTCCAGTGCTGTATATCAAGCTTCAAGGCCTAGACGTTACTGCGGCCTCGAATTTTTAATCTCATTCTCACCCTCCCTTCATTTCTGTCGCTACCATGATGCGCGCAGCTTTCGATATCTACGAGCACCCAGATCTCACTTCATCGGACGTTTGGTCCAAGACGAACCCCTCAGCTAAGAGGGAAGCACTGTATAAAGTCATTGCAGCGTTGTCGCTGGCGGCTGCAGCGTCGACATATATTGTGTATCGATATACTGGTCTAGGGAGCATTCTACAACAGAGGTGCGTGCTGCTTTGTTACTAGGTCGTCCGTGGATCTGACGAGCTTCCTCCAGCTCAACATGGAATTTTTGAAGCAGTCTCGTGCGCTTTTGTGCAGGGGGACGATGAGGGGGCGGCCCGCATTGACTCGGCTACTGTTGGGCGTCGCATCAGATGCATAACATTATTTAATTGCTCGCTTTTCGACAGGTGCTTGTACACTATATTTGTTCGTTCTCGTTGATTCTTGTTCTTCACTGTATCATGGCTCCCATAGTATCATATCCCCTCTCTGTGCTCTACCGTACCATACCACACCTATGCTTTCAACAAGGCTTTCTTATTTCTCCGAATACATCGGTTCCATCGTTATGTTGTCCCGAGTAACGCGTTGCATTGCATTGAGAGCGGTTATCACATGCGAGTGATATTAAGAGACCGCTCCTGTGATACATTTTCTCGGGAAAACAATAGCACGGGGGAGGGCATGACCGATATCGATCGCAATGTTGACAGAAACAATTGAATCATCCGGGCCGATACTAGCGACGTTAACGATTCTTGGTGACTCATTGAGTATCCTGATTGGCGGCAAGGTGGACAGGAAACGCGACGTACCGCGGCTAATTAATTATCAAGACTACGAACACGCGTTTCAATTAGACCTGTAACCGGTCGTCTTCTATATATAGAAGACGACCGGTTACAGGTCTACGTTTCAATAAGCGCAGGAGTTTAAGCGGACGAAGCTACCATATATGGATATCAAGGCCTGCCATTGCGACGGGCGTGAATTGGCATGAACAACTTGAATCTATTTTTTCATCAAGGATATCAAAAACCCGACAACTAGCGCTCCGGCTGACTCAAGTCGGCGCCACGCTCCAAGATATTTACCGAATTGGCAAAAAACTTGCCCCGCTGACCACCTCGAAATGACCGACCAACATTGGTAGAATGTCAGTCTGTGTTACTTGTCAATACAATATCATTTCGAGTGACATCGAAACGCCCATGAGAAAGTCCGAAAACATACAGGGACGTAATATTTGTTGTACAATATAACAAGATGATTCGCTACTTGTTTTTAGTGTGCAAAAATATATCATGCGAGACTTGTCAGTAGCGTTGAAAACATGAGGGTGTCGCACGTCCAATGCGTGCTCGGCTCAGCTCAATTCCACGATATCTTTCTCTGGTCGGGTACATCCACGAGACTGTCAAAACAGGTTAGCACGCAATCTAGTCGCGGTAAAATGGCACAAACTCAATCTCCACCGCATCTCCCACGCGCTTAGCCCATAGATAGATGAGCTGACCCTGTATGCCCTTAGTCTTGATGACTTGCGTGTAGCGCTTATGTCCTTCAGGGTGGAACGGGATTCGCAGTGGCCATCCTCGCTCGCGTGCCATGGGCGGATCGCCCGGAGATGTCCTCACCATGATACTCCTCCGTCGGTCAAAGCAAAAGATGCTCTGGCCTTTATATTTTCCTCCTTCGTGGCTGTAATCGGGAGGCATTTGCGTCCGCAGGAGGAATCTCTCGTCCCCGTACTCGTTGCGGATGGAATCGCCTACGTCCGTGCCGCCGGAATACTTAATAGCCTCTTGGTCTACGGCAAAGCCAAAATCGAGTGTCAGGTCGACATAAGTACGGGCAGGAATGTAGAGTCTATCCGAGGGGAAACTGGATGGGTCGTCCAAGAGGCGCTTGGACGTTTTGCATACTTCTTTGTGTCGTGGCCAGTCGGCCTTGTTGCACTCCGCATTGCAGTAATACTACGAATAGACGTGAGGATATTTTGGATCGTGAGTTGGAAACGCTTACCACTGATTTGCATCTAAGAGGCTCAGGGGTTAATGAACAGATAATGTGAAGAGCATGAATACTGACGAGTTGCACATGAGTTTATTTGCTATTTTCCCGCAAGCTTGGCAGGTCGTTCCCAGTTGCTGGATAGAAACTCCGGTCTCGATCTCTTCCAGGACCCTTGATAAGATAGTATTAACTCCGGTTCAGACTGACATCACGTTCGCAAGACAAACTCACCTCCATCGCAGTCGAAGACAAGGAACGAAGAAGCTTATTCTAGTCTCTTTAATTGCGGCTTGAGATATGCCGTTCCAGTGCGACTGAAGGTCTTCTGAATAAGCTGGGTCGAGGAGTTCGGAATTGTACGACAGAAGACGGGCAAACATCCGCAAATGGGCCTCTGGAACCTTCTCCCCGCATTGCATATGATACTGGAGTTTTTCGCGTACTTGCTTCGCCGACGCTCGAGGCATGCTCTTCTTGATCTTGGATTCGAGGAAAAGAGTGAACTGGGAACCGCCCTGGTTCTTTGTTAGCCGATGAAGATGTGGTTCGAGGAGGGTCTCTCACCTTTGGGCGTCCTTCCATGTAAGAATACCGTACCAGCACCAGCGGGAATTTGGGCGTTTGCATCATTGGGACTAGGGGACCTAAGCTTTGTTTTAGTTCGTGCGGTATCCTGATACTTGGAAAGAGAATGACCATCCGCGGGATGTCCAAACTTGCTCTCTTGAGCGGTTTTTAGTTGCTTCATGAGCTGCGAGGGATTAAGCCAAGGACAAAACACGTCAAAATTCACAAGTACCTTGTCGGAAGGTTCAGGCCAAGCGCATTGCTTGACGTCCAGGATTTCCATGAGGAGTAAATGATCATTGTCCGTGAAATATGTAACAAAGAGGGTGTCGTTTCCACCTTCTCTTGTAATGTCCAACGCGGCCTTGCTCATTGTCGCCTTTGTACCCATCCACGCGCCGGTGATGTCTGAAGGAGCTGTATAGGCAGCGTTGGACATGTTTTCCATTTGCGTGAAAGCAGAGGTCGCGAAATGACGAAAGACATAGCTGTACAAAGCCGTCATTTCCTCTTTACCAGTAGAACGTTAACATGGACTTACGAGTCCATTCTTTTCGCGTCTTTGAATCCATCCATCTGCATGGCACCAATCATGTTCGACTTGAGTTCAGTCTTTTCTTTCTCCCAGTTTGGCCAGACGGGAAACGTAGTAACGTCAAGTTTGGAAGAGGTCAGGTAAGTTTTCCCGTGAAAGAGATTGTCAATCCTTTGAGAATCCCACAACGCGTAGCGGAGTTTCTCGATGACTTCTTCGTCGGACAAGGCGCGTGCTTCTGGAGGTGATAGGCCGGAGACACCCATACACTTTAGCCAGATGAGCGCCTCCATGCGAGTCACGCTGTTGAAGACGCCGTTGTCCTTGTTGGGATCAGCAATACGTAGCTTTCGCGCGACTTCGGCAATCTCGTCGTCGGAGAGATATTTTCTGTTCGCTGAGGACTGAGAAAAATCGGCCATGATAATGTGAAAGAAAGACGAAAGGGGATGTTGCCAGCGACAACCCAGTTAGGAAGTCTGCCGGCAGCCGCCGATAGTGGCGGTGCAACAGTTCCGGAGTCCTGGCGTTCATGTCCAAATTGAGACTTGCTTTCACTTGTTCACTTGGCTTGCCGACTACATTCGTCACCTCGATGCCTGATATCAGTCTGTGTGATCTCTTTGATTGCAGAATTTTTTATTCCACAATTTCAGTACCACATTTGACCTGATGGATGCCGAAGGTACACATACCTCACGAAGCAATAAAATCCTGTTCAGGATACAGTCATCTACGTCTACCATGCCTATGCAGCGTCCGTCAACATTCAGGCAGTCAGCCAAATGACTCTTCATCACCTTTGGAGTCGTCTCTCTCGTTGTTCTCCTGCCGCTCGATACATTCTACCCAAATCGCGACCCAGAGCGTCTTGGTCTCTCGAAGAATGCATCGACGTCCAGATAGTTCACTATATGATGTCCATCGTTCCTCTTAGTGGCATTCCGGCCCAATCGACGGACAAGATCTGCCAAGCGAGCGAAGAGGAACTGCAAACGACTTCCTCCATTTGGCTTGAACCTGCAGGCGACACTTAGATCGAGGGTGTGGCCAAGGATGAGAAGGTCGGAACGATACGGGCTCCTGGGTACGTTTGCGGATACATGGCGGGGGATATATGATGGGCAACGGATCAGAGTATTTTGGAGAATGTGGTACGTGAACTTGCCGTATATGTTTAGACTACGATACTTAATTACGTCTAAGCATTGCGAAGAATATCCAAAAACACAGTCAACACGTCCTCTGTGTGTTGTTCCTATTTTGTTTACGCGGATGAACTCCGACGGCACAACCAATCAACCGTCGATTATCGCCTAGTGCATGAATCTTGTCATCTTGCCACAATTTCTAGACGCAATCTCTGCCTAGTCTCACCTGGTTAATGTTTGAAAATTTGATCCATCGAAAATTGTCATATTCGGTGCATGTGCCGGAGGTAGCATATACTTTTCTGGCTTACTATCTCGCGCCTGATCAGTTTTCAAGAACGTCCTGTTATGTTACTCGCCAGATATCTCTGCGGAGAAAAAGTCCTACCCATGCCAGGTGCCTTGACGGCTTTTTCGCTTAGAAGTCTACTTGGTGCTGATCATTCCTTAGTCACTGCCTTTACAAGTTGATGGCAAATGTAAGGATTGTAAGTTAATTGATGAATTCTTTGTCCAATCCGGCCATTCCGAAGATACACTGACCCTTGTATCTCGGAGTACGTTTGAGTCTTGAACATTTAGTGAGGAGACTGATAGTCTGTGCTCACTGCAAACTCGCAGATCGGCCTTAAGCGATGATGTACCCCGTATTTGCTCTCCCTACCAGGATGGGTCCTGCATGCCTGCATTGCAGGCGCGCTTTTCCGCAGGCTGTTTGGCGCCCTGTACCTTTTTAATCTGTGCTAACTTTATCTTGGCCTCTATATCTTCCGTTTTGTTGCCGTTCTGTTGGTTCCTCCGCGGAATATATTTGCTCATTCTTGGTCGATTTCGGTCCCTGAGCTCATCTATTTTTACTGCCAGCGGATTCCTTGGACATCGGTGGAGTTTGCATGGGTGACGATAAGCCCCAGCCGATCAGAAACCAATTCTCTAAATTTCCAAATGTCCATACAAACCAAGCAGGACAGATCTCAGCAAGTAGGTTCGTATGGTACTGGTATTCATTACAACGTACAACGAACAGGATGAATAAACTAGGGCGGATTCCAGGATAGTGTTGGCTCGAAGGATATACTCTGACTGTTACGTGATGTGTGCTTTGGTCCTGTGATTTGTCCTTGGAGGAAATCGGCTTAAATAAAGCGCATGAATCACGATGACTGATATTCATTCAACCCATTTCACGGTCATTGTTGGACACCTCCTTAGATATCGCGACAACTGATGCCTGTCCTTCCATTCGTGGTATGTCTTGTGTTGATTGGGAAGTGGTATTCCTTAAGAGAGTTGTCGGGATGCTCATATCAGTTGAAGACGTATAAGTATCCCGTCCGCCCATAATTCGCATTCGCGAATTCAGCACCATGTAAACGGTGTTAGCATACAGCTTGGGTATGAGCAGGGCGGGTGTGGTGTAGAACGTCTGATGAGGGAACACGAAAAAGAGTGTCACAGTGACAAGAGCGACAGCGGCTGAACGTATGTGATGTTAATTTTGTGACGATGGCAGATGGTGGAGTAAAAATACCTGTCACAGATCCCGTCTCAATAGTGAGACGAATTAGCTTTGTGAGCAGGATTTGTGTGCGACGGAAATTGGTGCTGCTACGCATGAGCTACGAAACAGTATTAACATCAACGAAGATAACTGGAAGAGAGAAAGAGATCACGTAGTAAGTCATGGAGATAGCGATGACCATATCACACAGGGCAGATGCACTGCACCAAATCTACGCATGGATCAGCGTGATGAATATGGGACGACTAGCCAGTTACTTACCCCAGCCGCGATGTAAATTTTCCTTTTATTGAGTTCAATAATGTTACCTGCTTCGAAAGAGTAGACGCCTGTAATTATGGCTGCTACAGTGCTGGTCAAGGATAGCTGTAGACAGATGAGCCATATTATTACGGAGAAAGAGTACCGCGACGAACACAGATGACAAACATAGGGACAATTTGAGACTTTGACAATATGAAGATTCGGTACGCATAGAAAACCTGGCTCACGCAAGCAACTGCCAGTGTACCCTGGTAAGTAACAGAAAACGAGTAGGCGATACTGCCATACCAGCACCACTCATGATAGGGACAGCGAACCAATTAAAATGCATGTCAGTGAGGGCTATGAGATCCCCAAAGCCGTAACCGAACACTGCGAATGCGTCGTAGGTGACGAACATTGTCTGAACAAACTCGAAAACATAGATGCCATAGACGAGGTATTTTGTGAAATTTCTGTCATTTGGAAATGCCAGATAGTACAGATCTAATGAGAATGAATTAGAAACAATATTATTGGAAAATGAGCAACGCACAAAGCTGCACAGAAAGAGTCCCGAAGAGTCCCCAGTGCAAGAGAGAGGCGACGATCTGAATTGTAATGTGAGGGATTGAATGGCCTAAGCAAAACCAACAACGCACCATAGGTCCAGTCCTGAAACAAGATACAGTTCAGTACATACAACTTTCGATTCCACAACGATTACTTACAGTCTTTCTATGGGGTAACCTACGGGGACGGGCAACATCTTGCGTCTGGAGCTGTTGTACCAGTCCTGAAGGGAAACGACCTGCACATATATACTAAAAAAAACAGCTATGTGAGAGGAAGAAGGCACTGGAATGCTTCAGGCCGGTCAGCACGGCACTACGCAGCTGAGCTAAACGACGGTATCAACCATGCTCATTCGTGGCAGCATATTGATTCCATCAAATTAATTGTAATCCCGGATCACAGTTCAGAGGAACTCTACATGTTAAAGCCGAAGTTATACACTGGCAGTCGGTTGGCCGAGCTGAAGTTCTGTTAAAAAATTTTAGACCCACTTCGGTATGCCTTGAGAAGACTCGATGGAGGCATTCGCCTGTTTAATTGAGTCCTTCAACTTGAAAAGTAGCGGCACCGCAAAAATGGATATTGCTTGCAGTGGAATGAGTGTCCCCATCATTGCGTCGTGGCGGTGGTAGGAGTCTGCTTGAGCCGGTGATTATCGAGTAATGAACTCCTGAACTCTCGGAGAGTGTGCGATTACCAGTGCCGTGTATTCTGCCTTACTTGCAATTAGTGTATTAGTCTCAAGGCTTAGGCGAGGCCTGAAAAATAAATTCGATTCGATATCCCTTTGCGTGCTGATAACAAGTTGATGTTGGAACGAAAGAAGGGACAGGAACTGCTTCTTACCGTCACATCGTAAATCTTCATGATCTTCCACGGTGTCCGGTGATTTCATTGATTCAAAGGAGTCCCGCAGCTCGGAATGCCGAATCGATGTGGACAACGGAAGAAAATCTCCATATCCATCTCTGTTTCATGTCCTCCAAGTATCCCCAGATAATCGTACTCAATGGGGAGAGTTAAGGAGATGTAGAACTGGACCAGAGCTTGAGCGCTCTTGCTGGGATCAGCCAATCAGTAGACTCGGATCTTACTCTCACCGGGCTCCCTAGACTCACCGTGACAGATTGTATCACTTCGACGATCATTGACTTCGATATCAGTGATATGTCTTGCCATTCAATGCTACAGAGCCTTCGCAGTATGGAACTCGAGGACGAAAGCAGCATGAGCCTGTATGACCAATATGTTACCACAATGACAAACCGTATCGTTTCGGGGTGGGACACTGGTGTTTCAGACGACATAAACATTGTATTGCCAGCTGACATAGTTGTGAATGCTGTAAAAAATACCATGTCAAGGGCAGATGCGTGAGCGTATTGCTTCAACAACGTACAGTGAAGCATCGTGACTCTTGGCTCCACCGAACTTAATCCAATGCACAGACCTGCTTGGTGGTACTCCTCATCTCTTGAGGTCAACAGCAAAGTCTTGCGCATGCTCGACTTCGAAGTGGTGAAGTCGTTCGACGAGGACGATGCGGCTAGGTAGAGGATCTCAGGGTGCATGGCTTCTGGGTGGTTCACGAGGTCGGTCAAGGTATCAGTGACGATCCTTTGATTATCGCTTTCACTGCCAACAAACAGAGAAAGCAGGATTGAGCGTCGTATCAGGAGATCGCGTCCCAGTCTGCCTCAGAAACTATCTCTATGAGTTGAGAGACTCGTATTGGCATGCATCGATGTGGTTCGTAGATCCTCCGACTGCTGACGCAGATATTAAGAATGTGTGAGGGAGATGAAGAAAGTCCCTCGCCGAGCCATTTGCCTCACTTTGCTGACCTTTATATTGAGCAACACAAGCATGTGCAGACCGAGATCCGCGTTCTCCTTGATCCTATCATAAAAATTGTTGGATTTCCACGTCTCGGTGAAGAAAACTAAGGAGACTGTCTAGAAAAGAAAGAGGATGGGTGGACGAACGTGACCGCGTCGCGAGAGACACAGCCTTCCTGGCCGGCAGGCATTCCTCTCTCTTTAAGTAACCACCATGTTATCCAGCCGGCGCTCCGTGCACAAAGGAGGGACCACAGCTTACAGCGCTTGTATTCAGTCTCAGCCGCGGCGCTAAACAGGAAAGAGGTGCTCGGATCAGGGTCGACCTCCAGGGTTTTCTCATCTCCATCTGTAACATCGTGTCAGCGGGCAGCCATCCACCGGCCATGTCTGACCAGCACCGAGTCGACGAAAGATCCAGCAGACGCTCTTCTGAAGGCATCTCCGATGTACAGGACCGCCCAGAAGGGTCGCCTCAGAATAATGGCTCGAAATTGTGCCAAAACAACGAAAAGAAGCCAGAGAAAATGGAGACTGGCAAGGAACACGTCAATTCAGATAGTATTGGGGTCGAACCATCTTCGAGCTCGGGAATACAGGAAGAAGCTGGCGTCGAGGGTGACAGAGGTGCGAAGAAGTCCAGACCAGATGCTGGTTTAAAGGCAGGTGCTTCGGTTCCCTGCTATTATAATTATGCCTAATGAAGGCTATCTTTAGGCAATGACCCGTTCAAATACGAGGACAAGCACCCCGAAGATAATATCTACGAAGAGACAGCCCCGAATGCGAGAGTATGGAGAACGTGGACGAGAGTACGAATTACGACGCCAGGATGGTCGGGGAATCGAGGGATAGTGTCGATGTGCTTCTTGTTTTCGTGAGTAGCTGCCCTAATTTTTTTTTTCTTCGTCGCTGAAGACGTTTCAGGCTGGTCTTTTCTCAGCAGTGGTGACAACCTTCGTATCGCAAACATCACAGAGCCTACAGGCGGACTATACTCAGGTATCGGCATCCCTGCTCTTCGAAATGGTCCTCATTCAGCGCGCCCTTGCGAATGGTTCTTCTCTCGACAACGTTCCAGTGTCTTCTCTCAATCCATACACCGCGTTCACTCCTGCAACTACGGACGTCTGGGTGAACGGGCTATGGTTCACGAGCCTCTCCCTTAGTCTAGCAACTGCCCTAGTCGCCGTGCTCGTGAAACAGTAGCTCCATCATTACCTCGCGCTTCCTTCAGGGACGCCTCGGGAACGAAGTCATGTTCGGCAATATCGATATGGAGGATTCCAGAGGTGGCATGTTCTCGTTATCATTGGTCTTCTTCCCGTCCTCATGCACCTCGCACTTGGGATCTTTTTTGTCGGATTGGTCATATTTCTTGTACCGCTCCGATCTGGCCTTTCCTGGGTCATCGGCATAGGCACCGTCGCTGCATACGCGACGTATTTGATAACCATCTTCCTACCAATTCTATACCCACAATGCCCCTACCGCATACCGCTGTCGGATCTCGTATACTTTCCCTATCGCTATATTACCCAGGACCTATTCCCTAAACACATCCGTCCGCTCTTCGTGGAAGAGAAGGATGATGAATCTGTTTTCTACGAGCTTGAAGGGAAGGGCATAAGTTCGTTGGATGATCTGGAAAGAGGAGTGGTGCAAGAACGGTCGGGAATCTTGTCGGCGGAAGCGTTACATTGGTTATTCTCTTCCTCGTCAAATCCTACGGTACACAGTATCGTGGTACAGTCTATCGGCGGCTTGCCACTGTCGGCGAAGGATACAGTGAAGAAAGTATTTGGGGGACGCGACAGACATGTGTATCGCTCAGAGTGACCTACTGTGGGATTCCATGCAATGTGATTCCATGCAAAGTCAACCAAAGCCAAGACCAGGAATGGAACCTAAAGTCGAACGCTTACTTCGTTTCGAGTTGTTCATCCCAAACTGGCTTCACATGGGACGTAACCGACTTTACGTCGATATTGCCGACGGCGACTTGGAACTCGCTGCCGCCGTTCAATCAAACGATGCTGTCCAGAAGAGTCAATACAAACCATTCAATACACCTACTCCCGCCGCGTTTTTTGAGCAAGTGACGTGTTCTAGTCAAATGAACCTGCCTCCAGTTGTTTGGCTTAAACTCATGCAAATGGCCAAAGATGATGGCGCATTCGCTCCGATCGACGTCGACTCACTAGATTCCTTTCCTATGGATCTGTGCAGTCGCGTCGTTCCTTGCATAATGAACACGTTCAAAGACGCATCGCCATGCTTTTACTTCGAAAATGCAGCTCCAGACTACTTTAACGACGAATCGACAGCCAACTTGCTGAACATGATTTCGGCGTTTGATATATTGACTGATAAAATATCTTTTCCTTCGACCTTTAAGCTCATGCTAGCTTTCGTTCGATATCTACTTCATCGTGTCTCCCTATCTTCTTTCGATGTCGACATCCAACGTGCCATATCAGCTACCCACTTCGTCCTCCACAACTACGTGTCCAAGAATCTTCCTGACGAACAGATCGCCGCTCTTGCAAATCTCGTGGAAGATGTCGTTCATAGCCCCGTCTTCAAGCCCGGGTCTGAATGGACGGTCGCCCAAATGTCTTTGTTGGACGTGTATTCAAGGATGGTCAGTGTCTGGACACCAGGTCGATCCGCAAGACAATTTTTGGCCCGCTTTACAACCACTGGTCGAAACCATGATCAATCAATACGACGCACTGTACGATGCTGATCACCTTAGGCGTGCGCCCTTCGACACTATGTGTAAAATTTTAGGATTTGGCCTCAGGCATGGTGTGGAAACTGTGTACGACATTTTCCTCGATATGCGATGTCTGGATGTCTTCGGAAGCCACTCCCTTCGTCCTTTGCTGGTCACTGTTATTAACGGATACATTGCTGGACTTGCGGCATTGGATACACCGATCGATGTCCAGCGACATTTGGACTACCTTCACAAGCCCGAGAATCTCTTCTTGGTGTGTTGCATTCTAATCACCAACGGGTGGAACGCATGCGGTGAATTACCCGATAACGTATTTTCACCACCACTCCGACTATCAGAAGATATCTGTACGGACATAGGGGCACTAGCAAGTCTCCGACCGTCAGATCCTTCTTGGGATCAATGCCGTCGAAAATTGCGCGATTTACTGCAGGATGACGGAGGCGAGTTTTTCGTCAAGCAACAGAAGTAGACGACGCATGGGTTTGAACCCCTCAAGCTCAAGCCTGAGGCAATCGACGAAGCGAAGAATAATGTTCGTTTGGCCCTGGGCGAGCTTGATAAAATCTTTTCTGGTTCAGTGAATACGTACTCGGTGAGTAGTCTGGCTAATTTTTTTTTTGTTGAGAATATAATACAACTGTTGGTCTAGACGCACCCACATGAATCGATGGCGTGGCCCGTCTTGATTCGTATATGTCGATATCTGCGGTATCCTCGACATCGGGAAAAGGATGGAATGCAAGTGTAAGTATGAAACCTGCGTATGACAAGAGACTATCCATGCCATCGCGCTAAGGAGCTAGATCGGCCAAGACCCTGAAGCTCTCTCGACCTTAATTAGGAGTGCACCACAATAGTTTGATTCCTAGGAGAGCCGTTTTGAATAGCTTCTCCAGATCGATTGAGTAGAATCAGCGCAATTGTATATTTGAGATAAAGATAGCATACGCATAGTTTTCGATGTTAATTGGGTCTGGATGTTTTCAAGCGCATTCCCACATGTTAAAGTACCTTCGGGCATAGATAGCACCCGTAAGCTTGCGTATTTCGCTAATATCGAAACGTGACTGGTCACTCAAAAGCCACTGTGTAAAGTCTTCGAGGAGGGCAGGGGTTAGATTCATGCGAAGAGAGGTAAGGCGAAGGCGCCTTCTATTGACCTACTTGGCTATGTCGTATTGTTTCAATAATAATGGCCGAGATATTGGTCTCACGAACAGCGACAAGGTCTGAGAGAAGACATATGAAATCGGAATAGTTTCCTCGTTTGAATAGAACTAGTTGGTGAGGGCATGACCTCTTTTTTATCGCAGAACCCAAGGCCGATGATTTAGAACATGGTGGTGGCAAGGATCAACTTCGGCAATCTCCGTGAGCCTCCGCTCTTCATTGTACTATCTGCATTTAAGGACGGTTTGTTACACATCTCACAACGACCTACACCAAGCTTACACCGCCCCAGTTTCGGGGTCCTGGCGTTCATGTCCATATTGAGACTTCCCTTCTCTTGGCTGCCAGTCGCACTCATCGCTGTCGTGCTCACCCGCCCTACCCCAATGTCTGCCCCAATGTACCTCTTTCTTTCTTTGCCTTGCCTTCACAATATCCATCAACATTCAGACATCCAGTCAAAGGACTATTCATCCCTTTCAAGTCTCTCTGGCCATTCTCCTGCCATCCTGGGCTACTCGCTACGTCTTACCAAAATCGCGCTGGTCCCTCAAAGAACGTATCGGTGCTTGGATGGTTCACTGAATGATGCCTATCATTCCTCTTTGCGATATTCCTGCCCAATCGATGGACAAGACGCGCCAAGTGAACGAAGCGGAGCTGAAAACGACTTCCTTCGTTTGGATTGAACCTGCCGACAACAGTTTGATCAAGGGCGTAGCTAAGGATGAGAAAGTCGGAAAGATTAAGATTCCCGGATACGTTTGGTCGAAAGGGAGCCCCTTGAAGCATGGAGGACATGTTAGTGGCCTGGTCGGCTTGTGGATACACGGTGGAGGATATATAACGGGCGATGGATCAGAGTATTTGGAGAATGTGGTACGTGAACTTGCCGCATGTGTCTAGAATATGATACTAAATTGCATCTAGGCATCACAAAGAATACCCAAGAACACAGTCAAGTCAAGCACGTCCTCTGCGTTGTTCCCATTTTGTTTCCGTGGACGAATTCCGACAGTACAACCAATCAGCGGTCGATTACCGCCTAGTGCATGGATCCTGTCACCCTGCACAATTGCTGGATGCGATATCTGCCTATTCCTACCTGGTCAATGTTTGCAATATTGACCCATCGAAAATTATCGTATTCGGTGCATGTGCCGGAGGTGGGATAGACTTTTCTGGCTTACTATTTCGCGTCTAATCAGTTTTCAAGGTCATCTTGTTATCTTACTAGCCAGATATACCTACGAAGAGAAAGTCCTACCCATGCCGGCTGCCCTGATGGTTTTTTTCGGTGCGCAGGTTCCTGCATTTTTCTCGCAACGCGCTCTAATTTTTATCTAGCCTTGGCTGGATATGGGTATGTTGCATCCCAATTTCAACGCTCATGGACTAAACCTTCTTCTAGTCACCGATTACGAGCGCGAAGTCGAACACAAGACTGTTATCCGACCCAATGAAGACATAGACCTCCTTTCAACGGCAGCGATTGCGAATTTACGATTCCTTGGACACCATCCAACTAGCCTGCTTTGGTCATCGTATCTCACCTCTAGTAAATGCGTTTTATTTGCGGCGCCTTATCCAACATCTAAACTCATCTTGTTCTAGATAGGGCTTCAAAAGAATCTTATACTGGCTATCCCAAATTTTTCATTTCGGTGTACAGAAGGATGCTGTAACGATTTCTTCGGAATGGCACTATCGTCTGAGGTGGCTCGAACTCAGGTTTTGGAGAAAGCGTGGCTCGATGAGCACGCTGCTACCGCTGAGAACATGTGAGGGTTCCATTGCCTTCACACACGTTGTATGCTCATATGTCAACTCGTGCAGAATATCATGACGGAGTTACTTCCATAGTTTCAAGAATACGTACATTCTGTCGTACAAATTCAACAGTCCGGTTACTACAACTGTCGTCGTCCTTATTAAAAACAGTGCCGCGACGGCCCACCACCATGTGGATAATTAGGGTGCGAGCACGAAGGAAGACGTTGGTATGCGTCGTTTCACCATGCTATACAGTCTGAATTTGCTACACCACGAGGACAAAAATATGCTACCCACTCAAATGGATGCACAAAGATGGGATACCTGGAGACCCGGAGAAATGGGCTCTCCTGGCTAAGGACGTGATCATCGGATGTTAGGCACATCAACCGTGGGTAGACTGGTGACCATCTTTCTGACCAACCAGTCGTTGCAAGCAGAAGGTAAGGTTCTTTCTGACTTGAGATGTCAAGTCGTGAGAGAGACGGTTATGAGTTTATTTGGTGCTCACCGTTCCTCAATCACTATTGTTCCCCCCTCTTTCTACGACTTGATGGCAGATGAAAGAATTGCAAGTTCTTTGATGAATTTTTTATACAATCTGACCGCATTCCGAAGATACACTGGTCCTTGTTCATTTGGGTACGTTTGAGTCTACTGTGATAGTCTACGCTCATTGCAAACTTGCAGACCTGCCATAAGAAATATTGTACATCGTATTTGCTCTTCCTTCCAGTATGGGCCCTGCATACCTGCGTTGTAGATGCGCTTTGTGCTAGCTGTTTGGTGCGCCATCTGGCTAATTTTGTCTTGGCCTCTATATCTTCCGTTCTCTTGCCGTTCTATCGGTTCTTCCGCGGAATATTATTGCTCATTCCTGGTTGAGTTGGGTCCCTGAGGTCATCTATGTTTACCGCCAGAAGATTCATTTAATATCGGTAGAATTTGTATGTGAAGATGGGGGACGATAAGCTCAAGTCGACCAGATATCAATCCTCCAAATATCCGCATACTAAGTCGAGCAGGACAGACCTCAGTCACGTAGGTTCATATGGTATTGATGTTCATTACAACAGACAAGATAAATAAACTAAAGCAGATTCCAGCATGGTTTTTACTCAAACGATGTACTCTGATTGTTACGTGTGGCCGATGCTTTGATCCTGTGGTTTGCCCTTGGGGGGAATCAGCTTGAATAAAGCGCATGAATCACGATGACTGACATACATTTAACCCATTTCACAACCATTGCTGGATACCTCCTTAGATATCGCGACAACTGATGCCTGTCCTTCCGTCTGCGGTGTGTCTTGTGTTGACTGGGAACTGGTATCCCGTAAGATAGTTGTCGGGATGCTCATATCAGTTGAAGACGTATAAGTATCCCGTCCACCCATAATCCTCATTCGCAAATTCAGCACCATGAAGACGGTGTTAGCATACAGCTTGGGTATGAGCAGGGCGGGTGTGGTGTAGAACGTCTGATGAGGGAACACAAAAAAGAGGGTCACGGCGACCAGAGCGACAGCAGCTGAATGTACACGGTATTAATTTTGTGGCGACGGCACATGGTAGATTAAGTACCTGTCACGGATCCCGTCTCAATAGTGAGACGAATTAGCTTTGTGAGCAAGATTTGTGTGCGACGGAAATCGGTACTGCTACGCATGAGCTACGAAACAGTATCAACATCAACGAAGATAACTAGAAGAGAGAAAGAGGTCACGTAGTACGCCATACAGATAGCGATGACGATATCACATAGGGCAGATGCACTGCACCAAATCTACGCATGGATCAGCATGATGAATATGGGACGGCTAGCCAGTTACTTACCCCGGCCGCAATGTCAAACTTCCTCTTATTAAGTTCAATAATGTTACCTGCTTCGAAAGAGTAGGCGCCTGTGATTATAGCTGCCACAGAGCTGGTCAAGGATAGCTGTAGACAGATGAGCCACACTGTCACAGGGAAAGAGCACCGCGACGAACACAGATGACAAATATAGGGACAATTTGAGACTTTGACAATATGAAGATTCGGTACGCATAGAAAACCTGGCCGACACAAGCAACTGTACCTTGGTAAGTAATAGAGAACGAGTAGAAGGTACTGGACGTACCAACACCGCTCATGATAGGGACAGCGAACCAATTAAAATGCACGTCAGTGAGGGCTACGATATCCCCAAAGCCGTAACCGAACTCTGCAAAGGCGTCGTGGGTGACGAACATCGTCTGAACAAACTCGACAATGTAGATGCCATAGACGAGATATTTCGTGAAATTTCTGTCATTTGGAAATGCCAGATAGTACAGATCTAGTGAGAATGGATTAGAAACAATATTATCGGAAAATGAGTGACGCGCAAAGCTGCACAGAAAGAGTCCCAAAGAGTCCCCAATGCAAGAGGGCGGCGACGATCTGAATTGTCATGTGAGCAATTGAATGGCTGAAACACAAAAAAACCAACCATAGGACCAGTCCTGCGATAAGATGATTCAGTACATGCCACTTCTCGATTCCACAACGATAACTTACAATTTTTCTATGGGATAGCCTGGGGGGACGGGCAACATCATGTTGCGTCTGGGGTTGTTTTACCAGCCCTGAAGGGAAACAGCCCGTACATATATACTAAACAGCCAGGCGAGAGAAAGAAGGACCCGAATGCCTAAGGCTAGTTAGCATTGCACTACGGCAACTGAGCTAAACGACGGTATCAACCACGTTCATCCATGGTCAGCGCATTGATCCATCAAATTAACTTTTATGATAATCTTGTGCCATGGTTCAGAAGAACTCTTCGTATGAGGTGAAAGCAGAAGATTTACGGGCGTATTGATATCAAGTTGAAGTTGAAACTACCTCCGGAATAAACTGTAAGCAGGAATATGGAGCACTTCTTACTCCTGGCAGGTGACTGATTCGTGCCGGTCAAAGTGCGATAGAAACGATGGGAACATAGATGAAATTTCGACAGTCTTTTGACCACAGCAAAATAAGTCGGCTTTACCCTTGGAGGGAATCCCGACGTATTTTGATTTGGTCAAAGCCTGGGTCAAGGTGTCATATATTATCCACTCCTTTTCGCCGCTTTTTGCCTGACCAAACATAGCTGCTCACCAGGAGTACTGGATTCTCCCGTCACGTTGTAAATCTTCCTGATCATCCATGGCGTCTGACGGTTTTGTTGATTTCAAAGAAGTCCCGTAACTCGGAATGCGGATGGCAATCTGTGTATCCATCTCTGCTTCATGCCTTTCAGACGATCGTACTCGGGGAGAGTCAAGGAGACGTACAACTGGGCCACAGCTTGAGGGCTTATCGCATAGGAGGAGAAAACGATATGCCATGTACCGAAATACTTATATATCCAGATCTGTCGACAGGGACGACAAAATGGGGTCTATAAGGGCCATAATGATAATATCTTACCCATCCCTGGAGATCATTCGATCATCAGCCGACTAGATCTTACTCTCACCGGGCTCCCTAGACTCGCTGCGACAGATTGTATCACGTCAACAGTCATTGACTTCGACAACGGTGATATGTCATGCCATTCGATGCTACAGAGCCTTCGCAGCATGCGAATGTTGAACCTCGGGGGCGAAAATAGCATGGGCCTGTATGGTCAAAATGTTACCACAGCGATAGACCCCATCATTTTGAAGTGGAACATTGGGGCTTCAGACGACAAAGCTAAAAGAAATATCATGTAAAAGGCAGATATGTGAGCATATAGCTTCAACAACGTACACTAAAATATACACAGCGAGGCAACGTGACTCTTGGCTCCACCCAACCTAATCCAATGCACATCCGTAGGACTTGCTTAGCCGACTGCTCCATCTCTCAAGATCAGCGGAAAAGTCTTGCGCATACTCGACTTCGAGACGGTGAAGTCGTTCGCCAACGATGACGAGGCTATGCAGAGGATCTTCGAAAACGTCTTCTGCATGGTCCACGAGGTCGGTCAAGGTACAGGAGACAATGCTCTTATTATCGCTTCCGCCGCCAACGCAAGAAAGTGCGATGGCAAGTGTTTTATCAGGAGATAGCGTACCGGCCACAGGTGCCGACTGCGTTCATTATTGATGCATTGTGGATGACAGTATCCAGGGTGCGTGCGCGAAGGATGACGTCTTTATGTGTCGTTGCTCTATGGAATCCGTGTGAATCTACTACCAAAGAAAATGACGCGCTATCCACCTGAATGGATCCCTGACAACAGTCTGCATTAGCCAATATTTCATTGCTCCCCGCTTCCGGCATGTCTCTCGGTCGGCAAGAATCAGTAGTTGTCCGTAAAATGCTTCCTTGCATATGTTGAAGAAATATTGTAATGAGTGACTACCATTCGTTTTCTGGACTCGTGCTAGCCCATAGAGACGTCTACGCTCTCCACGTTGTGGGCCACAGGAACAAGAACAACTGCGGAAGGAGCTCGCATGAGCAAAAGGCACAAGAAACAAAGGAGAAGTGGCTCACCAAATAACGGTGTTCGACCAGTTCGCATGCTGGTCGAGATCCGTCTTTAGGTTACCGGGATGAAGGCTGATAGATACTATCCCTTTGTCCCCATACCCCCTTGCCAATTCTAACACGAACATCACGTCGACCTGTCAATTAGTTAGTGTCCATATACAAACATAGAGAATTGACCGTACAGATGCATCGGGGATTTGCTTTTCTTCGTTTGTCCATCCTTGAGCGTGTCGAACAATATCTTGCTGCCCAAAGGCAGATAGATGGCCGAAGACGAGGTCTTCACCACGCGGGCCTTGTCTTCCGTCGCTAGTAATGCCGGTAGCGGTAGCTTTGTGAAGTAAAAGTGACCGAGGACATTAACACCAAAATAATAGTCGTAGCCTTGGACAGTGAGCATATCGCTGGGACCTGGCATCGCGTGCCTCTGGGACGTGCCAATGATGATTAGACGGCCACCAGCGCATCGATCGTAAACCCTTCTCTTTCCTGGAAGAGATGAGAAATGCTCAGCGGCAGCATACGACGCGATACGCACGAGAGGAACTCCTCCGCAACGACTTTGACAGACTTCAGGTCTCAGATTCAAGTTCAAGAAAATCGCAGTCTTCCCCGTAGCCTTCGTCAGTTCTTCGATAACATTTCTCGTCTTCTCAGGATTCCTCGCAGTCAGATACACTTTAGCGTTGTGAAGGAGCAATTCCTAGGACCATTTAGCTTTAGCACACGTGGAAAACTGAAGAGTGACACACCCTGACCATCTCCTTCCCTATCCCTGACGAGCCACCGGTAACTATAACGACCTTTCCCTCCAAGTCTGACATCTAGGGTGGAGTCCACCGAGGCTTTCCGGAGAATCAGGCTTACTTGGAAAAGGTGCAAAAGTAGTGTAGAGTGTCGAGCATCTTCAAAGTACGCTGACAAGTTGGTGGAAGTTGGAAATGAAGAATGGCCTCCATGTGAGTCACGGTGTTGAACTTTGAAGGCGCAGTTGTCCTCGTTGGGATCAGCAATTCGTAGCTTTCGCGCGATTTCGGCAATCTCATCGTCGGAGAGATATTTTCCATTCGCTGGGGACTGAGAAAAATCGGCCATGATGATGTGAAAGAAAGATGAATGGGGATCTTGCCGGCGAGAACCCAGTCAGGAAGTTTGCCGGTAGCTGCCGATAGTGGCAGTGCTTCAGTTCCGGGGTCTGGCGTTCATGTCCATATCGAGAATTGCTCTCTCTTGGCTGCCAACCACCCTCGATGCCTGATCTCAGCCTGGTGCGAGCTCCGCTACTGATTTCAGAATTGACTTTTCTACGATTTTAATTCTGCGGTTGACCTGATGGATGGTGAAGGGTCACGTACCTTAAGACGATGCCATAAGTGCAGCCACCTACATCTACCTACACAACATCCATCAACATCTACCCAGTCAAAGGACTCATCATCATCTTTTAAGCTGTCTCTCTCCCATTCTCTGTGGGCGGTTCGCTACGTTCTGCCCAAATCGCGATCCAGAGCATCCTGGTCTCTCAAAAAACATCGGATGGTTCGCTGGATGATGCCTGTTGTAACATTCCTTCCAGTCAACAGACAAGACACGCTAAGTGAACGAAGCGGAGCTGAAAGCAACTTCCTTCGTTTGTCTTGAACCTGTAGGCGATGTCAAGGGCGCGGATAAGGATGAGAAAGTCGGCAAAATGCAGGTTCCCAGGTGTGTTCAGCCGAAAAGGAGCCCTTCGATGCATGTCGGCTTGTGGATACATGGCGGGGGGATATATGATAGGCAACGGGTCAGAGTATTTTGGAGACTGGCCCCGGTACGTGAACTTGCCGTATGTGTTGAGATTACGATACTTAATTCCATCAAGCACGTCCTCTTTGTGTTGTTCCCATCTTGTCTCCGTGGACAAATTCCGACAGTACAACCTATCAGCCGTTGATTATCGCCTAGTGCATGAATCCTGTCACGGTGCACAATTGCTAGGCGCAATCTCTGCCTATTTTCACCTAGTCAAAGTTTGCAAAGTTTGCAAAGTTGACCCATCGAAAATTGTCGTATTCGTGCCGGAGGTAGGATCAACTCCTCTGACTTACTACTTCTTGTCTGATCAGATTTGAAGGATATCTTGTTCTCTTACTAGCCAGATATCTCTACGAAGAGAATGTCCTACCCATGCCGGGTGCCTTGATGGTTTTTTCGGTACGTAATTCTTGTACTTTTCTGGAAATGCGCTCTAATTGTTTTCTAGCCTTGGATGGATATGGGTACGTTACGTCCCAACGTCTATTCTCACGGGCTAACACCTCTTTGCTAGTTACGAGTGCAAATTCCAGTACAAGAGAGTTATCCGACCCAGCGACCCCATGAAGACATGTAGACCTCCTTTCAACAGCGGTGATTGCGAATTTACGGTTCCTTAGATACCATCTCACTAGCCTGCTTTGGTCACCGTATCTCACCTCTAGTAAATGTGTTTAATTTCCGGTCCCTTATCCAACATCTAACCCCATCTTGTTCTAGATAGGGATCCAAAGGAATCTTATACTGGTTATCCCCAAAATTTCACTTCCATTGGCGATGCCGAGGCCTACCAAAGAGAGTGCGAACAACTTGGCGAGCAGATGAGAAGCGGAGGTGTCGACGTAACACTCGATGTACAGACGGATGCTGTACCGATGTCTTCGGAATGGCGCTATCTGTCATTTCGTCGTGGCTCGATGAGCACGCTGCTACCACTGAGAACATGTGAGGGCTCCATTGCTTTCACACGCGTTGTATGCTCATTTGCCAACTCGTGCAGAATATCATGACGGAGTTACTTCCATAGTTTCAAGAATACGCACATTCTGTCGTACAGATTCAACAGTCCAGTTACTACAAGGTTGTCGTCCTTATTAAAAACAGTGCCGCGACAGCCCACCACCATGGGGATAATCAGGGTGCGAGCACGAAGGAAGACGTTGGTATGCGTCGTTTCACCATGATATACGGTATGAATTTGCTACACCACGAGGACAAAAATATGCTACCCACTCAAATGGATGCATAAAGATGGGATACCTGGAGACCCGGAGAAATGGGCTCTCCTGGCTAAGGACGTGATCATCGGATGTTAGGCACATCAACCGTGGGTAGACTGGTGACCATCTTTCTGACCAACCAGTTTGCAAGCAGAAAGTAAGGTTCTTTCTCCCTTGAGATGTCAAGCCGTGAGAGAGACAGTCACGAGTTTACTTGGTGCTCACCGTTCCTCAATCACTGTTGTTTCCCCTCTTTTGCGGCTTGATGGCAAATGTAAGTACTGCAAGTTCTTTGATGTATTCTTTGTACAATCTGACCGCATTCCGAAGATACACTGGCCCTTGTTCCTTTCGGTACGTTTGAGTCTTGAACATTCAATTAGTGGACTGTGATGGTGTACGCTCACTGAAATCTCGCAGACCAGCCTTAAGCAATATTGTACATCGCATTTGCTCTTAGTTCCAGGATGGGCCTTGCATCGCTGCATTGTGGATGCGCTATGCTGGCTTTTTGGTGTGCTGCATCCTTTTCATTTGGCTAATTTTGTCTTGGCCTCTATATCTTCCTTTCTCTTGCCGTTGTGTTGGTTCTTCTGCGGAATATTATTGCTCATTCCTGGTTGAGTTGGGTCTCGGGCCTGAGCTCACCTATATTTACCGCCAGACAATTCATTGGATATCGGCGGAATTTGCATGTGAAGATGGGGGACGATAAGCTCAAATCGAGCAGGACGGACATCAGCCACGTAGGTTCATATGGTATTGACGTTCATTACAACAGACAAGATAAATAAACTAAGGCGGGTTCCAGCATAGTTTTTACTCAAAGGATGTACTCTGATTGTTACGTGGTGTAGCCGGTGCTTTGGTCCTGTGGTTTGTCTTAGAGGGAATCAGCCTGAATGAAGCGCATGAATCACAATGACTGACATTCACCCCATTTCACAATCATCGTTGGATACCTCCTTAGACATCACGACAACTGACGCCCGTGCTTCCGTCTGCCGTGTGTCTTGTGTTGACTGGGAACTGGTATCTCGTAATATAGTTGTCGGGATGCTCATGTCAGTTGCAGACGTATAAGTATCCCGTCCGCCCACAATCCGCATTCGCGAATTCAGCACCATGAAGACGGTGTTAGCATACAACTTGGGTATGAGCAAGGCAGGTGTGGTGTAGAAGGTCTGATGAGGGAACGCAAAAAAGAGGGTCACAGTGACCAGAGCGACAGCAGCTGAATGTACGCGGTATTAATTTCATGACGACGGCAGATGGTAGATTAAGTACCTGTCACGGATCCCGTCTCAATAGTGAGACGAATTAGCTTTGTGAGCAGGATTTGTGTGCGACGGAAATTGGTACTGCTACGCATGAGCTACGAAACAGTATTAACATCAACGAAGATAACTAGAAGAGAGAACGAGCTCACGTAGTACGTCATACAGATAGCGATGACAATATCACACAGGGCAGAGGCACCACACCAAATCTGAGCACAGATCAGTACGATGGACATGGAACACCTAGCCAGTTATTTACCCCGACCGCGATATTAACTTTCCTCTTATTGAGTTCAATAATGTTACCCGCTTCGAAAGAGTAGACGCCTGTGATTATGGATGCTACAGAGCTGGTCAAGGATAGCTGTAGACAGATGAGTCAGACTGCCACAGAGAAAAAGCACTGCGACGAACACAGGTGACAAATATAGGAACAATTTGAGACTTTGACAATATGAAGATTCGATACGCATAGAAGACCTGGCCGACACAAGCAACTGTACCTTGGTAAGTAATAGAAAACAAGTAAAAGATACTGCACGTACCAACACCGCTCATGATAGGGACAGCGAACCAATTAAAATGCATGTCAGTGAGGGCTATGAGATCCCCGAAGCCGTAACCGAACACTGCAAAGGCGTCGTGGGTGACGAACATCGTCTGAACGATCTCGACAATGTAGATGCCATAGACGAGGTATTTCGTGAAATTTCTGTCATTTGGAAATGCCAGATAGTACAAATCTAATGAGACTGCATTAGAAACTATAATATTGAAAAATGAGTGACGCACAAAGCTGCACAGAAAGAGTCCCAAAGAGTCCCCAGTGCAAGAGGGAGGCAACGATCTGAATTGTCATGCGAGGATTGAATGGCTAAACACAAAAAAAAACCAACCATAGGTCCAGTCCTGAGATAAGATGATTCAGTACATGCCACTTCTCGATTCCACAACGATAACTTACAGTTTTTCTATGGGATAGCCTGGGGGGACGGGCAACATCATGTTGTGTCTGGGGTTGTCTTACCGGTCCTGATAGGAAAGAACCTGCACATATATACTAAGTGACAATCATCTGAGAAAAAGAAGACAACCGCCTTAACGCAGGTCAGCATTCCAGCACGGCAATTGAGTTAAACGACGGTACCAACCATGTTCATCCGTGATCAGCGCATTGATTCCATCAAACTAACTTTTATGATAATCCCACACCACGGTTCGGAGGAATTCTCCGCATGAGGTGAAAGCAGAAGAATTACTGTCAGGCGAGTTGATATCAAGTTGATCTTTATTCAAACCGCCCCCAGAATGAGCTCTAAGCAGGTACATGGAGCCTTTCTCACTCCTGGCAGGTGACTCGCGCCGGTCAAAATGCGATGGAACCGATTGGAGTATAGATGAAATTTCGACAGAGCCTTTTGACCACAGCAAAATACGTCGGCTCTACCCTTGAAGGGGATCCCGACATTTTTTGCTTTGGTCAAAGCCTGGGTCAAGACGTCATATATTATCGACCAGCTCCGCCGCTTTGGCCTGACCAAACATAGCTGATTGTCAGGACTGCTGGATTCTCCTGTCACATCGTAAATCTTCCTGATCATCCACGGCGTCTGATAGTTGTGTTGATTTCAAAGAAGTCCCGTAGCTCCCGAATGCGGATGGCAATATCTGTGTCCATCTCTGCGTCATGTCTTCCAAGTATGCCTCAGACAATCGCACTTCATGGGGAAAGTCAAGGAGACGTACAACTGGGATAGAGCTCGAGGGCTCATCGCATCGACGGAAATGCAACCATGGGAAATATGATGCCAAGTACTGAAATAGAAGCCTAGATCCGCCGATAGGGACGACAACAGGGGGCCTATTCGGCCCATAATAACTTGACTGCCTATGAGGGATCAACCAATCTTCAGTCGATTCGGATCTTACTCTCACCGAGCTCCCTAAGCTCACCGTGACAGATTTTATCACTTCAATAGTCATTGCCTTCGATACCGGTGATATACCTTGTCATTCGATGCTACAGAGCCTTCGTAGTATGGGAATATTAAAATCTCGTGGACGAAAACAATGTGGACCTGTATGGCCAATGTACTACCACAGCGATAGATCCTATCATTTTGAGGGACATCGAAACTTCAGACGATATAAATTTTGTATTGGCCCATACAGTTGTAAATGCTGTAAAAAAACTATGTCAAGGGCAAATATGTGAGCGTCTTGCTTCGACAACGTACGTTGAAAGCACCGAAGTATCATGACTCTTGGCTCCACCGAACCTAATCCAATGCACATCCGTAGACCTGCCTGGCCGCACTTCTCAATCTCTCGAGATCAAACAGCAAAATCTTGCGCATACTCGACCTCGAGAAGGTGAGAGTTGTTTGTCGACGATGACGAGGTTATGAAGAGGATCTCCGAATGCATCTTCTGCAAGGTTCACGAGGCCGGTCAAGGTACAGGAAATAATGCTCTTATTATCGCTTCCACCGACAACGCAAGAAAGCGCGATGACAAGTGTTGTTGTATCAGGAGATAGCGTCCCAGTCCGTCTTAGAGACTCGGACTCTATAAGTTGAGAGACAGCCTGTCGTATCGACATGTATCGAGGTCGTTCGTAGATATTCTGACAGCTGAAACAAATATTAATGTGTGTGTGTGTGAGGAAGAAAGTCCCTCACCGAGCCAGGTTCGCCTCACTTTGCTTCTTGGCCTTTATATCTAACAACACCAGCGTCGACAGATCGAGATCTGCATTTTCCTTGGTTGTATCGTACAAACTGTCGGGATTCCACGGATCTGTGAAGAAAACTAGGGAGGTTGTCTGGCAAAAGTTGTACAATTGGAGGTAACAGGTGCCGACTGCGTTCATTATCGATACATTGTGGATGACATTACCCAGGGTGCGAGCGCGAAGGATGACGTCGGTATGTGTCGTTGCTCTATGGAATCCGTGTGAATCTACTACCAAAGAAAATGACGCGCTACCCACCTGAATGGATCCCTGACAACAGTCTGCAGTAGCCAATATTTCATTGCTCTCCGCTTCCGGCATGTCTCTCGGTCGGCGAGAATCAGTAGTTGTTCGTAAAATGCTTCCTTGCATACGTCGGCCCAAGAAATATTGTAATGAATGACTATCATTCGTTTTCTGGACTCGTGCCAGCCTATAGAGACGTCCACGCACCCCACGTTGCGGGTCACAGGAACAAGAACAACTGCGGAAGGAGCTCGCATAAGCAAAAGGCACAAGAAACAAAGGGGCAATACTCACCAGATAACGGTGTCCATCCAGTTCGCATGCCGGTCGAGATCCGTCTTTAGATTACCGAGATTGAGGCTGGTAGATACTATCCTTTTGTCCCTGTACCTCCTTGCCAGTTCCAACGTGAACATCGCGTCGGCCTGTCAGTTAGTTAATGCCCACATATAAATACAGATAATTGACAGTACCGCTTTTCTTTGACCGTACAGATGCGTCGGGGATTTGCTTTCCTCGCTGGTCCATCCTTGAGCGTGTCCAACGAGATCTTGCTACCCAAAGGCAGATAGATAACCAAAGACGAGGTCGTCACCACGCGGGCCTTGCCTTCCGTCGCTAGTAACGCCGGTAGCAGCAGCTTCGTGACGTAGAAGTGACGACATTAACGCCAAAATGATAATCGTAGCCTTGGACAGTGAGCATTTCGCGGGAGGCTAGCATCACGCCTCTGGGACACGCCAATGATGATTAGATAGCCGCCAGCACATCGGTCGTAAATCCTTCTCTCTCCTGGAAGAGATGAGAAATGCTCAGCGGCGGCATACAAGGTGATACGCACGAGAGAACTCCTCCACAACAACCTTGACAGATCTCAGGTCTCACAGATTCAAGCTCAAGAAAATCGCAGTCTTCCCCGTAGCCTTCGTCAGTTCCTCGATAAAATTTCCTGTCTTCTCTGGATTTCTCGCAGCCAGATACGCTTTAGCGTTGTAAGGCAACAATTCCTGGGATCATTTAGCTGTAGCACGCGCAGAAAACGAAGAAGAGCGTACCCTGACTATCTCTTTTCCTATCCTTGACGAGCTACCGGTAACGATAACGACCTTTCCCCCCAAGTCTGGCATCTGGGCTGGGGTCCATCGAGGCTTTCCGGAGAACCAGGCTTGCTTAGAAAGCGTACAAATGTTGTGCAGAGTGTCGAGCATTCTTTCTCAAAGTACGTTGACAAGTTGGCGGAAGTTGGAAAGGAAGAATGAGCGCTGGCATGGTCATGGTGGTACGGTGGTACTAGGCGGTCCATTTCAAATTATTCCCGGCTAGGTGACCGGCAAATCAAATTGCAACTTTCCTTCCTTTACACCCAAGCGCTGAGCGCCGAGCTGCCGCTGAAAGATAATGTGGTTTCTTGTGTGGGGATAACCTTTACAGGTGAAAAGGTCTAGCTATGCATACACACGCCTTTATTCCCCCACATCGCATCCGACAACTTTCTCCCAGTTGTACGAAGCTGGCGAAGATGAACATGGTCGCACGGTCACATCTTTATCTTGTCCCGGGTGTTGTGGTGCGTAGGATTTCTCTCTCTTGAAAACCGTTGACTTACTGCGTTCAAATCTGGCACGCAAGCACTCGTCAAACCGTCGCTGATGATGGAGAATCCGAAGTCACTAATGACCGGATCAAACAGGTGAGTGGTCGAAAGACTTGGCCGCCTTAACACTGTAATCTGCTTGGAGATGGATTAATCCTCACGCTTGTTAGAGACGAAATCGAGCCTTTGGATAACCATATGAGCAGAGCGAACACGATGTTTGAACTAGCGTTGGTGTGCACTAAACAAGACAGTAATAAATTGGGGCGGGTTCCCGAACGCAGTGCGAGATCAAAGAATGTACTCTAAAAGTTAGGCGGAGAGGCTCATGCTGTAGTCCTGTGGTTTGTCCTTATGGGAAAGTCAGTTCTAATCAAGCGCATGTAGTACGATGACTGACATTCATCCGACCCATTTCATAACCATCGCTGAATACCTCTTTGGCTATCGCGACTACTGGCGCCCGTCTTTCTGTTCGCCTTATGCCTTCTGTTGATTGGGAACTCGTATCCCCTAAGCTAGAACTCGTGATATTCATATCAACTGGAGGCGTATAGGTATCCCGTCCACCTAAAATTTGGATTCGCGAATTGAGCACCACGTAAACAGTGTTAGCATAAGCTTGGGCATAATGAGGGCTGGCGTCGTATAGAATGTCTGATGGGGGAACGCAAAAAAGAGGATAAGATTGAGTAGAGCGACAACAGCTGAAAGCAGGCGGTGTTAATCTTCCGATAACGATGGATGGTATGGATCAAATACCTGTCACAGTTCCCGTTTCAATGATGAGACGAATTAGTTTTGTGACCAGAACTCGAGTGCGACGGAAATTGGTATTACTGCGCATAAGCTACATAGTAGCATTAGCATCAACGAAGATAACTGAAAGAGAAAAATGAGCTCACGTAGTAAGTCATACAGATAGCGATGACGATATCACACAGGGCAGAGGCACCACACCAAATCTATGTACGGGTCAGCGCAATGAAACAGGATGTCTAGTTAGATATGTACCCCGATGGCGATGGATACCTTCATGCTACTGAGGTTAATGATGCTACCAGCTTGGAAAGAGTAGACGCCTGTGATTAAAGCTCCCACAGAACTTGTTAGGGATACCTGTCAATGAATGAGCTAGACTGTCCACGGAGAAGGGGCACAACAACAAACACAGGTGACGAATATCGGGACAATTTGAGACTTCGACAATATAAAGATTCGGTACGCATAGAAAACCTGGCAGACGCAAGCAGCTATACTCTGATAAGTGACGGAAAATGAGTAGAAAATGCTGCACGCACCAGCGCCGCTCATGATGGGGACCGTGAGCCAATCAAATGCATGTCAGTGAGGGCTACGATATCCCCAAAGCCATAACCGAACACGGCAAAGGCATCATGGGTAACGAGTATTGTCTGGACAAACTCGACAATGTAGATTCCATAGACGAGAGACTTTGTGAACTTGCTGTCATTCGGAAATGCCAGATAATAAAGATCTAACGAGAATGGATTAGAAACAATATTATTGGAGAATGGGCGACGCGCAAAACTGCACAGAAAGAGTCCCGAACAGACCCCAATGTAAGAGATAGGCGATGATCTGAATTCCCGTGTCAGGAATCAAATGGCCTACAGGCAATAAAAAAACCAACTCCAGGTCCTGACCTGAAGTAAGATGATTCAGTAGATGCCATTTCTCGAATCCATGACAATAACTTACAGTCTTTCTATGGGATAATCTGCGGGGATGGGCAGCATGTTGTACCTGGGGGGATCGTTTTACCGGTCCTGGAGGAAAAGAAGTCCTACATATATTTCCGGAAGTTATCGTGAGAGACTTGAAACAAGGCGCAAAAATACCCAAGGCGGGTCAGTATCAGGTAACAGAAACCGATCTAACGGCAGTTTCAGCCATGCCTGTCAGTGATCAACATATCGATCCATCGAATTAATTATGAACATCCCGTACCGCACTTCAGAAGAAACTTTCGGACCAAGTTACAGGAAAAGATACTGGCGCGCTGATATTGAAACCACCCCGGAAATAAACTGTAAGAAGCAACACCGAGCGCTTCTTATATCCGGCCGTCCTACAGGGGCATCGAAAGCAGCGTCTTGTGTCCGGGAATCTTCCGTCACATCGTAAATCGTCCTGATCTTTCAGTGCCTGATGGTTTTGTTGGTTCACGTAGCTCAAGACACAGGTAGAAATCTGTGTATCCAACTATGCTTCTTGTCTTTTAAGTATCTTCAGATAAATTCCACGGGGAGGGTCAAAGAGACGTACGACTGGGCAAGAGTTCGAGGGATCATCTCGTTAGATGAAACAGAACCAGGAACACAATATGCCATGTACCGAAATAGAAATCTTGATACGCCACTGAAGTTGATACCTTCGCCAAAAGTCGATCAACCGTGATCTTCAGCCGCACAGGTACCCACCCTGAACGCACACTGACAGATTCGATTATCTCAACGTTAGTTGACTTTGATATCGGTAATTCAGACACGTATGTCTGCCAAGAGTTGTTTGGCACGATGGGCGCAGTCGCAAACTCCACCATGTTCAGTCCAGAAATTTGTACACCGTCAAATGCGGCAGCATCGAAGAGACAGCATGATCTTGGTACATGCGTTGTTGCACTCGCGAGACTCCGGCTTTGAAGTACCAGGCTGGATCCTGGCGAATCACAGTGCATTCATATACGTCCAGGATAGGCTAAGGGAGTTAGTTTGGCCTTCTTCGCTGCGGAATAAGCAAAGGCATGGCCCAGAGCTTCGATGACTGGTTGAGATCGGGAAAGAATGAGCGAGTCAAATTCTTCGCTGTGATGGTTACCTACCTCATCAGGGAGCTGGCTATTCTCTTCCATTAGACCGTGAGCATGCTGGGCCTGCAGTGATTCATCGGCGTCTGGCAAGGCGATATATTAGCGCTTCAAAAGAAGCTCGGAGAACAGCCCAATGCACGTAAGGACCTCGCCCTCGGCAACGGCAGCACCTGCTCTTGGAATCAATAACTTGAGCATGAACACAATTTACATGTCTGACCTTTCCCGTCGTTCTGAAAGACATTATCATGTTAGCGCGGTTATGGTCAAATCTAGCCAATATTATATTACTTCCATTCTTGCCATGTAATTATGTTCGAACGTTCCTACGAATATGTTGGAAAGTTGGTTTCGCAATATTTTTGACGACTACACACCTTGTGCGCCTCAGCGCTCCGAGATCTCGGTTATGCATTGCTGGAAGTGACGGACAACAGTAGCCTTTATGATGACATCCATATCGCGTCGAAGGCGACCATCCAATGCAGAGTCTCGCGATTCTTGTATGACCGATGCGATCCAACCCATATCCGAGAGCGAGTGATAGGCCATTGCTGGGTCATAAATGAGATTATCGGGATCATAGAAGACCTCCTGCGATCTGTGATGCACCGATACATGTAATAACGGCCGACAATATAAGCCGACATCTCCACAGCGTAAATCAAAGGGGACATGATCAGCAACGAGCCTAATCGTGTTCTCACGTTCTCGTTCCGTCATGCTTCTAGTGGTCGTTCGGGAGCAATGATGTTGTGAGGATTGGCAGCCACTAGTGGCGTTGCAGAGAGGTGGACCTGGTCAAACGATGTAATGAAGAAATCAAGGTGGCCGGTTCTACTACGACAATGAAGACGCATGGACGTCACAGTGGTGTACATTTATTTTTTTGTCGTTGGTTAAATGGGCGAATGAGACTGTCGTATGCATTGAGAGAAACCTGAACCTTACCAGATAGGTACTATGAAGTCTCTACATCCGAAATATTTGCCTTTATCCATGAGCCTTGCCATGACCAACGCAACATTTGGTTACCAAAGGCGGGCGTAGATGCGGGCATAAATCTATTCAGTGTAATCAGTAGGGACAATTTCAGGGAAAAGTCGATCTTACTTGGTAGCCTCTTCACGCGGAGTGTTGAGAATGTAGCTTCCGTCGGACAATCGTGTAGCCGTAGTTTCGATATTGAAAGCATCGAGGCCGTGGCCGCGCTCAGTCAAGAGAAAGATTCCTACTACTTTCTCAAAACGGAGCAGTTCCAGGGACTCGAGGTCCGAATGGGCATTGGAATGTCGTACAGAATACCAATAGCCAAGCCCACATGAACAGCGGGAATAGTAAACCATGTTGCCAGGTCTGAACAAGCTCCAGAAGTGTTCAGGGCTGTGTTGGTCGCAGACTGTCACGGCCCCCAACCATGCCACAGAACGGATTTCCTTATGCTCAGAAATTTCACTGTCGAAGAGATATTTCCAGTTCGTTGGGTACAGGAAAATCGGCCACGATGAAAGAAAAATGAAAGGGGGTGTTTCCGGCTGCCGGTTAGGAAGGTCCCGGCATCAGCCGATAGTGGCAGTGCCAGTTTCAGGGTCTTGGCGTTCATGTCCATATTGAGACTTCCAACGGGCATTGTCGCCATTCAGTTCCAACTTCTGTTCAAGTTGTTGAAATACCAAATGTGCCGCGCTTCCGATGGCCACCCCTCCTTTCCGTAGTATATTTTCTAAATTTAGCATTAGTATATAAAGTAGGATACCTTGTAATCGAGCCCCTCGCGCGTTTGCGAGGGTTCCCTGCTAATCCCGGAGTCCCGCTTATCTGAGCTGAACAGCGTACTCCAACACAAGTCTCTTGGAAACGATTAAGCTTCTGGAAAGACTACTTAGCAGAACTTCATCTGCGGTATCCTTTTGATGATATAGAGATTTTTAATTTTCGCCCATTTCTTTTTTCAGGCTTAACACCACCGCACTTTGAGTGTGTCGCATCCACACAGTTCCCTACCAGTTCCGCAGCTTTTCCTCGACGACGTTTTGTAAAGGTTGTCGCCTTTTCTTGTGTCCAAGATCGCTTACAATATCAACTTGAACGTCCCGACTTGAATTTTGCCTTGAGACGTGTCACGATATGGCGCCGCGTACTTCACCAATAGTTTGCGCTTGCCAGAGATGAAAATGATCCTCTGAATAACCATAGGCGCTTGGCGGACACATCGCAGCATATAAAACTGCAACATTTGAACTGGCATTGATGTTTACTACGACAAAGTAATAACAAAATCAGCACGAGTCTCCGGTTCAGGGACTGTACTAGCTCATTCTTTCGTCCTGTGGTTTGGCCTTGAGTGGAAATCAGCTTCAAAACTCACTTAAATCACCATGACTGACATTTATTTGGCCCATTTCATAATCATCGTTGAATATCGCGACCATTGATGCCCGTCCTTGCACCCCATCCGTTCTCCATGTGCCCTGTATTGGATCGGAGGTGATATCCCTTATCATAGTGGTTGTTATGCTTATATCAAGCGAAGACGTATCAGTATCCCGTCCACCTAGAATTCGGATTCGCGAATTCAGTACCATGTAAACTGTGTTAGCATACAGCTTGGGCATGATGAGCGCCGGCGTTCCGTAGAAAGTCTGATGAGGAAGCGCAAAAAAGAGGATAAGGTTGAGCAGAGCAACCACAGCTAAACGAGAACGGTGTTAATCCCGCAAGAGTATGAATAACACAAGTAGTAAATACCCGTTATAGTTCCCGTTTCGATAGTAAGACGAATCAACTTGGTGACAAGCATCCGGGTGCGACGGAAACCAGTATCGCAGCGCATAAGCTGTGAAACAATATCAACATCATTGAAGATAGCAGAAAGAGAAGTAACTCACATAGTAAGTCATGCAGATAGCGATGAGGATATCACACAAGGCTGCGGCTCCGCGCCAAATCTACACATTTATCAACATTGTGAAAACGAGATATCGAGCCAGTTGCGTACCCCGACAGCGATGGATGTCCTTCGATTATTGAGTTTAGTGACATCGCCTGCTTCGAAACAGTAGGTGCCTGTGATTATGGCTGCTACAGCGCTGGTCAAGGATAACTGTGAATAGATGGGCTAGACATTCAGCGGGAAAGAGCTTGGCAACGAACACAAGTCACGAGTACCGGGACGATTTGAGACTTTGACAGTATGAAGATTCGGTATGCATAGAAGGATTGTCTGATGCAAGCAACTGTGCATGTTATTAGTAAGGGGAAATGGACAGATGATGTTTCACGTACCGACAGCGCTCATGATAGGGACAGTGAGCCAATTAAAATGCATCCCAGTCAGTACTTCGATGTTACCGAAGCCGTACCCGAATTCTGCAAAGGCGTCATGGGTAACAAGGATCGTCTGTACAAATTCGACGACATAGATGCCATAGACGAGATATTTTGTAAATCGTCTGTCGTTCGGAAATGCTAGATAGTACAGTTCTAACAAAAAGGCATTAGAAACAATCTACTCCAGAATGAACCGGAGCGACATACAAAGCTGCACGGAAAGGGTCCCGAAGAGTCCCCAATGTAAGAGACCAGCGACGATCTGAATTTGTGTTAGAGATGGAATAGCCAAAACGAAAAAAGACGAACCAAAGGTCCAGATCTGAAATGAGATTATTCAGCACATATCCCTTCCCAGATTTACGATGATAACTTACAGTTTTTCTATGGGATAACCTGCGGGGACAGGCGACATGTCGTATCTGGGGTTGCTCTACCGGTCCTGAAGAAAAGGAACCTCTACATATATTTCCGACGGCTATTGTGAGAGACTTGAAAGAAGACACGTGAACCCATAAGGTCAGTCAGCATTGCACCGCAGCAACTGAGCTGAATGGCCGTTTCATCCGTGGTCAGCGCTGATCCGTCAAGTCGACCAAATATAGACAGTATGAGTACTCGCAATTTACGAGTGCAGAACAGCTATCGGCTTGTATTTTGGATAAAAGTCAAAGGCATAGCACTGAGGAGGAAGTATGACGGTCGAAAGGTATAGGTTGCGACGATAAGAGCCTAAAGAGATGAGCCGTGCATGTCGGTAAAGCTCGGACTTGGCAAAGGCGAACAGGAAGCCAACATAAATCTCCGAACCAAGTTTAAGCCGAAGAGAGAATAGCACGTTGTCATCACTGGAACACACTGAGAAGGTGCTTGAAAAGACTATGGTATACAATTATCGTGACCGACATCTACTCGTCCAGCATGAGCATCGACAGTATAGAAAGCAGCTTCTTGTGCCCTGGATTCTTCGGTCATTGGGAGTCATCTTGATCTTTCACAGCGTCCGGTGATTCTGGGGGTACGAACTTGTCTCACAGCCATCGGAATACTGATATGTGCTAGGGTGGGAATCTCTGTATCCACTCTTCGCACCGAGAAATATATGTGTCGTGTATCCCTCAGCAATCGTACTCCACGGGGTGAGCGGTCAAGGAGACGAAGAACTGGACTAGAGCTTGTATCGAAGAAAATGCAAGTAGCGTGGGAAGAAACATGCCGTGCCGGTTATTTACCAAAATAGAAATTTCCAGGCTCAAACGATGACCACCATTTATCCCGCTATTTTAGTACTTTCCGTGTCCAAGCGTCTAGTGCTGGAGTCAAGCTCATCAACATTGACTGAAAAAGCTCGCTATACTGTCTGTGGGGGGTGGAACGATATCATCTGAACTCTGGGAAGGCTCAAGGTGTGGGAAAGGACAAATAATAAGACAAGCTTGCGGCCATCATGGCTGCCGTCTTTCCCACCAACGTTCAAGAGTTCCTGGTGTTTCTTCCTAATCCACCTCGGCTGGAACAGGGCTCCTCAACGGGGATGACAACGGCAGCCTATACTGCTCATAATACCTTGACTATCCCTGAGGGTCAACCTGGCGGCTAGATCGTACTCTCTTTCCTAGGCTCACAGAGCTTATCTCTTCTGTGGCCATTGGCATTGATATTGGCGAATATTTCTGTCAGACAATGCTGCAAGCGTGTCGTCTCATAAACGAAACAGGATAGGCCTCTATGGCGACATTTCTACCAGAGCGATAGACCCTACCATTCAAGCCACTGCGGAAGCTACCCGTATCGATGGCATATTCACTCTACATCGTGCACCGGTCATGGATCGAGCGTGGTTATGTCATTTTACTTTCATGCTTGTCAGACAATACCAGGTCGAGGAGCGGGATATTCGAGTCTACTCTGATGAGGATTAGCCGTACTCGGTATTACTTTCAAAGCAGAAGATCGCAGCCCATCAATTCATCCCGACGTCATTATCAAGCAAGAAGGTGTCGTCGCTATGGCCGTCAACGTTAGTCCCCATTGAGTTTTGTCCCGCATAGCCGTCTCACACAATACTAGCTTATGTTGCAGATTACTTCACGCATAGAGTACGGTTTTTTCTCTCGGCAGGTTCATCGCAACTGTCGCATAGCTCAGTGAGATCTTCATCACCGCTGGGCTGGACAGACATCTTACATATCTTTCTAGTCCGGTCTACAGATGTCTCGACATACACTATTTCTTTCTCTTATCTGGCGTTCAGACTTTCTAGAGAATCCCTTGTGCATCCCAACCCGAATAAAGTGCTTACCTAGTTCGAAGCTCATGTTCAGCCTGAGACATTCCTTGCTATCGTTGTTGCAATGTTAACTAGGTATCTTTATGCCCAGAAGGCCGTTTCTAAGTTCTGCACGATACCGATTCCGGGACTACGCAAGTTCTTCCATCATAACCCCTCGAAGCGACCTCTTGATATAGAACGAGGTACCAATGGCGACACCAACATCAACGTTATCTATATTCGCCATCTGCGTGTCAGGGTCTGATTCAGATCAATGTAAACGCGCAGGATCTCGACTGCTTGCTTTGACCTCGGGTAGGCAACGGGCGGATTTATCAGTGTATGTTTCGTTCTGCGCTCCGCATAGAGCACCTTTCTTGGGGCATAGACTGAATAAGCTAGTACTAAATGACGCACCGGACGCTACGCTACTCATTAGTTTGTGCACACAGAGTCGAACAGAAATCGATCCTCGAAATGGTCGTACACGCCGAGCGGGCCACACCTCAGTACACGATTTCATAAAATTTAGCTTCGGTCATTACAGCAAGATACACAACAAGATAATAAATAAAAAAGTACACTGGGTTCTCGTACAAGGTTTCCGCTCAAAGAATGCAGTCTAACAGTTACACGGCGGGGCTCATGATGGTGTCCCGTGGTTTGTCCTTGGGGGAATCAGCTCTAATAAAGCGCATGAAGCACGAAGACTGACATCCATTTGACTCATTTCAAGATCATCGTTGAACACCTGCTGAGTTATCGCGACCAATGATGCCTGTCCTTGCATCCCGTCCGTTCGCTGCGTGCCTTCTGTCGATTTGGAGGTGATATCTTTTATCATAGTGGTCGTAATGCTTAGATCGGTTGACGACGTATAGGTATCCCGTCCACCTAGAATTCGGATTCGCGAATTCAGTACCATGTAAAAGGTGTTAGCGTATAGCTTGGGCATGACAAGGGCCGTCGTCCCGTAGAAAGTCTCATGAGGGAAGGAAAAAAAGAGGATAAGGTCGAGCACAGCGACCCCAGCTAAACGTGAATGGTGTTAATATCGCGACGAGTATGAATTTATGGTGTAGTAAATACCGGTTACAGTTCCTGTTTCAATAATAAGACGAATCAACTTGGTGAGAAGCATTCGGGTGCGACGGAAACCAGTATCACAGCGCATAAGCTGTGAAACAGTATCAACATCATTCAAGATAGCGGAAAGAAACGGAGCTCACATAGTAAGTCATGCAGATAGCGATGAGGATATCACACAAGGCTGAAGCTCCGTAAAAAATCTACGCATGGATCAACATTGTGAAAACGGGATGTCGAGCCAGTTGCGTACCCCGACAGCGATGGATGTCCTTCGATTATTGAGTTTAGTGACATCGCCTGCTTCGAAACAGTAGGTGCCTGTGATTATGGCTGCTACAGCGCTGGTCAAGGATAACTGTGAATAGATGAGCTAGATTGTCAGCGGGAAAGAATACGGCAACGGACACAGGTCACAAGTATAGTGACGATCTGAGACTTTGACAATATGAAAATTCGGTACGCATAGAAGCACTGTACGATACTAGCAACTGTACATATTATAAGTAAGGGAAAATGGACAGACGATGTATCACACACCGACAGCGCCCATGATAGGGACAATGAGCCAATTAAAATACATCCTAGTCAGTGCTTCTATGTCACCGAAGCCGTACCCGAATCCTGCAAAGGCGTCATAGGTGACGAGTATCGTCTGTGCGAATTCGATAACGTAGATGCCATAGACGAGATATTTTGTGAATCGTCTGTCATTCGGAAATGCTAGATAGTACAGATCTAACAAAAAGGCATTAGAAACAATCTACTCCAGAATGAATCGGAGCGACATACAAAGCTGCACAGTAAGGGTCCCGAAGAGTCCCCAGTGCAAGAGATAGGCAACGATCTAAATTACGGTGTTAGGACTGAAGACACTTAAACACACGATTTGACAAACCGCAGGTCCAGAGCTGAAATAGGATCTCAGTGTGTACCGCCGCTCGATACCATAGTGATAACTTACAGCTTTTCTATAGGATAACCTGCAGGGACTGGCTGCATCTTGGGTCTGGGGTTGTTTCAAACTACCGGTCTTGGAGAGAAAGCGCCTGTACATATATGTCCGACTACCATCATGAGAGAGTTGAAAGAAGACGCACAATACCCAAGGCCGGTCAGCATCACAATACAGAAGCCAGCTGGAAGGCAGTACAACTGCTCTAATCTCAACCATGTTCATCAGCAGTCAGCGCATTGGCCTATCAAATTAATCATCATGATTCTGTCTTACCAGTTCAGAAGAAATCTCAGAACCAAGTTATAAAAAGTGGACGATGATGTTTCGTTGATATCGAGACTACCCCAGGTGAGAAGAAGGATCATTATAATGGATCCGCCACTCACCATGCTATGCAATTGTCGTGTCCGATATCTATCTAGCTTCTTCCGTCTTCCAATAAGTGCATTGAAGTGGCTTCTTGAGCTCCATCTTTCACAGCGTCCGGTATACTGTTTATGCGAAGATGTCCCACCGCCATCGGAATGCGGCAGTGTCTGTACTATCAGTAGTAATCTCTGTATCCGTCTCTATGCACTGAACCATTCTTATTTGTCTTCCAGGCTTCCCCCAGCCAACCGTACTCCACAGGGAGAACGAGGAGACGTGGGTAGGTAGGTAGTATCGCACGGCAGTGTCCACAAGCGCGCTCCATGAATGAAACGAAATGCAAGTATGGGAAAGTTCAAAAATATACTGTGAACCAAGCGCATGTGACGTCCGATTTGGCATTGGTGTTTGATACAACAAGACAATAATAATTTAAGGCGAGCTCTTGAACGCGATGTAAGCTCAAAGACACCATTTACGCGGGGAGGCTCATGCTCTCGTGCTGTGGTTTGTCCTTTAGGGAAATCAGCTTCTATAGAGCGCATGAATCGCCATGACTGACATTCATTCGGCCCATTTCACGGTCATCGTCGAATATCGGGACTACTGACGCCCGTCCTTGTACCCCATCCGTTCGCCATGTGCTCTGTGTTGGACGATCCCTTATCATAGTGGTCATGATGCTCATATCGGTAGAAGATGTATAGGTATCTCGTCCACCCAGAATTCGAATTCGTGAATTTAGCACCATGTAGACAGTGTTAGCATACAGCTTGGGCATGATGAGGGCCGGCGTCCCGTAGAACGTTTGATGAGGGAAAGCAAAAAAGAGGATAAGGTTGAGTAGAGGAACCACAGCTGAAAATAGGCGGCGTCAATGTAGTGATGATGATGGATGGTGCGAAACATACCTGTCACAGATCCCGTTTCAATATCGAGACGAATCAGCTTGGTCACCAAAATTTGGGTCTGACGTAAACCGGTATTGCCACGCATAAGCTACGAGATAATATCAATGTTGGACGAAAACATATGAAAGAGAGAAAGAGCTCACGTGATAAGTCATGCAAATAGCAATGACAATATCACATAAATGATAAAGCGGAAGCACCGCACCAAATCTATGCAACTTGAGGGATCAGCACGAGGAACATGGGACGCCTAGCCATGCACTTATCCCGACGGCAATGGATGTCTTTCGGTTATTGAGTTTAATAATGTTACCTGCTTCGAAAGAGTAGACGCCTGTAATAATAGCCGCCACGGAGCTAGTCAAGGATACCTGCAAGTAGATGGGCTAGACTGTCGCAGAGAAACAGAACGAAAACAAATACACAGGTGACAAATATAGGGACCATTCGCGATTTTGATAATATGAAGATTCGGTACGCGTAGAAAACCTGCCCGACACAAGCAGCTGTGGTCATGATGAGGAACGGAAAACGATCAGAAGATGTTGCGTGTACCAACGGCGCTTATGATGGGGACCGCGAGCCAATCAAAATGCATATCGGTGAGGGCCTGGATGTCACCGAATCCATAACCGAACATTGCAAAGGCGTCGTGGGTGACGAGCACCATTTGAATGAATTCGATAATATAGATGCCATAGACAAGGTATTTTGTGAATTGTCTGTCATTTGGAAAGGCTAAATAGTACAGATCTGACGAGAATGTATCAGGAACAATATTTCTGGAGAATGAGTGACGTAACGTACAAAGCTGCATGGAAAGAGTCCCGAAGAGTCCCCAGTGCAGAAGGAGCGCGATGATCTAAATTGCCGTGTCATGGATTGAATTGCTACAACGCAAAAAGACCAACCACAGGTCCAGACCTGGGATACAATGGTTAAGTACATACATTGCTCAAATCCGTGACAACAACTCACAGTCGTTCTATGGGATAACCTTCCGGGACGGGCTGCATGCTGTATTGGGCTGAGGGTCGTTTTACGAATCGGTCCCGAAGAAAAGAAGTCGTATATATATCACTGACAATCATAGTGAGAGACTTGAAAGGCGCACAAATACCTTCGCATTACACGACAATTTGGCTGAATGGCAGCTGCAATCATTTTCAGTGGTCAGCGCATTGATCCATCAAAATGAAAGATCGTAATTCCGTACGGCGAGTTCAGAAGAAATATCCGAGCCGAAGTTTTTCAAAGAATAAGAGCATGGCGCGTTGTATCACGTTGATATTACGAATAAGCGATCCCTGGAATAAACTGCGAGAAGAAGCTTGAACTCGAAGATACGCTATGGCGTCCGACATCTAGTCTTCCAACAGGAGCGTCTAAAACAGCCCTAGATTCTGCCGTCATCGGGAATTTTCTGATCTCTCAGTGTCCGTTGGTTTCGTTGGTAACCAATGTGGAAGAATTCCCCAGAGTGTATCGATGTAGACTGCGGTGGCAGTTTGTGGCATCATCTCTTGCACCGAACAATCTCTGCATCATTTCCTCTGCTCTACAGGGAGAGCAGCCAAGAACACGTTGAACTGAGCTGGAGCTGGAGCTGGCTCGAGGCCGTATCGGAGAAACACTGAAACAGGCGGCGTGGGAAAAGAATTTGCTACAAAAAGAAACTCCGCGGAATAACCATTTATTCCGCCATTCTAGACTGAAAGCAAGCTCGTCAACGTCAACTGCGAATGCTCTCTGTAGGCCTATGGAAATTCTCTGTTTTGAACTGCAGGCTCAAGACGTGGGAAAGAACATAATCAGATAAACTTGCGACCATGGCTGCCATGTTTCCCGCCAACATTCAAGAGTTCTTGACATCCCTTCCTAGGCCACCTCGACTGGGTCGGAATGCGTCGAAAGGGACGGCAATGGAGGCTTATACAGCACATAATATCTTGACGGTTCCTGAAGATCAACCAATCCTCAGCCGACTAGACCATACGCTCATTCCTAGACTGACACAGTTTATCTCTTCGGTGGTCGTTGACTTCGATATTGGCGATGTATCTTGTCAGTCAATGCTGCAGGGTCTCCAGCTTATGCGAGCATGTCGAATCGAGGGCGAAAACAACGTGAGCCTCTACGGCGAATATTCTACCAGAGCAATAGACCCTATCGTTCATGCTATCGCAGAAGCTGCCCATATCGATGGCGAATTCACTCTTCATCGTGAGCCTGTTACGGACCTCGTGTGGCCGCAGAAATGCAGCTGTTTTACTTTCACGCTTGTCGGACAAGACGACGCGGTTAAGGAGCAAGATATTCGAGTCTGCTCTGATGAGGATACAGCGTACTCGTCGTTACTTTCGAGGGCAGAGGAACTCAGCCAGTCGATTCGCCTAGACGTCACTAGGAAGCAAGAAGGTGCCGCTGCTATGGCCATCAACGTTAGTCTCCATCGAGTTTTGTCTGATGTCGCCGTCTCACGCAGTGTAGCTTGCATCGCAGATGATTACTTCACGCGTAGAGTACGGCTTTTTTTTCCTGCGGGTTCATTGCAATTGCTGCCCAGCTCGGTGAGACTTTCATCATTTCTGGGCTCGACAGACATTTTACGTATCTTTTCTAGCCCGGTCTACGGATATGTCTCGCCCAGGCCATATTCTACTACTGTCACCTGCATTCAGACTGTCCGGAGAACCCCTTGTGCACCCTGACTCGAACAAAACGCTCACGCCATTTCAAGTTAACATTCAACCCCAGCCATTCCTCGCCATAGTCGTTGCAATGATATTCTCCAAATTGCTTCCTGGTCGCCGCGTCGCCGATCCTCCTCCTGATCTCTTGCGGCCTCAGTTATCGGAGTCAATACAAGATACAGATGTAGGCCAGAAAGAACCGAAAGGTAATGAAGAAGACGACCATGGCGAGGATCAAGCAGATCAAAGCGATCTCCCAGCCGTTCCTTTACAAATTGCGACGAATGCGGTATATCAATTGTTGTTTCTGGCACAACAAAATGCGCTAATATTTTCTTGTTAGATGATATTGCAGCATCCATGGCTACGGTCCACTGACATACACCGTATCTCTGTCAAACGACATACCTTCCAACCGTCAACGGACCCTCAGAACGTTCCGATAGCCAGCAGCAAGAACTCTGGCCTCGTGATGGAAAACCTCTTGCTACCTTTATTGCAACGACGGTCACTGGTGCAGCTTTGTCGTCGTTCTCCTCACGTTCCGTCGACAAGCCTTGAGATTGTAACGCTCCTAAGCCAGATTCGGGCCAGTCGTTGGAACACCGTGTGGACATGCCGCGCTGAAAGCCGCGAGGAGCCTTTTATCATCAAGCTTGTCCCGGAAACGCATTCGGACATGATTTGGCGGGAGTTCTACATGTACGAGGTGGTCCTAAAGGAATGTCCTTCTCTTGTTCCCATGTTTTACGGGATGTTCCAGAGACCTGTCGGCGGTTGGTTCGCTTTCTGCCTCGAAGACGTTGGGGATAATCTCGAGACAACGTACGACCTAGGTTGGTCCGGGGTGAAGAGGACTATGTCCAAGATGCAATGGTAAGTAACCGTGTGTCTTCAAACGTCGTTCATTGACCGGTCCTTCAGGCTGAAATTACTAGAGTCAGTGAAGCAATTACATTCATTGGGTGTCTTGCATGGTGATCTTGAACCGCGAAACATAGCGCAAACGACGGAAGGATTCAAATTCTTTGACTTTGGACACTCGCAACTGCATCATTGCCAGTTTACAGAGTGCGACGAGTTACAAAATCTGTTGAGCATATAGAGTAGTAATGTATCTTTGTTGTTGTTATTTGATTATCGGTTTTTATCTGCTGCGCTTGAGGTCCTCTCGGACGAAGCGGTACAATGTATAATATATGCTACTGAGCTCGTTTTCCCCCTTCACTTTTCGCATTCTGGAATAATTTTAAAACCGCAGATATGAGCTTTGGCGAAGTTCGCGTATACAGTGTTCTTCAACGACTTCAAGTCCCAGTGTGGGTTCTACTACTATGAATGATGCGGGACGGACGAGAAGATGGGCCAATGCATATCTCAAAAAAAAAATTGTATCAATAACGAGAACTTTTGCGAGAGGACACGACTTCAATAGAAGAGTTAGCATCTATCATACAACAATATACGTACAAAGTCTCATGAATATATATAACTATATGATAACTCAATGGTATAAGTGAGGATCATCGGACTTAGTAGTTGTAGTGGACATTCCAGCAAGAAGAGTCGTAGTACTTCTTGTCGTCCTTGTCCTCGTCACAGTTATCCTCCCAGGTCAAGATGTCGATGGTGTTCTCGAAGAGCTCACAGATGATCTTTTCCTCGATCTCTTCCTCAGAGTAGACTAAAAAGAACGCTGAATAAACTGAAGAGGGAGTAAGTACCAAACGTACCCCGGCAAGAGTTACATTTGTCGTCCTTCTCACAAAGGCTCTTGCAGTCTGAAGAGTAGATGTCAGGAAAAGTGATGATGGACGAAAATGAAAGACAAACTTACCGATCTCGTAGGTATCTTCTTGACATCCATTGTGGTCGTAATGAGTGTACTTTCCCTTGTTCCATCCCCTAAAGTCCTTCTTATGCTCGAACACAGGCTCCCAAGTGCAGTCTTTGCGCCCGTGGTCCTTGTCGTCGTTGTCCTTGCCGAAGTCCTTGCTGCCACCGTCATTCCTGCCATGGTCCTTGTCATCATCCTTCTTGCCAAAGTCCTTGCTACCACCGTCGTTGTGACCATAGTCCTTGCCGTATTCCCTGCTACCGCCGTCGCTGTAGCCGTTGTAACCTACGCTACCGTCCCTGGCTTGAACGGAAGCAGAGAGGGCGGGGACCAGCGGCGAGAGGGATAAGAGTGGCGACTGAGAAATGCATCGTGATGACTGAGCTGAAGTAGGCAGACGAAGATGGTGAGTCTGACTGGAGAACATGAGTGATTTCTCTGTCCTTTATATCCCTTCGGTTACCATAAATCCTCTACGACGTAAATCGCCGGCTGGACCAACAAGTGTTCTTCAAGAACGTCATATTGAAACAGCACCGAACACGAGAAGGTGGATATTCATAGCCAAGAGTAATTTTCGTCAAGACCTGACGAGCTGCAAGGGAACCTTCGAGTCGCGGTAACCAAATATGCAGTGCAAGCGGGAACGTCGGTCTCAAGGGGAACGGGGGAATACTTGAAAGGCCGGCCACTGGCAAGCCATGGCACATACGAGCCCGTGTACCCAGACCATAGATGGACCTGCATCAGGAATTAACGTTACAACGACGGCAGACAGAACGGCTGGGACTGACAATGACGTCAAATTTACTAGATTCAAATAACAATTTTATTAAAAACTAAAATTTCAAATACAAAATGTAAGTAAATTAGGGCGGCGGGGCACAGTGTACGCGCATCGTGCCTACTCTATACTATGAAAATGGTTTTTACGGAGGCCTCATGAGGTCGACTGGCCATACGGCGATGGTGGAAGGCCCCGCTGTGCTGTACAAGTGAAAATTCTGCGTGATGGGTCGGTGGCCATACGCAACAACGGCGGGCTTAAGCACATCCATCGACGATGCCGTTGCATTTTCCTACGGTTCGGAGATGGGTGACAGGCAGGTGGTGGTGGCAGCACAATGTAGGTGGTAGGGCAGAGGGCAGGTAGGTGGGCGGCGAGATTGTTGAACATTGGGAAAAGTTAGTGAAGGGAAAACATATGACAATGTTTGATTCCCTGTTTTTGAAAATGATAGTATGAGCCTGGAGGTGGTCGTACAGCAAGCGGAGAGGGTGGAATGGCCGATGGATAAGGATCGGGGTTCGTCATCGTCATCGGTGGTCGTGGCGACATCCTGGGGTAAAATGGACGTCAGAGTCGTAATCCCCCATGGCGAGAATGAGGGATACGTAGAGATGGAGGCGATACCAAGCCTGGGGCGGGCGGTAGGCTCCGATGTTAGATTTAGGTGAGAGTAGTAGCGGCGGGGGCCGTCAGTGATGATGTTGCAGGCGTCTTTGGGATATCCGTCGTGCTCCATCGTGAGGAGTCGATGCCTAAAATTTCTTTACAGTTGGGCCCGTCGTTCGTCATCGGGACCCCGATCTTCGTCCAGCCTTCCCGCTCGCCCTTTCCGGCCCTTCGTCTATCCTTCCCAGCCCAGTACCACTCTCCTTCACTCTACACCTACCCAGATGAACCTTCCCAGCCACTATGCATGCCGCCATTACCGCCGTCTTCGCCGTCAACCACCTGGGTGGGCTGCTAGCGTTGTGTACGGCCCTGCGTGCCCAGATGGCTATCGATCTCCGATATAATTGGGCATTCGATGTTGTTTCGTGCCTGCATTGCTGGCATTCGCTGCGATTAGGGCCGATCTCCACATGGGGGAATGGATGCAGGTTCACAGGTGTCCTGGCGGACATACTGGTGGGTGATGGTAGCGGGACCCATTGTAAGCAGTGTGTGGCATCGTGGGCGAGTTGTTGGGGGTTGCGCGTCTTCTCAGGAACATGCAGCTCATTTGAGGGCTTACGTGGTGGGTGGCGGGGATATAGATGCTATCCTGGGCTCTTGGGGCCACAGGATTAGTCAAAATCATCTAAAAACCATATATCAGTAGTAAAAATAAATAATACATACTTTTCCCCGGTCATGGAGAGCGATATAGCCAAGAATTGAGCGAGACGATGAGAGGGTGGTGGAGGAAAGTAGAAGCAACACAGCCACTTGATCGCTGTACGGGTGGTCGGACCGGGGTCATCGAGGGCATGGATCTAAACATTATGAACGTTCCCCTCCTCGATTCAGGCACTCTTGAGAGCCCAAAATTCAACAACATGTCTGTATTATAATCCATACTACTGATGTATGCATTTTTTTTTCTTATTCTGACATTGCTACAGTGCTCTACTGCTTAAAGGCTAAATGACTGCATGTTCATTCTAGCAAGTACAGAAGCCATCAGCAAACCATCGGTAAAGTTGAAAGACATGACATCATTAGCAGGACAACTGAATAAAATAAGAATGTCATAAGCCGTCGAGATAAGAACGAATCCTCCGTAAACTCCGGACTTGTAATTGAGAGCGGCCAGCCCCGGTCTCACAAGAACCGAGAGAGTTGATAGTCAAAGGGAAAAACACTTCAGATATGCTAAGGACGTCGAGTGGATTCATCTTCGAAAATCGTCGCGGAGAATGCGTTTTAGCTGGCAAGTCCATGGTTCAGCGAGAAAGGTGGATCTTTCCCGATGTAAACAAGTGCTCCTTGCCCGCTATGGCTGACCCCAGCAGTTACGGTGATAGTAAGCGAAACATGGTTATTCTACAATGCGATGCCACTGATACACCGAGTCCTCCAACAAAACGCCGAATTGAAGGACTTGGGCATTGAACTACTCATTAAGGTGGTATTAGCCACCATTAACGAGTTGCTAGATATATCTAAGGTCGCCATAGAGTATTAGAAAATTTGCGGTCCCAGTAGCGAAGAGGGGAGGCTAAGGACAGATGCCGGGTGAAACGGCACTCAACGAAGTGATCCAGCGCTTGTGCCGACTCTTCGGCTGTAAGCGGCAGTTGGCTGCCAGTTTCCGTTCTGCTCAGTGGCTTGGAACTTGAAGGTGCTTCATACATATCTACACAGCTTCAAATTAATTCGTCTTCGAGTTCGTAAATTCAAGGTGTATTTAAAGAAACTTCGTGTGCTGTATTTCTGCCATGCCTGGAATGTCTCAGGCTTACCTCCCAGCACCAGTAAACTGTAAATTATGACAGGTCTCCCCGTCTCTCCCGCCGCTCCGTCCTAGACTGACGTTCTCGCCTACGCCGTATTTAGTTACCGCGACTCGAAGGATCTTTTCCGCCTTGGCAGGTTTTGACGATTGAAATATCAACATTGTGCGACAGAGCCATCACAATCTGTGGCGAAAATGAAATGGATATCTTGCTGTAAAAGGCGGACAATTTGAGTCAGCCGCTCGATTCTGAATTGGCGCCAAGACTGGCCATCACGACGTTTGTCTTCTTTTATAAGCCGCTACCGTTTGGTATGTTTTGTTTACACTTTGCTGACTTCGGTTTATATTACAAAAAAGAAATCAGGGCGGGTTCCCGTACACAGCGTAAGTTCAAAAAATGAACACTATCATTTACGCAGTGAGGATCACACTATCATCCTGTGGCTTGCCCTTTTGGGGGAGAGTCAGCTCTAAAACGATACAGATCACAATGACTGACCTTCACTCGATCCATTTCAAGATCATCGTTGAAAACCTGTTTAGATACCGTGACAACTACTGCATGACTTTGCATCCTGTCCGTGGGCTTTGTGCCCCCTGTTGATTGGCAGGTGATATCTCGTACCATAGCCGTTGAAGACAGATAGGTATTCCGTCCCCCCAAAATTCGGATTCGCGAATTCAGTACCATGAGAACGGTATTAGCCTGCAGCTTTGGAATAATGAGTGCTGATGGAACATAGAAAGTCTGATGAGGGAGGGCAAAAAAGAGGATAAGACAGAGCAGGGCGACAACAGCTAAATGCAAACAGTATGAAGATTGCGACGAGTGTGGATGGTGTAGAGGAGATACCTGTCACAGTTCCCGTTTCAATGGTGAGACGAATTAGCTTTGTGGCCAGAAGTCGGGTGCGATGAAAACCAGTATTACTACGCATAAGCTACAAAGAGTATCAATATCAATGATGATAGAGACAGAAAGAGCTCACATAGTAGGTCATGCAGACAGCGATGATGATATCGCACAAGGCAGAGGCTCCCAACCAAATCTGCATAGCGTTCAGCATGATAAACATGGGATACCTAGTCAGTCACGTACCCCGACAGAGATGGATGTCTTCCGGTTGTTGAGCTTAGTGATGTCACCTGCTTGTAAACAGTAGACACCTGTAACTATACCTGCCACAGAACTGGTCAACGATACCTGTAAATAGATGAGCTAGGCTGTTATGACGAAAGAACACAGCAACGAACACAAGTGACAAATACCGGGATCGTTCGTGACTTTGACAATATGAATATTCGGTATGCATAGAAGAACTGTCCGACACAAGCAACTATATTTATTATGAGTAATGGAGAACGAATGGACGATGCTGCACGAACCGACAGCGCTCATGATAGGGACAGTTAACCAACTAAAACTGATTCCGATAAGGCTTTTAATATCACCGAAGCCGTTCCCGAATGTTTCAAACTCGTCGTGAGCAACAAGTAGGGTCTGCACAAATTCGATAGTGTAGATGACATAGACGAGACATTTTGTGGATTGTCTGTCATTTGGAAATGCTAGATAGTACAGATCTGACGAGGTGGCATTACTTAGAAACAATCTACTGGGGAATGCCATGAAGCAACGCACAGAGTTGCACAGAAAGGGTTCCGAAGAGTCCCCAGTGCAAGAGACAAGCGACGATCTGAATTTTTGTGTTAGGGTCAGACTGAATAGGCTAAATATACAACTTGACGAACCAAAGGGCCAGATCTGAAATGAAATGATTCAGTAAAAACCGCTGTTCAATATCCTGACTATAACTTACAATTCTTCAATGGGATAACCTGCAGGGATGGGTTGCATGTTGCGTCTGGGGTTGTTTTACTGATTCCGAAGGGATAAAATCCGTAGATATATACTAAACAGCCATCTCGGAGACTTTCGTATTTCTAAGACCGGCCAATATCACATCACTGAAACCGAGATGAAAGGCAGTCCGACTGCTGCGATCTCAAACTATGTTCATCAGAGGTCAGCGTGTTAACTTATCAAATGGATTATCGTGATTCTGTTCTACCAGTAAGAAATGTCTGAACGAAGTTGTAACAGAAGAGTTACTGATTGTACATCTATACCCAGAAGATGCACTGTAACATGATGTAGAGGTGGAGCAGAAAGCACCTGCGTGGCATCGTGATCAAGATCTTCAACAGAAGGCGTGGGAAATAAACGTACCGAAATAGAAACCCAAATCTCTAGGCTTGCTCTAGGCTCTAGCGATGACCATCGGCCCACAATATTCTCGTCTCCCTCGATACAGTCTGCTCTCGCTTCTGGTTGATGACCCTGACATCAGTGATCTATTTCGCGGACGATATTTTCCTATGAATACGGAAGCTTAGTCGGCCCAAAATCAACCCTCTCACGAGAGATTGCTAGTACTTCTGGTCAGTCAGAGTACGCCATGGTTCTGTTGCTGACAGCGATTGCAATTTCAACATCAGTATTGTGCTACAGAACCATCCCAACATACGACGAGAATGAGAACTTCTCTGTCTTGTTATTTAAGTCCCATGATTTGAACCAACCTTCCCTTCTTGACGTGACCAGAAATCAGATTGGCACCAAGGCTATTGCCATTAAAGTCAGTCCTGTTCAAAAAGCGCCTTTGATCTGGCATTCAATCTTCTCGACTTACCTTGCTCTATACAGATTTCGATGAGTAACTCTAGCTATAGCTTTCTATTTCATTGCAGCGGTGGCACAACTGAAAGCCAACCAACGTTTTCTTTAGTGTGTATGATCAATGGAGCGATGTGCCAGTACATCCAAGTCGTAACATTTGAATTGGCATTTACAACACGACAATAAACAATTTAGGGTGATGTGAGCTCAAAAAGCACTCTGCTAACAGTTATGATCCAACGCTTTTGCTCTGCCGTTTATCCTTGATAGAAAATCAGCTCCGACGAAGCATGTGAATCACCACGACTGACATTCATTTGACCCATCCCATTATCATTGTTGAATATCTCTTTACTTATCGCAACTGCTGGGGCTTGTTCTTGCATCCTGTCCATTTGCTGTGTTGATTGGGAACTAGTATCCTGCATCAAAGCGGTTGTGAAGCTTATATCAGTAGAAGCCAGATAGGTTTCGCGTCCTCCCAAAATTCGGATTCGCGAATTCAGTACCATGTAAATGGTATTAGCATAAAGCTTGGGCATGATGAGGGCGGGTGTCGTGTAGAAAGTCTGATGACGGAACGCAAAAAAGAGGATAAGATTGAGCAGAGCGACAACAGCTAAAAACCAGACATTCAGTCTTCTGTCAATGATAACGGTCGATGGTGCGGATTACATACCTGTCACAGATCCCGTTTCAATAGTAAGACGAACTAGTTTTGTGACCAAAATTCGGGTCTGACGCAGACCGGTATTTCTGCGCATAAGCTACGAAACAGGATGAGCATCATTGAAGATAGTTGAAAAAGATAAAGAGTTCACGTGGTAAGTCATGCAGATAGCGATGACAATATCACACAGGGCAGAGGTCCCGCACCAAATCTGCGTGCCATGCGGATCAGCACAATGAACATGAATGTTTAGTATTATTTACCCCGACCGTGATGAATATTTTCCTCTTATCGAGTTCAATAATATTACCTGCTTCAAAAGAGTAGACGCCTGTAATTATAGCTGCCGCAGAGCTGGTCAAGGATACCTGTAAATAAATGAGCTAGACTCCACGGAGAAAGAACACTGCAACGAACACAGGCGATGAATATAGGGATGATTCGCGACCTCGACAATATAAATATTCGGTACGCATAGAAGGTTTGTCCGACGTAAGCAACTGTACCCTGATAGTAAGTAATAGAAAATGAGTAGAAGGTGCTGCACGCACCGACACCGCTTATGACGGGGACTGTGAGCCAATTAAAATTTATTCTAGTCAGGGCTTCGATGTCACCAAAACCATAACCGAACACTGCAAAGACGTCGTGGGTGACGAGCACCATTTGAACAAACTCGATGATGTAAACGCCATAGACAAGACATTTTGTAAATCGTCTATCCTTCGGAAATGCGAGATAGTACAGATCTAACCAGAATGAATCAGAAACAATATTATTGGAGAGTGGACGACGCACACAGCTGCACGGAAAGAGACCCAAACAGTCCCCAGTGCAAGAGAGAGGCGACGATCTTAATTGCCATGTTAGGTACTTAATAGGCTCAACGCAACCCTTTACGAACCAAAGGTCCAGACCTAAAATGAGCTGTTTCAGTAAATGCCGATCAATTTGAAGATCATAGCTTACAGCTTTTCTACGGGATAACCTGCGGGTATGGGCTGCATTATATCTGGGGTCGTTTTGCTGGTCCTGAAGAGAAAGAACCTGCCATACATATATCTCTGACAATCATCGTGCGAGACTTGAAAGAAGGCGCATAAGTACGCAAGGCCGATCGGCATTACACCACGGCAACTGATCTGAATGGCAGTTCCAAATGTTCATCAGCGGTCAGCGCATTGTCAAGTTCATATTGAAACTGCCCCCCCCCAGAATAGGCTGTGGGAAGAAGGAACCTGAACTTGACGATATCACCCTATACAATTATCCCATCCGACCTCTAGTTATCCAAACGAGGCAGCTTCTTATTCCCTAGATGCCCCCGTCGCGAGTCGGAAATCTTCCTGGTGTTTCCGTGTCTGCTAATTTTGTTCTTTCGAAAAAGTCCCGCTGTAGCTCGGAATGCGGAATCGAAGTGGGCTACGGGCGGCAATTTCTGTATCCGTCTTGCACTGAACAATCTCAGTGTCATGTCCTCCGATTATCCCTCAGAAAACATACCGCACAGAGCTGGGGGCGGTCAAGGAGACGTACTCGTCAACATCGACTGTAAATGTGCCCTGACATGGTGGGCGGAAGGATCTTCTGATACAGGCACGGGAAAGGAGAGATTAACGGCATTGTCGATAATTAGGAGTTCTTCCTAACCCACCTCAGCGGAGTCCATGGATCACAACATTAACCTATGCCCATAATAGCTCCTGGGGATTAACCAATCGTCAGCCGACCAGATTCTACTCTCCTTTGGACAGAACCATCCCAATACGTGACGAGAACGAAAACGACTAAGCCTTGATATCTTGCTGCAAAAGGCAGACGAGCTGATCCAGCTGTTCGATCTTGGATTGGAGACCATGGCCGTCATGATGTCAGTCGTTTCCAAGCTGCTATATGTGCCTTTGGGTTTGACATTCATGTTTTGTTTACACCTCATTGGCAATTGAGAAGAAGTAATTCTGAGTATAAATTCCTACACATCGCACAACAGCACATAAGGTCGTAACCTTTGGTATTGGTGCCTGTTGCAATAAATAAATTAGAGTGAGTTTCCATACACGGTGTCGGCTCAGAGAACATACTCTATCAGTTATGTAGGGAAGCTCATATCGCCGTCCTGTGGTTTGTCCTTGAGAGAAATTTAGCTCTAATAAAGCACATGAATCGTGATGACTCACACGCATTTAACCTGTCGTTGAATACTTCTTTAGATATCACGACCACTGACACCTGTCCTTCCGTCCCGTCTGCAGGCTGTGGGCCTTCTGTTGATTGGAAGGTCATATCCTCCATCGTAGTGGTCGTAGTGCTCGTATCAGTAGGAGACGTATATGTATCCCGTCCACCCATAATTCGAAATCGCGAGTTCAGCACCATGTAAATGGTATTAGCATACAGCTTGGGGATGACGAAGGCTGTTGTCCCGTCCAATGCCTGATGAGGGAAGGAAAAAAAAGAGGATAAGGTTGACTAGAGCAGCAGCAGCTGAACGCATGCGGTGTTAATTCTGTAACAATGGCGGATGGTAGGGAGTAAATACCTGTCACAGTTCCCGTTTCAATGATGAGACGAATTAGCTTGGTGACTAGAATTTGTGTCTGACGGACATCAGCATCACCGCGCATAAGCTATGGGACGATATGAACATCATGGAAGATAGCAGAGAGAGGAGTTCACGTAATAAGTCATGCAGATAGCGATGAGAATATCACACAAGGCTGCTGCTCCGCCCCAAATCTATGCATGGATTAGCACGATGAACCTTGGGACGCCTAGTCAATCACTTACTCCGATGGCAATAGACAACCGCGTGTTATGGGTGTCGGTGATGTTCCCTGTTTGAAAACAGTAGGCGCCTGTGATTATAGCTGCCACAGAGCTGGTCAAGGACACCTGTAAATAGATGAGCTAGACTGTCACAGAGGAAGATCGTGGCAGCGGACACAGGCGATGAATATCGGGACGGTTCGTGATCTTGACAATATGAAGATTCGGTATGCATAAAAGACCTGTCCGACACCAGCAACTGTATGAATTATAAGTAATGGAAAACAGACAGACGATGCTACACGAACCGACAGCGCTCATGATAGGGACAGTTAGCCAATTAAAATACATTCCAGTCAGGGCATCGATGTCGCCGAAGCCATACCCAAACTCTGCAAAGGCATCATGGGTAACGAGCATCGTCTGAACAAACTCGACAATGTAGATTCCATAGACAAGGCATTTTGTAGATCGTCTATCTTTCGGAAATGCTAGATAGTACAGATCTAATGGGAATGCATCAGGAACAATTAACTGAGGAGTGACTCAGAGCGACGCACAGAGTTGCACAGAAAGAGTCCCGAAGAGTCCCCAGTGTAAGAGATAGGCAATGATCTAAATTACTGTGTTAGCAACTGAATGGACCAAACGCACAATTTGACAAACCAGAGGTCCAGACCTTAAAAGAGATGATTCAGTACATATCACTGCTTGATTCCATGATTATAACCTACAGTTGTTCTATGGGGTAACCTGCGGGGACGGGCTGCATGTTGCGTCTGTGGTTGTTCTACCGGACCTGAAGGGAGAGAACCTGTACATATATACCAAACAACCATGTGAAAGATTTGAAAGAAGGGGTTCAAATACCTGAGGCAGGTCAGCATCACATCACATACGTTGCGCTGAAAAGCAGTCCAACTCTAATATCAATCAAGTTCATTAGTAGTCTGCGGCGGATTAACTCGCGGGGTTGATTATCGTGATTCCGTTTCACCAGTTCAGAAGAAATCTTTGAACCAAGTTAGAGCGGGGGAGATGCTAGCGCATTAATAACTTGAAACCACTCACCATGCTATACAGTTATGGCTGAGCATCATCTATTTTCTACTCTCATGCACAAGGTGTATCGAAAGAGGATGTTTATGCCGCAGGTTCTTCCATCATCAGGAATATTTCTGACCTTTCATAGCATCCAATGATCTTGCTGGCCCGAAGAAGCCACACGAATGCGTCATTAATGCGTACTACGCTCTCTTTGCGAACCATTTCTTGGACATGTCTTCCAACGAGCCTCCCCCTCGGTAATCGTACTCCACTGAGAACGATACAAAAGTCGTAGAACTGTCCCAGAGAGCGCTCAGCGCACATACATCGTGCCTGAAGGTACTGTGGCATGTAACGACGAGATGAGATGACGGATAAAGGGAGGCGTGGGAAAGAAATGTACCGAAATAGACACTCGAACCTCAACTCAAATCCAACTCAGCTCCAACCGCTACTTTACAAGTCGCAAGCAATGCGCTATATCAAATTTTTCTACAGAAAGAAGCTGACGTCGCTTGTGAACTGATATTTCAGCTGGTTATGGTCTAGCGACATACACCGTGTTTCTGTTAGTCAGTATACGTTCCAACCATCCATGGGTCTTCAGAACGTTCCGGCAGCTAGCAGCAAGGATTCCGGTCTCGTATGGAAAGCCCTACTTCCAACCAGTTCTCGTAGGACGGTTTCGCGTTGCGCGGGCTCACCGTTCTTTTGTCGCACAATATTAATGTCAAAGTTGCCTTGTTCTACCTGCCGTCAGCCAGCGACAGATCCATGGAACACTCTGACTCGACAAGTCTGAGATGGCAGGAATGTCAGTGCTTTGGCGATCTCCGACCTGGGGGTCGTTCAAGTTCCAGTCCTGAAGGGAAAGAGGCCGGATACATACTTCCGGCAGTCATCATGAGAAGCTTGAAAGAAAGCGTGAAAATACCCAGGACCAGTCAGCATCCACGGCAGCTGAGCCGATTCTCGAACGGCAGTTTCGACTATACTAATGTTCATCAGCGGTCATCCGTAATCAGCGCATTGGTTCCTCAAGTTAATAATGGCCATGATCCCGCACCAAGGTTCAGAAGAAATGGAAGTACTGACAGCAGATAAATTGGCACGTTGGTATCAAGCTGAAGCTTCCCCCGGAATAATCTGTAAGAGGAAGCACGAACCCCCTTTGACATTTTAGTCTACAGGAAGCCGCCGTTCTTATGCCCTGGATTCTCCCATCATGAATCTTCCTGGTATTCCACACTGGTGTCTGATGACTTTGTTAGGTCAAAAAGGTTTCACAGTTCGGAATCAATGTGGCTGTATCTGTCTCTGCTTCATGTCGCTTGTATCCGCCGACAGTCGTACTCCACGGGGAGAGCGGTCAAGGAGACATAGAACCAGGCAGGGCTCATTGCATCGAAGGAAATGCATGTATAAGAATTACTATGCGTGGACCGAAATAGGAACTCGAAACAATGACTATCATATGGACCACCGACGATGCCGCTAATTCTTGACTTTCTTTCCCGGGTGAGTGCTGAGCGCTGAAGACAAGTTCGTCAACGTCGGCTGCAAATACACCCTAGCGGATCTTAACTATTATTGAACCATGAAATGAGGCACTTTCCCATCAACATTCGAGAGTTCTTGACGTGCCTTCTTACCCACCTCAACCGGGTCCAGATCTGTCGACAGGGACGGCAACAGAGTCATAGCCTATAATATCTTGACTGCACCTGGGGATCAACTTCTCAGCCGACCAAATTTCACTCTCCTCCCAAAACTTACCGTGACTGATTTTATCACTTCAACGGTTGTTGACTTTGATATTCGCGATGTGTCTTGTCGGTTGATGCTTTGGCTTATGCGAGTATCAGCAAAAAAGTTTTGCACATACTCGTTCTCAAGGTAGTGAAGCCGTTTGTTAACAATGACGAGACTATGCAGAGGATCTCCGAAAGTATCTTCTGGATGGCACACGAGGTCGATCAGGGTGCCGGCGATGATCCTCTGATTGTCGTTTCCATCACAAGTGCGAGAAGGGGCCACTATAAGCATCGTATCACGAGAGATTGGCTGAAATCGCACTGTTGGGCGGGCCCGCTGTCAGTAACAAATTTATGGAGTACCCGTCGTCTCCTGCGTTGCTTGAAAGGCCGACGCATCGACCAGAGAAACATGATGAGCCTTGGGATCAGGGTAGTGTCTGGACGTCAACACAGCGCACTTGTATCGAGAAGATTTAGGCGGTGTAAATAATACATGCCCGTATAACATTTTCCCGCTTGCTTAGGCAGGAACAGGACCCGTCATGATCCTTTTTTGAATACTTTGTCAATAATCTCGCTGTGAGCTCAAGAGATGTATCCTTGAATTTATATGGTGCAATTTATACTTCGTCCTGCGGTTTGTTCTTGGGAAGAATCAGTTCCAATCAAGTGAATGAATCACGATGACTGACATTTATTCGACCCATTTCATATCCATCGTTGAATACCTCTTTAGTTATCGTGACCACTGGCGCCCGGCCTTCTGTTCGCTTTGTGCCGCCTGTTGATTGGGAACTGGTATCCCGTAACATAGAACTCGTGACGCTCATATCAGTTGAAGACGTGTAAGTATCACGTCCACCGATAATCCGGATTCGCGAATTCAGCACCATGTAAACGGTGTTAGCATAGAGCTTGGGCATGAGGAGGGCGGGCGTCGTGAAGAAAGTCTGACGGGGGAACGCAAAAAAGAGGATAAGGTTGAGCAGAGCGACAACAGCTAAAAGTAGGCTGTGTCAATCTTCTGACAACGGTGGATGGTGTGGATTACATACCTGTCACAGATCCCGTTTCAATAGTGAGACGAATTAACTTTGTGACTATCATTCGGGTACGCCGGAAACCAGTATCGCTGCGCATAAGCTATGGAACAATATTAATGAAGATGACTGAAAGAGAGAAAGAGCTGACATAGTAGGTCATACAGATAGCAATGACAATATCACACAAGGCGGAGGCGCCGCACCAAATCTATGCATGGATCAGCATAATGAACATGGACGCCTAGCCAGTTATTTACCCCGACCGAAACGAAAAATTTCCTCTTATCGAGTTCAATAATGTTACCTGCTTCGAAAGAGTAGACACCTGTGATTATGGCTGCGACAGAGCTGGTCAACGACACCTGTAAATAAATGAGCTAGAATGTCGCGGAGAAAGAGCACTACAACTAACACAGGTGACGAATATAGGGACGATTCGTGACTTTGACAATATGAAGATTCGGTATGCATAGAAAACCTGTCCGACGCAAGCCGCTGTACTCATGATAAGTAACAGAAAACAATCAGAAAGTGCTGCATGTACTGGCACCGCTGATGACGGGAACAGTGAGCCAATCAAAATGAATATCAATGACGGCTTCAATATCCCCAAAGCCATAACCGAACACTGCAAAGGCGTCGTGGGTGACGAGTACCATCTGTACCAATTCAACAATGTAGATGCCATAGACGAGAGATTTTGCGAATTTTCTATCGTTCGGAAAAGCCAGATAGTACAGATCTAAACAGAATGAATTAGAAACCATATCATTGGCAAATGAGCGACGTGCAAAGCTGCACAGAAAGGGTCCCAAAGAGTCCCCATTGCAATAGACAGGCAACGATCTGAATTACCGTGTTAGGGTCTGAATGGCTAGACGCAAAAAAAGCAGACCACAGGTCCAGACCTGAAATAAACTGGTTTAGTATATACCACTTCTCGAATTCGTGATGATAACTTACAGTCTTTCTATAGGATAACCGGGGGGGACGGGCAGCATGTTGTACCTGGGGGGTCGTCTTACCCGTCTTGAAAGGAAAGAACCTCTCTATATATATTTCCAACACCCATCGTGAGAGACTTGAAAGAAGACGCACGAGTACCCAAGGCTGGCCAGCATCGAAACACGGAATCTGAGCCCAATGGCAGTTGTCAGTCATGTCCATCAGTTGTCAGCGCATTGATCTGTCAAATTCATTATCATAATCCCATACCACGGTTCAGAAAAGAAATCACTCGCACGTCGACATTGAACTTACCCCGGAATAAAGTGTAAGGAGGCACACAGCTAGTTGTCCTGCAGGCGCATCGAAAGCAGCTTTTTATCCTCCGGATTCTGTAACATCGTAAATCTTCCTGATCTTCCACGATGTCTGGTGATCTTGTTGGTTCAAAGAACATCCACTGCTCCGAATGCGGAATGGATGTGAACTAGGGTAGTAATCATCTCTCCAAGTGTCTCCCGCCATTGATACTCCGGGAAGAGCGGTGAAGAAGACGTAGAACTGGGCTAGCTCGAGGGCTCGTCGTATCGGCCGTAATATAAATGTGGGAAAGAAGCGTGCCTTGCCTGGTCTCTCCTAGGCAGACTCTCAAATCAAGACAGATAGAAACCCGAAACAATGACCACCAATATTGTGACCATCTATCCCGCCAATCTACAAGAGTTCTTGACTTTCTTTCCAGGGCAACCAGTAATGGAGACCAGCTCGTCGGTGTCAGCTGCAAATGCGCCCTGGCTTGGTGGGTGGAAGGATCTTATCTATGATTGGACCAACAGAATAAGGCACTTTCCCGCCAACATTCAAGAGATTTTGACGTTTCATCCTAACCGAACTCGGTTGGATCCAGAATCAACAGAGGCTTGTGCTGCCTATAATATCTTGACGCCCCTGGAGATTAACATTCAGCCGAGTAGGTCCTACACTCAGGCTCCCTGAACCTGTATCACTTCAACGGTCATTGACTTCAACACCAGTGATATGTCTTGTCATTCGATACTACCGAGCCTTCACAGTATGCGAATATTGGCACTCAAGGACGAAAATAGCGTGAGTCCATATGAGCAATGTGATACCACAGTGATGGACCCTATCGTTTTGAGGGGGAACATTGGAGCTTCAGACGATATAAATTTCGTATTAGCCCATACAGTTGTAAACGCTCTACAAATATCATGTCAAGGGTAAATACATGAGCGTATTGATTCAACAACGTACGCTAAAATGTACACAACGAGGCATCGTGACTCCTGGCTCCGCTAAACCTAATCCAATGCGCATCCGTAGACTTGCTTGGCGGTATTCCTCCATCTCTCGACATCAACGGCGAAGTCTTGAGCATATTCGACCTCAAGGTGGTGAAGTCGTTTGCCGACGATGACAAGACTATGCAGAGGGTCTCCGAAAGCATCTTCTGGATGGTTCACGAGCTCGGTCAGGGTACCAGCGACGATCCTCTGATTGTCGCTTCCACCGCCAACACGAGAAAGCACGACTGCAAGTGTTGTATCAGGAGATAGCGTCCCGGTCTGCCTTAGTGACTCTATCTCTATGAGTTGAGAGACAGCCTGTCGTATTGACATGTATCGAGGTGGTTCATAGATCTTCCGACCACTGACATGAATATAAGATGGGAGAGAGGGAGAGAGGAAGAAGGTTCCTCACCGAGCTAGATTCTCCTCGCTTTGCTCCTTGACACTTATGTCCAGCAACACGAGCGTGTGCAAACCGAGATCCGCATTCTCCTTGATCCTATCGTAAAAGCTGTCGGGTTTCCATGTCTCTGTGAAGAAGACTAAGGAAACTGTCTGTCCAAAGTTGTAGAGTTGGAGACCACAGGCGCCGACTGCGTTCATTATCGATGCATTGTGGATGACGCGAGTAGGGATACCCAGGGCACGAGCGCGAAGGATGATGTCGGTATGTGTCGTTGCCCTACGAGATCCAGCGTGAGTCGACTACCGAAGAAAACGACACGTTACTTACAATGCTTCCTTGCATACGTCGGCCCAAGAAATATCGTGATAAGTGAGTATCATACCAGTCTTTCTTTTTGTACCATCAGGATACTAGTATATGCTTCCAAATATACGCGTGAAGAGCCCTTAATGACCTGTAAAGATGGTAAGGAATGGACAAGTCAGAGTATAGTGAACGTTCTACCTCGAGTTCGCGAACGGTAATCTTTTTCAACGCAGGGCCCAAGACCGATAATGTAGAACATGGTGGTAGAAGGAAAGGAACGCGAGGATCAATTTCGGCAATTTCCGTGACGCTGAAATTACCCAGCCAAGTTACATAAGTACTAAGGCAGGCCTCAAGCGGATTCCTTGACACCACGTGGCAGCCGGCTTGCTATCAGCGGTAGCGGGAAGGCATTTTGGGGGAAAATAGCTCCGAGGCATCCTCCCAATTGTTATTTAGAACAATGCCTCTGACGCCATTTTGGAGATTTTTCCTCTACATGCCCATAGATACGATGCCGGATGCCACGTGGTGTCCCTGGTTCCGCTTGAGGCCTACCTTACTTACTACCTCTTACCACTAGTGCGAAATTTTACCCCACGTCTACCGCAAACATTGAAATTGATGGAAGCTTCAGTACCGCTCACTAGCACTCAGTACTCAACTCTGAAGATCTCAAGCTTGACCCGGATATGTAGCGACACGCTACGCTGCCCTGATATTGGCCTTTCGTAAATTCTCACTAGAGGTTCTTGCGGAGATCTTCCAGTACACGATCGTCATCCCATCCCTGGGCCATTGGACTCTTTGGCGACATGACACGCGCCTGTGCCACGCTCTGCACGCTTGATGGAGTGGATGGAAGGAAAGCCGTCTGCCGCTACTGAAAACCATACTGGCTCGATTTCACGAGGCCGATTTGAGCATTGGCTGCGGTTCGGTGCCTTTTAGCTTCGACAGTCAAATAGGCGTGCTTTGCTTGAATATGTAATCCCCACAAGTTACAGGTGGAAGCGCGCGTTGATCGAGCTTGACAAGGGTGCAGATATATATGGGCAGATTCGGGGCTGTCTTCAGTTGTTGAAGCAGCTGGAACTTTCTTCTCGGCATTTCCAAGTTTCTTGGAAGATTTCTGTGTCTTCGAGGATGCGCCTCGTTTGCGGGAGTTGATCCTGAGAGAGAGCCTATCTCCTGTGCATGAATTTGCCCTTCCTTGGTCCCAGATCTCTATATAAACCATGCTATCGAGCTGGATGATCTCCGGATTGTCTTCTCCATCACTCCCAACCTACAGTTTCTGCGTATGTCCTGACAATTTGGACGGGAACCAGAAGAGCCTGACCACTTCATCACATCTTCCGTGTCGCAAACCCGGCAATGTTCCGAATAGCCATACTACCCTCATTGGAAGAAATCTGCATTGATCCCCGCTACCTTGGTAGTGGGTTCTTACGCGTTATCCTAGCGACAGTTCTTGATTTGATCTTCAATGTTCTCAACTCCCCTTGCCTATACAAATTTCGGTGAATAGTTCCTGCTATGGCTTTCTACTTCATTGCGGCGGTGGCACAGCTGACGGCCATCAACCCTTTCTTTAGTACGTTTCACGGATGAATTCAGTTCAGGGTATATCCCATTCCTTTCGTCTCCATTTAACCTCCTGAATGACTCCCTTCCACGTCAGGGAACGACGTATAATTCACTGAATCTCGAATTAACATGAAAGTAGAATCATTCCCAGCTGTTCTTGTTGCTATGTTCCCAGCTCTCGATGTCAAAGCGTCTCCCGCTCACCCCTGTGAATTTCTGTGGACCGTATAGATCTTCCTAGTGACGAAGACCAAGGCAATTACGCTTATGATAGAAACTCGCTTCCAGTCTAATAAAGCAATTTTGAAATCGTGCTACGGATATAAACTTTTGGTGAGGGCCGGCGTACCCACTGTTATTCGACTATCTCGCGTCCCAGGACTTCCACTATGATTAGTGGGGCGATGCGCCAGTACATCGAAGTCGTAACATTTGAATTGGCATCGACATTTATAACAGCACGACAATAAACAGATTAGGGCAGTGCGAGCTCAAAAAGGTACTCTGGAGTCTGCTAACAGTTACATACAATCCAACGCTTTGACTTGCGGTTTATCCTTGTAGGAAAGTCAGCGTTGATAAAGCACGTGAATCACCACGACTAACGATTCATTCGACCCATCTCAGAATCATCGTTGAATATCTCTTTAGTTATCGCGCATGCTGGGGCGTGTTCTTGCATCCCATCCGTTTGACGTGTGCTCTGCGTTGATTGGGAATTAGTATCCTGTATCATAGCGGTTGGGATGATTATATCAGTGGAAGTTAAATAGGTATCCCGTCCTCCCATAATTCGGATTCGCGAATTCAGTACCATATAAATGGTATTAGCATACAACTTGGGCATGAGCAGGGTGGGTGGCGTGTAGAAAGTCTGATGAGGGAATGCAAAGAAGAGGATAAGGTTGAGCAGTGCGAAAACAGCTAAGTATAAATGGTGTTAATATTGTGATGAATTTGGATGGTAAGGAGTAAGCACCGGTCACAGTTCCCGTTTCAATAGTGAGACGAATTAGCTTTGTGATCAGAATTTGGGTCTGGCGGAAACCAGTATTGCGGCGCATAAGCTAAGAAACGGTATCGACATCAAGGAAGATGGCTGAAAGGGAGAAAGAGCTCACGTAGTAAGTCATACAGATAGCGATGATGATATCACACAGAGCAGAGGCACCACACCAAATCTATTCATGGATCATCACGATGAACATGGACAAATAGCCAGTTACTTGCCCCGACGCAGATGGATACCTTCTTGTTGTTAAGTTCAATAATGTTTCCCGCTTCGAAAGAGTAGACGCCTGCAACTATAGCTGCTGCAGAGCTGGTCACGGATACCTGTAAATAAATGAGCTAGAATGTCACGGAAAAAGAGCCCCACAACAAACACAGGCGACGAATACAGGGAGGATTCGTGACTTTGACAATATGAAGATTCGGTATGCATAGAAAACCTGTCCGATGCAAGCCGCTGTACGCATAGTAAGTAATAAGAACCGACCAGAAGATGCTGTATGTACCAACAGCGCTTATGATGGGACCAGTGAGCCAATCGAAATGGATTTCAATGATGGCTTCGATATCCCCAAAACCGTAACCGAATATTGCAAAGGCGTCGTGGGTGACGAGAACCATCTGAACGAATTCGATACTGTAGATGCCATAGACGAGGCATTTTGTGAATCGCCTGTCATTCGGAAAGGCTAGATAGTACAAATCTAATGAAAATACATCAGGAGCAATGTTTCTGGAGAATGAGTGACGCACAGAGCTGAACGGAAAGAGTCCCGAAGAGTCCCCAATGCAAGAGAGAAGCAATGAGCTGAATTGTCGTGTTAGGGACTTCACAGACCTGACGCAAAAACTTGACGAACCAAAGGTCCAGACCTGAAATGAGCTGTTCAAGTAAATATCACTCAATTTCGAGATTATAACTTACAGCCTTTCTATGGGATAACCTACGGGTACGGGCAGCATTGTATCTGAGGTCGTTTTACGGGTCTTGAAGGGAAATAACCTGCCATACATATATCTCTGACAATCATCGTGCGAGACTTGAAAGAAGGCGCACAGATACCCAAGGCCGATCGGCATTACACCACAGCAACTGACCTGAATGACAGTTCCGACATGTTCATCAGTAGTCAGTGCATTGTCAAGTTCATATTGAAACTGCCCCCAGAATAGCCTGTGGGAAGAAGAAACTTGAACTTGACGATATCACTCTATACAATTATCCCACCCGACCTCTAGTTATCCAAACGAGGCATCGAAAGCAGCTTCTTATTCCCTAGATGCCCCCGTCGCGAGGAGTCAGAAATCTTCCTGATGTTTCAGTGTCTGCTAATTTTGTTTGCTCGAAAAAGTCCCCCGGAATGCGGAATCGAAGTGGGCTATGGGCAGCAATTTCTGCATCCATCTATTGCACTGAACAATCTCAACGCCATGTTCTTCGGTTATTCCCCAGCAATCATACTCCACAGAGATGAGAGAGAGGTCAGGGAGACGTACTCGTCAACGTCGACTGCAAATGCACCATAGCATGCCAGTGGCCGGAAGGATCTTCTGATAGACGGGTGTGGGAAAGGAGAGACTACCGCTGTAATCAAGACTTCTTCCTAACCCACCTCAGTAGAGTCCAGATCCGTTGACAGGGATGAGAACATTGGCCTATACCGCCTAGAATATCTTCACCGTTCCCGGAGATTAACCAATCTTCAGCCGATTAGATCCTACATTCAAGCTCCCTAAACCCACCGCTACAGATTGTATCACTTCAACGGACAATGCCTTCAACTTCAGTGATATGTCTTGTCAATCGATACTACTGAGCCTTCCCAGCATGCGAATATTGCAACTCAAAGACGAAAATAGCGTGACTCCGTATGGGCAATGTGATACCGCAGCGATAGATCTCATCGTTCTGAGGGGGAAAATTGGAACTTCAGACGATATAAATTTCGTATTAGCCCATACAGTTGTAAACGCTCTACAAATATCATGTCAAGGGTAAATACATGAGCGTATTGATTCAACAACGTACGCTAAAATGTACACAACGAGGCATCGTGACTCCTGGCTCCGCTAAAACTAATCCAATGCGCATCCGTAGACTTTCTTGGCGGAATTCCTCCATCTCTCGACATCAACGGCGAAGTCTTGAGCATATTCGACCTCAAGGTGGTGAAGTCGTTTGCCGACGATGACAAGACTATGCAGAGGGTCTCCGAAAGCATCTTCTGGATGGTTCACGAGCTCGGTCAGGGTACCAGCGACGATCCTCTGATTGTCGCTTCCACCGCCAACACGAGAAAGCGCGACTGCAAGAGTTGTATCAGGAGATAGCGTCCCGGTCTGCCTTAGAGACTCTATCTCTATGAGTTGAGAGACAGCCTGTCGTATTGACATGTATCGAGGTGGTTCATAGATCTTCCGACCACTGACATGAATATAAGATGGGAGAGAGGGAGAGAGGAAGAAAGTCTCTCACCGTGCCAAATTCTCTTCACTTTGCTCTTTGACCTTTATATCCAGCAACACGAGCGTGTGCAGACCGAGATCCGCGTTCTCCTTGATCCTATCGTAAAAGCTGTCGGGTTTCCATGTCTCTGTGAAGAAGACTAAGGAAACTGTCTGTCCAAAGTTGTAGAGTTGGAGACCACAGGCGCCGACTGCGTTCATTATCGATGCATTGTGGATGACGCGAGTAGGGATACCCAGGGCACGAGCGCGAAGGATGATGTCGGTATGTGTCGTTGCCCTGCGAGCTCCAGCGTAAGTCTACTACCGAAGAAAATGAAACGTTACTCACCCAAATGGATCTCCAACAACCAACAAGGATACATCCTCCCTGTCTGCATTTGCCAGTATTTCGTCGCTCTCCGTTTCCACCATGTCCCGGTCGGCGAGAATCAGTGGTTTTTTGTAGAATGCTTCCTTGCATACGTCGGCCCAAGAAATATTGTGATGAGTGAGTATCATACCAGTTTCTCTTTTTGAACCATCAAGATACTAGTATATGCTTCCAAATATACGCGTGAAGAACCCTTGATGGCCTGTAAAAATGGTAAGGCATGGGCCAGTCAGAGTATAGTGAATATTCTACCTCGAGTCCGCGAACGGTGACATCTTTTTCATCGCAGAGCCCAAGACCGATAATGTAGAACATGGTGGTAGAAGGAAAGGAAAGCGAGAATTAGTTTCGGCAATCTCCGTGACGCTAAGAAAGCCTAAGCTACTACTAAGACTATTAAGTATGCACTGCGAAATTTTATTTCACGTTTACCGCAAACATTGAAATTGAGAAATTTAGAATTCATCTACATGTCTATCTACATCGCCCATTCTGCGTTCCCGTTGTACAGAAAAATCGATAAAGTAATACATTTACAGCATTGCATACGCCTTACCTGCCATCTTTGCATTTCCTGAGTATACTGGCAACTCAGACACATACGCCTGCCAAGTCTCGTTCGACACGATGGGTGCAGTCGCAAAATCCGCCATGTTCAGTCCAGAAATGTACGACGTCAAGTGCGGCAGCATCGAAGAAACAGCACGATCTTCGCGCATGCGTTGTTGCACTCGCAAGACTCCAGCTTCGGAGTACCAGGCTGGATCTTGGCGAATCACAGCGCATTCGTATACATCCAAGATAGGCTGAGGGAGTTTGGCTTTCTTCGCTGCGGAATATGCAAAGGCATGGCCCAGAGCCTCGATGACTGGTTGAGATTGGGGAAGAATGAGGGAGTTGAATTCTTCGTTGCGATGGTCACCTATTCCAGCAAGGAGCTGGCTATTCTCTTCCATCAGACCGTGAGCATGCTGGGCCAGCAAGGATTCATCGGCGTCTGGTAAGGGGATAGTGTAGCGCTTCAAAAGAAGTTCGGAGAACAACCGGATGCACAAGGTAAGGACCTCGCCCTCAGCAACGACAGCACCTGCTCGAGGAATCAATAACTTGAGCATGAACATAATTCGAGTGTATCTGACCTTTCCCGTCGTTCTAAAAGACATTATCATGTTAGCGCGAGCATGCTCAAAGCCAGCGGATATCTTACCTCCATTCTTGCCATGTAATTCTGTTCGAATGTTCCTACGAATATGTTGAAAGTTGGCTCCGCAATATTTAACGACTACGCACCTTGTGCGCCACAGCGCTCCGAGATCTCGGCTATGCAGCGCTGGAAGTGACGGACCACCGTAGCCTTCGTAATGACAGCCATAGCATGCCGAAGGCGACCATCCAATGCAGAATCTCGCGACTCTTGTATGACCGATGCATACCAGTGATCCAACACGTATCCCACAGCGACTGAATGAGCAATCGGCCATTGCTGGGTCCTAAACGAGATTATCGGGACCATGGAAGAGCTTCTGCGATCTGTGATGCACCGGTGCATGGAATAACGACCGACAATATAAGCCGACATCTTCACAGCATAGATCAAGGGAGATATGATCAACAATGAGCCTAACTGTATTCTCCAGTTCTCATCCCACCATGCTTCTAATGGCTGTTCGGGAGCGGTGATGTTGTGAGGATCGGCGGCCACTAGCGCCGTCGAAGGAAGGCGGACATTGTCAAACGAGGTGATGGAGAAATCGAGCGGGCCAGTTCCACTGCGACGGGGAAGACGTGTGGACTTTACACCAGTGTACATTTCTTTTTCATCGCTGGTTAAACGAATGAGCGAGACTGATGCATTTATTGAGAGTAGCCAGCAACTTACCAGATAGGTACTATAAAATATCTACACCCGAAATCTTTGCCTTTATCCATGAGCCTTGCCATGACCAACGCAACCTTTGGTATACCAAAGGCGGGCGTAGAGGCGGGCATAAATCTATTCAGTGTAATCAGTAGGGGCACTTTCAGGGAAAAGCCAATCTTACTTGGTAGCCTCTTCACGCGGAGTGTTGAGAATGTAGCTTCCGTCGGACAACCGTGTAGCCGTAGTTTCAATATTGAAAGCATCGAGGCCGTGGCCGCGTTCAGTCAAGAGAAAGATGCCTACTTTCTCAAAACGAAGCAGTTCAGAGACCAGGGGCCTTAAGTCCGGACGGGCATCAAGGTGGCGCGACAGAGTACCAATGGTCAAGCCCACATGGGCAGCAAGAATGGTAAACATTCCGACATCCAAACATGTTGCAGGATCTGTGAACAAGCCCCAGAAGCGTTCAGAGCTGTGTTGAACGTCGGAGGCCGTCATGCCTGGTCAGGAAGTCAAATTATCTTGATGGCAAGGAAGAACATATTTGACATACTATGAGTACTGAACATGAGTTTCGCTCTCTTGTATGCGAGAGCAACTCGTTCATCAGTAGTGAGCTTCTCTACTTGAGTACGAAAAAGAGGGTGCTTCGCCAGTGTAGAGTTGCTGTTCATCGCTGAAAATTTTACAGCATGATGCTACTTCGCAAGCCTTTTATATGAGAGCCTTGCGCCGAACGCAAATAAACGCTTTTGGACAGACGGAATGCATGCATTTTTTCAGCGTCCATAGCAACTTTCCGTTGCACCGGTAAGTAGCAAGTGAATGATTAAAGCTTAGAGATCATTTCGTGTTCAAGATAGCGGGCTAGAACACATGGATCCGGATAACGTACCGCCTTTCAAACGACGTCAAGTAGGATTCTTCGTAACAAAGTCGGAGCTTACCATCTGATGGTTTGGAACTTTATGATGGTCTTAAGGAACACCAGTGTTTAACGTTTATCATCAGCCCAGATATCGCCGAATAATTCCCACGCTTGCTCTTCTGTTCCTGTCGCTGCCAACGCGCTTTTTTCTTCAGGTTGTTTGCGTTCTGACCCTTCACCAGCTTCAAAGTATCGTAGGCACCTCTTAGCAAAGAAATGATTTTTTTAGGCATCAATGGTCACCAGTTGCCACCGGAAAAGGTTCCGTGGATTTAATCAGAAGATTGTCTGCGGACCTATAGATGCCACAGCGCCTACAACATCGCATGGCAAGCAAATGATCATCTTCGGATTTCCTTCCATTTGCATTGCGGAACTTATCATGATTCAATCTCCTCAGTCACCGTGCGCTTTCTGATGCACATTTTGATGATCACGACGGAAATTGCACTTATTATTTTGCTACCCCCCATTCAGTTGTTCCATCATCATCATGATACCGATAGCCTTCGTGCGGTTCGCAATCAAGTCGGAGCCAGCGCCCACAGCACACGTCATTCTTGAACCAGCTAAGCCTTTAGCCCATCAAGCCCGTGCTCGAGTTAAGGTCGTTATATGGAGAATGTTTTCATGCGGGGGCAGTAGTTATCATCATCCTCCTTCCCTGCAGCCATGACAGAATTCAGATCCTCTATTCCGTTACCGTTCATTCCTGATGACCTTACTGTACCCCAGTTCCTCCTCGATGATTACAACCATCCGTTGAGTGAAATGAGGAAAGGGGACGATGCAGTCTGGCTCATAGATGATGTTACCGGAAGGGAATACACGTTCAAGGAGGCCAGTAATTGAAATGAAAATCGCAAAATGACTAACGTTTTGATACAGTTGCGCACCCGCAGTAACGACTTGACGAAAGGCCTGCATGGTGAATGTAACCTTAGTAAGATTCCCCAGGATCTAAAATCAGAGTGTAAATTCACTTTAATATCTCGTGTCTAGAGGAAGGCGATGTTGGTGAGTCAATGATTAATTCATTACGTGACAAAACAATCTCACATCTATCGTGTAGTATTGTTTTTCAGCCCCAATCATATCGGTACGTGAAATCCACCGACCTGCGAGCCAGCAGGACCAGCTCACGGATATTATAGACTATGTCGTTGCGACATGGGCTATCCACCGACTTGGAGCGACAATCGCGTGGGTATCCTTCCAACGGGTTACACAACTTGTACTCAACCCTTTTTTTAGGGCTGCGAATCCCCTTTACACTGTTGAGGAGCTAGAGAATTTGTTATCCCTAACAAAGGCAACTAGAATACTTACCGACGAGCGTTTCCTCAAAGTCGTCACCCCTGCAGCGAATACATTTGGTATCCCTGCAAGTTCAATTCTATTATTCGATGTCGGAACCGTTAATCCTAGTTCGGCCTACACTATGGTGTCGGAACTGGTATCACATGGAGAGAAATCATCTGCTCATGTTCCGGAGAAGCGGTTGGCTCCAGGTGAAGGCAAGAAAAAGGTTGCTCTCCTTTTTTTCTCCTCCGGAACCACCGGGAAACCCAAGGCACGTACGGGTGTGTCACGATCTGATACTGCCTATATTTTTGATCTTCCTCACAGGCGGTGGCGCTTTCTCATTATGCTGTTATTGCCAACATCCTTCAGATGACAGCTCATCAGAGAGAAAATGGAAAACCTCGGGGACCTGAGAAATGGGCTCTTTTGGCTGGGGATGTGATTACGGGGTGTAAGTATATCAACCTCCACGTTTCACCGGCGCTCACTGTTCCCCAAGTATTGCCCTTTTTTCACGTTTACGGTCTGATCGCAAACGTGAGGACTGCATGCTCTTTGATGTATTCTTCGTACAATCTGACGATGCTCCAAAGATATACTGGGCCTTGTTCCTGGGGGTATGTTTCAAACCGAACTGTTCGAGCTTGCGTATCTCTGACCAGTACATATCACAAGATGACTGTTGATGTTGTGCCGAGATTCAGCCTATCTAGCTTTCTCACAAGCATAACGAAGTATCGCATCGCCCATCTTTAGTACGAAACATTTATTATTATTTTCCTTGCATAACTGTTTTCCTCCAGTCTTGTCCCACCCCATGTGGTCCTAATTTGCAAGGTAGGTAAGAATCCGAACAAGTAGATATGCACTAATCACTCATTATCACAGGATCCCTCGGTGGCTTCTCGCAACTTTGACCACGTTAAACTAATCTTCACCGGAGCCGCGTCTCTCTCCGTCGGTCTCATGCATCAAGCCACAAAAGTCTTCCCAAACGCCGCTATATCCCAAGGCTATGGTAAGCCCCATCCATCAAAAACCTTAACTCCCGTCTGACCCTCTCTATAGGTATGACAGAGACCATCATTGCTGCAATACAGCCGGTCGACCAGCGAATTAGTACAGGAGGATGCGGCCCAATGCTCCCGGGTTTTGTCGCTAAGGTCGTCAAGGCTGACGGAACACTCGCTGTTGCGGGAGAAACAGGAGAACTAGTCATGACCGGACCGTCTGTGGGTTTGGGATATGTTGGAGACGAGGAAGCGTGAGTCTTCTCCGCTCTCCAAATATGTATCTCCTAACGGCTTATTTTTCAGCACAAAAGCTACCTTCATTAACGGGTAAGAACTCAAACTTCGTCTCCCTGTAGAATCGAGATGCTCAATCTCTTTTTGTTCAAGGTGGGTTCGTTCCGGAGACGAAGTTAGATTTAGCGAGTCTGGAGAATTGTTCGTAGTGGATAGGCTTAAAGTAAGTTGACACGGGAGCTATACCATGTCTGCGCTTCAACTTTCATAGGAACTTATCAAAGTCCGCGGCTTTCAAGTTGCCCCCGCCGAAATAGAAGGTAAACATATTCATTTCTACGCGTATATTTTTTTATTAAACCTTATCCTAGATCACCTCATGAGCCATCCTCATGTGGCTGACGTCTGTGTAGTGCCCATCGCAGACGAGTAAGCCTGGTTGCTGTCCTAATTATAGACTTTCACTCAACCTATTCAATAGATACTCTGGTGAACTTCCTTTGGCATTTGTTGTTCCCAGCACGCAAGCACGCCAAATGATCGCCGATGGTGGCGATCCGGAAACCATTAAAGAACAGATCAAGCAGGTGAGCGAACCAGCTCTCGAAAGATTTGTTACCCTAATCTGGCGAACCCAAAGCATGTTGCCGAGCACAAAGTGAAAGAAAAGTGGCTTACCGGTGGCGTTCGCTTTGTAGATTCTGTTCCAAAGGTGAGTAAATTTATTACTACCTGAGTTAAGCGTGGCACTTATCGATCGCCGATATCAATAGAGTCCGAGTGGAAAGCTACTTCGACGGGTCCTTCGAGATGGATTAAAGGTTGCGGCTTAGATATACAAAAGATTTATATGCATGTCTGTACTTTCTGATTTACGCTCGTCAAACATGAGCGTTTTTCGTTGAATAAATATCGTTACAAATTTTGTATATGAAGTTGAAAAGATGAGCTCAGAAAGCAATCATGTAGATAACTGTACAAGCGAAGAGAGACACTTTCGCAAGTTCGTTTATAAACTTGGTATCGATGTTTTTTTACAACAAGACAAGTTAAATAAATTATATCGGATTCCTGTATATGACGCCGGCTCAAGGTTGTACTTCAACAGTTACGATCAGGGTAGCCTATGCTTGTCCTGTGGTTTATCCTTGGAGGAAAATCAGCTCCGGGTAAAGCATGTAAATCACGATGACTAACATTCATTCGTCCCATCTCGTAATCATCGTTGAATACCTCTTTAGTTATGGCAACCACTGGCGCCCCTTGCCTCCCATCCATTCTCCGTGTGCCTTGTGTTGATTGGGAATTTGTGTCCCGTATCATGGTGGTCGTGATGCTCATGTCCATTGAAGACGTATAGGTATCTCGTCCACCCAAAATCCGGATGCGCGAATTCAGCACCATGTAAACGGTGTTAGCATACAGCTTGGGCATGATTAGGGCTGGGGTCCCGTAGAAAGTCTGATGAGGGAACGCAAAAAAGAGGATAAGGTTGAGCAGAGCGACCACGGCTAAACGTGAACGGTGTTAATCTCACGACAAGTGTGGATGGCGTAAATTCAATACCCGTCACAGTTCCCGTTTCAATGGTAAGACGAATCAACTTCGTGACAAGCATTCGGGTGCGACGGAAACCAGTATCGCTGCGCATAAGCTACGAAACAGGGTTAAGATCAATGAAATAGGTGAAAAAGAGAAAGAGTTCACGTAGTAAGTCATACAGATAGCAATAACAATGTCGCATAAGGCGGAGGCTCCGCACCAAATCTGAACATGGATCAGCACGGTGAACACAAGATGCCTAATCAGTCACTTACCCCAACGGCAATGGACGTCTTCCGATTATTAAGTTTCGTAACGTTGCCTGCTTCGAAAGAATAGGCGCCAGTGATTATAGCTGCCACGGAACTGGTCAACGATACCTGTAAATAGATGAACTAGACTGTCAAGGGGAAGGGGTACGGCAACGAACACAAGTGACCAATATAGGGACAATTTGAGACTTCGACAATATGAAGATTCGGTATGCGTAGAAAACCTGTCCGACGCAAGCAACTATACTCTGATAAGTAACAGGAAATAAGGAGAAAGTGTTGCACGCACCGGCAGCACTCATGATGGGAACAGTGAGCCAATCAAAATGCATATCAGTGAGGGCCTCGATATCACCGAAGCCGTAACCGAACATTGCAAAGGCGTCATGTGTGACGAGCATCGTCTGAACAAACTCGACAGTGTAAATTCCATAGACAAGGCATTTTGTAAATTGCCTGTCTTTCGGAAATGCCAGATAGAATAGGTCTAACGGGAATGCGTCAGAAACAATCTACTGGAGAGTACTCGGAGCGACGCACAGAGCTGCACAGAAAGGGTCCCGAAGAGTCCCCAGTGCAAGAGATAGGCGACTATCTGGATTGCCATGTTAGGGATTGAATGGACTAAACGCAAAAACTTGACGAACCAAAGGTCCAGACCTGAAATGAGATGATCCAGTAGTATCAGTACATACCAATCAATTCTAAGATAATGACTTACAGCCTTTCTATAGGATAACCTGCGGGAACAGGCTGCATGTTGTATCTGGGGTTGTTGTAGCCGTCCTGAAGGGAGAAAAAAACTTATACATATATTCCCAACAGTCATCGTGAGAAATCTGAAAGAAGACTCGAATAAGTAACCAACGCCGGTAGCCAGAGTTTCATCACGAAACCGAGCTGAATGAACCATCGCAGTCCAGCTCCTCTGACCAGGAACGATTCAACGACTTTCATGTGGTCAGTGCATTGTTCCATCAAACTCATTACCATGATTCCGTTCCGTCGGTTGAGTAGACCTTTGGGGGTTAACTGAAAAGGTTCCGGCGGGAAGTTGATATTGAAGATAAGTCTCGCAAATTTTAAGGTTACTCCGGGGATAAACCGTGAGAAGAAGGGAGATCAGAGTGGAATTGTTACTCGAAGCTCTACACAGCTGTCGAAGCTCGAGTACTCTGTACTAAACAAAGTCAAGACTCGACACGCTGGCAGGATCGTGCAAGCGCGGAGAATCCCGTGCCACTGCAACCTTTCCGGGGAACCGGCCCGTCCCTTGACCCTGAACAACCTTGTTCGTTAAATTTTGCTAGGCTTTTCTTGAGCTAGATGACCATTGACGGAAGAATCTGACGTTGACATTGTAAGTCTGATATATCAGATACGCATCCATTCGCTGACCTCCAAGTTATTCTAGTCAAACATTCTGCAATGTAAAACTGGCGGCCACATGCTGATGCGAGCCGCGAGGAACTTGATATCACGGTCATAATGCGATAACGACATTTTAAACACTATCGGCTGGGAGAGCTTCAAAGCGTAAAGCTTTCTTGTGTTCTTTTTTACAGCTACAAAATATTCAGCAAAGTTCTCGCTCATCGTTTGGAATTAAAACTCGGTTCCGCCGATAGTGAACTTTGGCAGCATTGAATATGGACATCTCAGAAGGAAGACATCAAAACAAGGAACGCCACTAGCCCGCGATATCGAGTTCCTGATTAGACAAAAGGCAGTCCTGTGGTACTGCAAAAATAGATCGATGAAAATGAATTCTATTAGTACGTACTCTCTATGCAAGTTGGTCTACAGCATCATTAAAAGGGGAAATTCCCCTTGTAACTGTGATTCTGATGGGACCCGAGGCAATACCTGATAACCCTCGAATTTACTAGAACCGGACGTGCGAGTTAAAGAGTATCATCAACCCGTGGACCTCTAATGCTTCTCCTTCAACGGGCATCAGTAGCAGCTTCTTATATCCAAGACTCTTCCGTCATCGGAATCCTTTCTGATCTTTCACACAGCGCCCGGTGATTTTGTTGGTATGCGAAGAAGTTCCATGCCTTTCGGCATGCAGTGTCGATATGCACTATAGGCGGCTATCTCTCTGACCACCTCTCTGCATCGAACCACCTCTGCGCCATGTCTTCCGAGCCTTCCCCTCGACATTCGTCCTCTACTGAGAACGATTCAGGAGACATAGAACTCAGCCAGGGCTCAAGGGCTCAGGGTTCTAAAATAGGATCACAGCCTGGAACTCGAGCAGGAAGTACAATCAGCGAAAAGGTCGATGCAAAGGATAAAGTCTTTCCGATCGAGGAGCCTCCAAGTGCACCTCAGTTTGTGGAAGGCACACTCCAAGGGTGGTTGACAGTTTGTGGCGCGTAGGTTTTCCCCTCTTTCGTTAGCTTGCGCCACGCTGAAAACTCGTTTTCAGATCTCTGGTCGCAATGTGTACGCGTGGCCCCTTTTCTGTGAATCTGCTTATTCTAACCCAGACTACTAGGCACGTTTGGAAATATTCAGGTAAAACCGCTCTTCTTCTATTCCAACCAGGAATTTGACCGGGTATTTCACTAGTCTTTTGGAGGTTTGTTCTATTCGCTTCAATATTTAACCGTGTCGCTCATGGACCATAGTCTATCAGGCCTATTATACCGTACGCGACACCTGTCCTTGAAGAGCTGATTCTTGAAATACTGACATTCGAAATAGCAATCTTTCCTCTCCGGAAACTCGCCATCTAAGATAAGCTGGATCGGTTCCGTCCAACTATGCCTCCAGTTTACCGTCGGTGTTTTCTCCGGGAAACTCTTCGACCAAGGCTACTTCCACTCTCTCATGATTGGCGGCAGCCTCCTTCTCCTCTTCTCGTGAGTGAATTACTGCATAACGTCCTCGGAATCGGTTCATATTTATTCTTTATCAGATCTTTTATGCTCTCCCTCGCTAAACCTCATCAATTCTACCAAGCCTTATTGGCACAGGGTTTTGGCATGGGTATCGGGATGGGTTGTATGTTCTTACCAGCGTTAAGCATCATGTCGCACTATTTCCGGAAGAGGAGAGCCGTCGCTATGGGAATTGTTGTAGCGAGTACATGCCTCCTCTTCGATTCTCCAGCGATATTTACTAACGTTTTCTGGAGGTGGATCCCTCGGGGGCGTCATTTACCCTATTATCCTGAATAAGGTATTCCCGAGGGAGGGTCTCGGGTTTCCTTGGGCTGTTCGGTGAGCTGGCGAGCTATTTTTATGGCGAGATCCATCTCACATTATATTAGTTTCATTGCATTCATCAATATCGTTTTCTTGGTCATCGCGAACTTGATCATGAAGCCGAGATGTAGGACAACTCTACACATCATTGCTGTTTCGGCATCTCACTCATTTACACTTCTAGGGCCGACTCGCAAACGCAATCCAGTGGACATGAGTCAGATAATACACGATACCCCATATTGGGTGACGAATATAGGGTGGGTTGTATCGCCGGTACCCGTAATTTATGTGTTCTTACCAACTCCCGAAAGGCTCTTTCTAGGATTTTGGGGGATATTCATTCCATGTGCATTTTCTCCGTGTCCACCTCATCCCGAGAGACTGATGCATCTTTAACAGATTTCTACCTTCAGCTCTTCTCTGAGACTCACGGAGTAGACCCTAACTTCCTGACTTGGACGGTGCGTCGTAACGTTTTATTTGCAGTTCTATCAGTAACTCACAACTGTCCTATGGTAGCTACCCATCCTTAATGCCGGTGCCGTTTTCGGGCGATTCATGCCCAACTTCCTAGCCGACAAGTACGGGCCGTTAAATGGTCAGTGGAATACCATCGACCAATCCAATCCAGTCTGATATTCCTCCAGTGATCATTCCAAGTGGAATCATATCAGCCGGAATGCTGTGGGCTCTTCTCGGCGTCAGAACCATTGCGGGAGTGACACTATTCGGGCTGGTATATGGATTCGTTTCTGGCGCGTTTTTGACACTTGCGTCTCCAGCTGTGGCAGCGTTCACTCGGAGTCCCACATTAGATGACATAGGGTAAGCTCACGGTCTAGTGAATTTTCCGTGCTGATTTTTTGGCAGGCTTCGGATAGGCATATCGTGCTTCTTCATTGGTTTGGCACTCCTGACGGGCAATCCAATCGCGGGCGCGTTGCTGTCCTCTCCAAACTACATCTGGTGGCGCGCGCTTACTTTTGCCTGCGTAAGTAGACTGTGGGTATCAACTTTGGGTTGTGGAAACTTAGACGTCTGTAATATAGGTCGTGATCATGGCTGGCACACTTTGCCTTATACTTGCTCGACAGGCGCTGGTGCGAAGGAAAGGCGGCGTGAAGTTTGTCTAATCAGTTTCGTTCGCCTAGAGGAGTGAAGAATGATGTAGAAGATGATGGATTATTTCTCTGGCTAGGTCAATCTTATTTAGTTTTCTTTTTTCTTTTTGTCTACGCAGCCGGTTTTTGGGTATGAGGTTCGGTTTTCTGGTCACCCGAAGTGCCAGTCGTAGATTCTTTAGTTTCATAGGTCTCTTTCCTCGGTCCCATGTCCTACGATACATACCCCTAATAACACAGTAGGCCGCAAGCGTAACATTGCGATGTTCCTGAAAAGATGGAAGTATGGCATATAAGCACCGTTTCAAAACTCCGTGAGGGCCATCATTACGAACGACTCGGATCTCCAGCCAGACTTTCGTCGCGACTCGATTCACCACGGCAGCATTTAAGATGTAAGATTAACTGGTAGAAATCGAAGCTATTGTATCCACCGTTAATCTGATGCACGAATGAGGGGCTTTCGTGATATCGGGGAGTACAAGACCGCCGCATTAAATCTGGTCCTTATCACTGTGCTTCAGCAACCTGCGGACGCAGGGAGTTACATATCTTGTTGAGCTTGTCAATCTCTTCGGTGCGTTTATCGACCTGTTCATCGACTTGTCAGCTTCTTCACTGAGCTTGTCCGAGTCGGAAACAGAATCACGACTCGGTATTTCCCAGCTCTCCGGGTAAATTCTTCCCAGGCAGCCTCGTACTTGCTCTTCATAGCAGGCGGCCCATAGTCAGTGTCATTCTCTACAGCCCACTGCAGGGGGTCCGTCCACATAGCGCAAACTGCTCTGGTGCACAGTTTTATAGCCTCCCAAATGACACGCCCATACTAAAAGCCTTTGTCATCAAAAGGGAGACATATCTGAGTGAGACACAAGACGAGCCAAAACACATAAGTTGCCGATCAAGAAGGTGGAGGAAGCGGGAGGCGTTAGGGTTGCCGGTTCCTGGGTTCCAGTACATCGAAGGCATCTACCTTGCGGCGGAGGGAGATGGCAATATGCAATATTGTCAAGTGGAGGTGGGACTCAAAAGGGCTCGGATGTTTCTTCGCTTGTTTCCGAGCTGGAGGGCAGGTTGGTGGTGAAGGGGGTAGTATAAGTCTACACAATTGCAAGCTGACCTATTAGCGAGCATTCTGGCCTTGCGAACCGTGACATCCCTCTGTCGCTCCATAACAAGGTAGTTCCGACAAGCCTTCTTGTGTCAATCTTGAAAGTAAACGACCATAAACTGGTGCCGCAGCGGGGTCACAACACGCTGATAGTACTCCACCAGGGTTACAAGGAGGTCGTCGCCTGTATTCCCATGCGTCCTCGGGGTTACAGGAATCGTAAGGCTGGAAAGACCGTAGACTGGCTTTGTCTGAGGTCTTGGGGAGAAAGAGCAAACCAGCTTCAGACGAGATACTAGGGGGTGGAAGACGGGGAGGGATCCGTGTTCGGCATCGTTAGCATACTTCGAAAGAACTGACAGAGGGACTGAAGTGGCATGACAGAGTCGAAGGTGAAGACGAATCGAATCTCGGCCTGGAAGCTGCTACTTATACGATGCACGAAACTGAAACATGATAAACCGAAATAAAGCAACAGCATTACTAGTCCCTATTGAGAGGCCTTGCTTCGGCGAGCTGTCCAGGACGTGGCGTAACTGCTCCGCTTCGAGCTTCTTGGCTTGTTCATAGAGCTTTGTTTCATAGAGCTCGTCGGCCTCTCTATCGATTCCTTCAGCCTCGTCATAGACCTTAATCGACCTCATTATTGAGATTGACAGCTTGTTCAGTGATCTCATGGGCCTGTTCCCTGAGCATGGCGTCCTGTTTCTTTCGCCTCATCTGTCTGTTTCTGCAACAACGCCTTCCTTCGTCGCGCCTCCGCTCCCTGCTTCCAAGCCTCCGCTGTCCTGCTTCGCGCCTCGGCTGTTCGTTTGCGCGATTCTGCTATCCGTTTGCGCTCCTCTGCTGATCGTAGCCGAGCCTCTGCTTTTCGTTTTTCCGCTTCTTCTATCTGTCTTTCCGCTTCTGCAGTCCGGGTTTCTGCCTCTGCAGTCTTTTGGGCTGCTTTTGCGAGCTGCTCTTCGGCCTCTGCGGCCCGTTTTATCTGCATTTGCGTCTCCGCTATCTGTTCCTTCCCCTCGCAAGTCAATCAGAACTCATAGCATTGGGGAAAGAGTCACCTCTTGGATTGCCTCGACTTTCTTGGTGAACACCTTCCAGGTAGCTTCGTACTTGCTCTTCATAGCTGGCGCCCCGTACTTGATGTCCTTCTTTACAGCCCGCTGCAGAGGCTCCGCCATCCACATTGACGAAGACGTGCATACCCGAGCACCAGATCCCATGCATAGCTTTATTACCTCCCAAATGACACGACCATAATAAAAGCTCTCGTCATCAAAAGCAGACATATCCGAACGGGCCACGAGACAGGTCCAAAACGCATAGGTTTCCGATCGAGAAGGTGGAGGAAGCAGGGGGCGTCAAGGTTGCGAGGAGGGTACGCTTCCCGGGTTCCAGTCCGTCGAGGTCGTCTACCTCGCGGCGGATGGAGACGGCCATGTTGTCAGGGGGATGTAGGAATCGTAAAGACTCGAATGATTCTTCACTTGTCTCAGAATCTGCCGGACTGGAAGCGAGCGTTCTGGCCTTGGCAGCAGTGACATCCCACGTCCAACGCTCGATGACGAGGTAGTTCCGGCAAGCCTTGTTGTGTCGGTCTTTAAAGTGAACGACTGATGAACTCGTGCTGCAGCGGGGGGACATCAAGCTGATAGTACTCCACTTGTGTTACAAGGAGTTCGTCGCCTGTTTCCCCGTATCTCAGCAATGTGTCCCGGAAGTGACCTGGAATCACAAGAGTGGAACTTGTAGTGTTCAGAACCAAGTTCGCTCCAGGTCACAGGGAAAAAGAGTGAAGTGGCTTCAGAGGGGGTAGGGGATGGGAGAAGGTCATGTTCGAAGGATTTGAGAGAAGAGTTGGACTGAAGGTTAGACAGTGTCATGGCGGATATAGACAAGTACGGTAGTGAGACTGGTTGAATTTCCGCAGGTCGGCGCGACTGCCGAGTATATGATATTAAGAGATGCGCTGTTGATGTCTCTCTCATGTAACGGTAGCGTTCTCGAACGCCAACAAATTAGAACTTTGCCCCGGAATGATGTCGAGCAAACCGAAGCGATACAGGAAATGGCGGCGACAGCAGTCTTCAACTGTCCGACGGTAGGACAATGTTACATCCATGTGGGCGGATTTGATGCCATTGGGTTTCCGCCACCGCGAAGGAACTCGTGAAAGATACAGTCATGGATCAGTACAGGGCACCAGCTTGAAAGGCGGACCGAGAAGGGAGCAGCAGGTGAGTTTTGACAACCACGGATTGTAATTGCACCGACTGACTTGGACTAAGCACCGACGAGCGTTCAGTTTCTCGTCCTTTGTACGAGGTGCAGCGAAGAGAGGTTAGGGTCGATCAACTCAACTAGACAACGTGTCCATATTGCCTGCTGTATTTCATTTTATTGCGCATTCTACGTCGCATATTCCGTATATCTTTCTTTTCTGTTTTCTGAAGACTGATATAGCAATCAAGTTTACGAGTTGACGCTCGGACTAAGTTAACTATGAGTGTCAGACTCAGTAGAATGGGGTGGTTCACATACCAATAGCCCATCATCACCCGCATCGTGAGTACACGTATAGTAATAGCATGAAAAAGCGAGAAATCACTTAGCAACACTATCGACGTCGTAGAAGAAAAGAAACGAAAAATATAATTCAGATAATAAATAAAAAATTGTGATTTCCCTTGAGCACGTGTCTACAGCGACGACAACCGACGACGTTCAGAATCACATTTCCTTCTGCATTCTACACTGTTCTCTGGTTTCTATCCCACAGGCCGTCGTTTGGGTATCTCTTAGAGCTCCGTGCTCACCGTCACGAATCCCGCATACAACCCATCACTCGAAAAACATGCTGTCGCGTTGTAACATGCTCGTCTTTGCCTTTGCTATCTTCTGCTTATTTATTGGAACGACACGGGGCGCAGAGGAGAAGACGACGAAGATGAAAGTTGGAGACAAGACGATTGAACGGGTGAGTAGGTTATGTCTTCGGTGTCGAATCTGTTTGCTAATACCTCGTTAGACAGTACAGTTACGCACGCATTCAATATATGCGCCGTACATAGACCAAGATCTACAGAATAGGTGAGCAGCAATGACTGTATGGCGAGGCTTGGTATTCATTCGCAAAGGTGGTGGGACTTTGGCGCCGATGCCTACATTGTAAGACCAACATCTGTCCGGGCTGCAAATTCGAGCTGACACCCCGTCAGAATACCAACAAACACATACGACTGACACGCGACAAACCGTCACAAATGGTCCGCTTGCTTTTTCTTCCAGCATCACCAGCAATAACTTTGCTCTACCCTTCTTTAGGGATACCTATGGTCCCGTCTACCACTCACGACTGCGAATTTTGTCATCGAAATTGAGTTCAAGGCGAGTGCACACGACCATTTGTCTAGCAGGAAGCGTCAACACGCATGATTATTCAGGTCACGGGCGAGTCGAACAATCTCTACGGCGACGGCTTGGCCATCTGGCTAACGAAGGAACGTGCTGAGCCAGGACCGGTGTTTGGAAGCAAAGGTATGTGTTATACACCTTTCCTGAAGAAAGAAACTCATGCTTTTCTAGATAGCTTTACCGGCCTCGGATTGTTCTTGGACACGTACGCTAATTCACGCCACCCATATGCCTTTCCTCGGATCACTGGAATGATTGGCGATGGCAAGACCCAGTATGACTTTGGAAAAGACGGAGATAAACAAGGCATCGGTGCATGCTCTGTGCGTTTTTGCGTATCTCGCTGTCGTCGTGCACCCATGCTCATTCCTGGTAGTTGAACTTCCGTCGAACAAACGTGGCGACCAAAATCAAGATCACATACATCAAGGATACTCTATTGGATGTAGGTACAACTTCTTGCTATTACGCCAGCCTTTTAAAGTGTATTCTTTTTTCTTCTAGGTTAAATTGCAATATAAAGCATGTGAGTAATTCACTAGACCGCCGTACGAATCCATCTAACATCCGACTGTAGGGGACGACTGGACAGACTGCTTCCGCGCCGACGGCATCTCGTTACCCACCGCTCCCTTCCTCGGGATGAGCGCGATGACTGGAGACGTATCAGATAACCACGAGTGAGTCCTTTCCGGTATCCTCCCTCTCTCCCTCCCTCATACTAAACCACATAACACCAGCATCATCAGCGTCTCAACGCACTCCGCTATAATCTCCCACGGAGATCTCCCCTTCACAGAGAGTGCGAAAAAACGGTCCAGCAAGAGCACCGGGTCCTGGACGTGGTTCTTCTTCAAGATGCTCTTGTTTGCCGGGGTGGGCTTTGGAGGGTATTACGGGTACCAGGAGTACCGGAGGAGGAGTAGATATTCTGGGATGGGGAACTTTGGTGGAGGACGTCCGAGTGGGTTCTCGGGATTCGGCGGTGCAGGGGGGATGTATTCGAGTGGCAAACGTCTGTAGGCGAGGGAGGGTTGGTGGTAACTTATGACGCCTGGGTAATCTATTACACACCCTCAAGTACGAGTATCATAAATGCAGGGACTCATTTTTATCTTGGGCGGAAAATGCGATCTATTCCTTCTACATGTAAAGAGAAACAACCCTTGTACAACCCCTCCCCGGCTCAATCACGTGATGTAAAAAAAAACTTACTAAGCTCCTGTAAAAGGCAAGTCTCGCCCCTCCCTCCTCGAAGTCCCCGCCCACCATCGGTTGCACACAGTCCAAGCACACAAGAATTTGGAGCATCGGAATATGAGGGAAGGTTCTATATAATGGTATCCACATCATTTTTTTTTCATGTCATCTTTACAATAGTCAATATAAAGTATGTACTGTACTAGTTGTGTACCCAATTTCTAAGTAAATTCAAAGGGACGACGCAGATATCTAAAAATGAGGTTGATCATGGAATATAATGATCTTCCGTGGTCTTTCTTTTTGCCCCCCTCCCCCCCACAATATATATATATTTAAAAATAAAAGACCGGCTGAAAAATGGAAAAACAAACGGAAACAGATGATCAGAAGTGAAGAAAAATAATGGATGTAAAAGAGAAGAAGACAGAAATCCAAATCAATGTGCGAGCGCATCCGCCGTACCTGTGAGATGTGACAAAGAGCAAGCAAAATAAAAATTGGGAACATCGAACACAACCTAAAGGGATCGAACACTCAACGCTACCAGAAACATACATGTAAGGAAGTTCTACTACCAAGCCACAGCTCCACTTATGCCCTTTCGAAGCACCGCCCACAAATCGCCCAGTTCGGGTACGCATCCCGAGGAACGAAAAGAAGGGGGGTACTGTTTTTGGACGTCACGTGAATCGCGTGGGGTACGAAACTCATTCGCCAAGCACGAACAAACACACGCCGGGCAGATTCCCGCCTCCCTTAGAATCGTCTTTTCTGCTCGCATCTTCTTCAATTCTTTATGGATTCATTATTACCGCGAGATTCAGGTGGAGAAATGGTTTATGTATTGTTTTGCAGCATCTCAATAGGCGTCGTCAAGTTTATCACCGCTGACCTGTTCTTTTCTGGCTCCGCCCTGTTCCGCCACTGTGTTACGGGAGCATAACTTGGGCCGACATAAGAGCCTCACATATACCGACACTAACACTGACCCCCGTGGGTCTCCGCTATCCATATTATCACTCCGTTTATTTTCTGGTCACTATCTCTTCACATCAAGATGGCTACACCTCAGTTTGTGAATTTATTCTCTAGCTTGGATCGATGACCTCTCTGCTTATCTCTTCCCAGCCCTTTCATAACAGTCCTTTTTTAAGTCTGTTTACTGTGAAAGAGAGCACGAAACATGTTGACAAAGCCCGATTCATGTCGGTATGGTGATGGGCGCTGTAAACATCAATTAATTCGTGGCGAAAATCTTTCTTAGCGAATACTCTCAGTCCAATCTGGATTCTAATCCGAGATAAAAGAAGTTGTGGGACCTTTCCTTACTTCCGTATCGTATGACGTTCATATCAGTTGACAGTGTCAGCTTCCGCAACCTCATGACTTCGAGCGCAAGAATTCAACGAACCCAGGCACTTTCAATGCTTGTCATGGGCACAAGACCATTCCTCCTTGACGAACTCATACCCAAACTTCCCAGTCGCAATGCCAAGAAGTGGAAACCGTGGGCGGGCGTCCATAATTTTATCCTGTCCTACTAATAGTTCGTGTTCTTATCATGTGAACTGTCTTCTTCCCGGTGCGTACAGGGTCAGCAGGGGATTTCGATAGTCGCAATACATATATATAACCATCTCTAAGATTATGATGCGTCGGTTGAATCTCCCATGGATGCTATTTTTCTTCACTCTCTTCATATTATGTTCAAGCGCACTTGGTGCCATATACGAGAAGTTCGAAGATATTCCTACTCAAAATTTTGACTTCATTATCATTGGAGGTTAGTTCTTCCAGTGCACCCGGCACTCATTCTCTGATTTATAACACTGAAATCTAGGCGGGACTGCGGGAAATGTTCTTGCAAACCGTTTGACAGAGAATGTCCATGTCTCTGTACTCGTACTTGAAGCTGGCGGATCGTCCGTCCTCTTTTATATGCTTTGACTCCCGATATTTATTCTTCTCGAGGACGGCTGATGTTCTCCTTTCCGAGGTTCCGTTCTTTTTTGCGAGCGCAACTCCCAGAACACCCTTGGACTGGAACTTCACCACAACTGAACAACCAGGATTGAATGGACGTTCCGTTCCGTTTCCTAGAGGATTTGGATTAGGAGGTGGTACCGCTGTCAGTACGTCCTTTTGATTATCGGAGTTGCCTAGATTTTTCAACTGATATAATTCCCAGATGGTATGCTCTACACGCGCGGTTCATCTCAAGATTATGACCGCTATGCCCAGATCAGTGGTGACCCTGGTTGGGGATGGGAGGCCTTGCAACCGTACATTCGAAAGGTTGATCCTTTAGTTTCTTTTGCCACAACTGTTAACTTGACCTTGGTGTTATGATAGAATGAACGTGTTGTCCCCCCTTCCGATCACCATAACACCACTGGTCAGTTCGATCCCGCAGTCCACGGTTTCAATGGTATCAATTCGGTGTCCCTTCCTGGAGTCCCGCGTGCATACGGATAGCCGCGTCATTCAAACTACGTCGGAGCTTCCTGACGAATTTCCATTCAATTTGGATTACAATTCCGGATACCAGTTAGGAATCGGTAAGAATTTACTGGAGACTGTATGACTGACTCTAGTAGTATTGAACACCGACAGGATGGACTCAATACACAATTGGAAATGGGACTCGAAGCAGCTCTCAGGCGTCCTATCTTGGATCCAGGTATATCGGACGGCCAAATTTGCATGTCCTGATCCATACCCACGTCACCCGGATCCTACAGTCAAACACCAAATTCACTAACGGCCAGCCGACGTTTGGTGCTGTTGAGTTTTACTCAAGATGCAGGAGGTGATAACCCCTTCGTAGTACCATCTTGAGGATTTTTATTCTGACTTGAAGTCATCGTAGCAACTATGCATACCCTGGCACCGGCTCATCTCAAAGAAATCATCCTCTCTGCTGGATCCGTTGGTACCCCGCACATCCTCCTTCACTCTGGCATCGGCGACAAAGCCGAGTTGACAACTCTAGGAATTACTCCAAGACTCCATCTTCCCGACGTTGGGAAGAACTTGACAGACCAACCCGGATGGTTTGTCAACTTCTTTGTCAACGACACGGACACTATCGACATCTATTTCAGAAATGCGACTTTTCAAGCAGAAACCCTGGAGGAGTGGCAAGTGAACCGAACAGGATTTTTATCATCGGGTGTAGCGAGTCAGGTAGCGTTCCTTCGCGTTCCTGAAGAAGCCGGTATATTGGACGGAGAACCGTGTGCGGGAAATCAGACCGCGCACTATGAGCTTGTCTTCACTGTATGAGCAGCATACTTTAATCAGGTCCTGGTTAGGGAAATGTTGAAGTCTTTGTAGAGCGGCCTCTTTGTGCAACCTATTCCTGCAGGAAACTTCTTTTCTATCGGGACCGCGGGTATATGCCCTCTGTCGCGTACGTTCGCTCATTACCACACTTTCCAAGACCCATAAATAATCGACAACAGGCGGGAATATCACTATTAACAGCACGAACCCTCTGGATGCGCCACTGATCAATCCAAACTTTCTCTCACATCCGCAGGATCTTGCCATCATGCAATATGCTGCTGAGAGTGCGAAGAAGTTTGTTTCCGCCATGGCGTGGGATGGCTACATACTCGGTATCACCGTAAACATCACCGAGAATGATATCCGGAATGGAGTTAGCAGTGTATACCATCCTGTGGGTACCGCAAGCATGTCGCCGGCTGGTGCAAATTGGGGTGTGGTAAACCCGGATTTGAAGTTGAAGGGCGCGAAGGGGGTGAGAATTGTGGATGCTTCGATTTTGGTGGGCCCATCCGTTCTATATATATTTTGTTGTCGCGAGCTCAGTACCCTTTTCCCTTCTAGCCATTCGTACCAGCGGCGCATACTCAGGCTGCGGTATATATAATTGCAGAGAGAGCCGCAGATTTGATCAAAGCAGATGTATAATGTTTGTTAAGAAAACTCAGTAAATGTTTCAATGTATGCAGGACTTCTGTTCGAATATAACAATCTGACCACGTTGACCGGATACCTGGTGTTAAGGTAGTGGCTCCACACATAGCGCCATTAGTTCTAGATATTTTAAGAAATGAACAAATTGAGAAAGACATACGAAGGGCATCATTCCATAACCACTCTCCACCGTGATCCAAATAACTCAGGTGGTTTAATACACATCAATAACACAGCTCTGAACTTGTTCCCGCGTTTTCACTTGTTGATACATAAGCTGAGTGATTCTAACTAGTGAGCGATGATCACAGCAGTGTTATTCACGACCAATTCACATACCCTTCCTTGGCTTTCATCGACCGCTCATTCTACTTCCAGTGTAAGTGGCAGTGGTTTCAGATCCTTCCCGCCATCTCACTGACCACATCGCCCTAACGTTTGGCAAAGCACTAACCAAGCTATTGTACATAATACACGACTTGAAACATACGGCGAAACAGCCAAGGTGGCTCTATCCCTTACAACAGCAGCAAATATCCTTGCTCGCGCGCGCGAATCATATTACAGGACAGACAATGAGTGACAGCAATTTCGTAGCTAAGGTAGGTAGGTTATGTAAACAGGTAGGAGGTTGGGGATTGTTGAACGTCCCCATCAAAAAAAAAGTGCGTACAGACAAGCAGGCCAAAAGTCGACGAGGAGAAAATCCGACTAAGAAATTGCATTTCGAACCGGGGGGGGGGAGCATAAGTAAGAAAACGAGAGGACCGCGCACTAGATAGGCAAGCGAAAGAGAGTAAAAAAAAGATATGATACAATATTCGCACACAAGTTAATGGAATAAACACAAGGATTTTCTGAATAATTAAGGAAGAAGGAAGGAAGAAGAAAAGGATGGAATGGAAGTACGAAGGTGATAAAGAAAATGACAACCAATAGCCCAAGGGGGCAGTTCTTTGGTTCAAAGGGAAACCAAGGACCAACCCCGAGCCCCCAAGTACAGTGCGACCGGGATATGCCCCTTTTTCAATTCATCGCATCCGACAGTGGGCAGCAGGAGAGGGGGGAGGAGGGGGGGTATCCTTGAATTACGATCCGATCCGTAGTTGCAGTAAGAAAATGAAATACCATCTATGCCGCCATCGGCTCAATGTTGGCGACTTCATCCCCGTCCCCACCCTCGACGCCCTCCATATCTTCGGGAGCGCCAGCACCTGACGTCGACCTCCGTCCACCAGACGCCCCCTGCGGTCCCGATCTCGGGGGGTTCGCACATCGATCTTTCCCGTGCGCGATCCTCAGGTTGGCATATTCGGGCTTGCTCTTGATGGCCTCGATGGCCTTGGTCGCATTGGAAATGTTCGTAAAGTTGACAAAGGCACAGTTCCTATTATAAGATTAGTCAAATGATTGTGCTGGGAAAGAAGGGGGACACGCACTTTTCCTTGAGAAAGTTGACCAACTCAATGTCGCCGTACTCTCCAAAGTCCCTCTTCAGTCGCTCCTCTGTGAACGTCTTATTTCGCTTGTGGGGGCCTAAAATATGCTAAAATCCGGACAAACCTTGGCAAGAGGTTCCCGGGGCGGCCAGGGGTTGAGCAGGGGCAGTTTAAAGAGAACAGTAAGTACATAGGGAATAGAGATACATATTTTATTATAATGATTCAGCACGTCTTCGAAGGGTCCCGGTCAGCATCTGATGTACATAATATGTCATGAAATGGAATTTCCAAAGAAGAGGAATAATGAAAACAAGCCCAAGTGGAGTTTTGGTTGGGGGAGACACTGAACACTGGAAAAAGAAAGAAGATGGGTGGACAAACGTGACCACGTCGCGAAAGACACAGCCTTCCTGGCCGGCAGGCATTCCTCTCTCTCTCTAACCACCATGTTATCCAGCCAGCGCTCCGTGCACAAAGGAGGAACCACAGCTTCCGGCGCTTGCATTCAGTCTCAGCCGCGGCGCTAAACAGGAAAACGGGAAAGAGGTGCTTGGATCAGGGTCGACTACCAGGGTTTTTTCATCTCCATCTGTAACGTCGTGTCAGCGGGCAGCCGTCGACCGGCCATGTCTGACCAGCACCGAGTCGACGAAGTATCCAGCAGACGCTCTTCTGAAGGCATCTCCAATGTACAGGACCGCTCAGAAGGGTCGCCTCAGAATAATGGCTCGAAATTGCGTCAAAACAACGAAAAGAAGCCAGAGAAATTGGAGACTGGCAAGGAACACGTCAATTCAGATAGTATTGGGGTCGAACCATCTTCGAGCCCGGGAATACAGGATGAAGCCGGCGTCGAGGGTGATGGAGGTGCGAAGAAGTCCAGACCAGATGCTGGTTTAAAGACAGGTATTGTGACTCTTGCTTTGGTTCCCTGCTATTATAATTATGCCTAATGAAGGCTATCTTTAGACAATGACCCGTTCAACTACGAGGACAAGTACCCCGAAGATAATATTTATGAAGAAACAGCCCCGAATGCGAGAGTATGGAGAACATACGTGGACGAGAGTACGAATTACGACGCCAGGATGGTCGGGGAATCGAGAGATAGTGTCGATGTGCTTCTTGTTTTCGTGAGTAGCTGCCCGCATTTACTTTCTTCGTCGCTGAAGGCGTTTCAGGCTGGTCTTTTCTCAGCGGTAGTGATAACCTTCGTAGCGCAAACATCACAGAGTCTACAGGCGGACTATACTCAGGTATCGGCATCCCTGCTCTTCGAAATGGTCCTCATTCAGCGCGCCCTTGCGAACGGTTCCTCTCTCGACAACGTTCCAGTGTCTTCTCTCAATCCATATACCGCATTCACTCCTGCAACTACGGACGTCTGGGTGAACGGGCTATGGTTCACGAGCCTCTCCCTTAGTCTATCAACTGCCCTGGTTGCCGTGCTCGTGAAACAGTGGCTCCACCATTACCTCGCGCTTCCTTCAGGGACGCCTCAGGAGCGAAGTCATGTTCACCAATATCGATATGGGGGATTCCAGAGGTGGCATGTTCTCGTCATCATTGGTCTTCTTCCTGTCCTCATGCATCTCGCACTTGGGATCTTTTTTGTCGGATTGGTCATATTCCTTGTACCGCTCCGACCTGGCCTTTCCTGGGTCATCGGCATAGGCACTGCTGCTGCATACGCGACGTATTTGATAACCATCTTCCTACCAATTCTATGCCCACAATGCCCCTACCGTACACCGCTGTCGGATCTCGTATACTTCCCCTATCGTTATATCACCCAGGACCTATTCCCTAAACATATTCTTCCGCTCTTCGTGGAAGAGAAGGATGATGAATCTGTTTTCTACAAGCCTGAAGCAAAGGGCATAAGTTCGTTGGATGATCTGGAAAGGAAAGTGGTGCAAGAACGGTCAGGAATCTTGTCGGCGGGAAGCGTTACATTGGTTGTTCTCTTCTTCGTCGAATCCTACGGTACACAGGATTGTGGTACAGGCTATCGGTGGCCTGCCACTGTCGGCGAAGGATGCAGTGAAGAAAGTATTTGGGGAAGCGAGAGACCTTCGTATGGCTCAGATTGGGCTACTGTGGGATTCCGTGCAGATCCAATCACACTCCACAAAGCCAAAACCAGGAATGGAACCTAAAGTCGAACGCTTACTTCGTTTCGAATTGTTCATCCCGCACTTGTTTCACATGGGACGTAACCGATTTTACATTGATATAGCCGACAGCGGCTTAGGACTCGCTGCCGCCGTTCAATCAAACGATGCACTCCAGAGGAGTCAATACAAACCATCCAATACACCTACTCCGGCCGCGTTTTTTGAGCAAGTGACGTGTTCTAGTCAAATGAAGCTACCTCCAGCCGTTTGGCTTAAGCTTATGCGAATGGCCAAAGATGATGGCGCATTCGCTCCGATCGACATCGACTCACTAGATCCCTTTCCTATGGTTCTGTGTAGTCGCGTCGTCCCTTGCATAATGAGCTCGTTCACGACCAAAGACGTGCCGCCATGTCTTGACTTCGACACTGCAGCCTCAATCTACTTCAACGACGAATTGGCAGCCAACTTGGTGAACATGCTTTCGGTGTTTGATATATTGACCGATAAAACATTTTTTCCTTCGACCTTTAAGCTCACGCTAGCTTTCATTTGATATCTACTCCATCGTGTCTCCCTGACTTCTCTCGATGACGACATTCAACGTGCGATATTCGAGGTCCAGCTCGCCCTCTGGGACTACATGTCCAAGAATCTTCCTGACGAACAGATCACCGCTCTTGCAAATCTCGTGGAACATGTCGTTCATAGCCTCGTCTTCAAGCTCGGGTCTGAATGGACGGGCGCCCAAACGTCTTTGTTGGACGTGTATTCAGAGATGGTTGGTGTCTGGACACCAGGTCGATCCGCAAGGCACAATTTTTGGCCCGCTTTACAACCACTTGTTGAAATTATGATCAATCAGTACGACGCACTGTACGATGCTGATCAACGTATGCGTGCGCCCTTCGACACCATGTGTGAAATTTTAGGATTTGGCCTCAGACATGGTGTGGAAACTGTGTACGACATTTTCCTCGATATGCGATGTCTGGAAGTTTTCGGAAGCCACTCCCTTCGTCCATCGCTGGTCACTGTTATTAACGGATACGTTGCTGGATTTGCGGCACTGGATACATCGATCGATCTCCAGCGACATTTGGACTACCTTCACGAGCCTGAGAATCTCTTCTTGGCGTGTTGCATTCTAATCACCAACGGGTGGAACGCGTGCGGTGAATCACCCAATAATATATTTTCACCACTGCTCGACTATCATATATGATCTGTATGGACATAAGGGCACTAGCAAGTCTTCGACCGTCAGATCCTTCTTGGGATCAATGCCGTCAGAAATTGCGTGATTTACTGCAGGATGACGGATGCGAGTTTTTTGTCAAGCAGCAGAAGTGGACGCCCCATGGTTTTGAATCCCTCACGCCCGAGGCAATCGATGAAGCGAAGAATAATATTCGTTTGGCCCTGGGCGAGCTTGATGAATTTTTTTCTCTTTCAATGAATACGTTTTCTGTGAGTCGTCTTGCTAATTTTTTGTTGAGAATCTCATATGACTGGTGATCTAGATGCCCTTACACGAATCGGTGGTGAGGCCCCTTCCTCGGTCGTATATATCGGTATCTGCGGTATCCTCGACGTCCGGAAAAGGACGAAGTTCAAGTGCAAGTATGAATCTTTCGCATGGAAGCTTTTCGACCTTAATTCAGGGCGAGCGTCTGTAGGCGAGGGAGGGTTGGTGGTAACTTATGACGTCCGGGTAAATCTAATACACACCCTCAAGTACGAGTATCATAAATGCAGGGACTCATTTTATCTTGGCCGGAAAACGCGATCTATTCCTTCTACACGTAAGGAGAACAGTAAGTACATAGGGAATAGAGATACATATTTTAATTGTGAATGTCGTTTCGGATTGGTGATCATGATTTGATTTGATGCCTTTGGATGTGGTGAGAAAGCTATACTACTGAGTACCTACTAACTAATGCTACGTAAAAAAATGTGACAGAGATATGCAAAAAAAACAAGCGACGAAATGCAGCGGGTAGGAGCTATATGCACAACATCCGGAAGAGGATGGGAGACGAGAGGAGGAGGAAATGACTACTGCTACGAAAAGGTTTTGACTACACTACGAAAATACTACTGCTACTAAAGGGGGGAATCCACATGCAAGAGGCGAAGACAAACAGAGAGAAGAAACATGTACGTATATACTATATTACACGCCGTAACGCGTGGCCAGCCGCTCTTGGATAATCGGCGGGAACGCGGCAACTTGAGCGGCCCACCCTGCCGCATCGTGCTGCTTGAACGCCGTCAATATCGTCTGGAACATGTTGTTCAGCTCCGGTGACGGCGCGTTCCATCTCACTATCGAATTGCAGAACCACAGGAGACTCTGTCGCGGAGAGAGAAAAAAAATCAACATCGATAAGACTAGATATAACCGGAGAAAGTAAGCACCTTTGCAATTCCTGCAGGATTGACTTCGACCATCGTGCAAAGTCCCCGGAAAGCAGAATCCTTCTCTTCGTTATCTCGAATCTCATATAATGCTTGACACCAGGCTTGCGCAAACTCGGCTAAATGAGGCGCAACAAGGGTCGGGTGCATCAGCCCAATTCGTCCTATCGACACTGCTGCATTTTCGTGCAAGCTCCTTGGAGCCTTTGGGTGCAACAAGATCGGAACCAGCCTTGAAATCAGCGGGTTTACCCATTGCTGGAACTCAGGGTCGTCTGACAAAAACGGGTTAGTAAGACGGGGTGGGGTAACGGGATGACAACTCACTCCGTCCGTAGCGTAGCGCGACTTCGCCAACAGACCATGCAGCATTGTTCGAAGCGCTGATAAATTCGAACTTTGGTTCGGGATCAAGCTGTAGTATCAGTTCGCCCATGATGCCGGGCATATGCGGCCGGAGGACAGTAAAACAGCCCATAGCCATGTCTCCGACTAGCGCGTACGCGGACTGTCGTACAGGCGCCTGGGGATGTTTCAAGCAGACCGTCAACAGCGACAATAGATTCGGCTGCGTCTGACTTATCAGGCTCTCCAGGGACATGCCGAGACCTTGCGTAAGACCAGAAAGAAGATCTAGCGCGACGACAAGGAATGATTTATCAGGCTCATCCATTTCGGGGTTTTGTTGGAAGGCTTGATACTGGAGGAGAGAATGATGGATAATGTTGTTGCAACGCTCGAAGACAGGCCCCGCGTAAGGGTGGAAGGACATTCCCATCGCGATGGTGACGGATGCAAGACACTGAATGAACTCATTAGGATTCTGTACAACATGGTCAAAATGCAGCGCACCTCAAGCAGGGGAATCAGGTCCGGGTCGTCATCCTTGAGCTTTGACCACCGGTTTGTCAGAGGTGGCATTAGAATTTCGACATACATAGGGTTCGAGAGGGCACGACCGACGGCGTCCGCAAGAGTACCAACTGCATCGTACAGTATGAGCATATTCTTATGCTGGTACTTGTCGAATGCAAAGACCAGATTCCTTAGTACAGGTTCGAGGTATGGCGCCAACTCGGGGCCGGCATCCTCTTCAAGGGTAGCAAAAGCGCTGCAACCAGCCTCTTGCACACGCTTGTTGCTATCCAAGACCATCCGGAGGAGCTTGAATTGAAATTGTTCATAAGGAAACGAAGGATAGAAGACATGATAAAACTCACTCCTTCCATGGTCGGGATGAAATACTGAGCCTTGTGTTCCTCAGAAATTGGCTGGGTGGTCCAGCTTGCATAGCGCCCGAGCGTCCAGCAAGTAATTGATCGAACCAGAGGCTGGGAAAAGTATTGTATTGGTTTGCGATTACGACAGATAAGTGGCGCTTTACCTTTGGATCATTGAGCATGTTGATTAGATACGGTACTAGCGTGGGTAGATGAGGCTCGATAGCTTCTATGCAGCCTATTTGGGCGCATATCAGAAGTTGAACCAATGATCATCACGAAGCGAAGCTCACCTTCTGCCATTGCTCCCAGAGCCAGAATTCCGCTCTCTCTCTGTAGCCAATCACTGCTCCACAGCTTGTCCTTGAGCGGTCCCAGAAGGACATTCAGAAGATCACCGGTAAATCGGACAGCTAGAACGTCCAGAGCCGCGGCGGCACACTTTCGTAAGTTCCACTCAGTCGACATGTCGTCCGCGTAGTCTTCATCGTCGTAGTCAAAGTCGTCATCGTCGTCGTCGTAAGTCTCTTCCCCGTATGCACCTATCCGAGCCTTCGGAGGCTCTCCGTTGGCATCCCTCTCCAAACCATGGGACTTGCCACCGTAATGGCGAGGCTTGATATCAGTCGCCTTATCCGGAACGGCTTCATCCTCTGCATCACCGTCCAGCCATAACAGATCATCTTCACCGTAGATCATACAATCCAACAAAACTGGAGCGACCTTACCGAGAAGAGGATGCAAGTAGATCGACAATTCAGCGTCCTCGGCGAACGTGAGCCAGAACTCGCACGCTTCCAGTGCGACGTTCTCGTTCTGGTCTTTGGTGGAATATAGCATGTATTCGGCTACGTTGTTCATCTCGGGCATTAGCCGTTCGGGCCGTGCGGCGAGGAGAAGAACGAGAGCTTGGCAGACGTGGCGTCGAACTGAAGGGTCATCGTCCGAGGCGCGGCGGAAGAGACACGCTATGAAAGCGTCTAGGTGGACAAATAAAGACTGGCAATTGGCGGGTACAAAATAGGATAGGCATGCGACGGCGTGTGAGCGCATCTTGGACGACTGGTGATCAGCGAGGGAAAGGAATTTGGGAATCATATAGTCAAGCGGCCGTGTTCCGTTTATTTCGACGTCCATTTTTCGAGGGTAGTCTTCACAGGCCTTTTCAAGAACATTGAAAGCAGCCTAAGATGCAGGTAAGAAAAAGTCAGTGGCAGAACTTGGGGGATCAATACGAAAATGAGATATCAAGCATCGGTCGTCGGATGATCATGACGAGGACGTCGAGAACGGGAAATTACTCACCTCTTGCTTGTCAAGATCAGGCATATCCAGCATCCCCACGAGCTGCTGCAGACATTCCGGCCAATTCTTGGGCTCGAGCACGCCGAGGAAAGCGACAACATCCTGACCAGCAGTATTCCGTATCATGATTGATGAGTCGGTGAATGCTTGTAGAACGGAATTCTTGACATAAGCCGCCACCTCGGGCGAAGACGTGAGAATGAGGCGCGAGTTATTCTTGAGAAGATAGCCAGCGATGCTTCGAATTCGCTCCTCCTCTTCCCGCATCCAACATAGAATATGAGCAAGGTATGCGATATAGTCAGGTACACGCGTAAAGTTGTTGAGTTTCTTGGGCATTATTAGAGAGAATTATCGAGTAAGCAGGGCTGCTAGAACTCACTTGGGTAATATTTCGTTGTACCGACTGGGCCATGTCGGTGGATTCATGGATAGTTTGGAGAATTTCCGCCAAACCACCTGGCTGAGGCGTCCATGTAGACATAATAGAAGAGAAAAACGCGCTCAGAAATGTAGGAAATCAAAGTGCGCAATGGAAAGAACGGCACTGGAAGAAGGAGAAAGGATTGGCTTTGCCGTTGTTTGTACTAGCCGGTGACAACGTGACCTGGTGTGACATCAACCAAACGCCACCCTGTTTTCGATGTTTCGTTTCAATTCTTTGATGGCTTACAACTAGTCTCATTTAATAATTTGTCAGTACAATTGTCCCGGGAAGAACTCTAATGTGATACCGCAGTTGGCAGAGGTGGTCCCGCTGGCCAACAGCACCGTGATTGTACAGGGATCGCCTGCAATTGATTATCTGATGCATCTGTTTTGGAAGGCGATATGAACAAGTTCTCCTGGATCGATGGCCGTTTCGTCTTATCTTTCTGGATGGCCCCTTCATCAACCTTCCACCCGCGAGCTTGAAGAGCACATCCCCAGCCTGCAAAGCCTGGCCTCCAGTGCTAGCAAGTCAATCAAAGAAGCTTAACTATTTCACATGGAGGAGGCGTCATACTGCCCACTAAACTCTAAGTACTTTTGAATATATCATATCTATAAATATCAGATCATCAATTGGACCGTTCGTAAAATGTCCCGGGGAAGCTCTGGAACCTGACGAGGTGATCCTATGTTCGTACAAATCCCCGAAGCATGAAGACTGTCTTGTACCGCAGAGGATACTAGCCAATTCCTATGACGGTAAGTATTAGTGCATCTATCTTGAACATCGACTACAAATGGATAGATTTATTCCCGTTTTTCCACGAAGAATGGATAACTCCTGAGCCCTATTCACTCCGTGATCAGGCCAGTCATCGAGAAGCAGCAAATGAGGGGAGATGAACATGAATGACTCACAGATCGTATCAAGTAAACGAAGGGTGGAAAGTGTTGATAACGCGGCGAAGTTCTTCTCCCGGGTTTTTATCAAAGCCATTGCCAAAAGACCACAAGGTCAATTGAGTAGTCCCTGATTATCCAGGAAAAGTCAAAAAGTCCTGGCAAATCTTAGACTGAATTCCTCCCGCGAGAGGAAAGGGGCAACAAGGCACCAACCCATATATAAGACTGCCATTCTTCCATCACATCTTCCGTCTGGCTATGACCAGAGGCGATGGAAGATGAGTCGTGGAACGTATCATCCGTAAGTCCGGGAAAAACATGGAGCCCTACGGACGAACTATCAGGCATCGATGATGTAAATATCTTCCATTGACGGGAGAATTGAAGGATCAGAATCATGCGGAAGAGATGCATAAAATCACGGACGTTCAACCAAGGGGCATTGTATTCTCAGCTGCACCGTACTGCGACCTCGACGCTGACTTCAAATAAGTTTCTATTACAGACGGAGCCGGTTATACATAATGAGTCGAATTACGAACTCGAAATCATGATTTGCGAACTCGCACTCGGCCACGTGGGATCGGCGGGATAAGCCGATCGTAGAACTCAGTTTCGAACGGAGCATTGAACGGCTAGGCCTCTTGTCCCACATAACGATCCATCCGTCGTGCAGGACGACTCGGCATGCTGTTTAGAAGTTCCTGGGAGCCTCCTCAGTAAATTTATGCTGGATGTGTAAGTGGTAACCATGGCGCGGTAAGTTTGAATGATTCTGTACACATGAGAAAAGGTAGGGGTCTTGTCTTCAGTGTAGCCATACTTCGGTGGGAACCACTTATCTTTCTGTGGCTAGTCCCTTGCTGTAGTCAAATCCAACTTCAGGGAACCAATAAAAAAGGCAAAACATGCCATGGGAAGATTATATAACATTCCGACGCAGAAATCTCAAAGCCGCTCTTCATCAACAACTCTCGTCAACCATCACCCTGTGCATGCCTGCTGTATTGCACACCACGAAATAACTACACGATGAATGGTGCAGTGAAAGATTGACTCAGTGGCGCTGTACAGCACGGATCTACTGCGCTGTGCGCATGATTCTATTTTCCGAGCGGCACGCGTTCGCGTTTACACAGCTTGACACTGCGGTAGCGTTCACTCCGGGCCCCTTCTCGAACTACTACCCACTTCTCTCCACAGCTCTTTTCTAAACGTAGTACAAAAGGAGGCGCCTCGTCATCCCGTTTTCGTGACCGAAATCAATTCATGACAACGGACCGGCCGTGTTTCGCGTCTGGAAGCTGTAGAGAGATTGCCGGTGCTGTCGTGCCCTGAAGCTCCGGTGTGGAGGGGACTACGTATAAAAAGGGCCTCGGTCGTGTACATTCTGCCTCACTTCCCCCCCCTCAGAGACCTGTGCCTTGACTTTCCCCTCGCGTCTAGAATACTCCCAGCATTTAATAACAACATGTAAGTGGTGCCTCGTAGTCAAGATGTCCTGATTTTCTTATTATATCTCTTATCCTTAGGTCGTCATACAGTTCATGCTCAAAGTCAACTTCCAGCTCTCAGCGTATCCAGTTCCACAGTTCGTACTTTTCCGTCTCTCACAAACAGAAATCTGATTTCTAAATCCAAGTTGACAACGTATCCGGTCTCCCCCCTACGTCATTACTCGATCGTGCATCCAATGTATATGTCGGTCTGAAAAGTGGCGTCAAAAACTACGCGCACTTCTTGTATAAAGCGGCATAGCGGCGCATCTAGTGTGGCACCAAAACATCGGACCGTAAGCATTCAGTACTTCTCCGTTTCGGACATCCAGATTTATTTCGTACTTCATAGACTAAACTTGATGGGGTTCTCCCCCATCCAATTCGAGGTCTGCTACAAATTGCCGTGGCTCAAATCCGGACATGTCCTCGCCAGGAGTGAGGAGTACAGATTGGAAGACTTGATCCAAATGCAAGGATCGCTTGACAGGGAGAGCTGTGAGTCTCACTGTCCTCCGCATCAAATAGTATTGATTCTCAAGCGGCATCTCGTTTTACAGCCATATGTCTCAATCTAGACCTAGCATCCACACCGGCGAACTCGGAGCCGCCACCCGAAGCCATAACGCTCATGCTTGAGCGTCAGGGAAATATCCTCCATTGAGACCGTTCGCGAGGCGAACGGCATTCGCGAGAAAACACCAAATGAGTTTGAGAGGGCGCTCAGAGGGTCATCTCGGCTTCATTACTTGACCCCGTGGGGAAATGCTCATCAGTGCTCCAGACTGTTTGTAGCGGTCCAACAATGGTCCAATCTTCGGGATGATGATCTAATTATCGGGCGGTTCGCTGTTATTTATTTCCATGAGGCAGCTTGCATACACTATCACCCGTCTATCTATTACAGAGATATGGCTAGACTTGTATTAGATACCCTCCAAATGAAAGCTATTAATTCTTCAGCGTTTTCCGGGCCGGCCTCGTCAGTTCAGCGTGTTGGAATAGCATGGTCGTGGTGATGCCAAGGGAAATCAAGGACCCCATACATGTCAGAAGATCTCACCCAACTTCGAAGCTTCTCGGTCGTTTGATGCCACCTATCGGCCTTGTGATTGCTCAAACATGTAACGAGATTGCTGAGGATGAACTGGATAGTTAACCGTTGGCCAGTCCCTTGCTTCTCGGTAATGAAAAGGCAGTGTCTGTTAGGCGTTGCGGATTTGGTCGGTATACCTAAAAGTAATGATTTGAAGAATAACAGTCTCTATTCAAGACCCAGAATAACTCTACACGAAGTCGCCTGTCTCTGCGTGCTGCAGATGATGATGTCATGGCCAAAGGACAAACAATCCGACATCGCCATGGTACATCAACATGCAATTTGATGGTATGAACTTGAGGACTCGAGGCTAATCACCACGGTATTGGGACATAGAAGCGCCACAAATGGTAGGTGAATGAAGTATAGTTATTTTGACTTCAGCTCAAAGCTCCTGAGCGCACGATGTACAAAACTCTGTAACTTTTTTGTAGATCGATCGCTCTCCAAAGAGCCTACATTCTGCAGATAGCAAACGTTAGCGTAGCCCATACTAGCCACAGTTACCAGAAAACATCACCTTTTGCAACATCGAAACACTATTGCCTTAGATCTTCGCTCTTCTTTTGAGTTTCCCTTTCTAAATTCCTCAACTCCAGAGGCAGCGCATAAGGAGGTGAAGTGTCCAAGGGCGAATGCCGATACGTATCAGATAACAAAAGCCCCAGCGAGCTCCCTCCTGATGTCCTGCATCAGCAACATTACCATCGGCACAGGCTATATATATACTCACAGATGCTCTAACCCTTGGATAAGGGCAACACTTCCGCGTTCTTCTTCCGATTCCAGAGAGCGCTCTTGTTCTTTGATAGCTTTCAATTCACGCAAGGTGTCTTCACGATCTAGAAGGACCAGCGGTTCCGAACGAACTGGTCGCAGATCTGAGTGGGTTAGCATCAGTACACGCGGAACGGACGCGTTCTTCTCACCTTCATACTTTTTCAGGAGGTCGACTAAGCCAGCCTGAAGAGTCTGAGCTTCTGCGGCAGTATCTTGAGAGATCCCGAGACTGTTGCGGCTATTGTCCGTCGCTAAGCGAGAGGACTCGGCGATCTCCTCCAATTCCTCGCCCAGTGCAGCGATTAGGCCTTCCGCTTCAGCCATATGAGATACAGAGGTTTTGACGGTGCCGTAAAGCGACTGTAAAGGAGGTATGATATTGCTCTCAAAATCTTTAATAGCCTAAAGCACGCGATTAGCCCGATACTTTTGAATAAAGGAGGAAAGACAAACATTCTGCAAAATTTCCGACTTCTCATTAAGGAGGCTCATTTGATCCAGCCGCCACGCCATCTCAAGCTCTTCCCTGATGTCAACATCCTTGACTTCATCGACTTGGTGCTCCTGTGCCGACTTGACTTTGAGAAGCAAGTTTGCAACACCAGCCCTCCGGTCCGTCCGTTCCAATTCTTCGCATACTTCTTCCATCTGTTGGCGGAAAAATACTTCTTCAGCGACTTTGATGACGCCCTGTTCGCCGTACAATTTCTTCGAAACCTGGTGCGCCACTTGCTCGAGCTCTTCTTCAGATGGGAGACCTGCGGCTGCTGTTATAACATCTTGTACTCCCTGTTTGGTGCGCTCGACCACAGCGGATCGATAGCTGGCGTAGGCTTTCAGTTCAGCATCGGTTGGCGCGTCGCCTATGTCTGGATAAGGCTCAGTTCGTACTCGATAGTGAGCGAAACTGACCAGAAGCCTTGTTTTTGAGAGCATCAAGAACCTCAGAGGCGCATCGAATCGACTGTGGAAGCAGTAGAGTCGGCCTGACGCGCTAGATCAGCCCTTCTTTCGTAGCACTATAGGATGTAATAACGCGCCTTGATTGACATCTCTGCAAGTCTTTCCTGAGAAGCTGAAATCTCCTCACAGGTCCTCCCAATCTCCCGCTTTAGATCTTTCATTGTCTGGGTCATCTTGCGATTGGCGATCCTATACACAGAAACGTGAGTAATGGGATCCTTCACGGCCGTAGGTTTGTGTGTTCGCTTTACTTGGTATGCTTCAGTCGCGTTCTCAGCAATTCGATTTCATCCTCGATATAAGTCGATTCGGTATCCATGAGTCTAGCATGCTCCCTGCTGATGTTCAGCTTGATGGATTTGTCAGTAGAGAAGCCACTGACCGTGCTTCACTTGGTACTGAGTAGTTCTTTGGCATGCAAACAGTGTCTTCGTCGTCTCCAGAGCTCGTCTGTATATTCGCCAACCTGAACACCCACAATGAACCCACGGAAGATCTCAAAACGAATCAACGCACTCACGCTTCCACCTCCTCTCTCTCCAGAGCAACTCCAGTCAAAACCGTTTTCTGAACAAGGTCAAGGTCGCCATCGTCCATGTCCAAGTTCGGAGGCATTTGAGCTGCAAGCCAGTCGATGAGGGTCTTCCCGGCCTCTAGATCCATCGCCCACTCGATTTCTTCTGCTTTTACAGAAGGACCATCGAGGAGACGAACCATGGACACAAGTTTTTCTGTCGACGATTCCATATTGCTACGCAGGACGTAGAGGACGAGAGTGTGAGAGCAAGAGGTGTTTCAATTTTAAATTCAGTTTGTCGCGTGAATCACGTGTGTTAACGCTTCAAATTGAAATCGGAACTCTTAAAGAGAGCGAAAATTGGTTGGTATGTACCATGACATGTAGTCTATAGTATCGAAAGGAGCTGGGTTACAATAAATAGTCGTGAAGCGTAAGCCTTTTTTTCAAGGCTGTACATCGTATATTGGAATAATCGGTTCCCAGAAGTGACACGATCAGACAAAGTGTCGGTATCTGTGTATGGATTGAGCAGTGAAGACACCAATAGAGTCACATAGCTCCACCATTTCAGCAGGGAGACAAGGTTCAACCTGAGACGATAGCAATCCGCATCCCAGCAGCGCGAAACTTGCTCAATTGTGCGCCATGCCCGATATTAACCGTCTTGAGCATATCAGGACTCACTGGGACCGGGACAGCTCTAGGCCAAACATCAGCAAGTCGCCTCTTTCTCCATTCCACCTTCTCTGACCCCTGCGCGTTAGAGTCCGAATCCGACTCTTCATCGCTTTCACTATCGTCCTCACTATCAGAATCCTCGACGTCGCCGTGCACTCCCCCACAGCCGAAGCAGTATGACTTCTCGTCCTCGGGGTCACTCTCTGTGCCACTGTCCTCCTCAGTCCCTTCCACCTCAATGCTAGGCGCTTCCATCTGCACAAGGCGTAGCACGATAGCATTGCAAGGACGGGAAGTGCATAACCTTGCCTCAATAGCTTCCAGCACAACATCCAAATCTCCAAGGACCACTTGCGTATCGAGGTACCCTAGCCTTTCCTGCGAGAAAAGTGCCGTCTTTATACTCGCGAGGCAGATGCAGTTCTTCAGAATCAGGGATTCCAACCGCGTCGAGCGCCGAAAAAAGCGGGAAAAGACTGCTGGGGATATTCGAGTCCACTGGACCACATCAATTGTGAGTGAAACGAGATTGGGGGCATCGAAGGATAGAAGGAATAGCAGTCAGGCTGTCCAGGAAGTTATTGTTTAGAATGATTGTGAGCGAAGTGAGTTGTGAAAGGGTCCTAACGAAGGGCTTTGGGTATTTCGGATCCTGGATGGTGAGAGCGCGGAGATGGGGGACAACTTTTGGAGAGAACAAGCATATTGTGAACGAAATCGCAATTTTTGAAGGATATCGACGTGATGATGAAGCTGGGGACGATTACTACCAGAGCGACTAGGTCGCCAGTAGTAGCATTAGCTACCGTGAGATGGTCGAGCGACATAGAAGACGGCGTCAATGCGAGCCAGTGAGGCATGACATCAATAGTAGCGAGTTTGCGAAACGACTGACAACACTCGGTCAATGAACGTCTCCGCCAGCTCTCGCTGTTTGATACGAATCTTGGCATAAGAACACCGCGTTTTCCCAATTGTTGTCAACGTGATAACAAATCTGAAAAATGCCCCGGTCTTTTCGATTTCGACGTCCTGGCGAATAGACGACGTATTTAAGAGGAATGTCTTTGGAGCGAGAGAGGTATAGAGCGAGTATGGAGTTGGCTCGAAGTGCCTTTTGGGAAACGCGAAGCAGGATTGACTGAGAGCACGGACCAAAGGACGGGGTTGTTTATGGCGATATCCCGCCAAAGTAAGCAGACATTGGATAACGTAACAGCGGTGGGTACGATGTACATTTGCTTTGGTATATTCGTAGGATTCACAAGGCCGCGCAGAATATTTCGGTCAATATCTCTGCTGGTAGAGAGGATATAGACGTGTTTTCGAGGTCTGAAGTCGCGGTTTCTGAGGCTATGGAAGCAGAAGGGAAATCTTTGGTCATGTCGCCGTTGGCGGATGCTGTATGACATTCTCAGCACTCATGAGCATAGATGAGAGCACATAAGACTCACCGGTACACAGTGAAGGTGACCTACGCAAATTCAACATCTCAACCTTGGCCGTACAGAACGATCCACCAAGGGAGAATGAGGGAGAAACGCCGTTCAGCAGGCTTACAAAGGAGGCTTCTCGCAAAGTTCCTGTCACGTTTCCTCGACGCGTACGTCACGATCAACATGTGCACTGTTAATATATCCATTTGGAATGCCAGTACAGCTCCAGAGACTCTTTCCACAAAATATGTTCATCGTTTTTGGCTGTCGCGCTAGAGTGGATAATGCCTGGGGCAGCATGACAGGCTTAGACCTTCTCAACCTATTATGTAATTCTGAGAAAAATGTCGAAGAACGGGCCTTCTTCTGTGATGAGCACAGTAGCCAGCCAGCTGCAGGCAGGCGGAAGCGAGCGGTGCCAGTAAAAGTTTGGCATAGCAGCTTTTCCCTGTCACGGTAACTGTTCAGCGGCATGAATCGAGCGGTGCGGAGATAAGCTGCGACAGCAATGCCGACAAGATGCCGCATTGCCGAAGTACTCCGACCAAGGTCTGCTACATCTTGAAACTGAACCATACTTACCCGCCTATTTTGCTGCTATCCTAAGGGCCTGCTTTTGTAAATCAAGCGTCTTTTTCGCTGCTCGGCTCTTGATCTATTCTTTAAGGGTCCATGAAACCCCCAACTGATGAAGCTCTGTAAACAGACAGTCCTGCACTACTTCTGATCCCGAGTCAGCCTCTCTTGTGCAATACCTGCATCCGAAGCAGGATCCAGAAGATAAATAAGCAAGTCGCTTTATAGTGTCATATGCAGTTACTCGAATTCAGTTCGGCGCGTACGGTGAGAATATTTCTTCATCATTCACGTGTGCTTATTTCTATTGAATAGAAAAGCGACGCGACGCGTTCTTCTCAGGCCGCTCTTACTAGAACACGGAGAAAGAAATACAGTTCGTGTCCCGCTGGGGCCCTTCCAGGATAAAAACAACTTTCCCCATTTCTCCCATTCCTCCCAGGCAGTCTACAATCTGTCGCTGTTACGTTAACCGGGCCCATTAACCGGCACCTGATTATACACTCAAAACGCTTCGGCCGAAAAGAAGTTTCCTTGGGGTATATCAACGCCGACTGCCCTCAAAGATAGCTACCTCCTTACGGTGATCTCCATTATGTCTGCACTACGATGGAATGCTCTCAGGTCAGAACTTTATATCATCACCCCCGCCTTTCTAATGCGTTTTCTACTAGGCGTTACGGAACCACTTCCTCACAACATCTTCCCCTTTCAGGGATCCGCGTTTTGGAAATGGGACAGTTGATCGCAGGGCCATTTGCCGGACAGCTGCTCGGGTATTTCATGTACTGACTCGTATTCTGCATGCGGGCTCACGCGTAGCTCAGACAATTTGGCGCCGAAGTCATTAAAGTAGAACCACCCGGTCTCGGTGATCCTCTTCGTGTCTGGCGCGAGTTGGATGCAGACGGTACTGGCCCGTGGTTTCGGAGTATTGGCCGAAACAAGAAAAGTGTAGCTATTGACTTACGGAAAGCCGAAGGCAGAGAGTGAGTTCGCGTACGTCGCACTTAGTGCAGTGCTCATGTATTCATCTAGACTGGCCAAGCAACTAGCCATCAAGAGTGACGTGCTTTTGGAGAACTTTAAGCCGGGGAGTATGTACTCATTCTTTGTAGTTAATGGTTGCACGTTCTAACAATGATTGATATGTAGCCCTAGAGAAGTGGGGTCTGAGTCCAGAGTTTCTGCATCCGCACAATCCTTCATTAATCTTTACCCGCGTGAGTGGTTATGGCCAGACAGGACCGTGGTCACCCCGTCCTGGATATGCTGCTGTCTGTGAAGCAGAGTCGGGTTTTCGCTATATAAATGGAATTCCCGACCCTGAGACTGGAGGCCTCACCGGTCCACCTGTGCGACCAAACATGAGTCTAGGTGATTCTGTTGCAGGACTTCATGCTGCATTCGGAACTGTAAGATGACCCATCTCCCTTACTCGAGATTCTGCTAACGCTCAAACCAGGTGTTAGCTTTGTTGTCGAGGCAGGCTAAGATTCAACGAGGTGAGAAAGGCGGTTCAACCGTCGACGTGAGTATTCTAGAAAGGTACGGATTTCGGTCGCTTCAGGATATATTCTAATTGATGCCAATTAGTATGCTGAACCTCACGGAGGGAATAATACCGGAGTATGATCGCAAAGGAAAGGTAAGTAAACCTATCAGACATCCTAGTAGGATGCATTATTGAATAATCACTCAGATTCGCGGACCATCAGGCACCTCCGTCACAGGAATCGTACCCACAAATGCCTATCCCTGTCTACCCGAACCAGGATCGTCCACACCAACATTCATCGTCATCGGAGCGAATGGAGATACCATATACAACCGACTCATGACCGCCATCGGACGCACCGACCTGATTGGCCCCAACTATGCGCAGAACCAACATCGCGTTCAGCGACAGACCGAAATCGAGGGAGCCATCTCTGATTGGACGAGTCAAAAGACGGTCGGGGAGGTTATAGAGTCTATGAATGCAGCTGGTGTCCCTGTGGGGCGGGTAGTGAACGTGAAGGATATCGTGGAGAATGAGCATAATCAAGCACGGGGCGCTATCCAGGATGTCTGGGTGGATGGTAAGGATGGGGAGGGGTGGAATGTGAAGATGCCGGGAACTTTTCCCCGGATTGAAGGTTTTGATTTCACCCCGCGTTGGGCTGGTCCTGATTTGGGCGAGCATACGGATGTTGTGTTGGAGGAGATGCTGGGATTGGGGAAGGAGGATGTGGAGAAATTACGCGGAGATGGTATAATAGGTTGACTAGCCTTCCATGTGATTTTTATTTCTGCATTGTCAAGCGGAGTGTTCTTATCCTTTGACTCAATGGGTTGCAGAAGTTGGGTCTTTAGATGCGTCAGCAGTATACGACGCTCAAATTTTCCTTCTACCCGGGACAAGTCATGAAAGAGGACTATGACGACGAACAACCATTACTTTCATTAAATAAAACAGACGTTAATAATAAGGTCTTGACGCATCAATTTTCATACAGATTAAAACTGGGAATCATAAGGGAGGGAGACAAAATTACTTTGCCGGAGCCTTCTCCGCGTCCTCTTCCTTCCTCTCCTCGGCTTGATTATTCTCCAGAGTGCGACCATCAATACCGACGTTCTGCACGGCGTTTTGGTTATCGCCGAGGTAGAAGTTTCGCATGAATAGCAACACTATAAGGGGGAGGAAAGCTGGTAGCATGTAGTCATCAGTCGTGGGCTCCGGTGGAATTAAAGTTCTTGGACTCACAAAGAATGAGAGCGGGAAGATAGAGGAGATATACAGTGTCGTTGTATGCTAAGTGAAATGCCGCCAATAAGCAGCAGTCTGGTACATACAACCAGTTAGCACACACCGTAAATGACGTTGGTCCTATCCGCTGCCCCGAGGTTCCTAGCACTCTTGATAGATCCAAATATTTTAGCGATCTCGGCGTCGGTCTTGTTTGGAAGGTGCTTGTGGAGGTACCCGGGCATTTTGCCTCTATCAGCAGCGAAAGAAAAAAACATTTAGCGATGGTGTATAATTATGGAAAAATCACTTACGTCCAGACCGCAGCGGCAATAGCATACCCAACACTACCGCCAAGGGAAGTCCAAAGGGATATCAGGGAAATTACTTGGGCTAGGTCGGCGTGGGGTACGGATGCTTGGGAAGCAACGCGCGAGCCTACGACGCTGAATGCTCCACCGATGGCAATAAGGAGCTGGGTCCAAACGAGGGCGACATCCCTAGCGTATCGATTAGTATTGACGATGTATCTGATGCAGAAGATGTTTACGTTGCGTTATCGCCTCTCGCGTAGAAAGTTAAGCCCATACCGCTATACACGATGATTAGTACGAAACGTCTGTGAGGTGGAAAAGACGTCTTACATTATCCGGATGCAAAGACCAGAGAACTGGAGCGCCTATAAATCCAACGACGGTGAAGCTGAAAATGGTCGGCAAAACATAGTGGGTACCTTGTACCGATGAGTGTAACGTTGAATGAGTCCTCCGACGATACCGAAAACGCAGAGACCAACGGTCAATGTCTTATTGAAATACGTCCACTCGCGAGTTGTCCTGTAAATCAGTGCTTTAGTTAAGCTGGCGCATATACCCAGCAGGAAGTCACATACCAGTCCGTGACGACCCATGTCCAACTCGAATAATACAGCGATCTCATGCTTCCCGAGAGCATGTACAGGACGTCAACTGTAACGGCACCAATGAACGTCCTATTGAGGACGCGGGCTGGCATGAGCGGGTAACGAGCAAACCATTTCTCATATGCCGCGAACACAAATAGCAAAACGCCTCCTACAACGATCATAGCAATCATGCTAGCTGCTCGAGGACATCAGAACAAGCTTCTTTAAAATATCATGACACGTACGATTTTTCCATCCGCCTTTTGCATCAGCGTACAGTGTGAAAGGAAGGAAAAGTAGAGCCCAAGGCAGTACCCAGTATGACGAGACCGATCATATCGACGTGGTCAGCCGAAATCCCGAGCAATAGGTGTACCAATGTAACTTTCTCGTCAGACCCTTCGTGGCGTCGTTCCCAAGCACTGGATGCGATGGACACTGTGCCGTCACGCTTGGCCTTGATTTCTGCCCAGAACAATACAGCTAAGGCAGGCGCCATTACAACAGGAAGCATGATCTATGAAAATGCTCGATTAGAAGTCAATGAAAACGGACACAAAACGACAAAGCCCACGATGAAGATGCCATAACCCCACCGCCACTTGCCCGGAAGGAATCCATTGGTGATTTCAGCGGCCACGAAGGCGTTGATGATGTACGGTGAAGATGGGAGAGCTGTTGCGAAACCTCTCCATTTCAATGGAGACAAGTCAGCGACGACGATATCGGTCACCTAATGCCATTCTATCAATTTACAGGGAAAGGGCCTTGTAAAGTATTAAAGCATACCAAATCCAAACCGGTCCTCCCAATCGTGTACAACACTTCTCCAGCACAGACTGCGCCTACTGTGGAAGAGGAAGCGATCACGATGTATCCGAGGATGTACTGTACAACAGTGTCAATATACCTTCACAAGAAACCAAAGAGGAAACCACGTACAAAACAGAGAGAAAAGACATAAGCTCTTGGTCTCGACGTGATATCGGCAATTTTGGCAATGAAAGGCTTCCCTACGGCGCCTATAATATCCGCAGCGACTGATATCGTTCCAATCGACGCATGTGAGTCGAAAGCCGATGTAGCGAAGGGCAAGAAGCTGCTCGTAGTGTTGGAATCGAGAGAGTACACATACGCGATGAGCGCAATACTGAGGTAAAGAATCCACAAGGGTGCGCCTTTCCCGCCAAAAACCCTGTACAGAGCTTCGATACGCGCGACACCAGCGACCTCAGGTTCTGCCTTGGACTCGGGAGTCTGAGTGGTCTCGACCTTCTGCTCGATGGAGCTCTCGGATCCCGTCTGGGACTTGGTTTCCTCGACGGCGGCCATGGGGGCTTCGAAGTCAAGAGTCGAGTGGGGACGAGATCAACTGTGATCTTCCTAGTTCATTGAGCTTTTCATACTTGATATGTAAGGCACCAGCTCCAATCCAGCTCCGTTGATCTCCATGCGTGTTTGACATTAGGCTGAACCTGCGCCGAATTCCGAATCGCAAGGAACGGGGCCTGCAGGTTGGGTAAAGCGAAGAGGTACTGTTTCCTGAGCATCTTCAGGATACTTGCTCCCAATTATGCCTGAAGAAAAACGGTGGTTAACATTCAAAGGGAGACCTGCATAACACGTATACACCTTGTCAAACCCCTCAAATTGGAGCAGGAACCTTCGAATGATGCATTTCGAAGCGCGCAACCTCGCACGACCCACAAGGTACGTTAAGCCCAGATGCTTATCTGATAAGCCGACAGGTGCTCCGATAACGCGAAAATGACGGAATCTAATCAGATAAATTTTCTAGAATCTTATCAGATTGGGCGCCAGCGCAAACCTTTTTTGTTGTCCTACAACTCAGGGGCCCAAGCCGGCGCCAGGGCACGCTAGACTGGGGATCTACCATTCAAGTCAAGAAGACTTGGCGGCTGATTTTGGTATGGTCGGTCTCCAGTAACGCCGCAAGCAGATCTACTCGTTCTCGGTACCTCTAGCTTTATCTCTTGGCAAAGCTTGGCAATATTAAAAGGACATTCCGCTGATTTTGTCCAGTGATGTACATCGGCCGTACGACGCGAAAGCAAACTAATCCCAACCTGGGCATCTGGATATCATCATTCTCTCATCGTGGTGGCGATGAGACAACCAATTATTCGTGCAGAAAGGAGGGTGGTTAAGATGCGCATGCCGTAAATTAGGAATACGGAATATGTTCCCGTGAATGATACAAATGCTTCGGCTGTTCAGAACGAATGATGGATATGTATAGTCCCGTGTCCACTCAAGTAGACAAATCCGAATGGAGACTCCGCCTCCGTCCGCCAATATCTAAAGCCCATTCGTACGCGTCCAGCGAACGCGTCGAAGCCAAAAATAATGCAGACGGTGATGCAATAGGTCCATCCAGGAAGGAATACACCGCGATATTCCCCCGATTGTCGGTGTCCTCATCCTGCTGTCCCTTCCACCAGGTCATGAACCTCCGAAGGAAACCTCCATCCCGCGCAGTTTTCTGCTTAATCTCTTTCTCGACGCAGCTGTCACCCGTGCCTTTCTCATCTTCGACCCTGGGTGAAGACGGCAGCGCGTGATCGGAAGGAATGGCGGAGGGGATGAGGTTGGTGAAAATTAATGGATGTGCGCCTGCGGAAACGGCTTCAACGATGGCGGCATCTGTAAGGAGGAGAGGGAGGTATGAATAGCTCATGATCGTTTGCTGGCTTCATCTCTTTTCGAAGGCGAACCTTTATATGATATCCGGCTGGAACAAAGGCGATTGCAACATTGCCACAACAACGGAGATCGACAAAAGGCTCTTTGAAACCATCGTTGTATGATATGAGGCAAAGCGGCTTGCCCTTTCTTTTTCTGTGACCCTTGGGGCTGCGGCCTTTCGAGTTACAAACATCTTTGTCTAGTGGCCCTGGTCGATAAGGCTTCCGAGGATAAAGGAAGACATGCCAGTCGTCCGTGACATCGAGGTTCTTCGCTGTTATCAGACAGATCCAGTGCACACGATGGATCTTTGTTCAGACCGATAAAAATTGGAAAGTCATTTTGGATCTAGAAAATGGTAATACAATGGGAGCAACATGGTTAATAACTGACACTTCTGGCCCTGATATAACTGTTCCTGGTATTTCGAGGAGGCGGCGATGGTCTAGGTGAGGGTAAATTTTTGCTAGAAGTCTCCCACTTGGGCTCTACGGTATCAAGAACAGAATCGCGTCCCTTCTGCACCGCGGTCTCCCATATCGTCTTCAAAGGCCCTGCATCCTTCTTGATGTTGGTCTCTATGATCATATTCTCCATCTCCTTCGAAAGCTCGTCCATCACGTCGGATGACGGTTCAAGAAGTGGTCTCATACGAGAGAGCGAGACTTTTTCGGAAGAGCTGGTGACGGGATGCACAGAATGAAGTTCCGTATGCAAAAGCATAGAAGCTTCGCGATCCGCCATGCCCGCAAGGGCGTGCAGTTTCTCAAGTTCGACAACAGTTTGATCGGGAGGCTCGGGGAAAAGTCTAGGTGCGACGCGACTAACAGCAACGCTCAGAGAGAAGAAGAGTTGGTGTAAAAATAGAACGTGTTGGAATGCGACACGTTGAGGAAAGAATGAATGGAGGATGGTGGAGTTCGACTGGGTGGCGGACGGTGATGGTGATACCAGTAATGCGATTTCTGAAAAGAGAAACGCGGCATAAAGAATAAAACGCCACTGCCCAGATGTCAGATCAAGTCCTTCCATAGTAACAGGCACACATACAAATTTGACTGGACTCTCTCGACCGATAGAAGAGTAGAAGACAAGGACAAGACCGCTGACGATATGAAAGCCCGAAGACTGCACGAGGCCTTGCCGCAGGTACTCTCTGGGTGTTGAAAGCTGTTGCCAAAGTAGAACGTCGGGTCCGAACCTAAGGCATATCAGTATTATTTAGAAATGATAGGTGGCTTCATCGTACCTATCGTAGGCGAACCGGACAACCGGATTCTTCAGGGCCTCAAACGCATCACGAACCCTCATGAACATCTCGGCGCCCTCAGGACCAATGCCAGGCTTATCCGGGTGGTACCTCTTCGTGAATTGACGAAAAGCGAGCTTCAGTCCATTGTCGTCAACGTCATGTGGGACCCCCAGAATCTGGTAAAAGTTGGGAGGCACTGAGCTGGAGCCTTGGATGAGGTTGTATAGAAGATATGCGAGCACGACAAAGGCGAAGGTGTAACGATAGTGTTGAACGTACAGCGGAGTACGGGGCGACGGTGGATTCTTCAGTTGTCCATGAATGAAACGAAGTATGTGGGTAGTGGCAAAGTCGGGCAGGACAGACCAGCCAATCATTCCCAGAATTATGGAGTACGCCATTATTGATATGCTTGCTCAGCGTTGTGGGATGCTCTGCTCATCGTCGACGTCGACGTCAAGAATGAAGTGGTGTTGATGTCCAAAGTAGGCAATGGACAATGGTGTTGCCGACTCCGGCTTTGTCAGCGAGATGTGTCGTCGGTCCGCTATCCGGGTTTTTTTTACGTTAACCACCACCAAACACTCGGGGTAAGCCACTTTGCAAGGCTCGAGTACTTAGCCAGGACTCTCGATTTCTGGGTGACCATATCTGATTTATTTCTTACTGTGGTCTGGTGGGTGCAAACATTTACTCAGGCTTTGCGTGACTCTGACTTGAGACTACTTCAGATAAATCTTTTCTACTACTTGAAAGGCTCTCTATTCTATTCCAAATAACGTCGATAACATCTTCAAATTTGAGGTGGCTCTTCTGTTTCTGAGTTCATCTTATAGCATTTCTGATCACTTTTTTGTCTGCATATTCTCTCCAGGAAGCGACACGATGTCTCAGCTGAACGGCCTTTCGCAATGGAAACCTTGCTCGGGAGGTTGTACTTGCCCAAACCATGACCTACCGTTTCACACATCTACGTTTTCCGACAATGTGTTGGAAAACAGCAATTTGGCGCGCCTGGCACGTACCAATGAGGAGCCACTGTCCCGCTGAAGCAGCTGCTCTGAACGGCATGATAGCCGAATACTCAGAGCGCATAACTGCTCTCGATTCCCGAGTTGTTGATCTCCGAGAATTGCGAGCCACGTTCCTACAGCAAGTCTCCCTGATCGACGAAGAAGTAAAACACATTCAGACGGAACGAGAGAAGCTCTCTGTTGCCATCGATACCAGGAAGAAATTCCTCAGTCCCGTTAGGCGCCTCCCATCCGAAATACTCTGCCGCATTTTCCGCGAAACTGTGGATAAAACGATACCCCGAACTTTATCAAACCGGGAACGTAATTGGTGGGATTTCCGGGATGTTCCAAGCACACTTTGGACAATCGAGCTCGTCTGCAGACGGTGGAGGGAAGCTGTCATATCTTTCCCAGAGCTCTGGTCATACATCAACGTTATCATTACGGATGACAACTTCTTCATGGGTACATATCGCTATACACGCCTTCTCAGTCGACAGCTTGTTCGTTCCAAGCAGCATCGTTTGACTGTATCGATTTGTGCCGATCCACATGAGTGTAGCTCTTATGTGCTACCCGAAACATTGATCGCCCTTCTCTTTTCGGCTTCAGAGAGAATACAAGTTCTCCACTTGGCTATGTCCTCCGTTATATTTTCATCCCTGCCACCTTTACGATTATTCCTTCCCATCCTTGGAGCACCTGTGTCTCCTTTCTACCGACGATACACAGACAGATGAGCTCTTAGGAGGAATGGTGCTCTTTGATAGCGCGCCTAAACTACGGACGATAGAAGTGATGGACATCCAGCACCCTTCATGGTCATTTGCTCTCCCTTGGAAGCAGATCACTTGTTTCGGAAGCGACCATGCCCTTCTGCGCAATGCACACTCGTCATCATTGCAGATTTTGGACCAACTTCGGTCAATGCCTAATATCGAAGAATGTCATTTGCGATGCGAGGTATATCTCAATTTCACTCCTGAGGAGCAGCCCCAGGTTATCTGTAACAAGCTTCGTTGGCTGAACATTTCGTCACGGTTAATCCATCAACGTCCATTGTTCCAAGTACTCAGTCAGCTCACAGCCCCTGCTCTGTCAGGACTGTTCTTCGATGGACGGGCGTTTAACAAGGAGCTCGATGTCGACAATACATTTACGGCAATCCGGAACCTTATGGATCGATCCCATTGCCCTTTAACAACCCTGCGTTTTGTTCACGGTCTAGTGTTGACGGAAGACATCTTGAGCATCATATGCTCCACACCTACTTTAGAAGAACTCCAACTTTCTCATGTTCCCCTCGAAGCATATACACGGCCATTTTTCGATAAACTCACCATCAAACCTGCCGTTCCTCCTGAAGAGGCTGTCACTCTTCTACCGCGTTTGCGTATCTTGCACCTTTCCGGCGTAATGTCAAAAGACTTTGACGCAGAGGGTTTCGTTAGAATGATAGAATCCCGCTGCCCACCGTTTACTGACGCGGTCACCCGGTTGGAGTCTGTGGTTCTTTATCGTTTTGTTCCGCCAGAGGAGCCGGACGAGGATATTACTCAGATTCTAGCTCAACTGGACAACCTTCGACCAACAGGAGTCACTATGGCCATCTTCAAAAGGGCTATGTCGCCGGCGGAAAGGGGTATATGGTAGCATCAAAAAACTGCTCTTGCTTTACTAAAAATGAAGTATGTAAACCTAGTCTGTCTTATCCTTCAATGATTACGAGTCGACGGTGCTCGCTGTGGGTTTCCTCTGACCTTCATCCTGTCATTACTCAGATGCATACGCCCCAGCCGAGAAAGTGTGCTTGATCCCCGCCGCGACTTCGTAACCGTCAAGCGTAATAACGGTCTTTCGTTATTCGGCATACTACCACATAAGGGTGAACGTGTCTGTTGATATTGGCATGCCCCGAAGTTTACTGTGCAGTACGACATCGATAAAGATAGCTGTTGGAGTTCTAGTGTCCATCTTGTGACCATAATTGGAGTCGTCGTAGATCACCGTTGCTTTGTGATGCCTCCTAAAACTGCTTCATCATATGCACGAGAACAGTAGCGACACCGGCACTTGGGCGCTCTCTCGGCTAGTAAAACGACTAGACCGCATGGCATGGCATGTTCTGGACTGGGTTTGGTGATGGATGACCGTGCCAGGCTCAAAAAGATTATTCTAGCGAGCTGGATGTCGCATGCCTTTATCTTGGTGATTGCAGAGTTGTTCGGCATCGGGGCCTTAGTTACAGTACGTTGTCTGCATCATGTTGTAAATTTGATGTAAATTATGATAATCACTGTAGTCCAGCTTATTTCCTTCCCAACCGTTATACATCGGCTCCGCTTAATATGTATCTCCCTTCTTCCTCTTAATTTCCACAATCCTTGTTATTCACAACATGCGCCATACCGCTGCCATCTGTGTTATAAGATCACTGGCCTCGTGCCTATTACTAGAGTACCTGCTATATCCATATTTACTACTACTCTACTCTATCCCCTGTAAGTAATATAGTGAACCTAGTAACCCATACCACCTTGGTTTTCCGCAATTTTGACCCTTGAACCGAGTCGGGACTGGCAGCCGGGCCGCAGATGGCCCGTGCGCAGTATGTGGATCGTGGGATAATTTTCCGTAGGGGTCATTCGTTGTCTTCGGATAGCACCTTCCTTACCGTCTCTTCGAGCGATTTAGTTCGTTTTGGAGGCATTCTTGCAGTTCTCATTGACTTTTATTTCGTCCTTGCTCATCCTTTGACGAGATTTCTGCATGTGCTAGAGTTGATACTGATATTTTATATCTCACTCTTTTTTTCTTGTGCGTGTCTTTTTTCACCCACACCTGTCACTCCTTTGCGCATACATTCCTTTGCGTTACTCTTTTCTAACTCTTTTCCTGCCCCCTTCCTGTCCTTTTCCTTCTTTTCATCATGGACGGTGCACAGACTGCCTTTGATTCTCAGTATCCTTACGGTTTTGAAATCGACATGATGAAGGTTCGTTTTTTTTTCCCTCAATTTACCTGTCTTTATCATATCTTATCTTCGTTAGCGCTCTATGGAGCCAGTTGGCGGACCTGATGCCAAAAAGGCCCGCTGGTCACCTACTTTTTCTCAAAATACCGCCGGATCTCCTACTGGCTCGTCGCCCCACGATGCCTTTGCCAATTACGGCTACGGTCCTCAAGCCGGCATGGCCCAGCCTGGCTTCAATACGTCTCCTTCTGCGACCCCCTTTGGCCCGAATCAGCTTTACTCGACACCGCCGCTTTCCATCAACACTCAGACAAACGGCTCAGGCATGGGTGCCCAGCTCAGCCCCAATTCGGCAGCCGGATTCGCTCAACAGCAGCAGCAGCAGCCGAGTCCTGGTGGAGCGTCGCCATATGGTGGCTTTGGCGCATACAACTATGTTGGGATTGGGTCTTCCAGGAATGAACATGCTAGGCTTCCCGTACAACGGTCAAATGGCCAACTTTTCCCAGGTATGTGTGTTGCAAATTTCGTTAATTCGCTTATCTCACAAAATGCAGGGCTTTGGACAACAGCGTCTGCCATCTCTCAACATTCAAGCTGCTCACGGCTACTCACCAGCCGCTCTCTCTGCCGCCCTCTCGGCATCTACAGGCACCCTCCAGGGACGAACAGTGTACATCGGAAACCTTCCTGCTACTGCGTCCGTCGACGAGCTCCTGAACCTTGTCCATTTCGGTCCCCTAGAATCTATTCGCGTCCTTCCCGAAAAATCTTGCGTTTTCCTCTCCTTCCTTGATGGTGCTACCGCTGCTGCATTCCACGCAGATGCCACCATCAAGAAGCTCGCTCTCCACGGACAGGAGCTCAAGATCGGCTGGGGTAAGCCCAGCCCGGTCCCTGCCCAAGTAGCTTTGGCAATCACTCAGAGCAACGCCAGCCGGAATGTTTATCTCGGTGGATTAGACGAGAATATGACAGAAGAGCAGCTGCGTGACGAGTTGAGCAGATTTGGGTTGATTGACCAGGTTAAAATCGTCCGGGATAAGAACATTGGCTTCGTCCACTTTTTGAGCATTGCGATTGCCACCAAGGCATGTAATACAGCATGCTGCTACTCAATTTGTGTACTGACATTCGGCTAGGTTGTCAATACGCTTCCGACGGAACCGAAACTGGGCCGGCAAACGTGTAAACTACGGCAAGGACCGATGTGCTTATATTCCTAAATCGCAGCAGGCGGCCGCCCAACAAGCACAAGCCGCTGCATGCCCAGTCCTTGATCGCCCAGACCGCGTCGCCTCAGTCGGCTATGCACTTCGCCGATGAGTGCTAACCCGAATGGATTCAACAGTCCGTTCAGTCCCTATAGCGCCTTCCCGCCGTCTGTAGACGCGCTCATGGCTGCCGGTGCTGGAGCAAGCATGCAAGGATTGAACCGGACGGTCTATCTGGGTAATATTCACCCGGAGACTACGACCGAAGATCTGTGCAACTCGATCAGGGGTGGTGTCTTACAGAGCATACGGTATATGCAGGATAAGCATATCGCTGTGAGTCCCTTCTGCGATATCACTTTACCGAGATTAAATTTCTTTCAGTTCGTCACATTCGTTGACCCTGCGGCGGCCTTCACGTTCTTCCAGGTGGCCTCATATCAGGGCTATGACAATCAACAACAGGCGGCCTGAAGATTGGATGGGGAAAGAATTCAGGCCCTTTGCCCCCGACCTTAGGCCTCTTGCTGTTCACTCGGGTGCCACGAGGAATGTCTACATTGGAAACGTCGAGGACTTTGAGACGTTCACAGAGGAGCGACTGAAGAGGGACTTTGGAGAGTACGGCGACATTGAGCTGGTCAACTTTCTCAAGGAAAAGTGCGCATGTCTCCCTTTCTTTCCCAGCACGATCATTTGACTAATCTTATGATAGGAACTGTGCCTTTGTCAACTTTACGAACATTTCCAACGCGACCAAGGCCATCGAGGCCATCAAGAGCAAGCCCGAGTACTGCCAACCTGAGGATCGCGCATGGGAAAGATCGATGTGCGAACCCCCCGAGATCGGGACCGCAGGGGGCATCTGGTGGACGGAGGTCGACGTCAGGTGCGGGCGCTCCCGAAGATATGGAGGGCGTCGAGGGTGGGGATGGGGATGAAGTCGCCAACATCGAGCCGATGGCGGCATAGATGGTATTTCATTTTCTAACTGCAACTACGGATCGGATCGTAATTCAAGGATACCCCCCCTCCTCCCCCCTCTCCTACTGCCCACTGTCGGATGCGATGAATTGAAAAAGGGGCATATCCCGGTCGCACTGTACTTGGGGGCTCGGGGTTGGTCCTTGGTTTCCCTTTGAACCAGAGAACCGCCCCCTTGGGCTATTGGTTGTTATTTTCTTTATCATCTTCGTACTTCCATTCCATCCTTTTCTTCTTCCTTCCTTCTTCCTTAATTATTCAGAAAATCCGTGTGTTTATTCCATTAACTTGTGTGCGAATATCGTATCATATCTTTTTTTTACTCTCTTTCGCTTGCCTATCTAGTGCGCGGTCCTCTCGTTTTCTTACTTATGCTCTCCCCCCCGGTTCGAAATGCAATTTCTTAGTCGGATTTTCTCGTCGACTTTGGCCTGCTTGTCTGTACGCACTTTTTTTTTTGATGAGGACGTTCAACAATCCCCAACCCCTATTTACATAACCTACCTTAGCTACGAAATTGCTGTCACTCATTGTCTGTCCTGTAATATGATTCGCGCGCGCGAGCAAGGATGTTTGCTGCTGATGTAAGGGATAGAGTCACCTTGGCTGTTTCACCGCGTGTTTCAAGTCGTATATTGTATACAATAGCTTGGGCTTGGTTAGTGCTTTGCCAAACGTTAGGGCGATGTGGTCATTGAGATGGCGGGAAGGATCTGACACCAATAGACTGCCACTTATACTCAGGCTGGCAGTAGAATGGGCGGTTGATGAAAGCCAAGGAAGGGTACGTGAATTGGTCGTGAAGAACACTGCTGTGATCATTGCTCACTCGTTAGGACCACTCAGCTTATGTATCAACAAGTGAAAACGCGGGAACAAGTTCAGCGCTGTGTTATTGATGTGTATTAAATCATCCAAGTTATTTGGATCATGATGGAGAGTGGCTATGCAATGATGTCCTTCGTATGTCTTTCTCAATTTGTTCATTTCTTAAAATATCTAGAACTAATGGTGCTATGTGTAGATCCAATACCTCAATACCAGGTATCCGTTTAACGTCGTCAGCTTGTTATATTCAAACAAAAGCCCTGCATACATTGGAACATTTACTGGGTTTTCCTAGCATTATACATCTGCCTTGATCAAATCTGCGGCTCTCTCTGCAAATATATACACCGCAGCCTGAGTATGCGCCTGCTGGTACGAATGGCTGGAAGGGAAAGGGGTACTGAGCTCGCGACAACAAAGTATATATAGAACGGATGGGCCCACCAAAATCGAAGCATCCACAATTCTCACCCCCTTCGCGCCTTTCAACTTCAAATCTGGGTTTACCACACCCCAATTTGCATCAGCCGGTGACATGCTTGCGGTACCCACAGGATGTAATACACTGCCAGCTCCATTCCGGATATCATTCTCGGTGATGTTTACAGCGATACCGAGTATGTAGCCATCCCACGCCATAGCGGTAACAAACTTCTTCGCACTCTCAGCAGCATATTGCATAATGGCAAGATCCTGCGGATGTGAGAGAAAGTTTGGATTGATCAGTGGCGCATCCAGAGGGTTCGTACTGTTAATAGTGATATTCCCGCCTGTTGTCGATTATTTATGGGACTTGGAAAGCGTGGTAATGAGCGAACGTACGCGACAAAGGGCATATACCCGTGGTCCCGATAGAAAAGAAGTTTCCTGCAGTAGTAGGTGGCGGCAAGATGCTGCTCTAAAAAGACGTCAACATTTCCCTAACCAAGACCTGATTAAAGCATGCTGCTCAGACCGTGAAGATAAGTTCATAGTGCGCGGTCTGATTTCCCGCACACGGTTCTCTGTCCAATATGCCGGCTTCTTCAGGAACACGAAGGAACGCTACCTGACTCGCTACACCCGATGATAAAAATCCTGTTCGGTTCGCTTGCCACTCCTCCAAGGTTTCTGCTTGAAAAGTCGCATTTCTGAAATAGATGTTCTCGATAGTGTCCGTGTCGTTGACAAAGAAGTTGACAAACCATCCGGGTTGGTCTGTCAAGTTCTTCCCAACGTCAGGAAGATGAAGCCTTGGAGTGATTCCTAGAGTTGTCAACTCGGCTTTGTCGCCGATGCCAGAGTGAAGGAGGATGTGCGGGGTGCCAACGGATCCAGCAGAGAGGATGATTTCTTTGAGATGAGCCGGCGCTATGGTATGCAGTAGTTGCTATGATGATTTCAAGTCAGAATAAAAATCCTCAAGATGGTATTTCGAAGACGTTATCACCTCCTGCATCTTGGGTAAACTCAACAGCACCAAACGTCAGCCGATCGTTAGTGAATTTGGTGTTTGACTGTAGGATCCGGGTGACGTGGGTATGGATCAGGACATGTAAATTTGGCCGTCCGATATACGTGGATCCAAGATAGGACGTCTGCGAGCTGCTTCGAGTCCCATTTCCAATTGTGTATTGAGTCCATCCTGTGGGTGTTCAATACCACCGGAGTCAGTCGTACAATCTCCAGTAGTAAATTCTTACCAATTCCTAACTGGTATCCGGAATTGTAATCCAAATTGAATGGAAAATCGTCAGGAAGCTCCGACGTAGTTTGAATGACGCGGCTATCCGTATGACGCGAGACTCCAGGAAGGGATACCGAATTGATACCATTGAAGCCGTGGACTGCGGGATCGAACTGACCAGTGGTGTTGTGGTGATCGGAAGGGGGGACAACGCGTTCATTCTATCATAACACCAAGGTCAAGTTAACAGCCGTGGCAACAGAAACCAAAGGATGAACCTTTCGAATGTACGGTTGCAAGGCCTCCCATCCCCAACCAGGGTCACCGCTGATCTGTGCATAGCGGTCATAGTCTTGAGATGAACCACGCGTGTAGAACATGCAATCTGGGAATTATATCAGTTGAAAAAATCTAGGCAACTCCGACATCAAAAGGACGTACTGACAGCGGAACTACCTCCTAATCCAAATCCTCTAGGAAACAGAACAGAACGTCCATTCAATCCTGGTTGTTCAGTTGTGGTAAAGTTCCAGTCCCAGGGGGTTCTGGGAGTTATGCTCGTACAAAAGAACGGAACCTCGGAAAGGAGAACATCAGCCGTCCTCGAGAAGAATAAACATCAAAAGTTAAAGCATATAAAAGAGGACGGACGATCCGCCAGCTTCAAGTACGAGTACAGAGACATGGTCATTCTCTGTCAAACGGTTTGCAAGAACATTCCCGCAGTCCCGCCTAGATTTCAGTATTATAAATCAGAGAACGGGTACCGGGTGCACTAGGAAGAACTAACCTCCGATGATGATGAAGTCAAAATTTTGAGTAGGAAGATCTTCGAACCTCTCGTATATGGCACCAAGTGCGCTTGAGCATGATATGAGAAGAGTAAGGAAAATGGCATCCATGGAAATTCAACCGACGCACCATAATCTTAGAGATGATTATATATATGCATTGCGACTATCGAAGTCCCCTGCTGACCCTGTACGTACCGGGAGGAAGATAGTTCACATGATAAAAAACATTATAATCTTTATGAACTATTAGTAGGACAGGATAAAATTATGAAGCGTCCGCCCACGGTTTCCACTTCTTGGCATTGCGACTGGGAATTTTGGGTAAGAGTTCGTCAAGGAGGAATGGTCTTGTGCCCACGACAAGTATTGAAGTGCCTGGGTTCGTTGAATTCTTGCGTTCGAAGTCATAAGGTTGCGGAAGCTGACACTGTCAACTGATATGAATGTCATACGATATGGAAGTAAGGAAAGGTCCCTCAACTTCTTTTATCCCGGACTAGAATCCAGATTGGACTGAGAGTATTCGCTAACAAAGATTTTCGCCACGAATTAATTGATATTTACAGCGTCCCATCACCATGCACCGACATGAATCAGGGCATTGTCAACGTGTTCTCGCGCTCGGTTTCACAGTAAAGTCCTTGACTGACTTAAAAAGGACTGTCATGAAAGGGCTGGGAAGAGATAAGCAGAGAGGTCATCGATCCAACTCTAGAGAATAAATTCACAAACTGAGGTGTAGCCATCCTGACGTGAAGAGATAGTGAGCGGTAAATAAACTGGAGTAATATAAAGAAAGACGAAGGTACAGTCAAATCAAGCAAAGGTCCAATCGGAGTCCGATGGTAGATCTTAAATGAACCAGAATCATCACCAGACCTTCAATTCATGGACTCTCAACACACCCGGCTCTTCCAAGACAGGCATCAATTTCCCCAAATCTTCTCTTAGCTTCTCCGCATCAAGAGGCATCCTAGTTTTCTCGCGCATTCCCAAAGTTTGTGTGTCATGGCAAGCTCGATGAGAGGCACTTTCAGTTGTTTCATCGGTCCAAGGACTCTAGCATCGATTCCAAACGCGCTGCGTCTTCCGCCAGGCACGTAAGACGGAGCTGCCCTGAAAGCACATATAGGGCAGCCAAGAGCCTAAACGGTGAGGGAGTTGGTGTGCATTAAGTGCACCAGTCTCAAATCTACTCTACAAATATCGTTTGCAGTGGCGTTGCCACGTATTAATAATAGGAACACAAACAGCAAATTCGGCAAGGTTGAGCGAACATACTGTTCCCTGCCATCATCGTAACGTCCTCTAGGAAAACAATTCATAGGAAAACTAGCTAGATTACACAGAGTAGACGAGATCATGGCCATGTATGTACAAATATGTATGTAGAAGTAGGTCAATGTAGATAGCAAATATATGATATCACCACACCACCTCCAGCCAGACATGATAAGGAATGTTCTCCTTCACGCAGTAGGTCGCGTTGTTGAACACCAACAAGTTGGGAGTCAGCCCCTGGAATATCCTCGAGCATACCGCTTGAAGCGAGGTCAAGGACGGCGGCCTTCAACTGCTTGGGCGTCAAAGACTTGGGCTTCCCGGGTACAGGGTGCGGTCATATACTTAACGATCTTGGGCGAAGGGAGGAAGTTAGCAACCCATTCAGGGACAGCAGAGTGCATGATGGTGTAGACGGACGAGGAGAAGTGACTCTGGGATTGGAGATCGGCGGGAACGAAGTCAAACTTGAGTTCAGGGTCAAAAGTCTTGTGGGGGTAGATAGGAAAGGTAGTAAGCCAGAAGACCAGGCGACATGGGGAGAGGCCATGGAAGTGCCAGATAGCGTGGCAACAGCGGTATCAGAGCCCTTGTACGTCGACTTGATGTTAAGGCCTAGTACTGGACATTAACAACTGAAAGGTCACGACAGGAAAGAAAGCATACCAGGAGCGAAAACATCAACACACTTTCCGTGGTTGGAGAAGTACGCCCTGTCATCGGAGAGAGTCGAAGCACCGACAGTCACTGCCTTCTCAGCAGATGCGGGGGAGTAGTTGCAAGCGTCCTTGTTGTCGTTTCCTGGCACAGAATTACAGCACTGTCCTTATGGACAAATCCAAGAACACTTACCGGCAGCAACAGCAAAGTGAAGACCAAGATCGACAGCCTTGTTTACCGCGGCATCCAAAGAAGGCGACTTTCCTCCACCAAGACTCATATTGGCGACCGAACCTTTGTGGAGATGTCTTGCCAGTTGCCTTGTATTCAGCTTCGGCGGCTTTCGCCTTCTGGACAGCTTCACCGGCTGCCCATGAAACACCACCAACGACATCAGACATAGATCCACTTCCCGTTCGAACCCAAGACCTTGACGGCGATGACGTTGGCCTGCTTGGCAACACCATACGTCTTTCCAGCGATGGTACCCGCGCAGTGAGAACCATGACCGTTACCATCCTCGTCAACAGTCATTCAGAGGGATGGTCTTGCCCCATGACGCACGACCCTGGAATTCGACGTGATGATAGTTGATACCAGTGTCGATGACGTAGACGTCAACGCCCTCGCCGCCACTCGGGTCATATTCATATTTCGTGAAAGTGCCGAAAGTGAGCCTTGGGCGGTGGCTGATACGAGCGAGACCCTGAAAATGGACAAGATGAACGCTAGCACACGACTAATCAGTGATTGTGACTCACCCAAGGTGCACCCCTCTGAACGCTGGATGTGCCGACGGTGTCGATCTCCAATGTCTTCACTATCTGGTCCTTCTCGATGAAGTCAACCTCGGGCGCCCTCCGCAGCTGGTCGATGACGTTAGACGAGAAATGGCCTGCGTAGCCCTTGATATGCCCGTCGTACACCTGTCGAAGGCCAGAGAATTCGGCGACTAAAGAGTCTGACTCGTGGGTCATCTGGAGGAAGTTGAGGTGGTTCTGCAACCTCGGCGGATCAACGCTATCCTTGAGCATGACAATGTACGAGTCATTGATGGAACCGTGAACATGGAACTCATCAATAAGGGGGGCGAGACTTAGGGGAGAGCGGAAGGAGGAATCATGCTGGGAAGAGGTAGAGAGCGGCGATGCATACACTGTCGCAGCCAAGGACAGTGCACATAGGGAAGAACAGATAAGGAAGGTCATGGTTGGAAGGAGAGTTGTCGCCAGCCAAATCCGGCTGATAACGCGGCCTTGTTTGTCTTTGTTTTCGGGGGGACGGAAGTCTGGTGGAGTCGCGCTTATATCGCGTTCACTCTTAGGTAAGTACTGCGTTGAATCCGACTATGGGAAAGTTGGGGAACGGGCCAGCAAGTACTGAACCTGATATCTCCTGTTTCCCTCTCCTCGCCCATCAGGCTGCCTTCTTCATCACCTCCCCGGTGACACATGGCAGCTGAGTACGTACTATGATCCGGTATGTAAACTATATACCCTTGTATGCAATATGTTGATACTTACGACAGCTATTCAGAATGGGGACACGCGTCTTCTCAATTACCTGTATTTTTTCGTCGCTTCAAATACGTGTACCTTGTCGCTAATAAATCCCGGACGCTTCACTGTATTGTACCCGACGAGCGGCCTTGGTACACCGCCCGATGCAGACGAATCAGGGCTCTTATGGATAAGGAAGGAATGATGAACAATTCAGAGAAGTCCATCACTCAGACTTGTGAATTATCGCCGGGTTGCTGGGTCTTGATATTCTACTTGATTCCACTTGTCTTGCAAGCACCGGCTCTGAAGGTGATTCTTCTCGCCAACTCATACAATTCGATCAAGCTTATTTCCTTGCTTCCTTTTGTAAATAAGAACTAGCAAGATATGTTATCTATCGCATTCAAACCACAACTTTGAATGCTAGTGAGATCCGTTGAACATCCTCACTGGTGACCTGTCTACTTCACGGCATCCCGCAGCTAATTTTCTGGTCTATCTATCCGCTTATCTTGCCTCAAAATGGAATGTTCTAACTATCCGATAACGTCATACCAATACCATAGGCGGTGATTACCCGTTCGATATATGGTCGTAACGTCTCATATGGCAACTTCTGTGCGGAGAGTCTTCCAAGTTTGAAACCGCATCCTCTTCTTGCATTGCTTCCTATATGCCATACGCTCTTTCTCCATGGGACTCTAATGACGGCGAGTTTCTCCGGCTTGGGGACGACAATATTGACGCCAAGGGCGGGAGGAAAAGATGGGCAACGAGCCCTGCGATAAAGAGGAGGAACGGACGTCATAGACGGATCCGCTGCCCTGTTTTTGCTTATACCAACGTGAGCTTTTCCTTCAGACAAGGCAAGAGCATTTATACTTCAGGGATAAATCATCTAAATAGCAAGTTTCCCAGAGTCTTTCAGCAGCCTACACTCAAATTTCGGCGTTTTCCTGAGCTGATGGATATTCAGCGTTTCCTTGTTAGCGCGGTGCTATGAACGCAATCAACAAATCCCCGTACAATCTTTCTTCTATCTTTGCAATCTGCAGAACAAGTTTGCTGCACTAGTCTCGTCCTGAGCTTGACGACGGTTCTCATGGCCGCGTTTGTCAAGAATCGCCTCTCCTTCTCCTGCAGAAATCTCCTCGGACACCACGCGCGCGCAACAATGTTCCATGATTTCAATACAGAAGTGACCTATTCTTGCAATCTCCCGGTGCTCATGTACATTGCTTTGGCTATCCTGGATTGGTTGTATTCCTGATTCCGTCCTCTTGTATACCGTCGGCTTAATCGGCGTAGTTGGTATACGTGATTACTGCCGTTCTTCTAATCACGTCCTTGCTGTGCTCCACTTCCCGATCCCACCTGCGCTTACCTTACTCGCCAAGCCATCCTGCGTTTCTGGCTTTCTTTCAAAAGTGCGTTTTTCAACACGCCGTCTACTACAGCCCTTGTACACTGGCGCCGAAGGAAGTGAATAAACTAAAGTATATGGAGTCGGATTAGAGGCGGTTGTCCACGGAAGTTTTGCACTGGCTTTTACAGTTTCATCAAATTCCCACAGAGTAGAGCACTGTGAAGAAGGTCTCTCTTTGTCATCGTGGTTGATCCCTGGCCTGAAACTATCCTCAACAGCGTGTCCAGGTCGCTCGATCTCGCATGTGTGCAAGACAACGCCTCACTCTGTCGCTCCGTTGCATGATACAATACAATGTACTCTCGGTTTGATTGACTTGATTGCGCCGCCGCGTAGGGATATGCATCGTATCCGTATGTCCTAAAGAAGTGTATGACACTCACGCTCTGGCACCAGATGTTTGTTTTCGCACAAGTGCAGCTAACTCCTTGGATCTCCCTGGGTGTGCGCAGATCACACATAGAAAATTGCACAACATGTCAATTATCTTCATCAGCCTGAGAACCTTGTTGATCTTAGCTGTTAACAACTGGGAAAGTGTCGATACAGAGAGGGTCAAAATGAATGTCATGGGACTTGTTCAGCCTCAACCATTGATACGCCTGGTATCAGGCTACCCGTAGATTTTGCGATTTTACATCAGTTTATGCAATCTACAAGCGGTACAGAGGGCTACAGTGGAGGCTTCGCGCTGGTAGCTAAATACTACATAAAGAATGAAAGCATGGCAGTACAGAACGGACTTAGAAACAACATCTCGAAGAGTCAATTCTACCAGCCATCAACATGCCAAGCTAAGCCCTACCTAAACAAGACTGTTACAGTCAAATCTCGGGGACTCGTCTGTATGGAGTATAAAAACCAAGAAGTTGAAGAATGGAACGAACTAGATGCCTCATCGCCTCGACGAGTAGAAAGAACCTGTCAGGAAAAATTGCTAAGTCGAGAAACAGATCAGCTTTCGAGATCAACTCAGGCTAGGAAAGGAATAACCTTGGAAGAATGAATAGCCATGTTGGGTACCGAGATGACCGACCTTGATCACGCAGTGATCAACAGAATACAATCTTGGACCTGCAGTCGATCGCGATCGGTGGTTACATCCTCGAGATCCTGTGCATACCACAGTATTCAATACATACAGCGCGTGGCAGGCCTTGCAGATGGAAGAAGGAGCACCCACGGACTAGTAGGGCACTCCTCAGCGACAGAATAACCTGGCGCAGTTGCGTCGAACTGAATAGAAACTACAGAATGGCACGATACTTGTAGGATAGTGACTCACCATTTGTATTAATTCCAAAGCTCATACCATAATTACTGTAGATATGGGCTCCTATACCTAAAACACAAATCGTATAAATTAGCAGCGACTAGACGCATAATGGCAGGAAAGCATTCCCCCCGCATTTGTGCTAGTAGCCTGTATAGCTACCTAATCAATCACTGGTTTTTATTGCATATCCTCGACTGAAGTGAATTAAGTTACCAAAGTCAACCCATAAGGGTGACTACAGTAATCTAGAAGAGTTAAGTAGGAAGTAGAGCCGTCCCTGCATTTGCGCCTTGCTAGTTAATTGAACTGCTCCATGGACAAAGGCCTCGTGTTCTCTCTCTCCGAGATTAGCAATCTAGCCATGCTGAGTCGACTTTAAATCAAAAGACCTCATCTAGTTGAAGTAAAATAAGCCCTAGAATGCTTTAAGTTCAAACAATCGTCGAGTTCAAGGAACTCCAGAGTCTGTGTACTCTTTGCAAGTCTTGTACTTGAAGTCAGAACCTGAGCATTCTTTGTAGAGTGATTTTGCACTCTTTGTAGACCTCGGAGTCTTTGGTTGTTTGATTATTTGAAGTGTCTGCTAGAAGTTCTTCTAGACGACGTCGAAACAAGCATAACTTGCTTGACTATACCTTACAAAACAAGTTCATAAAACCCCACTATCGCGGACTAGTGTACTTTGTGTAAAACACATCGAAAGAAGAATTGAAGTTGTTTTCAGGCAAAACCCCACTAGATTATCTAAATCTAAGTACATTGTGAGTGCTTCTATCGTACTCACCCTCGAACTTATATACATTGGTGATTGTGTGTGTGTGTGTGTGATTTAGTATCTAGATTGATGATCTAGATGCTTGTTTCATTTGCGTGCTGCCCGTTACCGAGCACATCATCGTGCCTCACTGGGGCAGCCATTTTTTATTTTTATTTTTTTTTAGTATCGTCAATTTGTCGTCAATCACCATGGCCAAGTTATCAAGGCACTCGAGAGGCAGGCCGCTGCCGAGGATGATGCTTGTGAGCATTGTACTGACAATGACGTCTCTGACTGTCTCTCAACGACTGCCACAGGATATCGCTCCGAGTAGACGGTTCCCTTTAAGTAACTAACTTCTAGTCCTTCTTTTATATCCTTATACAGTTCTTTATCCTAGTTTATCGCTTCTCAAGGCTTATACCAACTTGCTTAGTATCCCGTTTGATCTACTTAGCATATTCTGTCATTACAAGTCTGTTCAATTATAAGGGAGTTATGTTGTTTCTCAAGCCAGACCCGAACTTCTAAGTCGACTTGCGAGGGGAAGCTTGTCTTTGAGATCGCTTTCCTCATTGTAGTTTCTAAACTCAGAGTATTCCTCATCTTCTGAGTCAGTATCCGACAGCTCGGCATTGTCTAATGATAACTTGACACGGTCAATACCGTATAACTCCTTGCGCTGTTTTAAGTCACGATATTCATACTCCATTTCTTCAGACTCCTCGTCGTTAACCAAGTCTCCTAGTGTCTCAGGGCTAACATCTATTAAGTCATGAATATTCTCAGGAAGATCGATTCTATATCTCGCATTGTAGGGAATCACTCTAAATTGCGCAATCTTGCCCCCAACTAAAGATCCATCCATCTCGGAGAGGAGATACGAGCCCCCTTTAGTTCTTCGTATTACAATCATTGGCCCTAGATATCTAGCGTCCAGTTTATTATTCAAACTGTCTTCTACACGTGTATTTCTTATTAGAACCAGACGACCTGGTTTAAAGTCATAATCGACAATGGTAGCCTTATGGTTTCTCTTGTATCGAAGAACATTTTCTAGTTTGGTTTGGCTAACACGTTCTCACATGTCCTGTACATGTTGGATATGTTTTGCCAGGGCCTGCGCCCTTAAACCAATGAGCTCTTCTGTTTTTAAGATTCCACTAGGCGGTTTTACCAACCAGGTAGCTTCGACTATATCCAGTGGCAAGATGGGATGCGCTCCCAAAACCATGAAGTAAGGCGAA